AGCCAGGCACGGCCTGCGTCGAAAGCTTTTCCCGATTAGGCGGGATGATTTTAGAGAGTCGGCTGATTGGGCCACGCTTCACGACAACGGGCAAGACACTCACAGGCAGTCGTGTGGCTGGCTTGACGAAAGGCGCAGAGTCAGCCGCCAGCTCGATCAACCCGAGGCATCCCAATCGGCCAATCGCCAGGCTCTTTGTGTTTCCAGTGGAGCTTGGAGTTCCAACAAAGATGCTTGTCCTTCCTGCATGCAAGCGGTGGCGGAGGACAGGGACGTACTGAGTAGGCAAACCCTGTCCCAGATACAACGAGAAGACAAGCCCAGTAAACCCCAACGTTGTCGAGTTCCCCTGCTTCCTAGATGAGGAAACTTCATCAAATCCCTCACCTTCGAGAGCTGCGGCGTACCACTCTATAATCTACAGGACAAGTTTTCCCCTCTGAAATCGTGCTCGCTGAGCATGTTGGGAACTTGGTACAAATACCCGCCCACCCACGACAACTGGTCTGAATTGATCTTGGCCGGTCCACGCAGACCTTCCATTGCTTGCATTGCTTTTGAAACCTCTCACTCCGTTTATCCCCAGTCTCTTTCATTCGTGGTCATATTTATTGCTACTTGCATCTTTCCATCTACAAGTCGGCCCCTCTTGCGCAGGTGAACGGCCTGTCCTGAAGCTCGACTACATTCTCACACACTGGCGCTTATATCGCCCTAAACGCAGGCGACTACCCGATCCATGACAAAGTATTCTTCATCATGATCCTTTCTCCGGAGGCCATCATTGCCCTCATTGGTGTCGTGGTCGCTCTCCCGTCGTCCCTCGTCATCATATGGAGATGTCAAAGATCGACGCCCGGGGCATCGGCCGCGTCACCGGACATTGAGGGTACGTTGACGGCGTCTTAACTGCGTTGCCTCAAAGCTCCCATAATCCTTCTGGTAGACACCGACAAAACCTAACCCACCATTCAGTGCAAGCTGTGCCAATCACCAGCAACCTCGTCTAGCAACCCCAGTTGCAATCGCTGCCTACACTGCCGCCACCCTTTAACCACAGTCGTTGAGCTCTTCGAAGAGGACCAGAGGGCAAGACCCACGTCTGCTGTCAGTTTTCTAGATGTATCAGGGCCATGCGTGGCGCCTTTCCTCGTCGCGGGACGAGGCATGAGGCAGGGAATGACACGGAGCTCAATCAACGAAGAGATAGTTGGCGATGTCTGGCAATTACAGTGCGGAGAATTTCTAGATTCCATGAATGCTACTATATTGATAGGGTGAACACGTAGAATAGAGTCAAAGCAGAAACGAATACTGTGGAAATGAGATGGTTGCCCTTCAGTTCAGTTCGCGTCCCCCTAGGCATGGCAGCCCGCCCTGCAAGCAAGCTGAGCCGTTCAACTTGCTTACTTCCTGAGCCTGCAGCCCAAGACCCTACTGCCATACCAAAAGTAGATGGCGCAGCACGAGGCAAGCAATGGTGGCGAATTTGAAGGCAAACCCTCCCTCCGTCATCGTTGCGATGAGGTACGGAATCGCCGCAACGGAGGTCCCATGCTACGTTGTCTGTGCTCCGAGCCCCTTGCATGGACGAATTACCCCATCAAAGAGGAGCTGTCGCCCATGGGAAAGTGCGAATGCTGGCCAGATACATGAAGCCTGCTAGTAATACACGTGCGCGCATCCAGTAGAACACTGGGTGCTGTACCATGTCGCCGTCTGAAGTATGTACGGCTACACATATAACACATTTAACACATATAACACATATAACACATATAACACATACAACACATACAACACATACAACACATACAACACATACAACACATTTAAACATATAACACAGATAACACATACAACACATATAAAATACGTATAAAAGTAAGGCTATTAAAATCTTGTATAAAATTATAGTCTCCTATTAATAAATTCTACAATAAATATAATAAGTCTCTATATAGTAATTAATTTAATTTAATTTAAAGAAAGCCTTGTATTTAATTTCTTTTTTTATTTAATACTCTTAATTTTTTTCAAGTGTTTATATGTGTGGCTGTTTATGGTTCCCGCCGCGACATGGTGGTCCTGCACCCTGTGTGCAGAGTGCTGTTCCTCGATCCCCCTAGGTGCATACATAACTAGTATAGTTACTGTCACCACCCTGATGATTCTGACTACCGGCTCCTCAACTCGGCGGGGCTATTCGCACACCCCCATGCCCCTCCTTGACAAGATCTGGATCGAGACCAACAGCTTGAAATAGGCCCCAGTGCCGAAGAATATGCCGATCGGGGGTCAGGCAATGAGTGCGTGGCGTTGACATGAGGAAACGCCGATAATCCCTTTCCATGTCCAAAGGCACCAGAGGGTATTCACTAACCAGGGCGTCGTCAGTACAGGAATACAGGGATTATTACCTAAATGTTCGCATACACATTAGTTAGTATTTATAGACGGAAACGGTACATTAATGTGCTAGGAAATACCACCAAGACCTAGGCACCTTGAACAGTTTATGCTGTTACTACTCATCATCCTCGTAAGTGACCGTCGCGGAGCCTTTGGCCATCCAAAGGGATGCGTTCGGACGAGCGAGGAAGCAAGGATCATGTGCCAAATTTAACCCGAACATGGCATGAATGAAAGGGCCGTTGCGAATGCAGTCAGTGCCGCTGAGAGAGAAAAAAAAAACCTCGACCTCGAGCTGTGTGCAAGCGGTGGATTACGAATGCTTTGGGACAATGCCAGAGCCTCCAACTGCCAGAAAGAATTATGTAGGTGTGTACATGGGCTGTAACAAACAATGCCGTAGCAGCGCTAATGACACTCAAAGCCGGTAACTAGGTATGTATGTACTGTACATAGATAAGACTCGCACGACATGTGCATCGCTTCCCTTGGCCCACAACTATTCGGTTATTACTAGTTAAAGATGGGTAAACGCTTTGCAAAGAATTACACCTTAGTTTTCAAAAAATAAAAAAATTTCATAAAAATAAAAATATAAAGGAAGGCACAAAACATTAGGTAGTCTGTTGTCTTCCTCCAAACTACTTCATAAGGAGACCCCTCCGTGTGTCCGCTCCGTCACTCTTTGTTTTCTCCAGCGCGGCGCCCGGGGGGTTTGCCTGCCACAGCCGGTCGCACTTTGAGCTTGGTTGGAAGAGACGACAGCTTGGCAGGTCCTGGTGTCCATGTTCACAGACAAGACTTCATCCGCAGGATAACACGTGGACGTGGTGGGCATCTCGCTCTGCAAGGTATTTGGGGGACGGGAAAATGGCGGAATCGCCCGAGTTTGGGACCAGCGGCTCGTCCATGGCGGAATCATCAGCGCCAAGCGCCATCCGCGCTTCCAAGAAAAAAAATACTCGAAAATACAGAGGACACTCCGCTTTATGTATGGAGCGGCTCGGAAACCCGATCCGCCGCGGTCTCGTGCCGTCCGTAAGTGTCAGCGTTGGGAACTCGAGCGTATTGATAAGAAGTGGTCTGTTCTGGACTGGTGGATAGCAAGCACTGAGGTTGCCTACTTGGGCAAGGTGGTTGGACGGGGTCTGCGGGAGCAGCCGTGGGGGCCAAACTACCCAAACTTCTACATATGTATGTATGTACTACATACTGTAGCTACCTGCTAGTTGCTAAGAATAATGTCTGGTCCACTAGTTAGTTACAGTGGATCATAAACCTTGCCCACGCTGACACGCTGAGACACGGGACGGACCAAGACTTCTTGCCAGGTATCTATCTACCTACCCTATTGTGATACCAAGTAAAGGCACCTGGTCAAAGTACCTCGTCATCGAGGCCGCGGTCGCAGCCTGCAATACTTGTCATGCTCCATCTACATCTGTCTGACCGCTCGTGACCTGCACTGTCTGTGTGTAGTACTGTAGCATCCTAAAAATGCAAGGGACAGTTACCAGCACAACCACTCACGCGTTGTTGCGTTGTCAACACTTCCCGATGCACGGGCCAAAAGGTATTCCATATAACCTGGCACTGACACCCATTCTCCGTCCACCTGCCATGATTACGTCCGTTATCTTGTCTAAAAAGCAAAAGCAGACACGGAATGGGAGGCGCACAAGTGGAAGCCTGGGTGGGCTTGTGCTGAACAAGCCAACAGCACAGCCGCTGAGGACGGGTTCGCTCACGGAGCACGACCTCTCGCATGAGCATTTATGTATTCTTTGTGTGAGTATTCCTTACGGAATGCCACTGGTATAAATACCCGGACGATCTGCCCTGTTCTCAGCTTCGAGAAACAGCAGCAGCAGCAGCAGCAGCTACCCATCATCCTCCCTCCTCATCAACCTCTCACTTTTTCCACAAAATACAAGGCATGAAACCCTTCTTCCCACATGTATTTCAGGAGACTAACACGAATACGCAGATATTACTCAGCATGGCCTGCAGAATATGCGGCGAGCCTAAACACGGACCACCGGCCGAGTACGTAAAGACGGAGCCATGCACCACGGACGGTTGCTGTCGCGGTTGGCTCGACTGCGATTATTGTGCGGACCAGGGAACGGTTTTTAACGAATGCGAAACTTTGGTTTGTTACCGCTGCGAAGACGGGAAGCGCAAGCACTACCGCTGCAATGACTCTGGTTTCGTCGAAGTGCGGGTTACGTGCGAGGCTTCTACTCACACCGGGTAGTGGCCGGGTGCGCCGCGATGGACATGCTGGCAAACACTTGATGGCTACGAGGTGCCTTTTGATAGACGCTGAAGATCTTTGTATATTTACTTGAATTGATGATGATCTCGCATTAATCTTCCACCGGCGGCGTATCAGTGAAGCTACAATTCGCATGCATAAATACCGAGCGCGCAAATAATCCATCACCTTTCGTCAAAAGCAACATAGTACGAGCTAGCACGCTAACAGATAAAAAATTCCAAAAAACTCGTCGCTGTCTCACTGAAGACAGTACTGGCGCCAGTCAGTTCTACGGATCCAATCAGGTGTCCAAGAGGGCGGGAGAGGTTTATTCTGAGGGAGACTTGTAGCAATAATCGATATGCCCGTCGGCGGGGTTTCCCCAGTACTTGGCTATTTATCTCAGTTAGCAGAGTTCAACATTAGCGTGCTTCGGAAATGGAACATGTACTCACGGAAGGCTATGGCTGCCTTGGCCGCCCCCAGCACAGCAAATGACAGGATAAAGACCATGACCGACGTGCCACCATCCAGCGCCGCCGAAACCAGGTAGTTGTACTTGACGAAGATGTTTGGGTGGTTCCGGCGCAGGTACCACTGAGCGAAAAAGCCGGCCATGAAAAAGGTCATGACGGACGAGTTGATGCCAAGGTTGAGGTAGCAGAGGTAGAACATGATGACAGGCGTGTTGATGAGATCAAAGCCGAGGCGTGGCCAGCGGCGGTGCGCATACCAAAAAGGAAGCGGCACGAAGAAGCCAATCAGGGTCGCGAGAGGCACCCACTGGTACCGGCTGCCGACGTCAAAGAGCTCGTGCGGGAAGCCGCCAAACGTGACGGCTTGCGCGTTGAACTGCTGCGTGACGGCGCCGGACCAGATGTTGGTGCCCTGAACGCTGCGCAGGATGTCAGCCTGGTTGTCGATGATGCTGTTGGCCATGAGGTAATTGAAGCCGGCGCCGACGACTGTGCCAATCATCTGCATGGCAAAGGTGGTGCGCGGTGCGAGGTGACCGTACTGCGCGAGCTTGAGATCCTTGGCAAGAAGAGTGCCCTGGAGTAGCGTGTTGTAGCTATAGAGCGAAAAGTACATGTTGGCGACAGGGAAACCCGGCCGCATGTAGCCGCCAATCATCTGGATGATGGACTGGATGGTGAAGTTGACACCCGTAATGCCCTGCATCGAGCCAAAGACGAGTAGATGGCAGTAGCCGACGAGGCAGGCGACGAGAAGCCCCCACCACGGGAGAGTGCTGTTGCTCTTGTAGATGACGACAAGGGCCACGGCGGCGGAGAGGACGAGAACGATGGCATACCACCAGTCGGGACAGTCCTTGTAGCTTTGCATCAAGAGGTAGTGAGGGTCGTAGTGTGCTTCTGCTTGGTTACTGCCGGTGGCTTCAGGACTGGCTGTAGCGCGGGTGCGAGAGGAAATGCCCAGACGGCTGGTTGCAGACTTGACCTTGGCAAGGATGCGACGTGGGCTCAGGAAGCTAACGGCGGCCTTGAGCTCGGTCGGGTACCAAAGAATCAGGTGGGTGATGGCGGCAGCGATGCACATGTTGGTCAGCAGAATGTTAAGGACGTTGCTGGCGGCAAAGTTAGGAAGGCCGAGCTCGTCGACCGCCGTCATATTGACGCGGCCGTCAGGTCCAATGGCAGCCGTCTGATTCCACTGCACAGCATTGCCGGCGGTAGATGTGTCGGAGAAGATGACCTGTGATAGGAAGGGGTACTTTTTGGCGTCCCATATGTTGCTATAGTAGACGCCGGTGAAGAGGATAATACAGCCGGCGATGCCAATGCCCTGGCTGATGAGGCTGCTAACGGGAAAGTACAGCGGGGAAGTGCCGCCCGAGATGTACTGCCAGTCGAAGCAGAGGGAGAAGAGTCCAAGTCCCTCATTACCCTCGGCGCCGCCAAAGATGTTGGTGAACATGGGACTCGTCCGATTCGCGAGACAAAAGATGCTGACGCCCGTGAGCAGCGGGCAGATCCATTGGGGAATAATCTCCCAGAAGAAGATGCCGACAAAGACGTAGAGGAAGACGCGAAAGGGCTTACGGTTGCTAGGCGCGCGCGAGTGCAGACGCTCCAGCATGGCGTTGATGGGCAAGTTGGCGGGCCAGAGCATGGCAGCCGGGTAGACCATGGTGCGGCGCATCATGCCAGCCATGCCGTAGCCGAGGCACTGTGAGGAGATGAGCATGAAGAAGGTCAGGGCGCCGTTGCTGCGCCGGTCATAGTAGAGGCGCTCCGTGGCCACGATCTGCAGCCCGAGCGCAGATGTGCTCGCCGCGTTGGCCATGATGGTCACAGCCAGGTGCTCCTTGACGTTAAAGGGCCCGGGGTTGAGGAGACGGCCGAGCCACCCGTCGCGACGGGGGATTAGGCGCGACATGGCCTCGCCGAGGAGGAAAGCAACAACGGCTATGAAGACGGCCGGGATGGTCACAGACTGTGGCTTGAAGTAGAAGATACCCGAGAGCACGCCACCGAAGACGGAGAGGCCAAGGCCTGTAGGCGTGTTAGTCATTCTCTAGGTAGGGCTCATATGAAAGAGGAGGGGGCTACATACCAATCAGCATGGAGCGGAATGTAACAGCAGGCAGCGTAGGATCATCTTGAAGATGGATCGTGTGCGTAAGGACGTCAAACTCCGTCGCCGGCTTGGACAGCTTAGGCTCGTCGGCCTCATCGAAGTGCTCCACGGTGGCGGGCTCTATAGGGTCCTTGACATCGCAGGATCGGTCCACCGCCACTGGCGCTGGACGCTCGTCAGTCACCTGTTTCGCCATGCTCTTGTCTCTTCTTTCTGTCTCAAATTAGAAGTAAACCTGCTGGAAGCAAGCTGACGGAAGAGGACAAACGCGCATTCCCTTCTTATACAGCTTTTCCCCAGCTCGGCGGTCTCATTCCCCCAACAAAGCAGCGATATCTACCCCGCATCCGATATTGTCTTTGTTGCGGGCGCAGTCAGCACATTGTTTGCTGCAACCTCAGAGTCGAGCGCGGAACTGTGATTGGGGACCTTCGCTTCAGCCCTGGCGCACGGCGTGAGAAAGCTGCAGTCTAGAGCAAGCCACTGTTCAGCAGGGACGGCACGCTCGGGCACCATTGCTTCTGGCGAAGGGAAGAGGAACGGAATTGCTGTGATTTAGGAATTGGCATGATGGACTTTATTAATGACGAAATGGAAAACCCGAAATCATTCCTCTTATCGCACTGTTGGAGATGGTGGTCTTGCTAGCTTGTGGTGGTGCTCGCCTCTTTGAAGCAGCAAACGGGCGATAGCCGGCAGGGGCCATGCCTTAGTCAGGAACATGGCTAATTCAGGTACTTTATCACAGCAGTCAAATTGACTGTGCCACAACTGTACCATAGCCCAGCAGAGGCTACCTATTTTTGATCCTGCCTATCATGCTGATTCAATAAGCCGCTGCTTCATGACTGTCGAGGCATCAACTTCAGGCAACCCTTCTCCACCTCGGAAGAGCTCCTCAGCTTGTCAAGATTTGCCTTGCATGGGAATCGGGCTGCCAATAATTCTTGGCATTGTCTTGTCTTGCGCGGGGATGCAGGCGGTCAGGCCGAACGCGCCAGGTCACGGAAGAACGTTGATCACCGGGATTCTAATCTGCACAGAACCAACACTTTACTTTTCCGCTTATACGAACCAATAATCATTGGATGAATACTTGCCCAATCCACAACCGTCGGTGGCTTTCCGTTAGAGTTAGCGGCAGCCTTATTCGTTATGGAGACGACGAAACCAGCAGTTGATTTCCAGCCCTTTTTTCCGCACAACATGACCATGTTGACTCCCTCTTGCAGACAGTGATAGATGCCTCATCATGGGAACGGACTTGGGAACTTGCCTTGCTGCTATCGCACCGGTGACTGGCATTATCGCAGGCCCTCTGACTTGCCACGAATGCCAGCCATACCGATGGGACGAACAGGGCCGCTGGATCGTGCACCGGTACGCCGACGCGCGACCTGTGACTCGGCTCTGGGGATATCGCGGGAATTTGTTTCCCGACGACCTGAAAGCTGGTGACGTAAACTGTCGCTATTCCGCCATGGTCACAGTTGAGACGGACGGCCGCTGCGCCGCGCTCCTGCGGTACGGCGCAAAATCCGTCGAGCAGCTCTTGATGCTCAACCCCGGCCTTGGCGGCGACTGCACCAAGATAAAGTACAACACGCCTTATTGCACCGAGGGTTGTGAGTCTCCCTGCCCAAACCCCAATTCCAGATGATGCCCCTGTGACGGGCAACGAATAACATGACTTGCAGTCTTAGAGCCGCTGCGGGCGCAGGATGGCCGCTGCGGCCCTCTCCATAAGAACGCGACGTGTCTCGGCGTTGCCCGCGGCCAGTGCTGCAACTCGGAAACCTGGAGGTGCGGCCAGTTGGAGTGAGTTTTTTCTCTCTTTTGTTGCTGCGCCGAGTCTCTCCTGTTCACCCCCGCCCCCCCCTGTTCTGACGCCTCCTTCCGCAGGCATGATTGTGCGCGTGGCGTCTGCTACGAGGGCGCCTGCTGGGGTCACAGGCATTACACGACCGACGGGACTTGCGGCAGCCAACACGGAGACCGCAAGTGCGCGGGCAAATGGGGAACCTGCTGCAGCGTCGAGGGACGCTGCGGGACGGGGGAGGAGTTTTGCGGTGCTGGACAGTGTCAGAGCGGTGACTGCGAAGAAGGAATTGGCAGACTGAGACAAAGGATCACAAGATTCTGTAGACTATACCTGTACAGTGCGTTTATGCATGAGACTGTCCATGATGGTGTCTCTCACTGTCTCAGATGCGAGGAATAAATAGGACGAGTAGTACGGAGTAGAAGGTCCATGTAGCCAGGACTGGACTGCCGTGATTTAGGAGCCTGTAGAAACTTGCGAGCCCTGTAAAATATGAGGAAAGGGTTCAGAATGTTAATAAATTGGTAATTTTACACTGGCAAATTTATTACCATTTGTGTCGTCATGTTGAAATCACCTAGACGGAGTGTTTGGGAACAACCAACAACATCAACCTACTTCTCCACAGCGAAAAACGTGTGCTGGTCAACAAACACGCGACAACATCCACCTTTACGAATTTACGAATATATGCAACATCAATAATAAAACCAAAAAAAATAACAAGTCTCTCCTCCCCATGGCGCCACCAAACACGGACCTCGTCCAGCAGCTGCGCACCTCCCTCGCCGCGCAGTCCCTCCCACCACCGTCCACTAGCTTCCTCGCCGCCCTCGTCTCCGCGCGCACGCCGCCGCTGCCCGCGCCCTCGCTGCTCGCCACCGCCCGCGCGCGCCTCCTCGCCTGCGACCTGACCTCCCCCTACCCGACCGCCGCGGGGGGCTCGTCATCGTCGCCGCCGATGCTGGACGTCCCCGCCATGGCCGCGCTGCCCGCCGACGTCGGCGACGCGCGCGTCAAGGCGCGCGTGCTGCCCCGCGACGTCCACGCGCAGGTGCTCGACGTCGAGAACCTCAGCCTCAGCCGGTGGCAGCAGGTCGAGGAGATGGAGGCGGTGGCGCGCGGGGAGCGCACCCGCGGCCGCGAGGTCGTGCGCGTCACCGAGGACGCTGACGACACGGCGGCGGTGGGGGGGAGGACGGCGGTGCATCGCCTGGTGCTGCAGGACTGCAGGGGCACGCTGGTGTACGCGATCGAGGCGGCGCGCGTGGACAGGATTGGCGTGGGTAGGACGATGATTGGGGAGAAGGTGCTGCTGCGCGCGGGGACGGTGGTGGCGCGGGGCTCGGTGCTGATGACGCCGGAGAGGACGGTGGTTCTCGGCGGCAAGATTGACGCGTGGCATGAGGAGTGGACGCGCGGGCGGCTGGACAGGTTGAAGGCGGCCGCCGCGGGAACGGACCGACCACGGCAGTGAGGGGCTGAACAAACACGGAGAAGGGCAGAGTTGCTATGTTTTGCAGTGGCGTTGCGCATCTTGATACCCGTATAGCGAGGCAGGCACAGTGTTGTCTATTCATATGCTAGCTGTACAAATGCTCATTTCATCGTATATTGACAAGTTGTTCAACGGCAAGGGCTCACACGGACAGCCCTTTCCTAGAACGGTATGTCCCTGACGCTCGAAAGCGCCTCTAGATACACAGGCATGGAGGTATCCCTAGACCCCCTCCGTCGCCCTCTTCAGAGCCGCCCACCCTGCCGTCTCCCACGGCGCCAGGACCGCTGCCCTCTGCGCGTCCGCAACCCCGCCGGTACCCGCGTGCGACGCCGCGAGGTCCGTCGCGTCCAGCCGTCCGCGCGGCGGGATGCCCCTGCGCGCCACCTTGAGCGACGTCTGCGCCGCGTGCGCGTCGCCCGCTGCCGCCGCCAGCGCCGACCACCCGTGCGGCAGGTGTGGGTGTAGCATCACGTCCGTCTGCATCTGTGTGAGCGCCAGCACCTCATCGGCACCCGCCGCGCCGAGCGTCGCCATGACCCGCATCACTTCGCCAATCTGCGCCTGCTCCCGATCCGCTACGCGATCGCTGGCGCGCAACGCCTGTAGCTCTTCGGCCACCGCCTCCACATTGCCCTCGTCCTCGTCAAGCAGCCCGATGACGCCCAGCAGCAGCACACTCTGCACGTGGTCGGGGTGCGCCTCAATGACTTCGAATAGCGACGAGCGTGCCTTTTCCTTCGCCTCTTCTGTGCCCTGAGCCCACAGGACCTGCGACAGCAAACATGTTGCATCTGGGTTGCTGTCCGACTCTTCAAGCGCGGCTTCAAAACATTTTTCGGCCTCGCCAAAGTCTTTCTCGTAAAATTGGGCTAGCCCAACCGTCAGGTGCGCTGAGAGCCTCGCCTTTTTGCGTTGCTCTCTCGTTAATTCGCTGTCTTGTTCGTCGCTACTTAGCCCCAGCGCCATCTCGCCGCATTCAATGGCCTTATCGTACGACTTGGAAGCCAGGTATGCACGAGCAAGATCTATTCTCGCCAGCGTGAACCGGGCCAGGCTCAGCGGAGATTCTGTCTGCTCATAGTCCGCTTCTATGCTGGAACAAATCGTCTCCAGGATCTCCACGGCACGGGCGTGGTCGCGAGTGCGCTCCAAGAACAAGCTGGCGAGGTGACCAAAGGCAAAGTCCTCCGGCCGCATGCTCTGTATTTGATTTAGCGCAAACACGGGCTGCAATAACGATGCAATGGTGATGTTCGTCGGCCCGACTAGAATGTGGTCAAACATGGACGAGGAATATTGCTGACGAACCGAAAGAGATGATGCTTCGGCAATATCCATTGCATGTGTAAACAGGCCACGGGCTTCCTTAGCATCTCCATACAGAAGAGCGACAAAGCCTTGACCAAGCCATGCATGCGCGTAGTCGGGGTCAGTCGACTGTGCTCTGGTAAAGGCTTCATTGGCCACTTTGAAATCTCCAGACATGAGAGCGAGCGCACCAAGATTCGTCCATCCCACCGGGCTGCGCTCGTCAATATGGATGCTGCGGACAAATGAGTGTTGCGACACGGCACCGTTAACCTCGCTTGTCACTACACCCAGTGCGTTCCAAAAGTCAGCATTGCCAGCCTCGAGCTCAATAGCTCGTTTGAAGCATCTAATGGCTGCCTTGAGGTAGTTGCTTGACTTCTTCCGCATGGAAACCGGCAAGCAAGAATGCGCCCTAAATTCAGCCCAGCCAAGGTTGAACATGGCAACGGCTTGGGCATGGACGTCTTTCGATACGGCATGAACAGCAACCTTGTGGCACAAAATCGTAGCCTGGATGCACCTGGTTAGCTCGACGCCAGATTTCTCATCCGCGGGGTAGATTCCTTGAGCCGAGACAATATCCGTGGTGACTTTGTCAACATTGGCGCTGATTTCGAATGCTTCCTTGGGAGCCTTCTCTAGTATCGCTCGAACATCTTCCAGGGGAAAATCAGAAGTACGACTCTGGACAGAAGCGAACACTGAACAAGCGTCACCAACAGTCTTCCAATAGTTGAAAGTCGCCAGAACATTTTCTTCAGCTTTTGACGCAAATTCGATTGTTTCCGAGGCAAATTCGATGGCCTTGCCAAACTGCCCCTTTTCGACACTAATCTGCGCATTGTCCACCATGGTCTGCATTAATGCGATAATGACACCTTCTTCGGCTGGATGCGTCTTGATCACCGACCGATATAGTTCAACGGCGTCATCATATTCTCCCAGCTCGCGCTTGATATTACCAAGCATGAACTTGGTGAACCAGGAGTCTGCCGACATGTCCTTGTCTGCCTGCTCCTCAAGTTTTTGGGCGTTGATGATTGCCTTCGTCGCGGCGACGTATCTTCCGGAATTGTGGTAGCTCTCACCGAGACCAACCCAGCAATGGTAATCTTCCGGCGCGAGTCGAAGTGCAGACTGAAAGGAGACGATGGCTTTGTGATACTCATGCTTGTTTAATTCGGCAACTCCAAGAGCTGCAAATGGCCAACTGATGCCCTTTCGCTTGGATCCAGGCGGTGGCTTGACTTTGCCAGAGTCCACCACACGCTGAGCGACCAGTTCAACCCTGTCCCAGTCGCCATCCTCCGCAAAGGAACGAGAGAGGCGCTCGGCAGAGATGACTTCTGCGGAAGACAGCTCAAGAGCTTTTTGGAAGCAGCGACGTGCACGTTTTTTGTCGTTAGCATAATCGCTGTAGAAGATTCCCAGCATGGTGTAGCAAGGTGCGTGATCGAGGTTGTTGTTCAGAGCTGCGAGCCAGTAGGCGTAAGCACATTCTCCTTTGCGCTGCTTTCTGGCTTGGCGAGATGTGTCAGAATTCCAAAGGCAGTAGCCCAGTCGATACTGTGCATCGGCAAGAAGTTCCTTGTTTGGCTCCTTGACATCTAGAGCGTTTAGACACTCGCGCAACCCGTCGGCGGCGAGCTTGTAATCGCCCTTGAGCGCTCGTACCCATGCAGCTTCTGACCTGACTTTTGTATTCTTGATATCCTTTTGCAAGGCTCGCTCCAGGAAATCGACAGCTTGGTCATACTCTTCCTCCTCCTCGTATATAAGTCCCACACCAATCATGGCACGCGTGGTCGTTGCATCATGCTTCAAGACCTTCTCGAAGAGACCTTTTGCTTCGCTGTGGTGCCGTGGTGACTGGTAGTAGACGAGCGATGTGGCCAGGCAGAGGGAATAGGCGTCTGTTGTGTCTTTGAAGTAGAAGCTGCTCAAGGCTTTCTCTTTGGCAATAAACTGAAGCGCTTTTCGCATGTACTCGACTGTACTTTCATATTCGCCATAGTGAAGGAAGAATTCACCAACAAGTCTGTATCCGAGTGATGACTCAGTGGCTGCAATGCCTTCTGTTATCATGATGATGCGATCTTCGTCAGTGAGCGGAACCACTGACGTAGGAACCCCGCCGTCGTCATCATCACTGTCGTCAGTCAACTCATCGGCGCATGGCTTTTGCTGTGCTGGAGTGGCAGCTGGAAATGGTGATATAGGCGAAGTCAGGAAAGCAGTGATGACTTTGTACAGATCGCTCTCGGGGAAGTGGGCACAGTAGCTGTGTAACAAATCGGCGCTCCAGTCGGAGATTTCCTTGTGGTCTTGCCAGTTGATGGCAATCTCCCAAGCGAGCCGGAAGGGGTGCTTGATTACGACCATGTCGTTGGCAAGGCCAATCACCTTGGCCAGCTCTGCGGCTTTTTGTTCGCCAGCGGGAAGGGCAAGGAGGCGATCATGGCAATACTGCACAAGCTTCTCTTCATATGTGCGCCTCAAGTCGTCATCAGTCGTCCAATTTATGAGTTGTCGGTACACACTTTCCAGTTTGCTTTGTGCATAGACTTCACGCTTTACTTCAAGCGTCACTTCGTTCAGCTTGGCTCCGAGTCGAGTTCTGCGTTCTCCAACAAGTGTATTGATGCGCTTCTTCTCAAAGTCTTCGAGAATCACAGCAATGGTTTCGTAGGTTTTGGCTGGCGCAGGAAACCGACCTTCGAGAATAGCGTACAGAGGGCTTTCTGGAAGTCTGATCCACAGTGCATCAGCGTATTGCAGACGATCTCCTCTCACGCGGGCAAAGTCGACGAATTTGTCTGCGACATCCTGCGCCTTGTATGCATCATTCGCTGCGTGGAAAATATGAGAGAGCTGGATGACAGCATGCTGGTACTCTCCGAGCTTCTGCGCGCCTTGTTTCTCGTAGAGCTTGATGAGACCTTGCCAGCCTTGGCCTTCCGTGGGGCGCAACTCTGTGGCTGTTTTGTAGACCTTTTCAGCGTCTTCAGTTCTGCCATTTTTGTCCAACGCAAAGGCTAAAAATATGTTCCTGTGCACAGAGTCTGAGTGATCCGGGCAGCGTGAGCAGTTGTCGAGGAAGCGAACTTACGCTTGATAGTTCTGGGGGTCCTTCCTCAGCAGATCTTGGGACTTGGCGATAGCGTCATCAAATTTCTGCGATTTGACGGCCTCGTTTATGCCTTTCAAGGCAGCCTTTGAGCCTGACATTTCGCCTGGTTCACGCTGCAGCACACAGGTAATCCGCTTGTTTGCAGGGCCTAGGCTGAATCGCGGGGGCGACGCGGGGTGCAATTATGCTGGAGCAACAAACATCGCCGTGCCTGTTGGTTCGAGTATGGGCTTTCAAGATGGCGCAATGCTTAAGAGTCGCTGGAAATTCGATTGGGTCTCAGGCCACACACAACAAGCAGTAAATCATGAGGTAATGTGAGGTTTTGCCTGTCGTGGAGGCTTGGGAGCTGTAGTGGGGTTACCCGGAGATTCCCCGCCACGACTCTCTGGGCCGTGATGGTGATGCCTCGTTGAGCATATTGATGTTGCAAATTTATGCCATGAATTTGTGTAGGTTCATTTATCTTCTTCTACAATTATTTTTTTCAATATTGTACTTGTACTAAGCAACATGTGGAGGATACATGGCGACCTTTGCCACACCACAAAATACTACTATGCAACATATTATTCCGACAACGGCAACTGAGCTGTTAATAACTACCAAACAACCTGTTACTTCCGATATTCAGCTAGCCCATTCAAGTAAATTATATGCGATCGTTTCACTCAGAAAGATGGCTTGCGCGTATATCGGATTCTGGTCGTGTTGGGCTTCCCCCATTGTGCTAGCCCCTCCGAGCGGAGCCAAGAAAAACCGAAGACACCAATGAAACCACTGATCGTCGGCGATGAAGATGACAGCCTCTGGCTTGTCGCTTCAGCGCTCTTCGGCCACCCCCCACTCGGAGTGGGGAAGGGGAGCAGCCTCGCAGCGTGCTTCAGGCGGTCACGTCACGCTGAAGCGCCGCCTGGCCTCTCGGTCATGGTCAGGTACCTCTGCCTTCCACTCTGCTATCATCAATCCATCCTTCTTCTCACTCATCTTGGCTCTCTCATTTATCGCCCTCATTCACCTTCCAGCGAAGTCTGCTACGAATCAATATACGCCCGAGTGCTCAAATCGAAGAGCAGCGCACACTTAACGAGACGCGACGACTCCGATCCGCCTTCGCTCCACCAAGTACGACAACTGGTGAAACGAGCGACTGCAACGTTCTCTGAGCCCAATCATGGCTGCATTCCGTTTGACCATCGATGACGGCCAATTTCGAGATAAACAAGGTCGCCAGGTAATCCTTCGTGGCATTAATGTCGCTGGCGACTCCAAGCTGCCGAGCGAGCCTGAGCAACCGTCCCACGTTAGCGAGCGCTTCTTCGACGGCGACAATGTATCCTTCCACAACCGACCGTTCCCCAAGGACGAAGCGGCAACGCACTTTGCCCGTCTCAAGAGATATGGATTCAATACGATTCGATACCTGTTCACGTGGGAGGCCCTCGAGGCTGCTGGGCCCGGAAATTACGACGAAGAATTCATTCAGCAAACGATTGACGTGCTGCGCATCGCCAAATCGTTCGGTTTCTACATCTTCATGGATCCGCATCAGGATGTCTGGTCAAGGTTTACAGGAGGCTCAGGCGCACCAATGTGGACTATCTACGCTTGTGGCCTAAACCCAGAGAGCTTCGCAGCAACCCAGGCTGCCATCGTACACAATACATGGCCAGATCCAAGCCAATTCCCCAAGATGATATGGTCTACAAATTACTTTCGGCTCGCTACTGGGACCATTTTCACCATGTTTTTCGCCGGCAAAGACTTTGCGCCTAAGTGCATCATCGATGGGGTGAACATCCAGGACTACCTGCAGAATCATTTCATAAACGCATGCGCGCATCTAGCCAGGCGCATACATGAGGCCGGTGACCTCGAAGACGAGGTTGTCATGGGCTGGGAGAGTATGAATGAGCCTAACAAATGCATGATTGGCTACCAAGACCTTACTGTCATCCCCAAAGCTCAACATCTGAAGAAGGGCACTTCTCCAACAATGTGGCAGACATTCCTAACAGGTATGGGCCGAGCTTGCGAGATTGACACTTGGGATATGGGTGGTCTGGGACCATACAAGACAGGGACGGAATTAGTCGACCCTGAGGGCGAAATCGCCTGGCTGCCTGATGATTATGACGACTCGAGATACGGCTGGAAGCGAGATCCTGGTTGGAAACTCGGAGAGTGCATCTGGGCTCAGCACGGTGTTTGGGACCCCGTCACCGACACGCTCCTGAGAAAAGACTACTTTGCCAACAATCCCAACAGTGGCACCAGTATCGACTATCCCGAATTCACAAACACATATTTCATGGATTTTTGGCGTAAATACAAAGCCGGGTGCAGAGCGATCCACAAGGATTGTATCATGCTGATGCAGTATCCGACGCTGGAGCTTCCACCAGAGATCAAGGGTACTGCAGATGACGACAAGCTACTTGTCTTCACGCCCCATTACTACGACGGTATAACATTGATGACGAAGCACTGGAATAGCACTTGGAACGTGGACGTGGTTGGTGTCTTGCGTGGCAAGTACCTGCACCCGGCATTTGCCATCAAGATCGGAGAGACCGCAATTCGAAATTGCTTAAAGGACCAGCTCGCGACACTTCGACAAGAGGGAATCGACCGTACCGGAAGGCATCCTTGTTTACTGACCGAGTTTGGTATCCCTTATGACATGGATGATAAGAAGGCCTATAAGACGGGCGACTATAGCAGCCAAACTGCGGCACTCGATGCCAACTACTTTGCCGCCGAGGGGTCAGGCATGGAGGGGCACTGCCTATGGGTCTATAGCGCCAAGAATGTGCATCAATGGGGCGAGAACTGGAACGGTGAAGACCTGTCCATATTCTCGCTTGATGACCTTGTTCCGCCGGCATCTGCCATGCCAAAGTATTCTGACTCAAACGTCAGTCTGCCTGAGGAGAATAGCGTTAACCCCACAAATCTCCGTCGTTCAATGACAAGCCCGTCTATCAGCTCGACACCATCCCTCAACAATCCTGAACTTACGAATGCGCCCGGATATCGTGCTGCGGAAGCGTTCATTCGGCCCACCGCCACCGTGATAGCGGGCGAAGTTATCTCCGCCGGCTTTGATCTACGACGATGCGCATACGACCTAAAGCTCACGGCACCCAAGGTGACTGACGAGAAGTTTCCGACGGTGGTGTATCTCCCCGAGTTCCATTTTCCCCGAGACGAATGCGAGGTTGCCGTGACGTCGGGCAAGTGGGAGATTAGCATCGACGAAGACGAGGGCGTGCCTCTGCAGAGACTGAAGTGGTGGCATCCCGAAGGCGAGCAAAGCATCACAGTAACCGGGCTAGTCCGCAAGCATGATATTCTTGCTAGCACGGCAGACGAGGATTCATACTTGCAGCAGTGCCAGCAAGGGTATCTCAACAGCTGCACTCTGATGTGAGGTCATTGGGGGGACGATTATTTATTTTATAGGAGGTTGGGACTTGTCTGAAAGGATCTTATGGGAAACAATTTGTTTTGGCTATTTACGATGGCACGACCATTCTACCTCCTTGTAGGTTGCAATATTATGCAAGCGACTGGTTGTGGAAGTGCCAGGCCCAGTTGTGAATGGACTCCACAGAGTTGCCACCTGGACGGACTAAGAACTTGGCCAGGTCCTCCAAAAATTGCGAGAGCGGTCACACTTTCTCACAGTACTAATGTAGACATGTGCAGCGCAGCACTCGCCCAGTAAATTTTGAACTGAACAATTGCTTGGCTTCACGTAGACCTGACTCGTAGGCCACCCTTGGTGCATCTTCGAAGTTTGCTTCTAACCGTACCTGCACTTGTCTTTTTAGTGGTTGGCACACCCACTGTAGCTCAGGTGGATCCTGCCCGGGGCCGGGGACAGCGTTACCCGTCCTCACAGGACGATGGCTGGGTTCCAGCTGGCAGCTCTCCACTTCCTCCAGTGGTCAAAGGCACCCTCGGACCGCTTTGTCGTGCCCGCTTTCTCTTGTCTGGTGATTTCATTTGTTTCCCTCGAATCCCTTTTCGCATCTCAAAGGGCCGTCGCCTGGCCGCCCCGAATGACGACGCCCGACTGTCTGCTGCCGAACCCCTGAACACGACCGACCCCGCCGCTCGTCGGCGACCGCCAAAAGTCATACGACAGCGCAACGGCTGAACGGCTGAAGCCGCCCAAGCAATTCCGGCCCAGTGATATCGCAGCCCGGCTTCGTCCACGCCTCGCCGTCGCCAACGAGGCTGAGGCTCGTCGCTCTGCAGTTTATTGTGGCTATAGATGTCGAATTTCGTCCGATATCGCTTTCGCACCCATCAATCACTTCAGACGGCGCTGGTGCTCTCGCTTTAAACTACCTGTCCCCCGTCAAACACTTCGACAGAGGCTAGGCCTCAGACGTAGCCCATCATGTATCAGGGTGGCCAACGACATGTCTCGAACAACGATCCGACCCGGCCTTTCCAGGTACCGCCGCCGCCGCCGCCAATATCTTCGCCTCCCATGAACGGGCCGCAAATGGGCAGCATGATGAACGTCCCCCCGCCGCCGCCACGATATCCTCCTGCGCCGCCTGGAACTGCGCCCGGCGTCATGATACCCCCGCCGCCGGGACCGCCGCCAGGCCCTCCTCTTGTTCAGCAGCAACAGCAACAACAGCCGACATGGCATGGTAACTACGGTCGAATGTATGACGGTCGTGGCGGCTTCAATCTGCCCCCGCCGCCCCCGACACCAGGACAGCACCAACCTTACAACCCGAAGATGCATGCACAGATGGCCGCCCGACAACATGCCATGGCAATGCCCCCGCCTCCACCTCCGAGCGACGCGATGAGCGCAACATATATACCCAGTGCCAATTCTTATGGTGAGGGAGTCGGTATTCCGGGCTTTGGCGGCGACGATCACTTGCCCCCAGACTCGTCCCAGGGACTGACAGTCTCGGACAATGGCACTTCCACAGGACACGATGATCCTCGAGGCCAACAATATATGCCTGCGACAACACATTCTAGAGGGCTCACCAGTGGCTCAGGCATGTCAGGTGCTGCTGCCGGACTCATTTCTCCAGAGCTGGCTGAGCAGTGGCCATTGGACACGGTGCTCATCTGGCTGGCGCAAAACATGTTCTCCAGAGAATGGCAGGAGACATTTCGAGCGCTGCATCTATGTGGACAGCAATTCCTCGAGCTCGGCAACCCGCATGGGCTGCGCGGAAACCACAGCATGATGCATCAGCAAGTTTATCCCCAGCTTGCGCGCGAGTGCACCCAAAATGGTGTTCCATGGAACCAGCAGGCTGAACGCGATGAGGGAAAGCGTATGCGGCGCTTAATTCGAAGCATTGTAACAGGCAAACCTGTGGAACTATCCAAGTCGCATGGCCGACAAGACTCTACCAACAGTGGACAGAGCGCTACCATCCCAAGCGCCGGCACCGACCCGGCTGATTCCCCAAACGTATGCATCATCTATACCCCGCTAAACTTTATTTTCATCGTACTGACAAGATTATACAGACGCCTCTGAATCCGCCTGGGCCGGGCTTTGCTGCCAGGCGATTTTCCCAGACAAGAGCAACCACGATGCCCACCTTGAATACCTCAACAATGTCTAGCTCCGAGAGCGGCCACCGTCTTGCACTCAAAATGTCCGAAAGCGACACAGGGCGGCAGGGAACCTCGGTTATGAAGAGCACAATAAGCGAAGGGGCACTGTATCGTGGTACAGCCCAACGCTCTGACAGTCCGACTACAGGTGGAAGTCCTGTTCCACAGCAGAAAATGTTTACATCTGCCCCTCTGACCGCGTCTCCCAACTCTACCAAGTTTGGCCACCGCTCAAGGCACAGTACTGATTCCCTCTCGTCGAATGCTGCCATTTACGGATCTGGTATTCCAGCCGATGCAGCAAACATGTTTAAGGGCGGAATGAGTATCGCGGATATTGTGGGCAGCCGCACCTTGGACGGTCGCGCCAGCTTCTCCCCCAATGAATCCGGCGATCGCTCTGCAGGTACAGAGCCTGGATCCGCGAAAGATTCCAAGAGCTTTCTCAGCTTCATGCATCGCAAAAAGAAGCAGCGTGACGAGAGTGGTATGCCGTCCCCAGAAGACGGCGATTATCCAAATTCGCCCAACGGAGCTACCAAGGCGACAGCACTCGGCATTCGTGAAGCACATGCCAGTGATGCGAACCTCGATCATGGCAGCCCAACAAAATCCACTCGAGTATTCGTGCTGGCAACGTTTGACTCGTGGAACTTTCGAATGTGTGATATTACCCGTGCTGAATCAGCGTCAGACATCAAGCGGGCGATTTGCGTGGGCCTTGGAATCAACGACTCGGGAAATGCCCGGCTGTTTGCAACGGAACTCGGACAGTTTGAACACAAAGAAGAGTTGAGTGATGATCGAATTGTTTCTTCCAAGGAAGCGCAGCCCAAACAACTCACAACGTTGAAGTTCTTTGTGGATCTCAATGGACGTGGTAATAACAATGCAGAAACTGGAGCTGGCCTACCTTCACAAAATTCCTTGGCACCCGGCATGGACGAGGAAGCGTACGCGAAGCTTAATGGCTCCCGCCAACGATCCATATCCTCGCCACCGACATCGAGATCTAATACGATATCGGAAAATAGAATCGACGAGAAGACCCTTGCACAAGAAGCCAGCGAGTACCGGGCCGAAATGGAGCGCAAACAGCGCGAATATCTCGAGAAACGAAAGCAAGCCAATAAGAAAGGAAGCACGCCCAACACTCCGGAACTAGGAAATGGATTCGGCATCATTGGGCGGAATGTCGACTTTGACCAACCCCGCGACTCTCCGTTTGAGGACAGGAAACCTTCTGAGCATCTCTTCCCCCAGAGGAAACCACCGGCACCACCAAGCGACCCTTCAGCAACACTGCTCAAAGCGAATTCTCTCAAAAAGCCAGGACACGGCAAGCGAAGCTCTACTACTGGCTCGGATGGATTCCCAAGCCCCAGGCGTATTGTTACCTCTAATAGCGACGGTCCGGATGGATTCAAGAGCCGCCAGGCTAGTGTACAACCACTGGATGGATCCGAAGGCATCGGTAGCGCTTTGGCAGGAATCGGTCGCCGTATGGGTGCTGTTGGGCAGTCGAGCGCGAACGCTCCACGGTCCGTCTCTAGTATGGCTAACTTGCAGTCGGGTAGCTCTGCTGGTGGTCTTCAACGCTCAGGTAAGAAGGGTTCGCCGAGTGGTCAAGTGAAGGAATCGGGGTCAGAGGGGGCTCAGGCCAACGGCAGCTCGCGTAAAATGACGTGGAGCTCCGGAAACCTGTCATTTGCCGTACCTGACTACTCACCTGGCGGAACCCTCATGCCAATGCCTAAGTCTGACCCAGCTGATGATAAACTACCTGGTGTAGGGATGCAACCACCGTCGTCTTCGGAACTAAGCCCAAGCACTCTCCTGCCAAAGCGGTTCAACTTTGACACTGTACCTGACAGCCTCCAACAACGCAACAGCAACGACTTCCGCAGGAGCTCGGAAGTCAGCTTTGCGACGCCGGCGGCACCAAAACGTCCTACCCCAGCAAATAATGATAGCGATGACTCGGATGACGGCCTATTCCAGATCCCCCTTGCCGGCCGTGAGAAAGGAAAGGGCAAAAGCAAGGCTGGGACTAGTCACAAGCGACCGAGCATCATTGTCAATACGCAACGGCCTAAGAGCAAGGTGGTGTCCGTTTCATTCCAGTCACCTCAGGCAAGCACCGCTACAGAGAGCCTTGACGACAGCAGAAGTGGCACCAGCTCATGGCGCACACCCACGACGCCGGGGTCAACCAACTTTGATGCCGATGATAAAGTGTCTCGGCGCAAATCATTCATTGAAAAGGACGTCTGGGCCAACCGTCCTCCTACCGATGCGTTACTGAACAACCTCGATGATTTCTTCCCAAACCTGGATCTTGACGAGCCTGTACTAGAAGACAGCGTAGGAAATAATTTGACTGTCTCTCCTATAGTCCACGAGCTCGATGCAACAGGGCACCAGCGCACCCCGTCCAGCGCATCCGGAGGAGAGGAAGCTTCAAAGATGCCAGCGGCAATTCCTCCCTCCAGGCAGCCATCACTATACGGAGAGGGGGACACGCTCGGGTCTGACGAATCCACTCTAAAGGCTTCAGACCGCCCGATGTCTTCGCACGGTGGGGGCTCGAGAAGCCTGAAGCGCTCGGTTGGACTTGGCAGAATGAAGTCGATCAGAGAGGTGGCACGGGGTGCGCACGAAGCTAACAAGCGGTTCACCTCGATGTCACAAAGCGGCGGCAACAATAACTCGAACTTGATGCGGCGAAAGAGCACCAAGATGTTCAACGCCAACATTGTGCAGATTCGGCCAGACCAACGAGGTAGCATGGCGATGCCAGACCGCATTCAAGAAACGGGGCTGAAGCGACAGACTACTTTCCGGTGGTTCAAAGGTCAGCTGATTGGTAAGGGCACGTATGGTCGGGTGTACCTGGGTATGAATGCAACGACGGGAGAGTTCTTGGCGGTCAAGGAAGTTGAGGTGAACGCAAAGGCGGCGGGCGGAGACAAGAGCAAGATGAAGGAGATGGTAGCGGCGCTGGACCAAGAGATTGACACAATGCAGCACCTCGACCACATCAACATTGTGCAGTACTTGGGATGCGAGCGCAAGGAGACGAGTATCAGCATCTTCCTAGAGTACATCTCGGGTGGCAGCATCGGGTCGTGTCTACGCAAGCACGGAAGATTCGAGGAGTCGGTGGTGTCATCGCTGACGAGGCAGACACTGTCAGGGCTGGCATATCTGCACCGCGAAGGTATTCTCCACCGCGATCTCAAGGCGGACAACATCTTGCTGGACCTGGACGGGACGTGCAAGATTAGCGACTTTGGCATCTCAAAGAAGACGGATAACATCTACGGCAACGACAAGACCAACAACATGCAGGGCTCCGTGTTCTGGATGGCACCAGAGGTGATTCGGTCGCAAGGGGAGGGGTACAGTGCCAAGGTGGACATTTGGAGTCTTGGGTGCGTGGTGCTGGAGATGTTTGCGGGCCGTCGACCGTGGAGCAAGGAAGAGGCGGTCGGTGCGATTTACAAGATCGCGAACGGAGAGACGCCGCCGATTCCCGAGGACGTGGAAGAGCTGACTCCTCTGGCGGTGGCGTTTATGGCAGATTGCTTCCAAGTGTAAGCTTTTGTTCTGGGCGAGATTTGAAGGCGAGCTAACCGCTGTGATGCAGGAATCCTGGGGAGCGACCGACAGCAGAGGTGTTGTTGTCGCAGCATCCATTTTGCGAGTGGGATCCGAGCTACAACTTTTACGACACGGAGGTGTATTTCAAGATTAAGGACTCTTACAAGTCGTGATGAGGAAGGGAATGGCGATGCAGAAGGAAGTGGTTGGTGCATTTCATCGGGTTCTTTTTTTTGTTCTGGCACAAAATTAGCGTTGTATATGTAGCCTGTATGTCTTTGAGCACATGAGGAAGGAAATGGATAGCTTGTAGTGGAGGTAATACACGGCGTCTACGGAGCGTTTGTTGATGGTATCTGCGTGAGATGCGATACCTCGGTATGGTATGAGGTTGGTTGTGGCGCAGATAGGGTGGGCCGGGCTGGACCCGTGATGTGGACGCCTTTACGAGGAGCCGAGTGAGAAGAACTAATTGATAACTGGTTGGCCAAGGGAGCAAAGGCTATTCACTTTGCAAGTCTTCCGAGACATTGCCATGATTAATCTGACCTTGTGACGTGATATGTATGTATGTATGTCTGTAGGGGGCATCTTGGCAATTGTCTGTGCCACAGCTCTGTTGTCTTGAAGCAGCGTCAAGTCTGTGTGTGCGTGCATGGTCCCACTAATATATGAAGCCAGGGCCCCCCGTGGCGCATGAATTTGCCATTCCCGCTGGCGGATTCCCCCACAAGGCCAGCCTGTTAGGTAAGGCAGGTAAGGCAGCGCCACATTGTACATGGCTGCCACTTATGTAGGTGCCGAAATAGACTTAATTGCGCCCACACAGGACAGCCTAACAAAAAGCTAAAAGGTACTACTAACCTACCTATGGGGTGGCTTGTGCTGCTTCTCCTCCTTGCTTCGGATGATTGCTGGGCGGAGGTACGGTTACAGCGATACCAAGCAGGTACAGTACCTACTAAAGCTGTGACGGGCCACAGTGTCTACAAAATTCGCCTAAACCCTGGCTCGCGAGTCCGTTTTCCCTGCTCGCCGTGGTCCTTGCGCCGGTAACAAAGGTACTGTCTGTTTTAGACACCATTGACGCCAAAAAGGTACCTCCGACCAGCTTCGCCGTTCCTCAACCTCCCTCCTCCTTACCACCTGCATCTTTCAACGACTCGTCAATTCGCTTAGCAACCATATTCCTCCTTCTTTGCTCTGAGGTTTCCCCTGGTTTCCTTTTAGCTTTGTCTTTTGTTTATAGAATCTGTCCTTGCATTCTGTCTTTTTATACCCCTCCACTACGTTTTTTGTCCCATTCCATCATTTCACCAGGGGTTGTCTGTCGTCCGTCCCCTTCCCCGCAGACAGTCCAGCTTACTATCCCCCCCGACGTCCGTCGGCTACAATGATCAACAACTAATTTTGACGAATTCTTGCATCGACCGGAGTCAACTCATCTTTACCGTACCATCAGCTACACAACAGGCCCATCGTCGTTGGTGCCATCCTGCTTCGCCGAGCTGGCCAGTTTTTGCGACACGCCCCGCCCCTTCGCCCACCATGCTGCGACGCAGATACAAGGGCTACATCATCGTCGCATTTTTCCTCCTCTGCCTCGTCTACATTTTGCAAAGGTCGTGGGATGCCGCGCCGACGCGCCTTCCCGACGCGCGCACGCCGCCGAAATCGCCTGTCCACCAGGGCCTCGACACCACCGCACCACAGCAGCAAGCCGATTCCAGGTTGCCCGCCCAGGACAATGGCCAGAAGCCCATTCTCGGCGCGGAGAAGCCCCCAGTCGCTGCTGAGTCCGTGTCCAAGAAGGGAGCTTCATCGCCGACGCAAAAGCCAAAGGTGGTGACCCCTGCCGAGTCGCCTGTGCCCAAGTCAAGCACCAATCCTGCGCCCAAGGTCAAGGAGACCACGGCCGACCTCAGCAGTGAGACTCCTGCCACCACCAAGTCAGTCGCTGCGCCTTCAAGCTCCAAGACTCGAATTCACTGGAGGTCCTTCACCCAAGACTTTCCCGTCCCGACGGAGTCCGTGGTCCCTGTGCCCACCGGCAAACCCAAGCCTATTCCCCAGATTCAGTACAATTTTAAAGTAGAGTCTGCCGCCGACAAGGCCAAGCGCGAGGCTCGCCTCAGCAAGGTCAAAGCTTCCATTTCCAAATCGTGGAACTCGTACCGCAAGCATGCTTGGATGCACGATGAGCTGCGGCCCATTTCCGGCTCCTTCAAGGACCCGTTCTGCGGCTGGGCTGCCACCCTTGTTGACTCGCTAGATACACTCTGGATCGCCGGTCTCAAGGATGAGTTCGACGATGCAGTCAAAAATGGCGTCGCCAAAATTGACTTTACCTTTAGCGAAAAGGGTGATATCCCCGTTTTTGAAACCACCATCCGCTACCTCGGAGGCTTACTTTCCGCATTTGACGTCAGCGGTGGTCACAAGGGAGAGTACTCAGTACTACTCGACAAGGCTGTTGAGCTTGCCGAGGTGCTCTTTGGCGTCTTCGATACTCCCAACCGCATGCCTGTGCTCTACTACCGCTGGCAGCCGCAATACGTATCAGGGGAGCACAAAGCTGGCTTTGTTGGCGTCGCCGAACTCGCTACTCTCTCCATGGAGTTTACTCGCCTCGCTCAATTGACCAAGGAAGACAAGTATTATGATGCCATTGACCGTATCACAAATGCTCTCATCAAGTTCCAGGCAGATGGCAAAGCAGCCATTCCTGGTCTTTTCCCTGAAAACCTCGATGCCAGCGGTGAGAGTCTAGTCCCATCGTCGTCCTACTCGCAGTCCTTTTCAATGGGTGGATCACAAGACTCTGCCTACGAATACTTCCCCAAGGTAAGATCCAAGCGCGCTAGAGCTCAGACACCGTGTTAACCGCTTCACAGGAATACCTTCTCCTTGGTGGCTTGGAGCCCAAATACAAGAAGCTGCACGAAGACACTATCGACGCCGTCGACGAATGGCTCATGTATCGACCCATGATCAATGACACGGAGTGGGATCTGTATTTTTCCGCCAAAATCAGGACGCAGGGTGATCCAGGCCATGACCTAGACGTAGAATACGAGTCGACGCATCTCACCTGCTTCATTGGTGGCATGTATGGCCTCGGTGCGAAAATCTTTGACCGCCCGAAGGACCTCGAGACGGCCAAGCGACTGACAGACGGATGCGTCTGGGCCTATCACAAAACTCCCAGTGGTCTCATGCCCGAGGCTTCTCTCATGATGCCCTGTCCTTCTCTCGAGAGGTGTGAATTCGACCGGACCAAGTGGTACGAGTCTCTGGACTCGAGCAAATCGTATCGCGACCAACAGATCAGCGAGTGGGAGCTTCAGTATGGCTCCGTCGCCAAGTCTGGTGACAGCAGCGTCCCTGAGCGTCCACAGAGCCATGAGGAGTATGTCCACGACTACGTTACCGCCACCGGGTTGCCAGCCGGGTTCTCCCGCGTGTTGTACAAAAGTTATATTCTTCGGTATGTCCTCATTGTCAACGGTAGATGTAGTCTCCGCTAACAACCTGCAGGCCGGAAGCCATCGAGTCTGTGTGGTACATGTACCGCATCACCGGCGACCCTACGTGGATGGACAAGGGTTGGGCCATGTATGAAGCTACAATAGCGGCGACTGACACGGATCTCGCGAGCACGGCCGTCTCCGACGTCATGGTTAAAAAGCCGCCGATGGATGACTCGATGGAGAGCTTCTGGCTCGCCGAAACGCTCAAGTATTATTATCTGCTCTACGCCGGCCCCGATGTCATTAGCCTGGATGAATGGGTTCTCAACACTGAGGCGCATCCGTTTCGCCGTCCGACATGAACAAGCGAGCACTTCACGTAACTTGCCGCTACTGGAGGAGGATACAAGAGGGTGAATCGGGTCTTTCAAATTGTACATTGCATGTATCGCAGCTGCGGTCATTCCTGGCGTTTAGGCGTTGCTGCTTCTGAGTATAGCCTCATTGGCAGTTGAATTGATATATTTTTATGTTCTTCGCCCGTCATTACACAATCGGAACTTGTTTTACTTGTCAGAGTGGCGAGATTACTAACTGTCACGGTTAATAGCATCACAAAAAAATAGGGAGCCAAACAATCTTGAATTGTCAGAGTAGGTCTCTGCGACTACCCCAAGGTCACATATATAGTCTATCACATTTGTCCCATTATCCCACAGTCTTTCATTCTCCTCCGCATTGTTGAAAGCAACAAAAGAACAGCAAAAAACATCAATCCCTAAATCACATTCAAATCTTCCCCCACGGGGAAGCTTGACGTGAGGTCGACATGTCATCGACAAAGCCCCCACGGGGGAGGCCTCTCGTCATACAAGAAGGATGAACAAGATATAAAAGAAAAAAAATCATATAAAACGCCGGTGCTGGATGCGTGCCAATTTCCCAAAAACTCGCCATCAATCTCGTGTAGTTCAAGCTCGTCAGATTTAGTTGTTAGTCAATCTCCGACGCTTGGTCATCTTGAAGGTTTTTCCCCGTCTTTGTACATGGTATTATCATGGTTCGTCTCTTGCGATAATTCTTTTCCTCACAAAAGCAAATCCGCCACATTTCGCATAAATAAATCAACAATAGCATATGAAAAGGGGATTTTTTTTTCGGCAGGTGCGGTGATTACACCAATTTCTCAACCACGCTAATCGTCAATATCGTGACGATGAGACCAATGGTGACGATGATGAGCAGGGCAAACGAGAACCAGCCGAGGACCATGGCGGAGGTGCCGACGCCCGACTTGACGACGCCGTTGCCAAAGTCCTGGGCAATGACGGAGGCGGCGACCGAGGCCGTGTGTTGCCACAGCACGGAGACGAGGACGAAGATGGACGCGATGAAGATGATGGCGAGGGCGACTTGGGAGACGGCCCGCGAGGGGATGGCCCGGACGATGCGTTCGGAGCCTTCCGAGTCTTCCTCCTCGTACCACGAGGGAAACGTGGCGAGGAGGAGGACACAGAGAAAGGCAAAGATGATGGCAATGATTCTGAGGGCTTTGTTAGTATGGGAGGACAAGGGTAGGCAGGTTGTGGATGACTCACATCAGGTATGGAAAGACAATCATGTCTTTAAACTGGGCAGCCAGCCAGATCAGGTTCAGCGGATCCTGGTCCTGGCTGACCTGCCTCGCCAGCGCCGTCGCATTGTTGCTGCACAGCCAGGAGCCGCCGTCGGGGTTGACGCAGATGCCAAAGTAGCCGACGCGGGCCTGCAGCTGGGCGCCGCCGGCGATGTTGGCGAGCGCCGAGTGCACGTTGTAGTACACCTGGGCCGTGTCGGGCGTCGCCTCGTAGCGCTTGTAGTAGAGCGAGAGCAGGAAGATGTTGGGGATGAGGGGCGACGACGACGAGCAGCCGGCGAGGAGCAGCGACAGCAGGATGATGGCCACCGCGATGAGGATCATGAGCACGTGGTGGTACCCGAGGAAGGGGATGAACCGCGTCCATCCTACCTGGAACTGAGGCATGGCGGGCGGTTAGGGGCGTCCGTGTGGTGGTGGTGGTGGTGGTGGTGGTCGATTCCGGAATCCCCGGATGGGATCCAAGGCTCGTGGGAGCTATCGCAGAGCAACGGGATGAAAAGGTGCACTCTCCGCCTGTTGTTCGAGGGATGAGAGCGAGGCGGATGCAAGCCACCCGGTCCGACCGCTTCTTGTCGAGCCTAGCTCTGTCGAGTCCCCGATGACACCTCCGTTCCGGGCTCGGGGGCCGCAGAGGAGAGATTTTGAAGACGGCCGAGGGACTGGAATGCGGCGCCCCCGGAGAATCAACGACGGCGGTGACAGGGCCGGAGGTAAGTCGGAGGGGGGATCTCGTGGAGGCGGGTCGTGCGGATTGGAATGCGGCGATGGAGGAAGTCTCGAAATCAGAAGAATAGAATCTAGAAGCCTGTTACGCTGAAGACGTGCTCAATCTCGGGAGGAATGCGGGAGGGGGATGTTCTTTCTCGGCGAAGTGGGTTTGTACGTGGTGTACTGTGTGTGTGGTATGTGGTATGTGTGTGTAAGTGTGTGTGTTTGTGGAATGCAACTTTCCTTTCTTGAAATTGTCTGAACAAGGTGTTCAGAAATGTCGAAGGCTGGGAGAGGACAATTTGTCGGGGTAAAAAAGAGAGAGGCAGGAAACACCAGGTTGGTTGCGCAACCCAACCTTGCGAATATGCAGTGCAATGCTAGTTCAAAAGTGCTTGGGTGCCTGATGGTTGGCCCAGCCACCGCACTTTGCAGCTGGTGGTTTGGCGGTCCGTTTTTTATTTACTTGGTCGCGGCCGCGTTGACGCAGCAACCAGGGGTGACGTCGCCGGAGTGGGGCCGCCTCGTTCGGAGGTGCGGGCGCCAGCCTTGGTTGGGAAAAGGAAGAGCAGGAAATAGATTCTTTTTGGGATAGGTAGACCTGGTCGGTGACATTGACACATGATGCCGTTCGTTCACTACGGATACAACGCAGGTTGTGACATTTCTACGCTGGGTTTGCTTGGAGTAGCCACGGCGCCTGAACATCGCCTTCTTGTATTACCAGAGGCACAAGTTGAGAAACTATATTTAGCCATACATACTGAATCAATGACTCAAACGATTTGCGCCATCGTTCTCGTACATTATGCGGCTGTCCTTTGAGGCTGTGGCTTTGTGTTGGCTAGACAATGGTGAGCCTCATGGGTTCCTACCCTGGAGCTGTTCTCCCAAATTACGAGGCTGATACTTCCGAGTGTCCGGTGTTAGCAGCAGGGTCAGAGACGTCTGCAGGCCGTCGCATCCGTCAATGCCCTTCGCTTGATGTGATGTAGTCTTGGTCATGTGTTAATCTGGTCAATCTGGCCAATACTTTGTCGCACAAGTCTTGTCGCAGTAAAAGTCAAAGGTGCATATGATTTGTGCAACCTCTCCTCCGCTTTCACTTTGCAGTTACGAAGCAAAAATACGAGCCTGCAACCAGAAATAACGCCAGTTTTACCAAAAATGACAACACTCCTACAATTCTCGACCTTGGCACCATTAAATACTAAGATGCGACGCCAGTACGCAACTCGACAGGAACAATTTCGCGGAGACAATCTAGTACAAGAGCGCAGAAATAGCCCTGGCAGCCAAATTTTCGAGTAAAGATACGACTAGCTAGCAAAGATTGATCAATTTTAGAACATCATAGTCAAGATTTATTGTTTCATGGAATTGCCCATCTCCCAACGTTACTGCACCAGTCACTACCGCCGCTACCACCACCGGCAGCCGGAGCTTCTAGCTCCGACACTCCACCTAACGCGCGTGGCCTCAACGTCACAAAGCTCCTTGCTCCATACCCCAGATCACCCGCTCCCGGCCACCATGTACGAGGATGCATGGTACAGCTTTGTACCAGAAGCTTCCGGGAAGCATGCCGCGAACAGCAATGCCACCAACCGGCACAAGCGGAGCGAATCGCTTTTGCAGCAGCCCAGCGTCAGTTACCTCCCCCGCTGTGGGGTGTCCAAGCAGGCACTTACTCTCCTCTAGGGCATCGGGAAAGACCAGCAGACATCCAAGTCAATAGCAATAGCTACAATAGACTCGGAGGAGCTCAACGGACCCCCAGAAGCAACCCTGCTGAGGCGGGCAGCCTCATATGCGGATTGTCGCCACGCGCAGCAAGCGGGCCACCAGCGCTCCTCGCAAAAGAGACAATGCGATCGCCGAAATAGAAATTGGGATGCATTAGCTCTCAGAACGGATGCGAATCATCCCTCAAAACCATTCATGGCCGATCTGCAAACGAACCACACATATGCCGAGCAACTTCTTGAGGCTAGCCAACAAGAATACCTGTAGGCGCTGCTTCGATCCATGCAACAACTGCATACTCACGCTCTTTAGGCTATACCGAGACCAACTGTGCCTTACAGAGAGACACCTCGACGGATTAATAACCGATGCGAATGCTACCCTCGGACTCTTGACCAAACTGTCCAACTCGTTCCAATCGGTCGAGGCGCAGACCTCCACATTTCAAGCGCAATGCGAAGAGGTTCTTACCGAGCAGACCCGCCTTGAGAAGCTTGCGAATGATGTCGGGACCGACTATTACTACTATTCATACCTTGAAAATGCGACGAGACGATTGAATGCGCCCGGCGCTGGCCGACTGGTCGACGATGAATCCTTTGGAGAAATGGTGGAGAATATTGACGCCTGCGTCGCATTCATGGAGGACCACGTACGAAACTTGACACCGCGCGAACGATGAATTCGAAAGCTAACAATGGCCTTTAGGAAACATACCGCGAGCGTGACTCGTATCTCGCACGATACAATGCGCTGCTGACCAAATGTCTGCACTTGCTAGACCACGGTTTCAGCACGAGGCTGGAAAAGGTCTCTTCGGACATAGCGCGGCAGTTATCGACAACGAACTCCGAGTCAACACGACATGCGCTTGCATACGGTCGTTTCGAGGAAATGCTCAGCGACTCGTATGCCTTACTCCCAAATATCCATAAAGTTACCAGGCGCGTGTATGACCAGTTTGGCCGTTTCGACGATGGGATACGAAACTCCTCCATCTTTTCCAGCTCCACCCTCAGCATGCTGCGTACCTATCTCACGACCCGCGACCGCGATATCAAAATCATGACGCAGCACGATGTGGAGAAATATCAAAAGGAAATCAAGGACCTGTCCTTGGAGACTGCATCACGAAATTACATCAAGCAAACCCTCGAGCGAGTGCACAACGAAAACAGCCTGTTCGTCAGGGTGTTCAACATTGAGCCAACGTGGAACAACGCCCATGATTCGGTATTTCAGTCTATCAAGACGGTGCAAACGACAATGGTTCATCCCGGAAATCTGCAGCCCATGGCCACACAACTCCAAACTGCATTTGAGACGGCTGATATTCAGTCTGTATGTAACGTCGTTGGATGGATTGCGAATGAATACGGCATATCGGAGAGTGACGACGATGACGATCCAATTGCGCCGAAGCAGTATAGGGAATATGCCGCTCGTCTCCTTGTTGAGCACCTGTGGCCGTTTGTGGACAATGCCTTTGAGACGGAAATCACAAAGTCCGTCACCAAGGGCACTGTGACGGATGATGCCCTTAAAATCGGCCCCGTGGTGGACGGCGTGTCCTCGTCCAATGCGTACCCGTTGGTTCAGAAAGCGGTTGAGCTGCTACGAATGTTTGATCGCGCTATGCCGAAGGAGAGATCCGTAAGTATTGCCGAATATGGGGGAGATGCTCTATGCTAACTAGTTGCATAGTCGCAAAATAGCCAAGTGGTGTTCCGTGTCGTGCGCGAGACGATCCTGGTGCTGCAGCAAGGTTCCTCGCGTATCCAATCCCAGAAACTCGGGACGGACGCAGACCTGTTCATGGTCAAGAACCTACTAATAATCAAGAACGAGCTGCTATCGCTCGAAATTGGCGACATTCGCAGCCAGCCGCCGGCCATGCAGCATTTTGGACAGATTTGGGAGACGCTGCGCCCGCAGAACCTCGTCGGCTTCGTCGGTACCATTCTGGGCGGACAGTTGTGGTCGCGGGGAGGCGCGCCGCCTGCCTCGTCCTCGGTGACGGCTAAGACGCTGACCGTCGAGGACATGAACGAGCAGCTGGACGAGCTGCTGCGGCAGTCCATCTACGGGTTCACGCGGCGCTGGGCGGGCCGGGTCCGGGACGCGCAGGCTGGGCGGCCGGGCGCCCGGTCTCTCGCGCAGGTCGAGGCCGAGCTGGAGACGGCCCTGCAGACGGCGTTTAGCAACCAGCCGGAGGTAGTAGGCAAGCTCAAGGAAGCGATTGAGTTTTACGAGGAGGATACGGCGGCGCGATCTGGGAAGCGGTAGATACACTAGAAGAAGGACAACCAGACATTTAGACAATCTGTCTGTGCATCAATGCAGGATCTGGAGTTGACTTGCTGCGTCACGACAGTCACGCGTGGTTTTCTGCCACCACCTTTCGCCCCATATGTGACGAGAATGAGCTTGATCTTTGAATTCGTCTGATTTGATGGTAGAAAACTGCCATGAGCTGTAGAGTAAGGAGCGTTCCGCGACTCTTGCCCCCACCTCTGCCGCTCTGAAGCACTTGCTGCTTGAGCACCCAACTGCAACTTGTAAACTTTGCACCTCGCAATTGAGTCCTTGAAAGTAGCCCTTGTTCAAGCAGTCCCTCTTTTTCATCCGATTTCGTTTACCGGCGGGCTTTAGGCTTGTCTTGCGCGTTGCGCTGCCTAGTTTCTTTCTACTTTCGGTTCACCGCCGGCGCCAGATCATCCCTCCAGCCCCGCAAACCGCCCGTACGCTCAAAGCAACAACATCAGATTACTTGCCTTTTGCCCCTCAATCCTGTCAAGGACTTGAAAAAGAACCTATATCTGACTTCCATCTAAGGCCAATCAAATGGCATCAGACGAGGCCGCGCCCCTCCGGACTTACAGAGGCAACTGCCACTGCGGGGCGTTTGTGTACGAGGCGGAGCTGCCCGAGATCACGGCGGCGACGGAGTGCCCCTGCAGCATCTGCCGGAAGAAGGGCTACCTGCTCGTGGGAGCCAACACCGAGACGGCGCACTTCAAGGTGGTCAAGGGGTCACTGAAGAGCCTGCCGGAGTACACGTTTGGGACCAAGGCGTTGTGCCACAAGGTGACTGCTGTTCTGGCGGTGTAACAAGAGCTTCAGGATGGCTAACGGATTTATTAGTTTTGTTCGAATTGCGGGACTGCGGTCCTGGCTACGGTTCCAAGCGCGCAGGCGCCGGAGAAGAACATTTATCTGAACGTAGGTTTGGTATCGTTGGCAGTAGCTTGCCGGCTCAACTGACGATAAGAGGTCCACGCCATCCAAGGAATTGACACATGGACGCTCAAACGCACGCCGTAAGTTGTGATTCTAGCATGAGAGGTTATTGATGTATGGTGCTGAGGCTTAAGGATCGTCTTTAGTGTCGACGGAACCAAGATTGGAGCCCCGTACGAAGAGCCCAAGCACACCGGGCCGGTGCCAACGGTCGAGGTCGAAGGCGGCAAGTTGTACACGGGCAGCTGCCACTGCGGTAAGCTCACCATTGCGGCCAAGATCAAACGTCTTGAGGACGACAAGGACTCTGGCATGATTGAGTGCAACTGCAGCATCTGCGAGCGGGTACGTACCATCACTGCAAACCTGTTCCACAGATCAAACAACTTCGTCCCCGCGTTTCTCTCTGACAATCGCGGTAGAACGCCTATCTTTGGGTGTACCCCAAGGCCGAGCAGGTAGTTCTCTCGGGCCGCGCAGAGGACACGGGGCTGTACCGCTTCAATCACGAGGTGCAGGCTAAGCCGTTCTGCCGCACGTGCGGCGTCAGCATGAGCAACCCGTCCAACGCGGCGACAACGGCCAACGAGGCGGCGGCGCGGCTGCCGTACGCGGATACGGCGCAGCGTGAGCGCGTGCGCGAGTACGTAGAGAAGCATCGGACGATGCACCCAGTCAATGTGCGCGTGCTGCATGGTGTAGATTTTCAGAGATTGCACGTCAAGAGGTTCGATGGGGCGAAGCTGATTCCGCCGCCTTACGTGAACCCGTGAGGCAGGAGATGGCTCGTGAAGGTGTTTGGCGGCGTTTAAAGGCGTGATGCTGATGGCGATGGAGCTTGCTTTGATGAAGCTGTGGTGATGAGTTGCTGTCATGGAGTTGGGGGCTGAAGTGAATGACGCTGGCCATTCGGTCTCGAGGAAAACCGAGCTGTTGAGTGTTAATACTGTTACAAGTATACAATAAGACGCGATTTTCATCAAGCCATGGTGTAGTGAAGAAAAGAAGAGTGAGCATTGGGACGCTGACAACCTGGACGTCTGTCGGCTGTCGGCGGTCAGCGGAGTGCAGGTGGCCAGCAAGTCGCCGGCTTGAGGGTGGTCAACAGACGCCAAAGGTAACTAATAAGTAAAACTGAGCATATTGGTACCGCAGCCAAATTTGCCTCCACCTTTTTATCGCCCTCTCATTCTTTATTAATGCGCTCTGATAATAAAAGGAGCAAACCGTGGGGAAACCTGGAGGGCGCTTCAGCGCAGAACAAGCGCTGTGGGCGGGTGGTTATTTTTTTAGCGGGTCCTGATGCCAGCCCATGACAAACGAGAATTGGCCCGCCAGAAACCGTTTGTCATGGACAAGGCCGAGCACGACATTCTCTCTTGCGCCCTCGGCCCGTCGCCCGCCCCTCCACCGCCATCACCAGCGACTTTTTTTTTCCCCTCTCCTCGTCCACGAGGTTTTTTCCCTTCTCCTCTTTCCTTTTCATCCTCGCACCTCGAGTCTTTTCTCTGGGTCTGTATACCGCGCTGACCCCGACTCAATTGACCACCAATTACACTTCTCCCCACCCCCGCCGAACGCCGGAGAAAAACGTCGCCGACCACTACACCCAACTTCCCCGACCTCCTTCATCCTCCACCACGACCACGACCACGACCACCGCCGCAGTCATGGACGCGCCCCTCGTCGAGATCGAGGCCCCCCAGGGCCCCTCACAGGCCGTCAAGGACCTCCTCTCCGGCGCGGCCGGCGGCGTCGCGCAGGTGCTCATCGGCCAGCCCTTCGACATCGTCAAGGTCCGGCTGCAGACGACCACGCAGTACGCCGGCGCCCTCGACGCCGCGCGCTCCATCTACCGCCGCGAGGGCGCGCTCGCCTTCTACAAGGGCACGCTGACCCCGCTCGTCGGCATCGGCGCCTGCGTCTCCGTCCAGTTCGCCGCCTTCCACGCCGCCCGGCGCTGGTTCGAGCGCCGCAACGGCACCCAGCCCGGCCAGCGCCTCGCCTACTCGCAGTACTGGGCGGCCGGCGCCTTTGCCGGCGTCGCCAACACGGTGCTGTCCAGCCCGATCGAGCACATCCGCATCCGGCTGCAGAGCCAGCCGCACGGCGCCGGCCGGCTGTACGCGGGCCCCGTCGACTGCGTGCGGCAGCTGGTGCGCGCCGGCGGCGTGCTCGGCGGCGTGTACCGCGGCACGGCGGTGACGCTGCTGCGCGAGGCGTCGGCGTACGGCGCGTGGTTCGCGGCGTTTGAGTGGATGATGAGCGCGGACGCGCGCCGCGCGGGCGTGGACCGCCGCGACGTGCCGGCCTGGAAGGTGGCGCTGTACGGCGGGCTCGCGGGCGAGTGCCTCTGGCTCGCGTCGTACCCGTTCGACGTGGTCAAGAGCAGGATGCAGACGGACGGGTTCGGCGAGGCGCAAAAGTTCCGCTCGATGCGCCACTGCTTCGCGGCCACGTGGGCGGCGGACGGCGCGGCGGGGTTCTGGAGGGGCATCGGCCCGACGCTGCTGCGTGCCATGCCGGTCAGCGCGGGCACGTTCGCGGTTGTTGAGTTCACCATGCGCGCTCTCGGCTAGAGCTTGACGTCCTCTAGATGTCTTGTCGATTTTTCTTGCTGTCTCTCTTTGTGTTTGTGGAATTTTACTTGGGCTTATATCCCCTCGCGGTTGCTCTTGGCAATATAGACTTGCTTGCGTGAGCATTTCATCATCGGCGTACAAGGTTAAAGAAGAAGAAAATACACAATAAAAGTTACCTATCAAAACGGGCTGCTTTCTCCCCTTGTCTAACTAATCCGGCTTCTATAGAAAAAACTTCAAATTTTTGTACATGTTCAACACGGCGTGATTAGCCCAGGTACCCCCCCGCCTAATTTCCTCACGTCTTTCCCGTCATGTCGTTATCGTTGGTATCTTGCAGCTTCTCCCGCTACCACCCCATATTCTCGTCATTCTCTACCCGCCTCTGCAGCACGCGGCGTGCATCCGTCGGTGTTAGGATCAACAGCTGCATCTCCTCCAGCAGCGCTCGCGCCGCATTGTTGTCGGTGAAGGCCCGCTCGCTGGCCTGCTCGAGCGTTATGCTACGAGCCTCCGTCACCTCCCCGGGCGGTGCAGCTGGCAGACGGAGCAGCTCCACGGCCTCGCTGAGCTCCTCCAGACGCGCTGAACCCCCAGGCAGATGCCGCTCAACGACAGCCGCAAGGGCATGACTATCATGCGCAAACTGAATCGCGCCCAGAATGGTGAATTGATGCTTCATGAGCACGCCGTTCCAGAGCAGATCCTGCAGCTTACTCAGCGCCCGGTGCCACACGCGGTCGTACGAGGCGCTGGAGAGTGCGCCGTGCAAGAACTTGAAGTTTTCTTCCAGCTTGGATAACGGCAGGTCTAGTTCAGCCGTGATTGAGAATTGCAACGGGTCTTTCTCGACAGTTAGCAACCATCAGGCGGGGCTTCTGGCCACATACCTAGTGTGTCGGCGTCGCCGATTGTCGTCCATTGCGGTCGTTGTGTATAGGCACGGAACGCTTTGGCATGTGCATCCGCGAGGGTGGACACGAGAACATCTTCGGCGGCCTTCCGACGGCTGTTGTACGCATCAACGGTCTCGGCGAAGATGCCGCCGTCGCGCCTGGGCGATCTCGTGAGGTCCTGTTCTCCGTCTAATTCGCTGCTGTTGCCGGATCCGGCTGCTGCCTGTACGCCATCCCAGAGCTCAGTGAAGAACTGAATTGTTAGCACATAGAAAAAATCGACACAGTCTTTTTACACACCTCCTCCTCGCCCCATTCCACCAGAACATTGGCAATGTGATCAGCACTCCCAATAATCTTGCATAGCGTCTCGAGAGCGCCAAGCCCTTCCAACGCAGCCAACTGTTCTTTTGTCGCACCGTGCAGCGTACGTCCCAACGCCGACGTCATGGACTGGTATGCTTCGAGCGATCCCTTAAGCCGCTCATGGTAGCCATCCAGGATATCTAGCTGAATGCGAGTCAAAAAGCGCACCTTGTACTTCAACGAGCATAGTCCATCGTATTTTGTCGTGATAGTGCGCAGCAGATCCGTCACGCGCACCGCAGCAAACGTTGGCTTCATCTTGCCCACCACGGCGTGGTCGTAGTCAATTTTGCGCGCATCCGCCGCCTCCAAGATGGCGTCGAATCGTTCCAGGGAAAATTTGCGCTCGGCTTCGAACCACACCTCAAAATAGTCGGCAAGAATCTCGGATGTGAGCCCTGGCCAGTCCTTCTGTGCGTCGCCACCGTCATACCTGAATTGTGCCCGAATCGTCTCGTCAAAGGCAACAAGTTGACCGATGAACGTACTTAAAAACGGCATGTTGCTAGCAGCTTCCTTTGCTACCGCATGGACTTTTTCCCGCATCACCATCAGCATGGACGTGATCAGCGCGCAGACGGGGTCTGCATAGACTGACTTTCCCGCCACGGGCGTGTCTTGAAACTTGAGGGAGAGAACCGGCGCCAGATTGTCGCAGAAAAAGTCTTCCCATTTCTCGATAATCGACAGGAACCAGGGGAAGCAGTGGGTGCCCATGGACTGTGCCTTGCTGGTCGGCTTGTCACTTAGGAAGTGAAACCGAAACTCGGCCACGAAAATGCGCGCCATGACGTCTACAGGCAGCAGAGGCACCACGGTTGGGCTGTGGAGGAGCTCGGGCATCTGAATGTCCACCAGCTTTTCGAAACACTCGATCCATTCCTCGTCCATCTCCGAGTTCGGGTCGACCCGTGGCCAGCCACGCTTCTCGAGCACCGCCTCGAGCTCGTCCGACATGATCTTCTTCATCTCCGCCCACAGACTGCCCGTGACGGCCTCCACATGGTCCACCAGGTGCAGCTCCTCGGCGCCTGGCCGGCCGCGCAGCGTGAGGGCCAGTTCCTTGAGCTGCGCGTATGGCTTGAGAGCGGCCTTGGGGCTGCCAGGGAGGTGCACCTTGGCGTCGGCGCGCAGCCTCTCGACGTCCTGAAGTAGCACGAGGTATCTCCTGGCCAAGTCAACGGCCTTGAGCTTCTGCATCGGCCGCTGCAGGCGGGCAATAGCCTCGGCGGGGGCGTCCGAGGCCACCGTTGCGCGCACGCGCTCGTCGATGCTGTCCTGCAGGGTGCGGAACTCGGCGATTCGCTGCTGCAACAGGCTATATCGGTCGTCCGTTGTGCGCTGCGCTGTGTCGAGCTCCTGCACTGCGGCGTCGAGCTGCGTTTGTAGTTGCGTGAGCTGTAGGTCGACCGTGTCTAGTAGCGTGTCTAGAGTGTCGAGGTCGTCGGCCGACTGCAGCTTGTCTTCAAGATAGTCTTCGACCCGCGCGTCGAGGGCACTCTCGGGCGGTTCTCGATTGGTTGTGGGCATCTTGTCATTATTGGCCACGCTTGGTGGTAGGCTGATGCCAAGGTCGAGTTGAGCTGGCTCCAAGCCAGGTCATCGATGATCGAACTCGCAACAGAGGAGCTCCCCACTGTACAGTGTACGGTTACAGGTACATAACTAACAGCAGCAAACGCAGAATTTCAAAACTATTGCGCGAAGACCAAAAAAAAAAAAAGCAACAAATGATTCGAGTAGGGAACACTGGGAAATCAGGGTATTTCTATTCAAATTTGGCGAAGTGATCCAATCGCGTACGTCTAGGGAGGCTTCTGCCTGCGTGTTGTGTGTTGTGCATGCCACTGATCTGACACAAGCAGCTCGACTGACATAGCGACGAATAGCTGTTGAGCGAGACTGCAGCCTTCATTATTTACCACCGGCCTCTGCATCGACAAATAGTATAAATTCAAGTATCAAACTGCTTGGAGTTGCAGCAAAGCTTTTAAGCTTGGGCTCAGGATCTCAAGTTCGGGTTTCCAGATCAGTGGGGGAAAGGAAGGACATGACGAATAAAGAATATGCGACATAGGGAAGAGGTGACTTTCACTGGTCTGTTCTTTGATGTAGGGTATCTGTCATGATTGCCCCCCTGATTTCTTGTTTGATGCAGAATGTACGGATAAGTGAGTGCGTAGTCATCTACTCCGTACATAGAAAGTGAAGGCAAGCAAGGCACCTTATCAGTACCTAGATGTACATAGGTGATGTGGCTTGACAAACAGCCAGCCAAACCAAAGCCAGCGCGCCACACTCACCGCCTTTAACGGCTAGTCCCCTCTCGATTTTGCCGCACTCTAATTAGCCTACGTGCATAACATACATTCTTTCTCAAGCTCTTTACTGGGGCGCCAGCTCTCTGCACGTTGATATTTTGTTCGACTGGACAGTCTTCACGTTACCTCAACCAGTCTTGGGCTCTATACACGCGCATATTACCCTATCGCATCGAAACATTGGCCTCACAATTAGCGGCACGAGCAGGTGATAGCGAACGGGTCATTGGATTGCTGTATCTCTGATCAGGGCTTGTGCCAGAAGCACGTAGCGCAAGCTTCGCGCCGATCTGCCTGTGACGGGTTCTTTGTGCGCCACGCGAATCACTACACTCGCATTATCAAAACTCCATTCGCTCGCAGCTTCTAGGAACATTTCTCTCGGTCGTCTTTATTTAATCTTTGGAACGCGCATTACTAGCGCAATCGAAGAACCGCGTCGGGTGTTCCTTGTGATCGCCTAATCGGAACACACCAGCCATGACGTCCGACGGGGAATCCCGTCAAAACTCAGCAGCCCCCGAAGCTGACCAGGCCGACTACGACGAATCGCATCCAGACCTCAATACCCAGCACCCCTATGACCCAGCCCACGTCCAAGACGATGACAGCGAAGATGGAGCGGACTACGATCCTGAATCGGTTGGCATTGAGCCAGTTGCCGCGCCGACTGAAGTAGAGCCCCCCTCGGCTCCTCAAGTGACTTCGAGACCTAAAATGTCCGGTGGATTCATTGTCGAGGCATCCGATGACGAGGACGAATCAATGCCTGCACGACCTATGCCGCCTGGCAACCACGGGTTTGGCAAGGATGACGCATCTGCTCGTGATCGGGAAGGCTTTGCGCATCTACCGCCTGGCATGGCTCGCCTCGATCCGGTAACCCTCTTTGAGGCTCGAATTAAAGAAGACCCACGAGGCGACATGGAAGCCTGGCTGAGCCTCATTGCTGAGCATCGAGCTCACAACAGACTCGAAGAATTGCGCAAAGTCTATCATCGATTTTTGGAAGTGTTTCCTACGTCGGTAAGAGCAGAATTCACCCGTCTAGCATTTCCACTTCTAACAACATCCAGAGCGACATTTGGGTTCAGTGGATTGAGCTGGAGCTCGGACTGGACAACTTCGTCGACGCTGAGCAACTTTTTGGTCGCTGTTTAATAACGGTACCTAATGTCAGCCTTTGGACTGTTTACCTCAATTACATCAGACGCCGCAACGATTTGAATAACGATCCCTCCGGTCAAGCGAGACAAACGGTCACTCAATCATACGAGTTTGTGATCGACAACATCGGTATTGACAGAGATTCCGGTGATATATGGTTAGACTACGTCCAGTTTATCAGGAACGGGCCTGGCCTCATCGGGGGCACCGGTTGGCAGGACCAGCAGAAAATGGACCAACTGCGCAAGGTCTATCATCGCGCCATTGCCGTGCCCATGTCCACGGTAAACACATTATGGAAAGAATACGACCAGTTTGAGATGGGGCTGAACAAGGTCACTGGCCGAAAGTTCATTCAAGAACGTTCGCCCGGCTACATGTCTGCCAAGAGCGGTAACATTGCTCTCGACAATATCACAAAGTCACTGCGCAGAGTCAGCCTGCCCCGCCTGCCACCAGCTCCTGGATTTAATGGAGACACCGAGTACAGAGAGCAAGTCGACCTTTGGACGAAGTGGATTGCTTGGGAGAAGGACGACCCCCTGGTTTTGAAGGAGGAGGATCCCAAGGCATACACACAGAGAGTTATGTATTGCTACAAGCAAGCTCTAATGGCCCTGCGTTTTTGGCCAGAAATGTGGGTAGATGCTGCGGAATGGTGCTTTCAGAATGATATCCGAGAAAAGGAAACCGAGCTCGGCACCCAGTTTCTTGTCCAAGGCATTGCCGCGAACCCTCAGAGTGTCTTGCTAGCTCTCAAATATGCCGATCGGATTGAAGCTACGTATCCTAGGAAAGAGGGTGACAAATCCGAATATGCTCAGGCGACTCGCAAACCCTATGATGCTATCCTCGATACCCTCTACACCATGGGCGATAAGGTCAAGGAACGTGAGAAGCTTGAAGTATCGACCCTCAGGCAGGCAGCCGCACAGCTCCCAGAGATGCAGCAGTCCATCGAACGAGAAGATATTGACAACGATAAGGCAGGATTGTCTGCGGGGGAGGAGCGCATCAAGGCCATTCAGCGGGCGTACGCGGCTGAGGGCCAGCTCCTGTCCCGCACGATATCCTACGTCTGGATTGCCCTTGCACGTGCGATGAGAAGAATTCAAGGTAAAGGCAACCAAAATGAAGGTGGCCTCCGCAAAGTATTCACGGATGCGCGACACAAGGGCCGCCTCACTAGTGACGTGTATGTTGCTGTTGCTCTTCTTGAATCAGTTGTATACAAAGACCCTGTTGGGGCCAAGATTTTCGAACGAGGTGCCCGTCTATTCCCCAACGACGAAGACTTTATGATTGAGTACCTCAAATTCCTACATTCCAAGGACGATACCACAAGTATGTCTATTTCCCTGTTATTCAAGCCGCAGCTAATCATCAGTAGACGCCCGCGTTGTATTTGAAACTTGCGTTAACCGCCTAATTTCAAGCCCTGAAACTCTGGCAAAGGCCCGCCCTCTATACGTCTACTTCCACAAGTACGAATCTCAGTACGGCGAGCTTTCCCAGGTTTCCAAGTTGGAGGAACGCATAGCGGAACTCTTCCCCGAAGATCCAAAGTTGGAGTATTTTAATCAGAGATTCTCCTCAGAGAGATTCGACCCTGTCCATACACCGATTATTGTGTCCAAAGCTGTACAAATGCGCCCCAAGATCCCCCCACCCGCTATTGAAGAGCCTGCGTCGGACCGGGAAACCCCTGGCCCTGTTCGACAGGAGCAGAGTCCACGGCCCCAATATGCTCGTGCGACTGCTTCCCCCAAGCGACCCTTCGGTCTCGAGGAGGATGAGCTGAACCCACCCAAGCGAGTTGCTCGTGGTGTTTCACCGCTCAAGGGCGCTGCAGGTCGCCGCCTTGATCAACAGCGACGTAACCAAACGTCGGCGCTACAACGCGACATTACCTTCCTCCTGGGAATTCTGCCTCCCGCCCACACTTACGATTCACAGCGACTGACTGCGACAAACCTGGTTTCTCTGCTCCGAGATACTCCACTGCCGGACTACGCGTCTTGGAAAGCAGCAACCGGGGGTCAGTACAGGCAGCAGACTCAGATGCATTCGAGACAGCCGTCCGGCGACTTTGCGCGTCCGATGAGCCCTTATGGCCAAGCTGCAGGTGTTTCTGGGTACCGCAACTCTCCGCTCGCGGGCGGCTACCAGGCGCCTGCCTCAAACTGGGGAGGAGCGCAGAGTAGTTATCCACCCGGCCAATACGGTGGCCAGCGGTACCAGTGAGGTGTATGAGGCGAAAAAAGCTGCATGCAGATATGGGATATTTCTTTTGCCTGGATTTGTCGCATCATTTGGCGTTTAATTAGTTATGGTAGTTCTGCAACCTGGGCAAAATAAGCAAAGTTTTTCCTCTACCTGAAGCGCTCACGAGCATTGATGTGGGTGACCAGCCCGCGTGTTACGCAATGTCCGACAATTGAGACGTTTCAATAACGAATACCTAGTTGGCGCAATTTCGCATTCGTCTCCTTTTGTACGTTGGTCCTAACAGATGTAATGTTGTACGGTGCGATGTATCGACGTGGCGAGCTCATTAGCAGTAGTTTCACGGCATGGCTTTTGTAGAGCCCTATCTCGGGATTTTGTGTCATACTAAGGGCAAGCGGCAGCGAACGATTGGCCCAGAATCCATCGATTTGGATCTCGTACAGGTTACAAGAAGGGCGGTATTGCACATGTGTCTCCTATAACTTCTGTTGCCCTGCCTACGCCGTGCTCGCTCACACACCGACCACCTCGCGTCCACCTGCAAACGCACGCAGATTCACGGCTGGTAACAGCTGCAGCTGCCAGCTGCCGAGACTCTTGTTGCCAGCTGCTGAAGACTCGCCAGCTGGCAAACAATTCACATGTTGCACTATTTAATCACCTCCTCCCCTCTGCATCCTCTCTCTTCTTCCTCTTTCCACACACATCCTTCTGATCGGAATCTTGCTTCTGATCTTCGTCCCTCTTCCCTAGCGCAACCTCTGACGCCTTGAAGTCTCTCCCTCTCGCTGGCGAAACGGTGCTCCGAGTATCATTTGATTTCAGACTTGGCACCTAGCCATTTGTGGTGAGTACGCTGTACCACCTTGACCCCCCTGGCCGAAGGTGTTTCGCCATTTGACATCTTGCCCCAACTGCCAAAGTCCTCCACATGACAATGAATGCTAACTTGGGACTCAGGTCATGGCTGATCGTGGGCATCCCCCGCATGCCGGCGGTCCTCCTTCTGGACGCGCTCCCTCGCAGCCTTCTGCTGTCCGCAGCGTCGATGCAAGCCGAGTTGCATCCCCATCTCGTGCCGGCCAGCCAGGCTGGAATCAAGGCCCTGGATTTGATCCAGCTCGCCTTGGAGGTCCTACCAAGAGGGCAGGCAATACGCGCATGGAATTGCCCCCAGATGCGTATGTGTCCGACACACAGAAGTCCATGTTTACCCTTCGAGGAAACAACCTCAATACAGAAGGATCACCCGCTGTTGTTGAAGTCAATCAATATCGAATGACTAAGTTTGACTTTTCAAAGAAAATCTACCAGTATGACGTGAGTATACCTTGCCACATCCTGCATTCCACTCCATGAGTTCTAATAGTCGTTAGGTCGCCTTATCCCCGGATCCCGACAAAAAGGCCGTGATACTCAAGAAGATTTGGGAACACCCAACATTCAAAGCAGCCCTACAGAAATACAGCTACGAGATGTGGATCTGTGATGGTAACAAACTGGCTTGGTCGCCCGCGCTGGTCGATCGAGGTGAACTTCGTTTCACCGTGAATCTCGACGAAGGCCGCCCTGCACCTCAACAACAAAAACCTGGCCGACAAAACAGCAACGTTTTCCACGTGACTCTCCGAAAGACCACTGAGGTTCAAATGTCGTCGCTCAAAGGATATCTCGAGCAGCGCGTTCAGTACAACAATGGTGTCAACGAGGCGTTGAACTTTATTGATCACCTGATTCGACAATGGCCGTCGCAGAACCTGTTGGCGATCAAGAGAAACTTCTACAATCGAGTGGCTCAGAGTCGCCCTCTGATGGATGGCTCTCTTGTTGAGGTGCGCAAGGGTACTTACGCCTCTATTAGGCTGAGCCACAACCTAAGTCGAGGCGGAACGGGCCTCGCCTTGAATGCCGATATTGCGAATACATGCTTCTGGGTCGGCAATCAAACCGTCGACAAGTTGCTCGGCATTTACCTTGCGGCCATTGATGCCAGGCGTTGGCGCAATCTGCCGCCAAATGAGCTTGCCAACCAGCTCAAGCCGGTTCGTGGCAATAAACAGGGCGTGTACGAATCTAGCGACGCCTTCAAGCAAGCTCGCAAGCTTCGGAAGCTCAAGTTTAAAGTACGTCACCCGAACCGCACCGCCGCGGTGGATAAGGTTTACTCCATCCAAGACATTGCCTTCCGGCAGGATTATGGCGCAGAAGGCGGCACGGCCCGAAACATCAAGTTCGATCATGATGGCCAGCAAGTGTCTGTGGCGCAATACTTTGAACAGAAGTACAAGGCGTTCCTGCGCTTTGGAAATCTTCCTTTGATTGACGCTGGCAAAGGCGGTTTCATTCCCATGGAATTTGCAGTGGTCGAGCCCATGCAGAGGTATCCATTCAAGCTCAGCCCGGACCAGACCGCTGCCATGATCAAGATTGCAGTCACAAGGCCAAAGGAGAGACGGGCTGACATCCAATCACATGTTAACGACCTCAAGATGTCAAGTGATCCGTTTTTGCGCCACTATGGGGTCCAATTCGATCCGCAATTTACCAAAGTTGATGCTAAAGTGCTCGCGCCGCCAGCAGTCAACTTTGGAACCGGTACTGCGGACCCGAAGTTCTCCGGCCGTTGGGATCTTCGTGGAAAGAAGTTTTGGAGGCAAAATTATGCTCCATTGCAGAACTGGGGATTCTTGGTTCTGGATAATTGTGTCCAACTTCCCCAACTGAAGGCGTTCGCACAAACCTTCAAGACCACCTTTATTGGCCATGGTGGCAAGTGCACGTCAGACCCTCTACTCTTGGCGCCTCCTGGAAACGTGAGGGGCGATGTTGCCCAGTCTCTTCACTATGCGCATTCCCAGATTCTGACTACGAAGGGCTATCCGCAGCTCATTTTTGTTGTAGTACAACACAAGAACAGTCCTCATTATATGCGCCTCAAGAAGTCTGCCGACTGTCGATTCGGAATCCTCACTCAGGTGGTAAATGGACGAGCTGTTTCAGAAAACAACGGGCAATACCACTCAAACGTATGTATGAAAGTGAATGCCAAACTTGGCGGCGCAACAGCTCGTACCGTCCCTCCATGGAAGATCAAGTCGGCCACCTACTTTCCTGAATCTCGGCCGACTATGATCATTGGAGTCGATGTTTCTCACGCTGCACCGGGAGGTGTTACAGCTTCTGTTGCGGCTATGACAATGTCTGTTGACCGGGACGCAAACCGGTACGCGGCAGCAGTTGAGACCAACGGGTACAGGACTGAGATGTTAACATCAAGCAACGTCAACTTTATGTTCGGTCAACTGGCGGAGAATTGGAAGGCCAATCATGGAGTTTTCCCGAAGCACATCATCTACTTTCGGGATGGTGTTTCCGAGGGTCAATTTGCGCAGGTCATTGAGCACGAGATCAACGAAATCAAGCGCCACTTGGCCCGGGTGGCGCCTAACCAGGCGATGCCCCAATTCACCGTGATCGTGGCAACGAAGCGCCACCACATCCGTTTCTTCCCGCAGAAGGGAGACAGGAACGGGAACGCGCTGCCTGGCACTCTTGTCGAGAAAGAGGTGACTCATCCCTTTTTGTGGGATTTTTATCTCTGCTCGCATGTCGCCATTCAAGGCACAGCCCGCCCAGTCCACTACAATGTTATTCTGGACGAAGCAAAGATGCCGGCCAACGAGTTACAAAAGATGATCTATCACCAAAGCTACTCATATGCAAGATCCACAACCCCAGTGTCATTGCATCCGGCTGTCTACTATGCGCATCTCGCCGGGGATCGGGCCCGAGCACATGAGAATGCGTTTAGCAGCGATGGCTTTCAGCAGGGCGGCAAGGGTCATGAGATGATCAGGGATCAGGAGGCTAAAGGGCATCTTGCTGAAATGCCTGTCGCATCAGATGCGCCGAAGCTTCTGCCACTGGGTGGACAGGTTGGCCTGGACGCTGTGGAGGGCGAAGATCGACAGCGAAAGTTTTTTAGATCTACCATGTGGTTTATCTAAGAAACAGGGGGCGGAATCGCAGAAACAGGATAGCAGACTGCGAAATTTTGCGTTGTGCAATGGTCCAGGATGATGCGTGGTGAGAACGGCGAGGGACTTGATGACAAAATTGGCGGAAGGTGGCGGTGGAGGACATTAGCTAGCCAGCGATTCCCATAGCTATATCAATGGAAAAAAATCAGTAGCGAGTTTTGAAGGGATATACGATATGCTGTGATTGTAATGTAGGCGTTTAGGAATGACGACTGGCTGGTTATGATGTGTGTATTGGAAGTTGTTTGCACAGCCATGAAGTGGTGCTGGCTGCCCCACCAGGAAGCAGGTAGAGGAGCGTGTCACTGCCTAGTAGAGCTTGGCAGGAAACTTTGATCCTGCATCTCCTTCAAACGGCATCATGGCGGGGTATCTACGAGGAAAGCAGGCGGGCATTCAGAATGACCTGTCTGCCAGCATTCGGCCAGAGCTGTTCACGCCCGACTACCAAGCCCGATATGGCATCAACTCTCAGATCAGGTGCAGTAGAGGCGCTCCCACATGCTCCGACACGCAGGCTGGTGGGCGAGAAGGGCCTTGCTAACTTGCCATGTCCAATTAGCTGTTTTGCATACGACCCAGTCCAGTCCTTGATGGCCATCGGTACGAGCGAAAGCAAGTTTGGCGCGGGAAGAATATATGTATTTGGCCAGCGCCGGGTGCAAAAGGTGCTGCAGCCGCCGCGAGCCACCTCGTTCCGGAAGCTGCACTTCTCGGCCAACCACATTGTTAGCCTGGACAACAAGAACGAGCTCGGGCTATGGGATCTCAACACCGGCGCCCGGGTTGGTGCGCAGGTGGTGGCCGGGACTGTCGCAGCCCTGGTGGTTGATCCGATGCTGGACTGGGCCTTTATCGGTCTACAGAATGGCGACGTCATGGCGTACGATCTGGATCGCCACTCTCTTTCGCGCTCCTTCCGGCTACCCAATTTTTGGCGGGAGAGGGATGCTGGTGCGCGAGCCGTGACCCTGGTTTGCATGGCGATGCATCCTCGCGACGTGGGCAAGCTCCTCATCGGCTACACGCACGGCGCCGTGGTATACTCGTTCAAGCAGAACAAAGCGGTACAATACTTTGAATACGTCGTTCCGCGCGGAGCTCCTGGAGGAAACGGTGCCAACATGGATGCGATTCGCAAACCACGACTTACACATGCTTTGTGGCACCCCTCGGGCACCTTTATTCTGACGGCACATGACGACGGCAGTCTAGTTTTCTGGGACTTGAAGGAGTCCAAAGTCATTCTCTCCCGAACTCTCACGGCTATTGGGATCGAAGTGCCGTCGTCTGCCCCTACCCAGCCGGTTTTCGTTGAACCATACACCAGAATCGCATGGTGCTGCAAGGACAACTGCGACGATTCCGGTCTTCTCATCGCTGGCGGACACCCCTCCACGTCAAGCGAAAACGGCCTTACCTTTATCGATCTTGGTATTACCCCGGTCTACGCGACATCGTCTTGGCAATCCCTCGCAAGCTACTTCCACGGTAAACGTAGTATCCCATTGGCGCTGCCCCCAGCGGCACAAGCAGTCGATTTCCTCCTGATCCCACGCTCCTCTCCACACTTCAATGGCGCACAGGATCCGATCGCCATCCTTGCTCTGCTTAGTGCAGGGGAACTTATCACTCTGAGCTTCCCATCCGGCTACCCTATCAGTCCAACGAACCAACTCCACCCATCGACATTTTTTGTGCATCCATTCATCACCAAAATAAACGTTTCAAGCCTAGGGCGGCCTCGCTGGCTGTCCATGATTGAAAAACGAGATCAGGGCGACCCGGTTCTCAAGGGCGGTGCGGAAGGCGCTCGACCTCGCAAGCGCTTCGAGGAGAGGACTATTATCCAAGCAGCCCACGCCGATAGCATAGTTCGCATCTGGGATTCGGGCCATGCGGACGAGATCGAAAATGCCCAGCCTATTCAGGTTGATATTGCTCGCGCACTTGATCGCTACGATGATGTTGACATCTCGTGCATGAGCATGGCAAGCAATACTGGTGAATTCGCCGTCGGCACTAGAACGGGCGAGGCCATCGTCTTCCGATGGGGAAAGAATCGATTCCATGGAAAGACTGAATCGCCCCCCATTGACCCCAATCCTAAGGGCTTGTCTGACATCAGCTCTCGGGCTGAGCCAAACCTCAAGGAGGGCCTGCAGCCTTTTGTTCTGTATGAGATGATGATGGGGCCAATCACGGCAGTCAAGGTCTCTGACGTGGGCTTCGTTGCAGTGGGATCCGAGCTGGGCTTCCTCACCATTATCGATCTTCGCGGTCCGCAAATAATATATCAGGCCCCCATGACCGATTTTGCCAAGCAAGAAAAGCGTGGCTCGCTTTTTAAAGGCCACAGTCGCTCTGAATCTGCGCCTCAGAAGGAGTGGCCCGTTGTCATGGAGTTCGGAGTCATGACCCTTGATGAGGACAAGTACTCTAGCATATGCTGCTTCCTTGGCACCAATCTTGGCAAGGTCATCACATTCAAGCTTCTTCCCGCGGCGAATGGCACGTATTCTGTCCAGCTCGCTGGTGTGGTGGTCCTTGATAGCAAAGTCATCTCGCTCAACGCCATCGAGGTCAATACCGGTAGCCCTGCTGCGGCCACTGGACAAACCGTCGCTGGTCTACGTGAGGGAAAGCAAGTGAATGGCGCGGTCGTTGCCGTTACGCAGACGGAAATACGCATCTTCCACCCCGCCAACTCCAAGGGTGCGTCCAAAGAATTCGATGGTTTGCTTTGCGACGCAGCGTCTGTTGCAGAGCTGGAGCTGCAAGGCTACGCGATCGTCGCAGTGTTTGGCGACCGGTCTGCGCGCGCCTTCTCCATTCCCGCGATGAAAGAAATTGGCAGGGCCGAACTGCCCACTCTGGACCCTACTAGACTCACCGGAACAGTAGTCACGCAGACGGGTGATGTATTTGCTTGGGCTGGCCCCAGTGAGCTAGAAGTGATTCATGTCTGGGGTACTGGAAAGGCACTGGAAGAGTCCCCCGATGTGCTGATAAACCCAAAACTCGACTGCCCTCCCCGTCCAACGATATCCAATATGCAGTGGATCTCTGGAACGCAGTACGTATCGGTTCTCGATCTCGACATCCTCGTCGGCGGCACCGACCGGCCGCCGAGCAAGCGCATGCTGGAGGCCGCGGCAGCCGAGCAGCGGGCTGCCCGGCAAGGGGGTGCTGCTGCGGTAGGCGCTGCAGCGGGAGGTGCACAGGAGGGCTGGGGCTCGTACTTGTCCCGGCAGCTCGCGGAGCGGACGGAGAAGCTGAACATAATGGGGGACAGCATGGACAATTTGCAGGTGCAGAGCCAGGGCTGGGCAGACGATGTCAACAAGTTTATGGGGAAGCAGAAGCGTGGACTGGTCATGGGGGCTCTCAAGAGCAAGTTCTTCTAAGACTGACCGAATTGCGACAGAGTTTTAGACATGAAGAGAAATTTACTGAAGTTGAACGCCGAAAAGCGGGCGACAAATGCGATTATTATACATTCGAAAAACTGACTTGCTGAAAGCTCACAGTAATGCAAAGTTGATGCGATACTGTGGATGGATGTCTGGTCAATCATCACCCCATCGTCGCACTGCTCCAAGAACTGATGGCGATGATGAAGTGACTATGGGTAAGACCGTCTCCAATTCCATGTCGATGTTTTCGTTTCCCACCTGCGTGGCTTCCAGGGAACGCCCTTTACAAAGCAAGAGTCCAGGTATCCATCTACATACAGTACTGTACACACATACATGCAACCGCGGACCGCGGGTAGTGACTTGTCCGCCTTTGCATTTGGCGATCGGTGCTTCCCTCAGCGGCATGCCTTTTCTTTCATCTCTGATTCGGGGAGGCTCATGAAGTAACCGTCCAAAAACGCCAACGTCAACAAGCCCCCCCCTTTTTTTTCTTCTCTTCTTTTACTGGGCGCGTTTCGATGGTGCAAAGTCCCCGCGGTGATGATCAGCGGTGGGTGTGTCCGTCTGCACGTTCAGGGATTCATTGCACTGCCGAGAAAAGCGACATCCGATGTCTCTCATGTTCCCTGCAAGTGCCGCATCTCAACAATTTAGGCGGCCCATCCATCCATGATAAGGCATCGACAAAACGAACTGCTCTTTTCTTTCCTTTTTTTTTATCCCCCCTTCGCCTCCCCATAATAAACCCAAAGACGCTTTTTCTGCCTTTGCCCATGCTTCCCCGATGTGGGAGTTCATCTACTCCATCAGCATCGCCCTCTACCTCGTCGGCAACTACGTAGAGTGGAGGGACAGCATCTTCACCCTCGTCTACGACGCCTCCTCGCTGTGGCTGTGGCTGTCCTCCCGTCGGCAGATCGGCGACGGCGGTGCATCTTTCTCGTCGTCGCGGGCGACGACGAGGAAGCGGGCGCTGGCGGACCACCACAACTCGACGGCCATGTGGACGCCTCCCGGCTCGTCCGAGATGAAGCTGCGGACCAGGGCGCTGTTCGCGCTCGGCCCCGTCGCCGCGCTGCCCTACCGGACCTACCAGGGGACTCAGGTGCACAGCCACCTGCGGTACATGACCGGCCTCCCGCCGCCCGCGTCCTCGCCCGAGGCGCTCGTCTCCATGAGCCTGCACACGCCGCTCTCCTTTGCCCGGGTCGTCCGCGACTTTGTCGCCCTCAAGTGCAGCGAGAACGGAAGCGGCGGTGACCACGACGGGCACCGGTTCTTCGTCTTCCACCCGGACACCGCCTGGGTGGGCGCCTTCCAGCGGCTGCACGACGTCGAGGGCCCGCTGCCGCCCGAGTTCGCGGGCGTCGCGCACAACCTGTTCGTGCTCGCGCGCTGGATGCTGTGCGAGCGCGTCGCGCTGGTCCAGGCGCTGGGCGACGACGCCGGCCGCCGTGTGCGCTTCCACGTGCTCGTCCCGACCACGGAGACGCTCGTCGTCCCGCAGCCGTTCTGCCTGGTCGAGGCGCTGCTGCCGCTGACCATCGAGGGGCCCATCAGCAAGGGACATCCGCTGGTGTGGTTCGCCGTCGCCGCCGCCGGGTCGTCCACGGCGGCGCCGATCATGCGAGACGTCGGCGCGATCCCGCCGCCGTGCCCCGAGGTGGCCGAGGGCAAGGCCTTCGTCGCCATGTGTCTGCTCTGGATAGCGGCCTCTCCTCTGCTCCTGGCCGTCTGCAAGATGCTCTGCTTCGCGCAGCTGCCGTTCTACGTGGCGCTCGCCATGTCGCTGCTGTTTCACGGCTTTGCGCTGAATCTGACACTCTGGCTGAAGCGGCATGTGTGCGAGTATTATATGCGAGAAGACGCCCCCATGATGCTTGGGTAGGTTTGATTGGCGCGAAAAGTAACGAACTGTCACCGAGGGGACGGGGGGGGGAGGAGTAGTAGCGATTAGCGGGATGTGTACAAGTTTTGATTGCTACATACGCGCGCATCAAGGCGGCATTCGTCCTTTCTCGTCTTCTGTCAGTATCGTGCTGGCCAGTGACGTGTCTGCTGTAGTAGGCTTTTCAGGCGTTTGGTTCGAGTCGTGACCAGCCTGCGTCCCTTCCGTCGACGGCTCTGGTTCGCGCTCTGCAAGTTCGGTAGAGGCGCCGCCGCCGTTCTCCTCCGGAGATTGCGCAGCGGTCTCCTTTTGCCTCCTCCTCCTCCTCCACTGAATGGCAAACATGATGGCGATAGATAGTAGCAGGAATCCCGTCGTGCTGAGCGCGAGGATCAGCCGGCCGGGATGTGACGGGAGTCGTCTGTTGATGTGGTCTATTGACCACGGATAGCAGTGTGACTTGACAATAACAAAAACACCCAGGCCCATGTACAGGAAGGGGATGAACTTTTCCGCGTATTTTTGCGCCATCATTAGGACGTGTCGCTGCTTCATGATGAGCCAGGCTGCGAGGCACCAGACGCCGACGCCGATGTAGAAGACCACGACGTAGACTGCGATTTCGGCGCCGCGCGTCTGCGAAAAGAGCGGGATGTAGGTGCCGATGTTGTCGCCTCCGTTGATGAGCGTGATTGTGCTGACCTTGAGAATGATTTTCAGGCGCGTCCCGTTGGTCATGTGCAGCTGCTCATCGTCCTCGTCGTCGTCGTCGGCACCGCGCGACAGAACGACGTCAATCAGCGCCCAGAAACCGAGCAGCATGGGCAGGAAGCCGAGGAAGCCGATGGGCTCGGACGGCAGGGCGAGGGAGATGCCGAAGCCGATCATACTGATGACGGTGATGGCGGTGAAGCCGGCGTACTGGCCGAGGGTGATGTTGAGCGGCGACATGCGCTTGTTGGTGGCCGACTCGGCGTAGAAGGTGACGAGCACGAATATGTCGTCGATGTTGGTGGCGGCGAAGGCGCCGCACGCCGTGCCAATGGCCTCGCCGATATGCATAGCCAAGAGACACACTATCGCGCAGCAGCCCAAGCCGCGGGATGTCGATAAGTGTGAAGTTGTTTGAAGAGCAAGGAAGCGAATTGTCTGGGGAGCCAAAGGGGGCCGACCAGAAATCAGTCAGTGGCTTATTATTAGCTGCCAGATGGTGGCTGAGCGAAAGCGCGGGCCGCCACTAGTTAGTTAGAGGTGCCTTGCCAGTTAAGTTAGTACAAGGGTCACTAGACACTAATAAGACAGCCTATCCGGACAAAATTATCTTGCTTCGCCGCAGTCGCTGAGAATTCACTGTGTGTAATGCGATTATCCCCACAGTAAACTCTGAGCCTGTCATCTGTAATTCGTAGTTCACTTTCTATAGATCAATACAACGCAAGAGCGCAGTAGTTATTATAGGTACAGAGCATTGTGTCATGCTGCGCTTGGGGTTTGGGGACCTTCCTTCGGCGCGTGTAACCTACTGCTGCGGCGAAGGTGTTTCTCTGACTTTTAAAGGGGTGGATTTTTGAAACGTGCTTTACTTACGAGACGAAGATGGGCGGGGAATTTATCAACTCTGTCGCAGTTTCTTTTTCCTTGATAGCATGGCGGCAACTACACCTCGTAGAAAAACTCAGGGCAGAGATTGGGCCACTGGTTAGGCCGCGACACCTGCGTATCTCTATAATTGCGCAGAAAACATTTTCTTTCGCCTATTTATTCGTGTAGCTGCCCGGTTCTCGCATCAATCCCACCTCAGGCGTCGTCCGGATGGACGAAGAAGGCGATGCCAATGATTGTATACCTAAGAGAGCATCAATATTATGTTCTAGAGTCATCATCATCAGTTCAGCACTTACGTTGCAACTAGCAGCATGCCCTCAAAGTAATTGGTTTTCCCTCCGCGCACCAAGCAACTGACCACAAGAGTCGACATGGTGAGAACAATGGTCTCAAAAGTGTCAAACTGCAGGGACATGTCGCGGCCGATGATCCAACCGACAATCACCAGGAACGGGGTGACAAAGAGGGAGATTTGGAGCGTCGCGCCGACAATGACAGAGATGGCCAGGTTAATGCGACCCGTCTGCGACCACTGCACCGTTCCAACAAAGCAGCCCGCGTTGCCGACGATCGGGACGATGATGAGGCCGATGAAGCTGCGGCTGACGCCGAGCGCCTCGATGACGCCGTCGATGCTGCTGATGAGCGCGTCGGAGCTCGCGCCGATCCCGAGGGTAGCAAGGATGAGCACCACGCAGCTCGACGCCGCGTGCAGCTTCTTGCTGTCGTCGCTCTCCTCCTCGGCGAAGAGGTCCGCGTGCGTGACGGATTGGAAGTACACGTACAAGATGTAGAAGATGAGGAGAATGACCGAGGTGCTGCGTGAGAGGGTCAGGATGTAGTCGGCAGGGCCACCATCGGTGCTCTCGGTCAGGAGGTCGCCGGCGCGCAGTGCCGAGGGGAGGATGAGGGACGTGCATGAAATCACCATGAGCGATGTGAGGATGCCCGCCACGTCAACGTTGATGTGCACTATCTGCTTGTCCTGGCCGGCAAGATAAAAGGCGGAGCCGAGGATCTAGGGGAGGTTTTAGTATTGACGACGATAGTTGAGCATGTTTGACGCACCAACAAGATGGATGACAGGATACTTCCTATCATACTCGACTGCACAATGCCAATCTCCCCCTCTTTTAGTGCGCTGATGCCAACCTAAAAGCGATGATGAGCGATGAGCGATGAGGCACGCAAAAGCTGCAGCAACATTCACCACCTACAATCATTTCCACCGCGTTTCCAAACGTGGCGTTGATCAGGCCTCCCGCAACGGAGCCGACAATGGCCGCCAGTTGCTCCGTGGAGAATGTGAGGATGGAGGCCAAGGGCAGCATGGCGAGGAAGTTGAGCACGAACACGGCCCATCCCGGAAAGCCCCAGTCGTCGCCATACAGCCCGAGCGGCAGGCAGACAAGCAGGACGTTGGTGACGCTGCACCGCAGCGTGGCCTTGGTGGCGTAAACGAGCTCGTCCATGACCGCAGTGATGGCGCTTTTGGGGGCACGGCCCGCCGCCAGCAGCGGCGTGGTGTCCGCGGCCACGTCTTCCGAGATGCGATGACGGGAGTCCATGGGTGGCGAGGAGGGCGGGAGATGCCGTCCGAATTGGCGATCAACGAGAAAGGGGGGCGCCAAGGAAGGGAAGCATCGGACGCTAACTAGGTAGGCGGTTGAGGCAATAGAGTTGGGGCCGTAAGCGGGCGGGTTTGTTCGTTGTGGGATGGAACCTCGCAGTTTTAGTTGTTGTCCTGCCAGGCAGGTCTGATGAGCAAACAAAGAAGAAGGCGCAGCAGCATCAAGGCTGTGGCTTACCTGGTGACGTTAGGTAATACCACTCACTAGATTGGGTACCGGACAACGCACACATCAATCCGTGCGTTCTACCTGCTATGCAGCAGGCAAAGTTAGTTGGTAACTACTTATTTCTCAACGCGTACCGCACGCATTTCCAAAGTTGGCCGAGATTTCTTGGCATTCAAAGCGCTTTCGCAGGTTCCCATCGCTCGCCCGCCCCAAACGCCGCCGCCTTCCGCCGCCAGCGCCGCCAAAACCCAGCCGCCATGTCCACGTCATCCACCGCGTCCTCCTCCTCCGCTTCCCCCTCGCACCGGCGCGCCTCCTCCGTCGACGGCCCGTCGTCAAACCCCGACGATGATCGCGCCGCCCGACGACGGCGGCTCAGCAGCAGCGGCAGTGGGGGGCAGCCGAAGCCGCTGCGGCGCTCCGACACGCTGGGCCAGCTCGCCGCGATCCTGAGCGACGACTACATCGGCGAGAGCAAGCCGCTGCTGCTCGCCGTGCCCGTGGCCGTTGCCGTGTCGCTGGTGCCGCGCGTGCCCGCCGCGCTCGTCTTCCTCCTCAACGGCGCGGCCATGGTGCCGCTGGCGGCGCTCAACATCCTCATAGTCCTCACCCTGACCAAGAATGCGCGAGCGTGGGGCGGGCTCTTCCGTGCCATCGGGGGGAATTCGACAGAATTCATCGTGAGTTTATCTTTTTTTTTTCTTCCTTTTTTTTCTCGCAACATATCGCCTGTTTGGTCTGCTAACCACAAGCTTGATAACTAGATTAGCGCCGTGGCGTTGACCTACGGCGAGAGCGCCCTCGTCCAGCAAACCATGATTGGCATCATAGTAAATTACGCGCTTCTTGTAAGGGAGAACCCCCACAGAAGAGTCCCTACGAATGACATTACGAATGGCATTACTCACACAAAAGGGATGCAGGTCCTCGGTGGCAGCTTTCTCCATGCCAGCTACGGCAAAAAGGATGCCGTGTTCAGCAAGTCGAGAACCAGCATCATGTCCTCCCTCGTCATGGTCACGTCCTTTTGCCTCGTCATCCCCACCGTCATGTCCCTCACGACCAGCGCCGAGGGCCTCGACTCGCCCGAGGCCATCGACCGCGGCATCCTCAACCTCTCCCACATGACCGCCACCGCCCTCGTCCTCCTCTTCTTCACCTACCTGTCCTTCCGCTTCGTTACCCACGGTCAGTTCTTCCCCGTGAACCCGGGCGCCGCCCAGTTCAACCCCGACAGCCGCACCAACACTCAGCTCGGCCCGAAGCCGCCAGCCGCCGCCGCCGCCGTCGGCCCCTCCGCGCTGGGCGTCGGTCTCCTCGGCAGCTTGGGCTGCACCGTCGTCTGCGCCGCCTTCTTGCTGCGTAGCATGGACGCGGCCGCGCAGAGCTTGCGCATCACCAAGACCTTCATCGCGTTCGTTGTCTTGCCGCTTCTGGTCAGCTCGGCCAAATCGGTGAGCATCATCCGCCACGCCCGGCCCGAGGAGGCCGGTGGCAGCACGTACATGAGCCGCTTAGACTTTGCCATCCGTTCTGTCATGACCAACGTTCTCGACACGTTGCTCTTCAATATTCCGCTGCTCGTCTTCGTCGCCTGGGGACTCAACCAGCCCATGGTGCTCGTGTTCGGTCTGTTCGACGCGGTCGTCTTTGTTCTCTCCGTCACCATCATGACATTTCTTATTCGCTACGGCAAGACTACATACTTCGAGGGCTGCATGCTCATGGGAACGTATGTGTCTTTTGTTCCTAAACTTTTTACCCAACATTTTCTAACTTTCTATTCTAGATACCTCTCTATGGGCATTGTCTTTTTCGTTCGGCCTGATGTTGCGCATACCATCAGGCCAACGCAAGAGTTTATCCTGCAAGGCTCTCCTCAAGCCAGCGGGTTGTGATTAATGAAACGGTTCGACAAAATAGGCAGTAGCAATAATGGCATATCTGGATATATAGAAAAGGTCTGGGTTAGTATTTGAGATGCATGGTCGTATGAATAGACCCGTAAACTTACACGCAGAGAAACATCATGCCGTGAAGATAGGTGTATTGCCGATCTTGCAGAACCTGGTTGACCAGTACAATGGCGAAAAGCAGGACACAAGTCTGTGACATTTCGAAATAGAGGTCCATTTTGCTGCCAATAATCCACCCAATGACGACAAGCGCGGGCAGCACAAAGAGGGCAATCTGCAGGATGCTGCCCACGATTACCGCGATGGCAAAGTCAATCTTGTGCTTCTTGGCCGCCGCCAGGACTTGCGTCATCTCGGAGGCGTTGCTCGCGAGCGGGATGATGACCAAGGCGATGAACGTCTGGCTGACCTGGAACGCCTTGACAATCTCGCCGAGTCTCTGCATGATGTTGTAGGTGCACCCGGCGATGACGAGCGAGCTGAGAGCCAGCGTGAGGATGACGATGGACACGTCTTGCATGGAGGGCGTGCCGTCCAGGTCTGTGCCGCTTTCGCAGTCCCTCGCAGTAGCAACATCGTGCGCCGGCGCAGAAGCATCAACGAGGTCGTCGGTGCGGTCGGAGCCGTTGCCGTCGTCGTCTTCGTCGGACTGGTCGTCAAAGAGAGAACGGTGCGTCTTGTGCTGAAAGTACAGGTAGACAACGTAGACGAGCAGCAGGACGATGCTCGTCGCGCGGCTAAAGGAGACGATGCGCTGCCTCATGCCGGAGCCCTTGCCGTCGGCGTGGGGGATGGCCGCGTACAGGGCGGTGGGCAGTACCATGGCCATGGAGGCGACGAGCATCAGCGAGGACAACGAGTCGACCAGGGCCGAGTTGACCACGATGACGCCCTTGGAGCGGGCGCCGACGATGATGCAGATTCCCTGGACGAGCAGGATGTCGTTGAGGATGCTGCCCATCATTGCCGACTGCGCGGCGCTCACATTGTTTTGCGTGATGGCGAGAAGGCCAACCTACATACGGTCAGTCATGAATCAGACGGAGAGACAGAGGGGGGAGGGGGCTGCAGACTATGAGCTCAACGGTGTTGCCAAGCGACGCATTCACCAGTCCGCCGATCAAGCCTCCCCAACGATCGCTGAGTTTGTCGGACGCATCCGAGATCAGGCTGGAGAGCGGGATGATGGCGAGGAAGTTGTAGAGGAAGAGCGCGACGGGGTTCCAGGACCAGGCCGCGGCGGCGAACCCCAGGGGCGCGCACACGAGCAGCAGGTTGAGGCCGATGCATCTGCGCGCCTGGCGCAGCAAGCTCAGTAAGCGCGGCATCATCTGCTTCTTGTCTCTCCCGGACCGCGTCGTGAGAAGGGGCACGCTAGATTGCGGGCATCCAACGGCTCCCGGCAGCGTGGGGGCGAGGGGGAGGTTAATGACTCTTGTGTGGTGCGGGTGGCGGGTATGATGGGTCAAGATAGACTGAAGGTTGGGAAAGTAAGAAAGGGGAACGTGGAAATGCAAATCTGCTTGGCGGAAAACGCCAAGCGTTGAAACGTCGCTTGATTTGAGGATGGATGGTCGATGGTTTGACAAAGAGATGAGATTTCCAGGCAAACAGGTTCCCTAGCCAGGTGAGGCTGTGCACAAAAAAGAGCCATGATGACAGGCTGCATCAGCCACTACCTCGGCGGCTAATAGTAATGCAGCCCCAATGCCCGCATAGGTAGGTACACTGATTTGTGCCAAAGAAAGTTATTGAAGTGTCAATTATTAATTCGCACAATATGAATGATCCGCTCTGCTTGTCAATATCCCGCTGGCTCTTGAAAGTTTCTGGATGCTCCCGAAATCTACCCTGAACAAACTCCAGGGCAAAATTTGCATCAGCGGGACTGGTTCTACAAAAAAAAAGTAATACAGGTGTGCAAAGAGGACGCAAAACTGTTTGATGAATGACTTTCGATACATCAAGGGGGAAGATTATGGACAACATGAGCCTCGGAGTCGTCTCCGTAGAGTATGACAGCTACCCTGTACTCCGAATAATCTGGTTCTACATTAGCCAACCTTTGCAACTCTTCACTCTCATCTGAGACCAAGTCCCTATTATTGTTCGTAGCAGTTGCCAAACAGGTAGACCATGTGAAGTGTCTTGGATGAAAAGATTTGTCCCCATCGGATGCGTGACTAACTGGACGGTATGCACGGGACAACTTCGCAAGCCAGTTACGGAATTCCTTCACGTACACTAAAATATATGCATTAAACATGTATAGATATGCTATATGCGTTCTATTGACCCTTATACCTTGTGAACATTGCTTTTGAGAAGTTCACTTGCATCTCAGCCTCGAATCCCTGCGAGTTGCCTCTCCAACCACGTCGCCACTTGCAGAGCGCCGCCCGCCGGGGTGTATATAAACGGCCATCCTCACATGTGCTAATTTCTTCTTCTTTTCTTCTTTAGCTCAAACCATCATTCGTCTACTTGTGCTGCTATTGCGTTTTCAAGCTTAAACCTTCCCCATTCCTTAGCCCTGTTCCAGTTCGCTGCCATGACCGACGCGAAAGCGAGCAACAAATGCCGTGCCGGGTAAGTTTTTGAACTCAAATTGCTTTGGACGCCTCATATTGAAACGAGAAATCATCTTGTTTGCAGGGTTGGAGATGTTGGAAGGATCAGTTTACACTCCTCTACAGAAACCCTTATCCTCGGCCAGCCGAAGTGAGCAACACCCTTTCCCACCCCGTTGTTTATTCACCGCGGTGTCATCGATTGCCATCCAGCGCTGACCTTTAGCCCCCTATAGGAGCTGCACTGGAAATAATAGAGCTTACGAGAAGAAAAGACTGGGCCTGCTCCGTGCCGAGGAACTATACGGCGTTGACGCTCCAGCTCCTGGTGTGATACAGAGACTGGTGCGGCAGTGACTACACTTAGTCACTGTCACTGAAGGGACTCAGGCTCCTCTTTTGTCGTTTTTATCTTGTACATAGCTTAAAAATATTTTGACTAAGAGACTTGGATCATCTTTTTTTCTAGAGAATATTCGCTGGTCCGTGAAAGTTCACTCCATTGTCGGCGTGGCCCAACCTGGTGACACGCCACGTACAAAGGATGAGAATGAGAATCCCAAATGTTGTTGCTCGTTGGCATACCCCTGTCTGCAGGGACGTCAGAGCGTCATTTTCAACGCCATCTCCATCTGCAGACGAGCTATCATTTTCGGTTGGAGGCTTGCCGTGGGCGGCACTTGACAGGGCTTGACAGGTATCTTAGCCAAAATCCCTAAAAGAGGAAAGATGTCCAAGGGATATGGAGTACAAGGTACATAAGAGAGGTAAGATACCCAAGATACCTAGGGGAGGTAGGATATCCAAGATGCTCAAGAGAGGTGAGATGGCTAACAGGTAACAAATACATGTCGCCCACCAACTGTACTTGCCGTCTGACGCTATCCACCCTTGTAGCCTGTTGAGGGGCACTCGTCCCGACAGTTTGGGACTTGGGACCGGGTCCAGGGACGGGAACCGGGGGAGGGCGGGAACAAGCTGTCAAGTGCGCAAGATCCAGCCAACAGGAAACGACGGAGGCAAGACTCCGAGGGGCTTTTTGCTTAAAAAATGAGACGCCCGAGATCTCCACCAGAGCCGACCAGCTGGGCCAAGCCACCAGCCTTCTCGGGGGATGCGACAGTAAGGGGCACGGGGGCAAGGGGAAGGAGAATTCGACACCGTGACCACGTTGCTGGCGTGGGGGTTTTTTCCCGTCCCTGACCCTGTCGTCGGCTGGGGCGCTTTCACTGAAAAAAAGACAACCCCATGTTATTTTCCAGATAGCCGGGTCGAAGGTCCGTGGAGAAGAAGAAACGAGTGCATGGGTGCGGGCCACATGTCTCTCTTGGCGACGCCGACGAGCCTATTATAGAGGAACAATCAGAGAAAGCTGAAAAAGAGCCTGTATGGGCTTTTTTTTTTTTTTTTTTTTTTAAGAAAACCCCTTTTGGACATGCATGGAGTCGCTACTGCTGCAAAACTTGACTGTCAGACCAAGGCCCAAGACCCAAGGCAGCAGCAGCAAAGGGAACTCGACCCAGTGAGGGGGGTGTGGTTCCCGAAGAAGGCGAACCACGGAGAAGCTCACGTCGATGGGTGTAGATGCTCGGTTGCCACAGACGGCAGAGCAGTTGGTCGGCTCTTCCAGGCGTTTGCGCTCGACGCGGTGGCCTATGCGAAGCCTTTGCGGACCGCATGCGCACCGATTGCTGCCAGACGGGGGTCGCCCAAAAGGCAGCGAGCATCTTTTAAATTGAATAGAGTAATGAGGAATGGAGTGAAAGAAGAAGAAATAAAAAAAAAAGTCGACTGCGATGTTGGGCTGATGGCTGCCGGCTGGTTGAGGCAATGGCTTTCTCGTTGGTGTTGTCGGGCACCAAGATCTTCTTTTCTTGTGTTGCAGCAGCGGCTTGGAAGCTCAACTTGAGGTTGCTTCCGGCGCACTACAAAATGAAGGTCGTGCCCTGCCGATGGACGATTGAGGTTTGCCTTGATCATCCTGCTCTTTGCACTACACTGTGTCTAGCTGTTACGAAAACTTTCCGTTTGCTGCTCCCTTGGTTGGCCCTGATCAACACTGCACCTGCATGACCCCTCCTCTCATACCAATATGGCCCCAAGCAAGAGCGACGACCGCAAGACCGGTGAAAAGACAAGCAATAATAAGCAGAAAGGCGAGTATCGCACTCGTGATAAAATCGACTGGTGAGTTGAGACTCGTTCATGTGCCGCTCCAGTTTGCTGATCAGGTCGTCGATGATGCAGCAGCAGCAGCAGCAGCTCCAGCTCCAGCAGCAGCCAGGACGCCAAGCTGAGCGCTTCCGTTACCTCGAACAGCAGCCACGATACCAAGATGACCGAGTCCGTCACCTCGAACGGCAGCCAGGACGTCAGGATGGCCTCTTCCTTTGCCTCCTACGCCAGCAGTCAGGATTCCAGGACGACCGGGTCCTACACCTCCTCCAGCAGCAGCCAGGATGCCAGGATGGGCGCCTCCCACACCTCGATGGAAGTGTCGGACGGGCGGGGAGAGTACGTTCACAATCTCTCTACACTGTCATTGCATTTTCCCTTTAGCGTTTTGCTAACCAACCTTGCTTGCTAGGACGAGGACCTTGACGGAGGCGGCCGCGGCGGAGAGACGCGAGATGCGTCGCCATGCGACGGAGAGGTTTGCTGGAGGAACCACGGGCACGGCGTTTCGTCGGCTCAAGGATACCAACCCTTACACGAACCAGAAGCCGTTCTCCGGCGTTTCCGAGAGGAAGCGTTGAAAGTAGAGCGGCGCCAAGTACATACTGGCTGAGCGCTGCTCCGAGGAGGACTGCAACTGTCCGCTACCGGTTGATTTGATCATTTATACCTTGCGGTCCTCAATTTCATTGCATTACAGGATGGGTTCTGGAATACTAGCTTTTCTCCAGTGTTTTAATACTATGATATGAATTGCCGCCCGTGACAAACAAAAAGGAATCAAAATTGACTCCCACATAGAGCCGGTTTGGAGCTGCGACAATATTGCTTCCACGCCGCAACGTCACAGCAAAAGCATTCTTTTCTTTTTTCAAAAAAAAAATTTAAATAAAAAGGAAGAAAAAGTCAAAGTCATGTTGGCTCTATCTATAGCCCGTGTTCGCTTGGGCACAGTCGCCTTGCCTGCCCCCAACTTCATAGCCGCCTTTTGCGGCGCACGCCTACAAGGTCCCGCGGGCACCGATGGCAACTCGACCACATCTCCCTTTAGTTACCTATTGGTTAGGTACCGAGTGGCAAAACGCAGTCAAGACACATCGCTGCCATCCGACCATCACATGGCGCCCGGCCTCGGTTGGGCGAAAGATGGATGTCGCGACGCCGTCAAAGACGCCGGGACAACGGCTGTCCCGGCCCAACGAGGCAGCAGCGGACCGTCGACGACGGGGGCCACCGGCCCAGGGAAGGGCGGCAGTTGCCGGTCAGGCAAAGGCTGGTGGACAGGTGTATAGGTTGGCATGCGCAGCCGAAGACAGCAGCAAAAGGGACATAGGATAAGTCGCTGCGCGCCCCCCCCCCCCCCCCCCCCCCCGAGGGGAGGAGGAGAATTCGGGCAATGCACGGCCACCACGTGCCCGCGCAGAGCAGAAGCAAGGGAGACAAGGGCGGGACCTACGAATTCTACATGTATACCCATACCAGCGGGTAAGCATTTAATATGTGTTCTTGTCGGTGGGTGCCGTGTTGCCTGATTGTATCGTAAGATGCCTTGCCGCTTGTTGGGGGCGAATAAATCATGACGCTGACCAAAGCCGAGCAAGTTCACGTCGTATTCTGAAGTTCACCTTCCGACGTGATCCGACGCCGGATAAATACAGCACACAGTGGTACGGTGCCTGGCACGCCCCGTTGTCGGGACGCAGCCTGGTCACGCCGGCGAGCTTGTCGTTGCATCAGATGACCCTCAAATACACAGACACACAGACACAGACACAGACAGACAGACAGACACACACACACACACACACACACACACATCATATACATACATGTGGGTGTGAATGGGCGGCTTCGCAGCCCAAGGCGACGTGGGATGGCAGTTTCTTCTGGCTGCGAAGCCGGCAGCATGGCGAGTGAAAAAGGTCTCGAACAAGGCACCGCGCGGGCCGAGTGTGGTGCGGTCAACTTTTATTCCAGGCTTCTTACTTACATGTGTACTTTGCACAAGTTGGCGCGGGGAGAGGTGGCTCGAATGTGTACATAAAAAGCAAAGTATGGAGTATGCATAAGAATAAAAGCAGACACAAGTTCCCTCCTTCCCTTCCCTTCCCTTACCTTCCCTTCCCTTCCCTCTTTCCTCTTCAAGTAAAAGCTGAATCCAATCGCGGGGTTGCCTGAGCAAACAACAAAACCATCTGGCGAGAAAAGAAAAGTCTTTCCATCCAGGCACAGCACAGCACAGCACAGCACAGCACAGCACAGCACAGCACAGCATTCTTGCCTCATCATGTGCAAGACAAGGCAACGCACGCAGCCTTCTCTCCCATCCCGAGTCCACATAATGGGCTTTCGGGAAACCCGCCACGGCTTTCCTGTTGGGCAGCGAACAAGGCTGGGCTGGGACCTCGTGCTTCCCCGGGGCTGGATGGAGTCTTCTTGGTGCCCCAGAGACGGCTCAGCAGCAGCAGCGGTCGCAAGGCTGACAGCCAATGACGCCTAGATATAAAAAGAAAATGCAGGTATTTTCTTTCCGCATCCCCGCATTGCTTGTATGCCTACCTACCTACCTACCTACCTACCTACCTACCTCCCTACCTACCTACCTCCCTACCTCCCTACCTATCTACATACCTCGTTGTCGTCCGAGGTTCCGTCGGGTGCCTTGCAGCATGTGGGCTCGCGCGCTGCGGTGCGGTCTTGGGCGAGCCGCAATGCAAGGGATATCCCTCAAGAGAAGAGAGTCCAATTTGGCAACTGATTGATTGCTGCGACTTGGGCAGCAAACGTCTCACCCTCTACTTGGCAAGTATGGTAGTAGGTACCGGGTCGAGCCCAAGAGAACCGCGCCTCCTCTCTTCGAGAAGCATCCATCCCGTCCGCCTTGGGCTTGGCTGGCCGATGATGGCTTTCACGTCCACCCTGTTGTTGCCTGGGCCGCCACTCAATGCACTCCACGATGATGATCAACTTGGCGGTAGCTTATGTAACTTATCGACGATGCATGTTGCACATACACCCTTCCTAAAGTGGACGCCGAACCAGGTGGGTGGTCGCGATTGGGCTTCCCTCATTCATCGACATGTAAGCGGTCTTCGCACCCGGCACCCGTATCTGCAAGCTTGTGTCTGCAAGCTGTCATTTGTCGTCACTTGTCCCCTTGTCCCTTTCCCCTTTCAGAATTCGTCCAATCAACTGAGTGCCCAACACAAAAAATGTCCCTGCTTACACGCGCTTCCCATTGCGTCCACAAGGTTAGGTCGGCCATGGCAATGTTCAGGCTTGGAAATGCCGTTTTGTTAAATAGGGCACCAATGCACGCACACCCCCAGCTTGTGTAACCTCACCCAAGAGCCCCCGGGGGAAGAGTGATGTATTTCATGTACTTCAACAGAAGAAGGCAAGAAGGGGCAACATCGCTCCTTCACCCCAGCACCGTGTCGAGGCAGAATCATATATATAAATAGTCTTCAACTTCACCCACGTTGCCAGGGGGCCTCAACCGTCCATCTGTATGCCGCCGCCCTCTTCTACACCTTTGTTTCTACGCATGGCAGACACGCTTTGCATGTCAGTCCATTTCCTGTACCTTCACCTCCTCATGCCACTCTGTACATTGCCATCGCCGTCACCATCGTGTATTTTTATATGACAATACACAGTAGCAATATACATCCCATCATCACGCATTAGACCAACATGCCGCCAAGTGTGTCGTCCTCTTCGTCCGCATCATCCTCGTCCTCCTCGCCGTCCCTCCTAGTCCATCCGCCCTCTCCAAACCTGTAAGCCCCCCCCCCCCCCCCCCCCGTTGCTTCTAACTTTTGCCTTGGATAGGAGCTCTGCCTGCGTTACGCTGCAAGCAGCAGCATCGTCAGCCTCGCCTGCGGATCCTTGTCCAGCTGAGGAAGCCTCCCGTTCAGGTGCGTTGTCTCAAGCAGCACCCTCAGCTTCGCCTGCTGATCCTCCTCCGCCGAATGAGGGAGCCTCCGGTCCGGGTGCGTTGTCGTGGCTGTCGTGGCTGCCTGCGCCGGATGGCGATAGGGACGAGGAGATTGCGGCGTGGAGAGACTCCGGGCCGAGACACCTACGCCTCCTCTGCTGCGACGACGAGGGCGACGACGACAAAGAAGGTGACGATGACAAAGAAGACGACGAGAAAGCGTCCAAGGCCGAATCAGGCCCAGAAGTGAGGGATGAGAGTGGTAATAGTAATGAAGATAGCAGCACCGTCCCTGAAGCTTGATGAATGGCTAGCCTAGCAATTTGCCTACCTGTGATTCTTTTTCGCTGCCTCTTTTCCCGTCGTCTTCTTTCCTCATCTTCTCTTTCCTCTTCTCTTCTTTCTCCTTCCCTTCTTTCCCCTTCTCTTCTTTCCCCTTCTCTTCTTTTCTTCTTCTTATGATTCTTTCGTTTTCTTTATTCTCTGCTTCTTTTGCTTACGGTTCTTCCGTTTCTCCCTTCTCTTCTTTGCCTTTCCTATCCTTCATCGTCTACAGATCGCAGGTTGGCACTGACCGTGGTAGCCTTGCACCATCACATGACGATGCAGATGATAGAAATTGAAACCTTAGGGATTGTCTTGGCGAGGACTATTCAGCATTTGGTCTTCTCGCACCTTAGTCAATTGAACACTTCTGAACTAACGCCCGTCCATGATTTCTTCCCCATATTGATCCTAAAACAGCAAAATGAACAACGAAAAGATGAAAAAGGAAAAGAAAAGCGCCAGACATGTGGGTATACAATTACTTAGAAAATTCATCCAAATCGTGTACAGCATTTCAAAGACAGAGCACAGAAAATGGCTCCAAACGACATCGCGAATTCGTCAACCATTTTGGTTGGGCACGAAATTGAGATCCAAGCTTTGGTAGTTCCAAAGAGCCGCCAATTCGCCCAGTTGCTCAGCCGAGAAAATATCACAAGGTATCTGTGCGTACGAGTCGCGCGGAGTGGGTGGCATGTATGGATTTGGCGGTGCGGGCATCAGAACTGTATCTGCGGCTGCTTGCACAGCCTGTGGCATGGCATATGTTGCGTCATATCCGGTATTCGGCATCTGATACCCTCTCGACACGTCCAAGAATCCAGGCCCATAGGCAGGGGAGGTACTAGAGATGCTCTGGGCCACTCCACCGCTTCCAACAGGCGAAACTGAAAAAGTGTCGAAGTCGTCAGCGCTTCCCACGTCGCTGGAGCCGACAGAAGCATCGCCGTGCTGGAAAAATGGCGGTGTGAGTGATTCTTCGGCTGCTCTAGCGCGCTTGTGATGGTGGTTGGGCATCTTCGGGGGAGGATACGGATTTTCGATGCGTTTCGCTAGCTTTGACAATATCTCATATGACGTCTTCGCGGTGCGCGTTTCGGTTGCCAAGCGCTCGAGCATGGATCTAGCAGACTCGATGGCAATGAGAATTTCCTGTCGGCTTGAGATATAACAGTCTTCGTCGTGCAGAATGACGGAGCAGAGGACCGCCGCGGTGTCGAAGATGGAGAACAGAGCCCAATGGAACCTGGCATCTTTGGGATATAAGAACTCAAAGAACCTGGACAAGGCCGACATGAGTTTCAATGTATACGCGATACCATCGTCGCGTATCCTTAAGTCATCGCGGTGCGAGTTTGCCGTCATTCGTCTTGCCATGTAAGCGCGCAAAGGATCCAACAACATGGAATATGCCATGGTATGTAAGTAGTGGCGATGGAGGGTGACCCAGGTCTGTTTGGAGTCGATTGACGTGTCGGGATTGTCAAGATTGTACACTTGCGGAAATTTGTTCATCCACGTGAGAATGACGCCCGTGTACTGGTCAATCTGAGCTGGGGATGTAACTTCTCGTGGGGAGCCAAAGCGGCTTGCCAGCTCGGCAATAACCTCGGACTGGAGCTTCACATGTAGCAAGGGTGAAGGCGAATAGCTTTCCAATGTGAGAGCAGGGAGCGATACCTTGCACTCGGAGCGATCAATGAGCTTTGGTCGAGATAAGAGGGCAGATATTTGCCAGTCCCAGGTATCCAAGACGCACCATAGACGCCTACGCATTTCAAAGTCAAATTCAGATATTGAGCCGGCGAGTTGGTCCTGGTGCATGCCCAGTGCTTGGGCTTCGCGGATCGCAGTGCTGAGGGCATGCCAGGATTCAACAAAGCGTGCCTCTGACTTGTACCAGTAGCTAGAGTGTAAAAGGTGTTGTACGTTGAGGATGTGGTTGCTGCTGATGGGGATCACAGAGTGGAGTTCGCGGGCGGCGTTGTGGTATCTGTTGGAGAGGCGATAGACAGGCTCGCCGAGCTCCATTTCCAGCTTTCTCTTCAAGCCCGGGTCTGTATATTGAGTCGAGCAAGCGCATACCATGAGCAAGAGGCAGGTCCATTGCAGACCAAGTGGTTGGGAGGCGAAGCGGGCCATCCACCACTCGCGATATTCTTGCAAAAAGGACGGCGGGTAAATAATATAGTAATGATAATTAACGCGGGAGAGGAAGTTTTGCACTAGTGAGTCTGTCGCGCAGCTGTTAATTTTGTTGCATTTAGAAAACAACGGCAATTTGTCTGTTGCCGAGCATGCGGAACTTGCCTGTTGTCATGCGGGCAGGAAGCACTTGTAGTGCGCGCTCCAGTTGGTGGCAATTGGAAGCAGCTACATGGTGCTGTTTCGCGGCAGGCTTTGGCTTTTTCTAATCAAGGCACGAGACGAGTTTAGCCAAGAATGCAGCGGAGAAGGTGGTAGCGTCGAGTTGGTGACGGAGAATGGGTGGTCAGTCTTACCTCGGGTTGAACTTCGAGGTTGGTGAAGAAGTGTGCACCACCGTAGCCGATGGCCGCGAAGTCTTCTGTATCATCATCATCGGAGCTGGAATCGAGGTGCTCGTCCCGATTTCGGTTACGTTTCCGGTTTCCGCTGGCGGGTGTTCGTTCCGAGGATCCAGCGGCAGCGGTGGCCTGGGAGAAGCGACAGCGATCGGCGACTTTGCGTTTCTGGCAGTGATTGCAGGGCCATTGGCGATTGCACTGGCTCAATGTTAGTGGATTTCTTGTTGCAAACGGGTTGACTGGTAGAGAGGATGAGGAAGCGGAAAAGATGGCCTGTGGTTGCGCAGAGAATGAGAAACGAGGGTAGGATTCGGAGTGGACGTGCCTTCTGCTTGCGCCGCTGGCATTCGGTACAGGCAGAGCGGGCCTGACTATTATCCTCGACGTTGGCGTCCATTTATGACGCGGGATATGAAGAGTGTAGCAGCATGCCCGTGTGCTGCGCGATTGAGAGAGAATGCGGTTCGTGGGCGGAAAAGAAGCCGGAGAGGGCGAGAGCGGACGAGGGGTGGTGAGAGTGAGTAGGTAACGTAGTGAGTAGGTAGTCGTCGAAGTCCGAAGGTAGAGAGAGCATAATAAGACGTTGAAAAGAGATGGAGCTGGGCGGGTAGGTCGCGGGGGGGCAGCGGGGGCTGTCGGGCGGGTTCCTTGACGAATTACTGGGAGACGGAGCTGTCAGCAGCTTTTCAGGGTTCCGGCAGGATCGAAGGGGGCCACAGGGCGTTGAGGCGCTGTAATATTACATGGTGGGTTGATGTGCGGACTTTTGGGTCCCTCGAGAGTCATGGAGGGGACGGGCCTGTGGTGCCTACATACATACATACATGCTTATGTACATACATACTGTACATACATACATACGGTAGCCCCTGGGTTGAACTTGGAGGCAAGAGGGGCATCGCGATGAACAAGGATGCCTGGCTGAACGACAGCGACAGCCGTTTTACCGTTTTGCAAGGTGCAAAGTAGGCAATAACCTGCGAAGAGCGTGCAACTGCTACGAGGAAACGGCGTAGATGCTTCTCAGTGCTCTGCAAAGCCTTTGTACATACATAGCTACTTGGCAGGTTCAAGCAGCTTAGAACAGCATTGCTGAGGCTGCGTTTGCGATTCCTCACCTACATATCTTGCAGTTATTAAAGCAGTTAAAAGGGTCCACTCGTTTTTGGCTGGATCCGTGACAAATAACTTTAGTACAGATTCCCGTATTTGTAACTAGGCACTACTAAAAGGTAAGGCACCGCAGAGACCTCCCTACCTATTGAGGTGGCTCGTACCAAATGTGCGCACAACGCATGCGAGTCAGCCCAAATAAACGACAAGAAAGAAAAACGATAAAAATAAAAACGACAAAAAATAAAAACGACGAAGGGAAGAAGACCCATAATTAAAAAATCAGGCCGCTCTCTTTCTCCTCTCCTGCAATGCGAGAAATGCAAAAACTGCACTGTTGCTATGTACATATGTATGTACTGTAGCCACAGCCAATTGAGGGGCAGGAGGGGCTAACGGCCAGCCCATGTTGCCTTGCTGCCGCCACTTGCTGCACCTAATCACCCAGAATTGTGGTCATTAATGACAAGGAGCCTTGGCCATCCACGTTCGTAAATGAAAACAAGAAATAGCTAGCATATCGCTACTCATGAACGGTTTTCTTGCTCACAGCGCTAGCTACCTACCTCGGCGCTAAAAGTTAGTCTATAACAAGAGGTATGTATGTAAGTTGTATGTACCTACATACATACATATGTACATACATACATACATATGTACATACATACATACTAGTAGCTAGCAACCGGCGAGGCCACAGTGCCCCGCCTCCACTACCCATCAAGTACTAGGACTCGCAGGGACGGCTCTGGCACAGAGTCAATGTAACAACAGGTTGCGATCAACGGCCAGTCGGGAAATAACAGACTTATTGTTGGATTTTCTTCTTTGCTTTGCAGCTCGTCATATTCATACCCATGCTCATTTGCCTAGGACCGTTCAGAGCTCTCGGTGTACAAGTATGATGGATGCTTTTGCTCTCGCTTCCAGCAGCAGTACTTGTATGGTAGCCCGAAGACTCAGAACCCAGCAACACCGTTGAGCTGGGCAAGCCGCCTTGCCCATCCGCCTCTCGCTTGTTCACAAATCGAAATATCAATTTACCTTTCTCGGCCGGGTGCATGCATGCATGCGCCCAACCGCTAGCGTGGCCAAGCCGGCGCGGCCAGAAACTCAGACAAATGCCACCCCATGCCATGCCTGCCCTGGTCCAGAACTTTTTCATCTTCATTCTGCGACTGGAGCCCGAGCCTCTTCCTGGTCAGGCTCCAGAAAAAACAAACGGTAATTCGTAATGTGAAAGGCCATGTCCGCTTACAGAATGTTCGTAGGAGCTGTAACTCGCACCATGCACGACCACAACCAGCGCATGCCCCAAGCCCGGCAAAGGCGAAAAAAGAAAGAAGCAAAGATGCAACCCAACCGGCAGCAGGCCCCCGGGTTGTTGTCTCTTTGCTCACTGACATCTGGAAACGCATCTCGCAAGTCCGTCAGTCACCACCAAAGTTGGCTGATCGTCCCCCACCATCGCGGCGCACGCTGCACTGGGGATCGTCACCCCTCCTTCAGCCTCTCCTACCAAGGATCATATCCCGACTAGTCATCACAGCGAATCAGAGTAGTCAATGGAAGCGACTCCCATCGATATTGACCAATAAAACGGGCTGCCATTTACGTGGATGCATTGCGATGCTTTTGCTCCATGGAGACGAGGAAGATATACCAAGCAAGTTCTGTCGGACAGGTAACTTATTTGCAAGGGAAATGCCCACCTGAGTCCGGAGTGATTCGTACCGAACCGCGCGATTGGACACCGAGATATCTGCTTCACCATCAAACACCAGCACCACGGCAGCGTGCCATGCAGGCAGTGCAAGCCGCCAACGTTCTGCATGCAGGTCAACGCTCTACACGTCACAATCACACTGTCATCTGTCACATTGCACAGTACCAATACAGCACAATAAACAGGGTCTTTTCTTCTGCACCTGTTTCGCCCCATACACCCACTCATCGACGTGGCGGCAATCACCCAGCCTTCAACGGTTGGCCGTGCCGGTTGCTGGCCGGAGTCCCTACTCCGGGATCCGTACGTAGACGTACCGCAATTACCGACCACGAAAATCATGGGCGTCTCATAAAATGAATGCCAGCATGGCCGGTTTGAACTGGACATTGAAAATTTCCACGAGCCCCGCCGTGTCCTGACCAGATCCGAGACACGTAGCTGGGATGCTTGTATTTGCTCTTTGTCTCTTTGTTGATCAAACTACCCTGTTCGTTGAATCCTCCAGCATACCATGAGCTTATCGATGCTGGCCGAACTCACGAACTCGGTACGAAGCGCCGGCCTCTTAGGCTTTTGTTGCGCGGCCGGCCCAGCAGAGAAGAGGTTCGTGGCAGCAAAATGTGGCAACGATTCCCCACGATGCAACGGTGTTTTACATCGCGGCTTTCCTTCCGCGCTGCGCAACAACTGAGACGGCATACAAGCAACAGCAATGTGATGTGTTACACACAAACATCAGCGTGTTACACAGCCCAGGCGTTCAGCACCTGCCCCGTTGGTCCTGCGCAGCGGTGAAATCTCAGTAACCAGGTTGTCGGAAATGTCTCAGCCAGGGTGTCATTTACAGGATGCTCGGCTAATAAATCAGGAGCATGCCATGTCTTGCTTCAATCGTTTGTCAAGCAGCTGAGCTGAGCTTAGTCTCCCGTGCTGCGCCCGAGATCCCGCCGGACGCGCCAGACCCCCGACCCGACAGGCCGCTTCTGATGGCCTTGAAGGATCTCCAGCCACGGCACCGCAGGCGCATCCTGCGGAACGTCTTCCACGTAATCCTCCTGCACAGCACCGTGGCTCTCTTCGCCGGCGCCCTCATACGTCACGTCGACGTCTCTTTGCTCTGCTTGCTCCTCGAGCGACGCCGTGGCGCGCTGGTGGAAAAAGTCCTCGGCATACGCCCAAGTCGGCGCGTCAAACTTTCCATGTAGCAGAATGATATCGTGGCCCTGTGAGCGCGCGCTCTGTATTTGCGATTCCGTAAGCGGCGAGATGAGCTGCAACTTCTTGTTTATTGTGTCGACGCCTCGCACGAGAGCAAGCCCCATGACACGGGAGTAATTGGGATCAAGCGTGGCGTCGTTGGTGTTGGAGATCATCGGTAACCCTTCCGGCGATTCTATAATCTTCAGCTTATCAGTACATTTGCCTTGCTCAGGACAGATGCCCTGGGTCTCAGTTTCATTGGCTGAGTTCTGCACGGAAGCAGCTGGTTGTTGAAGCGTTGTGTCGTATCCAGCAGTGATTTCGCGAAACGCTTTCTCGTCCTCAACTTCCACCACGGCCAACACCATGCCATCAATAGCTGCTCTAAACAATTCAGGCGGTGATTGGTAATCGTATGATAGAATGCCTTTGATCCCCTTCTTTTCCGAAGCATAGTGTACCTCCCACGGTGGTACAGCAGAAATTGGCCTGGCATCCCAGCTCGGGATCGGCGGACTGGCGGTTCCAGGGATTTCGGTTGAGTGAAAGTACGACAGGGTTTGCATAGCGCGCAATTGGGAGCCTGTCCTCGCAGTAGATGCGGAAGGCTGCGATGGCAGCGTCAAGAACTCGTACCGTGTGGCAGAACGAAGGGACTCAACCACGTCAACAGGGCCTTCTTCAGACATGTATACAGTTTGTGAAGGCGTCATTGTTTGTATTAGTTTCACCAACAAATTCAGGCCGGTTCCTAGAATCCACCCTGGCGTGTTGATCAGCAACGGACAGTTTCGCAATGTCCTGCGATAGGTTTCGTACAAATCCGTTGCACATTGGATGTAAAGAGACGGGGACGTGGCTGGTGATACAGATGCCAGAGCATGAGTACGCAAAACTCTGTAGCCCAGTTGGTGCAAGCCAGGGTGTGAGAACGGGGGACCAAAGTTGGCCTTGGTGACGTGAATTAGAGATACGGTCCCAGGCGGGGAGTATTCTGGCTGACCAGGGTCAAGATCAATGACTGCGATTCCTGAGAATGACTTCTCCGTGGCGGCTCCGTCCATGGTGGTGAGAAGGCGGTTTGTAAGTAGCTTTGAAAACGTCGATTTGCCAGCACCTTTGGGGCCGCATACCAGAGTAGATACCTGGGTCTGCTGGCCAGCCTTTTTTGAGCTTGCGATGTCAGAAATCGCCTTGTTCCACTCTGGTGGTGAGTTGAGCTCCTGTAAAACACTCTTCTTGGGAGCATCGTCCGAGGTACAGAGCTAGGCATGTCAGTTAATTGTCCAAATCGCGTACTCGTTTAACTTACAATTTTAAATGTATCCTCGCTAGAGCCTTTAAGGTCTTTGGGGTTCTTTCCGCTGTCATGCCAAATGCCTTGGTATAATGGCGATAGAGACGAGAGACAGAGCAGCTGGCAGTCTGCCCTATCACTGTGCAGCTCCAGGCGTGTCTTTTCAGATGTTCTGATGACGGGCAGCGCATGGCATTGGGGGGCATGGATCCAGTGAATATCTTCCGACACAGATAGTGTTGTACCGAGTATAGCAACTTGTCCGGACCGCACTTTGATGCCAAAGCTGCCAAGTACAACAAAGCGCTGCACACCCTCAGTAAACCGCAGCGCACACATTGACACCAAGTCTTACCTCACTATCAGAGAGTCGGAGCTCGCTGTGCCCGTTTTCATGTTTTCGATGATTGTGTTTACCTAGACGAAAGGACGAGTATGGGACGGCCAGCTGAGTCGAAGCACCACTGTCTGATGTTGTGACGCCTTTCTCGGTGCTACAGAATGTCAGTTACCAGGAGTAGACAAATTGAGTGGGAATTGCGTTTTACCTGCGCTTTGGTGTGCCATCTCTACGAGAAGCAGGGCTCTTGGGCGTGCTTGGGCTCTGGTTTACTTGCGCGATGTGCTGCAGTGCGCTGAACTGATTCCCAACTCGTCGCTTTGCTTCATCTTCAGGGGCTGGGATCGCCTCGCCCAACACGGGAGCGGCGGCACGCTGACGCAGAGCAGACAATGCACTCACGGCCGCTTGAGTAGAATGAGGTAGTCAGAAACGTTGATCTGCATTTTCGCGCCCGGCTTAGATGCTGTTCAGGCTCGACTCACATTGCGGCGCTTCTCGGCCCTTTTCCAGCTTTCGGCGTTTACTAACCGGCATGCTGTTCGCAGTGTGCCCAAGCTCAGAATTGAGTCACTTGAATCGAGGCTCATGGAATTCGCGCCATGGCTGTTATTAAATTACGTGCAACCAGTCAGTTAAATCGCGGTGGCAGAGCATTTTGTATTGACGGAGCTATGTTATCGATAGTGGGTCTCCACTAAAACTTCCAGAAGTTCAGATTGATAACACGCTCGACAGAAAGTACAGAGACCAATGCAGGCTCGATTGATACAGAAACAATTAATTCCTTGAAAAATAGCAGTTTCAATACGTAAAGTTCTTATTAAACAAAGACATTCTAGAAAATTCCGAAAGTGTGAAAAGCATCCAACTTCCAAGGAGGTTGAAGCTGCGCCGCGCACGGGCCATTTTACACGTGAGAAAAATTTGCGGGCACTGGTTGCTAGTGAACTGATCGAAAAACACCCAGCGCCAAAAGATTGAGCTTCATCACCTCTTCAACTTCAACCATTGCTTCAGACATAGAGCTTCACGGCCTCCCACACACGCCAAAATGGCAGAGCCGTTCAAGATTCATTCGCTCAAGAAGATCATGGAAGAAACCTTCAGGCCTAAAAAGAACGAGTCCCCCGAGAAACAGTCAAAGACCAAGAAGCCCGCTGCAGTCGCTAAAAACGCCGCCTTCCCCGACAGCGGCAGCGATTCTGAGTCCTCCTCTAACAGCGAATCGGATAGCGATATCGACCTCGCACAGCTCGCCAAAATGACAGCGCCGTCCAAGACTCAGTTGCCGAAGAAGACCGTGGGAGAGGTCGTAAAGCCGATGAAAAACAAGTCTCCCGAGAAAAAGTCAAAGATTGAGAAGCCCACACCAGCTAAAAAAGTGGCATTTGCCGACAAGAACAGCGATTCTGAGTCGTCCTCTACCAGCAGCGACTCAGATAGCGACGACTCCGAACATGGCCTTATCAACCTTCACCTCAACGTCAAGCCACGACAACTCGCCTCGAACCCCCGCCGTACAAAGGATGAGATTCCAGATAGTGACGACGATTCAACCCTTCCCAAGAAGAGTTCGATGACAGCGAAAGAGTCTGCTACAATCAGCAAGACTAAGGCCTCCTCTCTCCCGAGCGATGTCTCCAGTGAGGCGTCTTCACAGGACAGTGACGAGGACGGCGGTTCCAGTGGGAAGCCCAAGGCGACTTCGTCCGAAGAAGAATCTAGCGAAGAAGACTCGGAGAGCGAGAAGAGCGAGAAGAGCGAAGAGTCTGAGGACGACTCTAGCGAAGACTCAAAGACCGAGTCCAGCGAACAGTCAGAGGTTGGCCAAGAGGCACTGTCCCGAACCTCGCGTCCGCCTTTTGAAGTCAACAAGATCAGTGCGAAAAGCGCCAGTCGTGACATTGCTCGCGCTTGCAACGAGGCCGAGCTGCAGGGCAAAGAAATATGGTGCTTTGCTCTACCCGCCAACACTCCTGTGAGTGTCTTGGAGGTAACCGAATTCCCCGTGAATACATCAGGCCTAAACGACCGTGTTTTACCTTGCAATGGTGATCCCAAGTATGGCATTTCTTTTCATGCCGCGCCTCAAGGAATAAGCGTCAAGATCATGATACCTTCCACTACCGCTTCCGCAAAAGAGCCATGTAAGAACACGTCAATCACCGCGGCAATGGAGGCGTTTTGCTAACGGATTTGCTAGATGGCGGAACTGCGAAGGAAGTTGTTCGCTACCAACGTACAATTGAAGTTACACCAACCATTGATACGTCAAAGGTTGCCGAAATTATCCGCGCAAAACCCCTGAAGAAGGCTGTTTCGGTTACCCGCAAAGAGTCTCCGGTGAAGGAAAGCCCGGCCACTAAACCCCCTCCCAAAGCCTCGCAGGAGAAGGAAAAGAAAGTCATAGATAATCTCGAACCCAAGAAGGCCATCAAAAGTGTCAAGGGCAAGAGAAAGCTCAGCCACTTGGAGGATGGGGAAGCTGCGGCGGCCAACTCTGCTGCCAAGCAGCTGAACGAGGAAGCCGCCTCTACACTCACCTCAGCAAAGAAACAAAAGACAGGAAGCCACGCCAGTCCTGCTACGGCATCCCAACGTCTGGTCCCTGCCACGCCTGCTACACCAACGCCTGCCAAGACCAATTCTGGTAAATCCTCAATCAATCCAGCAACACCCATTCACACCTCTCAATCTGCTGGTAAGGGGGTGGCAGAGACGCCAGTTCCTTTGCCAGTGATTCCCGCCCTCCCGAAAACTTCAGCTGCCTTAGCCGGTGCGGATTCGGAAGTGACGGCCTCTCCGTCCGTGAAGGGATTGATCAAGGTGAAGGCGTCGCCGAAAGTGAAGGCATCGCCGAAAGTGAAGACTGTGCGTACCAAGAAGGACTAGGACAGCAAATTCTGGCTCGCGAGCTCGGCGGCAACACCCAGCAGGAGCTTGGGCCTAAGGGAAGACGCTGTACATCCTCATTGCATGGAGATACCCAGGATGTAGCAGTGTCGCGTGTACTAATAAGGCGGCCGCAGTTGAGGGGGGGGGATTTTTGCTTTTCAGACGGAACTTTTGTGAAAGGCGCTTAGGCGTGGAACCATTCTGTTGCTTTGATTTTATTTGAATTTCACAGGTTTTTGGTTGAGATAAACAAACTCGGGGAGTTGGATGAAGAAAGATCAAGGGGGGCGCGTATGCTTGTTAGACGAAAATCGGTGCGCAGGACAGGGCAGGATAGTAAAAGACACTTTACCGTACGGCTCTGACGAGAATCAAGTTCTTTGGAATTTACCATGTCTTGAGGCTGCGATGGCTATTGCCACGAGCGCGCGGTTGCGATTGCGACTTTCCGCCCGGGGAAATAAAACCTCCAGCTACCCGGCATCACGGCTCGGTGCGACGCCGCAGCCAGCCGGCGACCGCCACCGATGCAACAAGCTCTCTGTAGTGCCGTATTGTTCCTGCATGGGGCCAGGATACAAAGGGAAACTTTTGAACTCTTTTCTTCTTCTTCTTTTTCGCGCATTTCTCTTCTAGAACGCCGTCTCGGGGGCGGGCAAAGTCCGGTCCCAAGTGGAGGGAAACCAACTCCAAATTTTCCCTCCTTTTCAGGGTCCAGCCCAACCAAAAAGTCCACAAAAGCCGGGCCGGGAAAAAGCTTCTAGAGCGGGAAAGATCCAGCGGTGAGGAAATGGACCCGTCGATTGGACTGTTGAGAGAGAAGGTTTTTTTTTCTTATGATTTTCAAAATATTTCCTTTTGCTGTTCTTGGCTGGGAGCAGACTCTGATGGCAACGTGACATGTTACCATTCACCGGCAATTGTCTTCGCCCCACTCTTGGCGATGAAGGAAGTGATTATTACCGCGTCTGAGAGGACGGCCGCTGGCTGGGCAGTGACACCCCGTAGAGGCAATATTGTTCAGCCGTTTCTGCCTCTGTTCTTTTTGTCCGCCTGGTGTTGGCAGCCGCGCTGCCTGTTGCGGTGTTGCGGCCCGCGCGGCACCATTATATTACGCCTCGATCATTCAGATAGGGAATGTGCGCTGCTCTCCCCTTGAAGTTGTGGACAGTGGACGGAAAACATTGAAATGCGACCCCTCTGGTCATCCTCTGTGACGGGAATGGCAATGACACCACGATACCTAAAAGTCGGCCGGTGAGGCCGGCACGAGGTGTGTGGAGACACCAGGCCCAAGACCGAAAAGGCCGAGTTCTGAGAGATACTCACCGATTTTGTGGTCGAGGGCTGCTATGGGGACGTCAACGGCTTCTCGCGCGGATCGATTACGTCGTTGGTTGGCAGCGATTCGGTGACTACGAACGGTCAAGCTCGAGAGAGGGAAGGATACCGCGGGCTGAGCCGAGTATCGGGATGGCGAGACAACGAGCAGGGGAGACGGATGACCGAATTTGGCAACTATCCATGGGAGTTGCGAAAACCTGATGACTTGCGCAGACTTGAGATGGAACAGTGGGACATGGCAAGACGAGTGCGAGGTTACCTATGTAGGTCTCCAAGCGCGCAAACCGTCAACTTGCCCACACTGAAAGAAGACTTTCTCTCAACTAGCGAGTTGGCACATGGCTTTGTCAGTTTCAGTGTTAGTGAGGCCTTTTCCATGCCTTTGTTCTGGTGGCGTCGCAGTTGCCGCGGAGGGGAGATTACACGCCCCATCCATCGAGCCTGACGACGCTGGGCTGACGTGATGATGGAAATTTTCCGTTGGTTGCTATAGGTAGGCATGTAACGCGACTGACAGACTTGTAAATTATTTTCTTAACAAAAAAAAAAGAAGAAGATGTAATAATAATAGAAAAGACAGTGATAGAGGTGCCGGTTTGTTGTCGAGGCAGCAAATCATCAACTCCCTAATAAGAGCATCACGATAACTGCATGAGTCGGTGATTCAAATGACAGCTCGATAATCTCCGCTGGAAGGAAACATTCAAGCGCCCAAGTCATCGCCTTTCGGGACCGAGGCAGGCTCCGTGCGACTGACTGGCTTGACCAAGTACCTCGAGTGCCAAGCCAAAGTACCTCCTCTGACGGGCGGGCCTAAGCCAGTTGTCATCCTCTTTTGCTGAGCCGCCCAGGAACGGAACATAGACTATGTCGTCATGGCTTTCCAGCAGCTTTCGCCTTTGGGCTGCCATACAGATGCCAGGCTCCTGCTATAATAATAGAGCGGAATAAGCTGCTGGGCTGCAGGGCTCATCCGTGCAGATTCGATATTGGAAACTGGCGCGATTGTTCCCAACGAAACGTCCGGCTGGGGGTACGGGTGCAGAGACACGCGACATCAACTAGGATTGCCCCGTCCGTTGATCTTGGGGGGGGTTCTCGCGTGCACAGAAGCTGAGAGAAGACAGAATGCGACGACACAGTTTCTGGTCGGTCAGCCCACGAGCTTGCCGTGCCAGACTGGGGGTTCGTTAGCTCGGGCAGGGGCTCGACAGCTTCAAGTTGGTCAAAAGAAAGCCAAAACGCGCGTTATGGCCCATGGGAAATTGCTGGCGCGAGGGGCGGGTTCCCCTGCACCCAGCCGGTGATCCTCCATCTCCCGTGCCATCGATGGCTATTATTAACCTCCTTTTTCGTTTGAGAGGCTCCATAGGCAGTTTTGGTTGTTGATTACTCTAGTCCCTACTAGTTAGCAGTAGAAACGCGCAAAATTAGAAACAGGGCCAGTGTGGCTGAACGGATTGTTCCCAGAGTAACGATGATAAGCCATCGCGCGGAGCTGGTGACCGTACGTAGGAGCTGTATCTAGATTGAACGAACACAGAATATTGATTGGCATTGTCCTTGACACGCTCTCGGACGTCGGGGTCATTGTGCCCGGTGCCGCGCAACGGTTCCTGCGGGGGAGCTTGAGGGCTGTAGGGCCAAAAGGGCCTGTATCGTCGCCTGGCTCCAATGATGATGATGCCGAGTCATAAAGGAGACCGCAGTTGCTTTTCCTCAGGAGGTAGTTCGTAAGTTAATTCAGTATGAGGAGCTTCCCGTCTCTCGTGTGGCTTGTCATAGCCATGTCTCAGAACGAAGAGGAAATTTCCCGCGGCCGCCCAGTCGATGCAAGCAAGATATCCGGCACGTCTTGGCGTTTCGTTGGAGGAGAAACAGAAGCGTCAAGTTGCCATGAATTTTGTTTTGGATGGCTGTTTGGCCGTCCCGTCAAGAGGCAAGATAGGTGAGTTTGAGGCCTGGTGGAAGCTAAAGTTACTGCTGCCCACCAGCCAGCAGCTCCCAGCCACGCACTTGCCCCCAACTGCATTTTATTAGCTGTTTGCCAGGCAGGCAAGGGAAAAAAGTATGCACGATGAGACGCTAAAAGGCTTGGCGTTATTTCCCAGCGCCCCAACTTGAACCAATTAGCGGCCGGAATCGCTCTCAGCATCGTGGATGGTGAGGTGCCAGCATCGTTTTACGCGGAAATGCCTGTGCCCAGAACTTGGCAAAATTACATGTAGAAAAAAAACGGCAGACAAAATACGCATTTTTTGCTATTCATCCTTTTGCGCGCGTGACCAAAATTGCAACGTCAACTTGACTAGTTACACTAAATACCTTACCTACTGAACCTCCAGGCAGATTTTGCGGGGATGTAGCGCCAAGATGTTTCTGTTCTCGCTTTCTTCGGATACAGCTACAACTTACCTCTCTGCCAACCTGGCCAGCCAATTTCTAATTGCCAAGGACAGCAAGGCATGCTTCACCGCTTACGCGAGATTCCAAGCCAGGAGATAACTAGTCAACGTCATGAGAGCAACCCCGTTCTGAGGTAGCTACCGCCAGCAAAGCCAATCGCAGGTATCACTGCTTCTTCATTCACACCGACTCATCAACCCCTCCTTGCCTCAGATACCACCAGCCCTACTTTTTACCTCTAACCCGATACGCGACCCCTCTTCGATCCGTGATGGATGAGCTGCATCTCGGCATTTGCGCACACGGCCGCTTTCACGTTCCTGCACATGTCTGCTCACTGCAGCCGCGACATGCTTACACATACGGATATCTGCATGAGGTAAAGTAGCTGCAAAGGTACTCGGTGCAGCTGTGGTCTCCCGCACGCCGCGAAGAAGATCCCCTTTGGTACTCCGTATACCACGCCATGTATGCATTGCATGTTGGCACACCCCAATAGAATAGCTGGGCTTGCTCCCAAATGTACTGCTATGCCCAACCTAGGTAGGTACCTGTCTGCTGCTCCGTGACAAGTTTTGGTACGGCATCGGCTGCATCAGACATCACACCTCTCCAATCTGTTGACTGTCGCACGACATACTGCATGACAGGCCAATTCCTTGCCTTTGAAACCAGTTCGCATAGCAAGTAGGGGAACGGTGAAGCAGGCTCTGTTTGTATCCGGCGTTTGTCTTTGTCAACGCAAGTTGGTCAGGTTTGTACGCAGGTAGCTGAGGTGGCCCTGCGAACCATCATGACGTGGCTGTCGACGCCAGCTGCAGGTTGCCTCTTTGGTCGGCTCCTCTGGTCTAGTAGCTGCCAGCCACAAGCTGCTGAGGCTCAACCCCATGACCTTTGTCTGGCGCCCACCACATCCGTGTCTGCCGGCGACGAAGCTCAAGCTTTTTGCGCTTTTTGTCACAAGTCATCATTCCATCGACCTCCCGAGGGGCAAGTCCATTGAACCGTGGCGGGGAATTCCAGAGCCACAAAACCTTTTTTAAGCAAGGGAAGCCTGTTGCGGCTGCGCTGTGGTAGCGCAACTTACCGACCTACGTAATTGACTAATTGACTTTGCTCCGCAGGCAAGATACCAAGGGTCCTCGAGTTAAGACAATGTTCAGCTAAAACGAAAGTCGAAATGGTTGTCTCGTCTTTTTAGCTCACCAGCCACACACTTCTCCGTCGCTGTCGGGGTCGCCAATGTCCGAAGTGTCCCGCCGCGCCGGGGGATTAACAGAGGCCGACCGCGCCGGGTGGTGGAACGAGGACTCGGGCTGGGTATAGGCATGACGGACTTGAGTTGCTGCTAACTAGAGGTGTAGTGGCGCTAGCTGATTTTAGCTCTGAAAAAAAAAACTGCACAAATTATTACAAAGTTTTTTTTTTTTTTTTTTTAGGTCCTTGACTGAAATGCAGGAGGTACCTCGGCCCACAGATAGATGTACCTCCTCTTCTGCCCGCTGCTTCCGCGTCACCCTGGTCGGCACGCCTGCCTCCACCCCAGACGCCTTGTGTGCACTTGAATCTGTGTGCCTGACCTGCTGTTTTTTAGGCGTGCTTTGGTGCAAGTGATAGCAATTTACAGGCCCCCGGCACCTTCACTGCAGGGGGTAACAAGCCTCCTCTGCTCCCTGCTAGCACAGATCTTGGAGGCCTACATACAAAGCTGGCTTGCAACCTCAAACCACTGAGTGGCACAAGTGCGCCTGCTGCCCCAGGCAAGTGGTCGTGCCTCTAGCCGTTCAGCGGCTCTTCCGGGTGAGACACCCCCGGAGCTGGCGGACCACCACGTAACTCAACTAAAAAAAAAGAATGGGAAAGGAGCAGGACTGCACTAAAAGGTTTCTTTCCCACCAATTGTCATCATTGAAATGCCCTGAGGCTCCAGGCAGTTTCCCCCCGGCGCACCCAAATCTCCTCCTCTTCCCACACCTCATTCCTCTGCCACACACCTCCCTCTTCTCCTCCTCTCCCTCTTACATCCCGCATCTTTTCCCACATCATCTTGTTCAAGGGCTCGTCGCTTTCGTCTTCCCACTGCTTCCTTTCCTGGCATTCTTACGTTCGCCTCGCGCCAATCTCACCTGGGGTCGACCCTTCACCTGTTGCCCTTACCGATCTGCAGATTGGGCACGTGCCAGCGATTGCCAGACTTGCCATTCGCATCGAAACACAGGCGCCGACGTTGCCGACTCGACTCCATCCTCGTCGCAAGGTCATCAGGGGGGACAAAGGAGCTTTCCAAACACAAACGCCGTCTTCTGTATTCATTTTTGGATAGCATGCAATAGCCTCGGCCTTTCCCCCTCGACACTGGCTCTCGACCACCTCCCTGCCTTGCTCTCCAAGGCTCCCTCTCTGCGTCTGGGTTGGCAGCACGTCACTACACTTCCAGAGCTGCCGAGCAACGCCAAACTTGTCCCAAACTGCAAGGCTGCAACTTCTCGTTGACATTCTCGCGTTTGCGACTCTGCCGCTCTGCTCTGTTTCGATCCCGTCGCCTCCGGCGCGCACACAGTCATGACCGACCGCGCCGGGCCTCTCCCGGCCAAACCCAAGTTGCCGAATCTGCTCACCGAAAACCTCAACTTGGCATTCCTCAACCGCCTACCCCAGCGCTACCAAAATCGCCGCCGCCCTCGAACAAAGTCCAACGCCAGAGACCAAGGTGTCGAGGATATCACAAGCCTGTACACTTCGTTCAGTGTATGGGATGGCATTCGCGACCTGCAAAAACATGACTTCAAAAAGTCAGACTTGCAATATGTCTTTCTACTCTTTCTCACCCTCTTCTCCCTCTACATTGCGCCTTCGGCACCTGCGCTCAAATTCTTTGCCCTCGCCGGCTCCGCCTGGCTCCTTCTCATGCCCGCAACGCGTCAAATTCTTCTCCCTTCCTCTATGATTTGGATCTGGCTTCTCTACTTTTTCTGTAGTCGGTAAGTTGCCTCGCCAAGATGACCAGCTGACGGGACCGTTAAATCTGTGCGGCACCTCGTGCTCTGACTTGTTGCTAACGTCATATCCAGATTCATCGACTACAAGTACCGTCCCCATATCTGGGTTCGAGTTCTGCCAGCCCTCGAAAACGTCTTGTACGGTGCCAACTTGTCCAACATCTTGTCCGCCCATAAGCACCCCGTTCTCGACATCCTTGCCTGGTTGCCGTATGGCATCATACATTTTGGCGCGCCGGCTATATGCTCTCTGATACTGTTCATCTTTGCAGCGCCAGGAACTGTTAACGTGTTCGCGCGCACCTTTGGCTGGATGAGCATTCTTGGAGTCACGATTCAGCTCATGTTCCCCTGCACGCCGCCCTGGTATGAGAACGAAAATGGCCTGTCGCCTGCTGCGTATGGCATGCATGGCTCGCCCGCCGGCCTCGCGCGTGTTGACGCTATCTTCGGTATCGATCTGTACACGACTAACTTCACCAACGCCCCTCTCCCGTTTGGAGCGTTTCCTTCGCTGCACGCCGCCAATGCTGTCCTCGAAGCTCTCTTCATGAGCCATGCCTTCCCGCAGTTCCGCAATTTTTTCATTGTGTACGCTGGTTGGGTTTGGTGGGCTACCATGTACCTGAGTCACCACTACGCCGTTGATCTTGTTGGAGGTGGCCTCATCGCCGCCGCATTTTTCTACACTGCCCGTGCTCGATGGCTTCCACAAAGACAAGCTGACAAGCTGACGCGCTGGGAGTATGAATACGTCGAGATCGGGAACCGTCATACGATCACGGATGAAGAATACGGCCAATACTTCGGCCTCAATATCATTGACAACCGGCGATCGAGCCAAAGCGACGACTGGACCCTAGGCAGCAGCTCGAGCTGCAGCTCTAGTAGCGGAACCTTGAGCCCTGTCACCTCCGAGGAGACGATACCCGGGTTATTGGACTTGGATGACGAGCACGAATTCCAATGGGATCGCAGCGGTCAACGCAGAGACGTTGAACTCAGCGAGGTTGTTGTCCGATGAGACGCTGTGCCCACTCAACAACACTCGGTACGCACCTCGAGCCCTTTCACAGTGCTTCTGTCGCAGTTGTCACTCGGGACTTGCCGAAACTCTGCACATGACGAATCATCCGAACAAAATTTTCGACTTCCTCATTCTATTTTTCGACTTACCTTTTATTACATCTTTGGTATTTATCGGCACAGCGACTTGGCGCACAACATGAGTTCATTACCAGGCTGACGAGCTCTTGCTCGACAAGCCTTGGTCGGAGTCTTACGCCATCTCTCGAGATTTGCGAGGCCAATTTTAATCTTAATACGCTTTGGGAGTGATGCATCGAATTGGCCTCTGCATTCTTACGACTTGGCTTTTTGCCATTCTTATTACTTCATCTTTTTACGTACGGCCACGTTATGTTTGAAACACAAGCCGATAGAACTACGTAATGTATACATACATTATTTTAATTCGTGCATGGAGAAGGGTTTGGGAACAGCAGAGATCATTTTATTTGGGCTGTATCCGGGGAATGGAACAGCGGGACAACCGGCCATGCACTGAACATTCGCTATATATATACCACGAGGAGGGCTCTGGCTGAGGGCCTGCCCATGACGGACATGATGAGACGGGGTCCAGGACACGGCTTGCTGCGTGTCGAGGTTTGCGAAAACCCTGGATCCCACTAATGATTGAGAATTTGGTCCTTCGTTAACCTACGATGGATACGAATGGGGGAAGAGTTGAGTTGACAGGCAAACTTTCATAACCAAAGATACCGCTCGCTAGACATTAGAAGGTAGAAGCAATATGAAAACAAAACACAGCAAAGACCCGGGAACATGGGAAATGTGACCTCTATTTTGTATAGAAACATGTGCTGAGCTTGCTGACACCAAACGTTGCCCGTCCATTCGTATAGTATTGTATCCAGACGAAAGACGGAAGGAAGAGAAGGTAAGTGACATGACGTGAAACATACAACATTATATGCGTGCAAAAGATGCGACTAGTCGGCAACATTGAAAAGTGACGAGAGCTGCTGCCTCCTCAGTCTCGCACCGGCGAGCCGCCCCAGAGGCCCTTGCTTGTTTGAACTACCTTGTTGGCAATGTTGCCCGGCTGAAGCACCGCGGGGATGCTGCTGATCACCGTTCCGCCCATGGTGACGTCGGTGCCGTCGCCAGTCTTGGTCGGTGCCGGTGCCGGGTCGGCCGGCGGCGGCGGCGACGTCTCCGCAGCGCCCTCCGAGGGCTGCGTCGAGTAGCCGCTGTCTCTCGTCTCGCGCGCCGGGACCACCGGTGGTGCGGGCGACGGACCGGTGTCGACGCCGCTGTCCTCCTTCCTCGCCGTCGTCGCGGCGGCCGCGGGCGTGGCGTCGCGCGACGGCTCCTTGGAGCGGGCGCCGTCCATCATGAGGTTCTGGGCCTCGCGCAGCTTGTTGATGGCGCGGACGGTGTCGATGGCGGCGTGGAGGGTGCGGCGGGCGTTGAAGTTCTTCTTGATGGTGGGGAGGAGGTTCTCGCCGGCGCCGTCGGTGGGCGCGTCACCGGCGACGAAGGGGTGCTGCAGCGCCTCGTGGGCGGTGACGCGGCGGGCCGGGTCGATGGTGAGGCAGCGGCGGACAAAGTCCTTGGCGTGGGAGGAGACGCCGCGCCAGTACTCGACGGGCGCGAAGGCGTAGTCGGCCTTGAGGATGGCCTGCATCTCCTCGAAGTCGGTGTCGCGGTCGAACGGGGTGTAGCCGCAGAGGAGGAAGTAGGTGATGACGCCGAGTGCCCACAGGTCGACAGGCTTGCCGTGGCCCGTCTTCTTGAAGATCTCGGGCGCCATGTAGCCGGGCGTGCCGCAGGTGGTGGTCAGCACGTGGAACTGGCTCTCGTCCATGATGCGCGACAGGCCAAAGTCGGCGATCAGCAGGTCCGCGTTGTCCTCGGGCGTCCGGAACAGCAGGTTCTCGGGCTTGAGGTCGCGGTGCACGATGCCGTGGTCGTGCAGGTACGCGACGGCCGACAGCGTCGCGCGGATGAGGTCGGCGGCGTCCGACTCAAAGTACGACCCCTTGCGGCAGATGCGGTCAAACAGCTCGCCGCCGAGCGCCAGGTCCGTGACAAGGTACAGGTTGTTCATCGTCTCGAAGTAGTCGACCAGCGTCAGGATGTTCTGGTGGCCCATCGACACCTTTTTCAGCACCGCGATCTCGTTTCGGACCTGTCGCGTGGGCACGCTCGTCGGTTAGCGAATTGGCGTGTGTAGACGGCTGGGAAAGTTTCGCTGGCATCGTCTACCTACCATGTGCTCTCGCCCAGCCATGAGGCGCTTGTTGATGACCTTGGCCGCATAGTAGCGACCTGTGTCTATGTGCACGCACTCTTTGACGGTCGAATACGAACCTGCGCCGAGCGTCTTTCCAACCTTGTAGCGGCAAGGCTGTATCGTGGGCTGCGGCGAGGTAGTCCCCTGCTGGCTTGCCATGGTCCGATATTCGCAACGCAAGGCCTTGTTGGTCGTCGACACGTGGGTTATCAGCTCGGTGGCTTGCGGGCTCGTCCGGGTCGAAGATGGCAGCTACCCCTGCGCTTGCAGCTCAGAAGGGGCTACGGCAGTCGCTAACCTTGATTCCGAGGTGCGGCAGTTTAGGTAGTCGTGGGGAGTGGAAGTATTGAGAAATCTGAGTCGAGGAATATGTGAGGGAAGCCGAAATCAAATGGCCTGGTTGTCTGGCTCTGTGGTGGGGGAGTGACAGGTGGGGGACAAAACGCGATGGTGGTCGGAGAGGGGGTTAGTCAGCGACAATGCTGCGGGGAGCTGAAGACGACAGCAGCTGAAGTCGTTTCATGCCGAATCACGGCTCATCGTACGGTCATCAAGTTGAAAGATATGACGCTTTATGGCAAAATAAGTTGACATGCAAATACAACGCCGACAGATGGTTGAATAGAAAGTACTACCAGTAGGGTTCTGGCTTAGAAGCGCCCCGGTGTTCCCTTGTCCGGCGACCACTTATGAATGCCGGCTGGCGTAGCGGAGGAGTAGGCCCACACAGCACCAGCGTCGCAGCCCGTCGACAAGAGAGTAGTTGTACATGACCTGCCACAGCCATCATGTCTCTCTCGCTAATGTCTAACAATATGGTAGCCCATGCCATGGAGTCATTTGAAGAGCACCTGTATGGGACAGGGTATAATTATAATTTTGAAGCGAAAATTATCTTGACATAATGTACATAAGATAAAGACGGTCAACGACTAATGCTTGGGAGATGATATCGGCGCCTTACTTGTCACCTCCACGCCGAGACTGCTTTTTGGAACTTTGTAACTTTTTTTCTTCGAGTCTAGAGTCATGGAATCTTTTGGTCCTGAATATACGTATTAGCATGACTGAGGCCCGAGGGTGTACAAGCAAACACATACACCTCCTTGTATTTGGCATGCTTGTCACTACCCGTTTCTGCCGGCACTTTTTCGTCGTATATCTGTCTAATGACGGAGGCTAGTTTCTTGCGATTTTCATCGGCGTTGGCTGTCCTGGACCTATGGCTCTGGGCTTGAAAGGTGAGAGAATCGCTGCCAGCGGTGTAATACGGCGACAATCGAATACTGGGATGAAGGATAGGCGGGATGACGGATAGGATATCCTTGACCGGGAACACAGAAATTGCTTTTGTTTCGGTTCTTAGTGTTACTGTTAGTATTGCACATAACAATGACTGTACAAGGACGTGGTTGAAACACACTTGTTAACATGCTGGCCGCCTGGGCCGCTGGATCGAGCATATGTGGTGGTGCCACTTGGTAGTTGAGACGGGTCAAAGCTGGCATGCCATCTCCGCGCTACGGCAAGGGCGTCCTTATCGAGGTCGGCGTCAAAGGCACTGTAGCGTTTGTATCTTACGTGCCCTATCCGAGATGCCGATGCTGCCGAAGTCGATGCGAGAAAAACAGTGGTACTGGCCGTGCGATACACACTTGGAAACGTCCGCTGCATGTTACCAGGCTCTCCGGCTCTTGGGGATGGCACTGCTGTAGGGCTCGTGAGAAGGTGTTGAAAGGCAGGCCAAATGAAAGGTAGGTAGGTAGGTAGTAGTGGTAGGTCGGCCAGTTTCCAGATAGTAGCACGGTACAATGGGGCAGCCAATGCAAAGCTACGATGATGGGAAAAAGAGGAAAGTGACAGTGATTTGGACTTGATGGGGCATGATGGTTACAGCGGGTGCCCCGCAGTAGCTTCAGTGGAAGCGTCGCTACCGAAAACGCCGCCCTGGCCTCTTGTTGATGGATGATCGGCCCCCATTCCTTCTGTGTTATCTGTGGTTGAACACAGACCTGGGCGTCGCACAACCTTGCAACAAAGCACTCAACAAGCACTGTACAGCCACACAAGTTTGTATCCTCTTGAATATTTGTACTCTGTAGTACACAACTTGATAGCCTGCGCATCTCATCACGAACAAATTATGCATTTCATTCTTTTACCCGTACTCTGCAATCCTACCTTTCTATGTTATATACGTGCCTACATAGTACCCCTCCAGACCGCTCCTGCAGCCAGATGCAAGTTAGCTTAGAATCGCCTAGCGCGGCCAGCTTCGGGGCCAGATTTTTTTTTTCTCTTTTCTTTGTACAGTAGGTAGCACTAGGCTTCAGGCTGTCAGCCACCATGTTTATTTTAATCATCGTTTAATAATTATTCTTCATCCCGTCTCTTTTTCTCACCCAACCAACTTCACCCTTTCCTCCGACTTACCCTCCTCAACAGCTCTCTTCTCTGCGAGTGCAGTCTCTAATGCTTGCCCTTACTCTGTTAGATTTCTCCCCCATCCGACCACGCGCTTCAGTGACTCCCAAAGGTGCCCAGTGCCACCTGGTTGGCGAATTGCTCAGCACCCTTGCGCCAACACAACTGCCACCAAACGAGATTTCACGCGGCTGCTTATCGCATCTCCATCTAAACACTGGCCGACATCTCCATCTCGGCTCTCACTCTTGCTGATTCGACTGCATGGAGCGGTCTCAACATCGCCCTGATCTACGCCTTCGCCCATAGCTCCACCACTCCGTTTCGAAGTTGGACACGCAGCAAAGGCACACATGACAGACCAACAGGAACCTGAAATCCACGCAACGGCGGCCAGTCTCTCGCCCGTCTCCCCTTCCCCTGTACATACCGCCGCTCCCCTCGTCGTTCCCGCGCTGCAAGACACCGTCGATACCATCGAGGCCATGGCCGCTGCAGTCGCCGATGCACCAGACACTGCCATCGAATCCATGGCCAACCCCACCAACGAAGCCGCCCAGGACGAGTTTGTAGACGACGATAGCCTTGATGGCGCCTACGTCGAGGACTCCGAGCCTCAACTACCAAACACAGCTGACAGCGGCAACCAAGACCCCAACGACGACTATGCAAAAATGTTTGACTCTCCGGCCGGATCAGATCAAGCAGAGGAGGACCGGGATGCCTCTGTAGATGTATCAGCTGCGCCAGCGACTGTCAGCCAACCCCGGTCCATCCAAGCACAGAATGACACCGCCAGCTCCCCGGTCTCCGCCTCTGGCAACCAGATTTCATCAAGTGCGCCCGTTTTTCCAGCCTCCCAACCTGCTGCCCAGTCACTCGCAGGCCATGATACCAATGTCCCAGCCCTTGAAGCAGTCGATGCCACCGCGGCTTCTCCTACAGACGCCCATCCTGATGCGCAACCATCCGAGCAAGTCGACACCGGGTCTGCCTTGAACTTCCAAGCCGATGAACCGCATGGCAGTGCCAGCCCATCCGCTATCCAACCATCCGCTATCCAACCCGACGGTCAGCAAGATACAACTAGCCACAATGCCAGCCCAACAACCCTAGCTTCCACATCATCACTCCCGCCTCGCCCGCCTGTTCTACAACCAACAACCCATTCGTATGGCCAAATATCTTCACAGGGTCCAGTACAAACACCTCAAACTGCAACTGGAGCCCCCAGAAACCTAAAGGAATCTGGTGGTACCCTCCCACTAGCCCCCGAGGTGGCTCACGGTAGCTCAGCGCCGAGTGCCCCCCAGACCGCATCTGCCCACGTCGATCACGCCCATGACGAGTATCAACGTCTCTGGGACCAATTTATAGTCGATGAGAGACAATATATGTCAGAAGCCAAGTGGGATCGCTTCCCTGAAGGCTCGCGTCTTTTTATCGGTGCGCTTCCAGCAACGACCCTATATATTTTGGCTGCTAACGTGTGCCAGGAAACCTATCCAGCGACAAAGTTTCGAAGAGAGACGTGTTTGAAATTTTTCACAGATACGGCAGGCTAGCTCAAATCTCTCTCAAATCCGCGTACGGATTTGTCCAATACCACACCGTTGAGGAGGGCAAGCGGGCTATTCAAAATCTAGAAGGGTTTGAAATCAAGGGTCGACGTATTCGTAAGTGCCACATCGTTGTACTTTCCCCACAGCCACTGACACAAAAATAGACCTCGAAGCGTCCAAGCTTCAAGACAAATCCAAAAAGGAGCGAAATAAGAGTCCAGAGAGAGGGGGCCGCGGTCGAGATGCGCCACGCAAAGGCGACAAATACCACGACAGGGATGACCGCCGCGGTAGTCGCCATCACTCGCCACGTCGCCAAGGACACCACGGACGCGACGACTCATACGGCGGCCGTGATAAGTTCCATGACTCCAGCCGCGGCCGCGATCGCTCGCGATCTCCAGGCTACGGCAGACACGACAAGGGCAGGTACCGGCAGCGAAGTAACAGTCCGTATGGCGGGCGCTCGCGACATCAGGACAAAGAAATCGACCTACCTAGCAGGTACGGTGCCGACGTCCCTGATATTCAAATCATTATCCAGCAAGAAGTCCACCGCGATTTCCTCGGCTGGGTCGAGCAGGCATTCAGGGACAAGGGACTGCGAGCGGAGTCCATGTACTTGAAGCCCCGATTCCCCAAGGATAAGGTCATTCAGCGCCAGGCCGCCGAGGGCGTCCACGCCGTCGTGGAGCTCGACATGCGCGCGCAGAATCTCGGCAAGATTCCCGTGCAGGTGTTTGATCGTTCTAGCGGTTCCAGTAACGTACGATTCGACCAATACGTAGACCTGGACCCCGCGACGGCCGGCGAGGTTGTCCTCCGCGCCAAGGCTTCCGCCGCTGCCGCTACCGCCGCCGTGTACACCCACCAGCCTTATGGCAGCTACCAGCAGCCGTACCAACCACCCGTCCAACAGCACCCTCCACGCGGCGACCCCTATGGCGGCGCTGCACATCCGCCAGCTGCGTATGCCCAACCCCTCCCTGCTGCTGGCATCCCCGCCATGGCCGACGTCGCAAAGCTCGTGGGCCAAGTCGACAACGCCACCCTCCAGCGAGTGCTCTCTGCCATGGCCGCCACGCCTCCATCCAATGCCATACCGGCGGCGGCCGTACCCCAACCCGGCCACGCGCAAGTCGATATCCAGGCCCTCCTCGGCGCCCTCGGTAGCAATCCTGCTGCGCAAGCCCCTCCAGTGGCACCGGCTGCCGCTCACTACGGCGGCGCGTACGGTAGCGCTCAGGCCGGACCTCCTCATCACGGTCCTCGGGCACCCAGCGACCCAGTAAACGGCGACTCGGCCGCCGTGCAGAACATAATGACCCAGCTCTCTCGGTACAGACAGTAGAAACAGGACTCGCGAAGCGCATCGAACACCCAGTCGTAGCATGTCTACTTCTGCCTCATATTCGAACTAACACGTGTGGCGTTCATCAACCTCCCACTGCTTTCCATTTTGTCCTGCTTGTTGCGGTCGTGTTCTCACGTGTGTCGTTTCTGTTGCTTACCGAAGTATACCGGCGCTTGGCATGATTTAGCATAGATGGGCGAGAGCGCAGCAGTCATTTGAAAAAGAAAAGAAGCGTTCTTTTTTTTTTATCAGGGATCCGAGAACAGGCACTCTACCAATCCAGATGTCAAGCAACACAGATTTTCAATCAAGATTCTTCTCGACTTTGCTAGGGATATCAAGTGTTTGCTAAAGTAAAAAGCGTCGCCGAATACAGTGTTTCAAAAAAGTAGGAAACGATGGGAAAACGTGTAGGTATTTCTTTCACAGTCGACTTGGCGTATACTCATCTGATTCAACAGAATCCTTGTTTTGCTCCAGCCGTGGCATCCTGGTCAATATAAAAGGAATCGTCATATTACCACGTACAAGGTTCTTTCAACAGCCAGTCGCTTCCCAACAGTCACTCAAGTGTGCAACAAGGTCGAGATGATTTTTGAGATGATCTTCATGGTTGGTCGTAAAGCAAGGCTCATTCATATTACATAGTAAATATTCTACCCGCAACAAAACAGAAACACACACTCCAATCAATAGGACTTGTACAACATGCTCGCTGCCTTCTATACAGTTACACCCCCCGTTTCTGTCTAGCGACTGGTAGCCCGGGCAATGGTGAAGACACCGACAATGACAACGGCGAGCGTCACGATGGCGCCAGGGAGTAGCAAATCGTTAGGGACGCCCGCAATCAACTGCTCCTGCACAGGAGCCGCTGCGTTGCGCGTCCGACGCGATCTACGTGCGGGCGCTGGCCCATCCTCCTCCTCCTCATCGTCCTCGTCATCCTCATCGTCTTCGTCGTACGCCCGGCGTCTTTCGCGGACTACGGGGGCAGTCAGCGTGGGAGGGGTCGCGATAATGGGTGTCTCGACGGCGGCGACCGCAGCGACGGGCGGCTTCTCGGGGTCGTGGACGAAGAGCTCAACCTTGTCACGGTGGCCTTGGCGCGCGAGCAGGATGGCCTCGAGCAGATCGTTATCGGTCGTGATGGAGACGGTATCGCCCTCGTCGTCCATGTAGCTTACGGCGAAGCCAGTGTTTCCTAGCTTGCCATCCTCGGCCGTCGGCACGCCGCCAATGGACTCTACCTCGTTGCCGAGCTTAGAGGCGACTGCAGCTACAAAGACCTCGATGCCTTGAGAGGCTACGACCTGCAGACGATGGACGCGGTTTGACGGCGCCTTGAACTTGAAGGGGAAAGGAACATCGCCAGGCGGGACCTCAGGGTCGTGATGAGACCCAACGTGGGATGCCGAGTCGCCAGGTGCAACGCTGTCTCCTAGGCGATCACGGCCGACGTCAGGCGTCATCATGCGCGACCCGAGGTTTGTGTGGTGCTGGCTGCCGTCGCCGGAGACCATGGACTCAGTCTCGTTGTCGATGGACAGCCAGAACTTGTTCCAGGCAGGGCCTTCGCCGTCGCCGGTAGACATAGAGTTGATCTGCTCCAGCGTGGCGTAGGTCAGCTTCAGGACGTCGACCATGCCGACAATCTCGCTGGCTTCGTTCATGACGGGGAGATTGAGGTAGTGGCCGTCGTGCATCTTGCGGAGGGCAGCCTGGATGGTCATGTCTATGGACGCAAAGTCGGGGTGGGGGGTCATGACACGGACGACGCTGCAGTTGGCGGGATCCAGACCAGGAGCAATGACACGAAGAACAACGTCCTTGCTGGTAAAGATGCCGGTGATAGCGCCCTGGTCCTGGACAAGGACGGCGGTGGTGTGGTTCTCCTTCATGAGGGCGGCGGCCTCCTTGACAGAGGTCCTTACGCTGACGGTTGTGGGGGGGACGCCGTTGAGGACCGTCTCGAGGGTCGGGCCGGACATCTTGGTGCGCAGAGCCTCGACATACTGGATAATCTGCTGGGGTTGGTTAGCACCCAGTTCAGAGTGGACACCCTCGAGGGCATCGTAGAGCTTCCTCGACGACGAGTAGGCGCGCTCGAGCTTCTCCATGGCGTCGTAGAAGCACTTTGTGATGTCGAGGACACCGGAGATGTCCTGGTTCTCGTCCATGACTGGCAGGTGGCGGAAGCCCTTGCGGACCATAAGATCGAGAGCATCGGTGGCGCTGGTATCGGTCCGGGCGCAAAGGGGGTTCTTGGTCATGATCTCGGCGATTGTGACGTTGCTCGACTTTTGGCCGGCGCCGACGACGCGGAAGGCCAGATCCTTGGCGGTGAAGATGCCGGCGATACGGTCGTCGTCGTCGGTGACGAGAACACAATCCTCGCGCTTGGCAGCCATGAGCTGGGCGGCTTCGGAAACGGTGGTGCCAGGCTTGATCTGGAGGGCCTGGCTGGGCTTGAGGGCCATGACGGTGCCAGGGGGAGCCTTGCGGGAGTGTCGAGCGCGATTCGTGAGGTGCTTCTTCTTGGAGAGGTCATTCTCCATCTTTCGGCGGATGGCCTGTAGAAGTAATCAAGTCAGCGATTTCGGTCTTCTGGGCTTGACTGCTGATATTTTGCGATGGCGGGCCGCAGCTGCTCAGGGGAAGGCATTGAGGCCCTCGGCCTGATGTGGTAGCCCGGAGGGCCATGTCGTTGTTTCGAATAACGCACCTCATCACGTTTACTCTGCTTCTGGCGGCTGGCACTGACAGACGAGCCGGCCTCCGAGGGCTGTGACTCGGCGGCGGCGGCGGGTCGCGGGATGCCAGAGGCAGCAGGACTGTTGGCAAAGGGGATATTGCCCCTGCCTTGGTTGCGGTTGGGCGTCCCTCTCATGGTGTTGCCGGACATGGTGAGCGAAGGGGGGAGAGCTTCCTGCGGTCGATATTATAAACAGACGGCAACGCACGCACGCACACACACAAAACAAAGGGAGGACTCGGCCGGTCTGCTGGCGGGGTGAACGGGTAGCCTGGTGGGAGGATGGTATGCGTTTTCGGGGAGGGGCGGATGTTTTGCTGGAAGACAAGAGGGTTTCAAAATCCTGCACAAACGGGCCGTTGGAAGGGGTACCGAAAAGTCGAGGGCCGTTCCCGAGTTGCTTATTATTAGGGGTGGTGGGCGGTGGGCCGGGTTGGAGATGAGGTTGAGGAGATTCTTGCTGAAGGGCTTCGTCCTTGTTTACAATGATAGTAGAATAGCAGACACACCAGCGTCGGCACTAACAGCGGGCACTTTCGGAACGCTACGACATTTTACAGGCGTTGAAGTCCACTGGAGCTAGGCGTTCTCCAGCGGGTGTTCGTCGGCCAATCCCCCTGACAACGTGGGGCTGTTGGCCTTTCCTCTCTGGGCCGAAAGACAACAGACAGCAGAGAGGCAGGAAGTGTGAGACAAAGAGCAAAGAAGACGGAAATACTATTCAACAGTTCTCTAGTCATTCAATGCCGTTTTTATTCAGCCTTGGTAGGAGCAATTGCCAGGGCTTCTACCTCTGCAGTCATCTCGTATTACCAAGGCTCAGTATACATGTTATCATGAATGCACGTGAAGATGCACCGTTATATTACCTACGCTTCATTCAATTTTTAGTTCCCATGTAGCAAAGCATTCTACCCTCACATGTGTACAATTTCGCTAAAAGAACTGAAGATGAGTCAAACGCCATCTCCGCCCATTACGTCCAATCCTCCCACGCCTTGACGCACTCCTGCCAATCCTCCCTCGACCACTTTGGATCGCTATACAGCAGTTCGATGCCGCGCGGCGCCAAGTCATCCGCCACGCGCCGCAGCCGATCCCACGGGTACTCGGCGCTGCCCTGCTCACCGAGGACCCTGATCGGCAGGTACCTCACGTAGATGGTGCGCAGGCAGCCACCATCACACGCCTCGCCCCCGCGCCGCCGCCTCTCCGCCGCGTAGTTGCCAAAGTCGCGCAGCCAGGCCTCCTCGTTGGGCCCCATGTCCGACAGCCGCTCCGACTCCATGAAGCCGATGCCGAAGGACCAGGTGAAGCGGCGCAGGCGCGGCGCGAGCAGCCGGCGGCCCGTCTCGCCGGTGAAGGCGAGGTCGGTGCTGCGGAAGGACCACCGCGAGAGCGTCAGCTCCCGCAGGGCGGGGAACAGGGACACGTCGATCATGGTGGCGGCCTCACCGGCGTCGGCGCTGCTGCGCCGCCGAAGGAAGCCCAGGTCCAGCGCGGTCAGCGTGTCGCGGTGCTGCAGCAGCGCGTTGCCGAACATGCACAGGTCCATGTCGTTGCGGTTGTTGCGGAAGTTGCCGAACTCGAAGCTGTGCAGCGCGCGCGGCCAGCTCAGCAGCTGCGCCGTCGCCGCCCAGTCTTCGCTGTAGTCCTTGAGCGTGAGGTGCGTGAACGACGCTGTGCGGTACTCCTGTGGCCCGTGTGAGTAGAGAGGAGAGGAAGCAGGTAGGTTATGGGATGTGAACCTGGGGAGGGGGGCATGGTGTACCTTTTCATGGATGATTGGGCCGGTGACGCGCATCATTGCGGTGACGCCGTTGAGAGACAGCCGGCGAATGTCGAGCGAGCGACGAAACTCCCGCACCACGTCCTCCAGCGTAGGACCGTAGCCCTGCCGGTTGAGGCTCAAATGGCGCAGCCGCTTCATGCTCACGATCGCGGTGCCCACAATCTCCAGCGTTTCCGTCCGGAAGTCGTCGAACCCGCCGTTGACGTGCAAGAACGCCGTCTCGGGCACTAGCGTGACCAGCTCCCGCACCTGGGCGAACAGCTCCGTCGACGGGTACTTGTCGCGGCCCTCGGCCGTGTACAGGCACAGCCCGCGGACGTGCTCGCGAAGCGCCGGGTTGTCCCTCAGCGCGCGGAGGAACAGCGCCGTCTTGCGGGCGCGCTGGCGCTCGCGGAACGGGTTCTCGCTCGTGGCGAAGACGCGGTAGAGCAGCGGCGTCGCCAGGCGGCGGAAGCGCCGGTCGACCAGCGCTAGCGCGTGGAAGACGGCGTGGCGGTCGGCGAGCAGGTACGCCTGCTCCAGCTCGACGTCGGGCCCGTAGACGAACTCGACGATGCGCAGCAAGAGCTCCTCCGGCAGGTGGCCCAGTCGGATTCGGGTCTCGGCGGCGGGCCCGGCGCTGCTGCCGTCAACGTGGCCGTGCATGTCGTCGGGAGGGGCCATGTCCAGACATGAGGAGGGTGAGTGCTATGCCCCCGCGAATAAGCTCCGCGTGTCGATGATGAAGTTGCAAGGAAGAAGTTTGGAGCTTAAAGTTGCCGTTTGTATGGCCAGATAGGGCGTCCGAGCCTTACCGGATGCGATGGATAGGGCGCAGCGCCCCCGCCTTGGTTGACAGGCGGAAGAAGCCTCCCGCTTTTCGGCATTTACTGTAGAACATGATAATACGAGAAGAATAAAATGCGTCCTATTATTCCAATTTTATTAAATTGATTCCATCATCTACCTCGAGATAATGTAACGCAGTATGCGCTATTTATATGACCTGTTTTTCCTGCCCTCTGTCCCTCAAAATCGTTCTTTGTGAGGTTGGGAGCTGAGACTAGGCAGTCCGCAGGCTGCACAAATGCCTTCCACAGCTTGACCACGTTTGCGCTTCGACGTATATTAAACGTTAGCACGGATCCGGCAAGCCTTCATAGTGCGAAATTGCAGCACGTCTTTGTATCCAAGTACAACTGGGCGAATGGTTTAGTGGTATAATACTCCCTTAGCATTCGCTTTTAAGCGGGTTCAACGATTGGGAGTGGTCCGGGGTTCGATTCCCCGTTTGTCCATCCTTGACTTGGTTTTCTTTTTATCTTTTTGCGCTCTCAAATGAATGTTGAACTGAACTTAGTTCTGAATATCCTTCTATATTATTCGAAAGGAGAGTGTGTTCCTTTTTTGAACCGATTCATATCGAGATGATCTATGTAACTGCATAACAAACATAACAATGCAAGCGTCCATTCGACGCAGTTTTAACTGTATCCGCGGTCTAACAACGACAATGACTGCATTTGGGTATCGCATGAGGAGCGTTGAAATATGTACTGTTTCCTAAAATGCCCTTGACCACGGGGAGGCTTCAGACTTTGGTGATCTTCGCACCAACCTGGGCATAGCGGGCCGCGACAAAGAAGCCGAACCCAATCACCATCGACACACCGCAAAACAGCTGCAGGCCAATGTACTCGCCGTGCTGGCGCGACACTATGGCGCCACCAATCGGGCTGCCGGTCAGCGCGCCAAAGGCCATGACGGCAAATGCGGTGCCGACACGTGTGCCAATGTAGCGAATGTCGGAGACCTGGGCGATCAGCGTCGGGGCGAGCGAGACGAAGCCGCCGGACGAGAAGCCAAAGAGGGCGGCAAAGGCGATGATGCCGGCCGTGGAAGTGACGGGTATCCAGATGGCCAGGACGAAGACGGCTGAGGCGAGGACGATGCACAGCACCACGTTGAAGCGGCCGAGCCTGTCGGCGGCGAGGCCGGGCAGCACGCGGCCAAAGATGCTGATGGCGTTGAGGATGGGCAGCAGGTAGGGCACCAGCGTCTGCGTCATGCCGGCGGCCTGGGCCTGCAGCAGGATGTAGTTGAAGGGCAGGAACATGCCCCACATGAAGAAGAAGGAGCCCACGATGGTAAGGACCATTTTGACGTCCTTGAAGGTGTCGACGTACTCTTGCAGGACGAAAGGGCGTGGATTGGGCGGCAGCCGCGACTTGATGGTGAGGTTGGCGACGACGAGCAGGCCGAGGAAGAGGAAGGCGACGGCGCGGATGGTCCAGGGGAAGCCGATCCGGCGGATCAGGTGGTCCATCATGATGGGCAGGACGACGCCGGCGAGCGACGAGCCCGAAACCATGATGCCGTACGCGGCGGCGCGGTTTCGGAGGAACCAGGTGACGATGCTGGCCATGGAGGCATGGAAGATGGCGCTGGACCCCATGGCGGCGACGATGGACTGGGCGAGGAAAATTTGGTAGTACTCGGTGGCGAGCGAGGTCATCATCAGGCCGAAGATGTAGACGACGGTGCCGGCGCGCAGGATCCAAGCGGGGCCGTAGTTGTCGTAGAGGCGGCCGATGAGGATGCCGAGAAAGTTCATCATGAAGACCTGCGTCGACGTGATCCAGCTGACAGTGGAGGCGCTGTAGTCGCGCAGGGTGTTGGCGACGTAGTACTGCTGGAAGACGCCGACGCAGTTGATGAGGCCAAAGGTGCAGAAGAGCGCGCACCAGCCGCCGAAGACGACGAGCCAAGCCTCGCGACCGCCGTCGGGGAAGTCATCGGGCGAGGGGCCGGGGGGCGCGGCGACCTGCTCTGAAGGCGTAGACGGCGGTTGCGCACGCTCAGCGTCGTACTTCTCTGAAGGGGGTGCCTTTTCAGTGGCGGTGGTGATGGTTGCGGCGGCATTGCTTTGGACGTTTTCGTTGGGCACGTAGAGTGGCTTCTCGTGCACCGTGTCCGAGGACATGGAGGATGTAGATCCAGCCATGACGATTGGTGATGAGCGAGGCCTTGATGCTGATAGGCGAGGTGGAATCTCTCCAGGACAGAAGTATATGTGGGATTTGAGCCCGGGAAAAAATACCAATCAGCTGGCTCCTTCCGGGAAAGAGAGCAAGACGGTACAGAGAGTGGTTGGCATGCAACAGATTTGGGCTGAAATTCTCCGTGTGCGACGGTGTTGGGAGAGCATCAGCGTGACGTATAAGCTGGGAGGTAATGGTATCTCGCGCCGAGAAGTTCAGGAGGTCACGACGGCAGGGGGGAACAGACAGGCTTGCGAAGCAGGTGTCAACGTCGAGGAATCTAGGGGGAGCATGGTCGGAATGAAGGAAATCTCAGGCGACAGGGTAATTATAAATCCTGGCATGGAGACCCCTGGTGAGGAGAGAAACACGGCAGAGTTCACGGCTCGCGTCTTGGACGAAGGCCGAGCAAGTGGGGATCAGCCAAAACGACGGGCCTGCAGAAGAAGTTGGTTTAGTTTATTAGCGACCCTTGCAGAACGGCATTGTCCAAGTGCGTTCAAGAAAAAAAGCTGACGGAGTTGGCTCATGTGGCTGACTAGATTGGTCGGTCAGACCCTAGGTTTCCCGTTTTTGCTTAACTCCATCTTAGAGCCGGCGCGGCGCGAAGATACCTGTCTGTGATGTCTCCCCAGCAGATCTTATCTTAGTAATGGCGGGTTCCGTTCGCGCCCTGTGGTGATGCGTCTAGTCATGGTTGTTGCACAGTGATCGCTGCTGCTTCGACCGCTTGTCGTTTCATTGGTGATCTCGGTCGTCCGAGCGATTGCGAATGTGGCGTCTCTAGTGGGAGGGAGGAGGGTGAGCGGTTGGTTGAGGGGTTGAAGATGCAAACGAAATGGGGGCGAATTACTTGCAGCGGGGTGGCAGAGCTTCCATGTGGTTAGCCGTACATGGTTACAACCGCACTGGCGTTTTATCAAGCCACCACATTTAGTAGGTATTAATACTTGCAGACTTTATCAAGGCAGCGATTTTTAGCTTTTTCGGTTGCGGCCAGATACATGGAAGCTCACCAAGGTTATTAGGCAGAAAATTAACCTTGCTCCGTTTGCCTATTAACGCTTCACGTCGCAACGCATTGTTTTGCTGATCGCATCTTCATTGCCTATCTGTTTTATTTGCTTAATGTTGGCAAGAGTTTCGATTTAAAATACAATGCATTTCTTTCCTTTTTCATTGTCACGCTTCCAGTCATGCACATTTTGTCATCTCATATACCACAACTGTTACCAGTCGTCACACAGCTTTCTGCAGCCAACGAAGCATACCCCACTTGTTCACGATGCGAGAAGGACCTTCCTTCTACCTAGGTTGGTAGGCGTCCAAGATGTTGGCGAGTACCAAGCGCCGCTATCGTGAAACGCCCGCCCAATCTCCATATTGATGTGAAGACGAAGTCGGCGGGTAGGCCCGCCCGGTTGACGTCGTCCCCGGTCTACCTGTCGGTTTAATTTTCAACGAGATGTCAATTATTAGTACCAACAATGCGGCAGAGAAGAAACAAGCAAACAGCACAGCGGCACGTCGACTCAAAATCGAGTTAGTCGCCTGGCGATTTGATGTCTCAGGGTGCCTTGTTAGGTGGCTTGGAGGATCTCGATGTGCAACAGTAACGGTACAACGCGATAGGGGCAAAAGAAGAGGAAAAGCTAACAAAGTACTCTAATTTCCTTCTGTGCATTCTTGTATGATCATTTGTCCCCCACGGGTAGCTCTAACAGGCCCTATATAGGTATTACCAAGCAACAAACTACCAGAGGATCGCAGTCGTTGGTGGGCTGCCCTGGTGCTGTGGCTGCCTGGCGTCTTCCAATGTACTTGCATATTACTACCAACGGATACAGCAACATAACTGTTTCCAACATACAACGGTAACGCTCTTTTGTACCTGCAATGTGGTCGTCTTCTTGTAACTGGGCGGGTGTTGGTAGCTAGCCTTGCGACGCGCTGAATCTCGAGCTAACCAACCCTTGCCGCTCGGTTTTAGATGTTATCGCCGCAGCTGCATGTAACCAAACAGTATTAATAGCGTCCAGACGTTTATTATGGATTTTTTTCCGCATATTTACCCTGATTCATTTTATTCTACAGCCTTACTACTAGGCATCGCGTGTTACAACCCAGCATGTATGCCCCACCCATCTCCAGGCCAAGCTTCCCCAAGTCAGATCGGAGCTTGGCTGAGCGCGAGCTCCGACCATTCGCGTTAAGCATCATTTTCAAGGTCCAATAGTCCCAATGGTGCCCACTCCACGGTCGTCAGTCCATGTTCTGGATATCATAAATTGTATTGATTGGGTCGGTTTTGCTTGTGGGGTTGCACGGAATGCCGTCTCGGTGTGACACATGCGGCGTAGAAATCCCTTGTAGAGCTCGCGCTTCCGTCCTCCATGGTGAGCTGCATAATGATGACATGCCAGCCGCAGTCTCAATCCGTCAGCTGCTGCTCAGGTGCAAGGCCACCTCGGATTTAATTGTCCCTCTCAAACGTACTGTGTACACACTGGCGTTGCTCCCCACCCCCAAAAACTTTCAAAGCGGTACTCTAGGGTAGTTCCTTTACAATGTAAATCGCATATACAGAGGGTAGTTCTATTAACTTGCAAGGAAATCTGTGCATGCTGCCAGAATAGTTGTACACTAAATCATACTCAATCGCCATTTTAGCCTGACTTGTCTACCGGACAAACTCCTTGAGGTCCTTGCCGTCCTCAAAGGTGACCTTGCCGTCCTGCTTGGCCTCCGCCACCTTGAACGCCGACACCTCCTCCATCTTGGCCTTGCCATCCGCAGCCGGCTGTAGGGCCTCTTGCACCGCACCCGCCGGCGCATCCGCAATTTCGTTGACTTCGCGGCTCGACAGCACGTCCGCAACGCGTACGCCGCGGCTCGACATCAGTATCGTCGTCGGCCCGCGAAACTGCAGGAACAGCCGGTCGCCCCAGATGCTGCGCCGGGCCATGGTGCGCAGCCCGAACAGCACGCGGCCGACGAACTTGTACGCCCCCGACTCGCGCACCGCCTTGACGAACGCCAGCTCCGGCAGGAAGCGCGCCACCGACGGCACCTGCAGGCGGAAGCTCGAGCTCTTGAAGCGGAACGGCCGCGGCGCGTGGCGCGACACCGCGTACGCCACGACGCTCCCCGGGTGCGCGACGAACGCCTCGCCCTCGCCGAGCGTCAGCTGGTACACCTGGCCCGGCGCCGACACGGCGGCGAGGCCGCGGCCGGTCAGGAAGGTGCTGCCCCAGTGCGCGAGCCCGAGGCCGGTCTGCATGCGGGGCGACGGCGATAGCGTGTGGCCGGTCCAGGCGAGGAGCGCGTTGCGCTGCGCCACCATCCAGTCGGTCGTGCCGTCGAGGTGGATCACGGAAAAGGTCGTGGTGGGGGACTTGGTTGAGATGAGCGCCGTGGCGGGCGAGGCGGCGGATATGCGCTGGTAGAGGAACGGAACGCCGAGAGGGGCGCGGGTGAGGGGGTTTAGAACGGAGAGTGTGGATTGGGCCTGGAATTCTGTGAGAAAAAAAATATAGCGGGTGGAAGTTTTTGATCGGGTCGTACATCTTCAGGGTTGCCTGCGAGCGCAACGAGCGTGCCTCGTCTAGTGTATAGGCGCTGCGAGGGCGATAAGGTCACCGAGAGCATGGAATAAGGCGAGCCGAGGACCTCGAATCGTGCATCTGTCAATTCTAGTTAGCATCGGCGTCCCCCATAGTCCAACCCAGTGCGACGACATCGTACCGGCCATGTCTCGCGAGGGGTCAATTGGCGTGCCAAAGACATCCCCTCCGGCCCCAACGCTGCCTCTCGGAGCTTCCGTGCTCGGGGCGGCGCTGATCTGGATGGCTCTACATTGTCGGCAGACGTACGAGGGCTGGGTGATGCGCAGGCCTCGCATGGGCCGCACCAATGCGGTGTGACCCCTCATCATTCCTGCAGTCGATGCGGTGCAGTTGACGAGAGAGGAGAACAAAAGGCGCGATGAGTTGCGAGGTGATTGATATGGAGTGCGTCTGTCCGTAGCGAAGCTTCCCGGAAATACCCTAGCCAAAAATGGGCAGTTCAATCGTTTGCAGGGCGGGTCGGCGGTTCAGACGGCCCGATGGTGGGCTGCCAGCTTCACGTGTGGTTGCCCGGACAACAGCAGCTGTCCACCACCAGCGCCTGTGCCACACTCGCACAGACAAACCATAGGCGCGTGGGTATACATGAAAATCACAGCAAAATACGGTGTCCGAGGCAGGTCACGGATGTATTACTAGTCACGAGGTCGAACTTCCATTCACGGCGAGATACAACGGTCGAAAATAGCGAGCATTGATATAATAGCGAGGTCAATTGCTTGGTTTTATGATATACAACAATCATGTCTGTACGAGTGGTCGCCCGAATTCGTCCGCTGCTGGACGGCGAGCACGAAAAGGACATTATCGTTCGTGCAGACACTGCTGAGGCGGGAAAGCCCAATACCATCGTCAAGATCCCCAGCCCCAAGAATGGCGCCGAGGACTTCTCGTTTGCGTTCAACAGCGTCTATGACCAGTCGACCTCGCAGGAGACCCTCTACAACTCGGAAGGTAAGGGACAGCTGGTCCGGGACGAAGGAATGGCCCTGTGCTCACCACCTCCATAGTGCAACCGCTTCTCAAGTCGCTCTTCCAAGGACTCGACGTCACCCTCTTTGCCTACGGCGTCACCGGCACCGGCAAGACTCACACAATGCGCGGCGGCCTGAAGCTGGCCGATCGCGGTGTCATCCCCCGGCTGCTGAGCGGCGTCTTCCGACGCGGCAAGAAGATCGCCAAGGACTCGGACGGCGATACGAGCGTGACCGTGGCGCTGTCCTACTACGAAATCTACAACGACAAGGTCTTCGACCTGCTGGAGCCGCCAGAGCAGCGAACGCCGATGGGGCTGCCCCTGCGGGCCGAGGCGGGCGGGCGCACCGTCGTCTGCGGGCTGACGGAGCGGCGCTGCGACGACCTGCGCGACTTTGAGAAGCTGTACATCGAGGCCAACAACAACCGGGTGACGGCGGCGACCAAGCTCAACGCGCACAGCAGCCGCAGCCACGCGATCCTGCGCGTCAAGGTGACGCAGTCCGGCCCCGACTGCGTCCGCGAGAGCACCGCGTCGGCGATCGACCTGGCGGGCTCCGAGGACAACCGGCGCACGGACAACGGCAAGGAGCGGCTGGTCGAGTCGGCGGCGATCAACAAGAGCCTGTTCGTGCTGAGCCAGTGCATCGACGCCATCTCGCGCGGCGACCGGCGCGTGCCTTACCGTGAGTCCAAGATGACGCGCATCCTGTCGCTCGGCCAGAACCACGGCATCACCGTCATGATCCTCAACCTGTCCCCGCTGCGCTCCTACCACCTCGACACGCTCAGCAGCCTCAACGTGAGCTCCCGCGCGAAGCGCATCGAGGTCCGCGAGATCGAGAACGAGGTCGTCTACAAGCAGTTCCCCAAGTCGAGCGTCGCCGCGGCGCACGGGGGCGGCGGGCTGGGCGGCGGCAAGCGCCAGCCGCTGCAGCCGCTGGCCAACGCGCACAACGTTCAGAGTGGCAACGCGGCGGCGGCGGCAGCGGCGGCGCGCCCGGTCAAGGCGTTTAGCGTATATACGGACGAGCTCAAGCCCATTCCCACGTCTCGCCCCTCGCTGGCGACGTCGGAGATTCGAAGGGCCAGTCCTGCGAAACGCTCTTCGGACCAGGAACCGACCACCGCCCGCCCCTCCAAGCTGGCCCGCCCATCGTTGCTGCCGTCCTCACTAGCCGCGTCTTCGGGTAGCCACCACAGCAGCCTCAGCAGCCAGGGAACCATCACGCTGTCGGCGGCGCAGATCGAGGCCATGGTGGAGAAGAAGGTGGCCGAGGTGCTCGCGGCGCGCATGGCCGCCGAGCAGCAGGCAGCGGCAGCGTCCGCCATGCCGCCGCCCCCTCCACCGCCGGCCAAGTCGAGCGGCCAGGACGCCGCAGCAACCATGCAGAGGCGGCTGGAGGCGCTGGAGCGTCGCATAGAGGCGGACGAGCGCCGCGAGGACGCGCGGTCGGACGGCCTGCGGTACCTGCTCGCGGCGCGACAGCACAAGGAGAGCGGCGACGAGGCGGCGGCGCTGCGGGCGTACGAGAGCGCGCTGCCCTTCTTCCCGGGGCAGGCCAAGCTCGTGGGCAAGATCCGGCGCCTGCGCGGGCGGCTCGGCCTTCCGGGCTGCGACGTCGGGCGCCATGACGGCGGCGGCGGTCGAGGAAGACGCGACGACGTGCGTGGTAGGAAAGGCGGCGGCGTCTGAGAGAAGGCGCATGTCTCGGCTGCCGGTCATCCACGACGCGGCGGCGGGCGAGCTCACGGCGAACCTCGACGTGACGGGCACCATGTCGTTTGACTTTAACGCGCGGGCGAGACGCATGTCGCGATTCAGCGTGCATCCCATGTCGGCAAACTAGGACCTGCATTTAGGTTATACTTGCGTTGCCTGAGCAATTTGGAGAAGAGAGCATCTTGTTGGGTTATATGGTGTTGGCATATTTTTCCTTTGTCGTCTCATGGCATTTTGGTGTTCCTCCGCATGGCGAAGATCAAGAGCCGATACCAGCATCATTTTTCATCTCCGCGCAAGGAAAAGCTTGGCTTCGATATTGAAGAGCCGGCTTGGGCGGACAGTGGCGTTTGTGGTAAAGGAGTTGCGAGATTCATACTTGGTGTTTCTTTTGTGTCTTTTGTGTCTTTTGTGAAGGGGGTGAATTTGTTCGAGGTCAGGTTCGGTGGCCTGCTTCTTAATGAAGTCATGTATTGGCATTTCCAAGTGTAACTTGGAAGTACCAGGTATAAAAACAAATACAATAAATGAAATACAAAAAAGCAAATACAATAGCAAAACAATAACAATAATGGAAAATGCTGGGTAGTAGTTGCAGAATGGACATGGCTGGGGAAGTCTCTCGGCCAGTCGTTTCTGACATGGTGACAATGGTCGAGACAGCCAAGGCTAATAATCAAGTGCTCATAACTTGATGCCTGCTTCATAATTTAATGCACTACTCTGCACCCTTGACTTTCGGCTTATGCGTCCTGACTCGCATTTCATGCACCACGGCCTCTGCTCTGGCGCGTCCTTGCTCACAGCAGAAGAATAAGAGAATATCAATACAAATGAATCCATGTTTATGCTTTTGGCCACAACATGGTGTCAACGTACTCCAGTACTTTGTAGAAATCTGGAGGCATAGTAAATGAATAGCTATTGCCAGCCATGCCTGCTCACATTGTGGGAGCATGAATAGATGAACCGATACGGCCACCATCAAGCCGTGACTTGCTTTCTGAGAAAACTTGTGTCGTGATGGCCACACAAATGTAGAGGAAATCATGTCTCGTCTCGCCGTCCGAGCCCTTGACGATCCTCATCGTAGAGCGTATCTAGCTTCGTCCAACATTCCACTCACCACAAGCTGGCGGGCACCTGCGACAGGACCACCCAGGCGAGCGCCGCGTAGGCCGCCAGGTCCAGCACGCGACGGGAGCTGCGCGCGGAGCATGCCGCGCAGCCGACGCTCGTTGCGGCGCGTCCAGGCGTCGCTGTCGTTGACGTGCGACACGGCGGCATCCTCGCCCCCCGGGGCGGCGGCGGGCACCCGAGGAACGCGCACAGCGCTGGGCCCAGCCGTCGCCGACGCGGTGCTCGAGAAGCCGATCGGCGGGGACGAGGGACCGGACGAGCTCGTGCTGGCGGCGCGTGCGCGCGACGCCGTTGCGGTCAAAGTCGTCGTCGTAGAGGACGCGCTGCAGCTTAAGGAACATGGGGTGCGTCCAGCGGTCGGGCATGCGCAGCAGGATGGCGGTGCGGTGAGGGCAGATGGCGGTCGGGGGAGCGTCGTCGAGGATGTCTGTCGCGTCCATGGTGAATGGGAGGGAGGCGATTGGCAGTGGTCGGGTGGTAAGTCGAGGCTATTCGCGTCGTGATGAATTTGACGAGCCCGCGGCGGGTTGGTGATGGCAGCCCGGACGTGTGGTTCGGCGACAAGGGCAAGAGGTGCATGCTTGTACAGCCGATACCGGTGAGACGTGCGTATTATTGGTTATTGGGGGACGGATCCAAGACTCTGAATGCATCAGTACCGGTACGGTGCGCTCTCCCCTGCGCCAAGGTCGCACAGCGGCTTCCAAGACGACACTTGGAAATTACATAGGAGATGTGACTCTCATGATTCTACGCCAAAACTCTTCACCTGCACCCATCGTTCACGTCGAACCAAGGCCCTCCACGGATAGTATCGGATCTAGCAGTCACGTCCACGAGACTGCAGACTTCCGTAGCCGATGCCCGGCGAGAATAATGATTGCTTTGCCCTTCCCGCCCCTGACCAGCGGCTACGTGCATAATTCCGAGCTTGAAACAACAATACGCGCCTCACTCTTCGTTGCCGTCCGCGGGCAGCTTGTCCGTGATTGGGCTCGACGATGCCCACGCGAGAGCTCAACTACTGAAGACACGACACACACGGCCCTTGACCACCACCGAGACATGAAGACTTGCCTTGCACCATCACGACAACCTCCAAACACCCACCATGTGCATTCCTTCAGCCCTCCTCATGGCCTCGGTTGATGACCGGCCGTCTGACGACCGGCCGTCTATCCCTGCCCTCCATCCGCCTCGGCCCTCCCCGTGGCGCCTCCTCCGTCAGTCCCCCACGCTCTTCCTCGCGCGTCTCCTCTACCCCTACCGAGCAACTGCCGCTGCTCCCCTCATCTCCTCCTCCTCCTCCTCCTCCTCCCCCGCCTCCGCCTCCTCCATCTCCGTCGTCTGCATCTCCGACACGCACAACACCCAACCCCCCGTCCCCGACGGCGACCTCCTCCTGCACGCCGGCAACCTCACCGTCCGCGGCACCCTCGCCGAGCTCCGCGCCCAGGTCGCCTGGCTCGCCTCCCTCCCGCACCCTCACAAGGTCGTCATCGCCGGCAACCACGACCTCTGCCTCGACGCTGCCTTTCTCGCGCGCTCCCCCCCCCCTCCCGAGGATGACGGCGCTCCGCTGCCAGACTGGGCCGGCGCGGGCATCACGTACCTCGACGGCGCGGCCGCCACGCTGACCCTCCGCGGCGGTCGCACCCTCACCGTGTACGGCTCCCCGCTGACGCCCGCCTTTGGGCGCTGGGCCTTCCAGCATCACCACCACCACCGCCACCCTGCCTCCGCGTGGCCCGGCGGCCCGGCGACCCCCGGCGTGGACGTGCTGCTGACCCACGGCCCGCCGCGGGGCCTCCTCGACGGCGACGGTCGGGGATGCCCGCTGCTCCGGAGGGAGGTGGCGAGGGCGCGTCCGCGGCTGCTGGTCTGCGGACACGTGCATGCCGGGCGCGGGGTGGCGACGCTGCGGCACGACCGGTTCCAGGCGGCGCATGACGAGGTCGAGCAGGAGGGGGGGGGAGCGGCGCGTGGCTCGCGGTGCTGCTGGTCTGGTGGTTTGTCGTCGGGCACCTGGGGCGGCCATTTGTGAGGTGGTTCGGGGCGAGTTCCGTGACGACAGTGGTCAACGCGGCCGTGGTAGGGCCGAGGATGGACGGCATGGACGGCGAGGCGCTCGTGGTTCACATCTGAAGGGCGGCGGGGGGTGGGGGCGAGACAGGTTTCAGCTGGTCTTTTTTGCCTGTCTTTTTTTGGTCTGACTCCGTGCTGGCTTGATCTGGGCCAGACAAGCCAGACAAACCAAGGGCTTGTGCTCGTGATGTACAGACTCCGAGGACAGCCAGCCAACATGCAGTTGCAAGAGGCCAAGGCGCTAGCTAGGTAGACTCGTGCGATGTGAACATTGCAACCACGGTCAAAATACGAGGGGTTTTTTTTTTCTCTGAGCTGATGAAATCGTGGATCAATCATGTCCAGAGTTGGGTTGTGGATAGCTGGATGGGAGGGCTGCAAGCCATGTTACCCGTAGTGACGATAGACTTTAGCTACCAAGTATCCCGTCCAGTCGGCTACGTCCCTTGTCCGGCGAAACCTAAATTCATCTACTTGAATCTACTTGATCTACTTGATCTACTTAATCTACTTAATCTACGGATAGGGAGCCAATGCCAAGCCAGCCGCCGCCACCCTCGATGCCACAAGCGCATCAGCCATCGTCTACTCCTGTCGACCCCGTATCACGACATGCCCATCACACGGACAACTTGGCTGCAACTTTGTAGTTTTAACTAATGGCTCAGCCCCAGACTTTTCCCGTGTTTATTACAGTATCATCATCATAATCATCGATCCCCCCCGATCGACGGAATGGCGGGGCAACGCAGACGGGACCGGGGGGGCCACCGAGACAAAGCCCATTCCTCTTCCGGGCTCCAATGTCTCATCCATCAAAGGAGTTTGCAGCATTTTACACTGATACTGCTCGATAACTACCTGATAGCTACCGAAAAGTAATCTCGCGCTCCCCCCCCCCAGCGACAAACTCTCCCCGCACCCAGAGGGTGGCGACATTCCAAAGCATCGCTGAGAACAGCGACGCACCTCCTCTGCACAGGCGTCTCCTCATTCTCCTTGGTTTTTTTCTTCTCCCTTCTTCTCCAATTACCCCGTGTCTTCACGACGAAAACGAATTTTTCCCTACCGTACTGCATCGTAGTCCTGCATCATGGCGCCCAGGTACTTGGTAGCCTCCTGGCCTCTCCCTCCCTAGTCTCTCGGAAGTGTTCAACCCCAGCCTGCTCAATGTCACCCTCATTTCCCATATATATCCATGTCGCTTCCCTTCTTTCTTTTCAAATTTTAAAACACGGGAGCTCGCATTGCCACTACCAAATACACCAGGAGCCGATCGACCCGATTACCGCTCTACTTGCCTCCGCATCCAGTCCCTCTCACCTATACACCAGCATCAACACTAACACCCAAGACCAACATCAACATCAGCACTCTCTTCCCTCATTGATCCTGTGGTGATGCTTGCTTCGCATCTTCCAATTCACCTCCCCTCCCTCTACCAGTAGGTCCTCCTCTACCAGTAGGTCCTCCACTACCAGTAGGTCCTCCACTACCAGTAGGTCTTCCAACCCCAAAGCCGACAGCAGCCGCCATGTCCGACCCGACCAAACCGCCCGGGCCGTTGCCCACCATCACTACCCCACGCCGCCCGCCCGAGTTCGAGGTCCTCTTCCGGCCCGGCGACCCCTCGGACCCTCAGAACTGGCCCTCCTGGTACCGCATGTGGGCCATCCTCACCGTCGCCTTCTCTGCCTGGGTCGTCATCCTCTTCAGCACCAGCTACACCGGCGCCCTGCCCGCCCTCATCGACGAGTTCCACGTCTCCCGCACCCACGCAACCCTCGGACTCAGCACCTATCTGCTCGGGCTCGCCCTCGGCAGCCTCGTCGTCGCTCCCTTGAGTGAGCTGCTTGGCCGCCGCATCGTCTATCTCGTCGGCCTAGCCCTCTGGGCCGCCTTCATCATCCCTTGTGGTGTTGCCCAGTGCTTGACCACCATCCTCGTCAACCGCTTCATCAGGTATGCAAGCCCAGCAGCTACAACTTACTTACCCATCCCTGCACTAGAACAGTGCAACAAGGCTGACAACGTTGAGCAGCGCCATCTTCGGCGCTGCCCTCATCTGCAACGGTCCCGGCACCGTCGTCGACGTCTCCAAGCCCGACCGCCTCGCCATGGGCATGTCGCTCTTCAGTCTCGGCCCCTTTAACGGTCCTGTCCTCGGCCCCCTCATCGGCGGCCTCGTCTTCGAATACCTCGGCTGGCGCTGGACCAACTGGATCGTCCTCATCCTCGCCGGCGTTGCCTTCTCCATGATGCTGACCATCCACGAGACCTACGCCCCGCGCATCCTGCGCCAGCGTGCCGCGAAAATGCGCAAGGAGACGGGCGACGACCGCTGGTGGTGCCGGTACGACGACACGGCCGTCTCGTGGAGCCTGTTTGCCACCCACATGAAGCGCCCGCTGGTCCTGTTCTTCACCGAACCAATCGTCTGGTTCATCAACGTCTGGAACGCCCTCATATACGGCATCTTGTACTTGTGCTTCGTCGCCTATCCCGTCGTCTTCATGCAGCACCGCGGCTGGACTGTAGGCTTCGCTGGAATGTCGTACCTAGGAATCGGCGTTGGCATCGTGCTCGCCATCGCTGCCGAACCCTTGGCGCGCCGCATCATCCATGCGCGGCCACCGGACCCTTTGACCGGCAAGCCGCCGCCCGAGGCCGCCGCCTTGCTCATGGTGGCCGGCGCGCTGCTGACGCCTATCGGCCAGCTGGGCTTCGCGTGGACCTGCTTGCCGGCCAGAATCCACTGGGTGATACCGCTGATGTTCGGCGTGCCGTTCGGCTTCGGCAATACGCTCAGCTTCATCTACTCGTCCAACTACCTGGCTGGCGCGTACGGCATCTATGCTGCGAGCGCCCTGGCCAGCAACGCCGTCATCCGCAGCATCTTTGGCGCCACGCTTCCCCTCGCCGGCACCCGCATGTACCAGGACCTCGATCCGCGCTGGGCTGGCACAATCTGCGGCTTGCTCGCCGTCGGCATGATTCCCGTGCCTTTCGTCTTTTGGCGGTACGGCGCGGCCATCCGCGCCCGCAGCCGCGTCATCCGCCAGCTCAGGGAGCAGCGGGATGCCATGGAAGCCTCGCGCGCCGAGTACCAGGCGAAGCAGGACGACTACTCGAGCAGCAACGGTCAGCTGGCGTCAGAAAAGGAACTCTCTATCGCTATAGCCCCGTCCCGAGTCTATTTGACGGAACTGAAACCGGTAAAAAGGTAAATTCAGCAGAGGTGTCAGTTACGGGTTGCATTTGCATATTGACCGGCGTTTTGTTGCTTTTTGTTGAAGTATCCTCTATAGTTTCGAATGCAATGAATCATGTCTTTGCGCGTCATCACATGCGTGACTCACAACCGGCGCGATCGCTTCTTTCAGCCGCTCTCAAGCTGCAGTCTTCTCGCAGCCACAGAATGGAGGAGACTCGCTCTTCAAGCACCCCGATGTGCCTCAATCTGGCGTCGCAACGATCGACATCGTCGGCCGCCGTCCTTCCCAAGCTATCGCGCAGCGACTCCAACTGTTGAGGCCACCAGCCCAAATATCAATGGCCTGCCGGCATATAATCAACAAAATCAAAACAAGCCCAGGACGAATAGGGAAGCTAGGCCCGACAGCAGCCCGCCGCCACAACCAGAGACTTCGAGGCTCGTACGGGGTACCACTGCACGACGGTCCACGCTCGGCTGCAGCCGTCATGGGGCCTCGCTGGGCTGGGTAAGATGAGGGCAGAGGCAGGACGAACAAGGCAGGCGAGTGATGCGCAGCCCATTGCGTGGCGTCGAATCAGGAGCGCCGACGACGAGGCCGGTGAAGCCCTCCTGTGCGCTCGCGTCACACCGTCTAGCGATGTGTGGATGTTGGCTGCTGCCCCGACACGTGGGAGGCTGCAAGTCTCTTGCCAGCAGGGGCTTGGGTTGTGTCGACGAAAACCAATCAATGAGGCGTCGATCGCTTTACTGCCTCGCAGGCGCGTGTGTCGTTCTCTTTAGTGTGGATCGGATCAGCGACGGATTACTTTTTCATTATGCAACGTAGCTCGACGCCAACTACCGAGCCTGACAAGCGCACAAGCCGGTCGAGGGACCGTTGCGTTGGCTGGCTGTTGTTGGTGTTAGCTTGTCAACTTGCATGCTTATTATTTATCAGTGTAAACCGGAAAGGGCGTAGGCCAGCATAGAGAGTGAGCTAGGCGAGAGCCGTACGACCTCTGCTATCCGTACCAGGTGGTATGGACATATGTCATAATCGTGATCTATGATGGTTAACTGGTCTGGGGCTTGCGTTTGCATCCTTGCCGACCGGGAGGGGTTGAACAAGCTCACGCCACGTTCTTGGCGAAGCCGGACCCAAAGTACGAAGAGCAGAGACGCGAACCCATCATGCTTGAACTCGAGGGCACTAGGCCTGGTAGTACTGTAGGCGGATTCGCCGAACGCCGCGTGAGGCTTGGTTACGTGCCACACAGTTGGCCGATATTGGTTGGGCGAAGGAAGACAAAGATAAAACGCGCGTGCAGTTTGGAGATGGAGATGAGGAGACGCGGAGCCATAGCTCCGTGATGAAAGGACGTCCACCCACATTGTACCGCCACATGGTCATTGTGATTGCAGCATCTTCCAGTGGTAAAACCAGCCACAGTGGATGTGGCTTGTTCTCCAACGTGGGATATTACACAAGGATGCCTGCATATCACGATGGATCTTCTAGGCTGGCAGCTGGGGCGTGTACAAAAATGGTTTCTTGTACTCAGCACCAGACCGCCGATCACCGAGTCCAACGCTGGCCGGCCTAGAGAAGAAATCTAGACCGCGCGTGGGGGTTTGGGGTGGAATAGGGCAAGCATGTTAGGGACGTACATATACATACATACATACATTACATACATACATTCGTAGTAAAATATGTCCGCGTCGGTCTACCTACTGTTAGTTAGTTCTACTAAATTGAATAGGCTGTGAACCAAAATTAACGGCTGCGTGACGCTGTTTGCCAGCAGAGCTTTTGGATCACACAGCGGGAGCCGCGTACTATGTACTGTATGTATGTATGTATGTATGTATGTATGTATGTATGTATGTACATAGGTAGGCAACCTGGCTTTTCTTTATGGGTGCTGAGAGGCGTCGCGTTAGTGGATAGTGGCCATCTGCGAGGGTAAGCTGCATGACGTAGGAGAGTTGGTGTAGGTAATCAATTCTCTTGAATATACGCCGCCGAGTAATATGGCCCCATCACAAACGATAAACAATACCAACAGTCATGTTAATTCTTTCGTCGACGCCAGCGCACCCTTACCTTGAAAGCTTTGTCGGTGACACGCAGCCCCTGCCGCGAAGTTGCTTTGCCTTTTCAGCCGCCTCCCAGGCCAGTCTAGAGCGCCCATCGGGATCTGGCGCAATAGACCAGGTACGCACACACCGCCCTGGGGAAACAAGCTCAATCGGCAAAATTTTTTTTCCCATTCTTCACTGTCCTGGTGAACCACCGGGGTTTTCGGCCGAAGCGCTTGGTGGTAGCCGTTTCACCAGGCGAACCTTAATCAATCATTTCAGCTGTCTTTTTTCTCCTCTGGTCCGTGACGCCATTGTCGGAGGTAGAGGTTGCGCGGTAGACCGCGACGAATAAGAATAGAAAAACGCAGCGAGGAATGTAATTGATAACGTCACATATCAGCCAACGCAGAAGATCAATATGGCGGGCCGGGAGGCGTGCTCCGTGCGGGCGTCGGCCCCGGCACGAGTCCAAAGAATCTTCCTGACTGGAAAGGCGATGACGTAGTGTTTTGAAGATGTGGTGGTCAAGCCACACACATCTGAATCGGGACACACACCACTTACGTACATAGTTGTGTGGCATACATGTGGCGGTGCGCGGGGACCTCTTCCACGTGTGGCTTGCAATGCAAAATTCCGTACCTAACTTCACGGCGCGATAAAGTAATAAGTGAAGTGGTACATGTGTGTGGCAGAAGTGTGTGGCTAGCGGGCGAGTCCGGGCCTCATGCGTTATCACACACAACAGCTAACACAGATCACAGTAGAGAAACACTCGCAGCTTATTTAAGGCTCGTCGCATCGGCTTTGGCAATCGCGATCTCGCCGTGCAGAGGAGGACCAGAGGCACCACCACATCCGATCAGAGACATGCGTTTTCGTCTTGCAGGACCCAAGCACTTATGACGACAGAGCGGGCTGGCCGACGAGGCTAATCCAAAGCTTGCAGCCGGTGGCTGGCCAATGGCAGCTCGCCAACGAGGTCATTAGCCGCGTCTCCACTTTTCAGTAGGGTCAAGCACCGCCACACGGGCTTGTGCGGGGTCCGCGTTGGTGCGCGGCGATGGGCTCATCTTTTTTTTTTCGAGGGGTTCAAGGCGCCGCCCGCCATGTCACTTTGGGACTGGCGGCCGATGGATTTAGGACTGGGCGTTTTGTTTTGAAGAAGGGCAGACGCAAATTTTATTGTGCTGACTCAAGGGGAGAAGAAAAAGAGGTGAAATGCATGCTGGGAGTCAATCGCCTTGCAGCAAAGTCTACCAAAGGCGGGCTGCATGATGGGCATTGTCAATACAATATGCCCCAAAATTAAAGAGAGATCGGCCGACATGGCTGTCGGAAGCCGCAGCCGGCTCCGGTAGCAAACAAGCATAGAGGCCAAGCATTTCTGAGTGTAACTGACGGCAATCACTGACTTGAGTAGACCTAGTGCTGGCCGTTATTTATTTTTTTAACTCGTTCTGCCGTATCGGTCCCATCTCGGCGCTCTTGTCAAAAAACGCGTAAACACTGATTCATTCGATTTCGTAGTTGTTGGCATTCTCGTGGTCCCCTACGAACAAGCGATGGAAAAATGGGTCAACATGACGACATGTGGCTTGTCCTCTGCCCCATCCGCCAGCCAGCCAGGTGCCTTTCTACCCTTTTTACTTGTTCAGGCACCCGACGCACCAAAGAAGAATACCGCTAAGAAAATACCGTAAAGTTGATTTTGCTAGTCAAAATGGATTATGACGAGTGAGAAAAAGACCCTTGCACCCCGAAAATACGGGGCACCCCAGACGACGACAGCAACACATCACCACCACCGGCTGACAACTCCGCTGTCGATTACTGAACGGATTTCGGGCATGCTTCATGACTTGATGGCTGACCGATGCGACGGAGAGGATCAAAGCAATATAAAATGATAGTTGTCTGATGTCAGTCGAGGGATTAAACATGGCGGTGGACGTTGTCTAGCACAAAGTCAGACAATTTGGCTTCCGCCGGTGTCCCGCCGTGTCCCGCCGAACAAGCGTGGCATTCCACCCCCCTGTTCCCGCCGGAGGCGGTAACTGCTTGTGCATTTGTTCATAGATTTGCGCAGTGCCGGTCTTTGAATTGTCTTGGTTGTCAAGGTCGGCTGTAACCATAAGCTACATGTACAGCGCATTAGACAAAGCTGCACAGCTCGTCAAGGGTCTTTCTCATCGTCCAAGTTGGGATGCTTGGCTTGTCTCATTTGGACCACAAGACGCGTCTAGCACGGTCAAACGCCCATCTTTACTCTGTAGCTCGAGGTATGCTTTGCATCACGACGATAAACGATGGGGGGAGGGCTCCACGCAGCCCAACGCCGCCGATGCCCACCAATCGTCACCCCTAGCCATGGCCATCCGATGCTGCTGGAGGTCGGTGGGCATCGGTGGATACAGGTCGGGTGGGCGGCCGTCTTTATTTTCCCTTCTTGGCTATCAGTAATTAACTCGTTTATTTAAGCCTTTTCGCACATCATCCGAGCCAGCCTCGTTGCCTGCAAAAGGTATCATTGGCGTGCCGTCCTGTTCCCATCAGCCACGTTTGAATTGCCGTCCATCACTCTGACTGTGGCGCACACCTCGACCTCTTGTGCCGCACCGCCAAGATCAAGACAGACAACACGAGCCGCCGACTCACAGTGACGACGATGGCGTAACCTTTTAGGTACCACCTACAAATAGAAACTGCACTAGCCACCTACTGCTGTGGCTTGACCCGACCGTTTTTTCATTCTTCCATCTACACCAGCCACAAGGTATGTCGTCTTTTACTTTGTCGAACATCCCAGCAATACTCCCACGTCCAGGCTCCCTTACCTCTGTTTCTTTCCTCCCCCGCCTGTTTTCTCTCTCCTCCTGTCTTGCCTGCTCCAGTCCAGCGAGCCTGTGTCGTGTTTTGGGTGGATGAGCAAGGGCCGACCGAGGGCGTGGCTGTAGTGGCACCAGTGCGCAGCGGACCCAGGCGCCCACGCACGCTAAAAGACCGGGACCCATAAATCTGGGGGTTCTCGAACCTTGGGCTCCTCTCTCGCTATGCGAGCGACCTGTGGTGCCTGGACGTTGAAGTCAGAGAACTCTGTTCTCCTGGGTGCCAGAGGACAACATCGCTTTGGGGAAAGCAGTCAATAAATGCTGAGAAAGACCTCAAAATATTCTTCAAGCTTTGAATGCTTTCCCTTTCCCTTTTTTGCTGCGCCCCTCACAGCCTCTCGCAGCAAGCAGATTGCCCGAGTCCACCCCCAGCAGGTGCCGCTGCCGTGACCGCTGTGAGCCACTGAGCCACCTGCAACGGGACTGCTGTAGCCCGTCCGTTGTACCGCTGGCCCCCACCGCTCAACCCACTGCCACCCGCTGCAAATCAACTCACTCCATCTTCCGTCTGTCTCTCCCTCCCCGGCTCTTCATATACTCCCCAATCCCATCGCCGACCGCACTTCTCAAAAAACCACCCTTCTCTTCTTCCCACCCCAATTCCTCCTCCGCATTCTCGAATACATACATTCCATCCTTTCGCTGGCGTTGGCATTGGTCATTCGTTTCTCACCATCTCTTCTCAGTCCTCGTCCTTATCGCGCCTCACCTCAGCGCCGGTCCCTATACCTGCAAACGAAACGCCTCTACCGTACCAACCTTCGTATTCCAGTGCCTTGCGACACGTACCAAGCAGCGAAGCTCGACTCATCTTTTTGTCTCTCCGCACCTGTACTCTGCACACTTCAACACTTTGCCGCCGCCATCTATGCAGCGGTTCGCTGCGGCCATCGTGCCCTGATAGCGCATCTCACCCTCAACCTCGACTCGCCCCTCACGTCGGAGGACTCAACACATAACGACCCTCGGCGCCGTCTCAGGTGAATTTGCCCTGCACACCACGGCCCCAAGACCCGACGACATACTGCACTCCCCTTCACGCCGCCATCACCGCCATCATGTTCAGCCAAAGGTAGCTAGCTTCCTCGTCATGGCGCCGCGAGGCCTTTCCCCTGCTGACCCTTTCCAGAACGAGCGCCCAAAAGCCCGATGACGAGCTGCTCGCCAACTTTCGCCAGCAGTTCCCCCAAATAGGCGCCACTACCGAGGGGGGCTCACCAGGCATTTCTCAGACCGCTGGCGCCCCAGATTTAACCACAACCGCCCCCCCAGCCCCCAGGTATGTTAGGTCTGCGTCCGACTGATGGTTCCACCCTGACAATGCCAGTATCCGCCCAGAGTTCCATGACCAGGACCCGACACCCAGAGCGAACAACGATCCCTGGCGCTTCACGCCTTCGCTGCTGGACCCCAACTCGTTTGCCTTTACCGCCTTTGGTCACGGCAACACCGGGTTGTTCACCCCAGGCATACATGGGCCACCGCCTTTGTATCAATCCCAGGCCGGCGACCTGCACACACCGACCATGGCCATGCTCCAGGGCGTCACAACGCCTTTTGGCGCGCCGGCATCTCTGGAGGCCATGCAGTCCGGCGCCGTCATGGATCCATCGGCTTTTCATCCTGTGCCCAACCAGCAGATCAACCAGCAGATCCCTCCATTCCAACCATATCTCCAAGTCCCCGGTCAGCACTTTGCGCCAGCAAATTTTGTCCAACACGACACTGGCTACGAAACCATGGAACAAGATCCCTCACCGATGGGCTCCGAAGAACCCGACCACCGCTTAATCGGCTTAAAGAGTCAACTGGCCATCAACGCTGCCGCCATGAATCTTCCTCTGCCGCCGTCCGCCGAAAAGTTCCGATTTCATTCGACCCTCAACGCTGCTACGGCCATGGTGAAGCAGGCTGACGAAATTCCCATTACTTATTTAAACAAAGGACAGGCCTATTCTCTCTTAGTTGCCGATACACAAGGTGCTGTGCCAGTTCGTCCCGGAACTCGATATCGAACTTTTGTCCGCGTTTCGTTTGAAGACGAGGAGCAGCGCTCCAAGCCCAGCGTATGCTGGGGCCTGTGGAAGGAAGGGCGAGGCACCAATGAAGCTCATCAGCGCGGTGGCAAGCTTCAGGCAGTTGAATACGTCGAAGCTAGCCAGCCTGCTGAAGGCGACGAGAAGAGAACCCGCATCGAAGTCGAATCCTCATCCTTTGACGGATTCTGCGTCACCTGGACGCCGGGAACCGCTGGTGCTCCCGAAGTCAACATTGCGGTCCGATTCAACTTTTTGTCCACCGATTTTAGTCACTCCAAGGGTGTCAAGGGTATTCCTGTACGGCTTTGCGCCAAGACTACCCAGCTGTCGGCAGGAGACGGCGTCGACATTAGCAGCGACATAAAGCCCGACGTCTGCTACTGCAAGGTCAAGCTATTTCGAGATCACGGTGCCGAGCGCAAGCTTTCGAATGATGTGGCCCACATCAAGAAGTCGATTGAAAAGTTGAAGCAACAGATTGCGCAGGCTGAGAGCGGCGTCAAGGACAGCAAGAGAAAGCGACAGAGCATTGCTTCCAAGGCCAGTGTCGATTCACGTTCCGGCAAGGTGCAGAAACACAAGCGGACATGGTCGATGTCGTCGACCAGCTCTAACAACGGAGGTCGGCCCTCGCTCGAAGACGACTTGCACTTTCGACTACAAACGCTCCAAGACATGTTTACCAGCACTCGTCCGATTAGTGTCCTGTTCTTGCGTGGTGAAGATGCGGATGACATGGATCTTCATCCTGTTTCCATGCCAGGTGACACGTCTCCCGCTCCTCGCGAGGGACGCAATTGGCAAGCGCGCAGCGGACGCAGCTCTGTTCGAAGCTCTCTGGTGTCGCCTTCGCCCAGCTCACTATCCCTGGCATCGCAGTCGTCGACGGGCGGGCACTGGCAGAATTTTGATTCTCGCGGTCCCGAGCAAGTCACGACAGTGAACCGAACAGATGATTCGGGTACACTGAGCGGGTGGATTGAAGCGCTGGGCGTGGACCCTACGTATAGGCCACCACCAGAGCGCGGGCCCAAGCCTGTGGCGTGCTTGTACGTGCAGTACGATGACAAGAAGACGGAGAGGCGCGAGTATCACCGTGCAGTCTACCTGTATCAGCGGTCGCTGCCTGAGCTGAACAAGCAGCTTGCGGCCAAGTTTGGTCTGGAGGAGAGTCGAATCCGGCGGATACTTCACTGGCTCCCAAGCGGGCTGGAAGTGGAGCTGGACAACGACGTTGTGCAAGAGCTTCGCGAAGGGCAAGACATGCGACTGGAGGTGGAGGAGATTGTCGACCAGCAGGGCAAGGAATTCCAGATGTCGGTTGACGGCGAAGAAAATGAGGACAAGCAGGCGCAGCAACTAGTGGGGCTGATTCTACGCCTTACATTTTGAAGCTGATTGATTTGGTGTTCTACGAATACAATCTTGGAGGATTCTGGGCGGTGTTTTTATTTGTGATATACCAGGACTGGTTGGATGATGCTTGAATTTTTTGTCTTGGATATACGCGTTGTACAAGTGTGGAAAAGCGGCCATGAGCGGCATCAAAATGGGAGAGGCAAGCGGCGCCGTGACGAACTCGGTCAGACCGTTATGAAGATTGTTCTGCATTTACAAGCCGACGGGAGGTGGTAATGTACAGTATGTATCTGAAGGGTTTTTCTGCTTGGAGGAGAGGGCCGAATATGGCGATTAATGAGGCAGTTGGCGACGAGTATGGGTGCTGTGAACTAGTGATAATCTACAAAGAATTTAATCTTGCTTGGTTATTACATGCTATTCCGAATGACTGGGATGTCAAGCCGGTGAATGCGTGGGTGAGGCAACGTCAGTCAGGTACTACATTGGGCGTCATGGTTCGGGGAAGATGGGCTTGCTGGGATGGTTAGGCGAGGCCGAGAATATGAAGCATGTCACCCCATGGCAGGATAAAAATAGGATCATGAACTGCGGGTATAGAAAGGGGACGGGATTGTTATTTTGGCGTTGCGCAAAAACCGGTTTTTCGAGGGTGATTGGAAATTAGAAAAGGTGGCGGTGCAAAGCCGACCCGGGCTGGGTGGTTCAATGAATGGTGCAAGCCTTTTTTTTAGTCAGGACAGGGCAAAAAAAAAAGAAAATCGACTCGAGTCTAGAAGCCGTTGCGGGGAGGAGGAGGAGGGTGTGCTGATAAAAAAAAACAAAGCAGGGCCAGCGAGATCTGATATCAAATACAGGGCTTAATCTAGCGGGCCAGGACGCGATTTATAGGGCGAAGTCGCCTGAGGATAGGCCTTCAAGGGTACAGATAAATAGATATGGGGGCTACAACTTCTATCTACAGAGGCCCGGCTGCAGCCTCCCTTCTCGGCAAGAGACGGTGTCTTGCGCGTAGAATATGTATCGGTCATCTTCATCAAGGATGGGATACCCTTGTCCGAGGCCCCTGACAGCGAGGAACTGCGAGAAGCGCGGTGTGCGATGCAATCAGGCACCAAGGTACGTGGGTTTTACAGATATCCATCTGGAGTCGACGCATATGAAGAAGAAGAAGAAAAAGCATAAGAACAGAGGTGCAGTAGAAAAAACAACTCGAGGCACGGACATGAACGTGGGCAGGTGTTCGAGTCAGAAGACGGCTCAACCTCAGATTCGTTCTGTCTGTCCTCTTTGCCTTTCTTGCCTTTGACTATACTCTCATCCTTTCGCAGAATGGCCCAATCACCATCCAAACATCCATCCTTTCCCGTTGTCTTGGCGGCTTGTCAGTTCTCTCTCCACCAAACGCATCCCTCCTCATTCAAACCTGTTGCGATATGCTGCAGGGGTTCGGAGCACAGCACGCCCCCGCAAGGAAAAGAAAGAGAGTCCCAGGAAGTGGAAAGGACAGGACACCCAGGCCGGCTGAGAGAACGCATCTCGGCAGCCCTGCGTGCTATCTGTACGATGGGCCATCTTTTCTTATTAGTGCCGGGGTTCGGAGAGACATGCGGGGGAGTGTCTTGGTGTTTTGGCACATGTCAAGTGTCGGCGGCCTCTTGGGCAGCAACGGCTGACTGAACGGATACAGGGGCATCCATTGGGGAGGATGATTAATGGGAACGGACCCTGTTGAGTGCAGCAAATGCAGATCTGGCATCGGGAAAATGCCGAATGCGGCTACACGGGAATCGAGAAAGTTGACAAGATGGATTGCCAGGGACCTCGCTTTTGTCCGTCACACATTGACCCCAGCCATCCATCTATCTTCGTCATAGGAACCGTTACCCATGTTGTCTCTAGCAGCCATCATATATCATATATACCAACATGTCACCAATCCTTACCCACCGCATCCGGCGCATCGATGTGCAGTAGCCCATCTCCATCCTATTCCCCTCCCATCTTCACCTCCCATCCTTCTTCATACACCCGACCCGCTCTCCTCTTCCCTTCTTCACTCCTTCCCTTCCTCCTTGGGCCTGGGCAGATACTTCATGTACCGAAACACGTAGTGCCCCCAGCGCGCGCCCTCCCTCTCGCTAGCCGGCGGCGGGCACGGCGCGTAGGCGTCCAGGTCCAGGTCCAGGCTGCGGACGACCTCGAAGCCGGCCTTGCGGTACGCGCCCCACGACGGGTCCGAGGCGTGCACCCACGCGAAGACGCCGGCCTCGTCGCACACGCGCGTGCCCCAGCGCAGCAGCGCGCCGCCGACGCCCCGGCCCTGGTGCGCCGGCGCGACGGTCAGCCCGATGATGAACAGGCACCGGGTGCCCGGCGGCATGACCTCGGCCATCCAGGCCTGCATGTCGGCGTCGGTGAGGGCGACCAGGCGTTTGATGGGGTCCGTCTCCTCCTGCTTGTCCTCCTTCTTTTCTTCTTCTTCGTCTTCTTCTTCCTTTTTCGGCTCCGCTTTCGGCTTGGCTTCTGCCGCCGCCGCCTCGGCCACGCGCTCCTCAAATAGCGGCAGCCGCTCCGGCACGAACCCCTTGATGCCCCAGTTGCACACGCCCATGATCTCGCCGGTCGCCTCGTCGACAGCCTTGATGACGTGGCATGTGCGCGAGGTCAGGTGGGCGGGCATGCTCTCGAGAGTGTACTTTTCCATGTCGAAGGGCTCTTCCTCGCCCAGCGCCTTCATCTGGGTTTGCCGGTCGCTGGCAAACGCCTGGCCGGCGAGGCGCGCGGCGAAGGGGATGTCCTCGGGCTGGAGGCGGGCGATGCGGATTCCGAGCGGTGGCATGATGTATAGGTCTGCGTGTACACTGATATAACTTGCGATGAGGATATAGCTAACATGGTATTCGTAGGATGCCGCCGTCCTTATTTATACACGCCGGACTGCTGGTAGTGCCTAAAATGGTGGGGTAGAGAGAGAGTCGAAGCTTCCCGGTTGAGTCACTCGGCCGTGCTGATTTGGGCAGGTAAAGAAAGATGTAGAGTCTGCCATTCTCAGCATGGTTAATCGGGAGTTGATCTGATGGAAATTATGTAGTTGGATATACGTAAAAGAAAAGAAGCAGGTCAATGTATGTAGTTATGTGTGTATGTATGTATGTATGTATACGAAGTGCAGCTGCATTGTTTGTTGCATCGCCCCACTCCAACCCCAACCAGCTGGATCCCAGCTTTTTTTGAGCCTCACTTGACATCACTTACTTAACCTCGATCCATCTTCCCACCATCGACGCACGACGACACCCGCCATCGACGAGTCGTCGGGCGGCCGACCAGTTACGACCGCGGAGATATCCCCCCACAAGCAACCAACCATCATAGACCACCGTTTCATGATTGCTGCGCTCGCCGGCTCCAGACGCCTAATTTCCTCGCCGCCGCGCGCCATGGCTGCCGCCTCCGCGTTTGCCCACTACAATGGCGCCGGCCAGAAGCGCGGCCAACTCACTGTCACCGCCCTCGGTCGCTGGTCCAGCCTCAACAAGACGCTTCCTGGTTCGTTGCCGATTCGACGGCCGTTGGGGCGTTGAACAAACAAACGGACAACAACAAGGCTGACTGACCTGCCCCAGCTGTCGACAAGATATCCGCCCTCCACGTCTACGACTTTGACAATACGCGTACGTTCCCTCCACTCACCTCGAAGCCGACCATCCTCGTCTCTTCTCTAACCACACGGCGAAAAACTAGTCTTCAAAACTCCCCTCCCCAACTCCTCTCTGTGGACTGGCTCTACGATCGGCATGTTGTCCAGGCAGGACGCATTCATCAACAGCGGCTGGTGGCACGACAACCGCATCCTCGGCGCCACCGGCCTCGGCCTCGAGCGCGAGGAAGCACGAGCCTGGGAGGGCTTCTGGAATGAAAAGATCGTCGAGCTCGTGCGCCTGACCGCTCAGCAGCCTGACGCGCTGTGCGTGCTGCTGACTGGCCGCGGCGAGCAGCGCTTCGCCGATCTCATCCGTCGCATTGTCGCCAGCAAGCGACTCGACTTTGATATGCTCTGCCTCAAGCCCCAGGTCGGGCCCGACCACCAAAAATTCTCCAGCACCATGAAGTTCAAGCAGGCGCTGCTCACCGACCTCGTCGAGACGTACCGCCACGCCGACGAGATCCGCATCTACGAAGACCGCCCCGCGCATACCCAAGGCTTCCGCGACTTTCTCAACGACTACAACGATGCCCAGCGCGCGCAACCCACTCGAGGACCCATCCGCGCCGAGGTCATCCAGGTCACCGACGCTCAGGTCGCGCTCGACCCCGTCGTCGAGGTCGCGCAGGTCCAACGCATGGTCAACGAGCACAACGCGGCCCTCCAGCAGCAGCCGCCGCACCTACGGCCCGACGCACTACGCATCAAGAAGACCGTCTTCTTCGCCAGTTACGGAATTCCACGCGCCGATGCCGACCGACTAATTGCCCTCATGCCAACGATTCCTACGCGACCAGGTGACAACTCGGTACGCCTCCACGGGACCAACATCGTCATCGTCCCGCGACCGTGCCCCAAGCCCATTCTCGCCAAGGTCGGGGGCCTCGGCGCCACGATGACGTGGCAAGTCACAGGCACCGCCTGCCTTCAGAACTCCCTTTGGGCCGCCTGCGTGACGCCCGTCCCGGCCACCGCCCCCTACCACACCGATAGCCCCATCCCGGTCGTCGTGCTCGCCTGCAAGAAGGGCGCGCGCCCGGCCGACGCCGCCAAGATCAATACGTGGTCCGCCCTGCCCCCCGAGCGTCGCTTCACCTTTACCACGACCGTCGGCGAGAAGGCGGTGCTGCGCGTTGAGGCTGACGACCCGCGCGAGGACGAGTACGCAAGCTTGTTTGCCAGCAGCAACAGCAACAGCTACCGTGGTAATAAAAATAACAGCGGCGGCAGCGGCGGTGGCAGAGGCGGCGGTGGCAGAGGCGGCGGTGTCCGCGCTAGCACCAAGCGGAAACACAACGACGACGACTGGAACCCGCCCAGACAACCCGCCGCGGATGCTGCGGCGGCGGCTAATGCCGGGCGCGGGGGCAGAGGAGGAGGTCGCGGCGGTCGAGGCGGCGCGGGCTCGGCTCGCGGGGGACGCGGCGGCAAGAATAAGGGCAAAGGACGCGGCGGGTTCGCGCACTACCGGTCGCTCGACGACGTCGGCTCCCGCAACCCCGCGCCCGCCGAGGTGAACTACGACGACACCAACGCGCAGCCGCCGGCCAACGCGCCGACCGGTCCGCGCGGCGGCAAGGGCAAAAACGGCGGTCGCGGCGGCGGCAACCACGTGACGGACCTGCAGAGCTATTACTGAGCAGGGTCTGAGACCGGTGGTTGGGTAAATCCTGCTTGTAAAGAGGTGCAGGTGGTGGAAGGAAGGAAGATGTGTGTTCGATATCCCCCAACTTGGCTTTCTTTTTCATTATGTACAAGGGAACCCAAGAGCGGAAAACAAGGGCTTGGCTTTCATTTGGCTTTCATGGGCTGCCACGGGGCAGTTGTCTGATTGTAGTTTTTCATACCGGGCGTTCTTGGACGATTGTTTTACGTATCACGGTTTCATTGCATGTACAGAGAGATACGGGCAGAGACGGAGTGACTGTACAGAGACAGAAAGACGAAAAACTGTTACAGAGAGAGACACAGAGACGGATAGCATCCAGTAGCATAAGCTATCAATGATTTAATTCACATGCACCGCAGGTTCATGCTGTGTGCTGTACTTTTTAATTCCTTGGTATTTACATCCCTTTCATCCACGTCATTTTCAGGACAAGCCCACGCAGAAGACGCGCTGCTACTTGCTATACTTGCTCGGTATTTTTTCCAAATCGTGCAACTATCCCCGTTTTGTTCCTTCTTCGTCTTCTTATCCTGTAGCCTACTACTCGTCATCATCGTCACTGTCATCGTCGTCGTCGTCGTCGTCCTCCTCCTCCTCCTCCTCCTCCGCGTTCTCCAGCCACTCCACCAGCACCCTGCACTTGTCCCTCAGCGCCGCCATCGTGCCCTCCGCCGCGGCGCGCCCGTCCTCCCACCACGCCAGGATGCCCTCCTCCTCCAGCACGTCGAGCGCGTACAGCTGCTGCATCAGCGCCGCCAGCACCGTGCCCGCCCTCGCCGCGTCCAGCCCGGATTCCTGCACGACCTCGCCCAGCGCCGCCTGCGTCGCCAGCGCAAACGCTACCTGCTCCGGCTCGCCCGCGCCGCCGACGCCCACCTCGTCGACGAACCGGACCGCGCCCCCGCGCGCGGTGAGCGCCGTCTCCGCGGCCTTGCGGCGCGCCGCGCGAACGCGGTGGCCACGGCGCGGCGCATCATCTCGTCCGAGGCGTTGTTGGCAAGGCGCAGGCCCATGAACTCGAGCTTGGCCGAGTCAAAGTCGCCCGAGGCGGCGCGCAGCGCGTCGAGCAGCCCGTGCACGGCGTCGGCGTGGAAAGAGGCCTTGCTGGCGGCCGCCTCCCGGTCGGCGGCGTCCTCCGCCGTGTCGCCACCGCCACCGACCCCGCCGCCGTCGGAGGAGTCGTCGTCCGAGTAGGCTTCGGAGGCGAGCGTCGACACCGACGAGGTCGACACGTTGAAGCCCGCCGTCGAGTAGATCAGCGTCCGCTGTAGGCGCGCCGGGTCGTCATCCTCGAGCTCGTCGGCCTCGGGGTCGTGGAAGGCGGCGCCGTCGCCGTCGGCACCGACGAGCGCGACGTCGGCGGTGACGGGCTTGCCGAGCGCCGAGAGCGTCGAGATGGCCGTGTCCTCCGGGACGGTCATGCCGTCGCCGATGCGCACGCCAAACGACAGCAGCGCGCCAGGCTGGACGGTCGCGCCCTTGCCGATCTTGACGCCGTCGGCGAGGATGGCGTGCGTGACGGTGGCGCCCTCGTCGACGGCGACATCGTTCCAGAGGAAGGCGTCGGTGAGGGTGGCGCCAGCGGCGATGACGCAGCCGCTACCGATGACGCAGTTTGTGACGGTGGCGCCGGGGCCGATGGATGCGCGGTCGCCGACGATGGAGTTGCGTAGGCGCGCGCTCGATGCGTGCCACGCGCTCTGCTCGATGACGACGCCGCCCGGGTGCGCGCGGTACGCAGCGCCGGGCGCCAGGTTGTTCTCGGGGATCAGCGGGAAGGTCCAGCGGCCGAGGACGTCGCGGCTGACGGCGTCGTACATGCGCAGGTCGCTGGCGCGCGCGGCGTAGCCGCCGTCCTCGTCGACCACGTGCGCGTAAATCATCTTGCCGTTGAGTTCCCAGTCCTTGAGGACGCCGTGGAGGAAGTTGCGCCGCGGGAGCTCGTAGTCGAAGCTCTCGGACCACAGCGCGAGCACCTCGGGCGTGCAAATGTCGACCTGCGCGTCAATGAGGTCGGCGCGCACGTCAAAGTCGGTGGAGAGCTCCTCGGGGATGGCCGGGTCCAGCAGCGTGCGGTGCCCGCTACCACCGCCGCCGAGCGCGCTCATCTCGTCGTAGTGCAGGCAGCGCTGTGTTTTGTTGTCAATGACAAAGATGGGCGTGATGCCGCGGGCCTTTGTGCGGTGCGCGTCCGGCCCGCCGCCGCGCAGCACGCACGTCATGATGTTGAGGGCGCTCTCCTCGCGCCGTCGCCGGTGCGCCGCCAGCACCGCGTCCAGCGGCAAGTTGGACACCAGATCGCCGTGCACCAGGATGAAGTCGCCGTCGATGAGCGACCGCGTGTCCAGGTCTCGTAGGACATCACCCGCCGACCGCGCGTCCGCGACCCGGATGAACTGGATGAGCGAAAAGGGTGAGGATTTCGAGGCCGTCGACCACCGCGACCGGTTAATGTGCTCTTCGACCGCGTCCGTGTTGGCCCCGCAGTACAGGTAGACTTCGTTGACGCCATTCATGGCCAGGAACTCGAGGGTGTACTCAATCAGTGGCGTGTTGCCGAGGGGGAGAAGACACTGCGGTGGTTGGTCAGTACATGGCGTTGTGGGATGGTGTCGGATGGTGTTGGGTTCGTACTCTCGGTTTGCCGATGGTGAATGGCTTGAATCTGTCTTGAAATGAGTCGGCAAGGATCTAGCAGCTTCCTGGTTAATCGAGAATTAATTGCCCCGCGGTTATGGCATAGCACTTACCACCGCCTGAAGGACGTCCTCGCCCTTGCTTTCGGCGCCCGATTTGGCGGGCTTTTTGCCCTTGCCCGAGCCGGCGCTGCCTTTTCCCTTTTGCGACATTTTGACGCGAGGAGAACGCACAGCGTGAACCAATGCAGGCCAAAGATTGAGGATGAAGATGTCGAGAAGTGGGTTGTGACTCAAAATCCATGGTGGTTCAAGGTTGAAGTGGGCTGCCTTGTGCGTGGGGCTGCGTAGCTTACCCTGTAGTCAACTCTAAATATTGGAATATTTATATGATCGCGCTCTCAGCTAGTAGGCCGGCCAGGGACGTCCTTAGATTTAAGGTTTTCTTTTTCTTTTTTCTTTTTTTTTTCTTGTCTGAGTCTATTTGATAATTGCGATATCTGCCAATTCTGCTGTGACTCATGATGTAAAGCTTGAAGAACGCACAGAAATCACAAAAATCACAGAAATCACCACAAGCCCAGCAAAACACTTTCCATGCCACAAACAAGCAAAACAGCAAAGTACTACGTATTCCACCTAGTTATCCTACGCGTCTTTCGCGGGGGATGTCAAGCTCGCAATTGCGTCTTTGATGACCCTGCTCTACCAACCTGTCAGCTAAAGTCCAACCGCACGCGGAGCCTACTTACATGAGGGCGCAGGCTCAAAGCAACGGTAAACCGCTGAAGAACCTCTTTCAAGCCTGATCTGCCCGCCTCCATGACCGTTTGGCCAAGGAGGAGGTGTATCTCCGCGTTATCCGGGGCCATCTCCAGCGCGGCGTTCAGCTCCCTCGCGGCATCTTCAGGCTCCTTGACCCGCAGCAGAAGCTTCGCCGTCTGCACCTTTGTGAAGACGGCCAGCCGGACGGAAGCGTGCACCTGTGAGCGCCGGATGAAGCGCAATCCCAGCTCGGGAAGACCCAGCACATCGTAGATCTGTCAAGTCAGCACATCAACTCAGAAGAAAAAAACCCTGACGCAAGAGACAGAAAATCAGTACACAACTCACCCTTGCAATGTTGGTCAGCACCACTCCATTATCAGGACTGATCTTTTGCGCCCCAAGATAGTAGCGCAACGCACGTTCCGGCGCGCCGAGCCGCTCCTGCACGCGGCCGAGACCGACCCAGGCGACGTAGTGTCGGGCGTCGACTTGGAGCGCGCGCCGAAAGGCCCAGTTTGCCTCGTCGTACTCCTCACAATCGAAATGCTCGTGGCCGAGGAGAGAGTAGGCACGGGCGAGTGGCGGCCGGAGCTGCGCGGCGCGGCGGAAGCTGGCGATTGCATCCTGCTGCCGCCCCGCGCGAGACATGGCGCAGCCAGCGGCGCACCAGGCTTGCGGGGACAGGCGGTGGTGTTCGGTCAGATCATGTGCTTGGTGGGCGAGCCGTACGTCGTCGCCGAGGTGCCAGAGGGCAGCGGCGTGCACCTCCAGATCCTCGGTCCAGGACGTCCAGGACGCGCGCAGAGTTTCAAAGGCTGACCGCGCCGACGTATAGGCCATCATCTCGTAGTGCGCCCGCGCCGTCTTGGCTAGAACCCACGGTGTGGCCTGCTGCTCGACATCCAGGCTAGTGAGGGCATCGAGACATGCGCGGGGCTGGAAGCGCGTCAGGTGGTAGTATGCCGTCCCTAGCTTGAGAAACTGGTCGCAGAGAGACTTCAGTTCCTCGCCGGGGACTATTGGGGCAGAGTGAGGTTGGATCGGACTGGCCGCCGCCAATTTACCCCGTCTTGTCTTGGTATCATGTGTTGCTTCTGGGGGGCGTGGTGGCGACACACCTGGTTGAGTGTCTGTATGCGTCTTTCGAGATTTTGGCTCAAGTATCACGCGAGGCCGCCGTCTGCCATTTCCGAGGTCACCGCGCTGGGTAAGAGATGGGTGTGAACTTGACTGAGAACTCCCTCGCCGAGGGACGAGAACTGCAGTCGATGTTGGATCAGGGGACTGTAACGCTGGCTGCCTGGGGGAAGCAACGTCCATGGCCGCATCTTGCTTTCTCTTTGCAGGCGTCTGTGCCCTTGGCTGAGGCATAACCGGTCTAGAAACCGTGTATGTATAATTCTCCATCTCCTCGTCCTCCTCATAGATCGAGGGGGGCGTGCTTACAGGCGCCGATGAAATTGCTGGTGCTCTTGGAGGGTCAGTGGCCATGAGCTGGAAGATGTTTGACAAATTCAAATTCGCGCCTATGCTAGTCAGTGACAAATAATGATCGAGGAGGAACAGTAGACGGACCGAAATCACAGAGATCGGTGAATGCATCCCACATGAACGGATAAGCTTCTAGGGCTCCGGAGTAAGCATCGGCCGCGTTTCGCACATCGTCGTTGGCTCTGTGCAGTTTTCCGAGGATGCAACTTAGTGCCGCTGCATTAGGAATGAATCTTTCCGCCGCAGCCTCAGGTATCTCTACGCGCGTGCATATTAATATAAAGATGTTCTGCGCCGAACGACAAACATGGGTAGGGCTTGGGGAACTCCATACTTTGGTGCAGCACTCTCTGCAACGCAGGAATGCCGTCGCGGGGCAAGTTGAGGTGCAGACACGCCTGGGCAAATACATACACGCAGCCAGTATGTTTGCCACGAGCGGCCTCGGCGCGGCTGTATTCGTACGCGGCGGCATAGCGAGCAAGTCGTAGACAGCACAGGGACCGAAGATGGACCCAGCACGCGTTGTCAGGATCCTGCGCATGTAGACGATCGAGGAGGAAGAGTGCATTCTCCACAAGATCACAGTCCAGGAAGCGATATACAAGGCGCAGTCTGACGTTGTTTGAAGTCGGAGCATCGCTCGACATTGCGACTGAAGGCGGTGCGAGCCACGAGCGGCTTATCTTGGCCAGTTCTGAGCCATGGATGCTAATTTTGAGATTGTAAATGGCGACATATTTGTGTCAGGCGAGGGGATTGATAAACCACTCAACGCGAGGCATGGTTCCCGAATACAATCACTGATGGCCTTGTGTTCTACAAAGTTGGCGTGCGACGCAGTGTGTTTACTGTGCGTTGCCACAGTGCCAGGTTGAACAGACGTTGGATGAGAGCCAATCAGGTCGAGCTGCTATTGCAGCCGCAGGCAGCAAGTATCGCCATGCGCACACTTGGTACGTTGCACGAATGGGTTTCTCTCCGGGTTATGGTATAGTAACCGTGGGAGGCAACATCAGGCGCTCGGCTACAAGCGAGTTCCTCTCGTTTCAGTTGCGGCGTGGCGGCTCCAAGTGCGATAGTGTTGGACTCACCGCCAGTCACCGAGTGACAGTCACCGAGATTAGAGACATGGATCTGTAGCCTCGAACCCGGGGTTCTGGTTCCGCTCCCAACTTCCCATGGAACTGAACGAGGGCTGGTGGTGCAGTCTGTGGAGCGCGACTTATTACGGACTCATGTACCAATGGGCTGTAAAAATGTCCGGCCAAAGTCTCCAGGTGGTCATCTCATAACTCACATGTACTAGTACCAGAAGTTTCAATTATGCAAAAGAAAATATGAGATTGTGGTAAACTGGCCCCCACCAGTGTCTGGCGATGGATTCACTGCAGATAAATGGATGCAGAACCGCCAGAGACAAGCGACCTGTCAGATGTCGCAGGGTCTTGAAGACGGCAGCGTGCGTGGGGAGACTGTCCAGTCGCGGCAACATTCCAGAATGCTGGACAAGCGAACGCGGTCGCTGATTTGAGACACGACAGGGTGCATGCCTGTGAGTGTGGCATGGAGTGTGTGTGTGTGGTATTTACGGCGGGATCCGAGACACCAACTAGCCAGGCTGCCAGGCTGCTGAGCGTGTTCGGCGTCTTCGTAGACCAGAGCGACGGTTGGGATAGAGTTGAGACGAGGAGGCTCAGCCTATTGCCTTGCAAGCAAGATGAGAAACAGAAACAGAAACGGGGTATGATGTTATGATGGTAGCGACTAGGCGTGTACCATGTACGTGGTTTGGTTGATGAGGGATGGCGCGTCCTTTTCGATCGACACGAGGTCTGCTCCCGGGGCGGGCGGCACATCGTACTAGGGGGTCCACAGCACACCTAGGCGGAACCAAGTTTCTGTATGTATGTATGTATGTATGTATATATGTACAGTATGTACAAGGTAAGTACGGCGGTCGACAAGGCAAAATGGCTCAAATGGATTTTTTAGGTCGTATGCACTGCTTTGCCTCATTTTTTCCCACTATATACACCTAAGAGGGTAGTATACCTATATACTTAAACGATATTACACTTATTAGTAAAATCGAGGTTTTTAGTAGTTACTTTACTCTTTTATCCTTAATCCTAAATTAATAATAACAACATTTAATAATACAGCCTACAGATGAAACTAAGCTTACATAATGGGTCCTCTTAGAGATACAAGAGCATCAATTTAAACGTGGGCAAAAGGTTTAAGGCAATTTCTCTCAACAACGCATAATTAAGCTAAACACAACACCACACTAAGGCCGAAGCACAATACCACAGCTAGTTCTAACGCGCACCTAAAACATCAATACTATTCTTATATACTTATACGGTTAAGTAAACACTAAGCTATACAGTAAATGCCTAAAGGGCTATAGTGTTTTAGAAGGCTATATAAGTATTCTATTAATAGTAAATTATGCATATATAAACTACATATACTTATTAAATATTAAAAGCCTCTATATATAAGTATTATTATAAGTATTAAGACGGCCTAAGACATATAGGAGATATACTAAATGCCTAGTATAGATGATAAAGAAGACTTAAATATAGAGATAATTAAGTCAATCTCAAAAGAACAGTGGCAAGCAATCAGTGAACTTTTCGTTCAATGGACAAAGCAAATGGCTACAACTAGTTCAGGGGCAAAGGCGGGGTAATTTGCGCCACTTTTTTCTACACATACATATAGTAAGAAGTATGTATGTACTACTAGTTCGTACTTGGGTTGGCGATGCGAAGCAGCAGGGAATCTGGACGCTCACGAGAAAATTGCGTTGGGGGGATGGCGACATCGTAACTTGATGGTGGTGTTGAGGGCGTATTGAGAGTGGTGGTCAAGAGGAAAATTAACAGGAGTAATTGAGTGAAGGGCGCGTGAATGAAAAGAAAAAATTAAGGTTTGAATGCTGGTCTCCCAATGGGGGACGCAGATTTGCGGTGGTAACTAACTCGTAGGGCGCGAGAAAGAAATTGCGCAGGCGGAGAATTCTTAGATCGATGCGACGGAGAGATTTGCGCCGGGCAAGGATTGCCAAACTGGCGTCGAGCATTTACATCAGTAAAGTGAAATGTCGTGAAAAAAAGGAGATGCAATGGGGCTTTCTTGTGGTGATTCCTGCCTTGTAGCCGTGCGAGGGCGCGAGGCTGTACATTCACAGTATGGAGTAGTTGACGATGGATGCTTCTTGGTGGTGGAACTGGGCGCCATCAAGCAGCCTCAGTGGAGCGAGGATGGGGTTGCTGTCAGGCAGAAGCACGAGAGCAGCCGGCTGGCCAATGAGGGTTAGATTGACGAGTTTGGCGAGCAATAGCGCAGAGAGATGGATGGGGCGGTGATGCAGGACGAGCAGAGGAGGAGCATCTAATAAACGACGAGTTAGTTAGAGGACCGAGGTGAGGTGCGGCGTTGTGTTGGTATTACGAGTCGAGGTGGGGAGAGAAACACATGGTAATCCTGGGCAGCACAGAAGTACCTTGGAGTCGAAGAGAGTATTTGGTGATGATTCTGATGGTGAGCGTCGATGGTAATGTGGTAATGGTGATGGGGTTGATGGTGTTGATGCCGGCGTTTGTCGTCTGGAGAGCAAGGCCGCCTACAAAGACAAGCGAAGGCAGATTGTGGCTTGACCAGTCAAATGTTTACAGGGGTAACAGCAATATTCGTTTGCTCATTGCAGATGTGATGTGGCAGGGCAGAGGATTAATGTTGATACTTGACCTGGCAAGGCAGGCTGGTATGGGACGAGGTACCTGCGCTACAAGGTACATTAGCAGGCACATACCTATATACATACATACATAGGTGTGAGCTATGTTGTACATACATAGGTACGTGTGTACGTGCTTGAATAGGTACATAGGTAGGTGGCAGTATGGGGATTTAGAAGAAGAAACAAGACTATTTGTTGTGTTGACTAAATTAAAATAATCATATTTTTAGCATACAAAGACTTCCGCTGTCTGGGTCATTGAATCCGCATGTACCGTACGGATACATAATCTGTACCGTACCGAGCCAGCTTCTGCAGCCTTGATCCATGCAAACTGCTGCAAGTACAAACCTACCAGTACTGCAGGCTATAACATGCAACATCATACAGCCTCTGAATTTTAGTTGGTAGATATTCGGTAGCTATGTACTGTAGCTGCACTCTGTACAGGCACTGACTGCGCACGTTTTGCTTCAGAAGTAGGTTCTTATGCAAGATGCCACCTATGAATATCTCTCCTCCTCAGTGCGCGCATTTGACAATCCACATCACCTCACCACCAGGCAAGCACCTCAACCACCGCACAACCTCCATCTCCTCCCCCCTCCTCCTCTAACCCTCTCCTGCCCGCCAATCCCCCTCTGCTCTCTACCTCCCACCGCCAGCTCACTCCTCGTCATCACCATCATTATAGTCGTCTTTTTTTTTTCGGTCCTTATCCAAGTCAATCAGTCCCCACCCCCTCGCCTACCAAACTCTCCGCCCCAGCTGGCTCCTTAAATACGCTGGTTACCATTATTACCATTATTATCTTGGAGCGCAGTGTCCAGATACGGCCAATCTTTGTTCGAGTTTCGATTTCGATTTCGAATCCGATTTTTTAAATTCTACCTGCTTTTCCCCTTTCTGTCGCTCTTACTATCACGATCGCTACCCATCTACACAACCCTCCCTGCCTTATTACTACCACGGCTGCCCTCGCCTACCAATCAAGCCTCGCGCCGCCCGCCGCCACACTCGCCGCCTTGGCTGACCTTTTTTCGCCCGCCGCTATTATCCGGTCGCTTCAACTGGCCTTTTTTTTTTTTCTTTTTTTTTTCCATCCCATGTAAATCCCTGACAACAATCTCTACCTCCTCCGTCGAACCTCTTGTTCAATTGCTTGCCTTCGTTCCCTCTTTTGGCTGGACTACCGCTCTATTGCGCCCGTGTCGCCCGTCATTTCCTTCCGCTGTCGACGGTCAGCTTGTCCGCCCCATCGACTCTTTCCTTCTCTTCGGCGTCCCCGGTTGCCAACCTCCGATCCCTATTCGGCCGTCAACATCAACACTCCCGACCACGCATCCGCGCATTTATCACCCTCACTGCCTCCGCGCACTGTGACACCGTTTCTTGCCTCGTTTCCGATACCGAAAATACCACTCTCCCCGCCCTTTGCCCTCGTCTGTTCGGCGACCCTTCTCCTGGCCCGCCTCGTCTCCTGCGAGGAGCCGACGCTGCTACCTCGCCTCTGCGCCCTTTTCACCTCCTCTCAGCCATCATGTCCGGCACAGACGCTGGCCAGCCTCAAGGCTCCGGTAATAATGCGAGCGAATTTGTAAGACACCACTCTCCTGCCTACCGCGCAACCACTCCCCCCTCGCGCCGCTAATACCCCCCCTCGCTACAGGTCCGCAAGCTCTTCAAGTATGCAACATGCTGCCCTCGTCCGTGTTGCTTCCCGCCGATACTAACTACCTGTAGAATGTTGGAAGATCCCTCTCACCAAGACGTCGCGCGCTGGGGAAAGGACGGCGACACCTTTGTCGTCGAAGAAGTCAGTCTTGCCAATCAATCCTCAGGCCTTCTGCATGCCGCAGCTAACCGCAAACAGGGCGAGAAATTCACCCGATCTATCCTCCCCAAGCACTTCAAACACAGCAACATGTCCAGCTTTATCCGCCAACTGAACAAATACGATTTCCACAAAGTCAAGCCCTCCGCTGACGCCGATGCTTCGAACCCCAGTGGCAATGTACGACGCCATCCCCCCCCCCGGCCCGAAATCCCACTCCAATACCCTCTGACACCGTTATCTCCTTAGGTCCTCGAGTTCAAGCACCCATACTTTCGTGTAGACAGCAAAGATGATCTCGACAATATTCGTCGGAAAGCACCGGCGCCTAGGAAGCCTCAACCGCCTGAAGATTTCACCACAAGCCAGCACGTCAGCGTCATTTCCGAACAGCTCACCGCCACGCAACAGCAGGTCCAGCAACTGCAAGAGCTCTTTAGCGAAGTCTCGCAAGCCAATAGACTCCTCATCAACGAGGTTATGACCCTCCAGAAGATGCTGAATGCCCAAAAAGGCGCCCAGCATGAGATGCTCAACTATTTGACAGGCTACCCGGGCCGCACAAATGCCATGATGAGCCGTCCTATGGCCTCGAACGGAGCCGTCCCGCAGGCTGACGCTGAGGAAATCGCACCGGAGCTGCGTCGAGCCCGCGAACTCTTGGCTAGCGTCACACCCAACGTCATTGCCGATCGTGAGCTTGAGCGGTTGCACGACGTGTATGGCCCCATGACAGACTCTAGCGCCATGATCACTCCCGTCACCATGCCAATGTTGCACGACCCCATCACCGATCTCAGCCGATACCCCGTCTACCCCGTGGGCCAAACCGTTGGTATCGACCCCTTTGCTTCCGACCACATCCAGAAGCTCCCGTATGCCATGCCCGGCGAGGCGGCCGCGGCCACGGCCACGGCACTCGTCGACCATCATCACCACTCCCAACAGCACACACCGACTTCGGGGGTCCCCACGCCCGTTATGGGAGCCGCTGCGCCGACCAACTCGCGAGAAGCCCCGACTATCTGGGGGGGCAGGAAACCCCTCGTTTTCCTCGTCGAAGATGATCCCACTTGCGCCAAGATTGGCAAAAAGTTCCTCAGGTCTATGGGGTGCGAGGTGGAACATGCAGTGAGTCTGCCGAACATTCGCATGGCCGCTGCCAGTTAAAAAAATTGCTGACAAGTTGTAGCCCGATGGTGCCGAAGCATTTAACCGGGTGAACAATCCGACACGAGACCGTTTTGACCTGATTTTCATGGACATCATTATGCCCAAGCTGGACGGTGTTTCTGCTAGCATGTATATCCGACAGCAATGCCCTTCGACGCCAATTATTGCCATGACGTCCAACATCCGGCCGGATGAAGTGAATTCGTATTTTGAGCATGGTAGGCGTCCTAACCACACCGTCAGGGTGTGACTCGAGCTAACTTGTACAGGAATGAATGGTGTGCTAGCAAAGCCCTTCACCAAGGAAGGAATGCTCAAGTCAGTAAAGACAAACCTCGCTCACATGCTCAAGAATCCGCCGCCTACGGCCGATGGCACGGGTGCGTTTATCATGCCTGCTATAGGATTCATAGACGGGGGAACGCCAGTCAAGCTGGAGGCCCCGACGCCTGGCTCAGGGAACAGTTGGGCCAACAATGGCATGCCGCAAGGTGAAGCGGATCACGGATACGGCATGGTGAATGGTGCAGCACCATTTCCGATGGCAGGCAGTAGCCGGACAGCGTACGCTGCGGGAATGGACGGCCCGTCGGGGCGGATGGTGCCGGATCATGAAAGTCCTCCAGAGAAGCGGCAACGGCTTAACAATTCGCAAGGCAACTTTGCGTGAAGGGTTACACTGTCTGCGTCGAGATGGCGCTTGAAGGACATCGAATGTCTGAAGGGATAAAGTGAGTGGAAGCAAATAAAAAAAAGCACCGGCATGTGCGGATGGGCGTCGTTTTATGGTTGGCCCTTCATCGGCAGCGGCGTGTCGCCGGCTGCGGTCGATTGCGGTCTGGACCTGCTTCATTAGTGTGGGGTTCGGAGTTCGGAGCTTGGGTGATGCAAAGTGCATGTGCGTGGATCGAATCAATCTATTTCGGGGGTGCTAGGTTTCGTTTTCCGTTTTTATTTCTTTCTTGATATCCTGTTGGGCGCGGGCGGGAAGTGGAAGCAGATCATTAAGGCTGCCTGCCTGTATGTGCCGCCCTTGGCGTTTTTCTCTTGATCAGGTTTTCTCGGGGGTTCGTTTTGGGGTGCAATTTTTTTGGCCTATTACTTTCAACAGCGCGTTGTCGGATATTAAAGGAAAGAGCAAGGGAAGAATATTGTTTGATTTGTAATGTTGTGTAACCATTAACTACGGGCAGATGCATGGCTGGGGTTTGAATGAGTCTGGACACGCCCATATTGCAGAGAGGGGGCCAGAAGCATGAGAGGACAGAAAGAGCATGCCTCACCAATACTACTTGATCTCATGACGCCACGGATAATAGCTGTGGCTTGTGGAGGCCTTTCTAAAAATGAATTGCTAGATGTGATTATCGGTGTTTTTGACTGAGTGTTATCGTGATTGATATCTTGGGCAAATGCTATGTTATATGACGGAACTGATAGCACTGCGGTGCAACCGTAAGTGAGGCTATAACATGTACAAAAGTGCCTCGTCCGTCTCAAGTCAAAATGATGATGTTTTTCTTCCGCACAATTTAGATTAATTTGGTTGCGCCTGACGGTGCAGTTATGATTGATATTTGTCTGCATACAGAGGCTGTATTAAAAGTGGCTCCAGACGAGGCCACTCTACGCGTCGCGTCCACACAAACGCGTCCCACCAGCCAGCTTCAACGCCTGATCACAACTTTACTTGGCGAGAACAAGCCCAATTGACGTATCCGTAACTACCTTCCCCTGCAACATACCCGGAACCCTAAGCCAACCACAACCATCATGCCGCATGCCCAAGGGAGCTCGCCCGCGGCCGTCAAGGACGAGCCCGTCGACGATGCCTCCATCACCAGCAGCATCCCCCAGAATGACGACGATGATGTCAACATGCTCGACGCCAGCCACGCCGCGGCTGACGACGCTGCCGTGAAGAAGACGGATTCCAAGCTCGACGACCTCTTTGCACACGACGACGACTCGGAAGACGACGACGAGTTTCCGTCCTCGGCGCCCGTCAAGGCGGAGGCGCCGAGCTCACAGCCGCAGAGACCCCCTTCGCCTACGTAAGAAACCTGAACGCACTACTTTGTACTTTGCGGGATCACATTCAAGGAAACTGACCTCCGTTGGGCGAGACAGAGACCTTTCCGCCCTCAGGGCATCAGACCCCGAGGTCATGCGCAGCTTCTACCAGCGCCTGTTTCCCTGGCGCCAGCTCTTCCAGTGGCTCAACCACAGCCCGACGCCCACCAGCGACTTTGGCAACCGCGAGTTTGCCTTTACCCTGCAAAACGACGCCTACCTGCGCTACCAATCTTTTGCCACGGCCGATCTGTGAGCATCTTCCCTGCTGTACATATAGACCCGCGAGAGAAGCACTAACGCCGCTCCTACCCAGCCTCCGCAAAGATGTTCTCCGCCTCATGCCCTCGCGCTTCGAGATCGGCCCCGTCTACACAACAAACCCGCGCGACCGCAAGACGCTGCGCAACTCGTCCGCCTTCAAGCCCCTTGCCAAGGAGCTCTGCTTCGATATTGATTTGACTGATTATGACGACATCCGCACCTGTTGCGACAAGGCCAACATCTGCACCAAGTGTTGGGCGTTCATGACCATGGCTGTCAAGGTCGTCGATGTCGCTTTGCGCGACGACTTTGGATTCAAGCACATCTTGTGGGTGTACTCTGGCCGTCGCGGCGCGCACGCCTGGGTCTGCGACAAGAAGGCGCGCGCCATGGACGATCAGAAGCGCAAGGCCGTCGCGGGCTACCTCGAGGTCATCCGCGGCGGCGCTCAGAGCGGCAAAAAGGTCAACCTTTGGCGGCCGCTGCATCCTCATATCATGTAAGACTGCCTGCCTGCCCCGTGTCGAGCTCTCGGTATCTTGATCTGACAGAGTAACACAGCCGAAGCTTGGACTTACTCAAGACACACTTCCAGGAGGACGTGCTTGCCGTGCAGGACCCGTGGTCCACCGACGAAAACGCCGAGAAGCTGCTGCAGCTGCTCCCCGACCGTGCGCTTAACGAGGCGCTGCGGCGCAAGTGGCAGGCCGCGCCGGGCCGCGCGTCGGCTTCCAAGTGGGCGGACATTGACGCCGTGGCCAAGGCCGGCCACACCGGGCTGCGCAACCTCGATACGCGTGCGCTCATGGAGGCCAAACAGGACGTGGTGCTTGAGTACACGTACCCGCGCCTCGATATCGAGGTCAGCAAGAAGCTCAACCATCTGCTCAAGTCGCCGTTCGTAGTGCACCCTGGCACGGGGCGTGTCTGCGTGCCGATAGACACGACGTCGGCGGGCGGTGAGGCGCTGGAGCGGTTCAACCCGCTCGCGGTGCCGACGGTGCAAGGGCTGCTCGCGGAGATTGACGCCTGGAAGGGTGGCAACGATGGAGAGGATGGTGGGAGCGGTGTGCAGGACTGGGAGAAGACGAGCCTGAAGCCGTACGTGGAGTACTTCCGGTCGTTTGTCGCCGGCGTCATGCGGGATGAGCGCGACGCACGCGTCAAGAGGGAGCGAGAGGATGACTCGATGGAGTTTTAGGGTGAAGAGGGATTGGGTAATTAATGACGAGGACGAACTTGTACATAAAACTTGGGTGTGTTTTTTACTTGTCTAGCATTTTCTATTGCGCATTTTGGGTGCAATGCTTGGTCGATATAGGGATAGCATAATCATCTTTGAAGCAAGGATTGGGGAGTCTCGATTCGTCTATGCAATGGGTATTTGGATCTATGCAGTGCCCGCCATTTTGCGCGTCACCTCGACTTGTTCACTGTTGTTGTTCTCGCCAGCTCGCTCGGCCTCGCCATCTCCCAGTTCAGAATCATCCCCTTCCGCTGCCTGTTCACCGTCATCTTCCTCTTCTTCCACCTCCTCCTCCGCCTCCGCCTCCCCTTCCTCACCCTCCGCGGCCCCCTCGCGCAACCTGCCGCCCTTGCGCTTCGGGATCACGCTCAGGAACGCCTTGCCCCAGTCCTCGTGCTCCAGCCACCGGAGCATGATGGCCACGACATGGTTCGTCGCCAGCACCTGCCTGCTGCGCATCACCATGTACTCGCCGATCGGCAGCCGCGCGGTGCGGATCCCCTTCTCGCGGTTCTTGTCCACCAGCCCGCCCACCACGTACGTCGTGCCGGGCTCCAGCCGCGTGAGCGTGTACGGCGAGTCGGACGACAGGTACACCACGTCGCCGAAGGCGGGGTCCAGCGGCGGCTCCGGCTCGTCCAGCGGCAGCGGGTCGCGGGCGTCGCGCGGCCACGGCGCGGGGTTCTCGAGGCTGCGCCGCAGCGCGCCGATCATGAGCTGCTCGTTGGCCGGCTGGTGTTGCCCGGCCACCTTCTCCTGCTCCTCCTGCTCGGACGCGGGCGTCACGGTCTGGAAGCTGGCCATCTGCGCGCGCGCGGCGGCCGCGCAGGCCGCAAAGTCGCCCTCGAAGACGGAGGCGCCCTTCCAGTGGCGCTGCTGCGCCTGCAGCACCTCGTCGAAGCGCGCCGCGAGCTTGCCGCGGAAGCCGGCCACCCAGAGGTGCGCGCGGTACGAGGCGTGGCGGTTGTCCGAGTACGCGCGCGTGACCTGGCTGGACAGCGACACGCGCTCCTTGTCCGTCATGTAGCTCTCAAAGTCGCAGTCGAGCACGATGGCCAGCGGCACCAGCGGCGCCGCGGGCGGGCGGTCGCGCCGGTAGACGACGCGCGGGTCCGCGCCGCCGGCGACGAGCGCGGCGCGCTCCGTCCGCACCTTTTGCTTGTGCGCGAGGCGCTTCTCGCGGCGCTTCAGGCGCCGGTCCTCGCGTCCGGCCTCCCACGCCTGCTGCTTGCGCGCACGCTTCAGCGCGTTCTTGGACAGGGGCTCCGGCGCCTGCAGGTGGCTCGGCGGTGCGGCGTCGGCGGCCGAGGGCTCGGCTGCCGGCGCGGACTGGGCTTGCGCGGGCACGGAGGCGTCCGCGGAGCCCTGGGGAGGCTCGGAGGGCACGGCCGGCTCAGCACTGGAGCTCATGGCGTGAAGTCGTCGACTTATACGGACTTGTGAGAAGGAAGCTGAGGTGAGTCTCGTGGTTGGTGGTTTGTATGTTTGTTGTCGAAGACTAATTCTTCGACATGGGATTGTTATGGAAGAAATTCCGAATGAAAAGGTAGATATGAGTCTCATACACGCTCGATGTTGATAGAATTCCTGCTCTCATTGAAGTTGAACAACTTGAGGCGGCCAGGAAAGCCGGCCAGGAAAGCCGGCCAGCTTTTTGCGACTGAGAAAATAGTGGGACAATCCTCGAAGTACCTTTGTACCTCCCAGCAAAACCACCTCGCTCCACTGTAACCAATCACAGCTTGCCAATTGAGAATAAGTCACGTGATTTCATACGGGAGGTTCGCTCTCTGTGAGGAAAACAGCTCTCTCCACGACCTCGTTCCCCGTTCCTCCCCCAGCGTTATTATTCACACCCCGACGCACATGGCTAGCCACGAGGATCACGCTGCCACCACTGGCGGGATGGATGCTGCCTATCACGCACATGACGTGCTTGACGAGACGTCCAAGACGGCCGTCGTCGGTCTGGGCGCGGGCTTCTTCATGGCGGCAGTCCAGAACGCCCTTTCAAGACGCAATGTCGGCGCCTTTGGCGTCTTCACCCGCGGCGCTCCCGTGATTGGACTTGCTGGTACGCATTGAACCCATTGAAGCTGCTTTGTTCGGCCAATTGGGCCGATGAAACTCGAAGCCCTCCCCCGGGGGCCAAGATGGGAAGAATAAGTGCTGACTCTTGTGTGATCGTTAGCTGCTGCTCCTGCCGCCTACACCTTTGTCTCCCGCACCACAATGAACCTCCGCGAAAAGGACGATGCTCTGGCCGCCGGCCTGGGTGGTTTCGCTGCTGGTGCCGTGATTGGCCTTCCCTGTGAGTAGTAGCCCCTTGCTGACGCTGCCCAATTGAAGCACAGCAGAAAGATGAAGCTGACAAATGTTCCGCGCAGCCAAGCGTATGCCAATCGTATTTGCCCTCGGTGGCCTCGTCGGCGGTGTTCAGACCGCGTTCAGGTTGGCGGGCGGCCGCCTCGACAGCTTCAAGGAGGAGGAGGACGAGTTTGCACGCAAGGAAACGGCCCGCCGGACAACACGAGTACCCGTGGAGCAGACAGTTTCTGAGGTTGGCGAGGGACGAGGTACGCCACACGAACGAAAACACAACTTGAACAGGAAAAGAGTACAGGATGCTAACGAAAACACGTGTTGCAGGCATCAAACCGCCCGGCTACGAGGAGCGTCGCAGGGAGAGAATTCAGGAAAAGTACGGCTTCGAAATCAACCCCGTCAAGGCGACCGTCGAGGGCAGCCAATAGAGCTGCTGAGAGGCGCCTTGATGACAAACGCACGATCTGGGTTGCACAACGGCCCTGGTTAAGAAAGACCAGAACCCGACCCCGCCGGGGTTATGGTGGTGGCGAAATTACCTGTACATAACCCTCTTCCTGTGGCAGAGAAGAGATGCTACACTAGAGAATTGGAGTTTTTTTGTTTGGTTTTGCGATGGTGCCGTGGACGTGCTGCTCTGTGCGCAGCGCTGGGTCCTGGCTGCAAAGGTATGTTCTCTCTCCTCTATTTCTTTCGATTTCCCCCGTCTTCTATGATGATACGTTGAGGCTGTTTATGATCCTCTGATTACATCAACTCACCATTTCTATCTACATTGTTTCACTGAGAAGACACATTCTTTGCACACCTTGCTGTCAATCCACTGGATATGGGACGAAGCAAAGCTAACGACCTTGACAGATTATTGTTCGAAAAATATTTGACAAGTTCCAAGAGGTGGATGGGGGTAGTGTAAAAGAGCGCGGATGCGATATACAGCAACCAACAACGCACAATTATTTACTTTCATATTTCCGTATTACTAGCGACTTTGATTTTATGTTTTTGTCTCCTGTGGTCCCATGCAGATGTTAAAACCTTGTATACATTACCAAAAACGCCCATTTCGCCCTGCCTATGTTTCGCACAATACAACGTACATAAATCTTGATGTCTACACCTCCTTCCCTCACAGCGCCTTGACAGACTGGAAGAACGGGTTGGCCAGGAGCTCCTGGTCGGCGCCGACCAGCGCCTTGAGGCGCGCGACCTGCTCGTCCTTGCTCAGCCCGGAACCGCTCACCTCGTCGCGCCAGCGCGCCAGCACGCGCTTGAGCATCGCGCTGCCCTGCTCGACGTCCTCCTTGGTGTACCGCAGCGCGAGGCCGTCCTCGCCGTCCTCGTGCTTGGTCGTGAAGTCCTCGAGCTCGTCGGCCTTGCGCTTGGCCATGCGCACCACCTTGTCCGGGAAGCGCACCAGCTCGGCGACGTGGATGCCGAAGCTCTGGTCGCACACGCCGGGCTCGACCTTGTACAGCAGCGTGACGTCGCGCTTCTCGCCCGCGTCGCCGCTGCCGATGTGCGCCGTGACGTGCAGGTTGGCGACGTTGGGGTGTTGGTCGGCGAGGGCGGTGAGCTCGTGGAAGTGCGTGGCGAAGAGCGCGAAGCAGCGGATCTCCTTGACGATGTGCTCCGAGATGGCCCAGGCGAGGCCGAAGCCGTCGTAGGTGGATGTGCCGCGGCCGAGCTCGTCGATGATGATGAGCGACTCGGCGGTGGCCGACTTGAGGATGTTGGCCGTCTCGAGCATCTCGGCCATGAAGGTCGACACGCCCTTGAGCTGGGAGTCGCTGGCGCCGACGCGCGCGAGGACGGCGTCGAAGAGGGTCAGCTCGGCGGCGGAGCACGGCACGAAGCTGCCGACCTGCGCCATGAGCGCGATCGCCGCCACCTGCCGGATGTAGGTCGACTTGCCGCCCATGTTGGGCCCCGTGATGACGAGGAAGGACGAGGTGTCGCGCGTCAGCGTCACGTCGTTGGTGATGAACTGCACGTCGTCCTGCAGCTCCAGGCACGGGTGCCGCGCGCCAACCAGCCGCGTCTCGCCCTGCCCGCGTGGGTGGATGGTCGGCCGCACGTACGCCTCGGGCGCGTGCACGGCGCTGTGCGCGAGCGACACGATAACGTCGAGGTGCGCCAGCACGCCCGCCAGCCGCTCCAGCACCGGGCAGTACGATGCCGCCACCTGCACCACCTCATGCACGAGACCACTCTGCGTCCGGTTGTAGTTTTGCGACAGCTGGTCGTGCTCCCGCCGGTACGCCTGCAGCTTCTTGGTGGTGAAGTAGACGCCATTCTTTTGCGTCGAGCACTCCTGGTACTTGGCCTTGTTGCGGATGCAGCCGGCTTCCTGCCGCGTCAGCCGCATGCACACCCCGTGTACCTTGTGGCCGGTCTCAAGGAAGATCTTTTTGTCGGCCTCCTGCCCGAGGTCTTGAGCGGCTTCGCGGAATTCTTCGCGAATGCTGCGGTCGAGCTGGTCGAGCTTCTTGCGGATGACGCGCAGGCCCGCGTCGTAGTCGGGCTTAATAATGTACTCGTGGCGGTCCAGGGCGTCGAGGTCGACCGTCTGCTCGACCATGTCCTGCAGCCGGCCGAGGCTGTCGGACAGCTCGCGGAGCTTGGTGGTGTAGGCTTCGTCGAGGGGATCGCGATAAGCCTCGTCCATGACGCCCTCAAATGTGCCGATGAAGCCGGGAAGGCGGATGATGACCTGGTACGCGCGGACGACGTCTTCCAGGTTGGCCTTGCCGCGCTGGAAGCGCTTCGACAGCCGGTAAAGGTCCGGAACGGAGCGCAGGTGCGTTTCCTGCATCGTCTGGCGGAGCTCCGTATCGGTAACGAAGGCCTCGACCAGCTGCTGGCGCCTCTCAATCTCTTCCTTGCTCATGAGCGGCTGCTTAAGCCACTGCGCCAGCAGGCGGCTGCCCACAGGCGTCTTGCAGTGGTTCAGCACGCCAAAAATGCTCATCGTCTTGGCACCGTCGCGGGGCCCGGGCATCAGGCTCAGGGCCTTAAGGGCCGCGGCGTCGAGCTTCATAAACTGGGCGAGGTCGTGTTGGTAGAGCTGATACTGGCCAAAGTTGGAGGAGTCCTGGAGAATGCCTAGGTACTTGATGAGGGACGCGGCGGATCCCATGGCGAGCTTGAGGTCGGTCTGGGGCAGGAGGGCGGTGGCTTTTTCGTCCTTGAGAAGGCGGGCGAGGTCCTGGTCGATGTCACGGGTGGCAAAGTCGGCGGCGGGGCGCTCGGCGACGGCGACGCCGCAGTTGTCGATGATCTGGCGGAGCTTGGCGAGCTCCGGGTCGCGGTCCTTTTCGGTCTTGTTGTCCTGGGGCAGAAGGCATTCGCGGACGCCGAGCTGGATGAGAAGGGCTTCAAAGTTGGAGTAGAGGTCGTTGTCGAGGAACTCGCTGACGCCGAGCTCGCGGACGGAGGCGTCGGCGAAGCAAACGCCGACAGCGCGGGCCTCGGAAGCGCGGGCAGTAATCTTAACGGCCATTATCATGGGGGCGGACTCGACCTGGCCGCCGAGGTCGTCCTCGACGTCCTGCAGGTTGCCAGGGGAGGCCTGTTTGGTGCACTTCCAGTTCATGCGGCCGTTGGGGCTCTGCCAGATCTCGACGCGGCGCCCAAGCTTAAAGAGGGCCTCGCGCAGGAACTGGCGGAATACTGTGACGGTCATAGTGACGGAGGGAAGGCCGGTATGGTCATTGCGGCCAAGCTGCCGGACGACGGAGGTGGTTTTGTAGACCTGGAGCGTGTTAGGGAGGGTCGGTGCTGGTGAAGAGGAGCATTGGCAGAGGGTTCGATAGTACCGTGTTGGCAATGTAATTGGCATCGTCGCCGTGGGATGTGTACCAGTCGCCTCGGTCAAAGATTCGGACGGTGTCGTCGTTGACGGCGGGGAGCGACTTGAAGAAGCGGATGAAGCCGCCCTCGTCGTCGAGCTGGGCAGTCGGTAAGTCAGTATGGGTTAAAAGGATGCAGCGGGCGTCTAAATTACCTTGAGTTCCGGACGGGAAGCCATGGTTGAATGGAGACTCTACCAATGGCAATGGATGCTAGCGGATGAATCCTTTGATGGTTCCGTGATCGGTTGGATGGATGGATGGGGGTGCTGGCAGTTTTGGGGGCTGCGCGCGTCAGGGTTCCGGGGGACGCGTTTTGGTGGGTGCATTTTAAAGTGGCGACGCGAGAATGGCACGACGACTGTTGGCTGTTGGATGTGAAGTGTATCTGCTACAACGACGAAAATATCTCAAATAAGGGAAAAGAAAGAGAAATGAGATGAATAGAGTTTTTTTTTTTTTTTTTTTTTTGGGAAGATCTCTATGAAAATGCGAGGCAAGTGATGCAGTTACATACCTACTTTGCCATTTGCCGTTTTGCCTACCTAGACCCTGGATGTGAGTGTTGAATGTGCACGAAGGGAGTTGTATGCCTCTTCTTGTTGTCTCTATAAAGGTACATGGTTAGATTTCTATCTTGAGTTATTAACAGAAATATTCGGAGAGTTTTCCAGCGTCGCCCACTCTTTCGGACATCGACCTCTTATTATCTGATGAGGCGAGAACATGGTTGCCCCGTCCACTCCTTTCATCTTGTTCCTCTTCTTTTTCTTCTGCATCCTGCATCATGCCGGTACTTGAGACGAACTTGATTTTGACAAGGGCAAATGAACCCCCATCGTGAAGCCGAACGGCCGCCCGTCGGCAGCCAGCCGGCCAAGGATACACGGCAGCAACCCTGATGGCGGGACGCCCATCTCCTGTTTTCCGGTCCACAGCAGGCTGGTCCATTATTCAGCCCGCCACACAAATGTTCCGGCTGAGAAAGAGTCAGCATTGTGCTGATTTGTCCTGTACGGGTCGGCTTATATCCAGCTCTTCCTTGGCACCTCCATCGCGGGCCTTGGTGTGTGTGGTACAGACAGGCCAGCATCGTGCGAGGCAACCCGACCCGGACAGAGAGCCAAGACGGTGTAGATGGATGATGGATGGACTCGGCGAACACATGGTCGGCACATCGGTCCCGCGGATTTAATTTCTTCTATTTTTCCCCTTGGTCTCTCTTCGTGACGAATTAGAGCAATCAATCACGGCGAGGAAGAGCGCCACAGACACAAAAAGGCGCAGGCAGCCTGGTCAGTCTATCGAAGACCATGTTTCTTGGCAGAGGCCATCAAGGTGCGCGACGGTGAATGCACCTCATGCGGCTGTCCGCGCAACGAGAGCCTCTTCTCATCTTTCTTGTCCATCAGGGTCAGCCATCAAATCCACTATCCATCCATACAGGAAAATTATTTCTTAAAATGCCAAGCAAACCATGCAGTCTCTTTGCAAAAACAGAGGAGCGTTTACGCATTTACAGGTCAGAAGGGGGGTTCCTACCCATTTTTGCCAGTCAAAGGACCAAAGTCATCCTGCAACCACCACCAACTTTGGTTCCTTGAAACTCGATATTGCCAATATCAACGGATACTGCATCCAAGGACCCATGCAGGTGGCTTTTCTCTAGTGTCCGCATCCATTGTGCAGAGCCTGCAACTCTGAAAAGAAGCTTATTTCCTCCCGCCACCCTCCCGGTCCGCCGCTACTGACAGCCCGTCTATATTATTTCCCTGGTGCCTTCCAACGGTGTCTTTGTCGTTTTTCTTGTTGGCCGATAAAATAAAGTTTTTCTTAAAAAACACGCATCGCCCTTCTCCAACCCCTTCTACTCTGCTACTCGTTCAACCGCCCCCGACATCGAGCGAAGCGAGGACCAAAAATGATCGGGAAAACACTCACATCGGTCGTCCTATGGGCGGCTGCTGCCTCTGCCGCATCGCATCCCATGCGCACCCCGGCGCCGGATCCAGCTGCTGCTGCCGCCGCGACCACGCCGACCATCACGGCTGTTACCGACTGTCATCTGCACGGATCGGATCTGTACGTTGAGAGCGAGGACAGCAACTCGACGGACGGACAAAAGAGTGCTAATGGCTTACTAGGTACTGTGTCAACGGTGCCACGGAATACCACATGCAGACGACGCCTACACAGACCACCGACCTGCCTGCCAGCTTCACAGGATGCCATCCCCACGGAACGGATCTGTAAGACCAACCGATCAATTCGAACGGGCCTTCCTCCGCGGAACCCAAAGCGCCACAAACTAACAAGGAGACGCAGATACTGCTTTGGCCCCGGCGGCGATGACATCCTCGCCAAGGCAGAGGGAGGTGAACCTGCGGGCGACAAGGAAAATACCGGCGAGGCCGGCGGAAATCTTCACTGCCACTCCCACGCTGGTGTCGAGTATGCATAACCTACCCTGCCGCGCTTTCCGGCTCTCGAACTTCGACTCCGGCATCTAGTTGACTAACTCTATCCAGGCACTGCGTCGGCGACGGTGCCGAAGAAGGGCCAGTCCAGTGCGACGCCCCCAAGCGCTCCTACAACATTGGTCTGCGTGTTGGACTATTGTTCGTCATTCTGGCCACGAGCGCTCTGGGCGTATTTGGGCCGCTGTTCCTGCAGCGCGCCATGGGGCGGAACCTGTCGCTCCTCTTTACCTTCCTCAAGCAGTTTGGCACCGGCATTGTCATTTCTACTGCCTTCGTCCATGTACGTTTGAGGTGCCGAGAAGCGCCGCCTAGTTGTAATGAATACCGGCTAACACACACGCTTTTAGCTGTACACACACGCCACGCTCATGTTTGAAAATAAGTGTCTCGGAAACTTAGGCTACGAGGGCGTGACGTCGGCGATTGTCATGGCCGGTCTGTTCCTCTCCTTCATTGTCGAGTACATTGGCCACCGCATCGTGCTAGCCAAGGAGAAGTCGGTGGCCGCGCTGTCGATGCAGGAAAAGTCTCAGTCCATGTTCTCCGTCGAGGTCGTCACCATTCTCGTCTTGGAGGCCGGTATCCTCTTCCATTCTCTGCGTAAGGATGCCTTGTACACACGAGCACTTGACTTGACTTCTCTAACAGCATCACAGTCATCGGTCTTACCCTCGTCGTCGCGGCGGATCAGTATTTTATCACGCTCTTCATCGTCATTGTGTTCCATCAAGTCTTTGAGGGTCTCGCTCTCGGCACCCGAATCGCAACCATTGGAACCAATCGCGACGCGCACAGCCACGCTCACGCCGCTGCCGTCGCGCAGAATGGAAACGCGGTAGATGCGACCAGCCCGTCCAACGTCGCGCCCGCCACCTCTCACACGGCACTCCTCGCCCCGCAACAGACGGAAGGCCTGTCCCTGCGTAAAAAGCTGGGGCTCGCCTCGCTCTTTGCGTTTGTCACGCCGCTCGGCATGGCCATTGGCATTGGCGTCCTGAACACGTACAACGGCAAGGACCCGGCAACCATCATCGCCATCGGCACGTTGGACGCCGTGTCGGCCGGCATCCTCATCTGGGTCGGCGTGGTCGAGATGTGGGCGGGTGACTGGATGCTCGGCTCGCACGGTAACAAGGCGGAGCTGGCGGACGCGAAACCTCTCACGGTCGGCATCGCGGGCTTTGGCTTGATCGGAGGCTTGGTGGTGATGAGCGTGCTGGGCAAGTGGGCGTAGGTGGTTCGGCCTGCTTGGCTGAGATGTTGGTTGGTTGCAGTCGTTGTGAAACTACGAAACGTCATATGTATTGTGGCAAAAAGGATACCAAAGATTGAAATGAATGAAGGATATTGACTCTAAACTAAGGTGCGTGAATGAATGCCACGTCTCTGTTGCGCCGTGCTGTTGTGATTGCCTATTCTCCCATGCTGCGTTGTCCATGCTCCACAGAACAAATGCAAGGTGCACCGATCAGTTCGCAGCTTCATAGAAGAGGATCGAGGGTCTTCCAGGACTTCAACTCAACACGACAGAGCCTTGGAGACATTCTAGTCGCCATGCCATTAATTGAAGAGTCGGCACTTTACAGGTAGAGAAGATAGAGAGATCAGATTGGGTCATATGCGATGTGCCGACGTCGAGCTCCGTGAGGAGAGACCCGAACCGCCGCCCCCCGGTGATCACGGCCCCACACGGGAGCGCGCTGTGCCATAGGCCGGGCCCTTAGAATGTGAGTTGGCATCCCGCCGACCGAGACCACCAAGAAGAGAAAAGAATCAAGGAAGCGCCGGCGTCTATTTTACTCACTTCTCATGCCGTGCCAACTTCCAGACGACCAGCTGTACACTTCTTGTGCCGCTGCCACGGCCCTCCTCACTCTGCCTCCAAGCGCCCGGGCGTGGTTTTCTGCCGCTTTTTTGGCATCTATATCTATGTAGCAGTCGAGTTTCTAAACGTGCAAATGGAAGATGTCTAATTTGCGCGAGGAGATGTTCAGCATGTTCATGGTATGAGTCGTAAATGCCTTGGAAGAATCACAGCCTTGTACAATGCAGCCAGTGGAGCAGTGGCAATGCTCTTGAGTAGAGTAATAAAGTTCCAAGTTCAAGCACAATGCTCCAGCAAAAATAGGCATTTTGCATCCACTACGCTACAACAGCGGCTGCTGAAACATGGCCGACTTGGCGTTGTGCTCGTGTTAGTTCCTGCCGTATTCCCATCTGCCCCTGCATGAGACCGCGCACCACCTGCATGTTGCGTTTCGTACTGTGCGTGAGCGATAAACAGCTGTGGTGGCAACTGGCCCGATAGCCCGTCCGCTCTGAGCAGCAAGCAGTACGAGTGCAGAGCAACACTGCCAGTCACAGAAAATGTGTGCCGTACGATGGACGACAGGACGGGTCTTCCGAAACCTTGACGGGGCAAGTCTATCACGGAGGAAGGGGCGCGGGTAAGGTCTGAGCGGATGGAAGGATTCTGGAAACTTGTGTCGTGCATTCTTCACAGTGGCCGGGTGGCGCGCAGTGTCCCACTGCCCGAGAGCTTCGCTCACAAAACGGTTCGCTGATAGCGGCGCGGCGTGCAACGAAAATCGGGTCAGGGGCTGCGCCAAGGTTGTTCTCGCTGGGTTCCGTGGGCGTCGACTGGTCGACTGCGCTGAATCGTTGAAAAATGCGTGAGCAGTCGTGCATGCCGCTACTGCACGGACTACTGGCGCCAGCGTGGGTATGTACCTAGTAAGTGGCATCAACGTCGTCTCGATTGCACTGGGGGCGGGACATGTCGTGAGCTCTAGAATAGGGGTAGCTGCTCGTGCAGAAGCACAGAAGTTGCCAGTTGCTGGCATGTAAATAGAGCGAGAGCGGCTGTGGTCTTGACCAAGAAGCAGGGCTCTGGTCATCTATGACGACAGATGAGCAGGCATCCGTACCGCACCAGTGGTATGCCAGGAACATGTTTGCCAAGTGATGCGTGCAAGCCGGCCGGGGAGTGGAAATGAGGGCTGGCTGGTGGCGAAGGGGTCACGGTTTCTGTGCAAGGTAGGACGACAGCTTTGCTCGCGTGGTTTGTGGGAACCCAGACTCGCGAAGCAGGCTGGGCAGAGCAGGTCGTCGAATGGCAGAGCTAGAACAATCGGCGCGACCAAGGAACCGTTTCTTCTTCTCCTTCTCAAGTTGTCCATATTCTCCGGAGAACAGACTGCTGCACAGGCTAGCGCCCGTGGTGCTGACCGCGAGCTAGGGTGGGTTGCAGGGGAGGTGATGAGCGGTTTGCGACGTAATAAATGAAGCCGATCAATGTCTCGGCAGGATTGGATGGTTGCTTGGTGACGATTTTCTTCTTCTTCTTCTTCTTCTTCTTCTTCTTCTTCTTCTTCTTCTTCTTCCACGGGGCGTTTGTCGTTTGTAGTTACCAGTAAAGGTAGCTTTGCGTTTGCTGTCGGTTGTGAGAGAGCGAGTGAGCGAGGTTGAGGACAAACGGAGCGATGGCAATCCCGCGGTGATCCTGCCGAGAAAGAGAAAAGCCCAGAACCTGTAAATCAATAGATGGCTTGACGGCGTGCTTCATGCAAGTGGCTCTGGCGGGGGGGAGGATTTCTCTCGTGGTCGTATTATCAGCGCAAAGATGGAAATGCCGCCAACCATTCAACTTGACCAGTGCCCTGGGCTAACTAGAGGGAGGGGCCGTCGGGGGACCCAGCAGCTGGGGCACAAGGGGATGGTGTTGTACTGGACAAGTAGCACGAAATCTGCATCTGGTGTTTCGGCAAGCCCACAACTTCGTAAACTGTACATGCAGTGTACTAGCACAATAACCTTCCCCTGGCTGTCCACCACTCGCTTCACCTCCAGGTCTCCTCTATCAGCACGCTAATAACGCTAAAAGCGTGGCCTAATATACACGACCTGCATGGCATCCCAGCATTTCCTCTTATAAACCGAATTTTTTTTTTATTATTACGACCAGTCATTGAGCACAACTCCATTTCTGCCTCTTCTTTCTTTCACTCCTTCTTTTTTCCTCTTTCCTTATCCAGTCGTCTTTTGTGGCTTCATCCTCTCGTTAACCGCCCTCCCCTCTCCCCCCCATATCTTCCCACACACTCTACAAGCCCCTCCTGTCCCCCCCACGAGCCACAGCCTCTCTTTTTTATGCATGCAACTTGTACCTGCCCCTTCCAGTCCTTCGTTCGTCTCGACGACTCACCCTCTTCATAAGAAACCCATCTCAGCTCTTCTTCCCCTCTTCCCCCGCCTCCTCTCTTTTCAGAAATACAAAATTTCGTCGTGTCTTGAATTACTTCAACGCCTGTCTCTCCTTCTTCTTGGTCAAAGTATTGTCTTGTCTCACGCCCCCAACCGAACAATCCGCTTTCGGCCTCGCTCAAACGGCCGTGTCTCTGACCAATTCGCTGCCAAAACTTCAACTATTACCGTCATTTCCTCCCCAAGGAGAAAGCGTTTCGGACCCGAATCTTTTCTTGACAATTCTCTCCCGAATCGCGCCGTTTCGAACCATTGCAGCCGTTCCAAAGCCTACCTATACCACCACCGCCGCAATCATGGGCCGCAGCCTCATCGACCGCATCCAGGCCAAGCTCGAGTTCTTCCGCCTCGAGCAGCACTACACCCGCCGCCGCCACCGCCGCTCTACCTTCGTCTCCAACGCCGTCTACGTCGACGGCGAGTACGTCTACCAGACGCCCAACAGCACCGGCTCCTCAACCGACTCGTCGTCCCTTGGCCACACCGACGCCCTCCATGGCGAGCACGTCGGCGCCGCCAACAAGGCCGCCGCCGCCCGCGGACCTGGGATGCCCGCCTCCCCCCTCATCCGCGAGGACGATCACTTCGACCTCGACAACGAGCACGTCCCGGAGCCCATGCCCCAGCGCAAGCGCCTCAACCGCTTCAGTTCCATGCCCTCATTCAACGGCAGCACCTCCACCATGCAGACATCGGGCAGCGAGCGACGACGTAGTGCCGTCCAATGGCTCGACAAGAAGTGGTAATGGACGAAAGGCACCAGACCATGTTGGAGGAGAACGATAGGAGGAGATGGCAGCCCGGTGGCTGGCACAAACTTATCATTGCCTTTTTTGGAGTTGAGCGTTTTCTTATGCATTTCTTGGGGCGTCGTCACGACCCTGACACTCTTTACACCACTTGTCTTCACCTCGATCATCTTCACGCCTTCTCTATTTTTTTTTTTCTTTCTTATTTTGGGTTCTATGGAGAGGGCTTTTTAGATGGGCTTATATCATGTACGGCCTTTGGTTATGAATGTTCACCCACACTGCACATAACGTGTGTTGTATTTCTATCACGAATACCAGTTTCAATGTTTGGCTATTGCTTCCATACGTTTGTTCGATTCAATTTACTATCTTTACCATTCTATTTTCTTTTCGTACTTCTTCTGCAATTCTACAATCCATGCGTGTGTGACGCCAAGAATCGCCGAAGGGGTCAAAGTCCAGACCTTGTCTCGACACCGCCCGTTTCAAAAACTCCTTGCCTCACGTGTCTCCGTCTAACGTCTCAAAAACGATACCACCAGGTATTGGCCCCTGCGCCTGTTCTTCCTTTTCTTCCTTTCCATTTTGTCATGCATGTTTCATAATGAACTTCGGGAGTTTCGGCTACCGTGCACTTCGAGGCGATCACTCTCCCAATGGAGGTTCAAACAAAAAGCAAAAAAAAAAAGGCTATCCAAGAGCCGCCGCCTTGATGATATTTGCTTCCTTTTTCTCAGCCTTATGAGCATTAGAGAATTGCATCTATCACAGGAAGCCAAATCAGGAGACTTTAAACTCGAGAGTGCAACTTGGCCCAAGGCCAGTTACAACCCAAACACACACACGGGGTACCTCGCCTTTACGCTTTTGCTCGTCATCATTGTCGTAATGCGACGCGCCGTCAATGTGCCACTACTGGGAGGCCGACCCGACACCTCTGTGTACATTAGCTGCCTAGACTTGTGGGCATTAGAAGATTAGGAGATGATGAAAGTGATTCTGTCGGTCTTCATATGCTAGTCCTCGTCGCCGGCTGTATGGGATGAGTGTGCTTCAAAAAGCCAAACACAACCAAGATCGAGCATGCTGGATGTTAACGTTGTCCCTCAAGCTTCTAGCGAACCTGGCTGCGGCGCTTTGTCTTTCCCTTTCTTGTCAAGAGACATACGCTCGGGATTTCGACTTATGAGGACTACCAAAATGTACGCCGACCTGCCGGCAGTCCTTTGCAACGCTCGCCATTTCTGCTTACCGAGGGTCGTGCGCATGCTTATTTGGACGCGTCTCTGTCAGTCGCACGGCGCCCATGACACGGACGAAGCAGCACTCAAAGTTGGTCTAATCAAGTACCAATAGCCCGTATGTCTAGGTGCCTATAGACTAGGTACCAAGATAGGCGACCGCGAACGTGTCTCTAAGCGCTCGAAAAAAATGCCATATGGCTTTGTCCATCTTAAAAGTCGGCTGGGGTTGGGGATCACCGTCCACACAGCTTTCGGAACAGAAACGAGGAGCTCGCGAAATCCTCATATATAAGGCTTATAATTGAACTATGTGTACTTTGGTCTTATGACTTCCTATCCGGCGCGTTTTATCCTTTGTAGAGGTTTCCACGGCGATAAACAGTAGTTCTTTTATTCATTCATGTCTTCATTCATTTGCCTAGTAAGACAGCTCCCCCATTCAGCTGACAAAATGAATGCGTGAATAAACAAATGAGTTACTATTAAATGCGGGGGAATTGCAAAGGGAATGAGAAGCACCTATCAAATTCAACTACGGCTTAATTTTATATGATTTAGTTGCATAAGCCCCATCCATCGGGATTCCGCCAGTTTCTCGTCCCTCTTCTGTGTAAATGGGCTGAAGTCTTGGTGGGCGATATACCTTGGTGCATGCTCGCTAGTAATTTTCTAGCTCTGGCCTGGTGTTACGGTGTCTATAAGGACCGGTGTTATAGCAAAGAAGGGAGAGGGCGGATTGCACAACATTAGTCCTTCCAAAACGCGACGGTGGTGTTGGTATCTCCTGTAAAGTGCAAATGTCAAAATCCTATGCGCCACAGAGAAGTAGTCGCCCACTGTACGGATAGCAGCCACCTCTGTTATCGATTACCCCCACACTTCATCTGCGGCTCAGCCACTCAAGGGCCGCCGCCAGCAACTGTCGACAAAAAACTTCCCAGCCCACTAAAAAAATCCGCCTCCAAGTCGTCGACCGCTTCACAACCTCCACGAACTACCCCCGTGAATCCTTCTCGCAGCGTGCAATTCTTGGCGGTGTTGCATACGAGGACCATACAATCAGAAGAAGGCAACCCGTGCCGAGACTGCCAACATGACGGAAGCGTCGCTGCAGGTTCGTGGGCACCCGTTCCACCACCGCAGGCAACCAAGCTGCGGGCCGCTCAGCTCGCTGGCTCTTTTTCCTGCCGCCTGAGCTGGGCGGGCGGCCGCATCGCAGACTGCCGACTAACACCTCGACTCTAGGATCGCTTACGCGATCATGCAAAGGCCTTCAACGGTCTTTTGAGCCTTATTCCGGCTAAGCAGTACTACGGAGAAGATACCAGCGTACGTTGTCCATCTATCGGCTTGCTCTGTCTTGTTGACATTGTGCCTTCCAACAATGCGGGTACTTTTCTGTCATATTCTGTGCTGACATTCTCTGTGCAAAGGACCAATGGAAAAAAAAGAAGCAGACAAAGAAAGAGGCTGCGGCCGCCCGCCGAGGAAAGCTTGATCCCGACAGCGAGCTGCACAAGAACGCCAAGGAAGTCATGGACGAGCGTGCCCGAAACAAGCGCAAGCAGCGCGAGGAGGAGGAGGATGAAGGGGATGAAGAGGAGGAGGGGCATCAAGAGCAAGAAGATGGCGAAGCTGACTCCTTCCTTGCCATGGAAGGTGTCGAGGAAGAACAACCCGGCCAGGGCCTGAGAAAGGCTACCGAAAAGCCCAACAAGAAGCAAAAGGTCGAGCCCAAGCAAGACGATGATGAGTCCGGTATCGAGGTTGACGATGAGCCCGAGGAGACTGCCCCCGCGGCTGAGGAACAAAAGCTGTCCAAGAAGGAACAAAAAAAGGCTGCTAAACGCGAGCGCAAGGCCGAAAAGAAGGCTGCCAAAGCCCAGGGAGGCGCTAGCCAACAACACACACCAAACGCAAAGTCCTCCAAGGACCAAGAAAATGAGACTCCCAGCGCCAAGAAGCAAAAAGCCAAGCAAGAAGCCAAAAAGGAAGCCAAAAAGGAGACTAAAGCCGCGGCCAGCCCCGACGTAGAAGAAGATGAGGCCATGCCTGACGCTCAGGAATCGTCTGGCTTTGCCGCGAACCTCGACGTCGCCGGCCTGGACAACAAGGACGACTTTGAGGAGGTCTCAGAACCCCACTCTCCCGTGTTTGACGCCGAGCCCGCCAGCAGCACGTCGACATCCGTGTCGTCCGCCATCCCGCCGTCGGAGAAGTCGAAGCACCTTGTGGTGCCCAAGGACACATCGGCGCTTAAGGCGCGGCTGGCGGCCAGGATTGAGGCGCTGCGCGCTGCGCGGAAAGCCGACGGGCCTGACGGCAAGCCGATCCGCACGCGGCAGCAGCTGATCGAGGCGCGGCGAGAGAAACAGGTGCAGCGCAAGGAGCACAAGAAAGAGCTGCGGCGTGCCGCCAAGCTGGAGGAGGAGCGCAAGCGCGAGGAGGCGCTGGCGTCCAACTCACCCGGCGCCATGAGCCCCGCAGCCGTCGCCGACGACGGCAGCTTCTCGTTTGGGCGCGTCGCCTTCGCGGACGGCTCGCAGATGTCGCACGACCTGAGCTACGTCCTCAACCAAGGCAAGCGCAAGGGCCCGTCGGACGCCAAGACGGCGCTGCTCCGGGTGCAGAACCAGAAGAAGCGGCTGGCGGAGATGGACGCGGAGTCGCGGACGGACGTCGCGGAGAAGGAGGCGTGGCTGGCGGCGCGCCGGCGCGCCGAGGGCGAGGGCAAGATCCGCGACGACGAGGCGGCGCTCAAGAAGACGATCAAGCGCAAGGAGGCAGGCAAGCGCCGCAGCGAGAAGGCGTGGGGCGACCGGCTCAAGGGCGTCTCGCAGGCGCAGCACGACCGCGTCAAGAAGCGCGAGGACAACTTGCGCAAGCGCCGCGACGAGAAGATCATGGGCAAGGCGGGCAAGAAGAAGAAGGGCGGCGCGGCCGGCGGCGGCGGTGGGAAGAAGAAGGGTGGTCGGCCGGGCTTTGAAGGCAGCTTCGGCGTGGCCGGGCGGAAGAAGTAAAAAGAGCATTCTCTGCTTGCGATTGCTCCTTGTCATTCTGCTTCCTCGTCTTCTTTCCAGTCACCGTTCCGTATGCAGTGATGAGGAGAGGAAAGGAGCACGAGTTTGTCTGTATTACACATCATGGCTGGAAGGAGGGAAGCTTGTCGTCGACCATGTTGCAAAAAAGTATTCGCCTGGCGCTTGGGTGTTTTCTCGCTGTCATTTCTTGTTGCATTTTCAGGGTCTTGTTTATCTTATTTACGTTGCTACGTGCTTCAATCAGGCATTTTTAGCTGTCGATATTTTCCATGCTTGCTTACACTTTCACTTCCCTCTGTTCATTGTTGCTTTTCCTGTTCGTGTGTGTTGACGGAGCATGGTAGCCACACACTGGACATTCTGAAGCGGATCGAAACGGTTAACTATCTTTACATGAGAAATCTATACAGTTTTTGGAGAGGGATAGGAGCAGGAAGAACAAACAAGAAAAGTAAAACTCAAGCGTGTCTCCTCTCTGCATCCATGCATGTGGCGCGAAATGTTTCAATTGTGTGCTGCGCTGGCATATTGAAAGTCATCATCATTCAAACTCGTTGTCAATTTCCTCAATACTTTCCACAAGAGACGAAAGTGTAACGCGCATAAAAATAATACTTTGGAAATGAGGAAAACAAACAACTCAAGAAAAACAACAACTCAATGCCAACCATGCCTCGTATCTGGTCAAAATCGGTTCTTTTTTCCACAGCAAAAGACAAAACAAGAAAAGAAAAGAAACTCCCATCCTTTTTTTCAATCCCAAGCACACAAATCCCGGCCCAGCACGAACAACACCAACACTGTGGTTGGTTTGCTTCTTCGTTTTGCCACGAAGATGACAACGAACCAAGGTGGGAGAGAGAGACGCCACGAGTAAGCAGGAACACGAGGGAAACAGGGAGAGAATAGGGCCGCGGCACACGAGAAGAAGAGAAAGAAACGCCATAGCCAGAATGTGGTGTGCTGTGAGGGAAGTATCAGAGCGTGGTGGTGGTGATGAGAATTAAGAATGTTATATAGATGGAGAGCCCAAGTTTCCGTTGTGTTCCTCTTTCGTCCTGCATCGCTCAGTAACAACCGCATTTCTTTCTTTCTTTCCTTCTTGAAAGAAGCGATATGGGTTTTAATTGATTGCCGGGGCTTGGTTTTGTACGTCGTTATACCCGTGGCCAAATAAAAACTACATCCGTGTCTGCCAGAGTGTCTTCTCGGTTGGGCAGGTCGTGGGTGGCACCTAGGAATCAATGTTTTTGTTCTTGGTCGTCGTGATAGGTCTACAGAAGCGAGTCGAGGCGCGTGAATACGCTCAAGCACGCGGCCACGACCTCGAGTTGCAGTTCCTTGTCTTTGGCCTTGCCAACCTCCTGTTTTCTTCATGTTAGCCTTGTTTTCTGTTCGCAAGTTCATCCGCTTGGGCACGCAGCCCCCGGCTAGCATGTTGTATCGTCGTACCTCGCTGATTACCTGGGGCAGGTTGGCGCCGATGCCGTTAGTCGTCGCCTTCTTGCCAAAGGGCCATTGGCTGTAGTCGGCGAGCAGCTCGTCGGTCTGGGCGAAGGCGCGTTCGCGGGCCTCGTGGCCGAGCGTCGACAGCGCGTTCTCAAGGACGTTGGCGGCGTAGGCGGCGCACACCATGCAGACGGTGCGCAGATAGCGGAACTCTAGGGTCTCGGGCAGGAATTGGCTGTCGTTGAGCACTACGGTGCGCTGGGTGAGCACGTTGCGCACGCGGCGGCGCAACTCCTCCTTAGCGCCACCATCGGCGACGGGGTGCGTGGCCATGTCGAAGAGCAGGAAGTTGCGCTTCTCGGTGCGTAGGATGCCCTTGTCTACGAGGCCCTTGGCGAGGCGTTCGCGGACCTGCTTGAGCTGGTATCCAATCTTCATCAAGTTCCACGTCTCGCCTGGTGCGTGGGGAGGAGAGAGAGAACAGTTCAAGTTAGCCTTGCCACAATATTCGGGCAGAAATGCAAGCTGCAGTGGCGGTGGCAAGCTTACCGCTCATCAGGTCAATCCAGGAGCTGACGCTCATCTTTTCGCTTTGCTTCATCATCTTGAGGGCCTCGTCAAGGAGAACCTCGCCTGTGAGGGTGTCGTCTATCACTTCAATGTTGCGATCGGCAGGGGGGAAGCGTCGTCGAGAGGGGTCCTTTTCCATGCTGATGCGCCCGCGAAAGGCGAGCTCAAGGACGATGCATCCTCGTAGGGCGTAGGAGATATTATCGTTCCAGAAGGAGAGGTATCCCTGTGGTTTGGCGAGTTAGAGTCGAATGCGATTAGAGACGGAGGGGAGGGGGCGGGCGGTCGAATCCTCGCCTCGGCAGAGGGGCCTCGGGCGAGCGAGCCTTGTGCCTTGTGGTCCTCACCTGCTTATCCTTGAGGCCGAGCAGGAGAATCTCCTCCATCATGGTCAGCTTGGGCTGCTTGCTGCGCTCGGCGCTCTCGCTCATGTCTCGGGGGTCAAAAGCAATCTTGTGGCCATTCTCGCCATTTTGGTAGCTCGTCTCGGGGCTGTTGTCCTTGACATTGTAGGATGAGTTGGCTCGGGAGGCGGCGTTGCTGCCCTCGGCGTCATTGGCGACGGGTGTGCCAGCGCCGCCAGCGCCGCGGCGTCTCGTAAGACCTGAGCTGGACATTGCGCGGTCCCAGGGGGGAGGCAGAAAGGAGTGTGAGGTTCAAAGGGGTTATTGCGGTGTCGGAGGGGAAGTGGACGGTTGGCGGGTGTGCGTCTGTCTCTTTTTTTTTTCTTTTTGTTGAAGGGGAAGCGGGACGGCGCCAGGGACCTCTACCGAAGATGGGTTCGCGCGAAAGGGGACTCGGGCGATGGGTACCTGAGGCGGCTATTTGTCGTGCGAGCCGAACAGGTTGGCGAAGATGGGATCGAGAAATGGTCAATAGCGCAGGGGTAGACGGCGATGTTTTGGGGGAGCCAAATGATGGGTTAGAGGTTCCACCGAGAGTCGTGGCGTGACGAGAGAGAGCGTGGCTGCGAGTGAGGCTGATTGACCTGAATGACTTTTATTACTGTAGGTCACCAGCAAGAGGGCTTTTGGCGGGCGTTGCCGGCTGCTGGCTGGCTGCTGGCTGGCCCTTTGGCGGGCACCTGGCGCGTGTCCTTGGCGGGTTCCTCTCTGGATGGAGGAGGGGCAAAGGGGCTACAGGGGGCTCTCCCCTGGGACCCTTGAAATACCAGGCAAGGCTTGGGAGGGACCAGCAGTTGCCAAACTGCTTTTACCTTGTTCAATAAATAATGTACAATTCATCTTCTATCTAGCCAAGCCATTGTCTGTTTATTTTTTTCCCTCGCATCCTACTCCGCAGCTTCGAGCTGTTTGTCAAACGGACCAGCTGTCGCGTCGCCCTTTTTGATCCATCCCTACCTACTTATCAGGTGCTGACTGATGACTTCCCATGCAGTCTTCAGGGCCCCCAAACACTCCAACAATAATAGAGAACCCTCCTTCAGGCCCTCGCAGAATGCAGCCGGATCTTCTCAAACCCACATCTGCTCCCACAGATCGTATTGATGACGCGTCACAACAGTCTTCCCATCCATAATCCGTGAATCTGTCCCATCATCCCACGAGCCGAGTCGCGTGCCAGACCTCTCCCTCCCCTCCCTCAATCCAGCTTGTCGACATCCTCACCAACCGTCTCCTTCCACAGCTCATCAAAGTCGACGCCTTGCCCCTCAAACAGCTCCCGAATCTTCTTGGCCGCCACCTCTTGCTTCTCCGGCCCGAACCCGCCCGGCTGCGTCGCCTCAAACTGCACAATCTCGACCCAGCGGTAGAACAGGTCCTCCTTGCCCATCGCCGACAGCGCATCGCGAAACGCAAATACCTGCCGCCGCTTCTGATCCTCCTCCTTCGACGCCCCCAGCTTCACATCGTAGCTCAGCCAGCCGTAGTCCTCGTGGTGCACCAGCACCGCGTTCTGGAACGCCTCCAGCGCCGCCTCCTTGCGGTCCACCATGCTGTGCGCCCGCGCCATCAGTTTCCAGTCCAGGTCCCAGCTGTTGTTCATCAGCAGGTAGCCCGTCTTCTGCTCCTGCAGCATCGGCGACGTCGCCTGCGCCACGTAGCTCGTGAAGATCTTGTTCGAGTCCGGCTCCTCCGTCACGTCCCCCAGCACCGCCTGCCAGTCCCGGCTGCGCCGCACGTAAATCTCCTTGTCCCGGAACCCGACCGCCCATCGCCACTTGGCCGGGCTGCCGTGCGTCCGCCCGGCGACGAATTCCACCGGCCACGGCCAGACGAAGACGAAGAGCATCAGGTCCACAAACATGCGGAATCCCCGCCGGGCAATCTCCCAGCCCAGCTCCGACCACGTCGTCGTCGTCTCCCCCGGAAAGCTGGAGGGATGCTGAGCCATGGCCTTGACCAGGATGGTAAAGTAGTATGGCAGGATATAGTACATGCGGAAAACAAAGGCCACGGCGACAGCGACGTTCATGAGGACCGGGACAAGGAAGATTTTGCGCTTAAAGTCGGCCGGCTTCCCGTCAATGTGCGCAATGTAAACGTGCTTCTTGGACATGCCCTTGGTCAATGGCTCCAGCATCTCCGAGACCTTTTTGAACGGAGCTGGCGGCTCTCCATCTTTGCGGATCTTGGCAGGTGCTGATGACTTTGCTGTACGTTTTCTAGGAGCCATGGCGGGCGGTGACGGCGTCGTCGTGATGAGAGGGATGTATGTAGTGTCCAAGTTGGCCGTCCGAAGTGAGGCGAGTCAATCAGTGTAAGGAGCCCAACCCACCTACTACAAAAGGAAGAAGGGGTTGTACAGTACGTCCACCAATGACATCCGAGCCAAATTTCAATGGAATTGTGATTCAAGTGGAATTGATTCAAATACCATGAGCCCCATAAATGAAAATAAAGAAAAAAAAGTTCCAACGGCAAACGCCAGCAACAGCAACGCCAGCCGGCCTTGACAGGAGCTTTTCCGGACTATCCCTGCCCCCGAGCTAGAAAACTCCACTGCCAATTAGTAGCTGGCAGAGCAAAGCTACCTGCTGTCGCATTTCGCTCTGTGCATCTCAACGTCTTCAAAGCAGCTCATTTGCGTCATTTGCAAGATGCTGAGGACACATGCGTGGCGGGCAAGTACAGCAACCTGCTTAAAGAATGCCGCTCAACTAACAGCAATATAGCAACGAGGCTCCTTTGTTTGCGCGGCATGCCGGCAAGGCTGCTCCGTCGCCCACCCACCACCAAGAATAGGAACTACAACTGCTAGGCATCGGAGTGTCGCGTCGCCATGTGCCACACAATTTGGAAGTGACAGACTCTTCTCGACCTCAAACAGCCGCAATGACGACTCCAGGCCGTCCTTTCCTGGTGCCTTCGCCGGTGGTGCTGGTAAATTCGGCTCCTTTGGCTCCTTCGCATCCAAGGCCAAGCCGGCCGCAACGTCGGGACTGCTTCCACATGAGATAGCAGCCCGCAAAACAGCTACAATAGAGCCTCCAAAGCCTGCGATACCAAACAACACTTCAGAACAGCCAAAACACCGCCAGTCCAGGCAACCCCGAAAACCGCGGCCAGCCGACCCTGCCAAAGACCAGAAGACTCTGAAATCCAGATCCGTCCTCGCCGACATACTTCGGTCCGACCGCCAGCCGCAAGCTCCAGCCGCCCCAGCTTCTTGGTCCTCCGGGGACCGAAAAACGCATGCGAACGATACGACCCGAAAAACAGGTGACTCAAATATCTGGGAGGAGCTCACGAAGAAGAAGAGAGACCCTGTTCCTCATGGCAAAGGAACTCAAAGCTCAAGGTCCTCCAAAAGCGCCCCGAAAAATGAAACCGATGATTTCTGGGGTGAACTGGACGACTCAGCAAGCGCATCAGGGGCTCAAGGTGGTCGTAAGCCCCGTGAACGTCAAGTTCCCAAGAAGCTGCAGGGCAAATATGCTGGGGTGCACAGTCATCCATCTCACGTTGGAGACGACCTGACTCCATACACGATGCCGAAAGATACTCCTTCTGCTAAGCAAAAGAAGTCTAGATTCGACGAGGCATTGCCGTCTCGAGACGGTAAAAAGTCGAAAAAGGGAAAGCGTCTGGAAGGTAGCCGCATAGCCACCGACGAGGGCTGGGAAGACGATGCTGATCGCTGGGAGGAGCTTCAGCAGCGCAAAAAGGCCAAGGAAGCACGCAAAGCTGCTAAAGCCGAGCAGCCAGAGGTGGTGCCCATCTTTATTCCCGAGTACATCAGTGCCACCGACCTGGCGCATGCCCTCAAACAGTCTGTAAACTCCTTCATGTCCGACATGGAAGAGATGGGCTTCGAAAACATCACAGGTGACACAGTCATGACCGGTGAGACGGCGGCGCTTGTTGCCATGGAGTATGGCTTCGAGCCCACAGTCGACGACGGCTCTCAGCGCGACCTGCAACCTGCGCCAATTCCTCAGGATACGTCTTCTCTACCGTCGCGACCCCCTGTTGTCACCATCATGGGACACGTTGATCACGGCAAGACGACGCTACTCGACTATCTACGCAAGTCGTCCGTGGCTGCGCAGGAGCACGGTGGCATCACCCAGCATATTGGTGCGTTTGTAGTCAGCATGTCTACCGGCAAGCAAATCACGTTCCTCGACACGCCCGGTCACGCTGCGTTCCTGTCCATGCGCCAGCGCGGCGCCAACGTCACGGACATTGTCGTCCTCGTGGTGGCGGCCGACGACAGCGTCAAGCCGCAGACGCTCGAGGCCCTCAAGCATGCCAGGGCGGCCAAGGTGCCCATCATCGTCGCCATCAACAAGATTGACAAGGAGGACGCGCGCGTCGACCAGGTCAAGGCCGACCTGTCGCGCCATGGCGTAGAGATTGAGGACTACGGCGGCGACGTGCAGGTCGTCTGCGTCAGCGGCAAGACGGGTCAGGGCATGAGCGAGCTGGAGGAAAACATCGTCACGCTGTCCGAGGTCCTCGATGTGCGCGCTGAGACGCACGGTATGGCGGACGGCTGGGTCCTCGAGTCGAGCGTCAAGCAGGATGGCAAAGCCGCCACGGTGCTCGTCAAGCGTGGCACCCTACGCGTGGGCGACCACGTCGTCGCGGGCAAGACGTGGGCGCGCGTGCGCCTGCTTCGCAACGAAGCCGGCACCGAGATACACGAGGCGCCGCCTGGTATGCCCGTCGAGATCCTCGGTTGGCGAGAGCTCCCACCGGCAGGCGAAATGGTGCTCCAGGCGGTCGATGAGGCCAAGGCCAAAACGGCCGTGGCTTACCGTTCGGAGATGGCGGACCGTGAGGCCAATTCGGCCAACATTGCAGCGCATGAGCAGCGGCTGCGCGATAAAGCGGCTGCCGATGCGCTGGCCGCTGAACGTGCGGCATTAGGTGAGGTCGCAGAAGACGAAGCCTCGGCAGAACCCGGCAGCACCGCCGCCGCCACCCTCACACAAAGCTTCATCGTCAAGGCCGACGTAGCGGGATCGGTAGAGGCCGTGTCCGGCTGCATCCTCGAGCAGGGCAACCACGAGGTGCACTCCCGCGTGCTGCGCGCATCCGCAGGCCCTGCGACGGAGCACGATGTAGACCTGGCGGCAGCATCCAACAGCATCATCGTGAGCTTCAACGTAGCCGTGGCGCCGCACATTCGACGACGCGCCGAGGCCGCGGGGGTGCGGGTGCTAGAGCGGACCGTCATCTACCACGTAGTGGACGACGCGCGGGCGACGCTGGGAGCGCTTCTGCCGCCGCGCGTGACGCAGCGCATGCAGGGCGAGGCGGACGTGCTGCAGATTTTTGCGATCAACGTGGCGCGGCGCGTGGTGCGCAACATTGCGGGGTGTAGAGTGCGCAACGGAGCGTTGAAGAAGGGGAGCAAGGTCAAGGTGCTTCGCAAGGGGCAGGTCATCTACGAGGGTGAGATTGCCTTTTTCTTTACAGTGTTCCGTTGGGTCTTCTACGTTGATGTTGGCTAACTGACGATTCGACAGGCACGATTGACACGATCAAGCACGGCAAAAAGGACGTGCAGGAGATGGGCAAGGGCACAGAGTGCGGCGTCGGCCTGGATGGCTTCGAGGATCTGCGCGAGGACGACCAGCTGCAGACGTACGAGGTGATTGAGGAGAAGCGTGAGTTGTAGCTGTAGAGTAGATGTACGATATTTGTAAGGGCTATATAGAAGAGAGCGAACTGGTGGGAGACGAGGGCTCGTTACTTGATACCATGGATGTATTATAGATACTCATTCGCACACATTTCTCATCACTACCAAAAAGCAGGCGTCTTTGGATGGCATTATTTGTATATCTATGATATATATGATATCTTGGACTTGTTTATGACCGTCACCACCGACTCGGCGCCGACACTACATTCGACGAAAATGTCCTGCTCGTCGTCGACGCGGCCGTCGCGGCCTGCGCGCGCTCCCTCTCCAGCTTGGCCAGGCCGACGCGGTCTGTCACGGGCGTGGCGTCAATGATGTTGTCAAACTCGTCGTCGTCATCGTCGTCGTTGTCCGAGTCGGGCTCGACGTCGTGCGGCGCGAGCTGTTGTCGCTGCTGCTGTGGTGGGGGAGGAGGGCGGGCGACAGTCGCCGGCTTGGCCTTGGCATCATCCTCGTCGTTAAGATTGGCGAAGGTCTTGGAGGCGAGAACCTTGCGGCGGATCTCGGCCATGGCCAGTTCGTCGTCGCTGTCGTCGGAGATGGCGAACGGGTCCCTGTCGTCCTGCTCCTCGTCGTCTTGTGCTTCTTGCGGCCTCTTGCCCAGATATATCCCGTCCACGCTCTCCTTGTCGCCCTCTTCATCCTCCTCCTCTTCATCATCACCATCGTCGTCGTCGTCGTCTTCATCGCTCAGCCGCCGATGATTTGTATTTCCACTCGTCCACATGTCGTCATTTGCCTCCCTGCTCTCCGCGTACTCCCTCTCCAGCTGCGCCATCCACTCCGCCTCCACCCTCTTGACGCCCTCCGCGTCCTCGCACTTGGCGTACCGGTCCAGCAGCGTCCCGTTGATCTGCAGAAACGACTCGCCGTACGGGAACGGCGCCAGCGCGTGGGCGGCCCAGTCCGGGTGGCCGCAGATGTAGAAGGCGGCGGCGAGCGCCTCGACGCAGTTGAGCCGCCAGGGCTTGCCGTAGTTGACCGTGTTGGCGGCGACGAGGTAAGGCAGCAGGCGCTCGCACTTGCCGCCGACCTTGGCCCAGGGCACCTCGTCGGTGCGCGCCCAGGAGCACTCGACGACGGCGGCGCCGTGCTGGGCGAGCAGCGGCGCGTCGGCGGGGGAGACGACGGAGCGCCCGCGCGGGGTGATGACGACGCCGGCGTGACGCTGGCCGACGTGCAGGTCGCGCATCATGCCGAGGCGCATCAGCTTCTTGCCGGAGCACCGCTTCGGGTCGCAGTGGCCGAGGTCCCAGCAGGCGGCCTTGTACGGGGGGCGGGTGCTGGTGGTGGTAGGGTCACCGTCTTGGTCGGGGTGGTTGTTGCCGCGGGGGGTACGGGAGGAGCCGCCGCCGCGTCCGCCGCCGAATTTCTTGCCGCGGCCGGCAAAGTCTTTCTTGTGTCGGACCATGGTGATGGGGAAGTCGAGGGCAGGTTGTGAGGAATGTCAAGTTTCAAATGTTTTACTTTGTAGAGTTGCGACGAAAATCTAGCCCCGCCATTCACCCCACCCTCTCTGGTGGTTGTGCTGGGTTCTGGTGACGACCGCGAGATGCAGCTACTATTGAGAGAAGGGGAAGACCAAGAAAAAAAAGAAAAATTCACAAGGGTAAAATATGTTCTTCTTTCTTTTTTGAAGAGAAAATTGGCCCCATCACCTTCAATCCTGGCCCACAAGACCAAGACAGAGCTGCTGAGCCGCGCCACCGCAGCCACAGCCTGGGTGTCCACTGGCGTGGACAAGGAGGGGAACGCCACACCAAGCGAGCTACAGTATGTACCTTGCCGCCTATTAAGACTCCCAGCTCGTCATCATCATCACCATCATCATCAACCAGCTAACCTGGGGGGATTGGGGACACGAACCGGCGCTATTCCGCATTGCATTGCCGCGCGCATCGACACTCTCTGACATTTGATCCCTTAACTATCTACGCCGCTTCTCCCGTCCGCCGTTTCCGACCCCAACTCCGATTCCCCTCCCTCCGCCCGAACCCCCCTCCCCCAACCTCGATCCTCGGACAACTTCACCTCGATCCAGCATCTCGATCCAGTACCTCAGCCCGTCAAAAAAAACACTTTACATAGGCCCTTCGACAACCCCCACCACAACCATGGAGGCCGCCTCTGCGCGCGCCGCCGCCCGCGACCGCTGGGGCGAGTACGGCGGCCGCACCCCCTCGCAGCTCGAGCGCTACATCCACTCCGCCTGCAGCCCTGACAACTACGAGCCCAACCTCGCCCTCAACCTCGAGATTTCTGACCTCGTCAACCAGAAAAAGGGCGCCGCCCCGCGCGAGGCCGCCACCGCCATCGTCACCTACGTCAATCACCGCAACCCAAACGTCGCCCTCCTCGCCCTCAGCCTCCTCGACATCTGCGTCAAGAACTGCGGCTACCCATTCCACCTCCAGATCAGCACCAAGGAGTTCCTCAATGAGCTCGTCCGCCGCTTCCCCGAGCGGCCCCCCATCCGCGCCACCCGCGTCCAGGCCAAGATCCTCGAGGCCATCGAGGAGTGGCGCATGACCATCTGCGAGACGAGCCGTTACAAGGACGACCTCGGCTTCATCCGCGACATGCACCGTCTACTCAGTTACAAGGGCTACATGTTTCCCGAGATTCGCCGAGAGGATGCCGCTGTATTGAATCCCAGTGATGTATGTGCCGCTTGCCACCCTCGTGTCCTACCGTCATCTGCCCCCCTTCCCCCCTAACATGCCGCATAGAACCTCAAATCCGCCGAAGAAATGGAAGAGGAGGAACGCGAGGCCCAGTCCGCCAAGCTCCAGGAGCTCATCCGACGCGGCACCCCCACCGACCTGCAAGAAGCCAACCGCCTTATGAAGGTCATGGCCGGCTTCGACACGCGCTCCAAGACCGACTACCGCGCCAAGGCCGCCGAGGAAGTGGCCAAGATCCAGGCCAAGGCCCGCCTGCTCGAGGAGCGCCTCGAGGCCTTCCGCCCCGGCGACAAGATGACCGACGGCGATGTCTTCAGCGAGCTCGCCTCAGCCCTGCAGAGCGCCCACCCCAAGATTCAAAAGATGTGCGAAGAGGAGTCGGACGACCACGAGGCCGTCGCCAAGCTCTTCGACATCAACGACAGCATACACCGCACCGTCGAGCGCTACAAGCTTATGAAAAAGGGCGACCTCGAGGGCGCCGCCAAGATTGCCGCCGGCGGGCCCGCGCCTTCGCAGACGGCAACCGTCGCCGGCAGTGGCGCGGCCGGCGAGCTGTCCCTCATCGACTTTGACGCAGATGCCGCCGACGCCAACCGCAGCTCCTCGTCGCAACCTGGCAGCGCCACGCAGGGCATCGAGAACGATCTCCTCGGCCTGGACATTGGCGGCAGCTCTGGCAACTTCGGTCAGGGCGGTAGCATTGCTCTCGGCTTTGGCGCCAACCAAAGTACGCACCCCAGCACCAACATCTCCGAATGGCACCAACTAACAAGCCACAGATATCCCTGGACCTGCGCTGCTGTCTTCGCTGACAGACAACAGCAGCGCCAGCACCAACAACAACGGCCACATGGCCGCTTCAAGCAGCAGCGGCAACCTTGGCAGCCAATTCATGTCCTTTGCTTCGGCATCTGCGTCGCAGTCAACCACTCCCGTCCCCGCCGGTGCCGCCATTGCCGCGCCTCCTCCACCTACAGCCTCCGATCCGTTTGCAGCGTTCATGTCGCAATCCAGCAGCGCCGGCAAGCAACCCGCCGCCACCGAAGATGATGAATGGAACTTTTCCTCGGCACTGCCCGAGTCATCATCACAGCAACAGCAGGTCCCCCGCGAGCACAAGCGCACCATCACTGACGGTAGCATCCGCGCCGAGTTTCTGGCCAACCGCGCCACGGCTTCGTCACCGGCCATTGACATGCTCTTTTCGTTTTCCAACAACACGGCACAGCCCATTTCGGAGCTGCACTTTCAGTTGGCCGTGACCAAGGTGTGTAATCATTTTTCTCTATTTTCTAGATGACGCAAAACAAGGCAAAAAGAGAACAAGGAGAAGAAAGCAAACGAAATCAATAAGAGATCATCACAAAGTCAATGCTAACAGTCTAACAACACTAGGGCTACGAACTCAAACTCAAACCCCAAACGGGCCGCAACCTCGCTCCCAAGCAGAGCAGAGGCGTCACGCAGCACGTCGCCGTCCACCGCGCCGGTGCGGCCTCGAAGCGAGTCGACGCGGCCAAGCTTCGGTGGCGGGCGGCCTACAAGGTCGGCGGCGAGCAAAAGACGGAGATGGGCGAGATTGCCGAGTTTAGCATCGCGTGAGGGTGTAGGATGACGGAGACGGAGACGGAGATGAAAAAAAAGGAGAGTGAAGTAGAAGGGGTGGTGTTTTTTTTTGTTTAGATATTTCTGTCATGTGAGATTCAAGATGATGGACAAGCGAGAAGGGGGACGAATGGCTACAATTATTTTGGGTCCTTTTGCTCCATAGCAAAAGAAGAGGGACAAAAGCTCAACGTAAAGAAGCGAATCATCTAATTCATTCCATCTCAGATATCTTTCCGCAAACCCCTCTTCATCTAGTCACACATGTACAAAAGTCGGAAAATTACCTCCAGGACAGCATCGACGTAGGAGGAATTAGAGTGTATTATGGCCTTCTCATCTCGAGCGATGTATATCAAAGTCACAGACAACAAACACTCTACAACTTGGTTCATGCCCTTGACAAAAAGAAATATCTCTTCTCAACCCACGCTCACGCAGAAACAAAAACTCCCTTGTCGCCAAAGCCCGGGACAGGATAGTACATACAGAGTACCATGACAGCACAAAAACAACAACAATACACACACAGCCGAAGCAGGGTAAGCAAGGGCAATTTCTTGAGCAACAATGCCGGAATAATGACAAAAAGAAGTGTGACGAGAAAGAAAGAAAGAAAAACTCCATGAACTGTGAAATGACTCCACGAAAGTCGTAACAAGATGCCACCCAAACGCCTCTCTCCCAGCTTTCCCTCTCCCTTCTCAGCAACATCTTGAACAAAGGATAAATCACCTACCTGCAACCAGCGTGGTGATGACCAAGCAAAAAGACAAAAGAGAACAAAACAATGCAAGATGACTCCTTATGAATGCAGAGAATAATACAACAGGTCCATTTCCTTCGTAATCTTCCGTCGCCGCTGCTCAAACGCCGAGCTGGATCGGGGCAGGGTTTGGCACGACGTAGTTGCTCGTCGGTGTCTTTGGGATCTGGGCCATGGACTCGCGCTCGGCCTTTTCCTTTTCGCGCTGGAGTCTCTCGGCCTTGGTGATTCGCGGCTTACGGACGATACCACCGCGCGAGCCCGGACCGCCGCCACGACCTGTACCGGCCCCGCGAGTAGAGCCTCCACGGCCACCACGGCTGCCACGGCCGCCGCGACCACGACGAACGGGTCCTTCGCTGCTGTGATGATAGTTAGCATGAGCTCGTACAAGAGAATTGATAACGGAAAGCATACCCAGGTGGAGGCTTTTCCACCTCGGGAACCAGCGGCCCGGAGTAGACAAAGAATCCATCGCGACTTGCGGCAGCCTGCGCCTCCCAGAGAAGCTCAGAATCATCCACAAAGTCGTCGTCGACGTCGTACTGGTCCTCCTTGAAGTTGCGCTTCTTCTTGGTCGGCTTGGGCCGGTTGTCGGTGCCGCTGGCGCCAGCGATTTCGGGGTTGCTACCCTCGGCATCGGACAGGTCCACGGACATTTCATCGCCAGATTCTCTCCCCGACTCGTTCCTTTCGAGGTTTGCCGTCACCGCCGCAATGCGCGCCTTGCGGTCCCGGTTCGCCGCCTGGCGGGGGTGCAGGGCATCCCAGCCGTAGCGGTCCTCTGCGAGTCGCAAAAAGTTGACGTACTTGTTCGTCTCGCCGCTGTTGATGGGGATGCTCAGTACAATTGTAGGCACGACGGCCTCTTCTCCAGGTTTAACCTTGCCAAAGTCGAGGATGGAGCGGCCTTCGCCTTCGGTTCCCACGTCGTCCATGTCTGTCCTCGGGGTCGATACGCCAGTGTGCTTGGGGGACACCTTTCGAACGGGACCGTTGGCAATAGTGGTAAAGTTGGAAGGGTTGGGGACAGGGCGAAGCGTATCGAGCGTTTCTGCCTTTTCGGGGACTGGGCGAGCGGCAAACGCTCGAGGCGGCTGGTTGGATGGTGATGCCGGTAGGGGCCTCTCGTCATGCAAACGAGACGCAGGATAGCCGTTGTGCGAATTTGAGGGTGACATTTTGGGTGCGGCGGGCTCCAGGAGACTAGCTATGGAGGGAGACTTGTTTGCGTGGGCAAGTGTTCTCGGAGACCCGGATGCGGGGGAATATTGGGTATGCGAGGGCGGCGCATCGCGGGCTGGGCCTGATATGCCGCGAATGGGATCGTAGCTCTGCCCACTGGTGCGGACAGGGACAGATGCGGGAGGCGGGGGGTCATCGTTAAGTATGCTCTGCATAGAGCTAGGATAGCCGTCGCGTTTAGGCATCTTAGGTGAGGAGCGTGGTTGAGTGGGCGATGTTTGCAGGAAGCTGCGGGAAGTAGAGTTAGGCGAGCCGCCTGCGTGACCAGGGGCTCGTGATACGTCGGAATCATCCTGCTCCGTGTCGGTGAGGGCTACCTTGCGCTTACGCTGGATAGGAGGCGCATCGGGATCGCGCGGCTTCCTAGGTCGGCGGGTCTTGGCTTCGGTGTCGGTCTTGGGTTTCACAACGGTACCGGGCTTGCGACCGGGCTTCTTGCGCGGAACGCCGGCAGCGGTGAGTTGCACCCATCTTCCATCAATATAGTCAAAAAGCCTCTCCTGAGCCTTGCCGCCGACCATGACGGTGGTGACTTGGCGCGTAGGGGTGGGAGACTCATCGGCCGGTTTGGAGCCAGGAGGCTGGTACTGCTGAAAAGTGGTTTGTTGGGTGCGACGCTGGTCGTTGCTAACGACAATTTCGTCCATTGTATCGGGTGTGTGTATGTGTGAGTGAGAGTCGGCGGGTATAGACGGTGGCGAGCTGATGGGTGGTGGTCGCACAAGGTAGTGCGACGATGGGAGCAAAGAGCCACCAAGAGCGAGGAAAGAGGGGGAAGGAAAGGGTAACGCAGACTATATCAATGACACATGGATAATGAAGGATTGTGTAACAAGAATCCGAGGATGAAATGAATGGCCACCAGCTGTGGCGAGTTGCAGCTTGGGCGAACACTCAGAGTGGTAGTCGATATTAGCTGCAACAGGGTCAAGGTTACCCGTTGGTTGGGTTTCTGTGGGTGGGCGGACGCGGCGCTGCGAGTTGGTGATCCGTGATTGGCCGGGACGAAGGACACCTGGAGAAGGTGGGTCCCAGGCAAGAGCGGTGCTTGGGAATAGCCTCACTTGGCCGTGTGCGACAGCGCGCCAACGCCAAACGGAGGGCGGAAAAGGAAGACGCGTACAGGCGGGCGAGGCGCGGTGATGGGGTAAATTCGAGGCGAGGAAAATAAAGAGCACAAGTGCACGCACAAGAAGCAGTGCTCAAAAGGACAAATCAGATGGCGCGACGGATCGAAATCGATGGAAATGGAAATGTCGATTGCGTCGATTTTGTGGTGATTTTTTTGCAGTGATGTGGCCGATGTGTAGGAGTAGAGAAGTGAGAAAGGGGGTGGGAATGGAACAGAGGGGGCAAAGGCAAAGCCAGAAACAAGATGGGGCGAGCAGTTAGTATTTTTTTTTTACTGGGCTACCTACTGACGGGCTCGGGGATGGTTACAATTACTGTGGTTAATTGCTAGTTGATAATAATATACGGGGGTGGTCGTGGCGCCAGCAGCAAAAAGGCAAAGGGGAAAAGGAAAGGGACAGAGGATAATAAGGAATTGTCGGGGCGGGATGGGATGGATGGTTTGGTATGAGGGAAGGAGGTGGGGGGATGGGGAGGGACTGTTTAGACAAGAAAGGGAAATACAAGAAAGATACAAACACCAAAGGAATAGACCCGACTCAACAAAGACGAGATATACAAAGACGACAATATGCAGCGTCGGCAAATGACCAGCATGGACCGGGCGCGGGCCAGGTACCAGGCAGTCCACGTCTGGAGGGGGAGCAAAGTAGAAACAAGGTAACTTGACGGGAGGTGCTAATTCTCAGCCCAGCACAGCTCGTTGTCAGGTGGCCGGGGCGGTCGGTATTCCAATTACGAAATTGGGCGAGACCTTTTTTTGCTTGCAAGCGACTTGAAGGCAAGCAAGAGAGACAAGGCAAAAAGAAGACTACAGAAAACGGAAAGCACCTAAAAAGCTACAGTGGCAGGGGGGGGAGGGGACCCACGGCCAGCCCGGCGGCGCGCAGCCTCCTCTGCCCCCCTCCCCGCCCCAAGGCAAAGGGAATAAATAGGCCTGCAAATCTGGCATTTTTGGGGCACCCGACCCTGCCGACCACTCAGAGCAGCGGAAAATGGGTTGAGTGGAGAAACACAGCCAAAATGCAACCGATGACCGACATGGAGGGGGGTGTCACTAATCAGGGTGTACACAACGTGCGCATCAGGTAACATGCAAAAGAAACAGCAAAAAATGGAATGGTTGTATTTTTGAATGCAGATGGATTCTGCAGTTTTGTTTCCTGTCAAATTTCATCATTCGGCAGCCTCCCCATTTGCCCTTGCCGACCTGGACGAACCCCTGGCCACACGCTCCCACCCACCCCTCCAGCAGGTCTTGGTGGGCACCCCGTTATCCTTGCTATCAGTCCCCAGATAAGCGCCCATATTACCAAGATGAGCTTGTTGCGGTTGTTGCTGGCGTATACAAAGGGTCACGGGAAATGGCTCATTTATAATTGAGAGGAAAAGGCAAAAAAACATCTTCTTCATGAGTATTTCGAAATTCTGTCAAAAAGGACACTTATTTACAGCCCCTTCATCTCACATCGCCCCTACCTGTGCCATCGCTCTGCCGCACTAGACCTCAACAAGGCATTCTTACCGTCTCGCATTCTCAATGGTCGCACCTACCTAACCGAACTCCTGCCAAGTCAATGTGTTTGGCACGTAGCTTTTATGTGGCACCGTCTTGTATTGTCCGTTTTCTTTTGTCTTTTTTTTTTCTTTTTTTTTCTGCCAAGCCTTCCCTTTAACCACCTTTCTTACTGGCATTACATCATGCTGCCCGCTCTCATTACCAGTGCCATCGACACTCATTTCAACGAGAAAAAAAATGATTCTTCATCCCCCACAACAGTGCTTGGTTCGCTCGGCGAAGAAAAAAAATATCTCCCTTTTGTCAAACGTCGCCGGCGCCGGTGAAACAATTGCAAGCCACACCCCTCGTCCGTCTTCGCCTCACCTCACCTCCTTCCTCCCCGCCCAGGGCTCCCCCGTCCCGTGTGAAATCTCGCCCGCCGAATAGGATCGGCGCTAATGCAGGTGTGGCGGTGCACCGCGTCTGGTCCTCGAAAGCTTACCTTTAAATATAGACAAGGCAGTTCCTCACTACCAACAAAATTAGCCTGGTGCATTTGCAACGCAAGATTCCGTCTGTCCTCTGGGAATTTATTTTCGGAGGCCTTTTCTACATTGGAGTAGTCCGGTTTTCTTCACAACACTCGAATCACATCTGTGCCGAAATCCAGCCGACCCCTATAGCCATTTAGTATTTCTGCTTACCTCAGCAGCGACAGATGTACAGCTACCCTACATTATACTTCAATTTTGCATGTCGAGTATTACGCGTCACTGGCGTCGCAACTTGTGTGCTTTGGGTTGACTAATTTCTCCTCGTTTTCTTTGTGCTTGCCACACATATTTCAATACCTACCGCCCAAAGGGGCCGCCAGACAGCGACGTCATCCTGACGAACGCATAAAAATAGCGCCTAGTCACTCAGAACGAAACGACGTGTGTAGCCTCATACGAGGGCAATAATATCAGGCCCTTCCCTGCACAATTCAGAAACGGCTCGCACACCCTCCACCAGCCCCCGGCCGCCACTGACATGTTAATTCCAATACGGTGTGTCATCTTGAAATGAAGCCGCCCGTTTCCCAGTTCGAGCCCTTGGCAAGATAAGTGCCGCCTCTGCCGCCGTGACAGGCATCGTAGAATAAGGGTGCTGTCAAGTGCGTCCCATAAGAATGAGGAGGAGATAAAAATAAAGATAAGAAAAAGACGCACAATTAGGCGAACAAAAATAGTATTTCCACCTGAATAGTGAGAAAGCAAAAAAGAAATGTTACGACACGAGCAGGATTTGAACCTACGCGGGCGAACCCACATGATTTCTAGTCATGCACCTTCTGTTTGACTGGTTAGCGAGTGTCGTCTTGTGGAACGACAAGGATTGAACTTACAACCACTCGGTCATCGTGTCTAGATTGTAATTGGTTGACAAGGGGCCGAGATATTCAGCTATAAGAGGATATCGCTTGTGCCCGCCAGGCCATCGCTTGATCCAGTCGGAGTCCTCGCACGCGAAGCTGTATGAAAATAATAAATAAAAACAACAACATAGAGGAAAATGACAATAGATAACAAAATGCACACGTAGATTACCAGATTGGGTTATTTGTATTGTTTTCTTTTAACCTCATATGCGCTGTTGCTGTTCGTAGACAATTTATACCTGGAAAGCAAGATTGAGGAAATCACCCATTCAGGCTCTATCTGACTGGAAACTGCATCGGCGCCGAATCATGCACACGTGGCCACGTGAAAACAAAAGAAGTCATGACTATATAATGACCCCTTTTCTGAGTTGATTCGCTACAGAATTCAGATGCCACCGGCTTTCCCTGAGTCGTTTGCATCATCAACGTCGCCATTACGTCACGTACCCTCACTTACCGCGACAACGTATAAAGGACAGCGCATTTAACAAGATTCTCTCTCGCAGACACCTTCAACGCTTGAAAATATCTTAGCAAGTTCAAAATCAATTGACACAATGTCCTTCTCCAACACATCCACCGGCGACGCGCCCGCCGACCCGTACACCAAGGCCAACGCCGCCACCGACGTCGACGGTCCTGAAAAGATCCAGGACCTGGCGTCCTTCCTCGCCACCAGCAAGTACGGCATGCTGACGACGCGCCAGGCTGGCTCCTCAAGGCTCGTCTCGCGTGGCATGGCCATTGCAGGCAGCGCCGACGACAAGAACGGCGGCCTGGACCTCGTCTTTTCGATCAACACCGAGTCCGGCAAGACGGACGACATCGCGGCTGACCCGGAGGTCAACGTCTCCGTTCTCGACGCCGATGGCTCCTGGGCGTCTGTGGCTGGGCACGCGGCCGTCGTCACGGATCGCGTCGAGGTCAAGAAGTACTACAGCCCGCTGCTCAAGGCCTGGCTGGGGGACCTCGGTGACGGCGTGCACGACGGGTCCGAGAACGACCCGCGCATCGGGCTGATCAAGCTCACGGCCGAGACGGCCACGCACAGCGTGGCGCAGAACGGCGCGATTAAGACGGCACTCAAGGTTACGGCCGCGGCGGTCCAGGGCAAGCCGGCGCAGGTCAACAGCCTGCGGCACATCTCCGAGGACGAGATCAAGGCGTGGAGGGCTCTGCACGGAAAGGAATGATGGATGGAAAGGGGAATCTGTCTAGTTTAGAGTCTATGATACAGTAATGCCTATCTGTGTTTATTACCTCCCCCTACGTCCGCCCGAATAGCCCCTGCGGCATCATGGCCTTGATTGCCAGCGCAAGGATGCCGCCAAACAAGCACACGGTGCCGCTAAACACAGACACCTCAAAGTAGCCGCCGTACGCCTTGACGAACGCGCCGTTGACCGGCGGCCCGACCAGCACGCCGATCGACGCCAGCGCCATGCCCATGCCCATGTACGTGCCGATGTCGCGGGCATCGCGCGCAAAGACGGAGATGGCCGCCGACGCGCCCGAGATGATCGTTCCAGAGACGAAGCCAAAGACGGCGGCGTACGCGATGATGCTGGCGTTAGACTGCGGCAGGTTGAAGCAGAACACCACGACGCCCGTCGCCACCGCGCCGATGCCGAAGACGTTGACCGGCCCGTACCGATCGGCCAGCACGCCCGGGATCACGCGGCCGAGCGTCGACGCGCCGTTGAGCACCGCCGGCAGGTACCCCGCCAGCGCGGGGCGCATGCCGCGGCGCTGCGCATACGTCGGCAGGTAGAAGATGGGCGTGAACATGCCCACGAGGATGAACAGGAACGACGTGCAGAACAGCACAAACTTGGCGTCCCGGTACATCTCGAACATCACGAACTGGCGGGGCCGGGGAGGCAGTCGCGGGGCGATGGCGAAGCAGGCGAAGAGCAGGAACGGCAGGATGATGAGGCCAACGACGCGCACGCTCCACCCGAAGCCGAGGTTGGAATCGTTGAGCATGCGCGACAGCAACACGGGCATGACGACGCCGCCGAGCGAGGACCCCGCGACCATGAGGCCGAGCGCGGCCGCGCGCCGCCGCTTGAAGTGGTGCGCGACGGCGGCGAAGGCCGGGAACTGCAGGAGCGCAACGGCGGCGCCCATGAGCACGCCCTGCACGAGCATGAGCTGCGCGTACGTGCGGCACGCGCTGAGGCCCATGACGGCGGCGAAGTAGAGGGCGGCGCCGGGGCGGACGACCTGGATGTAACCCGGTCAGCGACGACGAGGGAAAGGAAGAGAGGGAGAGAAAACTCACCGCCGCGCCGTACCGGTCGAACAACGGCCCACCGAGCACGCCCGTCACGAAGGGCAGGAACGCGGACACGCTGCCGATCCAGGCGACCGCGTCCGGCGAATGCCCGCGCAGCTGGTGCGACAGGTAGTACGCGGCAAAGGTGCCGAACGAGTTGCCGAGGCCGAGGCAACAGAAGAAGACGGCCGCGCCGCCCGCGACGACCAGCCACGCCCGGAGGCCGCCGTCGGGGAACTCGTCGTCTTCATCGTCGGGCTGTGGGAGGGCTTCCTTGGTGGTGACGCCGGGGGTGGTGGTGTCGGTGTCGGTGCCGGAGGACGGAGCCGCCTCGACGTCGGTCTTGGCGGAGGTCATTGCTGCGCCGGAATTTTTGGGCAATAATAAGAATTAAAAGGGTTCAAGGAACAGAATTACATGCAGTTCTGGTTATCAATCTCTACAGAACGTCTAAAAATTACACATACTCGTATCGACTTTATATGAACGTGTTGGCAGCCTGACAGGGCTCGCGCTAACACCCAGCCGGCCCTACGCGGACTCGGCCGGCCGGCCTCGGCAAAATCGCCCACTTTTTCTCGGTCCCGGGCTTGCGCGTACACGACAAGACTCATACTTCACGCGCCCCTGCATCGGCTCATTTGACATCGGATTACAGTCGTGACACGATTCGGCCGAGAATTGTCGGTTTCCGAGAGTCTAGTGGATAAGGTAAGGTCGATGCCACGACTGAGCCTGCCGTGGCCTGGTACCGGCGAGGGTCACCGAGCGAAACACGGGATGTAGAAGATCTAGAGGAGGCCGGTGGAAACAAACTCAATTGACGTATAGGTGTTATTCATGTTATAATCCCATTCCCTACACTCGCGTTTCCAGCGAATCTATGCTACCCGTTTTGCAGTCATGATCTAGATAGAGACGTCCTCCCTTTTTTCCTTCTTTTGCCATCACCGTCCAGTAGCCGTTCGTTGTACCAGCAAACAGTACGACAGACATTTTCATCCCCTTTTCTCATTCTCTATATCCAAGACAGAGGCCGATCCCATGGATGCGCGAAACAACGGCAGCCACCGTGTACAATGGCAATCTGGAAAGACTCTTTGTCTTTGCCAAACAATCTCATTCCATCATCTAGGACTCAGCACCCAGTCCCTGGAGCTCCTTAAGCACAGCCGACTTGGTGTTGATCTTCTTCATCTGCGTGTCCTCGAGCTTCTCTCCACCAGCCAGACGCATCTCTAAATCCTCAATGGCGCGGACCTTCTTCTGCAGACTGCGAATCTTCTTAGCATGGGGGTTAGCATCGGCGGCGCCAGCTCCCGCCGCGCCAGGAGCCTGCTGAGAGGCGTTGGCGCCGTTACGCTGTCCCTGCGTGGTGTTGCTGCGGCTGCGGCTATCGCCATTGTTTCTAGAGCGGCTGCGGCGATCATTGGCGCCAGCGCCGCCAGCACCACGTCTCTCGGGACTGCGACCATCTTTTCCTGGCTGAGGAGGGGCAAGGCTGGCACCTCCATTCGGCTCCGCCTCGAGCTTGCCCTCACCCTGGTTGTTGTTCTTCTTGCTCCTCTTCTTCTTGTTCTTCTTGGCGCCGTCGTTTTCCACCGGCTCGGCCCCGGGGACTCCACGCGCAGGAGCAGGAGCAGACTCGGCAAGCTCGGCGCCTGGAACGGCGCGACGCGCACGGCCGAAGCCGTTGGGTCCAACGTTCTGAGTGCCGTTGCTCACAACATGAGCAGCTCCACCCTCGTCCTCGCGCTTGAAGTGCAAGGGGGTGGCCAGGCCACGAGCACCAGGGGGTCGGTACGCGCCGGCAGGCTTACTCGGCGTCTTGACCGTGCCGAGGTAGGTGGCGGCGGAAGCGTGGGGAGGGGGCACGGTGGTGAGAGGGTCGCCCGGTGCGGCAGCCTCTGGTGCCTGCGGTCTCCAGACAACGTTGTACAATTCAACCATATCTTCATTGTACATAAGAGTGCCGGCGACGTGCCACAGCTTGACACCATTGTCAACACGGAGTCGTGGCGACGTCGTGGCTGTCATGATGTATCGGCTGTCGGGACTCCACTCGCACACGCTGGGGTTGCCGCTCTCAATGGTGCACACCTTTCGGTAGTCCTTTTCAAGGTCGTAGACGTCAATCTGACCAGCAAGGTTTCCAAAGCCAGCCACGAGGACAAAACGACCGGTGGGAGAAAAGCTGATTGTGTTGCGAGGGCCCAGGGGGAACGTGTGGGTCGCGATGGCTCGGTCGTTGAAGATGGTGGCCTTGGCTGGCATGTATCCGTAGACGACGCCAAACTCGCGAGAGTTGGGTGACCACGAGACGTCGTGGATAGGCCCCTCCTTATCCAGCGAGACGCGAGCGTCAAACGCACCGTTTGTACTCAAAAGATAGAGCGTCGTCTCGCCGTAGTAGCTCTTGCCGGAGCGGTCGACATCGGTCTGTGCAAGTACGAGGATGCTGGAGCCGCGCTTGTTCCACTTCAGCTGGACCTTGTCGCCCTTGAAAAAGGTCTTCTGAGAAATGGGTGCGTTGAACTGCGGTACATTGAAGACGCGGACGGAGGCAGGTTGGCCCTGTAGGGATGTTAGCATCGAGAGGATGGACTGGTGGGTATTTGGAAAAGAAAGGCTTACCTTGCGCTCGGGGACAAAGACTGCGACAGCGTGGTTCTTGCTTCCGGGAGCGAGAGCGAAGTTAGCGGCCCCCTCGACGCGAAGCTTGTTCCAGACAGTAATGAGATCGTGCGTCTCGTAGAACTGGACCTCATTGGTGACGAGGCGTGCGCAGTACTTTTCGTCGGCGGTGTACTGGAGGTTCCAGCTTCCCTGCTGCTTCTGGACGAAGCGGCCAATGGGTTGCTTCTCGGCGGCAGCAACACCATCCTCGACTGTGCGCCAAATCTTCAAGTTCTTGGTGGCGTCGCCATTCTCGTCCTTGGCAGGGCGCTCCCAGGTGATGAGAAAGGTGCCGTGGGGGGAGAAGCCGAGCTCGTAGACATTGAGAATGGGCAGGCTGAGGATGACGACGCCGGTGGAGGCATCAATGACGTTGACAACCTCGGGTGAAGCCCAGCCAAAGTAGCGGCCACATGGTGAGTAGGCACAGCAGCGAAGGTTGCCCTCGGGTCTGGTGAAACCAGGGAGGGGCTGGTAGGCTGGCGCGGCGTCAAAGACGCCAATGTGCTTGAGGGTCCGGGAGGCAAACTGCAAAGGAGAAGCCATGGCTAGTCAAAGTCACAGGATCTCGGAGTGATGGTTGCAGTAGGGCGGACTTGGGTGGCAGGGAGGGTGCAAATGTTCTGGCGCGTGATGCTGCAGGGGCGTTGCTCGATGGGTGCGTGGCAGAGGCAGGGCAATGCGGTGTCACAGGAGCGTGATTGACGCAGGGACGACAGCAGGATGTGTGATTGTATCGAGGGGGAATCGGGTCCGTCGCTTATAGGATTCGGAGAGGACGTCGACAAAGGGATGGGAGACGAGGACAATGCCAAATCTCACCACACGGGTCGTTCGTTGGGCAACGATTTGGCGGTGGAGACGGACAACAGAGACGGCAACAAAGGCAGGCAGTGCGGTCTCTGGACGGTATAAGCGTACTCGAGAATGGGACACGAGAGAACAGATGCAGAGGCTCAAAGAAGATGAAGAGGCGGGCAGGAGGATTGGCAAGCACCCAGGCAGCGTAGGGGAGAAATTGTCGGTCGGCGGCGATGCCGTGATGCTGTGGGGTGAAGAAGGGAAAAAGGGAATATTCTTGGTACGTACCTCCAAGGACGTCTTTGGAGGCGGGAAAAAAAAAACTGTGGGCAATTGTTTTCTTGTCCCTCGATTCAGACTGGTCAGGCAGTGCCTCGTAGCCCCACCTCTGCGTTGTAAGTTTGTAACTTGTCACGACCACTCTAAACTGGGTGGCTGCTGAAGCTGTGACTAGGAAGACGGAGGACAAAAAAAAGAGGAAGACTCAAGAAAGAGCATAACTAAGATAAAGGAACATTAAGCTCTAATTGAACTTCTGTTGCTAGTTTTTGTCCTTTGTCGTCCTGCACCTGGTCGCCTCGGCTTCTTCCTTCCACCCTTGGCGCTTGTGACACTTGCTTAGCGCATCACAGGGCTCTTGCAGGTCTCGTTTAGCGCTTTACAGGGCTCTACCACCGCCGAAACGCTGTCGCCTCAGGCTCTGGCCAATGGCAGCCTCGACAAACCAACACCATCAACACCGCCACACTGCGGCAAGTTACTTGCTTCTCATACGACAAATCAACGTAGGAATGCCAGGTAACCAATAGAAATCCACCCAACAGTTTCACGAGAAGTAGGAATAGTTTCTAAGTCATAAATCATTCCATACACCTAAAACTATGCATTTCCCTTTTTCATGTGACGGGTATAACTGTATAAACACAACAATACAACACCAAGCACCAGCTCACCACGCGTCTACTCATCGCCCCTTCACCTTTTCCTTCCACCCGCCCTTTTCAAACAGCCACAGCGCCTCCATCGCGTACGCCTTGCTGCCCCTGTGCCCGCCCTCCACCATGGCCGCCTCGTTGAGCGTGTCCAGCACCCTGCCCTCCTTGACCGCCCTCCACACGCCCATGGCGATGGTGTCGTCCACCGACACGCCCCAGTCCCCGCGCCCCAGCCGGAACAGGATGCGCCCTAGCGTCTGGAACGCCATGCACCGCTGCGACGGCACCGCGCTTCGCGCCAGCCGCGCAAGCTCCGCGACAGTGTAGCCCGCCGCCTCCGGCGCCTCCCCGTGGTGGTGCAGCCCGCGCGACGACGGTATCGCCCGGCTCACCCGCGGCGACAAGAACCGCCCGCGAAAGTCGAACCGCAGCGCCGACACCGCAATCTCCGGGTGCGGGTAGTAGCTTGACTCCTGGTCCGCCACGCTGCCCTCGCTCGGGATCGGTGCCATCCACGCCAGCTTGCTCGGGTCCGCCGGCAGGTCCGGGAAGTACTTCTTGTGCAGGTTCTCGAGAAAGTTCGGATCGGCCGGGTCCAGGTCGGACACCTTGGGCGGCCCGGGAAAGTGCGTCGATTCGTTGCGAAGGTCCGTCGCCGCCATCAAGTCGTCTGGGATCTGCGCTGGCTCTCGGTCTTCGTCAAAGTCCTCGGGCACGTCTTGAAACGAGACCTTCTTGGCCTCTGCTGGCTTGCGCTCCGGCTCACTAGCCTCGGATCCCAGATCTGTCCTCGTCGGTGGCTCCTTTACCCGTTCTTCCGAAGGCGGTGGATCAAACGGAGATGGGCCAGTAGGTTCGTCAATCCGTGCGCGCTGCAAAAGCCGTTGAACCAGAGCAGGATTCAGTCCATTCATGAGATCCTCCTGCGCCTGCGCAATCTCTTGCGGGGTCATGGCGTCCAGCCTCGACCTGTTCTCCTGGTCTATTCGCTTCTTTTCGATCTCTTCAAAGCTCTGGTGATTATCCTTGATCGTATTTGCTAGACCGTTGTCCGCGTTATTTGACTTGGAATCATTTGTCGTTTCGGTGGTAGCTGCCTTGGTACGCCGTTGTTTGAAGGCGGAGCCCGTCCATCGCTTTTTATGTTGCGGGAAGCCCGTTGTTGTCGGCGGCGCAGTCGGGAAACTGGGCTTCTTGATATCAGCAACATCTCTCTCCACGATATCCCCAACCAAGAGTGTCGGATCCATGATGTACTGTAATGTGATGAGGGTGTCTGGTCCCAAAAAGTTGGAGTTGCTTTTGATCTGCTGTAAATTTTTGCGGGGCGCGCTATAGCGGGTGGTGCACAAGGTGTAATGCGGAAGTCTTGAGTATCTTGACCATATAGTAATGAATATCTGGAAGCAAACTAAGCTTAAGACAAGTTGACCGAGTGGTTGTAAGTTAAATCGTTATGCTCCACTTGCAAACGTACGCTAATAAGGCATTACAGAAGGTGCATGACTAGAAATCATGTGGGTTCGCCCGCGTAGGTTCAAATCCTGCACTTGTCGATTTCTTTTTTGCCTCCGAAGAGGCTGGACGGGATGTTGATAATTATTATTTTGCCTTTCATGTCACAAGTCCTCTCCAACAGCAAAAAGGGCGAGCATAGTATTAACGATTATTGAGCGTTCATCAAAAGCTGGTCTGACAGCTAATAACCTGATTGACGGATGTATTAAAATAAGTATTTGAAACGTTTATATACATATGCACTGAGATTTTGAATATCTATAGAACGCCCACTGAAAGTTATAGCAATATCCCGATTTTAGTAGATATTTCATTGCATACAATATCATCAGGAAGACGCTAGTGACCAGCTGAGATATTCGATGCACATAGAGACAAGCCCTCTAGACGCAACCCCGAACAAAATAGTAATATGCGGAGACGTACCTATCTCTGTCTATTGATGGAAATATCGAGCTGTCCACTACGCTGTGGCACTGTTGTACTATAGTCCGGAGCATCGCACAATTGCATCGAAGAAAGTAAATGGTCTGGGCAAGCATGGCCTGCTTAGCAGCTGGTAATATCGTATTCTAAAATCGACCCATGATAGCTCAACTTGTCAAAAGCCCGTCGTGTGCCGGATTGCACGTCTTATATATACACAGGTTGAGGGCGGACGGCCGCCCAACGACCGCTTTTGCTTCGCAAGCGACAGCAAGCCTTTATTTCTTCTTGCTCTTCTTAGGAGCAGCAGCGGCTTCGCGCAGCTTCTTCTCGCGGGCTTCAATCTCGGCCTTGCGGGCTTTGTCTTGCGCATCCTTCTCCTCCTTCTCGGCCTGGTGTTGGTTGGTCAGCTGCGTGTTCCCCCTCCACGTGCGTAGGGGATAGAAGAATTTGGTAATCTTACCTGGCGACGCTCGGCCTCGGCGGCGCGCTGCTCGCGGATGAGCTTGAGGCGGGCCAGGTCGGCCTTGGCCTGATCCGTCTTGCCCTCGGCCTGCAGCTTCATGTAGCGCTCCTTGGCAGCCTGGGCGGCGACGGCCTCGCGCTCCTTGCGGTTGCCGGGGGCGTTCATCTTGGCGACGCCCTCGGTGATCTCGTCGACGTCGCCGCCGCGGGCGGGGGCGGGGGCGGCCGTCTGCTTGCGGGCGGCCTTGGAGTGGTTGGGGTTGGCGAGCATGCCGTCGTCGTCGTCGTCGCTGTCGTCGTCGCTCGAGGGCAAGTCGCCGACCTCGACGGTGTGGGCCTGGGACTTGGCTATCGCGGCCTGCTTCTTGGCCTTCTTCTGTGCTTTGCGGTCCTCGCGGCTGGCGTCGGCGGCGGGCGCGGCCTTGCCGCCGACGTCCTCGTCGGAGGACTCCTCCTCAGAGTCTTCGTCGTCCTCGCTGCTGTGCTGGGCGTCGGCGCTCCACATGCTGACCTGGTTGCCCTCGGCGTTGGTGGGCTGGAGATCGCGGGAGAAGTGTCGGCCACCTGGAGAGGGAAGGGGAATTTTAGCACTGGAGGCGTACAAACCCGCAACCTTGTTGGAGGGGCATGTGAGGGTGGCGGCTTGGGGCAAACGAACCTCCACGGGTGTATTTCTTGAATTTGCCACCGCGACCGCGGGAGCTTGTTGCTGGTGCTGAAGTGGAAGGCATTTTGGGAAGACGGTGAGAGGATTCTCGGGGTGTTGTGTGGGATATGAGGGTGTCCAAAGTGGTGGAAGAGAAGGGGAGGGAGAACTCGAGGCAGAAATTGCAAGCCTGATGGACTGGTGATGGAGGCGGGGTAGCGGGGTACTGCAAGGTGACTCGGGCAGAAATCTAAGGTAGCAACAGATGAGATGCTGAGATCTTGGGGAAAGGTAGAACTGGGTGAAGATGCAGCGAGAGCTTATAAATGCCTAGAAGTCTATTTAGAACTTGATTTTTATTGTACATAATTTGTATAATGTAACTTAAACGAACAAGCGTTGTGAGTCAAAAGTCAAAATCGAGGCAGTGCGTGCGTGACTCAACCGTGGAGGGGCTGCTACAGAAGACAAGCGGTGATCCTGCAGGCTCATACGACACGACAGTAGTCATAACGCTTTCAATTAATATCAAGACTACATAACTTTCGAGGAGAGTCCAGTGACTCATTTTACGTCCTTAACTATTCCATTGCTCCCTCATTCTGAAAGCAATGCCGGTCGACAGACTGGCCGTTTCAAGGACCAGGCCTTAAAATAGCGGGAGCATCCGCTGGCAACGCGAGGCCAGCCACTGAGAGCCAAGGTAATGACCCCTGCAGGTGTAATGGTGGTCCAGGGCACAGCCGTGTCTGTGGCTGGTGGGCGAAAAAATCCTGCCAGGGCCCAGCATCTCATTTCAGCCACCACCGCCTCCGGAGTAATGGCTGATCATTCTTCCGCAGCCAGCAGGGTAGAAAACTGCGCGCAGCCGCCTAGACTTTGCTTGTTTTCTTTCTTTCTTCTTCAACTACTAGAAAATACATATTCATCCTTCATATTCACTCTGGCATTCATTTCTCCATGGATGAGACTGGAGGGGAAACTGGAGGAGAGAGCAACTGTCGCTGTTTTACCCTCTGTCCCGCTGCTTTCCCGTTTGGGGCAGATAAATTTTACCGGTGGCACATTTTCCCCCCTTTTCGAATCGTCAACGCTTGAAGCTATCGACGACAAACGAAGACATTTCGCACGACTCGACTCCAAGTAAACCGTAGAAACGAAAACTCTTTTATTTACGTCTATCGCCATTTATATACCCAGTACCCTATTCTCTATAATTTGTACTGTGCCAAGCTGCGGTCAGAAACGTAGCTTGCAGCATGTCTTCAACCAAGCCCACGGTCCCAGCTGCTGCAAAATCTGCTTGCAAAGCACCCGCGTTCCTCGTGTGACCTTTCATCTCGAGCTTGATTGTAGCTCAGGGAAAGGAGTCCAAGAGATCTTCCATCCGCCGCCGCTTGCTATTTTTCAACGACGGCTGCTGCCGCTCCGACCTATGCACCGGATTCACAACGCGTGCCTCTGGCACCCGCGTATTCGGCGGCATCACGCCGTCCAGGATGTCGAGTCGGGTAAACGTGAACCGCTTCGTAGCAAACAGGCCGCGGCCAACGTACGCCGGCTTGCTGGTGATGCCGCCCGGGCCGCTGTGCCCGAGGAAGACGCTCGCCATGGGCTTGGACGGCAGCACGAACGGCCCCGCGACGGTCTGCCACGCCAACGCGACGCCCCGACCGGCTAGGTCCCGGTCACCGGAGAGCTGCCCGACCAGCGCGTACAGCCAAAACGCCCACGCCTCGAAGGCGGTCTCGTGACAGAACTGCCTCGGCGGCGCTGCCGCTGCCGCGGTCCGGCGGAGGGAGGTCTCCGGCTGGAGGCTGTTCGTGGTCAGCTTGGCCGGGTCCGCGAGGTAGTCGAGCAGTGGAGGCGCCTCGCCGGGCGGCACACGCCTGAGCACGCAGCGCGGGTCGCTCGACACGTTGATGAGGTCGACATCGATGTTCCTGGACGCCGTCCCGCCGGAGGGCATCTGGTGGCTGGTCGCGGCTGGCGGCGCGAGCAGCAAGAGGGACCGCAGGATGGACGCGTCCTCGGCGCGGGGTGCCTGCCGCGCCAGGGTCCAGCCGGTGGCCTCGGCCTCGGTGCGCGCGGCCGCCCAGTCGTCCTTGCCGGCGACGACGTCGTAGAGCACGAGCGACGGGAAGCGCGCGGCCCAACGCAGCGAGCCCTGCGTGACGGAGCGGTCGCCCCAGATGCGCAGGACGCGCAACAGCGGGAACGGGTCCGCGGCCTCGGACCACCCGCGGATGAGGCGGTCGCTCACGTGCGGGAACGCGGCGGGGAGGTCGTCCGCGGGCCGGATGAGCTCCAGCACGCCGAGGTTGCGCATGCCGGCCAGCGCCAGCAGCTCGTTGCCGGTGAACAAGCAGTCGCCGGAGATGACCAGGTGCGCGACGAATTCGACGGAGGGCGAGTCGAGCGGCCCGGTGTAGAGCGCGAGCTCCTCCTCGGGGCGGCACACGTGCTGCCGGAAGCGGTGCAGCCCGAGGACCGGGTCCTCCGAGCCGTCGTCGTCATCGCTCATGAGGATGTCGGAGAAGATGCGCCACGCGTGCAGGCAGGCGCCTCCTCTGGAAGCCGGAAAGTCATTAGCATGCGGACTTGGGTGCCTTGGGTGGTTGGGAGGTGAGCTTGGGACCAAGCGAGAACGAACCTGGCTTCCAGAAACCGCCACAGGCGCCAGAGCAGGCGAGGCGGTATGGGCTGCTCCAGCATCTCCCTGGACGCGTGTCCGATGTTGCGGGCCACGACGCGGATCGCCATGTCGACAAGCGGCCGCGCCCGTTTGCCTGGCGGTTCCTGATACTTCAGCGGTGCGACGCGCGACCAGTCGAGGCTGCCGCGCGTCGACGGGAGGCGCGCCGCCACGGTCCATTCGGTGACGGACATGCCGGACAGCCTGTCGTACATGGCGACATAGTATGACAGGTGAGTATGACGGGTGAGTACACCTCGAAAAAAAAAACTTGCTAATGGATGAAAGGGCGGGCCAGGTTCAAGAGGCAAGTTGACGGGATGATCAACGGCTGCTGGTGTTGGCAGAGGTATGAAGCAAGTAAGAAAGCAAGTATGTAAGCTTCGCTTGGGCGCGGTTAGAGGTGGCGGTCGCACGCGTTTGTCAGCGCTGCTGCGCATGGCGATCAGCATTCTCATTCTACAGCACATAAATTGCGGGAGTCAAAAAAAGTCTTTTTTAAAGTAAAAAGTTTAAAAGTTTAAACTGTTTTGTCGCTTCTGACTATGCTAATGACAGGCGCAACGAAATCAAAACGCCCGACAATGCGGCCACTGCTCCAGCAACCAAATCAAACAGCTACGCAAGGAATCCCACCATGTAAAATCAAAATACAAATTTGTCGAATTTTACAGCATAGGCTTCAAGTCGTCGGCAACATTGAAGGGAGCCTCGGTCTTGCTCTTAATCTCGTCCACGGTGACACCATCTGCAATCTCAATGAGGGTAAGACCCTTGGAGAAATCAACATCAAAGACGCCCTGGGAGATGTTAGCACAAAACGACTGTAAAGGTAAATGAAATACTCACAAGTTCGGTAATGATTCGCGAAACGCACGCGCGTCCGGTCAGAGGGAACGCGCACTGCTTCATAATCTTGGGGTTGCCCTTCTTGTCGGTGTGCTCCATGGTGACGACGACCTTTGTGGCCGACGGGTTGCTGACGAGGTCCATGGCGCCGCCGAAGCCCTTGACCTTGCCGGGAAGCATCCAGTTGGCGAGGTCGCCGGTGGCGCTGACCTGCATGGCGCCGAGGATGGTGAGGTTGACGCGGCCGCTGCGGATCATGCCGAAGCTCTCCTCGCTGCCGAAGACGGCGGCGCCCGGGTTGAGCGTGACCGTCTCCTTGCCGGCATTGATCAGGTCGGCGTCCTCAGCGCCCTTCTTGGGGTACGGGCCGAGGCCGAGGATGCCGTTCTCCGACTGCAGCTGCACCTCTACTTCGGGGCCGACGAAGCCCGGGGCGAGCATGGGCATGCCGATGCCCAGGTTGGCGTACATGCCGTTCTTGAACTCCTTGGCGGCGCGGCGGACGATGCGCTCGCGCTTGGCGGCCGTCTCGCCGGTGCCGAGGGCGGCCTTGGCGTCGGGGTCGTTCTCGTCCTTGCTAAAGGTGAACTTTTCAATGTTCTTGGGCGTGGTGCTCTGGATGACGCGCTTGACGTAGATGCCGGGCAGGTGGACGGCCTCGGGAGGGATCTCGCCGGGCTCGACAATGTGCTCGGCCTCGACGATGGTAATCTTGGCGTTGCGGCCCATGGCGCCGTTGAAGTTGTTGGCGGCGAGGCGGAACTGGCAGTTGCCGAGCTTGTCGGCCTTGTAGGCTTTGACGAAGGCGTAGTCGCCGTCGATGCTGTGCTCGAGGAGGTAGGACTTGCCGTTGAAGACCTTGACGTCCTTGGGGTACGAGTACTCGGCGGGCGTGCCGTCGGGCTTGTTCTTGAGCGGCAGGTCGCCGGTCTGGACGACGGTGCCAAAGGCGGCGGGCGTGTAGAAGGCGGGGATACCCTTGCCACCAGCGGCGCAGCGCTCGGCGAGGGTGCCCTGCGGGGTCAGCTCGAGCTCGACCTCGCCGGTCAGGTACATGGTTTCAAAGGTCTTGTTCTCGCCAATGTAGCTGGCGACCATCTTCTTGACCTGCTTGGTCTTGAGGAGCTTGCCCAGACCCGAGTTGTCGGTGCCGGCATTGTTGGAGACGGCCGTCAGGCCGACAATCTCGGGCTTCTTGAGGACCTCGTCGATGAGGGTATCGGGAACGCCGCAGAGGCCGAAGCCGCCGCAGAGGAGAGTGGAGTTGGGCTTCATGTCTTTGATGGCCTCGGCGGCGGAAGGGAGGACCTTGTTGATCTCGGCGCGGCGGGCCGTGGCGGAGAATTGTCTGCTGAAGACGGCCGTGGGCTGTGAAGGAGGTTAGTGATTGCCTTAGATGCCGGTCCCAAGACATCAAAGCTACTCACGTTGCTCGCGTGGCGGGCAAAGGCGCCCAAGGTGCGCATGCGCATGACGGTGGAGGGCATTGTGACCAATGTGAAGGGAGGGATGGCGGGCGTTTGCTGTGGGAAGGTTGTGTTGGATTGTAGAGGGTTCAGTCGCAGGGAAAGTAAAAAGGAAACCTCAAAAGATGATGAAACGGAGAGGATGAAGAGGCAAGGAGCACAGGGTGTGTAAGGTGATGCAACAAGTCGTGGTGCATCCAGAGTGCAAGCAGCAGTGCGGCGGCGGAAAGCCGGCAGCTTTTGAACCGTCGCTGGCCGGGTAGGAACGCATCTTTCCGGGGTCGGGGAAGCTGGGGAAGCGCTATTATTACAACCACAACAACCACAACCAGCTGCAGGCTCACTAAATTTACAGTGGATAAGATATTTTAGCGGACGAGTCCTATTACCCTGAATTAATTCTTAAATCAAGTTATGAAACTAGCTACTTAGCGGCACTGTTCCGCTTGCTTTGCCGACCAGCAGCAGAATTACCTGCAACGGTCCGGCGGAATGCGGGTACTTGCGCCTGCCACTGTTTGCAGCTCAGGACGAGGTACCTATGCATACAGTTACTATACCGAGCAGCAAGGCCGCCAGACGGAGACTGTTAACACAATTGAATGGAGCAGATATTTCAGACTTGAATGAATTAACAGCAGTAACTAGATTCCGGCATTCTACCATTCTTCCAACCCTCTCTCCCGCGCCCAGTCCCGATTCAACTCCCGGTACGCTTTCCGTTCCCGCCCAATCCTCTAGCGTATTTCCGCCCCTCACTCACTCACTCTCACCCAACGGTTCATTCCGACCCTCACGTCGGATAAAGGAACGGCAGTCCAGGAACCAGGATCTGCAAAGCTGGCGTTGGCAACGGCGTTTTGCCCTACCACGGACTCGACAGTTTCACACGCTGTCCCCTCCGAACATCGGACAGGACGGATAAGCATTGTGCCAACTTGTTTGCTGTCCGGCCTTGTTCCAAGCGAACACAGTTAGTGCCTCTCTTTTATTTTTATGCACTGAGTTTAACAGTTAAATGGACGGAGGCTTTATTGTTTCTTGGTGGCTGATTGATTCGATGATTAACCAATACAAAAATGAAAAGCCACCAGGATGAACCTTGATCAGTCCCAATCCATCGCCTGGTTATGACATGGAGAGAAAATGGCCGTTTTTAAAAATTGACATCTAATTCTCCAGATATTTCGTGTCATTATTTTCTTTGTTTCTTTGCACCATTTTCTTCCTTTATTCGTCCAAACGTACTCTGACACGATGCCCAGAACCTTACTCACCCACCCATCACTTCAAGCGCTGCTTATATGAAAAAACGAGTACGCAACACATAATGAAATGAATCAAGAACACCGAGACTCATGATGACTTCATTTTCCAACACTGGCAGTTGAATCAACTGACTGAATGCTCTCAACACCACCGAAGCCACCTATGTACAGTATTATCCACTCCACATTGTGCTCCCACTACATCTCTTATCGCTTATCGCCCCGCTACCCTTGCTCGGCCGCCAAAAAAATTCTGGGCGACAAAATAATGCGACCAAAGCTTCGCTCTGCTTCACCACCGCAATCTGTCGCGACAACATGGAGTCCGAATCCAAGCGCCGAAAGCTCGACCATAGCGGCCACGGTCTTCGCCACAAGGGCTTGATCGACTTTGAGTCCCGCGACGCTACTCGACTGTCAGCCGCCAGCACATTTGTTTTAAAAACGGACGAGCTTCTCAAGGAGACCAAACTCGTTTATTCCGTTGCGTTCAAGGGCCTTGACGGTCAATTGCACAAAATAAAAAGCATCATCGACTCGATAGAGCCCCATGACCCTGCACCTGTTTGTCAAATCCAGAAAATCTTCATCACCCACCGCCCACTAACACCTACCAGATCTACGAAGCCTCCACCAAGTTCGAAAAGAAGCATCGCATTACCATTCCTTACCCCGAACCGAAGCCCACCAAAGAATCCAACTACAAAGTAGCATTCTCTCCGCCGGCGCAATGCAATGTTGTCGGCAGCTTTGTCGGCAAGACAATGACCAAGTTGCAAGAGCGCCTTGGAATCGACATGGTTGTCCAGATGCCCAAGACCCTCTTCCAGGATAAGGACTACCTTTATTTGCGCTACTTTTACCGACGAGCATACTACATTGCATATATCGCCTCAAAATTGAAGTCTGATCTCGGGGAACAAGTTGATATCCACTATGAGCTCCTCCACGAAAACCCTCTGCTTCCGATCCTCGTCCTTCGCCTGCCCGAACAGGAAGCCAGCAAACCTTCCAAGAAGCCCGCAAAGCACGATACGCATATCAGATTAATACCCTGCGCCCCTGATGACTTGTTCCCCTGGTCAAAGCTCACACCAAACTCTACCAATATCCGAACGGAGACGACAGAGGCAAGCAAGAAGACGGTCACGAGCACTCCCTTCTACAACTCTACCCTCAATGCTGAGAGGACTTTTATCCAATACCTCCGAGTCGTTACGAATGCGAAAAACGAATGCGCAGCGTTCGGGGAAGCCTGTATTCTTGGCAGGATATGGCTTCAGCAGCGAGGATTCGGCAGCGCCATCTCTCGAGGTGGCTTCGGGCACTTTGAATGGGCAGCCATGATTGCGCTCCTTTTGAAGATGGGTGGCAGAAATGGTGCCGCTGCTCTCTCTACGTCTCTGAGCGCCACTGAGCTCTTCAAGGCTGCCATCCAGTTCCTGTCCACGACTGACTTTACCAAGAAGGCTTTTGCATTCAACTCGGCCAAGGCGGCCGCTGACTCAATGAAGGAGACAGGACCCGTCATGTTCGACCCTACTCGGCAACTTAACCTCCTCTTTAAGATGACACCTGGATCTGCCAACTATCTGCATATGTGTGCCAAGTCTACCACAGAGCTCCTCGCCGACGAGGCTTCCGACAAGTTTGACGCGACATTCATCACAAAAGTAGATGTGCCGTCACAGGTGTTTGATGCTGTGATGGAAATCAGGAACCCCAACCTTTCCAAGTATGCCGCTTCGCCCGACCGTCGAAGCGAAATTGCAGACTTTGGCCTCGACGCTTCTAGAATCCTGCACAAAGCATTTGGCAAGCGCGCGCAATTGGTCTGCGTTCAGCCGCCCTCGAGAAAGCAGTGGAAACTCGCTGGTACCTGCCCGCCTGCCCCGGCCGCTGTTACTGTTGGCGTCATCTTCGACCTGGTGCACATGAGCAGACAAATGGAACACGGTCCGTCTGCTGAGGAGCAGAAGGAAGCGGCTAGATTCCGTCAGTTCTGGGGCGAGAAAGCTGAGTTGCGTCGTTTTAAAGACGGCAGTATCCTAGAATGTGTCGAGTGGACGAGCAAGCTCCCTCTTCACATTTGCCAAGAAATCGCCCAGTACGCTTTGAACCGCCACCTGAAGCTCGCTCAAGAAAACGTGCAGCTTGTCAGCCAAGACCTGGCCGGTGTCATTGACATGTCCCATCTCGACAAATCAGCGTTCGATGCCGCACGAAGATCTTTTCAAACCTTTGAGCACGACATCCGGACCCTGGAAGACCTGCCGCTTCAAATACGTCAGCTCTCGCCCGTCTCTGCGCTTGCCCGCTACGCGTCCGTCGAGGCGCCGCCGGTCGGCTTCCACAAGGACACGATTGAGCCCATCGACGTCAATCTCTACTTTGAGCAGTCGAGCAAATGGCCCGAGAACCTGACCGCCATCCAAGAGGCCAAGATTGAGTTCCTACTTGACATTGACCGCCGGCTCACTGGCGCGCACGAGAACATCAAGACGTACCTCGGCCGCGAGAACAGGGACATTGGCATCGCCAATCTCGCCTTCCTCGACGTCCTCTACGACAGCGGTGCCGCGTTCCGGCTGCGTATCCACTGCGACCTCGAAGAGACCCTTCTCGAGCGGCAGGCCAAGAACAAGGTGCTCGACCCGCACGCGCGCGACGAGGCCAAGCAGGCCAGCCTGCGCTTCCACTGGCTCTTCGACGTCCTCCCGCTCCACACGCAGACGATCGCGACGTACTGCACGCGCCTGCCAGCGCTCTCACCGACCATCCGCCTCGTCAAGCGCTGGTTCGCCGCGCACAAGCTCGCCGGCCACGTCCGCGAGGAGCTCGTCGAGCTGCTTGCTCTGCACGCCTTCCTGCAGCCGTACCCGTGGGCGACGCCGTCGTCGGCGACCACGGGCTTCCTGCGCACGCTGGCGCTGCTCGCGCGCTGGGACTGGCGCGAGCGGCCGCTCGTCCTCGACACCGCCGAGGAGATGACACCCGCCGACCGCGCCGCCGTCCAGGCCACGCTCGACGGCTGGCGCCGCCGCGACCCCGCCATAAACACGACGCCCGTCCTGGTCGTGGCCACCGCCTTCGCGCCGTCCGGCGCCGCGTACACCCAGGACCACGGCCCGGGCAAGCTCGTCGCCGCACGCATGACGCGCCTCGCCAAGGCCGCCTGCAAGCTCCTCCGCGGCGGCTCTGCGCGCCTCGACGTCGAGGCGCTCTTCGAGCCCGCGCTGCACGACTTTGACGTGCTCATCCGCCTCTCGGCCAAGGCGCTGCGCGTCGTCGCGCGCGAGACGGGCTGCGACGCCGTGGCTCCCCGCGCGTCGCAGTTCCGCAACCTCGACGGCGTGGCCGGCGGCCGCGCGCCGCTGCCTGTGCGCGCACGGCCCGTCGACGTGCTCGTCGAGGAGCTGCGGCGCGTCTATGCGGACACGCTCGTCTTCTTCCCCGGTGGCGATGACGGCGACGACGGGGCGACGATTGCGGCGCTGTGGGATCCGCGGTCGCTGCGGAGGTCCAAGTTCCGCGCCGGCCTGCCGTACAACTTTTGCTCGGTGCCGGGTGAGGATGGCGATGGGGAGGGGGAGGAGGATGTGGTGGGGGTCAATCGGAAGGCGGTCCTGCTGGAGATTGCGCGCATCGGCGGCGCGCTCATCAAGTCGATCGAGATGGTCGCCGGGGACGACGACGAAGAGTAATAATGTGGTCGCGGAGAAATGTGCATTGCATTTACATGGGTTAGCGACGTAGGGTATATAGAAGATGCTGGCGTGACCAAGATTTCATCATATCACCAAGGAAGAGATGTGTATATAGTAAATGATAAAAAAGACTTGGAAAATATCATTACTTCTCCCCTTTTTACAATCTAGCTTATGAAAATATCCATCATCCAGCCAACCAACCTACTCAAACAGGACAGAAGCAACAAACCGCAGCTTAAAAAGAAAATAACTCAGAGTCAGAACTTGAGCTTGCTTTTCTTGTTTGAGCTGTATTCAAAAAAAAAGAAAAGCGACAAGCAACGCCGTGCCATGGTATAGAAAGAGCACACATATATACACATTGAAAAGAGCCAGGGCACCCAATCCGCTTTGTTCTTTCCCCCAGTACCGAAATAGACAACCAGGCCATGGAACAAGACACCCAAGAATGAAGAGATTCGTAAAACGCAAGACATGACCCGACAGACGGCAGACGGCAGACGCTCACTTCTTGTCTCGCTTGTCCGTCTGCTGCGTCGAGTACGAGCAAAACTTGTCCTTGATGGCGACGACTTCGTATGTACCCTCCTGGGAGGCCTTTACAACCTTGGAGTGCTCGTATGATATGTCGTGCCTCGTCTCGAGAAGCACGCTGCGGTGACCCTTCTTCGCGTTCGTGCTGCGCGTAAAGGTAAATTCAAACGGCGGCGTGCCCCAAAACTCAAACAAGATATCCACCTCGCCGCCCTCGTGGATGTCGACGCGCGACTGCTGGCCGCGGCTAATCTGCACGCTCGGCAGCGCGTGGATCGTCTTGGGCAGGTGCACAGCCGCGCGGCACTCGCTCGCCTTGTCCGAGATGCGAGTGATGATGAAGTCGCCGGGCTTCTCGGCCACGCGCCGGAAGCTCGTCGTCTGTGACTTGGCGTTCCACTTCCCGTTGAACTCGTAGTGGATGTCAAACGGCGGTGTGCCCGACAGCGTGTACGCGATCCGCTCGCCGACGCAGTAGTCCTGCCGCGACTCGAGCGGGTAGATGGACGGCGCGTCGTAGAGCTGGATCTGGATCGACGGGCCGCCCGTCTCATACTTTTGCTGGCAGCCCCGTGCATCGCGCACGCGTCGGATGCGGAGCTGCTGCGAGCCCAGCCGCAGATGCTTTCTAGGAATCTGCATGGAGTACGAGTTGCTATTGATCGAAGGCACGTGGTATGTCTCCGGAGGCGAGCCCGCCTGGTGTTTGATTTCCACTTCGACAAAGAATGGCGCCACGCCAGTCAACGTAATGGGAATCCTGTCCTCGTGCTCCTGCTCCTCCTGGCAAAATTTAAAGGTTTGGCCAGGCTTGGTGAAGGTGGCGGCCGGCCTGGCATTGACGCGCTGCTGCACAGTAAGCACCTTGGACTTTTGATCGGCATCGTAGAGATTGTCGGCGAGCCCGTGGAACTTGTATGTATATTCGCCAGCTTTGGTGGTGTCCATGGAAATGGCTGCCTTGGAGAGAGCGGCGTCGAATTCTCTTCGGCTCATCGCCTTGGATCCTTGAGGAGAGCGTTGTTGGACCTCGTATTCGACGTGGTATGGTGGTGAACCTTGGAGTTTAACTTCGAAGCCATCTATATCTCCTTCGCAAACCTCTTGCTTCACAAATACGCCACCCGATGTGCTGATACTGTCTGTTTCAATCATGGAAATCTCAGGACGAGGGAACCACTCTACCTGGAAAGTCGAACCTGCAGGCTCAACTGTACCAGGGCAGTGATTATCTCGGATATCCAAAAGCTCGTACACACCTCGGGACTTTACCATAAGGAATCCATTGGGGCTGTCGATTTTCTTGGTAATTGTTCCCGCAGAATCATTGAGGTTCCTGTAGGAAACGGTCCAGGGGCCATCACCCTGGAGCCGGAGGGGAAGACGCAGAGGCGTGTCCTCCACAGCCATAATGCTCTGCTTCTGTTCGATCAGGCCAAAAGCACCGCGAGGCTGCTGGCGGCGCACAAGAATCTTGATCTGGTCCTGTAAGAAAGATCGGCACCCTCGCTGGTCTTTGACGCTGCTCAGCGCAAGAATGTACTCTCCACCCTTAGTGAAGACAGGAGTCTTGATCGTGTACGTCTTGGAATTGAGATCGTTGACACGCTCTGTTTTGCGCTTGCCATCATGAATTACTTCCCATTCAAGGTTGAAGGGCGGTTCCCCAGTAAGGACGACGTCCAGTTCAACATTTGAATCCAGGCATGTATTGATAGTCTGCGAGCCATGCGCAATGACGGCGTTTGCCGCGGGCTTGACTTCCTGCTCGAGTATTTTATCCTGGCCGGTGAGAGGGATGTTGCGGTATACGCTGTCGTCGATTGACTTGAACACGTACTTCTGGCGACTAGCCTCCTGTGGTATGAGCTCCAGCTGCGAGCGTAGACCGTTCACCCTGTGCGTCCTGGTCTCGACGTGCTGGTCACTACCAATAATATCATAGCGAACAGCGAATGGCGGCGTGCCAACGAGATCCAGGTTGACTCGCAATCCAATCGAGTTTCCGGCGCACTTGTCAGGGATCTCTTCGGCATGAACAGAGAGGTGTGGCTCGAGAGGGTTCAAAAGAAGACAAGAAGAAGGTTCATCGACTTCACCTTCACAGGAGCCACTGGATATGGACGTCAGAGTGTAGAGACCTGGCGCAGATACGCTCGGTTTGTCGCCCGAGTTTTTAGCTGAATGGCTGCCGAGAATAACCTTGTCGCCGTGATCGCCGTTGTTGGTGAGGGTGTCAATTGGGGAGAATTTCCACTGCACTTTGTAGGCAGTATCCGAGGCCCCTCCTGTCACTTGGAACGAGATGGGAAGCTTGGATTGCGTCCCTTTGGCGACTTTCAAAGCATTTCGTAGGTCACACCCTTGCATCTTGACCTTGGGGCGTTCTTTGACGGCAAACTTCTGGACGAGGCTACGAGCGCCGGCATGCTCAGGGTCGTCAACGCTTTCAGAATACTTAACCGTGTTGCCAAATGCATCGTGAACCTCATCAACCGAGTATTCCCACTCGCCGGAAGTAGCCATGGACTCGTTCAGGCTAACAGTGACACGAGCAGGACTAACCCACGAGATGTCTTGGCCTCCATCAGGTAGAACATCGGCAGTAGAGCCGAGAAGCGGCGAGCTGAAGCCGTCTGGTTGAAGACTCTGGAAGTGAAAGCCATGGTTCTTACCGTTGATGGTCCGGCTGTAGACGATCTTGAGAGGCGGCGTACCGTAAACCTCGAGAGACAGGTTGGACAAGTCACGTATGCAGCGCGGAGAAGAATCGGCAGTCATGATTCTCGCCTGCGGACAGGGCACGACATATGTATCTTTGACGCCACGCTGAATTTCAAGTTTGTACTCGTCCAAGACTTTGCCCAGTCGGTACACACCAGGTCGCCTGACGTTGTAATCCCATTGAAAGCCGACCATATTAGGGTCCCAGCTTTGCTCTCGGATTTGCTTAGCCACTTTGGCTACGTCGCGGTTGGAGACTTTGATTCTCTCTTCCTTGCCTGTTTCGAGGTCGATGCGAATGAGCTCAACTTCTGCCGGAATGGTGGAATTGAAGTAGATGGGGAGTACGACACCCGTCTTGGATTTGGGTGCGATGCAATAGGGATGCTGTTCGGGGTTCAGAACTGCAGAGCCTTCGGGAAGAATATTGATGATTTGTTTGCCCATGATCAACGAATGGTTGTTGAGGATGCTGGAGACCTTAACATTTTGCTCGGAAATGGACAGTTCGCGGTCGTAGAGAACTTTGGCGAGGCCGAGGAAGAAGGATTGCCATGGGAGCTTTGAAGGTCAGTAGATGCTTCGCCTAGCTGGGGTCGCGGTAGGCTATAACTCACAGGGATATTAAACATCAACATGTAGTTGATGACTAGGTGCGACATGAAGATGCTGGTAACGAGAAACTGGGAGAGCTCGAGCCAGGGTATACGAAGCTCTGGAAGCCCAAACAAGAAGGCAAAGTCGATGAAGATCCATTTGAAGAATAGCAGCCAGGAGCTGTCGCCCTCTTCGACGACCTGGAGCCAGTCATACAGCTTCCAGGCCCATAGCAGGACGTAGATGGCAAAGGCATAGAAGCGCTGCTGGGGGGCGTCGAGTAGCGTTAAAGGGATGAGAGGCTGGGCAGGCTGGTTCTGTCGAAGGGCCTTTTCAGGGGCCAGCGGGAGAGTGGGCGACTTGTTGAGGCTCGCGTTGGAGGAGACGGAGCCGGTGGTGCTCGGCGTTTGGTGGAAGTTATTGCGTCGCGGAGCGGCGGTGCTGGGGGTCGAGGGGAACCCAGACCGCAGTCGAGGAGTCGCGCTCATGGCATTCCGTGGTACGGGGTGAAGCTGCTAGAGAGCATGTATGAGGAGCCGGTGTAGATTCAGCGCGAGAGGAGCGTCGATGCGAGTAGCGGCGCCGATGTTGTGGTTGATGGAGATGGGAGCGTTGGAACGGGTTGGGATAACTTTTTTCACGTCACGTCGCAAACGCGGCGCGATGCTGGAGCTGCCAGGCGCAACAGGCAACAAAAAACAACCAGCTATAAGGGCATTACAGTGGTAGCGTGCCTGTAAACGTTGAGGATCCGCAGCGTTGGCTCTGAGCTGCAGCGGAGGCACCACTGGAAGCGCCACTAAAAACGGGCGGATGCAGAGACTGGTATCTCCCAAGTACCGCGGTCTGTAAAGCTGCCCATGTTTCTTAGCTTTTCTAGCAGCCAAGGTACCCGCCCTCTACCTTGACCTTGTCGTGATGGCTTCCAAACAAGCCGTTGTATTCAGTGTTCTGTTATTATTCTCCTTTCATCTATTACGCCGATACCATTCGATTAGATTCAAATCAGCCATTCGTTCCGCTTTACCTCTCTACTTGAGGCTATAGGTTGACCACCATACTTGAATACCTCGCTGGTAGGTGCCTTGCCGTCAAGCATGCAGCCTGCAAACGCTGTACAACAACATGCCCTCTGCCAGCTGGCATCCCGCCTCCCACATGTCACAAGCAGAGCTGCGGCGGCGGCAACCAACCTTTCACCTCCTCTATGCCTTATCTTCTCATTGTCAATTTTTCATTGCCATCGAATTCTCCCACTCTTTACCTGTGCACTGCTTCCTCCAGGACCTCACTTCCACTCAATACCCTTGCTCTGCCAAGTCGTATAAATCACAGCACAGCGCGACAGCGCGACAGCAAGCCAGCAGTCAACACCATTCCTCATGATCGCCCTACCTACATCTACCATCATCACTTACCTATATCACTACCACAATGCATCGCCACGCCGCTAACACGCCACCCGAGCGGGATAGCTCGCCGCCCGGCACTGCCCAACGTCGCTCGAAACGCCTCTCAAACGCAGGCTTCGTGATTAGGATCCGCGGCGGGAAGACCGATGGCAGCAAGACCGCCTCTCGTACAATGAGCCAGCCGGAACCGGCCGTCGGCGACCAGCGGCGCAACCCAAAACGCAAAGCTGCCGCGCCGCCCCAGAGCCATGTGTTGCCCGACAACCTACTCGAAGAGGCCTTGAAGCCCCTCACGTCTGCGGACATTGAGGAATGGGACGGGTGGATTGAGCTAGAATCTGAGCCTGTGAGTTAAGGAAATCACGGAGAGCATGAGCTTTTCTCATGCAGGAGTCCAGGCATTCTTCAACACGATTCTGAAAGACCTCGGAGTAAAGGACGTCAAAGTGCAAGAGCTGTTCTCTCTCGATCAAGACTCGCTAGATTTTCTACCGTACGATGGACTCTGAGTTTCTGATGGAACCTCTACTCACACTCTCCAGGAAGCCTGTTTATGGCCTCATATTTCTCTTCCAGTACGCCCCGTTTCACGACGATAACCAAGTCGAAGACGAGAGCGGGCCAGTGTGGTTTGCAAATCAGGCTCGTGCATCACCCCAGGCATTTTTTGAATCACCCCTAACCTCAATAGACAACCTCCAACGCATGCGCCACCGTTGCGCTGCTCAACATTGTCATGAACCACACCGCCATCGACCTAGGGAGCGAGCTCAGGATATTCAAAGAAGCCACCGCCGGGATGAGCACCGCAGTACGAGGGTATGAGCTGGGTAGAAACAAATTCATCAGGAAGATGCACAATTCTTTTGCGCGTCGTATGGACTGCCTAAACGCCGACCTATTCTTGGAGAACGACGCATCCGACGCAAAGTCACGCAAACGCGGGGCAGCATCCCTCACCGCATCTCGCAAGAAGAAACCCAAGAAGCGTCACAGCAGCGACTATGGCTACCATTTCATTGCTTATGTCCCATCGGGGGGCTTCGTTTGGGAGCTAGACGGGCTTCGCGGAAACCCCCAAAAGCTTGGTATGTGATTGTTGTTCTTCTCTGCAGAAGGACCGAGAAATAAGGCTAACTTTTCAACGCAGGTAGCTTCGATGGCGACGGCTGGACAAATCTGGCTCGGCCGCAGATTGAGGCTCGCATGCTGCAGTACGAAGAGAACCAAATTTCATTCAATTTACTCTCCCTCTGCCAGAGCCCCCTTCAAAAAAACAAGAAATCCGTGCTAAGCGCATTGACAGCTGTACGCTTCTTGGATTCGCAAGCCAAAACGCAGCATGAGGACGTTTACACGACGCTCGTCTCCAACAGCGACACGCAGCTTGATCCCAACGATCCTCTACTTTTAGCCGAGTATAACTTAAAATCAGAGGATGTTGCCAAGGAACCGCCCACCGAGGTCATCAAGGCGAGAGTGTCCAAGGCCTGCAGCATTAGTGCGCGCGACGCAGCAAGTCTACGGCACGAGCTTGTGACGGAGGCTCGTGCTTCTATGGGAGAGTACCGCGGCGAGGCCATGGCCGCCATGGCCGACGAGGAGCGTGTGGCGGAGCGGAAGAAGGACTACGGCAGCGTGCTGCACAAGTGGATTTCGAAATTGGCTGAAAAGGGTGTCCTGGAAGATATCATCAAGATGTCGTCCTAGCTCGCGACAAACCTAGGTCAAAGTTTTGTCCCAGCTTTGTCTCTTATTCCTATTATTGTATATAATATTCTACGTACTAGCCTAACATTGCGGAAGTAGATCAAGCACAGGACGTACAAACATTGAGCACGGCGCCTTTTTTTATTAAGAGCCTTCTACTGCGCCTCGTGCATACGCTAAAGATAGCCATGAAAGTGATGACTGTGATGACTGTGATTACTGTGATTACTGTGACTATGGTGACAATGGTGATTATATTAATTATAGTAATTATAGCGATTATAGTGATATCTGGGTCATTGGAATGATCATAACGATAACAGTAAGCGCTGTGCACTTAAAGTGCCTGCATATTTGTATTTTATGCAGTCAACCCCGGGTACAGCTCGTCAACGTTGGATACGAAGCAGCCCGCATCGCGGTCGAACCTCTTAAAGTATCTGCCCGCCAGCGGAAACATGTCCTCCGTTGCCCGGAAACGATCAACGACTTGCAGATTGTCGGACGAGATGATTTGCTCAGTCAAGTCGGAAGCGGTTCTGCGGGGCGAGCGAGGAGGGGTTAGCAATCGATTCCTCAACTTGGCCTTCCAATGAAACGACCCTGAGTCTACTTACATAGTCCTGATGTAGAACTTCCTCGGGTGGTTGCCAGCGCCCTCCGAGCCTGCGTCAAGTATGGCAGAGGATGCGGACGGTGCCGCGTAGAAGCCTACGATGGCGCCGAGCCACTGGTAGCGGCGATGAACGAAGACCTGACCGAGGCGGAAAGGGGCCACGCGCTCCGCGGTTAGTGCGCAGTCTGAGAGATTCGCGGCGTGGTGCTCGTCCGGCGGCGTTAGTACGAGGTTGGCAGCGAGGGCACCACGGGCTGCACCCTTGTTCTGCAACGCCCGCAAGTGCTGTGCCATGATCCACTCGTCTTCGGGCCAATTGTCCCGAATTTCCTTCATTACCCGCATGAAGCGGGTGTCGCCGTTGTCGGCCCGTGGCGGCGACAGGAGCAGCAGCGCCCAGCGCGCGGCGTAGAGTGCGAGCTGGAGGTTAACGGCGGGGTGGCCGCGCAGCAGCGCACCAGAGACGAGGCGGTCGGCGAAGTGGGCGGCGCTGTCGTGCGCGTCCTCGATACTACGCGCGGTGCGCTTGGCGGCGGCGGCGACGGCGACGTTGCCGGAGCGGCGCAGGCGGGAGATGGTCGTGTTGGCGTACAAAGCGAGCCGTTCCAAGTATTCGAGGGGAACCTCGCCATTAGTCTCAAACGGATTCAGGTACATTTGGTGCTCGTCGGTGCTGGGGTTCGCGTCTAGATCGAGGCCGGGCGGCGCGGTGACAACGACGTGCGCGCAAATCGGCGGCAGGAAGCACTCGGCATGCAGGCCAACGCGCTCTGCGATGCCGCAGTAGATGGCGCACGAGATGAGTGGTATCGATTCGTGCTTGACGTCGCGCAGCGCCTGGCCGATGAAGCAGTTCCGCAAGTTCCGGAAGTCCTCTTGGTCGTCCAACCCGACCAAGTTAGTCGCGCGCATCCACTGATTCAGCGCAAGGGCTTTCTGCCTGGTGTTCATTTCACTCCATTCCGGCTGGGTCCTCATAAACGCTGCTGCATGCGTATCCAGTAGCTGAATTGTCTGCAATGGCGAGAGGGTTAACTGGTGCAAATTTCCATGATGGTCAGATTTGAAACCAACCTCGTCGATATCGCCGTGTTGATCGTGTAAGACAAAAAGATCAAAGGCGGCCAGCGACCTTTCTACACGGGTTTGCGTATCAAGGGGATACATGGGGTCCGGATAATGTACTTGAAACCATTGCTGGATAGCGATGCTCCGATGTATGCTGCCGAGAATAGCCCCGGCGTGGTATCTACAGGCATGTGAGTAGATTTGTAGGACACATAGTAGCAGTAAACTCACCTTACTGCCAGCACATTTGGGTCATTATGAGGAGTGCGGCATCTGTGAAGGAGAAAGTCCTTGGCATCGTAACCATGCTCGCAGATCTGCTGCATGCGGGCGACTCGATCTACCCGGGTGCTAACGATGCGATCAAAGATGCGGTCTATAGATGCATTTTGCCTTTGACGGATGAGAAACAGGGCTTTCCAATCTGTAGCAGAAGCCGTTCCTTTTAATAGAGTCTTAAATGCGTGCTGGGGCCGCCAATATTGGAAATTCGCCAAACAGTGGCCCCTCCACAGCAGAGGCTGATTTGCTAGACGCTGCAGTCTGCGCGAGAGAGTCTGCAGGCCGGCCAAATTGTCCAGTGGTGATACATGTCGCAAGACTTGTTCTATGATGTCGTCTGGAAGCGCATCCAATGATACGTGATCCGCATGACGGTTGCTGTTGTGCTCATTCATCCTGGACGATGACACAAGACGGGGAGACGCAGGACAACTACCCCAACGACAAGGACGGAGTGGGGGAACCTGGTACACATATGATGGATGGATGGATGTCGGACTGTCAACGTCGTCAGCGCCAGCATTCAGGCGTATCAGCTTCCTGGACTGGTGGTTGAGCGGTCTCTGAGAATCATGCAGCTGATGTGGACGATATACTGCCAGAGCTTGCGTGTAAGAATTGCTGCTTTGTATCGCGAGATCGGCCTGGCATGGTTGTTGAAGAAAGTCGTGCTATCATCAGAGAGCTTTAGGAATTAGAGTGGGTACTCGGCTTGGCTGAGAAACTTCATTGGCTGTTCTTAACAACTGTGCGCTAGTCTGAAAATGGGCAGAAAGTAAACAACACAAACGCGTGCCCCAACCTTTGGCTAGCCATTTATCGATACCCTCAGTAACAACTTTACTTCTTCTATTTGCGTAATGCAGTGCACTCGTCTTGTTTGAGCGCTTTTCTTTTTTTTTCCGTCCTTGACCCTGCCACATCTCATATTGCTATTCGCCCTCACTCCAAACGGCTCCCCTCCATTGACTGATTGTGCTTCGATTCCAGCCGCCGCAACGTCACGTCACCATGGTGCAAGGTGGCTTTGGCGGTGTCCTTGACACCCCGAGGACCAACCTTGGGGATGCTACGTACCTCAGTCGCGGTCCAGATTTTGCCGACATCTCACAGGAAGCCTCCTTCCACTCGCCACAAAAGGATAGCGGCAACATTCTGCAGCAGCTTCGCAATGGACGCTCCAACGGCAACGGCGTCAGCATCAGAACACCCCGCCGCGATCCCCTCACAGACCGAAACAACCTACCGCCCAGCATAGGCGGCGCCGAATTCACGCCCCTGCTCAAGTCGGCCACGAGAAATAGTGTTCGACAGCGCGGGGGCAAGGAGAATGGCACCGTCAGCTTAACGCCCAACCTAAGCCGCATCGACGAAAACGACCTGACGCCGGTGCCGCGAATGGACGCTTCCATGTACTCATCGTCACGAAATCAATCATTTCTCGACCACACAATCCCAAAGATCGACAGTAGTAGTGTTACCTCGACCCCTCTTGCGATTGCGACAAGGCGTGGAGGCGACAAGGGTCCTCTGCAAGATGGCAATCAGCTTTCTCTCCGAGAACAAGAAAACGTCATCGACAAGATTGAAAAGGAAAACTTTGGGCTGAAGCTCAAGATTCATTTTCTAGAGGATGCCCTTCGTAAGGCCGGCCCTGGGTTTCACGAAGCGGCCCTCAAAGAAAACACCGAATTGAAAGTGGAAAAAGTTACCATGCAAAGGGAAGTCCACCGCTACAAAAAGTCCCTAGTCACTGCGGAGCGGGAACTGGAAACAAGTCGCCGCCAAATCCTCGAGCTGCAGAGCAGGGCGTCGCAAAGCCAGCAAGATGATGGGCTCAGCGCCGAAATGGAATCCTTGCAACGACAACTCGATGACAAGGAAGACGACATCCGCGACTTGCGACGCCAAATTGCGGCCGGTCAGGGTAATCAGGAGCAGGTGGAGAGTCTTCAAGATAACGTCGAAGATCTGGAGGCGGATCTTCGAGATAAAGATCGTCAACTAACAGAGCGAGAAGACGAGGCCGAAGATCTAAAAGACAAGATCGAGGACGCTGAAGCAAGGGCAAGGGCGGCTGAGAAGAGGGCACAGGAAGCCGAGGAAAACGGCCAGGACAGCGACGAGCTTGATGAAGCCAAAGAAACAATTCAAGATCTGGAACAAAACATTCGCCGCCTAGAGGAGCAAGTCGACGAACTCAACGAGAAACTCGAAGCAGCCGCGACTGACAAAGATCGAGCCGAACGCGATCTGGAGGAGCTCCAAGAAGAAATGGCCAACAAGTCTGTCGTTACGAAAGGCCTTTCCCGACAGATTGACGAGAAAGTCACCCGGCTACAGGATGAACTCGACAAGGCCGGTGAGGACTACGCTACACTGGAAAAGGAATACACGGCGGCGAACGCAGAGATCGACGAGCTCAAGGCCAAGGTAGATGAACTCGAACATGAACAGGCAGACCTGCGACAAGAAAACCCGGAAAAAGAAGCCAGGATCGAAGAGCTTGAAGCAGAGCTGCAGGCCCAGATGGACGAAAAGGACTTGATCCAAACCCGGCATGATACCCTAAGCGCAGAATCAACGGCGCTGCAAAGAGAAGTCCAGCGGCTACAAACACAGGTGGAGGAGCTCGAGAGTAGCGTCGACCAGGAGAGGAATGCTGCTGTAGAAATTGAAAAGGACCTGCGCAGGCACCAGGATGAGCTTGAGCGTCTGAATGACGACATTTCAGATCTGCAGGCTGAGATACGCGAGAAAGACAACATTTATGACAACGACAGCGAGAGGTGGGAGACGGAGAAGCAGGCCTTGGAGGCAGAGCGGAATCGTGCTGAGGAAAAGGCTGCCGGGCTTCAACGGACGGTAGACCGCCTGCGCGAAGCCGAAGGATCTCTATCAGACAGGGGTTCCAGGCTCCAGGATGGTCTCAAGATGGAAGAGGAGCGCCATCGAAGCGAGGAGGCCCTGATGACAAGACAAATAGATGATCTCCAGGATGCTCTAGAGACTCGGCAGAAGATGCTGACTGATCTACGAAGTGAGCTCTCCAAAGTTCGCGATGACTTGAGACAGGCGCAAGTGGACTATCAGACCCAAGGAAACAAGGTGATTTCGCTGGAGGATCAGATTGTAGCGCTGCGTAGCAGGCCAACCGCTGTGAGCACGCCAGCTCGACGCGAGGGCGAGGCTCTGAAGCGCGAATGTGAGAGTCTGCGAGAGCAACTCCGCACGTTGCGTTTGAGCGTGGAAGCAACTCGCGGCGCGTCTGAAGGGACTCCTATGCGCAGCTCACAAACACCAACGCGTCTCAAATGGCAGCTCACAGACGCCAGCACCAAGCTTGACAAGGTGTCCTCGGAAAAGAAGGCCCTTGAAGACAGCTTGTCTGCAATCCGGGCTGAGCTTCGCAATACTCAAAATTCGCTAGCCGAGATCAAGGCTGAGCGTGATGAGCTAGACAGCCAGCTGCGCCGCGCAAAGCTTCATGACAACGACACACTTCGTGTAGATCAAGAGCGTCTTGATCTGCGAACTGCCAAACTGAAGCTCGACGGCGAAGTTCGCCGACTACGAGACGAAAACAAGGCCCTCTCAGAACAGCGCCAGTCTGTAGAAAAGTCGCTCGAGAGCGAGATTGAAAAAGCTGCGGCTGAAGAGGACCGACTCAATCAGGAAATCATGCAGCTTCAGGCCAAGTTGCGACAGGCGTCCTCGGCCGAGACGGCGGACAACTCTACGACGCGCCGGATGATTCGCGATCTAGAACGTCGGGTTGAGGATTACCAAGCACAGCTGGCCTCGGCGCAGGCGCTCCTGGACGGCGAAGGCACAAGCGAAGTGTCCATAATTCGGCGCGACCTGACCAGCGCCCGCCAGAAGGAAGTCGAGTTCCTGCAGCGCGAGGCGGCCAGCAAAGAGGTGATCAAGGGCCTGCGACGCGAGGTAGCGGATCTAGAGAGCAAACTCCACGACCAGCAAGTCTCCCGCATGGTGAACTCGCCCAATAGCAGCCAGATGGCCAACGCAACCTACGGCGGGTCGCAGGTGTTGGCGGAGGAGTTGCAGCAACAGCTAGACGATGCGGAAGACCAGCGCGTAGTGCTGGAGGAGTTCTTGGAGGAGGCGCGACAGCAAGCCGAAGAGACGGCCGCCCAGCACGCGCAGTCACTGCAGCGACTGCAGAACCAGCTCAACGAGGCGATCCGCGATCGGGATACCGTTGTCGCCCCCGCCCCCGCCGCATCTCCGTCTTCCAAAAGCAACAACGGGCGTAGCGGCACAAGCAGCAAAGCGGCGCGCGTCCTGCGCCGGACGCAGGACGAGATTGAAAACCTGGAGCACGACGTGCGACAGCAGCAGGCGCTCATTGAAGGGCTCGTGGGGTCCGAAGTGGCACTGCGACGCAAGCTGGAGCGCACGCGCAGCGAGCGCGCCGCTTATCGAGTGAGCGCAGAGAAGCTGGGGCAGGACGTGGCGGCGCTGCGGCGCGGCACGGGCGAGACGGAGCACGAGATGGTGGTCCGCGCGGCCGCCGTCGCTGCCGAGCGTCACCGCAAGGAGCTCCGCGGCCTGACGACCCAGATGACCTGGATGCAGGCCCGGTGGGAGCGCGAGGCAAAGCTGCGCACCGATGCCGCCTTTGCGAAGCGGTTCTTGCAACTGCAGCTGGACATTGCTACTGCCTGGTATGTACTATTCTCTCTCTTATTCTCTCTCTGTACGCTCGCTAATCACATGTAAAACAGCAACAAGGCGCAGCTCCGCGAACTCGAGCACATCCGCACCAAGATCCTGCACTCGCGCAAGCCCCTCCTGCTGCCCGGCGCGTCGTCATCAAACGACGCGGCAGGCAGGAAGCCCACGCTGCGGACGTTTCTCGTGGCCGCGCGCTTCGTCGCCAAGATGCGCATCGCGGCGCGTCAATGGGCCGCGCAGGAGGAGGTCCGCCGGCGTCTGCAGGCGGCGGCCGAGGAGACGCGCAAGGCCAAGCGCGCAAAGGGCCTGCGGGTCGTGCGCGTGGACGAGGAGGACTACGGCGCAGCAGCTTAAAGGAGTTAAAAGGGCTTGTTTTCTGGAGGAAGCGACATCGCATTGCATTGGGGACAATTCGTGACACAGCATGGACGGACAGCACTGACTGGTAAAGGCGTCTTTTTGAAACATGCCTCGTTGGGTAGTAGGCATGATGACGTTTTTTGCGTGTATGGTTGAATATTTCTACGGCTTGGGCGTTTTTAATTCTTTTTTTTATTTCAATTATCAAACGTATATATACAGACCAAGATGTGGTTTTCATCTCGTCACCTCCCGCTTGCTTCCTTACATCTTCTCCTCCCTTCTTCAGATACTCTCCTGCATGTCCGTCCCCTCCATCCTACTTCCCCGTCAGATGCAGAGTGCCGTTTCAAAAACCATGTATTAATCATCAAAACTTGTATGCCCTTTTCTTATCCTGTGCTGGGTCTTGGACAAATATTCCTGTGCATCACATCTCGCTCTCTCCCTGTCGTCCACTCCCTCCCACTCTGTCTGACTGTCACCTCCTTCAGCCGCTTCAAACAGTAAAACAAAACCAGAATAAAACACAGCCTGCAAATGATAGTCCCAAGGTATATGGATAGAATGACGTGCCGCGTTTGGATACCCCCAAGAAAAAAGAGTACGAATAGATAAAAAAGATGCCGATGTAAAAGAGGGCTCGCGCTCAACATTGCGCCTCCTGCCCGGTTAAAGGACAAACAAGAACGGCTCCTGGCCATGTTCCAGGTTGCTTACATGACGAATAAGAGGTCGGTGTCTGGGACACGCTGGTCAGTACCATCTTGACACAGCAGGGAGGGGGGCTAGATTTGGCGTACTTAGGGGATGGCTGCAGGACAGCTGGGGCTTCTGCGTGTAGCGCGTGGCCAGTTCGTCGCGGAGACTGTTGAGTAGCTGGACGTAGCTTTGCTGCGGGTTCTTCTTAAGCGAGGTGATGAACGCCCAAGACATGGCACCTGTGGCCTGGAGGCCAATACTGGCATCGGCACTGGAAAATGGTTAGCTGGCTGTTTGCTGGTGGTGGTCTCATTTTCACGTACGAGGTTTGATCGTCCTTGCTGCCCGACCACATGACAACATCGGCGGGAGAAGTCTTGGTGGCGAGGGCACGGCTGTGAGCCTCCTCGCCGCTGGTGGCCTTCTTGAACAGGCTGACAATCTGGCTGCCCATGCCGCCAAGATCACCCTGACTGTAGGAGGAGATAACACCGAGCAGGCCTTGGCCAGCCTCCTTGGCCAGGTTGGGCTCCTTGAGAATGCCCTGGGTCGAGTAAATGTACGGCAGATCCAGCGCCGTACCGGAATGGCACGAGTCGAAAATGGCCGTCAATCGTACCCCAGCACAGAGAGGCTGGACCATTATTCGGTGCATTTCATCGTCGGTAATGTGTCCGTGCTGGCGGAAGTCCACGGGGTAGATGACTTCGTCGTAGCCATCTGGTTCATCGCCGTCCAGATCTTTAGTTTGACCACCGTGTCCTGCATAGGTTAGCAACCGCGGGTCTTAAGAGCGCATCTATCCGGTGGTCATACCAGAGTAGTGGAAGAAGAGGGAGTCGTTGGGGCGGGCATCCTTGACAAGCCAGTGCATGGCTCGCAGGATGTTCTGCTTGGTGGGCTGGCTCATGGGGTTCTGCTGGTCATCGGTCAAAATGACCATGTCTTCGCGTCTGTAACCAAAGTGCTCGGCGAGATAGGATGTCATGTTGCGCACGTCGTTGATGCAGCCGCGCAGCTGACCGCGCTGGCCAAAGTAGTTGATTCCGATGAGAAGGGCCTTACGGCGGCCGGTACATTGCGAGTACTTGAATGAGTAGCTCTGGGGGGCGCCGCTTCCAAAGTGCTGGGGAGCGCTCGGGGGAGGCTGGACCATTTCCTGGCGGCCTTGCTGGTTGCCATGATGGTGCTGGGGAGACGGCGCGGCGCCTATCGACACATTAGCTCGGATAGCAGGAGGACAGAGCTTGGGATCGGGAGCTCACCACCGGGACGGCTACCGTATGGCGATTGAGGGGGCATTTGCTGTTGATACTGATGCGGGCTATTGCCGTGCGGCTGCGGGGTTTGTCAGTACTTGCAGAAGTCGGGCATGGCGAGAGCGCATGCATTCAATGGGGAAACCGGGGTGTCCGTACAGGGTAAGCGTATTGTTGCTGCTGCATCTGGCCCTGCTGATAGTAGGCGTGCTGCGGCGACGGGTGACCCTGGTTTGGGTACGGCTGAGGTGAGTGTTGAGGGGGGCTAGATGGCGCGAGGAGAGAGCGCAATTGCAAGTCAGCCAAGTGAGTCGGGATGAAGCGCTTACTCGGCGCAAATCCAGAGAAACTGGGAGCATACCCGTAGGCCTGGTAAGGCTGCTGCTGTTGCTGCATTGGCGGAGGAGGGCCGCCGTACTGGGGGCGGCCGTGGCCTTGATAGTTGGACATGGCTGGGATGTGTGAGCGAACGCGGGCGCGGGCGCAAGCAGGCGCGGGGCGTGACGGCGAGGGAATCGGCGGGCGCGACGGACGTGAGCTGGTGAAGTCGGCGGGTTGCAAAAGTCGGATGGAGGGATAAGCTGGTGTCGATGACGGGCGACGGTAGCGACGACGGTAGCGACGAGGATGAACGGCAAACAACGGCGTCGGCGACGTCGATCGACGTTGGCTGGTAGTTGAGGACTAGGCCGACCGACTCACGAGGCACAGGTCAAGGGGCGGGCAAGGGAAAAAAACGGTGAGACGGCAGGCCGGCATGAAGCTCTTTAATACTAGGAAAGGCTGAAGCAGGGACCGGGGCTGGGGTTGATTGGGATGTGAGGGAGGGAGAGAGGTTTGTTTGGCGGAGTGGGATGTTGGAGGCGGAGGGGCGCGCCGGGGATGGCGGGAGACAGTGGGTTGGTGGTGGTGTGGTAGTGGCGGTTTAGAGGGTATTTAGGCACGCTGAGGCGAGGCCTGGGAGAGGAAACAGGTGAGTTGTGTAGGTAGTGTCGGCGCTGGACTGACAAGTGACTAGTGATCACAGCCAAAGTATGGTACGTTGACGAGTACCGAATGAGGAAGTCGAGGTGGCAAGTCAAGCACCCGAGAAATAGATGAGCTGACAAGAGGCAGGGAAGTACCTAGTAGACAGATCCCTTGCAACCAAAGAACCAGTCAACCGGATAGGTTAAATAGAAGATTGGACAATACCAACGGTCCCGGTACCAGGTTCGCAGAATGGTACTACCCTGATAGAGGGAGCCAGGGCATGTTAGCAGGTACCCTAGTGCGCGTGGCCGACAATGAGGGATGGGGCAATGAACACCATTCCACTAAACTTACTAACAGCAGGGTAGGTACCTAGCAGTAACACGTCCAAAGCACCAGCAGGCCAAGTACCGAATCGACGAACCGCCTCAGTAAACTAACTGAATGCCTGGTCCCTGTCAACAGCCGTTCCTTGCTTGTGGATTGGGCTTGGGCTTGGGCTTGTGCTTTGGTTTGATCTTGTTGTGCCCCAGGGACTCGGGTTTCGGCGCGCCAATCAGGAGGGTTCGTGACGCAGTTCGGGGCGGCGGACGAAGGAAAATAAATGTGCCAATGCCAATAAACAAAAAAAAAAACAACGTATCCAGAATGACAGTCTGTCTCACAGCGCCCTGCCGCGGATGGATCTGCATAGATTTGTGCAGTTAGCGTCAAGGGGTTCAGCCGACATTGTCAACAACTGGCAAGGCAAACGGGTGCTCTTGGGCGAGTTGGTTTCGGTGAGTGGCTGTGTGGCTGTGTGTGGCTGTGGGGGAGTCTCCAGTCTGGCAACGGCCGGCTTCCTTGGTCCGGCCAGCCTAGCCAGGTCGGTAGCCTTCCTCGAAAAAACATGGCAAAGCTCAGCTCGCTGCGACACACAGAGGAGGGCTAAAAAATGTCGGAAATGGTACCTTTCCCCGTTGCTAGCACATGTTTTGAGCTGCCTACAAGTAGGTAGCTCTAGCAAACGCCGAATGCCGCACCTCTGCCGCCGACTTGTTGTGTGTTTGAGTGGGCTCGTGAGACTGGTGGGGGCTAGGTCTTGTGTTTTATGGTTGCTGTGTTTGAAGATGGATGTGTTCGTAAGGAAACAGTCGTGTGTTACTTACCAGTTTGCTTCTCTTGTTTTCTCTTGCTTTGCAACTCAGAATCTCTCGCGATGATTCTGGGAAGAGCAGAGTATCGTCGAAGACAATCCGCCACCATCACCCGAGGCAACGGCTCGTCGATCTATATATGCTCTTCGGTGAGACCGTCCTGCATCTCATGTCCGTCTGTCTGTCCATGGGTACCAAGGCAGCAAGTCTACTGCAGTCATCATCCATTGCATCACACTAGGTAGTCAATAGGTAATAGTAAATGTAGGAGCTGCTGCATCACCACCTGGGTAATAAGCGCCGTCGGTTGTCACTGCCCAGCTTCATTACCCACCAAAAAAAAATCCTTTTACCGGCAGCACACCAACGGCCAAGGATACACAGGCAAAGTGCCGCTGAGTGCTGCGTATGAAAATCACAATATCCAGTGCGAGACGACGGGAATTAATGAGCCTAACCATATTCCCATAGATACGCATTGGCCATCTTTCGTTCACTGCGTAAACCTCGAGAACCCAAACACCCACACATCGAGACGTGCTGCTGCACTGCCAGCGCACATACAAGGAAAGGTCCACTGCCATGCCTTGACGCCGCCCCCACCACACTGCATCTCTCGGATCTCCCGATGAAAGCAGTTGCATGGGTCAACCACTCAAGTGTAACCTGCCAATGCTTCCGGAGCCTGTAGGACGTTGTATTTCATCGTCCAGCTGCTGCAAGAGAGAAGAACGGGTTGCGCGATGCAACATGTGCCGGCTGGGCCGCAGAATTTGCCCAAAGCTGGGCCTCCATTATCCTCGGTCCGTCCTGTGTCGTCAAACCATACAATAGCAGGGTTTGGTACGGATCATCTGTGTAAGACAGCCCTGCTGCTGCTCCGAATCGTCACACGACAGCGAACGCTACCCGGCGCTCTGGACCACCACCACCACCCGGTCTGGTCTTTGCAAGCAGATGCATATTCGTATCCATGCAGCCGCCTGGCCCTGCGCCCGCAGCATTTGATAGAGTTTGGGATCGCACTACCCCTGGCGACCTGTGCAAGTGCCAGCTGCTGGCCCAGGCTGTCTGTCATCTATCATCTGTCATGAGGAGCACGTCAGCGTTGACGAGATGGGTCAAGTAGTTGCAACCTGCAAGCATTGATCACAGGCAAAGATGTGAGGCAAGCTGGCGTAGGTAGTGACTATTGGCGTCATGGTGCTTCTCGATCTTGGCGCTGGCTATCTCCGACCTGTCCAGGGTCTCGAGCCTCGCTTCTTGGACAACGGCCAAGTAAGTATTGTCCTCTCATCCATGTCGAGCTCAACGGTCGCGTCCATCATAGACGCAGGAAAAAAACCTTCCGGTTTCCGAGAGGCCTCTCAAAATGACGATTGGCCGTTTTTTTCTTCCCCATATTTCCCACATCGAGGCAATGCGCCGAACAAGACCCTTGGTCCGGTACGGCGTCAACGTTAGAGTTTTTGCTTGTTCCCTGTCGAGAAGGCTGAGCAGACGCCGTGCCTTCGGCCGCCCCGGAGCCATGCACGCTGAAATGCAGCCACTTTTGACGCCGGCCTTTGGTTCGGTGCGGAAGAGGTACAGCCGAGGAGTATCCGTCTCTGTGCAATGCAATCAATGCGCTGGATTGACTGACATGCGTCGTCGCTGTAGCGTTGGGTCATTGTGGTGAACAATGTCGGTGCCCTATTATTCTCTTGTCGGCTTTTGCTTGCTTGGTCGATTGGCGTGCCCTTGTCGCATCCATCTCGTCCAGGACGCGCCGTGATAGCTGGCTAGCCCGTATGCGGTCGTCATCGTCGTCTTCCTATGGAGAGGCCCTGCCTATGCTGAAATGTCACACCTTCGACATCGTCCAAGGCCACCCACGGATCCGGAGCCCATCACGAAATGCCATGGCGCGCTTAACACCCACAGAACCTGAGTCAAGTCTTGTCCATCTGGTTCCTCGCCGGCTCCATGGACCAGCTGAGCAGGGATCGAACCAGTCCGGCTTTTGCGCTAACGTTAGCTTCTTGCTGCTTTTTGTCTTCTCTGAGATGTCATTCGTCATTGTATGTTGCTTTTTTACTTGTTCTTCCCTCTTTTGGCACATGGGCATTAGATCCCGTGTCGCAGATTACTTTTTCTTTTTCTTCTTCTTTTTTGTTTGCCACCACATTAGACGAATATGCATGCCATTGCAGTTTGGCGTCGTATCCTCGGTCCGCCGCCAACGCCTGCCTCCCCCTTGTCTCTCTTTGCCTTGCTCCAATCAGCCTTGCAGCTTGCAGCGAATCACCCGCCTGGCCATGGCAAATGACATAGTCTGCTTTGCACGAGGCTTGTCTTTTGCGGACGATTCGTTAGTGGTGATTGTCGATTTGCGAAACAGTTGAGAGGCGCGACAGAATCACTGATTCGGGTCAAACGCATGCCCAACGTCACCGAAAAATTGGCCTCTGAAACTAGTTCATAGTATCCGGGAGGCCTTGCCGTCGGGCTATTCTGCGCACTGGCCGCCATTGTGTGGGCAGCCTATAGGTGAGTTGCGGCCAAAACTCAGTTCACCCCTCATGTGGGGCTAGAGGCGATACTCTATTCTTATAAAGGTGATCTTATCTATTTTAGTTACATAATATTTCTATAAGAGGTTTTAAGTGAGTACCTTTATACCCCTTTAGTTATAGACCCTCCCTACCTACTTATTAGTTAACCTTCTAGTTAACTAGCTACCTACTAGGCGGAGGGGGTGTTTTTAGATAGGGTTAAAATACTCTAGTAGTCTAGATATATAGAATACTATATTATGAGCCTGTTAGAGGCTCTAACACGTTACTTAATATTAAAAATTTCACGGTGAGACGTCTTAAGCCACTAATAGGCTCATAATATAGTAAAAATACATGTTGTAACTTGGTACGATTTTTAGCTATATCTAAAAACACCCCCCGCGCCGCGTAGGTAGCTACATAGTTGACTAGCTGGTTGACCTTCTAATTATGACTGTATTGAGTACCCTTGCGTACGCTCTCAGCGTGTGCCTAGAGTGTAAACCTCGATACAAGAATGCAAATCGAGTTTTGGCCGCAACTTACCTATAGGCTGCCATACCATTGTTTGCTAAGATCACGATCGACAAAGAAGAGCCAGCATGGTTCCAGCGCAATCTTGTTTCCCCGTTATTGCCGTCGTCGTAATGCCGGTTGACGCCACTTGGGGGCATTGCTTCAACACTCTCTTTTGCATGTAAAGTGATTGGATGGTGTCTTGTTTTCTCTTTTGCCTCGTCTTTGTTCGTCGTGCAACCGCTGGCGGTTTCACAATCGCACTGGCGCCTTAGGCATCTAAAGCAAGCGGTTAAACCCGTTGGAATACTTACTTTCACCAAAAGGGTTGCTCTGTAGGACAAACTTACCATGTCTGCATTGAATAGCCGCTTTGTATTCGCCGAGATGAAGTTTCTTGTTTCGTCCATTTTATCGGCGGTTAAGTGCATGAACGCGGCCTGATCAGTCGGCGCCGCGTGTTTGCTTGTCATACAGCAGGAGCAGCGACAGACTGTAGCGGGGCGGAAAGCACTCACCGAGAACGAGGACAAACTGCATCTGACAACTCATCTGCGACTGCAATCTGGCTTCACTTCCAACGTGTTTATTAGGCAAACGCTTGCCATCGCCAATCAAGCTTTACCCTTTTTTCTCATCTCACGCTCTTCTCGCTTCTATTTTCGATTTCACTGGCTGTCGTTTTCTTCATAAATAATCCAGTTGGCACACCTCATTTCCGTGCAACGCTCTCGTCGCTGCTCTCCCCCTCACGTCCACCGATTCCTGTAATTCCGACATCCCGCAAGGCTTTCTTTCTTTCAAGTTTGATATCTCTTGCGGCCCAATATCCGCAAAATGTCGACGTCTCTGTCCCAAGACCCTATGGTGGAAGTAGACTTTGGATCAGTCCTGACGACAGACGAGAAAAATCTGAAAGACCTTTGGAGTCTGACACACTCGCCCTCGAGTTTGCAAAAGGCCGGTTATGTACTCTGGCAGCTCGGACCGTCTGATCTGGATAAAAAGAAGCGATGCGGGCGTTGCTCCAAAGGTATGTTACTGTCAAACAAGAAACTCGCCCACACTGCACAGCTTTCTGACGCTGCTACGTCGAGGAACTAGTTATTCGCAAAGGCCACGAAAGGGCCAAATCGAGGGCCCAGAGCGTCAAGCTGGCACCGGCCGTTGCTCAGCTTATTGCGGCCGGTGACTACCCGCGCCCGATTCCAGAACCGGAATCAGAACAGTCGAGCATGTCGATGCACTCTCGGTCCGTGTCGCTGCAGGTCGGCGCCGGCACTACAGACATTTCCGGCATGATGCAGAACATGCAGCTAGATAACAAAAATGGCAAGGACGGTAAGGGCAAGGAGACCGCTCCGCCGATGAACTGCAAGTATCATCCGGGCCGCATTCAGTCCAGGGCAAGCCACCCTCCCCCCTCTCACAAGAGGAGGCCACATCACATCAGGGCTAACATGCAAGCGTGTGCTAGTTTTGGACGTGCTGCGGCAACTTCATGTCCGATATTGGATGCGCCGCCGAGCAGTTCCACACCGCCAAGGTGTACCGTCGGGGCGAGCTCGAGAGCAACTGGGAGTACTTTACCACACCCGGGGCCGCTCTCGACACCCCAACTGACTACCGTGCGGCAGTCGTGATTGACTGTGAGATGGGAACGGCCGCATCAGGCGACTCGGAGCTGATCCGCGTGTCCGCCGTCGACTTTTTCACGCGGGAGGTGCTCGTCGACAGCCTCGTGTGGCCCGACGTGCGCATGGCGCACTTTAACACGCGATACTCAGGCGTGACGCGGAAGAGCATGGAGACCGCCCGGCGCGCCCGGCGCACCCTCGCCGGCCGCTCCGGTGCCCGCGCCGCCCTCTGGCGCTTCGTCGGTCCCAGCACCGTCCTCGTCGGCCACTCAGCCAACTCGGACCTCAACTCACTCCGTTGGATCCACGCCATCGTCATCGACACCCTGCTGCTCGAAATGCGCATCCAGCCCCAGCTGCGTGGGGACCAGCAGAGGCCGCAGAGCAAGGGTAGCGGTGATGAGGGCGGACGCGCCGATGGCGACCAGCAGCAACCCGCGGAGGTGGCCGAGGTGGTGGTGGTGCAAGAGACGGCCAGCAAGGAAAACAAGCAGCCCAAGTACCCGGGTCTCTCGCTGAAGGCGCTCGCGGCGGAGCGTCTCAAGCGCACGATTCAGGTCAAGGGCCAGGGCCACGACAGCCTCGAGGACGCGCTGGCGACGCGTGATCTGCTGCTGTGGCACATGGTGCACAGGCCCGAGCCTCCCATCCCTTGAGGAAGACCAAGTTGGATGCATCATGAGCCGTACATCAGTTCTTGCTCTGCTGCTCTCTTCCTGTCTTGCTGTCTTGGTGGATTACTAGGACAAGACGATTATCACATGGGTGCTCTATCTATGAGTATGAATGCATGAATAGTTTTGATGAGACATGTCCTCTTTTTGCATTTTCTTCACAAGTTGGCCTTTTTCCTCTTTTGCATTTTCACAATGGCATTTTTTTTCCTTTTCTTTCCAAGCGACATGTTTGTACAGCAGTGAGAATAACAGTTGCGTCTTGGTTTGCACTTTTACGACAGTCAATAGCTTTGCTTTGCATCTGGCATTTTAAGAGAATGAAAGTTTTTTCTTCTATTCTGGCTTCTTTCACGCGGTTTCCAATAGCCATCTACAAAACAAAGATAACCGATGGCAAATACATGCGTTCTTTGAATAACGCTGAAGCTTGGTGCCTGCTTTAATAACCAGAAGATTTTGTGCTGTTATTCGCTTGTACAAACAAAAATATATACTTGAATGCTTCTCCTCTGAACCCCCTAAAAAACAATAAACGAATGAATGATGAAAGTAGCTGATTTGTGAAGTGTTGTGTGCCCCATACATGGATACATTTGAACGCCGTATTGCAAAAAAGAACGGCCAATTCCAGATTCTCCCTAGAATCGCTGAGTGAGCTGCTCAAATGAAATGCCATTTTGTTGTCCAATGCCATGGTTAGACTGCGCCGGTATCGTCTCGCATCTGGTAGGCCATGACACTCCAGACAAGTTGCATCGCCTTGATCCTGTCTTTCGTATCAAAACAGTCATACCACGGCGTGCGCCAAGCCTGTACCGTACCCCAGTCACGGCGAGTCGGATCGGGCTCCGGCGCACCGTCAAGCACTGCGAGGAGACGCAGGGGCACGCGGACGCGGAGGATAGAGATGTGATGAAATAGGCTGCTGACAAGGAAAATGTCGTCATAGTTTGCACCAGCTTGCTTCCCTATGGATATGTACTTGGCTTTGGCGTCCCAGGTCCGGGCGGGAGGACGAACCATACGGTAGTTATCGTAAAGCCTCCTTCGCAACTTCTTGGTGGGCGGCACAAGCGCCGGGGTGTCTTGTCCAGAGATTGGATCTGGCATCATATCCTTGTCCCCGGAAATACCATCCCTTTGTAGTTCACAGCCAATGGGGCCGCCGCCTGGGGCACCACCCCAGCGCGGCTTGAACGTCCACCACGCACCTAAGCCAAACTGTTCTTCCTGCTTGCCTTGGCGGGCGCGGTGCTGAGCCGTTATGAGAACGGAGATGAGCTCCCTCGCAAGGTCCCAGGACTGCGCAGTCTCGGGATCCGGCATCGTGAAACTAGTCTCTGGGCGGCAACTGATGGCAGCGACAGGGCCGTACACGAAGCCGGCGCGAGATGCTTCTCGTGTCTGTGGATTCTGAAAAACAAACTGGCAGCGAGATGGGTAGTAGGACTTGCGCGGCGACGCAGGGCTGCCGCGTGGTGTTCGAAGCTGCAAACGGGGCTCCTTTCTTGAGGGGGTCGCGGTACATCCAAATTCATAGGCGACCATCTTGACAAAGGCGGCTACGAGTGCATGGCGTGTCTCAGGGGGGGTTTGGTGACCGGCGCGTGTACGCTCGGGGGCTACACTAGCTGCCGAACTGGCAGTTTCCGAAGGCGTCTCACTGGATCCGGCGGCAGCATCGAGAGATATGACTTCTGGAGATGAAGGCAGACTGGTCGCTCGAGTAGGATCATCCCAATATACCGTCATTTGTTGAAGGTAACGAAAGAATTCATAGGCACTGCCGAGACGCGGAGCAGGCTTGCCCATGGGAGGTTGTATGCGCCTGACGGTGCGAAATGCGTCTTCATTGAGACTGGAGAGCTCCGTCTTGCGTTCATGGTAGATGCGGCAGCCAGGTGAGTGCTTATCGCAGGACAAGGGCCGACGAGTAGATGCATCGGCATTTTGGGACTCCTCCAATGTCATCCGGTCCCAGGCAGAAAAGTCAGGAATGCATGACGGGTCAGGAATCAGCTGCTGCACATCAACATCGAGGGTGAGATCAAGTCCAATGGCAGAGAGGGCGGTGCAGGCAAGTCTCTTCGACCGTCTGCCCGTGCTTGAGAGTAAGGCCGAGAGATATCCTGAAGCCTCGACGGTGGCATCATCCTGAGCAAAGGGCTGGTAGCAGGGGAAGGCAATTGGAGTTGGGGGCGGAATATCCGCAGGGTCTACTGGTTCATGGAAACCCTGAGCATCTGCTATGAATGGTTATGGTGTTAGTGCAAATCAGTGTGAGGCGAAATGACTAATAGGGGGGATGGAAAAGAAGATTTATGGCTTATGGCAAGGTCAGAGCTCACCCAGGGCTGAGATGCCGGTAAACATGACGCTATCAATGTTGGTAGGGATACAAGATGGCTAGATGGAAAGCGGCATGCGAGCCATGTGTCGTAGAGCAATCAGCAGATCTGATTGGCGGTGCCGTCTAAAGTTGTGAGGGAGGGAAGGGCGAGATCCGAACAAGGCAACGTCCGAGCAAGCAGGCGTCAGTCAGTCGAGGGCGGGGGAGGGCGTGCGGCAAGTCTGTCGCACGAATGCAAAGGTAGCAAGGTGACGTATTTGACGACATGCGCATGGAAGAGGCCGTTGGTTGAGGGGGAAGCAGGGGCGGTAACTTGCGGATACTGGCTCGGAACGGTGTTTGGTTCTATTCCCAAACGCCAGGAGAGAGGGAGAGGGAGAGAGCCGTCTATGGAAGCGCAAGCAGCCGGGTTTATCTGAGGTCGAAACAGAGGCGATGAAAAGAATAAAGAGATAAAGATTGAGGGCGGGTAGCTGGCGGTTGACGAAAAAGTGACAATGCTACGCTGGGCCCAACCGTCCAAGGGCCGTCGACAATCGGCCTGGTGCTTGGTGTTTGGTGCTTGGTGCTTGATGCTTGATGCTTGGTTGGTCGAGTCGAGCGAGGCGGAAGGAGAAGACGGACGGCTTGGGTGGCTGGCCTCCTTGGGTAGGTAGCTTCGAGGATGATCTGTTTCGGGAGAGTGGAAACAGGCAAGCGAAAGAGGGTGAGAGAGTTGCGAGGCAACAGCGGGCAAGCAGGCAAGCAGGCAAGCAGGCAAGCAGGCAAGCAGGCAAGCAGGCCAGCAGGCCAGCAGGCCAGCAAGTAAAGCTGGGGCGTTGGCGTTGAGTTGGCGCGGGCGGTGCAGGGTGCACCGGGAGATGCTGTGGGCACCGTCTAGTATGGACTCTTTTGCGAGGTATTCTTATGCGAGGCCTCTGTCGTGAGGCAAATGTCTAATAATAGCTGATAATACGGATAGCGTTGCTGGAAATACTGGTAATACTTGGTGGTGGGTGGTGTGGCCAAGGAGGTCACACGATCAGGGTGATGCCAGTGGCCGAGTCGGTTGAGATGCAGGGACCAGAGCAGTTGGTCGGCGAGTCTGTTGGTGAGGCTGTTGGCGATTTGGTCCGTCCGTGTGTCTGCCTGTCCGTACCAACCAGTAGCGGTGATGAGGCATGAGGGTGATGACGAGACGAGCAAACAGGGGCAAATGGAAGGACTCGAGCAACCCAGCCAGCAATGAGAAAGATAAACGATGTGCGTACCTAATTGGAGTGCCACAGTGGCTGAAGAGAGTCGGTACATGGTTCCAGTATGCATATTCCCTGGGTAATGCAGGTACCGGCGTGGAGTGAGTGGGCGGTGCCTTGGTGGTGGAAAACGGGGCTCTTGGTGGGGACGGATGGGGCGCAGGGGCCGTTTCAGGGGCCGTTTTGTGCTTCTGTATCAAGATGGACGAGAGAGAATCAAGAGGATAAGATAAATAGAGGGAAAAGTCGATGATAGAAAATTGGGCATGAAGAATAAATGTTCAAGGACACTGGCACTTCTACCAACTTGGTTTTGGACGATGAAAACGCTCATTGCCTACCTTGCCTCGTAGAGAAACACCTCATAGCTAGGTATCTCTATATCTATTATTACAGAGACGGATATAATTGTGATGCCCCATCACATCCCGGAGCGGCGCATTTGTTTCACGACGACAAAGGTGCCTCGCGGCGCATGAAACGCCGCGTGGTACAATGCGAATCTCGCATCTTTCTCGTCGGGTGGTACTTTTGGTTCTACTGTTCTTTTGCTTTTTGTTTTTGTTTGGTCTTGCTACCTTTTTTTCCAAGTAAGTAATGAGTGTGGAGTTAGATTATTCCATACGCATCACGACTGACGGATGCCTTTCTGTTATTGTATAAAATTATAAAGGTATAAAATTATAACAGAAACGAAATATAGCAAAAAATCTGCAGCACTTTCTATGCACGTTCTCCATCCAACATGCGTACCCCCTCTTATGCGTCCGTCACCATCTTCACCACGACAGCCAGCTTGGCCTCCCACTTCTTGTTTCACAACCCACCAAGGTAGATGCCCAAAAGCTTCCATTTTTAAACAACCAGGTTCCATGGAATTTATATATGTAGATAATTATTTTTTATATTTATTATACCTATATATCATTCCAGAAAAAGCTGCATAGTCGGTACATCCTCTTCCCCCCCCCTCCCGCACGGTCCGGACCTCCAAGATGCGGCGTGCCTCACAAGTGTAGCAGGATAACCGGGGCGCCGGCCTCAGATCCCCAAAAGGGTCTCGCTGTCTCGACTCGTCGCCTCAATTCAGCACCCGTCCGGCTGCAGATTCCATCTTCCGTGTTTCTCTTCCTCCATCACTCACTCCTCGTTCAACCCGTTCATCCCCTCCCCTGCCGTATTCCCCTACAGGCTCTGGCAGCTTGTCAAACGCTCAAACACCGTCTCCTCCTCCTCCTCCTCCTCCTCCTCCTCCGACTCCGTTTGTCCTGGAATCACCCGATGACAACGCCGCCCACGATGCCACTCGCATAGTGTGTCAGCGCCGACAGACTAGGATTCAGAATCCGCCAAGTACCTCCGGGACTTTTCCTTTTTGTTTCTCCTCAACTTGTTCTTCTCTGTCGCTCTTCTTCTCTTTATTATCTTTCCTCTTTGTCGCCTTGTCACATCACCGACGGCCTCAACGCCGAAGCAACTTACATCGCCAGCCGATTCGCCTTTTCTGGTGTGCATGACACTCACCGCTGGCCCGCATCGGGCCTGAGCCAAAGTCCTAAGAGCGACCTATCACCATCATCATCACCATCGCGGATGCATATCGGGAACAGGCAACAAGCTCGCGACCATCAGAACGACATGGCCGGCGACGTCCGGCAGAAGGAGCAGCAGAAAGAGCGCAACAACATGGCCGGCGACGGCCGGCAGAGAGAGCAGCAAAACCATCGCAACAGCGGGTCAGGCGACGGCCGGCGGAAAGGGCAGCAGAAGGATCGTAATGACAGAGGCGGCAACGGTCGTCAGAAGGAGCAGCAGAACAATCGCAACAATATGGAAGGGGGCGCCCGGCAGAAGGAGCAGCAGAAAGATCGCAACGACATGCCCAACAATACCCGGCAGCAGCAGCAGGAGGGGGAGAACAGGGAGGGGGAGAAAAGTCATGCTCAGCCGACAGCATGTCGCGGCTCACCTGTAAGCGGCATCGCTCTAACACCACCAAGGACCAATATGCTAATGTCTCTAAGGTGACGAGCCCGACAAACTCGCCGCCACCAGGTTCCGTGAGCGCCTCAACGACCCCCGATGCGCCGCCCACCATGTCACATTCGAGCGGCATGTCTCATCAGACGGTATCCCCAACCAATAGCGAAAACATGCAACCGTCAGATTCTGCCTCGGAGACTTCGACTACAACGCAAACGCCAACACCCCCGGCCCCCGAGAACCTTCCCAACGACCCTTCTCCCGAGCGTTCTCCCGAAGCACCTCCCAGCAACAACCCCGCTCCGGATTCTTCTAATGGCCCCCCTCCTCCTCCTCCTGATTCTACTCCTCCTCCTGATTCTACTCCTCCTCCTCCTGATTCCAATCCTCCTCTTAATGGCACTTCTCCCGAGTCTCCTCCTTCCGACCCTTCCAACGAATCTGCATCTCCCAAATCTTCTCTTTCGTCCGCGAAGGACGCAGACCAGACCGCCACAGCCTCGCCCACCGACCAGCCTCCCGCAGCGGCTGACCCGTCGCAACCCACGCACCCGCCGAGCCTGCAACTTCCCGGCCTCGCGGCGGCGAACCCCTCAAACACCACCGCTACCGACCCTATCGATCTCGAAGCGGCGCCGTCCACCGTCTCACCTCCGCCCAGCAGCAAGTCAGAAGCTGGCGAGGCCGCCCCCAGCGGCGATGACAGCGGCGCGAAAGATCAGTCACCCACACCTCCCGTCGCCTCCCCGTCCCCCACACAGTCAGGTTCCACGCAACTACCCTCCGAGATTCTCCCTTCCGACCCGGCCGATGCCTCCTCCGCATCTATGCCGACCACGCTTACGACGGATCTGCCCTCCCCATCCTCACGCCTCATCGGCGGCGGCGGCACGTCAAAAAGTCCCGATAGCTCGCCATCTAGCGACGCTGCGCCGGCGCCGCCGACCAACACCGGAGGCAGCGGTGGCACTCCGCAACTACAGAGCGGCGGTGGCGGTTCGGGCTCACCGATGGGTATGATCATCGGCAGCGCTGTCGGTGGCGCCGCCGCCCTTGCTATTATCGCACTGCTACTATGGCTGTGGAGGCGGCGCGTGCGCCAGAAGCGCGAAGAGATGGCCGGCTGGCCGATCTCGCCGTTTGTTGACCACCGCCTAGGGCACGACCAGCCACCAGTAAACACCACCACTACCACCACCGCCACCACTGCCGCGGCCGCCGCTGCGGGTATGACTGGCGCTGCCGCTGCGGGGCCGTTTGCCGCTGGACGGCAGGCCTCGACGAGATCTCGCAACCCGCTGCAGGGATGGTGGGCGGGTAGGACGCAACAGCCGGCGCCGCTCATTGCGCCGGAGTACGAAGGCGGTGCCGAGAAGCGCCAGCTGCAGCCGGCGGCGATGATGAACCTGCGTGGCGGCGGTGGCAGCGACGATAGCAACGATCCGTTCTCGGACGTGCACAGCACAGAGGCCATGCGCACCGCGCCCGTGCTCTCGCCGCAGCAGCAGGTGCTGCGCGGCATTCTCAAGCCGTCTACCAGTAATGCCGGCGGCGGGGTTCGAACGCACGGGAGATACCCGTCCGAGTCCTCGGTGTCGTCTGGCCGTAGGTCGCGCGCGCCGTCCCTCAGCGGACGCGGCTGGTGGTTCGCATCCTCCTCGCAGCAGCAGCCGCCACCGCCGATGCCGCGCCCGGCCGCGTCCCGACGCACCTCGTCGCTGACAAACGACCCATTCGACGACCGCAGGAATAAGTTCCGCTCGGACCCGTTCGACCTGGAGCTGGACACGCGGCTGCTACCGTCGTCGCTGGTGGTTGCAGCGCCGCCTTCTTCGCGGCCGCCGCCGCAGATGGGCAATGCGCGAGCAAGCTCGGTGTACAGCGATGGCAGCGGTGGCGGCGGTAGTGGCAGTTCGCGGTACACGAGCGGCGTGAGCAGCAGTAGCGTCTGGGGTGGTGCTACTGCCGGCCAGGGGGCGGACGGGCGGGCGTACGTCTCGGATAGTCCGACCCTGCCGCTGGCAACGAGGGCGTACGGCGGCGGCGGCGTTGGGCAGGCCATGTAGGGCAATCGCTTTTTTTTTTCCGGTCTCTTTGTTTTTGCGTCTGTCTGCATTAATTGCGTTTTCACTTCCCCCTCGCGCTCTTGTTTCCCTACTCCCCAACGACAGCGGCAACCTCTTTACTCATTCGTTTTTTTTTTTTTCTCTTTTCCTGCTTCTGTGTCTCTCGCACGCTTCTGGACGACACACATCACTCCTCGAAATGCATAATGCGGGCCATCTTCTCTCTCTTTCTTGTGTGTGTTTTTACATATATATACCATCCTTTCTCTTCCTCTTTTGATACCATCATGACGGCCCGGCGCGGCAGAATTACGAAGACAAAAAGAAGAACACCACCACAACAACGAAACCTACCATTGAGTCAGTCTCTTTCTGATACCCCATCGTCACCATTCCAATCGTTTATCTTCGACTTGTAATTTGAAAGCTGGGAAATTTTCTGGATTTTTGTTTGGATGTCCTGTACTAGGGAAGGGTCAAGAAAGGGGGGAACGAAGGGGAGGATCAAGTGAATAGTTGTTTTTAACAGCTTATATAGCAAACTTTCTATAATGCGCGCCCTATATAATGTTCAAGTGGTGATGGATACTTCTGTCAAAATCGGGAATTATGAGTAGAAACATGTATCGGGAAGCGGGCACAACCGCCACCCGTTGTCGTGACAATCAGCCCGTGGGCGCATTGGCGTCAAGGAAGATCAAGCCACCTTCCGCCAAGCTGATCAAACCCAGCGAGCCCAATTCCCCGATTTCCCATCTTCGCTGCAGACTGGTATGATGCGATGCCTATTTTTCGGTCAACTCGTTACCACTTCTCCCTCACGACATGAAAAGACACAAAAAAAGACCCCCTGGACTTGTTTTTTGAAGTTCTGGTGAACTAGGAGAGCTCGTTTAAGTGCTTGCATGACGGGAGTAGATTAGTTTTCCGAATGACATCACCGCGGCAAGTTTGTTGCGGCTGGCCGCCCGCTCCACCTGCACCGGGCTCCGTGGCCAATGAAACGCGCTACGACGCGTGGTACGCGAAACCGCCGCGTCCTTTTACGCGGTCTGGAAACGTGTCTCGGCGATGTAGCTGCCTGCTGCCTGCCCACCACTAAAAAAAAAGTTGAAGAAATCTTGAAGAGGTGCGCAAATGCCAGAATTGGAGGACGTACAATAATACGTCGACGCAATTAGACGCAATAGCCCCAATTCGCCCGCATTCCCCAGCCTTCTTCTTTTTCATCGGCCTCTCCCCCCCTGGTTTGCAGGGGGTTTTAAGTGCCTGCGGACGGTTTGGCCTGGCTCTGCGGGGGCGCCAGACGGGACCTCGTGTTAGCGCCGTCTAACCTGAAGCCAAGGGCGACTACCTCGGAATGCATGCATCATAGAGCAAACTCACATCACAACTAGCGACTGCATTAAAGAGGAAGCGGTATAAGGTAGACTAATTAGCATTGAATGTTTATCTTCTTCACTGTCCAAACACTCGCACACGAATGGTACAAAAACAAGCGTTCGTCTTGGTCCGCACCCCCAGTCATCTAAAACGAGGCAACTCCAATGCTTCAACGAGCAGACGCAACAAAGACACCTAAACTGTAGAGTAAATTCAATAATACAATGCCGCATCCTACATGCGCCTGTTCCCATACCTGGAAAACTTGTAAGACTCCCAATCACTCTCCTCCCAAAATGGACATAGAAGATACCAACCCAGCCGGCGAATGGCAGCGAACTGTCTCGCCGGAGACTCGTTGACGACAACGCTAAATTAACAAAATCAAATGATCTGACACTTGCCAAGGCAATAAATAATAGATAAAAAAAAGAGACATTGAAATGCGTAGGAGCACTTTGTACGGTCGTGGTATCATGTACAAATAAGATAAGTGGTGGCGAGGGTGTACATGCGACACTCGTCTCAGGCCATGGGGTCATCGAAAGTCAGTCGTCTCCTGGCAATGCTCATAGGCGTGCGGGTCCCGTTCGCGGGAGCGGGGGTTCTCCATTGCTTCTGTGCTGGGCTCGGGGTGATGTTGACAAATTCAGCCAAGTCGAACCCTGTGCCGGGTGTGCTGGGGAAGAGGTTGCTGCCGCCCGGTGTCGTCATCATAGACGATGGCAGATCAAGCTTGCTGCTCTTCGGGGTCTTGGGAGGCGGGGTAGTGAGGCGCTCCATGCGTCCTCGGTTGGCCGTGACGGCGGGAGAGGGAGAAGCGGCGAGGTAGAGAAGCAAGTCGGCGCCCTCCTCGCCAGACTTGCCCATGGGCGCTGGGCTGCCGTGTGCTTTGCGCTTGTTGGGAAGGGCCCGATTCTGCATGGGTGGGGTGCGAGGCGGCGAGGATCTCAAATTGTTCATGCTAAAGGAATGGGCCGGCAAGAGGTCTTCGTCGTTATCGGAAGCACCAGCAAAATTGGGCGAGCCGAGCTCGTTGGGCGTGCGGCGCCGGCGGAAGAAGGACACGTCGGGGCCGGACGAGGTGGTGAAGTGCGGCTGTCTGCGGGGCTTGATGGGGGACGACTGGGCCAATTGATGGGCGTCCTTCCAAGAGGAATAACTCTGGAAAGACTTGTGAAGCGTAGGCGAGGCGCGGAAGCGCTTGCTTGGGCTGGACGGGATATCGTTGAAGGATGCGATGTATGTGCGCTTTCGGTGGCCCGAGCTTCCATTGCTGGACCCAATGGCGTCGGAAAATATGGGCGCCTTAAGGGGAGAGCTCATGAGTGTCTTTTTCGGATAGGGGAGGTCGGAGCCGGAGGAGGAGTCAGAGAGGACGTCGCCTTCGTAGAGCTTCTTGAGGCGCATCTCCTCCTCCATCTTGGGTTCAATGGTGTCGAGGGTCAGGTTCTCCCAACCATGCTTGGCTTTGAACTGGGCGAGAGCGAGACGGTCTTGCAAACGACGAGCAATCTATATGGAGAGAATAGAAAGTTAGCAAGCGTCTTGGGCGCAGTTTGTGCATTTGAGGGGTATTTCATGTGGCTGTTGCTGGGTGGTGCAGCGCAGACAGTTTGCGCCGTTGCTGGGGTAGAAAAATGCATCGTGCATCCCTTCACTGACTGACCTTGCTCACTTCGGCCCTCTTCAAGATGGAGTCGGCGACGTCCTCGGGCTGCTTTTTCCAGGGCGACGACATGATAAAATACTCGTTGATCGTAGCCAATGCTGAAAGACTGTCAGGGACGTAATTTGCAGAGGTTTTCGAGGTTGGGGGTGGCGGATTGGAAGCAGATGATCTGGCGGTAGCGGTTCAAGGGAAGGGAAATGCAAAAAGTGGTGCAGCTCAGGCCAGGGCAGGAGGAGGTGGAAGGAGGAGGTGAAGTGGTTGCTTGGCTTGGCCTGTTAGGCCTGACTGTTTTACCTGTTTGGCCTGGACTGTTAGAGCTGTTAGTGGCTAAGACCAGTGGATTCTGGGGGGCGCCAGCAGGTCAGCCAGGCAGCATGTCCGGCGGCCAATCTTAGTGGGCAGCGCCTTGCGTGAAACGGACCAGCGGGCGGTTACCTACATACATACACTACAGGTGCAGAAAGTCAATGAATTGTGCAAATTAGACATGGCAGGTACATTATGAGCCGAAATCGCTCCAACGTCGCCTTCAATAGATTATGGTTCATCAATTCACCGAGGGCGGCTCGTGAGTCGTGAGGCAGTACCTGCTAACAAGGCACCAAGGTGCTTACCGGTAGACCCTGCTTGGCCCGGTCCGGCTCCATGAGACAAAGAAAATCTCGTCCTCAATCAAACCATCTGCAAACCAGCCCGAGTCCAGGCCCACCTGAACGTCCAGCATGGCCTCGTGCAAACTACCATCATTGCTTCTACGCTACGCTATTTCCAAGAAGCTTTCATGCAAGGTACGGACAGGTCATCCGCACGGGGTAGGTCGGCACCTATTTTTGGTGGCCTGCTCGATATTGCAATATCCTGTCGTGACACCTTGGGCAGCAACACGGACCTCCGCCTCAGCCTGCTCACTTGTGCAACCTGCGCCTGCTTCTCATGGGTCAGGTACGTTAAAATGCAGGGCGCTGGCGCAGGTCAGCACGGCAACCAACAAACATGGGAGGCACGGAAACATTTCCTGCCTCCGTCGCTTCACCTGCCGGTTAATCTGCGCCCTCCTGGAAGCCGATATGGACTTCTGCTAGAGGTACTAGGTAGGTAATTTGTACGCCGTACTCCGTACAAACACCTCCTCTCTCTTGTCTTTTTCCCCTCTCTTCTGCCTTCATCTCTCGGCCGACGGGGAAACTGGCAGGGTTTGACAGACAGCCGATCCTCCAGTTTCTGCGCAAATGTCGAGCATTCCTCGGGAACCTCCCCATCCAGGGATTCCAATGCGGTGCAGTCTGCGGCACGGCATGTTCTGCACTTCCATGTCTCGGGTGGGTCCACTGATCTAACTAATGGAACCCATCTTGTGCCTGGAAATGCCACCTTCTTTTTTTTTACCACTTGATCGGTGAGCGCAAATGCATCTTGAGGCGGGGTGAGGTGGCTGCTGTGGCTGAGATTCAGCGGCTAAACCCTCGGCTAACAACTCATACTAAGCGTATTGGACGACGTCGATAATCAACCTCCAACGAACATTACGGGCACGGGGCGCATCCATCCGTCCGTATCATGTTAATTGAGCCGCCATTGCCGCTTCTTGCGGTATATCTTTCCGGCTTGCCGGCCCTTCCTCCCATATCTCTACTCTCCCTTGTTGGTCCTCACCACTAGCTCCCCTGCCTGACGGAGCGATCGTGGGACACATCGGTACTGGCGATGCAACAATGCACTGGAATGTGGCTTAACCTGACCTGGCAGTGAGTCGCCCTGCAATGGTATGGTATGTCTGTGGCTGGGTCGGGGCTTTGCAGTGGCGATGCTTTGTAGAACAATTCGTCGTCGTCGAGAGGCGAGCATGTTAGATGATCAGTCAATGACGCTGTGTTACAGCATCTGCACGAGGGTTCTCCTGGATACAGAACGGCCAATAAAATATGCCAGCTGGGCTGGGCTGAGACCAGTGTAACACAGCACAGGGCACATATATGCCTCTCATCATGTAGCACAAAAGGGTAAAGTAGAGAGGGTTGGAGTGGCAAAGAGAAACTGCTATAGGGTAAGCCAATGATCTGAGCTTGGAGAAACGTTGGACTGGATGGGCATCAACGCCGCCCTGATAACCATGTCGCATGGGAAAAAAAGGTGCCCAGTCATCCATCGCCTTGCATCCGCCAACTGTCCGACGAACCATAAACTAGTTCTTGGGTTAGGTACCCTGTGCTCCCCGTGCCGTTGTAGATCTTTGTTGCAAAGTTCCTGACGCCAGTGTGGCGCTTCAATTGGGGCAGAGGTGGCGGAGCAAAAGGGCCGGAGGTGAATGGGATGGTGTGCACCAGTTCCTGGAAAAGGGACGATCCCCGTCACAGATATGGATGCCCGGGCTGCAACAGGGTGATGGGAGAGGGAATTACGGGCATGGGAATGAGTATGATGCTGGTAGTTAGCAGTCGGTTAGGCTGAAATTTTAAATGGTCAAATCAGAAAGTGTGGCTAGTTGTAGAGTATAGTGAGGATGAAGACTGGTCCCGGGATGCAGAGGAGTGATGGATGGATGAATGAAAAAGGATAACATGGCAAGCTGGATCAATGCGGAACATGGAAACATGCGATAGAAGGTGATGCTCATCGGCGATGAGGTGGTGGCCTTTGTACATAAACAGTAAGGGGCGGCGCACGACATGTGGGAATGAATGAATATGTGCACGGAGTAGTTGTTATGGAGCACAATAGATGGATGCTGGGTACACGACGGCGGGTAATTTAGGCAGTTGGAAAAGGCCATGTTTATTAGGATCGGAAGATTCTTCCAAGTCTTGCCATTTTGCAGAATCCTGATTGGTGAAAAGGAAGTTTGTGTAGGTTAGCTACTATAGCATCAAGCCAGCCAGGGTACAACGTCGCGGGATGTGGCGGAAAGGTGTGGCTGGGAAGAGGAATGGCAGCTTCCAAATCTGAAGAGAGCAAAGGAAGCGAATGGTGACGACAAAAAGTGAGAAAGGCACGTGTCGCGTTTTCATGAAACTAAATTGATATACCTTATTATTGGTACCTATCTGTAATGAAGCTTGCCTGCATGCTGAAAACATTGGCTGCCGAGATAAGGTATCAGGGCGGCCAAACGTTTGCGGGCAAACAGGATGAATGCAACATGCAACGTCATTGCAGCATTGTGCTCGTACTGAGCGGACTGGCGCCACCGGCCGACCTGGCAACCCATGTCGGCCGGCTATCTGGCTTCTAGTCAACTTGCTAGTGAGGTTGTTAGTGGCCCGACTGCCAAGTGCGTCGCTTGCATGCGATGCGGCTCCGCTTCCAGGTGGGTTCTCCCGTGGGCTTTGCTTTGGCTCCGAGTATGGCTGGCCTATTGGCATGGCAGCCAGCACACCCATTTGATCATGATGGACAGGCGACTCAGCTGTCTTGAGCAGCTGTCGGGTTTTGATTTATTCATCATTTCCACCGTCAGTACTCGGTTTCCTCTAATTTTTTTTTTTTTTTTTAGCCCATTGTGCTCCACGTTTAATCTACCTGGCGCCTACGTACATACAACTAGGTACTACCTATGTACATAGTTAGTTACCGTTTTGACCGTTTTAGTACGGTTAATCTGCATTAGAGGAGGTCGGTACTATCTGTGAGACAACCAAGCAAGGAGGTACCTTCACCTCATGCACGTCACGCCAAGCCACACGCAACTGGGACACGAACACAAGCATGGATCATCAGCACCAAGAAAATCCCAAATACCTCTGAGTCTCTGTTTCCCTCTCTCCATTACGCCATTACTCCATTACTCCATCACCTCTTTTGCCATCATTGCTGTATCCCCCCTACAGCTTCTCTCACCCAGTATTCGACAAGGCAGTGGCCGCATCACTGGCCCCCCCCCGCCCCCTTCATCTGCTCCGAATCCGTCAATCAATAAATCACCCTGGTTCTTGCTACCGCCACCACACCACATGCCCGCCTGTTCCGCCAACTCGCCTACCTTGTTTGTTTCTTTCGCCCTCTGACTCTGTCTGACTGCAACTTCCGTCCATTGCTCCTCATCCTGGCCATTTCTGCCGCCAACTGCAGCTTCCTCTTAACCAATTCCATCATCTTCGTTGGGGAAAGGACCTCCTGCCCTCTAACCGCCAGCTCCTAGTGACTTGCGCATCATAACTGCTTTGCCTCTGACGCGCGTCTCTGGCCAAGAGAGCCTTTACGAGGCTTCTCTCCACCAACCCCCCTCGCTAAACAAACACTCAATCGCTTCTCTTCTACCTCTCCCCGTTCTTCCTCGTCCGGCCCGCCTTCAATTCTCTCAGAAAACTGCGCCACCACTCATCTTCGGCCTACGGCCCCCCATACGGCCTCGAAGCCGCCGCTCGACGCTGTCTAGCTCTCCCGCCAACCTCTCACAATGGCCCCCAGATTCCTCAAGGAGCTACGCCGCCGGTCCAAGGCCAGTTTCCGTACCGAGGCCTCCACGGACACATCTAGTGATGGCGCCGTGAGCCATGGTACCGCCGCATCGAGCGGCTCCGTCACCCCGCCGTCCATTTCTCACAATTCAGACCCTGCCCTCAACCTTCAGCTCAAGGACAACGGCGAACCGCTCACCCAGACATCCTCACGCCCAACCCTGCCTGGCAACGGGAGCAATGCAAGCAGATATAGCACCCAAAGTGTCCCCGGCATGTCTGGCTTGGGTTCAGTCGCTCTCGGCGGCAAGTCCAACATCCCCTTGTCCAAATACGCACCGCGCATTCACAATATCAACGAAAATTCCTGGGTCAGTAAACCTCTCCCCACTGTGCACGCTCAAGCTATGATCGATGCGCTTTGTCGTGAAGCACAGTGCTGTACGTCTCTTCTTGGCTGCCCATGCTAATGCCATCTACAGGTGTATCAAAAGACAGTTCTCCTCTACGGCACTATTGGCGAATCAGCGACCGCGAATACCCCCATTGACGGTACAATAACACTGAGTAGGCTAGACGACGACATTCCACCCCTCAGTTGGCCCGTATGCGATTCCCACTTCAAGGCCGTGGCCTACCTCAACCCCGGCCCCAATAAGCTGCGCTTCGACTTTGCCTCGCCCAAGCTGCCCAACAGCAGCTCTTCTAACCCGATTCATTCATCCCACATCACCATTCACATGATTCCCTCGATGAGAGCCCCGCCACTGCAGCTTGCCATTATGCTCGCGAAAGATTCCCCAGCCACATTTCCTACTACGCCAACACGCGCCGAAAGAGAAGGCAACGGCCTCGAAACAGCCATTCGCAAGTACAGAATGGCTGCTTACTTATGGCAGGCGTTTACCGCCGAACAGATGTGGCGCAACAAGATGGGACGCAGGACATTTCGATTCGAAGAAGAATGGACCACAGGCTCTGCTAACTACCGTGATCGCGAGACTGGCAACATGCGATCCGAAGCTAGAGTGCACGTTATCCGCTGCAATAAGACGGTTGCCGAGCTACAGCAACTCGCAGACTCGCGGGATACGACAGCGGCTAGCAGGGAGGCTATGAAAGAGGAGGTGGCCGATTCTATCAGGGCCTACTTCCATCCTCTTCCCGGCCAGAGGAATCACCTCGCCGCGATGCTCCTTGATATTGATTGGGATATCTCCCCCGATGATGTTGTCGCAGCCGAAACGACAACATCAAGCAACCCTGATGAAGCCGATATCGCACTACTGGGTTCTCAGTTTTTACAACATTATCCCTCGAGCTTAGAGGAAATAGTGCCGTCTTTTACAGATTGCACTCCAACCGACACACAGCTTGTCGGAAATTGGGCCGGCGAAGCGGGCAGCTCGTGGGAAGCTGCCAATGTGGGTATTGGGGCACATTTGCAGGAAGTTGGCCGCATGTTTGGCTGTCCACGCCAAGAAACAGGTGTCATGTTGAAAGATTATGTCGTCTTCAGCCGCACATTTGTTACACGTGAAGCATACTCGACAAGGACAAAAACAAAGGGGGGATTGGCACTGCAAGGAGACGAGTGTGCATGGCACAGACTGGACTGTCTTCGTTTCCGCGCACATCCGACCTTTAGACTTCCACGCGACCCGCCTTGCAGGTCTGATGCCAGCGTGCAAGCATATGCTGTCGAGAACAATACTCTATTAGCCGTCGCTCCCTCTGGTATCTCGTTCGTGGAGATTTATGGTGAAGGTGACCGAGTTTGCCGCTCTTGGATGGAATTTCCTCTAGACAGCACCACGACACATCGCCAAGTTGCTCTATCGGAGCAAGATATCATAACGAGACTGCCAGAGACCATGCGAAAAGGCCCTATACGACTGTCAATCAAGTCTCATGGTGGCAACTCTCTGGAAGTAGAAAATGTCAAACAATTCATCTCCAAGGCACAGGCAATCAAAATCAAAGGCTCGAAACAGGGTTTCCGCAGCTGTCAATTTGGAACTGCCCAGCCACCGAAGGAGGAGCCAGAGGACTTATTATTTACCTCGGCCCAAACCGACCGAATCATGGTACGAATGAACGTCTACCATGACGTCGATGTGATTTACGGGCTCGAGTTTGTGTACGATGATGACAAGACTCAACTTTTCGGAAGCCGGGCAGGAAAGATTAGAGGCGATACCTACGACTTTGGTAAGCAGGCGCGGTGCGGAGAAGCAGGATTTCCGCTAACATTTCTAGATCTGCGACGAGGCGAGTACTTGAGTGGCTTTACTGTCAAGGGAGGGTCAACCATACAGGGCCTCCAGCTTTTGACTAGCCTGGGTCGCAAATCACGCATTTTTGGCAATCCGTATGGCGGATCAAGGTATGTAAGGTGTAACAATGTCAAGAATGGAACAGTAACAGGTTGCAGCCACACTATTATACCACCAAGAGGATACACGATCTGCGGCGTCTCGGGCACATACAGGTCTCAGCTCGACAGCATTTCTGTAGTGGTAACGCGATGAGTGAACGACAAGCAGAACGCAATGGATATTGTATGAATTTCCAGTTGAAGATGCAGCGAAGGTTTTGAGCATGTCATGATAAGCGCTCCCCGTCGTTGTCGATGGGGCAATGCCGAAGGTGGGAGGCAAGCATCATAGAGTAATGTTAATACGAAACCAGGGATAAGGCTAAATGCTGGCCTACTGCAGAGTTGCAGCGGATGGTTTATCGGTGATTGGTATTTTATCTGTACATAAATTTGACTATAATATACGGTCTAGTCTGGCTATCGAGTTTATCTATCAAGTATTTCGATATCGAGGCTACCTGACCATGCAGTATGCTGAGTTGGTTTAAGTGCATGACTGTCTGTTGGTAGTTATGATGGGGATGTTGGCCGATAGAAGGTGAATATGTCTGTAGAATAAACAACAGCTGAGCCTATGATTGAGGTATGGGACAAGGTAAGTGCTACTACTTATGATAGCGGATTCATCATCACATGCTGATCAAGTCAAGGTAGAGGCTGGGGGGAGGGGTGTTAAAAAGCATCTCGACCAGGAGAGTATGTCGCACGGCCATGTGAAGCAAGCATGTGCCTGTTATGATTACGCGCTATAGAATCGATGGTGCTAGGGACATCAATGCGGGATGACGGTGATGGATATGGGCATTCACATGCTGTACCTGCAGTGGTGGTGATGATGTGTGGCTGAGTTGTTGAGGTCCTTGCAGCAGAGGAATATGCCTGTCTGATTTTTTTTTATTCAAATAAATCTCCTTTGCTTGTCTAGGCAGGTCAAGTCCCCCCCAGTGACCGTGTTTTCTTTCCTTTCCTACGAATAATCGTATTTGAGCAAACATCCGCCCGACCAGAGAGGCAAGCCACAAGCCGATGAGAGGGAAGAAAACAACTGCTGACCCCGCCAAACCTGCTTGTGGCGCACGCCACTCAGTGTATCCTCCTTTGTGCACGCTCGCCCGTTTTGGGCTTGTATTATCAAGTTCGTTATAGAGACGGACAAGAAAAGAACGAGTGTGGTCTTGCATCATACATGATGGATCATTGGTACGGGCAGAAAAAGTTACCGCCACGCCTTCTCCCCCAGCTATGTTTGTGTCTCTCTGTCTTATGGTGCCAGCGCCAGCACAGCCACATGCTGCCTGGAGCAAGGTGCCCAAGCTCCCAACTAACCTACAGGTACTTATGTTCTAACTAACTACACTAACTACCTTAGTACCTAGAGCTATGTATGTATGTACATACGTATGTACATACTGTACATAGCTCTAGGTTAGCTCCAGCGGCTGCTCACTCGCTTCCCTGCTTCTGCTGCTCCTACTCCTCTTCACCCCAACTTTTTTTCCTCGCCTTCGCATTGCATCCCACCCACTAGCTATCGTTGATGTCACCAACTTTCAACGTCTTCTTTCTCTCTTCTTCATAGATTGCCCCCCTCCCCCGGCATTCACACCACACTCACACTTCCCAACTCAGCACATTTTCTTATCCCGATAGCATCATTGCGAGAGCTTGGTATTCTTTTTTCCTTCATCTAGCGATTTTAGCTACTCTTCGCACAACAAACCGTCACGCCGCCGTCGCCCCGGAAAAAAACCATGTCGAAGCGAACAAGTGCCGGCGCCCCCAACGGCGGCCGCCTCGACAAGGACGCCGCTCTCGTGAACCAGCCCGGTATGGATGTCCATTTCCTTTCGGTACCTGCGAAATCTTCATTGGAGGCACCCGACAAGGGGCGATGCTGAGGCTGCATCCACCACAAACCGCTAACCCTTGCCTCTTGTTCTAGCCGTCGACAAGCAAAAGACGCTGCTCTCCGCCGACGTCGGCCATTTCTCCCTCGTCCGCGCCATGCACCTGGCCGATCTCATCACCCTCATGAACGGTATGCGCCCATGCGTTCCGGTGGTTCTGCTGGCTGAATCAAACCTGGGGGGTCACCTCAACCACACGAGCTGAAAAGCTAACCGCGCGCTACACTTAACAGGCTTCTGCGGCGTCATGTCCATCTTCTCCTCGCTGCGCTACTGCCTCGACGCCGATCCCTCCGCCCACGGAAACCTCTGGCTCGCGCTCTACTTCCTGCCCTTTGGCTTCTTCTTTGACGCCTTTGACGGCAAGGTGGCGCGCTGGAGGAAGAAGAGCAGCCTCATGGGCCAGGAGCTCGACTCTCTGGCCGATCTGGTACGTTCTCCCACTTGTCCCCCCTCTCCCCCCTCGTGATATTCTTGCCCCTCTCCCTCTTTACTGCAATCGCACCATCGTATCCCTAACACCCGCCGCCCAGATCTCCTTTGGCGTCGCCCCCGCAATGGTCGCATTCACCATCGGCCTCCGCTCCGTCGCCGACACGCTCGCCCTGACTTTCTTCGTCCTCTGCGGCCTCACCCGCCTCGCCCGCTTCAACGTCACCGTCGCCGTCCTACCCAAGGACGAGTCGGGCAAGAGCAAGTACTTTGAGGGCACCCCGATCCCCACCTCGCTCGCCCTTGATGGCGTCATGGCCTACTGGTTGCACAAGGGCTGGATCCTCGACGCCGTCCCCTGGGGCGTCTGCTTTGAGGGCACGTCGCTCGAGTTTCACCCGGCCGTGCTGATCTTTGTCCTCCACGGCTGCCTCATGACCAGCAAGACGATTCGCATACCCAAGCCTTGAGCAAGGAAATGGGCGGCCGTTGAAGCTCAACTAAATGGCAGCATCTATACTCTATAGTTTTTTTTGAGTTTGAATTTCCATTCTTGGTTACCGAGACATGAACCGATGATGATTTGGCAGGAGCATGAGGCGCAGAGAATGGAGTTGCGGAGAAGCATACACGGACGGGCAGGGAGACGTCATCGCAGCTGCCAGAGCTAGGGCACAGTAGAATGCATCTTGCTTTGCTCACCGTACTTAGGAGGATGTACACGAGGGATTGAGCTGCCGGGTACATCTCCACCCCTTTTTAACATATATACATGATACCCCCTTGAACAATTGGGATATACAATGGTAGTCACTTGCACTTGACCGGGCGCGCAATGTCTTGAATATCGTCATCGTAGATGTTGTGCGAGCGTCTTGTGATGGACGAGAATGAACCCATCTCTAGACGTAGATGAAAGAAGTAAAGAACTTGCTTTTTGCTGTTTCCCATCTCTAGGCGGAGTTTATTTATCTGACTCGTTAGATCCAAAGGTGATTTTTCTTTCTAGGTCAAAGACACTGCCGATGAGAAAAGCAGGCAAAAATGCACGAGGACAAGATTTTAACAATAATGATGACATATAAAAAAGAAGCCGTAAAACGCCGTATTGAGTCCCATCCATCCCTCTCTCCCTGGCCACAGTCCGTACATGTATCATGGCGTCCTCCCCCCGCGAAAACTCTCATTCCCTCCCAGGACATGGGATGCGGTTACCGGCCTCTGCTGAAACCGCCACCGCCACGGCTGAAGCCGCCGCCACCGCGACCGCCGCCGCCGCGGGAGAAGCCGCCGGAGCCACCACGGCCACCACCGCGTCCTCCGAAACCACCGCCGCCGCGACCGCCGCCGCGGGAGAAGCCACCGGAACCTCCGCGACCGCCACCGCGACCACCGAAGCCGCCACCTCCGCGACCGCCGCGACCGCCAAAGCCGCCGCCACGAGGACCGCCGCGACCACCGCCGCCGGCGCGCTTGGGCTTGGGCGCGCCGGGAGGCGGCTTGGGCTTGGGGAGGAAGCGGTCGAGCGGGAGGGTCTTCTCGGGGGCGATGAAGAACTTGTCGCCCTCCTTGAAGGAGGTGGCCTGGATGCCCTCGGACGGCTTGACGGTGAAGTAGACCTGGTTTATGGGGCCGAGGATCTCGTCAACCTTGCCGACGGCGGTCTTGTTCTCGAGGAAGATTTGCGCGTTGAACTGCGGCACCTTGGTGTTGGTGGAGGAGAGGACCATCTCGCCCTCGCAGGCGTGCATGAAGGTGCCCATTTCTGAAGAGTGTGTTAGTGTTTTATTTTTTTTCATGCTGGGATGTGCGCGGGAGAAAAAAAAAGCGATGGAGGTGTAGAGAGAGAGAGAGAGAGAGAGAGAGTTCGTACCTTGGACGGTAGCGGGCGGGCCAAAGTCACGCTGCTGGAAACCACCACGGCCTATTTGACTCGGTAATTAGTTGACTGGCTGGGAAGCAAAAAGAAATCATCGGGCTCGGCGTCTTGGAAGGTCTGCTTTGCAATTGACTCTTGTGCGGCGTTGTGGCGTTGCACAAGGCGTATCTTGTGCCTCGAGGCCGTATCGCATTATCCGCCAGCCATTGACGAACAAATTTCAAGCAACATTCGCGATAGCAGAATTCCTCTCCGCGAAGAGCAGACAACCTGAATCAAAGACGCCGAGCCGTCCTCGGAGAATGGACGTACCACCACCACGGCCACCGCGGGAACCGCCTCGGAAAGACATGATTTCTTTCTAATTCGTCGGGTTGTCGAACTCTTTTTTTTCCGCTCTCCGCTGGGGTCAAGGACGTTTGGTAGGTTGGGGAGTTGCGAATAATTTCCCCCCAAAGAGCGCCGCTTCCGCTTCCGAGTTTGCCGTTGTTCGAAGAGGACAAGTCCGGTGCGGATGATTGAAGAAAGGCTGGAGAAGAAAAAGCGACCGCTCTGGCTTGGAGTCGTCTCTCGCAGCTTTTTTTTGTGTGAAATTTTCCAGGCCGCAAAGGCGGAAGCTACCTTTTTTTTGGATGGGGCTGCTTGATGGGAGGTGATTGGCTGAAGCGGATTTACTATTGAGCCGGATCAACCCACCAAATCTGGCAGCGCGAGATCTGGTTGTATATTCGATGCTGACCAGTAGGATGGCTAAAAGATCGAAAAAAAATTAACCCATGTGGCAATTGGAATTTGCCTAAACAAAATTGCTGTATTTTTTTTTCCTTTTGAATATTGATGTGCCGAGAGGTATGGGTGAGGCGGAGGGTGACACCGTACCATGCTGTTTGCCCAGCAGGCGAACCCTGCTGTGTGGCTGGCGTAGTACCAGAGTACATGCTTGACCTTGCTGCCTTTGAATGCAGCGGACTTCACTCTGGCATGCAAGTCACAGATGATTGACAGCTACGAGGGATTACTTCAAACCAGGCGAACAAGATACCAAAGTGCACATAGTTAGAAAGCTGTAACCTCCTAAGCGCTCTCAACCCAGATATATGACACCTACCCTTTTGGCTGCCCAACATACAATCTCCTCGCGACTTCCAAAAAGCAGTCGGCTCAAATAAACCCGGCATTTTCTCCCACCACAGCCCCGACAACACACAGCATGTACTGTACATGGAAACCAGCGAATCCGAAAGATTTGCATCCTGCATAGACAGAGTTGGTGCGGTATACAAGAAAAAGGAATGCGCAACAAACATAAAGATAGGAAATGGTGAGTAGAAAAACTCGTCTGCAAGAAAAGATGCAAGAAACCACTGTAAAACAAGAATTAATGAAAGTGAAATGAAAGTAGTGCGTCATCAGTCAGAGTGTCAGAGCCATAAATCTCATGCGGCAACATTGGCCGCGCTTCCGTCCGCAGTAGAACCTCCCTTGGGGAAACGGCCGGGAATGTCGAGGTTGGAAATCGTCAACATGCTATCGGTTCGGTGGTCTTGGGGCCTGTTCGAGGGCTTGGGCACATCCTCGGTCATGGGTGTCTCGAGAGGCGTGATGTGGTCGGCAGCCTCAGCCTCAGGAACCGCCTGAAGAGCCTTGTTTGGGATGGCGGCGGGGGTCTCCGATGAGGGAACGGCGTCGGAGTCGACAATCGCCGCCGCGGCCGCTGCCGCTGAGATGCTCTTGACTTGCTCGTCGCTGACGTCCGTTGTGGTATCAGGTTTGTTATTAATAACTCCGTGGGAATCGGCTGCCACGGCAGCTTCGGGAGTCGCTTGCTCGTGCGGCACCTGGCCGTCACCGTTGACTCGGGTATCTGCAACTACAACTGGGACTGCGCCGTGTCCCACACCTAAATCACCGCCCTCCGCCTCTCGCTGCTGCACCGGCTCGCTGGTATACGGGTTGACACCGTCATACTGCGCCTGCTGGTGGGCAATGGCCGCCTGGGACGACACTTCATCCATCGGGGTGTAGCCGGACCCGCCGCCGTATCCATAGTTGTCTTGGTAAGCGCCGTCATGAGATGTATGAGATCCCGGGAGGGCGCCCGCCGCGGCAATTACATGGGCATCCGATGGATATTCCTGGGCACCAGAACTTAGGCTAGAGGGCGATAGGGGCGCGTGTAAGCCGCTCTGCGTCATGACTTGAAGATCGGATGGAAACCGCCCACCTGGTTCGGGTCGTCTGGGAGCGGCATCGGCACGCGCGGTAGGGTTTGTGTCGACTTCACCGCCTGTGAATGGTTCCTCGTCCTCGTCATCAAGCCCGTCGCTGCTGACGGACCTCGCTGAGCGACGTGACGAGCGGCTCAAGCTTCTGGAGTGGGTGCGGACAAACTGCTGACGTTCTTCGGGGGACTTTTCGGTCAGGGCCTTGATATCCTCGTACCAGGCCAGCATGGTGTCGTAGCTTTCGGCGCGGAAGACCCAAGTGTGGCCGCGGTGCATGCCACCGGTCTGACGACCTTTGAGGACGAACTTGTTGGAGGAGCTGCCGTCCTCCGAGTGGGAGCCGACTTTCTGTTCGGGAAGGTAGAGCGACATGACAGGCGCTTGGTTCTTGTCTGCCGACTTGAATTCATGAAGGTGAGTAGAAGAAAGAACGTACCTGCATAGTGTTAGTGTGCGGTCATGGTGCGTTGAACATTAGTACTAACCAGCCGGCAGTGTAGCTCTTGAGGTACTTGCTCTTGCGCTCCAGCAGCCCAGCGCGAATCTCCTGCGCGGACAAGTGATCTTGACCGGGATAATGGATCTGGTCCGGGGAGCGCAGAGGCACGGTGGGATCAACGACCTGATCTTCGTGAGTGACGAAGTGGATCCATTCCTGGTCCTTGGGCATGGCAATGGGACCGTCGCGGAGCTCACCGACAACGTTCAAGGCGTTGTCGGCCTCGCGCTTAAGAATGCCAGCGTAGGCGTTGTAGGCCTTTTGAATCTCGCCGACGACAATGGACTCGAGCTCTCTGCCTGAGCCCTCGAGGTTGTGGTAGGCCTTTTGAAAGGTTAGATGTATTCGCAGTGACAAAAAGAAAGAGCGGGACGTACTTGGTGCAAGTAATTCTCCTCGTCAATTTGGCGCTCGACCTGACGGTCAACGGCGAGGCGGAGAAGGAAGGGATCCTGCCTTCCGGTGGTGGAGGAGGCGTCAACCTCATTCTTATCGAGGACATCGGCCAGGGCGCTGACGGCCTTGGTAGTGGCGTTCATCTCTTTGTCTACCGAGTTTTTGAAGTCACCAGAGAGTTGCTTGATTTCCTTGATCTTTTGCTGCAGATCGCTTCGCAGGCCTGTCAGGGCGAGGATGACATCCTCTTCAATCTCCTTGGCCTTTTGAGCTTCCTGAACGGCAGTCTTGTTGTACGAGCGAAGAAGCTGCAATGCGTCATCAATGCCGGCAGACTTGAGGAAGCTGTCGGGCGTGGGAACATTGTTCACCGCATTGCCAAGTTTGGTCAGAGATTTGGCACGCTGCTCATAGTGGCTTTGAATTTCGCGAAAGTAGCTGATCAAGTCCTTGAGAAACTTTCTCCAGGCTAGGCGAGGGAAGTTGTTAGCGAGGCGCGTCTAATTGGCAGCCTTAGCAGCAAGCGACAACTTGTCGCATAAGGCTGCTGAGCTGGAGGCCGTGCGGCGCAATACGTCAGACGGGGGCAAGCTTACTCTGGAATCTCTCGGCAAGAATGGTAGTGGGATTGCCCGAGGTCGGGACGGGACAATAAAAGGCGCTGTGGCTCTCATCGCGGTCAGAGGAGGAATGGAGAGCCAGGCTGCGGACGCTGCCAGCCCTATTGCTGCGTCGACTGGCGCTGCGACTGAGACTGCCGGTGCGGCGCATAGATGGCTTCTTGCGGAGAGTGTTGTTCCTGTTGGGCAGGTTGACGTCGTCACCAGCAGCATAGCTGCTAATGGAGGCAGTGCGCTGCATGGCGAGCTTGTTGCTTTGAGTTGGGCGGTGGCCGTCTATGATGGAGCTCCCTCGCTGACTGGCGTCCCACTCCTCAGTAAAACGGCCAGAGGGGGTTAGGTAGTGGTTGTTGTTGAGATCGGCAGCGTTTGCGCCGTAGTCGTTTGGCGTTGGTTGGGATTCGTGATCGAGGTAGCTGGTGCGTGGGTGGTGGTTGTTGAGTTGGTGATCTGGGGGATGATGTAACTGGTGAGAAACGCCGGCGTCCATGGCGGAGACGGCGACGGGTATTAAACTAGAGAAAACGGCGTGAGTTCGTGAGCGCAGGCAGGAGGTAGGTAGGTCCCCAAGGTGGTAGCAGGAGTGGTTTCGGCCGTGCAAACCACTTGACTTGACTTGCCACTGGCCTACCTTATTAGCAGCACTGGGGTACTACTAAAGGTAGGGAGCCAATTGGGGGCGTGCGATGAGGGGAGGTTGGCGGAACGGAGGCAGCGCGTAGCAGGTAGGACGGCGCAGAATGGGTCGGTAGCTTAAAGTTTGGACAAGAGAAAGAAGGGAGAAGAAGGGATCCGCCGTGATAGCTAGGTTGGCTTGGGGGGTGGGCGCGCGACGAGATGGAGATGGATGTGAGGGAGAGTGAGATGGATGGTTCCTGGAGGAGGAAGCGAGGGTGGAGAATGAAGTAGACAGAGGTACTTACTGGAGACTCTAATTAGCACGAAACGATGTGGTATCCGGATGCTAGAGGCGAGTAGTGGATTGGAAAGGATGAGGCAGCATTGATTCGAGGTGTAATAAGAGTATTGCGAGCTGCAAAGAGTGTTTGTGTGAAGTGGAAGGATATCTACTGACGGCGGGGAAGTTGAAGTTCCTGACGCAATGGATTACGAGTTGGTGGTGCTGGTTTGGTCTTGGGCACTGGACGGCGCACAGTGGGAGGAGAGGAGTAGGAGGAGCAGCAGCAGCAGCAGCAGCAGCACGCTGACAGCTGTTTGCGACTCACCTTTTTTGACTTGCCATGGCAACAGCAGCCATTGAACGCGCTGCAGTGGACTGGGGCAAGCAGTAGCACCGCCAATTTTACAGGGGCGCTGGGGCGCCGGGGCGCTAAATCAGCTAGCAAGCGCGCTAATCTGCCCACAGACAGTGGGATGTCCAGGGAGTAGTCTTGCTGTAATGGCGCTGTAATCTGTCGCCGCTGGCACCATGCCCGACGCCACTGAAGAAGAGGCTCAGCGCTGGATCATGCCCTGCGGACCCGACGCCAAGGCCTCCAAGGCTCGAAGTTTCCGACTCAGCAACTCCAGTTGACCCCGGCTGCATGAATACAGCCTGGAATCATGCCTCCATCATTGTCACCAACGCAGTTCATTGTACAAAATACCACAGGTAGGGAGTATCACTCCCATCAGTGCTCTGGGTTCTGATGAGAATAATCCTTCCTCTCGCCGTTCAAAAGATAACAATCAGCACCATCCCCCATGACACCAACGTGATATCATCCTCGGCTTCCGCATTCATCGCCAGATAGACTTTTTTCTTTCTTACCCCAGTGGATGGCCGGTCGTGCTTTGCGCACAATCTGCTACGTGCTGCGGAATGACGTATATGTACAGTAGGCATTGAAGCTATGGCTTTTGCTTGCTCATGGTGCACGCGTGGCGTAGCCCGAAAAAAAGCCCACCAATGCCGATTTACCGCTTTCCAAAAACGGACTTTGCCTCGAAACAACGAGATGCTTGGTCTGGTCTGGTGATGCCATCAAACAACGCACACAACACAACATACGTAATGGCCTCGTTGCAGGCTTGGCATCGTCAACCATCCCCAGCTGAGGCGGGTTATCTTTCCAGCTTTCTACTACGATGGGGGAGCTTTGATGCCCGCTGCCGGAGACCGGACTTGCCGGATCCAATGGTCATCATCAAGGTGGCTTGCGCAATCGTGGAAACCCCCGGTCTCTCGGTGATGCCAAACCAAAGCCCGACCCCACGGAACCCCATCAATGGCGGCTCGCCCATCTCCGAAAATAATTGTAAAAAAAAAATGATAATGAAGTACTACAATGGATAGAAAAGAGGGCAGCAAATGCCGCTGCTAGGGCTGCTGCCAAGGTCAGGCAAATTATCTGCTGCCAGTTCCTTGGATGACGTCGTCTTTGGAAACAGCACCAAGCCCGAAGAAGCAAGGCTAGCTCCGCCTCTCTAAGACATCTTGGGCATCGAAGTCAATTGATAGATGCCCTTCGACTTTTTTCCAGCCGGACTGGCCAATCCCCCCGGATCTTCGGACCTACTTATTACAGGCTTTCAAGCCTGTCAGTTGATGCGAACTTTCAACTAACTAGATGTATGTACCTCGCTGTCGGAATCTCTCACGCTCATACGCTATCCAGTCTTTTATCTCCGAGACAGCCTGTTTTCTCATGCAACTTACACCGGCCACCAACCACACTGGTCCGTGTTTCACTTATTCCAAGGCTTTACCATAAGATCGCCAGGGACCTTGGTCACAGCGCCCACGCTAGCCGATCCCAAAGCGACCTCTTCTTGTGTCTCACCTTATCAAGGGCCTTCCCGACAACAATCTCGGTGAGATATCATCGCAAGTAGACCAATAACACGATTCAAAGGATCAACCCAGAAAAAGAAAGGGTGTGATTTCTGTTACTCGCTCATAATATGCACTTTGTACAGAAGAAATCCACTACACCACACAGTTCTTGCACAGCATGCCCAAGCATGCGGGGGAACTGTCAAACGGCACATCTTGTGCTCATTTTCCCACAAGACGCAAGTGATAACCCCCCCGAGCAATCTTCTGGTCCATCGCGATGGACATTTTGGATTTACCGCCGAATTGCTCGTCCAATCCCAGATATGCCGTGTACGAAACAAAAACGCCGAGTCCCGTGTCCCATCATAACTCATAAAACCAGCCTCATGACGACTCTGGTGGCGTCTCCGAAATGGTTTCTATCGGCGGCGGTTCCGCCACCTTCATCTTGCCGCGTCGGCGCGGTGGCGGCGCCTTGGGCGGCACCCTTTTGATCTCGCCGTTCACCACCACCACCGGCGGCGGCGTCTTGCTCCCCGTCGTCGTTGCCGTCGTCGCGTCCGACGCAAACGGCACGCCGTGACGGTGCTTGGGGACGGCCGGCAGCGGCCTCCTGGCCTTGACCGCCCTGCTCACTTCGTCCCGCGGCGACGGCGCCGGAGGCGGCTGCACCGCCCCGTTGCCGTTGCCCGCGTTCCGGCTCGGCGTCTGCACACCCGGCTTCTCCATGACGCCCGCCACGTCACCGACGCTAATGCTGCTTGCAGACTGCGTCGGTGAGAGACTGATGCCCAGGAACTTGCGCGTCACCTCACTGGCGGTGCCGCCACCGGCTTCCTCCAGCCACGGCACCTTGGCCACTCTGTCCACCAGCCGTACCGTCGTGTCGTCGGCTGGCGCGAAGTGCGCATTGAGCGAGCCGCGAAGGATCTTCAACACTTTAAGAATCTCATCCTGCTTGTAGTGCGGCGGGTGGCTGAGCTGTGTGTGCGCTAGTAGCGGGTACAGCACTCTCAGATACGTATGCCGGAGAGAGATTCGCTCGTCCGGCAGATCCATGAGATTGCGAAGGATGACATCTAGTAGCACTCGTAAATCGTTCGTGTAAAAGTATTCGTATGTTGCTTTGGTGGTAAAGAGTAGGTATAGTAGCTTCAGGATGAGCAACTGGAGCGACGTTTCGGTTTCTCGGTTCAGCAGCAAGATGATGTTCTCGCCAAACGTTCTAAACGACGGGCCGTGCAGGCTAAGACATTTTACGATTCGGTTTGTCAGTGGCGCGTGCGTCCCCTCTGGCCCTTCAACAGGCTCCGTTGAGGCCAGCATGTACTGCTCATTCATCACAAGCTATCTGTCGTTAGTTGGCGAATCGATGCGATCAGGGATGCAACTTACCAGCACCCTGATGGTAGGGTAATGATACGGGTCGTGCACGTCGGTAGAGACGCCCTCGATGATGTGAAAGAGGCTGTGTATAAAGTCGTCGTCGACTAGCACCAGCTCCTCAAGCGGGAGCCGCTCCACGCGTGACATCTCGTACATGAGCTGCAGCAGGAACCGGTGCAGGCGCGGGTCGTCGTAGCCCTCGTCGTCATCGTCGCCTTCGCCGTCGTCACCGTGGCGGCGCGCCGCAATCAGCTCGAGGAGCCGCGGGAAGCAGACCTCGGCAATCATGCGCGGGAAGAGCGCTTCGTCGCCGAGGCCGTCGAGCAGGAGCAGCGACGCTATGGCATGCAGCGGCGCGGCGTCGTCTTCCTGCAGCAGGCTGTGGATGAGCTGCGTGCGCACGTAGTCGCGGTTGTCGCGGAAGAGCGGGCTTTCGATGAGCATCTGCGCGCACAGAACCGCGTCCTCCTGGCTGCCCTCGGGGAGTCGATCGCGGAGGCGCGCCGCCAGCTCCAGCCACGTGCGCAGGGCGTCGTCGATGGACTCGTGGTCGTCGCATGGGCTCGTCACGCAGGTGTCAATATCTGGCGGGGGGGTCAAAAACGTCCAGTTAAGAGTAGGACGGGCGGGATGAATGGACTGTTGAGCATACCGGACCATAGCTGCTCCTCCTCCTCCGTAGAGAACTTTATCCCCTCAACGTCAGCCATTGCCATCATGTCTGGGGGGGCGCCCGTGCCAACACCATCGAGTATCGTAGATGCGTAGTGAAATTTCGACGGGCGGGAAGACAATAAAGACTAAAATCAAAAGCCGTGCATTAAACAAAAAAAAGCAACTAGTTGGGATGCATAGGCTGCGAAAAGCCGTTCAGATGTAGAGATGTTGAGTCGAGATAAATGGCAGAACGAAGGTTTGTTAGTAAGGTAGGAGGCACTCAGTCGATGTGGGGTAACCCGTTGTCGCTGTGACCTCATGCACCAGGCAAAATAAACTACACGCATACGATAGTGTTCGCGGGGATAAAATTTGTCAACCAATTGTGAGAATTACAAGTGTCTGTCATAAAGTTTCATGATTCTAGGTAGTAAACATGTCTGCAGGATACATTATAATGCAGCAAAATTCCACCCACCCACCCCTGAATACGAACCTACACCAAAACGCCAACAGAACCACGATAACCAACCAATCCCATACATATTAATAACACCTACCGGCCACCCGTTGGCTCCTTACCCTCCTCATAGATCCTGACCTTGTCCGCGTACTGCACAATGTCGCTGACAATGTAGTCCGAGATGGTGTCGCCCCTCCCGGCGGCGATGCGCAGTATCAGCTCGTTGAGGTTCTGGCGGCCGAGGATGTCGACGTGGTCGGCCGTCTTGGGCCCGCCGCGCGGATTGAAGCGCTCGGGCTCGTGCGGCATCTCGACGACGGTGATGCGCGCGCCGGCCGGGTTGTAGCGCCGCATGTGCCACCCGCGGTTACACATGTACCCGGTGCTGAGGAGGTTGACCGTGCCGTCGCCCTCGCCCATGACGACGCCGTGGTCGACGGGGCCCTCGGTGTAGTCGGTGTCGATGGTGATGTTGAGCAGCGTCTCGGACTGGTCCGGCACGCGGTAGTAGTAGCCTCGCTCGGTGGGCTTGCCGACCCCGTAGAAGCAAAAGATCTTGAGGCTCGGCGCGTGGGGGAGCCGCGATGCGAGCGGGTTGTGCCACATCCTGGGGTCGGCCTGGTTCTTCTCGACTTGAGCGGCGGTGTGCGCGACGCCGCGGGAGTAGCTCTTGGATATCTTTTCTCCGTACCAGTCCTCGGTGACCTGCATGAGATAGTCGATGGAGTCGTCAACGGTCATGTTCTTCAGCGGAGCGGTACTGTTGGCGTCGACGCGGAAGTTGAGAAAGGCGCCGTATGATATGTTCTGGCCGGGGACGTCGTCGGGCGCCCAGTCCCTGCCGCCCCACACGGCCTCGCCGCCGATAGGGAGCATGGAGGAGATGCCAGGCATGGCGCGAAAGATTTCAGCCCTCTCCGCCTTGCTCAGGAACTTTTCGAGGCCGTAGATGGCAAAGGCGTTGAGCTGCGCCGTGTCTCGCATCTCGCCGGACAGGACCGCCGTAAGGTCCTTGACCGCGCCGAGCATGCAGCCGCTAATGTTGATCCAGGAGTCGACGTGCTTCTCGACCCAGTCGCTGCCGCCGTGGCCGCCGTGCTCGGACTCGACCCAGTTGAAGAAGTAGAACATGACCTGGCTGCCCATGCTGTGGGAGGCCAGGACGACCTTTCGGCCGTCGGTGGCGAGGGCGCCCTCGATGTGGGATTTGAGGCGGGAGAAGTAGCGGTCGCGGACCTCGAGGTCTGGGTAGGAGAGGCGCCAGTCGTAGGCGGCGGTGAAGGAGTTGGTCGGGTCGTAGCCGATGGTGGCGAGGTTCTCAAAGATCTTGCTCCAGATCCAGTAGCCGGTGATGAAGAAGTCGGTGGCGTCAAAGCCCTGGGCGGCGCGCAGCTTGACGAGGGGCGGGTCGAGGCCGGTGTGCTTGTCGAGCATGACGTGACGCTTCCAGTTCTCCTTGTCCATGACGAGGGCGCGCATCATGGTCCAGCTGCCCCAGAGGCGCTTGCGGAAGTAGCTGCGCGAGATGTTGGCGGTACCCCAGGACTCGAGGCCGGTGGAAATGACGCCGGGGATCATGACCATGGGGTGGTCGGCGTGCAGGCCCTCGGCGCGGGCGCGCAGGCCGACGTAGAAGGAGTCGTAGGCCTCGGCGATGTCGCGCTCGCCCTGCACGAGGTCGCGCACGTCGCTGATGAGGCCGGCGGGGAGCATGTCGGTCAAGGAGTCCATGCTGAGGTCGCCGAGCAGCTCCGGGAACTCGATCAGATCATTGCTCGAGGCGAAGAAGCCCGCCGCTATCAGGCCGCACAGGCCGCCGAGCAGGAAGATGAAGGTGTTGCGGCGCTTCCGCGTCTTGGGCTTCTGCACTATCTGCACCAAGGGCTGGTCGGTCGGCTCGCGGATTTGGGTAGCCGTGTCATGTTTGTTGGGTTGGCCGGTCGGTTGGCATTGCGATTCGGGGACATGACGGCGTCTAACGTTGGAAGAGGACATTTTTTTCTTGTGTCACGAAGAACCCGGCACGACGCCAGGGGTCAAACGTGGCAGAGGGGGCGGCTTTGGTGTGGTTCGACCGGTCGATGGGCTGGCGCAAACAGAGCTGCCTTGTCGCGACGCAGGGCTTTCGACAGCGTTGGAGATGGGAGAGACCAAACGCAGTAGAAAGACGTTGATATTTCGAAACGGCAGAGCGGCAACGGAGAAGAAAACGGTGTCGCGGAAACGCGACTCGGATGCGACGGCGAACATGTGAAAAGCAAGGCTAGGTAGGGTTGTACTGTAGCTATCCGTATCCGTACATGGGGATAGAATAGGCCAGCATCTGGTGGTTGACGTCAAGGGAGCCAGGGGTTGAGAAGAGACAGGTACTTGTGGTTACTGCTGATTTAGTAGGGGTAGCGAAGTATAGGCGGACATAGTGACAGCTCTCCACTGCGCGTCGTCCCGTGGAACGCATGGAAAGGAAAGGCTGTCGGATATTTCCTCTTGACTGTCATTTTGTGAATGATTTCTTCTCTTATTACTATATTTTTCGTTTACTTATTTTTATCCATTTCTACGATCTCTATTTATATCGAGATCCCACCGGATTGTTACCTACATAGCTACCCTTTCAACCCGCACAGAGGCTTCAATCCTCTGCTTCAGGTACGTACCGCTGTGTCTGCCACATCCATCCGCCGCTCTGCATATCCATCCAGCTGCATCAATCCGATAACCTCTCTTCATTTCGGGCACCATCACCATCTCTTGGCCCATGCAGCCCACACACACAAACATACTAACATGCATTTCCATCTGAAAAGCCACGCGCCAGCCAAGGAAGGGGCCCGATTCAGGCTGCGAGAGCCTGCCAACTAACCAAGTACCAAGAACGCCTCGCAGCTCGCCAGGCAGCAACTGAGTCACCGGCTTGTAGATCGGAAGGCTGCCGGGTTAAAGAATAAGAATGTTATTGATACGGGTGTTCCCCTCTCCGCCCTTTTCTTTATTCTGCATCTTGGACTTGATCGTCACCCATACCTCCTACTGTAGTGCCTGATTGTGCCCGTACCCAAGCTTAAAGATTTCCCCTTCTCGTCTCACTGCCAAAGCTTGGCCCTGCCTCTGTCTGCCCCGCCACAACTGCTGCCCCGCCACCAAGTCCGGCATCTTATCTCGTCTCGCCAACATCAGCCAACGCCACTTCCTGCAACCTCGACTTCGATATATTGCTTTCAAGTCCGTTTCTTATCCCTCGACTCGTCTGCCGCTCACATAACCGTCACCCATCATGGACACGGCACTCGCGAAAGCGCCTCCCGTGCAGCTCAGCTACGTCCAGTATGAGCACAAATTCGAAGCCCAGTACCTCCCCGCCATCCGCTCCCTCATCTCCAAGGACCTGAGTGAGCCCTACAGCATCTACGTCTACCGCTATTTCCTCTGCCAGTGGGCGCACCTATGCTTCATGGTATGTACTGCGCCGCCTGTCCTCGGCCTTGCGAGAAACATAGCATCCGTGAGCATTGGTAGCTGACTCTGGCGACAAAGGCGCTCAATCCGCAGGACGGCTCTCTCATTGGCGTCATCATCTGCAAGCTCGAGGTCCACGCCTCCCGCTCAACTCCCACGCGGCGCGGCTACATCGCCATGTTGGCGGTCGCTGCCCCGCACAGGGGACGCGGGGTGGCCATCGCGCTGGTCAAGCGCGCCATCGATGCCATGGTCAGCCGGCATGCCGACGAGATTGTGCTCGAGACGGAGGAGACCAACGTGCCGGCCATGCGCCTCTACGAGCAGCTCGGCTTCCTGCGGACGAAAAAGCTGCACCGGTACTACCTCAACGGGAACAGTGCGTACCGGCTGGTGCTGCCTCTGAGAGCCGTGGACCCAGACCAGACGCTTGTCGAGGATCTCTAGAGGTAGTTCGTATTGTTCTTTGTTGGCTGCGCCGTGCTATTCTTTGGTCTTTTTTGGCATCATCGCCATCATCAACATCATCATCATCATCATCATCAGCGTGGGTTTCGAGAATTGGATACACTAGGCACAGCATTTACAGCGGAATCCCTGGTTAGCGTTGGAGTTTTTGCTATTTTCTCTTCTTGTTTCACATTATTCCAATACTACCTATGCAATTTAAACTTGGAATATATATCCCGGTATATGTGAATATATGACAACTCATAGCGTCATCGCAACATCTTGTGATGACGGAAACTCTTCCGCCGAGTTGTAGATGGACGCCTTTAGGCCCCATGGGTTTCCGCCCGCGATTCCCAGATATGTAAAGACATCTATTGAATTAGCATGAAAAATAGGAGCCGGTAACGGCTCACTCACCAGGCTTGTAGTAGATCCGTCTTGTCTTGCTGTCTGTCAGTCCTAGCTGCTTCAGTCTTTTGACGACGCGTCCAATGTCGACCTTGTCCAAAAAGTCCTGTGTATACACGCAAATCAGGCGTTCTTTCCGCCGATCGTCCTGTTCGGCTCGCGGTGCGACTTTGGCTGCGATTCCGAGCTCGTTGCTTGCCGTGGCTTTGGCAACAATGTCCCACACCTCGTTCACCTCCAACACATCACAAAAGAGCATCCACTGCCGGCGCAAATGTCAGCGCATATGGCGTGGAAGACAGCAAAGTGACCTCACCTTTCCTGCGCGGACTTTTGCGACGTGGGCAAGCTGCAAGATGTCTCGCGTAGCTTGCGCTCGTTCCTTATTCTTCTCCCGCTCCGTGGCGGATGGCGGCTTGCCAAAGCTGGAAACCCCGCGAAGAAAGGTGCCCAAGAGTTCAAGCCGCTCCATGCCGCCCTCGATGACGACGTCGAACCTGGAGCCTTCTTGCTCCGGACCCTCATCTTCGTTGCCTTTGCTCGTCTGGTTTAAGCTCTCCGATTTTGGCACGCGCGGGATATACGGGTTGCATATGAATATCCATGGCGTCTCGAGGGTCTGGTCCGTTGTGGCTGGGGGAAGACGCGCCAGGAACTCATCCACGGTTTCAGAGAGCTGCCATGCATACGGGACGCCCGCGTAAGGATTGTGCAACTCGGCGGCTGCGCGAGTCGGGAGGATGCGCGGCTGCGGCCACCCGGGCTGGTGCTGATGCTGCATCACCCACTCGTCGGGGTCAAATGATTCGACCCGTTGATTGAGGTATTCCACTGTATCCGTGTCACCTAGGAAGAATAGTCAGACCTTGTTCGGTAAGATAGCGTCGAGTAGCATGCCATAGAATGACGAATCGTCAGATGCCGCACGACTGTGAACCATGTTATTCGAGGCTCATAAGGAGCAGCTAAGCAAGAGCAGTAGCGCGAATATGAGCAAGAAGAAGGAAATGCAGTAGAGAGATGAGGTCGGGGATGCAAACGGAGGGAAGAAGGATGAGAGAGGTGGCGGGGCAGCAGCCCTGGCTTCATGGATTGATTATGCATACAGATAGGTTTGGTAATGTGTGTAGAGGGCGTCAGCCTGTACGTCGAGCTGCAGCCTGAGAACGATTCCAAAGAATAAACAAAACTAAAATAAAACCTCCCGTCTTACATGCATCTGATTCTCATTTGTTAGCCTGTACGGATAATCGCCTATTCAACGCCACTGTTCGCTAGACAGAGCTTCATACAGCGTTTTGACAGCGCCTCGAGGCCCACAGCCAAGCACCTGAACACCACCCGTCTAAATTTGCAGCGGCTGTTTGCATTCTCCTGCATCTCACTCGAGTGCCAAAAGAAACCGGTCCGCGGCCATTCTACCCGTCCGTCATGGATACCGCCGCGGAATTGCAGCCCATAGAGTCCTTGACGCTGGACTTGCCCCCCAGCTGCCTCCAATTCTGCCGCAAATACCCTGGTTACTTTGTGGTTGGCACGTACAACTTACAGCGCGACGAGGGAGTTGATGCGACGGAGTCCAGCGTGGAAAAGAAATCTCAGAGTCGCAATGGCAGCCTGCTGGTTTTCAATATAGGTCAAGAGACGAGCCCTGAATTGTACGTGTTTACTACCTCTGCCATGCGCTGCGTAAAGAAGCTTCTTCATTAACTGGCTACAAGATCACTGGTCCAGACAGTATCGCAGCCCTCTGCTATACTAGACATTCGGTTCAATAACGAGGTTAAGGAATATGAGGATATCCTAGCTGCAGTCTCCAGCACAGGAACACTGGCGATTTTCAGACTAGGGACCACCAATAAGTCTTCATCCTTGCAGCATCTAGCCACAAGCAGATGCGATGATCTCGGGGATGATGTCCTCTACCTCCAATGCAAATGGCACCCAGTACTGTCCCGTGTTCTGGCTGTGACGACTTCCTTGGGGAGTGCTCGCTTGCTGTACTTGGATGAGCAGTGGAATATATCACAACATGCAGATATTAACATCACCAACTCTCTGGAGGCGTGGTCCATCGCGCTCTCCCCTGCAGCGCCACATTTGACATCTGAGACCACAGATACTGTCAACACGACAGTGTACTGTGGGGGAGATGACTCGGTTCTGCGATACACGTCTTGCAGCTGGCCTGTCGGGGACACGACCTCGGCGCTGCCCGAGGAGCCGTATTCTCCCATGCTCATCAAAGGGAAGCACAACGCCGGCGTGACCGCCATCCTACCGCTGGAGCTGAAGAGTGACCAAGGAGGCAGGTTCGTGGTGACGGGAAGCTATGATGACCATCTGCGCGTTTTTCTCATTCACGATTTGCACGAGACGTACGGCGCGCGACGAGTCGAGCAGCTTCTGGAGGAGAACCTGGGAGGAGGCGTGTGGAGGCTGGATCTCATCGATCAGAGGACGGAAGAAGACGCGATGCACGTCGTGCTTCTTGCATCTTGCATGCATGGAGGGGCTCGGGTGGTAGAGTTGAGGGGTGGTAGGGACGGCGCATCGTGGTCGGTGAGGATTGTCGCGAGGTTTGAGGAGCACAAGAGCATGAATTATGCTAGTGATTTTGTACTGCGAGGGACGAAGAAGCTTGTATGCGTGTCGAGCAGCTTTTACGACAAGCTTCTTTGTACGTGGGAATGTAGTCTTGAATAAGCATGGAGGGTTTAAAGTGTAACCAGGTTATGAAATACAACCATGACAGAGGTGTCAAAATTTGTTCACATGGCCATGTATGAATGCTGAATTTCATGTATTTCTATGAGAATATCTGTTTAATAGTTTCGCTAATTATCAATTCAGTACCCTGTTGTCGGGTTCGCCGTTGGTAATAGTATACAGGTCGTATGTACAGTATGTATGTATGTAGGTAGGCACGGGCTGGCCGCTTAGGAATGTTGCGGCGGCTCCGAGACTGTTGATTACAAGCAGGCAACAAGGATATGCTTGATCGTCAAGATTCTGGGTGGCTGCAGAGGTTGGGGCCTGAATTACCTTGGTACTTAGGCACCTTACAAGTATATCGCGGCTGTCTGCACTCGAGCATCGTGGATGTTGGCGTTGCAGTACGATTACTATAGCGGACCTACCTACAACATATGTATGTACAGTATGCATGTACCTGTACCGGCAGGCGGCACCTGAGGTCATGGGTGATGGCAGTCGCAGCGGGGCTCTCCATGTGTCAGTCAAATCTAGTTCCACCACCAAGAGCTTAACTTTTAGCACCTACAGTATGTCTGTATGTTGGTCCTGGTCAGTGGTACCCACCTGGAGGTAAGGCAAGGTACAAGCAGCAAAAAGGTAAGGCACCTACCGCCCTCAGCTCTAGCCTTTTCTGCCAGCCATCATCCATCCCTCCATCACTCCAAACTTCTGTTTGAAGACTCGCATCGTCGCTTCATTTTTAACCTCACCAACTCCATTGCTTTCAACCGCCATATTCTTCTCCGTCCGCCAGGATCTCAAATTTCTCAGCGACGTCCCGAATCTCAACATTCGATCCTCTTGTTTGCTGCTCAGCTCAGGCCAACAAAGAATCTGCGCATTGATTGCTGCCCTTTCCTCACGCTTGCTCGTTTCGTCCTTGTCCATGTCACCGCGATAACACAGGCACCACACCGCTTCGCACCAGTCACTACAGGGAAGCTTCAACTCCTTCCCCAACTCTCACAGCTGCATCAGCCCCCACGAGCACGACTACCATCGCTTTTTTCACCTCTCCATCGCTCGTCTCGCCAACAAGCAACAACCATGGCTGCCAACGGCGCCGGCGTCCTCGGTGCCAGTGGCGGGGCTGCCGCTGAGCCCATGGCCAAGATCCGAGAAGCCCTCGACGTCGTCCACAGCCCCTTCTCGAACAACGACGCCCGACGCGATGCGCAAAACTTTCTCGAGGAAATTAAGGGCCACGGCGACGCGCCTATGCAAGGCTACAACCTCGCCCGCGACAAGTCACAGCCGCCTGTGGTGCGACACTACGCCCTCTCGCTTCTCGAGCACGCGATCCGATACAAGTGGTCGGCCTATAACGAGGAGCAGGCCCTGACCCTTCGCAGCTGGGTTCTCGAGCTCGCGCAGGCCGTCTCCCGCGCCGACCCTCCGTACCTCCGCAACAAGACGGCCCAATTATGGGTCGAGGTCGCCAAGCGCTGCTGGGGAGAGGACTGGCTCGACATGGACACCATGCTCCTTCGCCTTTGGGAGGTTCCCGACTCGGCCGTCCACAAGGAACTCGTCATGTTCGTCCTCGAGACCCTCTCCGACGAGGTCTTTGCCGGAGATGACTCTGTCGTCGCCATGCGCGAGGGAGTTCTCAGCAAGGCCTGCGTCGAGGTCTTTACCCCAACTGCCGTCCTCGTCGAGGCATTCCCCAACCGGCATCCCGGCCCCGACGTCAGGAGCGACCATGATGGCTGGCTCAACAGGCTTTCCATTCTCCTTGGCAGCTGCCTGGCCGCAAACCCGGCAGACAATGAAGAGGTCAAGTCATGCGTAATCAAGGGCCTGTCTCTCATGCTCTCGCTGATGCCCTGGGCCATCCCCAAAGCCATTGCCGCCGCCGGATGTGTTAATTACATGTGCCAGGGCCTTTCTTCCACCGTCCCTGAGATCCAAAAGGCTTCACTAGACGCCCTGCACGCTCTCTACTGCCGAACTAACTTTTCCGACGAAGAGTTTCTAGATCTCGTCGCCCCAATGTATAACCAGTCCTCGGTCGACCTTTGCAAGCAATTGTACTACTGGGCCGCCGTCGACGCCAATGACATTGACGACGACAAGTACCAGATTTTGAAGAAGCTGTCTGAAACGCTGTCCAGTCTAGGCGACTACTTCGACCGCAAATTTCATCACATTCCGAGCGAAGCTGCCAAGGGCAGCTTTCTCCAGCTTCTTCTCGAAGTGGTCCAGAGCCCGAGTCTCATGGTTTCCATCCCGGTCCTTGTGTCGTGGACGCGTCTTCTGAATCGCAAAGACATTGGAGGTAGCGACATCGTGTCTCCCTTGATTGGCCCTTTGCTTGAAGTGTGTAGCTCGAGAATGGTTCGCTATGAGAACCTTCCGGAAGACAACGAGGATGCTACATTTCTCTTCCTCCAAGAAGATACCGACACGTTGCCCGAACGGCATGCGTTCTTGGGCAACTATCGCAGATATAGCTCTCAAGTAATCGAAGCCATTGTCCAGCTCAAGCTCGTCGACGCCGTATCTCACATTCTCGGCCGAGCTGAGCACATTCTACAGCATCTCTACGATGGGCAACCCCCCTTTAACAGTGAGTACATGCCTGGTGCGGTAAACCAAAACGCAAATGCTAATGATTAAAGAACAATCATACACTAAACACTCCATGCCCGCCCTCATGGTTGATTCTCACTGCACAGTTATTGAGTCGACCCTCAAGGGCTACATGAAGTGGCGAAGACATCATCAACAAAGCACCGTATGTCTGTCGTCGCTGCCTTTTGAATGCCTAAATACTGACTGCTGTAGAATGCCCCTGAAATGAGCGAATTAGAGACTAATTTGGAAACATGGTGCAACAAACTATTGGGGATGAGTTTCGAGGTGACTACCCGTCGCGTTCACTGCAAATGTAGGAGCGGTCGCTAACAAGTAGCAGGATCCCATCATTAGAAAACGCACCCTGCAATTGCTTGTCGTTTTTTCCACAACGGCACTCAACAAGAATGCTGGCTTCATGCTAAAGGTGCTTGAGCATATCTTGATGACCTGGCCAACCATTGAGCCAGAGTACCGTGCATTCAACGACGCTATTAAAGACCTGCAAAGTGAGAGCATGGTAGAATTACAACGGCTTGCTTCCGAAATGCCAGATCATCTCTTGGTATGTTGTAAATACGCATATACCATGCATCCCCCCTACTAACAGACGCTTTTAGGCCGTCTTTGACCAAATCGAGAGACGAGTCAACGAGATGCTTTCATCCGGTACGCTCGACGATAAACGCGCTCTTGCCTACCGCAGCTTTCTCTTCCTCATCATGTACGTACCGCTAACGACTCATCTCCATTCAGTGACTAACACATTGCAGCCATCGAGCGCAAAACGTCGATTTGACAACAAAGATCCACAAGTTGCGCGAGTTTATCGGGCCGGTGTTAACACAGTGGCAGACGGAGAACCTCAGGGCAGCTGTCGCGTCGTATCCCGGGTTTTGCGATCAGCTTGGGCTCAATAAGGCGCAGGATTATCTCACGCGCAAGCAGGCTGACAAAATCCAAGACTGGGGCTCCCATGAACTGGACGCCGAGGGACTAGCCCTGCAAAACGAGATGGAAGAGCGCATCAAGGTACGTTCAGTGAGTTCGTCTTGTTGATCTGTTGCTAACGGATATGCCCAGGTGCTGCCATTGCGAGCGACCAAGTCGTTCCTTGCCTTCTCAGTCGAGCGTCTAGACAAGTCCTCGTCCGCCTTTCAAGCTTCGTACGCCCTATGGCAAGATGGCTTTTCTAGTCTTTTGGCCGATCTCCTACAATTACTCAGGTAGGTGAACCCCCCGAGCCCGGGCGCTCAAAAACGTTTGCTAACCATACTGATTTCGTGTAGCTTTGCACATGCTACACACAACCCGGAAAACTGGACTGGTCTACCTAGTGAATCGCGCTCCATGGTTGCTCGCGTGCTCAGTGACAGGTTCTGGCAGGCGGGCATCTCCGACGGTAGCAAGGACGACTTTTATGCACGTGTGATAGATAAGAAGAACACCATGGAAGGCCTGGCGTCGACGGTCCGCGGATCCGTTCGGTTCGTCCGAGAGACGGCCTACGCCATTATCTACTGCATGAGCCGGCTAGAGCTCCAGTTTTACGACTTCGACGGCCTCGCAGGCCCGCTGGCAAACGCGCTCTTTGCCGATTCGACCTGGCTGTCGACGCACCAGCAAAGCAACCTACTTAATTTGGTTCGATATCTAGTGGACGACTGTCCCGTGGACTACCGAGAGCGCTTCCTGCCGCCGCTGCTGTCGGCGTGCTTCCGGCAAATGGACGCCAAGGTCCACGGCGAGTGGGAGAAGATGGACGCACAGCAGAGCATCGCGGCCGATGGTGAGGACGGGCTGAAGGAGGAGATGAAGTCGGAGAGTATCCTGCGCCAGGTGACGTATACGGGCGTTGTTATGATGGCGGACTTCTTGGATCCCACGAAGCACAGTGAGTTTTGGATCAGCTCTTGAGCGGAGTCTGTGACTAATAGGTTGACTACTTTAGATCCTCCGACATTGCAGGCGCGAGCACAGAAGGCGAATGGCGCGGAGGTGGTGCCTCCAACAGAAGACTACCCGTCTCTACGCCGATTTTGCTTGCTACATCAAGAGATTGTAGAGCCGCTCCTGGTCTTTTGCGCTCATGGAATACGCATGAGGGATACGAGATGCTGCGGCATGGTACTGCGACTGCTGATATCGCTCGTGCCCGAATTCCAGCCAAACCCCCCAGCGAGAAAGCCGCAACCTGACGGCACCTTAGGCCCCGCGGACCCGTCACCTATCCCAGGGGAAATTGCGTCAGCAATCCGGGAGTACTTGTCGAGTGACGTGCTGCGGGCGTGCCTGACGTCGTTTCACGAGCCGTACTTTGTCGAGGTGCAAAAGGAGCTGGCGTCGCTCATTGCGGCCGTGTACGTGCACTACAGCCCGGCGACGATGACGCCGCACAACCTGCTGACGTCGCTGCCCAACGTCGAGGCGGGCGAGCTGGCGCTGCTTAAGCCGTACATGGCGAAGCCTGGGTCGCATAGCCGGCAGCAACGTGTGATTGTCCTGGAGCTGCTCCGGAATCTAAAGGGCGTGAGCGTGTCGGAGATGGGGAAGCTGGCGAAGAGTGCGGGCCTGGCGCAAGGCGGAGGTGCCGGTGGACGTGTTAAAAAGGCGACACCGGGGAGGAGTAAGATGGCGCAGAGCTTCATGACGGAGCATGCACCGGCGGCACAAAGTAACGGTGCACCCACGACGACACGCATGGAGCAGGTCACGGGGGGTGCAGGAGGAGATAGGCGCGCGACGCCGGACGCTCTAGACGGCGTGTCGAACCTGTTTGATGCTTAGAGAGATTCGAAATCGGCTACGGGGGCAGGAAAATAAAGCAGACAGGCAGACCGACAGGCAGGCATACAAGATGCCCACATCATGGCATTAGCAAAATCATATACCCTTTTTAGAGCTACACTCCTCCATCTGATCTGTGATGCATGCATTTGAAGATATCTTGCTGTCGTCAAAGCAAGTGAGACAGAAGCTTCTAAGCGTAGTATTAAAGCAGGGATTATATGGTGCTATATGGAGCTTTGAGTGACTACAAGTTCTCGTGGCAGTATTTATTACTCTTGAAATGTCTGATACAGCTAGAAATCAGGCTGCTCGGTTGCTCACTTACATACACCACTGTACCCAGATTCCCTAAAACGGGAAGTCCTAGCGATGACCGCTAACTCTACGAGGTCAATTGACAGTCCCTGCATGCTTTTCAGCAGGCCACCTTCTGTCAATCTCGAATGGCAAACTTGAAATATTAATCCGGAGAAAAACTAGTCGCTTGTCAATATATCATGTCGGCATGTTGAGAGTATGTGCTGAGATGAACCATTGCGCGTGCAGGCCCGCACGTGCAGTCACCACCACCAACCAGCCTTGCAGTTGACCCCTCGTTTCGCAGACAATATTTCTGGCCAATTTGGCTGTGTGGAGGCGGAAATCGGCAATTAAAGTAGTGTGCGCCATTTTTGAAAGGCACGTTGATTTTTCAGGTTTTACAAGGAGAACTGTGTCGCAGCATTTATTCCACTTTATTCAGCATTTGGTAGCCCAAGTGGCGAGACGTGGGTACTGACGAATTGGCACTGTGGACTTGGGCGGCAAATCGAACAAGGAATAAACAAAGGCACAGCAAAGGCAAGGGAAAACAAGCAAAAATGAATTACATGGGGGTGTTGTTAAGTTCTTCAGAATTTCTTTCCATCATGATTTCCGCCATTACCAAGTTTCTTTTTCTATTCCTTTGACTTTTGGCAGAAAAAGTAGCCCGTTGTGTTTCTGGCGACTCCGCAGCCGCTACCTCACACCGTAATCATCGTAGCGTAGCGTAGCGGGTCAACACTTAATCCGCCGCCTACTTCCTGTCCCTGCCATCAGTCCATAGCCACGATCAAATACAGCGAAACTCCAAGCCATGGCCCTCCTATAGCCCTTTGTTTTAGATCATGAGAAGCGAATTCACAATGATCAGCTTTTGAACCCCTCACAGACAAGATTCCAACCACCAAAATAGCGAGAACAGCGACTCCTTGCCATGTCTGCAGCCGTCGCTCCGCAGCACCGGCCCGGCGCCCCAAATTGCGCACCCCAAAGGGCACCTCGCCAGCCAGACTGGAACACCTTTTACAAGAACGGCTTGCCAAAGGAGGTCATTGTGATTGAAGACTCGCCCGAGCCCCCAGCCAGCCACGCCCCCGTCCGACCGGTGCTGCCGGCGTCGGCCACGGAGAGCGGCCTCTCGAGCGCGAGAAAGCGAAAGGCACAGGAGCAGTCGGCCGTCGGCTCGGTCGCCAACGGCACCACGAACGGCTCGAACGTCCACTCGAGCCACTCCGAGTCCAACCTCGGCCGGAAACGACGGCGAGTAAGCGATCGCCAGGACGACACCGAAAGCTCCGGCCAGGCCTCTGTCAAGAAGCCCAAGTACGCCGAGTACAAGCCGCCGCGTCTCCCCGCACGAAGGGTGTTGAACGCGGAGATTCGTGTCGTTCATGACGTGCGTAACAATGAAACCCGAAACAAGTTGCACAGGAGCCCGCCTCGCTGACAGCACGCAGGAAAAGAGCCACAGCAGTACCGCCAAAGTCGACGACGAGGACGGGCACTTTATCATTATACCGGAGCAGCGTGTGGGACGGCAATGTAAGCATTGAGTCAGCATCATACGTCGAACAAACTCTGACGAGTCAATCTACCAGATCGAGTCGAGAAGCTTCTTGGGCAGGGCACCTTTGGCAAAGTCGTCAAGGCCTATGACATGGTCCGGCAAGAGCACGTCGCCCTGAAGATCATCCGCTCCATACAAAAATACCGGGACGCTGCGAGAATAGAGCTGCGGGTTCTACAAACTCTTCGCAACAACGACCCGGACAACCGTTATCGATGCATTCATCCTCGGGACAGCTTCGACTACAAGGGTCATATCTGCATAACCATGGGCCTACTTGACTCGAGCATATTCGATTTTCTAAAAGCCAATAACTTTGCGCCCTTCCCCAACAGCCACATCCAGAGCATGGCTCATCAGCTACTCACCAGCGTTGCTTGTCAGTAATCTTGACTCGCTTCCTCCACCCCCAGAAACTGACCTTTCCGCATAGTCTTGCACGATCTCGAGCTTGTACATACAGACTTGAAGCCCGAGAACATTCTTCTCCAGCACGCTTCATACCAGGCGTTCACGTATAGCCGCAACATCCCGTCCGTATCGACAGCAACTTGCCGGCAAGTAAAGCAAAGACGAGTTCTCCTGCAGCCCGACATTTGCCTCATTGATTTCGGCTCTGCCACGTTTGAAGACGAGTACCATAGTTCGGTAGTCTCGACCAGACACTACAGAGCCCCAGAGGTTATTCTCAGCTTGGAATGGTCATATCCGTGCGATATTTGGAGCATTGGATGCATTCTGGTTGAGCTGTTCACGGGCGACGCGTTGTTCCAGACGCATGAGAATCGAGAGCATCTCGCCATGATGGAAGCGGTGTGCGGTCGTCCCATTGACCGGGCATTGGTGCAGCGAGCAAACAAAGCCTTCAAGAGTGCTAAACCAGGAACAATCAAGTAAGTCGTGTGCCATTTGCCTATGGCTTGTTACCTGCTAATCATGGCATAGCTATTTCAAGCGCCTCAAGCTTGAATACCCAGTTACAGAGACGACCCGAGCATCGAGGCGATTCGTGAACAATATGAAGAAGCTGGAGGTTCGTCGCGACTGGTTGGGGAAAGCCATGGAAACTCGGCCACTGACAGCATGACAGGATATTATACCGCCCACAAATCCGTTTCTAACTTTATTCTTGGATCTTCTGCGCAAGATGTTCGCGTTCGACCCAAACAATCGGATCACGGCAAAGGAAGCGCTGCGGCACCCGTGGTTCCAACAAAGCACACGCGACGACGGTACCGAGGCGGCAAGACTGCACGCCGAGCGTACCGCTGCGGTCAGATGAGAGGTATCAAGCAGCGTAAAGAGGACGACACAAATACACGCAGAGCCGCGCACGTCTCAGTGCGCACTCCATCCCAAATCACGAACGGAAGCCATGGAGCGTCCGTGGCAGGGAAGTGACAACTAGGTCAAGTAGCCTGGTGGCTCTTGCGGCCGCATGAGCATGATTTGGAACGGCCGAGGCTACTCCAAGTCGCCATGCCTAAGCAATACACTCTTGGTTGTTACTCAGGGTGTCCGAGCGAGGGTTGCCACCGAAGAACAAGCGATGTGTGGCGGCGGCAATCAACAGCGATTGGTACTATTGGAGCAGACGCCGGTACTCTTAACGAAGGAATAGACTTTTGGAATATTCCGGCAATTATCGGCAGCGTCATTTAGGTGACGGTTCATCAACATGGGTGGGCGGCAATGAAGCCGCCATGTCACTGGAGGAAGGAAGCATACATAGCATTAGCGGGCGGTTGAGGTAATAGCGTTGCATTTGTTGAGTGCATATCATCAAGAGGTTCGCGAGAAACGGTTCCTCTGGTGAAGTGACTTATCACTCTTACTTCATTTTGTTTATTTTGTTTTGTCATAGCATCAGGAGGAGTTGCTGCTGCAGCCACCCGGTGCAGCGGATGGAAAGCGGGATGGGAAGCCGGATGACCTTGTCATGGAGCATGTCTTTATGCATTTTTCTGCAGCGACTTTTTTTTTTCTGGTTTCTAACATGGCTGCATTCATGGCGAGGACGGATGATGTTTACCCCTTTTTACTTTGTCAAAAATATCACGGTCCTCTTGTGTTATGCCTTTGTTGTACTGTCTCGTTGCCTTGTGATTGCAAATGATGCTAAAGTCTTTAGCAGGTACGGAGGAGTCTGGACGTATCCAAGCAGCCAAGCAGTGGCAAGGAAATAGATGCCAACCCAGTGGAGAGAGAGAGAGAGTGTGTGTGTGTGTGTATCTGTGTCTATACCTTGATGGCGAATAATAGTGCCAGTGCGGTCAGTGGCAATTCATTACCGTCCCCAGGCATGTGAAGGCACGGAGCATATGAGAGACAGCGGAGCAGAGCATTGGCACTCAGGCTCTCGGGTCGGGACTCGGGAGACGCATGCAAGCCAATCAATCCACTGTCTTGCATTCAGCTTGGTCCGGAGAGCAGTCTGCATGCGCTGAAATGCCATATGTGCAGCGTGATCGCGGCCTGATCTTGCCAGTATAACTACCTGCAGTACCTATGTATGTACATAGTCCCTTGAGCGTATTCCCGTAACTTATAGCAGTCAGTAGGTGCGAAGGTTGCGGTGGCGAAGCGGCAGCCAGTCATCTGCGGCAGCCTTGTTGAGGGGGAAAGGATCCAGTGAAAACCCGTATTCCCCCAGCTTATGTACATTTCGATATTATACCCTGTTTCGGACGACCCCGGCGATCTTCCCGCAGTCTGTATTCAGTTTAGGGGCAAAAGTCGGGCATCAGCGTCATTTATTACTGGTAGTTTGGCCTCTGAAGCCACCAGCGTCAAGTCACCTGGACTTGGCTAGGGCGGTCAGATGGCCACTGCATGCACATGCCTGCGCTACTAAAATTCTGTCATGCATTTTGCGGGTGGTTTTACTAACACACTTTATCACTTCTTACCTAGGTACATATGTAGGTACATACATAGGTACATACATACGTACCAGTGAACCTACCAGTTCGGCCTATGCATCATGCCGCCACCTTATTGAATAGGTAAATCTTCATCTTCAATACACGAACCAGTCTTTATTTCTACCTCATCATACCTTACCTCATTTCCTGCCTCCTTCTCCTCCTTCCTCCACCCCTCCATTCCCCTGCCAGCTCGCACAGAGTTGTTATTACCCACTGATTACGAGGACAAAGCTTAAAATTGGCTCCCTCAACCAAATCCGCCCCTCCCGCCCCGGTCTACCCTCGGCGTTCTCTCCCTGGCTTCTGGCTTGCTCTGGGGTTGGTGGATAGTTGCCTGCTACTACTAATAATAAGGCCAATAACGCATCGTTTTGTATCGTTCGTTTGTCTTCCATACCTAAACGTCACCAACATCGCCCACCTATCGAACCACCCGCACCGCTACGATCGAACCCTGGCCCCAACACAGCACGCCTATATCTCGCCAAGTGACACATATTCTCTACATCCATCTCAAACATGGAGTACAACTGGCAAAATAATTAAAGAAAATACCCCGCTGTACCAACTCATACGACTCTCTACTGCCTGCCACCATCATCATGGTCGACCTCATTCTCCCGCGGAGGGCGGCTCGCACACCCAGCAGTCCCCAGAAATCGGCGTCCACACACAAGACAGAAGCATCCGCCGCTGCCCGACAACGGATACAGCCCCCTTCTCAGGATAACATTACGGAAAAGATCTCCAAGACCATCAAAGGCGCCAACGACCTGCTCCTGTACTGGAAGGATGGTTTGAGCGCCGACGAGAGAGCGCTGCTGCGCAAAAGGGAAGAACGCAAGCAAGTCCTGACATTACGAATGAAAAGTGTACGTTTCTCTAGAGAAATGCTGCCCACGTGAAGCTATTCATCCCGCCCACTTGCAGCCGTCACTAACCGCAGTCCCTCTCCCACAGGCCGAAACATTACAGCACTGGCAGAATGCCGCTGAGGAACTCGATCTCCTCGAGGGCAATGACGAGTGGAAGCGAGACTTCTCCGACGGCGACTACAACCCGTGCCTCATCGAGGAGCGCCTGACCGCGCTTGAGGAGGCCCGCTCCAACGGTGACCTCCTCACCATGATGCACCTGATCCGCACCGAGCTGTCGCGGGATCTCGGTGGCATGGGCAATGTTGACCTCTACCGCCACTCGTACCTCGGCACCAAGCGGCTGATTGAGCGCTACGTCGACTCGGCGCTGCGGACGATTGACGCCGTCGTCATCCACGGCGGCGTTGGCGGCCCCGCCGCGCCTCCGCCGCGCGACCTGCTCGAGGGCATGTTGCTGGCGCGGCAGAGCTTCGGCCGCAGCGCGCTGCTGCTCTCGGGCGGCGGCACCTTTGGCATGTCGCACATTGGCGTGCTCAAGACGCTCTTCGAGGCGCGCCTGCTGCCACGCATCATCTCCGGCGCGAGTGCGGGCAGCATCGTCTGCGCCGTGCTCTGCACCCGCACCGACGAGGAGATCCCCGCGCTACTACGTGACTTTCCCCACGGCGACCTGGCCGTCTTTGGCGACGCCGAGGAGAGCCGCGGCGGCGCCCCTGGCGCGCTCGCGCATATCCGAAGACTGCTCACCGAGGGCAGTTGGTCGGACACGAAGCACCTCACGCGCGTGGTCCGCTCCATGACGGGCGACATGACCTTCCAGGAGGCGTACAACCGCACGCGCCGCATCCTCAACATCTGCGTCTCGACCGAGTCCGTGTACGAGCTGCCGCGGCTGCTCAACTACGTAACCGCGCCCAACGTCATGATCTGGTCCGCCGTGACGGCGTCGTGCTCGCTGCCCTTTGTGTTCCGCTCGTCGCCGCTGCTCGTCAAGGACCCCGTCACCGGCGCACACCGACGCTGGAACCCGTCGCCGCAGCACTTCATCGACGGCTCCGTCGACAACGACCTCCCCATGACGCGGCTCGCCGAGATGTTCAACGTCAACCACTTCATCGTGTCGCAGGTCAACCCGCACGTCGTGCCATTCCTCGCCAAGGACGACCACCTGTCGCCCGAGGACAAGCAGCTGCGCAAGGCGAGGCAGCGGGGTGGTGCCGCGTCGTCCGCGGCCGCGCTCCCCAACGAGTCGGACTTGCTCAACACGTTCACGACACTGGCGCGCGACGAGGCTCTGCACCGCCTCCAGTTCATGGCCGAGATGGGCGTCTTCCCCAACCTCATGACCAAGTGCCAGAGCATCCTCAGCCAAAAGTACTCGGGCGACATCACCATCCTGCCCGAGATCGGGCTCGGTGAGCTGCCCGGCCTGCTGAGTAACCCGAGCGCCGAATTCATGCTGCGCTCCAGCATCGCCGGCGAGCGGGCCACCTGGCCCAAGCTGAGCCGCATACGGGACCGCTGCGCGATAGAGCTCGCGCTCGACAACGCCGTGCACCGCCTGCGCACCAGGGTCGTCTTCTCCGAGAGCCAGGGCGACCTGCGCAAGCTCGGCGCCGACACGGCGGTGGGGACGACGACGCCCATCGCCGCCACGGGTGGGAGCGATACGCCCGCGGGAGGCGGCGTGCAGCAGCAACATCGACGTCGTTCCGGTGGGTGCCTGCGCAGCCTCGGTGGCGATCACCGCTCCAGCACGTTTCCGCCGATCGTCGCGGGCGGCGACGTCACCGACGACGACACCCTCGAGGAGGAGCGCCTCGAGATGCGCTCGCGTCGAAGCCGCGGCAGCTCCCCCGCCACGGCGCGCGTCAAGCCGCGCCTGCACCGGGCCAGCAAGAGCCAGATGCACATCACCCGGCCCAGCACCGGCCTCTCCGCCACCCCGTCCTTGAGGGGCAACAGCAACCCCTTTGCCGAGTTTGACTTTTCCAAGCCCCTCGCGCTGCCCAGCGACGCGGCGCAGCCCAAGGCAGACTCCGCAGCGGCGGCGATGACGCCGTACGTCAACTCGTCCGAGGAGGACGAGCCGGAGCCGGAGCCGCCGCGCAGCTCCTGGCTGCCCCAGCGTCCGGCGCAGCAGCAGCAGCAGCCGATTGAGGACGTGGAGACGAGCGAGCAGGGTCATTCGAGCGATGCGGACATTGATCAGGCCAGCGAGGAGAGTGATCCAGATCCGTACGACAGCAAGTGGGAGTCGCCGCCGCCCGAGTACTGCGAGGCGGTCAAGGACGATAGCATGTTTGGTCCGGGGGGTCGTGTCGGGGATGGAGCATGGGAGTAGATGATTTTCGTTTTGTTTTCTGCGAGTCAAACATGAGCATACCCTTTATCTTTTTTTTTACATATAGAGCATATTCCCCCCGTATTAGCAGCACGGCACTTTTAGAACACGACGACCGTGAGGGGGTGGGTTGAGTTGAGGCAGCATGGCCTCGGGAAAGCATAGCAACAGGCGTTTTACAGTGGTTTGTCAGGGGCCTTCTTTTTATCTATCAGTATGCCGCTGCGGCTTTCTGGGTGCTACTGGATATATCTACCTACAATTGAACAATTATTCTTGATTCTCGACTTGGAAAGTAAACACCAGTAGAGATGTTGTACAACGGAACATAGTAAGCGAGGGAAGAAATAAGTGGCTTGTTGCATGGGATGGTGGTGATGAGTTCATGTAGAGTAATAAGGGACGAGTGGGTATGGATCGGGCCGCGTGGCCTAATGGCTAAGGCGCTAGATTTCGGCTACTACATACCGTAATCTCTAGAGATTCCAGGTTCGACTCCTGGCGTGGTCGTCCTTTTTTGCTGGTTGTTTAGGCTTCGTCTTTTTTATCATTTTTTTTTGCTTCTCTGATGATTAGAAGGGGAGGTTGGTGCGGAGTGGCGAAAAGTGATTGCAATCCAACATGATGCCATCAGGATTCCCAATGATTTGAGACAAATGACTTGGCTTCGTCGCATCCGAGATGTCGCCATATTTGAGGCATGCGCTGTGGCTTAATATTGCGTGGATGCGGACCCTCGCTGCTCGAAGTGCATGCAAATGTACATGTTGTCTCAACCCTCGACATTGACTTGTTGCTCACGGTTAACGAGTTAGCCAGCTGATCCCTATGCCATCCTCTGTGGTAAAAGTCGTAAAATCTGCCCAATGATCATCAAATCAGCTCTGAGAGCCAGGTTCTGCATGCAGCAACGCCCTGTCTCCTAATGATGCGATATCCGGGTTATGGCTGAACTTTACTGTGGTGTGCAACCTGAAGTTTAAAAAATATGTGTCAAAAACGGTGTGCTTTGCCACCACTGACTAAAAAGAGAAGAAGCATTCACCTGCCGTTAGTTACTGTACATACACCCTGTTGTCCACATCTCCCTCACCTCGCCGAAGATGCTCTCCTTGCGACCCCGACCCCCGACTCCCGGCCCGTCGGCGACAGGGTATTGCTCTGCGCCGTGACGAGTCGGTGGAGCAAGCCGTCGCCGACCACCCGTCTCTTCCATTCGTTTTTGCGCTGTCTCTAGCCCGCAGAAGCGTCTATTGCGTCAGAGGGAGCTGGATGGCAGAATCGGCCGGCGATGGCCAATGAGGCGGCGTCCCGGGCACGCAATCGACGCGCCATGCCGTATTCGGGGCGGAGGGGTAGCCAGAGCTCAAAGCTAGCCCCAGGTACCCAAGGCGTTTTTGTAGATGAGTTGCCGCAGTTAACTATGTAGACTTGAATTCAACAGGTTGACTAGTTACCTAGCTGGCAAGGTACAAGGTAGGGTCAAGGTAATCGTCACCCCGCCAGCGAGTGAGGGGGAGGGGTTGGGATGGTGGAGGGGCAAACCAAGACACACACACACCTCCGACCAGAGCTCCACGACTTTCTCTCGGCGCGGGCTTGGTGGGAATGTCGCAATGCGTAACAATAAACCGCCTCTTTTTTGCGCCGACTTGGTTGTAGCTAGCCAGCTAACTACTCGATTAGCAATTCCCACAGTAATGGTGTGCTGGCTGGACTGTATATAAAGCGTAGACGTGGGCCACTCCCCATCGAGCTCTCCTCTCTCCCTCCCTCTTTTTTCTCCGTCTTTGCTCTCTATACATAGCTGCAGTCTACAACCATCTCGCGTCTTCCTCAACTCCCATCTTCTTCACGCAACACCACCACAGACACAATGGCTGCTACCACCACCGCCCCTCTCCGCCTCGGCTCCAAGGCCCCCAACTTCACGGCCGAGACCACCAAGGGCAAGATTGACTTCCACGAGTTCATTGGCGACAGCTGGGTCATCCTCTTCTCCCACCCCGAGGACTACACCCCCGTGTGCACCACCGAGCTCGGCGCCTTCGCCAAGCTCGAGCCCGAGTTCACCAAGCGCGGCGTCAAGCTGATCGGCCTCTCGGCCAACACCATCGAGTCGCACGACGGCTGGATCAAGGACATCGCCGAGGTCACCGGCGGCAACGTTGGCTTCCCCATCATCGGCGACAAGCAGCGCCAGGTCGCCCTCGCCTACGACATGTAAGCAGCCAGCCCTCCCTCCCCCCTCCGCTCTCATCATCACCCACCCACTCTCTTTCCCCCCCCGGCGGACAAACCCTCAACAAGTCCGAGTTTGTCCCGTAGGGAACCCCGCTTTCTGCGAGCTCCCGGAGAAGCTTCTTCAGAACAGGGGTTCAGTGGACTTGTTTCCCCCTCACGGGTTCCTCGCTCTGCTTTCCCCGCTGTAAACGTGGGCGAGAAATCACGCGATTCTCAAAGAGCGCATCGTGGAGCGTGGGTGAAGAAGCACCCCTACTCCACCGTCCTGCAGAACCCTGGATGCAGCTCGGTGGATGAGTTTGTAACCCGGAGTAGAGGGAACCTGTACCTCTTGGCTGTCCTGAATCACGCATTTGCATCTTCACATGAACCACCCGCAGGACGCCACCAACGTCGACTCCAAGGGCATCGCCTTCACCATCCGCTCCGTCTTCTTCATCGACCCCAAGAAGACCATCCGCACCATCCTCTCCTACCCGGCCTCGACCGGCCGCAACGCCGCCGAGGTGCTTCGCATCGTCGACTCGCTGCAGACGGGCGACAAGCACCGCGTCACCACCCCGATCAACTGGGTGCCCGGCGACGACGTCATCGTCGCGCCCCCCGTGTCCAACGAGGAGGCCGAGAAGCTCTTCCCCGGCTTCCGCATCGTCAAGCCCTACCTCCGCTTCACCAGCCTGCCCAAGGCTTAGGTGAGAGGAAAGGCGACGCGCAATTTTGGACATGAAAAATATCAAACTGAATAACGGATACTTTATTAAGACGGGAGTGTGGCAGGGGAACTGGCTCGCAACGTTGAGGGTGCAAGTCTGCCCTGTGCATCTTCCCGTCGTTTTAAAACAATAGCGAAATCTAATGAATAAAAATATACCAATTATTTTTGACGTGTATATTTGCGAGTAAGTCTTTAATAGTCCATGAGAAATCCAATGTCTCTCAGCTCCATATGTTATTGCATTGTGAGTGCTGAATGTCACATCATGTGTCATCACAGGGTAGCACGATGGGACAGTGCAGTTGAGCGAATCGCGTCAGCCCAAGGGCTCCTGCATGCGTTTCAGCTATCAAGCGAATAGTAATAAATACTTTTCTACCGCGGCATATTACCACCGGCCACTTGTCGCAGCACATTCCGTCTCGAAAGAGGCCGAGGACGGACGGAAGTGCCTAGCCGGTGTGCCTGTGGCATTCTGGGACCTGGTGCTAACTACTATGTAGTCATGTATGTACATAGTTACGCACGTCTTGATTTAATAGGAAATTCATACACATACATAGATAAGTAACGATAAATTGCAACAATGATACGTGAAAACACAACCTCGAATATTAAATAAATTACGGAGCAATAACAATGCTATCCACGTCATTTCTTCAGTCAACGCCTCTCCAGTGGCGCCAGCATTAATGCCGCTCCAGAGAAGCGTCTTGAAGTCCATCCACACCTGCTGAGCAGCGCATATGTGATATATAGCTTGGTTGACTTGGCAAGTATGTGCTCTTGAACCTTGGCTAGCATCCGTACTATTCTAGGACTCGGTAAGCCCAAACCGTCCCCGTCGGCATTCGTCCGTTCCTCCAGACTTGACCCTCTGTTTCCCAGCGGCCAGGAATCACTTCCCGTGTCTCTGTTTCAGCCTTGGACTAGGGTTCCACGTGCCATTTAGCAGTTTTCCGGGCAAGATGGCATCGTTGCGAGTCTTGCGCAATCTCCCATATGTGGAAGTCTATAGCTGGTCGAACCATGGTTATAAGTAGGCATATATACTTGGTGCGGTCCTCCATGTATTTACTAGTAGTTACCAGTACCCTCCGGCATATCGACCCGGCGGCGCCTCGTGTCTCGATTTGATTGATTCCAGAAGGAGCTTTGACGGACGACCCGTCGGAAGGCCAAGAGACAAAGTTGGTCTTGCTACGGGTCTGCGCGATGGCATTCCCCGGCGCCCCCCCCCCGGCGAGTCTAATTTCGTGAGGATTGCAGCGGTCGTCCTTGTAAAAGACCCATATCGTCCCATGACTTGCAGCGAAACATTTCGGAGGGGCCGTTGACGGCGGGTACGATGCAGGGGCGAAAAAAGGGACGGCGGTTGGTGTTGGCCCACACCTTGTCACTTTGTCGTGCTGGTCTTGCATCCGTGCAACGAACGGCTTGGTGCAACTGGACTGGGTGGCGTCCTGTTTCTTCTGTCGCCTGATCTTTGTTTGAGTAGGAGGTGAACGGGTAGGCATGTCTGTGATGCTGAAGAATTCTTTTGCCTGTACTCTGGTGAATAGGAAAGAATGTACCGCCTGACTGTACATCTACGTAGGTTTGCCTTTGTTGTGAGGATGTTCGTTCTGTTTTTATGGTTGCACAGGCCAGCAGGCTTTGTGTGGGCGGCCACCGACTGACTGTCACTGTCACCTCGTACTAAGCAGCCGGCTGGCAGCTGCTCAAGAGGACAGTCGCATACATAAACACACATGAAAAAGAAAAAAAAAACAACCTTCATCATCAAATCAAATGCCCTCGTTATCATTGCCTATCGTCCAAACCACAAGTATCCCAGCGGCATGCGCTTGGTCGACGAACGCTTGGGCTGTCCATGCTAAACGCCTCGTTCTTATGCACTCACATCCCCATTTGTATGTATGTTGTATGTAAACTAGGTATGTACAGTACTTAGGTACCTATGCCTGACTTGACTTGCCTGACCTTTGACGTGCTGCCCACACATTGACTGACAATTCGCACGGGCTTCCGTGTTCTCGATAGGAAGGTTTACGGTGATCCAAGACCTGTCTCTTCCGTTTTCCGTTAAGCCCGGCGCCGGCAGGTTATACCTGTAAAACAGCCATACGAACATTGCACCGCAGCGCGCAGCACACCCACCCCGGACCTTGGTTGCCGTTGACCAGCTACGACAAGTCAATTATCCAAACTCCAAAACGAACCCCGACATCGCTGCTGACAGGGAACCAGCCAGTACATACATACATACATCCATCCATACATACATTCATACAGTACTGTTAATACCAGACAGGCTAACAAGAAGCCCACCTCATCACCGCAGTGTGCTCACAGCCTCACACAGAGTCACACCAGGCGGCACACACAACATTGGAGGGAAAGGCCAAATCCACCGGAGCGTCCAGTCCAGCCAGCCCGCATTGCGCTTCAGCCCCTCTTCAAATCACGACTGGGAACCCTCCAAACCCTCCCCCCAGTCTGTGCGGCGAGCCAAAATCGCCCTTTCCGAGCACCGCCAACCGACGGCCCTTTGTTACAGACATACACACATCTCGCTGCGACCGCAAGGCCTTGCCGCCCATCCTCTCACCCCAGCAGCAGACGCGATCAGTCCTTTTCGCCGCCTCGACTCGTGTCAGTCACCGTCCGACGTCCGACAAAGACCACCCCCCTTCTCTTTGACGTAATATTTGCTCCTCCGCTACACCAGTGGTCGCAGAACGGTACGTGCATTGTTGGCTTGCTCTCGCACTCTCCCTATCTGTCCCTTTTTATCACCAACCTGCTGGCTGCCATTCTCCCTTCTCTGCCGACTGCCCATTGACTGCCGACGCATCTTTCCCAAACAGCACCCTAATTCAACATCCCTGGCTTCATCTACATCTCCTCCCCTTGTCGCTTGTTCCTTGGTCCTTGCACCGCCCTGCTTCATCTCCAAGGCACAGGCACGCGTATCCCTGGTCGTCGGCTGCTTGGCCGGCCCGTCCAACCCCGCTGCTTTAATTCTCACGGACCTGGCATTATCCACGCCGCAGCCGCGCCGCCGTTTCCTACTCCAAAAAAAGAGACGGGCAGACCCAGTCTCGTGCCTAGACCCATCGCCTCGTCTACGGAGCACCCTGGATCCCATATCTTCTTCCCTTTGCACCTCGCAGGTTCTCTCCTGCTCGTGAGCCCGTCTTGGTCCCACGCAAAGCCCGCTGCTGTGCGACACCCACATACGAACACCTTCGTCCTTTGCCTGCACCGCCCACAGGGCCAACGGGCTAGAAAACCCTGCCTCACCCTCCACCCAAGTGCCATGAGATAGACATTTCGATTTTTGCTTCCCTCGCATCCGCCTAGCGGCGACGAGGTTGCCCACAATGTCGGCCCCAGGGAAACTGACACTTCCACAGAGCTTTACTAAGCGTCGAACCGACGACAAGCGCCCCGAACCCGGCGACCAACTGTCCTCCTCTGTTGACCGACTCCAACAGTCTGGCTCCGGTTTCGCTTATCGCCGTGTGCAACAACAGCCACAATCGTCATCCCAGGTACCACGGTCAAGCTCTCTTCTGAACCTGAGAAATCCGCCCACGCCTACTTCTGGTCAGTTCAGCGACCAGCCACCGCCTCGACAAAATCCACCACAAGACGGCCTCCTGCATCCGCAGAGACGGCAGCATGCAAGAAATCTGAGCCTACAGCACAGTCTCGAGAAACCCCTGCCCCAGCCACCGCCCGACGACGATTCGGACCCCGACACTCCGTCAGTTCCATCGGCCGCCTCAAAAACGAGTGCACCACATACCGAACCGTTACCGTCATTTAGCTTCCCTCCAAATACCACAATGCAGCAACGACAGGGCAGCGTGGACCCTGGCACCTCTACAAACTCTGGTACTATGTACGACGGCCAGGAACAAAACGCCCAAGATGTCGCCCGTAGCTTGACTAGCATCAACACCGACGTGCGAGATGCCTTCACCGCGAGACTCCAAGGTCCAGGCTCGTCGACCGCCTCACCTGCGATTGCGCAAGGCAGAGGGCCAACAATTGCTGGCCCGTCGCAGAGCTCCTCGGCCCACCTCTCGGGTCTTATGTGCAATGTACATAGGACGACTGGCCGGGAGCCTCCACCACTAGTTGGCGCGACGACGACCATCCTGGGCGATAGATTGTACGTCTTTGGAGGCCGAGTTCTCTCCCGCAACCGACCCGCGCCCCTCACTTCCGACCTATACGAACTTGATCTTATCCGACGCCATTGGACCAAGCTCGAAACCGCTGGTGAGGTTCCACCGCCCAGATACTTTCATTCCATGTGTGCGCTCGGTGATACCAAGATGGTCTGTTATGGCGGTATGTCGCCATCACCGAATCAGCCAGTGAACCAAGAGCAGCAGCAGCAACCCGAAGTCACCGTCATGTCAGATATCTACATTTATGATGTCTCATCGAAGAAATGGACCTTCATCCCGACGCCGGATGCCCCTCAAGGACGATACGCCCATTGTGCATGCATTCTTTCATCGGCTGCGTCTTTCTCCTCCGCACGGGCACCACTCTCTGCCCTCCAGCACAACCCCTCGTCAGGAAACCCCAACGAGGGCCGCATCGGCATCAACATTGACGGCTCGGGAGGTGCTCAAATGGTTATTGTCGGCGGCCAAGACGGCGCTAACCACTATATCGAGCAAATAAGCGTCTTCAATCTACGCAGTTTGAAATGGGTATCCACGCAGCCGTTAGGCAAGAGCTGCGGTGCGTATCGAAGCGTTGCTGCGCCCCTGCTACCTTCTGTAGCGGCCAAGATTGGCAAGGTTCACCAAGTCGGTCTGCAACGCCAAGAGGGCATGAACCAGGAAGCACGCGACGGCGGCTCATCTATGCTTATATACTCCAACTACAATTTCTTGGACGTGAAGCTCGAGCTGCAGGTTCGCTCTCCTGACGGTACTCTCAGCGAGAAGCCCATGACCGGCACGTATTCCCCCCCTGGGCTTCGATTTCCCAACGGTGGCGTTCTGGATACCCATTTTGTTGTTTCTGGTACATACCTCACATCCTCTAAGCAGGAATATGCCTTGTGGGCTCTAGATCTGAGAACACTTACCTGGAGTCGAATTGATGCTGGTGGTAGTGTTTTTAGCCAAGGAAGCTGGAACAGAGGTGTGCTGTGGAATAGGAGAAACACCTTTGTCATCCTTGGAAACCGGAAGCGAAGCTTGGTCGACGACTACAACCATCGACGCATCAACTTCACGAACGTGTGTATGGTTGAGCTCGAAGCTTTTGGCTTCTACGACAATCCGCGCAAGACAAGTCCCATGTCCGGGTTCATTTCTGCTAGCAGTCCATGGAGTGGGCCTGGCTTGAGCTTGTCGAGAAAGGCGGGTTACACTGCGGGTGGCCGCTCCCACACGCGGATGAGCGCGGAGATGGGCGAAAGGGTCTTGGCCATGAGGGAGCTGTCCGATATGGATATCCTTTGCATTGGCGGAGAGCGAATCCCTATCAGCTCCCGAATCGTCGCTCGACGCTGGGGACCGTACTTTGTCCAATTGCTCAGGGAAGGCGCCGCGTCCCAGGACGGAGGCGACAGCATGACACTCCGTTCAGGTCTTGCGGGAAATCCCCTCCGCGCTTCCGCCATTACAATAACACCACAGTCGCGAGCGGCAACTGCCACACCATCCTCCACTGCGAGCACCTTGGTCCCAGCAAATGTCGACGTCTCTAGTGCGGACGGTTCGGCGCTTGCCGGCGCCGCGGCTGGCCAAGGGGAAGACGCCAATGCGGGAACAGTAAATGCGACGCCGACGCCACTCACGCTTCCACCCAATACCCGACCCCGGTGTCTTTACCTCCCGCACACCTACCTGACGGTGCAGGCGTTGCTACATTTCTTATACACCAGCTCTCTGCCTCCGATGACCTCGCCGCTCTGCACTCCCCAGATTCTGTGTTCTCTGTTGCAGATTGCGCGGCCCTACCGCATTGATGGTTTGCTCGAGGCCGTTGTTGAGCGTCTTCACTCTCTGCTTGACAGTCGCAACGCTGCTGCTGTCTTCAATGCCACTGCAATGGCCGCTGGTGGCGGACGTGGCATCGACGGCACCTTGAACCCCAACTTTTTCGTGGACAAGGCGGATCCCGTTCGTTCGCCTACTGCTTCGGGAGACTTTGGAGTAGGCGGATCAACCGCCAACGGCTCCTTCTCGTACGATGTCGCTTCACGAACAGCCACCCTCAGCATCAACTCTGGGGGACCAGCTGCCCGCCCCAGCAGCGGTGAGCTGTCCGCTTCAGCTAGCGCTAGTGGCTCCGAATGGGGGTCAGAAATTGGCGGTAGCGATAGAGAAGGCGGTGTGGTTTGGAATGGTGAACTGAGCAGCGTCATCGGCCTCCAGAAGCGTGGCCTTCGCGGCCTTATGGAGGGGCGAAGACTGCGGGAGAGGACGGGCACGAGTGGCGCTGCCACGCTGGCGGCGACGAATGCAAATGCCCAGTACCTCCAGGGCGGGCAGCGAGTCGGGCTTGGCATTGGAAGCTCGTGAGCAGATGGGCGTGTAATGAGCCAATGTTAATGACCTTTAGGAATATGTGTATATATTGGAGCATATGTGGAACTTGATAATGAATGTCTGCAATGCATGGCTTGGAATGATGGCATTATAGATGAAACAGAAAGGACTCTGAGCTACTATCGTCCGAGGGAGCTTCACAGCTGACGGAAAGTTGGTCAATTCAAATTACATGATATTCCCTGTCTGAATAGTGTCTCTACAGTCCTCCTGTTTATTCTATGCGATGGATGGAATGGATGCATAATGGGCCGCCGTGATTTCCAACGGAGCATCCGCCTCCCCGGACAAATCAAATGGATAGACCACTACACGCATGTTATGCTTGTGTGGGAGTTGATCCCGTCATCCCACGGGCCTAGCTGAGATGGCCAGTTCCGTCATGGCGTTGCTATAGCTTGACCCGGCCACCCTCCAGCTCCCGCCACTCCTTCTTGCCAAAGGGCACGTACGTGTCGCCGCGGAGCCAGTACAGCGCGGCGCCGTCGTCCAGCGCGCCGGGCTTGACGCCCGCGTTGCGCAGGACCGACTTTTGCTGCTTGTTGGTGCCGGTGGTCTGCGCGCCCCCAATGTCCCTGACCACGCGCAGGAACAGCGGCACCGCGTACCTGGGCAGGCCCTCGCGGACGTGCGCGGCCAGGCCCCGGAGCGTGTCCGCGTCCGGGGGGCTCGCGCCCGCAAAGTTGACGGCGACGCAGCCGGCGCGGCCGTCGTGGTGCGGCAGCCGCACGCCGTAGACGTTGGCCTCGCGGACGGGCGGGTAGGTGCCGACGGCGTGGGCGACCTCGTTGGTGGACACGTTCTCCGACTTCCAGCGGAAGGTGTCGCCGACGCGGTCGTTGAACGCGTAGCGGCCCTCGGCGTCGAGGCTCATGATGTCGCCGGTGCGCAGCCAGGCGTCGCCCTCGACGAAGACGCCGCGCAGCACCTTGGACTCGCTGGCGCGCGCGTCGCCAAAGTAACCCTGGAAGAGCCGCCCGAGGTCGGCCGGGTCGAGGCGGGTGACGAGCTCGCCGGGCGCGCCGGCGGGGACGCGCCGGCAGAAGCCGGTGGTGGGGTCGCGCAGGGGCCGGTCGAGCTCGTGGTCGTAGGCGAGGAAGGCAAAGTCGTTGCGGAGGAGGAGGCGGCGCAGCCAGCCGAGGCGGCCGACGGCGCCGGCGAAGAGGTCGTTGGAGGAGAGGTTCCAGGTGGAGGCGGCGCCCTCGGTGGAGGCGTAGAACTCGGCGATGGTGGCGATGCCGAAGCGGTCCTTGAAGGCGTTCCAGATGTCCGGACGCAGGCCGTTGCCGATGGCCGCGGTGACCTTGTGCTGCTTGTCGAGGTCCGCGCCGGTGGCCGGGTCGCGCTGCGGCGGCGCGGCGAGCAGGTACCGCAGGGTCTCGCCGACGTACTGGATGCCGGTGGCGTCGTGCTGGCGGACGTCCTGCCAGAAGGTCTTGGTGGAGAAGCGGCGGCCGAGCGCCTGGGTGCTGCCGGAGACGACGGTGGCACAGAAGGAGAGGATGGCGGCGGAGCTGTGGTACAGCGGCATGGAGGTGTACATGACGTCGCGGCCGTCGCCGCGGCCGAGCAGCATGGAGGCCATGGTGCCGCCGGCGATGCACTTGGCCCACGAGACGATGGCGGCCTTGGGCAGGCCGGTCGTGCCGGAGGTGTAGATGAGCAGCGCCATGTTGGAGTACTCGGCCTCGGAGCGGTCCGCGTCCGGGAAGCGGACCGGCGCGATGGCCGCCGCCTCGGCCGCCTCCCTCTCCGGCGTCCACACCATGAACTCGACGCCGGGCAGCTGCGCGCGCACCTCGTCCGTCACGTTGCCCTCCACGGCAGGGTCCACGATGCACAGCCGGGCCGTGGCGGCGCCGACGCAGTGCGCCAGCGGCTTGCCCGTCAGGTTGTAGTTGATCATCGCTGGCTTCGCGCCGATGGCCCAGAGCCCCCACCAGAGGAACAGGAAGGTGTCCGAGTTCTGGAAGTCGAGGGCGACGATGTCGCCGGGCTTGACGCCGTGGCGGGCGCGCAGGTAGGTGCCGTGGCGGAGGACGTGGTCGTAGAGCTGGGCGTAGGTGTAGCGGCGGTCCTCGAAGCGGAGGACGTCGCGGCCGGCGTGCGTCTTGCTGAGCGCCCAGTCTTCCAGGGTGTAGAAGAGGCTGAGGCGGTCGCGGCGGAGGCCGCGTAGGAGCCGGAACATGGTGGTGAGGTAGACGCGCTGCATCTTGAGATCGTACCATAGGCCGGACTTGGCGTTGAGGTAGGCGGCGCCGGCGAGGGCGGCCGGGACCGCGACGGCAAGGGGCACTGTGGTGGGGGTGAGGGCATGTTAGCTTGGTGCGGGTTGGATGTGAGGCCTGCGAGCCATGGTTTCTCTTTGGGGGTTCGTACCGGGCATCTTGGACGACTCTCTCGGTCGCGGTTGTGTGCCTACTGGAGGGGGCCGGAGTTCGGACACGGGATTGGTGGTTGGAGGCAGAGCGATGACGCTATCACTCACTTACTGCGCATTTGGTGGGCAGCGTAGAGCCTTGAATGAGAGATGGCAACGAGGGGATAAAGATGCAAAATGGGGAAAGCAAAGATGCGAATGGGAAGAAGAGAAGCTATCCAAGAAGAGCCGAATTGGCGCTCTGACCGGTATTATTAGCTCACCCCGTCGGGTCTGTCGTCAATGCCCTGGTCCGTGGTTGGCAACAATGGGCCGTTGAGTGGCTTGACAAAGAAAGCCTCGGCTCGGTCCTGAATTAGTGGGAAAGGCGAGATGCTAATGACTTTCTCCCTGGTCTAGGCTTTGCCGAGTAGTTCAGCATTAATAGGTACTGCACCCAAAATGCTCTTGACAAAGACTGGACGAACTCATTCTCAGATTCTTCAACGTCTTTATTCTTCATCCTCTCTTTATGAGCACCCCTTTATAGGCACTGAGTGAATAGCCAGTTGGCAGCACGCGTTGGTCTACCGAAGTAGCCTGTCTGTCTGTCTCCGCGCAACCTTGCCAGTCTGCCTGTTCACCTCCGCGGAATTTCCATCGTAGCGCGAATGGCTCTTGTCTTTGTCGCATTCTTGGCACACCGTACCCGAGGGCTCCGGATTTACTTATTCTTCTTCATGTATAATACGCAAAGACGCCGAGGCAGTGTCAGGGCTGTACGGAGAGCTGCTTGTTAGCAAAAAACCTCTTCTTCTTACTCTTCCTCTTCGCCCTCGCCATTTTTTTTGGTACGTCGTAAGCGTAGTCGACTTCTACCAGGGTCTTCCACCCAAAGCCGATGCCGTACAGCTCACCTAGCCCATATCGTCTGCTACCCCAGACATCGGTGAGCGGAGACTTGGGCTGCCACCGGACAGGCTAGAGTGGATCGCGGCTGGCTGAAGGTGATGTGCATGGCATGTTCTGAAGTGATGACCATGTGTTTAGTAAAAAGAAAAGGGTTGGGAATAACGTAACCACAGGCTGCAGACAGACATCCAGAAAATCTTCCAGAAAATCTTCGCTCATAGGTAGTCTGTTGGTCGATTGTTTGTTGTCGGTACGAGATTGCTTGGTTCGGCAGCACCTACGTACAAATAGCCGTCCCTCCCTTATTATGCAAGCTCTGTGCAGCCGGAGCGGACAAGTAGGTCAGCCCGCATCGTTCACGGTTATGATGAAACACCTGCCTTGAAATTCGTGACAAAGTTGTTACAAATAATTCATGATCGCTCCAAGTCAGCTCTATTACAACAAACTCACCGCAACATCTCAGAAAGCAGTTGTGCATTGTTTTGCATAACCCGTGCATAAAAGCTTCACGTGACATCGCGCCAAACCGCCACCCATGATGCCACGCTTGCTTCTCCTAGTACAGACCAGACCAGACGATGGACGCTGTTGCTGGCCAAGGGCTCGACAGCTCCCAATTCGCCAGCTAAAGAACAAAATTGCCCTGAAAAATGGCCAGCAAGGCATCGGCAGAGGCGTCTGCCCTGCCTGCGGCCGAGGAAGAAAAAGGCTACACTCCCCCGCCCCCAGAGAAACCCTCCGACACCCGAAGACGAAGCTACATTGTCTGGTCGTACTGGCTGATTGTCATCTTCCTCGGCCTCCCGATATGGTGGCAGACGACAGCCATCCACCGCGCGAACCTGCCGCTGGATAGCATGATGCAATGGGCAGATGGCAAGGTACACGACCGACCGCATGGCCTTGAAAATGCATCCCCAGTTGACTGACTCGCCCCTCGCAGGCCTGCCGACCCGTCTTCCCGCTCCAGATTGACATTCGCGTCGATGCGCTGCAGGAGCCCGAGGCCCAGCACCTCGTGCGCCTGACACAACACGCCCTGGACGACCTCAACGAGTTCTCCGGCCACCACCTACGCCTACGCCTAGCCCCGAAGGAGGGCGCCGCTGCCGACGCCGCCGACGAGGCCGAACCCGCCCTAACCATCCACTGCCGACCCGGCGACGCCGCGACGTCCACGCTGAGCTCGGAGCAGCCCGTTCTCGACATCACGTACCCGCCGGGCGCGGCGCCGCAGCTCAGCTCGGCGTCGAGCGGGCTCGCCGCGCTCATCACCAGCGAGCTGCGCGCCACGTTCGCCGAGGAGCAGTCCATCATCGCGTACCTGCTGTCGATGTCGTCCATGGCCGGCGGTGGCGCAGCGCCGACGCCCGAGGCGGCCGAGGCGCTCGCCCGGCGCACGACGCGCTCGCTGCGCTACGCGCCGGCGTACCACCTCACCTTTTCGCTCTTCACGGACCGCGCGCTGCCCAACGCGTGGGACGTGGACCGCGCGCTCGACGAGCACATCCGGCCGATGCTTGCGGCGCTCGCGCCGATTCACAACTTCACCATCGACACGCAGGTCCAGCTGTACGCCACGCCCGGCGACCAGTCCGAGGTGCTGAGCAGAGAGGCGCTGTCGTCCTTTATCAACGCGGCCGAGTGGCCGCTGTCGCCGTCCATCGGGGGCGCGCCCACGGTCAACTTTGTGCTCTACGTCGGGAACCAAACCATCCGCCTCGACGAAGACGCCGAAGCCGACGCCGCTGGTGGCAGCACCTCGCAGTCGTGGACGATCCCGCAGTGGGGCAGCGTGTACCTCCTCGCGCTGCCCAGCACGGAGGCGCACGTCTCCGCGGCGACGCTCCGCCGACCGATGCTCACCTTTGGCGGCCACCTGCTGTCTCTGCTGGGCACGCCGTCGTCGGGCTCGCTGCCGCTGCGGCTCTCCTCGCTGACCCGCATCCGGTCGACCGACCTGCTACTACGCGCCTCGTCGTCGCTGGGCTCGCTGGCGCGGCTGACGGGCAAGCTGCCGTCGATCGCGATCCCGCAGAGCGTGGCGGACGGCGTGGAGACGACGCTGCGGCACCTGGAGCGGGCGTGCGCGGACCTCGGCGGTGCGGAGGGGCTGGCGCACGCGCGCGTGGCGGAGCGCGAGGCGGAGCGCGCGTTCTTCGAGAAGAGCATGGTCGGGCAGCTGTATTTTCCGGACGAGCACAAGATCGCGGTGTACTTGCCGCTGCTGGGGCCCATCTCGGTGCCGCTGGTGATGGGGCTGGTGGCGGAGGTGAAGAACTGGATCGCGAGGCGGAGGAAGCGCGCGGAGGAGGCCAAGGGCAAGAAGACGCAATAGCGATGATTGTATAGATTTTGAAGTTTCAAAACATGCTAGAATAAATGTAATATCCCACGTCCTGATGATGTTTTACTGTCGCACCGGTACAATGAACAAACGATCCGATATTGAGTGTACTAGTGTATTTACAGCTGTGCAAGGTCTATCTACTGTCCGTGTTTCACGCCCAGCGCGCGCTCTCCCTCTGTATGCTGCAGATGAGCATAATCCCACCCGGCCTTACAGGTTCAGGCTGGGGACGAGGTCCCTCACCAGCCTGTCGCCCTGGGTCTTGAGGGCCTGGAAGTTGGTGAGGTAGTTTTTGCCGATGGCGCTGCTCGGCAGGACGGAGTCGTCGCCCGTGAAGAAGATGTCTAGCATTTTTTGGATTAGTCCTTGCACTCCCAAGATTGCTGAAGAAGAGCAAGTAGCAGGAGAACTCACAGGTGACGTCGGCGTCGGTGTGGCCCTGGCCGCCGTTGAGGCCCTGGCCGGGGAAGCAGGTGTTGGCCATCAGCCAGGAAGCCTCGCCAATCTCCTGCGGCGTGTCGCCGTCGGTGTCGCCAAAGACGCCGTAGTATAGCTTTCCGTTGCTGGGGTTGCGGAGAAGCGCGTTCGTGTTAGTAGAGGAACTCGGGCGGCCTGGGGGGGAAGGGTGACCTGCGCACCAGATGACGGCGACGACGTTGTTGCCGGCGAGCTCGTTCTGATGCTCGCTCTGGAACTTGTCGGGGATGACGACGTAGGGCACCTCGTAGGCCGCCAGGGCTCCAAAGTTGGTATCTTCTTGACCATCATCGTTGCCCTGCGTTGCATGGTGTTAGAGAAAGCAAGCTGTCGTGAGGGATCCCACGTGGTATGGTCAACATGCCTTGCAGTGGGAGTCGATTCCGTCGCAGTCAACGTCCATGTCGGCGACAAACGCATACGCAGCGCCCTTACCCCGACGTTAGCCAGCCCTCATCTTCATCATCTCCCCCGGGTTCCTCCCTCACCTTGGACAGCTTGGCCCAGTCGCTGTGGATGGTCGCCTTGTTGTGGTTGTCGTTGCTGAGGATGTAGGTGGCGTCCCTGGGCGTCTTGGTCATCCGGGCGGCGGCGGCGGCGATCTTGGCGACGGGTAGCGTGGCGTCGCCGGCGAACCAGGCGCCGGAAGGGCCGGCGTCGGGCTTGTTGTACTTGGCGCCGTCGACGTTGGTCGGGATGGATGCGCGGACGGGGCCGGCGGCGGCGGCGACGCTGCTGAGAGCGGCGAGGGGGGCTAGGGACTTGACGAGCATGGTGAGAGAGAAGGAGGGTTTGAGAAGGAGAAGAAGAAGAAGAAGAAGAAGAAGAAGAAGAAGAAGAAGAAGAAGAAGAAGCGGGATGGAGGCTGGTGTGTGTGTATAGGATGATCTTGTCCTGGCTTGGCGATGATGCCGGCCATATATAGCTTGGACTAGCTAGTATATCGAAGCCGGAATGGGTGAGACGATGGGATCTCGTCGGCCAACTTGGAGTAAATGGGGTTCAAAAATGGGTAAGCCGTGGCGATCATTGCCAAGTCTCGAACCACGTTGCTGGTGATGGCCTCACCCCGCCGGCACTGTCCGGCCCGGGTCGGCCTCTGCGGGCACGCCTGATCCTCATGCCCATGTTACATTGTTCGCCCAGACCGGTCTCATTCGGAACATTCCGTCGCCAAAAGTATCATAATATCCTGAATTGGGGAACCAGCGCGAAAAGTCGCTGCTAGTCGTGGGTACATCTTATCCGGGGTAGTGAGGAGTTTCTCCGGCGCCACGTCCGGGGTTGGCTGTTGATTGGAGCTATTACAAGCTTCGAGAGAGATTCCATCCCGGCAGGCCTCTTCTTCATTCATGCAGATCTGTCAGGCCAGAGTGCCGAAATCCTCTGGCGAATCCCTCCTTGACAGTCCATGTCGATGAAGCCGAGTTAATCCACCAATAGGAGTTGGAATTTGCTAAGTGAGTGAGCAGCCCGTGCGTGTAATTGTTTGCCAATTTGTCCAGCTGGCCGGAGTAGAGGTTAGCTAATTTAGACCCGTTAACTTATGCGGCATAGGAATAAGAGACACGGCACGAGAGAATTTCTCGAATTGGACTTCCCTTCTTGTCCTGCTGCAAGACCAACGCCAATAGAGTGCATGTGTCGAGCGCAGAGGGAGTGACGGGCTGCAGAACCGCTTGAGACAAGCAGCCCGTTTGCGGCATTTCATAGTGCCTACGACTTATCTGCATTATCTGCATTTAGTTGTGAGGGCTTGGAAAGCGCAGGGACAAAGTGAGCAGGGTTCCGCTGCACGTCAGCGTCGAGGTCGTTCGACTAGGCCTAGCCCCTGCATCACAGGTTAGAGCCATACGAGCATGGCTTCTCTCTCAGGTGCGACGATTTGGTGACCGAGAGTATGAAGGAAGACGAGGATTGATTTGGATCGGAAAAATGAAGGCCTCTTTTACATCTCGCTCGACTGATGAGCTGCGGTTCTTGAACCACGACGACACGCCTTCACCCGGGCCCCAGCCAATCCGTTACGAAGGCAGCCCATGGTAAAGATGAAATTAGTTTTTCTATAAAAAAACTCTGGGCTAACAAAGTGCAGGATCGAAGCGATGGATTTATCTCTATTGACTGAGGAATAGCCCCGCGACATGGACCATCTCCGGCGCGTCCAGGCGAGCCACCCCCCTTCGCCCTTCTACCGGCCTGCGCACTTGGGTTTCTGGATCCCTACTCACAGTAGCGGTGGAAAGCGTTGGAGCCTACTGCTACTACTGCTATCCAAAAACTCAGAGGGAGTACGGGCTGTACTCGCCGGGCCCGCGGGTGTCGCCGCCGCCGCAGCCGTCGCAGGCACGAGCCCATCGTCGCGGTCGGCAGGCCAGCGCGTTGGGGCAGTTGTCCGTCTCGCATTGGCTCTCGCAGGTGCCGATTACCAAGGAGCGGCCGGCGACATAGGCGCATGGCTCGGCTGGCGTGCAAAAACAAGCATCAGCCTCAAACTGGTGTGCGTGGGCGCGCGCGTGTGTTTGGTGAGGAGAGATTCAACGTACCAGGCCAAGCATTTCGGCAGGCATCAATGTGTGGCCATGCTGCAGCAAAGACTGACAGAGTCGCAAGGACAACGGCGCGGGTGACGAACCTGGTGAGGGAGGGATGACTCCGTGAGAAGAGCCTCGGCAAGACGGGCAAGAAAGGCCAGGACAAGGGGGGGCACTCACATGGCAACGGAACTGGCAGACGTGTATACTCCACCTATTCTGTCGAAAGAAAAGAAAAAAACGAAGAAAAGAGACTACTACTTGTTATTCAAGAGACTGCGACCTCAGTAGAGCAAGGCCACACTCTTTATACTCGTCCAACTACAACGCTTGTCCGGCAAAATTGACACTTTCATTGACTTGCGTATTATCCCTCCTCTACAAGACGATGAATGATTGGTCTGACTCGACGGAATCGGACCACCCCGTCAGATTCGAGTCCGCGTTGCTGCTACATGATGTCTGGTTGATGGGCCGCGGCAGTTCACAAGTGGCTTCGTTCGTGGCTGGCTGAGCGACGAACCGCTACTACGCTGGAAGCTCAGCTTGCAACATGTTGTGCCCTTTTCGGGGTTGGCTTCTTGAATATGATTATATCCGCAATGACACAGATTATCTACATAGCTGTTTCTTTCCCCTGTTCGTTGCCGTTGCCTTTGTCAAAATCGGGAGGCGTTGCGGCGCCACACAGCCTCGGCGACGAGCGTTGAGGACTGAAATTCCCGAACGTTCGTGAGTCGGACACTCGGACGTTAGAGTGGTTGAAGCGGCTATTTTGTAGTAATTTCCTTTCTAGCAAATCAGAAAGAGACATTGGGCATGTCTATTCTGACATCCAAGTATATAGGTGCTGGACCACGCCAACCCCCGTCCAGGACGGATCTGGGGACAAGACGCGTCCGTTGCTTTTTGAGTATAATTTGCGACCCAGTACGTAATTGTTGTTTTCACTATCTATTTCTGCAAGTGCGTGGTGGCATGTAGTTACCCATGCTCTTTACAAGCGGAGAGTACAAGGTTGGGTGGGATATGCATCACCTAACCCTGCACGAGAACGGCCTGGAAGAAACCCCGTCTCCTTGCTCGCTTCTAATTGCTTGTGAGTATCAAAGGCACGGCAACTTTGTTGCATTGTAGGTTCAGTCTGACAAAGCATAACAAGATCGCCTAGGACCGACGTCTCGCAGTCGCAGCAGGCTCGCCGGTCCCTCGCAGTAATCATTGTTTCCGCCACCACCATCGTGGCATTTCCCCTTGTCGCAAACCTTAACATGGCTAATGGCGCCATTCCCTCCGCCGACGCAGTAGAACAGCGAGTCGTCGACATTTGCGTGGCTGGTGCAGATGCCAGCCCGTTCAAGCGCCTCGTCAATCTGCATAAAGTATGCCCCTGCACATACATCGTCAGAGGGGGCAATTCAATAGTTGAAATGATTGGACCTGAGACTTTTTACCTATGCTAAGGAGGTTATAACCGCAGTAGTAGAGACCTGTTTTGCAGTTGTCCGCTGCGACTGGGGCCGCAACGGCCGCGAAAGCTGCCATGACGGTATGAACCTTGACCATGATGAGGACTACGGCAAAAGTTGGGTAGATCCAGAAATAAGGTGAGAGATGAATTGGATGTTTGGTCTTGAGCAGACGGAAAGCAAATGTGATGCGACAAAGAGGACGAGGGGACGTATTTATGTCGTTTTCCCCGCACTCCTTCGTACTCGCACAACAGGCTGCAGAGCATACCGCAGAGCTTTATTGGCAATATTAATCCTTCTATGATGCTTCATATACAGAATGAACGAACACTCTCTCGCTGTGTGACGTGACTGATACTTCCAGATCAGGCCTTTGCACCATGGCTATCACTATTATCGCTCTCCTCTTGTTGCCCATGACGAAATCAGTACTTGAGCAAAGCTGGAGCCAAAAGGTTTTCTTTCCCTGAAACCAAAAAAAAAAAAAAAAAAAAAAAAAAAAAAATAAAAGAAAGAATCGTATCACTTTTCCTACCCTCCCCCTTCGCATCCAACATCATCACCGTCCAACTCTTGCTAGGGTGGGGTGGTTGGTGATGGCAGTCCAAACAAGCTCAACCCCAGTCGCATAGCTTCACCTTGGTTTTTTTTCTTCCTCCTTCAAACCTCCTCTCCCCCGCGGCCACACAGCCGCACAATGTGTCTGTAAAAATGCTGCCCGAGCCCGCGTTGACATTCACCATCCCCAGCGTCCACGACGGGCTCCCCCTCGACTGCCGCATCTACCACCCGGCCTCGTTGCGCGCCGAGCAGCGGCCTTCCGAAGCATCACCATCACCATGGAGGCGACACGCGGCCGTGCTCGCCCACCCATACGCGCCGCTGGGCGGCAGCTTCGACGATCCGGTGATTGAGGTTGCAGGTGCCAGGATGCTCGACGAGGGTTACCTGCTGGCGACGTTCAATTTCAGGTAACAAGATGTGAACAAGAGGCTGTGTTTGCTGTTGGCGAGGCGACCTAAGCTGACGCTTGGCGACACAGGGGAGCCGGCCACTCGGCAGGCAAGACATCGTGGACGTCGAAAGCAGAGCGAGCCGATTTTCAGAGCGTCATTGCCTTCCTAGCATACTACGTCCACCACCTGGACTCGTTTGAGAGCGCCGCAGACGACACCCGGGCCGAGGACGGCGCCAACGACCACCCTTCCTCTTCCACGCACATGGTGAATGGAGGACCGCCCACCGACAATCCCACACCAACCGCCGACGACGGACGACAGCCCATGCTCATCATCGGCGGCTACTCGTACGGATCCCTCATCGCGGCGCAGCTCCCGCCGCTCGAGACGGTCCTCGAGCCCTTCGCCGCCCCGCCGAGCGCCTCCCACGAGGCGCAGATACGCCTGCGCGCCGCCAGCCTGGCCGCGCAGCAGAGCGCGCGCCTCAGCCTCTTCGCTCGGGAGGAGGCGCTGCTGCTGCTGCTGCCGCGCACGGCGCACGCCCCGCGGAGCCCCTCGAAGCGCGGCGGCATCCGCGTCGGCGGCGACGAGGGCGACCTGAGCCCGGGGCGGCGCAGCGCAGACGGTGGTGGCGGCCGCCGGAGCCGGAGCGTCGAGCTCGAGGGGAGGCTGCACGAGCTCGCCGCCAAGACCAGGTCGAGCCTGACGGCGCCGCGCCGACGCGTGGCCTCGAACATTGGCACCGCCACCACTCTGGACAGGGTCCCGGAAGAGAAGCGTCACGGTCACGGCCGGATTTCGACCTCGGCAACCACCGATGGAGAAGAACCTGGTGACCAGGACGAAGGGGAAGCGTCGCCCGCGCAGGGCCGTCTGCCTCGCCTCGCCGGCTTCGCGACCCCGCGGCAGGCGTACGTGCTGCTGTCGCCGATCCCCGGCCTCGCGTCGCACCTCGTCACGCTGAGGGTGCTCCCCGGCGCGCTGTCGCGGCGCTCGTGGTGGTGGTGGTGGTCGCCGCCGCGGCCGCCCGAGGAGGACGGCTGCGACGACGCCGCCGAGGCCAAGCTTGTGTGGCACCCGACGCTGGCGGTCCGCGGCGGCGCCGACGCGTTCGTGCTGCCGTACAAGGGCCGTGAGTGGAGCGCCCGGCTGGCGGGCGCGCCTAGGTCGCGGTTCCGCGGCGTGGAGGTGCCGACGGCCGGCCACTTCTGGGCCGAGGAGGGCGTGCTGGACAGGCTGCTCGGCTTGGTGGGAGAGTTTGCGCGCGGCTTGGCCGCCGGGGACGGCGAGGGGGACGTTGAAGGTCCGGGGCAATGACGGGGAATGTTGTTGAGGGTTTAGTATCCAGGCATTCTATCTTGACGTTTTCACTGGCTATATGAAGTTCACGATAAACGATAGAGTGGCTACATAGAGTCACGAAAGTTCAACTAGTTGCTCTGTCCTATTTTGTGCAGGCTCATGCGTAAGATTTACAAATCATATTCGATGCTGTTCGAGAGCAATCTTCGGCCACCTGCGATTACGGACTCTCTGGGTTTAATACTGCATACTCGGCATTGTTGCGGTTATTGTGCCCCTTCACCCGAGAGCTAGTAGAGTGAGCACGAAATCTCTATCCAGATGCCAACAACCATTCGAGATCGGGGATTTGGCTGTTGAAATCGCAGCGCATACGAACATTCTAAAGCAGTGTAGGCAGGGGACATTAAGAGATTGGGGCTGTGGCGGCGCGAGTTCCCAGCATCGTCGATGTACCGCCCGACCGAACTTGCATGGACTGTGCGACAATGTTATCAGTGTTACCACCACCACAAGGCAAGTGTTGGTGTCGCGTCTGGATCTGCGACAAGATGACTACTTTGGCATCTCGCGCAAACCTTTTGACACAGTAAAGTGCTTGTGACGTCTACAGGCTGGGGGGCTTGCCTCTGCACGTCTATGGCCTGCCTTATCTGCCTGCAGTTTGTGCTCAATGTCTCGGCGTAATGGTCAGCAGATAGCGCTCTTTTGTTTTTCTACATACATGGCTGATGAAAACCAGTTCCGGTATTCGGAAGGCGTCGCGAAAAGCCCATGGCAAAGATGGCGTTTCACTTGGGGCTGACTCGCTGCTCTGCTTCGATGAGAATGCCCAGATGAGCAAGACCCCTGTTTTCGTTTGATGGAAAGTTGATTCCGACGCCGCCACCGCCGCCGCCAGCCACCGAACCTGCGGACGACGCGGGCGACCGAGATGGCCTGGGGAGGGTGTGGGCGGGGTTCCGGCCGAGATAGAGCTCCAGCGGCCAATCAGTAAATTGATTGCCGTCTCACCCCCGCCGATGCAGTCATGAAGCGGGCTGGAGTGGGCTCGGGGCCGCGGACAGCCGGCGTGGGGCTATCCAGCTTTCAGTGAGCAACGTTATTAGTGACTGAGAGGCGAGGATTGGGGAAGAGAGCTCCATCATCATCAGCCAACCTCCACCAGGAAAGCTCCCCGATCAAGCACCCCGTCCCCGTGATAGACCGGAGGGAAAGGCGCGCTCCGGCGACAGCTTGCTTAATCGGGGGAGTCTACTCCGATGTTCGATATTCGTACCCCCGCAATACCCGTTCCACCGCTCGACATCGAGTTGACCCCCCTCCAAACCATGATGAACGCCGTGGCACGACTGTCGCGACCGCGCATGCCCCTCAGGGTTTGCGGCTTCCAGCCAAGACATCCAAAGGTGTGTGTGTGCAGCCAGCCCGTCCGTCCTGATTACGCACTTTTGCCGGCACACTACGGATACACTCTACACATCCCGCATTAACCACTGCATCAACTGCATGCTAGCCGTCTCAAGTTGCATCGAGCGTGGTTCAGCAAGTCTTGAGCTTCCCCGCAGCCCAATCTTTTTTCTACCTACAGTACATACATACATACCTATAGACATACATACGCCGTTTGCTGTTGCCCTCTCTCTACACCCCGCCTCCACCAAGTTGGGGTAGCGCTGTTGCTAGCAAACTAGTTACCGGCTACCTGCCTACACCCCCCAAGCTTCTTATTCTACTCAGCCTTTTCTTTTCCTTCTTCTACCATGCTCAAATCTTCAATACCCTCCTCTAACAACTTCCTAGCCTCTTGATTTCATCTTCCGTCCCCGATTCCAACACACCATGACTCTCCAGACACAGCTCAAGGCCCCCAACGGCCTTGACATTACCCTCCCCACCGGCCTCTTCATCAACAACGAGTTTGTCGCCTCCAGCTCCGGCACCAAGATCACCAGCGTCAGCCCTGCGTATGTCGGTCCTTCTCGCTTCATCTTCTTTTCTTCGCTAACAAATCCCCCCACAGTGACGGCAGTGAAATCTGCTCCGTCGAGGCCGCGTCCGCGCAAGATGTAGACACCGCTGTCAGGGCCGCCCGCGCCGCCTTTGAGCACCCCTCGTGGGCCGACTGCCCCGGCCGCGAGCGCAGTGTTCTCATGCACAAGCTGGCCGACCTAGTCGAACAGAACGCCAAGGTCCTCGCCACCATCGAGTCCTGGGATAACGGCAAGCCCTACACCGTCTCCTTCAACGAGGACCTCCAGGAGGTCATCTACACCCTCCGCTACTACGCCGGCTGGGCCGACAAGATCCACGGCCAGACCATCCCCACGACCCGCGCCAAGTTTGCCTACACTTTGCGCCAGCCCGTCGGCGTCTGCGGCCAGATCATCCCCTGGAACTACCCTCTCGCCATGGCCGCCTGGAAGCTCGGCCCGGCCCTCGCCACCGGAAACTGCATCGTCCTCAAGCCCGCCGAACAGACCCCTCTCTCCATCCTCTACTTTGCCACCCTCGTCAAGGAGGCCGGTTTCCCGCCCGGTGTCCTCAACATCGTCAACGGCTACGGCCGTGAGACCGGCACCGCCCTCGTCACCCACCCCAACGTTAACAAGGTCGCCTTTACTGGCTCGACCGCCACTGGTCGCGAAATCATGAAGATGGCCAGCGGCACCATGAAGAACATTACTCTCGAGACCGGCGGCAAGTCGCCTCTCATCGTCTTCGACGACGCCGATCTTGAGCAGGCCGCCAAGTGGGCTTACGTCGGCATCCTCAGCAACCAGGGCCAGGTCTGCACCGCCACATCGCGTCTCATCGTCCAAGAGTCTGTCCTGCCCAAGTTCCTCGAGTACTTCAAGACCGAGATTAAGAACACGGCCGTCACCGGCGACCCCTTCGCCGAAGCCACCACCCACGGCCCCCAGGTCTCGCAGGTGCAGTACGACAAGATCCTGTCCTTCATCGACGGCGCCAAGAAGGAGGGTGCCAAGGTAGAGCTGGGCGGCGCCTCGGCCCAGGCGGCCGCCGGAAAGGGCAAGGGCTTCTACATCGAGCCCACCGTCATCAGCAACGTCACCAAGGACATGACCATCTTCCAGGAGGAGGTCTTTGGGCCCGTCGCCGCCGTGACGCCCTTCAAGACGGAGGAGGAGGCGCTCAAGCTCGCCAACAACTCGCAGTACGGCCTCGCTGCCGCACTCTTCAGCCAGAACATTGAGCGCGCCCACAAGGTCGCCGAGCGCCTCGAGGCCGGCATGGTCTGGATCAACTCGTCCAACGACAGTGACCCGGCCGTGCCCTTTGGCGGCGTCAAGCAGAGCGGCATCGGCCGCGAGCTTGGCGAGGCCGGCCTCAACTCGTACCTCGAGACCAAGGCCGTTCACGTCAACTTGGGCTCCAAGCTGTAAGTGCAAGCTTTGGTGTAGAAGAACAAAAAGAAAGAAAGTAAAATAGTTTCAATATTAGCCATGTATAACGAATTCGAAAGTTTTTTTTTTTTTTTTTTTTTTAAATCAATGCCACTTGGAAGTTTCTCAAAAGCTCCATTATTCATTTACGAAGCGGTCGTATGAGCAGAATATCTATGTAAAACATGCTCAACCTCTGTGGATCAACTGTCCGGCCTGTCATGTTAAAAGGAAGCTTTCCCCGCCCGCCCTTTCTGCTGACTTTGAACTCGACAATCTCAAACAAGAGCATTTGGCAAACTGCTACCTTTGTCGCACCATTTCTACAGCAAGAAAAAAAAACGCAAGAAATGATAAAAGCATATAAAAAAACCCCCCGACTTGGCGAACTGATCGATTGTTGTGCGGCCAAACAAAAAATGTGGTCTCATCTTCCGTCGGCGACCCGGGGCCTCCGCGCGAGCCCGCGAGCCCGGGCCAAAAGTGGCAACTCGCATCATTTATTGCTTCTCAACACGCCACCTCGAGCCTGCTTCCCCAAGGGGCTACCGGTCTCATTCTCACACTGTTGCGACTGTCTTGTTTCAATAACTATACACTTTCACTTCCACTCTTTATTTCGGCTCTGACATGTATGTGGTCACACATATATTCAACAAGACTGGTAAACTAACTATACTACTTGAGCGAGTCCTACATTATATATAGGTACGCTCGGCCAACCAAGAACCATTCGGTCTTGTCCTCCTCTTGCCTCGCTAACTAGTTCGGTTGCTACAGGTCCATCTGCTTGTCATATATTAGGCCCGACGAAGCCGATCTTACTCACTGACGTACCACGCCGACGACAACGAGCTAACAGGCAATACCACCCTAGGACCGGGACCGCGATGACGAGGCCTCGGCAAGCGAGGACGCATGTGGCCAGTCGCTAGCGACAAAGGTGCCGTACGTCTCGGAGGCGGCATCGTCGTTGACCCTAGATTGGTTTCTTATCGTCAGGACCGCTAGCCGTCGAGTGCGCCGTCGGGGGAGTGTGGGCGGCGTCTGCATACAAGATGTTCTCGGGCAGGTCGTGCGTCTCCATATAGGTGCGCTGACCCTGCAGGAACCAGAAGCTGATGGAGACGACGAGCATGATGCCGAACACGGCAATGGCCCAGTTCATGTCCGCGATGCCCGGGTTCGGCGCCGACGGGAAGAGGAAGAAGACAGTCGACACGGTGCAGTAGACGAGCGAGATCCAGTTGAGGGGCGGGCCCCATCGGCCGAGGTGCAGGGTGCCGCCGGGCGGGAGGCGTTCACGGCCGGCCAGCATGAGGGCGACGATAGGCATGGCGTAGGAGATGGTGAGGGCAATGGTGCTAACGCTCAGGATGGCTTGCAGGACCGTATCGGCAAAGAGGTAGAGGACGCCAACGATGGAGATGATGCCGGCTTGCAGCCAGAGGGCGCGCACGGGCATGAGCCAGTACTCGTCGACGTGGGCAAAGTAGCGAGCAAAGGGGATTCCGCCGTCACGCGCAAAGCTCCAGGTAAGTCGCGATGCCGACGTCATGATACTAATGCCCTGGCCCATGCCGTTGAATGTGAACAGGGAGACGAACACGGCCGCGCCTTTGAGGCCAACAACGTCCTGGATGAGCTGGATGAAGGGCTGGCCCGACTCGGGCTCCTGGAGGCTCTTGATGTCCTGGACGCAGAAGAGGCACACACAGAGGAACAGCCAGCCGGAGATGGCGCCGCAAATGACGGACATGTACATGGTCATGGGCGTCTGCTTTCGCGGGTTTGGAATCTCTTCCACCATGTGGATGACCGAGTCAAAGGCCGTGAGGCCATAGGCCGACTGGACAAGGCCAAGGAACCAGGTGACGCCGGAGTTCCAGCCTGTACTGTTGATCCAGGTGCCGAAAACGAACTTGGCGTTTTGAAAGTGCAGATCAGAGTGTGTGCCAACGGCAATGGGGAGGCCAAGCGCTATGGCGAAGAAGAGACCGACAAAGCCAACGGCGACAAAGTTGTTGAAGCCAGGCAGGATCTTTTCGTTCCGGCAGGAGACGTGATTGAAAACGCTGAAGCCCACGGTAATGCCGACGTAGACCAAAAGCTTGACCCAGCCTTTGTTGGCACCCTCCCATGTAGGGTCAAACATGAGCTTCATGCCGAGGAGGAACTGGGTCATGAAGGCATTCTGGGAAGCGGTGAGGGTCCACCAGCCAAAGGTGTTGATCCAGGCACACATGTAGGAGGCACGGCGACCCCAGGGCGTATCCCAGAGACGAGAGATCCAGAATGCCTGACCGAGCGCGGTGGGCATGCTGCTGCAGAGCTCGCCCAGCGAGATGGCGACGCAGAGGTTGCAGAAGAATACGAGGACGAGTCCCCAGAGGATGGCAACAGGGCCGCCGTTGAGGAGGCCGCTGGCCAGGTTCTGGGCACAGGTGCTCCATGTGCCGAGAATGCAAAAGGAGAGGGCAAGCATGCTCCAGACGTCAAACTTGCGGGTGAGCGTCTCAGCATGGCCCAGCGCGGCAAGATCGCCCGCATCGAGGGCAGCCTGGTCGAGCTCGTCGAGGTGCGCCTTGCCGCCTTCCATTGTATGGTTTCTTCTTGGCTTGTATGTGGTTCCCTTTCATTCTCTAGTGGAGGTTATGCCGTAAGACAACGGGAGGCAGGCGCGAGTGTTGGCAAGGTGAGTGCTGAGTGAATGCGAGGACGGCGGATCAGTGACAGAGGGATGTGGATGGGGTTGGTTTGGTAGGCTTTGTAGACTTGGATCAGGCTTGTTGCTGACGAAGAGAGCTGATATTTGAAGCTCAGAGTTTGTAACTTGATTCCGAGACAGTGGAATACGCGTTGGCAGGATAGACAAGAGGAGCGTGTAGTTGAGTGAGGATCACACCGACCTAAGTATAGAACCAAAGACCGGGGGACACCTCGACGGCCAGCTTATCCATTGGGCAGTGCGATTGTGCTTGGGAGGCCCGGGGGCGTGTGTGAGTGGCGTATAGACCACGATTGACAAGTGTGGCAGGAGGAGGGAGGGGTCGGAGTGCGCCCTACGGCCAGGAGGCCCTAGAATGAGAACGGCATGTATCGCTATTCAGAATTCTTGATAGACACGCGTGGCCAGTTTGGTGTGACGGTAGAGAAAGACAAGGGGGAGGAGGGGCGTTCGGAACGGCGAAGAGCGTAATCCTGGGGAACCCTAGCGCCCCTTTGTCGCGTGCCGAGTAAGGTGGCTAGCAGGGGACCAGGAGGAGGAGGAGGATGGCCTTGGTCCGGGCAGCAGCGCGGTATCAAGAGTTGGAGAAGTGGGCAGGTCGTCGCCGTTTTGTGGCGCAGGAGGAGTGGACTGTGTCGCTCAGCCGTCTTGGAGATGAGAAAGCTCGGCGGGAGATGTCCAGACGGTAGGCAGTGTTGGTGATGAGAAGCATTGAGACGACGGGAGGATGAAGAAAAAAATCTGGGGATCAAGACACTGGGGGGCGACGAGGCAAGGAGTGGAGTAGACGGCGCTGAGATACTTGAGAGATACATGTGGCACATTTGCGGCTCGTCGCTACTGACCTTAGTAGGTAGGCTCATGTGGTGGTAACTCTTGCTATCAAGATTACCATCTACTCCCTGCATAGAACTATCTCATGATTAAATCAAGGCAAGCTGAGCAATGAAAATTCTGCTCTATCGGGCCGCTTTACGTATCATGGCGAGATGACAATTGCTTGCATGGACCAACTCAGATACCAGATACCAGTCGCACATTTTCAATACTGATAAGACAGAACCGCCCCGCGCATTGTGGACTCGTTATCGCACATCGTCGTGGGGGAGGGTGCGTTGCGAGTCACCTTGGTTCTCGGCTGGCGATAATGAATCTCATTTAATTTACAGGGGGCGGAGGCGGGCGAATCGGTTGTACATACTTACTTACATACCTATTAGTTCCAGGTCGGTACGAGGCTATATCAGTGGCATATTATGTAACTGTCATCTCGCACCGCATGTACGGTAACCACTACAGTGTTAGCATCTCGTAAAGAGCTGCATATTGACCACTGTAACGGTGCTTTTACCGTTTCTACCAGGGCGAAACACAAAATCGAAAGTAGAAATAGCCCCGAGTCAGCTCCGTCCAGGGTACACTAACAATGCCGTAATATGTTGTAAATAGAGTTGCATTGGCTGGATTCGAGACAGCCCTTTTCAGCCCGCCAAGTACTCTACAAGTACCCACCCGCTGCCAGCTGCAACAGCTTGACGGCCCGTCAGAGCCTCACAGCGCGCAAACGCATTCCGCCTCACTTGACGATATTCCCTGAGCTGAAGCAAGATCATCTCTTCATCCCCCTTCCCCCTCTCCCATTCCATCTTCTTCATCAAGTGCACAACGTCCTCTTTACTCCTCGACTCGTCGTTGCTTTATAGTGTTGCACTGACGCCCCCGCCGAACAAGGTCAAGAAACAAGTTTTTATTTCACTTCAGACGATGCAACCTCGTTTGTTGGACCGCTATGGCCGTGACATGGCCACTGGCACGGACGCCTCCGCCATCCGCCAAAGATGTCAATAGCCATTCGACGCCCTTTCGGCGATTGTAAAGTTGCCCATCTCATTTCCGTCTTGCATGGCTTCCCCTAATTATTCCGTAGCCTCCGTCGCCAAACTCTCGCGGCTCGCGGACAGCGAACGGGCAGCCATTCCACCAAGGATCTCCCCATCTAGCATAATCAACGACCCCAGAATCTATCCCAGTCCCACATCCTTGCGTTCCAAGACGGTCATCGCCACCCCAACCCATTGGTCTTGGCCTGTGAGGCGCCGCCCCAGAATCCGAGACGAAAGCATGGACGCCATCGCACGCGTGTCCGCGGACGCCGGGCCCGCACCAGCCACGCCGCCGTCCCGGGCACATCCTGGCTGTGGGAGCCCCGGAGACAGGCGGCCATGTTCTTTGTTGGCTTCCAGAAGAGCGGCTATCTTTGTTGGCGAAGACCTCAACGCTTAGGCCGATGGTCGGCGAGCATACCACAACCAAAACTCTTTGCCGGGTATTTGCCTGCCCACTGTGGACATTGTGGGCGCGGCCGCAATCAACAATCCAGGTTGTCCCCGACCGCGGCACCCGTCTCGTCATGTCGCCATGAGTGGGGATCGCGCCGCCGCGACGTTATCGCTGCTGCATGACCATCTTTCTGTGCAATATGTGTGGGCAAATCGGTCAACCTGCCGCAAATCTACTTTGGCCCAATCCTGTAAGTCGTTACACCTCATTCCCCCGCTTGCAAAAATTCATGCAACCGCTCTGTTGTCACCCCAGATGCAGCAGGCGCTCCACGTCCAAACAATGCCGAGAAGACTATGACAGCTTCCCGAACTCGTTCCGACGCCTCCTTTGCTGTTTTTTTTTAACAATAATACATCTACCACGCTTCAGAGAACATCTTGTCCCGCGGAGTGCCGTCAATATTGCATACAATCTAATCCGAAGAGAACTCATCGTAAAAGGCTTACCGGCTCAGCCAACCCGCAGCAGTGCCGCGCCGTCTCTCGACGGCCGACAAGTGCCACACTAAATGCGCCTTCGGGGTGGTCCAGCTGCTCGGCGGCCGAAGTGGTGCGGATGGATCTTATTCCACACCCCAGACCAAAACTAAGCCTAAATCATGCCTGACCTCGTGGTCTCACCAGATTCGTGTCAATGTTGCCAAGTCTCGGTAAGGGCCTTCCTCTACTATGCATATAACTTCCCGGCCTTTCCAACTCTACCTCATCGACTCTTCCTTCTAAACATTTACACATACATACCCAACGACTTCAAGACTTGTCGTTTCACGCCCCGCCTGTCGTTTACACATTTTTCTCGCTTCAGACACGCAGCTCTAGCCACCAGCCTGCAGAAACAACCTCCACCATGGCTAATCCCGCGTTACAGCCAGATCTAGATCTCATAGCTGGCTATGAGGTCTACCCGGAGCAGGAGTACTGCCCCAAGGTTGCTGCCAGCCTCAGACACCAAACACATCCCCTCGACCAGCTCTCAATGCAGGAAATCTCCCATGCGGTCAAAATGATCCGCGACAAGGCGAGTCCTGTCGAGATCAAGTTCAATTGTGTCACTCTCCGCGAGCCGCCCAAGGCCGAGTATGCCGCCTTCAAGGCAGGTGCCGGTCCCCGTCCGGAGCGCAAGGCTTTCGCCATTGTCATTCAAAAGGGCAGGAATACTTGCGCCGAGGTCGTTGTCAACCTGACCAACTCTACCATTGAGCAGTGGAAGCCCGTCAGCAATGTTGCCCCCACCCTGACGCTTGAGGATCTCGACGTCATGGAGCGCATCTCTCGCAAGGACCCGCGTGTCATCCGTGCCTGCGAAGAGATTGGCATCACCGACATGTCCAAGGTGTTCTTGGATGGCTGGGCCGTTGGATTTGATGACCGCTGGGACTTTAGCCGTCGTCTGCAGCAGGGCCTTGCGTACTACCGCCACTCGCCCAACGACAACCAGTACGCTCATCCTCTGGACTTCTGCGTTGTCGCCGACACCGAGACCGAAGAGGTCCTCAGCGTCGATATCCGCTATGTAAACGGCGAGCGTACGCTGCCTCCTCTGGACCAGCACAACTTCCTTCCCGAGTTCATTGAGCAGGGCTACAACACCACCAAGCTCAAGCCCCTCGACATTACCCAGCCCGAGGGCGTTTCCTTCCAGATCCGCGGCAATGAGCTCTCGTGGGCCGGTTATAAAATGCACATTGGCTTCAACTACCGCGAAGGCATCGTCATCTCCGATGTCCGCATCGACGACCCTTATGAGGGCCGTGAGCGCACCCTCTTCAACCGCATCAGTGTTGTCGAAATGGTTGTTCCCTATGGCAACCCCGACCCCCCTCACCAAAGGAAACACGCTTTTGACGTCGGCGAGTACGGTACCGGTCTCATGACCAACTCTCTGAAGCTCGGGTGCGACTGCAAGGGTGCCATTCACTACATGGATGGTATCATGTCCACTTCTAGTGGTCTCCCTGCTGTTCTTAAGAACGCCATTTGCATCCACGAGGAGGACAATGGCATTCTCTACAAGCACATGGACTACCGTGACGCCAGCACTGTTCTGGCCCGCGACCGCAAGCTCATCATCTCCCAAATCATCACCGCCGCCAACTACGAGTATGCCTTTTACCACACATTTACCCTCGACGGTACCTACAAGCTTGAGATCAAGCTTACCGGTATCCTCAACTCATATTGCTTGCATCCCTCCGAAACCGCTGCCCCTTATGGCACCGAGGTTGCCCGCGGTATCACAGCCCACAACCACCAGCACATCTTCTCTCTTCGTGTGGATCCCGAGATTGACGGCACCAACAACACGGTCATCCAAAACGACGCCGTCACCTCGGAAGCGCCTCTGGGGTCAGCCGAGAACCCGTATGGCAACGGCTTCTACTGCAAGAAGACGCCGCTGCGAACAGCGAAGCAGGGTGCCGTCGTGTACAAGCACGAGACGGGCCGCAATTGGGACATTGTGAACCCCAATGTCATCAATGACGTATGCCATAAGCCTGTCGGTTACAAGATCGTCAACAACCAGTGCCCCACGTTGCTAGCCAAGCCCGGCAGCATGGTTTACAAGCGTGCCGGCTTTGCCAACAAGAGCCTGTTCGTGCTGCCCTACAAGGACTACGAGCTGTTCCCTGCGGGTGACTACGTCTGCCAGTCGACCGGCGAGCCTGGCCACCCTGACTCGTCCGTCATTACTGACTGGGTTGACCGTGATGAGAACATTGAAAACACGGATATTGTCTGCTACCTGCAGTTTGGCCTGACACACTTCCCCCGTTGCGAAGACTTTCCTCTGATGCCCGCCGAGCCCGTCATGATTATGATTCGCGCATCAAATTTCTTCGTCAGAAATCCGGCGCTGTGGGTGCCTCCCTCGACGGTGGCAAAGGACCTGAGCTCACGGACTGCGTTCCTCAACGCGGGGAATGGAAGTGGCAGCTGCTGCGCCGAGAAGCAGGTCCCTGATTCGCATTTGTAAATACCAAAAAGTTTTGTGTTGGAAGAGATTGATATTGGCATGAGGATGAGACCATGCGATGCATATAGTCTAGCGAGTATCTTTGCGGGGACCTGGGAGAAGCTCTGGCGGAGTGAGTACCGGGTAACGCCATGGATGAATTTTTTGACATTGTACAGCTTTTGTTAGCTTTTTTTTAAAGGAGATGAACTTAATGTACAGTTTGATGATTTATTAAATAATGACGTGACGATACTTAAAGTTTGGAGTATAAAAGATATCGAGTTGGTGCGGCTGAGCGATCGTGCCATCATGAGCATCGGCCGAGTGGTGAGGCCGGTGTTGACCCAGGAGGCTCCCCGGGGAAGGACTGTGTTTTCGAGTTCTCTGTTCTGTGGTGCCTGCGCTTCCCATCAACTTCCCCGACCTGAAACGGTGCCACATCAGAGACACACCGGTTTCGAAACCGAAGGGTTATTGTTCGCCTACTAATTCTCCAGTGTGTTCACTAGGACAGGAGTCGCTTACGCGCTGACCTCCGACTTGGCCAAACATGTTATGCAGGTACCGGCCAAAAGCAGGCAGGGGAGGAGGGCAAGATAGGCGAAAAGGGAAGAAGAGCTATATTAAGAAAAGACACAAAATCCGGGAAATAAACTCGATTTAAGCTGCACAAGGCTCAGCCCTGCATAGCGCTTGTTCCGGGATGGGCAGAGTTTGGGGAAAGCTTCATCGGCAAGCCAATCGCGGACGGCGGCAGCGCAGCATCTTGAAACAGGGCTGATGGACCGAAATAGATCTCTCTCTTCCCAATCTATTCTGTTCTCTTGTCCTGTTTCTTCAGGAACCCCCCATACGGCGGCCGCACACACCCCCTCAGAAACTCAACTCCTCTCCAGTGCTTTCCTAAAAAGGCAACTGTCAGGGTCGAGGCGCGCGCTTCCATTCTGACCAATCCGCGTCGAAGAGGTGGAGACGGGTTCGACTTACACGGAGCCAACCACGGACAAGCTCCCCTCTTTCTGAGACTCTTCCTAGCTAAAAAGGGGACGGGATATTTTCAAAAAAGAATAGCACCGTCATGACGAAGGTTTTGGGTTTGGTTTAATTCTGCTGCATTTTCGCGGGAATTTGGGTTGTCTTGAAGCTCTTTGGTGATGCCTCGCACTACCCACTTCCACCTACGTACAGACAAGACACACACATACTTATTCTTCTTTCCCCGCCGATGTTGGCTGCAAGACGCGACCCCTTTCATTTCTCGAAATCAGAGGGCCCATCCTATCCGAGTTCGTCCTTGGTCGAAGTTCTTCTCTCGGCCCACGCCTTGGTTCAAACCCCGCCCCCTTCCCCCATCCACACCAACCTGGGCGCTTGATCGAACGCATCACACACCATGCACCATGCTACTAAAAAAAAAAAAAGAACGGGGAATTTCTCCGCTGAGCGTGGCTGATCTTTTCTACCTGCATCACACGCAGGTACACACACGGCTCGCCATTTTGTTTTCGTTTTTGGCGGTTGCTTCCCGTAGGCGCCGACAACTTTGAGATGGCGCCCGTCCCGCTGCCCCCCTCCAGCTTGACCTTGTCCTCCTTCTCTATGCAGGTACAAACGTACACACCCCCGGCCAGCCAATGCTGGCGCCGCATTCCCCGAGTTCTGGCTCGTCTGGACACAGCGGCTCTGTTTCATCTCCATTTTTGGCTACCAACGGCCTGTCCGTTTCATCGCCAAGGCAAGCGCCTGGCGTCGTGGGCTTCTCGGTATGGCGACTCTTGACGCAAATCGTCAACGAACGGACGGGGCCGCACCTACTCCAACTAAAGCCCTTTTCTGTTTTAAGTAAAGTTCATGGTCCGGAATCTTGTCATACTGGTTCTTCTTCTTCTTCTTCTCTCGATCATTACCACTTCCCTTTTCTGTTCAACAGTTTGCTTTCTTATTGTCAACATTCCTACTAGACGGCTGTGTCTTTCTGTTGTTCTTAGAGTTGCATTTTCCTTTTTGGTCTTATTCCCCTACCGTCAACCCCGCAACATATATCAACGTCTTCGTTTCATCTCGATATTGCAATTTCAATTGGCTTCGACAACTTCCTCTCCTCATATCACCACTTCACATAGCCGTCGCACTGGTGTGACGGGTTCCCTCTCCACCCGGCCGCGACCTCGTCTTCACCTCGCCTTCCCATCACCGTTAATCTTTAATTCCTCGTTTCACAAAATCTTGATGTGACAAGGCCACATACACACGCACCTTCCCCGTTCCACAAGAGCCACCACTCATAAAGCACCCTGTGTCACCATGAAGACCTCCAAGCACTCGAAACAGCCGAGTGACTCGGCCTCCACGTCCCGGCGGCGCGAGGCCCAGACCCGCAACAGCCTCGCACAAGCGCAGGCCTACCAGCAACGCCTGTCCGGCGGCAGTGCCGCGTATTACGCTATGCCAACGACGGAGGCTGAGGTCTACGACGCCTACCATGCCAACGGCGTCCTACCTCAGCACCAACACCACCAGTACCAACAGTACCAGCAGCAGGTAGAGCCGCAGGATCTGCGGCGCAGCGCCAGCTCCGGCGACTGGTCTGTGCATGGCGAGCAGCAGCAGCAGCAGCAGCAGCAGCAGCAGCAATATCAGCAGCCCCAGCAGCAGCAGCAAAAGCAGAGGCCCCGGCTGCTGAAGCACGCTGAAGCCAAGACGCTGCTCGACGCGCGGCACCGCCCTAGCAGTGGTGCGTGGTCGATCCGCGACGACCAGCAACTCGTCATGGCGCGCAGCGACGGCCTCAACTGGAGCCAGATCCAGGAGCAGTTCTTCCCCGGCAAGTCGTCCAACGCGTGCCGCAAGCGTCACGAGCGCCTCATCGACAGCAAGGGCCGCGCCAGCGGTGGCGGTGGCGACGAGGCCGCGCGCGTGGAGCGCGTCGCGGCAGAGTATGTTCAGATGCGTGAACGCCTGTGGCGGCCGCTCGCAGAGAAGACGGGCGAGAAGTGGACGTTTGTGGAGCGCACAGTATGATGAACCCCAACGCAAACCCCCTTGAGGCGTGAGAACTGAGCTGATACCAAGACACCCACAGTGCCTCTCGCATGGCCTCAAGAACTTGCAGGGCGTCGCTCGTGCGGCGAGCCGCAGGCAGCGCTTCGATGCCAATGCCATGGCGGCCGCCGCGGCCGCAGCGGCAGTCGCGACGACAGGCTACGACGACGACAGCGGCGTGTCCGGGATCGGCTTGACGCCGGTGGAGGACACCAGCGCCGGCGCCCTGGCGTACAGCAGTAGCAGCCCGGCGCCACCGAGCTCGCACGGCGGCGGCGGCGGCGGCCACGTGGACATGCTCACCGCCGCGTCCTTCGCATCGACCGCCACGCAGGCAACGGCGACGACGAACGCGACGGCATACCTCGCGCACCTGGGACCGGTCGCCTACGCCAACCTCATGTATGGCGGTACTGCTGCCGCCTCCGCGACGCAGTACCACCCGCCGCACGCGTACTCGTCGAGCATCAGCTCGGACGGCAGCCTGCACCCGGGATACGTCTCCCGACGGGGCAACGAGAGTGCCTGAGGAGGTCCCTATCCCAGTCTTTGTTTGCTGTGCTTAGTGTTTGCTCTCTGTTTTCTTTCTTGTTCAACGGCATACTCACCAGTCACACCGCACCCTTATCATTCCTTTGCGCCCGATTCTGTCGGGAGCCTTCACAACTTCCTTATTAGTCACTCCTTGTAATCTCCTTTGTGCTGGCGAGTTGTCTCCGTTTTCTGGTTCTGCTGTCATGATATAAATCGATTGGGGAGTTGGCGTCAGGGAGTCTTTTTCATGTTTTTACATTTTTGTCATGTCCTTCAGTAATGTTTTCCGTCATGATGTCTTGATGAATGGCTCCTCACCGCGCCCTGCCGTATTGAAGAGATGGTTTCAGACTTTTGTTTCGATTTCTTAAAAAAATACTTCTTTCGAGTTCCAGTCTGTTCGCTGTCCTTTTGCGTCGCCGCTTATGATAGATAGCGCCAACATAAAAGTTAATTTTCACAAAACGAAGTGATCTTCCATAGTCACAAAAAAAAAGGGTAAGTGAAATCTATCCATGCAAAATGATTTGTATACATTCCTTTACACGGCCTGCACGTCCCACCAACGACGTTTCCAAGCCACCTCAACCCATCCAAAGAGCCGCAGCGCTATGCCCCCGTCCCTCGAGTAGAGGTCCGTAGTAAAACAATTGAGAAAAGTCGTATAATTTGTACAGGCAGGCTCGATCGACAAAACAAACAACGTTTTGCCGTCACCTGCGCGGCGGGAGCTCCAGCGCCTTGGCGGCCTCCTTGACGCGCTCAGCCGTCATGCCCGCCATCTCCTCAAGCTCTTGCTCCTCCCAGAGCCCCTCCTCGTCCGCCGCGTCGCCGAACAGCCCGCGCCAGGCCCTGCTCCACAGGTCCCTCTTCTGCAGCATCGCGAGGATGAGCACGGCGGGGAGGTGCCAGACGCTGGCCCAGAAGAGCCCGCGCGCGCTGCCCGCGTGCCCGCCGTGCCGCCAGAAGCGCAGCGCCTCGCGCGCCAGCCACACGTTGACGGGCAGGCTGGTGGCCGCGAAGGACCACTCGGTGACGCCGGCGGCGCAGAGCGCGACGCAGAGCGGCGCGAAGACGAGGGAGTAGCGGAGGGCGACGCGGGCGTTGCGGGCCGGGTCTGTCCAGGCGAGCATGCGCAGGCCGGCGGCGCGGTACTCGTCGCGGATGGGCCAGCTGAGGGCCATGAAGTGCGGGAACTGCCAGGCGAAGAGCAGGGCCGCGAGCAGCCAGCCGCCGAGGGAGGAGCCGTCGGCGGCGCGCCGACCCACGTGTTGAGCGCGGTGACGCGCTTCAGCGGCGTGTACACGCCCGCGTAGAGCACGATGTTGGCGACGCCGAGGAACGACACGGTCGGGTTGACGCCGAAGTAGAGCGCGCCGGCGCCGACCACGCCGGCGACCACGGCGAAGAGCGCGGCGCTGCGCGTCGGCAGGAGACGTCGCACGAGGGGCCGGTTGCGTGTGCGCGTCATCCGGGAGTCTGTGTCGGGCTCGTAGAGCATGTTGAGCGCGTTGGCGCTCGCGGAGCACAGCGCGGTGCCGGTGGTCAAGAAGAGCAGCGTTAGCGGGCTGAGGCTCGTCGTCTCCGTCGTGGCGGGCGCGAGCATCTCCGGCACCGGGTACAGCGCGTAGGGCACCATGGCGGTCAGCACGACGAGCACGGTCAGTCGCGGCTTGGAGAGCGAGAGGAAAGTCGACAGCGTGCGGCGGAGGGATGAGGCCGGCTGCGCGGCGGCCTGCGTCGTCAGGAGTGACGAGGCGTCCGGCGGCAGGGGTGTTTCCTCGCCGTCCCCTTGAGCTTTCTGCTGCTGCTGTTGCTTTCGCAGCTGTCGGCGGCGATGCGGCGGTAATTGCTCGAGGGATTGGTCATCGTGGCGGACCTGCTGCTGTTGTGAAGTTGCCTCGTCAATCGTCGGCGATGTCGCGGTGGATGTCGCGCGGGCGGCTCTACCGCCGGTGAAGACGAGGAAATCGAGACACCGAGACCGGTCAAACAGGCGGTTCGAGAGGAAGAAGCTCCCGCTGCCGACCGGTAAGGAGGCCGCCGAGGCGCGGGGCATGGGAGCGCTCGACGTCGCCGAGGACAGCCATCTAGCTGCGGCCACGGGGGCGGCGCGGCATGGACGTCGAGATGCGTGCTTTAGGATGTGGAAAGACCGCATTTTAGTCGTCCTCGGGTCATGACGCGACCGCGAGAAGGCCAATGCGTGTGGAAACCACCAGGGCGAGACGCAGTCTGAGGTGAATCCGGGTTTCGAGATTGATAGATGGTGATCGTGTTCGCAAATGGCAAAAGGCCTGGGAGCTTTTTTTTGACGCTTGGCTTGGCTGACGGCAACGCTTCCGACCCAATCCGTCATGTGACTGGGTCCGCCTGGTGTGGACGAGGCAAACGCCGAATTTACGGCGAGGAAGGGCAGAAGGAAGACGAAAATGAGTAGTTCTTTTTTCCTTTTTAATTTTTAGATTTCTTTTCGATCCGATTTATACTGTGGTCGGGCTTTTACTGTGGCATTGTTCACACATCATTCGATTCATCCACAGAAGCTAAGTTCGTTCACGAAGCTCCCTGGACCTGGCTACACAGCCAGAAAATTAGGCTAGAAAATAGAAAATGAGCTATTTAAAGAAGCAGTTAAAGACAACTCTAATTGCATCCTCTATTTCAGCGAAAAAGAAAAAGAGCTCATAGCCTGGGATTGCGGGCTCAAGAACCCGCAGCGTCCAGCAGTCAAGGTAGACCCGCCTAATGTGTACAACCAGTACGTACCCACATACATGCATGTACATACATACATACATACATACATATGTACATATGTACATATGTACATACATACATACATAGCTATGTAGGTCGCGCCAGGGACCAAGATCCATCTCCAACTCACAAGCTTACCCTCTACAAGAGCTCTCTATATTCCATATCAACGACAAGATGGCGACATTATTGGATAGGCTGCGGGAAACTAGCCATGTTGACTGCGATACGATGGACCTACGACGTACTTGATTGAAGCGGTGAATTGAGACCCTCTAACAGGGAATAGTCGCCAAGTCACGCCCGTTTGTCGATTGCACCTCAAACCAGGTTGTCGCCAATCGCACCGCGAACGAGCACCACCAATTAATAGATGTGTATAGGCAATTTCATACTTTGAACTTTCACGAAACGACTGCGAACACTACCGCTCCCTATGAAAGGAGGCCCTTACCTCTGCAAGCGGCCCCTTGTTTCCATTGCGCGGTGATGTGACGCCTCAAGAATTTGTAGTGGAAATCGCAGTATGACCATTCAAACTGCCCTGAACCATCAAATATCTCACAATTCAAGATGGTCAAGTTACAACTGGAGTTCCTTCCTTACACCACAGGATACGTCCATGTTCAGACGAATCCGAAACTGTTCTTCTCCACCGAGAGGACGGTGAAGAATGGTCCACGTAAGTCGACGCCGCAATATCGTGCGCTAAAACTAATTTCCCTCAAGGGATTGCGTCAATCTTCAAAGAACTGGTGGCTGACAAGTATGCAAACCGGTTATGCGTCAAAGTACCCGCGACGTGGGAAGGCCTACAGGCCTGCCGGGCTCTTGAAGCGCAAGGCATACCAACTCTGGCAACGACAATGTTTTGCATGGAGCAGGCGTCGCTAGCCGCAGACGCCAATTGCACCTACATTGCTCCGTATGTGAATGAGCTACGGGTTCACTTTGACAAGGGGTAAGTACAAAGCGGCGGCATCTTTGTCATGCGTCACCAAAGTAAGCAGTCACAGTGCTGAAAACGAACCAGGTTTGTGGACGAGCACAAAGCTTTCGACTTTTGCGCGGAAACCCAGAGATATTACGAGAACATTCAAGCAAATACACAGTTGCTGGCGGCTTCGCTCACATCCGTTGAAGAGGTCATGCAGCTCGCAGGCGTGCATCACATCACCGTCTCTCCGCCGTTGTTGCGGGAGCTTGCCTCCACACCTGCCGATCTGTGGCAGAGCTACTGTCTAAACGTTTTCTAACCAAACCGAATTTTTTCACACAACAGAAACGATTTCGATGGCATTATAACCGACGAGAGTGGCTGGAGGCTCGCGTTTGCGAGAAGCGGTTTCGGAATTAGTTGTGGTAAGCTCATCCAAGCCATCAACTATTTTTCCGACATTCAAGAGAAATTGGAGGACATGGCTATGCACTATAAATGAGCAACTTGATCTTTCTATTTTCTAACCCCTGACGGCCCGACATGACAGCTTCCCTGCTGGGACATTCCTTCTCCCTCCCAGATCACGGGGCAAATGGCGCTACCGTGACATGCCCGTATCCTGCCTAATTCACAAGCTGAAGAAAGGGTGCTTTTTGAACCTCTCCATAAAAATGACAAGGAATGTATTTGTTCCCTTATGTATTCAAAGGTTTCCGGCCTTGTTTGCTTGCGCCTTGACCACCCAAGCAATCGTCTTGTTCAAACGCAGATGCGATAACCGGAGCCAGACTTCATGGCTATGAATCACTCAACACAAAAGGAGAAGTCTAAGCCACCGAGAAAGTATAATTACTTTCAGGTCCAACTCTTGGAAGAACGTTGGCGACAAGTTCGACTGCCTTATCTGCGCCTCCAACAACCCCTCAGGCGATAGTCTCCTTCAAAGTGAGAAAACGTCGAAATTGTTTTTGCATCGACCTATTTTATCGCGACCCTACCACAAGCGAAAAACCGTTGCAGAAACCCGCTCGTGCGGCGACTTGAAGTTGTCTTGGCCGTGCCTGTAGGCTTGCCACGATGCGCTTTGGACTGTCCGTTGAATCAGTACAGTCTGGCATCCAAGGCCAAGAGCCGTGTGGTTGTGATGAGGTGCAAGGGCCGGGTGTTTCTCTTAGACCCCCCAGGACCAATGCCGACGATACGACGAGCCAATACGTCCTCGGTGCTAGAGGTAAGACTGGACATGTACACCCGTCATGCAGATCCCACGCGCCTAACCTCTACAATACCAGCGCTTAATGACTACACGACTACACACCAACGCCTCACAGATGTAATGAATATTGACGAGCTGCCCCAGAAGCAGTGCCCAGATACAACTGTGACGAATAGCTCCGACCCTCGGCAGCAGGCCACGTTTCTTCAGCTGTTTAGTTTCGTGCGGGATAGACTGCTCGCTACCGTAGGCATGGGTCCGGGAAATTTGAAGGCACCAACAGAGAAAGGTTCCTTGTTGAGTGATGTTAGTCCGGGGGTCAAGTGTGACCCGATTGAGGACGACGCGAGCAAACTCCAGGAACTCCTAGCTGCCCAACGGGCAGTGTGCAATTTGACACCCAACCACCGAGATGTGGTTAAGAGCCTTGATCGATTGTCTATTACGGAGCCTGCGCACACTTGGTTCGTTTCCCCTCTCACCGGTCCGAGGCATGACATCCAGGGCATCGTCGTGCCGGGTGACTCCGAACTAGCACGGGGGCGCTCCCGTACACGTCAAACGGTTGCGGAACGAGAGAGAGAAAAGGAAGTGAGGTATCTGCCGAGACGACTAACATCCCCTGATTGGAACGCAGTACTTGGTGATGCAGACCCATCGTTCGTGCCAGACAGCACGTACCATTGCTCAAGGTGTTTGCGGAGGATGCCAGAAGCCGATGACCGGCACAATGCTCAGCAGGTGTCGGGCAACGGGGAGGAATACAAGGTAATTATCGTCGTGAATTGCTTTTTGGATGGTTCTTGCTAACGCCCTTTACCAAGTTTCACTTTTCAGGGGACAGATGCTGTCGTATCCGGAACGGCATCGGGTCGGCGAAAAATTTGCCAAACCGAAGCGGCTGGATCCCGGCGATTGAGCTACCCGAGCTGAGCATAATCAAACGCAAGTTTTTGAAGACGCATCCGGAGTACGCTGCTACGTTGTATCCAGTGCTGTCGTCTGATGTGAGGAACTTGTGGCGATCGGATCCTAACAACGAAAGCAACAGGGCCAACTGGCATCTCCCTTGGCCGCCGCACGACATGGGTGCTTGTTCTGCCCTGCGGCCCATACCCGAGGTGGCGGGCGTCTCGGAGGAGGGTGGTGGTGGTGCCGCTGGCAGTGGTCGCTGTCGCGGTCGCGGCGGCGCAGTTCCGAGATGGAGTTACGCAGCATCTGCCAAGAGAAAGCGCAGCATCATGAAAAAGCGCGATGCAGATGACGAATATAATAGCGACGGGACAAATACCACCGGCGCGGACAACGAGCTGGCCGCGCATGGTCAGAGCTGGATCATGCACAAGAAGAAGAGAAGACGGTTGGATGACGCCACGTATCGCCCACAACGGGATGAGCACCCGGACTCGGATGACGAGGAGATGCTTGTCGGTGGTGGCGCACCGGAGCGGTTGCGCCAGGTGCGGCACGAGATGGAGCAGGAGATTAGCAGTATGCGGGAGGATGGAGGAAGAGGATGGTGATTCGTTTATTAGAGAGAAGAGGCCCCCTATGAAAAAGGAAAAAGGGCCAGATCGGCGTTTATATTGCGATGGATGAGGCTTCCATCAATGATGATCCCGTTTCGAAGCCACGGCTGCACTGAGCTGACCCGTGTGAGTGAGTGGAACCGACGTTTACCGCTTTGCTTTTTATTGATGCTATTCTTGTTGTCTTAGCTGCATATTGCTGCTGATGGATGACAGCTTGTGAGGCTGTGACAGGTGTTTGAGAAGCGCCACCTTGTCGATGTTGTGTGTTACACATGTCCAAAGGTCTATGTAGTTTTCTCTTTTCCCAGTGGCAAAGACAGGGAGGGGCCAGCGACATGGTTGTTTCTGCCGGCGGGCGCATGCTCGTGTGATGAAGCAGGGTTGGAAAGAGATGGAAAGAATGAGAGAACGGGTATAGAACGCCTGTCCTTGTTGATAGTAGCCGCGTATAACGAAACGAGCGGAACGACCAGGCGTGAAGCTGGCCTTGTGATCCGTATACTTTCAGCTTTCCTCTCTTCAACCCGCCTGCTTCTCTCGCCGTCGATGCATATCCTTACAGCCAACGACAAAAACAAGTCCTTTTAAATGCGCCGTCAAGGTGGCCCATGCCAACTAGTGCGGCCGCCATGGTGAGTGAGTGGTCCATGATGTGTGGTTGGCCTCTTACTTGAACTAGTGAGTCTGTCAACCCGTCACGATCAGCATCAGCACTCCGCTAAACAAACAATTTTTGTTGACAGGCAAACGGGAGTGAGACACTCGAGAACATTAAGTCATTGACCAAACTGACAGAAACCGTTGCGTGATTTGATTGATGCTGTGCAGGGTTTCTCATGAGAAGCATTTGGCCCGCGCAACTACATCCGCCACCGCTACTTGCATGGATCGTGATGCTGGGCGAGAAAAGCTTTTCTCTGCCACATCTGACCTAGGTTTACCAGTACAGGCAGCATGGGGGGCAACGAGAGTTGTATTGTGGCGTTTTCTCAAAAAAAAAAAGCAATATGCACTACATGGCACGCCGGGTTGGAAGACCCTTTTGCGTCTGGGTCTCTCTCGCCAGGGCATCCAGGGCAGCGGAGGAGCCAGAGAGAAATGATCTCTTTCATGTCTAAAAAGGAAGCACAGACGATAGCTTCTCTTCCGATTCCAATTACCCTTGTCCGATGAGTGCGATCGCAGCCATGGCCTTGATCGAATGTGGTGGCGATGGCTGCTCGATGGGCAACCCATACATGCTGGCACTGGTAGGCGATCAGCTATAAGCTGCTACATAGGAGGAGAATTTTCAGGTCAATATAAATGATCTTGTAGCTCCTAGATGTATCTATCTCTTGAATCTCGCTTGAACTTCTTCATCTACATTCGGAGTGTGTTCGTTGCGCCCGTCATCCAACAACCGAGTCATCGCAAGAACCACTCACGAACCATCCGTCAATTTTCGGCATCGGCAGCTCGCAGTAAGATCAGTCTCAGCTGTTGGGCAAGATGGATCAGACAGTCGCCCTTGACGCGGTGCCACCTCTCTCTCCCGTTTCCAGGTAAGCCCAACCAAGCAAGAAACGCGATGCCTAGACACCTCGTCGACCTCTGCTCATCGGTCTTTCCTTTCCTCGTCTTCCAGTCAGAGCAGCAACCGCAGCATTGAAGAAATTGACGCACATACCTCGGCCCAGCCGCCGCCGAGCCTCCTCCAAGACTCATACCACCACCACCACCACCACCACAACCCCGGTAGTAGGAAGCCGGCGTCACTGCCGCAGGATAATGAAGACGGCGAGGGCGCGGAGCTGCTGCTGCTTCCCGCGCTACAGGTGGCCAACGGCGACCCGGATGGCCTGGACCCTATCGCCGAGGACGACCTCGTCCCGGGCAGCTTCGACCTGGTGACGCCCGGCGACCAACCAGACGGCGGCGGCGCGGAGGGGACGACGGCACCGGCCCCGGTGGCCAGCAAGCACCGGCTGGAGCGCCGCTCCGAGCTGCTCTTCTCGCGGCACCACCTGCACGCCATCTTCGCCGACGCGGCGCACCTCCACCGCTTCACCAACTACATGCACAAGCACCGGCCGGCCTCGGTCGCGCTGCTCGGCTACTACCTGGGCGCGCTCAAGGCGCTGCGGGCCATCGACTACAGCAACGCCGTGCTCCGGCAGCAGCAGCGCGCGGCCGCGCTCCCGGGCCTGGAAGAGTTCACGGCGGAGCTGGAAGGTACGGACAACGGGGAGCTGCGGGACAGGGCGGCGGCGGCGTTTGAGGCGCTCGTGCGGGAGGAACTGCCGGCGTACGTGACGCATGTCTGGATCCAGACGGTGTCGGTGTCGATCCGCCACCGGGTGATGGGCGGCGGCGCGGATAGTGGCGGCTCGGAGGGCCTGGCGGAGGTGTTTTGCCTGACGGACCCGTCAAGGACGGACAACCCGATCGTGTTCATGTCGGAGCAGTTCAACAGGACGACGCAGTACGGCGTGGATTATGTCATCGGCCGCAACTGCAGGTTCCTGCAGGGCCCCTGCACGAACCCGTTCAGCGTGAGGCGTATCCGCGAGAAGCTGGAGGCGGGCGTGGAGCACTACGAGACGTTCCTCAACTACAGGCGCGACGGGACGCCGTTTATGAACCTCGTCATGGTAAGCAACCCGGCCACAAGGGGGAGAGTGTTTCTGTTTTTGCTAACATGAAACTGTGAAAAAAAAGCTTGCGCCCCTGTATGACAGTCGGGGCGCGATTCGCTACTTCATCGGCGCGCAGGTCGACGTGTCGGGGCTGGCGATGAGCTCCTACGACCTCAACGCGCTGCGCGGCTTGGTGGAAGAGAACGGTGAGCTCGACGCCGACGCGCCCCTGCGGGAGAGTCCCAAGGACGAGATCACCCAGCTCGCCGAGATCCTGACGCCCAAGGAGCTGGACGTCATCGGCACGCACGGTGGGAGCATGCACCGGCTGCCGCTCCAGGACGCCGAGGACGAGCAGCCCACGGCGGCGGCAACGGCGGCGGCGGAGAAGCGCGAGTACGAACCCAGCCACTACCGGCGCGGCACCAAGGAGCGCGTCATTATCCAGGACAGCGGCTCGCAGGAGAGCCTCCCCATGCCGGGCGGCGGTAGCTCCTCGCAGCCGATGACGGCGGCGACGCTGCGCCACAACGGGCGCCTCACCGGCGTCTACGAGCACTACCTCCTGGTGCGGCCGTACCCGTCCCTGCGCATCCTCTTCGCCAGCCCGTCGATGCGCGTCCCGGGCATCCTGCAGTCGCCGCTGCTCGACCGCATCGGCGGCTCGTCGCGCGTCCGCGAGCAGCTGGTCGACGCGCTGGCGGCCGGCCAGGGCGTGACAGCCAAGGTCAAGTGGCTGAACGCCAGTCGGAGGAGGACCGCCGGCGCCGCCAGGAAGAAGAAGCCGACGACGAGCAGCCTGAGCCATCCCCTGGAGGCGCACTTGCAGGCCGACGACGACGGGGACACGCTCTCGGAGCTGGAGCCGGCCGGGAGGTCGCGCTGGCTGCACTGCACGCCGCTGTCGGGCGCGAACAACAAGGTCGGCGTGTGGATGATGGTCATCGTGGACGAGGAGGACTGGAATTCTCGTCGGTACGGCGTGGTGGCGCCGCCTGTGCCCGCCCCAACACCGACCCAACACCAGCGCCCGGAGACGGCCACCTCAGCACCGGGAACCGCCGTGTCGGGCGTCTCCTTTGCGATGGGGAGCGAAACTGCTGCTGCTGCTGCGTCCGGTGTGCGGACCGAGGCCCGGCCGCGCCGGTCCTCCGAGACGCTCGGCTACCTGCGGTCCGAGTTTGCCCTGCCGCCGCAATCCTCGACGCAGGCCATCCACAACCAACATGCCGCCTCGAGCGCGCGCGAGCGCGCAGCGCCGAGGTCGCTCTTCGGAAACGGCTCGGGGGCGGCTTCTAGGTTCTTCAGCTCCGAGGCGCTTTCCCGCGCGGCCACGCCGCCGCCCAAGCACAGGCCGGCGTCGCCGCCGGGCAGCGGCATCCCCAGCGGCCTGTACCGAGTCTTCCCGCGATCGGAACCGCCGCTACCGCCGTGGCCAACCCGGTCGGACAGCAAGACGAGGGGTGGAGGTGGGGGCCAGGCGGCGGAAGGCGGGAGCAGCAAGCAGCGTGTGGTGTCCATGATCCCCGAGGAAGGGTATGAGAGGTATACCGGTGAGATGGTGCGGCGGCGCAGGGAGGATGACGAGACGAGCTCCCTGCACAGCCAAGGGTCGGCGTTCACGGTGAGGATCGGGGAGGACTGAGGAAGGGCGGGGGGGTTCCGTCAATTATTATCGGTCTAGCATGGCATTGTCGTGCTGGCCTCGTTTCCATCGCTCCATCTCGAGCTGTTATTATGTCCTTGTAACCAAATTTTCCAACCTGTAGTATACTAGTTTTCTTTGACAAGATGATTTCCTTGTGTGTATACGAGAATAGAGTTTCTTCACATTTCACTCCTTCTTCTTCTCCTGCTCCTCGCGCCTCACCTCCTCGCGAATCTCCCTCGCGACCGTCATGAACCGAGCCGCCCCGATCGCCGTCAAGACATGCCACCACCCGTGCAGCTCCAGCAGCCACGCCCACGGCAGCCCGACCCTCGCGCGCAGCCTCCGCAGCGCCGCGCAGCACTCGAGGTCCACGTTCCAGATGGCGTAGCCCACGACGCAGACGAGCAGCGCGCCGACGGCCCTGCGGCGCCACTCGCGGCAGCGGTGCGGCGGCAGCGGCGGGCGCGCGCGGTGGAGGAGGTGCATGACGCGGGCGACGACGACGCCGACGCCGGACAGGAAGGCGACGACCTGGTAGATGATGAGCGGGGTGCGCAGGTAGAAGGCGGTGAAGGTGAGGAAGACGACGGCGAGGAGGGCGGAGAGGGCGCGGGCCGCGCGGGGCGTTTGGCGGACGGTGAGTACGGCGTGCAGCATGGACCAGAGGAGGGCCATCATGGAGAGCTCGTCGACGAACTCGAGGGCTTGTCGCAGGCTGGCGTGGAAGAGGAAGGAGCCGATGCCGAGGACGAAGAGCGTGGAGGACATGAAGTCGACGTTGGGCCGCAGAAGGCCGCGGCTGCCGGGGCCGTACATGTATTGCAGGGCATAGTAGACTGTGAGGGGGGTGATGAGCAGGCGGCTATTGATTGGGATAGGAGGAGGGAGGAGGGGTATGGCCAGGGCCACGTGAGGATGGGACGGGGGACATACCGTAGGCAACGTTGGTCAACGAATTGATGAATTCGGCGAGGTAAAAGGTCAAGGCGTAATCTTCTTCGCAGAAACTGGGTTTGACGTATCAGTACCGTCCGGACTAGGTATATATGGATGGGCGTGGGTGGGTAAGTGAAGCGACTCACTTTGCGCGACTTGTCGGCGGGCTCCAGGCTCCGGACAGAGCATACGGATCGCCGTCGAAGCGGATATTGTGGTGACCGTGGCCCATTGTCAAAACTTCTGGTACGCTTGATGGGAATGTCGTCCCTGTTTCTTCCTGGGCACGCTTTGCGATGTTTGCCAGTTCCGCTGCTCTCTGGCGCGTCTTTCACCCGAGACAGGTGGTAAAAAGCGGGTGGCGGGGGAGAGGAAGAAGCTGGACCGATGTTGGTAGCTGCGCGTCTTGGACAGAGCAAATCTAGTAAAACGCGTTATCACGCTGGGCAATCGGGGAATAGTAGAGGGTTCCGGTGAGGGCATCGTTGATTTATTAGAGTTTTTTGGTTGATGCCTCGTATGGACACGCCCAATGGGGCAACGGTACCTCGTAGAGCCGCGGTGCATTTCAATTTCACGTGCATACAAGTGCGTTCCTTTTTCGCCTTCTCTATTCTTTCTAAGATGCGCTTATAATTGATATCTGGCATGCCAATACTACAAACTTGACACAATGCTTAGATGATAATAGCTTGGTACGGATACCAGGCACAAGTATGTCATGCCCGTGCTCTGGTGCAAGCTTCCACTACAAACGCACTTGGCCCACTTGGAGTCAACCTTTTCTAGCGAGGCTGGTCGCCCGCGAAAAATCTCCACAGCTTCATCTTGAACAGCCAGCAAACACATCTTCCCGACCAACGAACGACGCACTCGAGGCAACGACCGCAGTTACGGTCATATTTCTGCGATAAAGAGCTCATACAAGCTTCAATTAACGACAGATACCCCCGCAACATGACTACGATAGCCTCACGCGGGCTACGGCCCAACGCTTCCCTCCCCGCCAAGGTCCAGAGCATACCGCCAAACCAAACGTGAGCTCCAGCTCCCCAGCGCAAACAAAAGAACCTCATGGGCAAGCTAATCGTGATTGTTGCAGAATTTATATTACAAACCTGCCCTCTGCCAAGATACAAAAAGAAGACCTGCGAACAGCGCTCTACATGCTCTTCTCGACCTTTGGACCCGTCCTCGACGTTGTCGCCCTCAAGACCATGTCCATGCGCGGCCAAGCACACGTCGTCTTTCGAGATGTTCAAGCCGCCACCCAGGCCATGCGCACGCTAGATGGCGAGGAGTTTCTGGGAAGACCCTTGGTAAGTGGACAAGCGATCCCAAGCGCACCGGCGAATGCTAATCGCCTGCTTTTCCCTTTTAGAAAATCCAATACGCCAAGTCCAAGTCCCATTTCATCAGCAAGATCGACGGCACCCTGATGCCCCCTTCCAAGGGCGCCGCCGCCGCCGAGCAGACCGAGCTGCAGCAGAGCATCTTCAACGCGCCCCCGGCTGGCACCGCCGCCGCGACGACGACGGCGACGGCGACCCAGGCCAAGCCCCCGAGCGCCGTGGACCACGCCATGAAGGACGTCAGCGGCTCGCCCGAGAGCCGCGGCCAGAAGCGCAACCGCGACGACGAGAGCGAGCCTGAGGATAGCGGCGAAGACATGGCCATGGACGAGGACAGCGACGACGAATAGACGCGGCGGTGTATTTGGTGGGGTGCTATCTATGTCTGACGCTGCAAAGGAATCTCACTGCATCACCACCTGCATGGGGACCGAGAGGCTGACGCCGCTGCCAAACACTCCGAGCCATGTGATTAAATAATCTCGCATACTACATGGAAATTGCACCATGACATCCGCCGCCCGGCACGGGTGGATGAAGAAGGACGGCAGCCCGGTGACGGGATTGTGCTATTGGCCGCACGGTCAGCTTTCTGGTCGCCGTATGGGGCTCAAGGTCGGCTTCTACTCACGTCTGTCGATATGGCACAGATATCCATGCCTGCGCGAATGCTCGGTTTGTGGCTGTCAGGGACCAGCCGCCGAAAGACGGTGTCAATGTTGAATGCCGGTTCCTCTGTAGCCAGCCCGTGCAGAGTGAACCACAGACACGGCACACGATATGTGGGATGGAGATGAATCTCGTACACGACGAAGCCATGATCCTGACGGGCGCGGGGGGTTGGTAGAACAAGCTATATACCTAGTTAGAAGCAAGATGCAGAAGACCTGTACAAAGCGTACAATAATTTTACGAGGCTGTTGGCTGCCATACCTTGTCCGACTCCTCCGTTTCCATCATCTCCGCGTCCTGTGCATTGGTCAGGTTCTCCGGGGCAGTTCCGGATATCGAGAAGCCGCCCAGGTCAAACGGTAGCTCGGCCTCGCCTTCGAGCGGGCGAATGATCTCGATGTATGTGCTGTAGCCGTCGTTGTCCGACGAAAACGATAGGTCTAGCGCCCGGCGGACGTTGAGCTTCCATTTCTTACGCAGCGGCCCGAGTGTAGCCCGGCGATATCTCGTTTCTAGCAGGTGGCAGGCCTCTTCAAACTCGGCCTGGCTAAGGTTTGGATAATTGCTGATATCCGACGTTGGGCTCTGGGCCATCGTGACCCGTTTGTTGGGTGACGGTTTCCGCCACTTGTGCCAACCGGCAGACAAGCCGCCACAAAACTGATAGCTTGGAATCTGAATATTCGGTATCTTTATCAAGGACTTTCGATACTTTGTTTCTCAAAAAAGACTCTGTATTCTGAGCTTTGGACTCATATGATAGAAATGTATGTGCGGTGGAGCAGCTTCTCAAGTGCCTACGGGCAGGCAACGCCGTAACGGCGATCACGCTAAAGAATCTGCTTGGGCCGACAGGGAAAGAGGCTGACATGGCCTCTTCAAGAGACGCTCCACAAGGAAGCTCGAGCTTGTATACGGACTGCTGATTTATTTTTGTCTTTTTTTGGGCGTTGTTCTGTCACTGCGCTGCTTCTGTCTTTGTGTTTTATTGACCAGCGAAAAAAAAAAAAAATACACCGTGGTCTCCCGGGGCCCCTCGTTTGCCGTCTCACACAGGGGAAGCCGCAGAACGTCGACGGTAGAAGCCATCCCATCCACTGACTAGCGGCCGAGCCTCCAGCCCAGATGATTCGCGACCCGTTCGACATCCACCGAAAGAACCTCTTCCAAACCACAGTTCGGCGTGCTGTCGACAACGTACGAGACACGGCAGCCCAGGTTGGCGCCAATGCGCTAAAGATGCCCTTTTCGATACCGAAGAACGTCCCCAACTTTGAGGATCCGCACCGCCGCCTCGAAGACACGGCCTGGGCCAAGGTCTCGGGGCGCGGCGGCGGCGGCGGCCTACTGTCCGACGTGCAGCACCGCGTCAACGGCCTCTTCGAACCGGACGAACTGCCCATGTACAAGGACAAGCCGTACTACCACGGCGGTGGGCGACACAGGCGATGGTATCGCAAGAAGCGCGTGGTTGGGTCGCTGGCCATCGCCCTCGTGATCCTCCTGCACATCCTCGGCTGGCTGCCCTGGCAGTCATCGCGGCCCAAGGCGGCGCGCGGCAAGTCGGCGTGGGGCTTCATGGGAATCTCCAAGAACGAGGTCGTCGATTGGGACCACAGACGAGCTCAAGTGGTGGAAGCGTTTGAGCTCAGCTGGGACGCCTACGAACGTTACGCATGGGGTAGGCTGCAACTCTTGATCGCAACATCGACAATGCTAACCATCAAATTGCGAGAAAAGGCTACGACGAATTCCACCCAATCTCGAAATCTGGAAAATACATGGCGCCCAAGGGCATGGGTTGGATCATTGTTGACTCCCTCGACACCATGATGCTCATGAACCTAACGTCACGACTGGAGCACGCCAGAGAATGGATCTCGAACTCGCTGACTTGGGACCAGCACCAAGATGTCAACACATTCGAGACGACAATTCGCATGCTGGGCGGCCTGCTCTCCGCCCACTGGCTCTCGACGACGCACCCTGAACTCGCACCGATCACTGAGGACGACCCTGGCAAGCCAGGCGAGGATCTGTACCTCGAAAAGGCTGCCGACTTGGCGGGCCGCCTCATGGGGGCATTCGACACACCGTCGGGTATCCCCTATGCCAGTGTCCAGCTGGATGACTCCAAGGGTATACCCTCCCATGGCGACATGGGCGCCAGCTCCACGGCGGAGGCGACCACGTTGCAGCTCGAGTTCAAGTACCTGGCCAAGCTGACAGGAGAGACCAACTACTGGGATGTTGTCGAAAAGGTCATGGCCGTCATCGACGATAACAACATGCCCGGGGGACTAGTACCCATTTACATTTATCCCGCCAATGGCGAGTTCCGCGGCGAAAACATTCGCCTAGGGAGCCGAGGCGACTCGTACTACGAGTATCTGATCAAGCAGTACCTGCAAACCAACAAAAAGGAAAAAGTATACCTCGACATGTGGAAGGAATCCATGGTCGGCATCCGCAAGCACCTGCTGACCTACAGCGAGCCCTCGGGCTTCACCATCGTCGGGGAGCGCCCGAGCGGCCTGGACGGTGCGCTGCTGCCCAAGATGGACCACCTGGTGTGCTTCCTGCCGGGCACCATCGCGCTCGCCGCGACCGAGGGCCTCACCGAGGCCGAGGCGCGCAAGCTGCCCACGTGGACGGCGCAGCACGACGAGGACATGAAGTTTGCGCGCGAGCTGATGCAGACCTGCTGGGGCATGTACAAGTACATGGCCACGGGCCTGTCGGCCGAGATCACCTTCTTCAACGTCGCCGACCCACCCGCCGCGCCGGACGCGCCGCACCGCCCCCCGGCCGACTTTGACGAGGACCCGCACGCGCGCTGGCGCCGCGACTACAGCGTCAAGCCCAACGACGCGCACAACCTGCAGCGCCCGGAGACGGTGGAGAGCCTGTTCTACATGTGGCGCATCACGGGCGATGTCAAGTACCGCGAGTGGGGCTGGGAGATGTTTACGTCCTTTATGAACCACACGGCCGTGGAGGAGCAGGGCGGCTTCACGAGCCTGGACGACGCCAACGTGGTCCCGCCGCGCGTGCGGGACAACATGGAGAGCTTCTGGCTGGTAAGTAGAGAACACCATATGGTCAAGGGGGAGAAGAAGGCTAACAGAGGCGCTTGGAATAGGCCGAGACGCTCAAGTACATGTATCTGCTGTTCTCGGACAACAGCCTGATGCCGCTGGACAAGATCGTGTTCAACACGGAGGCGCACCCGCTGCCGCGGTTCGACATGGGCGACTTGTTCAGGACAGGATGGGAGCGCAAGCCGCGCGACGCGCACGGGAACATTATCGGCAAGGTCAAGACGAAGCCGACGGCGGAGTAAAGAGACGTTGGTGAGTCTGTGCATTGTTTGTGTTGGGAGAGGTGATCCCGCCGGAGGGGGCTGTACATATGAGGGACACGGAAACAGTTTGAAATACTAGAAAGATAGAACATGTTACTTTTCGCATCTTGAATATACGAAAATCACGCCACCAACCTGCTTTAGCCTTCCGTTCTTTCGTGAGTCGGGCATGAGGGGCTTTGCATCTCCGCTTCGCAGTTACTGTTAGGGGCAGACACACCATGGAATCATGGCCTGCAAGTTGCGCTCTTCCGACACATTGTTTGGGAATCACAGCTGCCAGACCAGCATGGCGATATCTCTTCACTGTTTCTTGCAAGGAAATCGCTCACTCGCTGTGCCGAAACATTGTCTTTCATCATGCCAGTGCTCTACCGCTCTTCTTCCTCGGGCTCTTTGTTCAACGCTTTTTGAAGTAGTTTGCCAGGCGTTATGCTTTGCATTCACTTCATTCCTCCGGAAAGGCTGTGATGTTTGCTTCGAGCGCATCATGGAAGCCTGGCATTCACTTCCGGGCTTGCGTTTACTAGAGTCCTAGAGTCACAGATTCACGGTGATGCTGACTATTCACTGCCCTGGCAGTGGTCTATATAGAGCTCACCAGCCCATGAGCCTTGAGCCGATCTGATTCTCTTGACCATCGCCACCATCACGGCACACTGCCACTAAGACAGTGCTCTTAGTTTCGCCTTCTTCGAGACCCGATTCCCCGCCCCCTCTTCTTCAAGATGAAGGTCTGTTCCACCCTCTTCGCTGTCGCCGGCCCGCTGACCCAGGCGGCCTGCCAGCGGGACTGCGCTGCCGCCCCCGTCTATTACTCGGTGTGCCAGGTGGGATGCGCCCAGCTGTTCAACTCGCCGGATCCCGAGCTGCCCGTTGCGCAGGTCAAGCAGTCGCTTCGCTGGCTGCATAGCCTCTACAAACCCGGTACGTTGGCTGTCTTTGGTGGGAGGTGGGCTCTCGCGCGCGTTGGGAAGAAGGCAAACCGCTGACAGCCTTCCGGCCTAGAACCAGAATGGTCCAACGCTTGAGATGACGGAAGTCTCGTCTGGGCAATGGGATTTGGTTTAGCTTCGCAACTCGATAGATGGTCAATGAAGTTGAGATGAGCAATCTTCTACCACTCTTTGCTGAATGAAAATACGATGTACTTGCGACATTTCTTGTGCATTGTGAACCCTGCTTGAAATGTTGACTAGATGCAGTCCCAACGGTGTCTCAGGGCAGAGCAGCCTTGCTGTCCTACTCAGCGGCAGTTCAGAGCTCCACTTGATGATCTGTGTGACGCAAGCAGACGGCAACGGGATATTATTAGCAATAATATGCGATGCTTAAGGAAGGAGGTGATCAAGTTGCACAGCAGATTGGTGTTTGCCTCGAGGTGTGTGTAAAGGGTCGCTTCCGAGCACGGCACATGCATGAAGGATGTGGGCGGACCAGACATTTCAGGATGGCGGCAAAAAGGCACGGTCTAGCAAAGTCAAGCGCTCAAGGAGATTTCGAAAAAGAGGGCGATGTAACTCAGGTCACTGGTCACGGCGTTGTTAACAGGTTGGGTAGGCGGCTGGAGTGTCGTATTGGCGATTCCTGTGCTCAAGGCTATGTGCTGTAGGTAGCTGGCTAGCCCGCGTTGGCAACTAGGCAGGCACACCAACTCGCTTGCAATAATGAATGGCGTCGCGACAAATGAAGTGTGGTTCGTCGGGGGGGTTCATCGGCGAATAGCAAGAGGGAACGAAGGGGAGGATTGGTCTTTTTTTAGGTAATTTGGGGAAAATTCATGCATGGCTTGGCTGATAAACGGCGTGCCAATTAGTTATGGGCAAGCCTCCAGGCTGCAGCGCGCCCTCTGCATTGAACGTGGCATGGCCAGGAGGATTGCAATTGTCCACGATAAGCCCGAGGTGGTGCAACATGGGAAGTGGCAGGTTCTTAGAGCCCCTGAGGATGAAAGGCTGGTAACTGTGTATTCTTCTTCTTTTGAAGACTGGCTTGTGCAAGAACTGACGTAAAACATTTGCCCAGTTTCAACCTCGTCGGTTACGACATGGTTGTAGCGGGTTGTAGCGGGGAAATTGGATGCCTGCGATTGGGCCGCAGAGCGCGCTGCGGAGCGCTCCTGCCTTCTGTTCTTGGAACTATTCGCAGCTGCGTCTTGTTGGCCAATAGTTAATCCAAAGACTCGTAAACGAGTTATTGCTTTTATTGCTATTTTATTGTTTTAGTTCATTCAAGTAGAATTCTTTCCTAAAGTGTTTCTGTGGTATCATTCTCATTACCCAATCCCCGCGTTCTGCATTTCTGAGCTCTCGGCCGGAGCCGCTGGTCAAAACTCCGTCGCTTCAGCCACCAGCCTCAGCCCGTCGCCTCCAACGCCTCCAACGCCCCCCGGCCAATCCCAATAAATGCAAGCGCCTGGGTTGGTTGCAAAGGCCATTGTTTCTTCCTCCACCAAAGCAGAAGCGCCACCCCAACCTTGCCCTCTTCTTATCCGGCCCTTGCGGCGATATGCATGTGCGCCCTTTTTGCCAATTACATCATCCTCTCCCGCCCCGACTGCTCCTCCTTCGACGTTTGTACCGCCTCGGCCTCGATGGAGAATCTACCATGTTGGGCTGCCGCCACATGAGAGCCAGCCCATTGCGAATTCATCAGCGGTCCTGGCCCGTCACCGCCCTTCCACGCTAATAAAGACCCCGGACAAACGGCTTCAACGGTGGCGCCGCGCGCACCAGCTCACACAGCTTCCACCAACTGCAAATCGGACAATTCATCGCCGTTCTGCTATTCTCCTCCGTCTTCTTCGTCTCGCCTTGCCCTTCTCTACGCGCATTCCCCAGCGCGGGGTAGAGCACGCAACACCCGGGTCCCCGGTCTTGTTACTGACGGTCAAGACCACATTTCCTCGCAGGGCCCAGCCGACACACGTCATTGGGGCATGGGTACATGAGAAACCTCAAACTGGCCAAAAAGCAGCAATTGCGGCAACTCGTCTGTTCAACATCCGGACCATCAACAAGACCTATAGCTCCGACCAGAGCTCAGATCTATACACACTGTCTCGCCAGGCTGCAGCTGAGCGCGCGACTCTAGCCATACAAGACAAGTGCCGGCTCGCTCTGTTCGTGATACACTGCAGCAAACGAAACACAACAGCAACTCGCCACAAATCCTTCTCCCCCCCTACTCGCTCACCCATCGTTCTAGATACCCCCTTCCCTCCTTCCTTTCCTCCTTCTTCATCTTCTTTTATTTCTTCCCCTCTTCCCTTTCTTCTTCTTCTTCTTCCTCTTCTCCTCCTTCCCTCCTCTTTCGATCATGACGTCTCCCACCGGCGACGTTGAACTCGGCCCCACCAACACGTATAAGAGCAAGGACGAGTCCGTAGCCTGCGGCAGCTCACACAGCATGCGCGAGCCCGAGTACGATCGGCGGCACCCGCCTCTGCGCTTCGAGCGCTTCATTGATACCTTTCGCCGGGACCCTAACTCGACCTTCCTGCTCGCCGACCATGACCACGACCCGGCCGTCGCCCGCCGCTTACACAACGGTTCTCACTACTATGACCTGCACCTCGCCGCCCTTGAGAATGCCCACATCGGCCTCTCCCGGAGCCTCAAGGGCCGCCACCTGCAGATGATTGCCATCGGCGGCTCCATCGGCACGGGTCTCTTCGTCGTCTCCGGGAAGGCGCTCAACGCTGGCGGCCCAGCCTCGGTGCTGATCGCCTTTGCTATCATCGGCGCCATGCTTTACACGACCTGCCAGGCACTCGGCGAGCTTGCCGTCCTATTTCCCATTGCCGGATCCTTTTCCTCGTGGGCCACCAGGTTTCTCGATCCGTCCTGGGGGTTTGCTATGGGCTGGAAGTACGTTACACGCCTTATCCTAGCAGTCCACATCCGCCTCCCGCAGTTTGCTAACACCAATCGCCCGCAGCTATGCTCTACAGTGGCTCTCTGTCCTACCACTTGAAATTATTGCCGCCTCCTTGACGATAGGTTACTGGAACGAGAGGCTCACAAAAGCCATTTTTGTGACCCTCTTCCTTACCACCATTGTCCTAATTAATATGTTTGGCGTGAAGGGCTACGGCGAGGCTGAATTTTTCTTCTCTATTATCAAAATTATTGCCGTCGTTGGTTTCATGTAAGCGCTGCCACATCTCACTCTTTACACACTCCATAGCTCACAGTCCCTCCTCACCTACAGACTCCTCGGCATCGTGCTTAACTGCGGCGGGACACCCGATGGCGGTTACATTGGCGGCGAGTTCTGGCGGGACCCCGGCGCCTTTAATAATGGCTTCAAGGGCCTGTGCAGTGTCTTCGTCACGGCAGCCTTTGCGTTTACCGGAACTGAACTCGTGGGGCTGGCGGCGGCTGAAACGGCAAACCCGCGCAAGTCGTTGCCCACGGCCATCAAACAGGTCTTTTGGCGTATTACACTCTTCTACATTGTCGCGCTGACACTCGTCGGCCTACTCGTCCCATATAACGACCCACGGCTGCTCGGTGGCGACAGTAAGGCTGACGCCAAGGCGTCGCCGTTTGTGATCGCAATTGAGGACGCCGGCATCCAGATCCTACCCTCGATTATGAACGCCGTTATCCTCGTCGCCGTGCTTTCTGTTGGAAACTCGGCCGTCTTTGGGTCCTCACGCACCCTCGCCGCCCTCGCCAACCTCAACCAGGCGCCTAAACTACTCGGATACGTCGACCGCAAGGGTCGTCCACTGGTTGCCATTGTTATCGCTGGTGCCGTTGGTCTCCTCGCCTACCTCGCCGACGCCAGCGGCGCGCAATCCAACGTCTTTGACTGGCTCCTCGCCCTCTCCGGCCTCTCCTCCATATTCACCTGGGGCTCCATCTGCCTCTGCCACATCCGCTTCCGCCGTGCCTGGCACCTCGCTGGCCGCTCCGTCGCCGAGCTGCCCTTTCGCTCCCAGGTCGGCGTCGGAGGGTCCTATTTCGGCCTCGCCCTCAACTTCATCGTGGTTGTGGCACAGTTCTGGGTAGCTGCCTTCCCTATTGGATGGCGCACCATGTCCGGCGCCGCCATTGCCCAGAACCTCTTCCTCAAGTGGATGAGCGCACCCATCATCCTCGTCTGCTACGGCGCGCACAAGCTCTTCTACCGCACTCGCTACGTTCGGATCCGCGAAATGGACATCGATACCGGCCGCCGCGACTGGAACCTCCCCGTCCTCGTCGCCCAGGAGAGGGAGGAGCGCATGACCTGGCCTAAGTGGAAGAAGTGGTATAAATTCATCTGTTGATTCCTCCATTCTTTCCTTCTCTATCTATCCTCTTCTCAGCATGATGTTTCTGCAAATGGCTTACCGGTGCCAGTCGTGCCTTGAAACGGCATCAAACCAGTTGTTTGACGAAATCTGTTTGATCTCTGCGGTGGGGCGTCAATTTATATGAGCTAGTTCTATCAGGTATATCAGCGAAACAGTGGCGTTGTTGGTTTGTTTTGGTTTTGTATATATGATGCGTTCGCAGCACGAAACGAAACAAAGTAATCGCAAGCATTTGTGAAGTAAAAGCTTTAGCACCGTGATTACCGCGATTCACTGACACGAATGTCTTGGCAATAATTTTTTGGTATATTTTCTGTCTACTCTCTTGCGAGTCGGGGTAATAAAAAAGACGGAAAATCAGTCTAGGTAGTCAAAGTCGGGGGGCTATGTGTCGTAAAAAAAAGCTTGCCAAAATTCATAAAAGCGTAAAAGGAAATACACCACACCAAAAGAAAAGCCGACAAAAGGCAGTGGAGTCTGAAAAAAAAAAGTGATCAAAATGTGCATTTTGGTTCTCCGCACAGACGGCGCGCTCCGTAAAGAGAGACGGGTTGGCAATCGGCAAACGGGACAGTGAAAAATCCAAGGATAGAAAGTGTTACTGCTGTCTGCCTCGAGGCATCATTTGAAGTCGAAGAAATAAGTAGAGCAAAAGCATAACAGGTAGAGTCAGCAGAACAGCATTACCGAGTCAAAGATGACACTTGAATGGCGTGCAGCTCATCGACAACTAGGGTTTAGAAGTCCCAAAACCCTTCGGTCTTCTTAGCAGCGCCGCGGCCGCGCGGCTGCACACTGGGCTGTTCAATCTCGTCCTCATCGCCACCGGTCATCCAGGCCCGAGAGGTGCCTTTGCGGCCACCCATGCCGTCACCGGCAATATGAATTTTGTTGTCCTGATCGCCGTGAGTAGCTCCCTTTCTTGAGCCCATGCCGTCGCCGGCAATGTGGATCTTCTGGTTGCTGGCAGTGGTGGTGGGACGAGGTCTGTTGTTCTCCTTCAGGGGCGACTGTTCATAGACTTCCCAGTTATGGTCCATCATCTTGGCCATCTTCATCTTGCCCTCAGGAGCATTCTGAGTTCGCTGGGGCTGCAATGGTGACTCATCAGTCATTTCGAAGTGAGGGTCAAAGTCCTTGCTGCGATCCTTTAGGTTGGTAACAGTGTTCAGAGCACGCTTGGGACCAGGAGTGGGATCAACTTCGTCAAAGAGCTGGTTGTTGTACAGGCTCCGGCCTTCACTAGACATGGCACCGCGAGGGAGGCCAACACGTTCCTGGCGGGCGTCCTTCTCACCATCATCCTGAATCTCAAAGTGCGTCTCGGCGTCGCGACGGCCCTTGCCAGTAGGTTGGCGGTCTTTGGGGTCATTGGAGAACTGCAACTCGGGGTTCCAATGCTGAACATCCTGTGAGCGCATGCCTTTGCTGGCAGTCGGCTTGGCGGGAGTAACGAAGTCATCGAAGGACCATTGGCTGTCGTGCTTGGACTTGGGTCGCTTGTCCAAGTCGACGCCACGGGTAGGGCTGTCTCGGGGATCAGAGCCATCAACAAAGTCAAAATGGTTGTACTTGGTAGGGTGAGGCTTAATGAACTTGTCGCCCTTCTTGGGGGTCTCGATTTCCTCAGGGTCATGTTTGCCGTCGAAGATGCGGGAGGGCTGATAGTTCTTGTTGGAGCCAGCTTTGCTGGGTGAAACAGAACGGTGGCGGCTGTGGCCGGATTCGCCTTCCTCCGGCTCGTCACCGATAATGTCAATAATGGAACGCTGGCTGGGGCGGTGTCCAGCGTAAGGGTTGGTGGCGGGCTTCATGGGAGCCGACTCAATCTCTTCTCTGCTTCCGTACAGGTTCAGGGAGGCATGGGGGTCGCGCAGAGCATTGTTTGAGTTGTGGCGAGTGCGGATGACAACATCGTTGCGATCCGAGGCCTGCTGAGCAGCCTTGCCAACAGTCTTGAGGCAAGACTGAATCTGTCGGAGTTGCTCGCGGCTGTCTTGGATGGGCCAGTTGCGGCCAGTCTTGCCAACAATATCGAGCTGCTTCAGGAGAGCACCTTGGTCCCACTGCTGTCGAATCTGAAGAATTTTTCCGTCGGCGTCGAAAGTAACAAAGTGCGTCTAAACAGTTGAACACCTCGTTAGCAAGCGCGCAAACGGCCAAGTCGATAGTAGCCAACTTACAATGGAAACATAGGCAGTGCGATCAGACAAAAAGTTATCGTCAAGCTTGGGAAGGTAGACGCCACCACTAGTCAGGAATTCGAGGGCTGTGTGTACCTCGACAACAATCGCATCTTGACCTTCAACGAGGCTGAGAATCTCTTCCTGCTTCTTGGCGACCTGCCTGCGCAGGGCAGTCAAGTGCTTGATGATCTCAGTACCACCGGCGAAGTTGGTCAGAGTGGTGATGTAATGCAGTGAGGCATTCTCGGCGAGTAAGGAGGAGTTTGGCGAAGCCAAGAACTGCTTGTATGCAGCAGACATTGTGGGTGGCGAAAAGGGGTGTTGGGTATTGGTGGTGAAAGTGACGAGGATAATGGATCGCGGGGCTATAAGGGGAGCTCGGGAACCAAGCGATGGCTACCAAGGTACTAGTCGCGAGAGAGACGAGCTTTTAAAGCAGCTGCGCAGATGACGCTGAAGGAGAAAGGGTGCTCAACAGCAAGAGAGAGGATGAAGCGAGCGGCAAACGAAGTTTAAAGGAACATGGAGGAAAACAAGGATCAAAACAGAAGCGGCGCGCCAGGAGAAGAAGCGTGGAGGTGGGAGGCTTTGGGCGGCGCTCGTGGCCCACTGGGGAGGGGGGGCCTGCTAATGGAAGGGAGGGGCAGCCGACGGCCCCTTGTTGCGGTACCTGACTACTACGAGTAGTGGTGGCTGTGGGTTGTCTTGGTAATTGGTATATTCCAAGTATCTTGCTTTCTGTTTATACAAAATAAAAGCAACGGCGACCTTTGCCCCAGTTGTCTACACCAGGCACGGCGGCTTCATCCTGCGCTGGCCAAGGGGGCATGCGAAGGGAGCTTATTCCTGTGGATTCCTCAAGGCGACAGCCCCTGGGCACAAGGCTGCTGCATCCTCCCTAATGTACCCACTAACACAGCTGCGGTTCCCTGAAAGAAGAGAGGTACAGGCACATGCCAACCACACACACGACGGTTCACCGGTCCTTGGAGATGGTGATCCCTCCCTTTTCTCCTTACAAAAAGGCCTCAATTGGCAACACTTCATCTCCGCCACCTCGCAGGCAGCCATCTCAAGTTCTTGATGGTTGCTGTTGCAGTTGCGCCGCGAGCTCTGTTTTGGTTTGCTACACAGTGACTTTGTTTTGAACAGTCGCGTTTGCTGGTTGCTACGGCACCCATTTTCCCTGAGCCGCCCCATTACCGACCAACCTGCGCGACATTTCAATAAGATGGGTAGTTGCATAATAAAGTTACAAAGTAGGTACACACTATACAGGTAGCAAGGTAGTAGCATTCTAGCAACGGATATTAGTGACTTAGCTATTGGCAGATACCGGGAGACCTAACCCATTACCTTTAAACGGGGCTTTCAGTTCAAGCTGCGATTTTCCGCTGTACAGCACGTTGCAATGCCACCCTCCACTGGCTACCAGTAGCGGGTACCCTGGGCCATTGAGCTGCCAGGGCAGCTCAGGGGTAGTTAGACAGAGTCAACGTCAGTCTAGACTAGTCAACTTCGCCAACGCACTTACACGCTCAACAAGTGGCAACACAATGAACAATGAGTGTAGATACACCAGTAAATACATTATTACTCCCTAATTTACAAACACACGCGCTCTTTTCCACTGTATGAGAAGCAGCTCATGCAACTAACTAATCAAGAATCGCTCAAAGTAACAAGTCTCAGATCGGTCTGCTGCCAAGTCAAGCGAGATAGAAAGGGGGGCTCACTTTGCATAGAAGATAACCTCATAGAAGATAATCTCACTCCAATGAGCAAGAAGCAGCTCCCGAAAAAGCTGAGATGGAAGGGCCATGGTCTGGATAGTTTATCATTAACGTGGATATTCTATCCAAAGCTTCTGCCGCAGGAGAGGAGCTTGTGTGGGTCCACAAGCCACATTGCTGACTGCGCCACATCCCAATCCGTCCTAACCTGTCAAGCAAAGCCGCGCAAGCCACAGGTCCAGTGCCTGGAAATGTCCTCTGACGCAACGAGCTTCAGCTTCGGCTTGGACACGCAATCCGCATCTTCAACTTCCTATTCCGCTCCCCCAATGACCAGCAAGCTTTCTCGCAGCTGCCAGCACAGATAGAACTTCCGACCACACTCTTTTCGCCCATACTACATGATAGAACAAAGCCCCGCTCTTCTGTCGCAATGAGGATCTGCAGCCCACTGGCTGTGCCTTGGTGGCGTGCCCTTCTGCTCTCCTGGATCTGGACAATCGCCCTGGCAAAGGACGAACCCACCATTTCTGCCTCCAAGATCGAGGGCTACCCCAGAAATCTCAACTACTTCGAAGACAGCGACTCCATAATATGGCACAATATCGACACCGGCAACATTTTCTGGTCCAAGGATGCTGGCGTCCAGTGGGCCAGAGTCGGCGACGTCGCCGAGGGCAAGGCCTTTCTGCTTGTCATGCATCCCCACGAAGCCAAGACGGCCTTTATTCTAACGGCCAGTCATGAACACTACCTGACCGAGGATCGCGGGGAAAGTTGGTCGAAGTTCGACTCCAAAGTACCGCCAAGCCGATTCCAGCCCGAGGTTTTAACTTTCAACGCCGCCGATCCGAAGCGCATCATCTTCAACGGTATGGACTGCGACGTGATATTCTGCGACGAAACGGCTATTTTCACGACCGACGGTTTCAAGTCTGCTGAGAAGCTTCGTGAAGACACGGCTGGCTGCTGGTGGGCCAAGTCGACGCCTGAATTCACCACCGGCGATAAGGATCTCGATGAGTCTAGGGTCTTGTGCATTATTCGCGACGAGCTCTCTCTCCGGAAACAAGAGCAGCGCCTTGTTCTTTCCGACAATTACTTCAAGAAGGAAAAGGGCGAAATTCAAGAATTTGAGCCCGATCTCGATATCAGTAAGCCAGTCCGTGGCGTTAACAATGTCGCGATCGTCAAAGGCTATCTTTTAGTGGCTACAACCTCCGCCGGAAGTGACGAAATGGCTCTTTATGTGACCGATGATACAAAAAAGTGGCATCATGCCATGTTTCCCAGCTCGGACTCGCACGAGCACTCACACGCGATCAACCAGGGTGCATATACCGTTCTAGAGAGCACGAATTACAGCATCCAGGTTGATGTTATGACTTCCGCTCCATCGCGGGCCATGGGTGTCCTATTCACCAGCAATTCCAACGGCACATACTTCACCGAGAACGTCCCCTATACAAACCGCGATAGGAAAGGTCACGTCGATTTCGAAAATGTCAGCGGTATCCAGGGCGTCTATCTTGTCAACACTGTGGAGAATGGAAAAAATGTTGATAAAGACGGCAAATCAAAGGTTCTAGTCAGCCAAATTACTTTCGACGACGGAAGAACATTCGAGTCGCTCAAAGCCAGAGACGACACGATCCACTTACATTCAGTCACGGAGCTGGACAACATTGGCCGCGTCTTTTCTAGCCCCGCGCCAGGACTAGTTATGGGCAACGGAAATACCGGCAAATCCCTCAAAAAGCCTTCGGAATCGAACTTGTATGTCTCTGATGATGCCGGCCGGAGCTGGAAGAAGGCTCTCGACGGACAGCACAAATATGAGTTCGGCGACTCCGGATCCATTCTTGTCGCTGTGAAAGACTCTTCCAAGGCTGATATCGATAAGCTCTCGTTTTCTCTCAACCATGGCGAGAAATGGGACACAGTGTCCTTTCCAGATGGTCTGAAGATAAAGCCCGAGTTTCTCACCTCAGTGCAGGATGCTACCAGCCTGAAATTCCTCCTTGTTGGCTCTCGCAAGGGCGAGTACCACAGCATTGCCATTGACTTTGAGGGTCTCCATGAACGGAAATGCGGCGATGATGATATGGAGGAATGGCACGCTCGCGCCGATGCTGACGGCAAGCCACAGTGCATCATGGGTCACAAACAGACGTTTACTCGCAGAAAGAAGACTGCGGATTGCTTCATCAAGAGCGATTTCAAAGAGCCGATTGCCAAGACAGAGGACTGTGAATGTTCCGATGCCGACTTTGAATGCGACTACAATTTCCAGCGTGACTCAGAGAACAATACCAAGTGCAACCAAGTCGGCTCTCTTGTCATTCCTGAAGGCTCCTGCAAGGAGGGTGAAAAAACTTTCAAGGGCTCTTCCGGGTGGAGGCTGATTCCGGGAAACACATGCAAAAGGAAGGATGGTGCCCAGAAGGATGATACAGTTGAGCGCGAATGCAAAGGCGCTGGCAAGGGCGGTGGAAAAGACGATGACAAGGATGGAGGTGACAGCACTGACCCTGCCAATGGCGAGGTCTCTCACAAAAAGAATGACTTTGACACGGACCTGAATGACTTCCAAAAGATTTACCTCGAGCGTGGCGAGGCCAGTTCTTCAAAGGACGAGACAGTCATTGTGCGTGCTGCTGAGCAACGCAGCGGTGGCCTTCTCAAAGTGGATGATCGTCTATGGCGGTCTCCCGATCACGGCAAGAAATGGGAGCGGATTCTTGAAGGAGAGGAAGTCCAAAATATCTTCCCTCACTCCTACTTCAACGATGTTGTCTATTTCACTACTGCAAAAGACAAGGTATTTTATACCATTGATCGCGGAGAGAGCTTCCATCCCTTCACTGCTCCGTCCGAGCCTTTTGAGGACAGCCCATTCAGCTTCCATCCTGATAAGAAGGACTGGATTCTCTGGGTTGGAAAGACGTGTGAGAAGGTGGGCAGCAAGGAGACTTGCTACTTAAAAGCCTCCGTTTCGACGGATCGCGGCGATGACTGGCGCACCGTACGAAAGTATGTTGAGAGGTGTGAATTCACCGGCAATTCCCAGTACAATATTCGTGCGGAGAAGCAGATTGTCTGCCTCGCCCATCGCGAGGAAAATGCGGAGTCTCCGCTGGCAATTGTCACCAGCGACGACTTCTTTCATGATGATGTGACGATGCTGGACAGCGAAATCGACGCCTTTATCACCATGGACGAATATATTATCCTACGCGAGAAGGATCCCAAAACGGGAGGTGTCAAGCCTCTTGTTAGCGTCGACGGCAAGCATTTCGAGAAGGTGCACTTCCCGTACAAATTCCACGAAGGCCACGAGAGCCAATACACGGCCCTGGACAGTTCCACACATGCTCTGAATCTGTTTGTCAAGACAGATGACGGCGCCGACCACCAGTATGGCTCCATCATCAAGAGCAACTCGAATGGCACGTCATTTGTGCTCAGCGCCTCGAATGTGAACTGCGATGAGACACCATATGTTGACTTTGAAAAGGTGGCGGGCTTGGAAGGCTTCGAGCTCATTAATGTTGTCACCAACCCTGGCAAGGGCGAGAAAACCAAGAAGCTCCAGACCAAAATTTCACGCAACGATGGTGCTGAATGGGGCCATCTGGCTCCTCCCAGCAAGGACGTTGATGGAAAGTCATACCCCTGTAGCAGCTCCAAGGGTGACAAGTCTTGCGGCCTGCACCTTCATCATTACACGGAACGCGATGACAGGCGCAAGACATTTGCTGCTGCTACTGCTGTGGGCCTCATGTTTGGCATCGGCAATGTTGGGCCCGTTCTAGGCGATATTAAGGAGGCAGACACTTTCATGACAGCCGACGGCGGTATTACCTGGCGCAACGTCAAGAAGGGGCACTGGACATGGCAGTATGGCGACCAAGGATCTATCATTGTGCTGGTGGAACGTGCCACCCATGACAGCAAAGCCACCACCAACATGGTGTCCTACTCCACCGACGAAGGCAAGACGTGGACCGACTACAAGTTTGCCGATGACAAGGTGACGGTGCTCGACATTACCACGTTGTCGTCTGGCACTTCGCGGAACTTTCTCCTCTGGTGCCGGTCAGAAGATGGCAAGATTTTCACCGTCAACCTCGACTTTACAGGCCTCACAGACAAGCCCTGCAAGCTTGGCAGTCTCGGAAAGGAAGGAGGCGACCCTGACTACGACCTTTGGTCTCCAAAACACCCCATGCTGGACGATGATTGCGTCTTTGGCCATGTTGCCAAGTATTTGCGTAAAAAGCCGGACCGCAATTGCTACAATGAGCAGGATATCCAACGTCTCTACAAAAAGGAGAACTGCGCTTGCACGCGACGTGACTACGAATGGTACGTTTTACAAACCACACGAGAGAGCGTGATTGATGGAAGCTAACCAGATATCGTAGCGCCTATAACTTTGAAATGGACAGCACCGGGCAGTGCGTCTTAGTGAAGGGCCTTGAGCCACTGTCTGGCAAGGAGTGGTGTGAAAAGTACAACGCCACGACGTATTTTGAGCCGACGGGGTACCGCCGGCTGCAGCTAACGACGTGCGAGGGCGGCAAGGAGTACGACAAGACGTCGACGGAGCACGACTGCGCGGGATACGAGGGCGAGGTGGCCAAGAAGCACAAGACGTCGGGCGTGGCCATCTTCTTCGCCGTGGTGATTCCGATTGCGGCGGCGGCGGCGATCGGGTGGTACGTGTACCGCAACTGGTCGGGCAAGTTTGGACAGATCCGGCTGGGCGAGTCGTCGTCGACCTTTGATAGCGACCAGCCGTGGATTAAGTATCCAGTCATGGCCATTGCCGCGGTGGCTGCCGTGGTCGCGGCGCTGCCGGTCCTGGGCGCGAGCGTCTGGCGCACCGCTATGGGCGCTTATCACCGCGCGGGTGGTGGCAGCGGCGGTGGACGTAGCTGGAATCGTCGGTTCACGACGAGGCAGAGCTTTGCCCGCGGAGGCGGATACTCGCGGGTCGAAGACTACGATGGGGAGCTCCTAGGCGAGGACAGTGATGAGGATGTATAAGAAGAGAGAGGGTGGTGTAAATGAAGCCGGGCAAAGTTTGTATGCAGTAGATTAGTAACATGCAATTCTTGCTTTTTTAATACAGAGCGTCAAAATCAGCATTCAGAATAAAGATCGCGATGAGGTGTGACTGCTGTTGAGTGACTGCTGTTGAGTGACTGCTGTTGAGTGACTGGAGTTCTGCACCCATCCAGAGGTCGTCGCGTTGGACCTTTGCAGAAGCTCAGAGCTCCAAGCGTCCCAGCCCGCCGCCCATAAACAACCCTGAAGGAGAAATAAAGAGGCTGGATGGAAGATAGCAACGGCCTTGTTCTTTGTTGCATGCCCTCCCCAGCCTTCCCCCGCCACGGCCCCGTCGCGGGTTGGGGGCAGTTTTTTGGTTCCTTTTTCGTTTGTTTCCGATCCCCAACGGGTGCTTCTCCCGCGGCCCGTTTCATCGGGGACCAACACGGGCATAGTTCAGGCCAGGGCCGCGGGGTCGCTCCCGCTCGGGGACGCTCTCTTTGTTTTGTGAAACGCGTCAGAGCGTAGGGCGAAGAGAAGCGTTGCATGCGTACATGGGCTATCCCAGCTATAAGAAGCCTATATGTTATGCACATGTGCGTGCATGTCCATTGTCAAAGACGTCGATTTGCAATTCCTCTCTTCTGCAGGAGAGGTCTCGAGAGGTCTCGGCCGTCCCCTCACGTCGTTTCACATCTCATCACATGCTTTAATCATGGTCATGCGTACATTCGGAAAAGGAATGAATTTGTATTAAACCTTCATCAATGCCTTGGCAGAAAAAATATGATATAGAGAGAGTGACAGAGAAAATGGTATGGCTAAAAATGCACAGTAGTGGTGGGTATAAGACAAAATCAACTAGAAAAAAAAAACGAAAACAAGCTTTTTCAACGAAAAGAAACCCTCTAGGCCATCAATGTCATTAGCCGCAAAAAAATGATAAAGGAAGAAGAAAAACGTATACCGGCCCAAATGTAGTTGAATGAGTGTCAGAACAAAAAGACAAGAGCTTCGGAAACAAAACGGGGGGAATAAAGCTAGTTGGGACAACAACAAGACGAGACAATTCTTCTCCAATGCGACACGCTAAAGTGCAAAGAAACAACAAAAATCTTTCCAGGTGCAGAATAAGAATGGGTTGGTCATGCATGCAATGCGAGCATGCTGGCGTGGGCGTGTGACGTTGAGCAAAAAGGCCGTGAGCGAAAATGGTTTCAAGATTCGAGCAAAGTGCATCCATCTTTGCCTTGCGTAAACAGTCACATCATGTGCGGCGAACGCGATTCCAGAAGCGCTTCATGGAGCTCTGCTCTGGGTACAGGAGGTTCTCCTGGTCAATGGCTGCCAGCTGTCGCTCAATGCTGTCCTTTTTGAGCTCATCCTCGGTCCTGGGTCCAGATGACGAGCGGGGGCTGTCCGACACGGCCGGTGACATCTTGTTCTGCCAGCCGTAGATCTGGCTCTCATTGGCACGCAGGTCCGGCCGAGTTAGCGTCATGCGCAGTGTCATCTCCCGTGAGTACGCGTGGGCCTGCGCATAGTCGACTTTGGCAGTATCACGGTCCTGCTCCATGGAAGTGGTGAATGGTGCCGATGGCTTCTCCAGCGTATCAGGAGTGCGAGGCGAGTCAGGCTCCGTTGCATTAGTTTCATCGCTGTAGAGCGAGCATCGCCTGTCTTCAACGAGGGTCTGCATGCGGAGGTTGCCACCACGTTCAGCGTTACGAGGCAGTGAATCGAGGCGCTTGGGAGGCGTTGTTGGACTCGAGGGCTGCTGCTCGGTAGAAGGAAAGCCAAACTCGACGGCTTCATCAAACTTGTGAGGCGAAGCGAGGTAGACGCGGAGCTTCATGCGGGCTTCGGGATCTTGATAGTGGGCAGCAGGATCCATGATGGGAGGCGGAGACGCGGGAGCAACGTCGACGGGTGGCTGCTTGGTGGCAGACATGAGTGACAGAGCCCGTGAGCGTCTGCGTACATGGCCATTGCCAGGGGGGTTGTGGAGTGACAGCACAGAACCGCCAAAGGGTGCAATGCCTTCTTTCGTGGTAGGACGGCTCAGTGTAGACGAGGCACGACCGAATGTGACTTTGGAAGAGATGGAGAGCTTGCGGCGGAAAGAGGCAGAGCGCTTCTTGTGGCAAGGGGCGTCCTCGCGAACTTGGTAGTCATCGAGGTCGAGACGCAGGTCAATGTCATCTTCAAGCCAACGGAGGCTGTCGTAGAGCGAGTCTTCTGTCTCCTTGAGGCGACCGTCCATCCAGGCAGCGTCGGCGATGCGGGAGTGCATGCTGTGGCGGAGGGATTCGAACGAGGCGGCGCGGTGTAAGTGGCTGTTGGATTGGCGAGCTGTGGGCTGGGCGACGTTTCGTTTTCCACGCTTGATCAGGGCCTCGTCTGTAGCATCAAGAATGACGCTGTGGCGATAGGAGGGCAAGGTCGAGGTGTGGTGGTTGTCGGATCTATTATGTAGTATGCCCAGGCCGAGCTTGGTGGAGGTAGTGTGTCGGTCAAGGGCTGGACTGGAGTGCAGGCGAACCAGAGCGGATCTAGGGCGCTGGGGAATAGCACCGAGTCCAACAAGGGGGGGAGTCTCAGACGGGAGCTTGGAGAGCACAGTGAGACGAACAGGCCGGTGACTGTCTTGGAGTGATCTAGGCGTGGAGGCAGCGAGGGCCAAGGGAGCGCTGTTTGTGTTGGCAGCGGCAACAGGGTTAATATTAGGATGGAGCTTGGGGAGATTGTCGAAGGAAGGCGAGGGAGTCGTGTTTGAGTCTTGGGTGTCGGGATCCTGGGCGAAACGAAGGCGCTCGAGGGTTGAAAAGTACTGTTTGTGAGGCCAAGAAGAAGGGCCAATGGTCAGTGTTTGGGATTTGGTTGGAGGAGGTGTGGTATTATGCGAAGCTGGTTTGAGAGAAGGGAAGGAGAAGGTGCCCAGGCTCCTGCAGGTGGGAGAGGGGAGAAAAGGGACGCCAAAGAAGAAAGGGCAGGGATAAAAAGGATACGAATATATGGGCATGGGCAGTGAGTCTGCAATATAAAACAATGCTGGCCAGGGTACAAGAGGAATGGCTTGTCTCGACGCAGGAACGAGGAGAGGGGAGGACGAATCGAGGATGGATAGCGGATAGCTTGGCAGTTGAGGCTTTTCTGGCGTCGCAGCGGTACCTCTGAGGAGGAAGGGAACAAGCAGCACCAACCAGTACCAACAACAGCTGCAGCGACAGCGGCTAGCCAAAATGGCGGTGATGGGGGGGAAAGGACGGCGTCGATAGGCAGTTACAGGTACCTGAGAAACGACGCTAAAAGGGTTGCAAGTACCTGAAAATACAGGAGAGCAAGTGGGCATTGTTCATCGTTCAACGGTGTTGGGTCGCTAAAACGAAGCTCGCTTCCAGCACATCCCACGCTATCACCTCGCTAGTCTCAGAGACCGTGAGGATAGCTCAGGTAACTTCAGGTAGCTCCAGGCACGAAGCATTGTACGGAGTACCGAGGGCGCTAATAAGGTACTCGGGAGGCACTAACCCTTCTGTCCAGTACAGCGGATGGATGCCAAGGCTCTCGGCCCTTGCAACGCCCCGGCCCCACGGGGAGTGCAACCGCATTGCACTATCGACGCAACCCCTGCGCAGCCAGCACTTGCAAGCCCGCAGTCGGAGAATAAAAAGACAATGAAAAAGCAATGAAACGCATAATACAATTCCAGCTGCCCACTTGTGCTTCCTGTTGGAATTCATTTTCTCTTTATTTTCCGGCGGCCCGGCGGTTGACGGACGTTGTTGGGCCGCATGCCAGCCCTGCTCGCACGCACCGACCCGGCCAGGCCAGGTCAGTCACTCTGCATGAACAGCTCTCCAGCGCTTGCTGCAGGGAAGAGACAGAGCAGAGAGAAAAAAGCAACAACTGCCTCTCTCCCCCACCGTGATGGATGATGTGTCTGAAATGTGCAGCGATACGCGAGCACGGTTCCCAGAAACAATCAAGTGGCAACTGGGGCAGAAACAGTTTGCGGGAACAGAAGAAAAAGAAAGCAACATCTTGTGCACAGCAGGACTGACAGAAGTTCTGCCTGCAGACTGAGGCGAGGCTGCGGCTTCGGCTTCGGCTTTGGCATGAATGCTACTGGTATATTGATTGGTACAGGTCCGAGACCCGACAGGGCTTCCGGTTGTCGAAAAAGATTTTTTGCGACCCTTCGTTTTCCTGGAATGCGCCAGCGATGAGAGACAATGCTGTTGTGTCACTTGCCGTCCCTACCAACGCATGGCGCCACGACATTGCACTCACGAGGCGTCTCATCCATTGCGCCGTGGCTGCGCAGTAGCACCGGGGAAAGAAGCAAGTAAAACCCGGTCACCCAGCTGCATGGTGCTGGGTTGGCAAAACCGAGCTGTTGCGACTGACTTTTCTTTTTTGTCCTTGGAGGTCCGGCGGAATTTTGCTTTGCCCTGCCTATGCCCGTCGCTTTGCAACCTGGTCTGCTGACGAGACGAGGCTGAACAAAAGAGACCGACATTGACTGTCAACAAACGAAGCGGCAGCAACCGGGTCGGATTGGATCGGTTATATACCCGTATGTATGCCAACTTTTTCGTACAACTTTCAGGTCAGAGGAGCGGGATGCCAGCAAGGCAACGCAATGTAACATGGCGTGGGATGACAGCATGTCCCCTTGCTCAACAACAATCGAGTGGTACAGAGAAATTCCCTCGTCAACTTTGACAAGAAAAGAAACTGGTCAATTATTCACAAGGTCATGATGGCCAGCCGGGCCGCGTTGGCCGCGTTGGAATGCGAGCCCCGCGATGCAGACCCTTGCCGACGGCCACCACCACCACCACCACCATCACACGCGCCGGCTCATCCCTTGCCTTCCATCTCACTCATCCAATCCAATAGTCACCAAGAATCAAGGAGGGGGAGGAGGGGCAGCAACATGCCAGCGCAATGGCTTGGAAGCCACAGACAATAGCGGCTCCCCTTTGCCCATGCATGTATGTCCCTCAGTATGGTAGTACTCTGAGTGAAACAAGCCGAATGAGGTTTTGCCAACAATCACTCGGTAGTTGGTAGTCCCAAAAAGCCATCCAACCAATCTTTGCTTCCTGTCCCAGCACTTGCTCAGGGAGAAACACTGCGAAAAAAAATGTCTGTACTAGCCAGCATTCTTTTCCAGGGTTGCTTTTTTTTCTTCCATTATATCTGAATCAATTGCGTAAATGCCGTGTGTCACTCGCAACGCTTCCACGCTCTGTCTGCATCATCGACACACTAGTGTCAGATGGCGAGAAGTGTGTATCACCTGCAAAGGCCAGTGTGCGTCTGTGTGTTCGCTCACGGCCAGGCTTGCCCAAGCCACAGGTCACCAAGCCGTTTGAAACAAGCTGCAAATCATTTTTTTTCCTTGCTTCTTCTTCTTTTTGTCTTGTCAATCTTTCTACGCTTGTTGTTGCTTGCCACTCGGCCAACTCAAAACTCTGGCAAACGAAAAGAAGAAGCGATTATGGCGTCGTTCTTCAACACCCAGAGACAAACAAATGGGGGTGAAAAAAAAAGCAAAGAATCAATCGAGTTTTTGACTCACCTTTCTTTGTATCGTCAGTGGCAGAGCCTCGAATTCCTCCTTGGTCATGGCCGGAGACGATGTCGCCGAGTCGGACGGCGAGTGCGCATCGCTGCCGCTGCCTGAGCCCTGCGATGTCTGGCTCCAGGCATGGCCATGGCCTCGCCAGCTGCCGTGACCTCCGTCATTGACGCCGGCGTTGCAGGTGCTGCCTTGCCCGCGCGTCCGGGCCGTACGGTCGAGCAGCTTCAGGCTGTGGTGGAAGCGTCCGCCGTGCCGGTGACTGCCGCCATCCTCGTCGGAGGAGCTCGAGATGTGGCGAAACGGCAGCAGCGAGTGCCGGTTCTGGCGACCGCCCCCTCGGTTGTGGTTATGGTTGCTGTCGCTCGTAATCGTCGTCGTCGTCCCGGCCCGTTTGGTAGCCGTGCCGAAGCTGTCAAAGTCGAGGTTGGCGCGCTCGGTCTGCGCCATGGCCGCGTCCAGGTCTGTCCGCCTGCTTCCGCGCCTATGATGGTTCCTCGCTTGCACGCCTCGATGGGGCGTCCGGTCGCTTGCAGAAGGAAGACGCGGTGGCGTCTGGATGCAGGTGATGGGCAGTGGCACGACCATTGTTCAGGATCGAGCCTGGGGAGAGCGGCCAGGTAGAAAACGCGAGCTTGTTTCCGTTTGTACTGCAAACGCGATAGCACAATGGACCACCTCTGACGCAACTGTCCCGTTGTCGTTTGCACTCGTCTTTTTTTGTTGCTGCACACTGAATCACAGCTGCTGCAGGTACACACACACACACACAAGCTGGCAGCTCGCCAAGGAGACCCCTTGCAAACTCAACTGAAGCTGATGGCGGGGCGGTGTTTTGATGATATCTGTCTGCCCAGGCGCTTGTTTTTGACAGTTGGTGCAGACTTTCTTCTGTTTTCTTGGTATGTATTCCCGTCCACAGCACGGCAAGGTCAGAGTCAAAAGAGGGAGAAAGGGGACATGAAGAGTCTACGGCTGGCATCGCCAGAGCATCGCTCCCATGACAAGCGCATACACACGCCGACACACCTAGCAGGACATAATACACACCGACGGAGCTATAACCAAGATGGACCTCCCGCGAAACCTGGCCGCCTTTTCCCCTGGTCAGCTTGAAGGGCCGAGAATAGTTGTTACTCCAAGTCAAATCTACCAGGGTCCTGGACCATGGCACGACCCAGCTCGCTACTTCCCAGCAGCTGGTGAGCTCAACTACTCGTCGGCTAACCGCTGACGACGGGCGAGTTGGTCATCCTAGCATCCTACTAGGTAGCCTTGCTGCTGGGCTCCATTCGCAAATAGACCAGAATAGATTGTAGTGGAGAATGACGGGCAACAACGAAAGGCTCATTGTGGTGGAGATTGAGTTTGAAAAAGGAGATTTGACAAAACTCGCAAGTTTGGCCCCCCTTTTCAACTTTTTGGCTCCATAGGCTAGATTGTGGCTTTTCGCTGATCACTTTGCGGCTCCTTTATCGACCCTGGGGAGGGCGCCCAGGTTCATGGGTGTCGAGTTTGGCATCGAAACATGAACTTGTCTCGTCAGGGAATGGAATTTCTTCTGGAAGCCGTTCTGATTTTCCGTCGCTGATGATCATGAGCTCCAAACAGAGTCCAGCCCAGCCCAGCCCAGCCCAACCCAGCACTAGTTAGCTTTCCACCAAGAGCTTTCGAAGACGTAAAATGCAATGCTAAACAGTAGCAAAAAGGGGGAAAGACCTGAAGAGGCAAAGTACCTATGTAGCTTACAGAGCGGGTCGACGCTATTTTCTCTTCCTTGCCTTGCCCATTCTTCAACAAACTCGGCATATGCACAAGTGCCATCTTTTTCGTCGTCGACCAGACCACCCGGGGCGGCGGTCAGGCACATTATCGGTGTAGCACTACGGCTACGGATTGGCAGGATTGGCATGTTCGGTACGGTCATGCATGTGCCGTGGGACGTTTCAGATATCCCCTCTAGCCTCTGGGGAATCTATCAGCATACATACATACTGGTACCAACATGAAGACATGTCGACCCCATGTGCAAAGAAAAGGGGTCGCGCCGCACTGTAACCGACTTGTAGTACGTACTTACGTGGTAGGATGACGCACTACGGCACAGCGATTCAAAATTCGACAAACGAATGTCTATTGCCGTAGTATTACTGATACGGACAGATGGCCTCCGCCGCCACGGAACTCGGGAACCACATGGGTCGCTCCCGTCTAGCTATTGAGAAGCCACGCTCTGTCGTCGTCGCGTGAGACAGTGACAAAAAGCTACAGAAGCTAGATAGAGACTACTCCGTACAGAGTACTCCGCAGAACCTTTCATGAAGTTACCCTGTTGACGGCTGGCCAGCATCAAATTACCGAGTGTAACATCCTGCCCAGGATGCTTCACCCCGTCCTTGGCCAAGCTTTCGCCATCCTCGACCCCATCCATATCCATCCATATCCATCCCCTACCCATGTCGGCCCCATTTTCTACCTGATCAACCCATCCTTCTGCGAAGCGGGCGGGCGCGCGAAAGCGGTGACCCAGGCAGAGAGGATGCAGAACCGGGGACAACAGCTGGGGAAGAGAGGAGCGATTCATGTCCAGAGCCGGGCTGACCTCCTCGGTTGCCCGGCAGAGAAAAAACGCTTAATTAGTAGTAAATAACCGCCAAGTCCGAAGAGCCCACGTGCCCGTGAATAGGAACAAAACCTCCTTACTACGATTTAAGCACATGTCTTTATGTAATTCTGTATCAGTTGCGTTTGTCGACGCCAACGACCCCCTTGCCTTTCAGCGACGAGGCCAGCACGCTCTCTCTAGCGCACTGTAATCCGTAAAAGACATACTTAGTATGGATAATGTGATGTGTAGCATGCACTGTGCCTGCGTAAAGCATATGCAGGTTATATCCCCGACACGCAGGAGGCTTGCCTGACCGAGCATGCAGCCAGTCAGTCAGGCTGCAGAGCACATGCCACCACCATACATTGCAGAAAAAGTGAGGCCCTCTTCTGCAGCACGATTTATAATTACGCGAAAGGGTTTGTCTGAGTTACAAGTCTGTGATACAAATATGATCCTGTAGAGAAGGACGCCCCTGGTGACGACTCCATCAAACCGTCGAGAATGCAACGCTGGGGCGGCGCCTAGGATCGTAAGAGGGTAGGGATACCCAAGCCTTTCCTATGTGATGATACTCTTTTATTATTCGCTTTTCAGCTTCAACGAGAGCAAGCAAGACATGGGGTCGTCTCGCAGGGGTTTGTTAGCGCTTTCTTGACTGGTTTGGCAGGTCATAGTCATGTCTTGCAATTGTGATTCTGCGAATATTGGAGTGGGCAATTGTCCTTGCTTCGCGCTTGCCGCACCGCCGGCGGTGGCCAATCTTTCCGTATACACATTATTCTCGGACCCCGTTCACCTATACACTACCATCTTCTTGACCGAGATTAACCAAAGGTCCTCTACTTCGTATTACCGCGAGTTTCGCCTACGTAAGTGTCGACTGCGCCGCCGCCGTCCACACAACCCTGCTCTCCGTGAGATGACGCCCGCTCGCTTCCCCCCCTGGTCCCTGCAGTTGCTCCTCATCTCCAAGGTGTCAACCGTCTTGAAAAGCAATTCTTGCGCTATCTATCTACTGGTAAGCCGTCTTGACCACGCGGACTAGGTTAGGGGCGGTCGAAGCTTTCGCAGCTCCGTTTGTTCTGGAATCCTTCCACGGGGACGCCGGAACATGTCAAGTTCTTCGGTCGATTTCCGTACCGTGTCGAAACGATTTGTCCATGTTGTCAATGAGTGAATCAGAATACAGCACATGGAGCGGCCGCTACTCGTAGGCCCTCTCATTGAAGGGCGCTCTGCTGCCCGTACGTGGCGGCCATCCAAGGACACTCAACGGTGTGGCGCATCGTCTTCATCTGGTGTTTAAATGAGTACCCCGCTGATCGGTGGCCTCATCGACGCCGTGTGTGGCCATGCCCGCACCGGTCAGCAGGCACCGTCTACCGGAAAGTGAAAGTGATGCGCTTGCATTTGGTTGGGACGGGACTGCCCAAGCTTGCGTCTCGATAGCATGCAGGTATCCCGTCTCAACCAAGCCAAGCTCTCTCAACGAGCTAGCCAAGTAATGACCTCGTCATCGAGCAAGATATACTAGTTATATCTCACGTGCCTTGGGATATGTTTGCAAATCTATCGTCTACCCAGAAGTGGCTCGAGAATGTACATGTACGTCAATTATGATAGGTACGAGATGCATACTCCCTACGAAAGAGTCTAGTACTCCGTTAGAATGCCCGTAGATCTTAACAGAAGTGTTATATGCACCTCTTTTATGCACGTGCAATACCATTATCTGACTGACCAGCAGCCTCGCGGCATTGAGAATGGCGGATCAGGCACCAGCGCCATCAGAAGCTTACTCTTTGTAATGACGAATGGAGAGACGGGTGTTTTAGCTCACGATGGCATGTACAGCACAAGTTATTTCTCGTAAACAAAGTTCAATTTGCTAACCGATCATCAGCGCATGATGATCAGGCTCTTGCGGTCCCCATAGGGTTGCAGAAGAATGTACATTTAGCAGAACAACAGTTTTGTACTTGATACGGCTTTCGCCATGCTGCTTTATGCTTCTTCCTGCGTCACTTGTATTTTTAGCATTTAACAAAGATCTGTATAATAGAGGAGGAATGGGCCTAGGGGAGCCTTACCCGCGCTATTGTGGCAATGGCCTCACGCCGGAGGTGGTCCAGGTGGCGGAGGCGGTGGTGGTGAATCGGGCGGCGGCGGTGTAGAGGGCGGCGGTGGTATTTTGGGCGTAGCAGGGGTTGTCATGCTGCCGGACAGAATGAAGGATGTAGTAGATCAATAAAGTTTTTGCGTATTCGTCTCAGGATCTGGTCAATCGCAGCCTTTGATGTGCTGAGGAGGAGATGGTCGAAGTGTGGGAAGAAAAGGGAAGCGAGTGGTATCGTAGAGGTCATGGAGAAGACAGTCTCTTATATACATCTATACGTTGATGCCCAAGTTTCACAAATGCAACCGCAACCTAAGCGGTGACGTCGTTCCAGCAATCCTTCTTTTCTGACCTTGCGCAAGGACGTCCCGCGTCTACGTTACACACGGATAGGAAGCATTGATTCGCAACCCAAAGCCTCTTGGGCTGGAGCAATTCGTTCAAGGCATCAATCAAAACGTCCCGGTCTTCCACTGCAATGCTTCGAAGAGGACGTAACGGTAATTGTTTCTCTACGGACTGCCTCTTCTGATTTCTCTTGTCCTCGCCGGAAAGCCACAGACTGAGTTCGTACCGGATGACCAAAAAGCCGGCTTCACAACAAAGGAGGAAGATTTTACTGCTGATAAATAATTTCAGTTTCTTTCCATGAGTATCGGTTGCTCCATTCCAGTAACAAGAGATTAGAGAAGTCGGAGATTGTAGCTGAAATCACCTGGACAGCATTGCCCGACACTAGGTTATCTGCTCGACTTGGCACAGATAATCATCCACTCATTTTCACAGCTGTGAGCCGCCTCACTCAATCATACTTTTCCGAGCTGTCGTTACCCGTGGCTACCTAACTATCTATATACCCAGGCTTACACTTGTCAATGTTACACAAACAGGTCACGCTCTAACGTTACACAGCAAGGTAAGCACTCCCCGTCACCGCATCGCCGATTCCTTTCTTCACCCGAATTATTACATCAAACATCTCAAGAATCATTGCTACAGACATCGTATCTGCAGGGAACAGCACAATGAGCTCCGGCTTACCAGAGTCCAAGGACGACGTAGCACGGCGCCTCTCACAACATGCATACTCGACCTCTTTGAGGAGCATCGGTATCAAGAGAGCTGACGGTGCGCAATTACACTCCAATTCTCCATGCGAAGACCACTTCAACTGCGCACAGCCGTTCACTCCATGGCAAGGAGGGACATGGGCAGCTGTCACAGTTTTTGATGGGCATAATGGACCCCAGACAGCCGAGTTCCTCCAGAAGGAGTTGTTGGCATGGGTGCAAACCAGACTGAGCAAACTTGAACCGGAGTCACGAACCGATAAAGGGATTTGTCGCGCTATCGAAACATGCTTTACTGACCTTGACGAGGCCATCATCGGCCCTTATGTCGGTAACATGAGAAACAACGACGTCACGCTCGTCGAGAAGATTCGGGCCATGCAGCTTGCCATGTCTGGGTCCTGTGCTCTGCTCGTATTGTTCAACCCCGACGCCAGGACCTTGTACACGGCATGTACCGGCGACTCTCGCGCCGTTCTCGGGAGGCAGACTTCGGACGGTACGTGGCGGCCGGAAGCTCTCTCTCAGGATCAAAATGGGTCCAACGAATCAGAGATGGCCAGGATCCGAGATGAGCATCCAAACGAGGAAGCCGCCACACGAGACGGAAAGGTTTTGGGGCTGGCAGTTACCCGTGCCTTTGGAGACGTTCCCTGGAAAGCATCTCACGATGTCCTAGCTGAACTGAGCCAGAGGTGCTTCACCCACTATCCCATGGCCAAGGAGAAGGCTCCCACGCCGCCGTACCTCACCGCCAAGCCCGTGATAACCGTCACAAAGCTGCAGGACGGGGCACCGGCCATCTTGACCTTGGCTTCTGACGGCCTGTGGGACATGTGCGAGGATTGGGAAGTGGTGGATCTCGCGGTGCGGTGGCTGGAGGCCCAGCCGAAGAGCGCTCTCGAGGAGATGGACGTCAAGATCAAAATGGCGCCAGAGACGGTGTGGTGGAAGAGGCGAACGAGACAAGAAGCCAAGCCCGATCCGGGTTTTGACTTTTTGGCACGCTGGGACGGATTTGATGTGAGGTTTACGGAGAAGAAGACGACCGTTGAGGATCTCGATAATGTTGCGGTACATCTGCTGCGCAATGCTTGCGGCGGGAACCATCAGGAGTTGTTAACAGCAAAGCTCGCCTTTGAGCCGCCGTATTCTAGAAATGTCAGAGATGACATGACTGTTCAGGTTCTCTTTTTCTAGTATTTTAGTCTTTCATAGTTGGTAAGCCGGACTGGCTTTTTTTGGTCCCTATAAAGAGAGAACTAAGCGAGGATTACACACGTGGCCACCAAAGGGCGGACCGCAGCCATATCGCTCCAAAGCCAACTCGCACAGATAAGATGTGTAGAATGCCAAAAATTCGGTTCGAAAAGAAGCCATAATTATGCGCACATGCTTCAAATGATGGCGCGGGTGGCGCTGTTTCTCAAGCATACACCCATGTGGCTCACTCCAGGGTAGGTGAATGCGGAACAAGATGCCATCACCGGCCGTGGTTTTACCGGTGTTTGGTAGTACAAGGCGCAAGGCACGACTCGACAACATCGGAACAAGCTTTCATCAACTGCGCAGCCGCCTCACTTTATTACGCATTTTCACCATCATTTTCGGCAGAAAGAACATACCTTCGCATCATTTTAAGCCAGAACAGCCTCATTTCTATACAATCAGCAAAGGAAAGAGGATGTGGGAGAAGTGGCAAGCTGCCCCTCAAGCTTCCGACTAGCTGCCAAATGACGACGGCGGAAAAGATGCACATGATGCTGGACACAGCCATGCCTGTCGGCCTCGGCGGAGTGGACGACCTGTTCGGCGATGAGGTGCCCCTGTCTCTGCCGCCCAAGCCGCTTGGTCGCCATCTTCACCAGCGCCTGGATGAGCTGCGAGCCCGCGGCTGCTGCCAGTACGTCGCCGGCCTCCCCTGCGCCTGGACGCGCGCGCACCCCAGCTGACAGCTTTTCAGGACAGTCGCGTGGTCTAGAGCCGGAAATATTGCATCCATCAGCCCCGATGGGCTCAGCCTGGAACTGCGCATGCTTCGTGCGCATCCGTCGAATGGCGAATGGGGCCTGAGCGATCCCACCACGACGGATCTCGTCAAGGGCACCGTCGCCAACCCTCTGGTGCATCTGGAATGGAGCCCGACCACGGCGCCCGACCTTGCCGTCTTTGACTCGGTGGGACGCGTCTTAATCATGAACTTCCCCGTATCCCTTAACAGCCCCTACGTAAATCGCAAGTGGGATGCTGATGGTGTCGAAGACACGAATGTTGTCGTTGGCTGCCACTGGCTGCCAGTGCCGCCCATATCACAGGTAAGTTGATTGCACAGGCAGAAACGGCAGGGTGAAGCGCATCTAACAGCTCCAAGAAACCCTTCAATATTCTGTATGGTCCTGCCACCAAGCCCCCAAAGCCGATGAGCTTGTACCAGTACGAGAGCTCCTTTGTCCACGCAATCGGCCCGCACCATCCGCACACGGCCAAAAGCGCACTCCTTTGCGTCACCAAGGGCGGTATGTTAAAGATGTATTGGAGCCAAAACAATGGTAGGATGGAAGAGACGACAATGGAATTGGAGAGTGTCTGTTCTTCAGATGAGTTGGTGACGCATGCATCGCTGGCTACCGATAAGAGTGAGTTTGTTGGTGCGCCTCGTCGTTTGATAACATTTCCTGATACTGTTCCAAGAATTCCTCATCATCGCCCTCGCGACGGCGACAAAAAAACTCAAAGTCATCAAGTTGGAGATACAGTGGGCTGGTCCTGGTGCAGTGCAGGAGAAGACTCAGCTTTCTCAAACAGCGCGCCTGAACCCTTCGTTAGTCGAGGATCATCTCGCCACTGTCGACTGGCTTCAGATGGTCGATGAACCGTCACTGCCTGAATTCACAGCCTTGCAAGCTCTGCCCTCCATCATCGACAACGCTGGCAACGCTGGTGCTCCCCTCTTCATTGGCGTTCGGGCCCGTTCCACAGGTGTCGGCGGCTTCGAGATGTCGCAGACTATTATAGATCGCTGGGAATGCGCCGAGCATAAACCGTCAATCTTGACGGCATTTGAACAGATTGGAAGTCGTCGCAACAGCGTTTCCAACGCGCAAGAGCTACCTATCTCGACACGCTTGAAAAGACTAGCACCAATCACGATCAACAAAACTGTGATCAGCATGCAAGTCGCTCAGTACGGCAAAACGCTGATCTTGATCATGTCAGACGGATCAGTCGAGCACAGAGACCGTTTCACATTTGATGAACTCTATACTACTGCTAATGAATCAAAAATTACGAATCTGAGGGAGGTTGGCTGGACATTCAGCGAAGAAGGCCCCTGCTATCAAGCTGCCTTCTCGCCCACCCAATGCTCCATGGTTCAGACGGGCGATGACGGCAAGCTCAAATGGAGCAAGCTGCACTACGCGCAAGGCGATATTGGGGAATCGAACGGTGACAGCGTGTACTGTGCCAGTGTGGCTGGTCTCACCATCGCCGCCGCAGGCTGTATTCATACCCAAAGCAACTTTGACGATATACTAGCGATTGCGCACCCCCTTGCGCAGAAGAAGAGATTCACGCAGGACTGGGTCCAGGAGCTAATAAGGATACTCAAGGTCCAGGTGGACTATTTGCAAGAGACACACCATGAGTCGCTTATGCGCAACGCCTTGCTATCCTCGTGCATGAGCATTATGAACAGCCTTGGGTTTCGTGGGGAGAATGCACCTCGCTCGTTCCAGAGCAAACTTGCGAACATTTTCTTGAATGTGCGCATTATTGTTATTCTTACGACACTGGCATGCAATCCACCACCCCAAGCCAGAGACAAGATGCAGCCGCTGGATGAACCAGGCAAGTTTTTGTCGCTCCACACAAGTGCACTGTACACACCCTAACCAAATCTTACAGAGGTGGTGGAAGCTTTGGCTGGAGAGCTCAAGTGGTCTATGGATCTGCTTGCTTGGATAGTGGACTGTCTTTTTGAACTGATGGGCGACGAAACTTTCGTGGAGAACTTGACGGGCAAGCCTTTGGCGGTGGCAGAACATCTGCAGGCGCGCAATGTCGTCGCACTGCATGTACTGCTGACCTCATCGACGCGCGGCTTCCTGTCGGCGCTATGCCGTCGGATCGCGCACCTAGACGGCATCAGCGAGCGAGCGGTCGAGTTTTATCGGCAACAGGCCGGCGAAGCGGAGCGGTCCGGGGTGGCGCGGCTGCCGAGCGAGCAGCTACAGCGAGCGTACCAGCGGATGCGGCAGGTGACGAGCGCGAGCCTGGTGCCTGCGGTGGCATTTGAGGCGATGCTCAAGACGCTGGGCGACGACGTCAAACAGGCCTACGCCGCATACATACCAGTGATGCTCAAGCAAAGCAGCAACGGCCACCACCCGCCGCCGCAGGCCAAGCAGATGGATATGCTTCTTAAGACGTCGCAGACGCAAATGGAGGTCATAATGCTACTGTCGCGACAGGTGCCGCCTCCGCTCGGCTCGGTCGTCAAGAAGTTATTCACCGAGGACCTGCCGGCCTTGCGCGCGCAGACGGACCCGGCGAAGCTCTTCTTCGCGGACTACAGGTCGCTGGACGTGCAGGACGACGCGGGGAGTCTGGCGGCACGGGCGGCGCGCGGCATCGGTGAAGGCGGCGGCCCTTACTACGACGTGTTCAAGCGCGTGGAGCTTAGCCCCGGTCAAAAGGGCAGGCCGCCGTGGCGGCGGTGCGTCCGGTGCCCGACGGTCATGGAGGACATATCACCGACCCGCCCCGGCGTTACGTACGTGGTGGCGCAGAAGAGAAAGTGTTCCTGTGGCGGCAGTTGGGGCCTTTTGACGGGGGATAAGCTGGTGCTGTAGGGCGAAATGTTGGAGAGAATGACGGAAGTTGAGGCGAGAACTTGGCGATGATGTATATGTGTCTGTGTGGGTAGACTTTACGGAGCAGAGGGTATGGGGTGTTGTTCTGGCGTTGTTTTGACTGGGTTCATTGGGGAGAACATATTGTTTGTGTATTACTTTGGATGGGAATTGACGTTGTTGAATGGGCTATAGGTGCAACTAATGGGGTAATTAGTTGGCTAGATGCAGCTCTTGATGTCTCTGCGTACAGGTTGAGGCCTCGAGCAACATGAGGCTCAAGTAATAAGCGATGAAAAGGGCTTAATATCTAAATATCACCTTCTTGAGCCAATGCCAAGGCTGGACCCTGCTGAATCAAAGTCACAGAAGTGAAGAAAAGTTAGACATGTACTGCCATCGAGACCTTGACGATAACTCGCCATGCCTTTCTGTCTTCTACCACCCACCTACCCCTACATGCCAGTATCCGGACTTGATGGACTCGACAAGAACGTGGCTGTGATGTGGCGTATCAACAGGGAGCTGGGACAAGCAACGCCTGGCAGAAAGTCCCTGGAGAAGAAGCGGTGAGTGGAAGGAACAGGGATAACTTTCTGTGGCAAATTACTGGCGTGTGATGGGCATGGGTATGGGTTGTCCGGCATCCCAGGGGGTCCAAGGTTCGGTACCGCGGGTTGCGTGGTTTGCGCAATTTCGCGCGACGGCGGGAGCATGGGGGTTTGGCCGAGGCGGGTGCATGCACAGCCTCGATCGATGAAATGAAACCGACGAACTTGCAAGAATCGTTGACGTCGGCTCCGTGTTGTCGGATATGGATGCGAGCGAACCTGCAGTGTGTTGGAGGAGGCTACAGGAACTGATGTGAGTAATCAACAATGGTTAGGTTACTGGTATATTCAAAACGTCTCTGAAGCGTAAGAGAAAAAAATCTGGGTTACTATTGAGATACGGATAGTTGATGTCTCCGATTGTGATGATGCGACAGGGGCGAAACGAGACTACATGCCAAGTTCACACTAGGAGTTTCTCGTGCTGAGATAATCTGGATGCTGGGCCTTGAATCCTTCTGGACGTTCATGAAAAAGATCGAGGACGTTTTTTTATTTTCTTTTTTTCCATCTTTAAGCGGATGCCAAGTTTATTGTCCGACAGTAGGGCGGCTTTCACTGACGAAAGTCAACCGGGGCCGGGGTCAGAACAGGGGGATAGGGAAGAAGTATGGAAACTGGATAGGTTAAAAAAAGCCACAGCTGTTTTTAGCGCGAACAGGGAAGAACCAAAGACATTATAAAATTGACCTCATTAAAAAAAATAGGCGACTGACCGAGGTTTTGCGAGGGGATGCTAATCAGGGGGAGGGGAGGGACGGGAGATGCGCTGGCAGCGACAATAACCAACTACCGAAAGCCCATTGATGGTCATGAGATGCAGATATGGTGTACGGAGTTGCAGCCGCTGAACATCTGCAAATCACTGTGCGCCAATCATTTTTGAATCTTGTCTGGAGATGGAAGGTGAGACGGGCTGTCGTGGCACGTTGATTGGCGCACGTGTAAGCGCCGGAGGCACGCAGTTGACTGACTGCACGGGGGAGGAGACAGCTCCGAGGAGGCTTGCTCCGTAGCGATGGCTATCATGAACTCCACGAAAAGAAACAGGGCGCAAGGCGACGGGCAAGATTGCAAGATGGGATCCCCTCCCCCTGTGGGTGGTGGAGAAGAAATTATAGTGGTTTCTCCAGCAGGTCGGAGGCGACTGGCTGGTTGCTTTGCCCCCCTTGTGGGTTGTTTGATTAGGTCATGGGGGCTCGAAAGGAAGTAGCCGATGACACGAGGAGTAATAGCAGTAGAGCAAAGGCAAAGAAGAGATGACCGAAGAATAAAGGCAAGGGCGACGGCGGCTTGAGTTGGGCTTGGTGTTTTTGTTGTTGATGTTGATGTTGATGTTGTGAAAGCCTGGTAATGTATCAGGAGGTGAGGAAAAAGGGAAGATTATTGGCAAGGGGACAGGGACAAAGGAGTGAAGAAAGTACTGAATCCTCTTTGAGCAAATATCTGTACGGGAACCTACCGACGTGCTCAACCATTGAATAACTACCAAGGAGTTGTCGCCCTGATCAGCGACCGAGAGGGTTTTGACCAATAATTGGCCACGGCAGGTTCCGGGTACCTATGTATGTACATATGCACATATGTATGTACATAGGTACTTTTCGACGAGGCAGGATACGAACAGGCATCGCCATCTTGACGAGAAGCATCTAACTACTGGTAGCATCAGGCAACAGGCAATTCTTAATTCGTCCAGGTACTTGGTACAACGTGCAGATTACTTCTAGACCCGTCTATCCATTAAACTTCCCTGTCGGCATTTGTTTTGATAGAACTGGTGGCCTGTTCCTCTGCCTGGGATACCTTTGTCCTCCCTCCGCCATCCTCCCATCCACCAAATCGCTCCAGCGGGTTGGGTACCTGGATTTAGCGTCCCTTGGCCCTGGACCAAGCTTTATGCAGTTAGCCGCCGAGCTAAGCTCACAGCCAACGACATGCAACCTCGCTCGGTCGGGCTCCTCCCTGTCAGACCCCCCTGCCCTGTATATTGTCTTGATTGTAAAAAAAGGCACCATGCAACGCCACCCTGCAACGCCACCCCTGAAGGATGGAAGGATTTGGGAGGTGCCCAAGTGGAAAGTGGGAAGTGGGAAGCGGCTCGCCGTTCAAGCTCCGGCTGCCTTTTTCTGTTTGGCTGGCCAGCCGTTGTCCATCACCAAACCACCAGCGGTCCAATCGGCCTCCTGCAGCCCCTTTTTCCTTCTTCCTGTGTGTCCTTCCTGTGTGTCCTGCTTGCTTCACAGCCTCGTCGTCTCCAGTCAAACAACCACCAAAGCTTCACCACCACCCAATCAATCACTCACTCACTCTCTGCCCATCAATTAGTTATCAATTTCCCGCCCGTCATCTTCATACGGACCCCTCTTCACCAATTAAACCCGCCAATCCCATCCGCCTGCCTCCCCGTCGCCCAGCCCTGTCGACAAGTTCCTGCTCCTCCTCTCCTCACTCCTCTCCTCACTCCTCCCCCCCCCGGGCGCTTTTTCGCGTTGGCGCTATCATCGACAAGGTCACATTGCCTTCTTCCCCCCCAAATTGTCTCTCGCTATCCTTCGACTCGTCACCTCGTAACAATTTCGCCCCGGCCAGATAGATCCATGGCCAATTTAACGCTTCCCCAGCCATAAGACACTATCCTACGGTACCTTTCCTTGATTCGCTCTGGCACAAGACTCTGAATAGTTTGGGCCCGAGGCCTTCGCACGCGCCACCCACGCCCCCTTCCCTTGAGAGGCGGCGGCCAGTCTCTCGCTCCCTCTCACGCTCCCTCTTTCGCGCGCGCCTTTCCAAGGGGTTGCCAGGTTCCTCCTCGACCTTGACCTTGTACCGAGTTACATTCGTTCGCTCCTGGGTCCCGACTTCTGGTACATGCTACGCCGCATCTTGGACACGCCGGGAACACACCATGGCTACCATGGCATCGCACCGCTCGGCGTCGATCCCGCACCACTCTGAAGCTGACACCGTCTCTGTTTCGTCCGAGCTCGACACCACGGCGACCACACATCACCATCGCCAACCGACCCTGTCCAACTTGCCTCGCAGTACCTCTGACGCCTCAACCCACCCGGACGACCAATTTGACTCTCTCGTCGACCATCACTATCATCACCACTTCCCAGACTACCACGACTACCACCACGACCACCGCCACCACTCCTCCATCTCCCAGACGCATCGCGACGCCCGCTACTCCGTTGCCGGCTCCTCTGCCTCCAAGACGTACTCTAACCGTCGTTCTCGCTTCAATACCATTGAGAGCAACGCCAGTGCTGCCACTAGCATCTATTCATCTCCCTCTTCACACCCTCCTCGAACATCTTCCCTTTCACAGTCCTCCTCGTCTGTACCTCCCCTCTTTGCATCCACCGCTCGTGTCAGTGCCGGTCCCATCAAGAGGAAACCATTGTCCGCTACCGCCTCATCCCTGGCGACTGCGTTTCAAAGATCCTCGACCGCCTCATCGACCGCCGCCAGCTCCGTCGTCGCACCGGACGTCCCTCCACTGCCTCACGGGGCCGTCCATGCCGCCGCGACTTCATCCGCCGCTCTCACCAGTACTTCTTCTGTAGTTGCACGCTCAGTCCAATCTCACGACGGCTCGCAAGCGACGTCTCGTCCACCTACTGCCGTCTCGTCACACATCGCCAGCCTGCCGGAGCCCGATACGCGCTTTGCACGACCTCCCTCCGTCGACAGTCCCACCCTCTATCATTTCCCTTCCGCGACATCGATAGAACCTTTACCTGCAACCCAGTGAGTATCTCAAACCAACTCCTTCCACTTCTGTGGCACCCACATCTCCACGTTTCTTATAAGCTCTGGGCGAAACGTGAGAGGGGCCCTTCGTGTATCGGAACGTTTCCGATTCTTTCAAGGACTTGACACCTGTCTTCTAAACCCCTCTTTGACGCCTTTGTTCCGTTGAATGTGCATGATATCGTACACCTCGCCTTCTTGTTACTGACTAGTGTTGCCCCTCGCCTCAGCAGTTCTTTGAAAAATTATAGCCAACACACCGACACACAGTCATCCGCATCAGAGACGCCCAGCAGTGTTTCTCGGCACGAATCCCTACCAAACCACCCCATCGAGGCTGGTGCCGACGACGACGATCTTTCAGACGTTCTCTCCATCTACGAAGGCGTCGAGTCAGAGCACACCCTGGATGCTTCGCCCCCCGCTACTCACGCCAATCCCATAACGCGACACAACTCTTACACCGGCGGCGACCGGAAGCGTTCCGACCCAACAGCCACCGATTCATCGACTCTCATGTTTGCGCCTAAACCGACGCCTCCCCACCTGAAATTAGAAACTGTGGATAGGTCATCTTCGGTCGACTCAGATCACAACCTAGAACTCGCTGATTCACACCCGGACTCGCCGACTCCAGCGCCTAAACTTGACAAACCTTTACCAAAGTCTCCCGGTGGTCAGGTCTCGCCATTTTCCACCCTCTTCAGCTGGGGCAGCGGTACGAACAACCCAGCAGGCGGCGACTTCTCACCTATCCCATCGCCCGAGACCCCTACTCGTCGTGGTGGACTATTAGATGATTCCGCTCGCCCGCCGCCGTCCAGTTCGTTACAAAGGGACCAAAAGACTAATGCTGCCGTCGCCAACCCACTCGGCTATTGCGAAACACAACTATCTACTCCGCCGCCTCTCGCCGCGTCCTCGTATATCCATCTAGAAGAGATGGAGGACGAGCTCAAGGCCATCAGCTCCGAGTTGGCGGCCTCGATCCGTCGAGAAATCGATCTGGAGGACCTGGTCGACCGCTTACAAGAACAGGCCAACAACGCCCAGGCTGGTGGCAAGCGCACCAGCGATTATTTTTCCGACTCGGGCTATAGCTCTGCCAAGCTTAGCGACTATGACCAATCTCGCGAAGAGGTTGAAAAGATACAACGTCGATCCGAACAGGAAAAGGCATCGATACGACTGGAACTAACAAATAAACTCCAAGATGAGCGCCAAAAGATCAAATCTCTCGACCAGCAGGTCAAGGAGCTCGCCGAGCGAGCCTCTCGAATCGACCTGGCCGAGATGAACAACATGGACGCTACGGGTCGCTTAAAGGATCTCGAAAACACTTGCGAAGACCTTAGGAGGAAGCTTGTTGAAGAGCGCTCTTCCAAGACCAACTTCGAAGACTTGCTGACCGCCCTCAAAGGCGAGCTGAGTAGTGCCTGCAGCGAACGCGATAATCTGCGCGATGAGGTCGTTCCTCAACTGCGCGCTCGCGTCGAGGGCCTTGAGGCGGAAGCCGCCAGCTACGCCAGCTTAACCTATGAATCTACAAAAATGCAGCACCAACTGCAATCCCTGCAAAAGGAAAACTCGTCCCTGCGCGACTCGGCTGCTGGCCTCGAGGAAATTGCTTCTCGTGGTGGCCTATCGAGATCAGACTCCGTCTTCCGCAACCAGAAACCGCTCGTCTCACGGAGTGATAGCGTTGCCAATAAGAACGCCCCCGCCGAGTCCCGCGAGGCCCTCGCCGAGCGCCTCAAGGATGTGGAAGCGCAGCGTGACGCTCTACACAACGCGCTAAAGAATCTGCTGGAGCGTCAGGAGTTCCAGAACCGCGAAAATCAAAAGAAGATTATTATTCTTGAAAACGAGCGCAAGCGTCTGCTCTCCGACTCACCTCAAAAAGCCGGATTCGAAAAGGATATCTCCAACCTTCGCACAGAAGTAAACGTCTTGCGCCGCCGCGCCGAGGAGGCAATGGAGCAGAAGTGGCAGGTGGAAAAAGGCCTGGGTGGCCTGAAGATGGACCTTGATAGGGCCGAGGAAGAAGTCACCTCCCTACGCAGCATGCTCAAAGAGAAAGATATTCTCACAGCGCGCACAGCGAGCTCCTCGGCTGCTGCCTCCGTGACTTCTGAAGAGCTTGAGAATGCGTACAAGGCGCTGCAGGCCGAGTACAATGAGTCGCTGGAGCGTATCAAGAAGCTCGAGAACGGCCTGCCTGGCGACGAAAAGACCAAGCAAGCTCTCCAGCGGCTTGAGAGCTCGCTGAACGCGGCTCTCTCTGAGCGCGACATTGCCCGCGGTGACGCCAGCGGCCTTCAGAGCCAGTACGACGAGTTGGCCAGCTCCTCGGCTTCGAGCATTGACTCGGAGCGCGCGCTGGCTGACGAACTCGGCCAGTCGGTGGTGCGTGTTGAGCAGCTTGCCGCGCAGGTGCGCTCGCAACTCGCCACCAATTTCGAGCTGCGCCAGCGTCTGAGTGACGCCGTATCCCGCAGTGAGGCGGACCGCAAAGCTAATTCTGATCGCATTGCCGGTCTTCAGGAGCGACTCCATGGATTGGAGGAACAGCTGGTAGCGGCCCAGACGTCGTCCGACGAGCGCGTTGCGCATCACGAGGAGGAAGTCAGCAAGCTCAAGGAAGCCCACAACGAGCAGCTCCGCCGCCTCCATGAGGGCGGCGGTGTTGGCATCGTGGGCCCACGCAAGGGGTCTCTGCTGAACCCGGCCAACAGCATGTTCAACCGGGCGGCAAACGCGCTCCCTCCCAAGAACCTGGAAGAAGAAGTTGAGATTAAGAAGCTCCGTGCTCGCGTGGCGGAGCTGGAGAAGGCCCTCGCGGATGCCGACAATGAGATGCAGGAGGTGATCAATAAGATGAGCACTGCACAAATTGAAGTGATGAACCTGCAAGAGGAGCGCGAGGCTGCTGTGCGCGAGACGCGACGCCTGCAGGGCATGCTGAAGCAGGAGCAGGCCAGTCCGTTTGCTGACCGCCTGAGATCTCTCGCTGTTGGTGCTTAAACTCGTCTGCCGGCTTGATGCCAGCAGCGAGGGACTAGCGGATCAAGCCGGACACGTTTCAATGATTTCAGCGGGACACGAATGCATTGCATCTAAATACCGGAGTTTTGTTTTCGCTTTGAAAGATGCTGCACATTCGGCAGCGTCGAGCACTATTGCATTTATGGGACGGCCAAAAGGTCGCGGACGATAGAAAAGGGGCAACTTTGGAGTTGCTTTGTTGGCTGGAGTTGATGCTTGATTCGCTTCTCCCCGTGTCATACTCTTACTTTTATTTTCTTATACCTGGACGGGCGGCAAAGGATTGCTTTTTTTATCTTCATCTCTCGGCACCGAAGGACATGTATGCCTCGGGCCCAGGTTTTTGTTCTGATTGTTGATTGTCATACACTTTATCATTTGCTGGTTGTAGCCACGGCACACCTGCGTTATTATCCATGCTGCATAATAGTATTGTCTACACCTTAGATAGAGTGGAAGGCCATGCCGCCGCTGGCGGGTGGGCAGTGTTGAGGACTTGTAAGAGTCGAAGAAATTAACTATATTTACATGTTAAAAATGACAGGCCCCCTGTTGCTGTGATGGATGATGAAAGAAGGTGTTACATAGCTTCACCTTGCTTGGTGTTGGTTGATGTCACAGCCAGGACTGGAAAGCGGCCCACTTGTGTTCTAGGTACATAGTTAACCATCTTCAATTGACCCAGGTTTCATTTGATCCTAGCCAACTGACCTCTCGCACCCTGGAAGAAACAAGCGGCTGCCTGAAATTAACGAAGCCATCCAAGCAACAAGCTACTGAATATAATGTGCCGTTGAAGCGTGCCTGTTGGCTACGGCACAAACGGCTCCCCCCTAGTACTTCAAATCTGCACGGAGCAACCTAATCGCAGGCGCCATCTTCACGGTGCCTTTCGACTGCTGTCATGACCACGCCATCGCAACAGCCGTCGCTCGAGGCGAAGAGGGCCTTTTTTGCCCATTTCAGAAGACTGTCGCACAGCGAAGACGAGGAAGATGCCAGCCAAGAGCCCAACGCAGAGGGCCAGGCAGACGACGAGGACGAGCTGGAGCCGCGGGAGCAGCGCATGCGCCACCGTCACCGGCGATTCTTCCGCAACGCCTCGCCTGCGCCACATCCAGGATTGGAGGTGGAGGCGATCCAGGAAACGTCTGATGCCGAGGTGGTGGTGACGAGCTCGGCACGGGCAACGCCTTCTACGACCAACAAGCAGAACCAGACGCCGGCGGAGACGGGCGGTGGGAAGAGGAGCAGGAACGCAGTGGACGAGCTCCTGGACAGTGGCGGAGAGGAGGAGGAGGAGGAGGTTATTGGCGAGACGCCGATCGATGCTACGAAAAGGCGACGAGGGCGCGCGTCGGCTGCAAGCGCAGGTCAGCTCGCGAACTACCACCCCCTCCCGCCTCCAAAGCTCGCTTCCATCTCCTCCTCGTCGATGCTGCGCGCGACCAGGAAGCGCAAGAGCAAGGACGACGCCCCGGCGCCTCGTCCCGAGGCGGAGCAGGTCCTCCGCGGGCTCGTCTTCTACTACGTCCCGGACGACGACGTGGCGCCCGCGCGCCGCCTGCGGATGCAAAAGGCGCGCGAGTACGGCGCGGCGCGGACGAGCGACGCGGCGCGGGCGACGCACGTCGTGGTGGACAGGGGCATCGGCTACCAGGACGCGGTGAAGGCGGTCGGGCGGGCGGCGGTGGAGGGTGGGGTGCCGGTGGTCAGGGAGAACTACCCAATCGAGTGCGTGCAGTTCAGGGCGGTGCTGGACTGCAGGCAGAAACGGTACAGGCTGGCCGGGCAGCCGGAGGACGACGGGGAGCGGAGTGGACCGGAACCGCGGCCGGCCGGCGCTGAGGAGGAGGCGGCGGCGGCGGCGGCGGCGGCGGCGGCGGCGAAGATGAGCACCAGGGACAAGTTGCAGCTTAAGGAGCCGCAGCGGAACCCGAAGAGGTGGGACTACGCGCCGACGTCGACGCCGCCGAACGCTGCGAGCGAGGAGTCGCCGGGGGTCGACTCGCAGCCTGTTGTGCTGGCGGGGGCGGATGAGGCTGAGATGGGACATGGCGGCGCAGCAGCGCGGGCGGAGAGCGTGCAGCGGGACACCGCGGCCTCGGCGACCACAGCTCCGGCGACCGCGGTCCCGGCAACCACCGGTGTGATGACCACCGCCCCGGGCGACGAGCTGACCAAGATGATTGACATGATGCAAGAGTTTAAAGACTTGCCTCTGGACAATGACGAGGATGAGGACGAAAAGACCACCGCGGCAAGCCACGACTCCGGTTCAGGCTCCGACCCGGACTCGCAGCGCCGAGCACCCGCTGCGAAAAAGGCGGACACGGTGCCGTTCGCGGAGCGCTTCGCGTGCGCGCGCTCTGGGACGCTCGACGCGCACGCCGCCAACCCGAACGCGCGCACCGTCGAGGTGCTGCAGGCCATGCTGTCGTACTACGAGCGCACCGGCGACCAGTGGCGCGTGCTGGCCTATCGGCGAGCCATCGCGACGCTGCGGCGGCAGCCCGCGCTCGTCTCCACGGAGCGGGCGGCCCTCGGACTACCCGGCGTGGGCCCGCGGCTGGCCGCCAAGATCGCAGAGGTGGCCACGACGGACCGCCTGCGGCAGTTGGACAGCGTGACCGGCGGCGGCGGCGGCGGCGACGCGCAGGACGAGGCGGTGCGGCTGTTCATGGGCGTGCACGGCGTGGGCCCGGCGCTGGCGGCGCGCTGGGCGGCGCGCGGGCTGCGCTCGCTGGAGGATCTCGGCGAGGTGCGGCTGACGCCGGGGCAGAGGGTGGGCGTGCAGCGCTACGAGGATCTAAACACGAGGATACCGCGGGACGAGGTGGAGGCGCTGGCGGGCGTGGTGCGCGCGGAGGCGGCGCGGCTGGATCCCCGGTTGGCGGTGATGGTCGGGGGCAGCTACCGCCGGGGCGCGTCGTCCTCGGGCGACGTGGACCTGATCCTCACCCGGCCCGGTACCACCACGGGAGCGGAGCTGGTGTCGGTGCTGCGGGCGCTGATCGGGAACCTGCGGGAGGCCGGGTTCCTGGTGGCCACGCTGACGGCGGGCGAGGAGTCGGGCGTGTGGCAGGGGTGCTGCGTGCTGCCAGGCGACGGCGGGGGGAGGTGGCGGCGGATGGACATGTTGGCGGTGCCGGAGGCGCAGATGGGCGCGGCGCTGATCTACTTTACGGGGGACGACGTGTTTAATAGGAGCTTGAGGCTGCTGGCGCGGAAGAAGGGGATGAGGCTGAACCAGAGAGGGCTGTACAGGAGAGCGCTGGGGACGGCGGCGGAGGGGGATCTGGTGGAGGCGAGATGCGAGAGGAGGATATTCGAGATTCTGGGCGTGCAGTGGCGGGAGCCGACGGAGCGGTGGTGCTGAGTTGGTGATGAAGAGGCACGAGTGGTTCGGGACAAGGGCAACTTGGATCAAAACTTGTTCATTGTTAGTCGTACCGGAAGTCTTCTATAATGAAAAGGAATGATGATGACTGTCTAAATTCACCATTTGCGCCGATGTGTATTCATACCCTTTGATCGCAAAACCAAAACCAAAACCGAGAGAAAAAGGAAACGCCCATTGATAAAAACTCGAGAGAGAGAGAGAGAGAGAGAGAGAGAGAGACGCCAAAAAAATAAACCCCGTCGAACTAATCATGCCCCTTGTGGCGGGGGAAGACGTATGAGCTCTAGAAGAGGGAGAAGGCGGCGAAGAGGACGGCGACGCCGGCGGACAAGGAGACCGAGTTGGCCACGGCGGCGCTGACGACGAGAGGCGGGCCCGAGGGGGTAGCCTTGGCGGAGCTGACGGCGGGATGGTGGGAGGGCTTGGGGGCCACGGCCGGGGTGGCGATGGGCAGGCCGGTGCCGCAGCCGTAAGCCGGGCAGCCCTGGCTCTCCAAGGCGGTGCCGTTGTGGGCGCCGGGGATCTTGTTGGGTCCGGCGGGTCCGGCGGGTCCGACGGGTGCGTTACCAGTGGGAGCGGGCGGAGCGGAGGCGCCGCTGGCACCGGAGGGAGCAGCAGGGCCGGCGTTGGCACCGGGAGGACCAGCAGGGCCGGCGTTGGCACCGGGAGGACCAGCAGGGGCACCGCTAGCATCAGGAGGGCCAGCGAGGGCGCCAGTGGCACCGGGAGGGCCAGCGGGGGCGCCAGTGGCACCGGCAGGAGGAAGGGCGCCAGAGACTACGGTGGCGGCCTCCGCGCCGCAGGGCACGGTGATGTAGCGGGTGGCGGCGGCGCAGTCGCTGACGGCGGCTGGGCAGCTGGTGACGGTGACGGTGTTGGTGACGGTGACGGCGGCGGCGGCGGCGGCGGCGGCGTCGCGCTCGGCGAGCGAGGCGGAGGCGGCGACGGCCAGGACGGAGACGGTGGTGAAGATGGTGCTGAGCATTGTGGCGGTTGTGTGTGTTTGTTAAAGATGTAGGTCGAGGATGTAGAAGGTTGTCAAAGATGCAGGAGGTTGTCAACGATGTAGGAAGTTGTCAAAGATGTAGGAAGTTGTCAAAGATGTAGAAGGTTGGAGACGAGATTGGTGGATAGTATGAGATTCGCAGCGTCCAGGAGCTGGTCTGAGTTTTGTCTTTTGTAAAGTTGCTGTGCAGGTGCTGAGTGAAAATGTATGATGCTTAGAACGAGGACTATTGAACAGGGAAGAATTGACAGGTAATATAGTCGAGATGGATTCAATATTGGCTGTATAAAATTCATTATTTTCTTGACCGGCCACGAGCTAACATGAACAGATGAAGCAAAGAGCTGGGGTCTCGGCAGATCCGCCAGCGTCTGGCATGCAGAATTGAGGGGACCAGCAATATGCCGCCCGCCGTCCCGCCGTAGTATTGTGAAGGAGGGCTAAGGTGTGGGCAAGTCGGCGGAGGGCGGCAGCAACGGCTGTCACAGGGGGGTCGGGGGCACTAGGAAAGGTAGCGATTTGCATTGTAGTCATTGTAAGCGGTGGTGGACGTGGCCGGGTGAGTCGAGACCAAGGGAGGGATTGATGGGGCAGGCGGACGTAGGCGTTAGTCTGTCAATCCGTTCCAGCAGGCGGCAACGGGGGAGAATCTACAGCACAAGGGCGGTAGACTAGACTAGTAGCTGGGTAGTGTGTACGGAAGTGGTAAGGTGGCGACGCGGGTGTCGCGATGGGAGTCGTGTAAAAGCATTCCGGTCAAGGGCGGGAGGGTGGAGCGATGGTGAAGGGGGGGTTGTGGGGGTTATTGGAGAGATGGCCAAGGGAGGTTGAAGGTTTCAATCAAGACTGATAAACCGGCCGATCAAACGAGTCAGACATGTTTCTGTCGACTCTGGTGTGCTGACGCGGTTGCGCAATGCTGGGCAAAGTCTGTGTGTGGGGTGGTTGAGGTGATCATCAGCGCAGCACAGCTCGGTTTGTCGAGGGCGAGATGGCGGCGAAGAGCATTGGTGCATTCCTTAGGTCAGGTCGCGTCCATGGTACGGTCGCACGCGTAAATTGAATTGCCTTGTCGATCTCAGGTACAGCATCATGGTGCTATGCCTTGAACACCACCAGTTCTCTGAGCCGGGGACGGCGCGGCGCCGGACCCTGCAGCACAATGCCAGGCACGCCCCACATGGCGGCGCCGTGGCCGCTCCCGGCAGAGCGCCGGAGGTCAAGCGGCCGGCCTCAGGTCAGCTGCGAGGCGGTGGCTTGCAAGGCGCGGCGGTCCAGCACAAGTTAGATGTCGGCATAATTTGCAGTGACGATATGTGTAACAAAGTCATCTTGATGCACTTGATTGATTTACCCTCGTCTTTTCCCTCTACCTTTCACTTCTACAGCAGGCCGCTGTTGCTAGTGGATCGCTGTCTCACTTACATCGTGTAAGCCGAATCCGGCCAATACAACAACACATGGCGACCGCAACGAGTAAGTCGGCACGAAAGCGTGAAGACGACACCAAAATGAAGCCGGAAGCCGTCCCAAAAAAAAAATATCCCTCTCAGAATATGTACCCTTCTCAAAATTCCCAGAATGCCTGCTTCAATTATTTTCTCTCACCTTGTACAAAACATCCCAGTCCATATCATCTCATCCCCCTTGCCATAACACAGCAAACAAGGGTGTTCGCACCACCACCAAACCGCCAAGATGACCCTTGCTTCCAACAACCCCGTCGTCTTCATCGCCTGCGTCGTCGGCCTCGCCTTTCTCATCAGCATGATCTGGCTGGGCTTCCACATCGCCCGCCGCCGCCTCTACCCCTCCAAGCCCGACGACCCCGAACAACAACAACAGCAACAACAACAACAACAGCAGCAGCAGCAGCAGCAGCAGCAGCAGTACTACATGGACGGTGTGGTGCTCCGCCGGCACACGCTGTCCGGCAACCACCAGCAGCAGCAGCGGCAGATGCAGATGCAGCACCCGCCCGTGTACTGCGTCGACGACCTGGCCTGCCCGCCGCCGTCGTACCAGGCTGTCTTCGCGCGCGCCCGGCCGCCGTCCCCGCGCGAGATGCACGTCCTCCGCGCGCGCCTTGAGAAGCTCCGCAGTCGTGGTCCTTCCAGTGGTGGAGGCAGCCCGGCGTGCGAGACGGCGATTCGCGACTCGGAGATTCGAACGCTCGCGCGGTGGATTGACCGTCTGGAGAGGCTGCGCGCGCAGGAGGCGCATCGGCAGCGGTTCGCGGTGGGCCGCCATCGCCGTCCGGCTAGGCTCGTCTCGTCGGCGAGCGAGCCGGCGAGGCTACCGACGGTCGGGGGCGCGCCCGAGGAGGAGGAGGAGGAGGGGGCCCCGCAGGCGGCGTGGATGCGGAGATCGGCGACGGACCCGGGCTTGATCGGCCTTGCGCGGTCGACGGGGGACGACGTGGCGGCGGCGACGCCGCCTCCGACGCCGACGGCCACGACGGTGGAGAGTCCGGCCCCGGGGGAGGTGGATGTGAGGATCACGGTGCTACGAGAGCAGCTGATGCAGTCAACACCGAGCAGGTGTTCCGCAGAGCAGTGATGACCATATCGGCGGTATAATCTCTTACAAAAGTATATGTTTGGGAATAAGTCGTTTGCTTGCTTGCCTGCTTGTTTTTTTTTGTTTTTTTTTTTTTTTTTTTTTTGTCGTCACTTTGGCCTGGAAACTGAGTCTCAGCAATGGGGTGTGTGTGTGTGTGTGTACAAGTGCCAGCCGGTTTGGATTTCAACAGCATCATCACCTAGAACTATTTAATACGCTAATTTATAATCTAATATCAAACATTTCTTCTTAATTCAACATGAGACATTAGTCATATTATACAGCACATCATAGCCGACTCGCTCCTTGGCCGCAATCGGCACGTACTGTACATACCCCGCCATCAAGGAAGCTATTTATTATTATTACCCCACGGAAACTCTGACGTACACAACTTTAGTAGAGCTCTCCAGCCCCCAACTACGGTCGCACATTAGCTAAGGTACCGCCATTTCCCAACTCCCAACTCCCACCTGCCCAACCTGGCCTCCTTCACCCCTCCCAGCCAACATCCTCTCCCGCATCAATGTCTGCTCCAATTGAAAAAGTCTGCCTCGTCGGCGCCAATGGCTCGCTCGGCTCCGTCATCCTCGACGCCCTCGTCGCCGCCCACACCTTTTCCGTCTCCGTCCTCGTGCGCGCCAACTCGACCTCCACGCCCGCCCACGCCGACCGCATCACCCAGATCCCCTTCTCCCCGACCTTTGACACCGCCGAGCTCACGCGGCTGCTCGCCGGCCAGGATGCCGTCATCGCCGCCTTCCCGCTCAAGGATGTGTCGCAGCACCTGCGTCTCGCCGAGGCGGCGTGCGCGGCCGGCGTGCGGCGCTACGTCCCCGCCGACTACGGCTCGTGCGACGCCCGCAGCCCGCGCGCCCAGCGGCACCTGCAGCTGTACCGCGACAAGGCGGCCGTGCAGGCGCTGTGCGAGACCCTCGCCAAGGCGCACGAGGGCTTCTCGTGGACGTCCATCGTGTCGGGCCACTTCTTCGACTGGGGGCTGCGCAACAACGTGCTGAACATGGACGTGGCGGCGCGCACCGCGCTGGCGCTGGACGACGGGACGGCGCGCGCGTCGGCGTCGACGCTGCCACGCGTGGCGCAGGCGGTGGTGAGGGTGCTGCAGAGGCACAAGGCGACGAGAGACCGCTTCGTCTTCGTGCAGAGCTTCTGCGCGACGCCGCTGGAGGTGCTGGCGGCGCTGGAGCGCGCGACGGGCGGGGAGGCGTGGAAGACGGACAAGGCGGAGTCGGAGGCGTTTTTGGACGGGGAGACGAAAAAGTACGAGGCGGGGGATGAGCACGCGCTGCACAACATCGTGTTCGCACTCGGCCAGGTGGGCGCGGACTGGACGACGAGGGAGGAGTTTGCGATGGACTTGCTGGGCTTGGAGGACGAGGACCTGGATGAGGTGGTGGAAAGGGTGGTGGGTGAGATGAAGGCCGAGGGCTTGGCGTAGGATTGGTCAATGGGTTGCAGAAAGGAAATACGAATGGCTGCACAATGGGTTGGCAAGCTGATCGAATGTACTCTCTACTCGTTGTTAAGGGCTGGCCGCGGAAGAATATGCGGCGGACCGAGTAGTGGCTTTAGCATGTACGCAGTGATAAAACAGGCGTCATTGAGACAATGCGCATCTCGTATTCGCCCTGGTTGCAAGTTTGGCTTGCATGGCTGAGAGGATGGTGTGTCGATCAGGCAGCCTGGTCTACACAAGATGTCGTCCGGGTTGGTCGCATCTGGACACGACCCCTCCATGCCAAGACGAGCTGATCATCATGATGGTTAGTACAGCTGCTATTTCCAGCCACAAGAAAAGTTTATCGATGCAAGAGTCTTATTCCCCGATGACAGCTCGTGTATGGACAACCCAGCCGGGCCCAGCTGGGCCAATTAATGCATTTCGATCCATGTGTTCGTCCTGGTGAGCCACGGCTGTAATTAAGTATATAAAGGCCGCACCCCCGTCTGTAATGTATAGAATCACAGCATGACAGCAATTCACTTACAATCAAGACTCACAAGATACCATTCAAGATGCAACTCCTTGCTGCTTCCACCTTTGCCATCCTCGCCGGGTAAGGCTCCCTCCCAATCTTCTCACGTCCTACCTCCATCACTCTGACATCTATTGCGCGCATCCCGTAGCCTCGTCGCCGGCAGCGCGCCCTGTCCCACGGTGACCACCACCGCAGAGCGGTGCAGCACCTGCGTCGTCCCGGCCTGCTTGGCCATTTCGACCGTGCATGTGCCCAGCGGCTGCGGCGTGGCCACCTCGACGGTGTCGTACCCGTGCGCCGAGGGCAACTGCCCGAAGGGGTGCGCGTCCACGAGCTACGTCTACTCTCTCGACTGGCACGATCCCACCGGGGCGCCGCCTCAGCCTACTGCCACCGACGGTCCGGCCTGCCGTGTAAGTCGACACTTGCCCTCGGGGCTGCTCCCGACGCCGCGAGAGCTTGGCTTGTTTGCGGCTGTGTCCCATGGCTGACTAACTTGGTTTTTGACGTAGCCTAATTAGATTACACATCATCGGTCCGTCGCCGAAATGGCCGGCGGGAGATATTATATTTTATATAGTGGAAATACATATAGCAGTTGGACGGGCCAGCTCCACTGGTGGACGAATGATGGGTGGACGAGGTCATCAAACTTCCCCGCCAAAATTTTAATGGATTTCTCTTTTCTGATATTTGTTTCCTCTTCTTGGTGCCTAACAATCTTTTCAATTTCCAGTCTAGCAGACTCCATTGCCACGGTGTCCAGAGTTGTGAGGCAGAGCCGTGGTCGACCAATTGTGGCTAACTCGCTTGCTACGGAGCTGCGGACCGCCGCCTGTCTGACCAGGTGAACATGCTCCCAAGCGGTGTAGCCCGGCTTTTCCATGTACCAAAAGAGGCGAAGGGTATTCTAAAAACAGATCTATGCGTACGCCACGTCTCCCGTGTCAGCTACCGACGCAGGAGAGATCGGGAGGGGGAAGCCTCGTAGGCAGATCAGCTGGGCCCGGTTGGCGCCAAGTCACACGAGACAACACAAGTACAGCAAAGCAAAAATAAAATAAAGTCAGAAGCTTCGGTTGCAGCTTGCCGCGTAGTCCCAACGTACGTACGTCATGGGCCTTTGGGTGGTGCCGCCAAGGCAAGGGGCGGGATACCGGTGAGTGTTACGCCTGTATTTTCGCCACGAGCAGCATGAAACAATGACTCGAGACATGAAGCCATCAGCGAGGCCAATTTCGGGTTTCTTTGAAATTCAGGTACTCACTGAGTTATCCTTTCTTTTTTCTTTTTTTTTTTTTTTTAATTTACTAGTATGTTTTTTCTTTGTTTACTCCCTTCTTCTTGATTGGCTCTCTCTCGCGCCTGTCACACCTTGAATGGACGGACAATGGGCACCAGCTGCTGTGGCTTCTGTGGCACAGCCCCGGCGGCTGACGTCGCTGGCTGGCCTAACAATTTCCCTCCAACCTCCAACACGCGCGCATTCTTGATCTTGGCTTGTTCCTTTTCATGCCCAACAAAGCCACAACCATGAGACGACACGACGAAACAGCTTGATTCAGGACAACTACCGACCTGGCCACAGCTTCCACACTCTTTTATATTACACTCGCTTCATCCTTCTCCAGTCGTTGCGGTCCCTTCTCCTCGCATCTCCGACAAGCCATCCTGCCCCGCCTTCGTTTGCCATTGTCTGCTCGAAACTTGGACCACGGCTAAGAAAACCACCCAACGAGCCACAGCTAGAAGTTTTTGGCATATATTACGCCGTACTTTCCATCAGCATCTACGTTGCCTGCTCTCCACCTCATCCCAGCGCATCTCGAGCTCCGAAGACCGTCCCGAATCGATAGCAACCCGACGAGAACAGGCCGACATGGCCACCGGTCCACCAATCGAGGCACGCTCGCTCGACGAACTGAACGTGCTGGCTTCGAACCCTCCCAACTACTCAGAGACCCCTAAGAAGAATGAACCTCTAGTGCTCTACATTTCACGAGTGCCAGGAGAACGAAGTAAAGCTACCAAGCCAATGCCCACATCCCTCTCAACATGTGAACTAACTCTTGTGCAGCTATATTACTCTCCCCATTAAAGCCTTCCAAGAAGAATGTTTGCGAGGCAGACGTTTTAAGCGCTCTCTACGTTGTTAATCTAGTTCCGAGCGACCAAGCCGCCGGAAGGTTGCAGCTGCTTGAGCCAGACAGCAACGGGAACGCCCAGATCATGAAGGTTCCTCGCAAGCCCTTGCCCGAAAGCGCCCGGCCGATGACGCCGGACAGCGCAAGTAGCTCCAACGTGAACCTGGCGGCCCCCCCTGTGCCAAACGGGCGCCAGCGCGGCGCATCCATCGCCTCACAAGACGACGGCTCCCGCCCAGCCCTGCCTTCGTCCGTGGCGACCGAATCGTACACGCCGGAGCCCAGCGCCGACGGGCCTAGCCGCACCCTGCAGATACCCCCAAGCATCCAGACGGCCCCCGCCCGCAAGCCAGTCGGGCCGCGGGTCATGCCGGGCCCATCCATGGCCTTTCCCGACGGTTCGCCTGCCCCGGCCGCCGGCGGTCGGGATCGATCCGACAGCGTCGCCAGCGCCATGCAGGAGATGCGCAGAGCCCAAGAGGCCGTTGCGAACAGCAGCCGGTCACCGTCCCCCAGAAAACAAAGCGTCGTATCGCTGTCGTCATTGCCCGGCGAACTCTTTCTACTGGACCTGATTCGGAGGAACCCCAGCACGGGCGAGCAATGGGACGTCGGGACGGTCGCCTCGCGGCAGTCCGAGCATGGCCTGCCGAAGACGGGCCCTCTTCCCTTTGGTGGGCCGACGAGCAGCCTGCCGATCAACATCTATCTCGAAAACTCGGGCTACGCCAAGTTTCGTCCCCCTCGGGGTAGCACCGCGAAATGCATCATGTTCCGGCAGCTCCAGATGGGCTACGCCAAGAGCTTCATGTCGAACATCAACATTTCAAACATCAACATTTCAAACATCAACATTTCGAACATCAACATGTCGAATATCAACATGTCAAACTTCAAGGGCATGATCCAGGGGATGGGGTCCCGTGGCCGGAGCGACAGCGACTCGTCCCAGGAGCTTGGTGCTTCCGGGCAACCCGGCCCGGACATGACGCGGCGCGGCTACACCTTCACCAGCCCGTGGAACGGCCAGTGCAACTTCCGGACCGGCGCGAGCGGCGGCACCGTCCGCTGCTACCACACGCCGCATGTGCTCAACAACAGCCTGGCCCAGGTGTGCGGCCAGTCGCCGGAGGGGCAGGGCGGTGACGCGGCGCCGCCGCCCTCTTACTGCATGAGCGAGCTGCGCTTCGACCTCCCGATCGTCGAGAAGCTGATGGACCAGGAGGCCACGAAAAATCTACTCTCAAAGCTCCGATGGCCGGCGGCCGACCACCAACATGATGATGCGACACTGTTGAGCCACTATGATGATACGGCACCACTCGCTGTTTCGCCGCCTGACGTCAACCTCGGCGCGGAACAAGCGGGGGGCGGCACCCGCGGCAACAGGGCCAAGCTCGGCAAGTTGATAATCTACGACGAGGGCCAAAAGATGCTTGACCTGACCGTCGCGGCGAATATCGGCATCTGGTGGGGAGCCTGGGAACGGATTTTCTAAGGCAGCCAGCCATTCGACAAGGACAAGTTGGTCCTTTGTCCTGGCGGAGTCCTCTCTTAAAACACGGCGTTTGACTAACATTATTTTTTAATGACTGCATATGGGGGAGCACTTGGATCATTTTTCCGCTTTTGGTAGAGCGAGCGAACATTTAGCGATTTGTTTCTTTTTTTGGTTACATGGACGCAATCTAGCGAAAGCATAATGAAGACTTGCATGGCATGGCATCGTTTGCCATGTTCTGTTATTCTCCTCTATCCGTGTATCATTACCTGATTTGGTGGATGTCGCGAATAACGCTGGCGTCGTAGATGAAGTTGTACCGACGCGCAGAGTGAATGACAATGAACGCCAGAGACTGGCAAGCCCCGTGAAGAAGCCTTTCAGGTTCGAGGCTGCCTTGGCTCTCATCTTGTTATACTCCGAGTAAGCATTGCTTGGAGCCATGGCCAGTTTCAACGTCTTGACTGGTGATTGTCGGTATGCAATGACAGACTTGCGCCATCGCTCAGCCGAACATGTATTCGCAACTTCATCGCTCCAACGCATTACTCTGACTGGCAACATCACGCTGTGGATGAAACGTCTCGGATGGAGGGTGACATTAAACGTGAAGATGAACAAAAATACTTAACCACATCCTCTCACACCGCCGCCAACGGCAGGATCGGCCCCCGAGGCTCCAGGCGGCCCCCGAGCCGCCTTGATGTCCCGGAGGACGAGGGCGATCCTGACCAAGACCACGATCCGGGCCAACCCGAGCATCACCATCGCAGCATTCCAGATCGCGCGGAGCTTCCGGACGACGGAGCGTCCGCCGCCGCCGAAAACGCAGCGGCACTCCTCCTCCGCCGTCATCGTGGCACCGAGTGCCGTTGCCGCTCGCATTTTCGTTTGTCTCGTTCCTAAAACTGTCAGCAGTGGACCGAGGGGCAGAGAAACTGAGGAAAGGAAGAAAGGGGGAAGAAAGAAAGAGTTGCCAGGCCCTCAACAAACGGTCGAAGGGTGGGGGCGGGTGGCCAGACGGCCATTGTTCCGGGAAGAAACGAACAAACGGCCAGCAGCTCGAGAACACTCCTGTTTGCAGACGCCACGGATTTTTTTAGGACCTGGTTGGGTCCTTGTGTTGTCTTCATTTGCCAGCCGTGTCTATTTTCTTCTACGTCTGTTCTCATCTCATCACTATTCTGCGTATCAGCGCTCTCCTCGAGATGGCGGGGATCTCTTCTATGTAATGTGTTCTCAAGAACTAATGATTGCTTAAGTGGTGCTTATTAAAGTTGGTGTTGAATGTTTGCTGAACTCTGTCGGCGCGGCTGGACACCGTCCTACATCTATGTAGCTATGTAACTGTAGGTCGCGCGCGGCGTGGTGACGATGGCAAGACACAACCAACTTACCTGTGCATGTACCAAAACCTAGATTTGGGGTATTCGATTTTCATCAAGGCAGCATGTTTCATGCCTTTGGCGCGGTTTCACGTGCGGCACTTCCTTTCATAAGGGCGCTGCATACAAATCTAAAATTCAGTCCTTACACAATTAGCTGCTTCGGTATTCCCAGTCTCGTTGGTCGGCATGTCTGTGAGACTTTCCAATAGAATCGGCCGGATGCCAGAGTAGATGGCATTGTGGCCGTATCTTTCATGATAACGCGGGACGACCTTGAACCGCAAGTGGAATAACACACTGAAGAAGGGGAACCGGTCCATCTACGGCCGCTAAAGATCCCCCAGCACAGTATTGTGTCATTGTGATAGCTCACACGCTATCAAATAAGGCGCAAGGGACAGCGGGATACCCGTCGTTAGCACGGCATGTTGAATTACTAGGGAGCAGCTGATGGCGGAAAATATGAGACCCCCAAAGTTTATTTTACTACGTTTCCGGACAATCTTTCCACCTTGGACTATTCTAGACTTTTGTCCATCCGCGATGCTGGTCAAGAGACGTGAGATTTCGCTCTATCTTTTTTGGTCAATTTTTCCTCACTTTATTTTTCCATGTGAGAGAACTGTCAAACAGTACCTGTCGCCGTACCGACTTAGCTTACTGTTGATATTATTGTGATGCGCCGGAGATCTCCCAAGATCTCCGATGCATGATGATCAACACTGAGGTAGTTGACCGGCTATGCCACGTGCGAACAGTCAAAGAAATAGCGGCTTATCTGGTAAAATTGGTGAGGTCAATATAAAATCACTCATCCTATCGGAGTCAAAGTGCAACGTTCCAGAAGGTGACGTTCAAGGCTTATTTGAATTCGCCCTGGAGCAAACGTGGGCGAGTTCGCCGAACCGATTCGACCTGCTTGAACCTAAAATACCAGCTGAATCGTGTTGTCATTCCCGTTTCCTAAAAAAAAGGTCTGGATGGCATATTAACGGAGCTTAGCGAAATATCCGATACACCTCGCAAGCTCCATAACCCGCCCTTCCCTCGCTTCGCTCGGAATTGTACCCAAGCATCGTCCGCTTCTCGTCCCGCTCCGACAGCTCCAGGGAGTCAGTACCTTGTATATCAAAAAAGGCAACACCGTGGTATTTTTGCCGAAAGGGAGTCTCCCTTCCAACAAAACAAGACCGTGGAAACAGATGGCGATAAGGCTGCACAGCCGTATGGCCAAGGGATGAATGCAAGCAAGTTTCGGGCTGAAAGACGCTGCAACAGCGACGGGTTCGCTGAGGCAACTGAAGTCAGCAATTTCAAGAGCAACAACACATTTCTGCAACGTTCAGTCGCTTCAAAGATGAGTCTAGAACCTCTTGGCTCATACATGTCAGAATTTCAAGGCAAGCTGGCGGAACCGCCGTGCCAGTAGGTGCCATGCGACTTCAATATTGACTACACTAAATCCGGATATGCCGCGAGGCACTTGCTATATATAAAATTATATCTGATTCAGCTGAGAGACACTCACGTGGCAATTAGCTGCATGCTTGCCCTTTTCCGGAGACTGCAGGGCATATGTGACGAGTGTAAGCTGTCGTGGTGGCCAAGTGTTGCATTAGGTCATCTCGCGATTCCAAGCTGGATGGTGTCAGGCTGAGTATACATCAAATAGAGAAGAACTATATTCTAAAATTGAAGTTTAACCCGCAAATGTGACATGTGTCGTGACATCTGGCCCCCACGATGGCATCAGCAACGCCATAGACAAACTTGCTCATCCATCAGGGCCCTCTACCTCTACCGATCAATCACATCTGGTATTACAAGGCTGAAATAGGCATCATTGTAAAGCAACTTACTGTACCTCCTTTGAGGAGTCCTTCGGAATATAAATAGACCACGAAATCATCCTTTGCCTCGATGTCTTAGCTCTCCAGAGACAGACACGCCCCCATCCAGCCTCATTCACCAACCTCAATCTTGATCAGCTCAGCTTCCCTCAAAATGAAGTCCATCTTTTTCTCCCTTGCCACTCTGGCACTCTCCGCCTTTGCTGCTCCCGCCATCGCCGAAGGCAGCCTGGCCGCCACCGCCGCCGGCGTTGTCGCCGCCGAGGCCGACTTTGCCATTGAGAAGCGCGCGCAGACCGCCGAGGACCTGATCAACGCCATTGTCAAGACCACCGACAACATCAACACCATCGGTGTCTCTATCAGTAAGTATAGCCCCATCACCCTGCCAATGTTGTTGCGACACCGCTCCTGACAAGCCTGCGCCCCAGACGTGACCCTCAGCAAGGTCAAGACCGGCGCCATCACCAAGCAGGTCGGTGCACTCCAGGTCACCGTAAACCTTCAGAAGGTTCTCGGCGAGATTGGCACGCTCCTTTCCAAGGTTCTCTTTGCCGCGCGCATCGCCGTGCCCAAGGAGCTGCTCGAGCCCGTCGTCAAGGCCGTCGAGCGCCTCGTCCTAGCCACCGTCATCATCTTCGGCGCCGTTCTTGAAACCCTGGGCCTCAGTGGCGTCCCCTCCGCGATCGTCAGCCTCACCTTCAACCTCGTCGCCAGCCTGTTCACCGGTCTTATCGGCGTGTTCGGCAGGGACATTGCCCCTGGTCTGCAGCTCATCGTTCAGAGTCTCCTCGCTGAGAACTTCCCCGCCCAGCTGGCTGCTCTTCTGGCCCCGAGCCTGAAGTTCCTTGCTGGAATCATCGGCCAGTACATCGGCAACTAAAAAAAAATTGACGGAAGCGCTTCAAAGCTCCAGTCACCTTCGACCTGATCGATCAAGTACTAGCTAGTCTGTGATTTTGTTCTTTATTTCTAAAAACAATGCAACCGATTTAAATCGCTTTTCTGTAACTTCGGTGATGAGCATGTGCCTGGAATCTTTTAGAGCAAAAAATCAAAAATTGCCCGTATGGCTTACACCCCGAAGTACTCATGAAGCACGAGGGGGGGCCAATGTGTCAGTCAGCTGTGTGCACGCAGCTCAAATAAAATTACATTATTGACGAGATCAAGGAATGGACTATAGACTGTAATGGATCAAACACATTGCAGCTCGCCATTTCATCTTTACACTTATTCTTTTCCTCTAATATGTGTAAGTCGCCGATGAGGTGAGGTGAACGCACCGTGCCCGGCAGCCACGACGGCGAGCAAAGCAAAGTCAATCAGGAAGCGACTTCAGGCTGAATCATCTCCCTTATGTTCTGCTCTGCCTATCTTGCAAAATTTCGCTGAAATTTTGACAAAGTCATTATGTCGTCAAGTACTGCAAGGCATGCGTGCACGTGCCGCTGCACGTGACCCACTGTCATCCAATCATGGCCCGAGCATTGTAATCCCGCAGCGCAACTCCAGTGAAAGGAAGCTAATTGAACACCAAAAACGATTCCCCCAGCACGCAACCAAACACCTCCAATCCAACCGCCATCGCCACCTTCCCGACGGACCTGACACGAGATCAATTGCAAGCACTCCTCTGCAATTCGACGACGACTCACCCGAACAGAGCGAGATGGCGCCGGCCCTGACTGCCTCCACGGCCATGCTGGCCCGCCGCCAGCTGACCCGAGCCGCCACGACGACGAGCTCGAGCTCAACCGCCGCGGCGCTCGTCGCCCTCCGCACCGCTGCCCAGCAGCAACGAGGCTACGCCACGCCCAACGGGCCTCCTCCGCAAAACTTTCGCCAGAGCAAGCGCATCGAGTGGTCCTGGGACCGCGAGAGCACCCTCGACCGCGTGGGCAAGTTTTTCCTCATGACCGAGATGGCCAGGGGAATGTACTTGCTGCTCGAGCAGTTCTTCAGACCTCCGTACGTCGTCACCCCCCAGTACTCCCGAGACGCTGCCGGCTCGAATTGAGAGCGGCGGCGCGAAGGGGGCTCTGGATTGCCCTCGGAAGAGGTCGGGTCCGCTAACAGGTTGGACGCAGTTACACCATCTACTACCCCTTTGAAAAGGTACATTCGCGACCCTCAAATCCGATCCGCACGAAGACGAATAGAACCGCGATTGACACTTTGATTCAGGGCCCCATTTCCCCCCGATTCCGTGGCGAGCACGCCCTCCGCAGATACCCCTCAGGTGAAGAGCGCTGCATCGCCTGCAAGCTCTGCGAAGCTGTATGTGAAGCCAGCCGCCCATTGGCTCGTGCCGGCGATCCTGAATCTAATACTTCTTTTTTCACTTGCAGATTTGCCCTGCTCAGGCCATTACCATCGAGGCCGAGGAGCGTGCCGACGGCTCCCGCCGCACTACCCGTTACGATATTGACATGACCAAGTGCATTTACTGCGGCTTCTGCCAGGAGTCGTGCCCTGTCGATGCCATTGTTGAGAGCCCCAACGCCGAATACGCCACCGAGACGAGAGAAGAGCTCCTTTACAACAAGGGTACGTACCAAATGCTTGACGGCGTTTTATCCTCTGAAGACCCCGGCTAACCGCCTTTGACAGAGAAATTGCTCTCCAACGGCGACAAGTGGGAGCCCGAACTGGCCGCTGCCATCCGCGCCGACGCCCCCTACCGATAATCTCCCTCAGCATACCGCGAAAGATGCTGAAAAAGTTACTCTACAATTTTCCCTCTGTATGATTTAGCAAAACCCCCGATGGTGTGTATTGAGAAGAATAGCGTGAACGGTTTGCGCGGCATAGAAGAGCAGCAGTGGAAGAAATCATAGCTGTATATAGGCTCGGAAAAGATTTTCTTTGTCCCGTTCCCGTCCATGCTTGCAATTCATGAGTTGTCGCTTCGGGAACCAGACCCCACGTCCGACAACAGCCACATCAACGGACAGAGCTACGTGTACCATTTTTAAGCAAGGTATGTGTGGGCAAGCTTTATTAACTTGTGATACTAAGGCAGTTGATTAAACTATCCTTCACTACTGTACAGCCCTCATCGCTTGTCGTTTAGACTTCCGAATCTTCGGGTCACCCTTCGGACCCGCAGCCGCGAGGACAATCTCCATGAGCCCGGCCGCAACCTGGCGCATCGAGTTGTGGAACTGGGCGGTGGTCGGGTAGAAGGCGCATGCGGCAACGCCGCTGGACCTGCCAAACTCGATGGTGATGCCGTTGATGCGATTGGCGCCGCAGTTGCGGCCGTAGTACCGGCCAAGGAACCAGTCGGTGGATGTGCCCGCGGTCGGATACAGGTCGACTGACGGCTGCTCGTAGTAGGTGACGGTAGCGCCGTCGCCGGCGGCGTTCATGGCGCCGACCATGGCGACGGACGTCTCCTTCTGCGCGTCCAGGTCATCCACCTCGATGTACTCCTTGTACGGGAAGTCGCCCTTGAGGCCGCGCCGGCCGTCCCACGTCGCGTTCCGGAAGTGCTGCGTGGGGTCCGTCGTCTGCGCCTCGTCGTCGCCCCAGCTGTGCAGCACGACGCCGGTGAAGGAGTGCAGGTCCAGGAACCACGAGAGGCTGCTGCTGTGCTGCCCGGTGACCCACTCGATGTTGCGCGTCTCCTGCTCGGAGAAGGGCGCGGTGCCGTGGAACACCTCGGAGCCCGGGTTGTCCGACGCCGGCGGGCTCCGCCCGTTGGCGACGTTGCGGTGGAACGCCTTGCGGTAGTCCCAGGTGCCGTCAAAGTTGCGGTTCAGGTCGATGCCAATGTCGGCCGCGTTGGGCGCGCCCGCGCCGGCCCGCGCGCTCGCGGTGTTGCGGTTCTTGCGCCAGCAGCGGCCCGTCCGCTGGTCAAACGCCACGCCGTCCGGGTTGATCATCGGGATCGACACGATGCCCGCGGACAGCGCGGTGCGCACCTGTGCGTTCGTGTACGACTTGCCGCCCCAGGTGACGCCGGTGCCCGCGTCGCGCGCGTAGAGCAGGTCCGACAGGAAGTAGATCATGTGGTCCGGGCCGCCGCGCTCGCGCGCGTGGATGCCGCTCTCGATGTAGATGCGCGGTCCGCTACTTCCGCTGCCGATGACGATGCCGGAGACGGTGCGGCTCTCGACCGTCTTGTGCGGCGCGTCGAAGAAGCGCACGTCGGTGTACTTGGCGGCCAGCGCGCGCAGGCCGGAGGTGACCTCCTCGGGGGTCATGATGGAGGGGATGGCGCGCGGCTCGGTGGCCTGGCCGCGCGGGGCGACAGTGCCACCGGCGAAGCGGTCGCCGGTAGCAATGGGCACGCCCGTGGCGGCGGGGTTTGCCGGGCCCTGGCGCGCGCGCAGACCCTGCGGCGAGTCGTCGGGGTAGCGGCCGTGCAGGGCGAGGTGCCGCTCCGCGTCCATCTCCTCCGGGAGGAGACAGGCGTTGGTGGCGGCGCACAGCACGGCGGCGACGGGGAGCACGGAAGAGACCTTCATGCTGCTGGGCAGAGGCTGTGTGCTTGAGGCTTGTTCAATGAATAAGGGGAGTCGATTGATGAGAGGAAAGGCTTGAGCGACAGACTTCACAATACATTCCCCGACTTTTCGGCGGCATCTTTTCCCTCTTATTTATGCATTGCCGTGTTCCCTGTGACTTCTCGACTCCTCGCCATGGCTTCCATTGCGAAGGCCAAGAAGCTATCACGCCGAATTAGGCAGGACGGAGAGTCTGTAGTGGACCGCCGGGGCGGGATGGACAGAAAGAACCCTCTCAACGAGTCGGGCAGAATGTTGGATACGGTTTTGCCTCATTTACAGGGATATCATTGCCGTTATCTATGCTTCCCCGCGTTTCCTGATGGCTCCTCCCTCTCTGGACCACTAGAAATGGAACACGGCGACAAGGTGGGAAGTAACGCCGAGCCAGGCTGGTCCGAATCAGGCAGGACGGGGAAATAAGGTGTGTGGAACGGCGGCGCCGCTGTTCAATGCACCAAAGATGCCAGAGAAGTCTAATTCAACGTCTTTCTGCGTTGGGCCGCTGTCCTTCTTGCGAAGGACCGTTCCCTTCCAGCATCAAAGCAGCAATGGTGCAACTGGGAGCGGGGGGCTTACAGCAACAAGGGAGGGCCATCCTAAGCTCCAAGATGGTTGATTCGGGCAGGTACCATCACTTCAGCAGGCAGCCTGGCGACTCTAATACCACATTCTTTGCAAGCTACGCCATGTGACGACAATCCCTGGAAAATAGAACACTTGTGCCGAGACTGGCCGTCAAAAGCAGGTCTGGACCGAGATAGGCCGTCAAAACTACAGTTGGCAGCAATTTAATGCAACGCCTACTGTTAAAGTCTCGTCCCAAATAAATTGCATCACCTGCTCGGCAAGGCTGTAAGAGCGAAGGAAAGAATGGGATGGCTGGTTTTGGTGTGGCTCTGTGCTTGGGTTCTCATTGGCCACTTCGGCAGCTTCCATGTCCTCTCTGAGCTTGTTCAATGCTCGCCTCAAAGATAGAAAAAAAGTCTCGGCAGGCGCAAAACAAGGCTTGGACTTGGTCTCCGCAGAGTGCGTATTTCAAGCCTCGTTTAAATGATAGTCATCTTGGCATTGTGGTGCAATAGCGTCACGCAAGCGAAGCCCGGGCAGACGAGAATATTCTAGCTTGCTTGGCCCTGAAGTACAGGCTGCTAGCCCAAGTCTGGTTGGAGAGTCCTTCAGACAACTACCTCATACCAGTTGATTGTAATAATTTCATCATCTTTATTCGTGGTTCCTTGCCGGGTTTGGGTACCCGTGTACATGTCTCCTTTCCGAACTAATCTCGCTCGATCACCCCCTCCCCTGCCCACGACGTAAAGGCTGGGTTTGCTGCCGCCATGTATTTGGTGTATCTTCCATGGAGTTTCCAGAACTTCTCTCAGCTGGGGCTGATGGAGACTTGAACGCCTCAAAGTCTTCCAGCTACACACTGAAAATGTCTAAAACAAGCCTCTCAAAACGAATTACAATTACTCTTCGTCTCCAAAAGAGTCGCCTACAAGGGCACACTGCGTACAGGGTAAGTATCATCCATTTCGTCCCCGGCCGGCCAATCAGCACGCCAGGTGCTCAAGCTGAGTAACCAAAACTGGCAGTCGTATCACGTGATCCAATTCGCGGCCAGAGCTGAAGCTTTGCCATGACTTGGCCTTGGGCTTTTTGCAGGCCAAAGGCAACGAGAAATTTATCAACCCGTCTTCACAAACCTACTTCACCCCCCCCAAACAACGCCAATCGCATCGACCAGCAACCCTTCTTCATTCCTCCCGGTTGCACCTCTCTGTACATTCGACCTTGCTTTCTTTCTAATTCCTCCACACACAACCAAAAAATTTCCGTCAAAATGTTCCGCACAGCCGCCATCCGCTCGGTCACCCGCGCCGCCCTCGCTCCTCCCGCCGCCGCCGTCGTCCGCAGGACCGCCCTCGTCGCCGCCGCGCCGCGCGTCGTCGCCCTGCGCGCCACCCAGAGCTGCTTCGTCCCCGTCCGCATGTACAGCGCCGGCGGTGGCCTGAAGAAGGAGGAGGTCGAGGGCCGCATCATGACCCTGCTCCAGGGCTTCGACAAGGTACGGAGACTTGTTTCCTGTTGGGGAATTGCGAGCTTGGATACGGAGAGGTGAAGGGGGGGGGGGAGAAGTTTGCTCGGCTGGCAATTGATGCCACTAGTCGTTCGGCGGATAACGCCCGAGCTGCCCGGCTGATGGATCTCGCCCCCCCTTTGATATCCCGACATTGGAAACGTTCAGCCATTATCAACGATGTGCTAACCTGTGCCGCTCTTCTAGGTTAACGATGCTTCCAACGTACGTATTACTCTGCAATTGATGCGTCGCGACGTCCTGCCCGCTCCACACCTGCCGTCTACCCCCGTCCCGGTCTAACCCCCCGTGCCCCGATACAGATCAAGCCCGCCGCTCACTTCGCCAACGACCTCGGTCTCGACTCGCTCGACACCGTCGAGGTCGTCATGGCTATTGAGGAAGAGTTCAGCATCGAGATCCCCGACAAGGACGCCGACGCCATCCACTCCGGTAAGCTGCTCCCCCCCGCCACCCCGAGAACCGGTCAACTCCAGGACGAACGCGCTGCAAGATGCTTACCACTGCAAAACAGTTGACAAGGCTGTCGAGTACATCCTCAGCCAGCCCGATGCCAACTAAACAGCCAACTCGATTTTTCTTTTTTCTCGAACCACGGCTCGTCGAAGACGCCTTTCTATTTAGCGTCGCTGATACGATATGCGAACGATAATAAAGAAAAAAAAAGCCACGCAAAATACCACACAGTTGTACAATATCTACAGGCGGAGGAGACGGGGTTCATGCGGAGCAGCCGTCTACATGTGATAGAAGCGGAGGAGGGTATGCGGTGATGGCGAGTTGTCATGCGGGACTAATTGCCCCGAAAGACTTGGTTGTTGTTTTTAAAATATAAAGGATTTCTGTAAAGTCTTACATGCTTGGCGAATCTGAGCTACATCAAGTGTATCAAATCACCACTTTTTTCCCGTTTCATTGCGCGTTGATACTCTTCAAGTGACTGACTGCGAAACGTTGTTGTATTCTTGCGGAGGAGGGAACACGCAGTATCCCATCTATGAGGTTTTTCTTTCGGCAGAAAACAAAGGAATAAACTACTCAAACAAACATTATAGAGAAGTAGCTCTTGGATGCAAATTGAGCGAACGTACCCTTTCCGAACTGTATTGTGAACAAAGACGAGCAAGAGCCAAGCTGAGGAACGTGGGAACAGAGCAAGGCATGATGCAAAGCCAAAATCCAAAAAGAAACAAAGGGATAAAAAAGAGGTAGGGACAGTGTCTCCATTTCTTTTTTTCTCTGTTCAAAAAAAAAGGCGCTGGGAGGGAAGAAATCAGAATACAGGAGACCAGCCGATTAGCAACAGGAACAAGAACAAGAATACCAAGAACAGAGAAATCAAGCGCCGTTCAGACAAGAAACATCTCTTTCTTCCACCAATCCCTGACAGTCGACAGGAAAGAATGCGTAACCAGAAAAAGAAATGTCCTATCCCATGTAGATTTTCCATACGCGACTCAGGCTTTTCTTCTTCTTCTCTTTCATAAATAAACTCCGAACATGTGCTTGCTTGTATGAGTGTATAATGCTCAAGCAGCAGAAACAGCAAAGCCAATAACTCCGGTATCGTTTGAATGGGAACGTAGCAAAAAAGCATGTGCGACAAGGGAAGTTGGTGAGGCCATCTCCTCGTTGCATACCAGCCCAGCCATACAAGTGCCAAGAGCCAGATAAATAGCCCAAAAGGCTTGTCGAGCCAAGAAAACGCCAATGTGCTCTTTTTGTCTAAGAAAGCAAGTGGCTGAATAACGCAAGTGTAAAATGCGCATAGTGCCGCTGTGCGCAACAGCGGTAGGACTCTGGAGGTGGTGAGGCCCAAAGAGCAAAGTTTTCGTCACCGACCGTTAGTTGACGGGTTCCTGTTTTCCTTGGCGGTCCCATCTTGACCCTTGCCCGTAACGGCACCGGCGTAGCTGTTAAAGCTACCCACACCGAGGCCGGCGGAAGTTCGCTTGCGCATGCGTGCAGCAGCTACCGGATCATCCTCTTCCATACTGAAGACGAAATCAGGGTCCTCCTCATCAATGGGCGTGGTGAAGCGGCCAGTGACGGAGGAGCTGATGCTGCCAGTGGAAACATGGCGTTCCATGGGACGGTCTTTTCCAATCGGATTGGAGCCACCGGCCCTCGCCGATGAAGGATGCAGGCGGGGGCTGGAGCTGGTGGTGGCGTCGTCAATTCGACTGCGTTGAAACTGCTGAGTAAGGACAGGCATAGGGTCGCTGCCGAGTCTCATGGACGACGGGCGGCCTGGTACACTGGTACCGAAAGCTTCACCACCCATCTGCTGAGCGAGCGTTGAGTTTCGCAGAGGGCTGCCAACATGGCCAAAAGGAGACGCAGCGTTTCGCGCAGAGCGGGCAAGCTCCTCTTCCTCCTTTTGGCGCTGGAACAGAGAGCCCCAACGGCTAGGACTAGAGGCCATGGGACTTCCGTACTTGGACAGGGTCTCTATATTGACGTCATTCTCGCCTCGCATGGAGCCTCTCCTGGCCTTCTCGGCCGGTGTCAAGAGGTCCTGTAGGTTCTCTGGAACGTAGTTTTCTGGCGCATTGTCGCCTTCGTCTCCAAAAGCAAAGCCGGCCTCCCAATCATGATCGACGCTCGTCTTTGGTACGCTAGAGCTGAGCATCTTGGGTTTTGCATATCTTGACGAGTGCATAGTTCGTTTGCCAAAGTACTCGTCCGTTCCGAATGGGTTCGAGCTCGGGGGACTACCGCTGGCGAGGAACTGATCTGAGGAGCCAAAGGCGGAATTGTGTAGGAGCTTGAGGGTATCGGAGGTGCGAGAGTCCTTGGCGTTGCTGAGGGAAGCGGAAGGAGAATCGAGGCCGAACTTGGAGGGAACTGATGATGGCCATGGGGCGGCGGGGAAGCGGGCAGCGTTGGAAATGCCGTTTGAGTCAAACGAGGCGGGCATTGGGGCGTCGAGGATAGAGAGTCCCTTGCCATTGGCGGGAGAAAAAGCAAAACCATCACGAGGGGAACCGTAGCTTTCGGGGAAGGCAAACGGGGCCTCGGAGGAGTGGCCGTTGTCGAGGTTGAGGTGATGGTCGTGAAGCTGCTGGCGGCTCTCGGCGAGGTAACTCGGTAAGCCAGACTGATCAGCCTCGTATAGCGAGGTGGTGAGGGCACTGGTGGAGGACTGGGTGTAGGTGTGGTTGGCAGCGGAATTGGGCGACGTCGGACCGGCAGGGCTGCCGGCGAGAGGAGCGGTTATTATAGTGAAGCCGTTTTTGCCATAGTTGACTCGGCGGCCGTCGGGTAGGACGTGGATGTTTGCGCATTTGGGGCCGAACTTGCAGTTTCCCTGGTGGCATTGGTTAGTGGGGGTGAAGCTGGAGGCGGCGTGCGGAGCTTGGGGATCGCGAGGGAAAAATCGCGAGGGACGACTCACTTTGGCGAAGTATTTGCAGACGGTTTCGGAGGCGACACCAAGCTCATGGCTGAAAGGACAGGCATTGCCAGCCTGGCAGGCGCCTTGGCGGTAGAATTTGCAGGGGACATGGGACGTGTCTATGAGCAGAGAACGGCGAGTTAGCTTGTAGGGAAGTAGTGGTGATGGTGGTTCTAATATGAATTCGCGTTAAGAGGGCAGCGCATAGGTAGTAGGCGCCGAGTCGTGCGAGGTTAACCGGTAAAAACCAGGCAAGCAGTTGGTTGGGTTGGTCGTTGTTGAGCATGATGACCGACCGGGCCGGACAAAGAAAATGCAGCAGAAAAAAGAGCGGCAGCGTTGGGCTTCCTGGGCAGCGACTGGGGCCGTGCATGGTGGGAGGAGGGAAAGAAAAGAGACTTACTGGGAGGACTCCGAGGCATAACGGATGTGGTGGGACGAGATGACGAGTTGGCGATGCTCATGCTGGAGCTGCGGGCATGGCGATAGTCGGGGGGCATGTTGGCAACGGGCCGAGACGAGCGTCGTCGGTGGTTGTGGTGGTTGTGGTGGGTGGAGGAAGAAGAGGTGGTGGTGGAAGAGACAGACGAGGCAAGACGTCTTGTGTGACGGTGGAGAGAGGAGGAGGAGGGGAGGGGAGAGCGAGGAGGGGAAGGCGTCGAGCGGAGTGGGGTGGCAGCAGAGTGATGAAGAAGACGAAGAGGAGGACTGGAGAGAGGAGGAGAAGCAAGAGGGCTGGATACGAGAGGTATAGTAGTAGAAGAGAGATGAGGGCTGGAAGAGAGATGACGAGAATGAAGAGGACTGGAGGGAGAGGGAAGAAGGGGACCATGAGAATGAGAGAGAGGTGCAAGTACAACAGGCGCAACGGGCGCGACAGGTGGGAGAATAATGGAGTGCGTCACGGGGAGCGTTGCGGCGGTTGCAGGCGCTGACAGCCGCTGGTGCGATGGGGGGGAGTCAGGCGGGGAGTCGCTGTAAGAGTGCTGTGGTGGGCGCTGTATTCGGTGCGACTGGTGGTGCTGTGTTCGGTGTGACTGGTGGTTCTGATTGTGGTGGTGAGGGCGCTGTAATTCGTTCTGCTGTTGCTGCTGCTGCTCCTGGACAACCACCTGCTGCACTTGCTTTTTTGGGGCCCTGTGAAGCACCTGGCGCTCTCGCGGTCCTTGCCTTCCACTGACCCTCCCACTGTAATCCCGCTCTCGCCCCATCAGCATCCGCTGTGCGCTCGGCCACTGTAGAACTTCCACAAATCCCATGTCGGACGAAGTCTGGGATGTGTACATAAGTCAAACCGTGACAAACTGCGAAAAAGAAAAAAGGAAGGGAAAAAAAAAGAGAAAAAAAGAGAGAGGTGGAAGAAGAAAGACGTCGACTTCTAACCCCCGTTCTCAGCTTGTTTCCCTGCTGTCCAGTCCCAAGACCATGACTCGGAGCCTGGCTGGCCACGACTTTTGTTCTCAATCAATCACGTTCGTTTCCGTTTTCCAGTACTGCACCGGATGACGCCTTTCTTTGTGTGTCCCGGCACTCGCGGACTGCCGAAACAGTCAAAATTGTCCTACCTCAACCTTTGACCAACTTCTTCTTTCGTCTTCGTCTGCACCACTATGATCCCTCCTTTGCGCAACGTCACCGGGGCTCCACGGCTTTGGGGAAAAAGTTCGCCGAATCTGTTGTGCAGTATAACACGTGGTTGGTCAGAATGTAACGGTGGTGTAAGTCGGCTGAGCCGGAACAAGGTGTGAAAGCGGACGCAACGGATGAGTGACGACAACAACAACGAGAGAGGAGGAGAAACGAAATAAATTGCAACGTCAAAAGTCTTGGCGATTGTATTTTATCCCTGAAAGAAAGCTGAAAGCGTCGACGAAGAGGTCCCCAAAACTGCACAATGTTGTCCACAGACAGGGCTTGATATTGGCAATATTGCCGCACAAGCCAGGCCTCTCTCTCCATCAACTCTCGCTTTGGGTAGAAAAGGTATGCGTCGCAACTTACCGAGAACAAGAACGGCAGATCAAGTATTTTTTTTGCCGCCGAATTGGGAAATTGAGCAAGTCATAAAAGTAAATGGCCCGTTCCTTGTCTGCAAATAAAGGGCTCAAGTTTGGAGCGAGACCATTTATGAGCCGTCAAAGACTGTGCTGTGTTATACGAGAGATGACAGACGCTAGAAACGGGAGAAAGAGGATGCATTCGGAACTCCTTTGCGTGAACAAGGGGGCGCAGGTTCGTCTTATACCAAGAATACCACTAAACTCGCCTCGTGTATTGTTAGTATGTAGGTAGACACATGTATCCGTAGGGTGTCTGTAACCCGTCGTGGTGGTGGTGACGGCAGTAATGGTGGCAGACGGGAAACAGGCTCTCACCCGTCGTTGCAATGCTAACTAACGGCCTGCTGGTGACTCGCCGTCGTCAGTCGCCCTGCGCCTATAGGATCTCTTGGTCGGGCCCTCTACGTAATCAAAAGATTGGAGCCTCCCTGTCTCCTACTTCTCTACAGGATGCTAATGGACAATGTGGAATTCCATGATCCGGGGCTGTCGCCTTGTGCACAGCCCTTCAACACCATCCATCGCAGGCGCCTGTCTTTTCCTCGCCACTAGCCGACCAGACCACCTGCCCTCGCACGGGCACACACATATACACACATGCGAATACCAGCATGGGAAGAAGAGCACTTGACAAAGATAGGGAAGAAGAAAACGACAGGGGGGAAATATGCTGAAGGCGACACAGAAGACGTCGACGGTGAAGGCTGGGGAGTGTGAATGTGAATGCTTGAGCACCCTCCCAGTCTTGTCCAAGAGGTGTGGGCAGGTGGCCGCTGCCAGCCCCCCCCCCCTTTTCCCGACTGGCAAGATGATGGCTTCACCCCGACTACTAGCGGAATTTACGATACGATGCTGTACCAATAAGTTTCCATCTTCTCTTCGTTCCAGTCATCCTGCTGGTCATGAATACTACTTGCCCGTTGCGTCCAACTGTATGTACTTGTACCTACTAGTTAACTTAGTTACGGGTAGACTTTGGCCCTGCGTGCGCCTATCGATGACCCCCATACATATCCGAGCACCGTGATCATGACCGCTGCACCAGCTGCTCGTAGCCCGGTTCCCGGGACACTGATTGGACCGAGTGGACGGGAAGTGTTATGCACATATACGTCATCTGTAACAAAGTGTATATCTTGGCTCTTTTTTTTTTTTTTTTTTTTTTTTTTTGACATCTTGTACTAGAAGCTGGGAGCTGAGATGTCTCACTACTTGACCGCTACCACTAACAAGAAAAAGGCGTCATGGCTTGCGAGCGACTTCTAGTCCAGAATTCAAGCCGCATTTTTGCCAGACAGTTATTGTTCAGCCTGGCATGATGATTTTGTCGCAGACCCGAGGGTCTTGGCTGTCTCTCGAGGGAGCCCATGCCCATGTCGTCTTGCCCATTGTGGTCATCCGACCGCATTTGTCGGGAATGCCCGTGCCACAGCCTCTTGGTAGCAAGCACTGCCTAGTTGGAGAAAGACTGCCCAGTTGGAGAGAGAGCGGAATCTAACTATTTCGTCTACATAGGTAACTTTCCCAGCTGAATGGCTCTCTTGGGGCCGAGAAGCGCTCCCGTTGTCTGAGACTGACCGACTCGAGTCGTTCGGCCCGAGCCTTTTGGCCGCCCCCGATCAACTTTTTGGTCCTTGTACGTAGTCATCGGGAAATTCTGCCCTTGGCATGCGCATTTGACATGTAATCGACTGCATATGCACGAAATTTGGCATGTCCACGGCAGGCCGGCGCCATGATCTGCTGCGACCCAGCGCTGGCGATTGCTGGATCGTCATGCCTTAAGCTACATACCTACAGTATGTATGTATGTAGTAACTACTAACCTAATGACTAGTGCAGTACACCACTGTACCAGAAACATCAACAGATGGTGAATGGCCTGCTGCTAACTACTAGGCGATCACTGCAGTAATAAGCGAGATGGATAGAGTCGTAAAATATTCGCCACCACGGCCTCGCGTCTGATGATAGATAGTCCGTCGTCCCCCTTCCCTTACCATATCATTTCCCGGAAAAGGGCTGCCCATTGCCTTGATTTGTGAGCCACTACTACCCACACAGTCTCATGCTGCCTGCCTGCTGCTGCTGCTGCTGCTGCTGCGGCCGCTGCATAATGCTAGATTGCGTGGAAGATGGGCACTTGACCCCAGATTTTATCGGATATAAGGTTCCCCTCTTTGACGCAGCCATTGATGCCTTCTCATGCAGCTTGTCGTCTGAATCTGAATTGATCACTGATGGGATACGAGTTCCAGCCGAAATCAGCTGACAAGGGTACAGTAGATAGAGACGCCGTCCAGGACCAGAAGCTCCGGTCTCTTGGTTTTTCCCTTTCCTTCTCTCACCGTTCGACTGTCAGCTGCGAAGGCATCCCCTAAGTAGTGAGCTATCGGGCCTGGCCTTCGTTTACACCAGACAGACCCTTGCACACCTGCGAAGCGGTTCCCTGCTTTTCCCCCGCGCTGTAATGCATGGCACAAGCTCACGCCAACTTCAATAACGTCCGCTAATAATGCCTGTATCCGTATAAAGCAAGGACCAAATACTTAGGGGGGGCTCGCCTCGACAAGCCATGGCCCATAAATAGCGGGAGACACGGCGCGGCGCGAACCACACAAGCCGGTATTTGCAGCAACAGTTGTGTGTATCTCGTACTATTTAGTTGTTAGTCTCCGCGGTAGTGGTGGTGGTAGTGGCAAGTTTTACGACGCAGCCAGGTCTGCGGCACGTCCTACTTGAATTCGCAATTCGTAGGAATACTGGTTCGCCTCGGGCGGCTTCCGTCATATCGCACCTGGCGCCTCTCTAGCAGGCTGAACAGTCGCATGAATCGCGCCCGTCCTCCCATCCGACCTAAGAAGCAGCACGTGCCGCAAAAGGCAAGCTTTTGGATTCTTGGCAAGTCGTCTGAGACCACCACCACATCACACCCGAGCCATCGATTGATGATGTGCCGTTGGTGGCATCGGCAGTGGAGTTGAGCTCCTAGTTGCGAGTTAAGCCATGCTGCAGAATGCAGAATGCACCACAACAAGCAGGTGTCCGTCGTCCGGCGCGTCCACCGGCCAGTCACATCTCACATTATCTATTTTCGACAGTGTACCCTTGAAGATGGGGTTTAGCAGCCCATAACTAGGCAGGAGCATGATGAGGCAGGCATCACAACTCACCGAATCCAACCGTTGTTCAACACCACACAAGTAAAATTGCACAAGAAATTTCGAATTCTCAAATTATGACGCGGCTCGAATTATGACGCGGCTCGGTTGACCCTTTAGCAGAGCCTTCATCAAGCCTTAGGCACCGTTCGTTTACCTATCCATCTTTTGCGCTTTCCCACATACACGCGACATTGCGCTTTAACTCATCTATATAGCATCGCTGAAACGGCTCACCAAAAATGGTAATTATGCGTAAGATTCATACGAGACTCCTCATCTGATAAGACGCATCTCTCCCTCTCCTTGTCGAATTCTACATGTTCGGTTGCAGTGCTAATTAGCCCTGATACTGTCCGGGGATCCGCCATTATTAGTGACGTGATCGGCGAGTTTAGGTGCATTTTGTCCATGTTATGCCCGGTAAGTGTTTTCCCTAATTTTCCACAAATACCCCCATATTTGAATGTTCCCGGTGCTCCATCCTTACCGTCTGTATTTCTTCGTGTGACAAGAGCGAGAGATACAACCTTCCATGCCGTGGACCCATGCCGGGGTTGGTTGCAGCCTTGTAGGGAAGCAAGATCCCGGTCGCACGGCATTTATGCCCACAGACACTGCTCGGCGACGATGAAAGGCGCGGCAAGACTCCCAACTCGGGTTGCTGTCGAAATGATAGAGTCCGAGGCGCGACCAGCTGAGCCAAGCCACCGGCGCCGCCTATTGGGGCGACTGGGCGAACCGACTACCATTTTCTTGTTCAGCTCCAAGGCGCCGCCCGGCCAACGAACGATCGAATCAAGAAGCCCGATGGCTCATTGCCCATAATTTATCGCCTGTCATTTGTTACGGGGAATGCTTGCGTGACTACGGCTTACCGCGATTCAAGCCTCGTCAGCCACCCACACCAATGGCTTTCCCTCGCGATTTGTAAAGCTTCATCATCCCTGTCTACATGGCTCCGGCTCGCTCGTCAGCCCTGTCCGGCCATTCCGCGCCTTGTCAAATACGGAGTACAGAAAGATTACTCCGTGAAAGCAAAGCAGCGCCATCAGTCACTTTGATTCACAGCTTAGCGCGAATGCTGCAACTACCGTGCGTCAAGTGCAACCCCCCCTGGCACATCATGCTAACTAGTTATTAGCCAGTTGCAGAAAATGCAATGCTGGCAGATCGCCTCATGGCTGATCTCGGTCTGGAGAACACCTGTCATTGGATTGCCGCCTTTCCTTCCTCTCACCACCCCACGCCTGGTCTAATCGGAGTAGACACCGACTGCAGTGTCGTGCAGGCATACATACCCCAGCAGGACCCCAAGCATACTGCTCTGACCATATGTCCCTTTCTAGATTCCGGTTTTTCTTATAGATCAAGACAGGAAAAGTTCACGACGCGAGGTGAAGTAGGCAATAGATGTGGCTGGCGCATGTCTCAACCTGTCCCGTCGAGTGGTGTGCGTGTATTGAGTACCCAACCCTGAACTAGAATAGCAGCGCAGTTTGCAAAGCCTCTTCGTTCGCCCTACCCTTTTCACCCGTGTTATTGTTATGTTTGGGTAGATTCCAAAAAAGAAAAAGCCCCGTGCCTCCCGTGGGTGTGTCTCGGACGGGTGACCACAACGCCCCCCTCCACACCTCACCCAAGCCTGCGCCGTCCTAGCTTGCCGCCGACACCGCCGTTGGTCTCGCTCCCCTACCATGCCGGTATACCCTCCTGGTACACTCCGAGAACTGGGATTCTTCCATCCCGATTACCTATGCAGCCGCATATCCAAGACGACGGGATGAGTCTGGCCTGCTTTCCCTACACTCCATACCTCATGTCGTCGTCAACCAACCAACCAACCAACCAACCAACCCCCCCTCCCCCTTTTTACATTGCGGGCTGGCTTTCATGGCAGGCAAGGCCTCGTATTGACCCTTGAGGCCTACTTTGCCACAGACTCGTGCCGATCCGGGTACTTTCAAATTACTTCCAAGGTACTTGAAGCCGGATTTACAGAGAGCGCCTGCGCATGCTCCCGCTTGGTCATGTGCTTGCAGACTTGCTTGACGCAAGGCCAGCACCCTCTATGAGGAAGTCCACATTTGACTTGTCTTGAGCAGGTATGACAAGTGATGATTAATAGTCACAGGTTACTTTAAAATCTACAATTTGGGCTTCAACTTGCGGGAATCTTAGCCAGAATAGTGATGGCCGCCACTGCTGTCGCAGAATGGTAGCTGGACGGGCCGCCCTCATTGGCACAACTTGTCGTTCCCTGCTTCACTCGCAACCCGCGTACATTGGTTATTCCCTCGCCACAATACTCGTATGTGGCCACAATAGCATGGCGCACCCTTCAATGTCCTCGACGGCATAGCACGAACTAGGCGGTCAAAAGGGGGGGGGAGGCCGGCGCCTTCTACTTCTTGGCCAGCCCACTTCCCACGACACTTACTATGTACTCGGGAGCGGGCGTTCAGCCACTCATCGCCCGTGGACGCTGCGAGATCTGCTAAACCGGCCTTGTTTTCACGACGGCAACCCACCTTTACCCATACCCACACAACCTGTCAGTTGGGGTGGCATCGACGCATCCCATGATTGTCTTATCCGTAGACTGACCCACCACAGACTGACGCCTCTGGTGTAAGTGAAAAGTGCACTCTGCCTCTTCCAAAGAACCGACAACTTCTAGGCCTCATGTATTTGCCACACCGAAATTGCCGTGGACAGGTGAGTGTTGTACCCAGTTTCGGAAGTGCAAGTGTGGCATTGGGCCGACCAGTCGAGAGGCGTGCCATGCGCAGCTCCAGGCTGAACAGATGGCTAATCCCAATGGGTTAAATAGATATCAAGCTTTAGGATTATCCATATGAAAAAGTACGGTATCCTTTTCTGCGGTGAAAAAGTTTCGGGGCGACAAGCAAGATTCTTCGTCGCTGCAGCATCTCGAACACTTTCGAATGGCTATCACTCAGAGGCTAGATGGTGAGAGCACTGGTAAGTATCTGCTGTTACATGGAATTCAACAACTGAATTATACGACTAGTGACATCTGCCACTTGATAGGCTAAAGCCCAGATAATGGTATTGAGATGCCCAGCCTGGGCTTCCATGATGTATTCAAAGTATTCCGAACAAGCAGGACCCTTAATTCCATCGAAGAACACGCCAACAGCTTTCCCTCGCGTTTCAATTGTAATGACGCTTATACATCCACGACCGTCCGCTAAAACAACTTTTACCAGTAAAGTCGTGGTCCGCTGAGGGAGCTATGCCTTCTCGCAACAATGCCCCCGACTACCGTTTGCTTCCCCGTAATTCGCATCATGGCGGCGCGACTAAGCCCTCAACACATCAGACAAGGTTGGAACCGGAGCATCCAGAAGCGACCTTTCTAATGCTATAAGATTGTAGGATGGCGATGGCGCTGATTAGTGACGGTGACCTGCCCATCTACAGCTCGACGTGGCTGCTGTGGTCTTTTGTAACGACGGCTCTAGGTTCGACCTTAACACACAGCGACAGAGGAATATTGAGAAATAGAGGACTGTAAGGCTGAATATTCATAGAATGCGATGAAAACCTTGAGGTTCCTGGCATTTTCCGAAGCCTTGATGTGATGACGCAAAGTGTACTAGTAATGCAAGAGGCAAGTGGGTGGCCGACACTCAAGGCTCTAAGCCAGTCATCCAGTGTTGATTGCCGCAAACATCTATGCAAGTCCGTTATGTTAGCCAACAGGCGAGGAGTTTGTCTTCCGCTAGGAAGTCCTTCACTCATCGGTGCACCTGCCCGTCAAAGCAGGTCCTGTACACCAGTCGTCGGAAGACCTTGTCGAGGGTGTGGGTCACGTCTCTGGGAGAGAGGGCGAGATAGAGTAATGGATGACCTAGCGGACCACGGGCTTGATGCCGGTGGTTATATGCCGCGCTGGCACAGCAAGAACCAGACTAGGCAAGGCGTGGCTATGCAATTTGTCGTAGGCAGGTCACAGCCAAGCATGAAGCAGAGCTTGCCCGTCACCATAGTCAGGTTCTCAGGCCAGTTTTCCTGAAGTCCTTTCCGAGAAATAGTATGCGAGCATCTCTATAATGTGGTGGCGCGGCAGATTGGTTTTAATTTTGAGATTTGTAGCGTAGTAACATGCCTTGAACTGTGACAGCTCAATTTGGTGCGTATGCAGCGGCACGATGGTCTGGTTCTGCATGTTGAAGAGCTCCTGAACGTGTCGTATGGGGGTAACCTCCACCATGCCTCGTTTGTCTCGGAGGTTACCGAGTTGTCGTTGCTGTTATTGCTCAAGGAGCCATTGAGTTTGCGGGGTTGCTTCAGCCGGGTCGCCAGTGGGAGTTGCGCGCGAAGAATAATGGTGTTCCAACGACAGACTTGTGTATATGTGGCTAATTAAAGCTTGTAGGTGTCGAATACTGAGCAGCACTTGTGTAATTGTCAGAGCTTAGATGTAAATTCAGCGAAATATTGTTTCCGAGATAAATGTAACGCAGAGTCGCCACCGTCGATAATTGACATGACGCGACAGACCTGATGGCTCAAGGCTCCAAGTTAGTCAGAGGTAGACAAGTAGAAAATGGGCTTTGAAATAAGGATGTCTCATTAAAAGCCAACTTACACTAATAGGAAAGGAGTCAAAGAAGAAGAAGACGTGAAAGAAGCTAATAAAGAAGTAGAAGAAGTAGAAGAAGTAGAAGAAGTAGAAGAAGTAGAAGAAGTAGAAGAAGTAGAAGAAGTAGAAGAAGTAGAAGAAGTAGAAGAAGTAGAAGAAGTAGAAGAAGTAGAAGAAGTAGAAGAAGTAGAAGAAGTAGAAGAAGTAGAAGAAGTAGAAGAAGTAGAAGAAGTAGAAGAAGTAGAAGAAGTAGAAGAAGTAGAAGAAGTAGAAGAAGTAGAAGAAGTAGAAGAAGTAGAAGAAGTAGAAGAAGTAGAAGAAGTAGAAGAAGTAGAAAGAGTAGAAGAAGTAGATAGAAGAATTCTCTGGTCCACTGCCGACGAGTTTTAGGAACGTACCTGGATGTAAGGCAGAGCAGTAACGGTAGCTAGTCGATAGAGTTGTGTATCGCTCGGCATGTCGGCTCAATAGTAAGACGCGTCGTGGTATATCAATGCATCAAATATTGTATCTTGCTCGTGACGCTGCCCATGTAGCAAGTTCATGGAGTTCATGAAACCACTGAGAGACAGGATGAAGTCCGCAAGTATCACTTTTTGCATCGTGACAAGGTAACAGCAGGTCCGTTCGGTATCGCTTCTTGGATTCTTGAACGCTCGTGGTAGCTGCAGCTGTGAAGGCGGCTTGAAGGCGGCGAACTCGGTTCGAAGGGGGAAAGATTAAGCCGCGGGAAGCGGGGGTAAGGCTAAAAGTCGAGGATAGTCAGCGACTGAAGCTCGGAGAGGGATAAGTTGATGAGTTGGGATTCTGCATTTACCATGTGGGTTTTGTAAGTTTGAGAACCAGGCGTGTATGTAGTATTACTTTTGCGGCTGGGGTGTGATGTGACGGTGTCTTGTTGTATGCGAGGCATGGAGTTTGCTGCGATGTGCACTGCATTTGCTATGTTAGGAATGAAACGGGGAAGAGAAGGGTTTGACGTGAGTGTGCGTGCATACCGAGAAAAGCGAAGTCATAAGCATGACGAAGAAGCTGAGAATAGCCAAGACATGGGAATAGCCAAGATATGGGAATAGTTAAGATACTGTAAATGGCAAAGATTTGAAGTATAGTGCTCAGAATAGCGAAGAGATGAAGAAAGATGTGGAAGAAGAGAAGCATGGGAGGCAACGGAGCACAACAAAACAAAGGACAAGGCCCCAAAAGAGTCGGCAGCGTTTGCAGGCAGGAGTGTGCGTGCTTGGGCCCAGCCGCTGCCGAGAGGGTTGGTTCCTTCCTTCCTGGAACGATGGCTGTCCGACCACCAACCCATGGACTGTTTATTGGGGGCTGGCACTCTTCCTTGCTTCTTTTCTTTTTTCTGTTTCTTCAATTTCTCGTGGTCCACTGCTGACGGTTTTAGGAACAACGAAACAACAATGAGCACGGAGACGGCACAAGGTGCCATGACGGCGGCGGCGGCGGCGGCGGCGAGCATGGGGGCGATTTGGGCGGCGGCGGTGGCAAGGGGGCAACGGCGCCTCGGCGACGTCGAGGCCGGCCCGGCCTCTCACGCTGTCGGAGGTGCGGCCTTCGAGGTGGCGAGCTCAGAAGCCGCATGTGATCATCTTTATCTAGTTTTTATTAACTATTTTTATCATTATTAGACTAGACTTGCTCCTATTAGTATTTTTATCTTAATGTTTAATGTTGCCCTCCCAGCTCTTACATCTGCACTACGATAGCTTCCTCTTTCATCCTCCATTAGTCATATCGACAGGATGAATTCGCTTTCATCCCCTAATTGAAGCCCTGCTCATCCGACAGATATTATTCCCTTCGTAGAAATGTAAACATCTCTCTCTGGAAGCTGCCCTTGGGGTTATGCAGCAATGATTCGCTGGTGTGGGTTGCGAGGAAGACAATGAAGAGAAAGGTAGCATTTCATACTCACCAGTCGCCCTCACTCGGCCGATTCAGTAATGACGATATTAACGATGGTGGATTTTAATAATATTTTTCGCGACCCAGCGGAAGCGCAGATGGGCTGTGACGCATTGCCCTCTACCCAGGGAGGTACGTGTATATCCTGCTTAGTTGTTAAATAGGTTTTTGTAAGAGGGACCCCACAGCTTCCTTCTCGCGCGCCTCTAAAGAGGTCATCCGCCGATTGCATTCGTGGCAGCATCATGGCCGAGCCGAGCCGTGTTGCGTTGTGTTGTGCGTTTCCTGTTAAAGGCGAGTAGTCGTCGGCCGCTGGAGGAAGCGATGTGTGCGCCATGGCTCCCTGCAGCTCCTTCTCCTCATCAGCTTTACCTCGATCGGGCGTAGATGCAGGTCGAGCCATTGCAAGGATCGGGTTGCGCATCCAACTTTTTGGCAGGTAACTTGCTCTTCTTTATCCGCATCCTCATCGTAGCATCCCCAAAGGACGAGGTCGGCCCAGCCCGAGCAGAAGGGCACGTCGGGGTCGACCAGGCAGTCGAGGGTCTTGCGCAGCCCGAGCATGTCGTTTCGGCCTCCGTCTGCGCACCTCAGAAAGTCGACGCGGAGACTAATCCCCGATTTATCCACCGTGAAGCCGTGCCGCGCGTAAGCGCACCGACCTGTCAAGCTGACGTGGCCGCCATCGGGCACCCGTTCCTGCCAACGCGTAAATGACGTTGGACAGAGATGGATCGGGCATTCAGACTCTAGTATGGGAGAGCCTCCATAATAGTCGACGCAGTCACAAAGATTGGGGTCGAATGCGCGCATCTCGTCCGAGCCTGTGCGGCAAAGCATTCTGTACCATTCTGCGACGACGTCGTGCTGATTGGAGAGAATCAATTCCTGGCGCAGCTCCACGGGGCAGATCTTGCCATTCGGTAATCTCTTCACCCGGATGTGCGAGGCAAAGGATATCTCGATCCGCAGTTCTTGCTTCTCATTGCGATAGAATCTGACATGGGGTTGATTATCGGCCGGGCATTTCTTTGCATTGCATCTAGGTCGACCTTCAGCGTGGGCATGGCTGCAGGTGAGTTGGTTCCGAAAGGTAGATGCGGCGCGAGATTCGGCGTCACCAAGGCTGATGGACTTGTGCGCGCATAGTTGAAAACGGCGTTCGTGTCCCATGCAGACTCTGCGGCTGTCCCGTTTCTCCTTTCGTTGGATTGCAGAAAAGTGCAGCGCCCTGTGCTGAGTGCCGCAGGCTGAACAGTACAGCCGTACCAGGGTTGTTGCGTAAATTTCCTGCTCTAGTATCTCTCCGTTTCCTTTTCTGAGGCATTCCAGACACACGCTTGTCTCGAAATAGAATGGAGGTAGTGGCTCAAGCGGGAGGGCACGGGGCACTGCCCAGAGTCTTGCTGTGTACTCGAATCGTCGGCGACTTTGTTCTGGCATCAAGTGCAATGGACGAAAAGTCTCATGGACGCTAAAGAGGCGTAGAAAGGTGCGCGAGATATATCGTAGCTGCACAAGGTCTTGTAGATGCACATAGCTCATGATCTTGACAAGACGGTGATCAGGAAGGCCCATCAGACGGCTGTAGCGCTGGTTCAGGAAATTCCCCCTCCAAATGTGGTCCACCATCATCCGGCCTTGAGGTAGCTACCTATTTGATCAGTCATTTGTTACCTATAGCTTGGTAGGGGGTTCTCTGAACTCACCTGTGTATAGGAAGGCGCAGGTGAAGACGGCCTTTGAGGAGGTGAACCCCGATGATAAGAGGATGCTGGGGGCATAGGTTCGTTTTTGACGGACACGGCCGACTCGGTTTGGCTACTCGGTTTGCTCGTAGCGTCGCGGCGGCTTTTGTGACGCGACCACGACGGAAACGGCATGGTTCGGGGTGTGTCAAGGGGAGTAGGTAGGTCGAAAGAGTCAGGGAGGGAGATACGGAAGAAGGGTGAAGGGCAAGAGACGAAAGAGTTAGGGAGGGAGAGAGGAAGGTTGCTTGCAGAGGTGCCAAGGTTGAAACCCCGATTTTCTGGATGGCGGGGATCTCTTCTATTTAACGTATTGTCAAGAAATAATGATTGCTTAAATGTTGCTATTAAGGTTCGTGTTGAATGCTTTGCTATTGAGGTTTGTGTTGAATGCTTGCTGAACTATGTCAGTGTAGCTTGACCGCGTCCTACTGGAGTTGGCAAAATCAGCGGGGCGCAGGGAGTGACGAGGCAACACATAACCAACTTATGTACCAGTGCATCACTAAAATCTAAACGACCTATGTTTAAAATACTTTTAGTTTGTGTGAGGTACCGCATCCAAACAGCCATGTGATACCGTGCAAATAGTAAAACTTAGTCTAAATGTAAAGTGTAGTTATTAAATGTATAATTTGATGAAAATGGTCAATAAAAAATTGATAAAAATAATCACGCGGCTTCTCAGCTCGTCGCTGCCGCCGCTGGGCACGCTGCTCCCAGACGCGCTCCTTGGCCTCCCGCAACCCTAAGCCGCCACCCAACCCCTCGATCACGAGCGGCTCGGAGGCCGCGCCCGCGTCGGCTTCGACGTCGGGCTCGCGCCGCTACCCTCGCGCCCTCGCGCCCTCGCCGCTGCCCCAATCGCCATCCCCGCGAGCTCCCTCGCACCCCCCATCGCGGCCCCCGCCAACTCCCTTGCTCCCCCAACCGCCACCGCCGCCCGCTCTCTCACAAGGAGGATCGTCCCCGGCGCCCCTGGCTCACCAGCCGGCGGGCATCATAGATTATGGCCCAGAGCTGGACCAGCCCTATTAGGGCCGCCAACTCCACCCCAATTAGAGTCCAAACTGTCTAGATATCCCAAACCACGCAGCTATCGCCACGCTTTTTTTTTTTTTTTTTTTTTTTTTTTTTTTTTTTTTTTTTTTTTTTAGGGGTCGGTAGCTGGAGGTTGGAAGAGGATAAGTTAGCATAGTTACTGCATTGCCGTTGGGACATTGTCAAGCTTGCGAACCTGGGGTGCTTCTTGTTACTTTAACGAATAATGTGTCATTTTGCTTAAACGGCGGATGCGTAGTTGTTTTGTGTCTTGTTGCATGTTGCGGTCTGGATGATGGCCTTTCGGCTTATCGATGCGTTGTTTGTTGTGAGCCGGCATTATGGGCTTGTTTCTTCTTCTTTTTCTGCTCCTTTCTCCCGTTAGTACAAGTTTCTTTTTCAAACGACGTCTTTGTTTCGAGGCCAACTTTACCTCAGAGGCAATCTTGAAAGTAGCTGTGGTCATGGCAATAACGATGCATGGCGATGGGCAATTTCGATGTGATTGATTGACTATGAAAGAGGGAAAACAAGTCTATCAAGGCCAACTGGACAGCCATCAGCTTCATCGGGGGAAGTTGGTCCTAGTGCAAACGGAATATCGCGTCTCAGCTGTTCCTTCACATTCTACTGAACCATTGCGCGTTTGCAACCGCGTCACTTGCTGCGGTCTCGGACGATGCACGGAGTGGTGTACAGATACTTATGTATTTTGCAGTGTCAGTCAGTTTGATTGGGATGCTAAGGGATTGTAATAGGATACACAAAATTCGCAATTCTCTTTACTAATACATCAGCAACTCCAGTTCAATCTTTAATAAAGGTCAGTTGTTGGCAAGGCTTCTCCGGACACTAACTGGATGCATTTACGTATTTACCCTGGAATAAGTGATCGGCCGTTCCCGCCCGACCCGCAAAGACTGGTACCTAACTGGCAACATCGAAGGCATTGAACAAAACGACCGATTTCGGGGATGCTGGTGGCAGAAATATGATTATTTGATTAATTTACAGATGGGCGATAGTTTTCCGAATTCATCCCCGGATGACAGTCTCGAGGCTACAAGAACCGGTCGGCTGAGGCACCACAGACATTATCGAAAGCTGGCCCATTCAATTCTCATGGGGCTTCACGACAAACAATGAACAGAAAAGAAGAAATCCCCGGTTGCTGAATAATTCTCTACTTTTTCAGCAAGCTTTTCGAAACTCGTCAGATGAGCATAATAATCCTGCAAGAGAGTTTTTGTAGAAGCACTCCCAGACGGGGGCGTGCACATTCTGACGCCGGCTAGACTCATTATGAGTCATTTCGACTCATAGTGAGCCATTTCTACACAGGCCCCGTCCAGTACCCCAGATCTTTGGCGGTGACATGCAGCCCATCTGTATAGTACATAGCTGTGCCGTTGAGATGGAAATGAGTTTAAATGAGTCGATGGTCAACTGCATCTATATCAATAGCTCACACCTTCGTCAATTAAAAGCAAGCAAACGAAAACAATAATGCCGCGACAATACAAAACAAATCGAGTCGGCCAACACGGTCGTCCGTTGAAGCCCGGGTCGGCCAGTCCCCGTCTATGGAGGGAGGATTGATTATATCTACATTTCCCCAAGATGAAGCAGTAGATAGCCAGATTCTACGGCTTGAAAAATAAATATGATCTCTTTTCTCTTCCTTTTTTTTTGCTTCACTTGCGTGACAGCATCTCCCTCAGGGCGTCCACTTCTGCCTCCTTGCGCGCCAGCCGCAGCTTCAGCTCGTCGCGCTGGTCCGTCATGTCACCCAGCGAACGCTCCAGGTCCGAGATGCGGTCGAGCCGCTTCTGGCGGTACTTCCTCGCCGCCATGGTGTTGCGCCGGCGCTTGATGACGGCCTCCTCCTCCTCCTCCTCGTCTAGGTCCTCGGCGGCAACGGGAGGCGACGGCAGCCTACCGCGCTTGCGAGACGCGGAGGATGAGCCGGTGCTGGACGGCGAGCCATGCTGCTTGTATACCGTCGTAGTCGTCGCGGGGGCGCCGCTGGAAGGGAGGGATTCTGGCAGGACGGTCGTCCCGGGGGATAGGGAGAGCAGCTCCGCGGCGGCGCCTTCTATGGTGCCGGGGAGGGGAGGGACGACGAGGTGCTGGGGCGTTGGTTGGGGCAGAATTGTATAGTCCGAGGCAAGTACGTATGGTTCATCGCCGTTGACGAAGAATTCTAGGGTGAAATTTAGTTTTTTTGAACATGCGAAGGGGAGGATTTCAGGCATCTTACCTGTTGGGTCCATGCCGGCTGGGGTATAGCCCGGACCCATGAACTCGAGGATGGACATGGTTTGGTTTGGCGGTTTGAAAAGAATTGGTGAATTGGTTCAGACTAAGTGTTGACAATTTTTTATGAATGGCATCCCAGTTTGTCCAAAATTGGCGGGAATGGAAGACAAGGACAATGGGGTTGGTTGACTATAGAAGGCGTGGAGATGGAGAAGGAAGCGGCGTCAGTTAATATGGAGATGGATGGAAGATGCCAATCAACGACGCTGTTGAAGAAGACGTTTTAATGTGAATGTGGTGTGGATGAAGGATTGAAAGAGCGCAGCTTTCGAGTCCGTCTTTTTTATGAACTTCCAGACCCAGCTGTAAAGGTTAAGACTGGCGGCCAATCGCCATCGCATCCCATTCGGCAACTCCAGTCAAAGGCGAGCGACGATGGATGGAGAGGCGGGTCTGGCCGGGGCGGCGAAGTCGGGGGAGGCGTGCGTCTAGTACAAATGTCCGAGCTGGAGCTAATAAAAGGGAAGGGCAATTGGGTTTTAGTGACGAGATGACTTTTGTAACCGATTATGATGCGATTTATGTATTGGAAAAAAAATAAGAGGGAGGTGGATGGTTTGTAGAAACAGTCTCTCGGCCTTGCTCCGACCGTTACTACTCCGACACGCGCCCGCAAGGCTTCAAGTTATTGAAGGTGCCCGCCAAGGTAGGACAGCCGTACAAAAGGAGGCTGTAGGGCGCGGTCCATGTTTGTAATCAAGTTGAATGCGCGGATTGGACTGAGTCACCGAGTTGCAGCATGCACCCGCGGCATCCATTCTGCAAGTAGCGGCGACACAAGTACACCGCAACTCATTGGGAGTTGTCAAAGAACAAGTTGTTTAATTTTGAGAAATTTTAAAGTTTTGTCTTCAGGGCCGTACATCTATGGGAGGAAACACGGCGAAACAGCTTCATGCCCTGCTACCATACCAGCACTGGACAAGCCGCAGCCTCTTGAATAAGAACCCAAAACAAGTTCCAACCTATAACCAGCTTTAAACCATGACTCGTTATCTCCAAAAAGAAATGGCGGTTGTATATTATGCAAAATGCTACAGATGCAGATGAAACCCCTCCCCTGGCCGTGCGAATGCCAGGTCCCCCCCCCTCCCCCGCAATTATATGAGTGAATATAGTAAACCGCTGTTCTACGCCGTATGGTGTTTAATCGTAATTACCTCCCAGAGAGACGCTTTTCCGCATACCGCAGAGGAATGTACAGCAAGCCGCTGCAGAAAAACGCAAGCTCGAAGCCAATGTCACCCGTGTGCTTCGCGATCGGCCCCGTAAAGTACACCTGGTTCATCGCCGGCACGATCAAGCCCCAGGCCAGCACGCCCGCCCCCATCGCCGCGACGCCCAGCGGCAGCCGCCGGGCGTCGCACCAGGCGGCGTGGTCGTACGCCGCCGGGTCGCGCCGGCGGAAGACGACGTCCTCGACGATGACGACGGCGCAGAACTGCGAGGACCAGTAGCCGATGAGCGAGACGGCGTTCTCGATGCTGACGAAGAAGTTGTCGACGGCGAAGATGGAGACGACGACGATGATGACGGTGATGACGAGGGCGAAGACGTAGCGTGGGACGCGGAAGAGCCAAGGCAGCAGCGTCTGGAAGTTGAGGGTGATGCTGTAGAAGGTGCCGCAGGTGTTGCCGAGGAGCGTGAGGGCGAGGATGACGAGCACGAACTTGCCGAAGCCGCCGGCGGGGGCGAGCAGGCCGGACAGGGCGCCGCCGACGAGGTACTTGTCGTACTGGTCCTGCCAGGCCGGGTTGTTGGGGATGGCGCCGGCGATGGCTGCGCCGAGGGTCATGAGGAGAATGGTGGGCGTCATGAGACCAAGGTAAGTATACCAAAACACTCGCCATCTAAGGGTAGGTTAGTAAACGCACTTGAAGATTACAGGCTTGGTTGGTTACTGACGTCGAAACCTTGGGGTTAAAGTAGGCGGACATGTCGCTCGCCAAGCCGGCGTAGGGGATCTGGTAGCTTGCGACGATCATGCCAAAGTTGAGCACGTTGGCGGCGGTTGCCGGCTGGGCGGGCACACTCTGCTTCGCGAGACCTGCTCCTCCACACCCGGCGGTGATTGTGATTGCGATGACGGCCACGACGAAGGCGTACGTCTCGTAGATATGTAGGACGCGGAAGCCGCAGAAGGAGACGACCAGGGAGATGATGCCGATGATGATGATGCCAGCGTTGGGCGAGATGGTGCCGTTGGACACGGCGGTCAGGCACTGGCCGCCAGTAATGAAGATGATGACGGTGAAGCCCGTCATGGTGGCGAGGTTGAGCAGCACGGGGATGGAGACGAGGTACCGACCGAAGGAGTAGCGCGCCTGGATCATCTGGCGCAGGCCCGTCTTGGGCCCCAGCGTGGACAGGTAGCCCGGGATGACGCAGGAGATGATGTTGAAGAAGAGGATGACGAGGGCGGCGTCGCGCAGGCGCAGGTTGTAGGCGAGCGGGCCGAGCATGCCAAAGGTGATGCCGATGATGTTGGTGTTGATCGAGGTCCAGATGGTGGCGATGTTGTAGTACCGCGTCGATGTGCGCTCCTCGAGCGGGATGGGCTCTATGCCGCGCGCTTCGACCCGCCCGTAGCGAAGGATCTTCTGGAACGTGGAGGGCAGGGACGAAATGCTACTCCGTCTCGAGTCCCCCTGCTCCTCGTCCGTCACGGGTCGAGCGGCGCCGGCATGATGCTGCGCCTCCTCCGGCTTGGTGTCCTGGTTCTTGCCCATGGTGGGTTGAAACGCCCCGTCGAGAGAGGCCGTTTGTCCACCAACGGGTGGCCCGGTGTGGTACCAGACAAGGTTTTGCTTGCCGTTTGATGACCAGCTCTGGAATTCAAAGGCGTGGAGCAGCAGTCGCGTCGCAAAGATGTCCGGACGGCTTCGTTGCGCTGGCGCAGAGAAGAGATGCAAGGGCTGTGCTTCGGCTTCTTCGTACCAGCAAACGAAGAAGAGAAGGAAGAAAAAAAGCCACCGAAGTCGCACGATCTTTTGTCTCCCGGGGTTCAAGATTTGCGGTGGTGGCCAAGTGCCGAACGGAATCCACTGGGCGTTTAAGGCGAAGGCTTCTTCTGGTCTAGTCTCTTCCAAGGGCCTGGACAGACAGAACTGCTGATCTGCAGGGGAAATTCTTCATCCTTCCACAGACTTGGAGAGGAACAGGAAGAGGAAAGTAAAGAAGGAGAAAGCTTGGTTTTATGTCTGCGCTGCGCTGCCCCCTCCTCTAGTTATATACCGCCCGCCGCCTGCAGTCTGTCTGTCTGTTCAGTCTGTTGCGGTTGCTATTTTGTCAGGGGCCGGTCAGTGTCTTAGTGGATCGATCACACCTGCATCCCCAGAAGTGTGTCTGTGATCTTCTGTGACAGTCGACAAGGGCGCCGAAGGCCGGGGGTCTACTGTTCAACTTTTGGGGCTTCTTTGCTTTTTCTTCTTATTTTCTTTTTTTTTCTTTTCTGTCTGTGATGAAGAGTTTCTGGAAGCAGCACGGATTTCGCTCACCCCACTCACAAACCATGTTATTATTATTATTATTATTATTACTATTATTATTATTATTGCTATTTTATTGTCATCAGTACGACTCACCGTTATCACTCCCCGGAAACTGTCATGCTTCGTTGCACCCAAGAAATCCACAATCTGGCCCCCGACTGCACAAAACAGCTAAGTCTCAGCCCGTTCTAAACGTTGTGCATATCTAGCACGGCCTGCGGGAATTTTGTCTCGGTGCCACCTCCGAATTGTGAGACTGTGATAGCACCGGTCCGGGGGGCAACAGCCGATTACACGAATTTCAGTAATTACCGAAACGGGCCTTTAAATGCGATGTGAGCATCGGTGATATCAATAGGATTCGAGATGAGGTCCCTTCGCAAATCATTCGCATCGGCGACTAACTCTTGGCTCTTGGCTCTTGGCGCTAATATGATGCGTCTCGTTGGGTACAGAACATGCAGGTCAAATGATGAATGTGAACACGCCTTGCTTCCCAGTTCGATGGAACATGCATCCCAATCATTCCGTCGCAAATGGACTCGCCTTGCATCTTTCGGTCATTTTATCAACTGCAGAGAACTCGGATACACCCCCATTTTCAGCCAGGGACAGGCTGGTCGAAACAATCCTCCCACCCAAATTTCCCCGAGTACCAGAAATCACGCAGCTTCTGCAGACACAGGAACAGGCCGCCGTCGCCCAGCGGGTTCCGCCAGAGCGTGAATAGGCAGTCGTCCACGAAGGCGCGGTCGACCTCCGCGCCGTCCGGTCCCAGAGATGCGCCGGCGACCACCAGGGGCCACCGGAGTGAGAGCGGGTATTGGACGATGGGGTAGTTTGCCTTCAGCAGGTTCAGAAGCTTCGATCGTTGGCGGAGTCGCAGGCCGTCGTATACATCGACATCCGCATCAGGCGGGAGGGGTGCGTGGGCTCGCGCCCATGCCCGCACGGCTGGACGAGGCAGCGCCAGGATAGCATGCAGCTTGGCTGCGTCATGGAAAATTTGTCCCACGATTTCGATAGTGGTCCCTCCAAGTCCGCGATTGATTTCAGCCCAGCCGTTGATATCAGCCCAGTCTAGCTTATCAAAGATGCCTTCAATAGTAGTCGACAAACCTGGTACAAACGTTGAAGTGGCGATCTGGTACCGCAAACGAGTGACGTGGATAATGACAATGCGCACGTCTGTTGGACAAGGCACGTCGGCGTCAAACTCGTTATCTAAAATGGCTCGAAGCTGGCCGTCCGTATAGTTGGTGCAGCCAAGAATCTGCTTCGTCGCCGGGATAGTCGTGTTGAACATGACGACTTTTCTACATGCGCCCCCGGCTTCATTAGCTGCAAGCGAAACGATGCGGGACAGTATCTTACGAGATGAGCCGAAAGAACGGCGTGTAAGGCTTCAGCAACGGCTCCGTAATCGCCTTGATGCCGCCGAGATACTGCACAAAGGCAAAGCACGCATTGATGTGTGCCAGCCACAGTCCGGAATCCAGGATCATGGACGAAGAGATCAGGGTATACATGTACGAAAAGGCCGCCGGGTTGCCGGTGCCGTCGGCGTCCTGGATGTAGCGGTTGACCCGTCCAATAACCTCGGACAGGTAGCGCGCGTAATTCTCCCAAAAATTAGCGAGGCCGGGGTCTTCCCCAAACTTGAGCAGCCGGCCACGGGACTTTGACATGGAGGCCAGTTGGACGTGAAGCACGGCGCAGATGTAGAAAGTGGCACGGCTCGGGTCAAAGTTAGGAAGGAGGGACTTGCCATTTTGGACAGGTCGTGATGGCTGAACTACAGAAAAATCTGTTTTGGGAGGAGGTTTTACAATGTTAACCCAACTATTACTCCTCGGCTGAGGGGGTTGCGTGTTTGCATGACGTACAGTAGCGGATTGCCTGCATGTAATCCCAGCCAGGCGGCTCGGCTTCGATGGATATCCGGCTTTGCTGCTGGATGCGTAGCTCGGGTACGATAGGATGATCAGCAGGCCTACTGCGAGAGCTAGAGACGACGATTTGGTCACGATTCTCATAGCGGCAGTGATAGTTGAGGGCAACGCATCGCCGACATGCCGGGCTCTCCTCCCCGCACTTGACGCGCCGCGCGCTGCAGGGGTAGTTGGCCAATTAGTGAATGAAAAAAAAAGAGTGCAAAATGAAAAAGCAAATCTAGTGAGTACCGGCATGTCAAACAGCCCGTCTTGGATCGGCTCGTCCACCGCTTCTTTCGTGCAGTGGCCGGCTGCATGTTGGCTCCGGCACCGGCATCGGGATGGGGGGCGGATGAAGCGGGCATCATGATGAGCAAGGCGAGACACCGTAGCTGGACCGAGAACAGGAAAAACTGACAAGAGAGGAATCAATCGAGAGCAATAGCTGGCACAATTAAGTCGTAGCTAGGTTTTTAACGGGAGGTTGCGTGAGGCAAATGCGGGTGGGACGTGAGCTGAGAGCCTGATTGTCGTTGCGCCCCAAGCAAGTACCGTGCGATGATCGTCGGTGGCTCTATTATTAGATCAACTCAAGTTCCCGTTTTAATACCCATGTTTGTTATGATTCCAGAAACAAGGATTAAAAGGGATAACAGTAGGACAGCTATAAAAAGATGTAGAAGTTGCGATTAAAACAGCGAAACAAAGTTATTAGATAAATAGCTACTCTATTAAAAGAAAATAAGAAATATAAATAGATAAAAGAATACAAAGGCAACAAAGAATATTGATTGCTCTACCGAGCGACATTATTCTGCCTAGCTCGCCGCAACAGGGCGACAACACTTCGTTTCAAGGTCATGCGAGTGCAGCTTTCATCTACACGAGGCCACGAACAGGTGTGGTACAAGTTCGTAATAAATTATTAAAGAACTGTGCTAGTTACCCGTTTTCTTTCCTCGGAAGAAAGACCCCAAGGCTCCCATTATCCCCCCCAGGCCCCTTTCCTGCGAATCCATCTGCAGCCCGCCCTGGATCCAGCCCGGCAGCTTGCTGCGAATCCCCTCGCCCGTGTACCGCTTGTCCAGCAGCACGATCGCCGCGTAGTCGCCTCGGTGGCGGATCGCGCGTCCGATGCTTTGGTTGACCGCCCGCATGCACGAGTTCTCGTAAAAGTCTCGCGCCGTCTGCTTCGCGCGAGCGGCGGCCTCGGCCGGCGTGATGCCACCGCCGCGCTCCAGCAGCCGCGCCTTGGTCGAGGATTCGATGTACTCCATCTTGGCCTTCCAGTCGGGCGACGCGATGTTGGGGTACGGCAGGCCGATGATGACCACCAGTCGTCCGAGTCGGTCGGAGAAGTTGATGCCCTCGGACATCTTGCCGCCGACGACGCTGAGCAGCAGAGCGCCGCCGCTGCCAGCCCGGCTGCCCGGGGGTCCCAGTATGGCCTCGGAATACTTTTGGAGAACCTCGTCGCTGGACGCACCCTTTGTCTCTTGGAAGATTGTCTTTTTAGACTGGAGACGCTCCCAGGTGGGTTGGGTATCTCCTGGTCGCTTCTTCTTCCAGGCTTCCACGACTTCGTCGAGGTAGCCGTAGCTCGGGAAGAAAACGACAACACCATCTGGAACGATAGAACACATGTTCAAAATGGCCAGCCCAAGCAGTGCAATCATTTCTTGATCGCCGCGTCGCTGGTAGCTAAACTCAAAGGACGGCCCGCCCGCTCTCGACGCAGCCAGTGTGCGGACGCAAAGATTTGTGGACGGAATAACGTGGCCGCAGCTCAAAGTGGTGATTTTGGAGTCGTCGAGCGTCGGGAATAGATGATCTTTATAGTCATCAAACGGCGACATTGTACCACCCGCCAAGATGACCGCTCTTGCGCTAGAGGCAATAGACGAGAAGGCGTATGTGGGTGACAGGAGCAGGTATGATAACTGCACGTCCGCCTGAGCTCCTCGCAGTTTCTGGTAGAATATGCGACCTTCTGAGCTCAGGTTTGTAAGCGCAATGAGAAAAGACACAAACGTGTGCAGTACCGGTGTGCTTGACTTGGGAGCATGCTGCTTCCCATCTTCCTGTTTACTGTCGACGTGGGAAGCATAGCCTTCGATTTTGTAAGCGAGCTTAGATTCGTGTATATATTGAATCAGCTCAAATATGTTGATCTGGTCAATCCCTTTCGGCCTCGTCAAGTCATTCGGATCAACTATTCCATGGTCGTGCTACTCAAAGTTAGCCCTGAGCTTGTGCAAAGAATCTTGGAGTGCCGCAAACCTTGGCATTGAGCGTGGTGTTCATATACTCGCTGAGTCCTTCGACAACGCGACCAACTCGGCCAACGTTGACACGATTCACACCCTTGAGCTTCTTTCCAAACCTTCGCACGTAGACCCCCAGCATCTCTCGGCATCTGCGAAGGTCGCTCAGCTTCATGTCTGCCGCGTACACGTTCGAGACAGCGTCCATGATGTTGTGCGCTTCGTCAACAATGACAACATTGCCTTCGAGCTTGATCCCCAGCGCATCCCGGGCGCTCTTCTGCAGCAGCAGCGGATATGGCAGCGTGACAATCTCCGCGCCAGGCAAGGCCGTTCGCGACGCATAGTACGGACACACTTGGAGAGACTTGCCCAGTTGGTGGAGGTCTTCAATGTCCGGAATTGTCGCGAGCGCGGTGTCTCGGAATTCGTGCGTCTGCGCCAGAAGCTCCTCTCTAGGGACAAAGTCACATTTGCGGCCTGATTTTGGCCGCTGCAGCTCTGCGCAACGGTCATTGATGGCTTGGACGGACTTAAGGCGTGACACACTGGGGTTGATGCATAGTTTCTGCCGGGAGGACAGCGGCAAAAGTTTGACAGCCTCATCTTGGGCCTTTGCACCGCCGCCGTGCAAGTCTTCCGGCAGGGATGCGGGGAATGTAGGTCGTCGCAGTTCCGTGATGAACTGGGAGAGCTGTGAATGCGTTCTGGAAGTATAATAGATCTACGAATACAGTGTTACCAGGGTGATTCACGGCAGTCGTTACGGGAAAGAGGATCGCACCTTGATCTCCTCCTTTAGTGCATCACCGTCATCGTTTTGCTGCTCCGGCCCGCCGAGGCCCATCCTCTCAAGAACGTCGCGCGACTCTTTGCTGAGGCCGGAGAGAGCATCTTTTGGCGCAGACGCAGTCACAGTCTCGCCATCCCAGTCATCCAGCATCCATTCTTCGCCGTCGTCTTCCTCGCCTGCCTTGCGGGCGGCGACAACGGCTTCGAATTTGCGCTTTTTGCGCACACGCTCTTCACGAGCTTTCTCTTTCAGCCTCGCATCCTCAAGTCGCTTCTCTCTGTCTTCCCACGTTCGTACTAGCTCTTCCCTTTTCCGACGTAGGAGCTGGTCAACCATCCAATCCGGCTCATCCTTGAATGACGATTTCGCCTCTTCCAGGGCCGTTTGGTAAGCGGACGATTTGTGATTACGCAACCATGTGAGAGAAGCGCAGATCAGAGAGAGAGATTTTCCCTGACATTGGTAAGACGCGTTAGTCGTTATGGGCCGTGACATAAAATCACAGTGTTCAGTGCACAAAGAACGTGTATTGTGGTAAGAAGTCGTATAGCTTCTGGAACCGCGTCCACCAGGCTTGGCATAGGAGGTACTTACAGTGCCTGTCGGGCTCTCCAGTATTCCGACTTGCCCTTGGCCTGATTCAAGCACTTGATAAACCGTTCTCATAAACTGCTCTTGAACATCATACGGCGTAAATGGGTGATGGAAGTCAACTTTGACGATTCCATCCTCGATGCTCTGCATCTTTACTATCTTCACAGTGCCCCATCTAGGAACACGCCAAAACGAGTGAAGAACACCAGTTGATGACGACAATCTAAATGCTGTCTTATTGGACGGGCAACTCAGGTGGCCCACTGTTCCAAACTGCCCTTTTTGCAAGGTCATAGATCACGTGCTCGCTGCACTCTTGGATGTTATGTAAGCAACCATTCACAGAATCTCGAGTCCAGTCCACCCAGCAGCCCACGCCAATTGGTTTAGGGCTGTGCTGCCCTCTCGCTAACAATTTCGGGCGGGCTTGCTAGTGTCTCAAAGAGCAAAAACATCACCACCCATTTCCAGTCCTCGACGCAACTCAACCCGGAAGCGACATCAGCAAATACCGTCGCCATGCCTACCCGCCTTTCGAAGACCCGCAAGCTGTACGTTGTATTCTATCCCACGGAAGCACGTCGAATTCAATATGGTGGAATTGTGTTTGGCGGCAACCAGTTGGATCGACGCTGCGACCGAACAAAAGTCTTCGACATTCCGACGAAATCGACAACAAGGGCTAACACATAATATCTTGACAGTCGCGGCCACGTCTCTCACGGACACGGTCGTGTAGGAAAGCACCGCAAGCACCCAGGTGGTCGTGGTATGGCCGGTGGTCAGCACCACCACCGCACCAACTTGGACAAGGTTCGACATGCCCTCACGATAACCGGACAACGACATTTATCGGCCTTCGATGCTAACAACGTCAAAACAGTACCACCCCGGTTACTTCGGTAAGGTTGGTATGCGCTACTTCCACAAGCAGAACGCGCATTTCTGGAAGCCCGTCATCAACCTGGACAAGGTACATACTCCCTCCCCCAGCATTCGGAACGACAGATCTCGCACGGCTGGGCAACTACCTCTCAATGTCAAATGCGACACGATCCGACGACATAGAACGACTTGAACTGCCAAGCGACTTGTCGTTCCAAAGTGCGCCCTCTTGCACACGATGTCGAATTGCTAACAAAGCGTTGCAGCTGTGGTCGCTCGTCCCCACCGAGACTCGCGAGGCCTACGTCTCCGGCGCCAAGAAGGACACCGTCCCCGTCCTCGACCTCCTGCCCCTCGGCTACTCCAAGGTCCTCGGCAAGGGCCGCCTCCCCGAGATCCCCCTGGTCGTCCGCGCGAGATGGGTCAGCAAGCTGGCTGAGAAGAAGATTACCGAGGCTGGTGGCGTCGTCGAGCTTGTCGCGTAAGGGTGCTTTGCTTGGGAGTCTGGCATTGTGGAATTTTTTTTGAACCGGTTTATTCCAAACGGCGGGAAAAAGAGAAAAATGGCGCCCTTAGTGACCCCGCTGTGTACTTTGTCTTATGCTACACGGTGAAACGGGTATATGAACAAAAAGGCCCGGGTTGGTCGGCTTCGAGCATTGCATACTGGGACTCTGGAATGGAGTTATTAACGAATAAAAAAACAAATTTTTCGCCAAAACACCAAGACGCTGTTCCATGTCATTGCGATGTAAATTTGCACGGGTGAACATTGTAAATGCGTGTATCATGGCTCTAACTGCCCCAGGCGCCGTTTCCCTAAATAGTGTGATGTTGTCCCAACATTCAAATGCACATGCTTGTGTAAAATCCCATCATTGGTATCTAACGCTTCTAGTTAATATAGTTTCATCTTTCATGCCTCGAGCATATCCATTTCGTCATCGTCAGCCAATTCATCCTCTGGCGGCTGGTCAAGTCGTAAAAGTTCATGTTCCAACGCCTCTTCGGCTGTCATGCGGCGATTTGGGTCTAGCTCCATGCACCGCTCCAAGAAACGAACGGCTAGCTTCTCCTCATCAGTCAATGGGTTTTCGTCTGTTCGGCAGGTACTCCAGAGAATGATCTTTTCCATCGTGAACCCCTGCTGTCCCACCGTCGGAATTGTCGTTTCAAAGACGCACCCGTGCAGCAAGCCTGCCGCCTTCATCCGCTTGGACCCGAAGATGGTGGCAATCTCAATCATGGCCTCAACATCATCAGCAGAGTTGAAAAACGGGAAGCGCTTCGACAGGATGGTGAGCAAAATCACGCCAGCTGACCAGATGTCGATCGACGTGGTTTGCTCGGTGCATTTAAACAGCACTTCTGGAGCACGGAAGCCTCTGGTACCTGCGCGATTGGCTCGCCGCGATGGACGCGTATCTGACTTAGGGTATCCAGCTTGTGATGTCGTCGCGGTCTGCGCCCAAACCGAGTTGGCTTGGCGATGCTTGCGCGCTTCGCGGGTTTGGTGGCAGAGGCAGGGCTTGCTGTCGGATCCTTCTCGCTCTGCCAGTCCAAAATCCACCAAAACTCCGTGCTGCGTGACAGGGTCGTAGAGGAAGTTTGTGGGCTTGATATCCCTGTGTAGAATCTTGTGCTCATGGACACTCTTGAGAGCTGTGAAAAGTGACCGCAGATAGATAGCAATATCCGGAACGGTCATGTCGCGGAAATACGCACGAAAGTCTCCATGACGAAAGTATGGCAGGATGGCCACGACCTGGTCTGTCTGGCGGAAAGCTGTGATGAGTGGGCAGACTGATGGACACTGTCGCAGGTCATGCAGGAGCTCAAGTTCATTCAATATGCGCGCGGGACTTGACGTGACGTAAATTTTTTTGATCGCGACAAATCGCGATTTCGCTTTTGGACGCTGCGAGGTCTGGCTTGAATCGCGTTTTAGAGGCGGCGGCGTCCACTTTGTACCGTCATCTTCAAAGTCCCAATCGTTGTCGTAGTGATCATAACGAAGGTCTTCGGCCTTGAAGACAGTAGAAAATGTGCCTACGAGTCGTCAGCTGTGTTGTCAGGATACAGCCATCGGCCTGGATGCGTACCCTCGCCAATGCGCTTGATCAATCTGTATTTATCGTGAAATCCGGGAAAGTCTCTGCGCAGCTTATCCATGTCTGCCTGGACACTGTCTTCGACATTCTCCTCCTCAGAGTTGCCGTCGTCGTATTCCCCTTGGGCCTCCTCCTCCTCCTCCTCCTCCTCCTCCCTCTTCTTCTTCTTCTTCTTCTTTCTTCTTCTTCTTCTTCTTCTTCTTCTTCTTCTTCGGGTTCCTCCGGGTCAGCGAGCGCCGCGGGATCTAGATTCTGTACTTCCTCTTCGTCGAGCATCATCTCAGTCTCTTCAGTAGCAGCATCCTCGTGAATATCGAATGTGCCTGGCCGTTGTTGCATTTCCGTGGTCATCTTGGATGGTGGCGCGAAGGTGAGGAGGGCTGCCTAATTGAATTGAAGCACGGGCGCTTTTCTGGCGGACAATTGACCCAAATGGATATCCCTACCAACAGTCGACTCCCAAGTCCCTGAGCCGCTGTACCAATCTGTAGGAAGTGCAGGTCTGTACCAGTACATACGCTTCTTGAGTCTTTATTAGTGGTTGGAGGTTGACGCGCGCCTGGGTCAGATGTACCCCACCAATTTAGTAGGTGGTGGGTTGGCGCGTCCGAACAAAACAAAAACAACGGTTGCCCAGGGACCTCACACCATCATCAACATTTCAGAGTCTGGCGCAATACGACACGGCCATTTAATTTATACCAGGGCGACCCTGATGATCTACTAAAAAGACAGGGAAGCCAGTCGCTTGTCGAAATATATACTTGGACCAACTTGAGATCGACCGACGATATTGCGCTCGCCGCTGCGCGCAGTGATAGATAAACATCAACATGGCGACAATCGACTTTGACATCAACGATGCACTGAAGCATTACATGTCGGATCCTACGGCGGTTCCCACACCAGAGGCCGACAGTTCTCTGCTCGACTGCGAAAATGATCCTGAATCTCTCACAGTACAGGTCATTAACCCGGTGCTGAACCCCATCGTGGATGCCATTGCAGACAATCCCGACGCGATTCTGCGGGCTGCAAATGTCGATTCGCTGCAGTTCCTGCTAAAGTACGTCCTTTCTGCTAACATGAACACCTATCTTTGGCTCAACTAACGTGCGCACCCTTTAGATATACGCAATACATTTCCCCGCACGCCCTCAGCAAGATATTCGATGTTGTTATGAGCGGTCTCAGTGCGGAAGCCGACGCCGCTAACAATGACGTCGATTCTCCTGACGAGCAAGAAGCTATCGCACACCACAAGCAACTCCTCGAAATATACGCTTTCTTGCTGCAATGGACGATTGCCGGAGTGGAGGCAAAGGCAGCAGAAAAGTCATCCACGGCTCCGCTTGCGCGAGGCCGCGCAAAACCGAAGAAGGGCGCGGCCAAGGAAGAGGCCTGGGACTCCGCTGCACAGCTGCAGGCAGCATTGGATATCATGTGCAAGGTGCTCAAGCTGAAGCTATCCAAGATCTTTCTTACAACCAGCGAGCGCGACACCTTCATCAGCCTCCTCACCCGACGTGTTTACATGGTGCTTGAGAGTGAGCAAAGAGTCAAGACGACATCCATTCGTATGCACAGCTTCAAAGTTCTTTGCATGGCTGTCAAGAATCACGGTCATGGATATGGTAAGCCTTACAGCAGTGCTGCCAAGGTACTATGATACTAACTAGGGCAGCTGCGCAAATCAATGTTATTCAAAACCTCACCTATTTCGAGCACCTTTCCGAACCAATGGCGGAGTTCCTTCATATTCTTGCCGATACATACGACTACCCACAGCTTGCCGATGAGGTTTTACGCGAGCTTAGCAACAAAGAGTTCAACTCGAACGATACAAAGGGACCCAAGTCCGTCTCGACCTTTATCGCAAAGATCTCGGAGCTAGCCCCCCGAATTGTGATCAAACAGATGACGATGCTTGCCAAGCAACTCGACAGCGAGGTACGTGACTTCCGGAACAAGACTTCACTAGCAATGTGCTGACCGACAAAGTCATATACGCTTCGCTGTGCTCTGATTGAAGTGTGTGGCAACATGATTGCGCATTTAAGTATCCAGGATGAGCGCGGCGAAAGCCACAAGACCCAGCTCAACGCATTCTTTGATGTATTGGAGGAGCGATTCCTCGATATCAACCCTTACTGCCGATGCCGCGCCCTGCAAGTCTATATGAAGCTTTGTGATCTTGAGCAAAAGTTTCCCAAGAGAAGACAGAAGGCTGCTGAGCTTGCCTGCCGTAGTTTGGAAGACAAGAGCAGCAATGTGCGCAGAAACGCCATCAAGCTGCTGGGCACATTGATTAAGACCCATCCCTTCACTGTGATGCACGGTGCTCAGCTATCGAGAAAGGAGTGGCAAACACGACACGACAAGGTTGAGGAGGAACTCAATGCCCTCAAGCCGCCCCCAGGAATGCCGGGATTTGGGGACGAAAATGCCGAGGGCAATCTCGACAACGAACTACTCGACGAGCAGACCCAGGTTGAATCACCAAAGAAGCCGTCCGAGATGACAGATGAGCAAAAGGTCGCCGCTATCAAGAAGGCTCAAGAGGAGGTTGCCACGGGCGAGGCTATCGAGAAGCTCACGCTGACCAGGAGGTATTATAACGAAGCTCTCAAGTTCATTGATGTCCTTCACGACGCCACTGGCATTATCTGTCAACTCCTTGGCTCGCGCAACAAGAGCGAAGTCATCGAAGCCATTGACTATTTTGAAGTCGGTGATGCTTACAATATTGAGCAAAACAAGGTCGGTATTCGACGCATGTTGAGGCTCATCTGGACGAAGGGCAACAGCGACGAAGGCAAGGGCGTTCAGACTCATTTGATTGAATGCTACAGGCGCCTTTTCTTTGAAGCTCCTGATTCTTTTAGTCCCAATGATGCTGCCAATTACATTGCTCGCAACATGATCAGTCTGACATTCGGCGCAACTTCCGCCGAGCTCACCTCGCTAGAGCAGCTTCTGGCTACTATGATGAAGGGCGGTATCATCCCCGATGTCGTTGTGTCTAAGCTATGGCAAGTTTATGGCATCCAGAAGCGCGAGATTTCCAAAACTCAACGTCGCGGCGCCATTATAGTCCTAGGTATGCTTGCGACTGCAAATCCGGAAATTGCTGTGGGCGAGATCGAGACTATGCTCAGGACCGGACTTGGAGCTCACGGCCGCAATGACCTCCAGCTAGCCAAGTACACATGCATCGCTCTCAGACGAATCAATCCTCTGGGCCGCAACGCGAAAGAGTCAAGTGTCAAGTTCTCGCGACTTCCCAACGACCACGCTGTCTGTGTCCGACTGGCCGCCATTACTGAGGTGCAGTCCGAAAGCAAGGAGTGGTACGGCGTGGCAGAACAAGCCATCAACGCCATCTATGCTGTCTCCAAGCACCCGGACACGCTATGCTCGCAGATTCTCCGCCGCAAGACTAGATACGTTTTCAACAACCCCCAGTCTCGCCCTGCCTCGCGGGATGAGACTCAGGCTGTTATTGATTTGACGACGAGTGAGAAGCCCCGCAAGCGCGACAATGCCGTTGCTCTCTCACAGCTACTGTTTATTGTGGGACACGTTGCTATCAAGCAGATTGTGCACTTGGAACTCTGCGAGCTCGACTTCAAGCGTAGAAAGCAGGAGAAAGAAAAGCAGGCGCAGGCTGAAAAGGAGAAGGACAAGGAGAAGGAAGAAGGTGATGAACTTGATCTGATCGGCGGAACTACCGAAGATGATTTCACGGAAGCGATGACGCACATTCGAGAGCGTGAGCTTTTGTATGGACCAAGCTCACTCTTGGCAACATTTGGACCACTGGTGTCGGAAGTCTGCGCCAACAACACAACATATGCCGACAAGGGCCTCCAGGCTGCGGCCACGCTGTGTCTGGCCAAGCTGATGTGCGTTTCGTCGGAATACTGCGAAACAAATCTGCCCCTTTTGATTACCATCATGGAGCGTTCTCCAGACGCCACTGTGCGCTCAAATGCCGTCATTGCGCTTGGCGACATGGCCGTCTCCTTCAACCATCTCATTGATGAGAATACTGACTTCCTCTACCGCCGACTTGCGGATGACGATGTATCTGTCAAGCGAACGTGCCTCATGACCCTGACGTTCCTCATCCTAGCCGGCCAGGTGAAGGTCAAGGGTCAACTTGGAGAGATGGCCAAATGTCTGGAGGACGAGGATCGCAGAATTGCGGACCTAGCGAGGATGTTCTTCACCGAGCTCAGCACCAAGGACAATGCCGTCTACAACCACTTTGTGGACATGTTTAGTCTGCTCAGCGCCGGCAATATGGACGAGGAGAGTTTCAAGAGGATCGTCAAGTTCCTCCTTGGCTTTGTTGAAAAGGTACGTTGTTTGATGAGATACAGCAGTTGCAGACGCTAACTAGGATGACAGGACAAGCACGCAAAGCAGTTGGCTGAGAAGCTGGCGGCGCGACTTGCGCGTTGTGACAACGAGCGACAGTGGAACGACGTGGCTTTCGCGTTGGGTCTGCTGCCGCACAAGAATGAAGACATCGCGAAGCAGGTGTCAGAAGGCTTTAAGCTGGTGCAGGCCGCTGCTTAACCAATGGAGGCGCTCTTGTATATACGTATTTAATTATGGGTGGCCATTGATGATGGTTTGCTCGGCGGCCACCTTGATTTGACCGATAGATGATCTAATGCGAGACGATACCTTTATTTTTCCAGTGGGCGTTGCTGCGTGCAGTGATAGGTGACAGCGAAGCATGTCCAGCACATTGCGCTTGCAGGGGATTGCATGACAGAGAAACGTCGTAAATGGAACATCGAATAAAATGATAAACGCCTGTCTTTCCGTCGTATTAAAGACAGAAGACTTTACTGATCCTTTCATAGTTGTCTGATTAAAGCCAAGTCTCAGTGGCAGCCCTATAGGGTAGGGGAACTGGATACTACGAACAAACAATGTATATATGTACATACATAGCTCCAACGGTCGCTGGCAGCAAACCTCTACGTAATGGCGTCACCCGAAAATGTCAAGGGGTCACGAAAATGATTATCAAATTCTTGCTCTTTTTTTCTCAGCAGCGAAGGAGGACTCGTGTAGCGGGACCGTCGAACAACTACGCGCCGCACAGCAGGGTCGCAGAGAAGCAACAGTAGCTGCTGGTCAGCCCGCCGATTAACCTTCGAGCCTCAAGTTGCTGGGTAGGTAGCTACCCAGTGCCGTTTTGCAGGCGGGCTCCATCAATTGCTATCACGCTAGGTACAGTTGGTTCGTTGGTTATAGTGACAGGCCTGACGGCCCGGCTGATCTGGCAAGGCTTGAGAAGAACGTATTACATCCTCTTGACATCATGGTGCACGATGTAGCTGGTTAAACTGGCCAGATGATGCGGCAAGCACCCTTTCGCTGCATCCGGCATCACGTGGCACAGCCACACGAGACAGGCAGGCACTTCTTACCAGCCCCCTCCTGAGGCACTGACGCCACAGGTTAGCCACACCCACCCTGCACAGAGCAAGGCTGCAACCCGCCTACATAGGTACAAGGCAACAAAGGCAGCAAGTGGTTGGCCAATAGGCGGGCCTTATTACCATTGGCTTATTAGCCCCGCGGCCCTGGTCCCGTCACCATCGACTCACCAAGCACAAAGGCACAGGCGCGAACCCACCGCGCTGCGAGTACTAAAGTGGACGTCCGCCCGCCCACCTCCTGGCCGTTCGCCCACCCAAGGTTCAGCCGCTTCCGGGTAGCAGTTTTCCTCAGTTCTGCCGTTGCCAAAAAAAGGCCACAGAGAAACCAGCCTAGCCTTTCCACTTCACCAACTACCACCTGTTTGCTCAAGCTCAGCTCCAATAGCTCCACACAGTTCCTCCCCAGCTCCAAACTCACGACTCCCGACAACTCGGCATTGGCCAGCAGCGCGTCGCATCCAGAAACGTCGCAGCGTCATCAGATCTTCGCGCATCTTGCAGTGCTTCGAACATTCGCAGCTACAGGGCACGTCTTCCCACTTCCTCCCAGCATCTCTCCACTACCCGCCGCCCGACAAGGGCCATGGGCAGCATCATACAGCTACAAGACCGCGCAAACGACAAGCCAACTAGCGGACGGGACTAAACGCACAACACGTACGTGTCCATCGCCCATACTGTGATACCGCGCAGCTTATCGCGACAAAAGACCAATCAGGCTAACTAGCGACTGTAAGATCTGCTGGTCGTCACATTCACGCAATCGGGCGCGCTTCCGCACAGCGCCCGCATCCAGCACCATGTACGACAAATCGGTGTCGCTAGGCTCGCGCCTGCGCTACCCAATCACAATTACGAAGCTCCTCAAATCTCCGGGCGATCCGATCAAGAAGCAAGAAAATATCATTGAATACAAGTTTACATGGCGGCGCCAAGTCGGCGACGATACCTGGGTTGACGAGACTACCTACACCGAATTTGACAGCCCGGCCGAGGGCAAGCTCAAGGAATGGCGCATCAAGGAAGGCCAAGTCATTGCTGCCGACATGCCTTGCATGACCGTCGAGGAAGCTTGCGGGCACCAGGTGCAAATACAAGGAATGTGCAGCCTCTGCGGCGCCGACATGACGGAGACCAACTGGGCGTCCGAACAACGCGATTCCGAGCGGGCTATGATCAACATGACCCACGACCAGACTGGTCTTATGGTCAGCGAGAGCGTCGCCCAAAAAGCCGAACATGACACCCAAAAGCGACTGCTCCGGTACCGCAAGCTCAGCCTTGTGGTTGACCTGGACCAGACCATTATCCATGCGTGCATCGAACCAACGGTTGGTGAATGGCAGCGAGACCCATCAAACCCCAACCATAGTGCCGTCAAGAACATCAGAAGCTTTCAGCTTGATGACGGCCCTCGCGGCCTGGCTTCCGGCTGCACCTATTATATTAAGCTACGGCCAGGCCTGAAAGAGTTTCTGCAAGAAATCGCCAAAATGTACGAGCTCCATGTGTACACAATGGGCACTCGTGCATACGCTCTCAATGTTGCAAAAATCGTTGACCCGGACCGGAAATTGTTCGGCAACCGTGTCATCAGCCGAGACGAAAACGGTAGCATCACATCCAAGAGCCTGGCTCGCCTGTTCCCCGTTAGCACAGACATGGTCGTTATTATTGATGATCGAGCCGATGTCTGGCCTATGAACAGGCCGAACCTCATCAAAGTTGTACCGTATGACTTTTTCAAGGGCGTTGGCGATATCAATGGAAGCTTTCTGCCCAAGCGCCAAGACATTTCGCCTGCTCCATCCAAGTCAAACGGTGCAACAGAGAAGCCAGTAGCCGATGGCTCGAACAAGGAAACGCCGCAGACGGATAACTCTCGCTCGAACGAGGCAGCCAGTCTCGAGGATCAGGCTGCGGAGCAGGAGAAAAACCTGGAAAAACAGCTGACGGATAGGCCATTGCTGCATATGCAGGAAGAGCTGGACAAGGAGGATGAAAAGACCGCACAGGAAGCGGAAAGCGGAGAAGCAAGCGCACCCCATCAGCGACACAACCTCCTAAGCGACGACGATGAGGAACTAGTCGCCCTTCAAGACCACCTTACGGATATCCACACATCCTTCTACGAGGCATACGACCGTAGACGAGCAGAGCGCCAGCAGTCTCAGCCAACCCACCCGCCTAGCCATAGCAGCGCACAGCGCAGGCCTTCCGTGGATGATGGGGTGGATCTGTCCATGGTACCCGACGTCGGTGACATCTTAGATGAGATCAAGTCTAACGTTCTTTCCGGTTTGGTCATTGTGTTATCTGGACTTGTACCGCTTGGTGTCCCAGTTGAAGAGTCTGAAATAGGAATGCAGGCTCAAAGCTTTGGCGCCCAGGTTTTGAACACGATCTCGAAGCGTGTCACGCATCTTGTGGTGTCCAGCTCGACTCCACGCACAAACAAAGTCCAGCAGGCTGCAAAGATCCCTAGCATCAAGATTGTGAACCAAAATTGGCTCATCGACTGTCTCAGCCAATGGCGACGTCTAGATGAACGACCGTACTATCTTGCCATCTTGGACGCCGACCGCGAAAAGGCAGAAGACATGGTAGAAGCGGTCTCTGAAGCTGAAGAGGCGGACACGGAAGCCAAAGACCTCAAAGATTTTGACTGGGACATGGCGGACAAGGATTTGCAAGACTTCTTGGACGATGATGAAGAGGGCGATTCCGAGGGGGGCGATGGCAACGATGACGACGAGTCATCTAACGAGAGCGAGCCGATGACTGGGAATGAAAGCGACGTCTCTGATCACGCGCAAAACAAGGGGCTCAAGCGCAAAGCCGCCGAGGCCAAGGTTGATGACGGGGAGTCGGACACGGACGGCAGTGCCGCGGGCGAGAGCGTGCTGGCTAAGAAGCAGCGCCTGTCGCGGAGCCGCGGCACATCGGCCCTGCGATCGGTGCAGTCGTCCAACGACAACCTGAACGGCCCCGGCGATGTTGAGAACGGAACCGCGGCGAAGCAAAATGGCCACGACGAAGCGAATGCGGACGAGGAGGAGCTCGGGTTTGACGAGGCGGACTTGGAGAGAGACTTGTTGGCCGAGTTGGAGGCCGCGGGAGATTGAAGCAAATGTTGAAGACCTATTCTGCCAAGCGAGCCTGTCTTGCAATTTTTTCCCCATCTGGTTTTGGCCCGTTTCATGTTGATTACATTCATTTCGTCTCGCCTGCTTACCAGGCAAAACGGCATTATCTGGTGTTTAGGAGTGCGCTAGCGCTGGCAGGGTGATTTATTTGTATTGATTATCTTTTTCTCATCTGTACCTTTCAATGGAGCTATGGAACACGAATTGTATAAAAGCATCTGTACCTCATTCTTCTTCTGCCCCGGCCGCTTTCCAAACCCTGGTGAGAGACCGCATGCCCCGTGCCCGCCGACTAACATGCCTACATACCAGTTTCTGAGATTTACAGCCGAAAATATCCCTACACAAAAACGTACGGGGTGGCCTCGGCATGGACCCTGTCGAACCAGATGAGGTCCAGGTCCGGGTCCAGAAGCAGGCCGAACTTGACGGCCCGGTCGTTGTCGAACAAGAACTCGGCGCGCAGAGGCTCCTCGTCATCCACGGGCATGCCACCGACGCTGTCCGCGGCCGTCGCGTAGGCGAGGTAGCTGGTCTGGCCGGCGACGTGGCGGAGCGTCAGCGTGCACGCGAACGACCGGTCGCGTGCGTCGATGAATAGCTGCGCGCCGTCGCCATCGTCGCCGTCCCGGGCCTGCACGTGGAGGCCGCGGTACCCCGGGTTCCAGTAGTGCCCCGCATATGCGGTCAGCGGCATCTGCTGCGGCTCCTCTGCCCTCATCTTGGCCTCCTGCTCCTGCTCCGGATCCGCTGCTGTGGGCTGTTGTTCTTGACCGCCACCGGCGTCGCCCACCGGCCCTAGGATGCTGTCGAGGAGCGCCTTCTGCAGGTGGACGGCTGCGGCGGCGGCCTCGAGGGCGTTGCCGAGAAGCACGGCACCGAGGCGCAGGCTCGGCACGAAGAGGAAGCGGCTGCCGAAGCCGGGCACGCCGCCGTTGTGGCCGAAGATGGCGTGCCCGCGGTAGTACTCGACCATGAGGCCGGCGCAGTAGAAGCGCGGCGACGACAGCGGCTGCGCGCCGCCCGGCGTGGGGTTGGGCACCGAGCGGATCCGGGTGAGGCCGGCGTACACCTTCTTGGAGATGACGGATGGGTCGCCATCTCGTTCCTCTCCCGGGCTGAGAAGCGCGGCGACGAGCTTCAGGTAGTCGCCGGCGGTGGTGATGACGGAACCCGCACCCTGGCCCTCGGGGCACTCGAGGGCGGCGAACTCGCGGTGGCGGCCGCCAGCGGCGTCCCAGACGTGCCCAGAGGAGAGGCGTTCGCCGTGTCCGCGCGCTCGGCCGCGCGACGGCTGCAAGCTGGACGAGGTCATGCCGAGGCGCGCGAAGATGCGGTCTTCGAGGAAGTCGGCGAACGAGGAGCGGTCGCCGTGGGCCTCGACGAGACGCGAGGCGACCGTGTACATGATGTTGTTGTAGATGTAGCGGCTGCGGAGGGGCGCGCAGAGCTGCAGGTTGCGCAGGTTGCGCGTGACGGAGAGGGCGTCGTCGGGGCGCTCGGCGTTGACGCCAAAGTAAGACTGATCATGGCTGTTCTTCCTGGTCAGCCAACGGGTCGGGGGTAAGATTTAGGTCGTGCGTACCTGGGTTGACCGGTCCTGTGACTGAGGATGTCGTCAACGGTGACGTTCTTGGTGTACTCGGGGTCGGAGAGGACAAAGTCTCCGGGGAGGAGCTCGGCGACGGGCGTGTCGTAGGTGACGGCGCCCTCGTCCTCGACGAGCAGGGCGACGGAGAGCGCGGTCAGGACCTTGGCCGCGGAGGCGATGTCGAAGAGCGAGTCGGCGGTGCAGGGCGCGCCCGAGGCGACGGAGATGACCCCGTACGCCTTGGAGGCCGTCTTGTCGCCGTGGAGCATGGCGGCGGAGAAGCCCGGCACGTGGAGGTCGTCCATGAGCCGCTTTACTTGGTCGTCGAACTCGGTGGATTGAAAGAAGTCCATGTTGGGTGCTGGCGGGGATCTAGAAGCAGAGGAAAGTTACGAGAGGTGATGGCAAGATGGGAAATAGAGACATCAAGACGGGTTTGAGGGAGATGCTATCGCGATGCTAGAGAGGTCAGGCTGAGGGCGTCGTGGCCAGCCGCGTAGACACCCCGCTTCGTGTAATTGGAATTCAGCCGCAGAAAGGTGGTTGGCTTCCGGCCACATGAAAGAAGATCTTAATTCTATTATTCACCCCGTACTCTTAATTGTACGTCTGAGTATCCGCGCATTGTAGCCCAAGTTGAGAGCCTGTCTGTGAAATGTTCAATCCGCTGGTCTTGTGCAATGAGGGAGGAAGGGCAGTCTGCGGTCATGAGCCGCCATCATGCTTCACGTTACGTATGTAGAAACAGGCGCGAGATCCCTCCCTCCCGCTACATCGATTGGGTAGCTCCCCGGGACCTCGGGGATGAAAGATTCGGGACGAGGATGTGCGCCATGGTCCGGAAGCTTAAAATTTGGTTAAAGCTCAAGTTGTTCCAGGGACCGACTCCGCAAGTCCGCAACAGGAAAGGGAATAGTGCACGAGTTACTTGAGGGTCCTCGCGAGGGACACAAAGTCGAATAAGGTAAACGACGTCGACCATGCCGTGCTAATAAGCAGCTTCGGCCAACCGTCTTACTACAAGCCAGCCAAGGGACCAAAGCCCTGCGGGCTCCGATGATGATGGCAGTTCCGGGATACAGCTGCATCTTCCACTAACACAAACATAGTCTAATTTGTGGATAAATTGTTAGCGGTAGCTAGTGCGGTATCGTGGGACTCCGGGCTTAAGCCGGCTGCGAGTCGCCGCTGCGGAAGTCGTGCTCACTTACACCGGGGATGTCGTTCATTCCCAACGGGCCAGGACGGTGCCGCAAGATGCGGAAGCCGCTGAAGTGGCATGGTCAGCTGCATCAGGCTTGCTGCTTTCCCGCCTTTAGCTCTTGTACCTATAGTTGGGCTGCGTCCCAAGAAACTCCGACACTTCATCACGCTTGAGGTATACGAAAGCGAAAGAGCGGAAAGTCTAATCAAGCGCAAGTCTGCTTTGCATAAAACTAACCTTGAAACCTCTTGAGTTACTCTGGTTCGTGGAATCGACAACATTGATTAAAGACAGTGCATTGGTCTCCGAAATCATCTACAAAACACCTCGCTCAAGTCCATATACTAGCAACGCTGCAGCACTTTGACATCTCCTACATCACGGGCTCCTACCCGATATCTTTACTTCTCACACGCCAGACTTGCAGCCACCAAAGCCTCAACTCCATCAAATGTGCAGCCTGAACGGCTACAACCCGGACACCGACATCCCCGACCTTGCGGGGAAGGTGATTCTCATCACCGGAGGTAAGCCATCACGACTCTGCTCAACCCCTCCGAGTCAAACAATCACCTAACGCGGCCCCCTTCCCTCTCCACCGAAGGAACCAACGGAATCGGTAGGACCGCCGTGCAGGAGCTCGCCAAGCACAACCCCGGCCACATCTACTTCACTGGGCGCGACCGGCAGGCCGCCGACTCGCTCATCGCCGGACTGCCCTCTGGCGCCGACGGCCGCGCGCTCGCCACCTTCCTCCCCTGCGACATGTCCTCCCTCGAGAGCGTGCGCCGCACCGCCGAGGCCTTCTCCGCGCCGCGGCTCGACATCTTCGTCGCCAACGCCGGCGTCATGGCCACGCCGCCCGGCCTGACCCTCGACGGCTACGAGCACCAGTTCGGCATCAACCACCTCGGCAACACCGCTCTCCTCCTGCGCCTGCTCCCCGTGATGCGCGCCACCGCTTCGCTGACCCCGGACGTGCGCTTCGTCGCGCTCACCTCGCTCGGGCACCGCGCCGCCCCGCCGGCGGCCGGCGTGGAGCTGGCGACGCTGCGGACGACGCAGGAGGGCCGCTTCGCGATGGGCGCGTGGGCGCGGTACGGGCAGAGCAAGCTGGCGGCGATCCTGACGGCGCGCGAGCTGGCGCGGCGGTGCCCGGAGCTGACGAGCGTGGCGGTGCACCCGGGCGTGGCCAAGACGGCGCTGGTGGCGGACCTCGGCTTCTGGCAGCGCATGCTTGTCTACGTGACGAACCCGGCGGGGCTGCTGACGCCCCGACAGGGCTGCTTCAACACCGTCTGGGCGGCGACGGCGCCGGGCGTCCGCGAGGCGGCGGCCGCGGGGGGCGTCGCGTTCTTCGAGCCGGTGGGGATGCCGAACGCGGGGGACGGCAAGTGCTGGGACGACGAGCTGGCGAGGGGGCTGTGGGAGTGGACGGAAAATGCGGTCGGCGTCAAGGCGTAGGTGGTTGGGGGGTTGTTGACGTGGTAGGATGTTGGCGGAGCTGGGGTAGTGACGGTCAATCTTTGCCTGTTCTCAGTCACTTTGTGCCGCATTCTGGCACTTGTTCCGGTTTAGCAAAGCATTGGCATTGCATAGTCTAGCCAAGCGGTGGGAATAATGATGAATGTGGTAGAACATAGTAAATGGTTGGATTCTCAGCGCTGTACACAACCCTCGCTCCGCTCCTCTATACTGTTTCCCAGAGACCTTGGCCTCTATTCCATTGCATATGCTCTTTTCCTAGAGCACAGAGGCACCGCGTGATATATTTACACAAAGACGTCTTTTTGGGCGGGCAACGTAATCCTGTTCTAAATGGCTGTATTTATTTGGTAGGAGCAGGGGCAACGGCGAGAGTTGGCCTCACGAAGCTGTGAAGAGTCAGCCAGCTGTACAATTACCGGATGACGCGCCCGCTGATCAGACGAGCGCGCCGTTGGAAGGCACACGCACCGGTCGTTGTGGTAGACTTTTGTGTTTTCGCCCAGCAGCTCCTTCTCGCGCTTCTGGTCGGCCCAGTATCTGCGGACCTGGTCGCGGTCCTCCTCGGCCTGGAGCAGGGGAATCAGGTTGATGCGCGCCCACATCTTCTCACGGGCGAGTTCGCTGCACGAGGTCAAAGTCGGTTAGCATAATCTCGGTTGTCACATATGGAGTCGGCGGGTTGTTTTCGGGGGCAAGTGACGCACTTGGCTTCGCGGATACCGTGGAAGAGCTTGTACCAGCCGTAGCTCATGACGATACCCATGCCGATGAGCAGAGTTCCGGGGCGGAAGCCGCGTGCGGGCAGGTTACGCTGTGAGAGATGGCGTTAGCCGTGTTGGATATGACGTTGAAAAACTAAGTCGTGGATGCGCTGCATAGGCCAATTGCCGATCGCTTTGCACCGCTGGGCGCTGCGAGAAGCGCAACAGCGCGTCCTCCAAAGAACTGGCCGCGAAAAGTACACACCTTGTACTGGACGGGCTGGTAGCCACCCCTGGGGGGCATATCTTGAGCCATGGTGGGCGATTTTCTGGATGGTTGGCGAGGAGCTCGGCTGGTAATTGGGCGATGCACAGGGGCAATCGGGGCGAGAAAATGCGATTGGGTTGCGAGGACCTGATTGGGGAACCGATTCGGATCGATGGATAGACGCTCCGGGCCGTCAATTGATGTCGTCGGCTGTCTCGTGTGGTCAAATGACGGCTGAGGAGCTCTGGTGAGGCGATTAGTTTGCGTGCCTGGCGATTGGCCAGAGTGGAAAATTACATAAGCAGGATTCTTGGTGGAAGTGCTGTACGGAGCAATGAAGGAAATGCGCGGCGATTTGGACTTTTAACTCCGGGAAAAAGTTGCAGTCGTAAAGACTTAAAAATCTTGAATATTTTTATCTGAGAAAAGATAAAAGAACTAAACCTGAAATGTGGTGAAGCAACGACAGCTATTCCTCCGTCATTCTACATGATTAGGCGCTAGCTGGTAGATGCCGCGTTGGTGAGGTTATGAGTAGAACAGGCTAAAAAAAAAAGAAGAGAAGAGAAGAGAAAAGGAGCGAATACTATTTTTCGAAAAGAATAGGTATTGTTGTTATTATGTAGCTTGACACTATCGCTCCTCTCAAGGTTTGGGGTCACGTAGGAGTACTCTTTTCACAGAATGGGCGGCGGCTTCGTTGCCGTTCTCCCACCAGCTCAGCGTCTGATTACAGGAATGGACCATCCAGCAGCAATGGAAAGACATTCAGCTGCTCAATTTGGTTGAAGCACGGGCTGGGTGCAATCCAGCCCAAAGGTCGGCCTGCGCTTTGCAATTGGCCCCCAACGACACGGCGCAAGGCCGCTAACATTCTACTAGGAAAGCCACTAACAGAGCCTCAAGCTGCTAAGCCGACTCCAACCTTTTCCCCCGAAAAAACATGCCCGCCCCATGCCCGAGACAGCGGCGGCATGAAGGTAAAGTTTTTTGGAGAAGGGGTTTGCGGGCCGGATTCGGACCTTGATGCAAGAGTGGCACGGTTGCATTCTCTGGTGCGATGCGGTGCTGCTGGCATGTGCAGATGCGACACGAGACGGAGGATTTAGACAAATTAGACAGGCTGCGTGGACTATTTATTGAACGCTGGGCTGGGCTTACATCCGAGCCTGTGATTTTAGGCCGACAAGGCTCCTCAACGCCGAAGTCGTGGACAAAGAAAGATAGGCAAAGGGTAGTAGATGCGCCGAGTGAGTAATGAACGAGTTGGAGAGACGGGCATGGCCATGGCTATCGTCGGAGGCAATCAGTGTACATAGGTATGTACAGTACACACATGCGTGCCGTGTTGGAGAAGTCGGTGACGTGACGAGCCAATGGCGTAGACAGACGTACCCGTAGGTGGCTCACTATTTACCTGCTGGGGCCATTTCTCCAAAACGGGTGTCTTGGTCTCCAACTCCAACTGGCAAAGGCTGGCTCGTGAGGGGCAAAGTGCGGATAGTTTCGTTGCTTTGATATGATATGCCGATGGGAGCCCGAGGCCTGGTCAAATGTCAGGAGGAAATGGGGTGCTGGTCGGTGCCCTGCTGATAGTTACAGTGCTTTGTTGCCTACCAGTGGCAAGCTGTTACATAGATCCATGCCGGGCGGCTCGATTTCCGCCAAGGCAAGGCCGAGAGACATTAACGCTGGGCCGCTATCTACTGTACACATCACTCTGTGGTGGCAAGGTTTGTCAAAAGAAAGCAATGAAGGGGTCCGTGGACGAGTCAGAAATCATTACTGGCAATTCAGGATCCCTGACATGGATCCTCAGTCGCTGGAGAGAATGGCCGAGGTCCCGTACCCGCAGCTGAATGACATTAGCTTGTACTTTGCGAGAAACATGCCATTCGAAAGGCGCCCGTCGAGCTTGCCTTCCCTTTTTTGCCCTGAAATGCCGTGACAGCCTGTAACACATATCCGGCCGGCGGCTTCAACAAGGCACCTTGGTTGCTTGCTTCTTCACCCCACCACTTCGAAGCTCAGCTTGCCAGTTGTTGTATTCGTAGCTCCCCTGTCATGTCATCTCTGTTATTATAACTTTCTTGTCGAGATGGACCGGCCCTCTTCTCGCCGAGTTGAAACCCACAGAGAGCTATAACTATCCCAACCAGGCAATAAAAGCTATCAAAGGGGAGCCCGCCAATTTTTTCTTTCTTTCTCAACTATCAACTATCTCGCCTGTTGTCGGCGGGCGCGCCGGACAAACAAGGAAAAAAAAAATAAATTAAAAAAAAAGAAAAGAAGAAAGAGAGCACGAGCTCGACCTCGGACGGCGCGCGCGCTGACGGGCTGGCCGCGCGCGACGACGAACCGAACCAGGCTGATGAGCACTGTTTCTTCGGCTTAGACCGGCCCTTTCCCCAAAAAGACACGAAGTGGTGATCCAGCGCGCGTCAATTCCACTAGCAGCACTGGACTAGTTTCTAGTTTGAACAAACCTTTTTTGTGACTGTACTTTTTCGCATGATGTGATTCCGGCGGCACGCCCGTTAGGACTGGAGACAGGGATTGCCAGCCCGTCCGTGGCTGAAAGAAAGAAAGAAAGAAAGAAAGAAAGAAAAGACGCCGCAGAGATGAGGGGATAGATAGCCCTGCTCCCCAACACAACACCCACACCCCCTGTCAACAACATGTTTGTTTGTTTTGCTGCAAGTTGGAAGACAAGTTGGCCTGATCATTCATGAAAGCTGGGCGTTTCTCACATGTTCCGCCGAGCTTCTCGCCATCCATCGCATCACACCACACCCCCTCCCCTAGTTACTGTGTTAGTTGTCCGGAACCATGACCGTAGCTTCCCAGCTAGTGGCCCCCCCAAAGGAGAAGCTTTTCCTTGGTCTACCTCATCGGGCTCATTAATACCGACCTTGTTAAAGTTTCTCGGGCCGGTGACTTTATGGGGTGTGTGTTGTTGTGACTCGCAGACCCAACAAGCCTTATAAGACGACCGCTTGCCGCCCAACGCACCTCACCACATGTCCTACATACATTCTCCCGCTTTACACAATGCATTCAGATTAATTACTACATGTCATACCTCAGCTCTCCTCTTCACACTCTGACCGCTGTCATTTCCCGTTCCAGATAACCGGCCAGCCTCGCACCAACCATTTTCTCTGACACGCGTGGCCCTGCATCACACCGACTTCTCGCCATGCGCCCATAGGACCAATATCAGGCACCTACCTCCCTACTTCGGTCCTGTTGCACGACCTGGCCTGAGACAGACACACATGCATCATATATACCGACACGGCAGCACACATACCACACCGGCGCTCAAAAAGTCTGCAACGGCCCGGCTCTCCAACACCCAAGCTCAGCTCACCCGAGCACATATGGATCCTCAAGCAACAGGACAACGCTTCCGCAACTCGTCGTCCAAAGGTCTTTGACAAACAAGAAGGTCTAAACATACAAACACCCAAGACTCACCGAAAACACATCGACACCTGCATCCCCCCATCCTCGACCGGCCAGCCATGTACGCCCGGTACAACCAGATCCCCTACCCAACCCACAAGTCGCCCATGGACGGCGACACCGCCCACCGGGACCTCGACTGGATCGCCGCCGCCCGCACCGACCGCGTCTTCGCCCTCGCCCCCTCCCCACGCGGGCCCGTCCCCCGCGCCGCCAAGCTGCGCCTCCTGCAGACCGCCTTCTGGCCCGCCCTCGCGCGCTGGGTCGAGGCCCGCCAGGAGGTGCTCCCCGGCGGCACGCTCGTCGGCGGCTGGTGGCGCGCCGACATGCTCGGCATGCTCGACTGGTACCGCGACTGCCTCGGGCTCGTCCCCCGCTGGGACGACGCCGTCGCCGCCCACAGGGACGGCGTCTGGCGCGACGCCCTGCTCTCCAGCCCCTGGTTCCACTGGCCCGAGTTCTTCCACCTGCTCAAGGAGCCGGTAAGGGACGCGGAGGGCAGGCTGGTGACGGAGGAGGCGACGGGGGGCGTGTTGTATAGGGATAGGGACCCGAGGGGGGAGGGCATGGAGGACGCGTTCATGGATGTGTGGGAGGCGGTGGCGAATAAGAGGCCGCTGAAGAAGACGGCGAGGGGAGAGTTTATACTGCCGCACATGCTGCCGCCGAGAGGCGAGTGGAAGCGAATCCAGCAGCAGCGTCGCAAGTTGATGGCCCAGGAGGCCGCAGAGATTGGTCCTTGCGCTTCTTGTTGATCCCCAAGCGGCTTCTGCAGTATGGGCAGCTCTTCCCACCGACACTCTATTCATTCATTCCATCATCGCATTGACAATTTTGCACATCCAGCGCTTGATTTAACCTCTTTTCGGCATCTTTAGTCTTCTTGATAGAAATACGGTCTTGTTTGTACCATTTGCATAGCGAGCGGAGCCACGAGACGAGCATGGTAGATGCTCTGAATTCGAACACACTTCATACAACTTCTTATTTCAACTTCAAAAAATACTAGTAATTCTATTATGTATGTCTATCTTATATGTAGTGTGATGATAGTCTAGGCCAAGGAATTTCCCTTCTCTTTCATCCCCAAGCGCTGCAATCCATAAACCACTCCATAGCTCGTACCGACACGGTCAACAACACAGTTCACCAAACAAGACGCCAGGAGATCACATCAAATCGTAAAAGAAACCGCCTTCCTTATGCACCGCTCGAGGTCACTTCATTCTTCAGAGCCTTCTCCCCTCCAAACGCCAAGTTTTCGAGCCCCTCGCTGAGCTTCTTGGTCACCATGTCTGGATCCGGCTCGTCGCCCCCGACAAAAGTCCAACTTTCCTCAGTCTCATCATCGTCCTCGTCAGCCTCTGGCTGCTCATTCTTGCCTGCCTTGCGCTTGATTAAACTCTTGGCATACTCCATGTCACGGTAAATCGATTGAATCGCCATGTCGACACCATGATCCTAGCCTCTTGTTAGCTCAACCTCGCAGGCACTGGCTGATGGAAAACTGCTTACCTTTCGGATTTGCTCCCCAAGCACCTTGGCCTTGACAATCATTCGCTCGTTGCGCGTCACCTCCCAAAGTGCCCGTCCGAAGCTGTTGGTACCCCATTTCTTCACCCACACACCAACACCAAGGTCCTCGACGCGACTGGCAAAAAAGTACTGGTCACCAAAAAATGGCCGAATAATCGTCGGAATACCAGCTCTCAGGCTGGCGCCAGTGGTACCGGAGCCTCCGTGGTGTGCTGCGGCATCAATCTGCTTGAATAGCCAGTCATGAGGGGCAGACTTGATGACGTGAATCTCGGGTGGCATCTCCGGTTCTTCGACGCGTTTCTTGTCGGGGTCATCCTTTGACGAGATGCGGTCGGACCACCCCTTGGATAGAATGCACCTCACGTCCGCCTTCAAGACTGCGTCAATGACTTCCCTAGTCATCTTGGCAGGATCGTTGACAATAATGGACCCGAAGCCGACATACACCAGCTTCTTGCCATCATCACGCGCCTTTTGAATAAAATCAGCGAGCTCTTTAGGCGGTGTGTAATTGTCACCCTCATCCAAGAACCAGTAACCAGTGATCCTGATCCAGTCTGAGAAATCCAGTGGTGGTGCCACAACGCAAGGACTGAAGTTGTACAGGAACGGGACCTTGTTTGGCTGCATCTTTTCTAGGCTGGTATTCGGGAGACGGAGCGTCTTGTTTCTCCACCGGTTGACTTGCTGGGCTGTGGCCTTCCAAAAGATGTTGTCAAACATGACGTACGTCATGTAATTGTACGCGCCACCCATCTTATGCTCAGGCATAATGAAGGCATGAGGATAGGCGCGCGTACGAGTCCATGGCATGGTGAATGCTCGAAAGTATGGAATGCCCAACTTCTCCGCAATGTGTATTCCTGCCATTGCTGAAGGGGACTCAATCAGGAGGTCAGAGCCTTCGCAAGCCGTGTAAGCAGAGTCCAGAAGCTCGTCCAACCAACCTCGGAAAGTTGAGTTGGCTTCTCGCAAGAACGCTAATGTGAAGGTACCATTCTCAATGCAGAGGCGCATGAGCTCGGCTGGGTCTCCTTCAACCTTGGCAAACTCAATGCCGTGAGACTCAACCCAGCCCTGAAATTCGGCATGCGTCGCGATGCGAGGTTTGTGACCTTCTGCTAACAAGCCCTTGCAAAGAGCAATGTACGGTTGCACGTCGCCTCTTGAACCAATCGTCAAGCAAGTAATCTTCATCGGCGTAGGCGGCTTGAAGCTGAGGAATGAAGCATCGGTATCCTCCAGCAAAATCGTAGGTGCATTGGGCAGGCTGGAAACGTCATGGGGAAGTTCCAACTCGCGCTCCGGATGCTCTTCTTGTCGGGCAGCCTTGAGTGCATCTCTCTCGGCGGCGTATTCATCCTCGTTCTGAGCATCTTCAGCTTGTTTGTCGGAGCCCTCCAAGAAACGATGCGTCTCTAAGTCTTGCAGAAGCGTTACGGCGCAATCGTCGCGAACGTCGCTTTGTCTGAACTCGAAGAACAACTCTTCGTGTCCTCGAATGACGAGGACAAGACCGGAATAGCCGAATCGAAAGCCCTTTTCTTTGTGAACTGTCTCGATATCCTTAAGAGGCAGAATCAACTTGGTACGCGTTCCAGGAAGAAGGCTTCGAAAGCAAAATGACTGGTCGCTGATGTAAATCTTGCCGTACAAAGGCAAGACGCGCAGGATATAACCAAAGTAGGTAGCCTGAAGCCTTTCTGTGTCGGGCAATGCAAAATGTGCCCGGAACCGCTCCATAGACGTTTGAATCTTCCCCTCGGAATCTTCTTCGAGGTCATCGTCATCAGCTCGGAGGCCGGCGGGTTCATCATAGTGCTTCCCGCCGCCTTTCCACATGCCCGACACCTTTTCCACGTATCCCATAGATTCGGTGGCTAGAAGAGAACTCACGCGTTTGCTAGTCTTGTTCAAGTAGTCCGCAAACGCACCGGCCCTTTGCAGCGGATATGTCCCCATCTTTGCAATGCTTTGAAGGCTAGGCGTAAGTGGTCGTTCCTCATCACGACTCTCTTGCTCATCTTCTCGGCGCAGTTGATCCAGATGCCCGGTTGTTGCGGCATGCCGGGTGAGATGAAAGGTGGCGTCACTTCCGGGGTGCAAGATCTGGCTCTGTATCAGGCTCTCTGAGTGCCCGGGATCTGTTGGCTGAGAACGCATGATGGTAGGTCGCTGGAATGCATCGCTACCATGTAGAATCTGGCTAGCGGAGGGGTCTTCAGCCCCCGATGCGGTCATGCTAGAGAAGCTCGGGTCTTCCATGGACGACTTTTCAGACTGCAAATTGGAATCTGAGGTGAAGAATCTTGTTCTTGGAGTCTTGCCTCCGTCAGATAGTTGGCTATGGGGTCTCGAGCTACTGAAGCTTCGTCGTGGGCTGTGATCACTAAACCCGCTGGTAAGCGGTCGTTGATGATCATGGCTAGATCGCTCGGTGCCGCCGAATCCGTCTCTGCTAGTTCGGGATGAAATCTCGACACTGCCGCGAGGGCTAGTAGCCGCCGAACGGGGGGAGAGTGTCGCTTTAACAGCTTCCTGCACTTTGCTAGTATGGATTTTATCCAAACCATTTTTCGTTTGTGAGGATACGTTAGCAAGAATCTTGCCTTTTCCTCGTTGCTTCTTGGCCGTGGAGTCCTCAACAAGAATCTTCAAGACATGGATGGCTTCTTGTCCGAAAGAGAAGAATGAGAAGAAGTACTGCTAAGTTAGTATGTAGGGTTACTTGCAGGAAAACGTATGACTTACCTCATCAATGGCATAGGTTTCGTCGTTGTCAATGACGCGAATCTTGCAGGTATCGGAAAATTCTACCATTTGAGTATCTTCGACATCAATGATGTTCTCAATGGGTAATGATATCTTGACGCTGTCACCGTCATTATGACTCCTGAAAATGACTCTTTGGAGGCTTTTGACCCATTCTTTGGCACTGGGTGCACTGTCGGCTCTGAAGTTGTAGGTGCGTTGACTGGTGACGACCTCAAAATGCAATCCATCCTTGTCCCGGTCCGTGACACTGGCCGAGATGCCAAATCTGAGATCGATCTGGCCATGGGGAAAGTATAAATTAGTAGCATCGCGATAGTACGATAGCACATCGCCTTTGAGACGGAACCAGTATCGATTATACTTGGGGTTGCGTTTGCCGCTCTTGGATAAGTAGCCTGACTTGGCCACCACGTGCTACTACGATGTCAGCGATGCATATAATGGATAGAGAGAGCCTGGAATCGGGGCGCACCTCTTTCTTAGGTAGATAAGCATAAAAACAAATATGTTTCGAGGTGATATATAAGAAGCCTTGTAACAGGACGCTTTGTAACAGCCAACAGGGATATTCTGTTCGTGTGTTAGTGGCTTGCTGATAAGGGTGAGAGAAGCGACAGCACCTTCAATAACCTGCTCAGGCTCACTGAATTCGAAAATTTCCATCAGACGACGAGCTAGTGGCGTTGTCTCGTCGTCATCTTCTGATGGCCGCAAGTCGGCGGATCGGCGTTCAATATCGAAGCTGGGACGACTCGACATCTCTGCCCTGGCTTGCAGCATTCGACTCATGACGGAAGGCCGTCTGGGCGTGGGAGCACGTGCGTCTGCGGCGAGAGAAGGCTGAGTATCACTGGCGTCACTGTTCTCAGTGTTCTCTTCGGCAGAGGGGGGCGGCTGGGATAGTTTGCTTGGCTCGTGTTTAGACTTCGCCTTGAGCCTCGGTAGCGTAGCGAACGACTTTAGTAGCCTGTGTTTGGAGAGCGACTTCTTGTGTTTGGCAGTTGGTCGAAGTACAGTCGTTTGTGACGTGCTGGGGGGACCTGAGGGAGATTCCTTGGATCCGTCGTCTTCGTCGCTGCTGTTGCCGTCGAAGCGGGTGTGGAAGTCGACGCGGGAGCCGGCGGCTGCAATAAGTCCAAATATGCTCTGGTTCATGTTGACTGACATTGGCGTGGCCATGACTTGTGGATGCGCCTCGTCGGCTGAATCATCGCTATCCTGCAGCGGCTCTGGGAGATCGGGTGTCGAGGACGACAGGCCGGGGGCTTTCCTACGCATCTTGCGGCGCCTGCTGGCTAGGTCCTGGTCTGGGCCACCCGAGGCCGGTATGGGCGGTGAGGAGGCCATTATTGTTAGGAGTATGATATCGTGACAGAGGAGGCAGGTTCCGAGAGGAAATTGAGCGTCGGGGAGTATATGTTGTGCGGTTCGCGGCCGAGGGCTTAGGCGTGGCGATGTTGGGGCGGTTGGTAGCGAGAGGGTGTGAGGGTGTGCTGCCTGCGTGCTACATGGAGCCAAGGGAAGCAGCGCGGAGTGGTGCAGTGCAGTGCAGTGCCGTCACAGCAGCACAAGGTAGTGTCACGCTGGTGGCTATGCAGTGTCGACGGCCGCAGCAAGATGTGTGTATGCAGAATAGATAGAAAAGGTACGGGATACAGCAGCAGTGATTGAGAGAAGGCGGCGGGGCGGAGGGCTCATCGGATGACGACCTTGGGCGGTCCGTGGTCCGTGATAGAGAGCGCTTGTGACGAGATTGGGTTTGGCGGCATCGGGGCATGTGGATGGTGCTGGGTGCTGGATGCTGGGCGGGCAGGTGCTGGTGCAGCGCTGATTGGTCGCCTGGGCTCTGTGGGCTCGCTTTGGTTAGGCATCGCCGCCCGCTGCTGCTGCTGTTGTGCCTGATGTTCAAGGCCATTCCAATCATTCGAAGTTGAGGCATGGCGGTGGCTTTTTGTTGAGTTGCAACGTCACAAATATGACTGATAGGCTATCGAACAAGGGAGTCGTCTTTCATTTATTAGCTAGGTATGCATTACGTTAATCTAGGCATGTTTGGTTTTATTCCCGTTTGCTGGACTGGAGACCCGCCGGTACGATCGTCCTGTTATTACCTCCTCGAACTCTACAGGGGGCCGTCGCCTAAATTTAGGGCCTCATCATCACCCTGCTGACTCTGTCAACATCCTCTTGCATGTGACACCTTAACTGACCAGCAGAGTCAGTGACTGAATAATGACGGACCACAAAATCATTGATCCCATTCTCCTTCTCCTTCTCTACTCTGTACTCTCACACTCCTTCTCCCTGACATGTTTGACTCACTCTGCCTGCGCAAGCCACTGCCAACACACCCCTGCACCATCAATCATGCATCTCAGCCGGAGTAGGACAAATACCAGGCTTGTTAATCAAGGATGAAAAGCAATTTTTGCAAGACTTCCTGGAAGTGTAAAGAACAGTTTATGCGAAGAACCGTGTAGATGTAGCCCTGCCATGATTTTCGCACCCCGGCTCACAGTGCGGCCAATATGCCGAACTCTCCCGACCAACCCGCACGCTACGGACCGGACTTGACGCCGCCCGCCTCGCTGTCACGGCACCCATGGGGTTGGCCCAACCTATTCTCTCCATGTGCATGACTGCATAATCACATCTTGGCGTCACATTTCGATAGAGATTCATCGCAACCCAACCACATGTTCGCACGGCTCTCACCATGGCCGACACCAGCACCAACACCCCGCTATTCCCCAGGTCCCTCATAAAGCCCGACGCGGCATCAGCCTTCCCACCAGGCTATGAGATCCGCCCTCTCCAAAAGGATGACTACGCTAGAGGCTTCATCGAATGTCTGCGAGATCTGACCTGGATGGCGGAGGTGACTGAGGCCGAGTTCAATGAGCGCTACGACGAGATGGATTCCGGCGGCAAAGGCCCCTACTACTACCTTGTCATTGAGCATGCTGGCCGGATCGTCGGCACTGGCTTGGTCCTGGCCGAGAAGAAATTGTGAGGATCATAGCATCTGATTCACGAGTTGTAAACACTCCTAACAATCTGTCAGTATCCACAACCGTTGCACCGTTGGGCACATTGAGGAAATCTGCATCTCCAAGGATCACCAGAGCAAAGGCCTAGGCCGTCTCCTCATGAATGCCCTCAACTCCGTCGCCGACAACGCCGGCTGCTACAAAACTATTCTCAACTGCAGCGAAAAGAAGCAGGACTTCTACAAGAAGTGCGGCTATGAGGACTCCGGCCTAGAAATGGTTCATTACGTCAAGGGCGCCGCGACACCGCGGTGAGCATGACTTGTATGACTTTGTACTTTGGGCAAAAGCTCTCGTGTATCCAGGAGCACAAAATAATAAAGTGTAAAAAGTATAGCCATCTGCTTTTTGATAGTAACCCGACCAGAGCCACCGTTCGAACATGATAATACATTGAAGATGCAAGCCGATTAGTTATTCATTACGTCCATAAGCACAGTTTCCCACTGCCGTTACCGCCAGCGACCCAGTCCATGCTGGGATGGCAATGCGCTACCGCGGGGACTGCTGTGATGCCGTCACCGCCAAGCTGCGCCAACTGGCTTCCATCTGACGCGAAAATGTCCACAAAGCGATTCATGTTACCAATGGCAAACTTTTGGTAACCGTCTTTGGGTCGCAGCTGCCATTGCGGCTTGAGAATGGTCACCCAGCGCCCGGTCTGGTTATTGTGCTGAATTATATGAGCAGGCTCAAGTTCCGACTCATCGATGTCTTGACCAGGAGGCCATTTTCCGGCCTCAGCAAAGTTGTAGATTTTGATTGTGTCGTCATATGACGACGTGGCCAGCTGGCCACCCGCGCTCCACGACGCGTGCGAGACAGAAAGTCGGGAAGAGTGCTCGCCCAGAAGCGCGGGATGCCGCAGCTCGCCTTTGCCCATGACCTTGCGCAGATCCCAGATTTTAATCGTTCGATCCAGAGAGGCCGTTGCTAGGAGATGTGGCTGTAGGGGATGTAGCGAGAAACCACCGATTTTCTGCTCTGACAGGGTCCATAGCTCTTCAGATTTCGGGTCTCTTAAATCATACCGGCCGACACTCCCATCCAGCGTGGAAAAGTAGAGGATGTTGGGCTCTGATGAGGCCATATCAAGCGCTGAGATTGGCATATCGTCGTGGGGATCCTTTGGAGCAAAGATCTGGGTTGAAACGCCTTTTTCGAGGTCCATTTTCCGTATAGACGAGTCGTAGGACGACGAGAATACGGCATTGTCGTCTGTATGCGAAAAGACGAATGATGTAATAGTTCTCGTATGCGTCTTGAACGCGGAAATAACTGGATCCTCAACATCTTCCTCCTCGTCGTCTGCTTCCGGCGCTGTCTGGGATCCATCGAAAACCCCCATTGCGCCTTCTTTATCGCCGGCAAAAACAATAGGTTTATCCTCAATGGGGTGAAAGCCGAGCGCATAGACACGCTGGGGTGTAATTTTGATGTCTACGACGCGATTAGTACGAGGATAGCGGCCACAGGGCGCAAAACGTACCGTTCGGAGCCCAATGCTCGTATAATTTGAGCGAGCTCATTCGCAGACGCAGTTCCTTCAATCCTGAATCTGTAGTTTCTTTGATGTCGTCCTCAGAAAAGGTTCGCACGCCGGGTTCTGCGCCGCGGAAGATGCCGGTGATCCCGGCAACGCTGCTGCCGTATTTTTTGCCGTCAACCACGATATCGCCGAGGCTGAGGTCATCCCCAATTCTCATCTTCTTCGCTTGCGTCTTGCTGGCCTCGAACTCCGCCTCCACCTCCAGCTTCCGCTTCAGCGTCTCATTGTCCGCGCCGATGCCTGCCAGGCGAGAGCTCATACGAGTCGGCCTGGCCGGTTCCCTCTTTACCGGCTCCGCCCGCGGCCTCTTCTTAGGAGGCGCTCTTGGTGCTGGTTTATCTGGTATGACATTTTTAGCGGTAGCCGCGATATCCGTCAGTAACGCTTTGTTGGCGGCGATATTCTCCAACCGCCTTCTTTCGAAGGTGGTCATCTCCGCGGGTTCTTTTTTGATAGGCATTGTGGCAAATTTTTCGAGAAAAAAAAAGGAAATATATGCGAGGCTCAGCAGAATGAAAATGATTGGACTAGGCCAAGAAAGCGCACTCACGAAGGCTTCTTTTCATCAGCGAGAGAAACATGAAGTGAAGGTGAATTGCCGATTGAGTCGCGTGTCGCGGCGCGTCAGAGTCGACCCACATTTATTTAAGTGGTTTTTATGGCGCGAAGTCACGGGCAAAATCGTTGATGGCCCACTTGCCTCATAGGTAATGACCCCTAATACGAAGATTTCATACCCGTAAAAGTTGAAGGCATCGAGAAGAGACGGCGGCTGTGGTCGAATACACCCAGATATCTTCTCTTCATCATGCCTCCGAGTATACTGCCATTTCTATATCAAACAAGGACAATTCAACATGGCATCCGCCCAGCTACATTTGCGCGGTTCGTCCGACTGGTCTCCTCGCAAAACAAGCCAAACTACTCAATTCCATTTGAGTGGGAAGATGATCCGCATCATGATGATTTCTCAGAGAAGGCGTCATCGCAGCCATCAACAATCACTCCGTCGGAAGCCGAGATTTTCAAAGGCATCTTTGATGAAATTTCACAAGGAAGAATGCCAGTCTCCAAGAAAAAGACGGCATTTAATACAATGAGGGAGCAACCCGCGTCCACGGCAGCATCCGACGTTAGCCAATTGGACACAAAAGCCAGATCAATCGTCGACCAGGCAAGACTCACAGACTTTCGCGACAAATTCCTGAGCCGATATCCTTCTTCACTCCGCAGCGCGGCGCAAGTCGCGTTGGGCCTCTTTGAGGTGCCGGCGAATGAGGAGGGATCTAGCACCTACATGGAGCTGAAGGAAGCTGATGCCTCCAATTGGGCGGAAAGAGCCATGTATGATCGGCTGCGATCAGAAGAACGGGACCGTGTGGACCGCCTCATGGACAACTGCGCCACGGACGCCGAGCTTTGGGATCTTATGGAGCGCGAAGTATTTTCACTGCCAGAAAGGCTTGGAATTGTCCAGCAAGCTGCGGCAACCGCGCCAAAGAAAAAGAAGAAGAGCACCAAGGCAAAGGGGAAGTCTGTGGTCGGGGGATCGGTAGAGGATCTCGCAACGCAACCTGAATCTAAACCTGACCGACGCCTGATGGATGTCCACGGGCGACTCTACCCACATTTCCTATACAACGGCCTGAAACTTTTGGACACAAAGTTCAAGCGTTCATCGCCATACGCTTTCAAAATTCTCCCTCGCGTGAAGGAATTGGGCCTGCCATCATACGTCCTCGGTGTGTCAACCTCCTTCTACTCTAGACTCGCGTCGCTGTACTGGACCAGGTTTGGAGACTCGAATGCGGCTTTAAGCGTGCTTCAAGAGATGCTGTCGTCTGGTCTTTATGCGAACGATGAGTCGATGGAAGTTGTGGACAGTATTCGCGACCATCTACATGGGTGTACTTGGGGCGCACAGGGGCCGTTCGTGATGGCCATGATGGAGTCTTCGCCATATGACGCGAGTCTATCACAGCGACTCGACAATATGCAGCGTTACATCCACACCTCGATCGATCAAGAGAAACAAGACGGCGCATGAGGCTCGACTTACCACCGGTACTAATAATTGCAGCTGGCTGCATGTATAACTCCCATCTTGTATTTTAGCTGTAAGATAGCCATATGACACATTATCGCATCCCGACTGACTGCACTTTTCTACAGAGAAATGGTTATGAATATATCATGTTCGACATGGCCTGTTTGTGAGTGCTGGTTGCGCCTGCTGAACATGCTCGGCGGCTACTGCTTGCAAACGCTTGCAACATACTGCTCCGAAGACGTGTTACATCGAGGGGAGAAGGCGAATAGCCATGCACACGCCAAATCCTGAAAAGCTAAATTAGCAAATCAGCAAGTCTATATGGACAGAAGCCAACGTGCAGAGATGCCGCCATTGAGGCCACATTGCAGCACTTTGAACGACAATAGTGTCTGTACGCAATGTAGTCGCCGAAAGCGAAAGGCTTTTATCATAAGCTCGAACATACATCTCGGACTTGCGTTGCTGATCACTTTAGTAGTGTGGTAGGCGGACGCCATGCGCCAATTGTATCCGACTCAGGGTCCCGCGCCTGTGCCAGACCGAGGACAGCGCCGAAGCCTGCCATGGGGCGGCTGCTTGCGAGCAGTTGGGGAGGTTCGAGCCGACCTCGCACTGTCTGAACCCCATCTTGCCCAATACCCTCGAGCTTACTGGGCTCCAAATAGCTAGAGCCCCCCCTTCTCCAAGGCAACGCCGCAAGAAACCCGAAAGCGCCAGCCGAAGCAGCCCCGATTCTCCAGATAGCAGCGCAACTCCCATTATAAGAGCCCCGGAAATTCATGACTGACCTCTCCCATACTGGCCAAAGATTGAACTCTCATGCAAAACCGTCAGGCTATGGCAATCTCTTTGGCGTATTCAGCGGCGTCAATGATGCAAACACAGAAAACAAGCCTTCTCATTGGTATAAAAAGGTGTCAGACACCTATTGCGGGCAGCGATCTCCTCATGGATGGGAAAGGATCGTATGACCATATATGGGAGTTGTTGGGCCACTTGCCACGACGAAAGACGGAAGTCGACCATCTAGTTCAAAGATATTTGTACCAGCTGAATGCTGTACACGATTGTGTTGATAATTGACGTTCAGAGCAAGCTACGATGCATTTTGGAACCGGAAATGGGGGAATGATGACTGAGTGGCCATTGACCTGCGTTGGCTGAGTTTGCTCTTTGCCATGTTGGCCTTCGCAGTGCTTTTGGATAGCTCTCCAGATGCGGCTATTGAGGAGCAGCGAGAAAGCGGGAAAACTTTTGAGAAGGTTTTCTGGGCTTGTCGAAAGGCTGTTATGCTGGCGCCAACCTTTACTGGCGAGAGCCCCGACCTCGTCCGAGCTGGAATTTTGATCAGCAAGTATCGTACGTACTTCGGACAAAATTAAGACAGCTGGCTCATGTCCAGTCTCGCGATAAGGATGGCCCAGGCCCAGGGAATGCAAAGCGATGGCGAGAGATGGGGACTCCCGGCCAAAGAGTTGGAATCTCGGCGGCGTATCTGGTGCAAACTGTACTCGCTGGACCGATCTCTCTTGTTTGCTGTGGGCAGGCCTTACACATACACGAGAACCATCGCATAAGGATGAATAAGGGTGGATGACATGACGGCTGAGGAGGCGGAGTCTAATTAATATTGTTTTAAAAGAAAGAAAAAATTCGGTTTTTTTTTCCAAATAATCATTAAAGTATATTAGTTAAGTCTTTATATAAAATACCAAGAGAATGTACTAGCTCTACTGGGTGACCAGGCTGTAACCAACCTCGTCATTTATTTAGGCCAACCCGCACCTATAACGTGGCGTGAAGCATATGATCATTAGATTTGTGATTGAAAACGCAAACGCATCAAACGTGCCTTCTTCATTGACTGCGCCTTTTAAACGTGGCGTGAGACTTTTTATCATTTTTGAAATTCCGAAACGATCAAAATCACGGGTTTGTCGCTCGACTACCTATCTGCCTCACCCTGGGATGCCCAAGCTTGCCTTGAGCTGCGGTATTAATAGCTCTCCACTGTCATTGCGACTCACTCGTGGACTTGACAACTCCTCACCAGGCCCTCCACTTGAGGAAAAAGTTCTGAAAGAAGGGTAGCAGCTATATTGCTACCGTCAACCACTTTTGTGACTCTGCTATATCAAAATGGACCGAATTCATTCACTACTAGAATGGGCTGCTCCTAAAGGCGTTCAAATCAGTGGCGTTCTGCCCCAAGCGAAAAAGAATTGCGGCATTGGAATGACAGCGACCAAGACTATTCAGGTACTGAGCGCGACCCTTTCTTACCATAAAATTGCATAGCTACTAATTAGCAGCAGAAAGGTGATGTTTTGGTAACGGTACCTACCCGTACTATGCGGGATTTAGCAACGGTATCAGCAGCCATCCGTGCCAAGTTGCCTCCAAAAATGTCAATACACGGTCTCTTGGCCGCCGACCTCATTCTCAACCCTCCCCCCGAAAGCTGGATGGAGGTGCTTCCGACTATCGCCGAGTTCAGTTCTATGCCCTTTTTCTGGCCCCGGGCCGCCCAGGAATTGCTTCCAGGTACCGCAAAACACATATTGAACGAGCAGCAAAGCAATGTCCGCCGAGATTGCGAGCAGTTTCAAAGCGGATATCCTCATGTCGCGTTGGACGACTACATTCGTGCTTGGTTCGTTGTGAGCACCAGGGCGTTCTACCAGGAGACCCGTCAGACACTTCTTTATCCTTGGCACGATCGCCTGGCGCTAATGCCTGTTGCTGATCTTTTCAATCATGCGGCTGCTGGTTGCAAAGCCTCCTATGATGCTGATAGCTACACCATCATCGCAGACCGTGAGTATTTAGAAGGTGACGAGGTCTACATATCATACGGCCAGCATTCAAACGACTTTTTGCTGGCTGAGTACGGTTTCTTATTGCAAAATAACACAAACGATCGATTCAATCCAGAGGATTTAGTTTCTTCTAAATTGAACGCAGAAGATACCGCGCTGCTTAGGCAAATGAAGACTCTACCTGCTCTGCGTCAAGTTTGCGGGTCTGCAACCGAAGCGGAACCCATATGCGATGATGAAGGATGGTTTGAGGATACATCTGGATCGGTAGATGATGTGCGACTTCAAGAACTTCTGGAAAAGTTTCTGGAAACAATCAACGGGTATCTTCAAGACGTGTTAGCTTTGGATGACGGAAATCAAGGATATCAAACGCTCCTTCTACAGCGCTGGAATCAGATAGACGAACTCGTACGAAACGGTATTCGGCTAATTACTTTGAACAGTGCATCTCAGCCGACATAATAAGTCAGGCCTTGATAGATGGTATTATTCGAAAAGTACAATGGCTTTTCATGGCTGTTTTATTTTCGCCGCCTTGGCCGTGTGGACGGGTACATCCAGGCGAGGCGCGGACGTGAATGCTCAAGATTTCCATGGGCGAAGCGCACTGCACTGGTTTGCAATTCATGGGGGCAGAGAGATGGTGCCATTTTTACTGCAGAATGGTGCAAACGTCAACATACAGGATCATTGTGGCCAGACCGCGCTCCACTGGGCGGTTGCTCGCAATTCCCCCATCACTGTCAGGCGGCTTCTCAAGGGCAAAGCCTCAGCCAGCGTGCAAGCCAGCGACGGTTCAACGGCCATGCATATCGCGGCATACACTGGCCACTTGGATATTGTGACTCTTTTATTGGAAGACAAGACGCGTAGAGAGCGACGCCGAGGACGCACTGCCTCCGGGCCGCAACCGAGGGATCTCGGAGTGGTTAACTTGGCCGCGACAAACGCCAACGGATTCACAGCCAAGACTGTTGCGGAACTCGTAGGCCACTATGAAGTTGCAGACGTTCTCAGAGCGGCGGCGCGCGGTGAGCCTGCGGCTGCGTGCAATGGAAGCTGTCGCGGTCCGGCACGACGCACGCTCTATCGACTAAAACCTCGGATCCGGGTCAGAACCGACCCCGAGTCTGATTATTTACAGACCCAAGACGGTATCAGCACTGTTGGGATACGCTTGATGAACGATGATGTGCAGCTCTGGCTCTATGAACGATCAAAACTTTCCCAGAAGAACAAGGGTTGTTAGTGCTGTGAGTCGCTTCCTTTCCCACGCGCGAAGGGTCTGGCGTGCCTATCGCGACTTCGGAGCGTACATACATGCGCACCGTCTCCATTCTCCATGAGATCTGTCAAAAAAAAAAAGGGTTAATCAAAGGCGCATATAGACAAGGTCACGTTCAGCCTTGCTCATTACGCGTTGTGGTCGAACCCGGTCTAGGCGGTATCAGTGGAATTACAGCTGAACTTAGCTGAAAGCCTTGCCGCCACTTGAGTCCGCTTTAGCGCGCAGCTCGGCCAATGGTGCCTCGACCCTGTACACCATTCACCCTTTGGCCAGCATTCCTCTTCACTGCTTTGGCAAGGTTTCATAAAAAAAGAAACTTGTTTGAATCTACCGGTCACACCCTCACAAGTCCATCACAAAGTGAGAGTCGAGGGGTTCGGAAACGAGACTCGCTAGGCCGAACCAGTCTTCGAGCCAATTCTCGCCGGAAAGGGATGTACAGTATTGGCTCTGCAAACGTACATGTACATAGCTACCGGTAGCTCTACAGACCGTCCATTCCGGAGCTCAGACAAGACGCCTTGTACCGGTACGAGCAGGGAGAGATCAGCCACAATGTGCTGGGCGATTCCCGGCCCCCGGCTTGTGAAAATCAGCCCCGGTCTAGACAAGGCTGTCTCGAAGAGTCGAAGCTCAGGCCAAGGGGAAGTCCCAATTACTTATAAGACAAGAAGGTGAACCATTCTCCTACGCTGTCTTGACCGAGGTTCCGTTCTGAGCTTGCGTCTTGTCGCTATTTCTACCACCCCTTTGCCGAATCCTCATTTATACCCAGACCCTTGTTCAGTCCTCAAGCTCAAATTTGGCATTCACTTACACGATGGCGGACCCGATCCAAGAGCAGCAGCAGCAGCAGCAGCAGCAGCAAGTCGTCAATGAGAAGCCGGTGACAAACGCTCCGGCCCCGACGACGACCCATGGCCGGGCTGGCGGCCACATCAACGACCAGGAAGTGCAGTTCTGGAAGGAGCGAGGCCACGACCTCCTGGCCCGACCATCGGAGCACATCAACTCGCGCTCGCCAGCCGGCGCGCAGCCCTGGTACGCGGGCTTCTTCGAGTGCTTCTCCCCCGTCGACACCTGCCTGATCACCTGCTGCCTGCCCTGCGTGACCTTTGGCCAGGTGCATCACCGGATGCAGCGGTCCGCCGAGCTCGAAGGGTACGAGCCCATCAACACCAGTGTAAGTCTGAGCAGCAAGTTGCCTTCCGTCTCTCTCTTGCTGATGATGGTTGCCAGTGCCTGCTGCTGTGCGGCGCGGCCTGCGTCGGCCTGGCGTGCGTGCCCGTGGCGATGCAGCGCCAGATGGTCCGCGAAAAGTACAACCTCGAGGGCAGCTGCATCGGCGACTTGGCCAGGACGTACTGCTGCGGGTGCTGCGTGCTGGTGCAGAACGACAAGGAGGCGCAGCATCGCGAGCGGCTCCTCCGACAGGGCGGCGGCGGCAGCGGCGGCATCAACGAGCAGTACGCGCCGGCTCCCGCGATGGCCGTGCCGGGTCAGCAGGTTTGAGAGGGCGGAGAGTTTTGATCTCGCGGCCAGACGAGTCTTGGAAGTAGCATGCCTTTTTTGTGTGTTTCGATATACCACTTGCTGAGTTAGTTGGAGGAGATGCTGCTTGCCATGTATGTCTGTTACATTCTTTAAAACTAGTTTATTTTGTTTGTGTTGGTCCAGAATCTCGGCAGCCTGTAAGAGGGAGGGCAACGCTCATCTAAAGCTTCGCGTGCCAGACTTTGTAAGCGAAATCGGGGTGGATTAAATCGAAGGTTCTTCGATGATAACCCTGATATGACTGCTTGTGCTGAGGCATCGCGGCGGGTGACGACCGTATCCGGTTCCAGAGGTGTTCTTGTAAATCACGTTCCCTCACATTGCACTTTCTCTTGAAGCCATCACCAGAGGGCAGACAAGCGGAGATTGATGCTCGCAAGCCGTGCGATTTCCATCAAAAGACTCGCTACACACTGTTGATGACTCTTTCGACTTGCTTACTTTAGTCAAAAAAAAATTTGTTCATGTATACGTCTCTTCCGACTCACTCGGCTCCGTAAGACGGCTTCAAATCAGCCGGTACACGCGTCGGCCCACCACAAACAAGGCTGTGAAGCAGCGAGCCTAAGAATAATAAGGAAAATAGGCCAATCTTGCCAATGATATTGTCGCATCCATCTTGGTACTATTTGTAATCAATCTACAAGGGTGGGGGCATCAACAAGATGATCCCGAGCGGCACAGGCTCTAGCATGTCATAAATGGAGCATCCCAGAAATCACTGTCGCTTTGTCACCTGCGATATATCGGTTGCAAGAGTTGCATTTGTCTTCATTTCTAATTTGAGAAAATGTCTTTGGAGAAGATCACCTTCTTTGATCTCCCTAGCAAGGAGCCGTGTAATTCGTGGTCCCTCAACCCATGGAAGAGTAAGTGCGGGGATCCGGCCGGACACGGCGGATGGATGTCGACACTAACATTACTCGCTCAAAGCTCGCCTGTTGCTCAACTACAAGGGTTTGGATTACGAGACAAAATGGGTACGTCTATAACTTGCATGTAGTCGGTTGTTGCGTCATTAACGAAAGCCTCAGGTTGAATACCCAGACATCAAGCCGACGCTGCAGCCTCAGTGAGCACTCTGCTGCCACCCATTACAACTCACCGTGGTTGATACTAACATCCCGATGTAGCGTCAAGCCGAATGACACGCGCTGGCCATTCACCATCCCTGCCATCAAGTTCCCCGACGGGACCTGGGCGCAGGACTCGCGCGTCATCGCCGACCTCATCGAGGCGCGCCACCCGGAGCCCTCCGCGCACCTCGACTCGCCCTACCAGGCGCGCATCGAGGCCGTCCTGCCGCGCGCCTTCCGCCCGCTCATGGCCATCGGCCTGAACCAGATCCCGCGGCGCCTGCTCAACCCGCCCAGCGTCGAGTACTGGGTGCGCGACCGCACCGCGGTCGTCGGCGGCGACCTCGCGGAGCACGAGGCCAAGAACGGCGGCACGGCGGCGTTCGCGGCCGCCGCGCCGGGCTTGCAGGAGGTGACGGCGATGTTGAAGGAGAACCCGGACGGCCCGTTCTTTAGTGGGAGGGAGGTGAGCTACGCGGACTTTGTATGGGTGGCGGCGCTATACTTTTTCAAGCGCATCGGCGAGGACGTGTACGAGGGTGCGCTGGAGGCTTCGGGAGATCGAAAGGTGCATGAGGATATTCTCAAGGCTGCGGAGCCGTGGTTGAAGCGGTGCGATTACTGAACCAAGTTATGATGCGGATAACCGGCCAGCACAGCTCGAGATGAAAATTTCTGCGGAAAGGATAGACCAGCCATTTTCTCTTCATATTTAACAGATACATTGGCCAGGATTTCCATAATAAAGTATACATCAGTGTATCCGGCACCAGGCTGTGCCCCTGCCTACCCCTCGGACTCTGAGGCTCGGACTTTTTAGCCGCGCCGTCAACTAGTTTCTTACACACTCTAGGGAGCCGAATCTTGGTGATCGGCTTTTTTATTAGCAGCAACATGCGTTACGCAGCATCCACAATATCAACGATGCCTCTCCAACATAATGCGGGTTATAACCGCTCGCACTTGCAGAGTCCGAGGGCGGGACGGTGGCTATGCCGACAGGACAGCGCCAGGGTGTGAATGCACAGTCAACGCTCCGCCAGACGATGACAAGAATCATCTTTCAACTTGAATTTTTCTCATTTACAACTTTTGCGGAACCCAATAACATGGACCAACCTATTTGGGAGAAACGCCGATGTGTATATATTCCAGGTGCTGCTCCAGAAGAGAGTAAATGATGCTTCTTTGCTACATCAACAACTCCATTTCTTCCTTTTTAATCTCACAATGCCTTGTCTGCACAATCTCATGGTTGCACTCGCAGCTTCGTCCATGATTGGCCTTGCTCACGCCAAAGCCTGCCCACCACTTGGCCGTGTCTTCCCAGCCCCGCGAAGTCCGAGCCAGAATAACGCCGTGCAAGAGGCCGTTTCCAAGCTCAAATCCGCCTTGAACAGCACATTCTCGGCCAACCTGCTCACAAGCGGCATATCGGTCGCGGTCAAGTCAGCGCACGAAGACAAGCTACTCTTCAACTACCACTACACCCCGCCGGTCCTCTCCGGCATCGGCACATCCGTCATTGACGAGCACACCATTTACCGCGTGGGGAGCGTGTCCAAGATGATGCCCGCACTGTCGGCACTGCAGAGCGATCAAGTCGACATGCATGCGTCGGTGCTGAAGTATCTTCCCGGGCTGGCAAAGACATCGGGCTCTCCCACTTCAGTTGACAGGATTCCATGGGAGGCCATAACTGTAATGGATCTTGCGACACACTTGTCTGGTCTACCCCGCGACAGTATGCCGGAACGTCTCTGGGAAAGAAGTTATTTTGCGCTCTGCTAATTGCGTTCCAGTGGCTTTCGACCTGGCTCTGATTCAAAACGGCCCGTGGACCGAGATGGGCCTCCCGGCTGTTCGCAACGGCACGGGGCCGACCTGCTCTGGCCTTCCGGGAACCAGGAAGTGTACGGCGGACGATATCATTAATACAATTAACCGAAAACCGCTGGTAGAGCCGCCTGGCGCCACCCCTCTCTACTCCAACTTGGGCTATGCGCTGCTCGCCATGGTCGTTGAAGCTGCAACTGGAGAGAAGTTTGACCAATTGGCTCAACGTGGTATTTTTGACGCGGCCAACATGACAAGCACATCTTTCAACGGGCCCGTGGAGAGATTCCCAAAGGATGGATTTGTCCCAAAGGGAGAGTCTACCTGGAACGCCACCTTGGGAATTTTTGAAGCGTAAATGTTCCCCCGTGTCGCCCAATCTTCTATATGCTGGCTAACATGAAGTAGCGCTGGAGGACTGTTTTCCAACTCTATCGACATGATATCCTTCACCGAGACCATCATCACCAACAAGTTTCTGTCGCCAAAGAAGACAAGAGACTGGATGAAACCGGCCGCACATACCTCGTCCATGGGAATGTCCGTCGGGGCCCCGTGGGAGATCCTCCGCAGCAACACCTTGACGAAGGACAAACGCGTGATTGACGTATACACCAAGAGCGGAGACTTTGGGCTGTATCATGCGCTGATCGGTGCCGTCACGGACTACGACATTGTCATGACGGTTCTCTCTGGCGGGGACGAAGTCAGTTTAGACCCGGACACGCGCACCAAGATCTTCAGCACGGTCGCTCGGTCATTGGTCCCGGCTGTTGACCAGGCTGCTCGAGACGAGGCGTCTTCTTCGGGTGGCTACGTGGGCACCTTTACCGACAAATCGACCAACTCTACTCTTGAGCTTGGTCTGGATGAGGGCCCCGGGGTTGTCATCAAGAAGCTTGTCGTGCGCGGGTTCGATGCTCTATCCCACATGCCCAACTATAGCCTCGGTATCGCGAATTCGAACCCTTCCGGAGCCCGAAACATGGCAGTCCACGGCCGCATGTACCCGGTGGACATCAATGGCGACGCGCCTTCTGCATCAACACACGCCAGAAGTATAACCGACGCCGACCGATGCAGAAACAGCACCGTCACGGTGTGGCGCGCATACTTCGACACCACAACGGAGGAGCAAAGCGCTTCAAAAGACGATGCGCTGTTTTATGCGGATGGAAGCTGCGAGACTTGGTTCAGCCTTGATCAGACGTCGTACAATTACCTCAGCTTGGGAGAGTTTGTCTTTGCACATGATGAGCGCGGCCGTGTACAAGCTGTGCGGAGCCCGGCATTCAACGTGACGTTGACTTGATGGACTCGTTTTTTACCAGTTCTTTTTTATACGTAACCCATATTCATAAACAAGAGACCCGGTTCTCATCGGCTCAGCAACTTGTGCCTGACCGACTTGGCCAACGGCTAGATATTGTTTGTTTGTTTGTTACGCGGGGTAGCGCCAAGCCCGCACCTCGGCCTCACTTGCCAGCCTGATAATGCTAATATGGACTGTTCCTTCGACGTGCGTCATATGAGGGGTGAGCTGCTCGGCATACATGAACAGTCAGTAACATTCTCAACCGTAAAGCGTGATACGAGCAACAGCCAAAAATGTCCCAGACCATCACTTCCGTGAGCCCGGCCCGTACGGCTGCTGCGCCGGCCGTCCTGGAGCTACCGACTCTTGATGCCGGGACTGGCAGACCGGACCACGCCGGCCTCCAAGACGCAGGAACCTTGTCGACTAGCAATCAGCGTAGCGGTTATGGCACGCCGCCGCCTGAGGATGCCCAGCATGTGGTTGAACGATGGAACCATCCTCACAGGAACATTGCCAAGATGGCCTTTGCCTTTGTGGCCTTTTTCGTCGTCGGCATGAACGATGCGGCTATAGGTGTACGTATTGCAAAGCCCGCCGGGAGTCTGGCGTTTTGGTCATGATCAGCTAACTCGACAATTCATCAAATAGCCTTTACTGCCCTATGTAAGTTGATGGCCAACCCATGTCCATCCAGACGAAACGGTCTTCTAATCTCGACGTCAAGCTGGAAGAATACTATGGTCTCGGAAAGACCGTCATGTCCCTCATCTTCCTAACGCCGTTCCTGGGATACTCGGCCGCCGCGCTCGCCAACGCGCATATCCACGTGGCCTTTGGCCAGCGCGGCATCGCCGTCGTCGCTCCGCTCTGCCACATCCTCACCTACGCCGTGCTGGCCTCCCACCCGCCGTACCCGGCGCTCATCGTGGCCAACGCCGTCAGCGGCCTCGCTAACGGGTTGCTGGACGCATGCTTCTGCGCCTGGGTCGGTGCCATGCATAGGGGGAACACCATCCAGGGCTTCCTGCACGCGTGTTACTCCCTCGGCGCGCTCTTCTCGCCCCTCATTGCCACGAGCATTGTCGTCAAGGCCGACCTGCAGTGGTTTAACTTTTACTACGTCATGGCAAGTTTTGTTCCTTTTTCTCCTGTACATCATCTAACTGTCCGGGTTCCTCTTGACAGGTGGGCGTGGCGCTGATCGAGCTCTGTGGGCTCACGTTCGTCTTCTGGGACAAGACGGGCAGCGTGTACCAGGCCGAGCACAGGCGAGAAGATCCCAACGCCACCGGGGCCGGAACGAGAGAAGCTCTCAAATCCCCGGTTACCTGGCTGTGTGCCACGTTTCTCTTCGCCTACATGGGCGTCGAAGGTGCGTGGCCGAGAAGCCAAAATGGCGGTATGCTGACAAGTGCTGCAGTTGGACTGGGAGGCTGGGTAGTTACATTCATGCTGAATGTCCGCAAGGCTTCTGCCTATGCCTCCGGTATTTCAGTGACTGGCTTCTGGACCGGCATGGTCCTCGGCCGTGCTATGCTCGGTTTTGTGACGGAGCGATTCGGCGAGCGCCTCTGTCTGAGCATCTACCTAGCCATCTGCCTCGGCCTGGAGCTTCTATTCTGGCTCGTCCCCCAGTTCATCGTCTCTGCTGTTGCCGTCGCGTTCCTGGGCTTCTTCTTGGGGCCCATGTTCCCGGGCGCGGTCATGCTCACGGCGAAGCTGCTTCCCAGGAGAATCCATGTAAGTGCAATTGGCTTCGCCATGAGCCTAGGAGGCACGGGAAGTGCCATCTTCCCGTTCATCATCGGTGCAGTTGCCTCCAAAAAGGGTCTTGCTGTGTTTCAGCCGATTATTCTGGCGCTTGGTGTAGTCATAGCGCTCGTGTGGCTCAGCTTCCCACGACTCAGGAAGCGAGAGTGAAGCTCCAGGCGGAATCGGGGTTATTGGTCACATTTGTGATGCAGTTGTTGCCAATGGTAAAAAATACTTGAGTTTCCATTTCAGCCTAGATAAGTCCGGATAATTTACATAACAGATGTTACAAAAACAATGCGTGGCATAAACCTCATCACTCGACGTGATTCATGTTGCTGCCGTCAACCCGTACGCCGCCGCCATTCGAGTCCCCAGCAATCTTTGAATGCTCGTCATTTTGAGCAGCAAGCGCCTCGACGTCGATGCCAGCCTCGCGACGAATCTGTTCCATCCTCTCTTCATCCGGCGGCACCCACTTGGTGCTCTTCCAGGGCGTCACGCGCTCTAGGTACATGGTATCGATTTCCTCAATCGTGCGGCCCTGGCCCTCGATGACGAAGAAGTACACAACAAAAGCAGCGACAAAGTTGCAAGCAGCAAAGACATAGCCGTAGCGGTAGTCGATGGCGCCGGTGATGAACGGGGTGAAGAAGCCGATGCAGAAGTTCCAGATCCAGTTGGCGGCCGTGGAGATGGCCATGCCCTTGGCGCGGTACCGCGAGGGGAAGATCTCGGCCTGGATGGTCCAGATCATCGGGCCCCAGGTGGTGGCGAAGCCGAGGATGAAGAGCGCGGCGAAGACGATGAGCACGATGCCGGGCGTCGGCGTGTTTTCCGGGTTTTTGTAGTCCAGGGCGAAGTGGCCGACCGAGGCGAAGATGAGGAAGCAGACGAACATCCATATGGAGCCGGTGATGAGGGACTTTCTGCGGCCGAAGCGCTCGACGATGTAGAGACCGATGAAGGTGACGAGGAAGTTGATGGTGTTGAGGATGATTTGGGTGATGTAGGAGTCGATGTTGACGGACTTGAAGATGCTGACGCCATAATAGAAGAAGACTAATGGCATTGTTAGTTAGCTGTAGATGACAGCGCACTTGGGTAGTAGACTGGAGTTGACTGACAGTTTGCGCCGCTCAGTTGCTGCAGCGATTGGAGGGTGATGCCGAGGAAGAGGCGATACAGCATGCGCGGCGCCTTCCACATTCCGACAAATTCGGCGATGGGACCCTTCATGATCTTGGACTCGGCGTGGAGCTTGCTCTCAATCTCTGCGACCTGCGTGTGAATAACCCAGTGGTTCCTCTGCGCGCCGTGCACGTCACAAATCGTCTGGACGGCCTCCTCCGTCCTCCCCCGCCGGTAGTTGTACCGCGGCGTCTCCGGGAAGAACAGGATACCGACGCCGAGTACGGCCGTCCAGATCCAGCCGAGGCCGATGACGATGCGCCAGCTGCCCGAGTTGTCCATCTGGTGGTGGTAGGTGCCGTAGTTGAAGCACGCGGCCAGAAAGATGCCCATGGTGATGAAGAGCTGGTACGCGCAGACCATGGCGCCGCGGATCCACGCCGGCGCCGTCTCCGCCTGGTACATGGGCACCAACAGGCTGAGCGCGCCGACGCCTAGCCCGGCGACGAACCGCCCGATCATCACCTGGTACCACGCGGTGGACGCGGCGATCTGGATGACGAAGCCGACGGAGGTGATGAGGGACCAGAAGGAGATGGACGGCCGGCGGCCGAAGCGGTCGGCGATGGGCGCGGCGGAGATCGCGCCGATGAGCGTGCCGATGGAGAGGAGCGAGACGATGAGGCCGGAGCGCACGCGGCTGAAGTAGGGCGTGCCGGAGGAGTCGACCTGGCCGAAGCGCTCGAGGAAGTCGGGCATCTCGAGGAAGCCGGAGATCTGACCGGTGTCGTAGCCGAAGCTGGTCGTGGGGTTAGAGCGAGGACTCATATCAAGGGAAGTTGAAGTAAAAGGGGAGGGGGAAGACGTACATTAGACCGCCCATGGAGATGAGGATGCCCATGGACAGCGACTTGCCGGTGACTCGCGGTAGCGGCGAGTAGTCGAGGCCGGACTTGGACGATCGGGCTTCATTTTCGCGACCTTTTTCGGTGTTGGGATTGTGTTCGTCGAATGTGACGGAACCGAATCCCACCATTGTGACGGTGTGTTGTTGCGATGTTGCGAGTTCAACTGGGAATTCGTAGTTGCTTGTTATGTATCGATGACGTCGAGTCGGATTCTAAGGCTACTCCAGTGAGTAGATTAAATCCTGGGGAACGGTGCGTAGAAAATGGGGAATCGGGGGATGGGATGGGAAGCTGGGAACGGGGTGGTATTAAAGCGATTGCAGGCTGCTGGCCAACACACTTTAACTGGATTGCTAAGAATCGACAATGGCGGGCGAATAAGCTCCGAAACCCCAGTGTGGATGCTCGAATTGGGGATTGCCAGTTGCCATGAATTTTTACAGGGCACGAGGCCGGTAGTGAAGAGGTTTGGTTGCACTTTCAATGGCCTTTCCGCGGCGGAACGGCGAAGACGTCATGATATCATACACAATCGCGATGAGGCGCACCAGCGGCAATTAGTCTGAGGGCGGGCAGCCATGACTCGAAAAACGTCGAAACGACGAAAAAAAAAAAAGTTTTACCGTCGCGGCAATGGGCATAATCGGTCCTTTTTTTTCCCTTTTCCTTTTTCTTTTCCTTGGCCCCTTTTTTTCTTTCAACCCGCTGATCCAGGTCCTGCTCTCGGACCGTAGAGTAGGAATAACAGTCTTTTTCCAATGACGTCGGGAGGCCGGGGGCCGGAGGGAGGCGAGGGCTCCACAGCCGCCAGCCATCCCGGGCTGCCGGAAACGACGGCGTCGATCTTTTAGTAGGCACACCACTATAGGAATGAACAAGGCCTTGCTGGTTGGTCTAGCCTTGTCTCGCTTGCGCTGTTCAATTGCCCAGCCTGTGCCATGTACATTGACAATGCCCCAACTCTACACATTGATGCATTCTTATTGATACAGGCATCCGATCTTTACGTAGAGCTTCCTGGAGGATTAAAGTTGATGCTCCGCGGCCATGGACGGCCCAGAGTTTTTTTACGGGCCGCATTGGACGGACGGTAATGGAGCCGGCCATACCGAACCTGCCAATGTCGTCGCCAGCGCCCAACTCCATTTGCCTCCCCCCCCCTCCATTTCCCCGAGTCTTTCGCCGGCCTGCTTACCCAAGTCTCCCAAATCCAGCACTTCCTACGTACTTATTCGGCCCTGTTCACGCGCCGTGTCGCTGGTCACGCGGTGTGCATCCCGCCTGACCACGATACGCGCCACACCTTCCGGTGCAAGCCGCGGATACAAGCCTTGCGTTAGCCCCGTTGCCGAGTAGAACTCAAGGCTCGCGTTGCATAAAGAACAGCTGAGTCAATGGCCGTTGCAACAAGCAGTCACTCACATAGATTCATTCCCAGGCTGATGCAAATGCTGTGGCCTGTAATCACTAGTTATCAACTTCTTTGACTTCAAACCCTTCTATCAGCTCAGATGAAAATAATCTGCCATGGCATCTTTCCCAATGCGCCGTGCCTGTCTATGCTTTGCTCAATATCATATAGATGCTGCAATGCTTCCTCGGCCAGGATTCTCCCTGCTCGCTGCCCAGCCCCGGCCCCTATTCTGCTCCAACCCCTTCTACTCCAACCCCTTCTACTCCAACCCCTTCTGCTCCAACCCCTTCTGCTCTCCCAAGTGTTTTCTTCAAAGCCTAGGAATGTGACCCTCAACTGAGCTCAGGGCCGCCAAATTCACTTCACCCATTCGTTCCAGTGCCAAATGGCTCCTTTGATCTGAGAGCAACGTAATGCACTCAATCACATCCTCTGGCTCCAGCAAGTGCCATCTAGCCAGTGTCACCTTTGTGCTTGGACCAACAGTAACAGTAAAGACGTGATCAGCATCCAACACCGAGCCTGAAACCCCGTTCAGACTGCGAAACATATCTTCGTCCGTAAAGTCATCTCCCGAACAAAGGGCAAATTCAATTCTACCCCCGTCTTTATCACCGTCGTTTCCAACGAGGCCAGGGTTGTGGTAACGACTGATGAGGCGCTTGACAATCTCTCCCTTGTTGATGAAGGTTGGTCGCACCTCAATGTTTGCCTTGCCAGCCATTACCTCCACATCCCACTTCTTGGCCACAGTGTCTTCCACTTCCTGGTGAGCCACTCGCGACATATGCAAGCCTTGCTCAGGGTCAGCAAGCCGGTAATGCCACGTAATAGCGCATCGCTTCCTCTCGATGAATGAGCCTAGCAGCCTTGTTAGTATGACGCGCCGGAGAGATATTCACATTCGCGAGCTCACCTGTGACTTTGTCTGTGTATTTTTGAAAAACATCAATGACTTCGCTTTGCCAGCCCATGTCGAACTTGTCCGCTAAATTGATCCATTCCTGAGACCCGGGGTCTCTCATGAAGCTACCATGCTCGGCCGAGAAGCCGAGTTCAGGAATATGGCCCAAATGCTGGGTGAGGAACTCTTGATCTCTGCCCGAGATGATCCAAACCGAGTTGCGAGTTTCAGAGGCCAAGATTTTGAGAGACTCCAGCAACCTCTCCGACGGTACAGCCGCGCTTGGCTCTCGAACAATGGGCGTAAGTGTTCCGTCATAGTCGAACATGAAAATACGCTTCGAGGCCGCGCGGTATTGAGAAAGTAGTAGGGCACGATCGAGGAGTGGCGTGGCGTGCTGAATAGAGTTGTCACCAAGGACGCTGTGGATTCTCCGAATAAACTTGGTTATCCACGACTGGACGGTTTGCGTCGTGACATGCTCGTATAGTCGGCTCTGCATCGTTGAGCGGGCTTCGTCGGACATGGTTAAAGCGCTGTTAATCTTCTCGGCGACATCGGTAAGGTCCCAAGGGTTGATATGGATAGCGTCGCTAAGACTGGCAGCTGTCCCGCTAAATTCGGAAAGTATGAGCGGACCGTGTCCATCCTTCTGGCAGACAACATATTCGAGACTAGTTGTGTTCATGCCGTCTCTTACTGAGGTAATGAGACCAATGTCGGCCGCTCGAAGCAGCGCAAAGTACTCGTCCTGGTTAATGTACTGGGGGTAGTGCTGTACCGGTGAGAACCCCAGACTTCCATACTGGCCGTTTATCTGCATCACAAGCTCGTTCACGCGTGTTGAAGTCTTGTGCTCTCCATCATCCCTGTCTGCCACTTTATTGGTTGGCGACGTGACCTGAATGAGCACGACCTTCTCCCTCCACTCCGGGTACGCTTCGAGGAAGCGGTCAAATGCCTGGAGTTTCTGGACGACGCCTCGGACACTGTCAAGGCGGTCTCGGCCAACAATGATTTTTTTTCCGGCGTACATCTTCTTGAGGGCGTCATACTTTTCGTCAACAGAGGACGCCCAAGCCAGCTTTTCCACCTTTGCAGCATCGATACCAATCGGAAAGACGCCAACCTGAACCCTACTTCCGTAAGCGTCGACTCCCAGAGTGTCAGAGGGAAAGCCTAATATGCGGGTGCAGCAACTGAGAAAATGGCGCGAGTAGCTGTATGACTGAAACCCGACCAGGTTCGATCCCAGGATGCCTTCCAAAACCTCCTTGCGGCGAGGAAGGCAACGCAGGAACTCACTACTTGGAAAAGGGCAGTGCAAGTAGAAAGATATGTACATGTTGGGCACTGCTTGTCTGAGCATGCTTGGGAGGAGCATGAGGAAGTAGTCGTGAATTATGACAATGTCACCCGGCTTGTAGATTTCGATGATCTTGGCGGCAAACTTTTGATTCATCCGGTAGTAATCAGCCCATTGAATCTTTTCCTTTCGGCCATCACTTGGTTCATGTTGCTTGTAGTGAAACAGGCTGTAGAGGTCGTGATGGGCGTAGCCGCGCCACCGGCCCTGGTCGCGGAGCATGATTCCTTCTGGGGTGATTTCATCTTCGTCGGCGAGCCACACAGGAACAGTTCGAATAGTCTTGTCATTGGCAAGCTGATGCTCGAGACGCTCCTGGTCTGCCTTGGGAAGCCAAAGCCCGTCAAAAGGAGGCGGAGTGGGAAGTTGCGCAACTCCATCGACGGGGACAGGGGCCGAGAGAGGGTTGAGAGAAGAGACACCAACAGTTGTGGCTCTCGGAGATTGGGGTTCGGGTTCGAGAGGTTCGAGGGGAGAGTCGATTTCGCCGGTCCAGGAGACGACGGTATGTTTGAAAGGGTTGGCGGAAGAAGAGAGATAGGCGAACGAGTCGAAGAGAGCAGACTGGCCACCGCGGGGTTTAAGTCCCTGTGAAATGCCTGCGTCAGAGTGTGCAACGACGGAAAAAAGAATCTGAATCTGAGATGGACGCTTCGTCGCAAGCAGGTAGGGGTAGTGGCAGCAGAGGTATTTAGAAGTGACATACCCAGTCACCACCCTTGCGGTAGGTCAGTGCATGAGGAATATTGAAGGCCGCCGATATGATGCTTCCACTGAGGGAAAGCTCCGGGTTGGCTGCCAAGATCTCAGAGAGTGACTCGCGGCGAGCCATGGCGAAGGAGTTGTGGCCGCGAGGTGCTGTGACGTTGGACAATGAGGCAGCCGTTCTGCGATGCGGGGGAGGGGAAGCGAGTCACCACCACTGTTGAGGTATATCGATTGCGAGAGGCACGCTGTACCACAGACTGCTGATCTCCCTACACGTGTGGGGAAGCGACTTTGGAGCTGGAAGTAGCTATCGACAGCGTGTGCAGAGGAGAGGCAAGTCCGGGGTGAGGCAGCAGTGGGAGGAGAGACGGGATGGAGGCGGGTTATTATTGAGTTCACATGGGACCAGGGGATGCAACCAGAGAGATACCTCAGTTTGTATGGCGGCGGCGTGGGTGTGTTGGCGCCCCTCCCGGGTTGAAGCTAAAAAGCCAAGGCGAGGGGTCCGCAGAGCGGGCAACCTGGTGGCTCGTGGCTCGAAGTGCGCTGAAAGACGCCACAACAGTGCTGCAACATCTCAAGGACGTGGGCAGCAAAACGTGCAGAGCCTTCAGTGGCTGGACGTCAGAGCGATGGTGGTGGGTGCCCTTTCTCTTCACTGGTTCAGTGAGCAATTAGTTGGAGACCGTGGCGGTACCAAGGTTGCAGCCCGCCTGGACAATTCAAGGTCTTGCCTGATCTATCTATCCACATGCACCAACTTGCCCTGAGCGGCCGCTAATGCATAAGCTTTCACTCTGATAGGTTCCTGATATATAAGATTCTAAATAATTGGAGCGGGCTTTTGTGAGGTAGAGCTAAATACCTAACTACCTGACAATACAAGTGAGATCTCTCGGTCGGCGTTGAGGACGCAGAGGGTGACATGCTAACAGGAGCAACACGACAAGACGCCAAACGCCTTTCTTCGGCTTTAAAGCTGGCGGTGAACGGCACATCACGAACAGATGCTGGTAACGCAATTTCTAGGCCCCGTTTACTATGGTTTACTCCCCGTCCAACTTATAAAAGTCGCCAGCATGGCCTGCTCTTTTAATGACCGGTGGGACGGTTACTACCCGTCGCGCAGCATCAACACAGTCCGGAACTTTTACCCTTGCAATAACTAGTGATGTCTCTGGCAGTGGTAATATAAGTTACTTTGTACATTTGCGGGATAAACCTCCACGTCTCCGCACTGTAGATGTTTCCAACCTACATATACATGCATGACATTATGCAGCAGGCACCTCTCCAGTGTGCTCGACGACCACCAACCATATGCCGGAGTCAAGGTAACGTTGAGCGCAGTCAGCTCGTCGCGGGACTTTCACAATGCTCTGCGTCAACATGACCCCTGTAGTGTTACAATGGGCGTTCTGTGCTCGGAAACGATGTTTTTCTATTACATCTCATTTGCAGGACCAGGATCGTGAACCACGCCAAATTCGCTGGCTTGTGACAAGTACAAACTCCTAGCAAACCATCAGCGCACGTGACTGCATGTTTGCGGTGACCAACCAGCGGCCGTGTCCGCCCTGTGCCGCATTTTGCAGCTACTGGGAAACCATCGGCTTCACCTCGCTTCAACCTCAACTTCCGGACATCCGCCGACAATCAGCCATCGCCAAAGCACCCTCTTCCTAGAATCGCGCCGCCGTCGCTCGTGCCCATCATGTCGGCATCTCCACAGCCTCCTCCCTCTCCCCACACGACGGCGCACGTATATGCCAGCAATGGGTTAGAAATTTTGCAGGCTGCCAGCGATGCAGCCCAGGCCATCCAAAACTCCGAGGCCTTGCAACATGCCGCTGCGCAAGCCGTCAGCCACCAGGGCGTCGCGCATCTCGCTGCGGCGCCCGAGATGTCCTCGCCGCACATGATGCCTGGCCAGGCCGCCATGATGCGAGATCCCACCATCAATCCCAAGCTCACGCGTTTGCGACGCGCGTGCGACATGTGCAGCATGCGAAAAGTCAAGTGCGACGACTCAAACATCCCCTGCCGGCCCTGTCGCGAGCTCAATGTCGACTGCACCTACAACCGCGAGACAAAACGCCGAGGGCCACCCAACAAGCATGCCGAGGCAGCCAAGGCCGCAAAAAAAGCACGAACCGAAGGCCAGATTCCCGGATTCGCCGCCTCGCCATCGCCTCATGTTGCGGCCAAGACGCTACTGACCATTTCATCAGATACTGTGCTTGATGCCGAGTCGATCGCGCCGATGCCAGTTCTGGAGCTACTTGTGGACGACTTCTTCACCTACATTCACCCGCTCGCCCCGTTTCCTCACGAAACTACATTCCGTCAGTCGTTTGCCAACCGAGAAGATCGTTCGCGACCCGAATTTCTTGGTCTCCTATCCAGCATGATTGGTGCACTGGTCGCATCTTTCCCTCGCTGTGTAAGAGAGCATCTAAAGTCCCAGCATGGCACACATTTATTCCCGAAGGCAGTGGTAATGGTGGATAAGTGCCGCGACATTGCACTTCATACCCGTGGAGCAAGGTGGCCCATCAAGCAACCCAAAACTTTGGACGACGCCATGACTAGCTACTTCCTAGGTCTTGGTGCGGCTTACACCATCCAGTACAATGCCGCTCGCATATTTCTTTCAGAAACCCTCACCCTAATTCGCGAGCTTGGTTTCACGCGGCCCAAGCACCAGGGCGAACAGCCGAGCATTGGACAGGATACCTATTCGAATGAACCTCTCCCGTTCGATCACATCAAGGATCAGATTGGAAAAAGGCTATTTTGGTGCTTGCTTCTTGGTAATAGGTAACTCTTCAAAGTCACCGATGCCGCAATGCAGAAACTGACAATATTCAGGTCATTATTTCAACTCACATCGCACAACGACATGGTCATTGCGCCATCTACCCCCAATCTCCCTTATCCGGCATACCCCGAGAATGTCGACGACATATGTATTCAAGCAAACGAAGTTATCCACCAAGCCGACGGCACTGTTCCTCTCCTCACTGGATTCCGCTTCGCCATTGATATATACACCACCATGAACGGTGTTGTCAGCCTAGAACTCGCCTACGGCATGAGCACGCTACCATGGGCCGATCAGCGCATTCTACTTCGGGACGGCCTTATGGCTGCGAAAAGTATCATCGACAACTTGCCACCGGAACTGCAACTCGGCAGCTCGAGCGCCGAAGCAAACCCGCTAGCAAGCCTAGACGAGTCCGGCCTGCAGTACGTCCCGCCTGTGTGGCCGAATGCGCAACCGTCGCACGACCTCCGCAACGTGATCAAGGCCCAGCCGGTCCGGCGTCGGCAACTGCAGTATGAGATCCAGAAGGCCAACATTTTTGTATCGCAGCTCGCGACGCGCTCCTACTTTGTCGAGCTCTACTTTGACCTGCGCGACGTCCACCTGACGGAGCATCCGGAACCCGACCCCGAGGCGGCCGAGGCGGGCCAGCCGGGCGACGACGTCAAACCAGCAGCGACGGCGCCGCTGCTGCACGACGGCGATGACAAGGAGATTTACGAGCTCATGTCGACGGAGCGCGAGCTCATCGTGCAGAACCTGCTGACCGTGCTGGGCTGTCTCTCGCAGCGCAACCTCGAGCCCAACGGCCGGTCGCTCGTCGAGAAGATCCGGCAGGTGGCGTCGACGCTGCTCAACGACGCGCCGCACCGCAAGGGCCCGCTGGCCGTCAAGTCAGAGGAGGCCCTCTCCCAGCTCATTGACATTCTCGTTAAGCTCGAGAAGACGGGCCCTGCAACGGGCGAGAGCAGGAACAGCACCGCCGCTGCCGCTGAGCCGCTCCTCCACATGATGACGGCCGAGGACGAGGAGGCAGAACTCCGCCACTGGGCGGATCTGAGGGAGTACCAGCTGCGGTTCGCGGCCGCTGGCGGCTTCGCCGGCGCACTGTAAAAACAACACGAGATAGGGAAGGCCGGGCTTTATTAAGCATGGGCTTTGTTTTGTACGCTACAGACGGAGTCGAAAAACAAGAGAAACAAATCTATGCGGCGGTACGGGCGAAACAATGTACTATTTGAGGCTGTTTTTAATGAAGAGTTTAACGGATTACCTGGTCATGACTTGTGCCGTGCTTGTCCTTGCGCAGCAGTGGAAGTAACCATGCAAGCAGCTAATTCGCAACAACCATAATTTACTTCATGTGTTCTTCATTAGAATGGCATTCACCACCTAATAGCGATTAGTACAAATTCCTCGGAGGACGGCAATCATTAAACAATTCTCCTTCAACCTAAAAGGTCAGAGAGAGACTGCATCTCCAAAGAGTCAGGATATTTCATGAATGTTGCTCAGAAAATCAAGTTGAAAGAGGAGAGAACCCGTCGACACAAAACGAACTATTGTCGAAGTCACACTTCCTAAAGAGCACCAGCGCGTCAAAGAGGATTCACGAGGCAGGCAAGCAAAGTCTCGTCCTATAAAAGAAATCTTTGGGTATCAATAGCAACAGCATTACCAGTTCACAGGCAGGACTCCTGGGTTCATTCTCTGCTCTGCTGCGTCCTTCCTTCCGGTATTCATGATTGTGTACTATCATGACGTGAGTCATGGAGACAAGTCTTTATACTTGAAATCATGGCCAAACGCAAAAAGCAACTCCTTATCATCATGATAAGAAGCTCACGTTATTCATACAGCAACACCAAACTTCGTGACCATCAACCAGCTTGAACTGAACTGAAAGGAAAAGAATAAACTCCAACGGTGCATGTCCAAAAAGACAAGAAAAAGGGTAAGAAAATCATAATCGTCGTCATAAATGGATGATGTCACAGTACTCAAGAGTTCAGCACTGAGCCGGGAGCTGGCTGCATCTCCCGTCATCCTAGTAAGCAGTGGCAGTCGAGCTCTCGTTCGTGGCAACAGCGACAAGCGCGTCAAAACGGCTATTCGCGGGATGCTCTTGCGTTTGCTGCGCCGGCGGCTGCTGCTCTCGCGCAGGGAAGCCAGAAAATCCGGTAAAGTTAGGGTGCACCATCTTATCAACCTGAGCGGCTCTGTTGTCTTGCGCCAACTGGCCATCTCTCTGCTGCGCCGCAGGTCCATTGTACCAGCCGTGGCGCTTTGCCTCTCGGGTTGTCGCAAAAGATGGAGCAGACATCGTGTGCTGGTGAAGGGACCGCGATGGGGGAGGACCATAGCGTTCGCGCGGAGGCTCCTCAAAACGAACATGGCTGTGCACCCGCTCGCCTTGGGCTTGGACTGCCTTGTTCACCTCGGTGGCCCAGCTACTAGCATTGTCGTTCGGAGGAGTGCGATGTCCAATATCAAGCCTGTTGATACCCCGTTGGAGACTGGCATCGTACATGTTCAAGTTGCGTCGATCATCCATGGGAATAGAATCCAGCTGTGCATTTGGCATACGGCGTTGGTAGGTCTCTGGATCGACAGCCATCGGTGAATGAGTGCGGCGAGGAGGCGTTGGAGGGCGCTGCGGAAGAGGATCGAACGACTCGATTCCAGGTAGCCGTAAGTTGGACTGTGCACCGGCTGGTGTGGCAATTGGGGGTGGAGGGTTTGGATGAACAGCGGTTTGGGCACTCAGTGGCGGTGGTTGACCGTTCAATACACGATTATCTGGGTGCCAAGTGCGTCTGCGCCAGCCGTCATCTGCACCATTGCTCGACGTGCTATCACGGCGACCCGACCATGCCGAGGCGGGTCCTACAGCGGGCGGAACAGAGCCGTGGTTCGGAGGTGAAAAGGCACCCGCATTTGAGCTGTTCACGAGCGCCGGGCCGAAGGAATGGCGGCCGGGAGGAGGCCCGTGAGACTGGAAGGGAGCAACACCGGATGGCACGCTTAGACGGCGTCCTGAGCTCCTGTGGTCAGGCATATACATGCTTTGAGATCGAGAGTGTGAGTGTGCTGAGGTTGTCGGAGACCCCATGCCAGAGGGCCAGCGAGGACTGCTTTGGGCGGTAGAAAATGTGGCTGACGTTGGAGTACTGAAGTCGCTGGGAGAATGCGGCCTGTAGGAGTAGTTGCTGTCAGCACCACTGCGGTACGACTCGACAGACATTCTCGATCGCGGGTCAGACATGACAAGAGGGGGTGGTCTCCGGCGATCCGCGTGCATAGGCATTCCGTATGATGAGGCCATCGACCCCATTGAGTTGATACTCGATGTCGAGAGCGACTTTGAATGCCCGCGAGGGGGGCCACCAGCGCTACCACTTGTCGACGCCCGGGCCCTGTTGCCGGCCTGCCGAACTCTTTCGGTGCGCATTTGACGCTGGAATCTAGAACCCGTGGCAGCGAGGGAGTCATTGGGAATGTCCTCGTTGACATGTACGGTTTGAGCGTGCTGGCGTAGGTTGTCCAGTCTAGAGAACCGGCGAGAACAGTGACACTGAAAAGGACGTTCTCCGGTATGTTTTCTTCCAGAAGCATTAGTATGGCAATTGAATCCCAAATTTGAATGCATCGAGGGTTGTGAACATACCGAATGTGACGGGCAAGATGTTCACTCCTCGTAAAGCTCAAGTTGCAAGGAGGATAATCGGTGCAGTAGAAGCGTTGTGACTTCTTCTTTTTCGATTTCGTTCCGTCGCCGTTCAAACTTTCGCCGTCGGAAATGGCATTGTCGTCGCCACCTGCTTCGTTATCGGATTCTTCCATATCGACATCCATCGAATCTCTATTCGGCGAGGTCGTGGAAGAAGAGTTAGCATTTTCTATTTGGGATTGCTCGTGCTGTTGGTTATGGATATCGTTGGAGGCGCCAAAGGTGACTCGCGTCGGCGTCTTTCCATCGTCTTTCAGTATGGTATGCCGTGGATGAGGTGCCGTGTTAGGGCGGGGTGTGGCTGGTGACGAAGTCATGGTGTTCGTGTCTTTGTAGTGGTCGGTGAGGTTCAGAGGGTTCACTGGCCGAAAGGCAGCGGCCATCGCATACAGTGGCGATGGCTGTAGGGATTTGGCAGTCACAGGGCGAGGATGAGGCCACGGGCGTAGACTGGCGATGTTGTTGAAGCGAAAGAGTACGGAAGAGATGCAGCTGCGGTGAGGCTGAGGAGCGGGCGCAGTAGTCGCGGGGCGTACAAAGCAGCGAACGGACGTGATATGCAGCAATGGGAAACGGTGCGAGCTTTAGGCGAACGGTAAGTGCACTCAGACTGAGCCTTCGACAACAGAAGCCCCTGGTGAGCCCGAGACAAGTAATGACTAGGAAGGCTGACGGCGGGTAGTCTGGTGTATGTCGGTGTCTGAGTGGTCGGAGGAGAAGAGCAGCATGCAGACGGGTGGTGCGGGCGAGGCAAGGACGGGGAATATGGCGAGATTTGCGAGCGTCTTTGAAATGGCGCTTACTGTCTTGACGGAGGGACGAAAAGGGAGACAAGAAGAGGGAGAAAAAACCTGCCGGGTGTCGAGGAGGTTGGCTGGGGCCGAGGGCCAACGAGGAACAGATGCTGGTACTTGACCTGAATTTGAGTCAGGGCAGCGACCAGGGGAGGAGGCGGGCAGGATAAGCGGCTGCGGCAGGAGGGGCAATTCAAAGACGAGAGAGAGGTAGCAGGGGTACCGCACGACAAAAGTGCAATACGAGCAAGGGCGGTGTGTGAATAAAACGAGAATAGAAATAGACGACCGGGTTGCAGACAAGGCAGGCCAGGCACGGAGATTTTCAGATGAGTGGAAGAGGCACAAGGCAGGAGACAGACAGGGACAGGAACGGGGATGCAAGATGTAGGAGAAAAGGACTGGTGACGGGCGTGACGAGCGCAGCAGCGTTCAGTTCAATAGTACGGATAGAGGGGGAGCGAGTGGGAGAGAGAGGCAGGGGCTCAGGACTTGAAGTGTGGCGACGAGTGGGCGGGCGGAGACAGGTGATGTCTTTGTGGTTGCTTTTCCCCTCGAACGCACGTCGTGGGTGGTGGAGTCCGGATCCGGGGTGGGACAGGCAAGCGAGCGACACCAACCACCGCCATCATCCATCAGGAGCGGCGGCCCTTCAGCTGGAGCTAGGCGGATCGATGAAGCTACGATGCTTGCGAGCTAATCATGGGCGAGAGTCGGCTAGTGTTCGAAGAGTTATTGAAAATTTAAATACAAATTTATTTTAATTCCTATTTGGTTTGATTGTTGGCTGTTGGCCACTCGGTGCACTCACTGTACTAGTAGCCCGTCCAGGCATAGGTATATCGTATGTAGGTGCTCCCTACCTCTGGCTCACCTTGAACAGCGAGTAGCCAACTTCAAACACCGAATACAATGATTCAGTATGCAGACTACCAGCCAAAAAATCTGTACCACCAACTCACCCACATTCAACCCGGCAACCTGAATGTCTGTCAGGTGGCGTTAACGGGTACAAACACCCACTGCCTACTTTTCCCCGGGCCGTGTGCCAGCCTGCGTTTCGCAGTGTAACTCTATTTCGGCCAGCATAAAGCCCAACCTTCATAAGCCACCATACACGCAGTAGTCATGTCATAGATGTTCGCTGAAGACGGTAAAACTGTAAAACTACCTCAGACGGAAAGTCCTATTGCAACAGATACGTGCTTGCCGCATCTGTCCGTTTATGTTTCTAAACCGGGGACAATGCTTGCTTGGACGATGTCTATAGAATAGTCTGACCATATCTCGGATCTCTCAATAGCTGTTGCTGGCAGCTTCTAAAACCAACTTGACATCGTTGGAGCCCGACCCCTGTTAGTTGCTGCTTGTTGCTACTTGCAGGGGGTCAGCGAGGCAAGCAGACGAGGGGTCGAGGGGGCGCGGCCGAGTTGATGGGTGGTGGTCCAAGAGCCGCCACCTGCACACACCACCTCACCCTCATGCTACTGGGTGCAAGGGTGATCGCAAAGCCCCGACCCAGCCACTAGTCGGCGCCTTCAGACGACTATGCAGTCGTGCTCCTGCCCTAGCGTTGGAGCTCTCGTCGTCGTCAGCCAGGTTTGTTGGTGGTGCCTGAGGCTAAAGGCTAGCCTGTCACCGGTTGTTAGTCGTGAACAGCGCACTCACACTTACAACAAGGTTCGGACGGTGGGAAGAGACTATCGCAGCGTCTGCTACTGAGGGCTGGGTGGTTTTTGTATCCAGAGCGAAGGATAATGCGTGTGGCGAGAGTTTTTGCTGGTTATACGTCTATGCCTACACAGCCCGACTCAGCCATCAAAGGCCGAAACGACGATGAGTCGTACGTAACCCGTAGACGACGCCTAGTACCAGGTAGAACCTAGTCCACACATGCTGTCCGATACACCCAAGGTTTCTTTCCGTCGCTGCCGAACGCAAAAGTAGCGCAGGTAGTAGATTAAGTTGGTTGGGTGGCTTCAGCAGCAGACCAAAGAAATGCATCCGTCCAATACAGCAACGAACGTACTGGTTCTGGTACAAAAAAGTAAAGAAGAGGGGCCCAAGGTCCCGACAAGCAAGGTACAGGTCATCTGCACCAGTTTAGCGTAGACCGGCCAGGTACATGACGCCCAGGCTGGTGGGGGAGGGGTCGAGGGAAAATCTTGGACCCAAGCACCTGCCTGCCCTGGGCTGCACTGCGCTGCACGGTGCCGATGGTGCCTCGCTGGCCATCCTGCAGCGTCGCAAGGTGCCTGTCGTGTCGCCGCCTGAAGGCGTCAGACTGCCTACATGTGGTGAGTGAGCTTGCCAGTCAGCTTGACAGCCATGCCACCCACCTCGCCGCCACCACCAGGAACTGCAGAGCACAGGCAAAAAAGAAAAGCCCAGGCGACATGGCTGCTTCCTCTGTTCAGGTGCCCCGCCTTGTCCTCTCTTCCTCCCTCACCAAGTCGCCACTGCCGCCATATTCTCCCCACTCGCCCACCACCCTCCACCTACCATCCACCATCCACACATCCACCATGGCCACCACGGCCACCACCATCACGCCCAAGCATCGCCGCCAACCTGCTCCGCCTGCCATCTTTCCGGCCTGTCACTGGCCCGACCCCGATACACCACTCTGGGTCGGTCTGTATCCGTCTCCCAAATCACCCAATAGTATCATCCGGAGTTGATCAGCTCTTACATGGCGCCCTCTGATTCTCACACCTCCTTGTCGCCGCATCATCTTTGATTCCATGCTCTTGGATTCATGCGCCTGCCAATCCCAGGTTTATTCCCGCCGAGTGTCCTCCGCAAATACCAACAGTTGGCAGCAGCTGCGATGGACTCGGCCTGGGTAACAAGCCATGCGCATTTTTCTCTTCTGCGCTACCTCTGCAGGATGCAGTATACTCGTTGTTTGCGGAAACTCCAGCAAGTAGCCCTTTTTTGGTGCACACCTCCGCCATCAACGTCACCATCGCGCCGACACGCAACAGACAACGACTCTCAGCCTCATTCGCAGCGCACCCTACTTTTCGCGGGAGGGCATAACATGATTTCCCTTAGCCCTATTTCGAGCTGACTGCCACAAACTCTCCCTCATGACTAGTGTGTCCTTCGCCGTGCCCTCCACCTCCGTTTGCGGAATGGCCAGCGTCTCGCGCCTGAATGCGGCCTTGTTTAGAAGAAACCTACGCCGTTTCCATTGACTGCGTGTCGTTGACAGAGCATGTTTTCAACCCTCAGCTCTGCGCTGTCGGATCGCCTTCAGTAGGTAAAAGGCAGGCCAGCCAACTCAACCACCCAGGTATACAGATGGAGTACACTCATTACAAGGCCATCTAGCAGCCGCATATTTGTGTTCAGTGCAGCTGTTACTCCTTTCAACAGTCACTAAGCAGATTCCGCTTCAACCTGCTCACAAATGCACAAATTTTCTCGCAAACTTACACCTTGCGAATTTGACACTCGCTGTAGCGAGATGGGTAGAGCAGCTCTCTTGTATAGTAAATAGTAACGCACAGCTACCTAACAAACAGTTCGGGTAAAAAGGGCTACAACCTAATGCCTGGATGAAATAGTGCGCGCAATACTCCGTTCCTGACATTTCGGATAGATCGTCATCGCTCACCTTGATCCGTAGACACCGTACATTCCAGTCCGGGGAAGCTTGCCGCGCGCTCATCCAATCGTGGCGCTCGGAGAATCAAGTCAAACGCTCCCGTTTTGGTCGAGCAAGGTCCCGCTGCGGAAAGAGGCCTGACCTGCAGCATGATTGTCACCACGGTGTAGGGGGACAATATCGGCCATGTGCTTGCAAGATGTCGCCTGCATGCATGTTCTAGCTGCGGTTAAACCATTTCAATAAGCTATCATGGGCTACTAGCTGAACAATTTTGCTTTTTTGACTCTTCAGGCGCTATTAATAAAAGCGCTGAGCTTGGTGATTTGCTTGGGCCTTGTTTCCTTTGCTTTTTGAGCTACTGCCACCATCGCATCCGAGTTGTCATCGCATTATGTTATCACTGTGTAGTTATAGCATTGCTACGACTATCCGACAAGGTAGCTAGTCAGCAGATGAGCAGGCAGGTTCTAAACAACTTGTATAGCCTGTCCTTCAGGTAGTATGAAGCAACTAGTAGCTTTTGCCTTGTTGTGCTGTGTTCACCCCCGCAAACTACCTATTTAAGCCCAACCAGCAATGCTCGGCAGCTCTTGTTTACCTTTTCAAGTTTTGTTTGGCTACTTTGCTTTTCGCCTCTGTTGATACTTATATCCCACCACATTGGACGAGATAACACACTGTGCTTTGTTTTCCGTGGCGCATGCATGCAGGTATGCATGTAGGTCACGCTTCACTCTGCAGCTAAGCACCATCGGCAGGGCATGAATCCCCCACTGCCATCAGGCCAACCATGCCATGCCACGCTGCTGGTGCTGTTTCACACGTCTTCTACGGATCACACACATTTTCACCTTGTGCCCTCTGGTGGGTGCCCTGGTTGGGAGGATGGCATTCTCTGTTGTGCAATACCAGCAGCAAGCTGAGCGCAGGGATGCAGCCGGATCAGCCTGCTCCTGCAGGCTCTGCTGGAGGAAAAATGCACGTCTACAGAAATGCCCCGAGCGATGCCCGCCTCCTTCGTGAGGACAACAAACCGGGCCAGAGGTGGTGCTGTCTCAGGCCCCGGGCCCATAGTTACGCCTGTTCGTTTACACGACGGAGTCTGCATGGCCGCCCCGGGTGGCTGCGACGTTGTCGAGTATTGGTGAGATGGTGTTGCGCTAGAAGCAAAGGCCCCCGCAGTCACTCGTCGCGATATCCTTGTTCTCTCGTGGCTGTAGCTTGATAATACCGCTAACGAAAATATGTTGTATTCAGAAAGAGAAACAGTCGCAACTCCAGGGGAAAGAGCATGAGCCTGGAAAATGCAACCTGTGTCTCTTCGCCCAGCCTTCTGTCCCCGCCAAAAGGGGTCAGAGCACACAGCACCCAGCCATCTTCCAGCCTGGCGCCTTTTGCGACCCAAGGGGCCTTTTGCTAGCTATAAGTTACAGTACGAAATACGTCAGTAATGCGAGTTGACCGCCAATTTACGAATGAGAGTTTCCGCTGCTGCCCCCAAAAATCCCGGGGCTAGGAATGGGCCATAGTATGCATCAATGTGCCTTGTTCATGCAGGGTTCTCGACCATCCTGGAGTGGTGGTGATCCTTGTTGTAGTGTCCCAGTGATGAATGGGAAAGCAATAGGAAAAGAAATGGTGTCCTGCCACGTTGATTTGCGCCAAAGGCCATTATCAACACTTGCCTGCGTATGATGCTCGTTCCTGAGGCAAGGGTCCACGTTATTACTCCTGTGTAAAAGAACATGCACATTGCCATCAGCAGCAGGTAAATAACTCCGGGGCTCCGACCAAAGCTAACACTTCTTCAAGCCTAGTAAGCTTACATCGTACAAATCGTTCATGTCAGCTCTGGCATGAGTAACCGTGTACAAGATATCACGAGGATGTCCTTGCTGAGCCTCTTGTTCGGATAACACGCCACTCTAGTCCCTGTCGAGTAACACTTGTAGGACTTCGCATATCTGTTGGGACTCCTCACTTTCTGCTGTGTAATTTTAGTCCGTTTAAGAAAGTACCGATGACACATGGGTAACACCAATGCAGGGCTCACAGTCTTACTAGTATTTCTCGAACGGGCAAGTATAAATTTGGTAGATTAACCTCCATCACCAACGCCAAGCTATTACTAAACAAAACAAGAACTCGCATCACCATACACAACACGAGCTTCGCCTGTTCATTCTACATTTCCCGTGCAAAAATACAGCATGAATAGCTCATCTAGACATCCAGCATGCTGCGTATTTGCTGCGGTGGAGCGGAAACGGAGTTCATCGTCGACGTGCTGTTTTCTCTCTGCGCAGACTCTGGCCGCTCCGACGAATGGCGTCCTCTGTTCGGGTCTGTGTATGCAGGCGGCGGGCCTTCCTCGAAGAGCGCGGCCTCCCGGCGAGCTCGCGCGGTATCGACCTCACTGTTGGGGAACAAAACTCCAGCAGCGGACTGCATGACTCGTTCATTGTGTCTGCGCTGCGACTTGCCCTCACATCGAGGCAGAGGTGTGGTATCCGAGTTAGATTGGTTGTTCATGATATTTCGTACTCCAGCCCTGTCTTCTCGAGGGTTCTGGGATTGTCGTCGTGGCATGCTAGGGAGCTCGATGCCATCGTCAACGGCCATGCGAAGCGCTTCTTGTCGGATATGCCGTTCCATCTCATCTTCTTCTCTACGGCCAATGCCGCGTTCACCCCCAACTTCCTTAACATTGCGCAGAATACGCTCTCGGAACGACAATTCCTCGTGCTCGCCCCTCACACGACGCCACCACGCGGGCTTCTTCACAAGACCCAGTTCGCGGTCAATGACTTCGCCTCGCTCACGACGTTGGCGAATCAAGTCCTTGTCTTCATTCGGGTTGATCCATCCGTAGATGATCTGAATAAGCATGATGGCCAGCGATGGTCCAAATCCCCAGCCAAACTGAACCGGAACGACACCATGGAATCTCAGCAAGGATAACTCCCAATTGAATGACATAAAAATCTGGTAGGTGATCAGGGCTCCGAGCAGAGGAATGGTGCACATGAATCGAAGCGGCACAGACTGAATGAGCCCAAGAGATTTATTGAAAAGCCCGCGGTTTCTCGGCTTGTAATGAAGAATTGAGTGTCGAAGAGAGAAAAGAATCGTCAGCCAAGAGATTACGAGGCAGAAAGCCCCAGCCTTGAAGCGTGCACTGAGCGCCGATGGAATAGCAATGGCGGCGGTCTGGTCTGGCGACCGCTGCTTTTCGACAAATGACCAGTTTCTGGGTACCACAAGGAAGAAGTTGAGCCAGGTCCAAAAATAGAACCAGATGGGCAGCCAGAATTCGACTTTCGATCGCCTATCGTCCTCGCGAAGAACGAATGGGTTAGGGTCAACGAACTGCCGTTCTTGCCAGCTACCCCAGTGTCTGACTGACTCCCATACCAGCGCCGTGGTGCCCTGGCATAGTAGAAACCAGAAGAAGCACATGATAACGATAGGAAGTTCCTGGACGTGGTATCGGTCGACATCGACATTTATGAAGAGGCTGATTAGAGCGCACGCGCATACAAAGCAGGCCCAATACCACTGCCATCGCCGCCCGATCGGGAAGAATCGCTTCGTTTTCGGGAGGTATTGCTTTCCATGCTTGGTCAAGGCGGTAATCGTCAACACGAGTGTGATCCCATAGGCCACGGCGAAAGCAATGCCAACATAGCCACGGGTAGAGATGCTGTCGACAGCATGGTAGCAAGATGTCGCATTGAGAAACGTGCCGTTGGGAAAGAGCTCAACAGGTTGGTAGGGTTTGTACGTCAGGACGCAATTCGAGCCATTAGACATTGTGCCATTGCTGTAGTATGAATAGTTGAAATGTTTCAATGTCGACAATGGAAAAAGCACGCCGCCGAGAATTGTCTCATTCTTTCCGTTCCCAGCGTCAGGCCAGTCCAGTTGATCCCTGGCGATGAGCCTGTGTATTCCGGGCATCGTGCTGCGACGCGGGTGCTTGGAGGAATATCCCAACTTTGTCGCTCCGAGTTGTGATGTTGTCTGGGTGGTGCTCAGTCGCGGCGGCAGCAGTTGCAACAATCGCGCATGAATCGCAAGATCAACCATGTAAATTCCAGACTGTGCTACACAGGCCGAAGTGCTGAGGACGAGAGAGACGAGCGAAAACTCCAGGCGGGAAATTTCATTGCTGACGCGGAACTCGCGGAGAGAGGCTGGATGATCGGGGACCGGAGGTACCGTCTCAGCTATTACAGTGGATTCAAGTGGTGGTAAATGGCTCGCCCGGGCCACTGACGGTGCCCGAATGACCTCACGCCTAGCACTCTTTGCAGCGTTTTCGGGCGTCCTGCTCGTCGCTGCTAGGCGGTAAAAGGTTAGCCACTCGACAGACAGTTTGTGGTGGGGCGAAAAACATCCATCAGAACCTCAACTTGGCCATCCATCAGAGGGTGGCATCTTCGGGCTTCTCGCGTTTTGGATGGCTTTTTCTGAGCCACCACGCCAGTCGGTTACTCGCATAATTACCATCCGACCTTTCCACGGCAAAGCTCCGGCTTCGCAGCCTTGTTACTGATTGCCCTCTGCCCGCTCGATCGTCAATTGCTCGGTGTCGAAATGGCAGCTTCAACGGCTCCGCGCGCAGCCAGCCCTCAAGAAGAGAACGAACCATCGTACATCGATTACGAGACATTCCTTTCGCCCGATTTCTCCCCTACCTCGTTTGCGAATTCCTTGGTTCTCGCCACGAATAATCCGCAGGACTCGCCTTTGGACCTCTCCACGCCTCTGTCCCGCGTTCTCTTTGACGCGCAAGAGATTGATTCACACATCGACCTCCTCACAACGCGATCGGCCGTTTCCCTCTTCAACCATACCGACTCGCAAACAAAATCAAGCCGAAGAATAGTCAGCGAGCTTGATTCTCAAATAACAAGCCTCAATAATAGCTACAAGCAGCTTGAGAAGGAGGTCATCGACAAGCATGCGGAAGCAGAAGAGGTCCGTCAAGTTGCATTACGCCTGTGGGAGACACTCGCCCTCAGCCAATCTGTCGCCAGGTGTCTCCAGCTAGGCAAGACACTGGAAATACAAACAGCAGAGCTTGGAAGCTCTGACTTCGAGGAGGATCACAGCGCACTGGTACGCTGCTCTTATACACTGCTATCTCTCCGCGAGATTATGGATAGCAATGCGCCAGGGGAGGAAGGTCATGGCCTTCAGAAAGTCGATGCAATTCGCGGCCTACAGGATTCTGTCATAGTTCCCACCGAAAGATCCGTCCGGGAAACAGCTGAACGCTACGTCCGCGAATTTCAAGTGCCTGCAAACATGACCTTTGCCCAAGGCGAGCAAGCCAGGGCAAGGCTCACATCCGCTCTCACGGGGCTATATCTGTTATCGCCTACTGCGGGTATCAAAGCCGAGAAATGGTCTCCTCGGCTACTAATTCAAGCCCTCGATACGTATATCAGGTCGTCGTTACAGTCAAGCATTTCTACGCTGGCCCGCTCGCTTGGCCAGCTTCCCAGCCTTGACAAGGCCCTTGCCGAAGTCACAACCAAGTGTCAGACGATTGTAGCATTGGAGCTTATCCTAGACGGGATAAAGCCACCGGAACACCCATTGCTGACCGTCTCGCACCATTCACATCTGCCAAATTTCCTCCAACCACTGTTAAGCCAACTGGAGACAGGCTCGCTGGCGTCATACTTTTGGCGAACCATGGCAGGTAGCCTTTCTACACGCGTGCAAGAAATCATAAACCGCGGGGGCGTTGTTGCAAGGACGCTCAAGGCGAACAAGAATAACGTCGGCGACGCAGTCAGACAGGCCGTTGGTAGGGGCTCTCGAATTCCCGGATCGTTTGTTGGACCTAAAACCAAGGCCAAAACGGACACGAATTGGGACAGAGAAATCGCCGTCATGGTTGGTAGTGTACTTAACAACCTCGGCAGGTGACGATGCCAAAATGAATCAAACACAACGCATTGATAACAGTTTCTTGGATGCTCTTGGACGTACGGATACACTTTAGATACCGCTTGTCGTTGCCACCTGCTTAGACAATGTTATCAGCGGCCATGGTGGAGCATTCAGGAGATGCCAACCCTTTCCACTACACCCCCGCACTGTTGTGATACAGCCAACCCCTCCAACCTACCTGGTAACCAGAGCATTGCTGCACTCAAGTCTACCTATTACTATCAATATTCAAGAACATCTTCTTTTATTCTTCATTACAATCACAATAATCATGCCTCCGCACGATGGACTGGTCCACCTCAAGGAATACGACATCAAAGACAGCAATGTTGAGTTGATTGGAACCGACATTGACCACCAGGTCAAGTACAAGTCCGCAGCCGAGGAGCCCGCATGGCAAGTCGTCGGAAAGCAGCCAGGTCTGTTGATCTGGCGCATCGAGAATTTCCAGGTCGTCCCTTGGCCAGAAGAGAAATACGGTCAGTTTTACGACGGCGACAGCTTCATCGTCCTCCACTCCTTTAAGGTTGGCAGCAAGGATGGTTCCGAGAAGCTTGCCCATGAAATCTACTTCTGGCTCGGCAGCCACACGTCCCAGGACGAGGCTGGCACCGCCGCTTACAAGACTGTTGAGCTGGACGATTTTCTTCACGGCGCCGCGTCCCAGCACCGAGAAGTACAGTCTGCTCCATCTGATGAATTCTTGGCCCTGTTCTCCAAAATCTCCATCCGCTCCGGCGGCGTCCGTTCGGGCTTTAGACACGTCGAAGAGGCGCCCAAAGAAGAGGTCACGACGCTCCTGCGAGTTTTCACCAACCCCGGATCCAAGACGTCTAACGGAGTCGTTGTTCACGAGGTCGAGCCCACCTACCGCAGCCTCGATGACGGTGACGTTTTCATCCTTGACAAGGGTGACAAGATCTGGGTTTGGCAGGGCAAGAGCTGCAGTCCGATGGAAAAGGCCAAGGCCGCCCAGGTTGTGCATGACATGACTCTGGCAAAGCACATTGATGTCGAGGTTGTTGCTCAAACCGAGTCGCGCTCGCGTCGTGTAATTGACCTTCTTGGCGGTGACACCTCCACGCAGTCCGATGGCTTCAAGCAGGGTCGCCCAATTGCCTCTGGGAACAAGGCGTCCGTTGCTTCCGGCCGATCGAAGAAACTTTTCAGGCTCAGCGACGCTTCTGGACAGCTTTCCTTCAGTCTAGTCAAGGACGGGGATGTCAGTGCGAAAGACCTGGACAGCAATGACGTCTTCCTCCTCGACAGTGGGAAGGCCGTCTGGGTGTGGGAGGGCCAAGGTGCCAGCCGCGCGGAGAAAGCCCAGTGGTTGCGAGTTGCTCAGGCGTACATTCGCCAACTGGCCCAGTCTTCCACGGATAGCCATCTTATTCCGCTGGCAAAAGTCAACCAAGGCAACGAAACAAAGGCTTTTCAGCAAGCCATCGCTGTGTAGAATCCGTGCCTGAGAGGAAGCATCCTATTTGGCGAGCAAGCTGGAGCTCAAGAGTCATAGAAATCGCATTGAATATACAAACACTCTCCTGTTTCATCGTCTTGTTAAATAGGGACTAAGCTATCGGGGGATTTCAGGGTTCTGGAGAAGCCCTGTCGCTGCCCGCAGGTACATCAACTATTGCTGTCTTTGTCCATATATGCTTCGCGCCGTTGACATCGAGTCCCTCCACCGCGCCGCCTTTGATTGAAACTGTGGGTTTCAGCGAGCCACCTGGCAGAGCTACGACGTGCGCAATTCGAGCTCCGCAAGTATCGCAAAAGTAGCACTGCATCGTGCCTCCGGTTTTGGACGGCCGGGGCCACATTTTGAGCCGTGTCATTGTCTCCGGCGGCGGCGGCCAGGTCCCCTCAGTCGGAAATATTGCCGATATTCCAAACGCAGATGACGATTGCTTGCGACACTCCAAGCAGTGACAGAAGTACACCTCCAGAGGCTTAGGTTGCGACGCTTGGAAGTCTATGGTGCCACATTGGCAGATAATGCGCATGTTTTCGGGGCCCGTTGTATTCATCTTCGCATTTAATTTCACGGAATGGCAAAATAGTGGTTGTTAATGTAGAAGGGAAAGAAACCTGAAGGCCAGCTGAAAAGCACAATACACCACTGCTGTGGCGCTGAACACCGTGAATAGCCCACGCGATCTAAAACTTAGTATGTACCCAGGCTCAACTTGACCAAGTTTGGGACGATCAAGTGCACGGCGACGAGATCTAGTTTTTATAACAGATGTGCTTTGTTGTGTAGGTCGTTTGAAATTCTCATAGAAAATGTATTATGAATTCGTCCCAATACCTTCAGCTTGCCTGCAGCAGTAGATTCTTCTCCGTAAGTCAGATACGACCATAACCGAACGGGAACTGTGCTGACCCGGCATGCCGACTCTGTGGAACCGTTACAACTGACGTACGCCAGCACATGCAGGTCTTTGAGCATCGTATCGCAAGCACCGCACCTCCTTCCGCTGTTTCGCAGCTTCGGATACCCCAACAATCGGAGAAAAATAGAAGACAGGCGTTATGGAGCCTTTAATATCTTCCAGACCGATCACATATGTGCGCAAAGCCGGCAGAGCCGCATCGTACCCGCTACGTGGCATCTGGCATTTCAGCCGAACAAGGGAATTCTGGCCGCTGTTCCTCGGACGCCTGCTGCCTCTTTCGCTGATCTCGTTTGTCGTCTATTTCATTCTATTTGCTTTCGCGTTTCTGCCACAATTTGCCTTTCTGGCAATTTTTCATGGCTGGGGCGCATGGGTGAACGCTGTTTTTCTCGTACTGGGTGAAGGGCTCGTCATTATCCAGGGGCTCTTTGAGGGCTTCTTTGTTGACGAATGTCGAGTTGACGTCTTCGATGTATGTGATACTGGTATTTTCAAGGAATCTTTACTGACGTCATCAGGCTACTTTGATTCAGAATTCCCTTCAGGACTTGGTGGCTCCCCATCGTGTCCTGTACCCCGATGCCCAGAATGCCGTCAGAATGCTCGGCAAGCCTACCAGCCCCGCCATCTACACACCATGGAGCATCATTCAGATCGTTGAGCTTATAGTGTTTCTGCCCCTGAATTTGATTCCTTACGTGGGCACTCCGGCTTTCATCATGATCACTGGCGCGCGACTGGGAAAGTTGGCACACTATCGCTGGTTCCAGCTCCGAGGCCTGTCCAAGGCGGAGCAGAAGAAAGAACTGAAACGCCTCAGCTGGGAAAACCTATGGTTTGGCTCCGTGGCCATGATTCTGGAGCTCATCCCCATTCTTTCCTTCTTCTTTCTCCTGACGTCCTCTACCGGAGCTGCGCTGTGGACTGCGCGAATGGAGCACGAGGCCCGACAGCGCGATCTAGAGGCGGCTGCAGACCCAACTAGGCCTCCCCCATACACGGATTAGGATGCTCAATTCTAAATCAACTAATTAATCACTTTCATGCAAATCAGGTCGCTCCATTAGGAATAGATCAGAGCAATGCGAAAGTCATCACGTCAAACATTAACCCTGCATTTATAAAGCAGGACTGCGAGGTTTTCAGCGCTGTGGAACGGCACATCTCAGCTCTTCTTGCCTTGGTAGTTTAGCAAACGACATGATCTTGTCTACCTATTGCCGGATCCCATGGCTGAGAATGGGAATATGTGGGTGCCAAGGTGGCCGTCCGTCTCGAACTACGACCCCTTCCCCCAACCGAGGTGCACAAATCGGTCTGCGAGCATTAGGTGTCTTTTTTGTTAGATCAGCCATGATTTCCTTCTTCCTACTTAGTCATGTTAAATATTCAGAGTACAGGTTGAAAATTTTCCTCGTATGCTTCATACTACATTGATCCCACGGTCTCCGGGCACGCAATATCTCCAAACGGCCGCCATCCCAGCCCGTTTGCTGCCAGCTGCTGCCAGCTGGCAGGCAGAATATCTCGGCAGTGCTTGCCGTCTTCTTTCTTTCACCTGATAGGTCTGCGAAGAAACTTTTTCTACTCTTCGACATCCATCCTCTTCTTTCATTCCAGCTTTGTCCTTCTTTCATCACCATAAGCATCACCGTTCGTTCTTTACTACACCCGTTGAGCTTCCATTTTGGGAGCCACTCCCTCCAGTTCCTGTACGTTTGTGTGCCTCTCTACCCAATCTCCCTCTAACAGCTCACCACAGCAATACCACATCTCGTCTTACTCTCCTCGGTCTCGACAGCACCAATTTGGCTATCGTCAATGATTTCTCCCGCCATCAAGGGCCCCTTGATGGGCTGCTGGCTGCTGGCCAGTTTGGCTTTCGGCTTGCCTGATTATTCGTAAGTGTGTCTTGTTTATAAAGAAATTCCAACTCTAACGAACTCTGGCAGGGACAATTACTCCAGTTCTTCCGTCAACGCCCAACCCGGTACGCCCTCCAGCTCCGTGGCAGATGTCTGCAAGGCCGAGTCGACCAAAACTGTTTTCATCACCCTGAGTTCGGTCAGCAAGCAATCAACCGCATCGTTTCCTGACGTAGCCAGCGTCGGAACAACTACCATTATTGTGTCTCCTGTTCAATCACACGCCAAGACTGATGCTACCGTTGATGCCATGACAACTGACTCTGCTCCGGCCTATGCCTCCACGTCGGACGCCTCAAACGATTCGAAGACTGGTAATCCTATGTCTGAGGTCTCGTCGACGGTTGAGGAGACTTCCACGGTTTCCCGTACAATCAAAGCTACCCACACTATTACTCTCACTGTTGCATCTGCCAGCAAAGGCCCTGTTTCCACTGAAAGCGGAGCTGAATCAGACGTCAAAGGCACCGGGGTCACTTCGTCTGTAACCGGTTTGCCCTCAAATGTTGCAACTTGTATCACGCATACTGTTGTTGGCCCAGATGGGCGGCCTACCGTTGTTGAGTCAATTATCATCACAGAGCCAGCCGGGACGTCTGCATCTAGAGTTCTGGGAACTGCAGCTCCAGCCAATTCAGCATCGGCCACTGCACCTGGCATCCCTGTCTCCTCTGGCGGAACCAGCATAACTTCAGGTCTGCCCATTCACACCAGTTTCACTGCTATTGGTCCTGATGGCTCCTCAACCATCATTGACACGACCTGGATCATTCCCGTTCCTCAAACTTCAGCCATGTCTGGCCTTAACCCTCTTCCCTCGGGAGTCATCTCTTCGGGGAGAATTTTCTCCGGCCTTCCTTCAAATCCTGTCTCCGAGGCTACCACTGAGAGCCCTATGACTTCTGTCATGGGCAGTTCAACCTGTACTACCCTCACGGTCGTGGGCCCGGACATGCGTCCAACTGTCACGGAGCTGACAATTATCGCCCCAACGGGTGCTCCTTCTACCACCCTCTTCACTGTGGCGCCTCCTTCCTTTGTGCCACCAGCTTCAATCACAAACCTTGCCAGTCAGCCACCTACTACGAGCAACAGCGTGGTGACTACTATTACGTGGACGGTCATCGGTGCCGATGGCACTGCTTCGCCCATCATTCAGACTATCACTGCTCCTTCAGGTTCGATCATTTCTGGGATTCCCACCTCACTTCCCGCAGCTGTAACTGCCAACCTGCCTCAACCTGCTGGAACATGGTCTTCGGGCAATGCGCCGATGCTCACACCCTACAGCACTGCTAGCTCAACTGGCAATATCCTACCAAGCGCTGGTTCTATTGTTTCCGGTCTGGGTCAAATACCTACTTTTGTCCCCGCCCCTTTTGAGTCAGGGATGTCTTCTGTTATCACAGAGGAGCCACCAGCATACACACTTGACACTGGTTTGCCTCCTTCTTCCCATCAAAACACTGTTGGTGCTTCTCCAATTCAGTATGGGGGAAGCTCATCGGACAAGAATTGGATTTCATCTATCCTCTATGGCACTTTTCCAGCTCCCACACCTGCGTTCCCCCCATTCTCCGAAACTCCAACTCCTGGAGCTCCGTTGCCCGGAACACCTGAGCCTGTTCCAGAGCCTACACCTGCACCTGCGCCTGCACCTGCGCCTGAGCCTGAGCCGGTGCCTACACCGGAGCCTGCACCAGAGCCATTACCAGCTCCCATCGCACCAGCCACTCCAGAGGCAGTGACAACGCTTGTGACAAGTACCTGGACCAACATTATTCCTGAGTCGACCACAACCTATGTCATCAAGTTTCCATTGACTACAATGGCTACTGTCACGGTTCCGCGTAGACCAGCGCTTCGGAAAAGACTTGTGAGAAGACAAAGGCGAGTTATACTAACACCATCCGCGTTTTGCCTTCCAGAGGATTTTTGCTAACACACCTTAGTTCTGTTGAGACTCTGTTTCCCTTCTCCAACTCAAGCACCACCACCCCATCCCCGTTTACGGAAAATACGTCCTTGATCTCAAGTGTTTCGTCACAGTTGGTGACTCCAATTACAACTCCACTGCCACCAACAAACACTATTCCTACAAGCGCTATTTCAACAAGCACAATTCCCGTTACTCCAATCAACACCCCGGTAGCTACTCCTGTGGAACCATCTCCAGCCGTTTGTACTTCCGGAGGAGATAAAGTCGGTAACTCAACAGTGACTGTGAGTAGCATCAGCCCGTTTTGAGAAAAAAATACTAAGTGGTATAGTTCGATAAACTGTTTCCTGGCCCTCTCTTGAATCCCGCTGGCGATTTATGGTTCTCGGAGGGCTTCCTCGTTGCACCTCCCTCTTCGCTACCATCAAACGCCTATTTTTCCTCATCAGGTCAGCAACTCGTGGAATTTTTGCCACCAGCTTTGGTTCCAGATGCTCCGTTTGATGGAGCAGGTGATACAGCCGAAATCAGCATCGGCCCCAATGAAATATTGCCTTGCTACCGCTTCAACTTCTACGGGGCTAGCCTTGGCTGTGCCGCCGAGGGGGTAGAGCAATGGTGCGAGTTCGAAATCTCAGCTTACACATACAATGAGACTTTGGGCTCCGAGGCATCGCTTTCCTGGTCTGAGACAAAGCGTGTCCCTGCTTGTCCTAATTTTCCCCAAGGCCCATGTCCCCTTATCCCTGTTCAGCTCGATGGCTACAACAACCTCACATCCATTCTGATCACAGTTCGAGTTGGCCTTGAGCTGCGGACTTGGTGGGGAGATGACTTCCAGATTGGCTGGACAGACAACAATTGTGACGCTGCGACCTGCCGTCTGGGTGCAGTTTCTCGCCGTGCCAAACGGGAGGCTTTCAGCCGAGCGTCGCGCAGAGGTGTCTGGCAGTGGACTCCAGGTGGCGCCAAGAAGCTTGACGACGACTACGTTTGGTCCTCTTTCGAAAAATAAAAGCCCTCCGTGGGATATCTACAATTCATGTCGACGAGTTGCTAGAAGATGATATTGCTGTTATTTTGCCTTGATTTCTTGGAGGGGTGGTACTGCACCTAATTCTGAACGGTGTCTTTGGTACGGATTGAAAGAAACATCTCATTCTTGTACCCTCTCAGGACATGTATCTCTGGCCTGGCAAGCTTCTCCTAATTTACAATGCCTCTATATTAGTTACATAAATTATCCCATGTCACTTTGTGCTAATGCAAGTCTTTTATGGGAAACAGACACCCAAATATGAAACTGTGTCGGCGAGAACTCCAACCAGCAATACAAACTTAACCCTCGGCCTTCATATGCAAAACGTCCACGTTTCACCAACATTACGCACCAACTGTATCTATATCGTGCTGGTCCAGCCAAGACCTTTAGCTCGCATCCTCGCCATTTTTGCCGCAATTAAGAAGCCGCTTCCGACAGCAATAGAACTCCCAGCAAACGCCTTGGCTCCAGTATACCCAGCAGGGCTTGCAATAATGGCTCCCGCTATGGGCGGCCCCGTGAGCACAGCGAAGCTAACTATGGTAAAGATCATGCCCATGCGAACGCCGAGCTTCCGCAGGTCCGTCGTGAGGAAAGACAAGGCGGCGGGGAATAGACTTTGGATGCCGGCTCCGACCATACCATAGATGACGACCCAGGCATATAGTCCCGCGGGACTGTCGATAGCAATGAAGCAAAATACGAGCAAAGAGGCGATGATGGACGTGGGGATGAAGACGTTGACCGCGCCGATGCGATCGGCGATGAAGTTGGGGACGATACGGCCGACGACGCCGACACCGTTGAGAATGAGCAACAGGTTGAGCGAGTCTGGGTACGAGAGCGGGGGGTTGAGTGCATCGCGCGAGTAGGCAGAGACGTAGAAGAAGGCAAAATAGACGCCCCAAAAGTTCTTTCTCCTCAGTTAGCTGCAGGGTCCGCCAAGAAAGGCGTGTAAACCGGGTTAGCGTTGTCGCCTCGCAGGGAGGAACTCACGAAGAAGGCGGCGGCGGCGTAGAATGCATACTCGGGCTCGGCAAAGGCGCGCCACTCGACCAGCGGCCCGGCCGCACGGGGCCGTATCCTGGTGCGGACGCCGAGGTTCGCGGCGGCGACGACGGCGACCGGGACGAAGGCGACGGCGCGGACGGTCCAGGGGAAGCCGACTCGCGGCAGCAGCTGCCTCACCATGGCGGGGAAGACGAGGCCGCCAGTGGCGGAGCCGCAGGCGGCGAGGCCGAGGGCGAGGGCGCGCCGGCGGCGGAAGTAGGTGGACAGCACGGCGAGCATGGGGCAGAAGAGACAGCCGTGTGCGAGGCCGACGCAGACGCCCTGCGCGAGGAGGAGCTGCGCGTAGGTGGTGCACTGGGCGGTGGCGAAGAGGCCGACGGCGAGGAGCGCGGCGCCGGCGAGGAAGACGGCGCGGAAGTGGCCGGCGTCGGTGAGCCGGCCGGTCAGCGTGCCGACGAAGAAGAGCAGGAAGACGTTAAGGGAGCCGATCCAGGAGACCTCGCTGGGGGAGCGGTCGAGGAGCGTTGTGTAGTAGGCCTGGAAGCTGCCGAAGGAGTTGGCCCAGCCCCTGTGGTTATTGGAGTGTGTAAGTTGGTTGTCAGGGAATGCTGCGGGGGGGAGAGGGCGGGAGGTTGGACGTTACCAGGTGGTGAAGATGACCAGATGCGCGATGAGACCTGCAGAGAGGGGAAAATGGACAGAGTTTAGCTTGGGGAGGTTTTGTGGAAGATGGAGGAGGTAGGGGGAGCGTGATGGCTTACACTGCGTCCAGGCGACCACACCGCCGTCCGGCGGCGGACCCGGATCAATACTCGACTTGGATGTGATCCGGCCCAGCACTCTGCCCACTACACCAGTAGTAGGCACATCGCCGCCGTCGTCGTCGTCGTGTTCACTCCCATACTCATCGTCGTCCTCTTGCGCATGCGAACCGACGCGCGAGCACGCCGGCGCAAGCGCCTCTTGCCCCGCGGCCCATCCCTGACAGTTTTTCTCACCGCCCGGGCCGCGACATACCGCGTCCGGACTACTGGGGTCCGTAGACGATTTCGGGGTCGGCACCCCGAGGGCCGTCGTCGCCTTTTCCAGGTCGAGCTGGTCGCTGATTGACGAGGACGCCATTTGCGGACAGGTTCTCTCTCCGATGGGCATGGGGGGGGGGGATAAATTGTTTAATTGAATAAGGTGCGATCTATGTCAGTAGACGCAATTGGGTCTTCCGAGCGGTTTTAGTGTCAGGCCATTTGGTGGGATGCAACAAGCCCTCCGGTTGCGCGGCGGCGAGGGTCCGGCTTTCAGTCCGGTGTGGCTTGGATAACCGGTGGCTTTCGGACGGCGTGAGCTGGCAGCGTGGGGGCTTGTCGACTTGTCGGCCGGTGACGGCGTGTGAGAAATGTATCGGCCGCTTCTCTAAGTAAAGATTGGCGCGCTTCCATGCAGTCAGTATGCCTCAGAATGGCTCATTATGGTGCCAGGCAAAACGAAGGCAGCAGGACTCCGGCCACGCTCGCTCTAGCACGTCGAAAGTCGCTTTTTGGGAACTGGCGGGTCCGGCAATTAGCGCCGGGAAAGGTCACGGAGAAGCATCAAGTTCGTTCTTGGCAGGCAACGGGACACTGCTCAAGAGCTGGCGGGGTTCTGGGAAGATCAGGCTGCGTCTGTCTGTACTGATAGGGTCTGTTTCTGCATCTTTCTTATTTATCACAGCAGTCGATTCACGAAATGACCCCCTTCATGTCCGCTTCTCGCTGTGCGAAGGGCGCGGAGATGCATCTAGCGGAGTCACTAGCGGCACGTCGCGCCACATCCGTTGCGACTTCGGCGACGACTTCACCCCTCGGCGCGGTCTTGGAGAGGCAAGCTATGCCAGTGATATTCAATTTCAACTTTTATTCAAGACAAGGAGATATATTCTCATCAACGGTGCTGTTTTGTGCAACCGCTTCACTATAGTTAGATCATATGCAGATATATGGCAAGAAACGTGAACCCGGAATGCCATAGCAGCACGCAAAACTTTGCCGCTCATCAAACTCCATAACAAAAGCAGCGCACTCGCCCGTGTTCAATCACCGCAGTGAATATGCCAAATACTTATATCGCGACTGACCTGACCAATTGCACTTGACCATTTTTACATGACAACCTAGCGATACGCGTTAGTAGATCGTTCGACGTGCACGGTATTTGGAATCAACTTACGCAATCGCCGTCGTTTTTACCCTGAGGGATGCCCATGTCTTCGAAAGTGGCGGGGCCTTTGCTGGGCTTCGGTGTAGAAGCAGCAGGTTTCTCAGCTTTCGGTGGCGGCGGCCGGGATCCTCCCGGCGGTGCTGTGGCTACTCGACCGTGCGCTGGTACTCCGGGTCCGGGGCTTGGACCACTACTGTGACGCGATGAGTCTGGTGTGCCCAACCCTGTGGATACTCTGGATTGTCTGGGATCTTGAGGTGGTAAAGACCCGTATCTATCTGGTCTCCCAGTGCTACCAACGGCAGCCAGCGGAACTCGTGCTGAGTATGTCTGCTGGCCCATATGTTGTGGCGGAGGAGGTGCGTCATGCTGAGGCCGCGAGCTAGTTCGGGGTGCAAACTCGTATCCCTGCTGCGAGCCAGCAGGGGGGATCCCTCCGTACGACTGACGTGGGGGGTGCTGCAGCTTGTTTGGAGGCGAAGTATCGCTGGGATATGGCTGTGTTGTGGCGGGTCGCTGGTAATTCATTTCACCAGGATGGGTACCAGCGGGTGGTAGTCGATAGCCACCAGGGCCTGGTCCGGGTTGACCACGACCAGCATTGGTTGAACCGCTAGGGTACCGGTTGCCAGCCTGGGGGTTGATGGGCACCTCGCCGCCGCTGATGCTCGACGTGCGGATCCCAAATGCGCTCAATGGGCGGTCTGCTTGAGGACCAAGTCCTTGGGAGGGCTGAATAAAACTTCCGGCGGGCTCATCATCAGGGTATGGTGCACTGAACTTGGGTCGATTCACATTTAGGGGCGCGGGGTGATCATCAACGGGATATGGCGCTGCGGAGTGCGGTCGGTCGGGCTTCGAATCCAAGCGGAGGCTAAAAGCGGGAGCAGTATCGAGACCACCCAGTACAGAAGCTCGAGACGGATCAGGGAAGTCGGCGTGTTCTGAGACGATGGTGGGCTTGGCGCCCGGGGATGGCATAGGGGAGACGCCGTTAGAGCGCTTGCCGCCAGTTTCGGCCTCATTCAGAGTAGGTAAATGTTGTTTTGGGGCTTGAGCAAAACGCTCCGGTCGCTTGCCCCGCATTGAGCCGTGTTGGGACTTGATCCTAGTGAGCGTCGTCGTTTCGTGGTCTTTCTTTGACAGGGTTTTATCCTGTTCGAGAGATTCCAATCGGCCGATAGCATCGGTGTTTCCATGCTCGGCGGCGAGCTCATACCATGTCTTCGCCTCAGAGAGGCTCTTGTTGACGTGAATACCAATCTCATGGTAGTATCCCATTGCAAACTCTCCGGATGGTAGCTTGGCCTCTGCGGCCTCTCGGGCATATTTGTAGGCGAGCTCCTCGTTCTTTTTAAAGATTCCCTCGTAGCCAAAAAGGAACCATCGGCTCGCGCCCAGTGCCGCCTCAGGAAGGTTTTGCTTAGCGGCAAGACCATAGTAATGCAGCGAATATGCAGGCTTGAATTCGCAGCCGAGCTCGCAGAGCTCATATGCTTTACCCATCTTCAGCTGTGCTTGGGAGAATCCCTGGTATGCTGCCTTTTCGACGTACATCCTAGCAGTTTCCATGTTGGGGGGGAGCAAGCCTTCCGGTAGAGTGATATTGGGCAGATCGCGTGCGATAAGCATGCCATACACGTAGGCGCCCTGGGGAAAATCTTCATCTGAGCTTTCAGCGGCGAGACGAATTCGCTCCAGCCCCCCAGCATAGTCCTTCGACTCGCCGTGTTGTCCCATCAGACTCATCATCCCCATTCTGTAGAGAGCAGCCGAGTCCTTAAGGCTCATGCCCTTATAGTAGTGTTCCTTTGCTTTGGAAATTTCGTTGGATTGCTCGTAGAGCATGCCGATGCGATAGTCGGATCTAGTATGTCCGAGGGCGGAGGCGCGGGCGTATCCGTTATATGCTTCCCGCTTGTCAATTCTATTTCCGAATTTTCCAAACTCCAGCCACTTGGAGCGCATATATAATGCATCGGGGTGCTCTTGGTCGGCGAGATAGTTGACGACGTTGATGGCGTCGATACGGAGCTCGTGCTCGGTGCGAGGGGTTGATGGGCGTGGCACTCCAGCATTCTCGCGGGCCGCAGCTTCGACAGAAATTTCGACCCAGTTGAGAACGTCTCTAGCCCAGCTGATTTGCATGGCGACATTCTGCGAGTGGAGGACGTGCTTGCGTGAGTTCCAAAGAATCTCTTCTTTGGCGTCATCTCCAGGCGGGATATTGTCCCCTACCACTTTAGGAAACGGCGAGAAGGACGGGGCGCCTTCCAAGGATATCGAGTCTAGGCGGTCGGAAAGCGAATCGTCTTTTTGGTAGGCGCTAGCATACTGCTTTGCAGAGTCGCTGGTTCTTTTGCTTTGGTCGGAGGTCGCTGCGGAGGCGGCATATAACGGCTGCGAATATGTCGAAGGTTCGCTGGTTTGGTGTGAGGCGCCGTCGCTGTCTCTTCGCGGGGGAACGTCTCCAGCCTCTAGCTCCATTCGCTGTATGTCGTCCTGCATGGCCTGCGGCACCTGGGGAGTGACCCTGTATGAGAGGTGAGAATATTAGCGCAAACTGTTGCATTTGGGTGCAGCCCCTGGCGAGCGTGTCGAGGGGAGCAGGTGGTAGATATACATACCTTTGAGGAGAGGGTGCCACTACTTCTGGCAGGTAATAATCGTCGAAGCCGCCAGGGACAAAGGTGGCACCGAGCTTGGGGGGCATTTCGGCTGCGGGAGCGTTGGTATCGACTGTGTGTTGGAGGAGGGGTGAGCGAGTGAATAAAGGAGGGCAAGCAAAGCAAGCAGGCAGGGTAGAGAACGATGGAAAAAGCAGCAACGCAGGCAAATCCCCTCAGTCAGCGTTTCTATAACAGAATCAGACCGTGGTTCAAGGCTCAGCGGCAGCCTGGTTTCCACTGCGAGCCAAAAGGTACAGAAGCAGCAGCAGCAACTGCAGCAGCAGCAACTGCAGACAGGCGACGAGTATGTTGGAGGCGCTCGTTTCACGCCGTTGGGCAAGAATAGTAGAGGGTGAAGCAAAGCCAGAATTGCGCCGCACTGCAGCCAAAATGCGGGCAGCCAAGCCAAACAAGCTGTGGTGTCGAGCAAGACTGGCTCAAGGGCCAAGATGGTGGTGGGGGTGGGAGTGGGAGCTCACTCAGGTGGGTGAGGTCAAACTTGACGAGGATGTCGTCGTGGGGCTGGGTTCCTAGCTCCACGTGTAGGTGGAGCAGGCAAATGATGGTAATTAGAAGATGTCGTGGTTGAGCAATGAGGGGGTGATGAATCTGAGCATGTCGGACTCTCTAACTTGGGTCGCCTTTGCTGCTTTCCCCTTGTGCCTTTGTCCGTTTCGCCTTGATAGTGGTGGCATGCAGCGAGGTTCTGGAGACCGGCCAGCAGCCCATGAGGGGTCATGCAGCGATGATCATATCATTGCTCCGGTCTGCCTGCGCATGCCATCCATCTATTTTTAGGGGCTGACGGACTGAACCGACTAAGCCGATGTCCCCTGCCTCACTGTGGCATGCGTGCATACTGCTCGGCTTTGCTGGTGCAACCAGAGCAGACCCAACCAGATTCGTCATGATTGTGGCAATGCAAGCAATAATGGTCCATACCCAGTACATAGTAATACCTTGGAATTCCACCTATGTATGTAGCAAAAAGGGGGTTGGGATTCTTCACAGCTCAACTGATCCCTCACTGAGAGATCAGGTTTCTGTATGAACCCTGCCGGGGGTTGCGAAACAGGGACAAAGAATCAAGACAAAATGCAGAAGAAAAGAATGAGGAAATTTTAGGAGCTCACCCTTTAACTCAACTGGCTTGTGAATAGAGCCGACGACATTCTCTGCCATCTTCATGGCGGTCGCGTCCGAACCGCAATAGCACCACGAGGCTGCGCAAGGCTGCTAGCGGGGCGCTGTAGCAAGCACAGAACCACTCTGAAATGATGTTATGTATAGTTATGTAGGTCACTGTGTAAGTAGTGTAATCGTGTGCAAGATGTCGCGAAGCTGCCATGCGGAAAATGCAGATGTTGTCTCGATATGTATTTTCAACTTCAAACATTGTCATTCGGCAGCGAGGTGACGGCCAGGTATTTATCACCTCCTGCGCCAAAGCCAAACCCCCCACCATGCATGCCACCGCCCGTTGGTTCTTCAACGCCTAAGTTCCTATTCGCACGCCAGTTTCACCAAGTCAGCCAAGGGCTATTTTCAGCCCTCGCGGCTACACAGGCACTTGTTGTAACCTGCCTTACCCGACAAGTTCACACCATGATACCCACATGTGCATATGCGGGGACCCGTGATGAGCAGAGATATGAATGTACAGGGCGCATGCTGGGGTTCCACGTCCCGTACTGCTGAGCCCTGTGCCCGCTGTGAATGCTTCCCTCCCAGAGGCATGGACAAAGACAGGCTACTAATACTTCCAGACAGTCCATTTTCCGTTGCGTCCTTTTCTTTTCACTCGCCAAGCATCTTGTATTGCCAGAGCACAACTTGCCCTTGTACACAGGGCGGAGTCAACCCGTTACGCCGTTGTAGTGGCTGTCTTACACTTCATAGGCCATTGCCTCTTCCGTTGGCAAGTTTGTTTTAGTATCGCAGGGCTCTTATTAGCGCGGTTGCTCTCTCGAGGTGGAACAAGAACGCCTCGCCTTACTGTCCAATCCGCCTTATTACAGGGACGTGGCGCCAGGCGAGGGTTACAGCTGTGTGGTTTCCATTCCTCATTTACTCTTTGTGTTTACCCTGTAATACTTCAGAAAGTCCTCCTTGAGCGTTCCGGCTTTCTCATGCTTTGCTAGTCGCAGCCCACTGCGTCTCTCTGCGTTGCCCACGTTTACACTGGAAACATTATTTGAGTCTTGGCTGGCTTCATTAAAATCTTCTGGATTGGAATCTGAATTCGTGTCACCCTCGTTTCCGCTGCATCGAACTACTTAGTATCACGTATTGCGTAGGTCACGGTGCAAGATCGCTGGGTGCATTGATCTAGCTTGGGAGCACTGCGGATGAGAGTCGTCGCAGATATTACAGGTTTAGGTAATTGCTTGGGGGAGGTGGTGTGAGAATTACAGCTAACTTGGGCCTGTAAAGTTTGAAGTGCAAACTCTGTCCAGTTGAGCTCCTTGCACTCGATCTCGGCAATGGCGAGATCTAGCCGGTTTTCCTGGTGGGGTGTCTTCTATGTACTTGCCGTGCGTTGCTGCCCTTGCTATTGATTCTGGTCAACTAGCTAGCGAGGGTTCTGGTGAAAATGGACCTTGGAAAGTCATGATATTGTTTGCATACTAACAAATACTACTCTTAACAAATTACCTACCTTACAAACGGAAATAAGGAGAGCGGAACTGGCGCGCATGGACCTTGCTTAGCTATTCGCTTCTCTCGAGGGTAGGCCACTGCGGCTTACCTAATCCTTGAGACTTAGTAGGCGTTGGCGTCACCCACTGTCAGCCTGGCCTCTGGCCACGACCCAACCTGCCTGCAGGTGCCATTGACTTGCCGCCGCCAACGCAACAATACCGAAAAGCCTCTGAATCCCGCCGACGCTGCATTCCATTCCCTCCCAGTCGAATTCCCTTCTAGAAACACAGAGCAAAAATAAGAGACGCCTTCGAAAAACGCGACGATGGCGGAACGAGCTCTTGGCCAGCTGCTTGGCCAGCTGCTTGGCCAGCTGAAGCACTCGCCGTCCATGAAGTACGACGAGGCCAACAAGCTCCTCTCCAAGGCCAAGCTGGCCCTGCTGCGCCTCAACGCGCTCACCCCGACGCCAGGCGCCTCGCCGGAGCTCCTCGCTGCCGCCCGCGAGACGTATGAGCAGGGCGCGCTCTTCGCCATCCGCGCCCGTAACCCGGACGCCTTCACGCGCTACGTCCAGCAGCTGCAGCCCTTCTACGAGCTGCCGTCCGCCCGCCTGCCACCCAACCTGCCCGAGCGCAACAAGGTCACCGGCCTCAGCCTCCTCCTGCTTCTCACACAGGGCCGCTACGCTGAGTTCCACTCGGAGCTCGAGAGCCTCGCCAATCGCGACGGCGGCGGCACCGCTGGCGACGTCGAGGGCGACCGCTATCTCGGATACCCCATCCGCCTCGAGCGCTGGCTCATGGAGGGCAGCTACGATCGCGTGTGGAAGGCCATGAAGAGCAGCGAGGTCCCGTGTGACGAGTACAGCGTCTTCTCAGAGGTATGTGTCCCCTCGCCGCTGCCATCTTATGACCCTCGGGTCCGTTGGTTGCCACGAGAGCGCACGCTGACAGTCCTCTCAGATTCTAAAAAATCAGATCCGTTCCGAAATTGCCAGCAGCAGCGAGCGCGCATACCCCAGTCTGCCAATAAGCTCCACCAAGTCCCTGCTCTTCCTCGACTCGGAAGGCGAGGTCATCCAGTTCGCCCAGCACCGCGGCTGGCTCGTTCGTGACGGCCACATCTACTTCCCCGACGAGGCTGCTGATGCCAGCGAAGATTCTGCACAAAGCAAGGACACGAGCCAAATGGTCATTGAAAACGCCCTGGGTTATGCCAGAGAGCTAGAGACTATAGTTTAAAATGGGGCCTATGACATTAGCACTTCAATGGCAACAATGTACTACTATCACGCAATCGCTACACCTGTGGCTACTCTGAACCAGTTTCGTTCTCATACGCCGAATTAAGAAACTTATTCATGCCTTCACTATCAGCTAGGCTATCATTTTCTTCTTGTTGACATGTCACGTTCCCCAACTCTGAATACGGGGTTCACCCACTTCACCGCACTGTTTTGCGTCATAACCGAATTATCTTCAACCAGCCCTCAAAGTAGTACCCGTCATCTATATATCTATGCAAATAGTCGCAGCCCACTTCCGTGCTTGCCAATCTCACAAACCTCGCAGACCTTGCACAAAGTACCCTTGTACTTGGAATGGTACTTGGATCCGTCAAAGGCGCACTCCTCATATGATGTTCCGCTGTAGATGGGAGTAAAACTGGCGGCGCAAATCTCGAACTCTGCAAATTGATCGAATTCTATATCAACAGCATCGTTAGGATTGCGCTCGCATGCCGCCTTCGCCTTCTTAGCCTGCGCTGTTTGTTAGATTAACTGTCATTGTACAAATGCAAAACAAATAACATACATTTTCCACAATCTTGCTGGCGCCGCCATTGGCAATGATGCGGTTTGCAAAGCTCAAAGCGCTGTTGTAGTTTTTATTCTTGCTTGCCAGCTGCATGGCGCTGAGTAGGGCGAGTTGTCTGTGGGGAACCTCGATCTTTGGTATCGTGAAGTAAGCTGAGAGCTCAAGGCTTCGCTTGAGCTTTTCGGGATCACCTGCTACGACGTCGGTGGTGCCTAATTGTCTCCGGGCGAGTTCAATGCTCATGGCAACAGTGTACTCACTGGCCGAAGTAATGAGCTTCTTGGCCTCGGCAACCTCGCCCTCACTTGATACAGCGTTGACGAGAATTGTATGCAAGATGCCCTTGAAGATCTTCACACCATTTTCCAGATTATTGGTCTTCATGGAGTCGTAGCCGCGCTGCAGCTCATTAGCAGCGAGATATTCCAGATCTCGAGGCACAATTGGGAGCACCTGGCGAAGATCACTTTCGTCAACGGTGCGGCGAACATAATTGATAAGGGGGGGGAGACCGGCAGATGCAGGAAGGAAAGTCCTCGACGCCTTGTAAACCTCCAAGAAGCGAGGCTTCAACGAGGCGAAGCTAACGGCACCGACTTGGCGGTTAAGCAGCTGCATGGCTGTTTCAAAGGAGCCGCCGGCAATGTGATCCACCGCAAGGGGAGAGTTGCGAGCCCACAGGTCGGCTTCGCTGCTACCAGCACCGCCGGCATCAGCAGTGTCCACGTTAACGAAGTCGCTGCCAACCTCGGGTAGGTCTTCATCACCCATATCCCATCCAGCAGCGTCTTCGTCGTCATCGTCGGCAATAGCAGCCACACGAGTCGATGTGTCGACATCTTCCATAGCGTCATCGAAGCCGGCCGCAGTATCGGCATTGTCTTCGAGAGAAAGCCCTTCCAGTTGTCCAAGAAGGGCCTTCTCAAAGAATGACTGCGATGTGGCTTTTGCAGGCCAGTTTTGCTTGAAGGTTGGCACGACGGGCTTAGGTGGGGCAAAGGGTTCGCCAAGAGTAGGCATGGTGAGTTGATCCTCTGTAATTCCAGACGCCTCCAAGATGGCCTGACATTCATCATCCAGGCCGTGAGACTTGGCGGTCATGTATGCCAGGGGGTCTATGTGTAGTGATTAGTGATAGATCGAGACAACCGGAAGAAAGAGATACACGTACAAAGGTCGATTTCCTTGAACATCTGGATGCGGTCCTCGACTTCGCCAAGGTACAGAGCGTTATGGAATCGAGCGGTGAAGTCGCCACGGTGCTCCGCAATCTTAGCCATACGGGCAAGCTTGGAATGATCACCAGTTGCCAAGTAAAGGAAAGACAGCTTATCAAACTGCTTGAGCTTTTGGTAGCACATTTCCACAATTTGGTGATTGCCATGAGAAAGAGCCTCAATGCTGAGTCTGTTCCAGAATTTGGGCTTGTCAAGCTCCTTGGCCATTTCTACCGCAACATCCAAGTTGCCGCATTCAATGGCGAGGTCGAATCGGGTGGTCGGATCCTGGACAAACTGTAGAGCAATATCGGGGTAACCCTTCTTCTGTAGGTAAGAGATAATGGATTGACCGACGAGGCTGGAATTGCGGATGATGTGAAGCATTTCCTCATAATTGCGCTTGACAAGTGCAAGTTTGAAACGATACTCCGTAGGGTCGATTTGGAGGATACGTGGCTTTGCGGACCGGTCCAGGCAGTAAACATTGCGTCCTTTGACTCGCACAAGGTATACGGTCTGGTCCAGTGTTCTGACAATACCGTTATCGCCGTTGAGTAGAGTGTACTTGACGTGGTTCAGGGTGGAGTACAGAAGCACACCAGCGTCGTCCCAAGTGGCACTCTTGATTCTAATTGTCTCATGGAGAGTGCTAACTTGCTCAAGTGCCTTGGTGACAATGGTAACATTGTGCTTGCTAAGAAGCGCTGCGTACAAACCATCGTTGGACCAGACAACGTACTTCACACCGTTTACGGCAAGCTCAGCGGTGCTTTTCTTTTGTTGAATGTCGTAAAGATGAACAGCAGTGGCAGTAATAATGAGAAGATTGCCTGTGCCACCAAAACAAATATCAGTGGTACCGGGCGGTGCTTTGAACGAACGTGTCGTGTTGTTTGATAGGTCCTTGATATCGATAGTTTGAGTTGAGAGATTGAGAACAGCGAATCTGTTTCGGGCCACAAATATGGCTGAATTTCCGGGGCCACGTTTAGATTCAGTGGGCTCAATGTTACCGCTACCTTCCTTTGGAAGATTGACGAGCTCATACGAGCCTTCGTCCGCAGGAGTCGTCACGAGAACAGATCTCTCAGCTGGATTGTATGACAGAGTGCGGGGTGCAACCCATGCACTGCCTAGCTTCTTGAGCGAGAGTAGAGTTGGGCTCTCAATGTTCTTCTGGAAGTCGTAGGATTTGACGAGCTTCTCTTTGCTGAGAAAGAAGAGGTTATTCTGATGGACTGCAGAGGCTGGTCGCTCCCGTTCCAACTTGAAGACCATGACGCCATTGTCGTGACCGGCGGCGAATAAATTAATTTCGGGGTGGGCAGCGATGACCCAGAACCTGTCATTTTCGCGCTTGAATGTCTGGACTGCTGTTCTCTTATTGAGATCCCAAACACGAATAGTCTTGTCTCCACCAGTCGAGAGAATTAGGTCTTGGTGAGGGTGGAAAAGGCATCCCTCGGCATTCTGAAAATGTCCTCGGCAAGTGTCTACCTCCCATGCCTTAGTTTCGCTCATGCGCCAAAGCTTTACCAAGCGGTCATCGCCAGCAGAAACAATCAAGGGCATATGTGGATGGAAGGCAACCCAGTTGACACCACGGTCATGACCCTCTAGGACGAACTTGACGACAGCATCGGTGTTTCCAAACATATCAGTCTGGTTTTGGTTGGAGCGGGCGACCTGGTCCTCGAAGCTCATTGACGTGGGGGCAGAATGTTTCTTTCGAAGTCCAGAAATATCCCAAACGCGGACAGTCTGGTCGAGTGAGGCGGATACGACGAGGTCTTCTTTCGGGTGGAATTGAGCGCACATGGTGTAGTGGTTGTGTCCAGTCATGGTGCAAACTATTATACGGTCAGTTAAATCAGCAGTTCCCTGCGAATCTAGGGTTCGTACTTAAGGAGCGATTCTGCCAGTTCCAGATTCGAATTGTCTGATCGTCCGAGGAGGAAATAATCCATGGGAGCTCATGGTGGAAGAACACGGTACGGACATAATCCAAGTGACCGTTGAGTGTGAAGAGGCACCGTCTTGTTTGGTACGACCACACTTTGATCTTATAATCATCACCACCGGAGACAAAGAGAGGCTGAGTCCTGTGGAAATCGACGCCGCGGACTGGACCATCGTGCTCTTCGAATCTATCAATTAGAGTACCCATACGATAATCCCACAGTTGGATCGTGGACGAATGGAGGGTGACGAGGATCCACGGTCTGGGTTGTCGTCATTAGTTTCAGGCAAGTCGGTCGTCGCGCAGATGAGCGTACCTCTTGGGATGGAAGGCAAGGCCTTTTGCCCGAGAAGACTTGGACTCGAACTAAAGCATTGTCAGTGTAAGGTGGCAGAAATGCTGCAACCGGGGGGTTGCGCACCTTGGTCAGCATGTTTGGGGAGGACGACGACATTGTAGCGGGGGAGTTGAAGCCGCAGCTTCGTGCAAGGATCGAGATTGGAAAACGCCGACCAAGGCTTCAACATAAAACACTTGTTGATCAGCTCGCCCGGTAATGACTGCAATTGCAGGCTAGCCAACCACTCAAAGTTGAGAAGGTGTTATAGTGGTGGTGTATTAGCATTCAGTTGTGCCTCCTTAGCACAGCGATTGAGCTTCGTGTCCATCTCCAATTGTGGGCTGGCTGGCCAAACTGCCCCGCAACAATGTTCCGCCGGGCCAGAAGCACACACCGCCTTGCCCCTTGAGCACCCCACCAAGCAGTTCTGCCAGAGGCAGCAATGACGCACTAAGCCCTTTTAAGAGAGCTATCCTGCGATGGTGTCAAGAAGCAGAGCTACGACTGTAGCTAACGACGCGTGAAGGTAGAGAAACTCAGCGAGATACTGGCAAATATTCTGGGGCTGTCTTCTCAGTGCTGTCACCCTAATTTTCAGGCGACCGGGACTTGGACAGCTGGGTTCCTTCGGCTTTAGGATCGCCATATAGAGTTCACAGGATGGCCTCTACCCAGGGCCTCAGGCTGCTTGCCGCAGTAATATTGACTGCGTGGCAAGTGTCTGCTTCACCGGCAATCAATGTTCGCATGGAGGCAACCTTTACTGGCGGGCCCTATCTACTTGAACTACTGTTCGTCAATTCCTTCTGTTGTACTTTCAAGGACCAATCGCTAACAAAAGGTCAGCGAAACTGCGACGGCTGAGAACTCGTCGGCCTACTTTCCTCTTCTCGATCGAATCGCAGAGGGACGATTCTCTGAACTGTCCACCGATGCCGATCTCTATGGCGAATTCATCAGCGTTGTCCGCGAGGATGGTCATATTAGCAGCCCAGAAGCGCTGTCTACCTTTAACCTCGGCCTCTCTTTGCGCTCTTCCACCCCTAGAGTTGAGGCACACTATCAATACTATGATACAGCTGTCGCGTTAGCCGACATAGATCCATCATGCGACTCGTGGATTCTCTTGGATGGAAATCAATACTGCACTCCAGATTTGCAAAAAGCCGCGAGGACTGGGCTGTTCGACTCGTATGGCCCCCGATCTCTACCAGCGTCTGCTTGCGTCTTTTCCTTTGCTGAACAAACTGTCTAGGAAGATCTCTATTCTGCCCTTTGACCGTTCCGTAGGTTCTGGTGCAGATGCAGTGTTGTATGCGGACCCTGCGTCCCCCAACTTCGGAAAATTTCATAGGCGTCTTGAGAGAGCTGCCAGAGCAGGCGAACTCAGTTATCGTGTACGATACCGTCGCCCAATAAATTCAGACCACAAGCCGCTGCCGGTCAGCGGTTTTGGAGTCGAACTGGCTCTCAAAAGAACTGATTACATCGTTATTGACGATAGAGTGTCGCAAAACGACGGCACACAGAAGCCGTTGAACACGGAAGCTATGTTTGAGGACCAGGAGTTGACGGATATTCGCCCGCTTTCGACTTCGGAGCTAGAAGCCCTCGGCGTGAAGTCATCGTCTTTTATACAGAGTAGCAATGCCCCCTTTGAGACTCTTGTCAAACTCATGCAAGACTTTCCGAAATTTTCTGCATCAGTCTCTGCACACAACGTGTCGACAAGCTTCTCTGAAGAATATGAACGAGGCCACATTCAGCGTGTGCCAAGAGGGGTTAACGCGTTGTGGATGAATGGTTTGCAATTGATAGAGCGGCAAATTGAACCATTCGCCCTCGTCGAAATGCTTCGTCGGGAGCGGAAATTCATCGATGTCCTTCGCAAACTGGGATTGAGCGGAGCTGAAGCTATATCACTTCTCGGACACGACAAAGTTGCAGAATCCAAGTCGGATGCAGGGGATGCCATACGATACGATTGGACTGACAGATCAGAGGAGGGCAATGCAATCGCTTGGCTAAATGATCTAGAGAGTGACGCCCGCTATGCCCAATATCCGGACGAATTGAGCTCCGTAAGTTCCACCTGTGAATCCTCATTGGCGTACTCGCTAATTGTATGCAGCTGCTTCAACGCACATTTCCGGGACAGATCCCCCCAATTGCCAGGGATGTTTTCAATGTCGTTTTTGCGCTTGACCTTTCGGACCGGGACGATCTGGCTCTGCTAGGCCAGATGCTGGCACTCGTCGGCCGTGGCATTCCCATTCGCTTTGGCATCGTGCCTGCTACCTCCACCCCGGAAGCGTTGCAACACGCAAAACTTCTGTATCATTTGATGGGTACATATGGATTCGACTCGCTTCAAAATTACATAGAGGGCCTTGGAGAGGAGCCTGACCCAGCCTTGGCCTCAACGAGCTTTTCTCGAGTTGTTGACGATCCAATGCTAGCCGCCGGTACCGAATCACGGGGATTTCTTGATGTTATTGAGACCGAAGAGCTCGATACACAAGCGGAAATGGCCGCCCAATGGATTACTAGACTCAAGGCGATGGACAAATCAGCGCCAATTTTCTTTGTCAATGGAGCTTCAACGCCGCGTACCGCAAACTGGTTACAAAGCATGAGCATGCAAGTCTCGGAAGATCTTCAAACGATTCAAAAAGGTGTCTACCATGGTGTGATCGGTGACGATATGTGGGTTCCTGAAATATTCCTGGAGGGTGCCCTGAACCGTCGAAATGAGTATATATCTGTCGATGATGCTCATCCTCTCCGAATCCTAGACGCCAGCAAGCTATACGGAGACCACAAAGACATGTTTGACATCATTCCGGTGCAAAAAAACGACCCTAAAGCGGAACGGGAGGCATGGGCTGCGGTAGCAGTCATCGCTGATGCGACGACTTCACATGGCGCCAAGCTTATTAAGTCGGCACTGGAGTTTAGGCGGAGCAACTCCGGTGTCCAACTCGAGCTCATTCACAACCCGACTACCACAGACGGGGCTTCCGATGTCAATGAAGCTCTTAAGGATGCCTCTGATCTGTTCAGTCTACGCACGGTTGATGAGATTGAGAAAATAGTGCGTGAAACGAAAGCGGGCTCTTCGACCAATGCCTATGACATTGCGCTCAAGCGATTCCTCTTATACGCAAACGTTCAGCCAGGCAACAGCGGCGTACTCGTGAACGGACGTCTGGTCGGGCCCATTGCCCCGGACGACGACCTTTTGCCTGCTGACTTCACTCAGCTTTTGGGACTTGAGCGAAAGCACCGCATTCTTCCCATCTTTGAAGCTCTGGACGATCTCGGCCTAGGCAACAAGATTTCAGATCCCATTTCAGCCTCCAAATTGATGTCCATTACCGCTTTATCAACCATTTCTGACTTGCCAGAAGGTATCTTTGAAACATCTTCATCTACCCGATCGATGATCTACAAAAAATGGGATGCAAAGCACACAACAATCGAAGTCGGCGACGAGGCAACCGCCAGTATTCATCTTGTTGCCCTGCTTAACCCTTTGAGCGAGCAAGCCCAGAGATGGGCACCTCTTCTGAAAATTTTATCCGAGCTTGATGGCGTGTATTTAAAACTTTTCCTAAACCCTAAGGAAAAACTGGAAGAGCTCCCCATCAAGCGGTTCTTCCGTTACGTCTTGGAACCAAAGCCGTCGTTCGATGAAGATGGTGCTATTCAAGGTGGGCAAGCTACCTTCAATGGACTTCCATCTGAAGCTCTTCTTACTCTCGGGATGATTGTGCCCCCTGCCTGGCTAGTGGCCGCTAAAGAGTCTATACATGACCTGGACAATATCAAACTCTCTTCTGTTAATTCCAACGTCGACGCCACGTATGAGCTAGAACATATTCTCATACAGGGCCACTCAAGAGAAGGGAAGTCAAGTCCCCCTCGCGGCGCCCAGCTTGTCTTGGGTACCGAGAAGGAGCCACACTTGACGGATACAATTGTCATGGCAAACCTCGGGTTCTTTCAGTTCCAAGCCAACCCTGGTATCTATGCCATCCAGTTGAAAGAGGGCCGAAGCGCAGACATTTTTGAAATTGAGAGCGTAGGCGCACAGGGCTGGACAGCTGTCCCTGGTGACGAGGGAACGTCTCTGGCTTTACTTGACTTCCAAGGAACAACCCTCTATCCACGCCTTTCCCGCAAGCCAGGCATGGAAGAAGTCGATGTGCTCGAGGAAGGCGGCGGAGCAGCTGACGGCTTCGTCTCCAAAGGCTTCAAGCTGGCTGAGGGCTTCTTGGGCAACGCTTTGGGCAAAAAGTCCGCGTCTGACCTAGAGCACGCCGAAATCAACATTTTCTCTGTCGCGAGTGGTCACTTGTACGAGCGAATGCTCAACATAATGATGGTCTCGGTCATGCGCCACACAAAACACACAGTCAAGTTCTGGTTCATCGAGCAATTCTTATCGCCATCTTTCAAAGAATTCATTCCTCATCTGGCGGAGGAGTATGGCTTCAAATATGAAATGGTGACATACAAATGGCCACACTGGCTTCGACACCAAAAAGAGAAACAGAGAGAAATCTGGGGCTACAAGATTCTGTTTCTGGATGTTCTTTTCCCCCTCTCTGTTGACAAGGTGATTTTCGTTGACGCAGATCAAATTGTGCGGACAGACATGATGGACCTGGTCAAACTTGATCTTGATGGGGCCCCTTATGGATTTACTCCGATGTGCGATTCTCGGACTGAAATGGAAGGGTTTCGCTTCTGGAAGCAGGGGTACTGGGCAAACTACCTCCGTGGACGTCCTTACCACATTTCTGCCCTGTATGTGGTTGATTTGCGCCGCTTCCGCGAGATTGCCGCTGGAGATCGCCTTCGACAGCAGTATCAAGCCCTCTCCGCCGACCCGAACAGCCTGGCAAACCTGGATCAAGATTTACCCAACCACATGCAGTTCCAGCTCCCTATTCACAGCCTGCCGCAGGAGTGGCTGTGGTGCGAGACATGGTGCAGCGACGAGAGCCAGAGCAAGGCACGGACCATTGACCTTTGCAACAACCCCGAGACCAAGGAGCCCAAGCTCGATCGCGCCCGCCGGCAAGTCCCCGAATGGACCGAGTACGATGACGAGATTGTGGCATTGGCCAAACGCGTCAAGGCAGCGAAGAACCCCAGCGAGAGCGAACACCAGGCAGAGCCTGAAAGGAACACCAAGAGCAGAAACTTCGAGGAGGAGCCTGTTCGTACTAAAGATGAACTATAAAGAAGAACAATGGGAATGTGTGATTATTTGATCTTTTCTAGACTAGAACTTCTCTCGCTTTGTTCATTGACTGCTTTTACTACTATTTGCATACAGATCACTTTAAGAGAGGATAGATGTTGCACTCGACTTTTTTTCCTTTGTAATGTAGCAAGGTGCGTCGCCTCCTTCATGTTCTGTAGGTTCTGGATATCTGGCTCTTGTAAAATGTACCTAAAAAATAAAAAAAAGACTAATTTGCAGGAAGAGTACGCCGAGGCTTCTGCTGGAGTCCAGTGCCGTCGAGAGAGACTGGCGATCGCTGCTACCTCGCTTTATGGCTCGTCCGCTTCCACAACCGGCTCGGAACACGGAGCCAAATGCATCGGACAGTCAAAGATGCGGGGAAGTAGTCAGGTGCGTATTTTCTAGAACCATGAAGCCATATCCCAATTTCTAGGGCACTTTCTGCCTCATATCCGGGTATTTTCAACCAACCAATAAAAGCTCTCTCTTTCGCATATACCAACAAGAGCTCTTGAAAGCAAATCCCAATCGTAAACCTAAAATACCAAAGATCATGTTTTTGTAGAGCCGTAAAAGAAATGAACAACCGTCGTAAAGGATATCTCCATCAGGTCAGCCGCGATAAGACTACGTAACTTGGTCGAGGAACCAGTTAATGAATGGGTCCGTCACGCCTGGATAAAAGCATCAGAAAGCGTTTGGAAAAAAAGCCATCGATTTGAATTCCCATCAGTGCCAAACTGTGGGGTAATAAATGAACAGAAGAAGAGAAATAAATGCGTCGTATACATGATATCATATGCTGGGTATTCAGCTTATCCGAGTAAAATGAGTAAGAGATTCGAAGTAAAATTCTTGATGCACTGATGGTTATAAAATCAGTGGAGCGTTTTCTTAGATTCAAGGTACGCTAGTTTCTCGCTCTTCTCGAATTGAAGCCATCGCAGTACCAGCACTGACAGTGCGGTTCGTGGGCTGGTTGGTGGTAGAAGAGGATATGGCATCTGTAGAAGCCGAAGTTTCGGATCTCTTGGCTTGAGGATTAGACGAGTTTGCGCTTGCAGGCACCTCCTTGTGCAGAGGTGATGAATGTATTGGTGACGCAGACTTTCGGCTTTGGGAGTCGTCATTGCGTACGGAGTTGCGCGGCGAGACTCGACCTATCTATAAGAGGCTCGTTAGTCTCATCATCGCTGGCCAGAGCTTGTTGATGGACTTACCTGTTTGGCCCAGCGCAGGCCACAGCTGTTGCAAAGATCGCGTTGGCCACTGGGTCCTCGACGCCATTCTGGCGTATTGCGCGTGTGGCAATTGGCGCAATCGCGAACCACGTTGCCAACCCCCTTGCGCCGCTTTCTCTTTTTCTTGCTAGATAGCAAGCCACCAAGCTCTTCTGCGAGGATCCGGTTTACTTTCTCCATTTGACGCAGCTCGAACTGCCAGCTCGAACATTTCGTCGTTCTCAACTCATCGAAAATGTTATCGTCAGACGCAAGTGCCTCGTCTTGATTTCCGAGAGCTAGGCCGCCGCCTCCGGGTTGGGAAATTTGGCCATGCATCGATCTACTAGCAGTAGAGCCCGCTGTCGAAATAGCTGGCGCAAGAGCTCTTGAGGATGCTTTCAACAGCTTCGTCTGGGCAAGTAAGAAAGATGGCTTTTGTCCCTCAGTAGCATCTCCAGGATAGAGTGTAGTTTGAGCTTGGAGCCCTTGGCCACGCCTGTTCAGAACTTCGTGTTTGCAGGTCACAATCTTTCCCCGTCGGGCCTTTTCCAATGTGCGACCGAACTCCGGCCTCGAATCTTTCCGCATGAGCTCCTGGATGCTTGTGGCGACTAGCGATTCGGGCTGCAAGTCAAGAAGAGATCGCACATTCGAGGATACGTAGAGGAAGGTGCCGGAGGTCGACAACTTGGTCCACAACTCGCTATCCCCAATGCCACCATTGCATTCAATATTTCGGCGACTGATGGAAAACACAGGTCGTTTTCTGCCGACAAGAATGATGCATTTGCGGCCTTTACCTTGCTCAACGTACAGAGAGCCATGGCTCTCAAACCACGTGTACCCGCTTTGCTTTCGTCGAATCCTGAAAACAATATTTACTTGATCTCCGGTGGTCGCATCTTTCAATTCGCGTGTAACAGGGACGATATCGGAAGGATGACAGATTGATGATAATGAGTTGCCAACCAATTCCGCGGCATCATACTCCAGGACGCGTTTACAGGCTGGCGAGAGATAGAGAAAGAGGCCCTTGAGAGAGAGTACGTGAATCACGTCGTCGCAGTTTTCAAGAAGCATCTTATCCCAAGACTGACGATGCCAGTCGGACGCGATACCCTTGGCATTGAACTGTTGCAAAATGGTTGACACATCGTCAACGCCCAAAGTCTGTCCGTTGTCGGCTTCCCAGAACGCGGAGGAAGGTGGCGTCCATATGTACTGGCCAATATCACTGTGCTTGTAATTCACGGCGACGCCACCAAATTCAGAACCAGCAATAGCGTCAGGACATTCGACAAGGTCGATCTGGAATCCAATAAAATAGCGGGTCTCATCTGTATCCCAGGGTATCGGAATCATTGTCAGAAGGTTAAGAAACGGCTTGCCGCCTTTTCGGTAGTTGATGAGACTTTGTTGAACCTCCCGTCTCTCTTCTATCATCTTCTTCAAGTTAAACACTGCGCCGTTATCAACAAAATCGCGCTTAGTTCCGGCCTCGACTTTCCCATCTGGTGCTTGAAGGAAACGGCAGTTTTGGCCAACAATATCGTGGCTACTGTACCCAGTCAAGTTTTGGAAATTATCAGAGACATATATAATAGGGCAATCGTTCATGGTGATGTCGCACACAACAAACGCACACGACATGTCCACTGCTCCTAGATCAATTGTGGGATTCTTCCTGGATGCAACGAGCCAGAGAGCTTTGAGCATATCAAAACCGCTTTTGGAATAAATCGATCTCTCGCGAAGATCCTTGGAAGTCGCTGGAGCGTTTGGGGTCGTGGCGACAGATGAGGCGCTTGGTTGGGTAGGTCCGGTTGATGAAGGTTTTTCTTGAGCGGGGGAAACGGCGGAGCCAGATGATGATTCATGGCGGGGGATTGATGGGATGGATTGATCAACACCAGGAGCAGTCGCGCTAAGCCTTGGATCATGAGATGGATTGGTGGGCGTTTCGAGCTGGCTCATTTGAAGGGGAGCCGGAACCGTATTCTCACGCGGGTTGGTAAAGGCGTCATATTGTGCAGTATTGCTAAATTGCATAGCATCGTTGGAGGGCATGGATAACTGTATGGCGTTTGGTGACGTTTGTGTGCCGAGCACGGCACTTGAACCTGGGTCAGCATTGGGAAACATTGCTCCCATGTTGATATTGGCGAACTGAGCAGATACCAAGTTGCCCATGGCATCAGGAGATAAGTTCGGAAAACTATCGCCATCAGGCATCATGTTGCCCATGTTCGAGGTATCCAGCATCGAAAAATTGTTAATATGTGGCGCTGAGGGCTGAAATCCCATGAAACTACCAGGCCCAGTTGCGGATGGCGGATTCATTGCTCCTTGCTCTACTACCAATGACATGCGTCTGGCGTCTACCTCGTCCGACAGCTGCCGCGCTCCGAAGCCGAGAGAAGCGCTTGCACGGCGCTGGAGTAGTGTTGGATTGCCCATCAATTGACCAGCAAATGTGTTGCTGCGTGGCATACTCATGCCGGGAGGCATTTGTTGCTGCTGCTGCTGCTGCTGCTGCTGCTGCTGCTGCTGCTGTTGCTGCTGCTGCTGTTGCTGTTGCTGATGCTGATGCGTGTTGTTGATATTGTTTTGCTGCTGCCTCTGCTGCTCCTGAGTAGGCAGCTGATTGGAAGGATAGTATCCTTCCATCTTGGCAGCATCTGAGCCGTGAATATCGTCTATAAGGCAGATAGAATCGGTCGCGGAGATGTTATAACTCGTGGCGGTGTTAAAGTCGGGCTTGGAAGCTGACAGTGCACAAATGAGGAGGGACAGTCGCCGTCGCAGGGTGGCTCTCGGATGGACGGAGAATGCGCTGAAGTATGAATAATCGAAGCCGAGTATCTAAGGAAGCAAAGATAAAGGAAGCAGTAAACGAACGGCGGTGGCGGGATGTTCTGCGGAGCAGAGGTGTACAGCAGCACCCCTCTTAGATAATTTCTCGCGGTTAGAGCGGGTTGTCTGTCGCGGTCGCCGGGGACCCTGGGCTTTCGTATGCACGTTTAGGGAGGGCCGTTATTAATAGCAAAGAAACGGTCGCAGAATAGGTCGAGCAACGGTCGAAGCGAAGCCACGGCGTGAGAGTTGCAAGGGCGCCGAGGTGGCAGTTTGAGCCACGAAAGTCTAGAGGGCCCCAATAATAGTTGATTACATTTTGCACACGCAACCCACTCTTACCACATACATATGTATGTACACACCAGCTTTAACTAGCAGCCTACCTACCTACATACATAGATACGAAGCTACGACATTAGTTAGTAGGTACGTATGTATGTACGTCGTACCCGCGCTACCAAGAGCCAGCAAGATTTGCCCCGCCAATATACAAACCTATCTAGGCGGGCAGGTAACCGGTAACTCACTCAGTCACGAACATCTACAGGTAGGTGCATAGGTGTTTTCCTACCTATAGGTAGTAAGGTACTAAGTTACGCGCTTGTTGCCGCTGCCTTTTTATTCGAGGACTCCTTGTCCAGACTCCGTCCTCGGCAGAAGGTCAGTGGTGCGCACTAGGTACCTACCTAGCATCAGTCTATGTACATACATAGGTAGTACCTTGTACTAACAACTTACAGTACATTAACAGTAGGTATATCTATAGGCACATAAGTACCTTAGAGGTATGTTGCCCGCCTCGTTTTGGTGCATAATTTGCCCCTGACTTTACACAAGGTAGCAGCCTTTGTAGCCGCTGCTCTTTGCATCCTACACCTATCGCTGCATACGGCCCATGTGCTTCGCAAAGAAAATTCAGAAGAAAAGATTGCAAACTAACTAGTAATCCTAAGAAGCTCTCCATATGCAACACAGCCTCATCGCTCTCGGCTCAAGCACTTCCCGCTATCAATAAATATCGTCTATCTTGGTTTCGCATAGACCCAATTTCCATTGAGACCTCATTGCCAAGTCTACAGTTCAAAATCAGCCTCGCATCATTAGGTCGTATAACTGAAGAAGCCCATTATCGTGCGTTGGGCATCTTGGGAAAATTGCTGCAACAGTGGCATGGGGTCGACGTTGGCAGTTGTGAGCATTGTCTTGGTCGCTGTGGCGACTCTGTTGGCAGTTTGACCACGTAACGTTTCAGCCTCGAGAGCCTGTGCGATGAAGACAAACAGCTTGGATGCTTGGCCCATGATGATCGGGTTGCCCCTGCAGACTATGTTAGTACCTCCTTCCTTCCTCATACTCACAGCTACTTACTGGTCAATAAGCTCTGCGAGGTAAGCATAGGCATACGGTGCAGCCTCCTCGTCGTTGGTAATTGGAAGTGTATCAATCCACTGTGTGATAACAGCCTGCAGGTCACCAACACTGCTGGCATTGTAGTGCAGAATCTTGGCAATCGAAGCACAAGCATTTTCTGTGGCATAGACATTGTCATCATTTCGTGCGTCGGGAATCTGCGTAGCCTGGAAGAGGATTGGAAGAGCACTGCCTAGAAATTGAGACCAGGCAGCACCGCCACGGTGAGCAGCGACACCAACGCCGTAGACTGCTGCTTGCCTAACTGCGGATGAGGGGTTGCGGCATCCGTCTATGAGGGCTTGTGAAATATAGTTGGCATATCTTATGCTATCGGAGCCGCAATACTCGAGCACGTCGTCCATGATGCACAGCCCCCACTGACGCTGCGTAGGGTCGTCAGATCTCAGGAAAAGTTCGTATGTGGGTAGAAGTTTTTCCCATAAAGGAAGGAACGTAGCACCATGGTTTTTGAAGACGGAGTGAAATGCCTTGTTCATGTCAGACAAGAGCGTTTGGTCATCTTCGATGGCAATCAGGGTCTCGTCTTCTTCATCTTCCACATCGTCTGCTGTGGCACCCTCCCTCTCCTCCGCTCGCTGGACAACACGAGTTTGGTAGTCAACAATCGTTGAATGAACAGCGTCCATGAACTTGGCCATGTGGTCGGCGTTGAGGCAATCCTTGCCCACTACCTCGACAGACTCATAGAAGCACTGATACATCTCGGCCAGTGTATCAATAGCAGGCTCCGCGGCGAGAACTTCGATGAGCTTCTCTACACTTGCGTTCCACAAACCGGTCAGCTCGTTAGAGGGGCTTCCGTACGCCTTCTTATAACAGCTCAGTAGCTGGGGCACCAGTTTTGCTGACATGTACCTGACGGGATCATGGAAGAAGAATGCTAAACCAGGTAGCGCAATCTTCTCCATGATGCTGGCGACGTACGGGGCGAAAGCCCCCTCAAGTGTCTGTGCGTATACGACAAGTAGTTCAATGGCAATGTGCTTGTCTTCCATGGTGCTGGTTCTGATGCCAATCATTTTTCCTTTCACAGGAACGAACTCCCAGCCGTCCTCGCTTTGCAAAGCGGCGGCCTCTTCATTGTCATTCAGTAGCTGAATATCAGCCTTAGTCATCGCTTGCTCAAGAAGAGGGGGCATGACACTACTCATGAAGGGCACAAAGTCAGAACCAAGGACACGGCACATGCGGCCCCAGCAGTGCATGAGGTACTGCGCCTGAGGGTCATCCGCATCAGTAATGTTGGCTTGGATATTCGCCAGCAGATTGACCAGAGTCATGGCATCCTGGCCGAGGCGCTCCTTTCCAACGGCAATCGCAATCAAGGTGGCACACTCCATGGCCTTGGCGCGGAGAAGTCGGTATTCCTTCTCGCTTTGATTCTGCAATACGTTCACCAAGAGCGGCATCAAAGTGTCATAGTACTTTGAAAATGCAGCCTCGGCGGCATCGGCAATCGTGGCGATAGTGGAAAGAGCCTGTTCTTGTACATATCTCATATCGCTCTGAAGGAGGTTGAAGAGATGAGATAGAAGATCATCCAGATATGGCTCCAAGGTAGATTTCTCGGCCTCTTCGCAGAAGTTGACCAAGGCAGCGGCACCGTGGGATTTGACTCTGGGCTCAGGAGAGTCTAGCACCGGGATTATGGCCTTCAAGACTTGCTCATAGTAGTCACTTTGCATTGTAGGAGCAAAGTCCGTGCTCATCTGGCCGAGAGCATTGCAGCCGGCCCATCGAACGCGAGGATGTGGGTGCTGTAGCGCAGGAATGACAAGATCCAAAACTTGGCTCAGTTCTCCAACCATAAGGTCACGACAGCCTTCAGAAATGGCAGAAATCGCCATCAAAGCAGCATGCCGGTCTTTCCAGCCAGACTGCATCATGCGGGGCAGCCAGTTGAAAGTGGGGGCGAGAATAGCCTGGCCGCCGAGTTTATTTGCAAGTCGATCCATTGCTTGCTCTCCGGCAATGTGGTTTTGATCGCTTTCATCCTGGTCTAGCTATAGGTCTGTATGTTAGCCTCGGTCAATATGATGGCCACACGAGTTGCGTGTTCTTACATCGTCGGAGGCGAGCCACTCGGCAGCGTCGTCATCGTCTTCCCCGATTTCGGTCATCAGACTCAGACACTGGGTAATCATATCGGACGTGAAAGAGGGGTCCTTTCGACACATGGAAGGGGCGTATTCGGCAAAAGTAGCCATGAGCTCAAGAGCATTTTGGCGGCAGAGGTCCTCGAGTTCTTTATCTTGAATAACAGATACACAAAACTGAACGAGGTTCTGGAAGAGCTGCTTGAACATTTTGGGGGCGAGCTCAGCCAATTCGATGAGCGCGATGAGCGCTTTACTGAGGTGGTCTGAGTCTTGGGAGTCTTTAATGGGCGGGAGGATGTTAAGAACATCCGGCGCCAAGGCAAAGAACTTTGTTCGATCCTTTTTGTCGATTGTTCTGAAGAAAGCAGCAAAGGCACCCATGGCGGAAAGGCGGACCTAAAATGACGGGTAAGCAGGATGCTAGTAAGGTATTAAGCCTTCACGTTCACGTACATTAACAGCATCATCTTTGAATCCCTTCTGAAAGGAGAGGAGGACGGCGTCTGCCTGTTCTTTCCCAATAACATTGGGAGTTGTTGTGAACACCCGGTAAGCCGTCTCGCGTTTTTCGGCCTCGGGTGCCTGCGTGAGCTGAAAGAGAGCCTGAAGCACCTCTGTCCATCGCTCCCCTGTGAGGCTTTAGCACCACCTCCTAGAGTATAGATTATGGTGTTGCGCTGGTCAGACTTACCATTTTCATTGTATTGACGCGCGATTTCAGCAACCGCATCGCCAATTTTGTTGCGCACAGCTCTGTCCGTCTCGGTGCCGAGAGTTTCTAGAAGTTTTTGTCTGATAACGGCCGCCTGGTCTTTCGCCATTCCAAGAAACATGTCAACATTTTGGCCATTATCAAGTTTTCGGGTTCTGGAGGAGATTCTTCGAAAAAGCAAAGCGGCGAAAGATCGTGTCTATGGCAGGTCAGTCGCCAGGATCTGAAGATCTGAGGAGTCGTTGGGAACAAATCGAACCTGTTCGTCCCCGGCGCCTTGAATTTGTTCAGCAAGACCCATAAGAAGGATCTCTGGGCGCGTAGAAGTCCAGCTGCCATGAAGGAGCTCTTCCGCCCTCGTGCGGATAGAGTTGTCGGCGGACTGAAGGCCCTGGAGCAGCTGCGCCAGCTCAGAGTGAATGTCGGCGGAGAGAACTGACATGTTGGCAGCTTCAGCAGGAATCGGTATCGAAAATAGGAGAGAGTCGATGGTCGGTGAATATTTTGGCAGGGCAATGGGCACAGATAGGATAGAAATCTACCACGCCGAAGAGTTGTGGTTGGCTGCGTAGAGAGTTGAGCGGGGGAGGGGAAGCGTCCCGGTGACAGCCAAACCAGATCGTTTGTTTTTTCTTTAGTGTTGTCAGGTTCGTCTAGTCGTATTCATCCGCGAACTTAAGGTCTTGGACAGCGGAGAGAAAAAAGAAGGAGAAGTTTGCAGTCGAGCGGCTTGTGTTTGGGTATTCGGACGCGCGCTGAAGCCGCGAGGGGTTATGGAGGGGAAAAAGCAGAGGAAATTTGCCAACAATTTTTTGTTGGAAGTTGTTATTCGTATACTGCGCTAGGCGACCAGAAAATCAGTAGCGTTCCCCACCAAGCCAGAGTAATGGAAGGGAAAGAAACGGGAGATGCTCGCCGATTTTCCTGGCAAATTCCAGTACGCAAATGAGAATGAAGGTCATACTGAAAATTTAGGAGTGGTTTGGTCATTCTTTAATAGCAAGCCTTGACCAATTTCCGATCCTGCTTACTATAATTCGGCTGTGACAGATTGTGACCTTCCCAGGGCTGTGGCACGAGGGCGGCGCTTCCGTCTGTGTTGTGGGTGTACTACCTACCTAGGTATGTACTTATACAATGTAGGTAGCCTAGCGACTACCTATGTAGGTATGTACCTACGCATGTCCTAATGATCCAGAGAGAAGTTGTTTGTAAGAACAGACAAGACACGACTATGCGCAGAAAGGACACGCCTTAACACTAGGCAGTCATGAGCCGAGTTCTGGGGAGAAAAGGAACCAAAAGCCCTCCGTCGTACAGCGCGTACACCGCCCTTGCCAGCGCGGTATAACATCACGCACACACTACCTGAGTAGGTAAGGTAGCAAGCTATCCATTTGGTTTACACTTGCCTAGGTATTAACTAGTTACCAGGTACGCATGTATGTATGACATTGCCGTCCACACCAAAGGCGCACATATTGGAGTCGAATCCGCAGAAGTCAAGCAAGCACATGGCAGGGTACAGAGCGACTGAGATTGCTATGAAATTAGGCACTCACAGGGTCGCTGAATATGTTAAGGTGCAAGTCAAAGAGAGTTTGGGATCCTTCTGAATGGGAAGGAACTACTCCATACCTAGTGTTGATAAGAGCACTCCGATTAGCCAAGTACCGTGTACTTCCGCAGCCCAACGATGCTACAAGGCAGACCTAAAGGGTTATACAACTTGGCGGGCGCCTGAATTCGAAGTAAAAATAACTGTAATGAGTATTGATTCGATCAGGAGGGTAACTGACGTACAAAATTCAACCACTGGTTAGGAGAACCGGATTGAAGAGGCTGACTTATCTATGTAGGGTACGTACAGATCACGACCTTCGGGCCTGTTGGCACAAAGCGTTCCTTGCTTGCTTATCACTAGAGCTTTCTAATAACAAGCATAGAATAAGGTGTCAGCTCGCAGAAATAGAAATGAGAGCAGTTTTGTCGCTTTTTTTTTTGTTTAACTATTTAACGCTTCTCTTCTCCGCAGAGAGGTAAAGCTTTACCGCCATCAAGCGGTCCAATTTGTCCACGAGTTCCGGAGACGGTCCAGACCCGCCCCCGCTATTTATTACCATGGGAGAGAAGCTCGCTCATCATTGTGACGCGCAAGACTGCTTCAAATTCCAGGGAAAAACACTTTACATTACCATCGTCATGATGTATTCCCCAGCACCTGGTGCACGAGCTGTCGTGGATCAAAGCGATTCGTCAGCATCAGAACACTCATCTCCCATACCCAACGCGACCGTACCCGCATCTCGGCAAATCTCGCAACGCAGTCCGTCTAATTCAAATAGCAATCTTTCTGGGCATCGGCAAAGCTTTGCTGAGAATATGCGCGCGATGCCATCTTCTCCGCGTCATCGACCACCTTCACTAACGCAAGCTGCCGTTCAAGAGCTGATGAACAACCCGCCGACGAAAAAGCATAGCAATTCCAAATTCACTGGCCGTGATTGGAGAGACATCACGGTCGGCGAACTCGTCTCCCCAGAGGATGTCTGCTGGGCTGAACTAGACGACAGCGTGGAGGCTGCAACAAAGGTAAGCATATGTATCCCATTCAACATTCCCAACACCGAGGAGTATAGCCTAATATTGCTCAGATGCTGTTGAAGAGCCCAACCAGCGTCGTCCTCGTCCGCGACTCGCAGACCTCGAATACCCTCATCTCTACTTTCGATTTCAGCGATTTGAATACGTACCTTCTCCTTGTCGTTGGATTGGCAAAGCCTGAGGATCATCAGATTGCTCTCTTCAACGACATTATATCCAAGGCTCAGCAAAACCAAAGAATACCTCTCCGGACGTTACAGCCAATATTTTGCAGAGAAGCGACAGTCCAGCTAGACACCAACAGTAGTCTGTCCCAGGCCATCGAGATTCTGGGCAGCGGGATACACAGAATTGTCATATCCGACCTATCCAATAATGTCGTTGGTGTCGTGAGCCAGCTGCGTGTGGCCGACTTCTTCTGGAATGAAGGTGTAAATTTTCCCACGATTGAGCGCCTCTATCCTACTATGCTACGTGATCTCAGCATAGGGACACAGAATACTATTTCAGTCAAGTACGTCAAACTTACATTTGCTTTTTCCGAACAGAAGACGTTGGTCTCTAGCTAATTTGCTGTAGCTCTGACTCGCCGCTCTCAAAAGCTCTCACGACAATGCATGAAGAGGGGCTAACGAGCGTTGCTGTGGTTGACAATGGCCACAATGTGGTTGGCAACATCTCAACCAAGGATGTTCGCCATCTCACAAGCACTTCAAGCGCTCCTCTTCTAAACTCTTCCTGCATGCACTTCATTTCGATCATCCTGAATGAGCGTGGTGTGGAAAAGGGCCAGGATGCGTTTCCGGTCTTCTATGTTAACCCATATTCCAGCCTAGCCCACACTGTTGCCAAACTAGTGGCAACAAGATCGCATCGTATGTGGGTTGTTGAATCGGCCTCGCCTTCTCCCTCTACTCCAGCAACGCCATTGCTATCTGCGCAAGCCTCCTCAGCCGCGGCACCGCCATCTCCGGTGCCCGCAGCTTCTGTACCGGCTTCTGCGCTTGCCGGTGCCCGACTTTCTGGGAAGCTTACTGGTGTCGTTTCATTGACTGATGTGCTCAATATTTTTGCCAAGACTACGGGTTTGAAGCCGGGTGACCCCACTGAGCTCCGCGCAAGACGTCGTAGGAGCTCTAGCAGCTCGATTCGGCCCAGCCTAGATCTGACCAGAGCTGGTACAGATGCCCGTTGGTAGTGGAGGCTTCTATCTTGGTCATTCGTTTTTTCCTTTGGTCTCAGGGTCCGGTAACGTGGTCGCGGCTGGGGAACGGGAATTCGTGACGAGTATGCGATGTGTGGCGGTATGCTGCTTTAAATCACCTGTCCTTCCCTGTTCAAGAATGCTGCTATAGTTATTGTATATTTTGGAGCAACACCTGCCATAAATTACGGCAAATCCCCTTGAGAGCTTGAGAGAGAGCCCGTTTGGGACATAATTCGCCAAGTCAAGTGACGTCCATGCCTGGCTGTAGCATGTTGTTGGTGGCAAATCTCCACTTGAACTGGTAGAGTCACACAACATTGGGTAGGTAGCGAGGTAGGTACTAATAATTAGTAGAGCCATGTCCTCGTCATTGCCCATAAGCTCTAGGTACTAAGTAAGTTGTGTACAATTCTCCCTCTTCTTCACTCTTCCCACCACCACACGTTCCCCCATTTAATTGACATCCGATAATTCTGGCTTGCATTGCAGCGCATTCTCACAGATAGTCCTCGCCCTTCTCATTCCATTTTGCTCCTTTCTCAAGGCTGGTCTTGGTGCCCAAGAACGTCCGAAGCCTCACCCATCTTGCCACCGTGCCTTTTCCACAGCACGCAAATACCTTCATTTTGAAACAAGCTCCCGAAAGATTACCTTTGATATCGCTAGCGTTGCTCTCACTAGACTGCAGCCAGCAAGACTCATTCACTGCTTGCGAACCCATGCACTTGCCAGTCTCATGCATTCAGCGTGTTCCTTCTTGTTTGACGATTGCAAAGAGTTCCTGTACACCAACTTCGCATTATGACTGGCAACCTGCCATGTCAAGATGACAGTGAACCAGGGTCTAGGTCGCCTAACAGCGACCTATATGAGCCAGCGCTACTCCAGCATAGGCCGCAGTCCTGTCCAAAGCTAGGCGATTTCGCTATTCTACGGACCGCAGCAATGGACTTCCACCCCCCTCATCATATTCTGAGTCGCCAGCTCCCGTCAAAGAGAAGCACGAGGCTCGGAGACCTGTCTAAAGTCGTTCATCAGCTACGGGTTTTGCAATCAGCACCGAAGCTTCTTGACGCAAATTTGGCCTTTGACGCGCATTCCTGCTCGCAGTCCTGTAAACCTGCTCGTCCAGTTTCCATGTCGGATTCCGAAGCGCACATGCCATCCAGGTCGAAGAAGCTGACTGCCGCTCTCAACTCGGCGGTCACACTGTCCCCAATTACGATTGAGAAGCCCTGCAACTCGACAGAAGCATTCTTGCAACGATCACTATCGGCTTCGGACCACCGCACCTCGCAGATTCGTCTACAGCGGCAGAAGCATGCCGCGTCACATCTCGCACGCATACTTACACATGAGCTCTCCGACAAAGCCCTGGTCGTACCCATCTTTGATGCCGCCCGTACAGTCGAAGCAGCTCATCAGTCCCTCAGCCGCAATCTCATTCCATATTGTACGGCAGATCGTCACTTGACACGGAAATTTCCCTCCAACTCATCGCATGGCGTTCATATATTTTTGGACATGTCGAATATCGAAATCAGCTTCCAGAAGGCACTAAAGAAAAAATACGGAGTTGCAGATGCTGCAAGGTTCTCACCTTTGCCCAGGCTTAACTTGCCATTCTTGACGGAATTGCTTGTCCGCGGTCGCTCCTCACGGGGACTTCACGTCAGTTGCTCAATTCTTCCCGGCCGAAAGGAACCTAGATATGTGCAGACCTTGCGCGACCTTGGCTATCAAGTAGACGTGAGGGAACGGAGACGTGTTGAGAACGCTGGGCTCAACACGTCCCAGACCAAATCATTCTGCGCAACAGGTGCGAAATCTGTCTCCAGATATGTAGAGGACCTAGTCGACGAAACTCTCCACACCCGCATCGCTGAGGCTGTCATGGAGTATTTCCAAGAACAGGGCACCATTGTCTTGGCTACCGGCGACGCAAAACCGGCACAATACTCGGATGGATTCTTTCGCTACGTTGAGAGAGCTTTACGAATGGGATGGAACGTGGAACTCGTCGCCTGGCAGGGCAGCCTGTCGTCTTCATGGAGAGACACACACTGGACCGCCACATGGGGCGAAAGGTTCCGTGTCATTGAATTGGATGGCTTTATTTACGACCTTTTGGACGTGCAACTATAATTTAGATAGCATTACACAATATTCTTGCATCGGTACTGTTGCAGATGTACCGTTGAAGGCTCATACGAACGTAGCTTCGACAGCGTTGCAGCCTTGACACTACTCTGGAAACCACATCTTGCAGGACCATAACATGTTATGAAGCCATCTCATGCAATCAGACAGCTCTCAGTCAGATATGGGAGAAGTCTAGGAGATCATAGTGCTGCGAAGTGTCATGGGGGTGGGGGGATTCCATATCATCATTGAAACACGTTCTCATTAACAAAATATATCAGACGAGAAGAACCCCCCCCCCCGGAAATGGATCATGCTCTGCATCTGGCCCGGTCGAGTGTAAAATTTTCAGGTGACGTTGGCGCGGCAAATGAAAAGCCGTCTCGTGGAAATTCCGCACAGGTTGGTGGCAATAAGTCGATCGGACCCTAAGCTACAGAAGCTTCATCGATGAGATCTATTGTGGCACGAATTTCGACGCAGGTGGCCCGGATCCCGCCCAAGATCACAAGTCGCATTTGGCCACAGCACCGTTGATTCCCCAAAATTGGTCTGCATCAAAGGTTGACGCAGTATTCTCCTTCCAGAGGTCATTGAAAGCGGAGAGAAAGATAATGTCTCCTGGAGTCGCAGCAAAAGCCTCCTGAATAGAATTCAGAGCCAGCTTCTGGTTGGCGAGGCTTGGAACAGCAAGACCGTTGGCGAGCCCCTTGGTCGGCCAGCCGGTTTCTGTGACGACAACCCTCTTAGAAGTAGACATGACAGACTTGACACGATGAACAGTGTCGACCAACCAGGGCCCGGCTTGAGAAGCCGCAGCCGTGCTGTCAAAGAAGGGATGGGCATTCATGGCGCAGTAGTCGGAAGCATCGCAGAGTTCGGGGTGAGCCTCAACCGCCATAAAGGTATCAACCGTCACAACCGGTCCCTGATAGCCTGCTGCGCGTAGCGTCGATCGAGCCAACTTCACCGCGCTGATGATGTCGCTAGGAGACGCTTGACCGTTGTTGACAAGCTCATTGCCAACACTGACGGTATGAACCATGTCCCAGTCACCATTTATACCAGCAACAATCTTGTTGGCTTCATCCTCAACTTCAGAAGGTTCCCAGATACCTAGGAACAGCTTCATCCCCTTCTTCTTGGCGGCTTTGTACATCATTGGGACTTGGTCGCAGTCTGTGCCATAGACGCGCACCACAGAGTACTGTCCAGCAAGCTGCTCCATGTCATCATCAACATCTTTCTGGCTCTTACATCCGTGGTCGGCGCGGTACGGTGCATAAGAGACACCGAAGAGCTCAGTAGAGTTTCCATTGACCGGGGGTGCTCCCTTGCCGGGTGCCGAGTGAGTCGGCGCAGCCACTGTCACAGTCTGCGTAGAGAATGATGTCATGGTCGTCGTAACTGTCAGTTCGCTAGTCAAGTGTAGATTTCCAGCTGCATAGTCGGACGCCATGCTCAAAGGAAGGTGCAAAACCGTCTCGATGGCGGTTGTCACCTCGTCTCTTTCCTTCCATTCAACAACCTCGGGCATATAGACGGCGGAGTCAACCTCGGAGTCAAAAACGACAATTTGTCCGTGCAAATCATTCCCATTCGTAGCTTCAATGGCCGTTAGATAGAACATTTGGACCTGGAATAATGAGGCATCATCTTACAGGCAGGATGGCAAGCGACTAGTGGCGCTGCGGCCAAAACGGCGATAAGGGTTCGTCCGAAAGACATGTTCCGAGAAAAGGTAAAAGATAATAAAAGAGATGTCTAACAAGGTTAAAAAAATAATGGATAAGGATCGTAGGGGAAAGGAAGATGGCGAAGCTATACGTCGTAGGGAGGTCAGTACGACGGAGAGGAGAGAGGTACAACATATGAGAAAATCACCAGCCAAACAATATACGGGCGTTGCCATGGATGTCAACTGGCTACCTGGATACGGAGTACATTTCACAGACTTTAAAGCTGCCTACTACCGTCAACAAACACAAGGTCCGTGGAATGCGTCGCGCAATCGCATCTGAGACAAGCAAGGCAAGAGCAATGGCGGCCGAGGGAGGAATGTTGGCTAACGCTGGGACTACTGGGAAGTGCGCACCCGGTGTTCGCTAGGGACTTGGGATGGAAGAGGAACTTTAGCAGTCTGCGGGGGGGCTGATCTAAAGATCTGACTTGCGTTGTCCGCTGACAATTCCTCGTTGTTCAGCAGCAGACGATTGCAGACAAGGACTGTAAGTAGTAGCCCTTGCTGGCCGGGTGTGAGGATAGGAGGGTGAACGTTCATACGGAACGCTACTATGCAACACCGAAGGAAAGGAACGGGAAAGAAGAATGAGCGCATTATTAGGTTGGAGGTATTTTGCATCGAGAGTTGATTGTGTCGTGGAAACCTAGAGCATGCTTCATTCATCTTGTAAACAACGAAGGCATACTGAGGAAAGGTATGTAGCAGAATGTACAGCAGTACGCGGCCTCACACCATCACAGGTAGTAATTCTTCAGCACATTAAATAATAATATTATGTATTCTAGAATATCTACCATCCACATTACCATTACCGTACTGGAGTTATGTTACAAACCAGCCAGCCATCGAAGTCTTCCGAGCCCGTCACTTATACCGTTCTGGCAGATGGCTTACGCATCATGACTTTGCTGATTGCATTTCGAATAGTAACGCCAGCCTTTTCGATATCCTTCTTTGACAAACCCGAGGTGATGCAAACCTTGAGCGCGGGTTGGACGAACCAGTCGCTTGTCTTGGCCGTCATAACATTTGCATACATGCGAGTTTTGAGGCGAGAAATCATTACGCCATTAGCCAATGACTGAGAAATGTTAGCTGGCAATCATGATCTGCGGTAGCCGTACATACCTCGTCTGCGCAGTCCATCAAAATGCGTTCTTGTTCATCAATGCTGAGATTGCGTGCTTTGATCACCTCGGGCTTCAAGACCAGGAGCATGATGGGGTTATCCAGATTGCTCGTGCATGTGACCCATTCGCTACGAGGGTCCAACTGAAGCTTCATCGTCTTGATATTTTCGCGGCACTGGTTGACAATGTCTGGGTTCGACTGCAGAAGATGCACAGTCTCGCTAGCTGTCATCGCTAGCATGGCTGGTAGTGCTGCTGAATACGTGTAAGCGGAGGAGGTGATTCTCTGGTGTTCAACGACATCCTTGGCACCTGCACAGAAGCCTCCGCCAGCACAAAGAGGACCAGAGAGGGACCCGACAATCATGTCCACTTGTTGAGGATCAACATTCTGCGCCTCCGTCAGGCCACGCCCGGTACGGCCCAGGACACCAAATGACCATGTTTCATCCAAGATAATCCTGAATTTGTATCTTTCCTTCAATTCAACGAGTTTTGGTAGGTCGGTAGCGTCGCCTGTTGTTTCAAATAATCCCTCGGTGACAATAAATCGACGGGTTAATTTCTTAAGCTTGGCTTGCTCCTTGACAACAGCTTTCATAGCTCTTTCCAAGTCGTCCATGTCGCCGTGATTATACCATTTGATGTTGCTTCGCGACGCCTGGAGACCCTTGCGGATGGAGTAGTTGACACCCTTGTCAGCAATTATAACGTCTCCTCTCTTGCAGAATGTTGGGATGACACTAGAGACCGTAGAGAAGGATTGGGCATACACAATACAGCCCTCGGTACCGAGATATTCGGCAATGTCTGCCTCGGCTTTGACATGGACGTCTTGGGTGCCGTAAAACTGTGGCGGGCCGCAAGGTCCAACGCCATAGGTCCGAAGGGTCTGGATCGCTTTTTCCTTGAGCTGTTCATTCGAGTTGAAGTTGTAGAAGTTGTATGAGGCGAGATTCGTAACCGTGCGTCCGGTGGATAACTTGACTTTGGGTCCGGTCGGACTGCAGAAGATAAATTAGAATTGCAAATCCAGATATGTGATAGAATGCTTGATAGGAAAGTGTCTACAAACCCAACAATGATAGGGAGCTTCTCGTTCTCGGTTTCCTCCAATGGTGTCTGGTTGGCAACTAGTGGCTCGGGAGTCCAGTCGACCACCAGCTCTTCAATTTCCTAAGTCAAATCAGCATAGTTCATCTACAAACAGCATGCAGTGCACACAAACCTCTTCCTTCAGCTTGACATAGTTCTGTTTATGCGTCGAGTATGACGGCGACAGCAGATATCGGATGAAGAACAGGACCAGAATAAGTTCGATGGCGGATCGAACAGGGTCGTTCTGGTAGCTCGATTTTATGTAGCGGATCAAGACAGCAGAGCCAGGTACTCTCTGGAAGAGTAACGAGGCACCATGCGCCAATTCATGTACCTGCCGGTTGAGACTGTCAAAATCCATGGCGGCTTGGATGCAAGGTTTGATATATGCTGTCATGTGCTTGCTAGCGAGATGGCAACGGCAGATGTTGGTGGCCGAACCAGCCGACGGAGCCTTTTTGCTCGCCTTCTCTGGTAAGCGCGAAACGTCGTTACAGAGTGGACACTCAGGGGCACAACTCAGCAAGAAGGTCCGCAGCACTGTTTTTTTTTTTTGCCTTATTATAACAAAGCTGCACTTTCACCGAGAGGGGCTGTGTGGGGCCACTCACGAAAGTGCTCCCGGAGGGAGGGCATCTACTTACGGTAGCCTGGCTGCAGATTACCCAGTAACCCGCTTACCTAGGTACCAACTATCTAATATCTGCCTGCTTGGGAGTTTATTAAGTTATATAATCCTTCAGGCTTCGATTCTAAGCTTGAGCCGTGAGCCGGACGCAGCTACCAAGGCAACACGCACATCATAGCGACTACTGCAAAAGTCTGGCCACTTCCCAATTTGAGCAGAGTACCAACCAGAAACTTCTTTATTAACCCTATCCGAGACAAAATGATCAAAATATAACAAGAACGGGGTAAACAATCTAATAATCAGTACAATGGTTTGTAAAGTTGCAAAACATGTGCTTTTCAACTATGCGCAAGGTTACCAAGCTTAGAAGAGACGCAGTTTCGAAGACCCATCCGTAGATGTCGCAGATGCATCACCACCACCCGCTTTTGTACCAGTCTCAGTCTTGCCGTCAGTGTTGTTGTGGTCCAGTCCCCAAGGCTGCAGAAGGTACATGCCAGCCGGGCCTCCATTGCGATCATATAGGGCTTTGAAGATCATGTCACCGAGAACCTTCTTGCCAATGACGCCGGGAGCAACCACCAACGCAAGGAAAAGAACGAAGAGAACAAAGTACAGTATGGCAAAGCGGATTACGCGTCTGCGACGGAGTTTTGACTGCTTCATGGAATAGATGGGGGGACGAATCTGACGACTGCGTGTGAAGTATTAGTTTTAGGTTCCATCAATTTCCCGGTCAAACAGACTTACCTAGGCAGCAACCAGAAGAGCATCATGGAATGGATCTTATCGATCTGTGGGGTCAAGACAAAGGGGGCCATCATGAACAAAATCCAATGGCCCAAAATGAAATCGGCGGAGAACATGCTGAGTTCCGTAATCTTGCAGAGAAACTCTCGCGCCGGTTGAGAAATGGAGTGCCAGCCCATGGAATACCATTTTCCGTTCCAGAACGCAATATTGGACTGATCAGTTTTGAACTCCCTCGTCAACGCCAGCGACACGATGAGTTTGAAAACAAACCGCTGGATACACATGGCGGCGATTATGCCAGAGAGGGCCCTGGCGAAGTTGAATCCTTCCAAAACATACATGACTTCAAAGAAGATAATCATGAAGACTGCAGCCGCACCGTGGGCAATACCTGCGAGAACGGGGCCAAACTTCTTGCAACACATGTTCAGAACTGGTCCCATGCAGCACGCCATACCAAACATGGCTGCAAGAACACCAGCGTTGATGCCGATAGGCGCAAAGGCAACAACTGCCAATCGAATCAATGAGCCAGAAGGTCCAACTTCGAAGGCGGGCGAAGGGTTCTGATTGTTGGCGGTAGTGACGCCCGTCTGTGCATTCATGAACAAGTAAGCAACAGTTGTAGTGGCAGCAAGTAGCAGCGGCGTGAGGATCTCAGTGAGGAAAATGTTGGCCACAGCAGCGCGAGGGACGTCGGCAGACATCTTGGCAGAAGCATCGCCCATGACTTTGCGCTTGTAACCTGTGATGCGAGTGCGGGAGAGTCGGCAAAATGCGATCCAGGAAGAAGCATGCGAGCGAGAATTGCCTCGCGACAGCCAACGAAGGAAGTCACGGTAATCAATAAAGAAATCGGTCCAAGCAAACTGATGAGGGTTGTACAGGAATGGAGAAATAATGAGACCAAGCAAGACGATCCAGAAGTAAGTCAGAGCCGGCTGCCATGCCGTCGCCGTCGCGAACAGGAGCATCATTAGCAATCTGGCACCAAAGTAGATCGACTGCCCAGCAAACCGCGAGTACAAAACGCCAAAAGGAATACGAGCTGTTGCGAAACCACGGCCGGTACCGATATATCGTGCACCGCCAAATGCCAGATCCTGTTGGACGGAGTTGGCATAAATCTGGCAGACAAAAACTTCGAAAAAGGGGGATAGGGAGCAGAACTGCTTGATGAAGCGCAGAGCCGCACGCCAGACACCGCGTTCTGTCAGCTCCTGGACGATGAGGGGCACGAAGGAGATGAAGAAAACGAAGAAAATGGAGATAATGCACCGGTAAATCCAGCCCATCAACTCATCGGTATTGGAGCACTTCGTGGGGTAGAGAGGGTCTGTGATCGGTTTCTGCGGGTTGTAATCGCAGCGAATTGTTTCATGTCGAAGGGCACCAATGGACATCAGCGTCAGCATAAATGACTGGACAGACAGCATGATGAACATGTTGTTGACGTGGAAGCCGGCGTGGGCATAGTAAAAGGACAGGAATCTGTCGAGAGGGAGCTGAGTACCGAGATAGTAGTATTCTCGAGAGAGCCATTGCTCTCCCATGCCGGTACCAATCTTGGTGGTGAAATTAAGAATGGAACCAAAACCAAGATCGCGACCCTTGCCACACTGGTAGTATTCACAGTGCTTAATGCGTCCACCACGGACAAGTGCATTCATACCCGCAAAAATATCCTCATTCAAGTGCAGTCCCTTCTGCGCCTTTGATACGCCGCCTCGCGTTGTCATAAAAATGCCGTTAAGGAAATCAGGATGGCCGTAGTGAAGTTTACCACCAATCTGTGCCATGGTACGCGCAAAGAGGGTACCAAATGTCTGTTCCTTTCCGGCAGCGACGTCACCGAGAATACCAATATTCTCCGAGAAGATATATTCACGAGCACCGAGAATAGCAACGGGTGTGTGGACATCGTTCTGCACTCCAGGTGTGTAGGGCGATTGGTTATCCGGCTTCATCTCCTCGAACTCTGCAAGAACACTGCGAATCTTTAGGCATTCTTCCAGGTAATTGTCTTGATTGGCGTCAATAAGTTGAATGTATTCACCACGGTAGAAGATGATTGCGTGATTTTGATTGTCAGATTTGCCATCGCCCAAAACCGGGTTGCCAGAGAGCTGAACGCGGAACTTGGGACGCCTCATACCGTTCTCCATTAGTTCCGAATGACCGTCGATCAGTGCCGAGTAGAGACGAGGTTCCTCGCCTTCTGCGAGTGGAGGCTCTTCATCAAGGTAGGCAATTTGAAGATCTGGGTAAGCGCGAAGAAGAAATTCCGCATTCTCCATCTCTTCCTTCTTGAACTTAGAGTAGCGTTGCATGGAAACGACCAGTTTGAACTTGCGCCGAGCCATTCTCTCCAGTTCTCGCTCTAGCTTTTCCGAATTTCCGCCGAACATCTGAACAACCTCCGGGTTCTCAACACGATAGAGGAGTTTGATAGCACGGCTGTAATTCATAAAGCCGGAGACCGTACGATAGAGCGTTTGGGATCGCAATGATGCCCAAATACGAGTGCGGAGGGTGTATTCGGGGGCTGAGGACTTGAAGCCGATGCAATAGAATGGCAGATCGTCGATTTTACTCTTCGCCGTGTCTTTTTCGCTCTTCTCCGGTTCACCATTCATCTGAGCTGTCTCATCCGCTAGAATCTTTGTATCCTTGACAAAGCATTCCCATTCATGAGGATGTAGCTGCTTCAGGTATTCCAAGAGGGTCACACGGGAGTAAGGTTCGTCTTCACGGATGATTTCCCGCAGGGAGAGAAGAATCTTCTCACTGTAGTGAGGAATCATAACCGTAAACGTGGGCATGTTGTCGACAGGTACAGGCTCGGGAATTGGCGTCGACAGAGACTGGGCGAAGAATGATATGCGACGTTCAGCTTCGCTGTGGCTCGGGAAGAATTCTGTCTTGAAGGAGTGGTCTTCCTGGGAAACGAAGAACGTTGGGGCGCGAAGTGTCCGTTTGCCCTCCTGTTCAGAGGGCACCTGATGATACAACAGCTTTTGCACATGATCTATTGCAAGCAAGTGCTCTCGATACATCGAGATGACGATAGCATTCCAGACTTGGGAGATCAGGACTTTGGGTTTGTATTTGATCTCCATGTCAGTCGTTGCGAGTACCTTAGAATAGATACGCTTTGGAAGTCTTGAAAAGATGTTGCGCCACGGAGTCCAGATCGATGAACCAATGTAGAATGAGCGTGCAATGGAGAAGACGGTGTTCAAGATGACATAGAAGAGATATGTGTCCAGGAAGAAGAAAATCAAATCGGTGAAGGTCATGAGAATGAGAACAATAGTAGGCTGGTGCTTGCACAGTATTTGCTGCGTTTCCGCTGTGTTTCCGAACATTTTATCGCCCAAACAGTCAATCTTCATGATCGAGAGGTATCGAATTGGATCACGGAACGAGAGAGTGAGATATACGTAGGATTCGCCGAACTTTGCGCCAAAGACAGTGAGCCACAAGCCAAAGGACATGGCCATGTCGTTGCCAGTTAGGCGAGGGTAACTGGCTGTAAAAGTCTGGCTTGCCACGTATCGCCGGGACTTCTTGGTCAGATAGCTGCCAAAAAGGCCTCCAAGAGGCATAACCGAGAAGAAAAGAAACGTGAAGACAGCAATAACAAAGTGGACGATGCCTATAGCTTTATCGATAGGAGTGTCCTTGTTCCTCTGGTCCGCGTTTGTAGCCTTGCCATTGCCATGAAACATGAAGACTTTAACACCTGGTGCAACATTGAGGACGAGGATGACAATCAAAAATAGCAATCGCTTCGTGAGATGCTGTGCCCCGGCCCAGCGGCGTGGAACGTACACCCATTCAGCCAACGTCGCGAAAATTTGAATCAGTGACGCGATGGCGCCACCAAAGCCGACAATAGAGAATTGCTTCGAGGCGGGTGGTTGGTTGTCCTTCTGCTGCTCATACTGGTAGGTAATAAGCGATGGCGCGTTGTGGGAAGTGTAGAACCAGAACATGGTCAAATGAATGACCCAAATACGGTTGAAGTTGAGTAACAAATGAAACCACGAGCGCGATTCTTTGTAGGTTTTGAAAAAGCACTTCTTCCAGTTTACCTCCTTTAGCTTGAGGTAACGTTCAGCAGGAGGCAAGTCAACGAGTTTACTTTTGTCCTCGAGAACGATGCGCTCAATACCTTCGGGGTACCAAAACAACTGGTTGCAGTCATCGTAGCCAATAATATGCTTGTGGTCGCGTTCACGGCGAACATAGACGCCGTTGAGAATCTCATATCCTTGATCGCGACAGTATTGATACAAGGGCGTGATAACGTTGTTTAGGAAGGTAAATTCCTCAACAGGCTCAACGAGCGCCTGGCAGGCTGGAGAATTGAGATAGTCGTCCGCGCATTTGAAAATAAAGCAGAGACATTCAGGCATAAAGCGAACCTGATTGGCCTCCCCCCAGCAGAGCAAGTAAAGGGCAATTTGGCGAACACGGTCATACTGAGACATGCGGTTCATGCGCGTCTTCCAGCGATACTCCGCGGCCTCAAGACTGTCATCGCCCTCGAGTTCTTGAAGAGTTTCGGCTTCGTTCCCAGCATCGGCACCCTTCTTTTTGCCCTTCTTGGCTTTGCGCTTTCTGTTCTTGGTGGAGGCATTGGCAAAGCCCACAGCATCATCCAGGTCAAGATGAGCAGCGAAATACCATTTGCGGTAATTGGCATTATCACCTCCGACATAGTCAGCGTGGAGGGACAGGAGCGCCTGATTGGGTGTCATGCGGGAAGCTCTCGAGTCCAGAAGCGTCATGAGATGATCGTACATGTTGCGCATGCTGTCGCGTTGAAATCCGAATTTTGAGGTGAGGTCGAGAAAAATATCCTCAATCTCTTCCTTCGAAAGTGGAATTTGAGCGTCAGATGTCCAAGCGGGATACGGCTCTTTGGAGCGCTGGCTCGGTAGGCCGTTACCATACTCCATACCGTAATTTGGGGTCGAAGCACCGGAGGACCTATTACCGCCGTACGACATCTGCGAAGATGGCGGGCGATAGCCACGTCCACCATCTCCATATCCATTATATTGCTCATCACCACGACCATAATAATCCATTTCCGCAGCGCGAGCCATGTCGGATCTCATCGTGAAGTCGCTGAACGTCTCAGACTCTTCTTCAGATGGGTGGCGGCCACCTTGAGCATATCCCTGGTTGTATTCGCCATCATAATACCCTTGATTATTATTGTAGTAGTCATCTTGATACTGATCATGGCCATCGTAGTAGCCCCCATCTTGATGGTACGGATTGTTGGCATCGGCGTGGTAATATCCACTAATTGAGGTTAGTTGGCCGACTTCATCGCGAATAGAGAGAGGTACTCACGATTCATCATAGTAACCGTCGCCTTGGGCTCCTTGGGCACCATGGTCGCCGTGTGCACCATGGTCGCCTTGGCCATTGTCATAGTACTGATCGTCTTGATAATATCCATCACCGTGTCCGGCCTGGGCGTAGCCCTGGTCGTACTGGTCGTGATGACCGCCCTGGTAGCCAGACATGTTGTTTGCTGCAATCGGCTGCCAGAAAAAAGAGAATTAGCGTTGTGCTTGAGAGGGTCTTTTACAAATGAATTGACAAACCTGCGACTATATTACAACATTTGTTGCAATCGGAAGGTTGGACCAGTGTGTCAAGAAGCAGCAAGGTGGAAAGTCCTTGTCGCGATTTCGTCCGGCTAGATCAACTAAGTGCGATTGGGAGCGGGCGATAAAATCACACCGAAAGTATCGAGAGAACGGAAACCGCCAAGAAGCGAACGACGTCGTCGGCAGGACCTGCCTGTTGAGCGCAGCGAGACTGCGACTGGAAGAAACGAATGTGAATAGAAAGGAGAACGAGAGAAACTGTTTACTATCCGCAGTGCGTGTAGTAGAGTAATAGGCGGCACAGCGAAGGGAGGGTGTTGCCCATACAGAGCAGTAGCGTTGTCTCCTATCCTGCGATGTTGGTGATGGAGTTGGAAGACGAAGAGCGACCGATCCATCAAAAATCTCTTGGGAGGAAGGGGGCCAGGGGGGGAATGTGGCGGTGCTGTCATTCGTGGCCTGCCTTGTGCTTGTCAAATCTGGCATAGGTAAGCTTGGCTAGTGTACGTACGTACGTACCTATGTACATAGGTATTCGTGCAGCTCGTGCCTACTCGCCCCGGTACATAGGCACCAGAGCCAAGGTACCCCTTTGATAGCATACATTGCATTCAACCAAAGGTAGAGAGTGGCCAGGAGTAGGTACCTCGGTTGGATCAAACCTCGGTGGGGTACGCCTGCCAGCCTCCCTTTTCCGTGTACCAGTAAGAAGCCAGCCCTGCCTGTGTTCCAGGGGGAAAAGCTGGCGATGCCCCACTGACTCCGGCTTATCCGCCGCTTGCTCAGCAGGAAAAAATAGTTAGGGATGGCAGGAAAAACGTGAAAAAATCGATGGGCTACGATTAATGGTTCATGCTCTACCTACTTGAAGCCTATAAGGCGAATGCTGATCACCTTGTCGGTTCTCATGCCCATTTGCCTGCCAAACCAGTGCACTGCCTACACCTATCTATGAAAAGTTTACTGGTACAATTACTGTGATGCCAGGCTGATTGAGTGACGTACTTGAGGTACACCAAGCTAAAATCGGGGCACCACAAATCAGGTTCCTCTTGTTGCTGGGCTTCTCAGGGGTACAACCTTCCATGGTGCTATCAGCGCTGCAGGGGGTCAACGCAAAGTGGCTTATTGGTACCTGAAAATTGGCAGACAGGAGTTGGGTGCATGGCATCGGATCCATCCATTGGTAGCCCATAAGTACGGATACGTGCCTTCACCAGCTGCACACGAGAGCAAAAGCTACCTTTACTTGAACTGGCAGTGCAGCGTAGACCGATGGCAGGCCGCACTAATTGGGAAACCGTCACAGGTTATTGATTTATCAGGCAACGCAGGTATCAAAGAAAGAAATAACTATGCCTCACTAGATCCCCTCTTCATCCGAATTGAGAAAAGCAGCTAGCGCATCATCTGAAAGTTCGGACTCCGATGCTGAGTGTTCTTCCAGAGTTCTGCCATCCTGATCCCAAGCTATACTCTCATCTAGCACCAGAGCTTTGCCAGTCGAGATATCCACGGTCCGAGTTTCAATTGCCGGAAGTGAATGAGTTAATATTCTCAGCATCCTGGGTGTTTTCCTTCGAAGCACAAGGCTTTCCGCCTGCGTCTGCATGTCTGCTCTCAATTGAAGAATCCCTCCGCCGCTAGAACCACAGCGTCGAGAGTGGGTGGCCGATGTTCGCCATGAAGAGTTTGTAGCCAGACTCAGGTTAACCACAACTTTATTTAAACGTAGCCCGTTGCTATCAGTCCGAGGTTTTAGTGCGTTCGGGGCATATAGTGCGGGTGCGTAGTTGAAGGACTCGTAGATTACCAAGAAGAGCGCCAATAGTCGGGCAAAGTTCGCAGCCAGCCTCTTGATATTCAATTGAATCCCAGAAACCGACAGCCAGATCCAGCACTAGAACGGCAAGACTGTCTGCCGAGAGCAGCGAGCGCATCGTCGGCAGTGAAATATAGTCCCACTAACTTCCGAGAGGACTATGCGGGGGGAAGCAGCAATGGCGGATATCAAGAATGCGCAACTCGCGACAGCCCTTAATAGAGCAAGCTGGGCAAGGTCGTTCTCTAGCGTTTGGCGGTTAACCAGAGAGTCTGCCTCGGACATGTCATACATGCCCGCATCTTCACTGCTTAACGAGTGCGGGCTGTTCAATCCCCCCCAAGATTAAGACTCAAAACCTCGCAGCAGCTTATAAGGGCCGATGGCTGTTTTGAGAGTCCCAGCGTCGACTGCACGCCTCAAGGTGTAACCGCAAAGGATGATTCGCTTCAGACACTGGGGAAGAGCGAACTCGTACCACCGTTTGCAGATCGTCAAGTGGTTTACATTCTCTTGAAAAAAAAGACGATTCGATATGTTCGAAAATGAGTCGAAGGATTTCGGGGGGCAGTTGCAGAAGTAACATAACAAAGGACGAGGCATAGAGTTCTGTTAATAAGGGCTGAGGTTTGTACCAGGGCGATAACGATGCTCTCTAGGTACTAATGGAACTAGTCGACCCCACTTATTAATGACCGAAAAGTACAAACTTGTTTCAACTAACATACTTTTAGTACGCGCCCTTTTAAAAGCATTATAAATTAAACATTAAGTAAGCATACTAATTCTAAATGATATAAGGAAAAATTGATAGTACTTAATATTATAATATATAATACGAACGAACAAGTAGTGAAGAAGGTGCATTGAATCTGATAGAGAGGAGAAGGAGAAGATACTGGAGGCTATGTACCTGAAAGGGGGGGGCCGTTAGCCCCTCCTACCCGATGTATGCCTCAGGCCCTCAGTTACTAAGGAGCGATTCAATACACTCTATTCCTTGAATTAGTATTTGAACCACGATTGTTAAGTAGCATGTGTACAGGGCAGTTCTTAGTAGGAACAGTTCTCCGTTTGATGGTTAAATGCAGTTTTCGTTAGTGCATTTGAGTCCGTTGTCTGCCACTGAACGACACTCGTTGCATCTTGGATAGTATCGACACATAAGCCCTAATAAGCCACCAGTGAGAAGGTGGTACCGCCGTTTTGCTGCGCGACAATAGGTGACTAGTTTTGCATGATTAACTGTGCCGGCGGTTTGTGAATGTACATTGCGAATAAGTGCAGAGTGTTTCTAAAAAATAATATGTGCGCGGAAAAAAAGAAAGTTTAATGATCGATTGTTTTCATGGCTTTCTCAGTTGGAAGGTCAAGCTTTATAGCCCTTGTCTGTCCTCGTTGGGGGGGGGCCTGGTGCATTTGGAAATAATGGGCAACTTCATATTTCGGAAAGACAAACCAGCCGTGAAAGTCCTGATGGAAAGGCAATGCAGCGTCATGAAAAGGCAGCCTATCCCCCTCATCCTCACAAAAGGCAAGCCAGCCTCATGCCTCCTCATCTATTTTCCTCGTCCAAACTCAGGCGCCAGCGTACTCTTTTAACCAAACGCCTTTGGATACTCTATTATGACGGAAGTCCCAAACAACCACTAGCAGGGCTTTGCCAGCTTGTCTCCGGGGTCGGACAAGTACAAACGAATCAACCGTCTCGTATGCGGTGCAAATTTTGCCTATCTCGAAGCACAAGGCTTAGAGTCGCGACGGAGGCACCAGCCAAGTCTGCCTTTAGATGTTAAGTGCAGCGTCGATGTAACGCACTTCACGTCTGACTTCAATATGTCATCTTCAAGGTTGAATTCTCGGATAAGGTTCGATGGATCGCACGAGTCCCATACAAAGACTTTAGCGACAGCGACAGAGTCTCGGTGCTCAGTGAGATTGCTACCATGGCTCTCATTAAAAACCACACCACCATTCCTATCCCTCAAGTTTACGATTTCGAAGCGTCAACAAACCACCATTTCGGCTACCCTTACACGTTGATGGAGCGCTTGCCTGGCAATCACGTTTCAAATGGCGTGGCGGAGTCGATACCGGGAGAGCATCATGCCAAAATAGCCAGACAGCTGGCGAATGTGTTCTCGGAACTCCAGAATCTCACATTTACCCGCATTGGACGCATCATGTGCGGGGATAAAGCTGATGGACCTGTTGAGGTGATTCCCATGGCTTGGCATTGTTCGCCTGGGCCTCTTGAAACGTCGTTTGAATATTTTTACAATCAGAGACAAGCAGTTGTCAGTCTGCCCAGAGGTTGTTGCATTTCCGGGCTTATCAGAGGAACAGAATCGACCCATTGTCGAGCTAAAGAATCTTGTTCTGGAAATTCTGCGGGAGATGGAGAAGACCCAGAGAAAACGGCGGCCTCTTGATAGCCCTGGTTTGGAAATGGAAGAGACAAAGCAGCTGACACTTCTTTCCACGTATATGGCTTCCAAAAGTGCAATAATTACCCATCGCCAGTACATGGCAACCCCACCTGGAAGTCTCTTTGCCTGTAAACGAACGGCGAAACTTCTGTACGGAGAAACTGTCACCTGGGAGCAGCTGCGGCAGATATACGGCAATGCCGCTTGTCTAGATGGCCAGTACAGCTGGCTGGAGGACTGGGATTGAGTCTAGTCGTTGCACAGTTGATGAATACGACCATGTGAAGTACACGACGATACAATCCGACCAGGCGGCATTTCCTTTCACTCTCTAGCTAGCCAATACTGGGTACTTCATGATTTATATGCCGCACTTACTCGTTGCACCAGTGTGATTGTTTCTTGCTGAGCCTGGAGCCAAGCCTAACTAGCTAGGTATTCATGAATAGCTGGATTGAACGACGCCTCACTAGTGACTGTCGCCACAACATCCAGCCCCACGAACTTCGAAATTAAAAAAGGAGTGTCGAGGTCTGATAAATGGGGCGCAATTGGGAGCTCCGCAATATTGCATAACTTCATGCAATGAACTAACTCGGTGTACCTGACTGAACTGGTGACTTATGTATGTACCAATGGCAACGCACCTCTCCACAGTCCCATTTGTCTAGGCATCATGAAATCATACGATGCACAATGCGCCCCATTCCTGGCAGACGTATGTTTTTAGCCCCCCATCGGGTTCCTTGTTGTTGGAGGCTGGGAGTGGCAACGAAGCTGAGAAGACGGCGATCGATCCTGGCCTATGTGGGCCTCCCTACCTTGGTCGCCCAAAATCCTAAAATAGCTCGACCTGGGCGCCGACCTACATAGTAAGTTAACAAGGACATATAGTACGATTACAATTCATAATCAACGAAAATGGCGCATTTTCAACGGGTGGCGGCCCAGGTTCTCCAGGATGCGGCTCTTGTGTGTTCTTCTGACATTAGAACTTCGTAGGTGCTGGTTTATCCAGAGTACCTTAGTACCCATAACGATGAGAGGCAGAGCAAGAAACATTCATTTACTTATGTGCCTGGTGATTTATGCAACTGTCTGGATATCGTGCTAGTCGTGACTACAAGATGATTCTCGTTAAAATATCACGCGTCGTAATCTTCTGGGTTTCACATCAGCGGGAATAACAAGTTCATGTTGTAGCATCCAATCATTTGGTTTATTTGGTTATGTGCATCACGGCTGTAGATGGATTACATAAACTCGCAGCAATTCGAGAAGGGTCACGTGATGCGGCTGAGGGTTGTCTTGGTTGTCCTGGCAACATACCTAAATAAACCATGGGCCAAGGCACGAGGGCATCTTTCACTTTCTAGCCCGCCCAACGGTAGACCTTAACGCTCCCACTCTTCATACGAACAGCAGCCTACAGAAGCGCCTGCAAGCTACGACAAACAGCATGTCTCGACTGATAGACCAACTCGCCCACCATGATGAACCCGAGGACGAACCCACGACCCAAGAGCTCCCAAAAATCCGGCTAGAACCCAAGACTCCCATGCGGAGGAGAGAGCTTGTACCAAGGTCTACCGTGCAAACATCTACACGCAGAGTTCGTCGCCTGGATGGCGAGAAGCTCGCTGCCGCCAACCCTCTTTTCCAGCCTTGGACCACAGAGAGCTCTAAGAAGGTTCTGGACTTCTCCAGGAATCTATCACCTCGTAAGGCTGAGCTGAAGATGAGAAACCCGCTTATGGGAGACGCTGTCTTAGCCAACCGAAGACAGACACGACAAGCCGCCAACACCACACTCCTCGGCTCCACGATGCTTCACTCCACGGTCTCGGACCATGATTCAGCCTCAACATCGTTCTCAGAGGTTGACATGGGTGATGTTACCCTGCCTGCAAGCCTCCAGCTTGCAAGCCACCCCACTGAGTTGTCCCAGCGCATGGCTCGATTGAATAAGGATAACTGTGTCACTATACTCGAGGATAGCATTTCTCTCGACAGCGCTGGGCTCGAGGACGACGGGCAAACTATTAAGGCCGGACTCAGTCGCAGCAGCGAGACCATAATTACCGAAAGCATTTCCCTACCACTCTCACCCCAGGATGCCAATGTTCAACACCATGTTGATATACTCCGTCCACAATTCTCCCAAATGAGCGTCCCAGCGATGGACAGCGCTGAGAAAGAGAACACCGATGTAATCGATATCCCAGTCGTCAATGAAGACAGATTAGTCGAGCAGCTGGCAGATGAACAACTCTGGGGCAATGAATCCAGCAACGATAGCGAGACTCCGGGTTTCGGCATTACACTCTCGCGACAGCCCTTGACATCTCCCCGAAAAGCACGCGGTGTCCCACAACCTCCCCACACGCCTACAAGAGATGAATTCTGGAGACAGAGTCTTGTTGATTGCTGGAATGATGAGCATAGCCCTCGGAAAGCTCTGAAAGCAGCTATACGATCTCCATTTAAGCAAGCTGGCCCTACTAAAGCCAACAAAATGTCATTCGAAGCTGCCAAGTCCACACTCGCTGTTCAGTTTCTCAAGGAGCTGGACCACCAAGTCACGGACGGAAAAATTACTCAGCTATCTGAATCAACAGGAGGGGTCAAGATCGAATGGTCGAAAACTCTCAACACAACGGCTGGACGAGCAAACTGGAAAAAGGAGACCGTCCGGACTGCTCCATCAGATGGGACTGACGCTATCGTTACCTATAATCACTATGCATCTATCGAGTTGGCTGAAAAGGTGATCGATGACGAGAGCAGGCTTCTGAACGTGCTGGCCCACGAATTCTGCCATCTTGCCAATTTCATGATCAGTGGTATCACAAACAACCCGCATGGCAAAGGATTCAAGCATTGGGCTGCAAAGTGTTCACGAGCGTTTTCCAGTCGTGGAATCAAAGTCACGACGAAGCACAGCTATGAAATCGACTTCAAGTATGTATGGCAATGCGGCGGTTGCTCATGCAACTACAAACGGCATTCGAAGAGTATCAACCCCGAAAAACATCGATGCAGCGGGTGTCACGGCAAGCTGGTGCAAATCAAGCCGGTCCCCAGAAATGGTGGAAACCCCAACGAATACCAACTCTTTATCAAAAATGAGATGAAGACCTTGAGGCAAGAGAACCCAGGTAGCCCCCAGAAAGTCATTTTGCAAAAGGCTGCAGAAAAGTGGGTGAAGAGATCAAAGTTGTCGGGATCGCAACCCGCGCAAGAAGTCGGCGATATTGTCGCTCAGCTACATGGTCTTAGCTTGAGGGAGTGACGACCACGCGAGAGATTGGGATGCTCTAACATTGTATATAAACTGTATCATGATCATTTGCAAACATCATTGCATTTCTCAGTTGTAAATACTACAAAACTATGTCTGGTTCACATGACTTGTTGAACTCAACTTGTTACCCACTTTGTAGACTGTCTTGAGTATCTGACATGTGGCAGTCTTTTTCACGAAACAGTCTCACAGAATGCCAGTAAAAACATCTTGATAAGGAGGTTTGCGCATTCATACTACTTATCAATAACGAAGAGACCCCAGTCCTTGATATTGAATGACTTCCAGATGCGTGCGGAATATTCGACGGCGTCACCTATGAGCTTGCCTTGTCTGCCTAGCTCTAGATCCACGTCTTCTTCGTTGTACTCCCCTTTAATATGGGGCACATTTATTGTGATTAGGATATCTGTCTTGTATTTCTCGACTCGCAGAAGGGTCATAATTATCGCCGTGAAATCGGGAGACGACGACCCGTCTCTGGACTGGCTCGATTTGGGTGTCTGCGTCGCGATAAGAGTATAGGCCGGGTATTTAGACCTGTTTTGAGGGTTAGATAATAGAAATCGTGCGAAAGCAATCTGCCATAGACACAACAAGACACATACTCTAGGCGACTGAACTCAGTGACGGCAGTGTTCCAGATCTTGACGCTTTTGATGTCGGATCCGACTAGCTCTTCTAGATGGGTCGAAATAGCACGGCCGTCGATCTCATCTCCCCTACCCGACTCTCCTACACGCTCAGTTATGTCGAAAATTATGCTGGTGAAGCCATCCTCATCGATCCACACTTCTTGGTTATCCGGGACCTGTCGCAGTTTACTAAAAAAGAGTCAGCAAAGAACGAGCCCTGAATCAAGTAACAATAGCATTACCTGACATCTGCGAACTTCTCGGGGAGATCGCAAACCACAGCGCCGCCGTATAGCGACGTGCTCAGGAAGTTTGGCATGTTTGGTCGTGGTGCTCTGCGCTTTTTGCGTAGTCTCTCCGGATATCTGACGTCGCAAAAGGGATTCCTGGGAGCGTTTATGGACTGCAAAGCGCCTGAAACGAGGAAATCTCTCCGATAGCAGTATGTAGCCCGCCCAGTATTGGCTGAAGAAACGCAATGCGCCGTGGCGCAGTCGAAGCTGTGACGAGATGAGGCACAGAAACCAGCTTCGGTGGGGTGATGTGGGGGCTATCCTTCCACAACTACGTCACATCGGGAGTGTTTGATAGATATCTACTTAGTAGGTCGTACATGATAATTGCTAAATTGTTTTGGTAGCCGTGTATAATAAACGTCCCGTGAATCACTATCCGTATTGATTTATAAAATACTTTCTTTATATTTCTTCGACCCGCCGACTTTGGGTTGAGAATGACTGCTTTGCCTCGTAAACAAAGGAGGCAACAGACAATATTTAAACGGTCAATGGCCAAAGTCCAGTTTTCTAGCAGCAAAAGTCGTCAAAAAAAATATCTTGCGAATCATCGAGGACTTATTGATACCTAGATGAATTTTTGCGAGCCGAAATATAGGCAGGCGATAGCGGCAAAAAGAGAATCGAATCTGGAGACTCCAGACGAGTAGTGCCAAAGATTGGGAGAACGGAGTTCGCTGGGCCAATCCCACGGTCACATCTGGTAAAAGGCAAGAGGTGAGTTCGATGGAAGGTCCCACTCCAATTCGATGAGCCCGTTATTTTTGGCTATAGCCCTATGTCAAAGATTTCGCAGCTCATAAAGTATCTTTTCTGGCAGTATAGAACCACAATAAAAGATATCAGCTTCCCCCCGCCCGCTACTATTCCATTTCCTTCTCTGCTCCCACAATACTACTAGATAGCCAGGCGTAGCTCCCCATCAACGTGAATAGTCAACGAAAACAATTTGGCGCTGACACCCTACATCATCACAAAAATACCTGACGACCCCACAGTCAGCTCCCAGAGCCACCCACCTACCTACCTATGTACCTACCTACCTGTTACCTGCTAGTTAACTACCTAAGTAGTTACTACTAAAGTATGTATGTATGCATGTACCTACCTAGGAGGTAGGTGCCAGTAGGTGCGGATATATACATACAAATTGCCACCTCCGCAAGCTCCTCCTCACCCATTTCAAACAATACAACCACGCCTAAGATCCCGTGCGGCAGTTTGAGAAACCTATAGAGCCATCATGGCGGCGTGTATTTTTTGCCGTATTATCAAGGGTACGATGCCAAGTCTATCTATTCCCGAGACTGCTACTGATTGATCACCTAGGTGAAATCCCCTGCATGAAGCTCTTTGAGACTGAGAAGACGTTGGCATTCCTTGATATCGGCCCTCTCAGCAAAGGACACGCAGTAAGACCTATATATCTAAAAGCCTGCGAAATATCTCACATGTGACGAAAAAGCTTGTCATTCCTAAATTCCACGGCGCAAAATTGGCGGATATTCCCGACGACCAGCTTACGGAAATTCTGGTAAGCAATCTTTGACGTTATTCGCACACTGTTCAAACCTGCTAACGGTTGATACAATAGCCGACCCTCAAGAAGCTGGTGTCCGCGACCGGCGCTGCCGATTATAACATCTTGCAGAACAACGGCACTATTGCTCATCAGCAAGTTCACCACGCAAGTTCACTCATCTTTGACTCCATCCCAGTAACAACTGCTGACTGCTCTTCCAGGTCCATTTCCACATGGTACAAAAAACCGGCTATAACGAGCGCCCCAAAACGTACACTAACTTTGAGCAGATTCCAAAGCCGAATGAGACAGAAGGCCTTGGCATCAACTGGCCGGCCACTACCGGTGACATGGACAAGCTGAAGTCTCTCTGCGAAGAGATTAAGTCCAAGATGTGACGGAAATAGAGCTACTGTCTGAATGATCAGTTGTTTGTAGTAGTCAAGCATGGAGAGGGGTGCATGGAGTAAGGAGTAGAGTAAGGTGATATGAAGGGGATGTTATTCAATCTATATGGGAATTCAAGAGTGTTACGAAAGATTCCCTCGCCACCACAATGTGCAGCTGTACATCATTGTACAAGTTTGATGCGGTGTGGCACATATCAATCTAGCTGCTGTATTAATTGGTCGTCGCCGCACCTGGGTAGAATGTGATCGCGCCATTCGCACCAATGACGCCTTGACGGTCATAAAGTGACCTGGCGCGGATGTATGGATCCAGCTTCCAGTAGTTTTCTTTCAGTTGTGTTGCGAGGGAGTCGCGTTTTTCGCGAGCTCGTTTACCACTCTCATTTGCACCGTCACGGAGCCAAGCATTTGTAGCCTCTTCGAACTGTTTCACGAGCCCAGCTCTCTCTTGAAGAATACTGTCTCTAGTAACAGTATCTTGCATGGCGGCATTCTCATTTTCCTTGGGCTCGATGTATTTGTACCCCCAGTCTTCATCTCCCTCGAGTTCTTTGGGGATCTGACTTGGCGCGATGAACTCTTCCAATCCGCTTCGGCCGTTGGTGAAATGAACCTTTGCTGCGACAACTGGGTCCAACCAAGGCTTAATAACACGCCAAATACCTTCGATTTACACATTAGCAGGTTTTTAACATTATGAATACCTGGGACACCCTTACCTTGGAAGAGCCAGGGGGCATTCTGGATTAAAACGGCACCGAGGGATTCAGGGTAATTCGCCTCGAAACATTTTATCATAAACTTCACAGGGGCATAGTCCATATTGGACAGAGTGAAGTTTGTCATGTCGAAGATGATTGTCTAATTACTTGATTAGCTGTATGTTTGTTATCTGGGTCTGGAAGGATACTTTACATACCGCTGTCTCGACTGGTGCACTAAGGAGGAGACGCGCAGTTTCAATAATGTGAACTGTGTATTTCTCAATGCTTTCGGCACTCTGCTCGCCGCCGTGGTGCAGGCGAACACGGACAACGCAAATCGGTCGACCTTCTCTGTCCGAACCATGAAGAAAGCTTTTACCCATGCGAAGCTGGGCGAGGAAATCAGCCCCTACCTGTTTTGCTCCACCACTTCCATGTTGTTCATCATGTAGAGCACCAGCCTCGCCGTTTTTCATGATGTCACCATCCACCTTCATTTCATTCCTTCTCCAGTGGACAGCTGCAACGAACATGACAAGGGCTTGCTGGACGTTCCATTTGCGTGCTCGGAGAAAGCGTAGCGCGAGAACATCTGGATGATCGTGCTTCGTCATCTCCCAGATGGACTCTCGGATTGTTTCAGCTGACTGTTTGGCCAGAATCTCGTTGTATTGCTTATTCAGGCCAAACTTGTCTTCATCAGCAGCAGATTTGCCAGAAGAATCTGCATTTTCATTCTTTCGGAACATGCTGAAGCCCCATCCGCCACTGCTTTGTTCGGGCTCCGGCTCCGGCGCGGCAGCTTTCTTCGCAGCATACTTCGCAGTACCATTCGCGCTTTCAGACCAGCCAGACACATTGGCAATAGCCTGCCAGAATTCCTGCAGCTTCTTCTCTTGTTCGGCAGAGAGATTGCCGAGGTGTCCAGCGGGGATCTCAGCGGTCGTCATCGCGCAAGGCAAGACGTCGTCAGCCAGCTCTCCAATACCAGTTATGGCAGAATGGAAGTTCCAGTAAAACGCTACGGTCGATACAATAGCAGCGAAAACAAAGATCGAATGGGAGGAGTTACTTTGTAGGGGTACCGAGTGATCTGACAGTAGGCGCTTGTAGTGGCTCGCGCAACTTGAACCGCCTGCTTCAGTGGCGCTTCTTTTGGCTAGAAGCTTGATGGTGCTTGTTTGCTGGCGTGCGGATGCTGTTGGTGATAATAATTGGTTCGTATACCAGAGTGAGCAGTGTTTTCTGGCCTTAAATGCTCGAAGTAAGTTCCTGTTCATAGGTAATAGAGGCGAGCTTGGAACTTGAAGCAGGCTGTTTGGCTAGGTAGTCCCCCTCGGTTATGACGTTGGGATTGTGCGAATAGGTGGGAGAGTGCTAGTTGTCGGTAAGCAGCGAAGTGTCCGTATAGCGATTTGAGTACGGCGGCACTGCTATGCGTGAAGCCGGCAGCAGAGGGATAAGGGCTGAAATATATTGGACAAATTTCAGCTCAATCGAGCTCTAGGGTGCGTTGGCGGTGATCTCTTGTGATTTTCACATAGTCTTCTAGACAACCCCGCTGGCCCAACTCCCGCCCCACAAGTTGCTATAGCACCGACATGAGCGGATTAGTTGGGAGAACCTCCAAGTTGGGACGCTATGTAGCAGTACACAGTTTTAGTCCCACGCTTGGTTTCTGCGTGCTGATTCAAGAACCTGTCGTTGGAGAGTAGGTGGGAGAGAAGGAATTACTGGCTATGTACCCTCTGAGAAGGCGATTCCATGGCATTGCTGGGTGAGGGTTGGAGAGGCCAATTGGTGTGGATGTGCGGGGCATTTTCGTGTCACGATTAGCTGTCTGGACGCGTACTTGCTAGGTAGTACTTTCTCGTTCAAACTCGAATGAAGCGGTCATTTTACTTGCCTCGGTCTAACTAGTCAATCGCAGAATACTGAAAATCCGAACATCGCTGAAATTTCTGACTTGCCCAATTCGCCAGACAAGATTATCAATCCGGCTAAGAACCCCAAACTCTCGTTAACGCGGGTCAACAACGTGTCGCCGAAATGACATTGGAGGCAACGGATCCAACTACGAAGCGCCCTGGCTCGCGCCCACGAACACCGCGGCCTACCACACCGCTACGTCCCTCATCGCGGTCATCATTCCGTGATTCAGGGCGAACAGCAGGGGACGGTGACTCGCCATTTCCGCTCAACGCATTCGAGCCGGCATTCGCGGAGCTTTCGGATGCGATGACAGACCTGGAAGCGAATATGATGCATTTTCAACTAATGCATGAAAGCTTGGCACGCTTTGGCGAATCCTTCGCCAGCTTTCTATATGGCCTCAATATGAACGCCTTCTGCGTGGATTTTCCAGAGGTATTTTTATACCGTGTCAACAACGACGTCTTGAAAGTTTGTGGCTAAGTATTAAAGGCACCTATTCTTGAGTCGTTCCGACGCAGTCGACAGCAAGACAATCAGCAGCTGGAGATGGCCAAGCCCGAAACTGACACAGAAGTAACTTTTATGTGAGCTCTACCGTTATCAATTAATCAGCCAACGCTGTTGTCTGTTTGCTGGCCCTGTCGTCGCTAACTTTGTATAGGACCACCGAGGTATCCTTCATTGACAACCCTCCAGCATTCAATAAGCCGAAGACGCGAAATGCGCCTCAAGGACATCGCCAATCGCGCTTACCAGCTGCACGAGGCAGTGCAGCTAGAGGTCGAGCAACGACTCGCGCTTACGGTAGAACGAGCGGGCTTGCGCGACCAAGAGGCCGGGGTGTGAGGTAACCGGATAACCCTCTAAGGATTTTCGAATGAAACTAGATGCCGCAAACATGCATTTTCATAAACCATCATGCCACCATCTTCACGTCCTCGCTGGCACTCGGCGTGGCGGCTGGTTCGTCTATCGTGTTGCGTTGGGGAGGAGTATAACTCCCTCCTGGAAGTCTCGCGGCATCGGCCCCTTCGCGTAATTGCTTCAGACTAAGGCAGGCTACTATCAGTATAAAGAAACTAATCTGGGCAGGACTGAGAACAAACCGTCGCTTATGAGGCTTTCCGCGGGTGTGGGATACCAGGGCCGCATTCGTATCGAACCATTTAGCGCATTCTATACAATAGTTTCGACCAAGACCGGGCAGCTCCTCTGTAGCCTTAGCATCCTTGAACCCTCCCAGATGTTTTGCAGAGGCAAGGTCGGCTTTTATTTGATCGAGATCCCTACCCAAGTTAGAAAACCTTTGCTCTACTCAGTGATGATGCACTTGCCTTGTTTTTCTTCTTGTCTTTGTGACGGTCCTTTTGCTCGCGACACCCATTGTATGTTTAGCGCGACGTGAAACCGATGTAATTACTCGCTTTCTGGTGTATGATACATATGGTATATGGTGAATTTAATGGCAAGAATCGACACCATGCCTGGAATTTTTGGTGGGGATGCGGCCTTATCGTTATCCAGCAACAAAAATCACGTGGAGATTAGCGGCTTCCGCAGGCACCACATTCTGAAGTGGGATTATATGTTCTGAGGATTACGAACATTTATTAACGGATACCATCATCAGTACCAGTTAGACTATAAAGCACTATAATGTATCATGCATTTAAAGGCTTCTACGATGTGAGCCACAAAGACTCAAAGGAGCCGTTAGTCTTAAAGTGTCAAGAAATTTGCATACTCGTCACGTAAGTCTTAAGACAGGTAACTTCCAAGGTCTGCCTGCGCCCATATGCGCCTGCATCCTAAGATATGAATGCCAGAATCCTTGACCCATTAAAAAGGGTCGACAATGACTGTCCCTTACGAAGAATTGTCAGCCATATCAACTATGTATTAGCTTTGTTTGGATAGGACTTGATGGTCATTTTGATGGGGCTGCTGTATTTTTATCTCCTCTCGTAAGTCCTTAAACGTGTCGGGGACCGAGCCAAGGGAGGCCAATTCCGACCAGCGGTACGGAACGAAGGCTTTACTCACGGTGACCGACACAAGCCCGGTCCAACCGAGGTCAACGTTGGTCTACAGACCCGAAAAAAGTTTGCAGGGTGCACAGTCTTCTTTCATTTACTGTGGGCTGGCAGGGGCTTTCCGCGTGAATGGCCCATCGGTCCGGCGAATGCTGGAACACCAGGCTCTTTTTGAAGCATCGTTAGCGTGCATGTGGCTTGGTTCACCCACTCGTTACATCCGGCCACATACATACCTGGTAGGTAGGATTTGGCGCGGTCATTTTCATGTGCTGTAATTCGATTACCGACCGCGCATGCCCGGACTTGCGATAGAAACAGCCTGGAGAGCTTCTCTAAGTGGGAAAAAATGAGGCTGCACGGCTACCGCTATTAAGTGGTTGCTGGGCAAATTGCCACTATGATCGCAGGCTTACGTGACGTATGAATGATTTTTGACATGATGCGGCCAGCATGTTGTTTCGCCTCCCGACCTGCTTGCCCGTGTTCTCGGCGCAGTGGAAAGCCATGACCCCGGCTCAGTCCGCACAGCCCATGACGAAAGCGACGTGAGTATTATTTTCGCCTGTGCCGTGAGTGGCTGGTTTCTTCCAAAAGCCTCAGAATGTCTCCACACGACAAGCCTGGAGCTGTGCAACCAGACAGTGGATCCGCCGGGGGCCATCCTCTGGCCAGCTCGGCAACAAACCTAAGAACTCCTCACATCGCCTGCCTCTCCCTTCCTTTCTTTTATAGCCCTCCTCCCCCACTGACTTGTGGAATTGACTTTTCTCCCTGAGTGAAAGGCCTCGCTCGTGTGACCTATACAAACACTCTCCCCTCTCTTCACAAATTGGCCCAGCATGCTTGCCTCAAGACAGGTTCTGGGCAACGTTGCCCGGAGCCGCGCCTTTGCCGGCACCGCCGCCGGCATCCGTCGCCTCGCCACCGTCTCCGACTCTCCTCTGGACAGAAAGGTACGCGACATTTATTGATCACGGGTGCATAATTTTGCTGCACGATGCATCGCGATCTTCCTGTCTGCAGCACAGCGCTAACGAGGGCTTGTCCGTACAGGTGCGCCAGAACAACTGGGAGGAAAGCAACTTCATCAACTACAAGAAGATGTCAGAGAACCTAGCTATTGTTCGCGGTCGCCTCAACCGACCCCTGAACTATGCCGAGAAGATTCTTTACTCTCACTTGGACGATCCCCATGGACAAGAGATTGAACGTGGCAAGTCGTACCTCAAGCTTCGCCCCGACCGTGTTGCTTGCCAGGATGCCACCGCGCAGATGGCCATTCTGCAGTTCATGTCGGCCGGCATGGATGCCGTGGCCAACCCCAGTACTGTACACTGCGATCACTTGATTGAGGCTCAGGTTGGCGGCAGCAAGGATCTGGCTCGCGCCATCAACATCAACAAGGAGGTCTATGACTTCCTCTCCAGCGCCTGTGCGAAGTACAACATTGGTTTCTGGAAGCCCGGTTCCGGTATTATTCACCAGATTATCATGGAAAACTATGCCTTCCCCGGCGGCCTTCTCATTGGTACCGACTCCCACACACCCAACGGTGGTGGTCTTGGTATGGCCGCTATTGGTGTCGGTGGTGCTGACGCAGTCGATGTCATGGCCAACTTGCCCTGGGAGCTGAAGGCTCCTAAGGTCATCGGCGTTAAGCTTACTGGCGAGCTCTCGGGCTGGACCTCGCCAAAGGATATCATTCTCAAGGTCGCCGACATTTTGACCGTCAAGGGTGGTACTGGTGCCATTGTCGAGTACCATGGTCCTGGTGTCGACAACATCTCATGCACTGGTATGGCCACTATATGTAATATGCAAGTAGAACCAACAACGACGACGGGCCGCCGTCGTTCTCATGAACTCATGGCTAACCATCTCTTAGGGGTGCTGAAATTGGTGCAACCACGTCCGTTTTCCCCTTCAACGACCGCATGTACGACTACCTTGTTGCCACTAAGCGCAAGGACATTGGCGACTTCGCACGCACTTATGCCAAAGAGCTTCGCGAAGATGAGGGCGCTGAGTACGACCAGCTGATTGAACTCAATCTCTCTGAACTCGAGCCTCACATTAACGGACCGTTCACACCTGACCTGGGCACGCCAATTTCTAAATTCAGCCAAGCTGTGAAAGAGAACGGCTGGCCTGAGGAGCTCAGAGTTGGCCTCATTGGCTCTTGCACCAACTCTTCGTACGAAGACATGTCCCGCGCTGCGTCCATCGCGCGAGATGCGCTCGACCACGGCATCAAGGCTAAGGCTGCCTTCACGGTTACCCCTGGATCTGAGCAAATCCGGGCCACCATTGCCCGTGATGGCCAACTTCAGACTTTCGAGGAGTTCGGCGGTATCGTTCTTGCCAATGCATGTGGTCCTTGCATTGGCCAGTGGGATCGCACCGATGTGAAGAAGGGTGAGGCCAACTCCATTCTTTCCTCATACAATCGCAACTTCACTGGTCGAAACGACGGTAATCCCGCAACCCACTCCTTTGTTACTTCGCCCGATCTTGTCGTGGCTCTCACCATCGCCGGTTCTCTGCACTTCAACCCCCTGACCGACAAGCTCAAGGACAAGGACGGCAATGAGTTTATGTTGAAGCCGCCTACGGGTAACGGTCTTCCTACTGCTGGCTATGACCCCGGCAACAACACCTACCAGGCACCTCCCAAGGATCGCTCTACTGTCAATGTCCAGGTTGCGCCCACATCGGACCGCCTCCAAGTTCTTGAGCCTTTCCAGCCTTGGGATGGCAAGGATGCCAAGGACATTCCCATTCTCATCAAGGCACAAGGCAAAACTACCACCGACCATATCTCTATGGCTGGTCCTTGGCTCAAGTACCGTGGCCATCTCGACAACATCTCCAACAATATGTTGATTGGTGCTATCAATGAGGCCAACGGTGAGGCCAACAAGATCAAGAACTTCACCACCGGTGACTGGGATGCTGTGCCTGCCGTTGCCCGTGATTACAAGAAGAAGGGCATCAAGTGGGTCGTTGTTGGTGACTGGAACTATGGTGAAGGCAGTTCTCGCGAGCATGCTGCCCTAGAGCCTCGTCACCTTGGTGGCCTGGCCATCGTTACTCGTAGCTTTGCCCGTATTCACGAGACGAATCTGAAGAAGCAGGGCATGCTTCCTCTCACCTTTGCCGACCCCGCTGACTACGACAAGATTAAGCCCGATGACAAGGTAAACTCTATTTCAACACAGGATTTGCGACTCTGCTAACAATTCATTACAGGTTGATATTCTCGCCACCCAACTTGCGGTCGGAAAGCCCATTACTATGGTTGTTCATCCCAAGGATGGCAAATCTTTCGAGGTCTCTCTGCAGCACACATTCAACGAGGCTCAGATCGAATGGTTCAAGAACGGCAGTGCTCTCAACACCATGGCTAAGGCCGCCCGCAAGTAGGATCAAAAACACTTTTCGAAGGGAATTATACCTAGGCGCTATTTTTGCATGAATTATTTTACGCTGTGAACAGAGAGAAGGAGTTGGTCGGGCTCAGAGTGGCGCTTTCGAGTACAAAGGCTGCGTCGCTTGTTTTTTTTTTTCGGTCTGGAAAGACTTGTTATATTTATGTGTACCAAGATAAAAAATTTCTTCAACTTACTGAAATGTGATTGAGAGTCCTCCCTGTGTATCTCGATATCGTTGCGACATGTAGAGGAATGCTATCAAGCCCAGGACAGAGCATCGAGCACACTTCCTACTACCCAGGTATCTTATCAATATATTAATACTATGAAGATTGAGGGTGGTAACGCTGTTATCCTGAGGTGCCTGAGTGGTGGAGCATTCCACCGCAGCTGGCAAGGCGCAAGGTCACGTGTCGATATGCAACGACCCCTTGAACAGCGCTGCGAGAAACGATGACAGCGACAACCTGCACTTCAACTAAATACTTTCTGGCGAATTGGCCCTCAAACTGCGGGAGTAGCTGGTTTTTCGGGAATCTCGTGTGTTGAGATTATCGCGCCGGCGACATTGATCCGACTGGCGGCTATTCTTTTCGGATACAGGCTGGCGCAGAACGGCCCATCGCATCACAAGCCATGCCGACCGTTCGACTTCCTTTACTTACAAGAGCTATCGTTCTGATTGTTCGACTACCTCTGTTTACAAGAGCTATCGTTTCTGTAATATTTTTGCTCTCGCTTCTCAGCCTTCCAGGATTCTGGGACGTGCAAGCATGGGGCTCTCTCGTTCCTAGCAAAGTATCCCTCTTCGCAGGTGCGCACTCTCGATACAAGACAGAAATCTCGAAAGGCTGCTGACTATCTATAGCGCATCGTATCAATACTTTCCCACTTGTTCATTTAAACATCTTACATGCGGTCCTCAATGTGGTTGCGCTGACGCCCTTGATGGAGCGTTTCGAAAACGAATATGGCACGTTGACATCGCTGGCGCTTTTTTTCGGCCGTGAGTTATCATATCTCTGGATAACGTGTCGGCTCATCATACTAACTGAAGCAGCTTTAACCACGGTTCCTGCGCTTTTATATCTTGCTATCGAAGCAACCATTTTTCGAATGGACAACGCTATTATGGGTGCAAGGTAAATCTGAATAGACTCGGTAACGGGAACAGCTTCATGAGCTAACTTATGCGTAGCATATGGGTCTTCTTACTTCTCGGCATGGAGGCTATTCGAACCTATCGATCGAATCCTCATCTTATAATTGGCACGCATCATATTCCAACTTGGACAACCCCGTTACTTCTGGCCTTTGTTGTAGCAGCGCTGGTCCCAAGCTCAAGTCTACTTGGGCATCTTTGTGGTCTCGGTGTTGGATATATAGGTACGAGAACACCTCTTTTTTGTTTAGCAGTGTTTTTTCTGACTAACAATTTGTTAGCCGGCCTTGGCTACGTTAAATACATTGCCCCCCCTGAGTGGGCGCTTCGATGGCTCGAGTCGAAGCTCAAACTTATTACGATCCTGCCCCATTATGTCAGTGTAGATCAAAAGACGTATGGTAGATTTGGTGTTTTGCCGTCTACTAACCGCGTGGGGGGAAGCCCAGCCATTGAGTTGGTTGGGAGTACGCAACGTTTAGGACCCTAGGTAGGTAGTCTTCCATCTTTAATGGTGGGCGGCGCACTCTTGGTGTGTACTTGCGTCTTTTGTTTCGGTGGAAAAAATTGGTGCATCTTACTTGGAGTTGAGGCGCTGACGGCGGTCAATGCATGGCAATATGCATTGTAAATAACCATGGGCCACACTGTACGCGCGCCATTTTGTGTGCTTAAAGAAGTTTGTTTCATTCAAATGTATTCTTTACCGAAAAACTCGAAACAGCATAGATATTTAATCGCATAGGTTATTAGTTCTCTTCATAGTTCATCGTGGTTGAGTCAACTAGGCCGTACGCTAGTAACTAGGATCTGGATGACATGAAATTCATGTTCTGAGTACCCACATTCTCCCATCTCCCACGGAAGCTACCACCTGTTCAACCTGGCAACGCAACAACGGGAAGTAACAAGGGGCGTCGACCTCATAACTGCGCGCTACGGGTCGCCGTGCATGAATTAGAAATGCCGCGATTACTCTGTATGTTGATAAATTCTTGGGCTGTCCGACGACACTAATACGGGAAACAGCCTCCGCCATGGCGCTGCGGCGCGATCCCCGTATGCTGAAGCTGCCTCCATATCTGTCCCTCGCCTGTATAGTAGTGGGCTTTGCTTGGCTCCTCGTCCTTCCGCTCGACAATTACTCCAGACGAACATACATATCTGAGAATGCCTTGCTACCTGGGCAAGTGCATACATATTTCGGCGGCAGCGAGCAGAACATCTTCAGAGCCTACAGGCGTGAAGTCGATGCGCTTGAGAACAAAAACAATCATGAGTACGATCGAAAAGCTCCCAAGATAGGCAGCAGAAAATACCGAGCTAAAAGTTTCTTGCTATAGGATCAATGACCAGATCGAAGTTTTTTTAAAAGAGGTCGGGGTCAAAGTTGGACGACAAAACTACACCTACCATTATGGAGGAAACGAGTGCTCTGGTGAGAACATCTACGGCATTCTTCAAGCGCCTCGTGGCGACGCTACGGAAGCGATCGTTCTGGTGGCGGCATGGAAGACTGTGAAAGAAGAGATAAATCGCAACGGAGTCACTCTTGCACTCACCCTCGCGCGATACTTTAAGCGTACGCACCGATTCCTTCACTTGATTTTGTTACGTACCTCAGGACTGATATTCCCCAGGCTGGTCTCTCTGGTCGAAGGATATCATTATCGTCATCCCACCCGACAGCAAAGCCGGAACTCAGGCATGGGTCGACGCCTATCATGATGCACACAATGCGAGATACGTTGCACCTCTACCACTCAAGTCTGGTGCGCTTCAAGGGGCTCTAGCTCTCGATTACGCAGTAGATCACCGATTCGAAGCTCTGCATATCATTTACGACGGAACCAATGGCCAGTTGCCAAATTTAGATCTTATCAATTCGATGGTCAATATTGCGGGTGGTCAAATGGGTGTTCACACTGCTATCCAAGGTATAGAAAATCACTCCAACAGCTACAAAGACCGGCTACACACCATCCTACGCGGTATGGTGAGGCAAAGCCTCGGGCTCGCGACAGGTCCCCATAGTAGCTTCATCCCTTACCATGTCGATGCGATCACGTTGCAACCATACGGAGAAGGCTGGCACGACGAGATGGCACTGGGGCGAATTGTCGAGGGTACCTTCCGGAGTCTGAACAACTTGTTGGAGCATCTCCATCAAAGCTTCTTCTTTTATCTCCTCATGCATAGAGATCATTTTGTCAGCATTGGAACATACCTTCCTAGTGCTATGCTTTTGGCCGCCAACTTCAGCATCATGGCTATTTTCCTGTGGGTGAAGAGTGGACAGGCGCCGCAAACCAATCCACAAGCTTCGGGTACCCCCAAGGCACCGGTGTTAAAGACAGGTATCACTCAAGCCGCATCCACCACTGTTGAGAGAGATCTTTTCTTGCCTATATCTGTCGTCACCACATGCCAGGCGCTTTCCGTTATCCCATTGTTTGTGTTCAACAACATTTCAGCTTCGGTATGCTCTCCAAGCAATGCTTTTTCAGGCCTATCAAGCTAACTTACCTCATTGCAGATCCTATCCCCAACATTTGCAGTATTCACATTGGCATCAGTCATGCTGCCATGGCTAATTTCGCACCTGCTCTCAGTCTACAAAGCGACAGTTCAGCAATTTCAACTAATTAAGTCATTCTCTCTGCTGTTTCTCGGCATGTCACTTGCTACTCTAGCAACACTGAATTTCTCTCTAGCATTCTTTGTCGGGATGCTCGCCACACCCTTCACCTTTGTGCGGACGTCGAGCAATCGTGCTGTGAGGCTGGGGCTTGCTGGCATATTGACTGCCATTGCGCCTCCAGTCTTGGTCTACTTATCATCCCAGGTCCTTAGTATATCGGTGCCTAATATACTGAAGGAGGCAAGCTTTGGTTGGAATGTCTGGGGCATGTATACATCTATAGTTGTCTGGTGCGTCTGGTGGCCTTCGTGGGTGCTCGGCATGGTCAATGTCCTTGGCTCTCCATTAGCATAGGGAACTTATGTAAAAATAGCGGCATACATTGGCAAGGACAGAATGATTAAGTAGCCTTGTCGGTTTTCTATTAGTACATGATGGTAAAACTGCGCTCTGCAAACTGCAATGCTCTGAGCAAGTATGCAAGGCTAGCGCTCAGCCAAAGTCTATCTATATAGCATGTGACTTTAAGGACGATTATCCATAGTTTCGCATTCAGGCATGCGAATTGGCCAAACTCAATCTTTCCACGTTATGCCGCCCATACATCCTTGCCGGCCTTCTCAATCCAGTTGCCCAGCTGGTTTACACTGGAGTCCCAGTCGAGCAGGCGCTGGCGCATGCTTCCAATCTGCTTCATATCGAGCACCTTTGGCTGCACCCACGTAATCTGAGCTACTCCATTCACTTGGTCGATTGTTCCCCGTAGCAAGCCCAAGCTGAGAGCCTTCATAATTAAGTGTTCAATTTCATCCGGTCGGACCTTGGTCTCCTGCGAAATTGTGGCAAATGACATGGCCCGGTCATGAGGAGGACGTCGGAAAACTGCTTCCGTCAGAGCAGCCAGATATATTTTCTGCTTCAAATGGGTCGAGTTCTCGCTCAGTAGCTTGTTAGACGCGATGTGGTCGGAAAGTGCCGCGTACGCAGCCAAGTCACCGCGGTTGTAAGCAAAAAGAAGGTCGCGTAGCCAGGAATCATCCTCGCTCTGTGCTAGGACATCCAAAATTGGGTGAAGGAGAAGCTCGCCAAAATTGTAAATGCTGTTGGACACCAAAGCGGCGACGCTCAAATAGTACGCTCGGCGATGGCGTTCATCTTCGGACATGGTTGACAGATCGATGCATGCCAGGTACAACAAAGCGGTTCTGTAGTAGTTGGCAAAATCCATCTTCCTCTGTAAAGAGGTTAGAGGCTCGTAGTACCAGGAAGTGACTTGATAGTGTGCAGAATTACTTGCCTGGTAGTAGCTGGCGTTTGCGTCGTAGAAAGCGGCGTGGACAATGACCTCCACCGAATCTAACGAGTCAAGGATCCGTTCAGCTGCATCTAAATCTTTTCTCGCCTCATCAAGTTCACTCAAGCTTAATTTAACCTGCGCCACTGCGACAGATGCAAAAACAAGAGCGTCTTTCGAGTCTTCGGTATCGACCTTCTTCACAACGGACTGGAGGAACTCGAGACGCTCGCGGTTGTCTGACCCATGTTAAGAAATTGAGGTACAGGATCGTACATTATGAAGATGAATACCTTTACATTGCGATGCAGCCTTCAGCGCCAAGTCTACCAGCTTCAGCTTGTTGATTTTGTCGGCGAACTTGAGAATAAAGATCCTATAAAAGGCGAGGCGCTGCGGGGCGCTACCATCGTCGCTGAAGAATTGGGCCAGTGCATCGGTAAGCTGGTGCCAAAGCTTCCTTTCCCAATAACTTTCGAAGTCGAGTATCAGCGGCTGTAGTTCCTCTGGGGCAGCATCGCGCTGCTCAGCGAGGAAGTCGGGAACCGTATCGGCATTCATTGCGTCGGTAGCTGCAGAGATCGCGGAAATTGGTTCGTGTATCAAGCTCAACGCTGAGCAAATGAAGGGTCACTGTTGACTCCTGGATATTGCGCCACGCCTTGCCGTTTCTCGTTGTGAAGGGGACTAAACTGGCAGGTGGCTTTGTCAATTGTCGAGGAGCTTTTGCGATCGTTGGTAGCAGGTTGGCGGCGTTATCAAGTCAGGTCCACGCGATGCTTTGCAGCCTGGAGCTAACTAGTAGTACAGCAACTGTTAAGCTCGTCATGGACTTTATCGACGATCATGTGACTATTCACGTGATCCAAGTCCGGCTCCGCTGTGTAGCTAGTTCATTACATTCATCAAGCCTAGGATTGGATCAGAGGGTAGAATAAGCATTGAGACTGGTTGCGAGATAATAGCCATTCTTGCATCAATACCACCACCGCAAGAATGGTTCCGTCGTTGATTGCGGCGCGCTCTGCGCGAACCGTCATACCCAATGCCGCTCCAAAGCGTCTCCTCTCCGACATTGCGATCACTAGAACTGGCAAGCCAATCATTCGCACTGAGGGTGGAAGGTATGAGCGCAAGATCAATTGAGCCATTTCTACAGGGCTAACCCTTATTCCTCAACAGATCCTCTCTTGGAGGTCAGCAGCTTCACCTGGATCACAACTCGCCGGAATACGACTAACGCTCCCCAGGTCATACTGCAACGGTTTTTGGCGCAACGGGTCAACTCGGTCGATACATTGTGAACAGACTCGGTATGGCAACATGGCAGTGGAAATGACACAGAAGCGTAGGCTGACTATATCAGCCCGACAAGGATGTACTGTTGTCATTCCCTTTCGCGAGGAGATGACGAAACGCCATCTCAAAGTGACGGGAGACCTCGGCCGAATTGTGTTCATCGTACGAACTTTGCAGTTCCAAAGCATTGGCTTACAGTATTGACATACCGGTATAGGAATACGATCTACGCAACACAGCTTCCATTGAAGCCAGTGTTCGCCACTCCGATGTCGTCTACAACCTTGTCGGCCGCGACTATCCTACCAAGTCAGGCATCTCTGGACGTGACTCTAGGACACTAGCACTAACTCTGTCAGGAATTTCTCCCTCGCCGATGTCCATGTCGAAGGAACCGAACGCATTGTCGACGCAGTCGCGAAGTATGATGTCGATCGTTATATCCATGTGTCTTCCCACAACGCCAACACTGCATCGCCGTCCGAGTTCTTCGCTACAAAGGTGTGCCAGTACTGAACATACAAGATAACTTCATGGTAACATTATCCAGGGACGCGGTGAGGAAGTTGCCCGAAGCATCTTCCCGGAAACTACTCTCGTTCGCCCTGCTCCGATATTTGGCTTCGAGGACAACCTACTTCTGAAACTGGCTTCTGTGCTGAACCTTTTCACGGCCAACAACATGCAGGAGAAGTTTTGGCCCGTTCACGTAAGTCAATCCCAAGTTGTGGCTAATTCAGAATCTAATTTTCCAGTCAATCGACGTCGGTGCCGCTCTGGAAAAGATGCTGTATGATGACTCTACTGCCGGTCAAACTTTCGAACTCTGCGGCCCCAAGCAGTACAGCATGGCGCAAATCGCCGAAATGGTTGACAAAGAGATTTTCAAGCAAAGAAGGCACATCAATGTTCCGAGGGCTGTTCTCAAGCCTGTTGCCGGTGTTCTCAACAAGGCCCTTTGGTGGCACACGATGTCGGCTGACGAGGTGGAGCGGGAGTTCATCGACCAAATCATTGATCCCGAGGCCAAGACGTTCAAGGATCTCGGCATTGAGCCCGGTGACATTGCCAACTTCACCTATCATTACTTGGTGAGTTCTTTGTTGGCCAGTGGCCTCCCTCTCAGCAACATATCTAACAGCAGACGCAGCAAGGATTCCGTAGCCAGAACTACTACGATCTCCCCCCAGCCACGGAGAAGGAGAAGCGTGAAGACAAGAAGTACATTCATGTCTTGGATGAGTTGTAATCTATGCCCCGTTTTCCACCTGTGTATGTATATAGAGCCGTTTTCTAGATGATTGCTGGAACTCAAGCGGCATACAGCTAGTCAAAACTGACCTTTTTCCTGTGTATGCGAACCGCTCATACCTGTCCAGCAAGTCCCCAATTTTACGCAAAAATTTATGTTCAGGTAGACAGCAACCTCATGGCAAGCTGCAATTTAGGATAAATTAGCGTGGACTTGAACCGCGAGAGACTGAACTTCGGGACCTAGTATTTACGACCGGGACTTTGTTTTAAACATGTGAACATTATTACAGTACAATGTATGGTAAATACTGTCTTCGATAACCCAATATGCATCTTCGACTGCGCCTCAGCCACGAGGCCAGAGTGACTCTCAAAATAGAAGTCGAGGCATGTAGCTTTCCCGGCTAGAGGCCCTGGCTCCTAGGAAAGGTGTTCCCGATGGCACCTTACGCCAGAGACCGAATAATATAGAAAAGAAGATACGCCTGGGCACCGAGCACATCGGATAGGCTTGCAAGCTCAACTTTGTGGTCGTTAAACTTGAACCACTAGAGAGAGATAACATGAGCAGAAGGGAAGACACATGCATGAGGAACAAACAAACCTGGTCACCTACGCGGCAGTATGAAGTATAATGCCCCGTCTCAAGCTCTCCAACGTGAACAACGACGCTGAGGAGGTCATACACACATGACCGCTGCAACTCCATGTTTTCCCGGCTGTCACGACTACGAACTCGATTTGTGTACGGGAGCATGTTCAGCTGGAGAGGAAAGTGTACGGGCACGTCGACCTTGGAGGCGGCATGATCATGGCGCCCTTGCTTGTACTCGAATCGCTAGATTTGAAGATTTCAGTCATTTGTATTGACTCGGCCTGGAAAAGAAAGGGGGGGGGGGTCTACCTTAAGTTGTATGGAGAGCACATTCGGTAGGCGTTTAACGCTTGTGTACCGTCTCGCTTGCTGTGTTGAAGCGCAGTGATGGCATCGATACTCACACTTATCTGATTTAATATATTCCTCATCAAGACAGTCAGTTAGGGTAAGAGTTGGAGCCTTATGGCCGGCTTTCTTGTTCCTCCTCTGCGCTAGGCTGTCGAGTCCGACGCTCAAGTCCAAAAACGATTGCACTGTGTTGCTGGAGCTGTTGCAATTTTGGCATGTTGTCGTCGTTTGCATCTTGCCGTAGAATGTCTGATGAATGATGCAATTGCAGCTGTGTTCACTCCCAATCTCAGGCTTCTTGCCGTCGCCATTTCGCTCGTGCAAATCTTCGGCAAGGAATTGGAAGAATTCATGGGCATCCTGTTCTTTGGTTGTCACAAGGTTTTCGAACGCTTTCTTTTCCGAAATCCAGAAACCTGACAGAATATTGGCGGCTGTATAACCATTTGTGTTCTCCAAGGCATAAAAATCTTGGAACATGTCATCCATGGCGCAGCTCAAGCAATGAGGCACGTTGCATTCGTTGCTTTGATGCCCGTCGCTTAAGTAGAAGTTCCGTAAAAGGGGGTTGTGTAAGAAGCTCTGTAGAACAACGTTTTGATAGCATGTTGCTCCTGCATTGTATATGCCTCGAAGGCCATCGGCACGGCAAGAAGCAAGAGTCGTATTCGAGGAAATGTACCGCGGGTCATCCTTGATCGAATCGGTGAATAGTTCGTCATGTTTCCTTTTGCGGCCTTCTTAGACGTTAGCTTCACTGCATTCAAAATCATCGCAGGTAATCTACCAGAAAATGAACCAGTCCCGATTTTGCGCAAGCGAAGTTCTTCGAGAGTAGGGTCCCAGACCAAATCGTCACAAATTTGGCAGTACAGTGCTCCGTTTCGAGAGTCGACATCTTAACGAGTCAGCTGGGTGAATATTCACACAATTTTCGGATAGGTGCCATACAGAATCGATGGAACTTTTTGTTGCCATGCCCCAATCTATCCTCCTCGGACACCGTAGTGGGACATTGGAGGCAGAGATAATTCGATGTCAATGTGGTGATCGGTCGGCCTTCCTTGTTTGTGGACGTCTGTGGAACAATCGGGTTCGTATCGAATATACCACGGAGTATCATCTTGTAGTGCGCTATCGAGCTATTCATCACCTCCTGTCCTTGGGAAAGGAGCGACTGGACGTGCTCTAGTCGGACAGTTAGTAATCCATTCATCCGTGGCAGAGAGCAGGGTTTCAGGTGTACCGCATCCGAACATAGGAAACCCCGGCGTAGGCGACTTCACACGAGCATTTCGTGGAGATGCCGGAGTAACTGGCCGGCTAGACATGGTGTCCAACACTGATGACCAATCGTCGTCGGGTGCAGCGTGTCACGAAGTCGGCAAGATGTTGGCGCATGCAATAAGCTTGCTCTGTCGCTGTATGTCGCTGTATGTCGCCTTCTCGAGACTTCGCTTTTTCCCGATAATTCAATTAGTAGCCAAACAGTATTCCAGTCGAATGCAAGTTGAGCTGGTTGCTTGCGCGGTCGCGAAGAGGGATAACTGCGGCAAAGTGCGCGGCTCCTGGCTGAGGCGGCCTCGTAGCAGAAGCACTTGCGACCAGAGAGGTACTAAGGTGCTTCCCCTATCGAATTGGGCGCGGAGGTTGGCTTTTAGCGCTCAATTACTGCCATGCCATACAGATTTCGAGGCTGCAATGATTTTTATGCTTTGAAGGCAGTGACAATCTACAAGCATGCTCCAGCGCTACGCCATACCAAGTTGGAACCTTATCGATTACAGGGAGTGCGGAAATGGATAACTCCGGTGCCGCCCCGTGATTCACGACCAAGGTATTTGATTCGATCAGCATCGCATTCAAAGTTCAGGCATGGGAATTTTTACTCTGACTTCAGTCATCATTCTATGAGTTTACAGCTAAAAATTTGAGGCTATATACATGCAGATCCTTAGCCATTTCTTCTTGGCGAGATCTGCGCGGAGCTGTTGCAGTTAATATGCCCGTTCTGACCGTAATCTCAAGTAGTTACCATTGAAGGCTTGCCATGCGTAGGATAGGTACAAAACTAGTTACTTCTTTTTTACTACTTCTTCTTCTTCGGTTGGCTGGTTGGCAGGCAACGCCGCTGGGCTTACCACCCAGCGAGTAGCGCAGCCGAGGTCCTTGGTTTTTTTTGTCCCCGAAGACGCTCCGCCGAGGAACCTCCACATTGACCCCTCAGGATGATGCCATCTCGTCTAAAATGCGCATTCCAGCAAAGCCGCACTCTTCCCCTCCTCCCATCAAATCAAGTATTACGTCCAATTACAGGAACACTATTGAACGGCACCTGTCAATTTCCAGCCAACGTTCGAGGAATAATGAATCTCGCTCCGCTACCCGATGTGAAGCGGCTTAGTCCGGCATGCATCCGGATTCTCGGCGGCAACCCCGGCAAGTTCACACTGCAGGGAACCAATACATATTTACTTGGCTCTGGAAAGCGTCGCATATTGATAGACTCTGGAGAAGGGAAGCCAGCATGGGCTGCATCTTTGAAGGGGGTCCTCGAAGCAGAGGATGCGACCGTTGATATTCTGTTGCTTTCACACTGGCATCATGACCACGTCGGCGGCATAGAGGACTTGCGCAAGATCTCTCCGCATGCTACCGTCTATAAATACGACCCGACAGAGGGGCAAACTGCGATTTTAAACGGCCAAATCTTTCGTGTCGAGGGCGTTACGCTGACAGCGCACCATACACCAGGACACACCACGGATCATTTAGTCTTTACCTTGGCGGAAGAGAACGCAATGTTCACAGCAGATAATGTGCTTGGTGAAGGTACAGCGGTCTTTGAAGACATGGCGACATATCTTAACAGTCTGCACCAGATGAAGATGTTGTTTCGAGGCAGAGCATATCCTGGTCATGGCGAGCTCATCGAAAAGGGCCCCGACAAAATTACCGAATACATCAAGCATCGCAAACAGAGGGAGGAACAGGTAGTCCAGGTAATGAGGAGTACAAAGTCAGATGGTAGCCAAAACTGGACTGGGATGGAGGTTGTGAAGATCATTTACCGAGAGGTGCATGAAGACTTACACCTGGCGGCGTGCGCTGGTGTCCTGCAGATACTACGAAAGTTGGAGCAGGAAGGCAGAGCAGCCAGGGCGGATGATGGTGACAGCTGGGTGCTCGCTGGCCAGGCAGCTCTGTAGCTTATTATGACTTATTATGAAGAAAAGCCCCACGAAGTCAAGTATGCGCATTTGAATGGTGGTTTTTCGTAGTGTCCATTCGACCAGGGAGCTGTACCTGTTGTGATAGCCATAGGTAGCCTCACACGAAGTTAAAGGCGTGTATCTCACCACCATGTAAATCATACCTACCTATGAATCAAGGGCACTAGTAGGGTCAAATGAAGGAGGGTGCAAACTGTATTCGGCTCCGACAAGGTGAGATATTGGCCGAGTTGGTTTTGGCGAGTGATGAACTGCAGTAAGAATTTGGCAATTGCCAGTACACCGAAAGACAGGTTCCACTGCATGTCTCATGCATGGTCACGACAAGCACAGGGCTGTACATTGTGAGCAATTATTAATTATTAATAAGGAGACCAACGAAGTCCAGTAGAGTGGGTAAATAGCAGGCCGGGAGAGGCGGAAAGGTCGAGTAAGATCTTGGTCATAAGTCACAATTATGCCAGGCCCTTCAGCCGCGCTATGGCAGACAGATTAGAGATTTTAGCCAAGAGTCCTCTACTTGTACCGTATATCCGTAGAAAGCCATAAATGGCCGCCTTATAGAGACTCGGCGTGGATGCGCCGCGATGTCGGACTTTGTAGGAGTGCGGTTGGACAACAATTGCGCGAGGTAGTTAGCTCCGCCCTAAATATTACTTTGTTCCTTTTCCTGAGATCACAACAGCGCACTTGCCCCTAGTTACTGGAGTCTCCTCATCGTTACATAGGTAGCTAGATGCTGTTTATTGGCAGCTGGATACTTTGAGGTGCTTGGCTTCCAGTTCACTTACACGTTGGGTATGGAGGCATCTCCACTGGGCTGGGTACAGGTTGTAACCTATCAACTATGTACCAGTAAGTTGCACAAGTCCGGATCGCCCGGGTCAATGTTGGGGTCACAAGCTCACATCACTTTCTCCATCGGCAGATGGGCTGCAGCAGGTAGTGGTACATGAATACATGCCCCCCGCAGACAGCGGCTATAACCCAATATGTTTAGAGTGCTGTGTCCAGGTTGCTGGTTCTTTCTGTCCAGTCCAGCATACTGTAGGTACAGTAGTAGTGTCTGTATGTTTATTAGCTAGAACCTACAAACTACTGGTTATGCAAAGTAGACAAAAGTCTGCCACAAGCCGGCTGCACTGAAATGGCCAACTGCCCATGTATAGTCATAAATACCGAGTAATTTGAATATATTTGATGATAAGACACTGGGCTGGCTTGCTCAACGCAATTCTGTTCGAGTGTTGATGTGCAGACTCAACATGGTGAGACAATCACCCTGTCTCTCTGTACCAGTACTTTAACAATTAATTCCCAAGGTGGCGCCACCAGCCAGCCTCTGCCACTTTTCTTTCTTTCCGTCATGTCACCAGCTACCTAGTTAGCCGTTTCCATCTATCCATCCATCCATCTATCCATTCAGTTTTCATTCCACTCACCACAGCCCGTGTCCCGCCGCAGCCCGCTCCGATTCGGCGCCCTCGGTTTTTAGCTTATTCTTATTAGCTCTGCTTGGGCTCAGGCTGCGTCCCGAGCAGCGCTTGTCCTGCCTGGATTTGGTGACAGCATCACGTTTCTCGCCCGCGGCCAGCCAAGGTAAGGGACGGGTCCACACATCATCCGTACATGTTACCTGTTGGGTCTTTTTCTCTTGCAACCCCGGCCTCAAGCCATGTCCGGAAGCATCGGAGCGTACATTTTCGATTAGCGAAGCCCTCGTTGTTTAGATATAAAACCGTACGCACAAGTAGTTGGTCCGACGCCAGCTCTCCTCGTGATCATTGCTCTGAAGTTCCACCGCCTGACTCACTCATAAACCCCCTTCTCTCTCTTCCCGGTCGAACAACACGCAGGCTTCACTTGTTGGAATCCCTCCGCCCTTGTAAGCCGTCGCCCGGGCTTCAATCTTGGCACCCAAACAGTGCGCAGTTCAGAGCCTACTGCTTTGTACACATCATACGTCCCATTGCTACACACCGGTCAACGGAACTAGAGTCTATACATCTCTCGTTCCTGTCAAGTACCCAGAGCTTTTGTAGCTTCACGCTTCTCTGCCTGGCTCTTTCATGTCTCCGACAACCCTTGGCGGGCCTTCCCACGCCCTTCTCTTTCTCCTTCACCTCTTGGCAGCTCCCACACCGACCCTGGCTCATACCGACGACGCAGAAGGATTGCCCGGCCACAGCGGCATGATAGACGAAGCCCCAATTCATAATGCAACTGATTACCCAAGCAGCTACTTTGCATATGCCAATCATAGCGGCACAATATACGCCCACATCGCCCTCATGGTTCTCGCTTGGGTTTTTATCTTGCCAATCGGTAAGCCTTCGCCCTCGAATCTTCCTCCAACCAAACTATACAGGCGCTAATTCGGCATATTTAAGCTGTCATGCTTTCAATTGCAAATTCCAGGCATACCCTCGCGATTCAGCTCATTTTTCTTGTTGCCAATACACTGGCTGTTGTCTTATCCGCGGTATACAACGGGAGTACACCTGACCTCTATCCCAATAATGCGCACCACAAGATTGGTTGGATCATTTCCTGGGTAATTTCTGCACATGTTTTGGTCAATGTTGTAGGCCGAATTGCGAAACCGCGGGGGAAAACCACCTCAAGCGCCAGCTACCAGGTACTTCACCCATTCCCATCCATGTCCGGACAAGAATCTGCCCCGTATACGCGACACGGATACCATGGCCAGGAGGGCCGCGAGTCTGGCGACAGCGGTCATGGAACTGCCTCGCAATCGTCTTCTTTTCGCAGCGACTCGTTTTCTACCGTATGTGCTGAAGAGGGCTGCGCTCGAGCCGATCATTCCAAGGAGTACGGTAGAGAGAATGACGAATTCGAACATCTACCGCTTTCATCCGCGGACTTACCCGACACCACACTCAAGGCCAAGCTGACAGGGGTGGCATCTCACAAAATCTGGAAATACCTGGAGCTTGGCTACAAGGTAGTAGATCGCGTTATCCTGCCCTTTGGATTTATCGCGCTGACTACCGGGATTATCACCTTTGCTCGCTTCTTTGTAAGTCTGGCGGTGCCTGCTTCCATCGTCACGCTGCTTGCCTGGCTCATTCTAATCATCTCCTCGTCTCGCAGGAAGGACACGCTGTTTTTGGAGGCCTTGCACACTGGATCAAGGGCGGAGTCTTCTTTTGGCTTGGCCTGTTCAATCTCGGCCGATGGTCAGGCAGCTTCGCTGAGCTCGGATGGGCTTGGAATCGTAGGCCGAGGACGTACGGTCGAAAGTTCCGCCCTTCTGCTGAGTTCATGGAGAGCTCTCTTATTCTTTTCTATGGCTCGACCAATATTTTCCTCGAGCATCTGGGCGGCTGGGGCGGCGCATGGACTGCCCAGGATCTTGAGCATATAGCAATCACGGTGCTCTTCATCGGAGGAGGCTTGGTAGGTGACTCTTGTCTCTGATCCTACAGGTCTAATTATTTCATAGTGCGGCATGCTGATTGAGTCAACCCGAATTCGCGACTTGCTCAATACCACTGCCACTGTCTTTCCGACTCATTCTTATTCCAGCGAAGAACCGGAACATCTTGAGCCTCCGGAGACCTACGAGTTCTCGTTGAATCCCATCCCGGCCTTGGTCATTCTTCTTTTGGGCATCATGATGAGCTCTCATCATCAGGCAACGACGACAGCGAGCATGGTTCATAAGCAATGGGGAACTCTGCTACTTTGGGCGTCGGTAGCGCGGGGCCTCACCTACGTATTATTCTATCTCCGACCACCGAAATCCATTTTCCCATCCCGCCCACCTACAGAGCTCCTCACTTCCTTCGGTCTCATCGCTGGTGGCATCCTTTTTTTGGCTAGTGTAAGTCTGCTCTTCTCGTGCTGTGTTTGTTTTCTCGCTAATCCATACAACAGAGTGCGGATACTGTGAATGGCATGATTCATTATGACTTGGATGCCATGTTTCTCTATACAGTTACCATGGGGATGGTTGGAATGCTCATGGCCTGGGAAGTTGCCGTCCTCGCAATCAAGGGCTGGGCCGTACGGAGAGAGCTGGCCCTCAGCAGCTCGGCTCTTTGACCCAGGTACTGTACTTCCTCGAGCTCCTCCGAACTTTGGTGTGGGCTGTCGTCTTCTTTTCTTCTTCCTTTCAAGCTCTGTGCCACATGTTCGGCTTGGCGATATTATACTCTCTGTGTGTTGTCTTAGCTAGTGATACCATCATGTGATAGATTCAGTATAGTAAACTTGTCTTCATTGTTTGCCTAATCGTATCCTCTGGCGTATTTCGTTACGCCCACTTGCCATTCTGCCAGCGTTTAAACTATCGTTTGCTCTCGGGTCCGTTGTACCTCCACCGCAGCATATTGGCGACGCAGGTATGTGCATTCAATCGTTGGTCGTTTTTTTCGTGAGTTTCTCGGGCGCTGTGACGAGTTTGGACTGTATACTCTCGCAATTTATTCTGCGCCCGTTCGGCCCCTTCTCCCTTCTGAGTCTGGTCGTCGTTTGCCTATCCAGCGGGTTCTCTTCCATCTGTGGATGGTGATTCACTTCATCGCTTGCTTTTCTCGTCCGCCTTCGCTTGTTTGCTAGCTTGGATGGCTTGCTTTTTGTCGTCTTCGGAGAATTGAGAGCTGCCTTGTGCCAGTGCATGCACCAGGAATGGCACAGAGTCGGCCTTGAAGTCATCCGCGTTGCGGATTTTATCTAGGTCCTCTGACAGCTCCGTTGTGAGCCGCTGTAGGTATTTGGATGAAAATTCGCCGTCCATTTCTTTTTCCAGCATCTTGTATTTGCGGTGACGCGGGTGCATATGTACACTGAATCATGTGTTGAAGAATTGACAAGCAGGGTTTTTTGGTCTACTCAAAGTTTAGGCCCTTTTGGTGTACCTTGCCGATGGCATGGTCCACTTACCATCTGAGTACCTACCCGGGAAGAACCATAGATGTAAGTGCTGCCAGCGATTGCTTGTGCATGTACACATCATCCATTCTACTTTTCTGCTTCTTTCTCCTATGTCGGTGTCTATTAGCCGGTATTATCGGCGCTATTTGCGAGTTGCACGCGTGGTTGACACACGCACAACATCCCGTACGATCGCGATTGCATGCCACACACCTCCGTATAACATACACCAACAAAAAAGATGTACACAGCGCGACGTAGGGGAAGAATGCACCCACGACCACACGAAAACATGCGAACACCCCTCCAACATACCATACCCAAACCCAGGAAAGTGTATCATGACCGGCGGACCCCCGCATCACCGCCAGGGCACGCAGAGAAGAGGAGAGGCAGGGGAGAGAGGAAAGGGTAAAAGCCGAACGTTAATCAAGGCCTATCAACTTGCCAAAAGTAGCGCTAAATATGACGCTACAGAAGCCCAACTGCGCGATGGGACATACCCACACCATCCGAGTGCTGGACACGGCCCTGACAATGGCAAGCTCGGTTAACAGCACGCGATTGCACGACAGAAGACAACTAAAAGTCAAAAGCCCAATCAAATGGCAATTGGGCATCCACACCATGGCAGTTGCTAATTGGGAGAGCAAGACCTGTACGACGGCGGTATATGCAAGAAAGGACATCTGTAGGTTAAATACACATCTAACGGAGGGGATGAACCTGTAGACCGAGGCGGAGACAGCGATAAAGGGTAGAAAGGAATGGAAATACCGATATACCCTCACCTGATCCACGCTGAATGTTGAACTCAACCCAATGCGAAGCACGCCTTGCGCGGCAAGTACACCAGCAGTGTACATGCGATGCCACTTACGCCACAGTTGATCACAAAATTCGAGGCAAGCAACGATGAAAGCCGCAACTATACTGTGCGATTTCCGCTTTTGCTACCCTGCCCGACGACAAACCTCGCCAGTGGATGTCGTGGTTGTGTGCAGCTGCTTGTACAGCACATCCAACAGAAATTACCGGGAAATAAGCCAACAAACAAGGAGAATCACAGAGGAAGAAACCTCCAATGGGAGTAGAAAACTGCACCTGTCACATGAGAAGCCAGTGATGTTGGCTGTACGAATGTGACACGGCGTGCGCCGCCCTACGTCAGCGCTCACCTGGCCTCCATGGCCAGGTCGCATAATCCACCGAAGACCCGAAGACCACAGGACGCAATACGGTAGTCATGATTATAATCGAAGGCTAATGATTTGATGGTGTCGCTTCCACAGCCGGGAGACATAAACCCGACATCGTATGGATTAGGCCATCAGCAGCCAAGTCCATGTTTGCAAACATGGATCAGCTGCTACTTCTGTCTAACCTCCAGATATTGGATCGCGATGCGAGTAAACATAAAAAATCGAAAGTTATGTACCGTAAAGATATTTAAGGACCTCGGTTGCCTGGAGCTCGTCGCCAGTTTATGCAGACGGACAATCAACCCATGTCCACCATCCTCAGCTCCTCCAACGACGTCTCATTAAACATGAATCCAGAATCTTTCTTGTGACTCTTCTCACTGCAGGTATCGCAGCTCAGGATCCGCTTGATGGATGGCCACAGTGTGCAAAACCATGCTTCAGTGGACAGTCATCCGTATCTGGTTGTCCATCTGAAAGCGACGTCAAATGCCTGCGTGGGTAAGTTATACTCCCAATGATTTATTATGGTAAAGATAAGAGGTGTAGGTACTATTGGTATACTAACCCTGAGAAGCTCTTCAGCTTTCAAGAATGCAATGATAAACTGCGTGACTGGCGGATGCACCTTTCCTGAGCTGTAAGCACCCCCGTTCCATTTGCCTTGAGCCAAAAACATAACATCGGAGACACGTTAATACATATACTCATTGACTGACAAAATGGTATATTTCGGACGCCTATAATTGGGCATTGGCAAAATGCTCATCAGCTGGAGAGCCGCTGTAGTCTACTCATACAAATGGGTAATACACCTCTCCTGGCCGTGATGGGACACCCGAGATCAGTCAAGAGAAACTAGCTACCAAATCAGTTGTCTGGACTTCAAGCCACGGTACTGTGTTTGCGTTTGACAGTGTGATGCCACGAATTTCACGTTTAATGACTGCTTCCAAGTGATTTAAAAGCCATGCTATATTATGACAGCACATGGAGCTGCAATGAAATTGTACTACCTAGCAATCGTCAGTTGTTAGTGTGAATGGTTGCTCTCCAAATGGTGACAACAAACTATAGCCTGTACAATTTGCAACTCGTCGGCCTTTACCACCCAACGGTAAAGATATATTCCGGTCTGAAGCCCTGGAAAACACGACAAAGATTATCCGCAGCAGGCAACTGTCTAATGCGATATATACTGGAACACGGCCGATACGTCGCGCTCTCTATATTCCTGTCTCAACAACAGATCCTGAATAAGCTTCAAGCCATCGTTAGTGAAATGGTTCCAAGTGCTCGTATCGCCGTACAGAATTGCCGGAGCCTTGATATATTGGTTCCCGTCCGGCCGGCATCGCTTGCATTTGAATGTGGCATGCGTGTCGCTTCTTGTGTCCGACCTGTACTGAAAGAGCTCTCTCAGGCTGTCGAGAGAGAAATGGCGCTCAACGTCCTCTGCAGAGTCCACCACGCAGGACGAAAGACTCTGTTTGTGCGACTGCCGCTGAAAAATTTTCTCCTCGATAGTACCAGTAGCGATGAAGCGATAGACAAAGCAATCCTTTTTCTGGCCATCACGCCACACACGTGCAAGAGCCTGCTGATCTGCGGCCGGGTTCCAGTCAGGATCGAACAGAATGAGCCGATTTGCACCAATAAGATTAATACCACACCCTCCTGCCTTACTGCTGAGCAAAAACACAAATTCGTCGCCGTCAGGATCATTAAAACGGTCCACCAGTTTCTGACGCTTGTTCACGTTCATCGTGCCATCCAGGCGTAGGCATCCGTATTGGCGTGATCGACAAAGTCTTTCGAACAAATCCAGCGTCGATGTATAGTTGCTAATGAGGACGATTTTGTCATTTGTATCCTGGCGAATGCGAGCCAGCATCCGATCTAAAACTTGCATTTTGCCAGAGTACCATGGCTTGACTTCACGGTCTCGCCCACGAGCTTCTTTTGGGACATAGTCGTCTGGAAAACACGTTTCCGAGCCAGGAAGATCCTCACCCAAGCTGAGAAGATCGGGGTGATTGCAGAGTTTCTTGAGAATATTGATGGCCTTCAAGGGCTGGCTTCCCTTCCCTCGTAGCAAGGCCTGGATGTCGGGGCTGGTGATGAAATAGTTGTACAGATCCAGCTGGAATGGCGCGAGATTGCAGAAGACGACGTGCTCGTACTTGACGGGTAGATATTTAGATAAAATATCGTTTGTTCTGCGGATCAGGAACTTGTTGACTATTGCCAATAATTCGGCAGTACACGCATCACCGCGCTCTTTGTCCTGTTCCGAAGCATCTGCATCGCGGCCTCTGAGGATGGGGATTTCGAATCGTTTTCGGAACTCAAGTCGGGAGCCCAACAGATCCGGGTTTGCAAAACTAGTCAGAGAAAAGTACTCTGTTAGGTCGTTCTGAATGGGCGTGCCCGTCAAAATAATGCGTCTCGACACATTCAGATTATTCAGCGCGTTGAATGTGTTGCTATCTCCGTTCTTCAGACGATGGCCCTCGTCACAGAAAAGCAGACCGATTTTCGTATGCTTGAGCTCTTCTACATTCAATCGCAATGTTTCGTAGGATACAATTATGACTGGTCTTGTGACCGACCGCCCTGAAGCAATAGACCACTGTCGAAGCTGACGCGTCAAGTCCTCTTTTGTGGCTTTTCCATCGATTGCAAAAGGAGTGATGGCATTAGCACCAAGCCACTTTGTCAATTCGTTGGCCCAGTTCTTCACCAAACTTGCAGGGCAAACAACGATTGCTTTTTGAATTGTTGGTTTTCCCGCGTCTGGTGATTGCTTTAGAAGTGTCCACAGGAGCGTGATGCATTGCAGAGTTTTCCCAAGACCCATCTCATCTGCCATGATGCACCCGTTCGCCTTCTCATCAATGAGACCGGCGACACAGCGATACATAAATTTGACACCCTCAACTTGATGAGGACGCAGAATCTTGGCTAGCTTGGGGTCAAGAACGACCGGAACACGTGGGCGTTCCTTCTCAACATTTTTTTTGATTCCTAATATCTCGGCCAGGCTTTTGTGAACGAGGGGAGAATCAAGTTTTTGGGTATCTTCAACCTCTTTCTTTTCACCCAAAGATGCTGGTTGCATAACTGTGCTTGAATTGTCGTCGATAGTTGGGTCGTGTAACACAATGGCAAACTCTCCGCTGGGGTCATGTAGGGGCTTCGCGACAAATACCGCCCCTCGTCTCAAGCCTAAGGTCGGTGGAGGCCGATTTGGACTGTAATGAACGCTGGATTTATCCTTGAGAGGAACGGAAAAAGCTTTGCGAAATATGGTAGCTTTATCTTTGGCTTCAAAGACCGGGAACCGGTTGGCATCTCGCGTTGCCAGAGCCAAGCGAGCGTCGTTCGTATAGGGTTTGTCGTCCTCAGCATTCGCGTCAGAGCCTCTGTAGTCAACCCGCTTCCGCTTACGTGACGGTTTTTCGACTGAACCCGTATGCGAAGCTGATCCTGGACATTTGAACGGTTTGTGAAGTCGCCCAACACTATGCGTGCGCTGGTATCGTGTCGGGGAAGCCGCATCTTTCGGTGTGGAGGCACCCCTGCCCAAACAATTAGAAGCTGGACGATGTGAAATGAATTTTTATAACTCACATATCGGACAATGATTTTAGTTGGCAGGTCGTTGCCTTTTCAGGTGGGTGATCTGGTGCGGTTGTCGTAGTGTGTCTTGTGGCTGTAGACGCGTAGCGCGTCCCTTCTCGTGTGTCTTGCGTCGCGGTGTCAGGTGATGAAGTTAGGTTTATTAGTCTGTAAATGGCCTCGGTTGTGGGACAGCGCCTGTACGCTAAATTGAATATAACTACTACCCTCCGCCCGCAAGATTATCTAGCAACAGTTCGAGTCATTTATTGCACACTTCGGCCAGAGCACTCCAGTATACCCCAGTCATTTTACCACTCACTGGAGGCCCAAAAATCGAGCTTATTATTAGGCTGGCGTCTGCTCACCATGTCTGCTGACTTCTGGGCTGGCTACTTGAGCGGCGCTGTGGGGATCATAGTCGGCAACCCACTTGATATCGTGAAACTTCGCCAACAAACTCAGCATACAAACAAAACGGCAATCACCTTCCAAAATACTAGGTCGCTGCTCGCTGGTGCTGCTGCGCCACTTTTTGGTTACGGTGCACTGAATGCTATTCTATTCGTGTCGTACAATCGCACAGAATCGGCACTCAGCCACACTCTGCGAGCAGAAAAGAACCTGGGGATAACTTGGATGGCGGGAGCGGTTGGCGGCCTTGCGACTTGGGTAGTCAGTGCCCCGACAGAGCTGGTAAAATGCCGGGCTCAAATGCCCCTCCCAGCGCCGAGATCTAGCCTCAATATTGCTACAGATATATGGCGCACGGCGGGAATTAGAGGTCTCTATTTTGGGGGATTTGTTACAGCACTGCGAGACAGTATCGGGTACGGATTTTACTTCTGGTCCTATGAGCTAGCGATGCGAAGTTGGCCGCTGCCGGATGGACCGAGACATCTTTCCATTAAGAATGAAGCTCTGCGAGTGATGCTCTGTGGCGGTGTTGCGGGGATCGTTACCTGGGCAAGTGTCTTCCCACTCGACGTGATCAAGACCAGACTTCAGACGCAGATGTCAATACACCACAGCATGGCGCAAGAGAGGATTCAACGGGCGCGAAAAGGAGCCTGGCTGATAGCCAAGGACATGTTTCGTGAAAACGGCATCAGGCCATTCTTCCGAGGTCTCACAGTATGTAGTATACGAGCCTTTATTGTGAATGCAGCTCAATGGGCCGTCTACGAGGGCCTCATGCACAAATTTGGCGACGGTAGATTTCGTAACTACGAAGTTGCCGAACAGTATTAGACGACAGCAGACAGCAACTCGTTTCCTTGTAATCACACGCACACAGAGAGACAACGAGGCAGGCAGAGAGAGAGAGACCATACAAACGCCATCAGAAAATAAAATCAAATCCCACTAAACCAAATATTTTACATTAACAAGACTGGCCAACTGTCATGTCGCACAGTGAAAGCCGGCCTAAGAAAGTTCGTTACACGATTTGCAATGCTCTCTGTAGTAGTTTAGCAAGTCCATCAAGTGCTTGCACTGCGTTGATAATGTGTCGTATGGCAGCTGCCACGAATAAAGCACATGGAATAGGAAGTTAAAGACTAAGGACCGTCTCTTGTTTCCACTTTTCTGTGTCCAGACCGACCTGGCTGAACCAGTGGTTGATAGCTTCTCTCGCCTCTGCGGCCAGACGCTCGTCTGTTATATCAGGTCTCGATGCCGCACGCTTCGAAGGACTCTGCGACACTATTTGATCACGCGCTTTTCGCCTCCCCTCTCTCTGCGTTCGCCATTCATCCCGACCTGCAAAATATCGCAAGCTATGCCCTAGGCCACTGTCCTTGGGAGATAAATGGTGGTGCGGCCGGTCTGAGGGTGGTGCGGTAAAGAAAAGCACCCTTCCTGCATTATCATGCTGGAGCTGGGACCGAATGTGAGCAGGCAAAGCCTCGTTTGCGCTGTCAGGTAGAGTATAGACCTCTGGCGGGCGAGGCGGATTATAAGCATTGCTATGGCCTGCCTGGGGTTGTGCAGGCATGTTTCGCGAGCCGTGATTTACATTGAAAACTGGCGTGCCTGGATTTCCCACTTGCTGATAGCGCATGGCTGCCGGAGATTGAGAAAAACTACCCGCGTAGGCTGGGGCAAATCCGGGTTGATGCGGCTGTGCGTACTGAATGGGACGCGCTGAGGTTGTATGCGTGGGCATCTGTGGAAGTGGCACTGGGGTCTGCTGGGGGGGATGCACCCCTGGCTGAGGTGTACTTGGCTGGGCATTTGCTGCCTGCGTATGATAGTGACCAGGTGATGCAGGCCCGAGAGTACCACCAAACGAAGCAGCACCCGGGGTTTGGTGGTCTCCGTGCATGTCCCTGCCCTGCAAAATCACTGACCCCTGACGGCTGGGGTCCAGTTGGCTCTCAGAAGCAGTAGCGGGATTCATGGAAATGGACTCCGGAGGCGGCGTTTCCTGAAAATGCTTAGTGTCTAGTTTAACGAGAGCGAGAGTTCGAGGATAGGAATCATTGAGGACTCACATGCGATTCTGGCGGCCGTCGATGGACAGCGCCTACAATGGGTGGCGCGTTCGGACTGCCCCAAGTTGGACGTGGAAGCTCGTCCGAGACCTTCGCATCCTCACGTAATAGATGCTTGATGGGACTGGGCACCTTTCGCATTGGGTGAGGAGTATCGAAAAGATCCATTTCGTAATCCCGGTCTCTCACTTCATCTGGAACACAGCTTGCCCAAGTTTTGATCTTGTTGAACCGAAAGTTCTCCTCATTGTATCGGGACTCACACACGTAGACGTGCTTGTCAGCAGCAAGGCCACGTGGTCGGCCTTTGTTGAATCGGGTCACAAACATGACGAAACAGCGATCCACAACTTCGCCAATCAGGTGGTCACGGTACTGTCCTGTTTTGACAACCTCGTGCTCGAAGAAATGCTTCTCAAAGCGATGAACAGTTTGTTCCGGCCGATAGTACCAGCATGCATTGATCAATTTTTCTCCTTCGCGATCTTGCCACATGCGAAAGATCTGCCCGACAGTTGGCTTGGCAAGATCATTCGGGTTGCGAATATGGACCCAATCGCCTGTTTTTTGTTAGTTCATCAAGTCTCAACAGCAGGCGGGGGGTTACACTACTCACCAACTCTCCAGATATTTCCACCGTGCTCAACATGATCTACAGATAGTTTCCCATCCTCGTCACGAAACTCGTCATCTGACTTTGCTTTCTCTTGCTCGGCCAAGGATTGAGTTTCATTTTGTAGTTCGATAGCTGCTTTATGCAGTTCGCTTTGATCTTCGTTGTATGCCTTTGCATTCTCAAACATCAGATTCATATCATCGAGGAAATTGTCAACGCTGTTGTATTTCTTGCGTTTGGCTTTCGTTTTGATGTTGTCGAGAGCAATGGGAGTCGTAATCGTTTGATAATAGTCTGGCAACGTTGATCTGTCAGGCAATTTTTCAAATGGAGTAATCAGCAGTGCGCCGTTGTTTGCCTTTAACCGTCGAATGCTTTTAAGAACTGACGAGATGCGAGCCTCAACAGGTGTAAGGACCATTGGAGGGCGTCCTCTTGCTCTGTGAGAATCGTCGTCCATGTCAACATCGCGATCTTTAATGGGCATTCGTTGCTGCCGACGTCTACCACGCCTACCAACACCGGCACCATATTCGTCGTCGTCGTCATCGTCTTCCTCTTCTTCATCGTCATCGTCGTCGTCGTCGTCGTCGTCATCTTCCTCTGAGTTCTCAGCTTCAGAATCGCGGGGTGGAGACTCTTCGACAGGAGGTAGTTCCCCGAGATCAGGCAGGGCGGCTTCTTCTTTGGAAATTATCGAGGATTGTACGAGCTTGTCTAGCTCTTGCCTGAAGATTCCTTGTAGTTTAATGGCGGCGCCGAAGATAGGGGCGGATGGGCGATTATAAACTTGAGCGTTGTGAAAGATTTGCGACACATCTTTCACAAATTCCGGCAAATTTGAGTATTGCTTCTTCTGTATCTTGCCCTGTTCGAGGTTAGATCCAAGTCGTGTTGTATGACGGTCTTGTACATACCCTGACAGTACTGAAAGCCACTGGATCAGATATAATTTCAAAATAATCCGGAACGGTGCGTCGGTTCGGAATGCGCTGAAAGCCTGCTGCAAGTTCTTCGCCGCTGATCGCTTGTTAGCTGTGGTCCGGGCTCTTTCTGCATTGCTCCTTACTCTTCAGATATGGTGCACAAGAGCGTAGACAGACGTTCAATTGTTGCGTACAAGTCGTCACGCGCATCAATCACCATTTCCCCCTCCGCGTCGCTCTCAATGCCATCTGGGCTATTGTTTGCCATCTCGACATCCTCGTCGCTGTGTGGAGTCGCAGATTTGCGCCGCGCAAGCGCAGAGCTGCGCCTACCAGTCATCTGGATGGGTTGACTGAGAAGAGGATAGAGAAGGCCACAAAGAGAAGCGAGGTTATTAATTAAAGCGTTAGATGATGGATTCATGCGTCGCGTCGGTTCGGTTGACAAACGCGTTGCGGAAAGGCTTCAAGCGTCTTGAAGTGTGGAGGCGGACTAAAGTGTGGAGGCGGACTACGGTCGCACATTAGCCAAGGTACCGCCATTTGTGCAAATGAACAATTCGTCCACATCATACCACATCATACCACATCACACTAAAACACAGCATCTTTGAACGCCTATTTCTCTATGACTAGGGATGTAATTAAATAAATTTTTATATGCACTAATAGATAATTAAGCGGTCTATAATTTGGTATATAGAAACCTCTATTTTCAGCTTTATCTATAGAGAAATAAACGCTTAAAGACGCTGTGTTTTAGTGCCCTGTGGTGCCTTGTGTGTTGCCGAGCTTTACCCGCCGAGCTTTACCCGCCGAGCTTTACCCACCACAGCACTGGCGCTGTCACAGGGCACCACAAGGCACCACAGGCCAACAAGACATAGCATTTTTACACGATTATTTCTCTACAAGAAGATCCATAAATTAGAGTTTCTATATATCAAATTATAGATCAATCAATTATCTATCAGTGTATAGAGAAAGTCATTTAGCTACATCCTTATTCGTAGAGAAATAGGCCTTCAAAGATGCCGTATTCTGGTGTGATGTGGACGAATTGTTCATTTGCACAAATGGCATCTTAGCTAATGTACGACTGTAGGCGGACTGTAAATGCTTATGTAACCCAGCTTTGAGACCTTCGAGACAAGTTGAACTAATCAACGAAACCACCACCCGTGAAGGCAAGAAAATCCACAGCTTACTTGTATCTGATTTCATAATCCGAACTTAGGTATGAGACGTGAATTTGAAGAATGCGGCTGGCTATTAACTTGCTGGTTATAAGCTGTGCGCCTAGATTTTCGTCAAAAGCTGATTGCTACCTGACGCACACCCATATTTAGTGACCAGGAGCTGTATATCAACACGGTTTGATTCTTTTTGCTTGGCTGAGACTTTTCTGTATCGAGATGAGAGCTCGATACAAGTGGCCAGGCGGGACTGGCATCATCACTCTCGGGGATGACGCCACGTTGGGGGACGTAGTAAAGGAACTGACTACCAGAACTCTTGTTACCAACTTTGGTATCAAATTTGGGCCGCCTACTGCGATGAAAGATCTTGATATGACCGAAACCGATCAACTAGCAAAGTCGCTCGGCATTCACGGAGAGACGCTGACTCTTGTGCCAAGGGAGGAGCGCCCTTTCCCATCGAAGCAGTCCATCGGCGAGGAACACAGTTTTCGGGCAGAACACCACGGAGAACAAAAGCTGGAACCTCACGAAGTCAATGTCCCTTGGGGATCCAGGGAGGGCACCCTATGTAGGTGATAAATGCACGAATAACATCGAACAGCATACTGAGTCCAGACCAGTACTTCGAGTAATGCCAAGCGACAATAGCTGCCTCTTTACTGCGTTCGGCGGTGCTCTCCCACAGCAAGTACCGGCATCAAAGCTACGGCAAATGATGGCCGAGTACATTCGACAACACCCGGACGTGTACACCGAAGCTGTTCTGGGAGTCCCTCCAGAGCAATATTGTCGAAGCATCATGAACCCCGACAGATGGGGCGGCGGCATCGAGTTGACCGTTTTATCCAATATATTCGACATAAGAATCTGTACTTATGATGTGGAGGTCCGTATAGCCCAGTCAATTGGAAGCAAAGGGCATAAGCTGACAAATCACAGACCCAGAATCTTATTCCGTTCGGAGAAGGCAAACGTGACCAGTGCATTCTGGTGTATTCTGGCATTCACTACGACCGTATTTCTTTCAGTTATTCTGACTACCCATACACCGATCCTATGCTTCCACCCGAGATGGACCGGACCACGTGGCCAATAGAAGATGTGGAGGTTCTCGCTAAGGCTCAGGAGCTGGTCGGGAAGCTTCACATGGCTCATTACTTCACAAACATGGATGGGCTAGTTCTGAAGTGCGATGTTGCTGGATGTGGTTGGATTGGCTCAGGGCAAGCTGCGGGCCAAAAGCATGCCGAGGCAACAGGCCATGGTCAGCTCAGTGAGGTTGTTGATACCCGGGCAGGTGCTATTCTTCGCAGGTGCAATGCCCGAGGCTGTGACTTTATGGGCCAGGGAGATAATGCTGCCAGGCAGCACTCACGAGATACCGGACATAAGTCCTACCTGGTGATTGAGGATTCGTAGCATTTGATAACTAAGTACTTATGAAACTCATGCGTGCTTCGGAGTGCTTGTGCACTAGCCCTGTTTCTTGTCTGCGAGGAGCTGAGTGTGCAAGTTGTCCAGATTTGACAACGAGAGATTTAAAATCTCATGCTTGTTCCTCCATACCTGCTGGCTCTGGGCGTACTGTCGGGCTTGTGATACTGGTGGTGGCGGATCGGTGATTTTGGTCACCAGGTATGCCGTGGACGCTTCAGCGATTCCATATATCAATACTCCAACAAGGGGAACACGCGTGAGAACATAAAATCCAAGTCCAAAGCCAAACAAAACACCCTCGCGATTTCTGAACCAGTTTCGCTTTTCATCCTTGGTGAAATGTATGCGGGAGAAATATGGCACCAGCAACTCTCGCATTAAGCTCCGGGACGAGAAGTATGTCTGCAGGAATATTACGAGATATCTTCGAGGCAAAAATACGCCGGCGCCGAAAATGACAACTGCAGGTCCTGTTCCAACGGCTTTCTTGAAAGTGTAGAAGCTGGCAGCTGGCAACACAAGTTTACCAATCCCGGGAACATGGGACAGGGAAAAAATTGTAAGAGAAAGCAGGGCTTTGTGGCCAAACCTCCTCAAAAAGTTATAGGCTGCAGCCCAAGCATCGGTCTTCTCAGACTTGACGTTGAGAGGTCCCCCATATTGACTGAAATTCGGATAATAGAGGCCACGAAGCTGACACTGGTCATCATGCTTGTGCTTTTGTGCGTATGTCAAATCAACCCAGTGGAGGGATTGCATGAATCTAGCCGGTCAGCGCCTTCGTCAGTACGAGAGGTGAAATTGAAGCCATACAGGTTGTCTAGGGTCGGCACCATGTACCGCATGAGTACCATTAGAAAGAAGGGAATTTGCAACACGTATTCAGCCACGAAATCGAGGCCATTGAGGAGAGAGTCGTCCCAGGTCGCAGATTCTAAAGGAAGAACGAACGAAAGCAGCCAGATGGTGAATTTGACGATGGCAATCTGTATGATTATGTCTTAGTTGAGGTCCGGAGAGGCACCATGGGCGTACACATACTGGAATGGAAACGATGAGGCGTATTGCAATGCCAATAGCTACGGCATACGCCGCCTGCCTGTAGTGGTCGCTGGTGAACATGGCGGGATTCTGAAGTGCTCGATGAGCTTTCCACTGGAAATTAGTATTTTAAGATAGAGATTTATTACCCGCCCCCGTATTTATACCGGACGTACCGCCAACTAGGGTAAGCTGCATGCCTCGAAGAACAGCATTTATGTCAAAGTTGGACATGTCCAAGAGTGCTGTGGATTTCGCATGTTGATGAGGAGAGGTGAGCGAGGCGCTGCCTAGTTGATCAGGGTCTTTCGCCATGATAAATGGGTAGATTATGAGTGTTCCACTATTCAAAGTTGTCGGTCAGAATAGCAGGAGCTCGTTGGAGAGAAACCAGCTGTGTCTCGTGATCTTGTTTGTTGAAGCTCTCTCTGTAAGGGTTGACGCAAGCTGTGGCGACGTGCAAGCTCGTAGGTACCTAATCAACTACGATTACTAGGTAGGTACGTACCAGGGTACCTGGTAATAGTAAGGATGTTAAGGCATGAAGTTCGCTGACAAAAGGGAATGTGGGTGTCCGAGCAGGAGTGCTGGGCCATCAACTTGTACGATGGGGATTCTTATGAACGATCTAAAAACTCAATTCGCACACCAAAAAAAGAAAATAAATCGAGTATATGCATTAATTAACACTCGGCGGGCAGCTTTCAAATCAAAATCACATGTCGGCTCCGCGCAAGACGCGGCACAACAAAGCACCAGACAGATGACTAATTTAATTGGTTACAGGCCGTGCCACACTTTTTAAGACAATGCCGTGCACGTATTTAGCCAGCCATAGATATGTATGCTCGGCAGCCTCCTTGTTTGCATAGTCGAGTCTTGATCAGCCATGCGAATGGCTGAATAGCTTGCAGCACATCTGTGCTTATTAACGACCGTCCATGAAACGCACCCGAACCCTTGCCTGGAAAGGCATTTAACCCAGGAGGAAGAGTATCATGGAGCCGTACGAGCCGCCAAGGCTTCTGAAGCGGCGAGTCGCAACTGCGCCAACGCTGCTGCAACCGCACCCAAGGACACATCGTCCCGGGGAGAAAAGTGATGGAGATGTTGATACCCTATTCAAACACTCGAACGCCAAGGTGGTTTCTCTCGTTGCGCTGAGCGACCAGACATTCAGTTTGGAAAGCAGTAATCGAGATACCATCGGGCCATGGCAATCCCATTTTGAGAGGACAATCGCAATCGGTCGGTTGCTTAACTATAATTTCCTTCTACTTGACGTTACTCTGACGCTGCATGCATGCAGGCTCTCTCAGGCTTTATCGAGCTCCTGGCTCCGTGGCGTTTCTGAGTTGTGGAAGTGCCTTGCAACCCATCTTCCCCAAAAGCCAGTGCTGGTGTATGGAAGAAGATGGGAGCAAATTCATCCTACAGATACGGCCACCGGGCTATTGGCGAATAGAACTTGCCTCCCCAAGCCCTCCTGGTAACGAGAATACCCTTCGCGACTGTCTCGAGTCTGTTCTCCTTCTGGATAAGACTCCCTGCCCTTTCAAGGAGTCCGTGCCAATACTTCTCCCTTCGGAATCTCCACCGCCGAAGAATCGGCGCCCGTGGAAACCACTGCGCAGCTACCCATCGGAGCCAATCCTTGCCAGGGGATTGGGAGGCGTAGGCAGTAGCGACAGCCTACTGTTGAGGGGAGATGGCCCGAAGAGAGGGACGCTTGCAGAGGTACAAGACAATGGCTCTAGTGAAAAGGCACTCGGAGATAATATCAGTCGCGCGAAGTTTGGACCCAAGAAAATGGCTCGAGACACGCCGCGCGGTAATATCCGAGATGAGACGAGGCCAGGGCGACCCGAGGTCATCGACGAACCAAGCTTGCAGATAGCTCGCATGCAAAACAGCCCAAGCCCAGCAAGCACGTCATACGCTACACCTAGTATCGATCAGGGGAGCACTCAGTCAGCGCAGGATTTTCTGGCAGTTCCTGGTGCAAATCAGACCGCCGACATCTTATTGCAACCGAACGAAGAAGGGCGAGCAAAGGAGAAGCCACGCCTCATTGTCAATGAAAGGGGGAAGATTCAACGTCGGTATACCATTGCCTCGAGTGGGAATAATACAGAATTGGATGTTTCTGTCCAGAAAGCAAATACGAGCGGCGTGCATTCACGAGAGCCAGGTCGCCAGGATAAAACACCAAATACCTTTGCTGCACATTCACAACAGATGTTCTCGCAGATACCGATGGATGTCGCCACTCCAGTTAAGAGCCATTGTTATCGCCCTGCTACATCTCCACAGAATGCTGCACGGCGACGGGCACAGTACAAAGAGCTTAGCGATTCCACCAGCTCAGAAGATGGAAGACGCGTCCGTCATCCTCGCGAAACAGCTGCGTCTCCAGACACACCAGGACCGGGACAAGCTGGTTCATTACCAGAGTCCATATTTCTACTGTTCTATACAATATCTGCTCTTATAATGCTAGTGGCGAAGGTAGTAGAGGCCGCGATCGTAAACTTGTGGAAGTTGACTGAGAACACCGAGCGCATACATCACCAAGCCGACCACGTCCCAGGTCAGACTTTCGAAAACCCTGATACTAAACGCACAGGCGATGATGATATATAGTTGATAGAGGGAATCAATTAATAATGAGCGAGCAACAAATAGGGGTCAAGGAGTTTTGTCACAGATGTTCCGCCGCCGGGTGTTACCCGCCAGTGTATGTGATGCGACGTGTCCCGTGGATGAGTTCTATCTCTAACATGTTGCGGGAAGAGTTAAAACGCTGTGGCATAGAGGGTGGGAAAAGGCAGAAGAGGCATTAACATTGAGATAAAAAAGAAAATGTAAACAATATTCAATAGCATGGGCGTTGTAGACTGATGTGGGTTAAACAATAAAGAAGATTTGTTACTTTTTGGTTAAAAGTTCCCGCTAGGAGGGAGTACCATGCACGTAAAGAAAAAAAGAAGTGGCTGCCAAAGCCGTCTTGAACAGATGTTGGGCACATAAAAGAATGATAAATAATTCAATCTATAACTAGGTGAAAAATCGAGTTCAGCCTATATGATTATTCTATTCTTAGCCGAGGCTGTTCTTTTTTGTTTCTTTGGCTGTCAATGTTTTATCGTGCATGGGTGCTGTCGCGAGAGAAAAAAAAAAGAGCCCAGCCCCCCTGAAATGCTTGAACGCATGCCCACCTTTCTGGTTATTTTAGTGTGTTCTCTCGACATCATTTAATAATGTTCTCAGATATAAAGAGACCATGAGCTTAAATCAATTTTTACGTATGCCTAAAAATAATTCAAGATAATACAGTATGCAATAGTGTACTTCCCTATGCATGATAAAAGAACAAGTTCTCTTTTTCTCTTCCATTATATCAATAAACCTTTTCAACCAAAAATAACGATCTTAGAAGGTGCGCGTGAGCCTACCCTTATCCCCTATGCGAGTTCTATCTAAATCACGCAGTATCCAAGCTCCTCGTCCTCCTCACCCTCACTTTTCAAGAGCGAGAGTGATCACGACCAGCATCGTTCCTGTAGACAGGGCGTGGCGGATGAGGCTCACAGCGCTTAAGAACACCTCAACTACATCTAGATGAACTCTCGGGGTTGGGCAACTAATATCCATCGCGCATCGCTTCAGAGCCACTCCACATTTACAGAGCGCTGTAACTGGTTGTCGAGTGGGGGGGTGGTAGCTCTTGTATCCCAAAGAGCGAAGGAGATCTTAAGGAGAGTACGGATACTGCATTACATACACTATTCTCCTGTGGCGCAGCAGCTGCATGTACCTTATTAGCCAGTACTAACAAAGTGGGCAATGTTGCGTGCGCTAAGTATGTAGATGATGCATCCTGGCCAGTGAACTGCATCGCAGTCGCCATCCCGTGCTATCACCAGAAAAATCGGATCAAACGAATTGCCAATGTTTTCTATTGTACAAATAACTAAGAGTCTAAGATTTGTTACTTCTAGGAAGATTTGTAATAAGTGTGAAATTTTACAGGAGCATACGACGAGGATCTTCAATGTACTCCTTGATTTTGACAAGGAACTGCACAGCCTCGCGGCCATCCAGAAGGCGATGGTCATAGGTGAGTGCGAGGTACATCATGGGCCGAATCTCAATTTTTCCGTTGACCGCCACAGGGCGTTCTTTGATGGCATGGAGACCGAGAACAGCAGTCTGGGGCAAGTTGATGATCGGGGTCCCCATTAGGGAACCGAAGACACCGCCGTTGCTGATCGTGAACGTCCCGCCAGCCATGTCTTCAATCGTCAGCTTACCATCGCGAGCCTATTTCAAAAAGATTAGTGATATAATTGTTGCATCGTGTACAAGGGCAACGAACCTTCTTGCCCATATCAGCAATGGAGCTCTCCACGCCGATCATGTCCATAGATTCAACATTGCGGACAACAGGTGTAACGAGGCCCTTCTCGGTAGCAACAGCGACGCTAATATCGACGTAGTCACGGTAGACAATTGTGTCACCACCATTAGTGCCCTCGATTGAGGCATTAACGGCGGGCAAGTCACGCATAGCAAGAACTGATGCACGCGCAAATGCACTCATGAAACCAAGCTTGACGCCGGTCTTTTTCAGTACATCATCCTTGTAGAGCTTGCGGAAATCCATGATGTTGGACATGTCCACTTCGTTGAAAGTCGTGAGGGAAGCAGCAGTGTTTTGGGATTGCTTGAGGCGTTCTGCGATACGCAAGCGCATGCGGTTCATTTTAACCTGCCGAAGAAATATTAGTATTCTGAGGTGCATGCGCACGAACACCTAGCTGAAAACATACGCGTCGTTCTTCACGGCTGCCAAGGGTAGGTCCAGAATCGGAAGTCTGGGCCGAAGAGGGCGTGGAGCTCTTCTCCGCCGCAGGCCGCTGAGGCGCGGCCGGCGTGGCGACTTCCGCCTGGGGTTTCGTCTCTTGTTTGGCTTCATGCTTCGGCTCGGGTTTCTTTTGCTTCTCGGATGACTCTGGCTCGACTGCCGGTTTCGCCTGCTCTTCAGCTTTCGGGGTAGGCTCGTGCTTGGGAGTTGGGGAGCCGCCCGCTTCAATGCGAACCAGATCCTGTCCGACAGTAACCGTGTCTTCTTCGTTCACAAAAAATTCTTTGATGGTACCAGCTTCGGTAGCATTGACGGCGACATCAATCTAAAGAGAGTCAGTCAGTGAGCAGGAATGCGACTTGTCGAACGACAGAATTGTATTACCTTGTCCGTTTCAATAGTCGCAATTTCTTCATCCAGTTCAACATAGTCGCCAATGCTTTTGGTAAATTGCTTCAGCGTCCCTTCAGAGATTGACTCTGCCATCTGGGGGACTTGAACAATTTTGTCCGCATAGCTACGCACCGTCTGCATCATGCTGGGGAGCATCATAGCAATTGGTTGCACTGCACGGCGCTGGCGAACTTGGCACATGGGCGCCAATCGCACCGCGGTTGCCAATCGACGCGACAACATAATTGCGAATTGATACGCCTGTTCCTGACAGACCTGTTGAAGGGAATAGACAGCTAATTGCTCACACTTTGGTGTGACCCAAAGGAGGTGCCCACGGGGCTTATAGCTCTTCGCTGGGAGAAAACGGGATATCACGTGATTGCAGCGTCGTCCACCAACGAATCACAGCTCTGCCAGAGTAAAACGCAACGCGTGCACCCACAGGCCAAAGTGGCTTGAAGGTAATGGTGCCATCACTGGAATTTGGCGATATTTTTGTGCGTTACTATCGCATTGCGTAGCTTGAATGTCGAGAAGATGTCACGAAGTAATTTAATTGTCTGTTACTTCACCAGGTCTACTGCAACAGGCGCCTTATCATCTGTTATCTCTCGTCGCCACACTGCTTGTGGCTTACTAAGCTACATAGTGTTTGTATAATGGCTAAGAAGGACGCCAGGCCGTAAGGCGACCACCCACGCCAATTGGAACCTTGCCTCTGCTGACCACTAAACTCTCAGCCATCATAATCGTCAAACACCCAGCTGCCCAAGAGCTTCAATCTGCAAGCCAGCATCGCGGAGAGGACAATTCGTGCGCAGCAGACCCGATTGCACTTGCTTCGGCGGCCGCTTTCCATAAGCATCCAAACGAACAACCGCGGAGGAGAAACATCATGTCAACGCGACAAGCCGCGCTGTTCGTACTCAGTCACGCTGTATTTCGGGCAACGTTCATATTTCTCTGACAAGCACGTTTCTCAACAATAGGTCTCTGTATCGCAGATCGCTGCGACTCGCCCTAGACTGGGCTGTCCAAAGGCAGCTCTGGCGAGGTCAAGCACTGTACATCCGATCGTTATTCGAGGCGAATCGCCATGTCACCGATCCCAGACAACAAAGGGTGTGTTGTACACTCAGTATCGAGCCTCTGTGTAGTCTAACAACTTGCTACAGGCTCTTCTATCCGAAACCGAAAAGCTGCTAAATGGCTGGAAGCATCCCGATCCTTATGTCCCACCGACTGCCCCCGGAGGTACGCACTTGTTCCACAGCGACCCTCCCATTGTCGACCTAGGAGAGCACAATGCTTACGTTCCGCAGGATCTAAATACGAGAGAAACTTGCCATCACCGGTTTTGGATCGTAAGTTTCTGTGACCAACCAAATGTACAGCTCTGCAGTCTACTAAACATCAAAATAAAGCACCACCACACTCGGCGAACGGACATTGATACCAATGCACTAGCAAATCCACTCGCCAACCTAAGGTTTTGGAGGGTGGTTAGGAGGGCGGCAACAATATTTAAAACTTTAAAATGCTGCCAATTGTACAGCTGCTAGATAAGATAACACAGCCTTCATGTACAAAATTTATGTTAGATTCTGGCGGATGTTTTGCGTCTCAAAACGTGCATAAAGCGCGCACGTCTGTCTGCAGGCATTACCTCAGAGAACATGTTCATGATGCAAGCTGGACGATATAGAGTATGCGAAATATGCATTAAAACTTCTTTTCAAAATAGATGTGTAATCTCATTCATGACCATAGCCTTGGGGATTATTGTACAACCCTGAGCGCATATAAAAACAACCGAAAACCCGGAACCGTGACCCCTGTCATTGCAACCCAAACGAACCATCGCAAGAAAGCAAAAGAAATTGACCCATTTACAGTTCCTGGCTGGCGTTCTTGCCGCTCTTGCCCTTGCCAGTCTTCTGGGGCAGAAGGTCTGATGCGCGTTAGTATCTTGTCTTGCAACTGATATGCGCCGGCTTGGAACTTACTTTGGTGGATGTTGGGCAGGACACCACCTTGTGCAATGGTGACATGTCCCAGCAACTTGTTCAACTCCTCGTCGTTGCGGATGGCGAGCTGGAGATGACGGGGAATAATACGGGTCTTCTTGTTGTCGCGGGCGGCGTTGCCAGCGAGTTCGAGAATTTCGGCCGCGAGATACTCAAGAACGGCGGCGAGGTAGACGGGAGCACCGGCACCAACACGCTGGGCGTAGTTGCCCTTGCGAAGAAGACGGTGGACACGGCCGACAGGGAAGGCCAGGCCAGCCTTGGAAGAACGACTAGAAGGCTGGTCAGCGACTGAGTATGCGTGCACGACGATTGGCAAACACGTACGACTGGGCGTTCTTGGAGCCAGAGGCCTTGCCACCAGATTTGCCACCACCGGTCATTTTGATTAATTTGAATAAAAGGGTTGAAAGTGGAAGAGATGGTTGATTTGGTCGAGCAGGGCGACAATAAGCAGGGTGCTGTTAGATGAGTTGCAGAGAGATAATTGACGGTATGCAGCACACTGGCGGGGGGGCGCGGAGGTTAAGTACTTTTTGGCGCGTTGGCTATGTGATCTGGGATCACCCGCGCCCAAAAAAGGTAGCCACGTCGTGACGTTAGAGCTAGTCCTAAACAGGAACACAAGCATGGAAAATAGTAAACATGCGCAATCCGCCCTTGCAAATAAATTAAACAGCTTTCCCGCTCCGCGCGCGCATGCCTCGCCTACCTCCTTTCTTTACTCAAATTTCGACCTTTGCGATACGTGTTATTTCCCTGACGCGCAACTTGCTTAAATCAGCCAGAGTCTGACAAAGTACCATCGAATAAAAGCTGTTTTGATTCATCAAGGGCTTCTTCTACCTTTTGTTTGCTTTTTTTTTTTTTTTTTTTTGATTCATTTTGTGTTTTTAATGGAGTTGTTGGTCGATTTTTCACGGTCGGGAATGCTGTTTCGCTATTGAAGGCTGAGTATCGCTAGAAAATAGGTACTACACTGACGGTGTACCGGTATGAAGTAGGGTGGGTGTGCTAATCCTCGCGAATCAATGCTCGCCAAGTATCCTTGTTGATATCTCACGAGTAGCCTCATAGGTACAAAGATAACAGGGTAAAACACAGGCAAGACAACGGAATATTGCTAGTTATGAGCCACTAGTTAGATGGGCTCTTCTATAGTAGATTTCCAAGTCCCCAGCCTGTGTCGCAAAGCATGGAGCCGACCCATTGTGTGCAGCTCTGGTAAGGCGATCGTTGAACGGTTCCCCAAACTATGTGTGCTGAGACGGGCATGTTAGTTAGCAATTGACCGAATGCAGCTCAGATCTAACGGCGATAGGACGCGATCGCGCCTTGAATGGTTGTCTCCATCAAGCCGAACTAACGCGGGCGATGGTGAGGGAATGCGTTGTGGTGTAAGCGGAGGCGCATGGTCCAATCAGAAATTAGGCCCAAGAAAAACAAAACACAAAAAACGCGCGACACGGGGGCGGGTTAAGTGAGCTTGAAATCACTAGCCAGAACGCGGCATCACAGGTTGCAGCAGGATGTGGGGTCGCCCGAGCGGCTTCAGCCAACCACATTTCAACCTCCGCCACTGGCCACTAGCTTAACCACCTGATTTAGCTAGATCACTTCAGGCGTCGTCGCCCATCTCATTGACCACCTCCCCAGAGCAATCAGTAACCCAGCACCACTGCACGACACCCAGCTACAAAAACCCAGCCCGCCCCCCAACCGTTCTTCCTCCGCCATCAACTCTTGCCATCATCCGCTGCCTAACTCGTGCCTTTGACTACAATCAAACAACATACTCGACTTCTAATACTTCAGTTTTTTCTTCCGCCTTATACCATCAAAATGCCCCCCAAGGCCGCTGACAAGAAGCCCGCCGCCAAGGCTCCCGCCACTGCCTCCAAGGCGCCCGAGAAGAAGGATGCCGGCAAGAAGACTGCTGCCTCTGGTGACAAGAAGAAGCGCTCCAAGACCCGCAAGGAGACTTACAGCTCGTACATCTACAAGGGTATGTTTTGAGGCGAACGTCGCGTTCTGGGCGCGTTTTGCTGACCGTGTTTCCAGTCCTCAAGCAGGTCCACCCCGACACTGGTATCTCCAACCGTGCTATGTCTATCCTGAACTCGTTCGTCAATGGTGAGTACTTTCTTGTCTGCTAGTCTACGTGCCCATACTAATCTCTTCAGATATCTTCGAGCGTGTCGCTACTGAGGCCTCCAAGCTTGCTGCCTATAACAAGAAGTCCACCATCTCCTCGCGCGAAATCCAGACCTCTGTCCGTCTGATCCTGCCCGGCGAACTGGCCAAGCACGCCGTCTCTGAGGGCACCAAGGCCGTCACCAAGTTCATCTCTTCCACGAAATAAATCATGGCTGAGATTTGATTGCTGGTTTTCTGTTACGGTGTCATTTGAATTTTATTTTATGCGTGGCATCAGGGTCTCATGTTTTGAGGATCTGCGGGCTGAAGAAAGCCCTGCCGCCGTTGGGTTTCTTAATGCGTTACGGATGGTTTGCTTTATTGGGGCAATGTCTTCACGGTCAATGGGGTTTTGCGGTTGTACAATAAATTCGAGAATAGGGTCTCGAGGCAATGAATTCGTGCACATGATCATTTCAATATTATTCTCCCCCCTGCGTGACACAATTCCTTAACCCAGTCCCGCTTTGGATCTCTTCATGGTTTGCGTGACAGGAAGAAGTATTCCCTTGTTGTCTGCTGAGCCCAACGCCGTTCCAGTACTCCATCCCATCTTCTCGAGCATGGCTCTGCCGCGATTTTCCGTGCTGAGCTCTGGAGCAGACGCTCCAACAATCTCGCCATCACGGTAGCTTGCTTCGGCATATCCGTTGCGCGAAGATTGGCCCCGCGAGCTCTTGCCTTTATAATCGAGCCGGGGAAAGTATCGACGCTGGATTCGTCTGACAGCCAGGTCAAAGACTTCTTCGTCAAAGTTTGGCGTACGCTTGGTGCGATACAGTGTCGGTCGGCGCTGGTCGGCTTTGCCAATAGACTTCGACTTCACGTTGAATTTATTGGCCAGCTCGTGTATCATCTTTCTAGCGCGCTTGTCCATTGGTGGCAAGCATATACTGCGGCAAAGTGTAAGTCCGTGTAGTGCTCAAATGGGTGTAGGACCCTGGGTATTTACCTGTCATCAATGCTCATGAGGAATTTCTGGAGCTCGTCTGCAATCTGCTGAAGGCTCATCCCTTTTGGATACTTGATGCGCAGATCTTCAGTGTCACTGCTTCCGCCTTTCTTCCCTATCAGATTCAGCGCCCGTAGCTGCTCACGCTCTTTCTTCCGTTCGGCCTTTCTGAGGCGGTCACTGTGCCATGCTGCTTGAAGTCTGCGTTCTGTCTCAGGGTCGAGGTCGGCGAACCTAAGATCTAGATTCTGTTTTGCACCCTTGCCCTTTTTTTGCCGAAGACTCGGACGCTCCCAGTCCATCGTGTCGAAATCGGTATACTCCATGCCGCTTTCTCCTGAAGTCCAGCTTGGGGTATGTTGCTTCAGCTGCGTCGCGATGATAGCTTCAGCCGGGGACTCAGCTGCGTCATTTTCGTCGTCACTGGAATCTTCACTGCCTTCGCTCTGGTCATCTGTCTCTATTGTGACTGCTGCAGTCTGTAGCAGACCACAGAACTCGTCATTTTCGCGCATATTCGCAATGTAGTCGGCTAGCATCCCGTCGTCTTCATCTGCGGCATCTATTACGGCTCGTTTTGCTTTCGCTTGCCTGCCACCCCTTCTCCCACGTCGATTTTTTGCCGTCAGCTTGTCGGGATTTCTTTCTATTTGTTGCTCAACCACGTGTATTTCCGTACGAATCGCCTCCATGTCGATGGCGTCGTTTTTGGTGTTTAATCTGCCTTTGAATAGTATGATTTCACCTTCGCTGTCACTTTTCTCTGTGTCGATTATTGCTTGTTTTTGTGTTTGCGGTGTCGATAATTCGCTTCTTGTTTGGTTCGGGACTGGCGAGCCGCGGCCAGTATCATAGTAAAGGAAGTTATTCTCTGGCTCAGCTGCTTCGCTGCTCGGCGTAGCTTCCTGTCCAGATGCTACGCTGCATCTTGATACCTCGTTTTGGTGTTGATCTGCTTCTATTTCCACTTTCGGTGCATTGATAATCGGTGTGGTGTCGCTTTGATACTCGTCTGTTTCTGTGTATTGCTGCGCTTTAAGTGGCTCACTCATTCCGGCACTTATGAACGAGATGGGCATGAGCCGGAGTTTTGTGGCCTGGCTCCAGAAGGAGTGGTCGTGTTGACTGGTCTGTCGTGCTTCGTCGGCGAGCGTGAAGCCATCTGCAGCGTGGTTGGCTCGTGATGCGGGCTCATTGTGGTGACTATAATTACTCGTTGACCGGATGGTCGGCTTTGGGTGGGCTTCCGGTGCTCTTGGTGTCTGGACGCCTGGACTTAGGCCCCCTTTCTTTTTGTTCTTGCTCTTCCTCGCCATCCTGTACTCCGGGTGCTGGATGCTTGCGCTGTCGCTCTCTGTCCTTCTCCGGTCACGGACATTTGGCGGAACCTAGTTGAGTTTTGCGGTTGAGCCTAATAAATCGGCGTTTTAACTGCAGCCTTTGGCGGTGGGTTGGTTTGCGGGGCGATACAACGGCCAGGTAAACCCACCAGCGCCCACCGAGTATTTGCAGCTACCCTATACGAGCGAGCTGCGGTCGTGGTGCGCGTGTACTGTGTGCGGTCTCTGTACATTTGGGGTACTCATTTGATATACTTCATTTATATGGTTATTATGTAATTGTTCTTCCCGTTCTTCGGTATCTTTATTGTTGTTGTGGCTGCGGGTTGTGTTGAGTTGCCTGCCCTCGTACGAGCTAAATGGGTATACTACATACAGTAGGTACGTATGGCGTTTAGGTACCTATATATGTATGTAGGTAGGTAGTAGTGTCACGGGTCAAGACTGTGCCAACTGCACATCTGACCCGCCCCCAAACACGCAGCATCATCTATCACACTGCACCCATATACAGACTGGCCGTCCTTCATCACGACCACGCCACAGCCAACATACAAACGAAGCGCACACGGAACGATGGAGTCTACGATGGCCAACGTAGACCTCGGTCGCTACCGCAAGATCGTACAGCTGTTCTGGGATCCTGAGCCATCAAATGACCCAGTTCTCGACCAACCAGTATGGTGCCTGGGTCAATCATACAAACTGCACAAAGGCCAGAAGCCACGGGTAAGTGGCCAGGAGCATAATAGCAACAGCCTGGGCGAATATGCGACCGCCACGGCGGTGACGACACCAGCTCAGAGCAAGGCAATAGACGTGCCCCCAAGCAACGCGCCCGACACCCCACCACAATCAACGGGCGGCAGCTTTTCGTCCACTGGTCGAAACGAAAGGGATGATGACAACGGCTGGCCGCAAAAATTCGTCACAGACTTTGACTCCAGATTCTGGATGACATACAGGAACGAGTTCAAGCTAATACCCAGATCAATGGACCCCAAAGCCGCCTCATCGATGTCGCTGCCTATGCGAATCAGATATCAACTCGGAGACCAAGGAGGGTTTTCATCCGACAGCGGATGGGGTTGTATGATACGATCAGGTCAGAGTCTACTAGCGAATGCTATTGGCATGGTCCGACTGGGCCGAGGTTAGGAATATACACCCTGTACCATTTCCCGCTGCTGATCGATTATAGAATGGCGCCGGGGCCAGCGCAAGGAGGAGGAGATCGAACTACTGCGGATGTTTGCAGATGACCCAGCAGCGCCGTACTCCATCCACAACTTTGTTGAGTACGGCTCTTCCAGATGTGGCAAATACCCCGGAGAGTGGTTTGGACCCTCAGCCACGTCACAATGCATCAAGTACGCGCTGAACTGGATCGAGATGAATCAGATGCTAACATAACACACATAAAGGGCCTTGACCGACAAACACGAACCGGATATGAGAGTGTATATGACACAGGACAGTCCCGATGTATATGAGGATAGCTTCATAGCCACGGCGAAATCCGATAACGGGATATTCAAACCGACCATCATCCTGATCAGTACGCGGCTCGGTATCGACAAAATCACACAAGTTTACTGGGAAGCACTGATCTCGGCACTGCAAATGCCGCAATCGATCGGTATTGCAGGGTAAGAGAGAACGAATAACGGCATAGGTTAACCGCAATAGGAGCCATGCTAACCACCGAAATCGCAGTGGCCGTCCCTCCTCGTCACATTACTTCGTCGGCTCACAAGGCAACTTTTTGTTTTATCTTGATCCGCACCACACAAGAGCGGCACTGCCGTATAAAGAGAATATAAATGAATACACCGCAGAAGAGATAGACAGCTGCCACACGTCGAGGCTGAGACGGCTCCATGTCCAGGAGATGGACCCAAGCATGCTGATTGGGTTCATCATAAGAAGCGAAAAAGAGTGGGAGGAATGGCGATGTGGTATCAACTACGTACAAGGGAAGGCTATCATACATGTTGCCGACCACGACCCTATGCTGCAGAACAAACCGGAAGGCAGAGAAGGGGCCATAGACGAGGTCGAGCTTCTGAGCGACGATGACACGGGGGATGAAGCATAGGCTGGCATCACATGAGTATACAGCAGTAATGTACCGACTAACCGAAATATATTTCTAGTATGTTGAAGGCAAGTAGCTGTCAAGCACGACTCACCCCTACTCGACAGACCGTGGGTTGCACGGTGCGCGGAGAGAATTTGGCACAGCTGACCCATACTAGCATGATCCTTACACCACCAACGCAGTACAGTTGTACAGGGTCCTGTCTACCTGTTCTTCTTCTTCCTAGTCTTGGCTGCTTCGCTTCGAGGAGTAGCCGCATGACCTTCGGTACGGATATGGGCGAAGAGTTTTGTGCGAGAATCAAACTCCTCCTTACAGACAGTACAGGGGTGCTACCGAGAGAATGTTGTCAGTACATGACATAGTCATAGGGAAAGATGCCATAGTACATACATTGGAGGCTGTATTAGCTTGTGCAGCCGCGGCCTTCCTTTCGCGTTTCGCTTTTGCCTTTCTGATTTTCCTTGGACGGTCTCCCAATCCAATGTCCATGGCGGAAGTAGTGGCTGATAGGTCGTCAATGCCGCGCTCATGTAGTGGCTCGGGGGCAGCGGCATCGCCTGGCTGGCTATTTAATATACGGTTCACAATCGTTTCCCTGGGCGCGTAGTCATCATCCTCCGCCGGGGAAGAAGCTGACTGGAGTGACTCGCCATCGATATCGCCATCAGCGTGACTCGAAATTGGAGAGGGCGTGCCTGCTTGCTCCGGGCTGGCTAAAGCAGGCGAGGAGTCACCGTCCTGTAAAGGAGCTTCTGTATCGCCAAGTTGCGGAGAGTTCTCATTCAGCTGTAATTCAACGCCCTCTTTCCTCATCTGCCATCGTAATTGCTGCGCAGCCTTCAAGTGCTTCTTACTGCGCTCGTGAGCTTCGAGCTGCTTCTCACTCCTGAAGTTTTTATCACAGACGACGCACTCCAATATTTCCACCTCAGACTCAACTTCTGACAAGGAAAATTCTTCTTCGCCAGAGTGGCTTTCTCGTGACGTGGCCCAGTCGGGTAGCTTAAAGCTTGCCATGCGCTCCTGATTTGCGGCACGATCTCGTGCAGCTTGCGCGGAGGCGGCTACGCGTGCTGCTTCTTGTCGTTGCGCTTCTGTCTGAGTATTGGGGATGTATCGCGAGTCCCTTTTCCGGACAAACGTTACGAGAAACCGGACTGCATCATTGAATTCGCGAGCCGCGTCTTCGCGCAGCTTTCTGTTCGCCTTGTCCATCAATCTTCGGGTGTGCCTGTCCGGTGCATCTGATAGTCGGTACTTGTCCTTCCATGCGAATGTCTTTTTTGTCGCAAAACCTGCCCAGGAAGCGTAGAAGGGCTTTACAATCTCGTCGTAGGAATCTTCTGCCTGACCAAATGTGGTGTAATAGGCGGCATCGACGTTCTCCTGTTCTGCGGCTACTTCTTCCTCCAAAGCCAAGTGCTCGAATGTCTCTCTAGCAATAGTGAAGAAACCAACGGGATCATCGTTGAACGGAACGCTTGAATTAAATTTCCGGATGAGGCTCATGATCTCCTCTGCTGATGTTATGCGAACATTTCTGAACGAGGTCGGCTCCGTCCCGTCCCCTGTGATGTCTTGACCACCAAGAATAGCATCTCGATGGGAATCATACCACGCTCGTTCATGGGGATCTGACAAAATTTCATACGCAGACTGCAGCTCGGCAAATTTCTGCGTCGCAGCTGCAGCATCTCCGAAGTTTCTATCTGGATGGAGCTCCAGTGCCCTTTTTCTATAGGCTTTCTTGATGCTGCAGGTCGGTTGGTTTTAGTCGATGTGAGTAATGATGGCCCGATGTGTCAACCTACTCTATCTCGCTGGCGTCACGGTCAACGCCAATGAGTTCGTAATAGCACGTTTTAGTGGCGGTTGAGTTGGATCCTGAATCCCCCTGCGACGTCGATTGTGAGGCACCCATTTTTACAGGCGACGCCGAAGTCTTTTACCAGGATGCGGTGGAAGTTGCGAGGTGTTATAAAGCAAGTCGCCTTGATTTTCCTCAACCACTCTGTTCCAGCAAGCGGGAGTTTTCTTGGCACAGAGAGTACGAATAAAGGTAGGCAGGCAACTTTTAGGTGGCCAAGGTATGACTCCTCAGATCTCCACCCGCGCTAGACTTCTTGGTGCAAGTGTAGGTAGCATTCGTCGTCGCAGCGTAATCCGAGAATTTGAATCCATCTTTTTCTTCTTCCAGTTCATTCATGCTGTGGCTTTTATCCCAATTCATGTGCGGTTGTGGGACTGGTTTGCTTGTGGCCCAGGCATGAGTTCGCGTCACGCGTCACTTTCCAACCGCAAGAAGCGTGTGTCGTGGTAGTTGCAGGGACGAACATGGGCTGGGCTGGGTTGTGGAGCGACCCTTATTAAGAAGAGATTGATCGGTATGGGCGGTACTCATGCCTATCTATTGGGCCAAATGCGGCCGAACGGACGAATCTCCTACAAGTTAATACATGGGATTCAACTTGAAGAACAAATGTGCATTATTTTCCTATCCCAACCGCTCACATTGGCTTCATCTCCAAGAAAAATGGCAAACCACGACGCCATCGAAATGGATAGTACCTTTGTGTACATGACTCTGTGGGACCCCTGCGTACAGCCCGCCTTGACAATCCGCTAGGATCCTTTAAGATGGTACTCTCAGGTACCGATCACAAGGCAGCTAAACGTGTCGAGTGATTAGCGCCACGCCGTTGATCCAGGGCATTGCCACGAGGTGCCGTTCTGCCGCTGTCATGACCAAACCGTCACCGAGTTGCGCCACTTTGAATGCACAAAATGCGAGACCAAGATTCGAGTCTTAGCAAAGGCATCTCACCAACATTAGGAAGCTGACTGGTGTCTCCTCGTGGATCTGGGCAGGATGAAATTCGCACACGATTTCAAGCAGAATCTTGCCAGCCAGGGTAAGCGCGCATGCATGTTTCGGCCCTGCATTCACCTGGCCTCTAACCGCACCACGCGCAGATTTTCCACCGCACTGGGTTGAGCGAGCAATTCCCTACAGCCAATTGAAGAAATGCCTTAAGAAAGTCCAACGCGAACTTCAAGACTTGGGTCTGGACCAGGAAACCCTGCGCGCTCTTCTGACTGCCGAAGAAACGGCACCAGTCGCTCTCCAGTATAAACTACGGGGTGAGATTCGAAATACCTACTTACGTACCTCTGCTCCATGGCGATCATCATCTAGCGCTAACTCAATATTTGTAAAACCGCAGAGTCGGGATCCAAATTCGTGCGCCCCAAGCTCACCGTCAATGTCCACCTTCGTGACGGCGTCGCCGTTGACGCCTCTTTAACTCCAACGTCGAGAGGCTTCCTCGAGAAGCTGGCGAGCGAGATTTTAGACGAACATGAACGCGAATCACTAGCCCAAATACGAGCGAGCCGACAAACCGACCGTGAGACTACTACCGACGCAAACAATGGCGTTAGCAATGGTGACAGCAATGGCGACAACGGCAACTACGAAACCATCCAAGTCCCGCTCGTGTTTGATGCTGAATTCTTCGATATGCTACAATCTGATGTCAACGAGCTGGACGCCTTGCAGGCAGAAGAGCAAAAACAGTTGACTGCCGAGATCACCGAGCTCTCGAAAGAAGTTTCCGCCGCGTCCCGGCCCAGTCGCTTTTCCAAGAGCGACCTGGCGCGCTGGCGTGAGATATTCGAATTATATCTAGACTCGAACGTCTTCTTCGCAACCCAAGAATGCGACCATGGCGCAAGAAGCAGCCAAAGAGCTCTTAATCAACTTCAATGGTTCCAGAATGAAGTTGAGAATCGCAATCTGGCACGCAAATTCAAAGTGCCACAAAGTCGCCAGGCCTTCTCCAGGTTTCTGCAGTTAAATGCTAGCCTTCTCAAGAATCTTCAATTTGAAGAGCTCAACAAACTTGCAGTATCCAAGATTCTAAAGAGTGAGCGACCAAATCATGCAAGCTACTGCTGAGACTCAATCACTAACAATTGCGTTCTAGAGTTTGATAAGAGAACGGCGTTTGGCGTCTCTAAATCGTTCCCCAAGGTGATCTTCTCCAAAGGTCTTCTTGCTGGTAGCATTGCCAAAGATGTGTGCGCTTCCATGTCTCAGGAGCTAGTTTCAGTTGTACCACAGATCAACGACTACCTCTGCCCGGTCTGCTTCTCTGTGGCTTATAGGCCTGTCAGACTTGATTGCCAGCATGTGTTTTGTATCAGATGCATTATCAAAATACAGAGGCGCAAGGAGACCCATTGCCCACTCTGCAGAGCTGATGTAGTGATGTCTGCATCTGCCGGTGAGAGCCTTGCTTGCGCTTGTGCCGGAACCCCCCTGTTTTGCTAATGATGACAATAGACAACCTCGACCATCGGTTGGAGAAGTACCTGGAGAAGTATTTCCCGAAGGAGGTGAAGGAAAAACAAAGGTCGAACGACATAGAACGCGGCATTGAAGATTATGGACCTGGTTATAAGCACCAGGACTGTCTCGTGATGTGATTAGGGAGCATGCAAAGAAACGTGTCGAGCCCATCACTTCACTTGCCCCCGTCACAAGAACAATAGAGGATGCCTTTTCCATCACAATAGAACGAGGGCTGCTAATGGTTAAGTATTGGTTATGAATATAGTTGAGCGCAAGCGTGGTTTATAATTGGGTTTATCGATAATGTTGAAATGAGCAATAATTATACCCGCAGTTTATCTTTTTTACCTTTTCCGTACTTGTCGTGTTAACAGTCCCGCCCATCTTTGTTGTGCATTTACTTTGAGGCCTTGTCCGCTGCTTCAAGGGCTCTGCGGAATATGTCGATGAGCACATCTTTGTCTTCGAGCCCGACACTGACGCGTACCAAGTCTGGATCTACCCCAAACTGCGCCGCCCAAGGGAGTTCAGTGTAGTGAGCCAATAAGGCGTACGGAGAGCACAATGTGAAGTTTGTGCCTAGGCTTGGCCCCTTCGCGATATCCATCTCATCATAAAAAGCCTCCGCACTGGCTTGCTGATGAAAGACAACGGACAGCAGGCCGCCGTAGCCACCATGTGGTAGACGGCAGCGCTCATAGTGATCCCGTGACGGATTAAACTTTGGGTAGAACAGGTCTTTTACCAGATGGTGGCCCCGTAGGAGGTCACAGATGGATTCGGCATTTGCGTTGACTCTTTCCACCCGGTTTTGGAAGTCTCGGCTATTCCGCTCCATGAAGATTATATCTTCCGGCCAATAGTTGTCCTCGACTGCGGTGTCCATTGCGGTTTTCAGCAGACTGTAGTATTTGCTGCCGGGGTTTAGAACAGCGCTCCCCCCCATCACATTGGAATCTCCGGAGAAGATTTTCGTGAGGCTGCTGACGACAATATCGGCGAACGGAAGAACGTTGATGTTTGCAAATGTACCAATGGTTTCATCCACCACAATCGCGAAATCGAAGTCATGTGCAAGTTTGCGGATTCTTTGCAAGTCCGGGCTGGACAAAAGAGGATTGCCGGGAAATTCACAGAAGAGGGCCAAAACACGTTCCCCCTCCTTCAAACGAGTCTCAAGCTCGTCTAAATCGGACGAAGAACCATTTCCGTAAAAGATGCAGCCAGGGCCAAACTTTTGCAGAATTTTCAAGGTATCGACATAGGGAAATCCAAAATTGACGCTCTGGAGCTGACCTCTGGCGGCCAGCAATGCACGATGTGCGTTAAAAATTGCATTCATGCCTGCAGGAAAGAGGTATATGTCGGACTCGCTCAAATTGTTGGTGCGTGTAGATGAAACCATGTACTCCGGCACTGTTTCTGCTGTCAGGTCAACTTCGCCGACCAGCGAGCCAGCGATTCGGCGACGAATTGCCGATTTGGCTTTTTCGGCCAACGTTAAGTCCAGATTTCTACCGAACCGCTCTTCTAGAAACCTAGAGCTTTCCTTGGTATCATTGGAAGCCGCAGGAAGGGATTTCGTAGTGGGAACTGCGGTTTCATCGACCGAGTTTGTACGTTGGTACCGCTTTGGGCCTCGCGATGGCTTCATGGTAGTCTCGCGAAGCCCATTTGCGCATTTACTTGGTACTAAGATACTGGCACGTAGGAGGTCGTGGCAGAACTCTGCGCGGCGACTTGATACGCCATCACCGGTGTGTTGCCAATACTGCTTGGCGAGTCCAAAGGCATGTGCTGGGAACAATGCCGCAGCGATGGTCGATGGCAGACCGCTGAGGACCGGGGAGGTGGTTTCCGAGAGACTCAGCTCAAAGGCTATCAAACTGAGTTGGGTTGATAGCGTATCGGGTGCCCTTGCGCGCATAAAGTCCAGGCAACGCTTCGCAGCTTCTGGTGTGGCGAAGAGCATGGCTTGTTGGTCCTGCTTTCCATATTGAGTGGCAATGACATGGCCCAACTCGGAAATACTCTTGTGGATAAAGAACCTATGGAATCAACGGTCATTTTACGGTTCCATCTGATGAACGAGCAATCATACCTAGGATAGCCAGTAGTCATGCGACTAACAACCCATGATTCACCCTCCTCATAGCCGATGTTCGATTTCCAAGTTGGCAGCGATACACTAACAGCCTAGAATGGGTGTAAGAACATCGCCTTGTTCGGACTCGAAGTTCAACGAGGCCATCTAACTCACATGTGCTGTATCCGGCGGTATGGATTCGCCCAACTCTATCGAAGGCATCTCTATGTGAGCACCTGCGATTCTGCTGTGCACGACCGAGTCTTAAGCGTCTTTCGAGTCGGTTGCTATGAGCTTCAAATACTACGGTAATTTTCGTGTGAGTTTAGCGACCGAACGTTTTGAGTCGAAGATGAATGTAGAAATTTAGCGCGACGCCGAGGATCGGACGTGGTGGGAGGCGTGTGCGTGGGTGGATCTTGAGATACGGTTTTGTTTTAGTTCACGTAACAGAAACAAATGGACGCTCTGTGTATGACGGTACACACAATGTATTAGTGAAAACTAATAAATGCAATGAAATAATGGAGGAGTGAACTTGAGAGACTATCTTTACATAAACAACAAGCAACGGTGGCTTGAAGTGATTCGGTTACCAAACAGAGCCCTCAAGTCATCAAGCAGAGGTTATTTGGCTCCTACGCAGCTAATGCTGTCGCTCGGCGCCACGCTTCGAAGGTCGTCGTCCCAATTCGCGCGACTGCTTCCAACATGGCTACCAGGTAGCGGAATATTTCTGGCCGAGATATGACTCGGCGGGCCGTCGCCATAATTGGTACCGGCAGAACTGGCAGGCAATGGAATGTGTCGGGCTGAGACCTGACTATCGCCAACCCTGCTGCCGCCACCCACGCAACTGCCTGGTAGGGGGACATTTGGCGCAGAAACACGACTGTGCGAATCCTCAACGCTGGCAGTATCCCTACGACTCGTGGACGAATGTGCCTTGATCGTCGATACATGGCTGACCGTATCGAAAAACTCGCTGGTACCTACCCAACTACCGGGAAGCGGGACATCCCTGGCTGAAACGCGACTGCGCTTGTCGTCGCCGTGGTCGCGACCAGTAGAGACGTCCGTTTTCCTCGAAGAGACATCCGTCTTCCGAGTTGACACGTCTCTCCTCCTAGCAGACACGTCCGTCTTTCTCGAAGAGACGTGGGTGACTGAATCGAAGAACTCGCTTGTACCTACCCGACTAGCAGGGAGAGGAACCTCTCTTGCTGAAACGCGGCTGCGTTTATCGTCTCCGTTGCAGTTATGACTAGCGGATACATCTGTCCCCTTTGCGGAAGAATGGCTTTGCGTGTCGAAGAACTCGCCGGTGCCTGCTTGACTAGGAGGTAGTGGGAAATTTCTTGCCGAAACACGGCTGCGTTTATCCTCGCTGTTGTAGTTGTGCCTAGCGGATATGTCTGTCCTCTTTGCGGAAGAATGACTTTGCGTGTCGAAGAATTCGTTTGTGACTGCTTGACTGGGGGGTAATGGGACATTTCTTGCTGAAACATGACTGCGTTTATCCTCACCACTAGGGCGAGCGGTAGACAAACTTTTTCTATCAGGGGGGCAGCTTTTCATATCGAGGAACTCGCTGGTGCCTGCGACACTTGGAGGCAGGGGGACGTTTCTTGCCGAGGCGTGACTGCGTTTATCGTCACCGCTAAGTCGAATAGTAGACACACTCTTCCTATCAGAGGCACGGCTTTGCGTATCGAAGAACTCGCTGGTGCCAGCGACACTAGGGGGCAATGGAACGTCCTTTGCAGAAATGTGGCTGCGTTTATCGTTGCCGCTAGGGCGAACAGTAGACACACTCTTCCTATCAGAAGCTCGACTTTGTGTGTCGAAGAACTCGCTGGTACCGGCGACACTAGGAGGCAGTGGAACGTCTTTCGCGGAAACATGGCTGCGCTTATCCTCACTGCCACGGCGAGTGGTGGATACATCCGTCCTCCTAGCGGAGGCATGGCTCCGTGTATCGAAGAACTCGCTGGTGCCTGCGATACTAGCAGGCAGTGGAACGTCTCTCGCGGAAACATGGCTGGTACAGGCGACACTAGGAGGCAGTGGAACGTCTCTTGCGGAAACATGGCTGCGCTTATCCTCACTGCTGCGGTAAGCAGAGGCATTGCTTCGTGTATCGAAGTCTTCACTTGCGCTTGGACGATCAGGCACAACGGTCCTGGAAGAGCGCTGTGATACTTCGATAGGGGAGCGCGATTTGGGGGAGGGCACTTCCTTCGGCCTTGAATGTGATGAACGTTCTGAGACGCAAGACTTCTCATCAGTGCTTCGTTGACGAGAACCATGCTTACTTGGTGAATCGCTTGGTGCTTTCGAGACTGTAGAAGCGGCCACCTTCAGGTAATCACTGCTTCTTTTTGATGCCTGACCGGGGGCAGTGGACGCTGAAGAGATGCGAGAATGGGCAGAAACGACGGTTTCGTAGTCTTTCTTCAAAGACTGGCTATCGGCGACGTTTGCTCCGGCTTCCGAAGACGGCTTAGAGGGTGGAGGAGGTACCAACTGTCGAGGGAAATCACTTCCTATAGGCATGGATGTGGACACCGTCGAACTTGGCTTCGCGGGGGAAACATTCGCGAGCTCCTTTTCGTTGTCTTTTTGGCCATCAATTTCGGCACCTTTGCTGCAGGTTTGAACGGCGTCACTTTCGTGAACTGACGTTGGCGCTCGCGTTGGTGAAGGTGCGCAAGTCGATGTTGGCGGACGGACTGATGCTGGTGCGCAAATCGACGAAGCTGGACGGACTGATGCTGGTGCGCAAACCGACGAAGCTGGACGGACTGATGCTGGTGCGCAAACCGACGAAGCTGGACGGACTGATGCTGGTGCGCAAACCGACGAAGCTGGACGGACTGATGCTGGTGCGCAAACCGACGAAGCTGGACGGACTGATGCTGGTGCGCAAACCGACGAAGCTGGACGGACTGATGCTGGTGCGCAAACCGACGAAGCTGGACGGACTGATGCTGGTGCGCAAACCGACGAAGCTGGACGGACTGATGCTGGTGCGCAAACCGACGAAGCTGGACGGACTGATGCTGGTGCGCAAACCGACGAAGCTGGACGGACTGATGCTGGTGCGCAAACCGACGAAGCTGGACGGACTGATGCTGGTGCGCAAACCGACGAAGCTGGACGGACTGATGCTGGTGCGCAAACCGACGAAGCTGGACGGACTGATGCTGGTGCGCAAACCGACGAAGCTGGACGGACTGATGCTGGTGCGCAAACCGACGAAGCTGGACGGACTGATGCTGGTGCGCAAACCGACGAAGCTGGACGGACTGATGCTGGTGCGCAAACCGATGAAGCTGGACGGACTGATGCTGGCGCGCAAACCGATGAGGCTGGACAGACTGAAGGTGGTGGACGGACCGACGGAGGCGGACAAGTTGACAGTGATGGACGGACTAATGCTGGCGGACAATTTGATGCTGGGGCTCGAACTGATGGTGGTTGGCGAACCGACGGTGGAGGACAAACTGATACTGGTGCTTCAGTTGGTGGTTTCTTTAGTATCGTCGAAGCCTGGTCATCCTGAAATGTTATTCGCTGCCTCACTGGAACAGGCATCTGCTGATCTCTGTCAACCATGCTGGGTGATACGCTTTCTGCATCGCTGGGGAAAGACCTTTGCCTCGCATCCATATCGGCGGGAACCATCTCGGGTTTCCTGGCAGACATGACACCATAGGTAATTGCCGCACCAGCCGCCGCACCAGCTGCGACACCCAAGAGGGCGCTTAGGACGGTAGATACTCCGCCGCTGCTCGGAGTTCCAGAATCCTCGGTCTTCGTCTTGGTCGCATCGGCCCCTTCAGGCAAGACTGGGTTTGCGGAGGCATCCTTGGCGCTGCCAGCCCCTTCGATAGCCTTGACACCGGAAGCTTCAGGGCTGCCTCTGTTCCAATCAAGGACTCGAGACGCGTGCGGCTCTGGCTGTGAATTCAAGATAAGAGCAAATTGGCCGGTGACCGGATCGGGCTTGCAAACATGCCCAGTACAGATGGCTTGTAGCATATTGCCGTCTAAATCGAAAACCGCCGAGGGATTGGCTGGGCCTTGAGAAGTGAACATGGACGTCGGGTTTGCTGCTGTGCCTTGTCTGTGAAATGCCAGGATCGACGCCGGAGAAGGAGCGCTGATTCGGATCGACGATAGCCGCAGCGCGGTTGGCCTTGCAATTTGACGGAGATTTAGAACCGGGCCCTGGCAGCAACCAAACGTTGCAAAATCAGGGCCGGATGCCAGACTCTCTGCCGTGAGATAGCGGAGGCCGAGAGGTTGAAGGACAGCGGCGTAGAAGGAGGTCGCAGGCGCCAGTTGTGATACCTCGATACATGGGAGTTGTTGCATGCTGGTTGCTTTGGATGCAGGGCGGGTCGTGTGGAGGTAGGGCGATGGAGAGTAGTACTGGCGATGCTAGAATTGCTGGGAGGACCGATTTGTATTTAATACTTTTGAATGCTCACGCGATACCTAGGTCAGTAGCTTGCCCCAACCTCACCCTCACCGATATTGTGGTTGCTAGTGTACACCTCAGCTGCATATAAAAGCGGAGTTGTTCATGTGTGTAAGCCCGACGAGTTGCCAGCGAGGTTCGATTTTGACGAAAGTGAGATGCTATGGTCCAATGACGATAAAATGGGTCTATTTTTGGGCATTTCTGCAGCTATCGGAACCCAACCAAACGTGCAGCAATAGGTCGTCCCGCTGAGTCGGCTCCAGGCAACAGTAGACGTGGACATCATCAGTGGGTGGTGGATAGGCGATAGGTGTGAAGCTTCAAGTCGTAGGCAGACAAGATCGACGTGGCAAATATTTTGGGGGGGGCTCTGTCATGCCATTGATTCACTATGCTAGCTATTTCAACGAATTGTGACTTGGGCTGCTTCCACCTGGCCAAGCTGAGCTGTCTTTGCATGACGACGGTGCCTGGTGCAAATCGGAAATTTACTTGCCATCCACTACCGCGACTATTGAGAAGAAGCCGAAGCATAGCTGGGAAAAAGGCGTGGCTTTCGCCACGGGAGAGCGACTTCATGCCCAAGGGAGTTCTGGCCAACTGGCCACTCTCGCGAGCCTCGGCCAGGCCTGCAGCGTTCTGGCTACATCCGCTCGTGACATCTGCTGAGTTCTCCCGAGCTCGTATGCCCAAAGGGAACACGGTTGGGTATTGTGAGGGCCACGTCTTGGATGTTATGTGGCAAGTTGGGAAACGGGAATGCGGACAGACAAGTGGCACCTGGTGCTCTCGGTTTCCATCTTGCATTCCTTGATCGCTGCATTAAGAATCGAAATTCCCAGCTTGGTTGCTTTCTTTCAGTGGCCGGTTCCAACAGCAGCCCTCTGTTGGGTTGATTTGCGGTTGCCTGAACGAATCTGCCGAGCCAGAAAGCCCATGCGACAGAAAACAACTAGAGAATATCCCAAGCATCTTCAGCAGCGTGGCAGAACTTGCTGCACGCTACGCTGGCAGAAAGAGAATAATTACTGATCGAGATTTTTTCGTCAACCATGGAGTCAGCGAATGTATCCGCGCCTTTGGCCATGGCACCGACGAAAACACATATGCTTTCCTTTGAGCCAACTGACTCGACGTACTCACGCACACGAACCAGCGGCGAATCAAAGCTCAGTGTAACCTTCCGGCAGTTTGGAGGCAGGTGATCCGTGATGGGGTTTTGAATTACTCGCAAGAGCTTTTCGTTTGAGTTCGTGGAGCGAATCGACAGACGGTGCAACAGTTGCACCATGAGACCAGCGAACCGCTTGAATGTACGAGGAATGCGCACGGAGGGAGAGACCTCGATAAGAACGCCCTTTGCAGTATGGATGTAAATTTGCAGCTTTCCCGCTTTGTTGATAGGTGAATCCAACAGGGTGAGGAGGCACTGGCTAAGTGTTAGCAACGTCTTGGGCCTTCTCGTAATTGGCCCTCTCGTGATAACACCAACCTGATGAGTAATGTCGGGGCGAGCATCGCTTATATCGCGATTCATTTTACGCATAACTCCAATATGTTCATCACTGTTTAGCAGCGAATATTTTTCCTCTCGGTGTACGCCGGTGCGACTGCTGCTGCTGTGTGACGCTTTGTAGGTTTCTAGGCTGGCGTTGGACAAAACGACGATGAGTCGTTGCGAATCCTTGTCTGTCGGGGGAATCGGCGTGCTTTGTTCCGCGACCAATTGCGGAAGCTTGGGAGGTGGTAGCGATTGCGTTCCTACACGTGTCGTAGCAATAGTCAGTACCTGCGACTTTCATGCGCCTTGCCGTGTCAATTGACTCATACTCGGCCGCTTTACGCCTGCTCGGTTATCTGGAGACGACATGGCGTTTCTCAGAAGAGAAAAAGGTGTAATGTGAGGTAAGGATGGTGCTCTACCCCAAGATCCTCAATATTTGAGCTGCAACAATACTCGGCTAACCTGCTCGAGGATGAAAAATAATCGAACAGACTGGCCTGCCATTCCACTAACGTACCAGTGGAGTGGGCTCAAGGAAGTACGCTGACTAACCAATACCAGTGTGGGGTGGTCAGTCAGTGCCCATTGGCCAGGCTGCTTGTTCAACCCGCTTGGCAAGGAGCATGAGACTATTTCTACCGTTGAGCGATACCTTTGGGCTCTGTGCTGCAATACCCTCCACCGTACTCGCTTCTGTGGCTATGTCATCTCAAGTGTCCCGGGCTGCCCGCCGCGTAACCCATGAACTGCATGGTATTGTGGTCTCGGCAGGGTTGATGCAGAAGACTGTCAAAGTCAGAGTCGCAGGGCAAAAATGGAACAAGATTGTTAACAAGGTGCGTGCGTTGCCATATACCGGGCCCGATGCAAATCCTCGATTATTAACGTATTGCCGTCGATTGCTGTAGTTCTACGGCGACCCTAAGCACTACCTCGTTCACGATCCAAACTCGTCTCTTCGAACAGGCGATGTTGTCGCAATTGCGCCAGGTTGGCCAACGTCGCGACATAAACGTCATGTGGTGAAACAAATTATTGCGCCATTTGGAGAACCTATCGAAAGTAGACCTGCTGTGCCGTCATTGGACGAAATCATAGCAGAAAGGGAGACCAAGAAGGCAGCCAAGGATGAGCGAAAGGCACAAAGGAAGCAATCCGAAGAGGAACAGCGTTTAGCCCTGAAGAAAGCTACAGCGACGGAGCGCGAATCGAAACGCACGGCCTGGGAGCAGCTCAAGGCAAAGTCCGGTCAATAGGAGCAAGACCGCTGGCTGAAGGGAACACCAGTGTCGAACAACCGACCGGCACGAACTTTGTTGTATCATTATAGGAAAGGAATGCGCTTGCTGTGTAAGCTGTTTCCCCGTATTTGTATTGCATATCTTCCGCCGATCCTAGCGAAACACGCATTGGGAACCAGGCTTTGTGTATTAATTAGTCAACAACAATGATAAGCAACTGCCAGATGGCAGTGACCGGACAAAATTCCCAGACATTGACCGGGTTAACATTTGCATGTTGCTCTTAACCTTGACAGTACTTCCAACCCGTCCCAACAGCTTACATCGAGTCCGCCGGCCTATCCGCCGCGCTCTCCAAACTCCTGTGCCCAATCCTCGTACTCTTTCAGTCCCGATTTGCTTACACTGGGCCTGATGGTACGGAGACTTGCCTCAAAATCTACTAAGCCAATTGGCCGTATTTCGTCCATGGTCATATGAAGTAAGGCCTCGCCGAGAGACCGTAGTGGGCCCATGGCCGCATCCTTCGCGAGCGCTGTGATATCTGACCCCGAGAAACCTAGTCACTGCTGTTAGAGACGGAGCCTATTGTTATCGTCCGTATGGTTGGTCAACTTACCATCAGTCAAGTCAACCAGCCTCTGCACGTCGCTAGGTGACAAACTATGTTTCTGCTGACCCAGTAGTGTGCGTATTTGTGTTTCCCTCGTAGTTGGTTCAGGCAAGGGAATGTATTGTCTCCTTACAAAGCGGCGCCTTGCGGCCTCGTCAATGGCCCATGGCAAGTTGGTTGCAGCCAAGACAAGGACTCGGTTTGCATCCCCCCGTTCTTTGTCCCGTTCCGTCGTTTCACGACCAACTGCGGCCCTTTGAAGGTCGCTCCATTGGATGAGAAACTCTGTTTTAATGCGACGAGTCGCTTCGTGCTCACCTGAGCCAGAGCGTTGGGAGAGAAGCGAATCGATTTCATCCACGAAAATGATACTCGGCGCGAGAGAGCGAGCCAGGCCAAAAAGAGCGCGAACCAACTTCTCTGACTCCCCTAAATACTTGCTGGTTAAGCTGCTTGCCGAAATGGAAAAGAATGTAGATCGTGATTCGGTAGCCACCGCCCTGGCAAGCATGGTTTTCCCTGTTCCTGGAGGGCCGAAAAGAAGCATTCCTCGAGCCGGTTCTCGCAGACCCATGAACAGATCGGGACGTAAGAATGGGTATACAACGGTCTCTCTCAAAGCGTTCTTTGCTATTTCGAGCCCGGCAATATCGCCCCAGCGTACTTCATCGCCTTTCACGACGATGTCGTTCAAAATCTGCTTTGCTGCGCCTTCATCGACACCAGGAGGGAGATTTTTCAAAATTAAGGCCTTCTTCTTTTTCCATGCCTTATCAGCGACACTATCCTCGGTTTCCTCCTCCGAGTTGCTCGTATTGTCAATATTGACAGGGTCGTCATTGTTCTGGTTGCGCTTCGCAGGTTTTGACTTGTTATGTGTGGCACCCGAGTGCGTACCAGTGCTGCGATTTGTGGGAGTACTGTGGTGTGGTCTTGCAATCCGACCGTCTAGATCATCACCCGAAGTGCTGGATACGGATACATGCCTTGCCTTAGGCCGATCCCGCCTGCGATTCCTTGTTGCTTGTTCAGCACTGACAGTGTTCTGCATCATTGTGGCCACATCGGATCGGATCGCTGCTGCTTTCCGCCGGGTGGGGGCGTCGGGTGCGCTTCGTCTTTCTGACAACTCTCCAGACTCATCTGCCGTTCCCGATCCGTTGGAACGTTCCTCTCTGTGCTGCTTGGCCGGTGACCGAGAGGGCTGATGACGCTCCAGACGGGACGAAGCACTCTCCATTGATTGTGATTCCAGTTGAGTTGTTGAGTTAAGTGCACTAGACGCCGCACTCACAGACAGAAAAGACGGGTTTGTGTACGGGTATTCATCAGAATGTCGGGCCCCGGTTAATTGACCATTTGTAGAGCCGTCAATGTCCTTTGGTTGCACGAGTCTTCTCGAGTGGCTGTCCCATTGTGTCGGCGTTGATCTTTGCTTGAACAGATGCTCTGCAGCCTTTTTAGAGTTGCTGGTGGACGTCGAAGAAGGGTTTTCGGAGGGCGGTGTCCGCTGATGACGATCTCTCGATCCGAGAGCGCTCCAAGCTAGCGTCGCCGCCTTGCTTGGCCCTTCAGCCGCGGGCCGCGATGATTTTCGCGGCGGCGCTGGCCCCTTTTCACCGAGCTTAGAGGAGCGCAGCGTAGTGCGCATTGTATGCTTTTCGGGACTGGGTGATCGATATGTTCGTTCCGACTTTGGTGGCACGCTAAGCGCCGGCGGCCTGGAATTTTGTCGGGCAGAAAATGTAGCATTGTTGGTCTGTGAGCTCTCTCCGGACTGCGGAGTCTCAGATACTGTGCGTATCGGCAATGGAGGCCGCGGAGGAACTGCGGGACGTGATAACTCAGAATAAGTAACGGCGGGAATTGTGCCACTGCCTATTGAGCCCTTTGATCTAGTGGGTGAATCGAACGGACTCGGTGTTTTTGACCATTTCCCTCCCGTATCGGAGCCAGCTTCGTCTTCCCTTGACGCTTTCAAGGCTTCTAAAAGATCGAGTCTCTCCTTGCATTGAAGCTCCAATTCTTTCAAGGCGTCGACAAGAGCCTTTTCGGTATCGGTCTGTGGCCCATAGCCGGGGATCGCTTTAGTTGCGTTGTGTTCATATATGAGGGCGAGGGCATTGCGCCAGTGCCTAAGGGCCTCGGCTTCATCTCCCTGCAGCGCAAAGGGTTAGCTTTCTAGTTGCATGGGAAAGCTGGGCACAAAATTACCTGACTCTCATAGTACACCGCAGTGGAGCAGCTCAAGTAGCTTTCATCGTACGTCTTTTGCAGAGCGGTGAATACTCGGTTGCGCAACATTGCAGAGGTGTTGTGCACATAGTAGTCGAGATGAGCGTTAGCTACCTATACCTATACCCCAGGCTGGGGAGAGAGGCGTTCACGAGGGGTTTGGGGGAAGTATGCCGGATGATGTATCTGGAAGTCTGGAACCGGTCCTCGTGGCTCTGGTGTCTGGTGTCGCGGGCGGGCAGTGTTGCCAAAACTTAAACCTGCCTTGCCAACCCGACCCGGATTCGTCTCTGTTGTGCCCGCCCAGGCACGTCCCGTGCTCATGCGCTAGTAATCTGGCTTTTGGGCAGAGCCTAGCTGGTGACGTAAGGGCTTGGCGCAACCAAAGTTGACAAGCAAAATTTACGCAGGCAAGTTACCCTAGGCGCTCTGTGGCGGGGCATTCGGATGATTTCCTTGGCTGCGAAATGCCAAGCATGGATTAACAAAGCAATCTGACCAACCAACTTGGTATCACAGACAGATGGCAGGTACGAATAGGCGCCCGATACACGGCGGTAGGTAGGTGGGTAGCAAGAGAATGTGGAATTGTTTGGCCCTTCTCCCATTCCCAAACGAATCATAAAACAAGTAATTCATTTCGCGCCTTCTCAGCATTTTACTCTACCTGCTACCTATGTAGTATGTGTAGACCGTCATGATTATTTGCGCAGCCCTCTCTAAAGATGCTAGCTAGCAGCTGCCAACCTTGCCTAGTTTGGCCATCGCTGACAATGTATCCATACAGACTACGACAATAATACCCGAATCTCACTCGCCGTGCGTGGGAACACACTTCGGAGATGATCATTGTCGTTGTTGTCCCCTTTGGCTGCATCCAGTGAATCGATTAATTTCTCCAGCAAATCAAAGTCTGTGCAGAAGCGCTCCGCTGCTTCTTCAGTTATCTCCCGCGCAAGACCTGAGTCCTGAAGTCCTCCAAGGCGCTCCAGGGCATCCATGTATGCGGATGGGAGAAAATGGTCCAATTCACTGCTCGAAGCAGAAAGCTTGCTGGTTGTGATGGAATCGACGTCACAACGTGCGCACCCCCTTACTGTTGCGATTAAACCAGACAGGCCGGAGCCCTGAACGAAGAAGTCCAGTTGAGAGTCCGTAAGAGTGGCGATCTCCTCGTTCATTGATGTTGTCACCTGCTCCCCCCGCTTGCTTGTAAAATTGCTCCGCTTGAAGCAGTTCGCGACTGCCAGACGACAGTTCATCAAATATATAGAGTTGCGTGGGGCTGGCATAGACTTTGCCAATGCTTCACTGTCGAGAATGAACGGGTCTATAGCCTCGGCCAGGACTTGTTCGATGCCGCCCTCCCTGCTTTCGTTGGTTGATAGGGATGTTTCGTAGGTGCTCAGCATAACTTGAATTTGTTTGAGTGCGTCCTGCAAGAACACTGGCGGGCTCAGATCAGAAGGTATACTTTGGGGCTCGGCTCGAACTGCGGCAATGTGCTCCCTCAGTAAAGCCCTGAACTGCCTCATAGCCTCCTTTTCCAAGCCACGAACGGAGTATAGAAGACTGCAGTCTGGTCCAAGTAATTTCAGAAGCATGACGCCATAAAATTTGAGAAGATTCGCTAGCTTGTACGCCAGGATTGAATCCTCGTTAGATTGTATGACTTGCTCTACCTTTTGTCTGAGTATGCGAGCTGCGCCAGATACGTCTCTGTCGACAAGATTGTTCAACGCCTTCAAAGTGTTGAAATCCTCGTTCTCACCATCAGATATAATCCGCCACAATTCAGCATCGCGACCGCTGTGAATGCCTTTCACGAGCTCCTCGCCGTCGGCAATGAAAAGAACCTCGAGAACCTCTCTTTCACTGACTGCGGCGGAGTGAATCCATGCAAGCATATCGCCAACATAGCGGAGAGGATCATGCGCGATCATGTCGATTGGTTTAACTGCAGCAGAGCCGGCACCCATGCCCTCTCCAGTCAGGGCCGCAAAAAAACAAGCGGACAAAATCTGTTGCCTCGCGTCTGCAAAAAAGTCCAGACAGTTTTGAAACAACGAGGGTCTGGCGGCGAGCACTGTTAGAGCCTTTCTCATGGTGGCGTTCATTTGAGGATTTTCCAGATCAAGACTCTTGAACTCCCGCTGAACCCATTTGTAGAGTTTTTGAAAGCCAAAGCCGATACTTTTGGTTGCCCTCTCCATAATGTCGGAAGCTAGGGTCTGTTTTTCAAAGCCAAGGAGCACTTCGCATTCTTGAGTGATCTTTTTGGCTTTTGCAAGAGCAGCAAAGAAAGCATCATTTACCGGCTCGGCAGTTGAAGCAAGCGCCAATTCTTCATCTTCAGATAAAACAAAGCGCTCACGCAGAGTCTGAAGTAGATGTAGTCGCCTTTCAGTGTTTCTTCGTTTCTCAAGAAGAGTAGACGCTTCTTCCAGCGACGGTTCCATTTCGCTGTGTGTGGCAGCTACAATGCGCCTCATCTCAGAATAATCGGTATTCAGCCTTTCCAGTATAGATTTGATGCGTCTCAATTGCTATTCCGGTTAGCTGGGGAAGGAAGATTAGATGCATCTACTCGACTCACATCTGAAACGGAACTGAAGTCGTCTAGTACCTTGCCATTGTTCTCAATGACTTCCTTTTGCAGTTCTAGCCGAAGTCTCCGCCGAGTTTTCCCATCGTTTCTGATGCCACGATGATCTATTAGAGCTACCGCACTGCGGAAATCTGCATCAGAGTATGATGTAGATAAGAGAGCAGATACTTTAGTGGCCAGAGGATTTGCTGCCTTGTTGGACAAGGCCAGGTAGCTCTGCGCTGCTCCCGCTTTGACGGGTTCAGGACCGTTGAAAGCACCCAAAGACGCGGAACCTACCATGTTGATGTTACAGGAAATAAACCACCACCTGCTCAGCGTTGACTTCCAGGGCTGAGGGGTTTCGCGGCAGGTGAGAGACGGTTTTTGAGGTCTGACAGCACAACTCCTGTGAGCTTACCCGACAGGCTTAGGCGACAAATGGGAGAAATTGGATTCCGATAGTGTATTGGTCGTTAGTAAGCGATTTCTCTCCACATCTCACCAACTATCGGTGAAAGAGCGGCGGCTAGCAGGAGCTGCGAAAGCGCATGTCGAAGTCGGCTTCTGTATTGACGCGGCACCTGGGTACTTGTTACCTCTCCAGTGGGTCAACAGCCTGCAAGTGACCAGGACATCTGGCGCGCCAGTTAGCTCCTATCCTTACAAACTTTAGCGTTTGGAACAATTTCGAATGGCTCTTCGAGTTACTGCATATGGGATCTTGATAGATACAGCAATTCTCCGCTTTGCATTGCGCGCCTGATCCTCTTTATTAGTGGCGAGCTTGCATTCGGTCGGAGTCGTGAGTGAGTTGTGTCCCTGCTGAGCGTGCAACCACCGCCCCACATTAGCACGCACATGAGCCAGGCAGACAAGCTCTAAGGTAGGTACCTACATATACCTATATTCTGAGGGAGGTTCCTATGGAGCTCTAGGTACTTATGCGGTACCTATCGAGCTTGGCAAGGCAGGGCAAGCGTCCAAGGGGGCACCTTCCAACGGCACCTGACGTTTTGATCCTTCTCAGAAACACCAGGCTTGGTCACTGACTCTGCGCCTTGAATGAATGAATGCCAGCTTTTTGTTGTTAGAATGGTCAGGCGATAGTGATCGCAGCAGGGCAGAGCTTACACATGCTGGTGTCGAGCTAGTCTCATCTTCTTGTTGCTATCATCGTGTCTCGCATCTAGCAACATCACGGAGGAGGTTCTAGTGAACGCTTTGCTTGGAGACTCGCCTCTCACTATCGATTTACCGTTATCGTGGAGGCACTGCATTCTTCATCAAAATGGAAGCCTCGTCTCGACTCATGTCTAAATCGTTCTACGAGCAACTTCGATCCCGAGACGATGACGTTGCCGACCTCGAAGACGGACGCATGCGAGCGGTCGACGAAGAGAACCTTGCACATGAATTTAGAGATATACAAGTTGACGATATAAATACTGGAGGCAACCATATAACCGTGGGAAGTGCTGTGGCTGGACGCGGTCTCAAGAATACCCCCTCCTTCTCGAAGCGACAATACGGCAAGCAACCAGCCACTGTCTGGGCAGCCGACGATGACGACGTGGATGAAGATGTGCCAGCCTCCCTGCTAGTCGAGAATAACGCCGAACCGGTACGACGGCTAGATGCGATGGCGGGAGCGACTGCCCACGGTGCGCCTGAGGCGACGACCTGGGAAGGTCTATCGCCTGGGTCACACAAAGCCCAATGGGAAACTGTTAAAAGGCAACATCGATTATACCGAGACGACAACAATACAAACTTTCAACCTCATTCTATGATGACTGGTACCCGGCTTGGAGGCAGGCGAGAGCGCGCTCTTTGGAGATGGGTCAATACGTCCAACTTGGACAGCTTCATGAGAGATGTCTATGACTACTACGAAGGGGGAGGCATGTGGTGTATTCTTTGCGCGAATGCACTTTGGCTTCTGTAAGATTGTGCTAGCTTTCTGTTGTGCATTATCTGAACAGCTGCTAACTTATCCTGTTTCTAGGGAAACACTCTTTGTCACTGTTCTGCTTACGTTTCTCACCCAATGTGTTGACTATGGCAAAATACCACAGAGCAAATCCCTGGAACAGGTCATCGTCCCGCAATGCACTCGAAGAATGTCAGGTTTTTGGAACCTCGGAATATGGCTTTACTCTTTCTTCTTCATTTGGAAATCGGTTCAGTATTTCTTCGAGATACGCCGCCTAATCCATATAAGGGAGTTTTATATCTGTCTATTGGAGATCCCAGAACAAGACATGCAGACTGTGTCTTGGCAAGATATAGTTGCGAGGATCATGGCTCTACGGGACCAAAACCCCAAAACAGCAACAAATATACCGGCGCGGCTGCGTCGCTTTATCGGTAGCCAGTCAAAGGAGAGACTAGACGCTCATGATATTGCGAACAGACTCATGCGGAAAGAGAATTATCTCATTGCCATGATAAACAAAGATGTGCTGAACCTCTCACTGCCGATCCCCTTTCTTCAAGGGAGACAGCTCTTCTCCAAAACGATGGAGTGGTACCTTCACTATGGTATCCTTGACATGGCTTTCAATGAACTCGGCCAGGTTCAGCAAGACTTTTTGCGAGCCGACCGCCGAAGAGTCTTGAGTGAAAAATTGCGACAGAGGCTTTTTTTCGCAGGAATCTTGAATCTTGTATTTGCCCCAGTTGTGCTTGCATATGTCATTATTGTCTACTTTTTCACCTACTACAATGTTAGTGATGTTGCTCTTTTCAGCAGGTGCTCTTTGCTAACTTTTTTTCCCAGGAATATCAAAAAGACCCTAAATTAGCAGCGGCGAGGAAGTATACTGCCCTTGCAGAGTGGAAGTTTCGTGAATTCAACGAGCTACCGCACATCTTTTATGAAAGGCTGCATATGTCTTTCCCATTTGCCACGCGATATGTGGACCAGTTTCCGAAAAGGATGACTGAGGATATAGCCAGAAGTGTGGCATTCATGACAGGCGCTATCACCGCTGTGTTAGCAGTGTGCACGGTGCTCGATTCTGAATTGTTTCTGGGATTTGAAATAACCAAGGATAGAACTGTTCTGTTCTATCTGGGCATCTTCGGAGCCATGTGGGCTATGACTCGAGGCATGGTATCGGAGGAGACGGCGGTCTTTAACCCCGAATATGCCCTGCGCAACGTCATCGACTATACACACTATATGCCGGATCATTGGCAAGGTAGGCTGCATAGCTTCGAGGTGAAGAAAGAATTCGCCGAGCTTTATAAAATGAAGGTGGTGATTTTCCTCGAGGAAGTCATGGGAATCATAACGACCCCGATGCTCCTACTATTCGCACTTCCGAAATGCAGTGACCAGATTATCGACTTCTTCCGGGAATTTACTGTTCATGTCGATGGACTAGGATACGTCTGCTCTTTTGCCGTGTTTGATTTCAAGAGGGGAATGGGTAACGGCGGCACCCGAGGCGCTGCACCCGACGTCCGGGAGGATTATTACACTACGAAGCATGGAAAAATGGCGGCGTCGTATTATGGCTTCTTGGATAACTATGTTATCAACCCAAGAACAGGTATTCCCGGTCATCTCCCCCCCGGGACAAGGCACCAGTTCCACCCGCCTCCTGTGTTTCCAAGCCTGAATTCGCCGACCCTAGCGGCAGACTTGCATACGTCCCAAGTTGGGCGACCCGATGGGCGACGTGAATTTCTTCATTCGCCTAGCGACAGAGCAACGTTCAAAGGCCCAGCGGGAATAGCACAGCCGTCTCCCATGGCATCAATGCTCTTGGATCCACGCCACCATCCCCCAAGCGGTGCGCGTGGTGGCAAAGGACTGTCAAAGTCCCGTGTGGCATGGAATTTGAGAGAGAGTAGGATTGCCGAAGAGCCCGGGCAGACTCTGCCGAGAAAAGTGCATTCTAAAACGGATGACGAGTTTGAGGATGACGCTGACGCTGACGATGGCGATGGCATCTTGGGCGAATCTGTTTGGGAGACATCACCGGCCAAAGGCTTGAGCCGCGAAAATAGTGCGGCAAATACCGCCGAGCCCGATGCAGGCGTTCTAGGCCTGATATATCAACTGCGGCAGACGCAGCATGGTCGTCGCGGGAGCAGCATGGTTTAATGTAGCCGAGTAACTGGATGAAAGAAGCCTTGTTTGGAAAAGCATTATTTGTACTAGTGCTCTACGATCTATTCGATGGTCCTGAAAATTGAGTGAAGAAGAAAGTATACAGATGAAGAAGAAAGCATACAGATGAAGAAGAAAGCATACAGAGGAATCCTTGCGATGTTGCTGAAGAAGAAAAGAAAACCACAAATGGAATCCTTGCGATGTTGCAACTGGGGATGAATGCGTGTAAGAGTGGCATGGAGACGTGCCTATTAAGGAGGTCGGAAATGAAGTTGGCGGCGTTGTCGGGCTGGTGACTTGTCACGCCACTGTGTTGTCCTTCGGCGTTACGACAGGTTGGCTTTTGGCCCGGGTCGGCTTACTTTTTCTTGTTAGTGTTACCAGAGCCGCCCCTCTCTAGCTGGCTGAGAGTGGGATCTGTGGATATCTTTTGCCATTTGATACTTTATTTTACTTATCTGCTACGTAGTTACTTATGTATGTATGTACAATGGCTACAGCAAGTTGGTGGTTGCGCTTTCATTGTTATGTACAAAGTGGTAGGCTTAGCGCATACTTTGTACCAGTATCTGATTTCTGCAGTGTTAGAGTTGGCAGATAAGCAAACAAAGCCTCCCTCACCGTCTCGTAATTTCCCGCAGCATTGGCAAAGAAGTCCAAACGCCACGCAAAGTGGATGGCCAGCGAGACAAGGGGCATGCGCCCATGCCGACGACGCTCGCCTCTTATCAGATCCCCGCCGCCGAGGAGCCGGTGATGAACGTGATGGCAATAGTAGAATTTTAGCAGTCTTTTTAGGGAGTCGCTGGTTGTTTTGATTGACTACTAGGTATTTTTCTTCGGTCTATGGCCGGCGAGAGACTTTTGAGGCCGTGGCTACTGCCTTCGCGCGAGCTGAATGTGGCTTGCTGAGCACCATGTCTGCTATACTGTCAATGTAATGGGTTGGGTAGGTATTGCTTGTGACAGGTGACAGCGAATACTATGACATCTCGATCTGCAAGAAAACAGTGTTTGCGGCGGGATGAAGCGTTGGCTGTCTGCCGATATCTCCACGCACTGTCATACTTGTAGGTTGGTTGGTAGTAGGAGAATTTGCAACACAGGCCCGAAAGAGGAGCCGTAATTGCGCATTGTCAGTACGGTTGTTATTTTTAGCTGGTAAAGAGGCGAGTTCAAGTGCCAAGGTGTCGCCCGGGACCGCCAGGTTGGCTTATTATTATTATTACCATCCAGTAAGTTACTAATGAAGTGGCTCCGAGCATTGGGCACCTGAACGGCCAGTAAGGTTGGTAACTATGTATGTATGTACGTACATATGTAGGTAGCCCACCTTCCTCGCATTGAGCGAGCAGCACCCAGCCGCCTGCCAACACTGACCGGACTCCGAGGCCGTCAACGGAGAAACGCAAAATTTACCATGGTACCTACCTAACTACCGACCTACTCTGAACAACCTCGATCTCTGCTAAACATTGCCACCCGCACATACGGCTACACACATCGCATACTGAGATTCCTCTTCATCGTTTCTTCTTCGAGGCCTTTTTCTTGTCCGCACTCGCTTTAAGTTCATCCAAAATCGGTTTTTGTCCGACAATCGGCTAAGTCAAACGGCCCTAGGTGCATCCGACAGGAGCGCCACCCTTTTTTACCTCCGCCACCACCGCCGAAAAACTTCACCTTCGGCCATTCGACACTCGATACCGCGACAGCTTTGCGCCTGCCCGAATTAGCATCCCTTCCGCAGTCGTCAACCTGGCGGCCATAGACTCGAAAGCCTTCGGCCCAGCACCTACAGCTGTGGCCGAAATGGCCCTGCCAACTGCCGAAGCCGAGGAATATGAGTACGACGAGATATCCCCAAGCTATGCGATACCCCCAAGTGCTAATCGTTTGTTATTAGCTATGAGTCGCTGCCACCCAACTTCTCTCTGCTGCAAAACATGGCGGCCGGCGCCTTCGCAGGCATAGCCGTATGTCTTTTCCCTTCGCTCGGGCTCTCAACATTTTCTTGCGCGCCGTCTGCCGTATGCAATCTCATAGGTAGCTAACTGAATCATCAGGAACACACCGTCATGTATCCTATCGATGCAGTCAAGGTACATATACATGCCCCCGCACCACTCCGCCAGCCTTTGCGCACTTTTGCTGACTAGCTGTCGCCAGACTCGCATGCAAGTCCTCAACCCGAACACGACAATTGCCTACAGCGGCGTGCTTCGCAGCACATATCAGATGGCGGCTGGCGAAGGCTTCTTCAGCCTGTGGCGGGGAATGTCGAGCGTTATTGTTGGAGCTGGTATGCTCACCGACATATTTGACAACTGGCGACAGCCCACTGACGCACTGAGCAGGCCCTGCGCATGCAGTATACTTTGCTACATACGAGGCTGTAAAGCATGCCATGGGTGGAAACCAAGCAGGCGTTCACCACCCCTTAGCAGCCGGTAAGAGTTCAGTGACTTCCGCGATGCACATCGGACTCTACTGACACTGACCCGACTCCGTTTAGCTACTAGCGGTGCAGCAGCCACGATTGCCAGCGATGCTTTCATGAACCCCTTTGATGGTACTTTAACACTCTCAAGCCCCTCATGGAAGGCCATCTAACAATCGCGATGCAGTCATCAAACAGCGAATGCAGATCCAAGACTCCAGCAAGATGTACCGATCGATGGTTGACTGTGCCAAGTACATTTATAGAAACGAAGGCATCGGCGCCTTTTACCTATCATACCCCACGACGCTCTCCATGACTGTCCCCTTCACGGCGCTGCAGTTCCTCGCCTACGAGTCGCTATCGACCACCCTGAACCCCACCAAGAAGTACGACCCCGTCACCCACTGCTTAGCCGGTGCCGTCGCAGGCGGTTTCGCCGCCGGTCTTACCACTCCGATGGATGTCATCAAGACGATTTTACAGACGAAGGGCACGTCCACCGACCCCGCCGTGAAGAACATCAACAGTTTTGTCGGCGGCTGCCGCCTGCTTTACCAACGCGAAGGCTTCCGCGGCTTCTTCAAGGGTGTTCGGCCCCGCATCGTGACGACTATGCCTAGCACGGCCATTTGCTGGTCAGCTTACGAATTCTCCAAGTACGTTTGCAGTCGCTGGGCGCATTCCCCAGATCATAAATATTCTCATATTACAAGGTGCTAATTTCTCGATGTAGGGCTTATTTCATCCGACGCAACGATAGACAGTAATGCTATGGAGAAGGTGCGACTGATAAGTCGGGGTCAACGCATGGCGGCGGCGTCTCGTCAACATTATCCTTTTGGCTAGTGTGGTTATAAGTGCCCTCTAGCCTTTGTATTCTCATTTATATCTTTGAAAAGTTATCTCGAGAGCTATGATGCTTGCCGCATATGGCCAGCTATCAAGGTATAATGCTGGTAGTATGTATAGACTGTGAAGTCCTGCGCGACGGTTATGTTTGGGTTATTATGTGAGGACTATGCAGTTAGAATTGTTTATATGTATTTTTTATTACATGCAAAGCTTTCTCGTCTTTCTTTGTCACTTTCACCCGACGATTATCTCTTGTAAACCAATTACTGCAGTTCTCTCAGCGATTAGCTAGACTGCTGTTCATCACCGCAACATGGCGACGTCGTGTGCGAAGTGTTCATTCCATTCTCAGTTGAATCGTATTCTCTAGTAAATCTAACCATAGCATGATATTATATACATCTACAGGACCAAGGGTGAGGGGATTTAGGCAACGTCGACTGAGCGCCATGCAACCACCGCACAAATCCACCCCGCCGGCCCTTTAGAACCCAAACGGACCACCACCGCCGGGGAACTCGAACTTGAAATGCTGCTGGCCGCCACCTTGCTGGAACATGAACGGGTGGCCGCCGCCGCCAAAGGGGTTGCCCTGGAAGGGGTTCCCGCTCTCCTGAGAATTGGGGTCGTCGCCACGGTCGAAACGGGCGCGGAGCTCGGGGTCGCCCAGCACCTCGTAGGCCTCGTTGATGGCGGCCATCTTCTTCTCGGCCTCCTCCTTGGACATGCCCAGCTTGTGCGCCTTATCCGGGTGGAACTGCTTCGAGGCCTTACGGTAGGCCGACTTGATCTGCCGCTCGTCGGCATCGTTGGCCACACCGAGGACCTTGTAGTAGTCCTTGGTCTTGCTGCGCTTCAGCGCGATCTGAGCCCTTTCCAGGACGGGGTTGATCTTGTCGCGCTTGTCGGGGTGTGTCTCGCTGGCACTCTGAAGGGTCTTGATCGCGGCTTCGAATTCTTCCTTCTTTAGTAGAGCCTTTGCTTGGTAGAGCATGCCCCAGAATGACTCCCCGTTGAGCTCAAGAGCTTCCTCGCAGTATTTATCGACGTTTTTATGATTTCCCTATGAACGTTAGCAGCGATTCAGGTATACACCGTGACTCAGGCAATCTATACCTCTAAGTAGGCATGACATGTCATTTCGATGAGCCTGCCATAGAGCTGTGAGGGGGCCTTTTCAGGAATAGAGCCAGCCTGCTTCAACGCTTCTAATTGCTCCTTGAGCAACGCCATCAGACCTGTTTGCTCCTCCGTGCCAATAATCGTCCGTCCAGCGGTCGTTGTCTGGCCTCTGTTGAGCTGCCCCAGGGCCCGGTTCATGCCCTTTTGGAACGCCTTTTGTTGCTTGTGAAGTTTCTTGCAGAGCTTGGAGTCCGGGTCCGAATGGAGGCACTTGCGGACCTGTGACAGGCCATTGTCCATGTCACCGAGGGCGTAAAAGCTCGTGGCAGAGATGAGGATATGGGGTGAAACGTCGCCGGGCCTCAAGTGCAGAACATGCTGCAAGTCATTGATGCCCTCCTCAATCTCGCCGCGCGCGAAGCGGCAGCTGGAACGGAGTTCGCGCAGAGCCAGGGATCTTGAAGCTACGACAATGGCGGTACCGGCGTGGTTGACGCAATCATCCCAGTTCTGGTTCTTGGAAGCCTCTACCGCCACAGCGGCAGCACTCTCAGCCTCAGCCAGCTCAACAAGCTCAGGTGAACCGCTAGCCTTGTCCGCCGCGACGTAGTCGGCCTTGGCACCTTGCCAGTCCGCGACCCGCGACTTGATCTTGGCCAGCTGGACGTGAGCGCCGTGGAAGCCGGGTTTGAGGGCTAGCACCTTGTTGAAGTCATCGGTCGCTTGGTGGGCCCGGCCGAGGGACAGGAAGGCGGTCGCGCGCTTGAAAAGGGTCAGGTAGTTCCCGGGGTCTCTTGCGATGGCGGCGTCGTAGTAGAGGATGGCCTCGCTGGTCTCGCCCTTGGCTAGGTGCGTCTGCGCATTGCTCAGCAACGAGGCGACTGGGAGGTCGGTGGGGATGTCGTGTGCGGAGAGCGCGGTGGCCGTGGCGAGTACGCTAGCCGTGATGGCGATGCGAGAGAGGGGGAACCACATCGTTGCGCCGTAGTTGTTCTGACAGAAAAGTTGGTGGGAGTTTAGGCGTTGTCGCAAAGCGAAGGGTTAATCGGTCAGTGGTCTTGGGGAAGGGAAGCCGCGAGAGAGAAGAGAGAGGGTTGGGTGATGGTGCTTCAAGCGCTGAGCAGACCAGCAACAAAAGTCACAAAAGTCGCTATTCGAGAATTGCGCGGCCAATAGTCTCGGAATTGTCAGAGTAAGGGATTAAAAGAGAGTCACCTTGTGCGAATGCAACTTGTTCAAGTGTGACGATGGGGTCTCAACTGCCCACGCTGTCCTTAACAAAATGTCACCAAGAAAATAAGCCAGCTAACGCGAGCCCACTGGCCACTGTGGCCAGTGGCCAGTGCCGTGCGTGCTCTTTATTTTCTGTGGCGCAATGAGGGCTAGTCTGACTATGGTAACTATGTACCTACCTACTAAGTACATGTATGTAAACGCTACATCTATCTAATCATGGCTCATGATTGATATACATGCCTAGATAGTTTGCCTGTTTGAGACAGTTTTTAACAGTTTTCTCGTCTTCGTTTTCATGCAACGCATATTTCTAGTGTTGTCATCACAATCCGTGACGATAAACTACAAGGCCCCCCACCCCAGCCAGTGCCTGCGCCAAGTACGGATACGCACGGGGCCAAACCTACCTAGCCAACTCCTGTATTGCAGCTAGTCATAATCACCACACGGCACGTCGCCAACTGCACACGACCCCAGGCTGTAAATGCCACCTTGAAGTCTTCTTTCTGGTGCAAGCCGAATTACCGAAAACCGCACACGACCGTAGCATACCATCATCCCCAACACCTGCAGTCTTCCGCGTAACCGGCCCACCTCATCCTCATGGGTCACCTACGCAACAGTCTCGAAGCGGGCGCGCCCACCACCATGATCTCCCCATCTATCGCTCGCATCGCCGCTACAGAGGCCCGAGACTGGTCCTTTGTCGACTCCTGGATCGCCTCGCAGTTCCCGGGCCGCCCGCATCAGCAGGCGCCACCGCCCTTTGAGCGCAACCCCGATACTCTGCGCGCGCTGCTCGTCCTCATCGCCTTCCACGACACGGCCTCCGAGGAGGCGCGTCTTCTGGCTCGAATAGAACGCGACGCCCTCACCGAACTGTCTTCCCTCGACGGCGGCGGCGGCGCAGACTCGGCAGCTTCAGCAACCACCGCCTGCCCTGCCACCCTCAGAGACTCGCTACTGGACATCGTCCAACAGGAGCTGCCCAAGGAGGGGAGAGTCGCGCTCCACTCCATGGCCTCCATGGCGGTCGCCGCCAAGATCGCCTTGCCGGAGCCCGAGGAGCTCGCCGCCGCCGTCCTCGACACCCAGTGCGCCATCTTCGAGGCGGAGCAGATGACGTCTCGAGCTGAGGTCTTGGAGCGCCACATCCACTCGGAGGTCGAGCACGCCAGCTCTGTGTTGAGCGAGATGCAGGGCGAGGCCTGGAGCGCGCCTGAAGGCCTTGGGAAACGCAACCTAGAGCTGCAGCGCACTGTAAAGGCCATGACCGCCCAAGTACCAGAGTTTGAGAACAGCGTCGCATCGCCAAAGTCCCCCGACGCTTCCTCGGACTTCACAGTGCATGATATACTGCGCCAGGAGCAAGACTACCTCGCCTTAGTGGAAAACAGAAAGGAGCTTGAGAAGCGCATCTTGGTATTCCGCGGTCTACCGAGCGACCCAGACCTAGCGAGGAATGAGTTGAATGCCTACAGGAAAGAGCTTCAAGGCATCACCTCGCGCCGAGACGCAGCCTTCCAGGGCCTTGTGGGGCGTGAAACGCCAGTGAAAAGGAGGTGACCAGCGAGAGAGACCGACTGCAGAAGACGATGGTGTTCCAGATTGTATTGTAATGTAGCTTCTAACTAAACGTCAGCCAGCTCATTCAAGTATTGCGCTTGCTTCGGCCCGAGACTGCGCCTCCAAGCCGCCCGAACTGCCTCCCTAGGCCAGATTTCTTGGACGCTGGCGCATTAGCATCCTTGGGAGGCGCCGGATTTCCAGCAGCGGCCCTACCATCCTTTCCTCTAACGTCAAACGAGCCGTCACCTATCCTGAGCTCACCAATCCCGATGCTAGGCACCTCGTCGTTGTCCATATTTTGTCGCTGTGCGCGGCGAGCTCTCTCCTGGACGCTGCGAAACTTCTCTAACAATTCCACCCATCGGATGCCGCCTTCCTCGCGCCCCTTCAGACGGTTCGGCCTGTCATAGCCGGAGCTGCTAGACGAAGTTGCAGCGCTAGAAAGACACTGGGTTAGCACACGCCGTCTCATTTCATCACCATAGCTTGGACGCCGCTCGATCAACTCACGTGCGAGGTGTTGCATGCAAATACCCGATGGCGCTGACGCTGTTGAGTCGATTCTTCAACGCAGCAAAGGCCGAGGATTGCGGCAACAGCATGAGAATGCCATACATGCACTTGTATAGGTACGGGAACTTCTCAGGTTCGAGTAGTTGTAGGCGGAGGTCTATCAGCTAATGTTAGAAAATAAACAGCAGTGAGGAAAGTTCATCAAACCCACAAGTAAAAACAGGAGATTCGATGAGCTGCACCAACTTATCAACTTGGATAAGGATATTGACAGTCATATCCAATTCACCGCTTGCAGGGCGGGTTAGCAACATTATTGCAATAAGAGTGAGAGAATAGACTTACAAAATCTGCAGCAAATTGTATGCCTGTTCATAGGCCTGTGCAAGCAGGCAAAGTGAAAATGTAGCGACGGCGTTGTAGCACCAGGAACGGAACAAGGCGACAAACAGAGTTTGGCCATCCTACCTCCAGGTTAAATCTCGTTCGGTATGCACATCAGTCATTTATTCCATGGCGGCCCTACCTTTGTCTCCAAGTTACGCAGTCTCTTGCGTACTTCAGCGAGCTGTGGAGCGGTGATGAGATTATTGTTAAGATTCTGAACCATGATGCTCGCAAATTCAACATCTTCTTCCTTTTCGATACAATCCGCGAGGGTGCGGTAAATCCGTTCGGGGCTGAGGCTGATGCAGAGCTGCCGGATAATCAGGTTCCCACGCACTTCCAACAGCTTCCGGTCCGTGGAAAAGAGCTGCAGCAAGTTGACCATGAAATACGCAAAGTAGTCGTCCTCGCTGTTTCGAGAGATCTGCGACAGCAACTGCAAGTCCTTTGTCACGACAGCGTCCGAAGGATCAGACAAAGTCTTGAGCAGAGCCGGGAACGTGCCATCGTTGAAGGCCAGGACCTTCCTGGGGGCTTTTCTGTGCAGCATGATGAGCCACGTCAAGGCAGCCACACGGGTGGCTTCATGGTCGTTTAAAAAGAGCAGAGTCAACGAGTTTACAGCTGCAGCATAGTCCAAATCAGGCTGGGCTTGCGGGATGCCTCCGAGTTGCGCCGACGCGGTTCGGCTCTGCAGCGGCGTGGGATTTTGGTCGGCGTCACGGAAGCTTGACAACGAGACTCGGTTACTGCCGGCTGCTTCGTGCTTCTCAGGCGGCAAATTCTGCTTTGAGTTGGAGAATCCCGGCGCGGGAAGGGCAGAATGCGGCGGAATAGACTCGTCCGTCAGCGAGGCCACGTAATCCATCAGCGCGTTATTCACTCTGGTAGCTAATAATTGGACTCTTTCTTTGGTGCTAGCCATTGCAGGCAGCATATGTGCCAGGATATTTGGCGTGAATAGCAATACTTCTTCTGGGCAAATGTCAAGAAGTCCTACGATCCATCGCAGGGCTTCTAGAAGACTGTCCTCTTCTTCTCTGGGAGTCAGTTGCGAAACACCAGGCACAGGATGGAGTAAGCTTACCAAGTGGCGACTCTAGGGCTTCGGTGAGAATCTCTAGAATCTCTTTGAAGTTGACCTCGACGTCTTGTCCAGGAATCCAGTCATCCTCACAGCTTTCGTTTGCGCCTTCATCACTCAAATCGGTCTCTAACTCATCGCCGTCCTCGGGCTCTGGTCGGTAGCTTCCGCTATCGATTGACTCCTGGCGCTTCCTCTTGCCCCCTTCACGAGGCTTCTTGCTCTCAAGAATGCCCTTCTTGACCCGTGAAATGCGCCTGATTTCGCTCAGAAATTTGTCGAGACAGGAATGGGTGGCTGTTCGTACATCGTTATTCTGATCACAGAGAAACTTCAAAAGACCTGAGAGAAAGCGAGGAAGATACGTGACCAGCTCCAGATCGGGGATCGAGTCCAGCAGCGTGATCCATCCAACTAGGAATTGGCGGGTAAATGGGTTCGAGACCCAAATGCGTTCGTTGAGAAGAGGTATGAATCTTGGTAAGGAAAACGCGGTCGGAAGATGTGCATGCTGGTTTCCCAGCTCGTCCTTGTCGTCATCAATGTCTGGCGGTGCTTCCAGTACGGAAATGTACGAGGCGGCGGATTCTGAGACAATATCTTTGACGAGTCGGTCCAGCAGTTCTGCTCCATTCTTGACAGAGAGTTCAGAGTCGGCTCCAAGCTAGCGAAGGGTAAGTCGGCTGAATAGAATGATAGCTGAATATGGAGACGAGTGGGCGGTGAACGCGGGGATGGGATTCATACTTTGCAAAGTTGATCGAATATGTTGTTAAAATATATCAAGATTTCCCCTTTGGCAACTTTGGCAATGTTGTACATGGCCTCGCAGGCGTAATACCTCACTCTGGCATCTTGATCGGTGAAGCAGGCCAATACAGGTGGCACAATTTTGGCGAGGTAGCGAGGAAGCTCCTGCAATGAGTGTGGTCAGCCAAGTGAATTTGTGCAGGTGCAAGGAGGTTGCGATATGTCGAGCACGATTTCATCATCACTCCCGGCTGAAGAAAAGCCAGGGAGGCCGGGAACGAGGCTGTTTTGGATGAAATGGGCGACTGTCACGTACTGGGCCTAGAGCGATGGCAGCCGCGGCGAGACCAATCAAGCCTCCATTTCGAGCATGCGGTTGGTGAACTGCATATGCGTAGTCGTTGCAGAGCTGCTCGAGTATGTCGTGGACTTTCTGATAATCTTTGCTGGCCACCAATTCCCGAATCACCCTCTCAAGCCTGCGTCACACCGTTTATTAGCAGCGGTCCATGGGGCCTTGGGCAGGCAGGAAACGGGAAGGGCATCGTACTCGAGCGCCCCGATTTTGCGCTTATCGTAAAGCTTGTCGTTGAGGGCGCGCTGGATACTGGCGTCCATGTTATAGGCTGCTTTTGATCGCTCGCGTATAACAGGGGAAATGGGACGCGTGCGCCCTGTACCTCATTGAAGCCTGCTTGTATGTAGCAAGGTAAGCCGATCTATGTAGGTAGGTACCAAGGTAATGGTGACAGTGACGCCACTGTAAACGCGGCCTGGGTCACCCATAAGTTAACGCGGCACGCGGACAACTTTGCACCGACCAGGGGGTCTTAGCTGCACGCTAAGGCTTCACTCAGGCCAACACACACGAGGATAGATGCCATGTTGCGCAAGATGCTTTCATTAGATGGCGGTTAAGTAATATATCATTAAATCTTCTAAATCCATGAATATGAGCTGGAATACTGCTACCTTCTCCAAAGGCTTACCAGAAGGAAATGTAAGCAAGTGCTCGAGTGATCCATCTAATACCAATGCAGAAGTGGATCACAATGCCAGGCTAAACAGGAAGCGGACACAGAAATAAATCCAAACTATAGACAGCAAGCCTCAACCCATCCCATCATCCTACCATCCACCTCAATGGTGGCCATAAAAGTCGCCACTCTGCACAATCGACTGTTGACACTTGGAGAAAATGGCTGCTTGCTGCGACACCTCCGCAAGCCGCCCAATGACCTGCTTGTTCCCGTCCGCGAACCCGTAGTAGGCATACGGGATGCCCACCTCGTTACAAAACTCAATCACAAGCTTCTGAGCCCTCCTGAGGTTGTGACGTGGCATCCGCGGGAACATGTGGTGGATCGCCTGGAACTGCAGCCCGCCGTGAATAAAGTCGAGCCACGACGGGCAGTCCACGTCCATCGTCGTCCGGAGCATCCGCTGCGGGAACGACTCCTGCGGGCCCAGATCCGCCGTGCTCATGGCGAAGTGCGACAGCACGATCTGCACGTGCAGCGGCGACGACGCGATGTGGCTGACCATGACGAAGGTGAACCGCGACCACCCGTCCGGAATCGACTTATACACCATGAGGTACCCAAACCAGTACCAGAAAAACAGGTGTCCGGCAAGTTCCACCCAACGATGCCACGCAGAGATGCCCTTCTTCGGCCCGCGGCCGGTGAGGAGAAACTGCCAGGACAAAACGTAGAGGTTGAATCGGCCCAGGGCGAGAAAAGGATAATACGTCCAGGCCTGGATCCGCAAGAGTATCTTGGCAGCAGCATCATACGTCATGACCCGGTCGTAGTAGGTCGAGCGCAAGCTACCCAACAGACGGTGTGAGATGGCAAAGAGCGGCATGTGCTCAATATCAGGGTCGTGCTCGGGAGCATTCGTCACAATGTGGTGAACGTTGTGGTTGTTCTTCCACCAGCCCATGGAAAGACCGCCGATAAAATCTGCAATGAGGATTCCCAGCAGGGAGTCGACCTGGTAGTTGTGCGTGATGCCGATATGGCCCGCGTCGTGGGCCGTAAAGACCAGCTGATGCCACATCAGACCCAAGCACAGTCCGCTCAGCGCGTACTGGCCGAACTTGAGGAATAGCAGCGAGCCGCAAAACAGCGCCAGATACCGACAGCATTCTACCGCATACGCGGTCTTGCTTGTGACCATGTAGCCCTCGTCAATCAATCGTTGATACAGCGCCCGATACTTGGTGATGATGCGCGCCTGCGTTGCCGGGTCAGGCTGCGGATATTTTTCAAGGTCCAGGCTGATGTGCTCGCGCGTCAATGCATCCAAGTAGGACATCCCGTCCACGTCGGGATCGGCGCTAGAATCAGACGAGACCGAGGATGGCCGGTCTCCGTTGGACGGCCGCCGGTGCTTGACTTGTGGTCCCTCCGTGTCGAAGACAGGCGACGGCGGCCGCGATGACACGCTCGAGCTCGAACCCTTTGGGCTTGCCAGCCCATCTTGCGTCGTTTCGATTTCGCTGGCAGATCGGAACATGCCGCCTTGAATTGGCGGTCGGAAGTTTTTCCAAGGGGCGCGGATGCGACCGATACGGTATCGTTGCATTTGTTGTACGGCCTCCATCGAGTGCAGCCTATACTAGGGTATCAGCGTATCAATTTTCAACACACGCTCTTGGCAGCAGAGAACGCACGCTTTGACTTCGTCAGTGGCGTCTCTTCCCACCATGTGCAGAATGGAGATCTCGCCGCCAGGATGGTACTTCAGCCAAGCATCCACTTTCAAGACGAAATCATCCACGAGAATGATCTTTCGACCCTCGAAAATCATCGCTTCGACCTCGTCGCGAGAAATGTACGGCAAATTTTTGGCATTGGTGGTGCCCTGTGGCAGGCCGCCGTTGGCGACCGTTGCCTGCGCTGAAAGCATGGTTCCGCTCTGCTCGGGCGACCTGTTGACACTGGTCTGTGTTTGGCCAAAACTCTGTCAGTTTCCTATCCGCGAATTCGGATCGGCGTCGTGTTTGTGAATGATATCGAGCTTCACCTCATGACTTGCGAAGAAAATAGGTGGCAGGGCAAGAAATGTACGAGGCACAGAAAGTTGCGTGTGGTGTTGGCATCCTGAGCTGTTGTCGCCCCACTGCGCTGGGCACTTGAATACGGCGTGGCGTAGGTGGGGTTCCGCTCGCACCAGGGGCATCCAGTCCCGATTAGCCGGCCGCGGGCTCAGTTTCTGGCTTTCTATTCATGATTATACTTCCCTATGGCAAGGAAACTATGTATATGGACCATCAAGGTTTAGTTAGTTTCATCTCGAGGCTGGTCGAATTTTGGTATTTCCTCGTAATAAATATAGCTAAATAGAGCTGCAGTGAGTTCTTCGGACCTCGCAACAACGCGCAGCCTCCACCTGCAGCATCGGGACGGAGGCTTAGGAGATTCCCGATCCTCCATATTATTCCTTCTCACAGAAACCAGTCAATTCTACGCACGTATTAAGTCTCACATGGTCGGCAGCTAGAATCAAAACCACCACGGAAATGAGACTAGGTACTTGGTGTATCAAATGTATTACTAGTTTACAAAATTTAACTTCGCTCTCCCCCTCAAAGCACATTGCCGTTGGGTGTATTGAAAGGATGAAATGCGTAGCTTTGTACAGCTACCTGAGCAGCCCTTCCAACCCCTTCTATAATTTTGACGTTAACCTTCAGCTGTGTCGCTGATCTCCCACTTCTTCTCTGCTCCAACACCACTCCTCCGCTCCGATTCAGCTACACTTCCAACACGACAGGCTTAGAAGTGAATAGCCTTGGCATGAGTAGCCATGGCAGCCTCCTTGAAAGCTTCCGCGAGAGTAGGGTGAGCGTGGCAAGTGCGGGCAATGTCTTCAGTCGAGGCACCGTACTCAAGAGCAAGGGTGCCCTCAGCAATCATCTCGCCAGCGTTAGGGCCAATGATGTGAACGCCCAGAAGGCGGTCCGTCTCAGGGTCGGCAATCATCTTGACAAGACCCTCAGTATCCAAGTTGGTCTTGGCACGAGAGTTGGCACTGAAGGGGAAGGTACCAACGCGGTAGGGGATGTTCTGCGCCTTCAGGTCCTGCTCAGTCTGACCCACCCAAGCGACCTCGGGATACGTGTACATGACAGATGGGATGCAGCCGTAGTTGACGTGGCCGTAGCCCTTCTTGATATACTCGACGACCGCGACGGCCTCCTCCTCGGCCTTGTGAGCCAGCATAGGACCGAAGGTGGCGTCACCGACGCAGCGGATGTGGGGAATCTTGGTGCGGTACTCGGAGTCGATGATGACACGGCCGCGCTCGTCGAGCTCCATGCCAATGGTCTCGAGGCCAAGGTTACCTGTGTATGGCCGGCGGCCAATGGCAACCAGGACGACTTCAGCATCCAGCTAAAACTTCATTAGCAGATTGCAGGAGCAATTCGCGGCAAACGAGACTTACAGATTCAGGTTTGCCACCCTTGGCAGAGTCAACATCCAGCTTAATCTTCTCACCAGACGCGTCACCGCTGACAACCTTGGTGTTGAGCTTGAACTCGATGCCCTGCTTCTTCAGAAGCTTCTGGGCAGACTTGGCAATCTCGTTGTCCATGCCGGGGCCACCGATCTGGCCAAGGAACTCGACGACGGTAACCTTGGTGCCGAGGCGGGACCAGACAGAAGCCATCTCCAGGCCAATGATACCACCGCCGATGACGACCATGCTCTCGGGAATCTTCTCGAGTGAAAGGGCGCCAGTGCTGGTAACAACGCGCTTCTCGTCAATCTCAAGGCCGGGGAAGGGAGTAGCCTCCGAGCCGGTGGCAATAAGGATGTTCTTTCCGCGGACAGTGGTCTCGCCGCCATCGTTCAGAGCAACCTTGATCTCGTTCTCGCTGACGAATGAGCCTTCGCCCTTGAGGTATTCGACACCGTTCTTCTTGAGGAGGAACTCGACACCCTTGGTCAGGCCGGTGACAGCAGTGTCCTTAGCCTTCATGAAATTGGCAAGGTTCAGCTTGACATCGCCGACCTCAATGCCTCGGTTCTTGGTATCGTGGAGGATCTGGTGGTAAAGGTGGGAGTTGTTGAGGAGAGACTTAGAGGGAATGCAGCCGACGTTCAGACAAGTGCCGCCAAGAGTACCGCGCTTCTCAATGCAGGTGACCTGTACGGGAACAAATTATGTCAGAGCCATTCGAAACGATTCCCAGGGAAATAAAAAAGTACCTTCATGCCCTCCTGGCCAGCCTTGATCGCGGCGACATAGCCAGCAACACCACCTCCAATGATGACAAGATCCTTGTCCTCTGCGAATGCGTTAGCAGGGCGCCTCGAGACTTTGCAACACGATGGAATTCGACAAACCGGAAGCAGTAGCAAGACCACGGCTGAAGCGAGAGAGAGTGACGGGGGCGATGGCACTGTGAGCGTGGCTTCGTTAGTCAACGAGAGATTTTTCTTGGCCGCAAAAGTTGCAGCCACGCATTCACTCTCTTGGGGGGGGCAAGTGGACGATGGGGCGAGGGGACGTACGCAGATTGCTGGAAGGCAGCTGGACGAGCGACAGCTCTGGATATTAAGCGGCTGGAAAGCATCTTGGGCGGCAATGGCAGTGACTCAAGAGATCAATTGGCGCCGGGGTTGTGGATTTGAAGGAGGTTTGAGGTCGACGGCCCGGCTACGCTGGAAAGAATAATAGGTGCCTTCCTGCTTCCAGGTTCGGAGAGCTCCAGCAAGTTTGGGATTGGTCGGAAAAACCCTTCTGGACTGGGTTGGGTGTACCTCGCCACGTAAATTTGCTGTGGAGCTACATGACGCCGGAGGGAGGCGTTGCGCGCAACGTCCCACTTCACTTACAGGGGGGGACAGCGATTAGTAACGGGGACGGGGTGGGCTGGGCCAGTTTCCCAACAACACAAAGCTCCTTGCCCTCGCGCAATGCCGCTTGGAGCCGGCCAGAATCGGTCAGGCTCGTCAACTGGCTGTCCATCGGGCATCGCCTACAGCCTATCGGGCGGCTGGCCTGTCTCCAAGAAAGCTAAACGCGATGTCAATGAGTAGTTTAACACATGTAAAGCAGCATTTAAAGCCACCTATGGGAGAAGTCGGGATATATTTGTCACGCTATATACAAAATGACTCCAGTTCTCGTCATAGCAGCCTACGCCACTTCGACCGCCTGAACTGCAGTCTGCGCCTTTTCCCGAACGCGATCCATTTTCTTGGCTTCCTTTAGTTTTGATTTGCGCACTTTTTTCCGCAAGAACCAATGCAGCCCGGCGGCAACGGCCGGCAATTGCCTCGCGGCTCCAAAGATCTTTTCCACCTTGACATCCTCGTCGCTGCTTTTCTCCCCCTTGCAATAAGCGAGCAGCTGTACCAGGAAGTACTCGACAAAGTCGGCCGTCCAGTTATTGACTTCAGGTAGCTCCAGAGGCTTCATAATGGCAATGCCCAGAGCGCCGTCAGCAACCAAAGATGCGTAGAATCGGGCCACGTTGGCTAACCGCCGCGGATCTTTCATTCGCTCACTATCCGCCGTCTCCTCATCGTCTGCATCATCCCCAAACATGGACTCGCCGAGGCCGCGGAAGATTTTCCAGAGCCTATCTTGGAAAGCAAATCGGAGCTTATTGTTAGAACAAGCTTGATTTGCTACCAATGCGTAGAATTCGGTGTACTCCACCTCGCTACCAACGCATTGGACAAGAACGCGAGCAATCTCGAGCTGGTCGTCCTTCTTGAGCTTAAGATTAACAAATTGCCGATAGCCATGCTCAAAGTTGGTGGCGGACATGAGGGCCGTGAAGATTGCTATCTGGGCCGTTGTGCCGAATCCCTGTGAACGAGCCTTTTGTGGATAGTCTGGGAGCACAAAGTCCATGTCTTCATCGTCTGTCATGGACTGGTCTGATTCCTCTTCTGTCTCCTTTGCCATCAAATCCTTTGTTTTGACCGGAACACTGGCTCCAACAAGCCACCATTTACCATCAGTATCGGCGCCCTCGATATCACGTAGGCTCATACCCATGGGGGCCAATCCGTCAAGTCTACGAGACTGTGACTTGAGTTCGCCAATACGTTTCTTCATCCGAACAACATGCTCTGAGACGACAGCCGAGTCTAGTCCCTTTCCTTTGGGCTTGCTGTTTTTCAGATCGTTGATAGTTTCCACCATGAACTTTGTTCTCACCGACACATTCTCGTATCCACCATTGGACATGTTGGTATTAAGCACACTGGCAATATGCTTCAAGGCTTGCGCATCGTCTCTTCGCAACATGCGACCTGCCATGCGGCAAATACGCAGGAGGAGCTCAACATTGACCTCTGAAAGCTCGGTCAGAAATCTCTCCATGTAGTCAAATATGATTTTGCAGCTGACAACTTCGAAGACGTAGAGCTGAGTCAAGAAGTTCACCAAATTCGAAGCTTCTCGTCTAGTATCGGCATCACCATGGCCTGCCTTTCTGTAGTCCCGCGCAAGGTCTTCAACAAGACGGCGGAGCAGATGGGAGCCAAAACTAGAGCCAATAATTTTATAGATTGCGGCAGTAAATCCACCAGTCAGCACAAAGAACTGGTCTGGAAGAAGCTCAGGCTTGTAAATTTGTGCCAGTACAATATCGGTAATGATTTCCGTGACTTCTCCTCGAGCATTTTTCTGGTAGAGTTCCTCGATAGATTGAACGATGGAGAGGATGTTGGCATCAGTCAATCGGTTGACCAGACCTTGAACGTTCTTCTGCAGCCTAGCCCTTTGCTCGGATTCTGTGCCAGCGGCCTTCCGAAGTGATGGGGGCACATATCTTGCAACAACGTTTCCGGTGGTCGGCGCGACATAGGGGTTCTCCTTCTTACGCGCAACAGTCGAATGCTCTTCTCCTTTCGCCTCCTCCTGCTCCTCCTCCTCCTCCTCCTCTTCTTCTTCTTCTCCTTCTCCGGAGCCATCAGAGTCGAACCCTGCAAACGAGTCGTCTTCGGGGGAGCCGCCTTCCTCGTTCTCGCCCATGCTAACATCATATGGCATAAGCAGGTCCGAATCAGAGTCTAAATCGTCCGCCACATCGTCGTCGTCATATTCGCTTTGCTGATTCGTAGGCTTTCTTATTGAGGGAGCGCCAATGATCGTTTTCCTTCTTTTAGAAGAGAGCCAGTCATCATAGTCACGCTTCCGCTTTTGCTCGTCCGCATCCCCGTCGTTCTCGGAGCCGGCTGCTTCGACATCACCCAACAATTCTCCAAGGCCATCCTCTTTGAAAGACTGTGGCAGAGACTTGCGCCCCTTTTTGAGGCCTAATTTCCGCTCAAACGCTTCAATCTCAGCGTCATCTTGGTCAAACTTTTCTTGCATTGACTTTGAAATCTTTTTTTTCAACTTTGGCTCGTTGTCAGCGGCGATTGCGTGGTCGGGGTCGTCAAAGTCGCCGCTTTCGCCTAGGCCCAAATCGTCCGCGCCGTCGCTCGTGTTCTCGGACACACTATCATCGTCTGGTACCCAAGGAAATTTCTTGGCTATGGACTTCGGGGTTGGCGGTCGCGAAAAGACTGTTTGTTTCGTGGGTAACCGAGCTGGCGGGTTTCTATCGCCTTGGATTCGGCTTTCCGAGGCATGTCGCCCACCGTATCTGTTCGACCTCTTTTCCACTCTTTGGGCTCTTCGCTGGTCTTTCCTCGTGGTTGGTCTTTTGCCACCTCTTGCCGCCCCCCGCTGCGACCTGGCAGGAGCTGGCGTATCGATGCCAATCCTCTTGAAAAGCTTCTGTTGAAGCTCTGCTACCGAGGAGGACGCCATGGCAATAGCCTCGGGAGATTCAGCTTTCCTAGCGAAGTGCAAGCGTATGGCACAACGCGGAGAATTCAGGAATCCGGGTACAGCTCTGCGTGCATTTATTTAGTCGTGAGTCGCGACGTCCAGAATTAGTTGATGGCGCAGAAGTTTTGCGCCAGGACTTTCTTATCTTATCAGCCTTTGGCTTGCTGGCACCAGGTAAAACAGAGTGGATGCTCGCGTTGGCCAAGGTACTGTACATACATAGGTACCTACTAAGAGATACTAAGGTAGCGACTTTTTGCTCCCCTTCCCAGCGCCCCTCTATGTACCTCAAACTGCTTCTGATGCGGGGCACAATTTGTCCTTCACCATTATGACTTCCCCACGGCAGCCGTTCAGTCACCATGGATGAACAGCACTCGAGCCACGATCAGGTATGTGCTCGCCCGGATTCTCATGCTACGCAGTCTATGTAGTGCGACTCCAACTAACACTGACTGCATTCTAGTTCTTTGAGAAGCTCAATGAGCTGTTTGCCGCCCGCAAGGGCAGCGATCACGGGGCCATATACCTGACACAAAAACGACGTGAGCCTCGCGCGTGCAGCCCTGCGTGCCTGATCAACGATATGCTAACCACCTTTTAGTCACATACAATGGCGACAGCACTCCTGTGACTGCGGACGGGGACTTTGAAGACCGTAGTCCGTCGAAGCCTATGCCCGTCATTGTCAGAGCCACAAACGGCAAATCCAAGCGAGCCAAGTCCAGCAAATCCAAACTATCAACAGTGGTCCAGCCACATGATCTAGAATCATTCTATCTTCGGTATGCAGAGGTCTGCAAGGCCGGCATGGCGGCGCTGAAGCCTCGAGACCGTAGCAAGAACAAGGCCAAGGCCAAGGCCAAGAAGAAGAAGATAACGGCATAATGTCTCTTTGTCCGTACTATTTCTTAACAGCAAACACACAGGCGATGTTTCATGATCTTTCCATCTCTAAGATACATGCCATGCCTTTCTATGCTAGCTGCTCCTCTCTTCAAGTCACTTGCCAGATACTCTTAGAATTTGCAAACGCTGGCATCGACGACGAGAACTTCCTGAAGGACGCCTTGACCTTGATTTTGAGCAAAGAATATGTGATCCTGTCACCGTATATGAACAGAATAGGCCTCTACAGGATTACTATCTATACACTCAATGAAAAGCGATATCCCGACGCAGAAAGGCGCCTGCTGAATGTGAAAGGCTCTAAAGATCATTCATGAGACGTTTGCCACGCACGACAGCTAGATGTCTACGAAGAGCTGTTCTTGACATAGATCAAACCAAGACAGAGGAGAAATGAATATTGACCGCATGGCGGTGACTCTCCAAGCCAGTGTCTTTATATTCATGTTTAAATGGCATAATGCTCGTTAATCGTTACAGGCAGTAGCTGTTGTCCTGCTCCAGAGCCGGGCCTCCCAGCCACCAACTCATTCATCTACAATCCTAATTCGCGTTCTTATGATCATTCATCCCGAGCAAAGCACATCCATGATCATCGTAGTCGGCAACAAGCTTTCTGCCGCAATTCCTAACGCGCGGAACCATTCAGCGTAGAAACATCCATATATCAAAGCAGTCACCGTTCCAATCGAAATCCTTCCGGTAAAGTAGCACTAAAAATCATCCTAGCAATCTCAAACTGCACTGCAGATAGAGGCTGTTCTCTCTACTTTTGCGCAAGTGTTTTGCGAGAATTTCCAGTACACAAGGAAGCTGCGTAGTTTGACCAACGAGCTTAAGAAAAAAAAAGGCCCTCTCCGGCCAATAGATTATAGAAAATGAAAGCTGGGACAGCGTTCCAAATTCAAGCCCACTCCAAATGGCTTTACATCATCTGGTCCTGAGTTAGGCCAGCGTGAGGATCAGCTTCCATGGGCTCGCCACTCGGCTGGTTCACATATTTGACAAAGCTCAGGTTAAGAGGACGTCCACCGTATTGATATCCTTGAAACTTGGAGATGGCGGTCTCAGCAGTCTCGGCAGTGTCGAACTTAACAACGCCACTGCCACGCGAACGGCCGCTGGGCTCATACTGGATTTCGGCTTGTTCAACCTTGCCGATGGTGGTGAATAACTCGATCAGGTCGTCGTTGCTAGTGGACCAAGGGAGCTAGCCAATTCATCAGCCCCCTTTCAGCGTGTTAAAAGCTTAGTAGACTTACATTGCGCACGTAAATGATTTCACTGCGTTCAGTTCCGGAAGTAGCATTGTCAGTGAATGGGTTGGGCGCAGCGGCTGCTGGAGGAGGGCCGTCAAAGCCGCCGGCACCAGGACCACTCCCGTAGCCGCCACGGCCGCCGAAGCCACCACCAAACCCTCCACGACCGGCGAACCCTCCACGGCCACCGAAGCCTCCGCCATAGCCGCCACGCATTCCACCACCAAAGCCGCCTCGGCCGCCGAAGCCCATATTTCCGGCTCCAGCAAAGCGATCCTCGCGGACTTCGATGGTGCGTCCCTGCCAGTCGTAGCCATTGAACTGCTGAATAGCGCTGCGGGCGTCATCAGGGCTTTCGAATACCACTATACCCGAGCCCTTGGGTCGACCATCGGGACCCGAATGCACATCCGCGCGAATAACACCGCCGTTGCGGGCTAGCACCCAAGTCAGCTTCCGGAGAATGACCATTGAGGCGTACTGTGCGCAGTCTTTCAGGCTTACCTGCTTGTCTGAAAAGATCTTTGAGGTCTTGCCAGCCAATATTGAAAGGGAGCTGTTGAGTGTGTATTAGTAGGGCAAGATGTATTCCGGTTCAATAGAGGCGACAAACATTGGCAACATAGATTTGACGACCGGCACCGCCAGCTCCGGGGCCGCCGGGGCCGCCGGGGCCGCCGTGGCCGCCGTGGCCGTGGCCACCACCGTAGCCCGGATGGAATCCGCCATGCATACTGCCGCCAGCGAAGCCACCACGGTTGGCGCCGCCGGATCCGATGAATCGAGGCTCAGCTTCACGGTCCTAAATTAGTGGATTAGATTGGCGCTTGCTAAGTGTAAGGCACCAAGTCTTACCTCGCGAACGTATACAAGACGGCCCATGAGGTTCTGGTTGCTCAGTTGGGTAACAGCCTGCTGAGCTTGTTCCCTGGTCGCATATTCCACAATTCTGGTTGCACAGTCAGCATGTATAGCTTGTCGGATCAGAATGGCTCGAAGACGTACCCGCATCCCTACAAATAACCCAGGACAAAGTCCCTACCCGTCAATCCAAACATCCAACAAATAAGCCGAGAAAGAGAAGGAAATCCGGGGAAATCCGCCAGGGGCGGCGGAACGGGGGAAAGAAACTATGCAATGAAGCCCACCTTCGACATTCCATTAGGAAGCAGCAATACGTCGGCAAAGAGAACATCTCCAGCTATGACCCAATCAATTAGTCCCCGGGAAATTCCTCCTCACTGTCGAATTCCTCACCCTGTCTCATAAAATCCTTGAGATGATGCCACTTGACGTCATACGAGAGATTACCAACGTAGACTCGGCGATCTTGTTGCGACGATTCGCGGACGTTGGACATCATCTGCTCGCGGGCAGCAGCTCGGTCTTCGAATGAGCGCTGAGGGGTTTGGCCACCGTTAAAGCTAGCGGGAGGGCCGCCGCCGGGAGCTCCTGTGCCGGTCATCGGAGAGCGATCGCGACCACGTCGGTAGTCTTCTCGGCTGTTGGATCTGCTTCGTGGGGAGTAAGATCTGCGACGTCCTTGTCTACCGGGACTTCTGGAGCGACGGCGAGGGGAGCGAGATCTCTCACGCTGCTTGTGGGTTAGACATTATTTCATCAGAGTAATTGGTCGTTGGTGTAACATTGCGCCCTGCTGTTGCCCGAGATGGCAGCCCTTGGCCCTAGCACACCAGTCATGTCATGTTCAAGGAGCATAAGCTAACGTGGGGTGTACGAGGCCAAGTTGGTGTCAAGTATGTCCCACGAAGTAGATGCAGACGTGCGGGCACGCAGACATGTCAACGGCGCAGCACACCACCCAGTGCGACGCTCCGGCCTGCGACCGGACCTGACGCGCAGGAGGGCAGAGGGGCAGCAACAGCAGCAACAGCAACAGCAAGGTATGGCTACCATGATGGCGTGTCGTCAACCGAATGCAAGGCTAGATAGGTTCACTTACAGGGCGGTAGGTGTCGCCGGAATCAGCTAGATACAGATGTTAGGTAAGTCTGCAAAGTCATGAATGTGCGAGGAGTAAAATCGTGGGACATCAAGGTATGGATGGTGGCGGAAGAAAGCACGCGGCTTCAATGGGTGGGGTGAAGGAGGGCAATGTAGGGCAGCGGACCACGGGGACAGATGTAAAACAGGGACGCGGTATAGCGTTGGGTGTTTCTGTGTTCTTGAAAAACTCGTACGTTTTCTGAGATGATTGGGGGACGAGATGTGACAAGGGAGTGATGTGCGGTGCTTGATGCGAGATGCGCGATGAGGGAAGAGTAGAGGGAGCGCAACACTGCGCTGGGGGGGGATGAAGTTACTTGAGAAGAGAGACAAAGTAGGGGGGGTACCGGTGTCATGTACCAGCGAGCGGGAGGAGAGGGAGCAATGCAAAGCGCAGAGAAAAGAGCCTTGAAGAGGCAAGGCGAGGGGTAGATTGAGTGAGAAGGGGGGTTGTGTTGATGATGTGATGGATGGATGGTAGATAGGTAGACTTGAGAGGATAATGCGATGAGAAGAGACGTGGAGAGGCGCAGAGATGCGGAGAAGCGAACGTACCCATGGCAGAAAAATGCGAGCGTTGGAGTAGAGAGAAGAAAAGGACTGAGCCTGTTCGCGGTGGTGAAGAGTGAGTGGGTGTCTCAACAGATGGAGGGCGGCGCAACAGGGCAAGGCAGGCAAGGCGAGGCGAGAAGAGGCAAGCAAGCAAGCAAGCCCAAAGGTGAAGAGCAGCGAGCGAGCGACGGTACGAAAACGGGGGGTGGGAGGACTGGCAGGCAGGATACAAGCCACGACTGGTCAGCTCACGGACGGATCTCGCATAAGCGCAAAACCAAGGATGCAGGTCGTCGGAAGTAGCAGCAAGAACGAGGAGGGAGGGAGGGGGTGTGGTGTGCAGCCAGCCGTGTGGAAGAGAGAGTTGAGTCGAGGGCGTCTGTGGATGGACGGATTGGATGGAGGAGGAGGGGATGCCTTGGGACGAGAACGAGAACGCTGCACGTTTGCTGCCAGTAGCTAGTTTTAGGGGAAGAAAAAAACTGCGAAAATACGTGTTGGAATTGGATGGAGGGAGGACAAGGCAGAGAGGGGCAGACTAGAGGCGAGCTAACGAATCAGAGAGCTATATCGGTGAAGCTGGCACCAAGCGTGGTACCAACAGTTGCGGCGCTAACTGGTTGCCAAGGCCAAGTACCGAGTGAGATAGCTTGGTTCTTGGAATGTAGGCAGATAGCTACGTAGATGTTAGCTACATGTTTAGTTATATATTCAGGCAATTATTACCTATTTGTCCATTGGTACAAAGATGCAATCCAAGGTAGTTGCCAAGGAGAAATAATGCAACGTGAGTGCTGCTGGATACCTGAGTACGTACACGCGGTTTGCTCAGTTACCTAGATTCTCGGCCCACTCGTACAAACGCGTACGGGTACGGATACTGTACCTGGGAATAAAACCGCCTGTAAAGCTCGCCATCGGGTACTTATAGGTACGTGTGTATGTACTGTACATACATACATACATAGGTAGAATTCAGGACGCAGTGAAGCTACGGAAATACAGGCCTTGTCCATGTTTTTCCTTCCTTCGTCGCTTAAATATCCCAAATCTAGCCATGAAATTCGACATCAACATGAAGCACCAACGCCGAGCCGCCATCATTCTCCCTCATACATCCGTCTCATTGACTACTTCCAATATCGCCTCAACTACCTCAACCGTTACCTTCGGAGGTACGGAGTATTGACACCCCAGATGCTTGTAGCCCGATGCTTCCATGCGCGCTATGTAGGTAGCCACACAATACGCTTGTGCGCCACCCTCATAGTTATCACATCCACCAACCAATCGCCGCGGTTGTTGAGACTCGCTGATACTCGACACCTGCACATGCAGCACAAACACGCACCGGCTGCCAGTTATTAAACAGAGTGGCAGTAACGAGGACCCATACAAGTATGGGCACTCGCACAGCTTCCTCCAATTGACCATATCCATCATCGGCAGAGACCGCAGCCGAAGCAGTTTTCGAGTTCACTCGTCAATACGCCATCACATTATGACCCGTGTTGCATCAGCGCCCGTCTGAGATTCGGCTCAGACTGCAGCTGTCTCTTTTACAGCAATGTTTTGCCCACCAGCCTTGACTAACTATTTGTCTTTTCGGCAAAAGCTGCGCAACCTTGAAGGACAGCTAGGTGGGCGGGCTGGAGCAAGCTAACTACTCCGTAACGTTAGTAGGTAGATCGAGGCGGACGCGGTGCGGACCACCGATACCCATGTTGCCCATCCATCGACTGGCAGCCCACCTACCTCGACTGAGCCTGAGCCAAGGTTAGCCTGATCACAGAGGAGCATTTGATGCGATGGGGATCTCGACGACTTGAAGCCAAAACGGTTGCTGGACAGCGAGACAGCGAGACACACAATCCCCGCGTGTCCGTACCGCCAGGGTAGGCAAACGCTTCCACATCTCACTGCCAGATTTCCCATCTCTGCGCTAACAAGGTTCGCACACAGCGTGCCAACTTTCGCTTGCGGGCCTTGTTTTGCGCATGGTGTTAGAGAACCACCGCGGAAGAACCCATGCTCCTATCACTCGTATCATACCAGTTCTGTAACTTACTTATTAATAAGGTAGCAGCCATCAGCAACGCGAACGAGCAGTTGCCCGAAGCAAGCCTGTTGGGGTCTGTGGGCCGAGTGGAACTGGTTGCTGCAACCGCCAAGTGCTTGTAGTTTTACATGCGAACAAGCTATCACCTCACCTGTCCATAGTTTCCAAGTCTCATACGATGTCTGCTGCCTTTGCGTAGGCTCTCATCACCGTGGACGTGGTGTTTACTGAGCCATGACTGCTCGCCTAGGCATGATGAATCCTCAACAAGACTGGGGAGTCGATGGGCTGTTTCGACCGATGCCACCGAGGGTAGCATCCCCGGACAGCACGCAATGCATGCAACTGGACTCACGGCAAGCCACCTTACGGCAAGCCACCTTACGGCAGGTGGCTTCGCCATTTGTGACTATTGTGCTGGGCTGCATTACCGGCAAGCCGCACCTCGTCAGAATAAATCAACGAGGTGGGTGCGCCTGTCGATGGCACCGCCAGTCAGGTACCCGTCGTCCGTGGATATAGTCATCTAATACGATAAAAACGCTGGTGCGTAGCGCGGCTCTGAAACGGAACTCCCTGTACGGAGGTCGTATGCCGTTAATATTCGTAAAACGCCCGGAGATGGTGTCTAGTTTGGGCTTCATCCTACGAGCGCATGCTTGCATCAGGCTTCTGACCATTGCGAATGCGCCATGTGTATCAGTTCACTCTTCTTGACGCCCCACCCCCCGGGGCACGCTGCGTTGCTGCTGTCCATCCTCTTGTTTTTCTGGTTCGGGATACAGACAGCCTACCTGTTGCGATTTCTTTCATATTGCAACGGGGAGAGAATTGCATGCTTGCCTGGAGGTTACCCCTCCTTGGAGCCCCCATGCCTTGCCAAGTTCCGCTGGAACTATTGGTCGTTCTTCCCGCGGCAGTGCATATGCCCCCGGGGCCGGCCAGCTCCCGGGTCCCCCTGTGCTGCTCGCGTGGTGTGGTCTCTGACTTTGCCTGCCAATGTGCGGCCTGCCCACATAGCTACAAGCTTCCGCGGCCGAGCACGGTCTAGGGTAGCAGCATATGGCGCTGCCATTGGAGATCCGTTGGTGTATGTATGTAGCTGGAGTCTAACTCCAAAGGGATTGGTGAGTCGTTGCTGTTCGGGTTCGACACAGCACTGATTGACTCCGTATCACGGGACGGCACTGGGTTGCAAACGGTACTGCTGCGTGTGCAACTCACCAATACTTGCCTGCACAAGTGGAACGGTGTAATTACGACGACACGGAGTAATGTAGACCGGCATGTTCTGGGTGGCGCGTACGGATAGATGGAGAGATGAAACCGCTGCCAGGTTGAAAGCGACCAGCTCAACCTTTGGCGAGCTGGGTTGAAATGCGAAATCGAGCCACCTCCAAATCGCACCCCCACTACGGAGTCCCTACTCCAAAAACGGGTCACACAAACGTCCCTTTTCCCTTGGCCCAGCATTGCCAACTCGACCAATTGGCATATGAAATTGCGCGGGCATCATCGCATCACCAGCAACCACAGACATCTCGCCCACCGACACCCACGACAACCAGCCTCCACACTGAATCAAAATACCAAGCTAGCCACGCCCGCCATGTCTGCCGCCATCGTGACGACCCGCGCCGCCGCGCGCCGCGTCGCAGCCCACTGCCGAGCCACCACTGGCGGCGTATGCTGCCCCCGCCGATCCTACCACTCATACGACCACCCACCGACCGCGGGACCATTCGGCGGCGCTGAAGAGGCCATCCTCGCCGCCGCCTACCGACACGTCCCCGAGCACGGCTTCTCCGCGCGTGCGCTCGGCCTTGGCGCCCGCGACGCTGGCTACCTCGACGTCAGCCCCAGTGTGCTCCCCGATGGCGGCGCCTTTGCGCTGATCCGGTACCACCTCGTCTCGCAGCGACTGGGACTCGCGAGCGCCTCCGACGCGCTCTTCAAGCAGCAGCAGCAGCAGCAGCAGCGTGTCGGGGTGGGAGCTAAGGTCGCCGCGCTGACCTGGGCTCGCCTGCTCGGCAACAGAGACGTCATCCAACACTGGCAAGAGGTTTGTGCGCACCAACACCACCAGAGAAGGTGCGCAAAAAGCTTACCTACCGATTGAAACATAGGCACTCGCCGTCATGGCGCAGCCGAGCCACGTTCCCGAGTCGCTCAAGGAGCTCGCCAAGCTGTCCGACGAGATCTGGTTCCTCGCTGGTGATACCGCTGTCGACCCTTCGTGGTACTCGAAGCGCGCCACGCTATCCATGATTTACACGACTGCTGAGCTGTTCATGACTAACGACCGGTCGCCCGACCTCACTGAGACCAACAAGTTCCTCGCCCGCCGGCTCGAGGAGGTGCAGTCGGTCGGCGGCGCCGTCGGGGCCGTCGGGCAGTGGACGGGCTTCACTTTCCAGGCGGCCGTAAATGTCCTGCGAAGCAAGGGCCTCGGCATCTAGGGCGGCGTTCGGCCACACACAAGCCACTTGTCCGAATAAAAATCATTTCAAATAGCGAATTCCTATAGACTGTACACCTCTGTTATAATATCAAAGCAACCCCATGTCATGATATCTGTAACCAAGAACTCCTCGGTGCCAATACAATTATGTACAGGCTAACAGCAAATGGCTGGGCCTAGAAAGGTTTGATTTCACAGATAATCCCACACAAGATCTCAAAGAAGAGCAGCTTCGACGAAATGACTGTATTAGATCAGAGTGCGTTGTCGGGGATCCGTTAATCTGCGGAGAGTAGATTGTTAGTCAGGCCCTCAACAATCGATGCTCACCAACATACCTGATGATCTTCACGTCCTTGTCGAGTCTGGCACGTCCCTCAATGGCATTCGGCGTAATGAGAATATACTGCCGCGAGACCGAGCGACGAGCAGTATCGACCTAGAAATTCGCTGTTAGCCACTAACCAAACCCACACCGTACCACATCCGCGTCTTATCAAAAACGTACAAGCATGTTGGTGCTGATAGCTCGATTTACATTGTCCATGAAGACGTCAAACTCGTCCAGGCAGCGGATCGGCGAGCCTATCGCTTCCCACACGGAGAGTAGCATGCAGATGGAAGAGAACGACTTTTCGCCGCCCGACAGCGTCTTGGTGTCGCGCCCGGCCGATTTCTGCTTCGTCTCGTCTGGCTCAATGTGCAGGACAACCTTGCGCTCCTTGTGCCGGAGATCAATCTTGCCGCGGAATCCTCGCTCGCTGAGGAGGTAGTTGAACTGGATGCGGATGCGAGCGCTGATCTGTCGCTGAAACTGCCGCCACAGGCTAAGGCGCTGCGTGATGGCACCTTTGAGTGAGTCAATGGTCCGGTCCAGGTTGTCCGTCTCCTCGAGGACGGTCTCGTAGCGCCGTTTAGCTTCGTTTGCCCTGTCAAAAATTTGTTCATCCGTCGCCCCGAGACGTTGCTCACGCAAGGCGAGCTGATCACCAATTCTTTGATACTTCCTCTCAATGGATACGTAGGTTTCACCTTCAGGGATGTGCACCCTGTCAGGAACAACCGCAAGAGCTTGCGCTGTAAAATCTGCGACTTCTTCCGCCTTCCGATCTCGTCGCTCCTCTGCGCGTCGGCACTCGGCTCGTTCAATATCGACCTGCTCGTACGCTGCATTCTTTCGTGCGACAGCAATTCGTCTCATCGACTCTGTGGTTTGAATCTTATCTTCCGCCTTTTGAACACGCCCCGAGAATGCTTCACTTTCGCGACGGGCCTCCTCCAACTCTTGCTTGGCGGCTTCCGCCTTCTTGTTCAGCTCATTTTTGGCCAGTTTCATATTGCCGTATTGGCTACCAAGTTGCTCTTCCTCGTTCTGCTTGGCCTCCAAGTCAGTACGAAGCGTGATAAGACGGCCATCTGCGCCCTCAAATGCGTCCAACTCTGTTGATATTTCCTCTGCATCGGCCCGAGCTCGGCGCAAATCTTTCTCCAGTTCTTTTTGATCCCTGCCATGCGATTCTAGCTCCATTTCAGATCTCTGAAGTGCCTGGCGGGCAAGGCGCTCCTCGGCATTCAGCTCTTTGAACTCGATTTCCAAGTGCTTCAGGTGCTCCTTCTGGATTGCTAATTGCCGAACAGAGTCCGACTGCATCCTGGGCCGATTCCTAGTCGGAACGATGGGCGCGGTTCCAACATTTCCATTTCGGTTCGTCAGCCGGAGGCCTTGCCCTCGTTTGCCCCTGCCGTCATGAAAGCACAAGCATGCCGAAACGTTTCGAGGTGGGCCACCTCCGTCCACCATATATTTTTCGGCTTCGGCTCTATCTTGAACCAAGATGACCTTTTCAATTTGGCTATTGATAATTAACTGAGTGCGAAATATGTCATCGTCGAATTCCAGTACTCGCAGTATCGTGTCGAATTCTTCTGCAGGCTCCTGACTTCTCGTGTTGATATGTCCTCCATAGGCGATGAAGATGGGTGGCTGCCGCTTCATGCCGCTCTTCTGCATGAGATCTGATAACTTAGACTGGTCTGCCTTGCTGCGTACAACGAAGGCATTGAGCGATTCACCGAAAGTCTTCTCAAGAATACCGGACCATTCTGGGTTGCGAAGCTTGACGTGTGCGCCGATCGGCCCGACAGGCATGTTTTCAAACCCTTGATGCTGCGCAATGGCCTTGACAAGGTTGGTGGTTTCTCTATCAAAACCATCGTATGCAGACCCAGTGCTTGCCTGTAGATCAGATAGAGTCTTTTCTGCCATGACAATGTCGCCTTGCTTGGTTTCCCTCAGTTGCTGCTGACGTTTGAAAGCGTCCTCGGCCTTGCGCACTTTCTCTTGTTTATCAGGCAGCTGATCGGTCGCATCGCTTATTTTCTGAGTGACGTCTCGCACCTTAGCCTTGGCTTGATCAAGCTGTGCATCTTTCTCGGCCCTCGCGGCACCAGTGGACTCGCCGAGGCGTCTTTCCTCCTGTTCTATTTTCTTTTCGAGCACACGTATTGCTTCACGAATGAGTTTCAACCGGGTGTGAGCGTCGGTTTCCTCTACATGCAAATCGACAAGCTCGTCCTTGGCCGCGGTGAATACGCTTTGCAACGAAGCGACCTTGTCTTTAATGGCGCCATCTTCCGCATTTAATTCCTCCCTTGCGGACTGCACTTGTTGTAGTTTTCGCTCAGCTTCCAGAAGGGCCTTGCCCATAGTCTCACATTCTTGCTCCGTGTCTGCAATGCGGGCGGTCCTGGTGTCGATGGCGGCATTGAGTTGTTGCAGAGCAATTTCCTGCTCTACAACCTGCCACCAAACGAGCTGACATCTGTAATGCCTCGCTTTTTCTCGAAGGCTCTGATTCTTTTGCGCAGCTTCTGCCAGGCGAAGAGCACTCTCCATCTCCTTCTTCACAGACGCAACCTTCTCGTTGATGTCCTCACGCAGATTCAGAGTCTTGTCCAGGGTGTCTTGGGACATTCTGTAATCGTTGTCGAGTTGCTCCAATTGCACTCCGGAGACAAAATACTTGTATTTTTGAGCTGGAGTGGCGGAGTTCAGAAACTGACGGGCATTGTCTTGAGAGAGGATGGTCAGGGGATTGCCCATTTGAAGCGCGAACCACTCGGATATTTCGTCGATTTCTTGCTTCTTGGTTGATACGAGCTTGTCATCGGCCGTCTTAATTTTGAACCCACTGGTGCCGGTCTTGGAGAAGTGTCTTTCAATAATGATACTGTTGCCGTATATGTCGGGTTGGTATGCGTCGGGTCCGGCGTTTTTGACTCGCACCACAAGCTTTCCCTGATCGCGGCCCTCCTTGACGAAGGATTTCAGGCTGCCACCACGATTAGTGTCGCTGGCCTTCCCCCCCAAGCAGAGGGTGAGTGCCGTCAAAACAGCACTTTTGCCACTACCGTTCTCTCCGACAATGAAGTTGATCAAGGGACCAAGCTCGACGTGAAGCCGCTCGTGACACATGAAATTGTAGCATGTAATGCTCTCGATAATGCCACTTTCGGCAACCACGTTGTCGCCTAGGCTGTGTGGTCGTCGCGAGAGCTGTTCTGTGGCTCGTTCATCGTCCAGCTCTAGGTTCTCTAAGTGCTTGAACCCGGCATCGCGCATGATTTCGTATTGAGTTTGTGGTAACGCATCTTGGTAATCGTCCGAGTTGTCCGAGTCATCTTGGTCGTCTTCTGACCTATAGGCCGCGGCGTTCTCTCGGTCGGGTGTTGGTTCTGGATGGTTGCCATTCGCGACTGATAAGCGCGCTCTTTTGTTCTGTCCAGGACTTATATTAGATACGGCTCTTGGAGACGGGATATGGAACTTTGGTCATACCGACTGGGCCTCTTGAGCCATGGAGGAACTAGCCTGCTGAACCTCGACAATTTCGTCATCATCATCGGGCTCTCCCTGGGGATGCCTTCTCTTGAGAGAAGGCATGGTTGCCAGCGATGGAAGCAGCCACGCGATGGAAGGTTTTGCGTGCAGATGAAGTGGTGATGGCTGCACGAACCGTGAATGCAAGGCGCGTCGCTGGCGCAAAAGCGTGTTGAGTGACCGCCAACTACCTAGGCACCTATTTACTGCCTAAGGTACCCAATACTTTGTTAACGCTTAAAAATATGTGCCAGAAAGGGTATCTGGTACATACCCAGGTCCCTTTTCAGGTGGAGAGGGACGCGTTCCTCCAGCGTTGATTGAATGCTGCGCAAGCTACTACATATGTATGTATGTACCTATGTACAAGTAGTAGGTTCGGGAAAGCCCCGCTGTAAAGTTAATGGTGGCATGTCTTGAGGAAAAGTCATGTACAACTACATATTTTTTATGCTCACTGAATCCAAGGCAGAACATCATAGGGAATTCAACATGCACATGGCTTGATGATTTTTCTCCGTTTATCAGCGACCTGTTTGAATCCAACACGGGAGCCATGGCTAACGAGCCCGCCAACCATGAGGCCGAAGAGGCTGAAGCCTATCAATTTCAACGTCAACTTTCCGAGAATTCGATGGAGTACATGATATTTCTCCTTGATGATAGTCTCGAAGGTATCAAATACCTACAGTGTCTGGAAGCTATTAGTAAGGAAGCAGCGCGCCGAATGGACAAAATCGCCGAAAACTACATTTGGCAACGAGATGAATTTCAACTCCAAGTTGTCAACGACCAAGGTGAGGAGAGCATTCAGAAAGCCGCAGCCAAGAGCAAGCTCTAATAAACCAAATCCAGGCTTAATATATCTTCACGGCACCACAGATTACGGGGATGCCGTGGAAGATGAGTGGCTGACTGTCTATGTATTGCGGGAGCTCTCCAAAACATACCCCAAACTGTTCATTAGGGTCGCCGATGAGGACGGCGAATTTCTCTTGGTGGAAGCAGCCAGTGCGCTGCCAAACTGGCTGAATCCCGAAATCGACTACTGCAGGGTTTGGATTCAGGGCGGAAAACTGAAGATCATACCTCTCCTACCTCCCCAAAGCGAAAAGACGAAAACGGCCGTTACCAAGTCACTTACGCTACCTGAGGCCATAAGCTGCCTGCGGAAGGCGTCGGCGACATTGATCCACTCGCCTTCCATTGAAGATGAGGCATTCTATCGACTGGGCAAGTATCCCGAACATGTAGACGTCTCGATACATTACTCCACGATGACAATCCCGCGAAAGCTGGCCTATGTTATACACGAGCTGCCGAAAACTATATCCGCCGCCGTTGAAGCTTTTTATCTCAGGGACCATGCTGGCATGAGGAAGATAACCTCAGAATCAGAGAAGCTGCATTTACCTCCAACTGATATGGTCACTGTTAGTGTCAAGTTTAGTAGAGTCTTGTTCGCGCAACTGCGCTCTCAGCACTTCGAGGCGCCCAGAAGATGGCAGAATATGACGCAAAAGCAAACAGGAGACGAAAAGAAGGAAAAAGAGCTGGGTAGCAACCTACTCGCCACTGAAGACGGCATGAAATTGACTTGCGGGTATGAAATGCTTGCCCTGACAGCAGACAAGAACAAGAGCCGCATCGTTCGCGAGCTCGCCATTATGCTTCAGGATTTTCAGGAGGATGGCGACGAAGAACTGCCAACAAATGAGGATATCGCAACGTGGCCAGACGTCAGACGTAACGACGACGAAGGCTGGCTCGACATCGACTATGAAGACTTTGAGCGCGAGTTGGAAGGAAATAGAGCAGAATCGGGCGGCCAACAACCGATGTCTTCTGGATTTGGAGACTCCAGAACACAAGATGACCTACGAAAAATAGTGTCTCGATTTGAGGCGTTCCTAAACAACGAGACGGCCGGCTTAGATGGCGCGGAAATTGATGAAATGGACATGGACAATGACGACGACGCTGACTTGGACGACAACGAATCTGACGAAAACAGCGACATGGAGGACAAGGAAGTCAGCTTTGACGAGGAGACATTTTCTTGCATGATGAAGGAGATGATGGGACTGCCAGTTGACAACCCCACCATCACGTCCACCGGGCAGTACAAACACAAGACCACAGCTCGGAGCGCAAGAGATGCTCGCGTAGACGACGACGAGGATGACGAAGAAGGCGATATCAAGAATCTCACCTTGCAGATGGAGGCTGAGCTCAAGGGCTACGGCGCCCTGCAGCTAGACGGCCCCAAGTCTCAGCAAAGCAAGCTCGATGGCGGCGGCGATCGAGGCAAAGGTAAAGAGAAGGCGATGGCAGCCGAGACAACTGAAGAAGAGAACGATGATGAGGATTCGGATGAAGAGGTTGATGTGGACTACAATTTGGCCAAGAATCTCTTGGAAAGCTTCAAGAGCCAAGGTGGCATGGCCGGCCCAGCAGGCAACCTGATTGGGCTTATGGGCATCCAACTACCAAGAGACGAAGACGACGGCGAAATGGACAAATAAAACCTGATTATTCCAAGCAATAGAATGTATTCCCATATCCAATCTAGATATTCCACCCACCCAAGGTACCCAAACTATCACCTCTCACAATCCCTCTTCGCCATCCTCCTCGCTTCTATGGGCTCAGCGTCCTCTGCCTCTTGGACGAGGCGTCCTGCAGATACCGCCGACGCCTCTTAGACGCCGCCGACTCGTCGGCCTCCTCCTCGACCGTCTCGAGCGCGCGTACCGCCTCCACCAGGACCTTGCGGGCGCGCAGCTCCCGCGGGTCGCTTCCCTCGTCGCGATGCACGTACTCGGCGCTGATGGCATTCAGTGCGTGGTATATTCGGTACAGGTGCATACGCACTTGGACGCGACGTGGACAGTCTCCCTCGTCCTGCGCCAAACCCTGGTACGCCTCGTCCGTGTCGTCGTCGAGCGTGTCCGCTAGGGGCGTGCAGAGGCCGCGCACGAGGGCCTCGGACGGCTCCCGGCAGAGCGTAATGGACAGCAGCGGGTCGCCAAACACAGGCTTGACCCATTCGCGGAGGCCAGTTACCTTGAGAGCAGCCGCCGTGTTGCTGCTGCTCGATGAGGAGCCGCCGCTGTTATTTGAACCGTCTACCTCCATCTCTTCATCCTCGACAGAGGAATCCTTCTCATCGCCGTCGTCGGGATCGCCGTCCTCAGCTTTTTGCATGGCCACGAGAACGTTCTTGTCTAGACCTGCATCGACCAGGACCAGCCGCGGCTCGACCACACCATCGAGGACGGGCGCGAAGCGGCGCAGCAGCCTGCGTATGCTGTCGTACGCTGCCGTGATCTGGTTCACCTGTGCGTCCTGTATGGCCTCATGGAGCATGCTGGCAAAGGCATCCGACCACCGCGCAAAGGTTTCGCGCGACGCCTGCACCGAGGCACCCCGCTGCTCACTGCTCGATCGTTGCGGCACGGGCGGCATCATGCCCTCGGCGTGCCCGAAGCGTGACGTCGGCGAGCGCAGCAGCGACAAACCGCGCAGCATCTGCCCGACCTGAAAGTCGACGGACCGACGCTCCGCCGGCGTCAGCGGCGTTGAAAGCGTTGACAGCACCCGTCCGGGCCGCGGTGCCATGATATTGTATTGCAGCCTGTGCATCGGGGCCACTGCCGCCGCTCCGGCCACCATGACCCCATGATCCAGGAGTCTCGGCAGGTACTCAGCGACGGCGCCTGCGCGGATGTAGTTCCTGGCCTCCTTCTTATCCTCCTCAAAGTCTGCAGCCGTATTGGCTGCGGATTTGTGCGGCGAGCTCGACTCCCCCTCTGGGTGCTGTCCGTTGTTGCAGAGCTGCGACAGCCACTGTAGGGTGGCAGCCTCGGACCGCACGGAGCCGCACTCGCACCTCAGTAATCGGCGGTTCGGCGAGGGTGGCAGAGAGCACTGTAAGACGGCGCCAGCCTGAGTCGTGGCGCGGTATATTCGGTGAAGACCCGGCGCGGCGGTTACCTGGAGGCTTAGGACGTGCGTTCCCGGGATGGCGCTCCGGATGACCCTCTTCAGAGCGGTTTCGATGGTTTCTACCTCCATGACGATTTGTTGATGGTAGCAAGACGGACGTTGGTGTTGATGATGCGTGATTGGGAGGAGAGTCGAACTGAGCATGGGACAACGACGGCGCCGTCCAGGACACACGGGGTGAAGGGTGTCGCCTCTTGGGTGCAAATTAGAACCGGTAGGCATTGTAACCGCGTTAAAGCCGGGCCGCTTGGAGCTCAACAAATGGAAAGGTGGAGGTATTGAAGCACAAAACTAGTCGGATGATGGTCTCGGTATCAAGCGTGTGGTGCGTGGCGGTGATGATGTCGTGGCCGTTGAGGCTGATGTTGGTTTCCAAGCGAGTGTTGCCTTGATGGGGAAGGAGTCGGATTTGCGGTGAGTGCTCTTGGCAGGAAGCCGTTTCTGTGTTTCTGCGTAATGTCCTACAGTATAGGTGGAGAGTCAAGATATAATGTATAATTTGGACTTTGAAGACGGCCCCAGAGGGAGAGAGGGAGAGGGAAGCATGGATGACCAAAGTGATGGCGCTATAAGCTGGCTGGGACTGGCTGGAAACCAAGCGACGGGAGGAATGGCTGTCTACAGTTGGCGATGCCGGGTCGACTGGCATACTACTGTGGATTTGTTTCTTTGACGTGGCAAATAAACGAACCGAGATTATGCTGGTTCAGTTGCGAGAGCCGTGCAGAAACCCGGACTACCTATCGAAGCGACGGGCGGCCCGTCTGTGACTAGTTAGTTGACCAAGAAGGCTTGGGGGGAGGAGAGGCTGAGTTGAAGGGCCGGCAAGTAGCGAAGACAGAGACAAAGCTAGCATCGCGGAATTGATCATCTGCGCCAAAGAGATAGAAAGCACAGGGGAACGGGATGTATCCGAGGAGGGGAGGGTGTCCAGTTGTCCAGTGTTGGTAATATCAGACGACGGACGGTGTGGTAGTTGTTTTGTTACTACTAGGTACCTAGTTAGCGCATGGGCTGGGTTGCAGGAAGGAGGAGGCGGTCCCCAGTGCGGAACAAGGCCATCATCACTCATTCGTCCGTATGTATGTAGGTGTTGTCTCGCTACTAACTTAGTTACCTACATAGGTAGGGCCAGTCCGTGCCGAAGAAGGCGGTGCTGTTTAATCTGCCACTGTCGCTAGACTCGGCCGACAAGCGAATGGATCCATCCATCATTTCCAGACAATATGCGGGCGGACGAGAGACAAGTCGATGACCGGGGGGGGGGTTCTACGGGGCGGGGGAATGTCATTGAGTCACCAAGCTCGCAAGATGCTTAACTACCTGTACCAGTACGAGTAACCAACTATGTATAGTTACAAAGCAGTCAATGCAAACCATCCGTATTCCATGGCCTGTTGACTGAGCGGTGTGAATTGAATCCCGATAAACTCAGACTCGCAGCAGCACGCAGGCATGCGCTCTGTCTCACAACATCACGACATGGCTCGGCTCGCTCGAGGCCGATCTTGCCCGCCTTCTCACGTACTACAAGGCTTGAAGACGCGGGCACACGAAGAGCTAGACCGAAGATACAATGGCAATGTTAAGGCTTGAGACAAGAAGGGATCCTGTGATTGTTGTTGTGACAGGCTACACAGATCAGGAAATGCCGTGGTGTGTATTCCATCATTCTTGAGATGCCGATGTAGCGGAAGACAAAGAAATGATGATGCGGCTCGGACGGACACAAACAAAGACAGAAATACAAAAGGACAGAAGGCCAAGGCCAAGGGCAAGAACGGGAGAAGAAGAAAAGAAGCGCAGCGATGTATATTTTTGGGGTCCGAGTTCCGCCTTGGGTTCGACCAAGCGAGCTGAAGCCGCTGTCATTGGTTGCCGTAAGCGAGAGCTGGAAGCCATGGGTTCCGCTGTCCACAACTGTAGTGGGACCAAGCTGACAATCCCCACAGGCTGGAGGCGTTGGCAACTTGTCAAGTGAAGAAATTAGGGTTCATCCAGAAGTTTTTTTTATTTTCCTTTTTCTTAATAAAAAATAACTTTCGGCAACATCCATAGTTCATGTCTTCCTTCCGCGGCGATGCGGCGGCGCTGGTGGCGGGGAGACTTGAAACGTCCGTCATGCCGTTGACGCCACGATTATCCTATCAACCGTTGACACCCCATCAACCTTTGAAGCAACCACCCTGGTCTGTCTGCTGCTGTCAATTTGGCATTCACCCCTTGGCACCGTCTAATATTGATACGACATGTCGCAGAATCACAGTCAGACACGGATATCCATGAAGGTGTTTCCATTGACGCTGTTCTCATTGGCTACCTAGTATTTGAGACGCCCGCCAACTCCTACTTACTGGAGGTACCAAGGGCGCCCGTCGCGGAAAAAGGCCGGGCCATAATTCCGCTCTGTTGCTAGATAACGACGTTGGGTCGTCGAAGAAACCCAGAGCATGCATCTATGTTGGCTGATGGGGTCCAAGACCACATTGCATCCTGCCAAGGTGGGCCTGAAGCAAAGGAAAACGAGAACAAGCTGGCATCCCGTACATACATGGTACAAAATCAAATGATGAATCTCGTCGAGCGGGCGCGCCTGATGCAGCACAAACAAGTCACTACCACACACACACACACTTACACACCATCTTCTCACGCCTCACCGTCTTCGGCTTTCACGAGTCGTTTGTCGCCGCCGTCGTCGTCGCGCCGCTCTTTTGCTTCGGAACCATTCCGTACAGTGAGTTCATGTTATATCGCTTGAGCTCCTCCCACTGCGGTCCGTCCACGACGGAAACGCTGCAAAATAGCTGTAAAACGTCCGATTGCATTAGCAAAAGCGAAGAGAGACGAGACAAAAGAGCCTATCCGACCTCGTACAGGGCGTCAGAGCGGCAGAGCTGTCGAACATGTACATACCTGAAAAATCTCCACCAAGATAACCTTGTCTGCATTCGATAGGTTGACCTTGTGCTTTGTATCAACTAGACCGGCAATCTTCTTAATCACCTCATCCGACTTGAACGTGTTGTGGTTGCGGATATTGTGTCTGATGGCGTACTACAAACAACAATACCATGTTAGCACAGCACAGGCACGCCCCCACCATCCCCCAAAAAACAGAGTCCTTCCTTACCGTAAAGGGCTCTCCAGCACTGTTCGTAGTCTTTGCTGGTGCTTGCGTCACCTCTTCCCTCTCTGCCGGCGTGGTCGTCCCCTCCTCCTGCGCCTCGCCCGCGCCACTCGCAGGCACGAGCTCAAAGTACGGCGTCAGCACCCGCCGCGCCACCCTCTCGATGCCCTTGTCCGTCGCCTTGTCCGTGCTTAGGACGGGCGTGAGGCGGTTGATGTACTTGCACCTGCGCGCCCGCGGATCCGGACACTTCCTCGCGTCCTCGCACATCTGCCGGACCAGCACGTCCGGCTCGACGGGTCTGGCCGTCTTCATGAAGAAGACGCACTCGATGCCCGCGTTGATGGGCCGGAAGACGTCCGTCTTCTTGGCGGTTCGGTCACGGGGCGCCTTCATGGCAGCCAACTCCTTTTCAATTGACGCTTCAATGTCCAGATCTTCATCGCCCTCCGCCCCAGCGTTCTCGTGCTCATCCGCTGGCTTTGCGATGCCGTACATGCTCTCGCCGTACTGGACTGAGGGTTAGTCGTTACTCTGAACCATGGATTACCACGCTCATGGCATCATGTGAGTCCGCAGGAGCAACCATACCTCGTGACAGAGCTCATTGAACTCTCTAAACGCTCTCGTATTCATGCCTCTGGCGTATGTGACCCAGATGCCCTCGTCACCAACATCCAGCGAGCTGCCCATCTCGATCCGACCAGCCATCTTTGACTTTTGCTGTGGCGTCTTCCACTTTCCCGCGGTGCTCCCCTGCTGCAGTAAGACATTGTCAGCCAGATATAGAGGAGCCAAGCAAGGTCGGCCCAGCCCAGGTGATGCTCACCTTGCTCTTTTTGTGAGCTGGAGCCGCGCCCGAGGGGCCTTCCTTTCGTTTATTCTGATTCTCGCTCATGGTAAATGCGATATTCGAATATGATTCTAATGCAGAGAGTGCTGATACAAAAGGGGTTGTTACTGGCGCATTCGATGAGAAAAGTTGAAATTGGTGATTTTTTTCGTTGGCGCGCTGTTTGGTGTGGATCCGCCAGTTTTGACCCGTGTCGGCAGTGTAAGTTCCCTCACCTTCAAGAATTACGAACTCAATTTGTTTCATGTGCAGTTTTTTTGTTATATCTTTTAATTCACACGAAATTCATTTGATAGCCAATATGCTCATTGAATATCTCCCGGTCGGCTTTAGCTCTGTTCCGCATTGGTCTTTGCGCTTGCTTCTGCCGTTGTAACCAGGGCAGATGGCGCGTCCTCCTTGGGCATCATCACTTCCACGAAATTAAGGCAATCAGCTGCGTTGAATTTCGAATCAGTCAAGAGCTTGTCAAGTTCCGACTTTGATTTGACGACGTGTTTCGCGCAGCTTTTTGAGCCGCCCATGACATCGACCAGAGCGGTATAGTCCCATCCGTTGATGTCATTGTATTCTGCGTCCATGCCGTGGATATATCTCTCAATGGTGTAACCATCGTTGTTCAAAAGAAAACTGTGATCTGGTTAGAGGAATGGACACATTCAAGAGAAATGTGCACTGACATGATGGGCTTGAGCCCATGTCGGATCATGGTACTGAGCTCTTGAGCCGTGAGTTGGAATGATCCATCTCCGACAAAAAGAATCGTACGGCGCTTGGCTCGCATATCTTTCGCGGCCAGGCAGGCACCCTGAGCAGCACCAACAGACCAGCCGATACTGCCCCAGAGAACCTGACTGAGAGCTGTGACCCCGGCTGGAAACTTGGAGCTCCAAATGCCAAAGTTGGCAGTGCCCGTCTCAGTCACAACAATATCACCTTTGCAAAAGAATTCACCCATACGCGGCCAGAACCAAGCTTGAGAAATTGTGGGTGTTCCATCATCGTTTTTAGTGACTTCGTTTTTAACGGCAGGCACCTGAGTCACGGCGAGTTGGCTGACGTCCAGGTTGTCGACGAGCCTGCGAAGCACTCCCTTCATTCGAGCACCAGGATATGTCGAGTAGTGAATGATGCAGTGATCGCTGTGCAAGTCGATGACATTGAGCTTGGAGGTGCGAAATGAGAAGCCTGCAGTGTTGAAATCACTCTGAACAAATGTTAGGCAAAGCAAAAATATACTAAACATCATCAGATGGTATGTACCTGCAGTGTGCCGATGGACAGAATCAAGTCGGAAGACTCAACAGCCTGTTTGACACTGTATGGCTGGGATCCCTCTCCCGCATACACGCCACCGTAATTGGGATGGTCTTCGTTAATGGCACTCTTACCCATCGGCGTGACGAATACTGGCAACTTGGTTTTGGCAAGTAGTTTGTGAACTTCGGCTAGCACACGATGACGGACTGCGCACGCATCAATCAGGATGATAGGAGCCTTGGCCGACCTGAGATTCTTCAAAATGACATTCACAATGTACGCCTCCTGCTCCGGATCGTTTCTCGGCTCAGATAGGTCAATGGGCGTCTCGAGGCGCTGGCCCTCGATCTTGGCAGTGACCATGTCGCTGGGCAGCATGATGTACACGGGCCGGGACTGCACGAAGCACTCGCGTAGCGCGTGGTCGACCAAGACGGCAATTTCCTGTGGATCGTTGAGCTTGGAGACGTTGCAGGAGACGCTGGCGCTCATGCTGGCAAAGACGTTGTAGTCGCCGTTGCCGAGGGTGTGATGGAGCAGCATGCCCTGCTTCTGAGAGCGGGTGGACGGACAGCCGACAATGTGCACGACGGGGATATGCTCGGAATACGCTCCGGCAAGGCCGTTGATAGCGGAGAGCTCGCCGACGCCAAATGTGGTGACGACGGCGCCGACGGTGTTGATGCGGGCATAGCCATCAGCAGCGTAGGCTGAAGGAGTTGAGTCAGCCAAGATCAGTGGCGATGGGCCAGTAGATGGTGGACCGGTAGATGACGGCTCCGTAGACAGTGTATAGATAGATACTAATTACTTACCTGCATTCAGCTCGTTCACACTTCCGACCCATTTCAAGCCTGCCTTTGGGAGGTAGTCGAGGGCCACCAGGTTATAGTCGCCCGGAACGCCGTGGACGGAGCGGACACCGACTTGATGCAGACGGCGAAATAGATACTCGGCGACGTCGACGGGCGCTTTGAGGTTTTTCACGCGGATGTCGGCCATATTGAGGTTCAATTCGCTGTTATCTGCCTTGCTCGAGGTAAGAGGTATAAGTGGAGCGAATCGGATGATGTATGACGTCGGCGGTAGAAGAGTGTTTTGTTGTTGGTCGAATGTTTGTGCAGAGAAGACTTGACAATTGTCTTTGAGGAGGATGTTAAGTGTAAGAGTCAAAAAACGTTCACTTGCGCTCCTGATAAGCAACAACTTTAATGTTGCTTCAGCTCCGAAGTCCGAGAATGGTGATGCAACCAACCAGGCTTGCAACTGGCGAGGCCCCACCGAAGACGGTTCGATCGGAAGCTACTGTCAGTCGACTCTTTCTAGAGGACGTTGGTTGCCTCAAAAATAATATAGAGCTTTGAATATTGCTGGTACACTGACCAGCGTATTGATATTGAGTGAAGAGATATCCTGCCCTTTTCCTAGCCGTAGCTCTATTATGTCGCGAGCCAGTCCAGCCCAGCCCAGCCCAGCCCTTGAACGCCGTCTATCCAGAAACCAAGCTCCAAATACAGGGTAATATATACAAATCACAACACAACCGCCCCTCTCCTCAATCGCATCGCCCGTCCTTAGGCCCCGTCTTCCACCTCTCCAGCCACTTTGAGCAGTCAAACTCCTTCTTGCCCAGCTTCCTGTTGACCTCATTGTGCGCGCCGCACAGCCAAATGCCAAACTCGTCCCTGCTGGCTACCCGTGGCACGCGCGCCGCCGCGTACGCCTGAAAGTCCTCAGCACACACCCAGCACGGGTAAAGCTTGGCGAAGAGATCCACGAAGCGTAGTAGGTCTGCCTGCTGCGTCCGCGACGGTGTCTCCGGGTACGTCGCCGCGATGCTGTGCAGCAGCGTCCACGAGCTGCGGCCTAGTACCTCTACGTCGGGCGGGCAGTCGGCGCGCGGGTCGGATTCTGTTGATGCTATTGCTGTTGTTGTTCTCGTCGTCGTCGGCGGCGGCGCTGTTGCGGCGGTCGCGGTCGTGTCGCCCTTGACCTTTTGCCTGGCTTGAGCGGCCCACGCGGAAAACGCAGCGCCAGATGTACATGATCGGCACCTGGGAGAGAGAGAGAGAGGAAAAATCAGTCAAGACAATTCCGGAAATTACCATTGACTCCGGCAGTCTACTCACGGCTTGCCGTCCTTGTCTAGGACCACGCCTTTGGGGTACGGTGCGGCATGCGCGGCAAGCACTGGCGCCGCCCCAGCCGTGTCCTCTCTCGCTTGCTCCGCCATTTTAGTCCCTGACAATTGAAAATTGTACGTGAGACGCGCAGAGAACTTTCGCCGACAAATCACGCCCCGTAGGTGTGTGTGTGTGCTTGTGTATGCTGAATCTTGCGCTTGGCTTCGGGTCTGGTGCCTGGTGCAGATTTATAATACCACCGCGGCGACGATCTGGCCCCACCAACTTTCCCAGCCCGGACACTTCTTCAACAGGCTATTAAGACACTGGAGATTCATGGGGACGAGTAATTGAGTTAAAATATATGCACAGGCGCTCACTGTGTTCACCAGTCCTGCATTTTTCACCCAAAAAAATTCAAACCTGCACGAAAAGATACTACCGGCTTCACTAAATCGTTCCTCGTTACCTGACCCACACCAGCTCGCCTATATCGCAAATTCAACGCCAGACCATCATGACGACATTTGCGTCTCTCACCATTCTACAACAAGACATCAATCAGCGTTTCTCTTTTGCAAAACTGGAAGAAAACTTCTCACTCACTTCATCGAACTAGTTAAATTATAAACTTACCAACCGCGGCTATGGATCGCCCACCAGCCGCCTCATCACGCCCCCCAGCCGCCTCCTCATCACGCCCTGCCGCTGTACCCGTACTCCTCCTCAAGACGCCCTCCACCCCCAGCGACTCCTACCACGAGACGCTCTCCGCCGCTCTCCTCCATGGCGACCGCCCCCTGGCCCCGGAATTCGTTCCCGTCATGCGCCACCGCTTCGACGACTCCGGCCTCTCCTTCCTGCGCACCCTCCTCCTCGAGCGCCGAATCAGCCACGCCTCCGCTTCTGCCTCCTACGGCGGCCTCATTTTCACCTCACAGCGCGCCGTCGAGGCCTTTATCCACGTCGTCGACGGCGAGCGCGCCGCGCAGGGCCCGTCGTGGCCGCACCTCGACGGAGTGCCGGTCTACAGCGTTGGGCCCGCGACTACGCGCGCCCTAGCGGCCGTGCCGGGCGGGCCGCTGCAGGTCTCGGGCGGTCACACCGGTCACGGCGAGGCGCTCGCGCGCTTCATCCTCCAAGACTATGCCGCACGGTTCCAAAACGACGGAGACGGCGACGGGCAGCAGCTCCAACCACCGGCGCTGCTGTTTCTGGTCGGCGAGCAGCGCCGGGACATCATCCCGCGCACACTCACGGATCCGTCCCTGCCGCCGCACCGCCGTGTACCCGTGACGGAGCGCGTCGTCTACGGCACCGGCGTCATGGAAACGTTCCCCGACGACTTTGCCCAAGCACTGCACCTCTCTGCCACCACCACCACCACCAACCCCGGCACACCGCTGTTGTCGTCACGCTGGGTCGTCGTCTTCTCGCCCACTGGCTGCGATAGCATGCTGCGCGGCCTGGGTTTGCTCGACCAGGACACGGGAAAGGCCATCCCAGGCCGTCGCGACGGGCAGACCTTCATCGCCACCATCGGCCCGACGACGCGCGACTTCTTAATCGAAACATTTGGCTTCCACCCGGACGTCTGCGCAGCGACACCTAGCCCGGAGGGCTTGATGGAGGGCATAGCGGAATTCGAAGCACGGCAAGCGTCACAATGAAGCGACCAAATAAAACGTAAATTTTGCGTATATTTTGAGTGTCTTTTTGTTGGTTCACAAACCAGAGTGAAGATGTTTTTCTCGCGCCAAGCTAAACCAAATATCACAACATGTAAAGCCGCGCACCCCCCTTCTTCCAAACTGCCACATGCCAAGGTATATCGTCGTAATAGTTTCCTTTTTCTTCCAGACAAAATCAACGCCAACAACACCGAATAAATGTTCCAGTCCAATCATGCTTCCCCTCCCACATAACCTCCTCACCTACGCTCCAAGGACCCAGAGCTCTACGCCGACGACGCTAAACTTGTGCCCGGCATCGCTCAGCGGCTCATTCCCAAACGTCTCGCACGTCGCGCTGTGCCCGACGTCCAGCGCGTCGTCCAGCCAGAGCCCGTAGTGCCCGCCACCCGACCCGACGCTCAGGTACCCCACCTCGCAGTGCATGTAGAAGTCGTTCAGACCGCTGTACGGGAACGCTTTGAAGCGGATCGACTCGGTCGAGCCTGGCGTCGACGCGCCGCCGCTGGTACCACCCGCTAGCGTCGTGCTGCGCGTCGTCAGGTGCGTGGTGTCAGACGACGGCGGCGGCGGTAGCAGCGACAGCGACGCCATCGTCGACGCCCGCCATAGGAAGCACTCGCCGTTGCCAAAATACGACGGTGAAGGGTGCGGATGTTCAGAGAGGTACGCGCCGAACGTCTGCTCTTTCAGTCCCGTCGTTAGCACATTCACAAACGAGAGAAAAAAACAGAAGAGAAAGAGAGAGAAAGAGAGAGAGAGAGAGAAAACGCACCCCGCCTTCTTGGTCCTGCACGACCAAGACAAAGCCCACTCTCCGGCCCTCGTACGCCCTGCACTTCGCATACAGCGTGCTCAGGCTTGCCCCGTCACGCTCCAGCCCGTATGCGAGTCGCCAGTCCTCGACGATGCGCAGCCTCTCCGGCACCATGTTGCGGATTTCCTCGGCGACCGCGTGGCTGAGCAGCCGCGACTCGGCGGGCGTCCCATCCCGGTACCCGTGCAGCACGACCGGGTCGAGCGGTGGCGGCCGGAACGGGCTGGCCGTCGGCCGCGGCGGGTTGAAGACGTCGTGCACGCCGTCCTTGTGGCGATGGAGGCTGGCGGCCGCGTGCTGGCCGTCCTGGCTCTGGTTGACGTCCGTGTCTTCGCTAGAGAACCGTCGTATTAAGCCAAACATGCTGCACGCAGTGTTCTATGTGTATGTTTATATGTATATGAGGAGGGGTGGTTGTTTTGTATTTCTGTCGTCTTGGATCGCGCGCGCGTGGTCGAGATCAGGTGGGAATGCTGTTGCAATGACGTTGATGCAATGCGTGTACTGTTGCGCAGGAGAATCACTTGTGTCGACCGTGTTAAGCGGGATGGTGGAGGAGATCGCCTGCGACCGTCATCGGTACGTGCACACCAGAATCCGCCAGGGGGAAGTTGACAAGTACTATGTAGAATCAGGCTCCGTTGATCAATCCGTCGAAGCCTGGTATGGACAGTTGTCGCCAAGGTGGGGCTCGCATGGCTTGATCTCGGCGGGGTATTATCCTCTCGATGCACCCATCCAAGACCACGCACAAAAGACGGAACTGGGAACTTGGCTTGAAGATATTATAAAGAGGAAATAATAATGGAGGAACTGACTGCAGAATGAAACTGAAACCAGATGGTCAAAACTATAACATGAAACAAAAAGTAAAAAAAAAGTCCATCATGCCGTTCCTTCATGCTCGCGTGTGGCACTCTGTAAATCAAATTGGTGTATATCCGCTTTCTTGCTTCTTCATCCCGGCAAACCACTAGACACGTGTGTATTGTATTTTCATGCATCGCTTCACAATGGCAAAACCAATTGCACTTCTCCTAGCGACCCAAGGTCCTGCCTGATGGGTCTGGCTGTTCCTTAGCCCCCGGGGTGTTGCATGTGACCATCCTCGACAGTAGCCACACTTTTACCGCATAATTTCTTGGTAGATGAGTGCCTTCAGCTCCTCCTTGCTCAGGCTGTCCTTGTGCTTATCAAAGTCAAAGAATTCCTCGGGAATGGGAGGCGCCGTCGGCTCGTCGTCGGGGTCGTGGTAGGGCTCGAGGTAGGGGTGCTTGAGTGCCTCCTCCACGGTGATGCGCTTCACGGGGTTAAAGGCCAGGAGCTTCTCCAGCAGGTCAAGGGCCAGGTCGGACGTCTTGGGGAATAGCGTGCGGAACGGCACCTTCTTCTTGAAGGGTAGAGAGCGAATATACTCGCGAGCGCGGCGAGACTTGATTCCGTAATAGTCTTCCATGGTGGGTGTACCAAGGACGTCGAGAATCAAAGTCAGCTGGTGGTGATCTGCAGATAGTTAGTTTCTCGAGTAAAGAGTCAGGGTAGAGCAAGAAACGTACAATCCTTGCCCGGGAACAGAGGCTTCCCGCTGAGCATTTCAGCGAGAATGCAGCCGACAGACCAGACATCAATGGCCTTGGTGTACTCCTTGAATGTCAACATGATTTCGGGCGCACGGTACCAGCGAGTGGCAACGTATTCGGTCATGAAGCCAGAATTGTCCTCCTGCGAGGCGGCGGATCTGGCAAGACCGAAATCGCAGACCTTGAGGTCGCAGTTGGCATTGAGGAGGAGGTTGGAAGGCTTGAGGTCTCTGTGAAGGACATTGGCGGAGTGCATGGCCTTCAGCGCGCGCAGGGTCTGGTAGATGAAGTATTGGCAGTGGTCGTCGGAAAGGTCCTGGGTGCGGATAACTCGGTGCATGTCCGTCTCCATGAGCTCCTTGGGGGGGCGTTGTTAGTGGCCGTTGCTGGCAAAGGGGCATTTGTTCAACGGCCGTGGCGCTAGATTGAACTCACTTGGATGAGATAGACTTCATTGAACGAGTCATAGCCTCTGGGCTTCTGGATATCAAGGATGGAGATGATGTTTTCATGGTTAAAGTATCGGAGGAGCTTCATTTCGCGGAGGGTTCGGAGGCAAAACATGGAATGATCGAAGGGTGTAATCTTCTTGATGGCGACTTTTTGGCCGGATGGTTTGTGAATGGCCGAGCTAGACGGAGAGTGATGTCCAGTTAGCAGTGGGAGCGTGGGAGGGAGTAGGACTAGGAGCATGGTTTACCAAACAACGCCATAGGCACCTTCGCCGACAACATCCTGAATATCGTACTGCTCGCTGACGTTGAAAGAGATCTTGCGCGACGCCGAGGCGTTATTGGGAGGGTTTGCGCGGGACATGATGGATGGCGGGGTAGCGCAATCGCTCTTGTGGGCAAGCAGGCCTTGCAAGGTAGGTATGGCTTTTATTCCCGCCTTTTGAAGGATGGAGATTGAGTTTCTTGGTCGACAAGCGATGATAAAGACGAGGAGGGACCTCTTTGCTCTCGCGATTGCCAGAGAAGGAGAAAAAGAAGAAAGGGGGAGAAATCGGCCGCAAGAGGTGCAAGCGCCAGGTCAAGAATTCGCGGAGCGGTTCGTTGACGAGGGAAAGCTGAGCTGTGTTGTTGCTGTGGTCTGCTGTGGAGGGGTTTATTTCACTGAGATGAATGGGCCAAAAGTTCCCCGCTCGGGCCTCGTGTTGCGGTTTCTTGCAGCCCCAAAGTGTCGTATATTCACCACCACCTATCACCCGACACAAACAGAACAGACGTGCTGGTGCGTGCTCGCTCGATTTTGTCTGTGGGCGGATCAGATCGCTTCGTCGGTTGGCTCGCGGATAATGTCCGATCTCGCCCTTTATTTCTTTATCTTGATCTTTGTCCTTTTCCCCTTTCTGCTTTCCGCGCGTGGATTGCCTTGACAGCTGGTCGACCTTGTCAGTCCTTCAGTAGTAGCTCCACCCGCTAACTAGGATCAAATCTGTACCTGTCTCGGGAGGTAGTGGGTTAGCTAGCACACGGCCAGAAAAAAGAAAAGAAAGGGCAAGAAAAAGAGAATGATAGCCGGACATCGAAACGTATTTTGTACGCATATGGATACCCGGGCACTATCCCGGGTACCTCAAGGAATCGCAGTGACTGGCCATGAACATCTGAGTGAGGAGCATCACTAAGTCCAGGCTCAGCGCCGCAACACGACCTGAGTCGCACAGTGGATCTTAAGATGACCGCCAGGCACTGGCCCTACCTAGACAGGGCCGTCCCGCTGTTCAGTGCTTCTACTGGGCCAGCTTGGTACAGAAAAGACACCTCGGCAAGTTCCAGCAACGCTGTTTGGTGGTTGTAGTGGTGGGTGCTGAGCTTGGTCTAGCATTCCACGCCGTCAAACTTTGGGCGGGCGGCCTGACTGAATGCGTCAGCCCACCTGAGCCCAGGCACGCCAAAGCCATGTCTGTTCGAAACGCGGGGGTCCCTGTTTGAGAAGACCCAGCTAGCCCGCGAAGTGCAGCAATGCTTGCATGCACCGGAAGGGACAAGTCAGGTACGCGGCCAGGCACCAGACAGGATGCATAATCCAGTATGACAGTTAGTCATGGATCAGCGGCACGGCATGGCCGCAGAAGGAACAACAGCAAAAAAGGAACAAAGGCAGGCAGAGAGGTGGAATAGCCTGCACCAGGTATGCATGGCACGACGACTCGTCGGGCTGCGCGACTCTCTCGCAGGAGGCCGCAGGAGGCAATAGAGGAAAGAACAAGTCGGGTGTCAAACGTACCAGTTGACCTTGTCGATGTCAATATCGAAACTGGTGTTAATACTGATATTGCAATAAGGTCGCTCACAAGTGCCAAGTCGATAAAGTTGAGTAGCTGAGGCGCAAGAGATGGTGCGCGTACAACATAAGCCGTGCAAGAGTTTACGTTTTGTTCTGGTGCAGAGAAGCTCACACACGGAGAAAGATCAGAGAGAAGCGGCACCCAAGGAATCCTTATTATCACATCACAACTCACCTCGCCCCCACCGCCCTCGTTGGTCACGGCGGCTAGACCCAGCCTATGTACCTCAGTCACAACCTCCTAAAACCCACAGTCAACAAGAGAACCAATAACCAATTGATCGCTCGGTGGAGCTCCTTCAACTCCAATATGCGCCGGGAGGTCCGGGTACGGAATACACAAAGCAGAAAACCACCTTCCTTGCCCATCAAAAGCTACTTACTTTTTTCCGTCCGAACCTTTTATGGCGCGTATGGTGAGACACAGCGCAGATCATCACACGCACGCCTGAAGCTTACACCAGCCGACTACCACGGTACGTCTCTCTTGCGTGCTCTCATCACAGGCGGAAACACAGCATGGAGACAATGCGTGCTTCTCTGGCTTCCTTTGAAACTGACCACCAGCATCCATTATCCATTATCCATTGCCCCAGCCTCCTCTTTCCCCAATCTCGTTCGTTTCCTGCCTCCTTATTCCCAAAGGCGGCAAAGCCTCTCCCGCCCACATCGTGTGTTACAAACGCACGTTTCACAACAACCCGTCTTAGAGCTATGTACCTAAAAAGACACGGGAGGGGGCCCTTTTCTTCTTTCGAAACCAATATTACACTTGCTTATTGTCTGCTCCTACTCATTTACCTGGCGGCCTGCCCTACCTGGTGCCATAGCAAACATATGATAAATACCAAAGAAGATTCAGTCTCGGCGAAAAAAAAAAAAAAAAACATTGGCAATCAATCGAATTCGAGATTCCTTCCCTCCAGGCAGGACATCTACTGTACATATTGCGAGGCGCCGAGGCGCCCACTCTCCCTCCCCGCTGCGGACACCGAGTTTTCCTTTAGCTCAGGCGCGTAATCGAAGCTTCCGTTATCCATTGGTCGTCCTAGTTCTATGACCCTTGCCCACCTCGAGATCATTAATGGCCCTCATCCATAGGCGGACAAGTCATTGGCCATTATTTCACTTTGCACATCCTACCTAACCAATGATGTCCTCAATATATCATCATTCGGAGTCGGCATCTTCGAACCCGCCGTAACCAATAGCAAACAGTCCCCCCAGTTCAACTCTCATCCACGTTTTAGAGACACTGCGCCAGCTGATAGAAATAACTGAATTCATCTAATATATATTCATTTTAAACCCTCATCCATCTTCAGCCAAAAGTTACCATGCGCCTCTTACTAAACCTCCTCCAGGGATCACGCCCTCCGCCTCGAATCTACAACCGCTACCTTCTTGCTCTTTGGTTTTCCTTGGGACTGAAATCGGTCCCTAATACTCTCTTCACTATAATTACTGCACAACCTGCAGAGTATATTGTTAGCTCAGAACTGTCGATGCACGTCATGTCTTTCCCATTGCGCCGACGTACCTTTTCTCGCAAAATGCCCAACCACTGCGCCGCGCTAACGCTCTGGTCCGCGCGATCCTCCACCAACAAAGTTTGCGCCCACAACTTCAGGCTCGGCTCGCCGTCCTCCCGCACAGTGTACAGGTGAGGCACTGTAATGCTTCCAACACCCAGAGCGCGGTGATCCTTGCTCTTCTGGATGACAGCCCGCACTCTCTCGTTGAAGTCTCCGTCCAGCTCCGGTACCCGGCCCTTGCCTACCTGGATGTTGGTGCGGTCGTCGACGCCAAAGACGTCAGCGACTAGTTGCGGCACCGCGTCGCGGCCAACCCACAGGAACTGCGTCTGCCCGTCGTCAATGAGATACAGGCCGTGAGACGCCAGTCGCTCCGATGTGAGGTTCTGCGGCGGCGGCAGAACAATCTGCCCCGTCTCACCATCAATAACGCCCGCCGTGTCGGGCATATCGTGCAGCGAATACATGCGAGGGTAGATGTAGCGTATCAGGAGAGGGACAGGAAGCGTCGAGAGCAGGCAGAGCGCCGCAGATCGAATATCCGTGGGGATCTGTGCCGATTTGCGAAGACCGACATTTTTCATTAGGCCGAGGAAAAGGATGGGCAGGCCGCGTAGGTTGGCAGGGAACTGAAGGCCACCACCCATGCTGCCGCCAGCAAGCTCTTTTCTGAACGTCTGGAGAAGCTCTGTAACTTTGGCCTGCAGTGCGTCGCGAGCAGCATCCAGGCCGCTGCTGAGGACCCGCTCGACCGCCTTGTGGGTGAAGTAGGTTGTGATGGCGCACTGGTCAGCCGAAGCGTACACATCCGACAGGTTCGTCGTCGTGGGCAGCGCGACCGTCATGACGCGGATGCGACGCTCACCGTTACACGTCGTGTGAAGAATGGCAGCCTGGAAGCAGACCACGTTCTTAGTCAAGTTCTCATCAATGGCCACTTCAACAACGTAGCACTGATCGCGAGGAAACGCAGGGAAGGAGCAGAGATCGGAGCTTCGGTTGAAGAAGTTGCCGTAGAATGTGTTCATGCGGAGGCCAGTCGTGGCGCGCACGCGCAGAACAGCCTCCAGGCCAATCTCCGAAGAGAGGTAGTCGCTGAATTCGGAAGCAAACTTCAGCGCATCCTCTGGTCGGGAAGCGTGCCAGCCGGGATAGAACCAGGTCTGACCACCAGTGTATCGGGGCAAGTTGCTGAGCGAAGCCACGTCTTGGTATTGGGAAGAAAACAGGAACATGTCAACCGAGACCTGGTTCTTGGAGCACTCTACAGCAAAGCTCTTGTAGAAGCTGTTGCCAGTTTGTAGAAGCGTGCCCTCCTTGGAGGTGCCGAGGACTTTCTTATCTTCGCGCATCTCGAGCTTGCCCGCGCCGACGTTAGGCAGCGAAGCCGTCAGAACGACAATTTTGCCACCGAGGGAAGAGATGAGTTTGTGCCCAGCGCGCAGGGCCGGCCCCATGCAGGAACCGTTGCTCTGGTTGTTCTGAAACATTTCAGGCAGCTTCTGCAAGAACTTCTCGACGCTCTGGCGGGATTCGGACAGCGGCACGAGCAGGTCGTGGGGAACGGGAAGGAAAGGCTCCTCCAGATCGCTAACAACCAGCATGTTGGTCTCAGAATTTTCATCCTCGTCCTTGGGGATGGAAAAGTAGTGCAGACTGGCATCGACAGCCATGAAACCAATGCGGGTACGTCGGTCGGCGTTGGGGATGCGGTTGAGACTGTCGAGGATGGTGCGAGCACTGGTGGCGAGCAGGCCGCTCGAGATGGCGGCGTAGCTGACATCGAAGAGGAACAGGTAGACCAGAGGCTGAGGAGGTCGGACCATGTATTCTTGCGGAGCAACGAATTCGACAACGGCGTGGTTCAGCTCGGGCCGTTGCCATCTGTCCACTGTTTTTTGGGCGGCAGAGTCCCAGTCAAAAGCCTGGGGTACATCGTTGGTCAGGTTGCACATGTTGCAGCGCCATCGGTGACCGTGGTCCATGAATGTTACGTATGGGTTGATGTAGGTTCTGCAGCGCCGGCATCGGGAAATGACCTGATCCTGGACAACGGGAACATTGTCTTGGTCGTCGTGGAGGGAGCCGTATGGCTGGATGACGAGGGAGAGCGGCAGCTTCGACTTCTTCAGCAGCGAGTTGGTTGTCGGGACCGCATTGAGGGTCGAACGGATATATTTGGGAGCGCAATTGGCCGTCTCGGAGCGAGTAACGCTAGACTGGATGGCAGACCACTGTTAGAACTTCAATGCGCAAGGCGTGACGAGGAGGGAAGCTTACGTTGGGAGGAAGGTTGATGGGCGGGGGCGCCAGATCAACCTCGGCGACGTTGAAAGGCTGGCTCAACAGGTCCGACGGGTAGAGCTGGTTGAGGGCGACTTGGCGGGCCTGAGCCATTGGCATGGCAGAAGGTTGCTGGCCACTCATGTTCATGCCCGCAACGCCCTGCGTGATTCCGGCCATATCTTGCCCACCGACATGAGCAGTCTGGTCGGGGGCGGGATAACCGCCGTACCCCTGCTGAGAAGCGGCGGGCTGGGGCGCGCCGTAGGTCTGGCCGTACTGGTATCCGGGGGCGGCCTGCTGAGGCGGCTGCTGCTGCTGCTGCATATCGGGCTGGCCATAACCTCCGTATTGAGGTGCAGAGGGTGCGCCGGGCTGCATGGGGCCGCCGACACCGGCATTGGCGCCGGTAGCGACATCAAATGCCCCAGCGGCATATCCACGCTTCTTCTTCTTCGGCGCGGCAGCGGCAGCGGCGCCAGGGTCGAGCGCTGGGGCGCCGGGCTGCTGATCGTGCGGATGATCCTGGAATTGGCCGTAGCCGTCGCCTGCGGGGGCGGACATGATGAATGTGAGGACTTGGACAAGTGACCTAGGTGTTGGGTTGCTCTCGAAAGGAGGGAGGGAGGGGAGGGGAGGCGGTGGCGAGAGCGGGCTCGCGATGATCCTTCAAACAGCCGTGCGGGAGGACAGCAGGTGGGAGGAAGATGAAGAAGAGACAAAACAGGTCTGCGATCGAGTGAAGGTGCCGCTGGAGGGAAAAGAGGATGGGTGTCAACGCCGAATACGAAGGCGGCGACGCAAGGTGGTTGACGGACGGCGTTGGGAGTGGCGGCGGGACGTGCGAGGGAGCTCTGCTCTTCTCTGGGAGAGTTGGTCGTGCTGTGGTGTCCTTTTCCCAATGTGGACGAGTGGCTCGGGTGGGGCCTAGGCAGCTTCAAGGTAGAGAGAGGTATGTAGGTAGTCACAAGAAAGGGTGGATAAGGTGCTCTGCTGTCACAACATAATGATACGACATTCGCAAGATAATTACATCTGCTTTAATTTACTGGGAGATCTATTGCCAAAGGCGAGCGTCGAGATGTACATGTCGATGTCATGGTCTGCTCCGGAGCGGGATGTCATTGGAGTGGAGGGATGAGCTCGGAGCCGGCTTTACTTTTTACCCCGCTAGTTGCTGGATGACATGCTGACAGTACTATGAACTTAGTACTTACATAGGGGGGTATGAAGTCACTGGTTCTTAGATATGTATGTACAAGGTACATAGGTAGCTTCTGGTGACTTACAGTACACATGTGCATCTTCTGTTTTCTTCTTTCTTTTAGTTTACAAAATTGTGTTATCATATCGCCAACGACCCTGTTACCAGTACAGCCGATCCAAGTGTTCACCAAGTCAGCACCCTGCTCAAGCCGCTTTGTTGCTTATGCTGGCTTTAAGAAGCACCGGGTAATCTGTCGCACTGAATCTACCCTAGATGATAAAAAAAATGGCTATCAACCCAGTCAGAGTAGATCAACAATCACATGTGTATTTAGTAGCTAGTTTTTTCATGTCCAGTTACCAGCGGCGTTGCAACTTTTGCTGTGCCTTCCAAGCCTGCACTGCACTGCCCACGAGAGGCAACCAGAAACGGGCGGCGCCAACGACAGCGCGAGGCTGGCTGCTGATTTTAGCCTCTCATCCATCCGTTCATACCCTTGCCATTTGACAAGTAAAAATAAACCTGAGGATTTTCACCCACCCACCTATCCCTCCCATTTATTAGATTAGTGTCTGTACTTGTAATGAATATATATGAGCCCCCCCTTCCTTGGAAGCACCGTGATACACTCTTCCCAACCTCATCAGGCACCTATAGTGTTGACTAACAGACTTCTTCTACGCGCGTCTCACCTGCCATCTGCCATCTGCCACCTGCAAGTCCCCGTCCCTGCACGAGACAGACGGAGAGACAGGACAGGCACAAACGCCCCTCCCCTAGCGCTGCAGGCTCCCCCACTATAGCTGGCAAATGTACATACGTCGTTTGCTGCAACACGCGCCCTTCTTCTCTGACATCGTTTCAAGCTTCCGCACCGTCACTTCTTCCTTCCCCTCTCCTCCCGCTATCTATTTTTCTTCTTTTCTACCCTCACCCGGAACCTTCACCACAATGGGTAAATTCTCCGTCTTCTTGTAAGCCAGCCAGCCACCAACCAACCCTCCAACGCTTCTACCCGCTCCCTCAACGCCACAAACTCTATTGCCGTCACCATTGTCCTGGTTACCGCGCCGCCTCTCCCTCCCACCACCCCGCGCTACCCGTATAACAACCTCAACTGCCCCCCTTCCCGGGCGCATTGCGCCGCGCTCTCGCGCAGCACACCGAAACACGCACAGTTCTCTCGCTACCAACCCTCCCCAAACGTCACTGCCGCTAAGTCCGCAATGTCCACCGCCCTACTTAGACAAATCCTCCCCCTCATTGTCGCCCTCGCCGTCGTTGGCGGCATCGGGTTCGTCCTCTACCACGTCTATCTCAGCGTCACTAAGATGGGCGAGACGGCCTCGCAGAAGATGGGTCGCAAGAACGTCGTTTTCACAAAGGATGGCATGCGCGTCGGCGTCAAGAACGTCAAGAACGAGAAATACGTCGACAAGACTCAGAGCTACCTCGTAAAAGCCTGGAACCTCGGCCAGGCGCAAGAGAGGTGAGCAGGCGCCCAAACAGCAACGACCCTCCTTGCCTGTGCTTTCTTTCTTCCTTCTCCTCCCTCTTCCTTTCACGCGTTCATGTTAACCTGGCATTCTCTCATTAGCAGCAAAAAGACCCATTAATAAGCCGATACCGACGAGAAAGAATCGAATCCAGACCAACAATCGAGGCAAAGCTACTCGCTCAGATACTTTCCCTACTTGACGATTCCAGTCTTACACGATCACAACGACGAAAGCCTGTTCAAAACGAAATCGCCAGAGTAGACGACGTTACAAAGCGCAGACTTGTCCACTTATGTACCATATCATCCTGCACACGCGCCCAGACTTTCGGGCATGCATTTTTTACCCAAGTGCTTCTTTTCATGTTGGATCAAGGACTATAAGAATTACGACACATTTTCATCGCAATCTCATAAACGCTTGCAAATCTTTTTGGCCTGGTCTGCTGCCTACCCGTGGTCTACGATGCTCGTAATCCTGTTGGACACCTACGCATTGATTTATAAACCGTGCATCGAGGCCATCACGGCACCAAAAGGAAGTCAAAAAGGATATATTTCATCTCATTAAAGAGATATGACTTGTGCCCTTCCGCCATCAAAGTCATGACTTTGCGCCGATCTATGCTACAAAGTACTAACCAGGCTTAACTCTTCCTCGAACAATTACCACTCCCCTCGACTCTTCTTTAGAATATCGACAAATATAAAACGCTCACAGTGTCTTCCACAGATAATCGCCTCTCCCTTCAACCCTTCCTCAGAATATCGACACTACGCTCACACGGACTTGTCTTACTACTTCTGCTTCACCAGTGTTACCTTGCTGCTCTGTGAGATGAGCAAACTTATCCGTGGAAGTCTTAGTGTGCAGCCTTGTCTGGGAATCTGTAACCCGCCACGGTGCTTTCCATGGTCACTTTCTGGTGCAGCCCAAACAAGCCCGCCCCTTCTCGAGCTTGCCCGTAGAACGACAGATCATCAGTAAGTCCAGACGGTGGCACAATCCGGTTTGAAAGGACCTTTTCGAAATCCACCGCAGATGTGTCCACCGAACCGCTCGCAGCCATTGCGTCTCGCTTGATGAGCATTGAAGGCACCCGCACATTGACATGAGTCAGCATCTTAGCATAGCTAACACCAAGATCCCAGGCAATATATTCAAGCCTGCCTTTGGCCCACTCTCTCTGTCGAGCTGTTGAATAATCCTGCGTGATGATGCAGCTTAGGGGCCAGGTAACAAAATAGCCAGACAGGCCCTTTGCGCCCACATCTTCGCCGCAGCAATAGCTAGTGAGGTCGGAACGTTCGAGAAGCTCCTGGCGCGACCTGAACCACCCTAACTGGTATGGGATAGCTGCACAAAGGTCGGTGATGATGCTGACGCAAGTGTTGGACCAAGTTGCGTATTCGGGGGTGGTGCGGTAGTCAACTGGAGAGTACACCCACGCAATGGCTCTCACAATGATGGAGGCGAGAACAAGTCGTGAGCATCGCATTGTAACCCAGACCGTCGTGACCCAGAGGTCTTGGAAGGCGTCGACTCGGCCTGGGTATACTTCTGCCTTGGCGTAGTCGCCGTCCGGCACACCGTTGACCCACGTCACAGGTTTCCCCTTGTAGTTTTCGGGAAGATTTTCGCACCACTGTTGTAGCTCCTGGTCTTTCATCTGACACCTTCTTAGAATATTCATGATCAATTTGACATTGTCAGGGGAGTGATGCAGCAAAACGAGAAGTTTGTTGGCTTCCGTCTTGAGCTCGCTGATCTGCAGCGTTATTCTCTGCAAATTAGTTGCGAATGGGTCTTTGATCGCATCTTTGATCCAAAATTCGGTGCTACCCGCTGCGGGCTGACCAGAGCTGAAAGAGTGAATGATCTGGTATGCCAGTCAGTACCTTATCAAAAGACCGGGGACTTCGGAGGCAGCCGCAATAAGAAACACTTACCTGCTGGGTGCGAACTGTAACAAAAATGTCTCGCCCGACTTTGGTCTTTAGTTGGTCTCGGCCTCGACTTTGAACGAGTTGAATGGCTCCTTCGGTATGTGTGCTCCAGGCAAGCATGCCGAAATGTCGAGAAGTGATATTCTCGAATAGACTAAGAAGCAGAACAGCCGCAACAGTCCCATCTTGCTTGGACTCAACGGGATCTTGGATGGCTCGCCCAGTAGTGGCTAGAGCCTGTACGTATTTGTGCAAAGCCGCCTTCTCGAAACGTTCAGGGCATTTCATTCGGTTGCTGAAGTAGGCAAGCGCACACGCTTCAAAGGCCAGCTTGAAGTGAGGACAAGGATTCTTGGCTTTTATGAGCGGGATAACAAACTCAAAGTACCCTCTCTGGGTTCCTTGGGGCGGCACCAAGACGTAGTTGGAAACGAAGTGGTGCGCCGTCCGTTCGTCGAGTGACTGAGTTGGTGCAGGGGAGGGACTTGACGGAGTACTTGGCGGTGTACTTGACGGATCACTTGATGTAGCCGAGCCGACCAGAGTCTTGAGTTCTGGCACTTTTCGGGAAGTTGACCTTCCCGTCTTGAGAGCCAGAGCCTTGTTGTTGGCTTTGCGTGCCCTTCGCTCCGTAGCTTCAGTCTCGTTACGAAAGACTAGATCAAACTCGTCTTTGTAACCAGGGCATACTCGTCGAGACTTGATACACTGTTTGCAGGTAGGTTTTGTCTCGTCACACTAGTAAGATATGTTAGACTCGATTTTGCTAAGTAAGCTATGAGCTGGAGGGTCTGACGAATGCGGATGGGCAAGCCGCTGCGTACTCATGTCCCATATCGACACACCTTGATTCGCCTGGTTCGACACATCTGACAGCCCCTGGAAGGATGACCGGAGTATACCATGTTGCCGGATGATTGCAAGTACTCTGATAGGGTAAATAGACGACCGGGTAAAGGAAAGGTATTGATTTGGAGATGGCTACTGGCGTAGACGTGTGAGGAACGGATTCGATAGCCCGATTATCGTAGCTGTGTACGAAAAGATGAATTCGAATCGCCGCTTGTATATGTCCTTTCTAAACGAAGAGTAGGAAAACCTTGTCTGATGTAATTACTCTCTTGGTTTGTAGCGATTGTGGAAGAGTTAAGGAATCAAAGTTGGGTAGAGAAGGGGAAGGTGGAAGAAAGCGAGGCAACAGCAGAAGGGATGGGAGGCAGGGCAGAGCTTTTGTAGGAGGGATGATTCAGAAAGTTTGCTGGTTGTGGTTGCACTGTGCAAACGCATTGAGGCGGAGAGGAGCGTTGTGCAACGTTGGAGGCGAGATCAGGAGGCCGCAAAGATATCTGCCTGCTACTACCTAGAGGTAGGCAGGATCTGCTGCATGGCAAGTAGAAACGGCAGGGAAGCAGCGGGCCAATGATGAAGAGAAGAAGACCTTTGAATTAGCGACGACAAGATCCGGGAGTATTATTAGTACAGTGCTACAAACTGAGCGTGGAAGGAAAAGTGACGATAAACTCAGGAATAGGTGAGCAAGCCAAGACCGGAGCCAGGCAGTCATTGCACATGCACATGCACAGCTGAGCACAGCACAGCAGCCCGTACCCATTTCACCCACCTATGGATCTTAGTAGGTTTAGTGGAGTTTGTGGTACGTTAAAGACGCGGGGCTCAGGGACAAATTTGGCGGTGTGCCTACGAAGGGAGAGCGCTGGTTGGTTGGCTTGGGTGCTGAGTCGATGGCGGTGGGGTCATCAAGCTCTGGAGCAGAGGGCAGAGGCCTAGAGTGGATGCTGAACTTCCCTTCTTCAACGGTGATAAGGCAAACGGACAACCTCCAACCCAATTGCAAGTCAGCAACTCTAGGTAGTACACTAGATACAAGGTGCGTGATAAATAAATGCTGTATTTTCGGACTCTTTATGTTATTTATGTTATTTATGTTATCGCCGCTTTGCTTTTATTAGCTTGTACGGCGATGTATCATCCCTATGGTGGTGCATAGTTGTAGTTGGTGCATATACCTCTACGCCTACGTAACTGAGGAACCTAGGTAGACAAACAGGCTGAATATCGTGTACAGATCAGCTCACACGACCACCTCTGTATCACACCATTTTGTAATCTACGAGCCGCGGGAAGAACCGACAAAGCTAGACGTTCGTTTCGTGCTCAGTGGATCAGAAATAATCTACAGTCCGGATAATCACAGAACACGCTCTTGCTGCGCGTCAGGTCTCTCGGCGCCATGCACATATGTACTAACCGCGAGGCTCCTGCAGTGTATGTGTTTTTATTTTGCATTCCATCTTGCAGCCTCACTCGTCGTAAGGCTATCCAGGCATCTGCGAAAAAGGGCCGAGAACTTTCAGATCAGCTGCAAATGCCACCTCAGCAATTTAGCTCACGCAGCTCTGATTTGTTGCCGACATTTTTCACCACCGACAACAGAAGACCGCTTCTCGGCCGAGCAAGCGTCCTAGCTCGCGGCGGCCTCAGACAAAGCTGCTCTCCGTCCCTGAGATTTTTCTTGGATGTGGCCTGGGCGATGTGACTGGCTGCTCTCCCTCGACCCTACTAACTATGTACCTACTGGCCTACTACCTATACAAAGGTAGGTATGTTGGCGTACATAAGACTTGGGTTGGACGAATGATCCAACAGCTCCTACCCGGATCTACATGGTGGTGGCCCGGCGGCCCTGGCCGGTCATTCCCACAGAACAGGTCTCAAAATCGGGCATATGTCCTTCCTCTACGGATATTAATAGCTTCTATCCCAGGGGCTTTGTCTTGGCATTAAAAGCCATTTATGCACCCGCTGCCCTGAAATATCTATTGAGGAGTTTCTCGATTGTTACCTCGAACCGCCGACATCCGCTCTGTTTCAACCATCATCAGAGATCCTTCGGGCACCAGTTGAAGTCTATCATTTCAATCGTACAACTCCGTACCGTGAAATTAAAAAAAAAAAAGACGCGCTAGCCAATCTCTATGAGGCATACAGCCCATCACTTGTTGCTACGTGACCGACCGACTGCCAAGGTAGCCTGATGATGGCACATCGACGGGAAACCACACCTAAAAGCCTCGCAAGACCCTTGTTGGTGGGGGTGTTGAAGGACATCATCGAAGCCTTGATGATGTTATTGGCCGATTTCGCCAACTAGATCACCATGATGGTATTCGTCCACCGACTTCCACGCCTTGTCGCGGAGACGCCGCTTTCGCGCCGCCCCCTGCGGCCAGGGTACTATCAAGACCGACTAACACTACTAGAGTATCTCTTCGAAACGCAGAAGAACATTTAAGGCAATAGGCTAGTGGACTTTGAGTAGACTTCTGGCCGAGTCAGATGTGAAGCACGAGAGTAACTGATTCCCCTCTCATCTGGCAGCTCCAGTCCCTGTTGCGCCCGCAAGTTCTGCCAGTGTCGACCATCGTGGCACCTGACCTTGAACATTCAACCATACACCACGGATATCGGACGCCCCTGGACGCCAACCTGTCTTGATTTACACCTCGCAGGCCACCGCGCAGTGGTTTGGTTTCCGCCTCAGAGGTTTACTGGCCGCTCCTCGCGGATACGAAACAACCCCCACCATTCCTGTAGCCCTGTTCGTGATCTAAAACGTCATAAAAAGCTCCGAATCGATAAATGACAAGCGTTAACCAGTCAATCCTTTGTTGGTCTTGCACGCGCAAGAAAATGCTCCGCCACCGCCTAAGCTTGGTTGCTTCGCGCCTTCGCTTAATTAGACGGGCCTTTTTATGCTTTCTTTTTCAGCTGCCATGTGCATCCCCGTGTCTCTGGCCCTTGTACCGTGTTAATTAAAAAGATGTGTGACCAAATCTATTTGCTTTGCCTGGTGGCACGAAAACCCCCCGGTATCGGTGGCGGGTGGCCTCGCTCCGGGCCAACGTACCAGTAGTAGCGTGGCAGCAGGCGCTGCCCAGGGCTGACTCTTAAACATAGGAATTCTAATTGTGATCCATGGCGATGGAGGGAAGATATTCCGATTAACGAAGTAAAAGGACTAGGATACATGATAGGAAATCAGGAACAAATGAGGAGAGTCGTTATTATCAAGCGTCAAAGACTTGCGAGGTACCATAAACTTCTTGCCGCAGTGCATTGAACCTGCTTACAGCTCCTCCCAAGCAGCGTCCTCCGGCCCCAAACTCACATAGGGGGCGAGGATGTCAGTCAAGTTATCGACGCTAATGTCCGCCGTCTCGACGTGCTTCCCGTTGTGCGGCGGCAGGATGACCTTATCCACCACGTGAATCACGCCGTTGCTGCCGACGGCGTCGTGGAACTTGACGCCCGTGAAGCCGTTGACGTTGATGACGCGGAAGCCGAACACGGTGGCGATGTCGACGCCGAGCGACGCGCCGGGCAGAAACGTCTCGAGGGTGTAGTGGTCCTGATGCGGAGGCGCTGCCGCGGCGGTGCGCTTGTCGTAGAAGGCGTCGCTGTACACGGTAGCGTTGGGGGCGATGGTGTACTTGAGGATGGCGTCCAGGTACTTGACGCCCTTCTTGGTGTTGAAGAGGAAGGCGTTGGCCTTGGGGCCGAGGCTCTTGAAGGCGTCGTTATTGGGAGCGAAGAAGGTGCTGCCGGCAATGTGCTGGCCGTGGACAAACTTGATAAAATCCGTGACCTCGTACGCGAGAAGCAGCGTCGAGAAGTAAGCCGGGAAGAAGGTGAGGATCGGGCCGAGAGGCGGCGGCGGCGCGAGGACGTCGCTGATGACATGGATCACGCCGTTGGTGGCTTTCTACGGGGAAAGATGCGTGATCTTACAATGTCCACGGCCTTGATCTTGGCATAGCCATTGAGGGTGACGCCGGCCAGGCTGGCGCCGACGCGGATGCGCTGATGCTCGCCGCCCAGGCCGCGCTCGACAGCCTCGCTCTCGAGCGTGTAGCTAGTCAGGACGTCGACGGCCCTCTTGGTGCCGGGGACGACATGGTAGTGGAGGAACTTGCCGAGCGCTTCGTGGCTCGGGTGCTTGAACTTGTCGGGGATCTTGTCAAACGCGTCGTCGAGCGGTAGGAAGAGCGTGTGCTCGCCGCCGTCGTCGCTGGTGCCGTTGAGGGCGTCTACCAAGTCGGGAAAATCGTCGAGGAGCTTGGTGAAATTGCCAGCGCCTGGGAGCTGTTGCAAGGTCTGGTAGACGGTGGTGAGCTTGGTCTTGGGGTGCTTGGGGCGGTCTAGGCTACTGAGCGCTTCGAGGGCCTGGTCACGGATCTGCCGCGTAGCGCTGACAGCGGCATCCACGGTGGAGTGCCGAATGGCCTCGCCGGCTGCGACGAGGGCGGACGGGATTGGCTCTAGCGAGGCGATGCCCTGCCACCACGGAAGGACGCTGCCCGACGAGCTGGCTGGACGCTCATCATTATGATGGGCTTTGTTTGGTGGGGTGGCGGCGGCGCCAGTGGCACACAAAGACAGGACGATTGTGCTCAGTTTCATCTTGAACAAACAAGGAAGAGGCTGAGTCTGGTTTATTTTGATGGATTCAATAATGGTTTGCAGGATGGAATGGAGAGCCTGAAATGAAGAGAAAGGATAAGAGATGAAAGCGGACACGAAAGCCTACAGGGCCACAAGGACCTCCGCCAGTTATAAACCTTGATGATGCAGCCATGCCATCACAGCTTCCGATTGCGTGTCATCCATCATCTACTGCATTGCGCGTTCCGGCAGCCTCGGGTTTACACACTGACGAATAACCAGCGGCGTCAACCCTCCATCACTTCCATCACTGTCACCCATTGGCTACCTAGCCTTTCCATGCCCTCATTGGTGTAATGGCGTTGGGCTCGTTCAGATCCATCCATCCGTCCTCTCCTCTTGTTGACCCAGAGGGGCTGAGCTGAGCCCCAGGCTGAGCTATTATTGGAGCAAACTTTCAGCGAGCTTGAGGCTAGTACAGGGCTTGACAAGCCGCCAATGATGAAGCTATTCTTGAGTCCACATCCCGCTAACTCACTGCTGGGCTCCCTTGGATCCACGTCCTTTGCCTGAAAATGCTGGCGTTTTTTAGTAGGGGCGTAGGTCTGTAATAAGGCTGAGGCTCCCCTGCTATAATAATCAACATCATCAGAGTCCTCCTGGCATCTCTTGTTGTACTGTACATACAGCTTGATGTGCAAATTGGCATAAACTTGACCTTGCAGCTAGGGACGAAGCGGCGCGACAGTCTGGAACCTCTCGCGACACCGAAAAGATCACCAAAAACTACAATACCACATCCGGAAGACGGCCGAGAGCCATCTAGCCCCTACCAAACGAATACCGCACCTCTCGCAGCACCCGCGCGCTGCACACATCACATCCCACACAATGCTGCGCAAAAAGGAGACCTACACGGTCGTCACGCCCATCCCGAGCTACATCCCGCGACAACTTGCCCTCGACATCCTGCAATCCCACAGCGAGGTCATCTCCCTCAACCCGCTCGTCCTCAGCCACCGGCCCATCCCCGCGCCGCGCAACGCCGCCGCTGATGAGTACTACAGCACCTGGTACGAGATCACCCAGCGCGTGCAGTTCGTCCCCGGCGTCGGCCGCCTGGGCGCCGGTCAGATCACCTTCAACGGCTGCTTCCACGACATGCCCTGGGGCCTGCAGACGCACATCTACGCGCCCATGAACGTCGACCTGCGCAACAAGTACCGCGTCGGTGGCAACCAGCCGGGCGTCGAGCCGCCGGAGCAGCGCGAGCTCGGCGCCGAGGATCTGGGCGTGCCCCCGAGTGGCCTGTACCTGCGCCAGGAGGCTGAGATCCGCTGCAACGTGGCTATGATGGGCTTCGTCAAGTCGGAACTGCAGAAGGCGTGCAAGGACATGGTGGACCGCATCATCAAGAAGGCGGAGCTGCTCGACTCGGGCGCGCTCCAGGCTATGTTCGAGAACGGCAAGCTCAGGACGGTCAACCCGAACGACCGGTCGGACGCCGCGCAGCAGCGGCACAGCATCATCGGTGCCGGACCGCTCTCGCCGGCGGCCAGCTTCGGCTCGCCGAGGCTAGGCCACGTCTCGACGTTTTACAGCCCGAATGCCGTCTCCCCGCCGCCGCTTCAGTCACCACCGCCCCAGCAGCAGCAGCAGCAGCAGCAGCAGCAGCAGCCACAGTCTCCTCTTCCGTATGTCCCAGGCTATCGCGCGCAGCCGCCACCACCGGACAAGCAGCATTCCTTGGTGCTCGAGCTGCCCGGCGACTACATGTACATGAACCCCGGCAACATTCCCTCACCGCAGCCCAGCCCGGCGCTGCAGCAGCATTCTCAGAGGTCGTCGCTGACCCCGTCCGATCCTCGCTGGTCGCAGAGCATGCAAGGCGGCCGCCCTGACCACCGCGTCAGTGTAGGCTCGTCGACGGGCAGCATCGCGGCACAATCACCTAGGCCGGGGAGCTACGCAGTAGAGTTGGCGGCGCACAATGAGACGCGAGAAGAGCACCGTTAGAGAGATTCGGAATGAAACTTTATGAGATACCATAATGAAATTGATGTACCATCTTTAAGCTTTGTCAAAACTTCTATCCCTGATATTTTCAGGTCATTCATGCGCCTCTCGAGCCAAACCCCCGTTTGACCAAGCAAAAAAAGGGATGAGATATGTCGAATGGGTGGCTGTAGACACTTGCCTTGGCAACTAATAAGCCGGCACTGTATTACTTGGTGAGAATGCGCTGTCACCAGTCTCCAGCGCGATGCAAGACGAGACCAACACTTGTATGCTGCTGTATCGACGACTGGAAAGTTAGCCCATCTGATGAGCTTCGAAATCAATGCCGAATTCCTCTAGAGCCATTTGAGAGCTTCTTCAGGTTCTCCTGCAGCTCCGCCGCACTCCTCGCAAACTTCTCCTCGAGCACCGCACCCGTGTGCGGCCCCGGCAGCCACCACGGCGCGACGTTGTCCGCCACGTGCTCCAAGCACCGTGCCGCCTCCCACACCTCCGCATCGATCCCCTTCGCTGGCGTTGCGATGCCACGCGCCTCCAGCCCCGCCAGGTACGCTCCGTACAGCTCCTCCGGCCAGTCGCCCGCGTTGCCCACGGCGTCGTTGAGGAACTCCTCGACGGGTGGGAAAAAGCCGGCAAACTCAAAGTCGACGATGCCTGAGATTCGCGGCGGGCTGCCGGCCGTCGCCGTCACGAGTATGTTGCGCGGCGAGAGGTCGTAGTGCGTAAACACGAAGTGCCCGCCCGACGAGGAGTGCTGTGGCGGCGGCGGGTTCAGGGCGTCCAGCTGCGGGAGCGTGTTTGTGACGAAACTCCTGATCTGGGCGGCGAGGTGCCGGTTTTGGGCGTAATCGCTGCTAGTATCGAGCTGCTCGAGCTTCTGCTCAATCTTGAGGGTGTATTGCTGGACTGTGCTGGTGATTGGTGTTGTGAGCCAGAGCTCGTCGACAAGGATGCCCCTCACCACGAGATCCTGCGGCCCTGGTCCGGAGTTCTCGGTTATCGTAAAGTCAGGCTCGGAGTCATGCAAGAGCTGATGGAACTGGATGTTTCCGATATACTTTTGTGCGGGAATGTTGGCCCGCCAGCTCGCGACGATGCCTGCGAGCTGTCTCATGATGTCCAATCTCGTCGCTTCATGAAAGTCGCAAGTCGACAAAGGCTTTCCGGGAATTCGCAACATGAGGATCCATCCGCCGTGTCGCTTATCTTCGTCCGGAATTGACAAACTGACATGCTTCGTCTCTGGCCCAGACGGGTTGGACAGGCAGACGTGTACGCCGTCCTCAGACCAAGCGAGCACCGTCGGCGCCGGGATGTCTGGGCAGTACTTCTTTAGTATCTGTATACAGCCAACTTCATTCTGGACCTTGTCTGCCTTGAAAAAATAACCATTAACCTTGAGGACAAGGTCCAGTTTCTCGGCGTCAGTGTTGCGGAAGACAGAGCTCTGGCCCAGTCGCCGGACCTTGAGGAAGTAGAGCCGGTTGTTGTAGCCTTTGTTTGTTTCTAGTTCAGAGCATGATATGAGCCCTGTACCAGGGAATGCACTAGAGATGAGTTGTTCTATGGTCTTTTGCGCAACGTGCACATGGTACCGTGGCTCATGCGGGGGAGTCTGAGGTCGCGACATGGCTGGCAATTGTTTGCAATAGCCTGTAGAATAGTTTGTAGTGTATTCGTTCGAACAATAGAAGAGGTGCCCTACAACCATGATGGCTTCTTTTATGATGTCAACTCCTCTTCAGGTTCAGCTCAGTGAGTTGTGGACTGGGCAGCGTCGTATACTCGGTGTGAGTCACGCGGTGATAGACGAAATTTTGCCGACTCGCTCAGGGTAATCTAATTTGCAGGAACAATTCATGATAAAATGGTAGCTATTAATTTACGAGAAAAAAAAATCATGGGATACTTTCAGTGGTGACCTTGGGCAATGGACATGTCTCATTCCCGAGGTCATTGATGCCTTGTTTACCCCTCTCGATCCCATATACTTGGAACTAAGACAAAACATCATCGCTTCATTTCGGAGCATCCGGGTCAGCATTGTTAAACCATTTCCTTTCAGCGATGCCCTCCGCAGTAAGCTTCACATCCGGCTGCGGTTCCAGCTCAAGCAGGACAACCTCGTTCTTGCTGGCCTTGAGCATGCTACCCGGGACGTACAGGCTCTGCTGCGGCCCGATCGTCCAGTACCGCCCCAAGTTGACGCCGTTCACCCACAATACGCCCTTTACGCCCCCAGGAACGGAGATGAACGTGTCGCTGCTCGGATCCCCTGCTGCCGCGCCCTTGGGCAGGTCGAAGCTCCCAGTGTAGAAGACAGGCGAGTCGTTCTGCTTGACCTTGTGCCCGGCGCCGAGCTTCGAGGGCAGCGTCGCCAGGGGGATCGAGCGCGAGGCCCACGACGTGAGCAGGCTGCAGCCAACTGACACGTTCCCGACGATGCCCTTGACCTGCTCTTTGAGCCGCTGGCGGACGTCTACGCGGCCGAGGTTCTCGACGAGGATCTGCAGTGTGTCGCCCTTTTTGAGGGTGATGCTGACGGTCGCGGGCGTCGTGTAGATGGTGTCGACCACACCGACGCGCGCGCCGTTAACGTAGACGATGGCGCGGTCGCGTGCACCGTCGCCGATGGCCAGCTTGCCCGCGACGTCCGCCGCGACCGTGTGCTCGTACAGGACGTAGCCGTACGACTGGCCCAGCGCGTCCATGCTGACCGGGTCGGCCTCGACCCGGGCCGCAGTCCGCGCACCGTCGACGTCGAACAGCGCCGCGGCCGGTGTCAGCGCAAACTCGGGCACGGCGGCCAGCGCGGGCATTGCGGGGATCTCCGGGATGCTGCCTGCCGGCACGTACTTGGAGATCATCTCTCGGAGCGCGTGGTAGAGGTCCGTCGGGCGGCCGCTCTCATCCAGCGGCGCGCCGTAGTCGTAGCTCGTCGTCACCGCGGCCAGTGGCCCGTCGTCACGCATCCCGCCGTTCTCGAATCCAAAGTTAGTGCCCCCGTGGAACATGTAGATGCTGAACGAGTAGTTGCCCGCCAGCGTCCAGTCCAGGTCCGCGACCGCCTTGGATATCGCGTCGGTCGACCCGGAGATCTGCTGGTGGCCGTAGTCGCTGCCCCATTGGTCGATCCAGGTGATGTAGTACTCGCCGTTGAGCTGCGGCCCGAGGCTGGTCGGGTCCGTCACGTACTTGTCGCGCGCCGCGAACCCGGACTGTGAGTCCCCGTCGATGACGGCCAGCACGCCGTGAAGCTGCCCACCCTCGAGGTACGACTTGCCGCCGCCGTCGTTGGTGTACAGCGGCACGTCAAAGTTGCGCCGCAGAGCCGCCGCCAACTTCGACAGATACGTCTTGTCCGTGCCGAAGCTGCCGTACTCGTTCTCCAGCTGCGTCATCAGGATCGGCCCGCCGTGCGTCACCTGCAGTCCCCCTAGTTCCTTGCCCAGCTTGTCGAGGTACGCCCCGGCCGCATTGAGGAACGGGCTGTTGTCCTGGCGCACCGCCATACCCGGCACCTGGCTGAGCCACGCGGGGAAGCCGCCCCAGTCGCGCTCGCCGCAGATGTAGGGCCCCGGGCGGAGAACCACCTTGAGGCCCTCTGCCTGCGCGAGGCGGAAGAAGGAAGCGACGTCGTTGCGACCAGAAAAGTCCCACGTGCCGGACCGCGGCTCGTGCAGGTTCCAGTAGAGGTAGCTGAAGATGGTGTTGAGGCCCATGGCGCGGGCCATCTTGAGCCGGTGTGACCAGAACTCGGGCGGGATCCGCTGGGGGTCCATCTGGCCGCCGATGATCTGGTACGGCTCGCCATCGAGGAGGAACTGGTGCCGGTTGTAGCTGAAGTTACCCGCGGGGTGGGCGGCACCCGGGGCAGCCGCGGTGAGCGAGAGTGCCGAGAAGGCAGCCAAGGCTCCCCAGAGGAATCTCATCATAAACAAAGCACTGATAACAGGATTCACTAGTTACGGTGCTACAAAGTAGCCACAATAGTAATGACGGACATCCGAGCTTGCAGAGCGCGGCGCCTTCTTATAAGTTGTGTATGGAGTACTTCGCTTCTGCGAATTTACCAAAGGTTGGAACCTCTACCTCGATGTCTTGTGAGGTAGGGTTGCAATCACTTCGAAATAGCAAAGTCACCTTCCCAGTTCGGCACTGGCCATATCCCTCGGCATCAAGCAGCCGGATATGAGGAGGCGGCAGATTGGGACAATGCTGTAGAGAGTTATGATGAGTCTAAAATGATCGCCATCCCGAAGAAGCAAGGACAAGGTTCCGCTCTAAAGCCGTCGGGCAAAGTTTGGTAAGGAGGGCAGGTGCTTGGCAACTACTTGGCGATCTACTATGTCGGCAATTGAGGTTTCGAATGGACGCCAATGAAAAATCATTCGATTTCATTTTTACTTAAACTTTTGTCATCCAGGTTTGCACGTTATACGAGTGTATGAGTCCCGCCCTTGAAAGCAATGTAACCATCGGCCATGGTTGCATGTGCATGCATCGCCGTTCCCAACAAGGTATAGATATAGATGCGACCATGTCGCCAAGCTGCTCAAGAGGCGAGAGGTGGGAGTCGATCCCGTGATTGACTGCAAGATATGCTATAAAAGGAAGGCAGCAGAAGCCGTTGATGCTACCTTGGAGACTCACCAGAGGCTGAAAGGCTCTCGGATGTCCTCTAGCGTTACTGGAATGGCGGCCGTTCGCAGCGCTACGTATTACTGGTACGGGATACTATTCATAGTCGGCGCTGGTCGATTGATGGCAAGTAACCATCAAGGAGGTTGAGATGGGGTAAGACAGGGGCCTGCCAGAGTCCGAGGATGCGCCAATGTCCTTATGAAGGCAAGGCAACATGTTCAATTTCATAACATAATAGCAATCGCTAGTGCGGGGGAGACCGGGTAATTGTATTCGTACGGAGCGCAGATATGTGTCTATTACTAGTAGTCTATTATACGGTTACAGTACTCCGCATAGTAACTACCTATGTAGTTAGAGGTAGTTACCTACATTGCACATAGTTATTAGCCAGGAAGTGTACTCCTATGACGAGGATACCCGTGTAAACTGCTTGAACATTGAAGGAAAAATTCAAAAAAATTCCCGTCACAGCCTAGGGATTCGCCATTAGGAACCAATGTAAAATGCGAGCGCAAAAGACAGGTGTTGTATTTCTTTTGCTGCAAAAAAACATCAATTCTTGCGCATATTTCCACCGAGAGCTACAGACCCAGTAAAGTTTAGGCCCTGAAACAACACCATCGCTGAGGTCATGGTCTCATTCATCTCGACACAAAACCTCGCGCCTGGTCACTAATCAGACTAGGCATAGGAACATGAGGGAAAAGAATTGATCGATTGAGGGCTCTTTGTGACTGCTACAAAATGTGCTTCTATTCAGTGACTCGGTGGAACGTTCATCCTTTCAGGTCGTGCTCGGAAGCCTCTGGTCACCGGTCAACAAGTCACGTGCTGCAATCTACTTCATTCGCAGTTACATCCTCCATAAACTTCTAGAGTCTATAGCGACCAAATCTCTCTTCATTCACAGAGGCTCAGCAAGACGCAACAAACAATCAGAACAGATGCTTCCACGGGGATGTTGTTTTCTCCGAGGAGCTTCCCAACACATCTCTCGTGCGTCGCTGATATCCCCCACTTTACGCCTAGGCTCGCCTGCTCCTCCATCACCATTCTCCACGCGCCAGCCGCCACCACTGAGGGCGAAACTATTCCGCAATGGTTGTTGATTCTGGTTATGTTGAAGGGGCAGAGCGTCTAGACAAGTACGAACCGGGAGGCTTTCATCCCGTTCTAGTTGGCGACAGGATATATAATCGATATGAAGTGGTCCACAAATTGGGTCACGGAGGTTGGTCGACTGTCTGGCTTGTTCACGACTCCCAAGAGCAGCGGTACCTTTCGCTGAAAGTAGGCATTGCAAACTCCCTGCCGCATGAGGTGCCGATTCTTCGAACTCTCCGTGCACAGCCGGAAGCCCCAGGGTTTGAAAACATTCCGCATTTGCTCGACGAGTTCTCCGTCAGTGGCCCCAACGGCTCGCACCCCTGCTACACTACCGCCCCTGCCCTCTGCAACCTGAGGGAGTGCTCATTCAGCCGGCTATTTCATCTTGACGTTGCCCGTGCTATGGCCTATCAGCTGGTTCTCGCCGTCGCTTACGTTCATTCACAAAACTTCGTTCATGGTGGTGAGAGTCAATATTACATCTTTATACTTCAGGCGCACGGCTAGAGACTTACGTAGACATCCATCTCCGCAATGTACTGGTGCATTCGCAAAGCAGCATTGATAAATTATCCATTCCGCAGTTTCGTGAAGACTATGGCGAACCGGATTCATACACCGTTAAGCGCAGCGATGGCGAACCACTCCCACCGAACGTACCACCAGTTGTTACAGTACCACTGCACATGGGAAAAAGAGCTAAGGAATTTACGTTGTAGTATGCGCAAATAGTCCAGAGCGACTTTGGAGAGTCATATTCGCCAGATACGGACGTTCGCCTGCGTAAAGATTGCCATACGCCTGTCGACTTCCGGCCCCCGGAGGCCCTTCTTGAACCCGACACACCCGTATCCTTTTCTGCAGACATCTGGAGCCTCGCGACCGCAATATGGGACATATTAGGGATGCAGGATCCCTTCAGCAGCGTCTTCTACTCAGAGAAGCAGGTCATGTGCCAGATTGTTGATACTATAGGGCCACTTCCAGGTAACTGGAATAAGAATTGGAAGGATCGGGACGAATTTTTTGATCGCCATGGAGAACCTGAGGAAGGTCGCTACGTATGGCCAGAAATAGAGCAAGCTTTTCGAGAACGAGTCCAGAAATATCGCGGGAAGGCGAACATGGTGGAGCTATGTGCTGAGGAAGAGGCTGCGTTTCTGGACATGATCAAGGGAATGCTGAGATACAGACTCGAGGAGCGCTATACCGTGCAGCAAGTTCTGGAATGCGACTGGAGGTAAGATGGGCGCGCAGTGATTACGAGCGTAGCCGGTCACCAGAAGTATCCCTTTGATTAGCGAAATACGCGTTAATCCGCTTTTTCCTACCCTTATATAGGTAGTGCGTATGGATATTAATTAGGCAAAAAGACGGCGAAGCGCTTGAAAACGCATGGTGGTGATCAAGCATGCCGTGGCTACATTTTCACTTTTGCACCCCTGCGCTGCCCGGGTCTTGGCGATGCAGCCAAGCTTTTGCCCAACTTTGACAAAAGCAAGATGTATTGGGCAGCTTTGAGACCAGTTGCTATCTTGTGAAAGCATAGATGGCTGCTAGTTCTGATTATGTCGCGGCTCAGTACTGTCGTATATATGACTGAAGCATCCGCGCCGGTGCGTTGGTGCAGTGTCTGATGACAGGGACAGAACATTTCCAATAAGACGCAATAGGGATTGGGTAAAGAACTTCTGAAACTTGCGGCGCTCATGGCTGAGATGCATGCATCGGGTCGAACCACAGCTCATTTCGAACCACCGCGTTGGCGGGGTAAGAATCCTATCGTTTTTTTCTTCTATCCGTTTCTTTCTTCTCAACCTCATCCATTTGTTTCTTCTTCCTTGTCGCTTTCTTTCTTCTCACCGATACCCAACTGCAATACCACCAAGTTTTCAATTTCGCGATTTCACTATGGCTTCAAAGGGCGGAGTCAACTTTGTTCGGTACTTCTTTTACAGTGGGTTCCAAATGGACGTCGCCCTGAAGGAGAAGGCCGTCTGTACGCGACAGCTCGTGAATTGAAGCTGGCCCCTACTAAGATATTGATCCTGTTTGGGTCCCCTTCCACCCATAAGCCATTGTATGTAGGTGAATTAATCAATATCTAGTTCTGCCCTTCACAATACGACCGGCATTGGTGGTGGAAAGCATGGCATAGACCTTGACGGCTGGCACTTGACTGTGGCCTTCTAAGACAAAAACTTAGAGGCGAAGGAATTTCATGTATCCTCTCACGGTTACACAGCTGGCAAGGATAATTACGAACTTGACTCGGCTACTCATGACAGGGAAAAGCCTGACAACACTCCGCGTGGTCATAAGGGAAAAGTCGTTTGGCCATGCGGAGGAATACAAGGACAGCCCAACTGCCTACTCTTACCTCCCACAGAAGGCCTAGTCTTAAACTAGCAAAAGACAGCCTATAATCCTAGCTTTTAATTAGCTAGAACTAAAAGATACTCTATTCTTTTTCTAATCTTTTATAAAAAAAAAACACTCAATTGATTATATTTTGATTAATTCTTTTTAATATTTAATTACTTCTTTTTTTTAAAAAAAAATATATATCAGTATTTTATTTAATTCCGATGGCGAATCTCGACGGGTAGATCGGATAAAAGGGTAAAACTACCCAATCTTTTATACGGTAGTCTATCTCGGCGGCTTCCTCTCATGGGAAAGTCAAGGCCGGTTGAAGTGTCGCCCCCTTTCGAGGATGTAGTAACTTAGTTATTAACGTTGCTCAACGAGTGGGGTGGGGGTGCAGACTTTGACATGGTCTACCTTGTCCAGGGTCTGCTTTGTTTCGATGCCCATGGCCTCGATCTTGTAAGTCTCCCACATTCCCCCTTCCGCCGCAATAACAGCGGCGACGTGATAGCAATCAAGATACCGATATATGACATTAATAAGGAACACCGTTGGGTCTCAGAACAACATTGGTACGGCCATCGAAATCGTGTAGTTGAAAAGAAGGCTAATCATGAATTGGATTTCTCATGAGGGCTGGCAGGTCAAATACTTTCAACCCTCTTCGGGTTGTCGGTGGTGAGTCCGGAATGTCGGTGGCCTATTTTAAGCGGCGGCGTTGATGATGCAAAGTGAACGCTGTAGTCTATCCAAACTTACACCAAGGTACTCCAAGTTGAAGTCGACACCATCCACGAATTACCTAGTAGTCGCTCGGAGATGATGCAAAAGCTTCCTGCAGCCATCTTGGCTCTCCTAGGTACCGAATCAATGCAAGCAGAAGAGCCAAGCGAGGACCAATGAAATCACATCCAGTTCCCGAGCGGCCCGATGGTCAAGACCCTCGCTAGAGTCAGTTAGAGTTAGCCTTGATACGCCAAACGAATCACCGACAATGCGATTCTTCTAATCAGGAACTAGCCGGCATCTCCACGCGTGCAGATACTGCAACGTTACAAAGCCAGCCTTGATATCATCGCCCCGACTACAAGACAGGGGATCCGTTGCCGAACAATCTAGGCTGGGGGATTTCCTTGATTCCCCCGCATGGTGATGAACCTTTTCGAGATCCACCGCGGTGTGAATGCAAATCAATTACCTGTTTAGGAAGCTGTAGCTGTTACTATCAACGCCTCTTCATGCAGGCTCTTCCGATGGAGAGAGAGCTCGGCTGGGTTGACACATATTGAGCCGTGGGTGGATAAATAGAGCCTGACCACGTCACTGTTTTCGAGACTGTTTGCTTTGAAATTATCATACCTTCTTTCTCTCTCTTCTCGCCCACCCTCAGCCTGACAAGACGATCAGGGAAGCACGATGAAGTCCCAATTGATCCTCGCATCCGCCGCTGGGCTCGTCAGCCCGGTCGCGTCCACCCACGTTGACCTGCCCCTCCCCCCAATGGGCTTCAACAACTGGGCTCGCTTCACCACGCATATCAATCAGTCCATCTTCACCGACGCGGCGACGGCCATGGCCGCCAATGGCATGCTCGCCGCCGGCTACAACCGGCTGAACCTCGACGACGCCTGGTCCATGCGCGAGCGCGCCGCCAACGGCTCCATGGTCGTCGACCCCGTCAAGTTCCCGCAGGGCCTGCCCTGGCTCGCAAGCTTCATCAAGGACAAGGGCTTCATCCCGGGCATCTACACCGACTCGGGCACCCTGTCCTGCGGCGCCTACCCGGCCGCCTACGGCCACGAGGCTATCGACCTCAAGGATTTCTCCGACTGGGGCTACGAGTACCTCAAGATGGACGGCTGCAACGTGCCTGGCGGCGACGAGGCCGCGTACCGCCACCTATACTTTGACGTCTGGCGTGACCTGCTCCTCAAGTTCCCCAAGCCCGTCGTCTTCTCCAACTCGGCGCCCGCGTACTTTTGCGGCGCCGACAACCTCACCGACTGGTACACCATCATGGGCTGGTCGCAGGAGATGGGCCAGCTGGCGCGCCACTCGGACGACATCATCAACTACGACGCCAAGGGCAGCGCCTGGGACAGCCTCATGACCAACTACTACCAGCACGTCCGTCTCGCCCGCTACCAGCGCCCGGGCTTCTTCAACGATCCGGACTTCCTCAACACCGACCACCCGAGCTACACCCTCGAGGAGAAGAAGACGCACATGGCGCTGTGGTCGTCCTTCTCCGCGCCCCTCATCGTCAGCGCCGACATCCCGAACCTGACCAAGGATGAGCTAGACATCCTGCTCAACAAGGACCTCATCGCCATCGACCAGGATCCCCTCGTGCAGCAGGCGACGCTCGTCAGCTCCAGCACAACTTGGGAGGTGCTGACCAAGAACCTAGCCAACGGCGACCGCGTGCTCACGGTGCTGAACAAGGGCGATGCGGCGGGTGACCACACGGTGCCCTGGGCCAGCATCGGCATCCAGACGGACCGCGTCAAGCCGGGCACCGCGCTGGGCGTCAAGGATCTCTGGACCGGCAAGATGGAGCAGGTCAAGCTCAGCGCCGGCGGCGTCACGGCCAAGGGCGTCGGCGCCCACGGCACCGCCGTGTTCCGCATCTCCGGCGCCATGGGCGGCTCTGACCACCCCATCGTACTGCCCACCGGCCTCATCTTCAACACCTTCTCGCTCAAGTGCCTCTCAGACGACAAGTCCGGCAAGGTCACTTGGAAGGCGTGCGACGGATCCGACAGCCAGACGTGGAAGGTCAGCGACGACGGCCACGTCAACAGCCTGCTGCGCCCCGACGAGTGCCTCACCGACGTCCAGGGCAAGCTGCTGAGTCGGCACTCGGCCTGCCACACGGACGCGTGGAAGTACTTCAACAGCGGCAACCTCGTCAACGGCAACTCGAACCGCTGCTTGACGGAGGAGGCGGACGGCTCAGCGACGGTCGCCGACTGCGGCTATGCGACAAACGAGCAGGTTGTCGGCCTTCCTGCTGGTGCCAAGGTCATCGAGACTGCTTACTATAAGAACTGAATAGACAAGGCATGGTAGAAGATGTGCTGCAAAAGCATGTACATTTATCGGTAATATTGACAACGGTTCAACATAATTTACCAACTATACATCAATTAATTCGCTTTCCGGTAGAACTAATGTATCTTTTGTTATTTGTGTGCGTGCCATCTCGTCATTTACGGGAGATTTCATGCCTCCGAGTCCTTGAAAGCGCCAAGCTTGAACAACTTCTTCGCGTTGTCGCGGCCAATCTTGGCTACGTGGGAGGTCTCCTTCAGCTCGACCTTGTCGTACCAATCGCACGCGTCGCCAAACGACTCGAACGGGTAGTCGATGGAGAACATGATGCGGTCCGCGCCGCCCATCTCCGTAATGCAGTACTCCAGCGTCGGCGTCGAGAAGTGGCCGCTCGTCGTGATCCACACGTTGTCCGCAAAGTACTCCCTGATCGTCCTCTTGCAGCTCAGCCCCAGCGGCTTTTTGACGTCCTCGAACCAGTGGTTGATGCGCCACAGGTCGAAGGGCAGATGCTCGCCTAGGTGCCCGATGATGACCTGCAGGCGGGGATGGCGGTCGAAGACGCCGTTGGTCACCATGCCGAGCAGGTGCAGGCTGACGCCCTGGGCGAAACTCAGCGGCGGGCCGACGAGCCACTTGCGCTTGGCCCAGAGCTTCTCGTAGATGGTGCCGGTCGGGTTGCGCGGGTGCAGGTAGAAGGGCACGTCGAGGTCGGTGACGGTGGCCCAGAAGACGTCCCATTCGGGGCCGTCGTAGAAGATCATGTCGTCGCCGTCGGGGCCGGCGCGCTGGGTGTCGTTGACGAGCGCGCCCTTGAAGCCGAGCTCGGTCACGCAGCGACGCAACTCGGCCGCGGCCTCGGCGGGGTCGTGCATGGATAGAGTGCTTGCCCTTCTGTCAGCATCTGCTGTGTTGGGTAGGTAGGGTAAGGGCCGGTGACTTACGCAAAGGCACCGAGCCGGTCTGGGTACGGCTTGATGGCACCGGCAATATAGTTGTTGATCTCCGTTGTGAGGGTGCGGGCCTCGGCGGGGTCCCAGATGTCCTGCACGCCGGGCGCGGTGTACGATAGGATGGTGTATCCGACACCGTGCTTGTCCATGTTCTGAATGCGCGTCTCGGTGATGTCTGTCATCTCGTGGGCGTGCTTGTCAGGGTTGACGGCGAAGAGCGAAGCCCACCACCGAGTCTTCTCGTGAAGACGGGGCAAGGCAAATGCCTCCTCAAAAGCTACTTTTCCACGCATGTTGATGAAGATGTTGTGATGGGATATAAAGATAGCAACACAGGGCAGGCAAGAATCCTTGCCTCAAGTTCCATTCACGCGGCGGCTGGCTGGATTGCCCGCTTTTGTAGTCTCGGCCGCATCGCCATGTCGCAGGCTTACCCCAGGCATTCCGTGCAGCATCCGCCGCCGCATTTCTTAGCCTTCCCACCATCCCGCACTGCGATCGAGCGCAAATGGTGATCCGTAAGTATCCTCTGCTATGCGACGGGGCGTCGATGCTGGTTTGGGGTAAGAGCGGGTGGGTCTCCAGGGAACATTGCCGAACAGTGCGAGCAGGAGCTCCGCGGACAGATATACACTATTCGCACTGTACAGAGCTCACGCCTCCGGCAGCCGACCATTACGAAGCCTAGACAACAGGTCATGAGCTATTGGTCGGAGCGTTTGTTTCTTGCCCTCTTCAACCAATCACGAGAAGCATCCTGCTGCGCTCAAGACTCTACAGCTGGATTCCATCCCTGTACCAGGCGATACACTCTTCCCCATCCATCTTCTCAACACGTGAAAAAAAGGAACTGCAAATGAGTTCTCCATCTTAATTTGCCTTCACCGCGATGCCGCGACCAAAAGTCCACCCCAGCCAGCGAAAGCGGGCGGCAGAAGCTTGCAACTTCTGCCGCATGTCCAAGAAGAAGTGCAGCGCCACAGTGCCATGTACAGCATGTCAACGACGCGGCATTGGCCACACTTGCTATCTCACCCACAGCCCGCGGGCCTCACGCTCGACAGTTCGGAGAGCAGCGGAGCCGGTAGCAAACAGCTCTCCGGACACAAATACACCTATTCCAGCCCGGCGCGGCTCCGGTGTAGACGCTGCCGGCTGGCCGCTCGACGACAGCGCTCGTTGTTGGGTGCCGCCTCAGCCTAATACCATTTCGCTACCGCAAGACACATATCAGCCAATCTCACCGTCTGATTCCAGAGCTGCAGCGGCCGACGCAAGTAATGTAGAAGCAGATACATCACCGCTGCAGCATACCGAACAGGGGGAAAGTCAGACCCTGGGAAGCGAGTCCCATGCACGCATGCTCTTGAACCTGAGAGGAGAGCGAGGTACGTCCCAGCTCTCCGATGCGTTGTCCAATCTCGAGCTCACTTTATGGCAGTATACATTGGAGAGGCTGCGGCCATATCCTTCCTCCAATTTGTCCGTGATACTGTCGCAGCTCAGATTGGGCCGTCTCAGTTCTCTCACAACGACCAGAGCGAGAACATGCTCGAGAATGAACCCGCCATCAACGGCTCCAATGCGCCAACGCCTGGGTTAATAGAACTGGACGAAGAGCAGCGGAATTCCTTGATTCAAGTTTTTTATGCGGCTGTAAGTCCCCGTTGCCCAACAATGGAGAGCAGCTTCGAAGCCTCCTATGCTAAGAAAACAAACAGACGGGGGGCTTTCTCGATTTATTCTCCCCGGAGGAACTCGAACAGCTCTCATCCGTCCCGAGACAAGAGCGGTCCGAAAATCTCCCTCGTCATATCGAGGCTGTTGCTTCGGTTGCCATTGCGATCGGGGCGCAAGTCAAATCACCGCTCGAGTCCCAGCAGATCAGCCAGGCCTACTTCCGACACGCGCAACGAAAAGCCTTCTCAGGCATGCTGGAAGACCCCAACATCAACATTGTACGCGCTTTTCTGCTCATGGCATACTACATGCTGGGCTCGTGTAGGAGGAACTCTGCCTTTATGTATCTGGGTATCGCTTCACGCGCCGCCGTGTCACTAGGTCTCCACAGCAAGGACTCCTATCAAGATATGAACAGTGCACATCGCAAAAGCCGGTAGGTTGACCAATGTTAGGACGCAGAGTTTTTCCACCTCTGACAAATGTGCAGGTTAAAAATATGGATGAGTCTCTGCACGCTCGATATGACTGTCAGCTCTCTTCTTGGTCGGCCAGCCGCGACCTCGGGCCTGCGAACCGAGCTGGATGAATCCCACATCGGTACCCTCGCCAACCACGAGGACGAAGACTTGTCCGCTCTTTTCGCCGTATATGGCATTCTTTCCATCACTACTGATGTAGTGGAGGTTTTATACAGGAAGAAAGTGCCTTCAGTGGCGTTGATTGAACGATCATTCGCCAGAATCGAAGACTGGAGTCGGTCGATTCCCAAATCTATGCGTTCAAGACCAACCCCGACAGTATACGGCACTCCAGATCGCCAGGATGTCTACAGATTACATATTTCCTGTTTATACTATTTTGCCGTGACGCTGGTCTCTCGGCCAATTCTGATCTCGCAGCTGACTTCCCAGTCGAATGCATCAGCAACCACACTGTCGCCTCTGGCATCGGCCTGCTTAGATGCCGCAGTGTTCCTGGTCCAAACATGCACAGAAGCGAAAAGGTCTGGCACCTTTTTCGGAAGCCTGTGTATTATGAAGTAAGCACTTTTACCGTCCTCTGTTTGGCGCGCACGATACTAAACGTTCCCTCCCCCCAGGGCTTTGGTCTTTGCGGCGGGGTTGATCCTAGGCTTTGACATGTTTGCCAAGCGCGAGCTCGACTTTGAAATCGAGAATGCGTTTTCGGGCGCAAAGGAGATACTCGACTTCATCGCTGAGCAGAGCGCGCAGGCCGCGCACTACGCCGAGATACTCGCGCTGCTGTCGACCGCCATCGCCGAGCAGCGTCGCAAAACGGCATCAAAGGGCCGGAGCAAGCTCGTCAGTCGCCTGTTTCCCGCTTGCGGAGACGACGCGCTTGGTCGGGGAGATGGCGATGCCCAGTTCCGACCATCCGAAGCGGCGGGGCAGGTTGTTGGCGATAGGCTGCCGCCGGACGGTACTGGCCACTGGCTGCTGGGACAGCCACAGACTTTATCTTCAGAGATGGATGGTGATTTTATAGGTGGATGGGACGTTTTAGACTTGTCGCAGTGGGATAATTTCCCGTTTAATAGTCCGAGAAATTTTGCAAATGACGGGTAGAAGACTTGGATAGTATACCCCATTCCAGCTATAGGATACGCCACCTCATGATGCGAGATGTATAATGATATATTATGAACTAGTCAGTGCAAGGTAGCTCTAATTGTTCAAAATTTGTCGTCGTTGCTTGCTGTTCGGTAGAGAATGGCGAAGCAACGGCAGGCCATTGGTTACCAGGATACAAGTGTGCCAACCACCGAACCACCGAACCACTGGATCGACACCCACAAAATCAGATAATGATAGCACGTAGTTCAATGAGAATCTGCTGTAATAGATTTCATCCAATATCTTCGCCTACAAATGCCGAAAGTGAGACAGCAGCGCCAAAGCGGAATGTCGGGTAATGCACCGCAGCCACCCACCCACCACAGCCGACGTCATTGCGCGCCGTTTTCGAGAGACGCCATCCGACCATATCCGTAAACATAGTGTAGTGGTGTACTAGGAGCTGTCTGACCGATAAAGGTCATATGCTCCAAGCCATAAATACACAGCTTCGCAGCGGAAAGGCGTCGCGTCACTCTTGAGAAACCTCATCAGCAAGCCCCCATCCATCCCTCAAGCCGAATCAACCATACACACCAAAAACACTTCGAACATGGGATCCAACACACCGTCCACCTGGCGGCCGCTCGACGTCGGTGTCGTCGGCGGCGGCATCGGCGGCATGTCCGTGGGCATCGCGCTGCGGCGCGCCGGCCACCGCGTGACCATCTACGAGAAGCACGACTTCGCCGGCGAGGTCGGCGCGAGCGTGTCGTGCGCGGCCAACGGCACCCGCTGGCTGCACGCCTGGGGCGTCGACGTGGCCAAGGGCGATCCGGTGGTTCTGCGGAAGCTCATCAACCGCGACTGGAAGACGGGCGAGCCGGTCAGCGTGTACGACCTGGACGACTACGAGGAGCGCTGGGGCTACGTGTACAACATGTTTCATCGGCAGTACATGCACACGATGCTCAAGGACTGCGCGATGCAGGAGGAGGGGGAGGGGACGCCGGTCGAGCTGATTGTGAATCACCAGGTAAGCAGACTGGCCCTTGTCTTTGTCGATCCTGAGACTAACAGGGATGACAGTGTGAGAGCATCGACCTGGACAGCGGCACCATCACCTTCAAGAACGGCACCACCGCGCGGCATGACCTCGTCGTCGGCGCGGATGGCATCGGCTCCGCCGTCCGCGGCCAGCTCGGCATCCACCCGGCCAAGCGGCCGTCCGAGTCGAGCTGCCTGCACGCCAACGTGCGGACCGAGGACGCGGTGCGGCTCGGGCTGGTCGACTACTCGCAGCATGCGGCGCTCGAGTACTGGGGCGGGCAGGAGGGCAAGTGGGACAAGATCGTGCTCTCGCCGTGCAACGGCGGCCGGCTGCTTTCCTACTACTGCTTCTTCCCGCGCGCCGTCGGCGACTACTCGACGCAGCAGTGGGGGGCGGAGAGCCGACCGGTCGAGGAGCTGCTGGCGCCGTACCCGCAGCTGGACGCGCAGGTCAAGGCGCACCTGGCCATCGGCACGGAGATCCAGCCGTGGCGGCTTTGGGTGCAGTGAGTTAGACAGACAAGGCAGTCCGGAGAACTGCTAGCTAACACCGGCCCGTGACATAGTGACCCGTACCCGCACATTCAAAAAGGCAGAGTCTGCCTCCTTGGCGATGCCGGCCACCCGGTAAGTAGCTCCAAACTCACTATCATCTTCAGTAGCCAGATGAGCTAATACGTCCCTCTCCCAGATGATGCCTCACCAAAGCCAGGGTGCATGCATGGCCATCGAGGACGCCGCCGCGCTCGGCATCATCTTTGACAAGCAGCACTTTGCCGGCGACATCGCCGAGGCCCTGGCGCTCTACCAGGACGTGCGCCTGCCCCGCGTAACCCGCGTCCAGGCCGCCGCCGCGAAAGCCGCGTACAACATCAACGAGAGAATAGGTACGGTTCATCCCATGTCCTCGGAGTTTGCATGTAGATCCAGCTGACACTTGCAGGCTTCTCCACAAACAAAGACTGCGGCACGTACAAGGTCGAGGATGAGAAGAAGAAGCTGACGGTGGAGGAAATGAACTCGTACGACATGTACAAGGACATTGACGAGATGCTGGCAAGGAGACGTGGGACGGTGTTTGGCGAAAAGTTCAGCCGCGGGCTACCCCTTGGGCTGAAGCTGCCGAATGGCGTGGTGGTTGGCGAAGATGTTCAAATATAATTGCAAAATGGTAGTTCTATTTTTCGTTCTTCTAATGCTCTGTACCGAAATAATTACGTCATTATTTTCGACACTTTGTTTCCACTCGATACTTTCTGCTGCAGACCAACGAATTGAAGTAGAAAACGTTGAGGACTCTAGAACCAATCAATATAGCTAGCTACGGTCGCCCTCCTACACGATTTATGGTATCCGTTCTCAGTTTTTTTTTTTCATTAAAAACAACATGATGAAAATAGAGAACGTGCGTGTTTTAAATATATAGAGAAAGTTTTGAAATTATGCAGCAGCAAGCGTGACATTATACTCAAGATCCCACTCCGCCTTGGGGTCATCCTTTCGCGGCACAAAGTCCACTGTCAGTCCATCCTTGACCGCAAAAACACTATCGTCGGTGAGATATTCGGACTTGCTGTCGAAAATTTGAGTTGTCAAGGACTTATACCCATTTGCAGTCACCTACGTCCAAGTTAGATACCGTCCATCCATGTGCAGGGTAAGTAGGGCCGGGCCTCGAATGGCAGCAACTTACAATTAGATGAATGTGCGCGGGTCGGAACTCGTGTCTATCCAGAAGCTTGAGAAGCTTGCCGGCCGGGCCATCCATCGGCACGGGGTAGGGCGTCGGACGCAGGCAGTAGAAGGAGTACCTGCCCTCGGCGTCGGTGACGAAGACGCCACGGAGGTTGTGGTCGACCTGCTTCTCGTCCTGCTGTTCGTAGAGACCTGGGTAAAAAGCTTGTTGGTGATGAAATCCTAGGTAAGAAGGGGGGCGTCAGAGGCCGTCGGCTTACCGTTGGTGGAAGCCTGCCAAACGTCAACTTTGGCGTTGGCGAGCGGCTTGCCCGTGTCGGCGCAGGTGACCTGGCCGTGCATGAAGGCAACCTGCCCGTCGCTCGGCGTATCAAACGTGATGGTGGTGCCGTTCTCGCGGATCGGCGCGTCCGCACGCCAAAAAGGGCCCAGGATCGCCGTCGACGTCGCGGGCTTTCCGGCCTTGGTTGCCGCGCGCACGGTGATGTCGTCGACGAGCCTGTTCAAAGAGGTTGGTTAGTCAGGATCTCGCCTCAATGCAATATCCCCCACAAATGCTGGACGGAGTTGGGCTTACGACTCGAGTCCGATCACGTCGCACATTAGCTGGCCCTCGTTGCGGCGGTCGTTGCTCATCTGGCCCGCCCAGTTGATCATGTTGACGCCGGTCAGCCACTCGTCCATGGTGAGGTCGACCTCGCGCGCAAAGTCGTGGATGTGCTGGATCAGGGCGGTCATGACGGTGCGCATCCGCGGCGAGGCGTTGGGGCCCGTGGCGTCAATCACCGACTTGGTGAACTCTTGGCCGAGCGGCTTGCTGTCTTGTTCTGAAGTCATGGTCGGCTGTGTTCTGTAGCGAAAGAGGAGGATACCAGCACAGATGGATGTATTGAGGATGTGTACAAGGTAACAGTGTGAGACGCGGCGAGGCAACCACATATAGGTGCGGTCCTCTCCAGTCTATTTCTCTCGCTCTCTCGCGCTTTCTTACTCAAAATGCAACGGGTCCCTCCAATCAGCTGATTGTCATTACATTCGGCCCTCCCCTCAATTTGGCTGCCTGCAGCTACGGCGCCGGTGGGGCCGATTGTCGGGAAATGCACCAATCTAGGCTATGCCACGGGATGGCGGATCACGACCCCTCCCCCGCATTATAGCTCCCGATTTTCTCCATTGCTAGATAAAACTAGGGGTGCGTGGGCGTCCGTCCAGTACAAACAGTGCAATAATAGCTCGACTCCGCGGTCCGCCGGCCGCAGATTCCACCCCCCCGCGGATAGCCGGCCAGCGTTCTTCAACCAGCGAGGGCATACATGTTTCATTTGAGTACTGTCTGTTGATATGAACAATCCATCTATAAGCTTCTTCCTTCACTTTCTGTAGTCCCCATCCACTCCAAAATCCCACGTCGGCGCATCGGTCCCGTTCGGCCGGCTCGCCCGCTCAAAGCTCACGTCCAAACCATCAACCTCCACCACCGGCTTGACCGCCTCCACGTCCTTCCCATACGCCGCCGAGTACCACCGGTCCAGGTACCTCGGATGATCGACAAACTCCGGAAACACGGCCCTCATCCGCTGCAGCGTCGCCCCCGAGATCTGGTCCACGCTGTTTGCGTGGCGCAGCGCCTGTAGATCCTTCCCCTCGTCCCCGTCCAAGAGGGTATCGCGCAGCGCCGCCTGCACGGCCGCGGGCAGCAGGCCGACTTTGAACAGCAGGAGGTCGTAGTGCAGCAGCGACGCCTTGCCGTGCCAGGAGCCGCCGCGTGTGGCCCGGTGATACAGCCCGACGAGGGCGGCGATGGCGCCGATGCAGCCCGTGCCGTAGTCGGAGATGGGAAACGGCGGAACGACGGGCTGGTCGAGGCCCATGAACTGGCCCTGTTCCCACGCGACGCCGGTCACCTATCAAGCCCGTCAGTCCGAAGAAACGATAAGTCCTGTTGGTCAAAAGAAAAACGTACGCAGTCGGCAATTTGCTGCCATCCCGGCCTCTGCGCCCACTCGCCCTCGTAGCCAAAGCAGTTCTCATTGACGTACACGATGCCCTTGCCGCGGCTTGCCGCCATCTCCGCGAGCTTCCGCGCGCCGTACCCGAGCTTATCCAGCGCGCCTGGGCGATACCCGTCGACCACCACGTCGACCTCGGCCAGCAGCGCCTCAAACCGCTCCCGGCCCTGGGCGGTCTTGAGGTCGAGATCCGCCGCGTGCTTGCCCATGTTGCCGTCGACCTGGAAGAAGGGCACGTCGCTGAGGTGTGGGCTCGTCAGCTTGAGCACGTCGGCGCCGTACTCGGCAAGGATCCGGGTAATGACCGGCCCGGCGATGATCCGGCACAGCTCGAGGACCTTGACGCCGGAGAGGAGCCGGTCTTTCCGTATGCGGGGGAGAGGCGTCTTGGGCGTCGTGGACTCGAGGTTTTCTACCGACCATGGGGGTAATGAAAAGTTTGTTTTGCCCTATAAGGAAATGTCAGTCTAGGGGGAGTTTTATCTATACGTAGAAACTTTTATCGACTTACGTGTGGAGTGTTGAGAAAATCGGCGTGTTTGAATGCCTTGACGCCCGCCTGGCGGTGTTCCTTGTTCATGGCCTCCAGCTCACCCACAGTATACCTTTCAACAGCCCCTTCAATCACCTCCACTATTTGCTCGTGCGTCTCCAGGTCCGGACGGTGCGACTCCAGCCCAATCATTCTTAACGTCGTCGAAGCCTCCAGCGAGCCGTGGATGTGGTAGTACTCGCCTGGCTCCTTGGTCCTGTACAAGTTCGCCGACATCCGCCGGTACGAATTCGACTGCGCTTGTAGCAGATCGGTATCTACACTCGATATTAGTCTTAGCTCTCCCCAACCACGATGGGATCGACCCCAAACCTTTGAGAAACTCCCTCACGTTCTTGTCCAGCTTGCCCCGGCCGCCCACCCGCGCCAGGTACGCCTGGAACAGGAACGCAGTCGTCTTTTCCAAGTCAACGTGCACCTGGGCGTCCTTTGCGCCGCCGCTTGTCTCCGAGAGCAGCGCGGCCATTGTACCCTCGACGGCCTTGAGCGCCGCCGCCGTCTCTGTCTCCTTGAACGGGATGGGAAAGTACGGCCGGTCGCGCGCGGCAGTGAAGTCGACCTTGCCCTGGCGGCTGGCCACCTCGGACGGCAGCGAGATGGGGTCGAAGATGCCCAGCAAGTACTCGAAGATACGAGCCGCCTCGCCTTTGGACGAGTACGTTTCGGGATGCTGCGTAGCCATGATTTACTTAGCTTTGCTGCGGGTTCGTTGCATGAGGTCGCGATAGTTGGAAGATGTGTCTTGTTACTCGTCACGCTCGGAGACAGCAGCCTCTGATCTGACTTGCATACGAAATTCAACGCCACGCATAACTATGGCCGCACCGGTATGTCCTCAATGCCGACACGTAACTTTACCCCACGCCTTAATGTCCGTCTCGCTGTGCCAAGTTGGCGGGGTCCATGCGGTGCATTACCCGACGGTACCATACCCGACAGCCACCCCCCCTTCACCACATGACAGCATCGCGGGGGGTTTCAGGCCCGTTGTTATCCATATTTGCATTGCACTCCATACAGAGAACGAAGCACAGATACGACCTTGCTTACACATGTTTTGGTCATCATTTCACAATCATATCTTCCCTACTTTCCCTTATCTAACACACCACCATCCCGACCGAGCCCGACCAATACCGGGTATCCGGGTATGCATCTTCTACATCTTTGACATGCGCTTCTCCGACTCGCGCAGCTGCTTCCTCAAAATTTTGCCGCTCGGGCTTCTCGGCACCGCGTCCACAAAGACCAGCCCGCCGCGCAGCTTCTTGTAGTCCGCCACCTTGGCGTGCACGTAGTCCACCAGGCTCTGCTCCGAGATGCTGGCCCCAGGAGTCAGCACGACGAACGCCCGCGGCGCCTCGGTGTCGTTGTAGGGCACACCGATGACTCCCGCGTCACCGACCGCCGGGTGGGCTTCCAGGATGCCCTCGAGCTCGGCGGGCGCGACCTGCAGGCCCTTGTACTTGATCAATTCCTTTTGCGTGCGTGTTAGCTTCCAGCTCGTTGGTGAACGGAGAGTATTCTCTGGCCATCTCGAGGAACTTGCCTTCTTGCGGTCGACAATGTGGTAGAGATTGTTGGCGTCGATGCGCATGATGTCCCCGGTCCGCATCCAGCCGTCCTTTGTAAAAGCCTTCTCGTTGGCCTCGGGGTTCTTATGGTAGCCCTGTGTAACAATCGGTCCCTTAATAAGCACCTCCCCTGACTCCCCCGGCGCCACGTCGTTTCCGTCATCATCAACCAGCCTGTCAAAAAATCGTCAGTCCTTCTCAACAATATCCCCACAAGTTGTCGGCCAAGAACTATACCTCACAGATACGTTCGGCAGCAAGGTTCCTAAGCTGCCCGCCTGCGCCTCGTCGTTGACCGCCGTGTACGTCGCCGCGCCCGTCGTCTCGCTCATGCCCCAGACCTGACCGATCACCAGCTGCGGCATCTTCCTGTTGGCCTCGGCGCGCAGCTCTGCGCTCACCGGCGCCGCGCCGACCGTCGCCGACCGCGCGTGCCGGAACTGGCCCTTGACCGCCGGGTGCTTCGCGATCGCGAGGTAGATGGGCGGCACCGTGAAGAAAGTGCTGATGCGCAGCTCGTCGACATACTTGACGAATGCGGCAAAGTCAAACTTGGGCATCCAGTAGGTCGTCCCGCCGCTGACGGCCTGCGCGACAAAGTAGTTGACCACGCCGGCAATGTGCGCCGCGGGGAGGTGCGCGAGCGTGCGCCTCGACCAGGCCGGCCGGGCGTCCCAGTACTGCCGGTCGCGGGAGCTGGTGAGGAAGATCTCGGCCACCATGTTCAGGTGCGATACAAGCACGCCTAATCACATAGCCATCATTAGCAAAAGCCATTGCCCACAAGCCAACCAATCACACCACAACAGCAAAGATGCGTGTTACCTTTTGGCAGTCCCGTGGTGCCCGACGAGTACAAGATGCAAATCTTGCTTTTCACCAGCTGCCCCTCGTCCGTGACCCTCTCCCAGTCCAACTCCCCTCCGAAATCACACCTCACCCGCTCCTCCTCGGCGCTGTACAGCCTCACCTCCGGGTGCGACTCCAGCACCAGCACGTTCCTCCCGGGTAGGCCCGCCTGCGCCGCCGCCGTCCGCGCGCCCTCCAGCGCGTCCCGGCTGCACACGACCACCCGGCCCGGCCCGTCGCGCAGCTGCCGCGCCAGGTCCGACGGCGTGTTCATCGGCGAGGCCGCCGAGTAGACGCCGCCCGCGGCGACGACGCCGTAGAAGAGGCACGCCAGAGCAGACTGCCCCGAGGACACTACCATGACCACATCGTCGTCTCCGTCAGCTCTGCCGCCGCCACCGATGCCGTACTCGTGCCGGAGGAAGTGGGCGAATTGCTTGGTGAGCGTGCGCGCTCGAGCCTTGGTGATGCCGCGGCCGGGATCGTGCGCCTCGGCGTGCAGGAGTGTGTCTTCATTGGAGCGCGAGTAGCTGTGGTCTTGTCGGCCGGTAAGCATATCTCTGTCTGACTTCTGATGGGGTGTGGAACTCCTCACCAAAGAGAAACGTCAACAAGTCGACGCTGGGTATGTTCAGCGTCTCTTGGCTAGTGTAAATCATGATGGCTGTCGTTGGAAAATCCGGGCTACGAAGACAATGTTTCAGATGAAAGCGACAAGAAAGATCCAACTTAGAAGCAACTGAACTTTATTGAAAATACAAAAACTGCTGATGGATGCCGAGGCAAGTAGGGTCATCCTCCCCGTCGCCTTTATACCCCAGGATCAATCGCCGGCAAGTGGGCTTCTCCCCGCACCAGGCTTTTGTTGATGCGATGGACTCGGCCGTCCAAAAGCCCGGTTGGCCCGAATCAGCCAGCCTCACCAAAATCCCGACGAGACTAGCGCACGTAGCTAAGGTCACAATGGTATGGATTGTAAGGTCTCCAATCCTCATTGGTCAATTGTGTGAGGAGTAGCCCAGTAACAGCACGCCCAGCCGAGCCTTCGCCGTTTTGAAATAGCCGGGGGTGAACTAGCAACGTTGATCAATGTTTTGTTGCGCTGCCCAAACTTTTTTAGTAAGTATTAACCGAGTCGTATACACAATCCGCACTACGACAGTTGCTTACAACTGTTCATCTTCCGTAGTATAGTGGTCAGTATGCAAGCTTGTCACGCTTGAGACCCGGGTTCAATTCCCGGCGGGAGAGAACATCCTCAGGATGTTCTTTTTTGCCTTTTTTTTGTGTTGTACTATTTGCCCCAGCTCTCTCGCTTCTTGTCTTTTCTTACAAAACCGTCATTCATCCACTGGGCATTGGGTGAGTAAGACCCGAGAAGCAACGGGTTAATTGTAGGGCTATGCGCTAACTTTACAGTGTCTAAAAAGAACAAATGAGAAATAAATATAAAAAATGTAGAAGATGTAAGAAAGAAAAGAAATATAAGAATAACGCGGATCAAAAGAATAAGAAGGATAAGTTTAAACCCCCTTCGCCATCCACTCCTTTCGCAACGCCTCCTCCCAGTCCCCGAAAAATTTGATCTCTGATACCTCCAAAATCTCCCCAGTATGAAGAGTGCGGTTCAGCGGCTGTACAACAAACCAATCATGATCGCTTCGACAGATAACATTCTTGCGCCTGTCCTTGTCCCTTGTTGCGTTCCCTTTAGTTTTAATAACGTTCTCCATGCAGCGTAAGCAGAAACACTCCATACAGAACAGACAAATCGTCAGGTCTTCGCTGCATGAGATGTTGTGCAGGCACTGGGCGCAGCTGCGATCCGATAGCTGGATATCCGGCAGTTTGGGCTCTAGCCTTTGCAACACAGGAGACTCGCTCTGCGTAGTCACCATAGAAGCATTGGGGTTGACCCGGCGCATCGATTGTCCTAACGCCTTTGCTCGGCCGACATCTCCCGCCGCCGTCATGAGCCACAGGAGGTTGTCCAAAGCATAGACATCGTTCTCAGGTTCTGAATCCGCAAGCAAGTCCAGGCTGTCTAAAACCAAGGGCTTCAGAATAGCGTTGGAGGCTTGTGTATTCCCAGATAAGTGGTGATAAAGTCCAAGGTATATTGCCGCCATGTTGATGTCAGAGCCTCGAACGTTCAGCGGCGTGTCTGTGCCTTGGTGTTTATCTTGCTGGTCTCGTACAACCTCCAGCCTCTTCACCCAATCCGCAGCCTCTTTCGAGTTTATTCCTGCATGTAAAAGCTGTCTTTTGTACAAAGCAGCCAAACGCTGGAAGGAGATGGCATGCGCTTGCCGAACGATAATGGTTCCTCTTGGGCGGTATTCATCGAAGGAGATTCGCTCAAAGAGAGCTAAGGCTTCCTCCATTAAATGGCTGTATGCATATACAGCACCATAGGCAAGACGCAGATATTGGTAAATGACTAGATCTCGAGCGTCGTGTGCGGTCCAAATGGACATTTCCAGCAGTTGGAGGATGGACGATGTCTTTCCCGTTGTGCTGGCAGCCTTTGGAATCCAGTCAAGAACCAGACGTTTATTCGCTTGCCCGAGAAACATCTCCACTAAACGATTTTCTCCCTGAGTCTTCTTTGCGACTTGCAATGACATCTGCTCAACGGTTCTCATCATTTCCGAGTGCATGTTCTCGTTGTAGAGAGTCTCCAGATATCCGACCTCGGATTGAAACTGTTCCGACGGATTCAGCTTAACAGCAGTGGCAGCTGCAATTGCCTTGCGGTAGTATTCCAGCGACTCTTCGACTTGAAATGTGTGATAGTAGCATTGCGCTATGAGATAGTAGTCCTTGTACAGCCTCCATTTGCTGCGCTGACTTGCGTCTGCGGTAAATCTGCCATCGGCAGTGGCTTGCTCTTCAAGGACAACACATTCCAGTGCCATGTCAAGGGCCTCGACGTATCTTCTGTCTTTGGAAAGACAGTAGGCAATTCTTCCGTAGGTAAGCAGCTTGTTGTTATCCATTTCCAAGGCTTTGTTATAATGTGCGAGTGCGTCGTCGTGCCTACCCAGGGTCAAGTACGTGCTTCCAATTCTTCGGTGCCACACTCCTGTCTCTGGATAGCCAGTCCATTCGGACGCCTTCGCAATCCTTTCATCGAGAGAAAGTTCAAGCCAGTGGTTTTCGGCTCCAGAACAGTTGTAGCCAGACGCCATTAGCGCGGCACTTTGCACAATGTCGAAGCAAAAAACGGTCGGAATGTAGCCTTCAAAGTCTGCGCAGAGCCATGCTTTCGCGTACTGACGACCAATCGGTTCGGAAATCTTGGATGGTTTCTCTGCCAGTGACAGTGCAAAGTCTTTGGAAGGGCCAGTCAAGCAACCGACTACATCAACGTCGGAAAACCAACGCAGGATGCCCGAAAGATTATATTCATTCAGAACTTCCAAGCCTTCGTTGTTCTTCAAGTAGAGAAAGGTCCATTCGTTGATGGTCGCTTCATCCAGCAGCATGGCGACGATCTGCGGCGCCAATTCCCTCTTGTCGCTGGCATTGACGACAGCAGGGTCCAGCGCAGCAAGGTGCTCTTGCCAGTACCACGCAGCATATTGCTTGATAGCTCCCTTTCCTGGACCGAGATTGAACTTTTCAAACCATTGCATGTCAGAAAAGATTCTGAGGCAAGTTTTCACAATGTGTAGGCGTGCTTCCACATTGTCAAAATGAATTGTTGGTTTGAACAAAGCGCTGGCCATGTTTTCCGAAAAGTTTCTGAAGAATGCGCGAACCGTACTATGAAAGAAGCTCACAGATGTGGTGGATTTCTTGGATCGGTACTCTATTTCATTGGAAATCGGGGCGAAGTCAATGCTCTGTGCTGCACTACTGGGGGAGCTGGCACCGGATGACATGCTCAACCGTCGAATCGCTTCTTCCTGCCCTTTTGGCATTATCTTCCCCTTTGGCATCAGGGCTTTCCCTGATCCGATGATTTCGCCCGGAGCAACACGTCTCTCTGGATTCGACTTTGAGACCGGGATGGTCTCCCTCCGCGAGAGGCGCTGCTTTCTTTCAAACTCTTTGATGAGGTCATCTGTTGTAAGACCATCTTCTCGTTCGAGCTCAAAGAAGCATGCGTATTGACCTCTTAGAAGCTCTTCAAGGCGAAAAGGAAGATCTCCAAACTGTAGGATAAGGACCGCTTCAAGCTGCTCCAACGAAAGTGCCTCCTCTGCGCAGACCATCCAACGCAGCATTTCGTTGAGGTCTTCTGCTTCTTCTGGGGATATCGCTTCAGAGAGACTTTCCAGCGTCCGTAGCAGCATGCCGTCAATTTCTTTTGGAAACGTCTCCAGGCTTTTCCGGATGGACCTTGGATGACGCTTGCGATTCACCTCAGCCAGCATGAATTTGGCGAGAATGAAAAGACCGTCAACTTGCTTTTCCATAGTGGCAATGATCTCTTGTCTGAATTCTGGAGTGTTGGCTGCCAATATTCGGGATTGTGCAACCCCATTCGCAATGTATGCGGCGACGTCACGGCCGCTTCGGTCCGTGGTTATTTGAATTGTGTTGAAAACGTCGCCTTTTCCGCTAGGATCCAACCTTTCCGTGATATTTTCCGTCATATATGAGCGTCCGACAAGAGCAACGTGTATATTTGTAGCCGACTGGCTATCTATGTTATCGCTGGGCGCAAGCTGAAATAGAAGTTGGTCAATTTCGTCGTGGTAGGCTTCGTCGATTCCATCTAAAAAAATGTACGTCGGCGTAGCGCGCTCAGAGTTTTGGAACGGTTGAACAAGCAACCGCCGAAAAGCACTGGCAACCGTTTTGATCTCCTCGGCACTTTGGAGACTATTCGTGAGAGCCTTGGCATAGGTTGCGTCGCTTTCACTCATTTGATAGGCGACATCGCGGATTGCCTGCAGGACCGATTTGGTTTCAGGATTATTCTCTCTGAAGAAGAAGTAGGCCATGTTTCCAAGGTTCTCAATGCCCCATTGAATGAGGCGTGCGGTGAGAAAGGACTTTCCGGTGCCTGTGGGAAAGGGAGTTAGCACGAGGATAGAGAGGATAGAGGATAGCGGGCCGTGGCATCAAAGGTCAAGGGTGAAGAAGGGTGGCCTGATTCTTAATAGATAGAGCGAAATTGCTTACCTGGACTTCCGCATATCCAGATATGCTTCTTCTCGCCGGCTATCCAAGATAGCAGCGTCTCATCTTCCAGAATCCAGTCGCCGGTGCCGGCGATTCTCAATTTTGTAAAGGCCTGGTAAAAGTCGTCCGCGAATGGTGACGGCTCCAGAACAGCTTTTAATTTGTCGCGCTGGTAAAGATCAATTTGGCCAAGATGGTCGAGTCGAAGGTTCCTAACATTTTCATTGACGAGAGTGACAAGAGTCTCTACCCTCTCGGTGGTATCGTGAAGCATGGAGACACTGCCATAGGTTTCGGCCAAGACCAATTTCTCCTCTCCAGTAGTCAGAGCTTGCAACCTCTCCAGGGCTTCCTTGACAGGGCTGCCGACTCCAAAGAGCCGCTTGAAGTAAGCCTTGAACCTGCCACGACGGACTTCTTGTGTGGAAATAACCAGCACTTCGAACAAGGTTGCCATGATGTTTGTCAGCTTCTCCTTGAGCGGTGGGGACAGCTTATATTGAGTATATATGTTTAAACGGGCAGTAAAGTCCTGTTTATTCATTAGTATACGACTCAAATAGGGAGGATGGATAGCTTAGGTAGGGTCAAGATCAAGATCTGACAGAGGCATACCTGTAGTTGCTCAAAGAGGTCAATAATACCATCGTACATAGCACTGGTATCTTTCGCAGCCTTAATGAGATACATAACGGCACTGAAGATGTTTTGGGCAGGCGGGAATCCCTCTTCAGCAATTCCTGCAGCGATTTCGCCGATAACTTCGACGGGCTTCATGGCGGCCGCCATGGCACCGAATACGGCGTGGCGTTTGGCACGGAAGGCTGCAAACTGTGCATTCTGTAGTTCGACCTGCTTAATGAGCTGGTCGACGGTTGTTATCTTAGGCGATATAAAGTTATCCAGCTGTATCTTTGAGGACGATTCCGAGTATCGCCTCGCTGCCTCGGAGGCGATGGCTGCGAATCGGGTGTCCATGCTGGCTGTTGTGAGCCCGTAAACGTGATGGGGAGCTCTCGGGAGTGGCGCAACGCTACAATCGTGGTGGTTCGGATCAGGACTTGTCGAGTCCTTTTAAAGACCCAAGAAGTGGCAAACGGGGTGTCAGACGGCAGAGACCGCATCTGGTCTCGTCGAAGCGCCTTGTAACGGGGAGTCAGGTGCGGAGTCTTGATGGCAGGTCATCTGGGGCGCAGCCTGCACTGGCCCTTCAGGCTGAGGCTGGTGACAGGGGGCAAGAGCCACCTAACAAAGATCAACAGTAGCAAGCATCCTAAGGTTAATTCGTGCAGAAGGTGACAATCATTTCTTCTTATTTTCCCTACTTTTTTTCTAATTTCTCTATCTGCCATGGAGTAAGCATGTACTCATTAAATATCTGCTTGTAGAGGCGTAGGCAGCAGCCGCACTTTCGAAGAGACTCCTCTCTACAATATAGACAAACAGACTGAAAGTCTAACACAATTGCTGCTACAAGTCACAAAGGGTAATCCGTCTTTCTTCCTACTCGCACATGCGCTGATACCTTTGTGCGACACATTTTTTCCACTTTCTACGTCACACATAGCGGCAAAGCTACAAAGGCATAGGCTTCACCTCTGTCGACTCTCGTGCCTGTCCATCTTGGGTCTGCCAGGCCAGCCTCGTTAGTCATTGCGCGACTGAATCGTAGGGTCGACGTGATTCCCTCCACTAACTGGCCCCATGCACCTTGTGCAAAAAGGCGATGTGGACTTTCCCCATAAACACGGCGATTGGTTAGTTATGGTGGATGATACAATATTTCACGTTACAAGCAGCTACCAGATTGGTCATTTCAGCAGAGAACCACTGTCCCATGGCGGGGCACTACTGTGTACGTACTCTTTTATCCCTACATAAGACGGCTCGATTTACATCTAAAATAGAACTTAAAAACGTACTTTGTATCTTTTCTGATCACTAGCACGGCCGATTCTACACATATGTTATCGAAGAACTGGCATTGCGGATCGCACCTCGCCGCGGTTTTTGAGTTGTTCAACCCAATGCGACCAGGGGATTCCGGCTTGGAGAGCATCTCGGGTCTCCACGCCAGAATGAATCCTTATGCGGTCTGTACCAGCAACTTTTCTTCTCTAGCAGCATCTGGGCACCGCAAGAATTCTAGCTCCTGCGTACTCCGCTGGATCGACGTGAAACAAGAGACCCTTGTTTGCGTAGGCGCCATTTTCCTCTTCCATTTCGAGAATATTAATCTGCAATACCTCAGGGTTCGTATCTGCAGGCACTTTGTGGTCAAAGGTCACCCCCTGGCGTTGGCTTCATAATCCAGCCCAAGTATCCGTCCCGGACAGCCAAGCCGTCCGTGCCAGGGCAAGGAGCTACACCGTACACTGCTTGGTATGCTAAAGCAGCAAGCTTTGGCCCAGCCGGCTGTGGAAACGTCGGTGTGGCAGCAGAGGTCTGCCACAAAATTCCTGGAAGGAGTTTATCGATGCTGACCTTTGGCCCCTCTGTTTGAATCCGTAAAGGTCGACTTAATGGTGGTGGATGTGTCGGGTGCGGAACATCAAGGCAGCAAGGAGGGTTGAAAAGTTGTAAGCCATCATACAGGCGTGCTATGTTTGCGATGAGGAAGGAAAGTTGGCATAGGCTGCTTCTATGGGAACTGGGCAGTGAAAAGTGGCGAGCTGCTAAGAATATGATCGGGTGGCTTCTTATCCACTATGGCAGCCTACATCGGCCCCGCCAGCCGCAGATTGGGGGCTCCGTTTTTGTTTGAGGCTACTTTTAGCAAATTCTTTGTTGCAATACATGCTCTTGTGTATCATATTGCGTTCTACAAAGCAAAACTCGCCTGGCTTATATCACTTTTGTGATTCGTGTATCCCGTTGAGTGCGCGAATGCGACAGTAGCTCATAGGGAACTCAACTAATTAAAAACGTAAAATAACCTAGCTACTAGGTTTTGTGATGTTCCTTAGTCTGTTAATGTACCTTTTACGTCCGCAAATACACATCGCTACGTGTAGATCCAAGTTATAATCCCTGTTTTCCTCTACTGAAATGTACGTCTCTGTTAGCGGATAGAATACTTCGCGGAACCTTGACGCACTCAAAGGGATGGCATGCCGCCTGGGCTGCGATCTCAGCGTATCAAGGGCCTGGGGGCGTGAAATGGTAAGCGTCAAGAGGCGTCTTGACGATTATGGTACTGCGGTGCATAGAGAATGGGTATTCTCGGTCGACAGGGTCGTAGAGAAACTCGAGTTATGCCTAAGTACAGACGGAGAGCCATGGAACTTATCACAGCCTCGTGAGGCGGAAACAGAAACGGCCACATCCTACGACTTATTTAAGAACGTTAGATGTGCCGGTGCCTCCACTCAACTACATCCTAGCTAATAAGCGACTTCTAGAGGAGCTCCATGGGTTTGCGTTTTCGATCGATGAAAGAATGAGGATCTCCCGAGCACGGTGGATGGCCTACGGTGCACTTATTACAGCTATCCAAGGGGGCCCTAGTCTCAGGAAGAGCAGTCCAATTCAACTGTGTCACTAGCGCAGTTTCAGCGCCGTTCACTGATCAGACAAGATGTAACTATCCGTAACTACCTAGCGGTCGAGATGAGACGTAAAATCTGTGAGTCGTATCTTCTCAAGCAACCTGATGGTCGATGATCAATAGTTGGGTCACTGCTCCACGTCATTCTTTGTATGTGTGCCTTCGTACATATGAGTCACTACGGGTCTCTAGGATGCCTTTAACACCTCTCATCGCATATTCGTGCTATAGAGTTATCGACACAATTGTGCCCTGTTGCACAAGTGAGGCTTCGCCAGGCGATAAGAACTGTACCAGTACTGAAAATATCTCTTATAGTTTACAAAAAGCCAGGTTGATATCCAACTTGACTTTTGTAAAAGACTTTGAGAAAACTGAAGAAAACTGAAGAAAACTGAAGAAAACTGAAGAAAACTGAAGAAAAAAAACTGGTGGCATTACAAGTCCATGCACGATTATGAAGGCGGTTACATGCAGTGTTCCCCCTTATATCCGCTGCCGCTCGGTCCTACGCAACTCAGATTCGAAGGCTATTTTGGCCGAAACTCGAAGCTTGGGAGTAGCGCTCTACCAACGACCGTTCTGAACCATGTCTGGTAGATCTCGCAATAGGCAATAAAAGCATAGACAGGATTGAAGCCTCCCAGGATCCTTTGTAATGTGCTCCTTGTAGCCTGTCAAATCAAACTCAGCAAACAGTCTCCTCGCAAGCTGATATGGCAAATTGCTGACAGTGCCGTTTGAGTTTAGCTGGAGTCCAGAGAAGACTTCGCCGGCGCCATGTACATCCGACAAGCTGAAAGTCTAAGACACGGCGGTTCGTGCAGAATCAAAAGCCAGTGATGCAAAAGATAGCGTGGTAAGAGTCCTTGTGGGATAACGGAGAGTGGCATGCCAAGAAGCGGGATACCGATGCAAACCCCAATTAAAGTCAACGCCGACCGGACGGCCGACGTGTTTAGAGCCCGGTCGCATGTCCGACACAGAACTTTTTAAAGAGGACAACCATACAATGATAATAGATATCTTCTTAGTGGAGCCGGCATTTTTTCGTTTTCGTTTTTTTTTTTTTTTTAAATTTTCATTTGCTCCAAGTAATAGACCAATCCAAAGTCGGCTGCAGCCTCGCACCTCTGCCTGTTGCGTCGCCACGGCATGGTGGGGGGGCCGACAACCGTTTTAAGACGCGGCTTTCCCCCAGACCAAATGCTCTCGCTTCTCGCACGCTCCTTTTCTTTTCCTTTAATGCCAACCACATCCTTGTTCCTGCCTAAGCTTGTTTCTTTATTTCTTTATTTCTTTCTTGTTGTCTTGTTCTTCTCTATTTAACCTTTCACACCCACCCGCCACCCTTCAATCATGGCCAGCGTCGTATCTACAACCCCACCATCTTCACCACCACTCAAGTACGCTGTGGCCCTCTTCAACGGCTTCCAGCTGCTCGACGCAGCCGGCCCGCTCGATGTGCTCGCCATGCTGTCGCCGCTGGTGCCCGGCATTGAAGTTGTTATACTCGCACAGACGCTCGCGCCCGTCACGTCGCGGACGAAGCGACCAGGCTCCGTCGGCCAGGAAATTGTGCCCACTCACACCTTTGACACTGCTCCCGACGACATCGAGGTTCTCTTGATCCCCGGAGGCGGTGGCACGCGCGACCACGATGGAACGCAGGCGCTGGTTGACTACGCCGCCAAGACGTTTCCGAAGCTCCGGTACTTTTTGACCGTTTGCACCGGCGCCGCGCTGGCCGTCCGCGCCGGTCTCCTGGATGGCAGAAGGGCGACGACGAATAAACTTGCGTTTGACTGGGTAAATACCATCTCCTTTATTTTTCTACTTGGATACCTGTCTTTCCCCCTCAGCATTGCCAGGCAAATACTGACTTTATGTTGTAGGTCGCCTCCCTCGGTCCCAAGGTAAACTGGGTCCGACATGCTCGCTGGGTCAGTGATGGAAACATATGGACTTCATCGGGCATCTCGGCTGGGATCGACATGACATTAGCTTTTGTCGCCGCTCAGTACGGCGAGAAGACCGCAGACACTGTCGCCTACAGACAGGAGTACATCCGGAACAAGGACCCAAACAACGACCCCTTTGCACCTGACTCGATGAAGCAAGACCAATAGATTCCCTATATTTAGACTAACTATTTCAGCCACGCTGTGTTTCACAACCGGCGCGCCTCAAAATACACATGATACTCTCTCACCATCTTCTAGCCAAACATGAATGACCCAACAGGCTTGCCCACCAAGTCCAAGAGCGCATCCAGGATGAACTTTGGCACAACCTCCACCGTGGCCATATTCAACAACGAGGAGAGGGTCGTCTCCCTCGAGCACCCAGGTTTGGGCGCCTCGCCCTCCATGATCCGCTTCAACCACGCGAGCGCGCGCGGTGCGCCCGTAGCCATGGCGCTGCCGTGCTCTGACGCCTCGTCGCGGACGTACTCGACGGTCGCGCCGCCCGCGCAGTACTTGTCGTACAGCGCGTCCGAATCTGCGACAGGACTCACCTCGTCGTGCACTGACTTGTACCAGTACAGGGGAATGCGCGGTGCCGCGTGCCCGAGCGAAACCTCTTCCAGGATACCCACCGCCACCGGATCCGTGTACACGAACCGCGGGTCCTCAAACATGCCCATGACGTCGCGGAACATGAACATCTCAATGTCGGCGAGCAGACACTGCCGCCGTGTGGCGTCAAAATCCGCACGATCCGCGGGCTTGAGCTGCTTGTCGACCACCGTCTTGAGCGCCGCGTATTGATGCGACAGGCCGTTGATGCCCGTCGCGATGAGTCCGGCGAGCGGCCCGCCGTTGGTCGCTGTGACCACGTTTGTGATATTAGGCGTGGTACCGCCGATCGCGGCGCCGGCGATGCGCAGCTCCGGCGCGTAGCTTGGCTGCAGCTCGGCCGCCCACGTCGTCGCCATGCTGCCCGCCGAGTACCCCCACATGGCCACCGTCGCGTCCGCCTCGATGCCCGTCAAGTTACCCGAGCGCAGCGCCGCGCGGATGCCGTCGAGTACGGCCTGCCCGGCGAGTCGGTGCGCGAGGTACAGCGCCTCCGGCCCCTCGTAGTCCGGCAGCACCACGACCCAGCCCTGCTCGAGCGCAGCCTCGACGGGCAGCAGCTCGGCCTGCGTGAGCACGGTGCCCTCCGCGGAGGCCCGCTGCAGACCGTACGACGGCGCGCAGTCGGGCGACGCCGAGTCCTCGGCGACCTGGTACGACAGCACCCGGCCAAAGTTAGCGTCGTGCGGCACCAGCACTGTCAGCACGGTCGCGGTCGCGTTGCCGAGATTGTCCGCGGTGCGGTACTGGAGTTGGTAGGAGCCGGCGAGGTGCACGGGGTCGAGGCCAAAGGCGGCGATGGAGGCCGGGGGCGCGCGGTGGCGCAGGATGTCGCCGGGGCGGGACGAGGGGATGTCGGAGGGCACGGAGTAGAAAGGGTCCTGGCTGGGAACGATGGGTGCGTCTCGGGGGTCGTGAGGTAGCGGGGGGGCGCACTCGGCGACGAGGGCGGCGTAGGCACCGACGAGGGCGGCGGAGAGGAGACGCTTTCCCAGCATGATTGCGAAATTGGAGAAAGGAATGCTGACAATGAAGAGTCCCGTCAATGGGAGTTTTTCTCTTTATTTATCTTTTCTCGACGAGATGAGCTAGACTATCACCTCTTAACACCTCCGTGTAAATCGGACCGTCTTCACATGCTCGCGCTGACGTCCTGCATGAATTCTCTATAATATCATCTTACCCCTGCAGCAGCGCCCACCTCAATTTCTTCTTCATTGGCTCATCTTGACCCCAACCCCACGATCCGTCGCCGATAGTGTGCCCTTTGCCGAAATTGCAACGTGTTTGCCCTGCAGAAGACGGATTTATATCCGGGGATGAAGTCGACGTCCGGGTTGAGCCCGTGTGACCGGACCACATGCTGCTACAGAAACTCGCCATTTTACCCGTCGGCCTAAAATAAAGAAACAATAACTTGTAGCAGACGGCTAACCCGTCCCCCTTTTCCGCGTGGACTGATCCTGATAAACCCAACGGTCCTTGTTAGTGCCGAGGGCATCGTAACACGCGAGAGCTAGTTCGTGTCGTGCATCGGAGCCAGATTCTGGTATTGTTCAAGTCCCCGGACGCCTCGCGGGGCTAGTTCTATGAAACCGGCTGAACATTCCCGTGCTATGGCGTGGCTTTTTGCTGCTGTGCTGGCAATATTCAATATTGCCAGCTTTTCCCCCATTCAATCGATCGTTCTCCGCAAAGGGGCATACCGAGATGAGCCAACCCCGGCGACTGGAGACTTTTCAAGGTATTGGAGCAGTCCTTTCGAGGCACAATTATTGGCTGCCGTTTTCTTTTGTATGCCATAAACCGTTTAGAGTTCGTCAGAGGGTCGCAGTGCCATATCTGCTTGTCGAGCCATCCCCTCGCGCTCGGCCCGAGATGCATCAAACCAAAAAAAATGCCCCAGCCGTACTTGCACTGCTGGACACAGTTATAGGGTTCTTTCTAGCATGCCTTGGTGAGAATATTCTTCAATTGTTAAGAGTTCATATTGTATCTTACTCTCCCTCTCTTTATAATCTTTTTGACGTTTTTTTGGTGTCTTTACTTTCTGTACCTTTCTTGCCTTGGCTACCTTGGCTGCCTTGCCTTTCCTACATCACTTATTTTCATACTTATGCCAACTCTAAATCCCAGCAACATACATCCTACAGTAACAGCGCTGAAAATGCGGATGGTGACTCGGGAAAATGGTAGATGAAAATTGTCTTCTATAAAATATGAATCTAAATATGAAATCAATAGTGCCGGCCCGCTGACTGGTATGCAATGATTCAGAGAAATATCTGTAATGACCAAAAGAAATACAAAAAAAGAACAAAGTAATGTGGTATATGTATGGAAATGCATTTATGCTTCGTAAGGGTCTCGTTCCGCTTCGTCTTGGACTTGCTTGTCTGACAGGCGCGGGTTTCGTAGCGCCAGGGCAAAGCCAATCATCGGCATGCAGACGCAGAGGCCAGCAATACAGAGAAGGCCCTGCACGTAGCTGTAGCTGCCGATTATGGCGCCTCTGATTTCGGTGCCGACAGGGTAATTCTTCACGACCTCAAAAGGGTTGTTGTACATGGCCTGCGCGAGGGTACGATTCGGCTGGAAAGCCAGGCTCGATTCGAGTGCCGGATAGAGCGTCTGCGTCCAGATGGCTCCCGACAGACAGGTTCCCAGAGCACTCCCGACATTGTAAAAGGATAGGTAGAGCCCAGTCAGAATGGCCACGTGGTCGCGACTCGCGGAGGCTTGGATGGATGCTTGTGTAGGATATGCGAATAGACCACCAGCGAGGCCGAGCAGGATCTGGGCACTAATGATGCCGGTTCTGGATTGGCTGGACGCGCCTCCGGGCTGGCTGATGAGCAGGACAAACGCCATCATAAAGGTCACGGTTCCTCCGACAATGATGTGCTTCAGACGTCTAACTCTGTAAACGACGAGGCCGACGAGGACGCCGCTGACGACGCCAAAGAATGAAAAGAAGGATATGATGCGGGTCGCGGTCTGGACGGAAAAGTCGAAGGCGACGATAAGAATGGTGTACAGGTAATTGCCCTGGACGTACCAGGCAAAATTGAGGAGACTGCGGACTGCTAGAGCCGCCCAGACGCCGCGGTCGGCGAGCAGATGCAAAGGCACGATTGGGGTTTTCGCGTGGTACTTTTCCCAAAAGATAAAAACTGGCGCGCAGATGCACCCGACCACCAAGGACAGAATAATGCGCGGATTCTGCCAGTGCGATGCTGTGCCACCAGCCACAGTCAGCGGCGCCAGCACCAGACTAAAACAGGCGACCAAGACAACAAGACCGAAAAGGTCGAGCTGTGTCGAGACATTGTGGACCCAACGCCGGGCCTCTTGCACCCGATGCCTGGCTTCTTGCAGCTTACTGGAGGACTGCTGCTTGTGTGACTCGAGGAGCGCCTTGGGCGAGGCGGCGACGCTGCGATCCACCACGTATAACGTGACGAGCAGTGGCAGCGAGGCAATGGGGTATATAATGCACCACATGCCGATGCCCCAACGCCAGGTGGCGACACGCAGGACAGCCGAGGTGACTGTGCCGCTGAGCCAGGTGTTAATGACAAACGGCAGGGCGGGAACGTAGCTGAAGAAGACGCGCGCGCGCATGGAAGAGAAGTCGGCGACGAGGACCTCGAGGAGCAAGACGATGCAGGTGTAGCCGACCTGGTAGATGAGGCCGCCGGCGCAGTAGACATATACGGAGCTGGCGGTGGCCTCGATGGCCATGCCGACGACGTAGAAGAGGGTGGAGGCGACGACGACCTCGAAGCGGCCAAAGACGTCGGCGACCTTGGCGGCGGTGGGTTGGGCGGCGACGGCCACGACGCTGCGCAGGACGTTTATGGTAGCGAGGTACGAGTGCAGGTTGAACGATGCGGTGGCGTAGGGGGCGTAGGTCGAGCGTACCTGGCTCTCGAGGCCGTAGGCGTAGCCGACGACGAATATACCAAAGAAGAGCCAAAAGCGCTGGGTCGAGGTGAGCCGGGCCGTGACGGCGTCCATGCGGGCGACGCCGGCGGCGCGGAAGGCAGCGCCGGTGGTTGTGGTCGTGTTGGTGGTTGTCGTTGAAGCCGGCGATCCGCTATGATGGCGTGTAGTAGGGGATGCATGATGGTGTTGTGGGATGTGCTGCTGCAGCAGCGGCTCCGTCTCGGCGAACGCCATATTGAAGAGACGCCTCGAAGGGTTCAAGGAATCGGTTTCTGTAGTATGTGACGTGTATAATGGAAAAAGAAGCGCCGCAGAGTCGCACAAAAAAAAAAGAGAGCCTTCGAAACAGCAGGCGCGAGGCAGCAGCGCCTGGTACAGGTATTACACTGTATGATTGACAAACGGCACAGCCCGAGGTGCGTCAGCCACAACAAAGGCCGAGCAGGGGGTTGACCCTTTCTCCCCAGAGCCAGCTGGGCGGCAGCCTATCCCAGAGTCAGAGAGTCACGAGTGGAAACCGGACACGTCTCAATCAGGCATCTGCTCGCGACACCGCCGCTGGACACGTCAGAAAAAAATGGGAATCAGGTCGAAAGAGATGAGCATCAGGTTTGCAACGACCAGGGGTTCGATTCTGTATCGCGTTGAGTTGGCGAAAGTTGGCTAGATTTGCATCTGGGAATGGAAGACTTGAGGCAACGCAGAGATGATGGACTGTTTGCTCGAGATAAGATGGCAAACGGATCAGATAATGGAGCAGACGGGAAGGGGCGTATGCAGCCAGGTCGCGCAGCTTTTATGCACTCGGAACTGACAAAATATGCGTTCATTTGCCATGGCTTTTGTACCCGGGTAGTCCGTACCTTCCTGTTAGCAACCTTTAGTGAGAAAGTAACCTTTTTTCGAGGGATTAATTCCAGCGCTTAACCCGCTGATGATGATGGCGCTGAACCTTGCCCGATGGACTCTGGACTTCAGCCCGTCAGCCCGCCATCCACCAGCTCCCAGCTGGCCCACAGCGGCAGCGGGAAGCCCACCGCAATCCTTGCCCCTCCTGACCCCCCCCAAGCCTCCAGGAACCTCCACCTGATCACCCAAAGAAAATAATTAATCATTCACTTTCGAGCGAGCCCCCCATACCTATTTTAGTTTGGAGCTCCTATGCTCCGCCGTAAACCGATTTCGTCCGAGACAACCTCAGCTCGTTGCCTGCTTGGCGCGGAGCTTTCTCCGCGTCACGGAGCCAATAGACAGACTGGCGGGCAGACAGGCAGACAGACAAACGCCGGAGACTCCTTTCTTTCGTCTGGAATGATTTAATTCTCGCGGCTGTCACCAATCCTCAGTCCCTGTTTCACTCACTCGCTTATTCCAATCATTAACACCTGACCAGCAGGGGTCTCGTCATCCCCTGACAATAATGAATCCCATGCACCACAACGTCAGTTTCTCCGTACTCAATCAAGCAGCCAATCCCCTCCTCCCGCGCCAACCTATCTTTCAGTCCCTGGCAGCCTACGGACTTGGCGGCGACCTATGCAGTTCCTTTTGATAATAAAATCACCCGCCTTGATCAACTGACATGGGGCCCCTCCTCGCGCCACACAGCTCCCCTGCAGATACCGAATCCTGAATGCCACACCGGCCTGGCTAGACGATTGACGAACTCGGATGGATAAAACGGGAAAACCTGATAAATATTCCACATCCATTTGGTCGGTTTTTATGCCTCATTTCTTATTGACTAGTTGGCTACCACAACACCTACTTGGCACCTCACCACCACCGGTAATTCTCGGCTCCAAGCTGCATTCCCAGGCACAGCTTCTACATGCCAATTTATGTTCGCGCATTTCCAGTGCTTCAAACGCCTTCTATTACAGAATTCTGCCGAGACATCTTCCGCGCACTGATTTCACGCCGCCGTTTCTCCTGCCTTGTCCGCCCGCCATGCAGCGGCCAACTTTTTGTTTGACAGAACAACCAGTAACTGCCCGCACCAGCACTGCTCATTACCAAGTAGTACCCTATAGCTTTCAGCAGAAGTCATGCGCAGCACCTCATCACTTAGCGACGTCCGACCTGCCCGACGCCTACCAGTCCATCCGGCTCTATCCGCGCCTTGATCAAGCCAAAAGCCAGCCGGACACTCGCGTCTGGCTCCGCATCGAGAGACAGAAACGCAACTCCCTCGAGCCGACATGCCCAGAGTCGGCCTGCATCGTACACACAGAGGTGGCCGCCTAGAAGAAGGCTGCGCCTGGTCTTGCCTCGTCAGAGCCTTTCGTGGTTGGAAGGATTCGTCGCTGCGAGGGGGACAATCTACTGGCTGCTGAGGGATGATCAGCTGCCGCTTCGTTTATACGTGAATGTCTGTGAGCCGCAGTCGACACCGCATGGCCCATGCATGTATGTACCTTCATGGTCCATGCCCGTCGCCGCATTTATTCCAGCAATGCGTTTTCCGCGTTCGGCTTGGAGATGCGATGCGGGATGTCATCCACTAATACCTCAGGACTGGCGCTTTTGCATTCCGGCGGCAGAATAGGAGCTGCACGCGCCCTTGCTGTCAACTCTTAGTCATGGACTGATCTCATGGTTTTTATGGGTTGCACGGCGGTAGACACAATTAAGCGGCTTAACCGTGAATCGAGATGCCGATTAGGACCACTTATACGGAGTTTCTGGGGTAATCAGTTTCCGCGTCACATCCATGTACATGTACATCTGGACTTTCGGAAAACCAGAGCGCGACTTTGCCAAGACTGGCAGACTCTACAGCTGCCGATTACAAATTCGCGGTGTCAAACGCGCCTTTGCATCCCTTTAAACAGCGCATTCTTCCTCATTTGTGTCAATTCATCATCACGGACTCTGCCACACACCTTGTTATCGAACCCCCACCCTGTACCATGGCCAGTGACATCAAGCCTTACACCGTCGCCGTGCCGGAGGAAGCCCTTGGGAGGCTAAAGGCCAAGCTTGACGCACATGACCTCCCACAGCGCGTTGAGTTCGAAGACGATACGAGCTATGGTGCATCCGCCGTAGACATCCGACGCCTCGCAGCCTATTGGCATGACGGATTCGACTGGCGAGCGCAGGAGAGGCGGATCAATCGCCTACCGCAGTACACAACTCCGATCCACGTCGATGGCTTCGGCACGCTCAACATTCATTTTGTCCACCAAAAGAGTGCGCATCCGGAGAGCATCCCGCTTCTCTTCTGCCACGGTTGTAAGTGCGAAGGTACATATGCGGTATAAGGCGAGGCCCCTAACAACTTGGTAGGGCCCGGCAGCTTCTTGGAGGTGGAAAAGCTTCTCCCTCTATTGGTGGAAAAGAGAGATGGCGTCTCCTTTCACGTTGTGGCGCCTTCGCTGCCGAATTTCGCCTTTTCTGATGGTGCTACGAAGAAAGGCTTCGGGCCGCACCAGTATGCTGAGACTCTGCAGAAGCTCATGCAGAAGCTCGGCTACAACAAATACGGTATGCATTACTAAACAAACCTTGACAAGCACAAAAGAATCGCCCGACTTACACCCTGCTGGATAGTCACCCAAGGCGGAGACTGGGGATACATGATCACTCGTCGCCTCGGTGCCGATTATCCTGAGTCGTGTGTGGCATCGCACATCAACCTGGCCTTCCGCGGCCCTCCGCAGTTCAAGGAGACGCCTTGGACCTGGCTGCAGCACGCTCTTACGCCGTGGTCCTCCGACGAGAAGAAAGGCCTCGTGCGCAGCGCCTGGTTCCGCGAGGAGGGCTTTGGCTACAACCTACTGCAGAGCACAAAGCCCGCGACCATCGGCTTCGCCCTCGCCGACTCGCCCGTCGCGCTGCTGGCGTGGCTCTACGAGAAGCTGCGCGACTGGACCGACGGCTACCCGTGGACTGACGACGAGGTGCTGACATGGGTGTCGGTGTATGCCTTCGCCAACGCCGGGCCTGAGGCGAGCGCGCGCATCTACTACGAGACACGGCACTCCCCAGGCAGCGCCCAGGTCACGGCCGGGTACAACGGGAGGGTGCCGCTGGGCGTCTCGCAGTTTCCGGGGGACATCGCGGTCGTGCCGCGGCTCTGGTACCATGGACTTGGTCCCATTGTGTTTGAGAAGCGGCACAAGGACGGTGGACACTTTGCGGCGTTTGAACGGCCTGAGGAGCTGGCCGAGGATCTGAGGACCATGTTTGGGCGGAATGGCGGCGCGTCTTCGGTCACCAAGGCACTTTCCAAGCTGTAGTGGTGTGAAATTGTGCGAATTAATATAGAAAGAGTAAAGCAATGACAAATATCGATTGTAATTTATTTCTGCCGCCTGCACGTTAGCCGCACCTAAGTCATGCGGTGAATTAATAAATTGTTAATGCTGAGGTGCTGCTAACAACCTTCTGGGCGGTATCGGCGCTATATCTCCCCGACTGCTAGTCACAGCCCACCTCCAAACAGAAAGCCGAGACCAGCCAAAATCAACAACTCTCGGGCCGCTCAATTACAACCTCGTCTGCCCTGTCATTCTTTGCGCGCTGAACCCGTAACAATGGCCTCGCAAGCGCAAGGAGCCTCGGGCTCCGACAAGAAGAAACTCAGCCCTCTGCGGTCCATCATTGCCGGTTCCACGGCCGGCGCCATTGAAATTGGTATTTTTCGGCCACCCGAACAACTGATGCCTTGAAGCCGACGCTGACGCAAGCTTATAGCCATCACATATCCCGCCGAATGTACGTCTACGACCCTTTCTCCCGCGCAGCGAATTTTCTATCATTGAACCATGCATGCACCTCGAACGAAAGCGAAACAAATTACTGATAGACTCAATCCCACCCAGTCGCCAAGACTCGGTCCCAATTGAACCGCCGCCTGGCGGAGGGGAAGAAGCTGCCGTGGCCGCCGTTTGGCAAGCAGTGGTACGCGGGGTGCACGACGCTGATCATCGGCAACTCTGCCAAGGCCGGCATCCGTATGTCTTTGCTGACCTTCCCCCAACTACGGGTGAGCGCGAGCCGATGCTAACCCCGTCCCTCGTCTAGGATTCGTCGCCTTTGACCAGTACAAGAGTCTCCTTGCCGACGAAAACGGCAAGCTCACGGGACCACGCACCGTCCTCGCGGGCTTCGGCGCCGGCATCACAGAATCGCTCCTCGCCGTCACGCCAACCGAGAGCATCAAGACGACGCTGTACGTTCTCCGCCCCGCCAAACTCGCTCTTGCCAAACTCCCCTCCTCTTACGTCCAAGTCTAACCTTGCCTCAACAGCATCGACGACCGCAAGTCGGCCAACCCGCGCATGCGCGGGTTCCTGCACGCGGTGCCCATCATCGCGCGTGAGCGCGGCATCCGCGGCTTCTTCCAGGGTTTCGTGCCGACGACGCTGCGCCAGTCGGCCAACAGCGCGACGCGCTTTGGCTCGTACACCTTCTTTAAGCAGATCGCCGAGTCGTACACGGCGCCCGGCGAGAAGCTTGGCGCCGCGGGCACCTTTGGCATCGGCGGCCTCGCCGGCCTCGTCACCGTCTTCGTCACGCAGCCGCTCGACACGCTCAAGACCCGCATGCAGAGCCCCGAGGCCAAGCAGCTGTATGGCAACACGCTGCGGTGCGCGGGGCTGATCTTGCGGAACGAGGGTGTCCGCACGTTTTGGAGCGGCGCGGTGCCGCGCTTGGTGCGCCTCGTCATGAGCGGCGGCATCGTGTTTACGATGTACGAGAAGAGCATGGAGCTCATGAACAAGCTGGACCCGGAAATGAAGTACTTGTAAAGAGAGGGGGCGTGGAAAAAGAAAAGCGAAGTCGCAAATAGAATTTTGAGAAATCTTCTTTTGGTCAAGATTTCAGCCGTATATCTTCAGGCTATTGTCACAAATATTATACAGATATTATCCAGTACTTTTACATGGTTTTTGTTTCGTTTCCAATCCCATGCGCCGATGTATGCAGAACAAGAAAAAATGAGGCATATAAGAGGTCGTGTTGAGGTTTTCATTGCAGACGAATCATGCCCGAGAGTCGCTTGCCGAGTCGGCCAAACCACGAGCGGTTCGGCGCCTCCTCAATTTCGCGCACCAAGTCGTCGAAGTAGGTCGGCTGGCTCTTGGGCTGTAGCATAGGTCCTCGTAGCTTGTACTGTCTAGCTGGTTAGCAAAGTCGCCGCGATGCGACAGCGCGCCTCGCAACACAAGGGGTGTAAAAGTGGCAATCGGCGTACCCTGTCCTTGAACTTGTCCTGGATGAGAAACTGCAGCGCTCTCGCTTTCAGAATCTCTTCACGCTCCATGGCCGGCGTATAGCTTTGGAAGCGCGCGTCGACCGTCTTCCCGAGCACGTCCTGTAGCTGGTAGTCAGGCCGCAGATCCTGCTTGGGCCATTTCGCAAAGACATCGGAGTATATGCGGCGCTGTGAGGGAAGGGTTAGCACGAATTCGATAGAGGCCGTCGCGATTGGGACGGAGATGGATTCCTGGGGCGTACAGCAAGTGATCGCGTTGCCATGGTCGCAATTCTGGTGATTTCTTGTTCAACTCCCGATCCGTCTCGAAATCGCAGGCTAGCGGGAGAATCTGGTGCATTTCCAATCAATCCTGCGACAGTACTGTGCTGTACTATGTTATTCACACTGTAGATACGCCTTGTGCAGCCAGCGCCCTGCACAGTGTGCATTTATGAGCCTGAGGCAGAAAGAAGGACCCTGCGGGACTTACGTAGGCCCAGTTTGTTTCCAAAGCCAGAGGCCGCTCCGCCCGCAAATCAGGTGGCTGCTTCTGGCGTTGCTCACGAGTCAACTCTCTGCACAGCCCGAACAATGCCAATCTCTCTCTCTATCCCTTGAATCCTCTCAGCGACCATTTTTGTCTCTGTCGCTGCGCTTCATCTCCTCCGACGCCCTTTTCTTGTCTTTCCTTTTTTTGCGACCCGACGCCACGACCTTTTTTTTTCCCTCTCCCTTTCCTGTCCTTCCTCTCTATCATCATCCTCCGCCCCGACCGTGATCCCTGTTGACCAGAGAGTCGTCACCGCCCCACGAGACAACCAAGAAGACACGCAGACACACGCACACGACAAATCATGGCTGGCCGTTACGAACGAGTACGTCGAGATTCAAACACAGGCCTGCGATCGCCACTCAATAACACGTCTCATCAGGTCAACATCCAAGACGAGGAAGACTCCCATCCGCAGCAACACCTTAGCCTCGGCGAAACGGTCGTCCCCAACTCGCCACCGCCGTCCTTTCGCTCACGGGCGTCATCCCGCGCGAGGCAGAACCAGGTCGACCCGGATCTCGCCGACGCATTCGATAGCGACAATGATAGCGATGACGAGGCCGACGACAGACGGCGACTAGTCCGCCAGGCAGCGACGCCAGCCACGACGGCGAGCGGGAGCACGTCCCCGATGCCTGCACCATCTACAACACTCCCATCAGCAGGGCCGGCGGTGTCGGCGGCGACCAGGGGACGAGTCGTTGGCGGTGGCGTTGGTACCGACGGCGTGTTTGCCAACATGTCGGCGCGGCCGGAACGGGAGACTGCCGCCGAAAAAGAAGAGATGCCACCTGTACGTGATCTCCCCTCTCCCACGCAAGCCATGGTTTCGCCTGCCTTAAACGCAAAGTGAATTTCCAGCTAACACCATTACCTCATCAAGACATATGAGCAAGCCGCGGCGGACTCCGCGCCCCCGTACTGGGAGACAACGATCTTGGCACCCGGCCTCGGCGGCCTTGATGAGGTCTACGTCGACGGCATGCCCGTCGGCTCCGTCTTCTCCTTCATCTGGAACGGCATGATCTCGACGTCCTTCCAGCTGGTCGGCTTCCTGCTCACCTACCTGCTGCACTCGACGCACGCGGCCAAGAACGGCTCCCGCGCAGGCCTCGGCATCACCCTCATCCAGTACGGCTTCTATATGCGCGGCACCGTCGATGGCGAGATGCCACCGGCGATGGGCGGCGGGCCCGACGGCTACGCAGAGCCCCAAGACCCCAACGCCCACGACTTCAAGCCCGGCGATGTCGCTGGAGGCGGTGGCGCGGGGGACTTCTCCGGCGGAGAGTGGATGTCGTATGTGTTGATGATTGTCGGCTGGTTCATACTCATCAAGAGCGTGGCCGACTTCTTGCAGGCCCGTCGCCACGAGCAGCTCGTCATGCAGAGCCCAGATCGCGGGCTCGGCGTGGCCGTCATCGCTGAGGGCGAGTCGGCGGAACGGGTGGTCTAAAGGCACCAGCAGCAAAATAATTCCTACGTGTTGGTCTTTCTTGATAGGAGCATTGGGCTGGCGTTTTCGTTTTTCTGTTTACCTCTGCAGTCACTTCCGTTTTCCTTGAATATATATACATGTACTATGCGGAGGAGTTTGACTTTTTGGTACACAAACAAACTCCGGGACTGGATTGATATCCGAACATTGCTTCGGCGTCAAAAACGCGCGACTCGCGAACACATTTTCATAGCATACAGAGCAATATCTCATATTTCAACCACACCTACGTGTTCATTCTTCTCTCATGTAGCAACATAATGATCAAGTGCTAAATCGGTAGACTAAAAAAGATTCTATTTGGTATCATAATTAGACGGCTAAATGCTACGCTAGGCAGATGCTTGAATTGCAAAATAACAATCTGGCTTTGCAGAAATCAAGAGCTGCTCATGAGTAATATGTTATGTTCAGCACCAAGATCAAACATTCATCCCGTCATCTTCGATATTGCTCGCATGCAAGCCATATGCTCACACAATGAAGACCTCACCAGCCAGTCAAGATGCAACCTGCAGAGCTTCCAGTCTTAAGTCACATCGACAAGCGTCTTGACGGGCGGCTCCCTCTTGGGAGGCGAGGCGGAGCTAGCTGGGCTCTCGTCGGGATCTTGCGAGACGTGACCTTGAAGAGCATTGACAGCGGGTGGAGGAGCGGCAGCAGCGGCAGCGGCAGCAGCTGGCTTGTCGTCGGCGGCAGCCTTGGGAGTCTCCGCAGCGGGATTCGGGGCAGCAGCAGGCGCATCAGCGGCGGGCGCATCAGCAGGAGCATCAGCTGCAGGCTTGGCCGGGGTAGCCGGCGCGGCATCTTCGGGTGCGGGCGTAGCAGCAGGAGCAAGGTCGGCCTTCTTAGACGCAACCGAGCCCTTGTCACTGTTAGCGTCCGACTTGGGCTTGGCGGGCTCTGGGGCTTTGCTCGCCGGGCTGGCGTCCGGATCCGCGGCGGGCGGGGGGGCGCGCAGGGCGCCCGCAGAAAAGTCAGGCGGAGCCGCGACGGCCGCGTTGATGGCTGGTCCAGCAGGCGGGGGCGGCGCGGCGCCGGCCTTGCGCAGCCCTGCGGTGAAGGAGTCGCCCGCGCCGTTGGCGTTGTACATGTCCGGGTCGTTCATGGTGTTATTCTTGACGGCCTTGTCGTAGAGCCTCGTGAGGCGGGCGACCTCGCCGCGGACCGTAACCTGCTCGTCCGTGTCGATGGCACCGTAGCCGTGCGCGCCCTGGCTGATGCCGAACCACATGACGGCCGAGTTCTCGATCTCGTCGACCACGCGGGAGAGGTCGTCGCGGAACATGCGGGCGCGCATCGGCTGGCCGCGGGACTTGAGGAAGGCGACGACGCCGGCGATGACGGTGTTGAGGGCGCCGAAGACGGTGATGAGGACGCGGCTGCTGTTGCTGGCGCCGAGACCGGTGAGTGCGGCGCCAAGGACGATCTGCGTGAGCAGCAGCGTGTTGACGAGCGTGGCGGTGAATACGTAGGTCAGGCTCTGACCCTGCCGACGGGCGACGGCGCGCACGTACAGCGACTGCGGGTGCGCGCGGTGGCTCTCCTCGTGTGGGTGGTTGAGCGGCCGCACGCCGACGAGACGGCAGAACTGGGCGTGGTGGTCGACCATGTTGTCATCGCCGCCAGCGGCAGGAGGAGGACCAACAGACACACCTCCGTTGCCAAAGGAGCCCCCCTGGCGAGGGATGAGCGGCTGGCGCTCCTCGTCTTCCATGGCCGGGAAAAAGAAGGCGTCGTCGGCGGTGTTGGGCTGCCGGCGCTGGGTGCGGTTGTGCGGCGGAGAGGGAGGCTTCGGGGGGGAGGCTCGGCGCTGGTGTCGGTTCTCCGGAGCTGTTGGCTGCTCATGCTGGAGGTTCGACGGGCCGGCACTCCTTGATGGCATGGCGGGCTAGCTCTGATGGCTCGTTGGTCCTTCTGCTGGAATGTCTTCTTCCTCGTCCTTCTCCTCCTGGGCAGGCTGCTGGCAGTCTGCGTGGCTGGGTAGGAAAGGAGGAGCTTCCTGGTCGTTTGGCTCTTGATGGCTTTAGTACCTCGTTAGGGGAGGCGCAGTGCCACCAAGGTTCCTCCCTGGGAAGTACCAGCAAAAAGGCGTGCTTGCACTAACAGGTACATGACCCTGGCCTCAATGGCTAATAAGAACCTCTTTTCCTCGGTCGTTGTGGAGGCCGCTACGGTGGCTGGCCTCATGTGAGGGTACAAAGTAAGACATGGTTGGAGATGAGCCAAGCGGTAGCGGCGGTGGGGAGGGCCGGAGACTACCTATCCGATGCGACAGGTGCAGTTGTTTCGGAAGAGGGAACTCGATAGGAAACCGGTGAGGGGTATGCGAGAGCTTCTCTTTTATCTGTCTATGCAGGATATGAAATGCGGCGGCTGGCAGATTTTGATGAACAAGCTTAAAAGATTCTTGTGGCCGCCAAAAAGCTTGTGTGGAGTTGCAAGGGCCGCAAAAGTCCCCGCTCAAGCTTGGCTGGTGGCACGACGATATGAACGGATGAACGCCTCGTCGCCACCAGCCCGGCAGATGTCTGCATCCTCCATCATTCGCTGATAACCATCAACGCAACAATTATATCATCCGTAACGGGCTTGCCGAAGATCGATAGCTCTATATTCGTGTCAAACACTTCATATAGCCTCTCGGCTGTTTACCAGGCCCGCGATACCAAGGCGTTTGTTCACCTTTGACTGTTGACCATTCTACCCACTGAAGCCTGTATTCATCGAGAAATCCGAGCTGTTCCCACAACTCCTCAAGCTGGCCTCACTTGCAACTTCAGGAAAGAAGCTCTCAAGTTTGTGTCGGGGTGCCTTTCGAGCTGCATTTTCTATTAGGCTGCCGCGACGAAACATCAAGATGGCATGGCGATGCTCAGGGTCCACTAACCAGGAGCTGATTGAGAACATGTGGAGGCACAAGCTCATCAGCGATCCGCGCGTCAAGGAAGCTTTCTTGAAGGTATCTTTTGGATTGCTCTTATACCATACCACCTTACTCTTCCAGAAGCTGACAAGTCGTCTGTCTACCTTCAGGTTGATCGTCGCCATTATACCCCGTCGCGCCCGTACGAAGACTCACCACAGTACATTGGCTACCAAGCCACGATATCCGCGCCGCACATGCATGCCAGCGCCCTGGAGCACCTCATCTCCTTCATGATGCCGTCCGACGCGTCCCCAGCGCCGCGTGCGCTCGACATTGGCTCGGGCTCGGGCTACCTGACCCACGTCATGGCGCAGCTCGTCGGCCCTCGTGGGCTGGTTGTCGGCGTCGAGCACATCAACGCGCTGCGCGACAAGGGCGAGGCCAACATGCGCAAGAGCACCGAAGGCAAGCAGCTGTTGAGCAGCGGCAAGGTCAAGTTTGTCGCGGCGGACGGCCGAAAGGGTCTCGAGGAGCCGGCACGAAAGGGCGAGGAGGCGCTGGGGACGCAGTGGGACGCAATTCACGTCGGGGCGTCTGCGAGTAAGGTGCACGATGAGTTGATTGACCAGCTAAAATCACCAGGATGGTAGGTTGTGTATTTTTATTGCTATTAAAGGGTTGACTAATGCCTGTAGCATGTTTATTCCCGTTGAGGACGAAGACGACCCAGACTCGCAGTACGTCTGGCGCATTGAAAAGAACAAGGACGGCAAAATTTCACGAAAGAGACTCTTTGGAGTAAGATATGTTCCACTTACAGATGCGCCAAAGGAGGAAATCTTTTAGCGTTGGCAGCTTTTCATGGCTTTGCTTTTACTATGAAATGACGCCTCTGTCTGCGGAAAGATAACATGTTAATAGCCCATCTGCTGTGACAACCTCTGCTTCTAGGTACGCACGCTACGAAAAAAAGTCACTGATGGGTAGCTAGGCCTTGTATTTCACTGCCACGTACAAAACCGGATAATTGTCATATTATGTTGCTGTTCTGCATTCTTCACTTCTACAAAGAATCAAAGAAATGAGTACGAGTAGGAGTAATGGAGACCTCATGTGTTGGTTGGTCTGGTGCAAGTACATACATACTGTAGGTGAGATGGATGACATGTGAAAATGCCGTCAGCGCCCGTGAGCGCCATGTACTCCTTCCATGCCTGGAGATATTTGGCATGTGAGCCTCCGCCTGCCCGCCAAATCTGGGAGCCACTGTGCGGGTTATGCGGGGCACGTCATGGCGGATTCCGGGGCAAGAATACCTGACTAGGTGCCTATTTCACTGTTATTAGAGATGTTAATTCTCTTCTAACTGGCTGACTTAGTGCCCGCGGACGTCTCCGTGGGTTGGCGGAGTTCGAACCTCCCCCACCGACACCGAGGCTCGTCCCATGCTCACACCTTGTTTTCCTTCTTCCTTCTTACACAATACACGTCCTCGATTTTTCCCGTTCTGTTCTTCATCTTCTCCCTCCTCATCTTTGTCCTCCACTCTTGTCCGGCCGACCTCTTCGTATCTCCAACTCCTTGTCTTTCTGACGGCCTTTATCGTCGTGCCCCACTATTACCGCATTCATCCCACGCTCACGTCCGTTAAGCCGAGGCCTAAAATAAACCCGCCCGTTCATTGTCCAACACTTTTTTGAGGTTGCTCTTCTTCCTCAACCACATCGCCATTGCATAGCCACCGGCAGCCATGGCGTCCACGATAGAGTCCCTCAAGGTACGCGCAGCTCTTCCCCCAAACAGGCGACATCATCATGCGCCGCTTCCATCCACTCAATAGACGTCCCAATTGACGCGCGCAACCCTTCTAGGCCACCCTCGAGCAAGCCATCCTCGACCCGCGATACCATGACCTCCTCTCCCTCGTCAAGACGGCGCGAAACGGAGCCGTTTACGGCGCCAAAGTCCGATTTCCTCATGCGCTCGTGTACGTTGCCTTTGTCCCCTAGTCGTCCCTTGCGCGCCGTCGTCATTTGCTAACTTGGTTCCTAGCATGGTCTTTCTCTTCCGATCCGGAACGTGAGTCGCCGGCCCGAGCAAGACAATAATACATACACACACAGGATAGAATACTGACCAGAGAGAATCTAGCTTCCGCCAAAAATGCCAACTCGTCTTCCGCGCAACCAAGAAGCACGCCTCCAACCTCGCCCGCTTCGCCACCATCTACAAGCTCACCATGCTTGCGCTGAAATACTACGGCCCTACCCCAGGCAAAGAGGGTGCGCTCCCTCCCTTCCCCCGATCCCTGACAACTTCCCCGAGCTGTCACATCGCAACCAAACCGCTTGTCGTCGCTAACACCTCCCCGCACAGGCCCCTACGACTCCTTCTTCGCCGGCCTCCTCGGCGGCTACATCGTCTTCGGCCAGCGCTCCCCGCGCACCGGCAAGGTCTCGAGCGTCAGCCAGCAAATCGTCATCTACATCTTCGCACGCGTCTGCCTCGGCCTCGCCAAGATCGCCGTCAAGCCCGGCGCTACGCCGCTACCCTGGGTCGCCGACGAGCCGCTGCGCACGCGCATCCACGAGGTCGCCTGGCCCGCCTTCGCCGCCGTCTCATGGGGCGCCGTCATGCTGCTCTTCAAGAACCACCCAGACGAGCTGCAGAGCAGCCTGCGCAGCAGCATGACGTACATCTATAAGGACTGCAACAGCTGGGACTCGCTGCGGACCTGGGTGTGGCACAACAAGTAAGGTGGAGTGGATATGTGGAAGTGAGGATTTTGGCGATGCCTTGTCGAGCAGAGTGGTGTATATATCTCATTTCTTTGAGCCTGTCGTTTGGTTTCAAGGCGTTGATAGAGACGTGGTTGGCATATCTTTTTCATGTCTTTTCTTTTTTTTATCTCTGTCAATCATGGTCGAAGATTCATACTAGCATTTACACGAGGACAAGTATAACCATAGATACCCGCCCGTACCACACAGCTTGTGATACGGAAGCAGCCCCATCATGCCCGTGAATGATGAGTGCCAGCCGTTGTCGATCGCACCGCCACAAGCAAGACCCGAACCAACCTGCTTACACGCAAGCATCGGTACTTGACGAGTGTATGTAGTATGGTGGCGATGCCGCAGGTATGTGTGCCTGCTTGGTACAGCCCATCATTGCGCCGGCGCGAAAGCAGTAATTGATGATTTCACCAGTCTCGAATGGCGAGAAAAAAGCCGCCCTCACCTGCACATCGGCACTCTTGACGATGGGGTTTGCGATGACGGAATTTGCGAATGCATACCTCAACTGCCCAAACTAGCAACGCGCAGCCTGGTTCGGCGATGCAACGCTGTATTTGCACGGATGAGAGCGGGGTGATAGCAAGTTGCGCGGCCTTCATGTTGAGGTGAAAGAAAAGCAAGACTTTATTTTACATACAATCAAATAACTTTGAGAAAGTCATATCGAATAGCACCGTCCCCAAATCAGTCTGTATTCGAGCCAGCGTGCTCGATCTTAAAACTCCAGGTTCTCACACCTACATTCCCTCAACTTCCTAGTTAGTTAGTGCTCTTTTTCCAACCCAGGGCCGATCAGGCTGCGCCGTCTCTTTCCTCGCCAGAAGAAGTCTTACTCAGTGCCCTGTCGGAGACATATAAAGACCCTTGTCTCCCCCGCCACTCCCCTGGCCTCTGTCATTCATAATTCCGGCACCAGCCTCTCTAACCTCGCCCGCTACGGATAAAGAATCATGCAGCAGCAAGTCATTGGAACTATTGAGCAGCCCGCGACGCGACTGGGCGAGGGCAGCGCCGTCAGCCTCGTCGCTCTCGGCGCCGTGCTGCTTGTGCTGGGCACCCAGGCCACGGCGCTGCGTTTCTGGGCGCGCCGGCGCACGGGTTCGCCTCTTCTCCTCGACGACTGGATGAGTCTCCCAGCGTGGGTGCGTAATGGGCCCGGTCTGGAAGCTCTGCAGTGTCCGATTTGCTGACCGTACATGAAATAGATGAGTTTTGTCGGCGCGGCGTCGCTGGTCCTCTTCTGTAAGGAATCTTTTGCTACTCCCAATGCTTAGTGTAATTAACTGACATTGTCTCTGTAGGTGTCGGTATTCATGGTCTCGGATATCCCAGGACGGATTATCTGCCCGGCGTGCCGTCACGCATGACCAAGATCCTCGCAAGAGTGCGTCTTCCACCCCCTTTCTCTTTAACACCCCCCTTAACCTTGCTTTCAATTCCAGGCCCTCCTCAGCTTCAACTGCCTCTCTATCCTCTGTTTCGGCACCTCCAAGGCGAGTGCGCTGCTCTTTTACCATCGCGTCTTTTTCGGCAGCGGGCAGCACCCGGACCTCCGCCGGACCATCCTGGTCGGCCTGCTGGTGCTGCTTGCATGGACGGTCTGGTTCGAGTTCATGACCATCTTTCAGTGCGGTACGCATTTTGACGCACCGTGGGACGGCACCAAGCTCCGGTACTGCACCTGGTCGAACCCGTCCATCGAGGGCGTGGCCGTGTCCGACGTGCTGCTTGACGCATTTGTCGTTGCGCTCCCGATTTATCTAGTACGTGTCACTCAGAACCTGGGGTTCAAAATGGAGAAACTGACTTTCTGTAGATTACGAAGCTCGCAACTTCGCGGAAGAATAGGATTGCCATTGCTAGTGTTTTTCTCGTCGCTTTGGTGTAAGTGCAGGCCGTGGCCAGCGTCCACCAACACCCCGACTAACAATCAACTGCAGTGGTGTCGCTGCGTCTATCGCTCGTCTCATAATTGTCGAGCGCGTCATTCGGGGTATGTATTCAGTCCTAGACGCCGGGCAAGAACAAAAGTACTGACGGACTTTTCAGCCGGCCGCGAGGCAGTCAATGAAGACATGGAGTGTAAGCAAAACGTTGTATTCCCGTGATAGTTGTATAATCTAACGCCGACTAGATTACATGTCCAAAACTGCCTTTTACTTTGTCCTCGAGGCTGGCATCAGCGTCACCGTCTTGAACCTGCCTCCCATATGGACAGCGCTCGGCGGAGATGCCCAACTCCTCAGCGGATTTGTGACTTTGGAAGACGAAGAGAGGACTTGAAGTTTGCGGTCCAAGTGCCCCAAATCCCCTCCTTTCTTTCGTTTAGTGGAAGTCCGACTCGACTCCGCGTCTATCGCTTCTCGTCCCAGTTTTGTCGCGGCTGGTAGTTGGATGGCGCAGGCTGGTACTGCTCGTATGCAGGCGGCCCTTGCTGGTACTGTTGCTGCTGGTGCTGCTGGTGCTGGGAAGCAGGAGGCGGCGGAGGATGGTAGTATTGTTGTTGGGAGTGCTGGGGTGGGTAGGGCTCGGGAGCGGGCTGCCGGGTCTGCCCCTCGCTATCGCGATCGCGCCTCTTGTTGAATTCGCGGGCCACGCCGTAGGCGGTGCCGCCGAGGATGAGCTTCTTGACAAGTCCCATGGTGAGTAGTGTGAATTGACTTGGGTTGTTGCGAGTGGAACGAAGAGGGTAGCCAAGATGTTGAGTGATTGAGGGTTTAGGATGACTTTTGGTTATGATGGTATAGTGAAATGATAATAGTGATGATTCTGAATGAAAAAAAAAAAAAGTCCCAACCGACAGAGTTTATATACTCATTTCCAAAGATAAGCCACTTACACTGGCGCTGACGATCTTGTTACATACGTCTCTTTGCTGCGCCTCAGTAAGGCTGGCTCAGAACCAGAACGATACCGAGAGCGACAGCGAGACCGAGCCCGAGCCCGGCAAGGCCGCAGCCGAAGTATGGAGGCCATGCAAGTCGGTCATTTTTATGTTGCAGCTTACGCCCGAAGTTACTGATTAAGTTCATAAGAGAAGTAATGGGTTAAATATTGATTTATTACGCCAATCTTCGATCGTGAATCCCTGCGGTCCATTGCATCATAATCTACATACGTTACCCGCGATGTGCGCCCGTTTGCAAAGCCGTCGCTGCCTACGGTGACACCCCGCCCCCACCGTAGCAAAAGCTCCAACCTCATCTCAACTTCATCACCAACAAACCATCACCGCCTCATCCACAACCATGGCACCCAGTGCCCGGGTCGCCGATGCTATCGCCCGAACTGAGGCCAGCAATGCCACCGACAAAACGCCCCTTTACGAGCAGATCCTTGCCGACATCCAGGCGCACGCGGCGTCGTCTCCCGCCACCGCCGACGACCTCAACGCCGTCGCCGACTCCCTCTTCGGAAACGCCCTCGGCGTCGTGTCCACGCGCGCCGTCCTCGCCGCCTTCGTCACCACCCTCAACTCCCTCGCCGACGACGCGCTCTCCCTCGCGGCCGGCGGCCATGCGCTCGTCCTCCTCTCCGCGCAGCCGCCCTCTTCCTTTGCCGACGCCGCCGCCGACCTGGGCGCGCTCGTTGCCGACGCGCACGAAGCCGACGAGGACTTCCTCGCCGCCGCCCGCGCCCTAGCCGCCATCCCGCTCGACGGCCCCCAGCGAAAGGTCGACGACGCGGAGCGCGCGCGCGTGTGGGTGCGCATCGTCCGCAACTACCTCGAGGTCGGCGACGCCGCCGCGGCGGAGACGCACCTGAACAAATTGCGGGCGGTCGCCCAGCCCGGCCTTCTGCGGGCAGACCCGGAGCTCGCGCTGCACTTTGCGCTCTCGCAGGCGCGCGTGCAGGACGCCAAGCGAGACTTCCTGGGCGCCGCGACGCGGTACCACGAGGTCAGCCTGTCGCCGACAGTCGCAGAGGAGGAGCGCCTGCGCACGCTCGGCGCCGCGGCGCGGTGCGCAGTGCTCGCACCCGCAGGGCCCGCACGCAGCCGAGCCCTCGGACGGCTGTACAAGGACGATCGGGCGCCGCAGCTGCCCGAGTTCAGCATCCTAGAAAACATGTTCCTGGACCGGCTGCTGGCGCCGGCCGAGGTGGACGCGTTTGCGCGCTCGCTGCCGCCGCACCAGCTCGCCACCACCGCTGACGGTACCACGGTTCTTGCTCGCGCTGTTATTGAGCACAACCTCCGCGCTGCCTCGCGCTTGTACGACAACATCCGCTTCGACGCGCTCGGCACGCTGCTGGGTGGTCTGGATGCTGACGCGGCCGAGCTCACCACCGCTCGCATGATTGAGCAGGGCCGTCTCGTTGGCCGAATAGACCAGCTTACCGGATTTGTCTACTTTTCGGGAGACGGAGAGGGCGTCGCTGGAGAGACGGTCAACGTGCGGACGCGTCAGTGGGACGCCAACGTCGAGAGCCTCGCCCAGCAGGTTGAGCAAGTCACCAACGCGCTACAAAAGGAGTTTCCGGTACGTGTAGAGGTCGTTCCGTCGTGGCCTTGTCTTTGACTAACTTGACTAGGATTTTGTTGCTGCTCATTTGGCGGTTTAGTCTCCAGAAGAGATTCCAAGCTTTCGGGCGGCGTTTGTTTTAGGCCATTAGCATAGCATGCAAGGACACTGCCCTGCCTCATAAATGAGAGAGAAAGTGGAAGGCACATGTAGCGTATATGCTCTTTTTTTTAATTCACGACGAAAATAATAGACAAACCTGGCTTCTAGCAAATAAATAGTAACTTCCACAATTGACTCCTAGTCCAGGTCTTGCTTTCGCACCACGACGTAGCCTCTGCTGATATTCTTGGGGACCTCCTCCTCCTCCTCAAACTTAGTTGCGTCCGTGCCGATTATGAGCGGGATCAACGCGTCTGCGACGTGGTCCCCCATCCAGTCGTAGCCCTCCTCGGTGAGGTGCACGCCGTCGTCCCAGTAGGCCTGGCGCTGGTTGTAATTTAGGGCCTTGTACGGGATCTTGGCGTGGAGATCAAACGCATAGCTACAGCCGTTAGTTGGGGCATATTCTCGGGACATCAAAGAGAAGAAAGGGGGAAGACAGGGCAGGGACGCACTAGTTTTCGGCTTCGTAGCTGAGAATACGCCCGTTGAGGTCGGCGCGCTTGCGCTCGATCATCGCAAAGTCGCCATGCGTCTCGGGAACGGTCATGGCGAGGATGTTGCAGCGGCGCGAGAGGGCTAGCTGCCATATATTCCGCAATGACTTGAACGTGTCGTCGACATGGCACCCCATGGCGATGTCACTATTTTGTTGTTTCCCCATGTTAGCTACCAATCGGATCCGATCCTCGCGCCCCGTCGTTCTCATGATATATGCCTTACTTGGTGCCACCCAGGGTAATCACCCAGTCATAGGGCCTCGCCGTTACTGTGTTACATAGTCAGCATTCATTTTCGTCTGCCCGAGATTTGTGGCTGGCCGGGGGGGGGGCGTCCAAAAGCAGCGACGTCGCCGGACACACCGCTCGTGCGGATCTCGACGTTCATGCCCTCGGGGAGCGCTGCGCGGAGGCGCTCGGCCAGCCGGGACGAGTACGGGTGCTCGCCCATGCCGAAGGAGAAGAAGCCCTGCGTGAGGGAGTCGCCGAAGCAGAGGATGCGAAGCGACTTCTGGCGTGGGGGCATGGCGGGGGAAGGGGGAGGGGCGCTTTGGGGCGGCAAGTCTGCCGGGGCTCAAATGATCTTGACTGGCTTGTATAAGGCCGGTAGAGTAGCCTTGGGGTTGTTTCGTTTGTAAACAGGGCGTGTCTTTGACAAGGAGATGAATCTTGCGTTGCGAGTGGTGAGGTGTCACGTTCGGCTGGGTGGCTGCCTGCAAGCTACTGTACCTCCTAGCCTAGGCGATCGGTTCACGGCGGGGAGGGCTTGTGCAGCCTGGGGTAACGAAGCCAGCGATTGGAGCAGATAATTCGATAGATTTTTTTCCATAAATATTCCGATATGATATATGATATTTGAACTCTCCTTTTATACTACAAGGTGTAATTTCCCAACGCTGTGTCTATGCATGCTGGCACAACCGGCTGGTAGTCCACTTTAACGGTCGATATCGCAGCTTGAGAAGTGTTTGCCTCTTTCTGCCTTTGTTCTTGTATTGTTTTAGGGCAGGCTCAGACGCGAGTGTAGCTTACTTTTACTCGCCGCTGCAAAATGCTCGAGAGCAACGATTCAAATTGTCAGGGATAAATTCTAGGTCTATAAAACTTGGTTTTAAATTGCCGGTATAAGAACAGATGGCGGCTGGTCGTGAACCATGGCGGGCAGCTAGTAAAAACGTGGTTAGAAAAAGTTATTTCGGTTCCGTTTTTATTGCGGGAAAACGGCCATCGATCTCTGATCAGACAACTTTCGTTGCCGATGAGGCACAAGAGGCATATTTAGCGTCTACAATACCACACTCTCCAGCTTCACATAGAGGAAGAGAAGAACACCACTCTCTAACAAGTCCTTTGCTTCCATAGCTAGCTAGTCTGCCATGATTTTCGTAAAAGTCTAGGCTTTGCTTCTTGGGGTATGGCGGTACGCCATCATGCCGTCCGCTGACCTGTGGGCTCTCCTACGGGGATACCTATGGAGGCACACTGAGCCTTCGCCGTCGCAGGACGAGGCAGCCAAAACAGCAATGGTAAGAGCAGGCACCAAAATGTGCGAGTTTCCACGGACGCCCACGAACAGGTCGCCGCCTCGTACAGCCGACAGACAAGGCGGCCCATGAAAACGGACAGGATGGCGTTACTGACGCCGCCGCTGTAGTACCTTTTTAAATTACTACCATGTCAAGCCCTCTTCGTGATTTTGATAGTCTACCGCCCTGTGTCACTGCCAGCGACCGGGAGCTTATTAGTGACTAAGAAGAATTCGTAGCTGCCGCCCAGTCCGCCCGCCCGGCTTCAATTGGAGAGCACACGCTCCCTTTTATCTTCGTCCCACCCGCAGAATTAAGAATTGCATTACCGACGACATGGTATCGAATCAGGTGCCCTCACCGAGATACGAAATTGAGCATCACAGCACAAGTATACGCGACGATGATCTGGATGCTCATTTTAAAGTTCGTCGAAACGGCAAAGCCATCTACATTCAAGTCTCACCTTCCAACTTCCTCAACTCGCCCATCATGACAGAGAAATATCTGGCGATCCGGCGAGGAAGTTTTGGACGAAATCTATGACACTGACGTATTTGAGTGGATTATAAAGCCGTTTGAGCAACTACTTTTTGAGCTGGCTCCTCCGCCAGGCAACCCGGAGCATACTTGAATCTCTCTACAACAGCATCTGCTCCCCGATTTCTTCCATTTTAATCTTGATATAGTCGAGGAAAAGCTATGCCCACGCTGAATTCATTCCGAAATGTGCCCCTTTCACCCGTTGTTCTGCAGTTTTAAACAGCCGTTTCTCGACGAACTAGAAGAGTGGACACGCTTGTACGACCCTGATGGCATCATCCTAAGCTTTGAGCACCCACAGGATGCACTTTTCAAGGAGCCCCGAAGGGTCCTTATTGATAGTGGCCAAACTGAGTGCTTCTATAAGCCTTGTTACTCGACTGTCCAAGCTATACGGGAACTCAAAAGCTATAAGGCAATAGCCGCAGCTAGGCTCTAGGATGGCCAATTGAATCTTTGTCGCGTCTACGGCGTTGTCATGGATGACTGCGATTTCATCCTTAGTATCCTACTGTCCTATGTTGACTGCGCCGATTGCCCGTTGTCTGCGAGAGTCCATCCGAAGGAACCTGACGACCCTCCGATGGGTGTGAGAAGGAAATGGGTTCAACAACTGGACGCCACACTTTCCGGCCTCCATAACTCCGGCATAGTCTGGGGCGACGCCAAGGCGGAAAACGTTCTGATCGATCAGAATGATAACGCTTGGATGTCGGATTTTGGTGGTGGCTACACCGAGGGCTGGGTTGACAAGGACCTGGCTGAAACGATCGAGGGTGTTGCAATGGGCATGGCCAGAATACGCAAGTTTATTTTTCCTACCGGGGCTGGATCATGAAGATAAATTGCGCTTCGGCGCTTTGTGCCATACCTGCTGCAGGGCTAGCACTGCAGGGCTCTGTACTCGTGATTGTTTCTCGCAGTGTTGTAGTTTGAGGTGGTTGGACTTGGGTTTGCCTTTTTTGTGGTTGTCTTGGTGGGAAAGCTCCAGTTGCTGTTTGCTTAGATAAAGATTTGCGGTGCCTGTCCTCATTTTCTTTAGTTTTAAAAAATTGTTTAACTCTCAAGTAGTCATCAAGGAAGAAACAAGGAAGAGGGGAAGCAAAATAACCGACTATAATGTTGTTCGTTAAACGTGCGCGGCCCGGCAGACAGACCTTTCACCTTCCACTTTTCATCTTTTCAGATCCTGGGAAATTAACATTTATTCCTTGCTTTATCACAAGGCAGCTAATTGGGGTTTTCTAACTTTGGGAGGGTGGCAAAAAGTGACAAAAAGCCACCTGTCAATGGGTGACAACCGATAGCAGCAGGGTTCGAACCTGCGCGGCCGAAGCCATGGGTTGCCTTAAAGGTCTTTGGGACCCGCTTCAAGACCCACCCATTATCCACTCTGGCATGCTACCATATTTGTAATATGCCGCGGTGATTTTAATATATAACAGTATGGCGCTGGGCTACGTCCCTCCAGTGGGTGGATGCGCTCGCGGACGCTGTGCTACCGAAGCCTTAATAACTATTGGCGCGGGTGTAATCTTCCCGGATTCAAATCCAGTGCCATGATCTTGTGCGGCCAACACGGGCTGCATGATACTGCTGCTAGTTGCACGGAAAGGGCGTATAAATATCGTCCTGACGCGTTGCCTTGCACATCGCCATTTAGACAAAAGAGTTACCTACATGGTGGCGAAAAATATATTTCTGCCCAACTGAGTCACATACCAGGGGCCGCTTCTCTTCTTCCCTCAAACTTTTGTCCTTAAATTTATGCCCATTGTCCACTCTGGCATGCTACCCCGTGTGTACAGGCCGTATCTTCTTTACTTATATTACCAACGCAAGAAATATGAAAACCAAATCTGTTCGCAATCGTTAGTCTAGAGTATTTGATTACTCATATAGATCGTACCAGCTTATTAGTTGCCTGTAGCATCCAGGATATAGTCACAAAAGTATATATTAATAACTGCTCACGAGAGAAGACCATTTCAATGAAGCACTGTCCCGACACAATACTCTACTACGCTGTTCTGAATTAACTAGCAAGTTCCTATCTTTGTTACATGCGGATGTAGCTTGGCACATCTGAAATCTTAAAGACTGTTGGTGTTGACGGGGTCCATGTGTCTCGATGTTCTTGTTGTGCAGTCGCAGGCTATTCTGATTAGTGGCAACAGGCACTGTAAATGGCGCCTGTAGCTTTGATGGAACAACATACTTCAAACCATCAATTAACAGTCTAGAGGCTTATAATATGATGTTTCTTCCAGAGCTTTTTGGGTATGTGCTTGTCGTAGATGAATAGATGGCTCTCCCAGTCTTTACTCTGACTTTTTTTTCCTTTCGCTTTTGGATCCTGTGACTGACCTAGCGCTAGTCTTCACCCTTCCTGGTCTTCCTTAGATCTTATTGCTTGAACAGCCGCTCGTAAGAGCTTCGTCTCGAGACTGGGTGAGCGGGACGTCGACGACGCAAGTGATCAGGAAGCAAACATCACCCTAAATTGGTAGAGTACTTTTCCTTCATCAACTTTCCTGCATTATCCAGCCAGAGACCTTGGCAGAGGTAAAGGCGCTCAGTTCAAAATGGCTTGCGGAAAGACGGCAACCCGGGAAAGGCAGAAATGGAGGTAGTTACGCCGCAGCCCGGCTGCAGCCCCCAACTTATTGACACGATTTGGATCACCAGCGGAGGTCGGCCGCCCTGCTGTTGGGACTGAGCTGCTGCCAGATCCCCCGCAGCTGTTCTCCATTTTGGATGCGTCTGTACCTTGATCATTGGGCATTTCCAGAGGTTCGTTCCACATCCACATTTTGGGCTTGCATATGAGGTACATCATCCCTTGCCCTATTGGGTGTCCAGCTCTACCTGCCAATGCGCCACGCGAAAGCCGCCACTTGATGAACGGCACGGAGTACTGTCGACTCTTTTTGTGCAGGCCGTGGGAAACATCAATATAAACAGGAGTCTTTCCCTTCTCGTATCAACATGCTCTACTTTGAAGCTCAAGCCAGTAGCTCTTCTTTTGTTCTACATTTACGTTTACATCTTTCCACGCCATACAGCTTGTAACTTGAACGAGTCGCCCTGTACGTTAGTCAGTACCTAGCCAGCTCATAATGGCCTCTACCTACGACAGCGCCTCGGTAGTAGCCGACTGTGGCTGCACTAACGAGTAAGTCCACTTGTGTGCTCCGTTGAACAAGCTCGATCTACGACAGGGAGATCTAACTTTAAAGTATTAGGCACTGCAACCCCTCTGATGACGACCTCGCTTCGCAAGAATCGCTTCGCTCCGCACGACTCGATCTCATGCTTCATTCTAGCGAGCCCAGCGTCGTCGCCCTTCAGGCCAAGCAGTCTGTTACAACTTTGCTGGACGGTCTGCCCATCCCCCGCACTGGTGGCGCAGAACAAGAGCCTGCCAAAAAGACGGACGCAACGAATACTGCTACCCGTCTGTAACTTGGCCATGGAACGGCGAGTCAGGTTTGTGGCCATGACAACCACAACCGCCAACCACAGCACGAAATACATCTGGGGAGGCGACCAAGATTATAATATGTGATTGCATTTTGAATACATTCACAGAGATAAATATACTATTCATGCCAAAATCCTCGTTCAATCCATTCAACATGAGCGCACGCCTTATCGGCGCCTCTTGCGTCTTACATAGATAGGATCGCAGTAGTGTAAAATCACGAGATAGCCATGCGCGACGGCTTATACGCTTCTCACATCGAGTGGGAAACTCGCCCGTCCCTCAACGCAAAATCATTAACACCTCTATAATTTCATTTACATAATCCTGTCCAAGGAGACTAAGTGACTCTTTTTAACTTCTACAGCGACTAATTCTCGTGTTCCCGTGGGTTGCTGCCTGGGCGATGGATTTGATGGCGGGGGGGGGCTTCCCGCCTCCGCCGCTAGCACAAGGCAAAATGATCTAAGCCCATAGTCGGATGTCCCCTTTTGGTTTTGTGATTCTCGCGGCTCACCTTGTGCCATTTGGATGCCCGGTGAATGACGCAGCAGCCCGGATCACACTGCAACCCGAACGACAAAGGCTGGCCGAAGGTGTGTGGAACTGACACGTTGGAGGCGGCTTGTTGCATTATACCAGATCAACTGAAAGTACTGAACATGAAAAGGGAACTGGATAATATGGCCGGGTAGGAAAGAGGAAAACAAAGAGAAAAAGATAAAAAAATGTATTACTCGTCGGTGGCGAGGTAGGGTACGCAACGACAGGCTTGGCTTCTCCAGTCTTGGTAAAGCATGGCAGAGAGAAAGCTGACATGCACAGAAAACTCAGCAATCGACGAAATTACAGAATTGTTTCTTCTTGTTCAAATAGCAAATGGTATATGTCCAGTACAATTACAAGCCTGCGTGCGCCACCCATATCCCTTCCACTTACTCGCTCACTTTTCAACTCCGACCCCAACCAGCATTTGTCAAGCTCCTGATACTATGCATAACGTCCCCTCTCCCATGCCGTAGTCTAGTCTTCAATGTCGTCGTCGCTCAGCACCAGCTTCTGCGCCAGCATGCTCGTCACCGCGCCCGACTTGATACCCTGACGCTTCTTGCGCGGGCTCGCTTCCTCCGACGGCTTATCCGTCGCCCATGCCTCGCCCGTGCCCGTGCCCGTCTCCTCGTCCAGGGCATCATCGTCTTCCTCCTCGTTGGGCCCGGAGACGCCGCTAAACGAGACAATCTTTTCCAGCTCACGCACTCGCGGACCGTTCTTACGGGCTCGCGCAACGTGTGACATGTACGGCAACCTCTCCAGCAACAGCTCCCGCCGGGCTGCACTCCCCAGTGACAGCATCGGCATGTAGCTAAAGTCCTGCGCAACAGAGTCCTGCGGTTTTGGTGGCTGCATTTGGCTGCCCTGGGTCGACTGTGCGGTCAGGACAGGGGGGTGACGGAACGCATTCGCCCCGGCTGTCAATTCCTTCGTCGCAACCTGGTCTTCACCCTTGAGCAGACGCGACGACCATACGTCGACGAGCCCGCCAATCTCCTCCTTGGCTCGCCACAGCTTCAGGCTCGCGGGGTAAAACATCTTGAAGGCGTCGCTGCTCCTCGCCATGCCTGTCGTCTTCCGCTTGACCGGATTGGGGAGCGAGAAGAGCATGCCGCGAACGGCCACCTCAAACATCATCTCGTCTTGCCGAAGCACATGGCTGCCGGAATCTCGACCAGCAAAGCCACCGCGTCCGCCAAAGAAGACGTCTGAGGATGGACACATCAGGTCGCTGAGTGACAGATGCTCGACGCATTCATTGACATAGTCCATCGGCGTGGAAAGGTCCATCGGCCCAGTACTCTCGCAAGATAGAATGTAGTTTTCGTGTAGAGCGGAAATAAATGTATGCGTGTCTGTGCCCGTTTCGCCAATTAGTGTTTCGACTGATATTTGCGACTTTTTTGGTCGTGAATTTTCAGCTAGATAGCTTGGTAAGATCTCTGCATCATCGCCGGATGCCTTTTCCTCTCGCTTATTATATACGACTTTGCCGACGGCGTGGAATATGCCCAGGCTTGCTTCTCGCTGAGAGATCAACTGCAGACTGTCCTGCTCCCCTTGAGTCATGTTGATTCCATCTTTGGTGCTCTTCTTTTGTTTCGTAAAGGCAACTTTGGCGCCCCAGTCTGCATCTTGGTCTCCTTTGAGGCACAGGAACTCGAGCGATGATATGGCGCTGCGGACGTCCCCAATCTCACCCAGCCTTTTCAAGACCATCGGCCCAGGCGTCCGCCGGCGACCTGACTTCCTTGCTTCTTTCAGAACAACGAGCTCAAGAGCCTTGGATAGTAATGAAGGGGCGATGGCGTTGAACTCTATCACGCCGACACCGGGGTGACCCAAGATTTCCGGGCCTAGCAGGCGATGCGCTGTGAGGCTGTCTGCAGATGCCGAAGTTGTCGTCAAAAGCGTCTCCGAGATGACCAGAATGACGGGCTTAACAGGCTCCCGTCGGCCATGCTGCGAGAACATGGACAGCGATGGCACATGATTTGACAGAAACTGTAGCAGCGCTCCTCTAAAGGACGACAGAGTAGAGGAAGATCTGGAAAAGGTGTTTGGAAACTCTTCTATGAGCATAATTCGCTTATCGCTCTCCATGTTTGCGTTGCCAGATGTCGGCGTGGGGCTATCGAGGTCGAGAGCGCCAAACTTGCCTCCACGACCGAGGAATTCCTGGAACTGGGCTGAAGAGGACACAAATCCGGTCCCTGCATTGCCGACGGGATTCCGCCACTCGAGAAGCTCGCAGCCCATCTCCTTAGCCAGCAGGCGGACCGTCGTCGTCTTGCCAGACCCCGCGGCGCCCTTGAGAATCAGGAGACGCTGCCTCATCCGGCCGGCAACTACTTCTTCCAGCCACCGTCGGACGTCAGCCACCTTCTTTTTATGTACTGCGAGCTCGTCGAGGTTTCGCGGGCCGAAGCGCTCGGACCACGGCCGGAGATCGTCGTCGTCCACGTTGACCAGCTGTGGCGGCTTTAAGAATCGCTGGCTGGATGTCGTCGATTCGAATGATCCATTTTGAATAGATCCCCGTTGTCGTTTCCGCGCATGCTGGCCTACCAGGCTCGACGAGCTCGCTTTGAGCTCAGAAATCTCGTCGACTTCCGAGATGGGGTCGCTTATGATGTCGTCGATCGGCGGCGGCCTCTTGTCGCCGCCCGTGGACGGAGCCTTGGACGCGCGCTGGGCCTGCTTCGAGAAGAGCAGCTTGAGGTCTCCGCTCTTGCCCTTCTCATCGCTACCCCGGCCTACCCCGGCCCTCGTCTTGCGAGGGCTCGGGCCGACGGAGCCGTTCCTTGAGAGCGAGCTCTTCCTAGGGCTACCGCTTGTGCCGTTCTTGGAGGGCGCCGCCGCGGCGCCGCGGCCCTTGCTCGGGCTCGGGGACGCGGTCGCTATCCGAGTTTTCGTGGGGGAGCTCGGCGAGGAGAGGAGAAAGTTGGTGAGCGTGTTGGCGCGCGATGGTGGCGGCCCGTCGTCGTAGTCGCCGTCGTCATCGTGATTGTCGGCCGAATCAACCGCGTTCCGCCGGCGGCGCTTCGCGGGCGGAGCCATTACCGTAAAGTGGGCATCGGCAGGGCGTGCTGGCGATTCAGCATGATTCAATGGCAGGTTATGCCGGTGCTGGGGTGAAGAATGTTGGAGATGGGAAACATTGGATCAGGCACGCTTGTCGAGGGGTGCCAAGCTAACTGCGCCAGGCCCACACAAACAGGCATTCAGCTCAAATCGCCATGACTATCTGCATGAGTTGCACGGAGTACGTAGAGGTGCCTTAATTTCTAGTGTACATGAAGTAAATGGATCATGTTTTATCCAATAGTCTTATTTATTAGTTTGACCATTCGGTAAAATTATCTACAAATGTAAGAGCGGAGCGTAGGTACAGCTCATCCGTGTCACCCCATGTTGATGCTGCTTCTTTGATAGCTCGAACAGCTGCGCACGATGTTAGTGTCAACCTTTTTCCAATACAAATACCGTATCATACCTTTAACGTAACTAGCATCTGATAAGTGAGGGCCATTGATTGCTTTGCCAACAACATGCTTCCAGGTTCGGCCATCTGCGTCTTTCTCGATATAGGCTGAATTCGGCTCTGGCCGTCCAGTCAGTAGGCAAACAGCGATGGCCAGGAGCCACCATTGGCGTAGCAGCGATGCATGGTGTTCGGAGGGGAAATATGGCAAAAGAATTCGTATTGAGTTGCTGGCGGATAAGAGTTGTGCAGAGAGAAAGCTGAAAGACTTGCTCGTCGACGACGTAAATAGGGCAACGGCAGTTTGCTGCAAGTCCTGGAACTGCTTGGCCGCATCGACAATCTGCCAGGCATTCCAGTACTCGAGGATTAGATCTTCGTGCTGAGAAAAGAGGGTCTCCAGACTGTCGTGCCGTTCTTGCGCCGCAGTACCTTGGAGACTTTCGTCTTGTGCGAGTCTCGAGATAAGCTCCTGGAGGGACAGAGCTGGTAACGCTGAGCGCTTGGTATACTTGGGGTCATCGAGATACTTGTGCAATTCATTGTAGTGAATGCAAGTAAGACTCAGGGCTTCCATGGCGAGGGCTCTGCTGTTGATTTCATAGGCCAGTGCCAGGTGATTGAGAGGATGGCCAACTAAAGACAGATTAGAGAAGTCTCATCACATCTGTAGGGTAGGTAGGATACTACTGACAGGCACCGATGAGACAGTTTATTAGTGGCTCATCACCGTCGATCAAAACGTGCTTCATTTCCTGCTTCCAATCGTAGGCAAACTGAAAGGCAAGCTTGTCTTCGAAAAAGTCGACGAACGCACGCTGGTAGTTGCGGTCGCCCAAAAAGTCTCTCCAATCCTCATCTATAACCTCGGCGGGGGAGGGTGTCCATGGGTCCAGGTGCTTGATCTGCTCGTTATAGATGGTGTCCAGATGGGTTTCGTTGGCGCCCAGAATGTATGCCGCGCTCAGATTGTGAGTGTTCACATTGTTTAGCTGCAAAGTCTTGTCGACCACGGCGTAGTTGACGTGATTGGCCTTGAGCAGATGCTTGAGGGATCGGCCACGGCGGTCCTGGTCTGTCTCGATGTCTTGAACAGGTAGCGCCTGGAGGGCGACTGTGGTTTTGGCGGTGGCCGTGGGTCTCGACTTGGACGTCGAGCCTGATGCAAAGGACAGCATACTAGCCATATCTGCGTATAATCTTGAGCTTGGAGGTGGCAGGGCTGGTGAGGGCGATGATGAGAGGTTCCGTTAAAGTCAAACGCCAGAGTTGTGATGTTGGGAAAATGTGGGGGCAGTTTGGAGAGGTCATTTCTCGCCCCAACCAGTGCTGAGCCTACTAGCTAGAAAATTGCTTTTTAGCGCTCTGTCGTCCCCGTAATCTGTTTTACAGTGGCTCCCAACGCCTGTCAGCACAGTTCACCAGACATTGTTGGCCCTTCACATGCTCAATTTGTCTAGCCACCATCACGAGTCTCCTCCTCTCCCTCAACACTTCTCCCTTGCTCCATCATGGCCGTCAGCGAAACGCCATCCAAGAGCCCAGTACTCATATACGCCGAGCTGCTCACCAATATCCGACAGATTACCGTCAAGGTGTCTCTGCCTACGCCTGCGGACCACACCACTACGGCTGAAATCTTGGACGAGGGACGCAAATTTCGTGTGCACCACAATGGCGTCACAGGCGAGGTGGTTCTGCCCGCCAATGCACCCGTGAAGGGGGCGCTGCCGCTTTCGCATAAAGGATCCGTTGATCTCACCTGGAGACTTCCACTGCAACCAGCCCGTTTCCCGGAGAGGCAGTTTCTTCCCGAGAATCAGCCACTGCCATGGTCTGCGTCCAACATCAAGCCCGCATCCCCCATCTCATGTCGAGCATGCGGCCAACATTTCGTGACAAGTGGAAAAATCACTACCTGGAAAGATTTACCTAGTGAAAACTGGGCGGAAATGATGGAATTTTGGCATTGCCATAAACCTGTTGACCACGACAAGGTCGAAGAAGGCCACCTCCAGCATCGGGGCTACGGCGCGGCTAGTTCCATCACAGCCCAGCCTGGAGTAGGATTCGTCGATATAACCTCATTTCTGTTTGCCGAGTCAGACTGTAGCTCTATCAAGGTAAGCCCGCGTTATTTCCTCACCCAATGGGGAACTAGAAGGTGGCCAAGTCAGGGCATAGCCCCTCAGTGTCATGGTCATCGATACAATTCCCCTATATCAATTCATCACCCTTCCGGATCTACGCAGCATCTTTTCAGAGTACCCTCCACATGGATGGGTTCTGTGAGACGCTTCTGGATGGGCGGTCTCTTTTGCACCCGGCTGTCCAGAGTTGCGGAGAGTCTGGGCTACATCTAGAGATACATTGCCTGCTATTGTTTCTGCTTCAAGATCTGTAACTGACATCAGCAGTTCTCTTCCTCGAAATCATCGGAAAAGTTTGAGGATAGTGACAGTACTCTCAAAGCCACAGAAGAGGAAAAGTTCCTTGACATCAGCTGCGGCAATTGCGCCGCCAGTGCTGGCACATTTAGTGTCCTCGCATCCACAGTCGCATTCTTCAAATGGCAAATATCCTGTGACGTATCGTCAGCGCAAAGGGCACCTTCAAGCTCCGACTGCCTTGTTGCCACGCTTCTTTCTACAATAGCTCGATCTGGCTCTTCAAAGTCTGTCGTGATGCCGCGGCACACGCTGGCCAACCAAGCCTCGCGCTACTTACAGTTGTGGGTGCTAAACAACAATGTAATTTTTACCAGTAACCAGAACCAAGCTCCCAAATCTGCGGTCAAGGTGCTCTTCAAAGAGATTGAAGAAAAGGAGGCTTTGGACCTGGTGGAGTCTTTGTCGAATGATGTCCAGGACATCAGCTTCCCAGCATCGGCCATACAGGTGGCACGCCAGACTCTGATAGCCAGCAAATCTATGCTGCCTTCTTCTGAGCGGTCATTTCAGGAATGGCAAGTTGGATTGCTTGAAAGATGGGTACCACAACTAACCTGACGTGCCTCTCGCCTTGGCAGAGAGTGAGAGTGATATTACGCGCCAAACCTCTACGTGCAACGGGAGATCACCGACTCTGACTGTTACTGTCCTCGTAAGCTCCTCCGCGCGGGACATTACAGAGACAAAACGAGAGCCGCGTCAAAGAAGGACCAGACTTGGTACACCACCCCCGGGCTTTGTATCAAGACCAAAGCTGTGGGCTCTGTCTCTTCTCGCGGCCACAACGCAATGCTCTCATGGCACTCAGCGAGATGTCATTCGTGATGGCAAGCGTCTGTCATACGCCTGTCGTATATTCCGCGCATGAATCAGAGCGCAACAGCCGCTCGTTCAGTTCCCATAGGGGCTCGCAAAGTCGTATTAAAAGGTGTTTATATTGTACAACATCTATTCTTCAAAGCATCTCGAGGGTAATACTTTTTTTCTGCCTCTTCTCCTATAATGCAGAATACCCACCCATCTGCTCTCCCTCAGCTGCAGTGTCTAAACTCTGGCTTGCAACAGCTTGAATACCGGCGCACTCGAAATACACAATTGCTTTGCTCACTATTGTGCTGATGGCGTAAAATGCCACTACGGAGATTGAGTCGAAGGCGCTGATGAAAGTCAGGCTTGAGAGCACCAGGGTACCATACAAAATCTGCAAGCAGTTAGATATGAAGTCGCCAATCGATGGCTTCATGAAATTGAAGAGCGCGAATCGAACGCAGAATGAAGAAAGCTGAGGGTACTTACATGGACGGGCACGCCAGCGTATAACGCTGCCGTGACGGCAGAGAAGAATGGCGCTGGACCGGCCGCTCGATTCTCCACGGGCAACTTCTCTGCAAATGCAGAGGGTGTTGTCTCGTTTATCAGCCATGATTTCATTCTGCTTCCCCATCCAGTCGTCATACCCCGCCAGTCCTGTCCATCCCCTCGCTCCGCATCTCTAGCGCCTTCTGCGCTCTGCAGGTTCAAGCGCTGTGCGATCCAGCCGCCCAGATGCAGAAGCGCGACCGTTCCGTGCCACAACGCGGGGAGAAAGACAGTGATGGGCGAGAAGGAGCACACGGTCCAAAGACACAGCTGGTACGTGCGGTAGGCGCTGTTGACGACGGCCGCGAGCGCCAAGATGTACTGGGCCGTTGACAGTAGACCGGTCACGTAACCGCCGCCGCCACCGAGCAGTCGGCCGGTCGTGAATGGGAAACTACCTCGAAATTGCCCCGAGAGAGGCTTCGACAAGGCTTCGATGTTGTCCGCGTACCGCGCAGCCTCGGAGAAGACAGTGGCTGGGGAGGCGAGACTCAGAAGCAGCGCGAGGACGGGCCGGCGGAGGCTGACCAGGGCGGTATCGGCGGGCGTTGGGCTTATCATTTGGAGGATCGTCGGGGCAAGGCCAAGGACCACGGCCGCGGCACTCAACTCTGCCTGTTGAATTTTCTACCGTTAACATGTCTGTCCCCCCTATTCTTTCACTTTTGCAGAAGCTGTGAACCAACCTTGCGAAACTCAGGAAACTGCTCCAGCAAGCAGTTAAACACCGCATAGCTGACATGTGTATTGTCGAAAGTAGCGTTTCGATAGTTGGTGATGTCTTGCTGGCAGTCAGTTTCTAGATACTCTTTGAGCATTACGTCCCAGGCGGGGAAAAATTGCTTGTACAGGGCGGTTGCGTGTGTCGCCTTGGCCGCCGCCGTCGGCGCGGCCCAGAGGGCGACGAGGAGAGGCGCCAGCCAAATCATGACGAATTGCTGGCCTATACAGACAGGCCTGGAGAATTTATACAAAAAAGAAGTGTGTACTTCGCGGCGCCGGCATTGGATCCTTATGTATCTCTTCCCTGGTGATGATAGTTTCGGGCCCGCTGCCAACGACCCTTGTGCGATCGACAGCTGAAAAAGAAAAGCCCATCAGCAGGATGGGTTTGTGGTTTATTGTTAACTACGCGCCCTGCGATTTTTCGTCGTTGTGCGAATCGCTGAGCTTGAAGCCACAGACAAGGTACTCGTTGTGGCGGCGGGCCAGCCCGCTCACACCGTGCGCCGCCACTTGCCGTATGCGGGCATGGCCGAGTTATTTGAAATCACTTCCATGGAGAGGGCGGGGATAACAGGTTGGTGGAAAGAAGAGACAATCAGCTAGAAATGACGGGTCGAAGGTGGTGGTTTCTGTGAATCAACTAACCAGCAAGCGGTCGTGATGCTGTTGCAGGTGCTGACGGCTAGTTATGTATATACATAGAATGATAAGCCATGCCGAACGAATGGTGCCTGTGCAGTGTTTGTGGACTCGTTAGCCGCGTCTCTCGGGAATATTTTGCAGGGCTGCCTGAAGGAGGTTGCGGGAAGTGCCGCAAGCTGAAACTAGCCTAAATGTCATGGCTTCGTATGATTGCTGGGCCGATGATGCACATACATACATAAAGGTAACGCAAATAAGAGAGCAATGGAGGTGCTCTTCCCCGCTGGAGCTGTGCTGGCTGATCAACCTTTTCTCTCTTATTAAATGACTACCATCGGCGCAACACTGACTATCAAAAATTGGAGCGTCAAAAGTATCAGTGAACTAACCACCTTGCGCTATTAACATGTTTCTGAGACGAATCCCCCGTATTGGTAGGACTCCGGACACCTCCTGTAGAGAACCTTTACCAAACGAAGAGTTTGCCAGACTTATTACTTTGGGTCTTTACTTACAAAGAGCTTGTGTAAAATGAAGAGTCCCCTTTTTAAATTCGTATCTTATTAGGGCCTCCAGCCTGATGTGATTTGTTTTGCTCAGATGTTGAGCTGTCTACGTAAGAGGGAACACAGCCTGCCAGCACTTGCTGGGGTTCCCAAGGTTCACCAATCAATCGTCTTGCATCAAGATTGAATTAAAGGCTGCAAGAATTTTTTTCTATCGTGGGCAACTCGTCTGAATTTTTGATTCTCTTTCTTGTTGCTGCATCGTTGAGAGTTTCGAGTGCATGGTCGCTCGGATTGTCGGCCCGTTTATGTAGGTAGTCGGTCGGTCAAAGTTTCGGTTTTCGAGCCGGTTTATGTGCTTTACTATCAACTCATAGGCTGTCCCAAGTCTCCCTCTGACATCTTGGGTTTTATTTACTGCAAAATCGTCAAGTTCAGCGCTAAATCGGTACCCGCCGCCTGCCGAAGGGATGGCGCGTCCTCTGCCGCTGAGCCGCCTTCTCGGTTGTCTCGGTTTAGACAAATAAGGCGGTAAAACTAGATAGCCGATTTTGACATTTCCTGATTTGAACAGGGATTGCTCCCTTGAGAAGAGTCAGCGGATGTGGGGGTGGCTTCTGTCAGGTAGCCGTCAAGGTATCTGCTGATGGCATGATGAAGGCCGCTCAGACTTGGCGGCGAGCAATGACCACGGCAATAGTAGAACTAACCGCATGCATAGTTGGAAGCACACTATTAGGCATGAGCTCATGTCTGACAACGTTTAAGTAATAGATAGGGATGTTAAAAAAAAAAGACACCCTGGAGTTTCAACCCTGTTTCAACCATATCGGGACAGCCGCTTGGTGATGACCCGAGCCAGTATCTTTTGGCTGTGACTGAGTATCATGATATTACGTAGACGAAATTAACAAAAGATAGCGTGAATGAATATGGTGTCTGCCCTGTGCGCACCTGGCATAGCTCGGGGCGCAGCTCCGTGTGAACCCCCGCCCGAATCGTGCCCCGAATCGTATCCCGGTAGCTCCGGATCCTCTTCAGGAAGAGAAACCGGGGCAGCGAGTTTTCGTCTTGATTATTGCTCAAGCTGATAAATACAGGCCAAGGAGTACAGCCATTTAGCATGGAGGGATCATGACTGGGTCGAGAATGCTCAGCCGCGGGGCAGGGTTCTGGTGTTCCAGACCTGGGAGGCTGGCAATAAACCGACGTCATGTCGAGTCACCTTTACGGTACGTCAACGCCTTATCGGGACGGGCGGGCCATAATGCACTGTGAACTCAATATTTGCACCCTGGTTATGAGTTAACTATAGCATAGTGAATCTGTAGGCAATATAGACTTACTCATGTATAGCACTTCGACGCTCGTGGGGGTCAAGAGGCTCGCTGGCAGGGGTTTAAACGCGTATCACTGACAGAAAACGACCAATTACTTTCAACTGAGCAGCAGTCAAGTAATTCAGTCGCTCGACGTAACCTCCGATTCTTGCACCATGACAAGGCCTTGTCGAGTATTCTTTACGGCAGTCGAAGAGATAGAGCAGTGAAGCCGTAGGCCCGTTCATAGAACGTCGTAGGATCCAGTCCGAAAAGGACCGGGACAGTAATCAATTGATAATATGACAGCTTTCCCACGTGGTCTTGGCATCCATACTCGAGTCAGAAGTGCCTCAGTCTCGTGAAGGACTGCAAATTAAGGGCTTTCCACCGTCAATGGCGAATGCGGGATAGTAGTTGAGGCCATTCTGGCAATCTCTGTCATTGCCCTGCACTGCCAGCAGGCCACTTTAGGGATGATTGAGATACTCGTCCGATATGCTTGGCAAATTGAGGGATACACTCATTGCAGATGTTCCTTTCGCCGGCCACGCGTGAACCCATCGCCACATTCCATATGTAACGTCCCATAAACTGGCCTAAGATTAAGTCCTCATGCTCAATAATCTCAAAACGGGTTAGATTACATATTGAACATTGTGAGTAATGAAACACAGGTCTATTTAAGTCTCTGCCCAGTCCATCATCGAGAGTCAACTCCAACAACGACAACTTGGTCTTCCTTCTCTTCACACAGTTGCCAACATGTTCTGCCTCAAGTGCTTCTTCCTCGCGCTGCCTCTTGCAGCAGCCCTTCCCCAAGGCACTCCTTCGGGCTCATCAGCTACCTTCAAAGCTGATCTTCGAGTGGACACCAATCGTGATGGCAAGGTCGACCTCACCGGCACGACTGACACCGAGGGCAAGGACACCTGGTCGGAGACCTCTGGTGCCCTTTTCCTCCCAGGCATCGCAAACACTGCACGCCATTGCCACGGTCCGGATGACAACTGCAACGATTCCAACACAAACCACCTGTGGGCACCAAACTCCATGGCCCCGATTCGCACCGTGGCCATGCCCAACATCAGCGACTCGGTCACCGCCACCATTTCCATCAGCGATCCTGTCGCCCGTTCCAAAGTCCGCATCTTTCTGGACTTTCCCGAGGAACCCACCCAGTTCACCATGGAAGACTTCACAAGCCTGCAGGCACTGCCGCCTCCGGAGAACGACCGCTGGGTCTACCTTGAGAACGACACGAAAATTCCGGCGCTGAAGCTGCGACAGGGCTTGATCTTGGCCATCGATGGCCGCGATACCAGACGCCCTGGTACATGGGACGGCCGCGTTTCGGTCGAATTTAAGGTCACGGACGGCACCACCACCTCGACTGACAAGGTCATGCTGCGCGTCGCGCCGCTTCTTACCAGCCATCATCTTCAGCCTATCGAGAAGGTCTTCGTTACCAAGAAAGATATCGTGGCACCGTCTGTCGGACCCGTTGAGGACAGCATCCGGAAGAACATGCAAAAGGCTGGCATCAAGGAGCCACTCGAGTACCTCAATGTCGATTACACCTGGGCCCAGGATGTAATGGAACCTGCATATGCTAGCATTCCCGGCCCTGAAGGACCGATTACCATGCGAATCAATCTAGCGGGAATCCCGGTCCATGTAGGTATAGGTAATCCTGGTGCCAGGCTACTGTACAACGATCTGCGAGGCGACGGCGTTGGAGCCGTCGACGCTGCTGGGTTCAAGGAAATATCCAAGGAAAAGAACCTCGAAGCGGGCGGAAACATTGAGTCTATCCCTCCCTACGAGTTCAACGGCAAAAAGTTCCCCGCTGGCAGAATCATTATAGGCGCCTCGGATGCGAGGACACCTCAGGCGCTGGGATTCCTCAAGGCTCAGGAAACCCAAGATCCTATCACCGTTGATACCACGTGGCTCATGGTCGGGCACATCGACGAGGTGCTCAGCTTCCTGCCCGCCAAGACAGCCCGCGGCTGGCGCGTTGCCCTCCTGGACCCCATGATGGGCTACCAGGCGCTCGAGAAGCTCGAGAAGGAAGGCCACGGCGACGTGCTCCTGACCAGCAACCCGGTCGCACAGAACGGCTCGAGTGTCCCGAGCGTCCGCGACTTCCTCGCCTATGAGCACAGCAAGAAGGCGGCCACCCACAGTGCGGAGAAGATGGAGGCCGCGCTGAGCACCCTCCGCAAGGAGACGGGCATCACGGACGAGGACGTCGTCCGCATCCCCAGCGTCATCGCGCCCATGTCTGCGCTTCAGACGTGGTTGCATGCCAGGAAGCCCGGCGGCGAGAACGACAACGAATTCCTTCCTCTCAACTCGGCGTTCCCGAGCCAGGTCAACGGTGTGCCGCTGTCCGACTCGCTTTTCATGGCGGCCAAGCCGTGGGGTCCGGTGGTAAACGGCGAGGACGTCATCCAGAAGATGTCCAAGGACGCCTATTCCGCGGCGGGCTTCGAGGTCGAATTTGTCGATGATTGGGACCTCCACATGGCGAGCGGTGATTTGCACTGTTACACCAACACCTACCGTACCCCGTCCCCGAAGTGGTGGTAAGGCGTCTTATCAGCCGACTCATTTAACTGACAGTGGAGAGTATCAACATTTGGATACTTCGAAGCCAAGTACGGGGAAAGGCCGGGGCGAATTATAGGCGTTGTAGAATCTACATGCTCCCTAGTTGAATGATGAAACAGCTCACTGTCCACCTACCCTGCATCGAGAATGTCGTGATAGTTTATTCGGCCAATGTCAAGTGCGGTGTTAGTGCGTTGTGTGTAAGTGCAGGCTGATGAGAAAATTTCACATTGTAGCTTGTTAGTCTCACATGAGACGTGAAATTTTTAACATGGATAAAAGTAGTCGGGATCTTTGCCGCTTGCCTTGCCAAAGGCGTGCCAGTGCTGGGTGCTGAGGTAATCGCCGCACTTCATTTCCAACAAATCGGGGCTGCTGCCTTGCTGCACCCCCATCTGAGCTTCAGTTCCATCCTACCTTCAAAAGCGACAGCTGACTCTCAAATGAGCTGCAGCGGGCGTCTACAGAATCATCGGTCGTCATGAATTTCCCAACCTGAGCTTTCTAAATGAATCCTCCATAATTCATACCAACTTGACGGCCGCTAGACACCATGTTGCCTTATTCGCCTCGTTCGCCCCACTACATTCCCGTCGGATGCATCGGCATCTCGAGATCAGAAATTGACGTGCAGGATGCGGCATGGCAGATCGAGGTTGCTACATGGAAGAGCTTCTTATTCCGAGACAAGGAGAACACGGACAGACTACTCAAAGATGCGTCTCCAATCAGCCCTACCAACCAAACACTTCAAGACGCCTTGCTGAACTCCGAGGCATTACGGCCATGCTTGCAACTCCTTCGTGCCAATTGGGCGCAACTCGAATACAAGATGCTGCCCCAATTTGAATTTAGGGTTACAATTAGAGTTTATATCCTCGCAGACGATGCACTAAGAGGCTCCATCAGCCGGGCTCATGGCAGTCTGTTCAAGATCCGCGGGCGCATTTTAGAACAGCTTGACTGCTCCCCCCAAGCGTGGTCTGGCGCTGAGGCTCCTCAAGCGTTTCAGAGGAGCCCCTTCGTACCGCAATCTGCACAAGAATTAGAGACTTCTTTGTTGGAGCTGTTTAACAATATCCCCTCGCCAGCACCAGACATCGACCTCATTGTTGATCCGTTTCTCAACGAACTCGCAACAAATGTCCTGCAAGGCAATGTACACGGCCTTACATCGGACCTTCTCCCGTATCAAAAACGATCAGTCGCACTGATGATGCAGAAAGAAATGTATCCCGGAAAGGTGCTGGACCCACGCCTCTTGCATCTGCATGATCAAGATGGACACTCGTGGTATCTAGATCCCATCGCGGGAGCCATTTTTCGAGATGCAAAACACTATGATGGCGTGTCGGGAGGGATACTGGCTGAAGACATGGGAACAGGTAAGACAATAATATGTCTTGCACTGCTACTGGCGACGCGCGGTCTCCTTGCCGAGGCGCCCGAGGTTTATTTGTCGCCGGCAGGGCGAGTGAGGAAGTCGGTAGGATCACTGATGGACATGGCAGCATCATGCGCAACCCAACACTCTCAGCCCTGGATGCAATATTACGGATATGCGAAAGACAAAGATCTCGACAGGAATTCAATTGCAAAGGCGATCCGACGCAATCCCGGATCCTACCTCCTTCCTGGTGCCGAACCCCGAAGATGCGGACGAATTGGGAGCAAGTATGTGCCAGTGCCGAGGAAGATTTACCTTGCTAGCACCAGTCTGGTTATTGTTCCAAATAATTTGGTTTCGCAGTGGAAGCAGGAAATTCGCAAGCACACCGAAGATCTCGAGGTTCTAGTGCTGACGAAGAACGATGCTATCCCAGATGCTGAAACACTGCTGGGATACGACGTTCTTTTGTTCTCCCAATCGCGCTTTGAGAATCTGTCTAAGCATCAACCCATTCTCCAGACACCTCTCGCTGCCATACACTTCAAAAGATGTATAGTCGACGAGGGCCACGTCCTGGGCAACTCAAAGATCAATTCCAAAAGCTTCCTACTACTAGGACTGGATGCGCTGCAAGTCACCTCGAGGTGGATCGTCACTGGAACACCGTCGCGCGGCTTGTATGGAACAAGCATTCAGAAATCCGATGGCAGTACTGAAAGCTCTATGAACGTGTCACTCGCTCAGTATGACAGCCATTCTTCGTTGAATCAGTCGTCCAGGGAGCTAGAACGGAAGGATCTTGAACGGCTAGGCTCTATTGCGGCATTGTATCTGAAAGCACGTCCGTGGGCCAATTCAGTTCTGGAGACTGAGGATACTTTGGCAAATTGGACGAAACATCTCGTGCCCCCGAAGACTGGACCTGGACGAGCAGGACGCTGGGAATGTCTCAAAATGACAATCAATTCGCTGATTGTACGCCACCAGCTGCAAGAAGTGCGAACTCAGCTGCCACCCGTGAACGAAAAGATCGTGCTGCTCGAGGGTTCATACCAGGACATGTTGTCACTCAACATATTTGCCATGATGATCATCTTCAACTCGGTCCAATCGCAGCGAACCGACATTGACTACTTCTTTCATATCAAGCAACGAAAGAGCCTGCTGCAGATTGTGCACAATCTGAAGCAGTCAAGCTTCTTCGGTGGATCATTCTTTACTGCCGAAGAAATTGAAAAGTCTGTGCAGACTGCCGAGGAATTCTTGGACAAGAAAAAAATTGAGATTAGCGCGGAGGACGAGGGGCTTCTCAGGACGGCGATTGACTTTGGTCGCCTAGTTCTTACCAGCCAGTTACGCTGCCTGAGCAACCTGTTCCATGAGATGCCCATCTGCGTCACTGGGTTCCCCGTGGGCACTGGTAAATACTGGTCCTTGGACTTGGAAGAAAGTGATCACGTCTGCACTTCTGCCAGAATGGTAATTGCACTTCAAAAGTTACTGTATAACGCTGCCGGTAACCCTGAGCAGCTGAATTCTTTGCTCAATGGTGGTCTGATTCAAGAGGGTATAGGGGAGAGATTTAAGGCACAAGATGAGGCAAAATCTGCCGGAGAAACTAAGAAGAGGGGCCAAAGGTCGGACACCTTGGCTGGCAACACAAAGCTCGGCGACGATAGTCCCAAGAAAAAGCGATCTCATGGAATTAATGGTGCTGAGCCAGCGCCGGTGCTTACCAATGAGGCCTTGGCCACTGCCTTGGCCAAGACAAAGCTCGTGTCAACGGTTTCTGCAAAGCTTTCATATCTGATTGATGGCATTGCCAAGCATCAGGATGATGAAAAGATCATCGTCTTCTACGAAAATGAAAACGTTGCTTGGTACTTGGCTAGCATATTGGATGTCCTGCAGATCCAGCATCTTATCTATGCAAGAGGCCTGCCCGCTGAACGAAGGGCTCAATATGTAAACACATTTCACCACAACGAGACATTCCGAGTTCTTCTCATGGATCTCTCCCAGGCTGCCTTTGGGCTGGATATGCGCGCAGCATCGCGTGTCTACTTCATCAACCCTGTGCTGAACCCGCAGGTGGAGAGCCAGGCGATTGCTCGAGTGCGCCGCATCAGCCAGCAGAAGGGCGTGTCGGTCGAGACGCTGGTGCTCAAGGACAGCATTGACGAGGTCATCTTGGATCGAAAGGAGCACATGACGCAGGCGGAGCACGGAAAGGCAAGGACGATCTTGGATGTGGCTTCGATCAACAACTGGATCAGGAATGCCAAGATCGTGCCTGTTGGAGAGGCCGGCGACAGCCACGCGGATCAGATGGTGCCACTGACGAAGCCACTGCAAGTGTTTGGAAAGGGATTCGGCCGCTTGCCTGACCCAGATGATGGACTAGTCAAGGAGGAGGAATCCGTGGCGACGAAGATAGTACTCCCGCGACGGGCTGCAACACCGCCGACGAGTGGCCGCAAACGTATGCGAGGCGAAAGCAATAGCAGAGTGATTTTGATGGGTGGTGGTACCAGCGCGGAGATGATGATGCCGCCCCCGGCACGCCGTGTACGATTTACAGCTGGTTCGGATTGAGGGATTACAGCAAGCGATATACTGTGGCATGGGATGCTATGACATTGTGGTTTTGTTATATGACAGCTCTGTAGATTTGTACGAAATCGTGACTTTTAGATCAGAGGCGTCACTGCCGCTTTCGGAGGGTAGTGGACCTGCTACACAATTGGGCCAGAAAGCCGCAGCTATTACTTAATCTCCGTTAATTTTTCGTAATAGCCACGAGAGCCGAGGAAGGATAGATAACGAGATGCATTGGGTCATTTTTTCCTCAGCTAGCCCATAGATTGAAAATACCAAGCTGGAGACCTCCACCAAAGCGGCGACCCAAGCTGCCCCGCGATTGCGAAATAAAATCTACCCCGCCAAAATTTTTCCCCTCGCCGTGCTGCCGCCTCATCACATTCATTTCCCTTGTTTCCCTAAACTTTGACTCCTTTTCAAGGTCTAGCCTAGGGAACTCATCACATTCATCATGGCCGGTGCTCAAAAGATTGCCATTGTGTCGGTCTACGACAAGACGGGCCTGTTGGACCTTGCCAAGGGCCTAGTCGCCAACAATGTCCGGATCCTCGCCTCTGGCGGCACCTCGCGCATGATTCGCGAGTCTGGCTTCCCTGTTGAGTATGCCTTTTTCACCCTACCTCAACTTGATGAAAGATACCATAAAACATTATCCAGAAGCTAACAGATTTTCAGAGACGTCTCTGCCATCACCAAGGCGCCCGAGATGCTCGGCGGCCGCGTCAAGACCCTCCACCCCTCCGTCCACGCCGGTATCCTCGCGCGCGACCTCGAGTCAGACGAGAAGGACCTTGCCGACCAGAACATCAACAAGGTCGACTTCGTCGTTTGCAACCTGTACCCCTTCAAGGAGACCGTCGCCAAGGTCAACGTCAGCATCCCCGAGGCTGTCGAGGAGGTCGACATCGGTGGCGTCACGCTGCTCCGCGCCGCCGCCAAGAACCACAAGCGCGTCACCATCCTGTCGGACCCGACCGACTACGCGGGCTTTCTGAAGGAACTTGAGAGTGGCGAGATCACCGACGCCAGCCGCAACCGCTACGCGCTCAAGGCTTTTGAGCACACGGCCGATTACGACACGGCCATCGCAGAGTTCTTCCGCAAGGCGTACGCCGGCGACGGTGAGCAGCACCTGCCGCTGCGCTACGGCGCCAACCCGCACCAGAAGCCTGCCGCCGCCTTCACGGCCGGCGGCAAGCTGCCTTTCAAGACCCTCAGCGGCGCGCCCGGCTACATCAACCTACTCGACGCGCTCAACGCCTGGCCTCTGGTCAAGGAGCTCAAAGCGGCGACGGGCCGGCCCGCAGCGGCCAGCTTCAAGCACGTGTCGCCAGCGGGCGCGGCCATCGGCCTGCCGCTCAGCGAGGACGAGCGCAAGGTGTACATGGTGACGGACATTCCCGGCATCGAGACGTCCGGCCTGGCGCAGGCGTACGCGCGCGCGCGCGGCGCGGACCGCATGAGCAGCTTTGGCGACGTCATCGCGCTGTCGGACGTGGTAGACGTGCCGACGGCCAGTATCATCGCCAAGGAGGTGTCCGACGGCGTGATCGCGCCGGGCTACGAGGAGGCCGCGCTCGAGATGCTGCGCAAGAAGAAGGGCGGCAAGTACCTGGTGCTGCAGATCGACCCCGAGTACACCCCAGGCCCGACCGAGACGCGCACTGTCTACGGTGTCACACTGCAGCAGCACCGCAACGACGTGGAGATTTCCGCCGCCAAGAGCTTCACCTCCATCATCACGCCCAAGGATGGCGCGGCGCTGCCGGCGGACGCGGCGCGCGACCTGGCCATCGCGACCATCACGCTCAAGTACACGCAGAGCAACTCGGTGTGCTACACGTTCGGCGGGCAGGTGATCGGGCTGGGCGCGGGCCAGCAATCGCGCATCCACTGCACGCGCCTGGCGGGCGACAAGGCGGACAACTGGTGGATGCGCTTCCACCCGCGCGTGCTGGGCATCAAGTGGAAGAGGGGCGCGAAGCGCCCGGACAAGTCTAACGCGATCGACCTGCTGGTCAGCGGGCAGCTGCCGCGGGACGGTGCGGAGCGCGAGGGCTTCGAGGCCGTCTTCGAGGAGGTCCCGGCCGCCTTCACCCAGGAGGAGCGCGAGGCTTGGATGAAGAAGTTGACGGGCGTTTCCGTCTCCAGCGATGCCTTCGTATGTGTACATTCCCAACCATAAATGCCCTTTTTTCTGTACTAATCTTGTTACTTTTTTCCCTCTAGTTCCCCTTCATCGACAACGTCTTCCGCGCTGCCCGCTCGGGCGTCAAGTACATTGCCGCGCCGACTGGTAGCCAAAACGACTCTGCCGTCTTCCAGACGGCCGAGAGCCTGGGCATCACCTTTGTCGAGCAGAGCATCCGCCTTTTCCACCACTAAAAAGGCCCCAGGTATGGTAAGAGGAGCAGCCCTCGGGGAATGAAAATTTAAAGAACCTACGTAAAATGGAATGACGGAACGAGCAAAAAAGGATGACGTATGATAAGCGCACGGTGGCCGCTACCGCCGCAAGGGTCAATATCCCAGGAGGGACATGGTGAGCCGATTACGGCTGCTTCCGTATATTCGAAAAGATTGTTCCCATAAGATTTCAAATAATGATGCATTTGATGTTCCCTGTGCCGCCTACAAGCCCATGTAACAAAGGTACATCTATGAGCTGTATGTACCCTGTATCACGAAACTAAGCAATCAGTATATGTAAGCATAACTAGTTAGCTAAATTGTATTTGTATTTTTTTTGTGGTTGTGGTTTTCTTCTGTAAAAAAAGCAAAGCATATTGACACCGCTTCCATAGCCATGTCAATCATTAGCGACAAAGAAAAAGTGTGGTTGGCAAGAATCGCCATCTGTCCAAAATTTCTTCCTCCATATCCACCATGGTCAGCTAACACACCACACCAACACCATCCCTAATATTCCAATCCGCGAAGCCCAGCTCTGCGACGCCAAGCTCGTCGTCGTCGTCTGGCCCCCGTTCCCGTTCACGCTCCCATCATGCTGGATGCGCAGGTCGCGCGTCAGCCCCGCGGGGTAGCACGTCGTGCCCTTGGCGCACGGCACGACCACGCTCCAGCGGCCGGCGGCGCAGCGCTGCCAGCTGCTCGTCATGCAGTTCCACTGGCCCTCGTCGGAGCACGCCGAGCCGGCCGACTGTTGCGGCTGGCGGCGGCGGCGGACTGCCGGTGCCGGTGCCGGTGCCGGTGCCGGCGCGGCGATGGCGGCTTTTGGCAGGTCGACGGTGGCAAGGGCGGTGGCCACGAGCAAGAGCAGCAGCCCGATGAGGCAGGACAGGGGAAAAAACCTGTACATGCTGTGATTCTTCCCAGCTCAATTGCCAGGCATGCTTTTTGGGGGCGCCCAAGCTTTTCTTTGTATTTGTTTTGCGCCCGTTTCCCCTCCGTGTAAGGAGAAATGGTCGGGCTGGTGTTAAGGTGGAGTTGTGTGTGTTAATGATGCATGCCGAAGCTTCGCACCAAAGGCATTGCAAAAAAATTCGGCGAGAGGCGCGCGCGAAAGAAAGGAGAAGAAAAAGAAGAGGAACAGAGAAGTTTGTCGCACGAGCGCAACCTCCTTTATACACGCCCATGCCATGCTTGCTTGTCGTACCAGCCCCCCCGTCGTCAATGTCGGTGAATCGGTGCCCAAGATGCAGCACGAGACCCCTTCCCCACCATTGTGCTTCGATATGGATATGCAGAATGACGGGGGAGCCTGTGATTGGGGGCATGCACGGAGAGGTCTGGGCAGCGAAAGTCGGTGTATTGGTGGGAAATTTCGGTTGAGGCTTGGGCATGAACGATTCAAGCGGCGCGGGTTTGGTGCCTGAGATGCAGAGAGAACCCGACGATGTTGTAGATGGAGGGAGGGTGAGTGCAGAGAAACTCGATAAGGTCACTGGTAAGGAGTAGGCAGTCTCTTAATCTCTTCCAAGCCAGTCTTACCAGAGAACACACAGAGGCTGCATTCCTAAATTGTAGAGTAGTATCTCCTAAAACCAAATCATGGGCCACCATTTTCCTCCCCTCCCCCATTCTCCTCAGCCAGCAACCTATTCCTCCCCGCATCTCCGTCACCGCCCATATTTCCTCTGTAAACCATAAAATCGTGTTGCAAAAAGAACAACCACACACTAGATGACGCCTTTACCTACTTTCCTGCTCTTCTTGTGGTAGGTTGCCGTGCCCTGCTGTCCGCCGCGCTTCCTCGCCCGTAAGCTGCCAAGGGGGCAACTAGAGAGACAGCCGCAGGCCCAGCAGACCATTATCGTTATGTATATTGGGACCACGATCGCCATCACGATCCACGGCGTTGCGCCGTGGGGTCCGGTGAAGCCTATGCCGTTGGGGTACCAAACCAGGTCGCGGGGCTCGGGAACGTTCATGTTGACGGGGATGCACGCCGATGTCGATGGCTCGGAGGTCTGCGACGGTTGATGAGACGTGCTCGTAGTGGCGGTGGCTACGGCGGAGAGCGAGGAGGAGTCTGGCGTCAAAGTTGACGCGGAGATCTCCTGACCGATGAACCCGGGTCTCATGGTGCCAAGGTGAAGTATGATTGTTGCGTTTTGGTGGTGTTGGCGAGGAGTCAAGGGAAGCGCAGTGCTTGTCTGCTAAGCTTTGCTGTTCGAAGCCGTCAGAGGAAGAAAGTTCCCAAGTGGCGGTGACTTTGCTATTCGGATTTGTTTGAGGAGGTGAGTTCTAAGTTTATATAACGTTCAGGTGGTTGATGGTTGCCGCCCGTTCTGCCACGAGAGATGACGAAATGTACGCCGCCAGACTTCTCTTCCCTCAGTCAAGGCGATACAAGGAGCCACCTCTCTTTTTTTGCAGAGCAAGCACCCGTGTTACATGACCGTAACTTCTTTGCAGTGTTCTTTGCAGGGTTTTGGTCGGTGATGCAGCGCACCAACAGGGAGCATACCCGTATCGCGGCCGTTTGCTGCTGCTGCTGCCGGTACACACTGCACCATGGCGGCTCTGTTGGCGACCCCCTCACCTTTGTCTATGAATAGCAACCATTGTCTGCACACCATTGTCTGTACAGGCACTGAATTTTGCGTAGTCAGAAAAGATAATATTAAGTACAGTATCTGTCTAATATGCACGGAGAATGATGTAGTGTCTATGCAATGAAAAGAAAACAACACAATTGCGCCAGGTCAATCCGTGTATACTGCACATTCCTGGTACAAAATGTATATAAACACGCTGTTGAGCTCTCTTGGTGCCACCTCTCCTCTCTCCATCAGCGTCATAGGTCGTGAGACATTCAACTTCTAATCTTGCGTCACCGTAAAGCTTGTTTCAGGTGGTAGTTAGGGGTGTCGACTGGTGGCGTTGGTCGAGGGGTAAGGAGGGTGCCACTGGCCATTGTCAAAGGTGTGAGTCCATTGGCCGTCGTTAAACTTGCGCGTTGGCGTGGCCGACGACGACGGAGTTGCGGTCAGCGAGTCCCTGGTGGACTGCGCCGCCGACTCCGCCATGGGAGCAGTCTTCGTGTCGTATGATTTGGAAGGAGAAGACACGGCGGCGGTTTCTGTGGAGGTGTAGTCCCCAGAAGTGGTCGCTCTGGAGGTGACGGGCGTTGTAGTCTGGAAAGTTGTTGACGAGCTGTTGCTGCTGGCAGTAGTGACAGTAACCAGCGTCGTGGGGGAGGCCGACACAGCAGTCCTGGACTCAAGGACGGTGGTTGAGACGAGGACAGTTGTAGAGACAGTCACCGTCTTTGTGTCACTCAAAGTACTTGTAACAACTGAGGGCACCGTCACCGTACGGGTTTGGTTGAGCAGGCTCGTTACAAACGTCGCCACCGTCACCGTCTCGGGGTCAGCCGTCACCGTTTGGGGCTCCGCTGTCACCGTGACATACTTCGTCACAGGCGCGCCTTGTGTCTGCGTGACAGTCTCCGTGACCGTCACCGTCGCGGCGTTCTGCGAGGACGGCGAGCCGCCGCCGCCGCCGCTCGAGGTGGGACTGCTCCCGCCCGTGGTGCTGCCGCCAGTTTCCCCTCCTCCCGACTGCGTGGTCGGCCCGGGCTCAAGGGGAACGACCGAGTACGACGGAGCCTTTTGATTGACGTTGACCGCGGCGGCGAGCGCGGCGTCCCGGGCGGAGTTGAATATGCGGATGCGGGGGAACGCAGCCGTGCTGGCGACGCAGCTCGACAGGCCTATGAAGAGAGCGGCGCCGGTGCGCATCGTGAGAGAGCGGCAGTGACAAGATTGAGGGTAAATGTGAGGAAAGAGATGGGGGAGAGGAGGGTGAGCAGCCCGGTGCCGTTGCGGCTGTGGTGTGACACAAGTCGATTCTCTAGAGAGAGGTAGGCGGCGATAGGTGAAGCTCAAGGAAAGTCGTCGCGAGTTGGATATCAAGTGCCGAGGGAAATAGATCGAGATGTTTGAGGAAGATCAGCGAGGGGAGATGGATATCAAATCATGCAGAAGAGACGAAGTGCATGGGCGAAGGGCCCTTTTTCCTCGTAGGGCCATCATGGGGGCTGGCAAACGCGCAATGGTTGATTTGAAAAAAAGAGGGTATTGTGAAGCTGGGTGGCTGGTAACGGTCGAAATAATTTGGTGGTTGGCGCTGGTAATCGCTGGAAAAGGCAAGTCTACAGCGGGTGACAGTGGGTCCGTTCAGCTGGGAAGAACACGCTAACGCGTCGTTCCAGGGGAATCTCAGCAGCAATGGGCGGGCCCCTAGCGCTGCACTCTATTTTTCACAGCGGGCGCTAGGTTTATTGCTTGTGGAACTGACGCACTCTGTCTTTCCCAGCCACCAGCCACCAGTGAACATTGCTGTCCCATGTCGCCGCGAGTGGGGAGGCTTGCATATCCTTAATGCACAACATTTCCGGCCGAACATGAAAAATCGTCCGATCGTATTTCGACTTTTTTCTTCTTGGAAAATGGACATTGTTTCTTCCGTATATCGTTTGTCGCAGTCCCGGTAATCATCAAACGAACCAGTAGGTGGCGAACTTGCTTGTCAACGCTTCTTGTGGCGGTGCTACTGGTGGCGCGACGTCAGGTTGGTGGCTCAGTTGCTACCCCCGCCATCGGATTCCTCGGCGACGCATTGCGTCGCTCTGATCAAGGGAGGCAGGCAAAGACATTGTTAAGGGATGCTTCTGACTATGGAAAACATTTCAAGGCCGTTAGGGAACCACGGTTGTACTTATGCGGGCTATCCAGGTCGGCGTGGAGAGGACTGTCTGTGCAACTCTATTCCAGCACGCGACTTGTCAACGAGGCAGATACCAGGCGAAGAAACCTTGTTGGTAACCTACTGTATGTCAAGCCATGGCTGAATTCAGGCTCTATTCTGTGTCCTCTAGGGCTACTTTGCTCCACGCAACTCGCTCGCTCTTGGCTCGTTCCTCGTCGACACGTTTGGCCAGTGACGAGTGACCACCAACGAGCCAAGGCTACTCTGGTGGGTGCGTCAACGTCGAGCTCCGCCACAGCGCAGCGCCAAAACTTGCAAAACCGGTCGAAAATCAGCCCAGGCAACCCATAGGCATTTCTAGCTCCGAAGTGTTAACTATGCGTAAGCGGTGCCAAACTGCCAGCTGTGAGTAGCGTCGCTGATCTTGTTGCTTATTGGGTGGCCGTTGACTCCGTAGGCAGCCTCGACAGGTAGCCCTGGCGAGCTGGAGGGGCATATGTAAGCTGGCTCCCATCGTCATAGTCGTCATCGCACACGTCGCCATAATTATCGCCTTGGCCTTTTTGTTCACGCGAATCTCCTCGCAAACAACTTAAAAACGCTCCCGAGTGTAAGATCAAGGACGCATCGTGGTATCCTTGCGCGCGCGTCGCCGACAACACACTTTGACAGCACGCGACTTCTACCCCTCACTTTCTCTTTTTTCAAATGTCGTACCAGGGCTACGGTGGCCAAGGCTACGGCGGCCAAGGTTATGGCCGTGAGTGACAACCCAATCTCGATATTCTATCGGTCGACTGACTTGATGCGCTCGCAGAACCGCCTCCTCAGGGCTACGGACAACAGTACCCCCCGCCTCACGGCCACCACCCTCCTCCCCAGCACGGTGGCGGCTATCCTCCCCAGCACGGCCAGTATCCGCCTCAGCACCAACAGTACCCTCCGCAGCACGGCGGCTACAACCAACAGCCACCCGGCCAATACCCTCCTCCTCATCAACAGGGCTACGGCCAGCCGCCGCCTCCCCAGCACTACGGCCAGCCGCCGCCTGGCCAGTACGGCGGCCACCACCAAGCGCCGCCCTACGGTGCGCCTCCGCCAGGCCAGTATGGCGCGCCGCCCCCCTCAGGGCCTACAACGGCGCCCTCGCTCGGCTATGGCCCGCCACAACACATCAACTGGGACGCGTCGGGCGACGCGCAGGCGCTCCGAGCCGCTATGAAGGGCTTCGGCACTGACGAGAAGGCCCTGATTCACATCCTCTCCAACAAGGACCCCTTGCAGGTCGACGCCATCCGTGAGGCTTTTCATCGGAACCTGCGGCGCAACCTGATTGACGACCTCAAGTCGGAGACCAGCGGATACTTTGAGCGTGGCCTGCTCCAGCTAGCCCGCGGCCCCCTCCTCGCGGACGTGTACAACTTGTTTGACGCCATGTCCGGCCCCGGCACCAAGGAGCTTGTGCTCAACGACACCCTCCTGGCGCGCTCCAACGCTGACCTCAACGCCATCAAGCAGGCCTACTACAAGACCTTCCACCGCAGCCTCGAGGAGACGGTCAAGGGCGACCTCAGCATGAAGACGGAGCGCCACTTCATGATGGTTCTTGCCGCCAACCGAGCCGAGGACTCGGCGCCCGTGATCCCCCAGCAGGTCGACGGCGACGTCATGGAGCTCTACAAGGCAACCGAGGGCAAGATGGGCACCGACGAGATTCTCGTCTGCAGCATCTTCTCTAGCAGAAACGATAACCAGCTACGCGCCATTGCCCACGCCTACAAGCAGCGCTTCAACAAGGATCTCGAAGCTGTCGTCAAATCCGTACGTGCAATCCCCATCGTTTTTTTTTTGGCATTTTTTGTGACTAAATTGACAACTGCAGCAGGAATTCTCCGGACACATGAAGGACGCGCTCCTCTTCCAACTCCGTCACGCCGTCGACAAGTACATGCACGCCGCCCAGCTCTTCGAGGATGCCATGGCGGGCATGGGCACCAAAGACCAGCTTCTCGTCGGCCGCGTCGTGAGATACCACTGGGATCGCAACGAGCTGGCAAATATCAAGGGTGCCTATCAGCAGCGGTTCCGTCGCAGCCTGGCCAGTCGCATTAAGGGTGAGACGTCGGGCGACTATGGCCGTCTGATGGTCGCATGTATTGGCGAGTAAAGGGTGCGCGCACTCAGGAGAGGGACCAGAAAACTGGAGATGCCAATAATGTTTATGAATCACGCTACTTGTATGTTATCGGAGTGCTCTAATGCTTTCTTGTCTTTTTTTCTGGCTTGACTTTTCGAGGTTTGTACAGCGGCGGAACTTAGGACCAACTATGGAATGTCAGATGCATTTGAGCAAAAGCCATCCACTTTGACTTCAAAATTTAATAAAACAAATGCGCCATGTGACTCTCAAGAAGGACTCGTGCTAGGTTTGGTCCGGTGATTGATGCACAAGCAGAGCAGAGCTTGACGAGGCAGGTGCTGAACGCAAGGGCAATCGCGGAGCTCGCACTTGCATGAACACCAGAAATAAGATCTCCTCAGCAGCATGAGGGGTTTGAGATTAACCTATTCTATTTCCTATGTACTATTTCATATTTCATCCTCCACGGCCATCCTTGCCTCAAAGTGCGCAAACGACGCTAGTATTCTAAATGACTTTTCTTAGGCCTGTTTCTATGAGTCTGGCACAAATGCCAAGCCAAGCAATTCCATGGATCGCGAACGAGTGCTTCACCACGACTCTCCAGAGCGGACTCGCAAAACCCACCAAGCCAGAGCCCTTCTTCCCCTGGTCAGAGGAGGATGCATGTTATACCAAGCTATTCAGAGCCTGGGACAACTTACCCATCCACGATGCGTCTACGGAAACCGGCCTACTGATGGAGCTGGATCACATCATTTCGCATTTCGACTCCTACATCGGTCACAGCGATCTTGGCTTCCGGTCCTGGGTGAAACGGCACCAACTTGCCATGGAACTTGAGTTGGTGGAGATGCCGACATGGCCAAAGCTCTACACCCTGCAGGGCGACGAGAAGAAGTGGCGAGATGAAGCATGGGTCAGCCGTTACAGCTTCCTGGTCCGCCAGCGCGAAATTATCGCCAAATGCAGGTTGCAGCGCATGACAGGCTGCACACTGGAGGACAAGAAGCGGTTCTTCGGGCTGTCATGGGCGTATCCGCGACAGACTCTTCGAACGGTAAATACCAAGCATCCGGCGCGACTGCGGAATCGTTGGTACGAGCCGCTCGAATACTGCCTCGCAAGAATGGCGCACGGATCATGCGGACGACTGGACTTGAATTCGCTTCATGCTGAGTTTTAGGGGACCGGCGCGACAGCTGGCGCCATTGGCGCGCCGAGCAGCGGCAAGGCTAGTAAATGTGAGCCGAGAAAGGAGGAGTTGGAGGTGAAGTAAGTTGAATGCTGAAGCGCAGTTAGCTGGTTTTTGAGTTCTATCCGTGTGGGGATTTCTTTACGCCCTGGCTTCTGGCTAGAGATTAGTAGATATAAAAGGGTGGAAACAGCTTCAGAGAGGACAGCTTTTTAATACAGGGTCCACAGAAATTAAGGAAATTTTAACGCTAGGCGCACTTGTTAGTCATCTGGTGATATTCCTGCCTAATTGACGAGGCATAAATAAAAAAGCTAGCCTACAATTGGCTAAGTATCAAACACGCTAGCACCTGGATAAATCCTGCCCAGTTAAACTCCTGCCGACTGACGCAATTCCTATCACCCATTATTATCCGGCTGAGAGACGGGCGAAGCCACAACTCTATTCGCGCCAGACACAACTCTATCCGCATCAGATTCGGGCTCTCGGAAAAGATTCTCTGGATACTATTTCACGTTCCAACGAAGGGCAGAGAAACCGCTGCACGTGCCTGTGCGTGCAACCATTCACGACTTGGCTGCAAACGCGTTTGAGAATAGGAGCAAACGGCTAACTTTATTAACTCCTGCTAAGCCTATTAAGAGGATCCGGTTTCACTTTCTTTTTAATTTCTTAATGAGTCCAAAGGAGCCAGTGCATATACGCTACCCTATCAGCCTGAGCACGCCGTTCAAAGTCTACTCCCACTCATACCAAGCAAGACGTTGCTGTGAGAGGCGAGGGAAGTGCATCACACCTTCCAAGGCAAAGTAACCGGGGGCATCCAGCCCATAAATACGGTTCATAAATGATAGAGTCTTCACTCAACCGCCTACGACCATAGCCGCCGCCCTAATGACAACGCCAAACATGGCACAGCAGCCAACGCCGTTCCGATTTCCGTCACCAACCCGGGCCTCAGAGGACCAGCGATTCCAAGAGGCTGTGGCCCATGCTAAGGCCTCGATGAAGATTTACACACCTGCTGTGCTGCGCCAAGCCATCCGCGAGTTGTGGGAGCTTACGCTTGTAGGGTCTGACTACCACTCCGACTTTATTGTAAGTAGCCGCGCCGCCCAAACATCAGACGAAGAAGTTTATCACGGGCCTGGAGAGGAGACTAACCGATGAGAAAACTATAATATAGTGCAGCACCATGTTTCACAGGGCCACTTCGGGGGCCTTGAGCGCGGCGGTCAAGCAACGAGGCGCGCGCCTCGTCGAGCACTCGTCACTCCCCATCGCTAAGCACCTGCGGATGGCGGACCTCGACTTGATGTCTCAGGTGCTGTTGCCGAAGCTGAGCCCCGCGTTCCAAGACTCGGTCCTGGCCATGCGATTCGAGACTATCGGTGCCCAGCAGCTCGTCAACTTGCTCGGCCGCGCCGAACGGCTGGGATACGACGTTAGAGACGTCGTGACGGACAACCAATCCGGGTCGCCGCGGCAAGAGAGAGTGATTCCCACTGCGAATCCCATACCAGCACCCCCAACAGCCATGGTAGTACCATCGTCGCAGCCGCAGCCGCAGCCGCGGGCGCCGAACAACCTCCCACCCGACGAGCAGGTTAAGAGGCTCGGTATCACCTTTTGCGCGGCTTGCAACCGCCCATGCGGAGGACAGAAGGCCCTGAAGGCGCATATTCGGAGCGGTCTTTGCGGGTCGCCGCCAGTGCCACTGCGCAAATTCGGCAAGGACAACTGTCTGTTCTGCGGCCAGCGATTCACGGGCAACGGCGGGCTGAACTACCACACAGCCAATAGCGTTTGCGGTATCTACACGCCGGAGCATACTGCCGTACTGACGGCGTTCTTTGTTGGCGCCGAGCAAGGCTGGACTAAGGAGCAGTCGGCGGCTCCCGCGCCGGGCAGCCAGACGCCGGTCAGCAGGGGACGCCCCGAGACGACGACGCGGGTCACACCGGCGCCGGCGCCGACACCGCAGTCGCAGGAACCCTCGTCTTCGTCGTCCAAGGACCCGTTCGCCGCACTGACACCAGCCAGGCGGCTCGAGCTGGACACGGCACTCGCGCGGGTTGAACAGCAGTACGCGGAGAGCATGAAGAACGCGCTGAAGCTGCCGCCGGAGGCGCAGAAGCACGAGATTGCGCGCCTGAAGAACCTGTACTACAACAAGATGAGCATGACGCGCAAGAAATTTGGCGTCCGACTGCGGGAACGGCGGTCGAAGTCCGCCATCGACAGTGAGCGCGAGCGCATGCTCAGCACCTCTTTAGGCACGCCGCTGCCTGCGTCGGGAGGCGGCAGAGCGGGAACGCCGGGCACGCCGAACACTCCGGGATCAGCGACGATGGCAATTATCGGCGAGCGCTGGGGGTCAGTTCCAATGTCGCCACAAGCTAACAACGCGGTTGCGCGGCCGGTGCCCATGTCCATTGCGGGTTCGTACACGACCCCGATCCGAACGCCGGATGATGCGCCGGCTGCATCGGCGCAGGCGGAGTCAGCGCGGTCGGAGTCGACGGGCAGCGCAAATAACACGGAGCCGATTACTGCTCAACGCGAGAACGGGGACGAGGACAAGGATGAAGAGATGGGCGAGGACGAGGATGAAGAGATGGGTGACGACGATGATGGACATGACGACGAGGAGGACTACAAGACGCCTACGGAGATGGATGCTGACGAGTATGACGACCGACAGTGAACGACTTTGCTGTTCTCGATGCGCCAACTTGGCGTATAATCTGCAAATCTCAATTGCTTAGCTAACTGGGATAACTCATCTGGCCGAAGATGCAACATTGGCTGGTAGAACTGAGGCTACTGGAAGAATTTTTGGCAGTGTTTCCTCGAATATGATACCTTTTAGCGATATCCAACGGCGCTGGAGCGTTTCGATGCAGCCAATCTCCCGGGAGAGAGTGAGGCGGCGTGGAGGAGCAACTGGCTAGAGAGCTGCCCAACTACTTGGGAGCCGCAAGACCATTTGGCTTGGGACATTTCCGAGCGCATCGACGACGGGGGAGGAAGAATGGCATGGAGGTGGTTCCTTTGCCGACGTTTTTCGGTTGGGTTTGGTAGCTTTCCCAGTTACTTGGCGAACAACTAGACATTTTGACAAGCATTACGAATGGGACAAAGGTTTAAAGCATCCAAGGGGGTTAGAAGGGCTGTGTGCTAGGATCATCTACGGAGAGCGAGGGGCTATATCATCGGCAAGAGAGAGACTACGCATAAATACCGCTCGACTTTTTTTCCCCAAATTGTGAGTGACCGTGCACGCTTATTCCTGGTATAAAAGGACCATTGTGTCCATCCATCCCATGTCCTTGCAGGAGGATGGCGCTCTCTGGTGGCGTCACCATGTCACATCTCAGAAACCACCGGTTCCCCAACGGCGGTATGGGCCAGGGGGTACGGGCAGGTGCGCGGGCCAAGCCTCGATGGTGTTCTGCGAGACACGTTTCTTTTTCCATTGTAGGCATGGATGCCAGTAGAATGGGAAAGGAATAGGAATAGTTCAAGATAAGGGCACGGCCGAGGATGAGATGAAAAGGGAGCAAGGAGCAAGGCTAAGTATGTTGGGAGAAGAAAGACGTCAGGCGGAGGGATGTGAAACACGTTAGTGGCTCTTGCGAGGGTGATTAGTAGTTTATAAGGTGCTCAATTGGGTAGAAGTTGGTGCGTGTTGGTGGTGGTTGATGATGGATGGGGCTGAACAGGATGGAGGTTGAAGAAAGGTGATTGATTTTTTTTATTCTCCGAGGGAAGGGAAATCCAAGACATGTCAGTGGAAACTGAGACATGTCGGCCGAATTGAGCAGCTGTATCCGCAAATCTAAATCTATCACGATGGTTAGTTGTGGGTTGAAGCATTGTTTCGTTGGCTCGCTTGGTTGCGGCCCTAAGCACTGACCGTTACGGAAAACGTGCCGCTCAATTTCCCCTTCATTTATCCTGGTTTGAGGAAGAGTAGAAGTAATTTCAGAAGCTGAAATAGGCTGGTTGATTAGGGCAGGTGCTAATGCACTATGCCGTGCTGGTCTTATAGGTTATAGGCTCCCATATAGTTCATGGGTTAGTTAGTTGGCCGGCCGTGTAAGTGCGTGCCGGTTTGTTACTTGACCGCTGAAAGCGCATGAATATATCAATGGCCAATCGAAGGCAAGACGATGGTTGAGTAATTAATAAGATTTTAATTAGAAACAGAGAAACAAAAAAAAAGACGCCAAATGAAGAGGGTTCCCACAGACCAGAGTCCGCGCGCAACCACTGCCGAGCCAGAGACCCCGCAAACTCTGCTCGACGCCGCCCATTTGTCTCTTGTCCATGGTCTTGCTTGATCATGCAAGGCTAGACAATGTCTCTCCTGAATCGTCGTGGAAAAAGGTTACGCCACCATCGTCACCAATATGCATATTCGCACTTCTACCCCGAGGGGAGGGCAAAAATGAGACGGATGGGTAAAACAAATTCGTCGTCAGGTGGACAGGAAGAGATGAGAGCGGCTGGCGCTAGTCGTCATCGATGAAACAACTCGCCGCCTGTCGTGTCGGCCGCCCTCCTGGCTCATTTATCTCTTCGAGAGAGACAGGCAGAGAGGGAAAAATAACCTGTCACAAACTCGTGGCGGCTCCATCTGTGACGTACATGAGCGCACAGGCATCTTCCCTGTCCCCTTGAATTAACCTGACCGAGAGAGAAGAGAAAAAGCACGCAGGAAGCGATATCGTATGGACATGTGGAAGCCATCACTACTGACGATAGACTGAGCGACAAAGCAGCGGAACAAATTCGCCGTCGACTAAGACCTAATTTAACCTCGAGAATTTTCAGCTTTGTCGACTTATTCTAGAACTTTAATCTTCTAGCCCAATGTCACGAGCTTGGCTGGCGACGGAGAGGGGGGGGGGACGGTTCGGCGATGAAACCCGTTCCAACCCACAGACAGCCCGTTCACGGACTTCTTACAGACAAAGGGAATAGCAGCAAATACGAACCACGCCCAGCCGGACCCAGACGGCCCGCGGTCGATTGAGAAGAGTTTCGGTCTCGGTTCACAGCCTCGATGGGGGGAGTGTTCCGGTCTTGTGCCTCCCCTCCCACAATAAGTCGTGAAGTCGAGGGGGGAGACCGACAGACATTTGTCAAGAGGTAGGTGCATGCATGTAAATGGCGCGCAAAAGGCACTATTAAGGATAACTAAAGAGTAAAAGTTTGTAAAGGCACTGCGTCCACTTTCCCGCATATGCAACCCCGACATTCCCCGCCAGAACGAGCATCATGATATCCAGCAACAACTACACTGCCCACTCATTGCGCACCAACATCCCCTCCTTCCCGTCTACGAGGTAGCACAACTTTGCTAACTTTTTCTTCCTGCATTGGCTCATCTCAATCACCCGCAATTGCTCCCCTGCCCGCCATTTCATCCCCCCTCCCCTCTTCCATGCGCGTAAGCAGGCTAGTTTGGACGGCGTGGCTTTGCTTGTTCTGAAGCACGCGAGGACGTGGCTATGGATTAGCTCAGTAGAGAACGTAGGAAGAACAAGGAAGGAGGAAAAGAGGGAAAGGGCAGATGCGGCACGTGGAGGGAGGGAAAAGACCGCTGGTTAATCCTTGCGCTGCGTCGATGGCAGGCACAGCCAAGGGTCCAAGCTTTTGCTTCACGAGTAGATCGCGCCGGGGCGGCAGGAAAGAGATGTTGTTAAACATGGGTACCCTTGCTCCCGTCTTTCGCTTTTTTCTCTCTCCTTCATATTTACTAATTATACATGAAATGGTTAAAATAGTCCCATAGACGATCCCATCCCTCCCTTCCGTCTGGGGGAAGCAGAAAAGCTGGACAACTCACCTCGCCACCCCTCCCCCGCCTCAACATCACACACTCTTCCGAAGTTTCCGCCACGATAAAGCTCCTCGGACTCGATTTTTCCCGGCCTCGCATGAAAATCATTCTCTACCCCATGGGGGGCTTCAACATTATCATTTGAGTTAGACAAGGGTTTCCTCTCTGTTCAGTTCCGATCTGGCCCTTATCCTCGCTGACCCCGGGACGTGTTTCATCCTCCCGGAGAGCCGGCACGGCCTCTCGCCTCTTATCTAACCCATATATATACATACCAACCGTCATAATCGCCGTCATCTTTCTGTCGCTCTCCTACCCAGCAGAAAAGAAGACGCAAAAAAGCTTCCCCAAATGCAATCAGAGACCGTCGTCCTCCAAACCACCTACCTTGCCGGGAAGAAGAAGGGGAAGCCTCTTCCCGCCCGCGCCGCCACCGTTATGGGAACGCGCCTCAGCACCGCCAACAATAACGGTAGCGGCACGAGCAGGAGCGGCAGCGTCCGCTACCGTCACCAGCATTCCAACTCGACCCCGCCGACCGGCATCCACCACCACCACCGGGCCGCCAGCTCCGTCTCCTCCAGCCACCGCCAGGCAGCGGCGGCGGCGCCGCCGCCAACACGCCCGCCGCCGGCAGCGCCGCCGGCCCCTCGCCCGCGCAGCCACAGCACTTCCGCCATCGGCGAGACCACCACCGTGCTCGTCGGCCGGCAGCGCGCGCGCTTCGTCATCTCCCGACGACTCCTCTGCGCCGCGAGCCCCTTCTTCCGTACCCGCCTCCTTGTCACCAGCACCAACACCGCTTTGTGGCTCCCCGGCGAGTCGGCCACCATGTTTGAGCTGTTCGTCGAATGGCTGCACGCGCCACGCTCCTTCCGCTCGCACCTCGACGACGCCATCACCGCCGACAACGACAACGCCGCCGAGGCGGAGCTCCTCCACTGGGCGCTGGTCCGGCTGCACCTGTTCGCCGCGCGCCTCGGCCTGCCGCCGCTGCAGGACCTAGCCATGGACGCCGTGCAGGACCTGTACCTGCGGCGCGACTGGGATGTCGCGCCGGCTGTCGTAGCGTACCTGTACGTGCGGTGCGAGGCGCGCCACGCGGGGCGTCTGCGGCGTTGGGCCGTCGCCATGGTAGCCTTTTCCCTCGCCGCTGCCGGGCAGGAGGAGGAGGAGGAGCAGCAGCAGCAGCCGAACCAGCAGCGGGCGTCATCGGCCACTCACCTCCGCAAGCTGCTTGCAGCGCTGCCGGAGCTCGCCGCCGACTATGCCGCGCACGTGCGCGGCATGCGTGCCGCCGGGCTCGACCTGCGCTTCAAGAACCCGCAGCTTCGCATCCCCGCCAACGCCTTGCGCAGCGATAAGCGCGCGTTCGGCTTCCGCGAGTGCTCCTTCCACTCGCACCGCGCCGAGGTCGGCCAGGGTGCCTGCCCGCACTCAGCGAGCGGCCTGCGCGCCGCAGACACAGGCTCCGTGCTGGACCTTCTCGGCGGCGGCGGGGACGAGCAGGCGGTGGCCGAGGACGAGGATGAGGACGAAGACGAGGAGGTGGATGAAACGAGGCAGTGGGAGAAGGAGTGGGCGGGCGAGTTCGAGGGCTGGGAGGACGAGCCGGAGTACACGTACGCGACAACGAGTCTGAGACGCCCGCCGTCGGTGCCGACGCCGCCGCCGCCGGCCCCGCTTCCGAGACGAACGGCGAGCGGGAGGCTGTTGATGTCCAAGTTTGGCACGCACAGCTCCCCGCGACTTCCGTCGCGGGACGGCGCCGTGGCCCCAACGCCAACGTCGGGGTGATTAAGTTAAATGAGTTTGGATTTGGCCAATTAGCACAAGCTACCTAATAAACAAGCTCAGTAAAAAAAACACAGACACAAAGTTTATGTCACTCATAACGTCACCAGCAAGCAAAGAGGGCATCCTCAGCGAAAATTGCGTTTCCAACCTTCATGTGCATTTGCGGCTTGGACTATACCAAGCTCAGTGGTAGAGTAGAATAAAAATGATAAGCAGAATGGAAGAAACCTCGTAAACATCATAATCTTCGTCAAGCAATCTTCTTTGCCCAGCTTCGTCTTGGTACCTCCAGATCCCAGTATATATAAAAGAAAAAGAGAAAAAGATCGGTCTCGAAAAAGAAACCTTAGTAGCAAGAAAAAAAGAATCAACATCCTCCATCCACCAAGTAGACGCAGTTGCTAGCTGACAAGACTTGATCGTGGTAAAGGTTATACATTAGGCAGCCAGAAGAAAGGATAAATCGTAAAAGAAGAATAACAATAAAAACACAACAATCGCTCTTGTATAGAAGAAGAAAGGTGTCGTCATTCAAAGGTCGTAACAGTCGTCATAAAAATGTGGTAGGTTGAGCTTCCCTGCTACCTGGGCAGTATCAGTCTTTCGGTATCTTGTAAGATAGAAATGCCAAGAATGATTTCCTTGTGCTCAGTAGATAGAACAAGTACCAGTGTGTCAACTGGCTCGTATGTGTCAACCTGGTCGGAGGTAGACGTACGCAGAGTGCAGATTGTGTCTTTGTCCGCACATCTATAGGCATGCCGGATGTATCGAGTCGTCATTTTAGGATGTGTGAAAAGTCGTGTGTAAGCGAGTTCCACGGGCGATATCTTGTTCACTGCGGCGACTGGGAGCGGCGACGTCCCTCCTCAGGGCGGCGGTTGATCGACCGCAGACAATCGTCAACGTATGCCAGGCGGTTAGCCAGCGACGCGTTGTTCGCACTACTCTCAGCGGCCGCGGCCGCACCGCCTTGCTGGACCGTCGCGTAGGGTCGACGAGCGGACATCTCAATGCGGCCTGGGCTGGAAAAGCGGTTGGGAACCGACTGGCTTGCGCCAGTCACGACGAACGGCGAGCCTAGCCGCCGAGGGCCGTCCCAGAGCGCAGGCTGCGCGGTGATGGGGCCGGGGAGCGGCGCTGCGGGACGCCGCGCCGCGGAGTCGAACAGCTGCTGGAGGTTGGTGCACGGCGCCAAGAGGCCGGCCTCACGATCGCGCGCCGACCCCGAGCGGAACTCGCCAAAGGACCGCGTGCTCTGCAAGCTGCCGTGGCCCCCGTTCGACGGGTCCGTCCAAAAGTCGGTCCCGAGGCTCGGGCGCTTGCGCCGACGCGGTTCCAACACCGCTTGGCGCCGCTTCTGCGAGCTCGGTCGGCTTTCGACCAGCCTGGCCGGCGATCCCAGACTCTTATTGCGGGCGCCAGCGGTCTGGTTTTGGCGCATGGGCGCGTCCGAGGGCCCTAACGGGTCTGCGAGCGACATTGAGACACTGGGGCCGCAGCTCTTAGCGACGAAGGGCGAGCCCAAAACTGGGCGTTCTTCGCCGATAGGTGTCGGTTCCGTAAGGAGGGGGGGTGGCACGGCGGCAGAGTCTGGCTCGTATCGCAATGCGCCGAGTCTTGCCAAGGGCCCATGCGGCTGCATGGACTCGCTTGTGCTCATGCTTAAAGACATGGCCATTTCGGAGCCGGAAAAAACGGATCGCTGCCTTGGTGGCGCAGAGCGTCTATTCCAATACCGGTTGGCGGTCCTGCCAAACGGTGTTGGGCTGTTGGCATTGTAGCGGCTGTTGCGTGCCGCCGAGCCAGTGCTGGTTTTGCAAAGCTCACGGAGATGAACGCGCGTCGCAGCGCAGGTATGAGGCCACTGTGAAGCAGGACGGAGCGACTCCGCAGTCGGCGTTGTATTGCGGCTCCTTTGGGGCTGATGAGGTCGTCGCCAGCTTCGCTTCGCCTCGCGTGCGACTCTGACACACACGCCGTGAGGCGGGATGCCGCTCTTGCCAATGCGGAACGGCGTTACCTTGGGGTCTTGCAAATAAATCATGTAGGTTGCCCACAGGTGTTGGCTCATGGATCTAGTCCAGGGTGCTTTTCTAGTTCTTATGGAGGTTGTACGGGGTTTGGCGGCGGCGGCACGACGCGCGTCATCGACGGAGAGAAAGCTGCCAAAGCGATCAGTACATTCGAACTCGGGACTGACGCATTGGCTGAGGTCCTCTGATGCTATCGAGTATCTGCTAAAGAGCGAGGAGCTCGTCTGTGTCGATCGTGCGGTAGAGGGGCGGCTGGATTCGTAGTCTGGACTGGATTCTAGGCTGCTGAGGCCGCTGTCGAGCGACCAGTCAGGGAATTGATAGGGCTCGAGGAGGGGCACTACGCCAGGTGCCGGTGTCTTGGGTGGCGAGAAAGCGCGGTCAGCAAAGGCTTGTCGCGCTGAACGGTAGAGATCGATATTTTCGATATGGTCGGACATGGTAGGGTAGGCGGAGTCAATCATGTCTTCGTCAAGCACGCCTGGCTCCTCGATGCTTGGGATGGGAACATCCGCAGCCGCGACGGAGGCGAGGAACTGCTTTGTTGGCGCTATGAGATTCGACGCGGTTCGTTTGCGGAGGCGAAATCGCGGCCTGGCGGGCGTCTGAGGCAGTAATGAAGTAGAGGCGGCGGGGTCTGTAACAGTTGAGGGCTCCGGAGTTCTGGGGAGGTCTGGGCGCGGCGGCTGGGCCGCAGACGGGCGCAAGGAGCGACTCATGGCGAGAATTCAAGGTGGAATGGTATGCGAGCCGCACAAGTTGTTCGGGGTCCTGCTTGACAGGTATGTAGCAGCGACGCTAGGTGTCGCGGAACGAGGCCGAAATAAGCAAGTCTGACGCAGGTGTCGGAGAGAAAAAGCAATCTAGTAGAGCCAGACAATGGGCTGTGGAGGGGGGCGAAGAAAGATGATGGTCCTAGAATTTGTAGAGATTCGTTCTGCAGCGCGGCAACGGTCGGCCTGGACCAGAGAGGGCCGAGCGACAGCGACTGAGTTGCGCGATCGGGACAGTGTTGACAGACACGTCGCGGCGAACAGCGAGCGCAACTCTGGTCAAGCTAAGCACGCATGCGCATGTATTTAAAACGTCGGGTAAGGATTCGCGATGATGGGAAAATTATATCCAGGGTCGATAAAGAGCGCGAAGCAAGGCTCGATGGCGACGAAAGGCAGGTGGAGGCTGGGAGTATCGGCGCGGCGCGGCGCGGCGCGGCGTGGGTGAGGCGATTGTGAGTGTTTGCGCTTGGCGAATCTGAGTTCGGAATCGTCGCGGGGTCAAGCGAAGGTCGAAAAAGTAGTGAGACTAATATCGTTATAGTCGCGAGAGTCTCTGGATCAGAAAATTGAAGCAAAAGGGATCTCCGCAGGGTTGGGGAAGCGGTGATGATGGAATGGGCGCAAAGGGAAAAGAAGGACTGGAATGGGATGGGGGGGGAAGAGGAGGAGAGGATAGAGGAGGGATGGATGGGATGGGTCGGTCGCAAGCGCAGGCAAGTGGACATTGGCGAGGATGGCCTTGGGCTGGGTGAGCCTGGAGGTACCTTCGAGGATGTGGGTCAGCAGCCAAAAGTGTCGAGGCTCAAAAGTGACCAGTCCTATGTCGGAAAGTGACTTTGGCATGTCTTGAGCAGTGACCTTTCCATCGCTGTTGTTGTGGGCGGAGAGTGTGGGCCGACTGCAGAAAACGAAGAAATTCGAGAGGTACCTCCCCCCGGAAATCAAAGTACTCGCTTCCAACCAGAGGGGTACCAGTACAGACAACTGTACAGACAACTTACAGCGGTGGGCGACAGTGACCCGGGGCCACCAGGGGAGTGTCTAGCGGGTCTAATCCACTGTAAACTAGCGGCAAGCCCACTGAAGTGCTCTTCCTCTCTTGCATCCACCGCTTCAGTGCTCGGGTGTCCACCGTCCATCCTGCACGAGTACATTTATAGCGCTATCGCTCACTGGAGCTAGCAGGGGGTCCTCAAGGTATAGCGCTACTGCTCCTGTAAATGCGGTGAACCGGGTCCCGGTCTGCAAGCCTCCCCAAGCCCGCCTCACCTCCCATATACAGCCCCCCAGTCACCATGTTAATTAACCGCAATGAACCATCATCAAGACGTCCAGCCAGGGGCTCCCCCCAGCTCAACGTGCATCCTGCATTCGCTCCGGTTGCCGCTCACCCACAGAATGATCCTCCAAGCCCGCCCCCGACTTTGGTCCCCTTGTTCTTCGCGGGGACCCTGAGAGCCCCGGCCAGGGAGTGATGATTCACCCGGATTCCATTCCCCCAGAAACAGGTTTTCCCGAGTGCTTTTGTTTTGTTTGGCAATGCTAGACATCAGAATCGCAGTGCTCGTGTTGTATTATACGTACAATCTCTCGCAATGGCTGCCGCGACTGTAGCCAGTGGACAAAGCCCTCGACTCATTTCACACAGCTAGCAATATCTGCCTGCCACCTATGTCTAAGCCTCGTGATTTATTAATTTCACCGCCAACTTACACCACAACCTCAATCCATTAATAGTATAAATCAATAAACCTCATCTATGAACCGCTTGGGATGCGCTCCCGTCCTTCCCGCCCCTCATCCCACCGTTCATGCCGCATAGCGCCGTGGGACATGCGCCACACACTACCAGACATCATCTGATGCCACTTGCAACCTTGCTTACTCTTCGTCTCTGCTCACGGGATAAACATCATTAAATCAACCAAGCTCAGCAGTCTACGTACGTGCTGCACCAATTTACGTGGCTTACTTAGTAGCGCTGAGACATCAATCGTCGGCAGTCGAGCACGTCCTGAGACCATTGGTGTTGAGATATACCGATTACGGGAAAAGAACAGGTGCGAGTACCCACCTGGAGCGTCAGTTATTCTCCTCGACGACTCGGCATATGGTGTCAGTCGTCAATATTGTTCCTCGTCGTTGCTTTTTGCGTTCCCTCATCGCGGGCTCTTCCGGTCAGCTAACTACTGGCACACCGTTTATGTCCCTCCCATGTCTCATCCACGGCAGCGGGCCAGCGCCACGTTGGAGAGGAAAAGGTTGCGCCATCAAGTGTCTGTGTCAAGTCTGTTGTACCAGCAGGAACCGGACCGGTGAAGAGGGTGGCTGGTCGTAACCCACCCATGATGCACCCCAACAAGTTCCGCCGCGAGACATGCCAGACCAGCTACGGTAGCGAATCAACAGTCATAATGTGTGCCTTCCACGCTCCTCCATTCAAAGATGCACCACTGCAACTTTGTTCAACTTTGTCCTCGTTTCTTTGCAACGTCGGGGGCTAGCATCTTGAGATTCGGCGAGAGGGATACAAAGCAAAGGCATGGGAAACAAAAAGATGCTCGTGACACAGGCGAGAACGATGGCTGACTCGTCATGGTTTGCGTGAAAAGTGTGCCATCACCAATGCATTGGCGTCCCCAACAGAGAGAGGGAAATACTTGTACGCTGGAGAGGAAGAGACACGACGAAAGTGGGAATGCGCTGGTCTCTGAACGCTGCTTTGAAACGCGTCTGGCGCGAAAGCAACGCGTCATTAACGCGGTTGTGAATAGTGGGGCCCTCGGCCGAAGCCACTACAGAAAATGGGGCTCGACACCATCTCGACCAACCGGGCCGTTCCTGGCCACGCCTCGCCTCGGCCGACTGGTTAGGTTACAACCAAAGTACGACACTGTCTGTTGTAGCTTGCACATGGTATTACCGTTGCAATAATGCAAGAAACGGGAGACGATGGGGGCAAAGAAAGGCTATGATGAGGACAGGCTCAGCGTCAGGCATCATCAACAGACGACCGGCACCCATTCATTCATGGCGCTGGCCAACTATCTGATGTGCCCGTTGCTTCAGAGTCGTTTGAGTTCAGCTTATCATCCCCATCAGAAGCCGCCATCCTCCATTCATCGTCAGTCAGCTTCGTGATTGGATGCCCTTCTGTCATAAAGTGATTAAAACGCCGTTCAGCCATTCACATCTCGCTAGTCGCCCATGCATATCAAGTCCTAGAACAACCCTGCGGGGGGTTCGATTACGGCAACAATCAAGTGATTGCAGCCATCTTTGAGCCTTGTGGCGTGACCTCTGCCGGTAGCCCTCCCCGCGTGACAATACAGGCTTTGAGCGTCGCAATTGGCTGGTCAGAAACATGGGGTGCCGAAGGGCAAAGGCAGAGGAAGTTTGGGAAGCAAAAAAAGTGATAGATGGCTGCATATTGGGTTCCTGGGGGGGCTGTGTCCCGCAAGTCCCGCTCTCAGGCATGTCCTCCGTATGCGTGATGCGATGAGGTTGCAGTAAAAGAGACCACAGATGGCATGTTTTGTTTCGCTCCCGCCTTCCCGCGCAGTTCTTCTTTACTTCCCACGGCCGGTATGAGGCAGGGCAGCATCCATGACACCATTGAGTATGCTTGATCGGGCGGGCAGCGTTAGGCACATGCGGATGGAGCTGCCCATCGCCGTTGCGTCATGCATTCCACCCGAGCATCGCGGGGAACACACTTGTCTTAATCCCAAATCGCTCGCCAGCACAGCCTAACATAACAATTGAGCCCTTTGGGCACGTTTTCTTCCTTCCTGACGACCTACTAAAGACCCTGGCGCACTTGCACGGCTGAGTGACGCACTTATTCCGGAGGCTCAAAAAGAACCACGCTTGTAGTAACTGCGTCGAAGCCAAGCCGCAAGAGTGGTAAAAACAACATCATACTATCCGTATCTGTAGTCGATTGAAACACAAAAGAATTGACAAACAAGGGGCGAGCAAGGATCACACTTCCAATTGGCGAATGAGAGCTCACAATGGACGCCCGCAAAGGTCCCTCACCGCACTGGGCAGGTTGGACAATTGTCGGTATGACGGTTGCCGGTGCAATCGAGCAAGTTGATTGAAAACAATGCGCCACGAGAAGAAAACACATCAAAACATTGCGACGCGTTCCTGGACGAAAAGCCCTGTGAATTGCTTCTTTCACTGCTGCCCCGAGCTCTGGACCACCCCCCCCCCCCCCCCCCCCGCCAGATATTCTCCGGGTGCTCGCCTCGTACTTTTTTCTTCTGACAGGGAAGGCAAAGTTGTTTTGTCGCGACCCGAGAATCAATTGGATGATGACGGCCCAGAGATGCCTCTCCTCCCTTGTCGGGCCACGTCCTCGTTGGCCTGCATTGCATGGGAGGGAGCCTTGCAGCCGCCGCTCTTTGTCCCTCGGAGCTCGGACCATGGATGAGTCTCTCGTCCAGGGTCGGCCAGCGGCAAGGCACAACAAAATAAGATCGGGGCAAGAGCAGCAACACGTGCACAGGCACTTTCGTCGGTGGTAGTTGCGGACAAGGTCCGTGTAAGAGCGGCCTGCGGTCGGGTCAATCGACTGCAGCGCCGGGCTATTTTTGGTTCTCCATTCCTGCCCTCTTCCGTCTTTCTTTCTTTCTTTCTTTCCTCCAAGCAGGGTGGTCAGACATAATTGGCCCAAGTACCACACTACGGATGTTGTTGTTATCGAGTGCGGCTGCTGCTGTTTCTGCGACTGGGTGAGGGGAGGGGGGTTGCACAAAGGAGCAAACACAACAACTTATTAGCTCCCAGGTCAATGGCTCACGTATAACCAGCAATCGAGGGAGTATCATCTCCTCTTTGTCCGAATCCAAGCGTCGGATCCTCCACAGACGGCCCGACCCCTCTGCAGGCGCGGCACGGGCCCTGACATGCCATGCTTTGACGGTGTCAACGCGCTGTGGCGCAGCGGCTGGCAAGAAGTATTTGGTATTGTTCAGCAGAGACGGACCAAGGGGAGGTACGGGGTGTGCATGAGCCTGCACCTCTCTCAATGGTAGCAAAATACGTATTTCCAATGAAACTAACAATCAACTTTGGGGGGGCGGAAGCAGCAAATGTCACTAAACTACAGGGCAGTGTGTGTCAGAGGTCTCTCGGCACCGCCACCACAGCAGTTCCAGTCATTGCCGTAAATGATCCGCGTTCGATCTGTATGGTTGGGGGGGCAAATGCAACAGCAGCTGAAGAAGATTGATTATTGGATCATCCAACCAAGCGGCACTTACGCCAACCGCAGTTGTGCTGAGTGTCACCACACCCACGCAGATCCCGTCCGTCTCTACCCAAACTTGAACCAGTGCGAACATTCTCGAGCCTTTCTCCCTTCTTCTTTTGGTCGCGTGGTCAAAACGCTACCTAAGCCTTCACTTCCACAGTGTTATCTCAGGGGATTCACGGATGAGTTCACTCCATCATCTGCAAGACAGCTTGACTGTGTGCATGTCTCTCGCCATGGCGTCGAGAAAGAAATCAAGCGGTGGCACGCCTGAAGCATCTTTACAATAGTAATATTGCTTCCAAAGTTCTGTCAAGAACGTACCCTGTTCTGAGAGCCAACAGCTTCAGGCTGATGGCGTCTGTCGCAGGGCATTGCCGTGGATGCAGGCTTTGCGTTTCTGCACATAGATGTTAGTCTCCGACGAGTACTTCGTAGTTATCGTTAAGAATGGTTCCGCAGTCATACACCGACATGCACAAAATCCTTCGACAAAATAGGTTCATCCCGACGACTCTGCTGGAGGACGTTGAAAGTGATGGGCGGTCGGGAGACGCCATGGCCCTGTGCTGCCAGAGCGGTTCGTCGGCTGAGAAGCAAAATCAGTTATCCGTACAGTCAAGACAACAAGATGTCGCGCAGAATATTATTCTTCTCCCCGCAGAACCTCAGCCCAGTTTGAAGGAACCAGTAAACTCAAGCGCCGTCACCAAGCCACTTTGGTGCGGGCAGGCTCGTGATAGCTGAGCGACCCGCATTTTTTTCCCCGACCTCAAACGGCATCACTGACAATCTTTCGCACCGGTAACAGATCCGATCTCGACAAGATTCTTAGCCTTGCATCTGAAACTCTAATGCCGGGGCTTTTCGTGTTACACTAGTCTCTCATTTTGTCAACTTTCCAGCTACAGGCTCCCATCGCAATGGCTGTTACCGACATTGTCACCATCGACAACCTGTCCACAAAACTGCCGCAATGGCATCCTGGCACGGCCAACCACCTATACGCCATTGTGGACATGGGAAGGTAAGCATTCCCTGTACGTGCCCCTTGAGACTTGTGTGCCGCGGTGTTGACCTCGTCCTCAGCAACGGCGTCCGCTTCTCCATCACGTCTCTTGCCCCTCCATTCTCGCGGCTGCTCAACCCTCTTTTCTCCACACGCGCCGCCATCTCGCTCTTTGACGCGCTCACGCCGTCTCCCGACGGCAGCGGGCTCATCTTCCCGGAGCAGACCATCATCGACGTAGCCGAGGCCGTAGCCAGCTTCCACCACGTCGCCGTCGCGCACGGCGTCCCTCGGGCCCAGATGTACATCTTCGCCACGGAGGCGATGCGCCGTGCCGACAACGCCGGCGACATCCTCGAGGCCATCCGCGCCGCCACGGGCGGACTCGGCGTGCAAATCCTCGCGCCCGAGGTCGAGACGCTTTGTGGTGCCGTCATGGGCACCCGCAGCAGCCTCGTGGGCGTGCCTGGCGGCGCCCTCTTTCTCGACCTCGGCGGCGGCAGCGTCCAGATGACCTGGGTCGACACCTCCACGCCTGACTACATGATTAAGGCCGCGATAGCGGGCTCCAGCATGCCGTACGGCGCGGCCAAGCTCATTCGGGTCCTTGAACAGCAGTCGGTGCAGACGCAAGAAGCCGAGATTGACACCCTACGGACAGGCATGAAGTCCGTGTACGACGGTCTCTGTACCCAGTTCCCTGCGCTCAAGACCATAAAGGAAGCGTACGAGCGGGGTGAAGATGCCAATGTCGACGTGTACATGTGTGGCGGCGGATTTCGCGGCTATGGCACCATGCTCATGCACGACGATGCGATCAGCCCCTATCCGATCCCTTCTATATCGACGTACACCGTCGACGGGTCGAAGTTCAAGGAGACACATCGCATGTTGAGCATCAATACCGAGTATTCGGGCAAGATTTATGGTCTTTCGAAGCGCCGCCGCAGGCAGTTCCCCGCTATCGTCCACGTCGTCGAGGCTTTCATCAGCGCAGTCCCCAACATCGGCCGTGTCACCTTTAGTGGAGGCTCCAACCGCCAAGGTGCCCTGCAGATGATGCTGCCCCCCGAAATTCGGGAAAGCAACCCGCTGGAGGTACTGGCCAACATTGATCCAGCCGATAGGCCTCTGCTTAATGCCGGCTTGGAGCTCCTGCTATCCAGCCTGCCGGATCCGGCTATCATCTCAAGGATGCCCACCATCGTGGCCCCTGGTCTTGGGTACCTGTTCATCAAGGAGCTTTGGACACGAGCCGGTCATGAAGCAGACACCAACGCCTCGATTGCCCTCCATACTTCCATTATTCGCGATCCGGGATGTCCTGGCCTCACGCACCTCTCGCGCGCCCTGCTCGGTATCGCGCTCGCAACAAGATGGGGTTCATTTCTCTCGCCGGCCGATGCGCAGCTCGAGCGAGGCCTTGTTGCCATCATCAACCGCTACGGCAGCGAGGCTCTTTTCTGGACCCGGTACCTAGGTGCCGTTGCCGGTGCAATCGCCGAGATCCTGCCATTCTCGCCCGCCTCTGTCGAGGAACTAAAACGAGTGGTAGAATTCAGCTCGGAAATCGTACAAAAAGAAAACAGCCGCGTCGTCAAACTGTCCATTGGCATTGCATGTGATCACGCAAGGCGTCTAGATGAATCAGCTCTGATCGACAATATAAAGTCGGCGACCAAAAACAAAGAGGAGGGATGTCCGAAAAAGGTCTCCGTCACAGTTTACAAGCGCGCGTGATGGTGAAACAAAAAAGTGCAACAATTTATTAGACCGCTGGGAAGGCCACTAACTATTTCGAGTCGTGCTATCATTCTCATTCTTGTTCTTGTTTCCACCGGAAATACCAAGCAAGTCATCAAAGAAGTCATCAAAAAAGTCATCAAACAAAGTCATCAAATCATTCACGAAAAGCCACCTCCTCTACTCGTCATCATCGTCACAGTCGTCATGTTGTGACCCCTTGGACTTGCTGGATTTGGTGTTTCGGCGACGAGCGTTGAGCTTCTTAAGCTCGTGGTTCACAACGAGAGCAGCCAGCAACTTGTCAACCTCATGGGAAGACCCCTGGACGCGAGAGTAAAAGTCCTTTCGAGACTCAAACAGGTGCTTGGCAGTCATCTGGAGAGCCTTGCTCTTGTACGCCTTGCTGGGGTACTTGGAAGAGGAAAGCCAGTCGAGAGAGACTTCCAAGCTCTTCTTGGTGCGGAATTGGTAGTGGTAAAATGTGGTCATCAGGGGGAAGACCATGTTTGACATCCAGTGGCACAATTTCCCATGCTCAGCAGCTGCGAATATGTCAGTGGTTATCCCCAAAGAACTTTCTTCTGGGCGATGCTTACCGATGGGGCAGGACTCATCGGCCACTTTGGCAAGTCTGCTCATGTGCTTCTGGAAGGTGGCAAGCGTCTCACGGTAAATGAGGATGAGCTGCCACAAGCTGGCCCAGATGGCAAGGCGCTCGTCGGGCTTGGTGGCACCTTGCTGAGCGAGAATATCATCCAACTCCTTGAGGATGTCATGTTCGATAGAGCGCGCACCCTGGCGGGCAATGCTTCGCAAGCGTGCCTGCACTGAGAGGGGCAGGCTGACAAACTTGTTGGTTGGGTCATGGCACCAAAATGCATCAGTCTTCCAGATGCGGAAGAAGCAGTTGAGCTTGTGCACGTTGCTCACGAGGCGATGCTGCCAATTGTCAGCTGCATGATTGCGACAGGTTGGGAAACAAAGTTACTTACTCTTGGAAGTCCCTCACCATCCTGGTGGTAGGCGAGCATGAAGCTCTGGAGAGCGTACTTGAACTTGGTTGTGTGCTCGCGCTTGATCTCTTCCTCGACCCACCTTTGCAGCTGCCCGTGGCTTGGGACCTCATCGCGGGGGAAGTCGGCCAGACGGACGCCCGCAGTCTCATTGGCGTATTCCTGCTGGCGGTATGCCTGCACGGTGACCTTGAGGGGTGTGGAAGAGGAGTCCTTGTTCAGGTAGAGGAGGATTTTTCGGGGGGTACCGATGTGAAAACGTGGACCATTGCACAACTTTTCTTCCTCGGCAGCATCTTGGGACCAGATGTCTAGAAGCGGGACGAGACGGGTTAGCTGTGGGGTGCTTATCGGTGGCAGGGGTGGCGGAGCCGATCCGTACCTGGGATCCTTCCAATCACGGGCCATGTCATACCGGGAGTGACGCGGCTGCATACAAGGTGGGAATGGCCGGGGAAGGCCTTCCGGCACGTGGGACACACACCACTCTCATGGCACTGCATTCGGTGCAACGGGCGTGTAAGTCAGCAAAAGCGGCACAGGATCGGTTTGGGCAGCGAAGCAGATGGCTTGCATGCATGCCGCAATGGTGGCAACCAATGACTTACACGAATCTTGGAAACACGACATGGCACACATGCACCAGACTTGCGCACATCCGCCGTCTGCATAGGATCCTGGAGCTGTCGGTGCCTCTTTTCGACCTCATTACTGGAACGGCGACGCTTGAGACCGGCAGCCTCTGGCGACTTTGCATAATGCAACTGAGCGTGGCTTGGGTGCCCAACAAGCAGCTGCTTAGGGGAGGGCTCACCCTGGGGGTACGTCCACTCGTCATCGCGCAACCGGGCCTCGTTCAGGGCCTCGTTTATGGCGATGCGGGCATAGTCAGCATCGTGAACCAGGTCAACGACGGAGGAGGACGAGCCGGAATGCTCCGATGGTGAGGCGCTGCCGGCAGACACAAGCTCCGGGGGCGAGTGGCTGCCGTTGTAGTCGGACGGCGGAGAGGGAGGCTCCTCGTCGTCGGACGACCGAGGCGAGGCATTCACCATGTTGAGGTCGTACTCCAGGTCAGCAAGAGAAAAGGCACCAACGGGATATGGGTCGGCTCCGGAAGGGTCCTTGGACCATTGGTTTGAATAGTAGCTCTCCTGCAGCTGCCAGTTGGAAACGGCGACGGAGGGGGAGGAGGAGGAATGAAAGTTGTTGCCAATGTCCTGGGTATCCTGGGAGTAGGAGGTCCAGTCAAAGACTTGGTAGAAGAGCTCGTCCTCCGTGGAGGCGGGAGGAGAGGAAGGGATGCGGGAAACAGCCCTGCTGGCTCTGCTGACTCTATACGACTCCATTTTCTTCACGGAGAGCTAGCAAGGACCCGGAGCAAGCCGTGTCTGTCAGTCACGGGGGGCTAGGGAACGACAGGAGGGGGGGGCGTGTGGACAACCGCCGGTGGAACTCTTGTGTCTTCGATTGCGCCGCAGCCGCGTCTTAGCTGCCCGTTTCTGCTTTGGTTCCCGTTGGCGTCTTTCTTCTTTGGGACGCAAAGTGGTGCTGGCTCCGTGCAGTAGCCTTGCTTTGATTGCTTGGTTGAGGGGATGGGGCCTGTCGTTCACCGAGAACGACACAGCAGGACGGTATCCTTGCCTTGGTGCAAATTGGGGAAAGGGCAAGCTTGCAGGGTGGCTATAGTAAATTGGTGGTATGGCACAAGGACAACCTTTTGGGGGTGGTGTGAGTGGAGGTGCGTATGATGATGGCTGTTGGTGTGTATATGGTGATGGTGTTGTCCAAACTTATTGGTGTCTATCAAGCTTCGTGATCTTGCCTTGATGGTATATTGGAAGTGAGGTCAACTGAAGTACGAGTTCAAAGGAAGAAGGGCTTTTGAAGGAGGAGAGGGAACTTGTACTGAACGACCCCAAGGCCCGGAGGCCGGGTACCCTCCTTGGGGCCCTTCTTTTTAGTTTCCCATTCATCATTCAACGCTCGTCCCGCTGCCATGGCCAGTCGACTTACACCATCGTCAGCGGTTTGGCATTTTCGGTGAGACAGGCCTGTCTGATTGGCTGGCCGGCCATTTGCCCCGCTGTTTTGGGCCAATGGATAAGAGGAGCCTCACCGATTTCGACCATTTCATGCTGGCCTCTGATTGGCTGCATTCGGAGTCTTCGAGACTGTCCAACTTTCTCCTTGCAACACTCGAGAAGGGAAAGGAAAAGCTGCAGTGTTGGGGAAAGAGTATTCTCGTGTGACCATTTCTCTCAACAAAGCTCTCTTTTTTCCCTCTCTTTGCAACGCCCAAGCCGTTGCGGCCGCTCGCGGTGCGGCGGAGCTGGGGGCGGGCGCCGGCGACCCGCCGGCCGAAACGTCTTGGTCGCTAGGATCATCATGGTGCATTCTAGGACTGAGAGAAGGAAGGAAAGAGAAGGCGAAACCTTTCTTGAAAACTCCAGGACAGAGGGAGGACTTTTGTTTGAAAATCTTGTCCCCCTCTTTCACTAAACTAGCGTATAGGCTAAAGTTGAGAAACGCAACTGCCATCCCTGCCTCCGTCTCGAGAAAGCGGCGGCGGAGGAGCACGAGGAGGAGGAGCCAAGACCCCAAGCGATACTGGAGAGGAACAGGGACAAGTCTACATCCAGTCCCAGCTACAGCACCAACACGAGGTGAGGCGGTGCCGGGGCTCATCGGCAGAGAGAGGCAGAGAGTAGCTGTTTTTTTGCATGGCTCCAAGGAACCTTGGTGGCCCCGGGCGGACGTCCCGGATCCTTGGGATTCGGTTCCGGCAAGCTGGGTCTTTTCTTTTGCTCCCCAGGCTAGCTTCGCATTAGCATGTTTGGAACTTGGACTTGTTTTCTCCGAGCTAGGAGCTTTTGCCAAGTAACCTTCTCGTGTCTCTTTTTTGTTTTACTGGATGTCACTATCTTCTTGTCTCTGTGGCACGGCAGCATAAACCATGTCGCGCCACCAAGGCGCGCGGTTGCAGTAGATACCCAACGCCGTTGATGGTCCGAGGCCCGAAGCGGAGCAACTTTGGCGACTAAACTACAAGACATGGGCCAATGCAGAACAGAAGAGAGAGAAAAGGAGTCGGCAGGTATCGGTGAAACAAACGTTATCAATCACGGCGTCGGAGAGACAACAAAAAAGGAAAAGAAAAGAACAGGCCACGTCGCCGGCAGGGACGACGCGATGAGGAAGCCGGACCAGGGGGGGAGCAAGTTCCTGAAACCAAAAGCCCTCGTCATGCACAATTTCTGCAAGGTCTTTAAAAAAAAAGTTTGTGTGTTGCGTATGCTTGTACATGCATACATACAGATGCCAGCCCAAGCCAGCAGGCCATCAAAGCCGGGTCCCCGGGTCCCAAAAAGTCGACCAGGGTCACCCACGTCTTCGGGACAACAACAAGGGCCCTCTCCCCCTCTCCGCCTAAAGTTTGCCAACAAACCCCGCTGGAAGGAAGGAGAGGCAAAAACAGGGCATATAAGGGGTTGGTCGAAATGTCGGTCGGTCACACAAAAAAGATGTGCGCCTTGTTGGGCGGAGCAAGAAGACATGCATGGAGGCTGTGATCGTCTAATATCTACAGATTATTAGGGAGGGGGGGTTAGAGTATTGTCCCGAAACCCGTTGCCAGTTGCCACAAGTAATATTGGAATCATGGCCGTGCCTATGTGCCGGACGCCTCTGACGACTTTTAACATGGCTTTTTAGTCATGCCACACTTGAGGCGGTCAGGACAGAGACTACGGCAATGTGTGGCTATGTTCTCTAGATATTTTTTTTTTTTACTTTTTTTCTTCTTTCACCTCGGGTAACTGAACTGCCCACTTGGTAGTTGAATATGTCTAGAACGGGACGTGGCATATCTTCCACCTGCACATCTTTTATCATCTCCCTCTGACTGCCTTGCCGGCCGACCGCGGAGGGGGAGTTGGTTGTGGTTGAGATTTTGGCGTGATCCATGAGGGTCCGTGTATCTTTTTCTAGAACAAGCCTCACTACAGGGGCGGCAGATTATCCTTGCAAGCCTTGTGTTTGTGCGGTGAGACATTTCCGGGTGTCGGCTTGTTCCTGCAGAACTTTTTTTCTTGCCTCTGCATGTTATTTATACGAATCATTGTATCTGTACATATACAACCAACCGGCAAAGGGAATTAGCAGACCTTGGCACCTGCCGATTAATCGGCAGGGCTGCAGGTAAGCCATGATTCTTTCCTTTTTCCCTCCCTTTTTTTTTTTGCTTCTTCGGCTTTTCTAGTTTCACCGTCAGCCCAAGATTGCAGAACCTATATGGCACCAGAAGGTAGCTCACCTTGGCTGAGACAACTCGCTTTGCGTGGGAGAGAAGTAAACCCCCCCTCCTTCTCCTCCCCCCGGTCGGTGTCAATCCCGTGATCGCTGGCTGATGCGCGGCCGGAGGGGGTCCGCGCCACCGCTGCTTTGGACGGTGGAAGCTGGATCGGTGCCGGCGCCGCCGCGAACATGTCATGCTGGAGAGAAAAGAGAGAGCGGTAGAGCAAATGCAACCTCGCAACTGCCCACTTCAAGACTACCGCCAAAGGAAAGGAAACGCTTTTCCGTGCTGGCACCCACCTTCGTCGTCGTTGGTCGGTTGGTGGGTTCCATGCGGGATCAGTTGTTCTCGAATATGCGTACGAAGCCTGCAGATTGTGCGACCGGGGCAGGGCTTGCAAGCCGCAAAAGGCAGCTCGATTTAAGGCCGAGTGGCTGAAACAGAAATGCTCGCCGATCAGGTTCGCTTGCGGCGTTGGTACTGGAGAAGCCCGACGGTCTTTCTCACAACGTCGACCTGTGGTGGTGCACGTGGAACGGCGGCCATCCTTGCAGCCGCTTGACTTACACCGCGAGATTAACCCTGGCACAGACAGGCAAAGTGCGCCACAGGAAACTTCAACGACGCCGAAAGGAGTACATGCAAGGGACTTGGGACGTTTTTTCTGCATATGCAGGACGTCTTTTATTTCTCTCGCTCATGATCGAACGGCTGGGCAGCCTGGTGCATGGCGACTTTGCTTTAGTTTCGCGGGCTCTCTGGTGTGCTCATTCACACTGCCAGCCTCTGGCCGGCCTGTTGCTGCTGATCTCCAAAGACGGTCAATGGGTACTCACGTCTCTCGATAAAAGCGAAATAGGCCTTTACCTACATATAATGCACGAAATACTTATTCATTTTATTACCTTGCGACCTCGAGTTGCTAGACAATAGGCCTTCAAATCATATCCTGTCCACAGTTCAGACACCTCGACGCCACCGCCATCAACAGGACAGGTGCTCAAAACCTCATCCCAGCACATAACAACTTTCGCCTCACTCCTTGCGGCACACAACCTCGACATTGTTGCCCATGGGGTCAATCACAAACGCCGCATAATAATGCGGCCCAAAATGTGGCCGCGGGCCAGGCGCACCATTGTCCTTGCCGCCCGCTGCCAGCGCCTTTGCGTAAAATTCATCGACTTTGGTATGATCTAAGAAGATTTGACACAACTTTCATGTCTCATCAGCAAAACGAGGAGCCTAGATAAATGTTGTCAAAAGACCTGGCAAGCGGGCGGTGGGCAACCTTACCATTCGCTGCAAAGGCCCAGTGCGCATAGTTGCTCTCCGTGGAAGACTCGGCCATGCCCGACAGCCAGAAGTCGGCCTTGTTGGCCATCGGGCTGTTTTTATCGCCGAGGGCGACGAGCCGGCCGTCAAACATGGAGACGAGCTGTTCGTAGCCGAGTGGCGCGAGCGCGGCGACGTAGAAGGCGACGACTGCAGGGTACTTGTCCTGTGGTACCGAGAGCGCGACGTGGTCAAACATGATGATAGGCGGAGGACGATATGAATTTATGAAGAGTACGGTTATAGAATGATGGAAATGCCATTTTCAAGCTCAGGCTAGATTGATTTATATCTTTTTTGGCTTCGCTGACAGTCGGTCTTCGGACTTGTGTAGATCCGAGACAGATTGAGGCTTCACGCCGGTGAATGTTGTAAGAGCAGCTCACGCCAAAGTTCACGACAGACTTTGAGATGAGGTGGGGGTGGCGCGAAGCTTCCCGGCCAAGCTAAATGCTGCATTCGGTGATGTGACGTGCAGTTTCAAGCATGTGCCTATGAGTTGGCGCCGTGTTTTCTTTACTGGTAATCGCACACGGAAGCATGGCGAGGAATTTGTACGTGGCGCTGATTTGACCATGCTTGGTTGACATGAATGAATTCCTTTATGAAACTCGAAATCTAAAAATGTATAGTTACCAACCAGATGAATTTGCGAATCAGGTGCCTATCAGCACTATCTACAAACTGCCCTAGAGCGTCATAACGCTTGCTAATATCCAACCTCTTCTCGGCGTCATTTACGGCCAGAACAACAGCATACTCCTCATCGCCCTCCTTGCCGTCCACCTTCCATCCGCCGACCACGCGACCCTCCTCTCCGGCCGCTTCCCCGGGACGACCCTCGGCTGCTGATCAAACTCCTCCCGCGAGCCGGTCTTCGTGAGGAACCGATGCACTTCCAAGATGTCGTCCGATCGCAGACCGTCCAGCTCAAAGTCTTAATGGGCCATCCACCGAAACGCAAAGTAGTTTAACATTTCCATGACGCCCTGCTTCCACTCGTCGGAGCCGTGCATGCCCTTGTAGTGCGACTCGATCGACTCCCACTGACCGAGAAGGTATAGGAGCGACGGGTCCTCAACTTGTCGGAAGCAGTGAAACTGGTGGCCCGTGAAGCTGCTCAGATGGGACTGGATGTCTGCGAGTCGTTTTTGGATGCCAGGGTCCTCTAGTGACGCATTTGGTTTGAGTCTCAGCAGGCCTATCTCGGAGATGGTTATCACGATGATCTGGCGATTGGCAAAGTAGTTTGGGAATGAAGTCACGGAATGATGTGTTTGGTGATGCAAGCCGAAAACAAAGACAACGACGGAACTTGCTCTCCTTTAAATATCACACTGTAGCGGTTTGGAATCATTTCGCTGACTTCAGCGAGCAATCGAGTCCGAAGCGCGCGCTGACGCTCCCAGCCTACCAAATCAAGGCTGACTAACTAGCCGCCCATGACGCACTTGATTAGATGTGCCTGGCCGACCTTTAGGATCCTGCCCGTCGTGGACCGCCGTCCCAAGCGGAATCTGTTCCGGCCATTTTCCCCCAAAGAAACCAGCCTGACCCCGAAACCATTGCAACAAGCCGTTTTCTAGGCTAGCCGCCGTCGTTGAAACGCCCGCCAACTCATGCGGTGTGCGGCTCGAGCATGTGTAACGGTTGTATAATGCGCCGCTTTACTCAGCACTTCCGTGAGCTGTATCCGGCGCCTACGCAAGACGCAGATAAGTCGCACAGGCTGTTCAAGTGTCAGCTTTTGCTGCGCAACTGACGTTGAGAAAACGGCGTAGAAAACGGAGCGGGTTGAGTGTCAACTAATTGATGCCAAGTGGTAGTTATTGTATCCCAAAATAATAATAGGGCATCCATGTCTTTGGGGCGCTGCGGGGCAGCAGTTACGCAGCCTCGAAGTTTAAAATCTTTGAATTCGTCGCTGAGGTGGGCTGTTGTTGTCGTTGTTGGCCATTGTCAACGGGCTTGTCAGACAGCGTCAACAACATCAAAATCCTATACCTCGATTGTTGCCCGCAAACGCACCTGAGCCTGGGGAGATGAATTTTGAAGCAATTTGAGAGTCTGATGAAAAATGCGGCTCCCCATCAAGTTTGCCTCGCCGAGTGGACGCACCGCCCAGCATCCACCCAAATTGTTGACAGTCGCGCCCACCAAGTTTTCTGGAGACTGGCAGGCTTGTGGGTGCTGTTCTTTTTTTAACTCATGTCGGTTTAGCTAATGGGGCCCTGTCCACGCATTCCCGTGTATGCAGGTAGGTGTGCCTGGCAAAGCAGAAACGTGACGTCGCATCAGGCTCGTGGCCTTTGTGTGCCTGAGTAAGCCGGAGGATGGTGCGACCCAGCCAACGAGCAGCTGTACAAGTATCATGTACTCCGTACGCTGGGATGGCTGTCGGAAGCCACGGCCAGGTCATCGGGAGGCCAGATGGATGGGACGTTTTCCCTGCGACCCGGTCGCTGGTTATTTGGCGCACTATGAAACAAGTCATTTCCGCAGCGGACATTGTCGTAATATGTATCAGCATGTCTCTCCCTCGACAACAGTGTAATTGTAAACTACTAGTGGGAAATAATTGTTAGCAGGCGAGGGGACAAGTCGCCTTGCAATATTCAGGGGTCTTATAGAGAAACAGGCTGTGTTCCCTGCAAGCTGCTGGAAAGGGCGGGCTAAAAGAGGCGAGATGAGCGGTCTGGCGCTCCAGTAGTGAGCAGCTAATGGACAAGCGGCGCAGACGCAGGAGATGCGCTGGGCATCTATTCCCAACTTGTCTTGGTGTAGCGGCTTTTTGCAGCAATGAGGCTTATTTCGAGTTGCAGTTCCGTGGCTGAGGCTGACTGATGGGAGAGGCAAAACAACCAGACATCCAGACATCCTCACGGCGCCTGTTTGTGTGGCTTGCAGGGCCCGCCAGCTGGCAGACCTGTTCGTTTGTTTGGCCGTGAGGGTTGCCAGCTGGCAGGTACTCACTGCAAGCGGCAAACAGATATGGTGCTGGTAAAATAAAAAGACTCCCAGCAGCGATCCCTGCCTCCCACATCTCCTCATTTATCTTTCCCTTTCTTTCCTTTTTTGCTTCTTGCCAGACTCGATTTCTTAACCCCCTGCATTCCGCCTGACCCCTTGGACACAACCTCCCTCTCTCCCTGCGCTCTTCTCTTTTATTCCCTCTTTGTCTCCCTCCCGCCAGACGTCATCGCGTCTCCACCGTCTCCAACGCCAGACCAGTCTGCCGGAGATCCGTCCACAACTTTACGGTTGAGAGATAGTTACGAAAGCGCAGCATTTCTCGGCTTCTTGTACGTGCTTAGCAGAATCGCCCACACAGGTACCCCCTTGTTTCCTGTGCCGGCCAACCCGCTTCCCCATCTGGCGGGCGCAGCCTGTTGCCGTTGCCCTGCAGCGGTCCGTGAATACGCAGCGTATGACGGAAGCTCCTCGTGTGCCTGCTTGGCCCTTTTGCCACGCGGCGCGCCTCGACCTGTGCTGTGTTTCTTGGTGTCGGTCTTTGCTTTTGCCAGCGTCTAGACTGCTGCCCTGACGCTGCTAGTCAGTGCTCCAGCTGGTAGTAAAGCGCAGCATTCTTGAAGCCGTATGCCTGTCGATCAACCCAGTCACGCACTGCCCCCATCTATTGTTGCTTGTCAATGGACCGTGTCTGACTTATCATTTGCCGTGGCTCTTCTTTTAGGGAAAATTGCTCTCCTGGAACTTTTTTTCTCTTACAACTGTCATTTTGCTTGGGCTTTTTACTACATGTTTTACTGGCATAGAGGCTTGGTCATAGTCGCCCATAATGACCTCAAGTAAGTTTTGGAGAGCAGACACGCTCCATCATTCTTCCTCTTCTCTTTCTCTTTTCCCCGTCAGAAGTCAACAATTTCCTCCCTCGCCCGCCGAATCCGAAAGTCCTACGAAATCGCCATGTCGCCGCAAACCCAGCTATGATATGTTCCAACGTCAGGATAGTGGCTCCCCCAGACGAATGAGCCATGCTGTGAAACTTGGAAACAGTTGCAACCCTCCTAGCGAACCGCTCCCGCCATCTCCCCCTAGAAACGCTTCCAATAATAAATCGCGGAAATGGGGCGAGCGCCTCTCCTCCTTACTCCCCTTGCTCACATCTTCTTCATCAGCACCAGATTTGGCCTCGGCCAGCATTCGGCGAAAGCCAGTTGCTGCTCTCTCGGAAGACGCAAAAGTCTCCCCTACCACAACACCGCCCCCTCCGCCCTATAAAGAATACGATTCGAGGCACTCGCCGCCCGTCATCCCTCTCGAACTTCCTCTCACTGCTGACTCCGCGCGATCCTTGTCATCGCTTCCCCTGTCCGGAGGCGAGCCTTTCTTTGCCAACAGCAACATTTTCTCCTCTCCAGAAACCCTCCTGCCGCAGAGCGCCACCATGCCTGCACTCGGAACCGAAATTCCGCACAGCGTGCTCGGCATCGATGACCAGCCTCAAATAGCCAGCGCTACAGCGTTCGCTGCTCAGTCTAGTGCTGAATTTCAGCTCTCACCACATGAAGAAGCCTCATCTCAAGATCCTCCTTCACGAAATGACTCTCCAGACGGGGAGACTGGCGATCTTCGTGGCCCACGGAAGCTGCGGAAGAGCTCAGACAGCCTGAAGCGACCGCGCGCAAACTCATACCAAGCTGGTCCCTCGATCCCGGTGCCTGGTATCAGAGCCAGTGCAACTATGCCCCTCTCCGAGCCGCGGGGCCGAAGCGTTTCGTCGCATCCAACACTCTCAGTAACGGAAATAGGCGCACCACCAGCCATGCCACCGCCTCCTGTTCCTCGACCAGTCTCACGAGGACCCTCGCCAAAGAGCGCAAATCAAAGCCCAAATCGAGGCCGACTTCGTAAGAGCTGGATGCCTGGTGGCCGATCAAGATCAAACTCTGGCGACGTTTCTTCACCGAATGCCAAGATGCAAGCTTGGATCATGACTGAAGAGACCACCTCTGAATATAATCCCTCGCTTCTAAAGAACGCTGAAAAGGTAAAGTATCGTAGGATGGCGAAGCGATGGCTTGACACTAACTTTGGCCCTACTAGGTCCCTGAGTTGTGGAATGAAAGCGGTGATGTGCTCGTCTACCTATATCCTAGAAGTAGTGGCCGTGGGCCTAGCTTCAAGGTGCCTGAATTCACCATCAGCTCGTCATATCTCTTCAACGAGTTGCTAGCTTCAGAAATGGCTGCAGCGATCGGCCATCCCCGTTCCAGGAGCTTCGGTGGCAGAGATAGCTTGTCCGTTGACGATGCCAGTCGCATGCAGTCCCCGCCGACAGCCTCATCTGAGGATTATTCGGGTGAACTAAAATTGTACCTGCCGGTAGCGCGTCCTTCGGCTTCAACACATTTAGTCGCGCCCGGTCAAGGCGGTGATAATGAACAGGATCGCCTGATAGCCATCCGCAACTTGTTTGCCTTCCTTACTGGTCAGCCTCTAGTTGGTACCAAGACACGACCAACTGTCTTCCTTGCCTTTTTGGAGATCGCGGAACTTTTGGAGGAGTACAGCTTCGCTGGATTTGATGGAACAGGGTTCGGCAATGCTGTTGATATGAGCTTCAGCTTCTATTGCGACCATCTGGGTTTATCTGACTGCAGACACAGCCGCGAAAAGACTGTCGAGGCACTCATTCTGGGCGAGCGCATGAGAAACATTGAGCTGTACAATGAAGCATTTGCTCATGCTGCTGGCAAATACTCTGCCATTATCGATCTTCGTCTTCCACTATTCGACAAAGTCTCTCCAAGCACTCGGCAGCGTCTTGAACGCGCCCACATTGACCTGGTGAACCGCCAACAAAATGTCAACGATTATCTTGAACAGTTCGAGTTCCCATCGATTTTTGCAGGCATCGCAAATTCGACGTCAATCACCGAGATGCGGAATATCAGATTCAAACTTTGGCGGAATTCGTTCACCCGAATGCGATCGTTCATGCTCAGCTACTACAAATCTACGTTTGGCAGTTGGCCTCCCAAGGCCAGCAGCAAGAAGAACCCTTTCATGGAGAGCGGCTTGAACCGATTGGTTTTAAAAATGCTCTACTCAGATATGTGTGCTCTGTACGACTTGCTCGTGGATAGAACCGACTTGACCTCTAGAGTCATCGACCATACACCGGAGCTGTCGTCCGATCCCGACAAGATTACAAGATCGGCGATTAGAAATATCATGTCTGAGTACGATCGTTCAAGACCGCCTGTTCTGCCGCCAATTCCATTCGACTTGCCTCAGCTGCCGACGGTTCAAGCTATTCATGAAACGTACGCCAACCTGTCCGCCAAGGATCAAGCCAAATTCGACAAGAAGCTCAAGGAGCACGAGTTGCTTCTCATTTTGAACAAGGCCTACAACTATGATACCAACAGCATCAAACTCCCATTCCTCGACCAGTTCAAGGAATTCGAGAGCCGAGAAGCAAAGGGCAAGATGAAGCAGGACCTTGTTGACCAGCGAATTGGCTACTGGATTTTCCTCTATGCCGTCCTTCAGTCACTCCCTATGCTAGTTGTGGATGCGCCCGGCCTCAAGCACACCGAGGGAACGGAGTACTTCTTGTGCCAGCCTCCTATGGGCCAACCCCCATGGGCGGAAGATGGCCAGGTCCGCAAGATGTGGTACGAGGTAGCTGGCGGTGGTGGCGTAGTCGAGCTGTCGGCAGACGCTGTTATGTACAGTGTGGAAGCCACATATCACCGAAGCCATTGCTGGCTTGCGGCCAAGCAATGGGAAGGGTTGGATGGGGACGATCGGCCACCGCCGGAGGCAGTCATGTCACCTCTAGAACCGCCACGAGCGATTTTCGAGGGTGGCGACGGCATCCTCGGAAACCAGTCTCAAGTTGCTGGTCCCAGCACGCCATCGCCGCCTCTCGGAACACCTCCACTGACAGGCGGCCCCCGCAACCTCTCGCCAGGCCGTGCCCGTGCAAACAGTGCATACCGGTCGAGCATCCTCATCGGCCTGGAGCCTCTGGCTATGGATCCGCCTGCCAGCCTCTTCGGCCCACATCAGAGAAGCAGCTCGCTTGGCCCGCGCCCCCAGAGTGCCTTTATGGGTAGCCGCAGCGTGTCTGGTTCTAACCTCATTGGCATGATGCCGCCAAGAACAGGCACACCCAACACAGTGGCGGCCACTTCTGGAGCTACGTTTGACGATATTCTTGCGGGAGGCAAGGACGAGAAGCCTAAAGGGAAGGAGAAGGAGAAGAAGCCCGCGAAAAAGAAGGGTTTCTTTTTCTGATGCAAGACGACTGCATTTTTTTTCATTTCTTGACTATTTCTGTTTTAGTACTGGGATTTTGGACATATCATTCATCTTTTGGAATATACAGCATACAACATAGCAGATATGGCACTTTGACTCGGATCATAAACTGGCATCTATTATTAATTAGGTAGTGCAATTTTAAATTAATATGGCCGAAACGAATCCGACTTATAGTTGGGAAGGCCATGCTCTCCACCCATAGCATCTTTCCATATAGGCATCTGGCACTCGGTGAGGCTAAAAAGCTTAATGACGAAACAACAGCAACCGGTGCCGTCTATTATGAGCTATTAAAATACAGAAAAATTATGGTAGTGGTATCTTGGCCAATAAAACTGGATAGGAAATGTGCGTTCGTGCAAGGTTTTGGTCCACCCCATGCACATGCAGAGCGTGGTTCGTATTCACTCTGCGGGGACTCTTTTCTTTGACTGGCCCTTCTCTTTCTTGATGGTGTCGTCGTCAGCTTTTACATAACGACTCATTCTCCTCCTCAGTCGAGCCGAGGACGAACCCACCGTCCGCGCTCCGTGTGCCACCAAGTCTCCTTCTCCTTCCTGTCCGCGACGACCACGCCCTCGCGCCAGTTCCAGCTCCCGGTGCACCCAGCCGCCGCCACGCCGCCGCCAGCCTCGTCATCCCCGTCGCACGACGGGAGCTCGCCGCCGGGGCTCGTGAGGTGCGAGACGTCGACGAGGCCGCCGCGGGCGTCGGTCGCGCCCGGATCGGGCGACAGGCAGTAGCGGATGGGGCTGCCGACGGTGCCGACGTAGCCGGCGAGGCCAAAGTCGTCGACCAGCAGGCCCTCTTGGGAGTGCACCTGGACGCGGAAGCGGTGGCGCGGCCGCGCGTCGTCCAGGCGGGCTTGGGCGGCGATACGAGCGGCGCGGAGGTCCGTGGCGTGGGGCTCGTGCGGGGCCGCGGCCCCGAACGGGTCCGAGGAGGAAGATGGTAGCGAGGGCGCGGTCGCGGACTTGGGCAGCTTGGACGGGTGATGTCCGAAGAAGCCGCCGCTGCCGCTGCCGCCGCCGCTGCTCACGCTGGCCGACCGCCCGTGGCTGCTGCCGCAGCGCCCGCCGTTGGCCCAGATGCGGTCCGCCGACGTGGCGACCACCTCGAGCGGCCGGCAGAGTTGCTGGAAGATGCCGCCCGGGTCGCTCGGGGCGCGCAGCGCTCGCAACGCGGGGAACCCGCCGGCCTCGACGCTGCGCGCCAGTATGTCGTCCGCGTCGCTGACCTCGCCCGTGCCGGCCGCCACGTCCCAGTGCAGGCGCACCAGCGTGCGACTCGCCAGGTACGGCATCATCCACAGCGCAAACGCCCCGCCGCCATCCGCATCCTCCGAGGGCATCAGCGGCGCAAAGTCCTGCACGACCGCGAGGTCCTCCAGGCGCGGCAGGTGCGAGAGCAGCCTCGCGAGCGCCGGGAGGGACGTCAGCGGCGCGTGGCGCAGGCGCAGCACGCGCAGGCCGCGGCTGTTGGGCCGGGTCGCGAACGCGGACAGCCCGCGGGAGCTGACTCCCGGCACGTGCGAGAGGGTGAGCGAGCGCAGCTCGGGCAGGGCGAGCAGCGCGGCGTCGGAGAAGGCGTCGGCGGGCAGGCCGCACAGGTGCAGGTGGCGCAGGCCGGGGAGGCAGGTGAGCGCGCGCTGCAGCAGCGTGGCGGGCGCGAGGGGCGCGCCGGGCAGGCAGTGCACGGACAGGCTGGTCAGCGAAGTCCAGGCGCGGTGGCAGCCGAGGAAGGCGGTCTCCTGCGCGGCGTCGAGGGGCGGCGGCGGTGCCGGGGGCAGCATCGCGGCGAGCGCGGAGGCGAAGACGCCGTTGCCGCCGCCGCGGCGCGAGGACGAGGGGTCCGGCTTAGACGGCGAGCGGCCGCCGGTGGTGGTCGTGGTCGGCCCGATGCGCCAGTTCATCGTCTTCAGCTTCGTCCGCGTTGACAAGGCGTGCGTGATGCGGTCGAACCGGCCGTGCTCGTACGCAGCGACCGCCGGGCCCGCCAGCACCTCCAAGTTCGGGCAGGCCATGACCAGCGCCGCGACGCGACTCTCGTACGCCTCCCGCGGCGACATCCCGCCCGCCGCCGCGGGCTTGTCGTCGCAGGTCTCGCCGGTGGGCGCGGGCACGCGCAGGGAGCGGACGGTCGCGGCGAGGCCCGGGTTGGCGCGGAGGGTGCGCCGCAGCAGCGTCATGCGGCAGCCCTGGGCGAGGCGGAAGCGCTTGCGGTGCGCGGCGGAGTCGGGCCCGACGAGCTGCACGTCGCGGTAGAGCGCGGCGCGGGCGGGCGCGGACCACCGGCGGGAGGCGAGGCTGAGGCTGCAGAGGTCGCGCGCCCAGCAGGTCGCGCAGCTGCGGGGGCCGCCACCGGAGGAGGATGAGGGTGACGGGGGGTCGAGGTGCAGGGCCTGGAGCCACTCGAGGATGACATCGAGCACCTCGCCGGGGAGCGTGCCGAAGAGCTCGTTGGGGGACGTCGGTGCGGGCCTCTGCCGGGGGCGGGGGATCAGGGACGTGGTGGGCGAGCCGGCGGTGGTTGGTGACTGGTACGGGGCCGTGTAGTGCTGCGGTGAAGGCGGCGTCTCGTAGGAAGAGGAGGAAGTTCTCGTAGGTACGAAGGAACTGTCGCGTGCGTGGGACGTAGATATCTTGCGTGGGCGGTTGAGCGGCCTCGGCGTCTGCCCTCGGCGGCCGGCTGCTGTGGTGGTGGTAGTCATGACTGTGGTAGTTGTAGATGGCACGCTGGTGGTGGTGGTTGCGGTGGTTGCGGTGCTCGTGCTGGCCATGGCGGCGGTGCCCCGAGAAGTCTGCAGTCCGGGGTACATGGGATACGCCGAAAGGGGAAGCCCGGTGTTGAGCGGCGGGAGCTGCGGGGGCTGCGACCGGGCGAGCGACGGCGCTGGTCCGGCAGACGACAACGAGGAGCGTTTCTCGACGCGCGTGTCCTCGTCGACGTCGTTCTGAAGATGCAGTGCGAATGTGCTGCTGTTGCGTGCAGGAGAGAAGGAGGACAAGGAGGACAAAGGGGAACGGTAATTGTTGGTCGTGTTAGCGCCGCCGCTGGCGTATTCAAGGACCGGGGCAAGCTCCGGGATCGTCTCAAAGGCGGGCGGGTGCATGGGCCTCACAGCCAGCAGCGTGGCCGGGTTCATTTTGGAGTGCGTCAGGGGGTCCGAACAGGGAAGGTCGTCGCTAGTAGACACGCAGAGTGGTAGTTATACGTTGAGAAGGGGTCTGGCCTCTACTGGTAGGCAAAGAGGAGAGGCAGGGTTCTCGGCGACCGACTTGGCAAGGCGGCTCGGTGATTACGCTGAGATGAGAAGTGGTTCTTCCGTGGTTCAATCTGTGAGAACGTGGTCGTGGGGTTCGGTTGTATAGACTTCGAAAGAGGGACTTTGTAAGTCGCAAGTAGTTGTGCTTGGAACCGGCCGTGTCGGTACCTGGACAACAAGTAGAGGGCACTATCAACGCAAGAGTGGTTACAGAAAGAGAAGATGAATCAGATGTCTGTTGCGGGAAACTCGAATGTTAAGACTGGCCAACTGACCGACTGACTGACTGAGCAGTTTATTGGTGGTGGTTGCGCCAGAGCAGGGGAAATTGCCGAGTCGCAGGGGCCAAATCTAGAAAGGGGATCCAAGTCAAGCAGATTCATTAGTGTGGCCGCATTCCTTCAACTAGTATATTACCACTGGTACGAATACTTGCTTGCTAACTAGTTAGTTACAGGTAGTTAGCAAACCAGACGAGACATTGGCAAGGGTATTGCTGAGCCTCTTGTGTCAAGGCTGCCGCGGGTAAACCAACATTGCGGCAGCCTTGAAGCAAGTACGTTGGCCGTAAGTGACTAGATGATGTGCTTCATGTTTTTCTACCTCTATAAACCTCTCGCGAAGAAGACCAGTCCGAGACAGTATCAGCAATTGGCAACACTCAGCCCCAGACATTGGTTTTGTCCTTGCAGGCGACTCCTCATGACAGCAAACTAGCATCGTTCGTCATATGTTCGGTTTCACTGTCAATAATCAAAGAGACACAAAACTTCCAATGAGGCCAAAGATCTCCTTGGCAGATGGACGTCTAATAGTGATGGGCGGCAGTCGCAAGCATTTACGTGTCAGTTAGTGGCTGATTCCCACAGAAACGTGGACCAGCCAGCACCAAGCCCTTGGCTATAAACCTTGCCCTTTCTTGTTACATGGTTTTCGCTACTAATTATAAGTGACGTGGGAGATGGAGATCAGGTCCCAGCGTCAGCGTGGAGAGACTCCTCGTCAAAAAACTGCCATGACATGGGATTAATTCTCTGACAAAGCACGAGACAAGTCTCTGACTAGTTATTTACCTCATAACAAATCTGACGATTGATTCTTTCTACGTGGAGTTTGGGACTCTCACCGGATAGTCTCACCGGACACTGCCTCCCGAGTCCTGTCTGTCCTCATGCACACGAGCCACCACCAGACGATCTTTTGCTTGGCCAATACGGGGCGGAGGGGGGCCTTGGAAAAGTTCAAAAGAAGCAGTGATGGACATGGATTTCCAGGGGTCCTGGGCTCGGGCTTGGGAAAACATGACCTATATCCACCCTGGGAAGGGGGAGCTGGAATGCACGTTTTCGACCAGGTGACTACTGGATGGCCTCCTTTAACAATATCTAGATCTCGATGCCATGGCAGGTTTCTTCAAAGTCAAAAGGGCTGGTGGGTGATGGGAAACAATTGAAGAAATAAATTTGAAAAAAAGGAGCTGCGGATGCGTGGCGCCAAGGGAAATACAGAGACATCATTCAAGGGACAGACAGGGGCAAGCAGCGGGGGGCCGAAAACGTTTGCTCGCATGCATGTCAGGCGCCGTTTGTAAAATATGCAGAGAAGAAGAAAAAAGAAAAGAAAAAGAGGAAAAAAAGAAGCAATTATGGATGAGTCTGCGAGCTGACAAGCCGCCGTCAGCTTCCGCGACCAAGACTTCTTTCTTGGTCCTGTTGCAGCACCAGCCAGCACCTGCGCCCGCGTCCGCAGCGGACAAGAGTCTTGGAAGGTGGCTGGCTTGCTGCGTCATCAATTTTTGTTTGAAAAAAAAAAAATTGGAAGAATGAAGAAGAAGAAGAATGAGATTGATTGCAAATAACAAGACCAGTACGTCTCTCCCGCCGACGACAAAACGACGGTGGCTGTACTGCATATCAGAGACCCGGTGCTGCTCCCCAGTACGAGTTACTATCTCGAACTATGCAGAACCAACAGTTTCAAGGACAAAACGGGAACTCGACACCAACTTCTGCTACGACAAAACTATCAATCCCCAAATCATCTCTTCTTTTCCCTTCTAAAGGGTTGGTTCATCCGTTGCCCGCCCTGTGTCCCCCCTTGCGTCGTCTCCCCCGCGCGGCCCCCTTGACAGTGGGAGTCGTCTCCCGCCATGATCCCGTCTTTTGTAGGATTAATTGCAGCAGTCAATAGTGGATTGACTTCATATTCTTCTTCCGCGTCATTATTCAAGGAGAGAAAAATTAAACAAATCGTTGAAACAGTCAGCATGGTAGAAAAATGCCAAGTACAAAAATTTCAATCATGACCGTCCCAACGCCTTTCTATGATGGTAGCACTGTATTTTCACACAATTTCTGACTTCCTTGCATGTTTCCTCCTCTTCCTGAAAATATTTTCACAAGTTCTTCTCTCGTGTTCGAGGTTGACATCTGCGCCCTCTACAGACCACCGCGCTCATGCTGCTGACGATCCATCTCGTCGCGGAACGCGTTGCGGCCGCCCGTGGTGCCCTGCTGCTGGAAGCTGTCGTGCACCGGCGACTCCGCCAGGCTGTCCAGGCTATCGCGGCGACCGCCTCTTCCTCCCTGCTGCGCCGGGGCATCGCGATACGCGGGGCCGTCGTCCGGGAAGCCGTTGCCCAGCTGGATATCGTGGTCGGCATCCGTCGTCGCCGCAGCGCCGCCAAACATGCGCCGGCGACGCTCCGCACGCCCCGAGTAGCCCCCGCGGCCGCCCTTGCGCGGGATGATGTCGCCGAGGTGGATGCGGCGCGTCTTCCTGTTCCACAGGCACAGGCCGACGACGAGCAGCAGGATGGTGCCGAAGACGACCGGCAGGGCGATGGCGAGCGCGCCGGGCGTGTTGATGCGGCTGGGCGCCTTGGCGGGGAACTTGAAGCGCGCGACGTGCAGCGGGTAGGCGGCGGTGACGTCGTCCGGGTCGCCGATGGTGGCGTTGAGGCGGCGCTGCAGCGTGACGGTGATGTTGTTGGTGTCGTGGCCGTCGAGGAGCGCGTCGGTGACGTCGAGCGGGAAGTAGCCCTGCTTGGCCGGCACCTGGACGTGCTCAAAGTCGGACAGGAACACCCACTCGTTGGTGGTGCGGTTCTGCTGCTTGACCTGCACGGTGAGGGCGTAGGACTCGTTGAGCTTGCTGGCGTAGTGTTCGGGGTCCCAGGTGACTAAATGACAATCCGGTTAGACGAAGCGTTCGGGATCAGCGGGGGACGAGCAGCAAACGCACGGTAGTAGACGTTGCCCGGCTCGAGGGTCGAGTTGGCGCGGGGCCGGCAAAAGGGCGAGACGCTGCTGTCCTTGCCGGAGCAGAGCGAGAAGGCGCCGGTGCCCTTCTTGTTGCTGGCGGTCGGGTTCGGGGGGTCGCCGGTGGTGGTGGTGGGCTCGCCGAGGGTGGTGAAGGAGAAGACGGAGCCGGTAAGGCTGGACGGCGCGGCGTCCTTGAGGCTCGACTTGCCCTCGCCGTCGGTCGTCCACTTCGGCGTGAACGTCGTGGCCGAGGGGTCCTCGTTGACGCTGACCCAGGGATCGAGCTCGCCGGCGGGATCGCGACGCTGCAGGACGGGAGCCGGGGTGATGCCGGGCGGTGGTGGTGCGGCCACGGCGGCCGATGCGGCGCCGCAGAGGGCAATGGCGCCGACAATGGCAGAGGACAGCATAATTGATGGACGGGATGGAAGAAGAAGAAGAGGAGGGAGGAGGAAGGGGGAAAATGACGCGTGGGAAGCAGAAGGGGAGAGAAGAAGCCGTGTCTTGTTATTGACGATGTGCGCAATGGGCACACTGCTGATAATTTTTTATGGGGCGCTTGGACCTGGAGCTAATACGGGGGTGAAACGAATTCCGTCCCTGATTATCCGGGTTGTTTAAACGAGGGAGAGATTTACTGAAGAAAAGAGAAAATATATTTCAAAATCAAGAAGAAAAAGAAATCTACTTGAGGAAAAATCTCTTCTCGTAAAAGTCCGGAATGAGCGAGATCGAGGCATCCCGCGCCTCCCGGCGTGAGCGGCTTTTTTCCCATCGACTTTTTCCCTTCCCCAGTTTTGGCCGCCACATCCATCCATCCATCCATCCACTCATCCCTCTGCTTACTCGACAAAAAGGGGATATTACTGAGGATTAGAAGCTAGACTAGCCTTATTATTCCGCAGGGGTATCCGTCGCCCTGCCAGATGGCCTCGGCGGCGTCGGCGAATGACGTCGGCCGGAATCGTGGTTAGGTGAGGCAGAATGGTATGGTACAAGTATCGCGTGTTGCGTGAAGCATACACGACACGAGTGGTAGAGCATCCAGGATACACCCCGAGGTTTTATTTTAAGTATTAGAGTTTTGTGTAATTTTTGAACAAAATATCTCGGTGATATGCTCGAGTTGCCCGACGTCTCGCAACCACAGTCACCCACAATGAGACCCTGCCTACATACTCAAAGAAAAGGACTTTTAGGGAATCATATTGTCCATTTTCGATATCCTACATGCAGTAACTTATAGCCTGTTTCAACTAATCATTTCATTATGGGCAGCTGAGAGCACATCTAGTGTCGCCTGCCACGCTGCCAAGCCCTGACTTAGACTAGCGATAAAGACTCATACGTATTCTTATTTATTTATTAAAAAGATAAGGCCTAGGAAGAATGAGGCCTTGTAGAGAACTAATCAAACTCTCTTACTTTCAAAAAACCCTTACTACTATAAACGATCGACCATCTCTCTACTCATCCCCCGCGTCCAGCCCGATGCTCGTACAGACATCCCCATACACTTCCAGGCAGTGATCCAGCCGATCCCTCACCAGCCTGATCCTCGCCGGCATCTCCTCGCCCAGCGGCAGGAAAAACTCCCCCTCATGACCCTTCCCCGCGCCCTCCCCCATCGCCACCTCGAAGATGCGCCGCGCCGCCTTGTCCTTGTCCCCGCGCGGCACCATCCTCCCATCCCTCATCACTCCCACCGTCCCCTCCGCCACGCTGCCCTCATAGTCCCCCGGCAGCCGCCTGCTTCCCGCCTTCGCCGCCTCCGGCATGTTTGTGTTGAGCGAGCCGAGATGCACCGTCAGCGTGCGCACGTTGAACGCGGCGACCTCCTTGGCCAGCACCTTGATCATTGCTTTTTTTTTTTTTTTTTCTCCCGGCCCTCCAGCGCCGCGCCGGAGCTCACGTGCACCACCACGCCGAACCTCCGCGCGCGCATCCGCGGCACCGCCGCGCGCACCAGCCGAAACGGCCCGAAATAGAGCAGCTCCGTCTGCGCGCGCACCTCCTCCTCCGTAAACGCCTCCGCGACCGAGTGCACCGACGCCGCCGCGCAGCTCACCAGCACGTCCACCTCCAAGCCCTCCTCGTCCTCCAGCGTCTGGAGGACCGCGCCGCAGTCTGGGTCCGTCACGTCGAGGCGCGCCCAGCGCCCGCCGGCGCGCTCGACCTCGGCGACGAGCGCGGGGGTGCTCTCGGGGCAGCGCGAGGTGGCGACGAGCTGGTGGCCGCGGGTGAGGACGTGTCGGGCGAGAGCGAGGCCGAGGCCGGAGGAGCACCCGGTGATGAGCCACCGCAGCGGCCGCGAGGGCGTGGTGAAGGTCCCGGGCGACATGCCAGAGGCGGCTTGCGACATGGTGAAGGGTTGTAATAGTATGCAGTGTAAATAACACGGTACAAGATGCTAGTTGCAAGTTCAAGGTGCCTGGGCTCAGTGCCGCCTCGACGGCGTCATGGACATGTATAGTTCGCTATGTCCTAAGTCCGGCATATCCCCGCATCAGTAAAACGAGGACTGGGGGGGGGGACGAGCCGGTTTGAACTTTTTCCAACAGTCCTTTCTGTCATTCCACATGCCTATTACGTCTTGTACGATTCACCCTTCGCACCAGCTCAGCAATGCTGTCGGCCCATGCAGAAGCAAGTACAAACTGGGGCGAGCTGTATGCAAACCCGCGTTCCTTACAACTAGTGAGGTATGCTAACGCGATCGTCATTGTACAAGTCCAATTACATGAAAAAGTCTTACCTACTCATACGTGTACATGAATTGGCTCAACGGACCCAGATACGGCTTAAAGTCCGCATCGTCGGCGCTCTCACATACTCCACAAGGTCGCTGGGCTACGACGAGACCCTAAGATGAAGTGAGCTTTTTGCACTTGCAAGTGAAGCACATGGAACAAGATAAGCACAATATATAATTAACTGGGATATTCTATGGTTCCCGTCGCTTTCTATAGTCAAATGTGGGTATTCCTGCGTTATGAAAAAGTCTCCAGGTCCTCGCTGCAAATATCTCTCCGAATCCAGCATAGGCTAACGACGCGTACCGGTTGTCCAACCACGCTGCGTCTAAGTCGTCATGGATCTCGGTGTTTCTTCCTTCCATTCCGGAATCTCTGCTGCGATCATGTAATGATTACCTAGAACCAACTGTCTCTGTTTCCAACTCGCTCTGCGCTGACCTCCCGACGGCCCTTACTTAGACCGAAGATTGCGACATGTTACCCTTCCCTTTGGGGTTTCGGATTGCTTTGTATGATGGGCCCGAATCCAAAGTATCCCTGTCGGAGTCGGACTCGACGCTGGTGCTGCTCTGGCTCTGCGACAACTATTCTGCGCCGGTCGTCGGTTGCTGGTTCGACGACAGCGGCAGCATCGGTACTGTCGTCTCAGACAGTAGGCTCTCTGGGGGGATCCCATCCCCGGAATCGTCAGCCGGATCCCCCGTCGACTGCATCACCGGCTGTCCCTGCGCCTCCTGTTCTTCCTTCTCGGCCTGCTCCTTCTCCTCTCCCTTCTCGTCGTCGGCATCGTCTGCATCGTCAGGCGCCGCAGCCCGGGCTTGCCTCCTCATCAACCACCTCGTATCCGCAACCACCGCCGCCTCCGCCGCCCTCCTCCCCATCATCTCCACCTCCCCCGGCGGCACCGGCGGTACCGGCATCCGAAACCTCCTAAAGTTCTCAATCTCATAATTCCACTGCCGTCTGCGCTGGAAGAAGTCTTGAATCTGGTCTTCGGTCATCGGCACGCCGCCACCCTGGCTCCTTGACAGCGTGCGCAGGCGCTGCTTCTTCTGTTGGGAGAGGTACGGCCGCAAGGATGGGCACTCTCGCAGCCGCGGGCACCGGCCAAGCGGGGCCTCCCGGTCGCGGTGATGCTGCACGTCGCCGCCGCACGCCGGCGGCTCGTCCGCGCGCCGGCTCACCCGCGGGCGATCCTCCCAGTTGCCCTGTTCAAAGACGACTTTCTGGTACCGCGCCCAAAAGTGATCGCACTCCTCCCACAGGAAGAAGTAGCGGGCGCCGCAGTACAGGCAGATAAAGAACACCGGCCGACACATGATGATGAGGGAGGAAGAGGATGGGGGGTGGCCCGCGCCCTGACTCTGGGTGATGATGTGTGCGTACTCCTCGGAGGAGGGGTGAAGCCGGGCTCTGTGGGCCGGGACCAGCCCTTTGTTCGCCGGATTTTGACGCTGGAGAGGTCCGATTTGTACGATTATTTTGTCGTCGTCGTCGTCGATGCTGTTTCTCCTATAAAACGATCCACCGATCGCGGGCAAACGCCACGTGCTGGATGTTCCGTCCAGACCGGGGAGGGCTGTTTGTTCACTCTATAAATAAATGCTTGTAAAACATAATTCAGCCAATACAAAGGACCCGGGAGCAGTTGTGATATTGAGGGAGAGAAATGCGCAATGGTTGTGGAGGTTGATGGAGGAGGGCAGCAGCAGCAGCAGCAGCAGCAGCAGCAACAACCAACCGACAAACCACCCGCTTTGCACCTGCCACCAGCCAGCCGATTAACACGCCACAGCAACTGCAACACAAGCTGAGAGCCGTCTAGGCGTTTGCTTGCTTCCGTCTTGTCCTCCTCACCTAGTTATTCCCCCTTTCCATAGGTACCTAGGAAAAAGAAAAGCACGACGAAGATGCAAGCTTCCGAATTTACCGCTTCGTCACACATGTTGGACAAAGAGCATCGAACAGTCAGCAAGAGGGCGAGCGGGCGTCGCCGTCCGTATCAGCCCCCTCCCCCTCTCCCATGCCAAGGGTTGTACAAGACTTCGGGTCCCGGAACAAGTCACACAGGGAAGGGGGGCACTGTTGTTGTTGCTCCTGTTAGCGAGAACTGCGCCGGAACATCCTATCATCGCTCCCAGACAGGGGGGGTTTGGTCAAACATGCTTCTTTTTCCCGTTGAGTGTGTGTTATATACAATCAGTTGTCTACATGATCACCGCCCCAAACAATAAACCTATAAAAAGCAGAAACAGAAAATAGAAACTGAGAAAACGCCGTGTAGATGAAGCGAACACAATGTATGTATCCTTCTTTCAACCAATGAGGTACGAGTCTCGCCCCTTCCCTTTATGCCTTCTTTCCCTTCTTGGCCTTCTTTCTTGACGACTTGTCGCCAAACGTCTCCTCGTACACCTCACTCGCCGTCGTCGCGCCAGCCGCCTTGCGCTTCGCCTTGCCCGACTTGACGCTCACCACGCCCCCCGGCCCGGCCTTGCCGCTCTGCACCTGCTTCTCGGCCTCCTCCCACGCCGGCGCGTCGCCGTCGATGGCGTACTGGTCCAGCGGCAGCGAGTCGATCATCTCGCGCTGCTTCTTGCGCAGCTGCTGCAGCGCCTCGCTGCCGCCCTCGGCCAGCTCGTCGTCCAGCGACGTCGTCAGCGGCGCGTACTTGTCGCCGACGGCCGCCGCCTCGTCCTCGTCGTGCGCCGCGCTCGCGTCCGCGCGGCTCACCCCCACCTGCTGCGCCCGCGGCATCTCCGCGTCCACGGCCGCCGACACGAGCCCCGCAAAGTGCGTCGTCACCTTGCGCAGGATCTTGATGAACATGGCCATCAGCTGCGGTGCCGGCACCGTCAGGTCCCGCGACGCCGCCTCAAAGTCCTTGCGTTGCAGGCCCATGGCCATCAGGATGCCCTGCTGGATGCCCGTCAGGTTCACTCCCTGCTTGAGCTTGCCGTTGAAGTAGAGGTGGGCAATCGTGGGCAGCAGGTCCAGGATCACGTGGTAGTCAAGCATGTTGTTGGCGTACGACTCCAAACGCTTCAGGTCAAACGGCGACATGAAACGGTCCAGCTCCTCCTTGCTAAGGGGCGCGGTCTTGGTGCCGTCAAGCTTGGCGCCTTGGGCGGCAGCCTCGTCAATGCTGAGAGCCATTTGCACGTTGAAGGTGCGGAACTGGTAGGACAGGAGCGAGGCAAATCGCCGCTGGAAATCCTGTGTGAATGCACCGAGCCAGCTCCCATCATCCGCCGACTCCAAAGGCCGCAGCATGACGCAGGTGTGCTCACCAGTCAGATCGTTGGCCGTCTGACGCAGGTATACAGGGGAAAACAAAGACCGCTTCCAAAACTTTTGCAGCTCCTTGGTAAGACCGTAGCTTACACCAATGTAGTCCAACTTCTCCGGCCGCTTCTGCGCCAACGCCGTAAACAAGGCCGGCATCTTGTCGCGTACGGTAATCTTGTCTTCCAACAGTGTCGTCTTTGAAAGCTCAGCATCTGTAGCTCTGCTGACTCGGTCTTCCATGGCCTGGTCCTCATCCTCCGACAGGTTGGCGAACTTGCCCTCGTAGTAGTTGATGAGCAGCTCCAGCGCCTTGGAGCCGTAGCCTTGGGACATGTATTCGGGGTTGGTGGCAATCCGCACAATACGCGCGCCAGATAGCGTAGCGAAATTCTCGTCTTGAAACTGCTGGCTGACGAGCCATGGGATAAGATCGCCGTGTGGTCTTTGGCCACGGCTCAAACTGTTCAGCACACTCTCTCGGCTAATCTTACCCTCCAGGGCGACCTGGATTACGCACAGAGGCTCGGGCAGCCTGCCAACCTGGTCGGATCGAGGACCAGTCAGAACGAAGAGCTCGTGTGCGGGCGCGTCACTCATCAGCTGCAGGTCGTCGGGCGTGTTCTTGTAGTGGCTGGCCACGTACAGCGCAACCATTTGCTGGAGGAAGGCCTCAGAGACCTGATGAAAAGAGAAGAGAGCATCGCGGTTAATGTTCCAGAGCTCGCACTGGGAGGGATCCGGGGATCCGGCCTTGACCTTGGGCAGCTGAGCGTCAAGACATAGCAGCTTGTTGAGCCACTTCTCAACACCGTCACCTTGGGCGTAACGGATAGGTTCGGAAAGCGTAATCTCACGCAGTTTACGGCCAGCCTGGAATTCCTCTCCCTTGGCCGCACGTCCAGTAGCGCGATCCGCAATCTCAGTATCGGCACCGCCGGCAGAAGCGGTGCGCGACTGCTCACGCAGCTGCTTAATGAGCTTCAGCGATAGGGAACGGCCGGTACCTTCGTAACCGTTGATGGTCGAGGCCATGAAGACTAGATAAGGACCCATCAGCTTGCGAACAAGCGGCAGCGGGATAGCAGCAGCCTCGTCGATGACAACCAACTCGGCCTGTCCGAGAACGTGGGCGTCCTGCGGGCGAATATACTGGATCGTCTGACGGTGCTGGCGGTGGATGTTGACACGAACGATAGCCTTGTTGAAGTCGGGGTTCGTGCTCTGGATGATGGAGTAGTCGGCGTGGTCGGCGTAGCCCAGGGCGTCGAAGCCCTTGAATACAAACTCAAACAGCGTCTTCAAGTTCTCCGGCGATGGCGACGTGATGAAGATGTTGCTGTAACCGTAGGCCACCGCCGCGGCAACCGCGACGCCGAGCGCCGCCGACTTGCCGCGTCCTCTGGCAGCCGTCAGCGCCACCGTGCTGCGCAGAGTCTTCTCGGCGATGGCGTCGACAAAGGTGAGGAGGGCCTTGGCCTGATCGACGGTACGGGCGAGGTTGACGAGGGCGCCGACGGGCTGGCGGTCCTGCACGTCCTCCTTGACGGCCGCGAGCTCGCGCTGCGCGGGCGTCGTGCTCTCGTCGCGGTCCGGCGGCGGCAGCGCCTTGACGTCCTTGCCGCCCGAGATGGGCAGCACGTTGAGCTCGTCGTCGATGACGAGGCACGACTCGCAGCCGCCGAGCGAGAGCAGAAAACGCTCGTTGAAGCGCGCGACGACGTCGGCGTGGGCCTCGGTGCGATACCGCGAGTGCACGTCCATAGACAGGTTGTAGAGCTGGCGCAGCGAGTTCATGCCCTTGAGCAGCAGGATGACCAGACCGCCACCCTCCACCGTCTCGATGGTGCGCGCAAGGATGTTGGGCGTAACGGCCTCAAAGTCTTGCAAGATGCACATGCCGTAGGTGTTGCCAAGGATCTTGTCCGTCTCCTTGTAGTAGGTGTAGCGAATGTTGTGTAGCGAGATGAACAGCTCGAACGGGTCTTCGTCGTTGACTTCGCGGATTCCTCGTTTTATTTCCTTCTTGATCTTGGCCTCGCGCTTCTTTCTGTGACTGCAATGGTATATGAATTAGCTGAAATGAAGAGACTTGGCTGCCCGCATGGGGTGGTCGCATACCTGGTAAAGTTCAACAACTTGTTCTTGTACGCCCACAGAACCGACTTGTTCTGCTTAATATCGACGCGTGACATGATATAATGCAGTCGGACAATCACGTCCTTGCTGTGGTCGCCAACAACGACAAAGAAGCTTCTCTTCTTTTCTTGTAGGCCATTGCGAATCAAGGCGCCGATACGGGGATCGCTGTGAGGGTCAGCCTGAGCTCTTGAACGTCACAAAAATCCGTCTCCGGGCTTTTCCGGTACTCAGAAGTTATACTTACACTTGCTTGCGAGCAGACATGTTGCCGGTGTCGCCAATCTCGCGGTTGAAATCAAAAAAATAGCTGTCTGGGACGACTGGCTGGCCAAAAAATTGGGCGGACGGCAAAATCCAAAAATTTGGCGGGCTGTTGGCTTTCTGCCAGGCGGTGTGTCGCAGCGGTTCAAACTTTTTATGGGGCATTTCCAGGCGGCACCAACAGTGGTGTACTAACGATATAACCACCACACCAGAGAAACCTAGAACTGAATATTTACAGAGTCACTATGCGTTTAGACGTGCACAAAAGGACTACTCGGTAGTTTGAAATCGTTTCTATACTGCCGAAGTGCTATTGCAATGTCTATGGATGATGTAGCGCACTGTGAAAATAAACAATCGAAAACAGCCCTTGGCAGCGTGCATGGTGCAGTGCAGTCAAGACTGTCACACCAAGCACACCACTTCGTAAATCAGCCCCGGCCCGGTGGCAATGTGAGAGGGGCAAAAAAGATATTAACAAAGGGAAAATATGAATCTAATATACACGCTCGGAGTATGATGTAGCCTCCGGGTCGCCTTTACGTGCGGTCAAGCTTGCGGCGCAAGTTTCTCGTTCGCTTCATAAACTTCTTGTACTTGTGCTTCTTCATTTTGAGCTTGCGCTGGCGCTTGACGCTGATGGCCTCCATGGTCTCGCCGGCGCGGCGGGCGCGGGCCTCGTCGAAGCGCAGCTGGCGCTGGGCGAGCCGCTCAACGAAGCTGCGCGGCTGGTTCTCGTTGACGATGCGGGGGCTGTGGGCAACGATGCGGATCTGGCCGTCGGCCTCGGTGGACTCCTCAATGGTGAACATGGCCTTGTAGACGCGGTGCTGGGGGTTCTCCTCGGCCGCAGCCGCCTCGGCGTCGGCCGCAGCAGCCACGCCGCTCGTCTCGCCCTCGGCGCCGGCGGGCTGGGCCTGCGGGAGGGGCGGCGGGCGAAAGGGCAGGAAGTCGCCCGACATGGTGTCGACCTGCAAGTAGACGCTAGATTCGGAGCCGTCGGCGTTGCGGACCTCGAGGCGCTGCATGCCGTTTTGCAACTGCTCCTCCTGGCCGCCGATCGTCATCTGGGCCATGGGGCCCTCGAGCTGGTCGATGGTGTCGGACAGGGTCGACATGGTCTCGGAGATGCGGCTAGCCTTGGAGCGAGCCGCAAAAATGGAGGCAAAGTGCTCGTCGGTAACGGTTCGCGGCATCGTCTGCGTGATGGAGATGGGGCGGTGAAGCGAGAAGAAGCTCGAGAGGCCGAGGGCTAGTCATCAGTCAGTATAAAAGACTACGCACATAGATACGGATGAGCGGGTGCCGAATTTGGAGAGTAGAACAATGTGGCTTCACTCATGTGCTTTCCGGCACTCGCATCTTTCGCGGCGTACCTTCGTGGGACATGTGGTGCGTGGCAGGAACGCTTGGCAGCTTCTTGAAAGAGGCATCGCGGGCTGACGCCTCCTTGCTCTTTCGTTTCCTCTTGTCGCCCGTGGCTTTGCCATCAGGGCGTGATGAAGAGGCGGGGACAGACTGGCCGGCCGAGAACTCGCTGGAGCCGTTGTCGGAGCGCGAGGGCTTGGACGAGGAGAAGCGACGCTGGTGGCCGCGCATGACGACGGGGATCGAGGCACAGGCAGCCGCAGCGGCCCTGGGAGCCGCAGCCGCTGCGAGGCCAGCAGCCGCCGGTGGCGCCGAGGAGACGACGCGACGCACCGAGGACGGCAACATGGCGACGGGAGTCGTAGGTAGGTAGACTCAAAGATCAAAAGCGGCGGTCGGGATCGAGGTGGTGGCGTAGGGAATGACGAGGAGGGAGGGGGTGATCTCAGGAATCTGCGTCAGTAGAGATCTCGATGGCGGCGCGATGCGATTTGTGGCAGTCTTGTATCGAAAACGAGGACAAAATCGATCGATGGGTTATCAGTCACAGAAAGGCTGGTGCAACTGGCTGCGGTCGAAAAGTCGGGTGAGGGGGTGGCCTAAGGCAGCGATCGACAGTGGGCCAACAAATTAGCCGCCAACGTTGAAGGTCACCTGGCCTGATACGTACACAGCTACCCGGGAAGCTGAAGACGACTTGAAGATAAGGGAAGAATTCTTGAATGCAAGGGTACTGATAAATGAGGGATGAGATCAAACGGAGCTGAATCATGCTTTTTTTCCATTCAGAATGATATTTGCCTTCCTCTTTTCTCTTTTTACAGTTGTCTTGGATTTTTACAACTTCATAGCCCAGGCAACGCCAACATGTCCCGGCTACGTATCTCAATCACCGTGGACATTAGCGCTGGCCGAATACTGTAGGGTGACAGAATACTGGACTAGCAGAAGCACCCTAACCCTGGGCTCGCTCAGCGGGATGCTGCAAATTCCGAGGATCAGGTGTTGATGGGATGGGTTCTCCAGCCTGGGATTAGAAACTACGAGTTCAGCTGCAGTCTTGCTGCGAGGGTCACCGCATAAAAAAGTGACACGAGGACAAATTTGCATTTCCACTAATGATACTATAACCCATGATTCTAACCATGTAGGTTGTAAACAGCTGTAGGTTTTAGGATTTTTTAGAGAAGAGACGGCAAATTGAACGACATTCGAACTCAGAAAACAAGGGGTATTCGAAAACTCAGCACAAAGACAAGATCAGTGGGGTATCGTGAACGAAGCAGTCTCATTTCAAACAATGGCTCCCGGGGTATAGTTGACATTGGAGTTGGTGTACTCGGGCATCTTTACTCCAACAAAGCCGAAGTCTCGTCAACAGGCGTCAGCGCCTTTTTGCTAATCTTCTTGGGCCGAACGTCGATGGTCTCAGGCTCGATAGGGTAGCCGGGAATGCCATGGTCGTCTTCGTCTTCCGAGTGATATGACTGTGCGCCGTCGGTAAAGACCGGGGCATAGGACGACGAACTCTTCTTCTGGAAGAAGCGCGACCAGGGCATCGTGGGTCGTTCGGGCCAAAGGCCGTGGCTGCAGTTGGGGCAGTCCGAGTCGATGGCGCGCGAGGCGGCCCATTTTATGTGACCGTGGATGGCGAGGCCGTCCCAGAGCGCGGCAAAGGCGAGGGCAACATGCGATATGCTGCCCGGGGGGAAGAGAAGGGTTTTGGTTAGCCGCCAGAGCGTTGTCAACGACGCTGTTTTGGTCGCTCCCTTTTTGCAACTTACAAGCTCAACATGAGGGGAATGGTGGCATAGGCGGCCAGCATACTGAGCGCAGCCGAGTTGCTCGAGGACCTCCACGTGTAGACCAGGACAACCATAATGGCCGTGGCGATAGCAATGTCAAAGGCGAATACGAGAAACGGGTGGGTGAGCGTCTCGCTAAGGGAATCGACCTCGTGAATGCCCTCCTCGACGGCGCCTTCGACGGCGTCCATGATGCCACCGCGACCGTCTTCGCCGTCAGCGTCAGAGCGCTCTTTGCTCTTGCGGCGGAGGAGCCATATTCCCGCGACGGTGGAGAGAGACTGGGGGATAAGGCCGGCCACGGGCACGAGGTGCTTGGACATGAAGCCGTGGGCGAGCAGCATGGGGAGGGCCGGGATGAAGGCGATCCAGGTGAGCGTCCGGAAGAGCTTGCCATAGCGCGCCTCGAGGGACGCCCAGCTGTTGGCGCCGGTCATGGCGAGCGGCGTGTGATTATCGGCGTACGTGTATCAATTTTTGCTCGCTGGGGATGGAGTTAATATGCGATGGCGATATGCAGTGTATGCGCGGCGGGATGATGAAAGAGGCGAGCCAGGACAATCCACCGTCGATCCTGCTTCTAGGACGAGTCAAGAAATCCGTGGCATGCTACCTGGCGGGTCAGTCAGGTAGTTGCTACTTGCTAGCTTCCTCGAGCGAGTCTCTCGTGGCCAGGGGAGGCGGCAAGAGCCAGGGCCACGCATGGCTGCCCCTGGCCGTGAGTGGTGGCTTTGTTTTGTTTGTTTGCGCATGGGTTGTCCCGAGCTACTCCTCAGGCACCAGGGTCCAGGGGCAATACCTGTTCAAAATTCTGGGGATAGAAAAAAAGGCAAAAGTTATTACTATTCAGGAACAAGGTGTTGTGGCAGCAAGCTTTTTTTTCCGGGAGTCCATTTTAGGCAATCCCAGCCAGTGATGTGATGCGGGTTGTTGTTGGCCCCAAGATTAAGATTCTGGCGATTGCCGCTTGCTGGTGGAGGCGGAGCTACCAGATCGGGAGTTGGGATGGTTGGTGCCTGAGCTTCAGTTACGTAGCTAGAAACGTTTAGGAAAATGGCAGGAAATGATACAGAAAATTACCATACAGTTAAAATTTCTGTTTTAAATTTCTGAATATTTTCCCATCTACTTCTTTGCCGTGCTGACCCCAAGCCCTCCCTCCACACTCAGTCAGCAGCCAACACCCTTCTGTTAGCGGCCCCAGGCTTGGAAATTTTTAATATGGGGATGTCTGGCGGACCTGGGAAAGAATGCCGAAACAGGGTCAAAACGCTGCCTCAACTTGTCTATCGGGTGCTTTCCTCTCTCATCCTTCCTGTCATTGAACATTCAACATCATCTTCTCTTCAATTTCTCCTTTGTGGCATTTCCGTTACCCAGCGTACTCGCCTCTCATTGCCATCGTTGCGCCTCCGACTCACCTTGTTGTCCCTTCTTTTCTCCCACTCCATTCACTTCATCGTCCTCTCTCTCCGCCGATATCGCCTCCCCAACCAACCCATTTGCGCGGCCACGATTCTCCTTCTCCTATCAAACAACAGCCTCTTCTTCTTCTCCCCTTTCCCTTACACATAAATTCACATTCACCATGGTTGTCTCACTTCTCCGATGGTATGTCACCCCTTCCTCCCTGCCCTCCTGACCACGGGCTCACGCAGACCTTTCTCTCACAGGTACAACGCCCGCCTCGCCGCGCGGCCTCTTCTCACACAAAGCATCACCACCGCTGTGCTATTCGCCACCGGTGACATTACCGCCCAGCAGCTCGTTGACCAGCGCGGCCTGGAAAAGCACGACTTTGCCCGCACTGGCCGCATGGCTCTGTACGGAGGTGGTAAGTTTGTCTGTCCTCTGTTATGATATCACCGTCCGCTGGCCCAGGAAGCAACGGGATGCAAAAAGAGGGGGCAAAAGCTAACATGTCACACAAACAGTCGTCTTTGGACCTGCCGCCACCACCTGGTTCAACTTCCTCGCCCGCCGCGTCACCTTCACCAACAAGCGCGTCGAGACCCTCGCCCGCGTCTGCGTCGACCAGTCCGTCTTCGCACCCACCATGATCGGCGTCTTCCTCAGCAGCATGGCCACCATGGAGGGCGCCTCAGCCTCCGAGCGCCTCGAGAAGACCTGGTGGCCCGCCCTCCGCACCAACTGGATGGTCTGGCCCTTTGTCCAGACCATCAACTTTGCCTTCCTCCCGCTCCAGTACCGCGTGCTCTTTGCCAACATCATCTCCATCGGCTGGAACAGCTACTTGAGCTGGGTCAACAGCAAGTAATCCTTTTGCGCCCAATCTTTTCACTCTCATAAATTTCAGCAGGGGAGCAAACAAGCCGTGCGTTGGAGGCGCCCGCAAACAATAGACTATTTATTGTAATAATAGAAGCATATAGACTCGGAATGTTAGAGTGCTCATATCATCGATTCTGTATTTGGTTTGCTTCGTCTCTGCACTTTTGGCACCGTACACAATTTATCGTCATATCATCATCATCATCGTCATCGTTAGTGTATACATTATTGCAGCATCCACAACATCTTCGTATTCTCTACTATACTTCCGTCTCAATGTCGGCCTTTTGCTTCACCTCATGCGCAAAGATACCCGACACCCCATCCTCCACTCTACCAAACTTATTCTTCACCCACTTAGCCGTGCGCGGAATCTTCCACTGCATGATGCCCCGGTGCTGACGGTGCAGTGTCTTTGCCTTCTTCTTATAGTCGCGCACCTGGTCCAGCATGCTCTGCTTATCCGAGACGCTGCCGTCCGGCACCGCGTCCGGCACCGCGTCCTTTCCCGAGCTCTCCTTGCGCCCATGGCGGCGGTGCTGGCTTTTGGCGTCGTCATTCTCCGAGTCGTTGTCTGCCCCCTCGTCGTCTGACGAATCTGCGTCGACGCCGGCATTGTCCGCATCCACGATGCCGGCATCCTTCTCCAAGTCTGTCTGGAGGATATCGCGCGCGGTGTCGATGACTTCCACCACCTGCCGCAAATGCTCGCTGCCGTTGGCCCAGCTTGTGTGTGCGCTTCCCATGCCTGCCCATAGTGTCAGGCGCAGCTTCAGGGTGCCCATCTTCTCGCCACACGTCTCTAGGCAGTTAGAAATGGCACGTTTGTAGTCGCCTTTCCAAATTGTGAGGTCAATCTCCTGCTCCTCCTCATCGGGAATATCCTTAAGCCAGAGTACGCAAAATGCAGCGATACTCTCACCTAGGAGACGTCGGCCATCAACGAACGTAATAGAGAAACAGCTGCTATATCGCTGGTGCAGCGCTAGAGCGACATGCTTGCTCGATTTCGTCGCCCAAACGGCATGACCATCTTCCATAGCAGATGGATACATCTTCCCGGTGCTGATATTCGACTGGAAACGGAGCTTGCAACCGCGCAACACTTCCGGTACGTCCGTGCCAATGGCCTTGTGGCGAATATCCAGGGTGCCGTACTGCCAGCCTAACAAATTTCGAGGCGCTTGGAGTGATACGCTTCGCCACACGAGAGAGATGCGGATACGGCCGTTACCGATGCCTCCGGAAATAGGCCACCATCCCATGACCTGTGAGCGTTGCCGGAAGACCTGGGCAAGTGGCAGATGCACAATACCTAGCAAAGGATCATCTTCGTGAAGTCGAGCGTCGCGAACGGAGACATAGACCTCGCAGTCACGCCAATCCCGGATGAAGCGTTCACATCCCGCGTTGAAGAAAGGCTTGCTATTTTGCGGCTTCACGCGAGACTTGAACGTTTTGCGATGGTTAATAACGATGGTACAGTACGAAGAGGGAAGGCCTTCTCCGGTCTCCTCTTCATCATCGCTGGCACTGCCAAACCTGGACTTGGTCTCTTTGCTGAGCTTCTTGATTTCGAGACCAGTCAGGTTATGAATCTGAATGCTAAGAAGGCCACTCGGATAGTCCTCCGGTGGTGGTGCTGAGATGATCATCTCGTCGTGCTCGATCTTGAACTCGAGCACGCGTTTCTTCTCCATATCCTCCTCATGGCGCTCCAGTGTAGTGTCTTTGAGCATGGCTTCGCGTAGCTTCCGCTCGCAGGTGCGCTCAACCTTTTTCTTTAGCTGCTCCATGTTACGAACACGCGGATCCCGCGTTTGGAGCTTGAACTGGCCGTCGAGGATCTTCGTTTTGGAAAAGTACCCGACGCTCCATTCTAGCTTGCCTGGCATATTATCTCCCGACTTGAGAGCTCGAAAACCGTCCGCACGATGGAACATCTTGCCATTTGACTCTGGGTTCTCCATGATTTCCTTCAGGCTTACTTCGATACGGCCCAGGTCATCATCGGCCGTAAATCGGTCGGAGTCCCAAAGCTGGACGCGGAGACGCTCGTCAATATTCAGTTCTTCCGGCGTTACCAGGACGAAGCATGTTTCGTCCCAACAAGGAGACATTTCCTTGAACATGATGCGGCTGCTCCAAACAACCTTGCCAAATTTTGCCCAGCCGACAGAGACGTACGGGTCCGAGCCACCTTCTCTGAAGAAAGGGATGGCCGCGTCGCCCATCTTGAAGTCGTAGCCTCGTTTAATTGTGACCATCAGAACGCCTTTTGCCAAAGTGTTTTTCTTGAAGTCTTCGCCAACCAGAATCTTTTGCAGATCAATGGTTAGGCTCTTCGGCGCAACATACTGTGCCACAGCAGCGTCGACTGATGCCTGCACGAAATTGCTAATCAACGGGACATCCATAATGTTCAGGCCACGCTGAACCAGAGGCACGCAGCTCATGGCTACCCGCGGCTGGCCCATCAGCGTCACGGTACAAAGAGAAATGAAAGGAGGGTCGGCAATAAGCTGAAGTCGAGCGCGGATAGTGCCGATAATGCCGTGTAGGTTGACCCAAACAGGAATCTTGATGTTTCCCGGCAGGTAAAATGCCACGAACAGGTGTAAGTCGTTGTTTCGGTGTTTGGCCATTCTCGAACTGGCTCGGGTTCGATAAGCAAACGAAATTTCCAAATTGACAAAGGACCCTTCTTCATCGTCCATGACGTGGGGGCCGAAAGGATTACTATCACCAGCGTCTTTCGCTTGGTCTGTTCCCCTTCTCTCTTTCTCGGAAGCATTCTTGCGGAGTGTCTCTGATGTGGCGCCGCTTGGTAGCCAGCGGATACCAAGAATACGTATTGGCTCGCTTCCTTGGCCGATATCTTCGATGCTCACCATGCGAACAATTTTGGGAATAGAGGCTTGCATGACATCTTCGAGGATATCGGTAAAGCTAGCAAATAGATCTGGATTAATAATGGGCCACAACGTACGTAGCACGGAGTTGAGCCACACGGTTCGCTCATGGGTGCTCTCGTTCGCCTCGGTCTTCATCTTTTCGCGATGCGCATGCCAGATTTCGTCTTCGAACAGTTGTCTGGTTTGCTTGGAGCTAAAGTCGCGAACAAAGATGGCAAGGTACGCCATCAAGAAGAAGCCGCCGTAGAACAGGAGCCAAGGGATGCTACCCTGTTTCGCCGAGGCAGGAAGTAGCTTGTATATCTCGTAGGCGGCGACGAGGATGATGGCGGCACCGAAGACGCCTACGGTTGCGCCTTGCCGGCTAATATGTTCGATTTCGTCTCGTAGGCCCCCGAAATCAGGCACAGGAAACTCTTTATAGAGGGCCGGATTAAAGGCTTTCTTAGCGGCGGTAGGCTCGCCCCTTGATAGTGTGGCTAAACCTGATAACGCTGACTCCGCGGACGGGCCAGGGGCCTTCTTAGTGTCTCGTGCAGAGTACTTCCCTGGACTAAGCGCCGCACCGTTAACCGCTACGCCGCCGGGGGCGACCGTGCCGGACGCATTCTTGGCACTGGTAGGCTCGTCGCCTACGGAAGTACGCCCGGCGTCGCTAAGCGTTATGTTATCGAGGGCGTCGTCGTCGAAATCTTGTATGACGATCGTCTGGTGCGTAACAGGGTCCGTAACTTCGCGTTCGCCTCGCTGCCAGCGCCGCTCTTTGTCCTTGCGGCGCCGGCGAGGGTCGGTCAGTGCGGGATCAGTCTGTGATGTATCGATCATCGGAAGATGCTGTCTGTCGTCGTCGTCTCGGCCACGGCTGCGGCTGCGGCTGCGGCTGCGGGATCTGCCCTTGCCACTGGCACTGTCGCTGAGAGCTATGCTTGGTACGCTCAGTGCCGTCGAAGGGCGCGGGCCCGGTGACAGCGTTAAGCGGCTGGGGCGCGACTCGGAGACGCCCTCATCGGGAGGCGGTGCGCCGTCATGCTGCATGGCTTCTTGCTGTCGTCGCAGTGCCAGTTCCTCGCGATATTTGGAGATTGTCGGAACTGGTCTATGCCCGCTGTATGGTTCTTCATAGCGGCGCGCGTCATCAGTGGTACCGGACATGTTGTGTGGTCATCTGGAGATGGAGGCAAGAGCACACCTGAGATAGGTTGCTCAGGCGAAAATTTGAAGTGAGGACTGCCCAAGTAGTTGATCTGAGCCTCAGTTGAGGAGATGGTTGTGACGTACCCTCAGGCGAGGTGTATCCACAGCTAACTTTGTTAGTGTCTATGTACATAGATACGAGGAAGATGCTTGGGCTGACGGGCCGGAGCGTTGGCGTTCACTGCCAGGCTTATTATTAGTACAGTATCCGTACTTTACAGCAACTAAAATCTACGCTTTACCAGTTGTTACAAGGAAAATCGGTCATGAATCTTCGATACATGCTTGATTTGTTTTCCGTGCAAAAATTGACCTTGCACCAAACGCGACCGGGCACTGGCTTGGCACGCATTGGCACGTCATGAAGCTGGCGTAGCCTCGGCACAGCCACACCGGCCGGTCAACGGCGAGTGTCTCTGATAAGGTTGTGCGGTGCTGTCGTTGAGTGAAGTAGATGATTTGTTTTCTTCATATTTAAAATAATTTTGGACCAAGTTTGCCTGCTCCTCTGGTAATTAATTCTGCACTGCCTTTCACTTTCCTTCTTGTTCAATCAGTTTGGAGTCCTGTCTGTTGTCGCCGTCGGCCAACCTCCTCCGGATCGGCGGGGACAGGTTCAGCCCTCTCTTTGCCGACAGCCAACAAGCCACTAACCAGCCACCTGACCGTGGCGCAGACCTTCCCTTGCTTTTCTTAGTAATGCACAGATTGTCCTCCACCCAGCCCCCGTGAATCACTCCTGGGGAATTGTTGCACTACAACTCATACAATGAATGACTTCATGCTGTTGATCGCTCGAGCACTGGTGTTCGACGGCAACGCTTCCTCCGTCTTTGGTCGTGACGGCGATGGCGTCTTGCTACAACGTTGAACAAACGTAGCCCCTGCTACGCAAACATGATCCTTGCACCTCCTCGTCGCAACGCGACAGAAACGTGTTTGTGGTTATGCCAGAGGACTTTGCACGCCAGGGGAAGAGATCGCCGTGTACAGATAGTTGTCCTTTGAGAGGTGGCTGGTTAAGGTGACACGGCTGGCTTTCGTCTAGGTATGGGATCATACACCTGCCTTGTACGCGAGCTCTAGATGCGTCACAGTCGTGCTACAGGCATGTGGCGACGTCTTGGTCTCGTCAGGAGATCGTTGACAGTCCCACGTCGGGCAAAGACTTAGACTTCGACCGCGATCAATGGCTGACGGCCAACGAGCTCGTTTACCTGATTCCATGCCTGAAGCAGGTGGTTTCTTCTAATCGAGCTGCGGACGGGAATAGCATTGAGAGATCCCGTCGTCTGTCTCGGGGAAGTCGATGACTGGGGAGAGGATGAATCCGACTACCCCCTCGCTTCTATTAGCGGTGGCATTGTCATTTCACATCGATGTTTTCCGGTCGGCAAATCCTTTCTGGTTGATGCCCCCCTTTTAAGCGCCCAGCGACCGCCGCAAACTTCTTGGCCACAAGCCACGTGGATGCTGTGCGAATCTACATCGTGCACAAGAGTCCGACGGGTAGGACAAAAGGACCGGGTCGAATGTCTGGCACAGTAAATCGCTGCGCCTCTATTCTTTGGACGATCGGGCGCCAGATATATTGCTGCGGTCTTCGGATGGTGATGGAGGCGAACTGAGGAACGGATGATCAGACGGATTCTGCGTAGGAGGGGAGCATGTTCGGTGCGGCGTCCGATACGGGCTGAAACAGGCCCCGTGGAGCAATGTCGGGTGTGGGAAGCAGGAAAACGGGATGGCGCTATCAACAAGGGTAGGTAGGGTCAGGCAGAGCCAAGAGGGCGTCGAATCATGAGGATGAAAGAAAAGAGACCAGCTGAGTGCAACGAGAATTGGTGAGCACTTTAGTCAGGTAGTCTGTGTGTATGTATGTAGGTTGGAAGCTTGGCGACCGTTGCAGGCAACGAGGCAAACGGAGACGTTTAATGGAGGAGAGGCACCGCTCTGGCAGCTGGCAGTCGCCAAGTCGCCAGCTGCCAGTAAACGCTCAGCTCTTCATGAAAAACCCCATCGTCAAGACTCTCGATAACATCACTTTCCTATCCTCAGTTCATTTTACATCATCATCATCATCATCACCACCACCACCACCGCCATCCTTCCCGTCGCAAGCCCGTCTTTTGTGATTCCTCCTCTGCCGAACCCACACACCCCAATCCCCATCCTCGACCCAGACACTAGCTCCGTCACACTGCAGCCTCAGCCGTCGCTCGTTGGCCACATTCAAATCTCTAAGCGCCGGGCCCGCTTTGTGCCAAATTTTTGCAGCCACTGAGAGCTAGTTTGTCTCGATTGTCTCTCCAGAAACCGTGCTTCTTTGGCCAATTTCCTGCCCCAGGATGCCACTAACTAGCTGGCCCTGGCCGCGGCGGGGGATGGTCTGGCCCCTCCTCCCACTACCGTTGGAGTTCGTCAACTTGATAGTACAAGTCGCTGCCAGGCCGCACGACGGCTGTCTTGTGCTTTTTTATTCTTTACAAGATATTTAGATCACACTCTGCTCACGCCGCCCATCCGCTTGCGATACGCCTCGACTTCGAATCCGCCCCGAATTCCGATTTTCTGCGGCCTTTCCCTTGCATGGCGACTGGCTTCCATCTCAAAACACCCTAGGAACCTTCGAAACGCCTACTCCCACCACCTTCAACTGGTCCTCTCACACTCAACGTCGCATGTTTGCGGCTCCTTTCGTCGCAACCTGTCATCCGGTTCCCTACGCTTTCGTTTTGCCTTAAGTCAATTTTAATTCCTGAGACGAAAACTTCGAGCTTCCACCGCCCTGTATCTTCCTGCAAGCCTGGGACTGTGCCGCTGCTGACAGTTCAAGCCGGCGCCGAAGCCTTGGTTTCAAAACTCTTGGAAGTTTTCCTATCCGGACGAATTGAAGCATTGGTCCTGCACCAGCAACACCGGATCGGGTTTCTCTTTACTCTGCGACAGCTCCGGGGGTCTTACCCCGTTTCTGAGCCCAAGTCTCCCACCTCTCCCCCGGCATTTATCACCTTAATTCAGCCCATATCGCTTCCCTTCTTGTCGTCCCATTTCTCACCTTTCTCCGACTCATCCATCCTGGACTTGGGGCCATCGGTGTCTGTTCTTTCCTTCTCCTGCTGGCTCAGATCGATTCCTTCTTTTAATTATCTAATTCGCCATTACGTTTACGTTCTTCTTCCCTGTTCCAGCCTTTGAACGATAGCTTTCATTCTCTTACGTTACGACCTACATTTACGCGCCAATCGCCGACACCCTTGGACACTTGGCAGCTTCAACCTCTCGTCGCCGGTCGACACATGAATAAACTCGTTCGCATCCTTATGCTCAACTAAACCCTGTCCTCAAAATGGCTGGACAATTAGGCTACCGCGAGCTCCTTCTTAAGCAGTTCACGGCCAGAAAGCTCACATTTCATGTTCTTTTCTGGACCTTTCATTGGGGCATCTTTGCCTATGGCTGGTAAGTTGCATGGCTTGAATCACTCAAACTTCCTGCTTACGCAAACTAGGTGGAAGCAAGCCGCAGATATACGACTCGCTGGTCTCAACACTCTCAAGTTCTCGGTCTGGATTTCCCGTGGTGCTGGTCTCGTCTTGAGTGTCGATGGAATGCTCATTCTCCTTCCGGTTTGCCGCACAATCATGCGATGGATCCGTCCCAAGATTCGATTCCTGCCACTCGACGAAAATATCTGGCTGCATCGGCAACTCGCATACGCTCTCCTGTTATTCAGCATTCTTCACACGGGTGCCCACTATGTCAACTTTTACAACGTTGAGAAGACTCAGATTCGACCCGTTTCGGCTCTTCAGATTCATTACGCTCAGCCTGGTGGCATCACTGGCCACATTATGCTGCTTTGCATGATGCTGATGTACACGACCGCCCACTCGCGCATCCGTCAGCAGTCCTTCGAAACATTTTGGTACACGCATCACCTTTTCATTCCCTTCTTCTTGGCGCTGTACACGCACACAACCGGTTGCTTCGTCCGTGACTCCGTTGACGCCTTCTCGCCTTTCGCGGGTGAGGAGTACTGGACACACTGCATCGGTTATCTCGGATGGCGGTGGGAGCTCTGGACTGGCGGGTTCTATCTTCTGGAGCGCCTTTACCGTGAGGTTCGCGCACGCCGCGAGACCAAAATCACCCGAGTCGTTCGCCACCCGTACGATGTCGTCGAAATTCAGTTTGCCAAGCCTTCCTTCCGGTACAAGGCTGGTCAGTGGCTCTTCCTCCAGATTCCTTCCATTTCCAAGTACCAGTGGCACCCTTTTACCATCACCTCGTGCCCATTCGACCCGTACGTGTCCATCCATGTCCGTCAGGTCGGTGATTTTACCCAGGCCCTGGGTGATGCTCTGGGTGCCGGTAATGCCCAGGCGAAGCTGTACGACGGCGTGGACCCCATGGGAATGTACGAAGTCGCTCTGCAAAACGGCCAGCAGATGCCCGCCCTACGCATCGACGGCCCTTACGGAGCGCCCGCCGAGGACGTCTTTGAGAACGAAATCGCAGTCCTCATTGGTACTGGTATCGGCGTCACACCGTGGGCTTCGATCCTCAAGAACATCTGGCACCTGCGCAACTCGCCCAACCCGCCCACTCGCCTGCGCCGTGTCGAGTTCATCTGGGTCTGCAAGGACACCGGCTCTTTCGAGTGGTTCCAAACGCTACTGTCCTCGCTCGAAGAGCAGTCCAACGAGGCCGCTCGCCTGCCCGGCAGCAACGGCGTCGAGTTCCTCAAGATTCACACCTACTTGACGCAGAAGCTTGACATGGACACGACGCAGAACATTGTCCTCAACAGTGTCGGCGCCAACACCGATCCTCTCACGGAGTTGAAGGCCCGCACACAGTTCGGCCGTCCGGATTTCCGCCGCCTCTTCACGACGATGCGCGACGGTATCCTCGACCGCTCATACATGAACGGCCTCGAGGGAAGCATGCGCACCACCGTCGGTGTATACTTTTGCGGTCCGTCTGCAGCTGGTACGTACTTGACACCCAGTAGAATTACACCGTGCCCTTTTTGCTAACAACCCATCTCTAGCTCGTGACATTAAGACTGCTTGCAAGAGCGCTACGGCCCGCGAAGTCCAGTTCCGCTTCTGGAAGGAACACTTTTAAGAGTTCACGCAAAATACTAGTATTTGACAGAGACCGGGAGTCTTGGGTTGCTTTTTTGCGAGGAAACGGGTGTGCTGGGTTCATGTTTTGTTCCTGTCCTTTTACTTTTACCACGTGTATGCATTTTATTGGCCTGGGGCTTGGATTTCTTTCATATAAAAAAGAACGAAATAGCAATGTCATTTTGCTGCAACTTGTCGGCATCCATGTTCTCTCACTCACGTCCGTTTGATCTTATGCGTCCATACAGAAAACCCAGCCTGCACACTTCCGAATATCTTTTGTTTGGAGCGTATTATTATCTGTCATTATTTCTTCTCGCATTATATTTCATCATGTACAGAAAAGGACAATCTTTGCCACCAACCTGTGAACCCAGTTTCCGTGAACCGTTTATTTGTATCCCCTGTCCCTCCCTTGCCGCTCCTCTCTGCCAGCGATTGTTTCCTTTCATTCTAAAAAAAGACAAAGGACCACCCAGTGACGATGCACAGAGCGAAAATGCGAGATCCTTTCCTCCACTTCCACCCCATCCATCGTCACGCGCGGGGTTGCCAAAAACAGAAAACCTGAAACAGCGGGTGCCGGAAATTGTCATCCTCACCTCGGGAGAACAAGAAAAGAACAAGCCGTGTAAGAAACATCGCCAAGAGACCTGAGAACAGCGGATGCCAAGAAATCCAAAAAAGGTACAACCTCCTGAATAAATCAAAGTATACACCTAATTAGTGTTTATCTCTCTCCAAATATAAAGATGCTTGAGAAAGGATATTGCATTGCGCCTTCAAAGTGACCAACAGGGCTACTTTGCAAAACAGTGCCCACGAGGGAACCCTCCCAAAATTGCATTCGCTCATTGCCGCTTTCGTTGATTAAAAATGGTCATAAGTATTTGATGCTGCGGGAAAACAGCAGCCACGACTGTTGCCGTTAGCCGTGAGGTTGCTTATTTTCAATATCGAGTTTCGTGACGTTCGCTTCCGTCAGGGCCTCGCCAGAACCTTGTTCCTGATAGCTGCTGCTGCGCAGATTTGCTGCCGGTCCACCTGCGGCGTCAATGAGCTTTGTCTCCTGCAGCATGCTCGAAAACTCCTTGTCCCGTTCGGGACGTGGGACTCGGGGCGGCATGTTGACCACGGACGGTGAGTCGAAGGGTGAGATTTCGCCTCTACCGGTCGTGGTGGCTGGTGTCGGTGTGACGGGTCCCCCAATAGAGTCGTCCTGTGTTTCATTTCCAGAGTCGAGGCTGGTTTTTGAAACAGTAGCACTATCGCCAATGACAATCTGGGGGATGTTGGACGTATCGCAGTACTCGATGAGCTCTGAGCAGTCTGACAATGACTGGTCGGGTATGGTGCCTTCTCGACGGCGTGATACACACCATCGAATCAGCATGCGTTCGAGGATTGTCATTGTCACCGGTTTAGCCAAATAGTCGTCCATGCCGGCCCTCTTGCACTTTTCTCGGTCGCCTTGGATGGCGGAGGCCGTCATAGCGACGATAGGAACATCGTGGATGAGACCTTTGTATGGGGAGTGATGCCGCATCAAGTGCGTACACTTGTAGCCGTCGATGATGGGCATCTGAACGTCCATGAGGATAATGTCAGGTTTGGCATTTCGACCCTCGCTTGCCCCCAGCACATACTCCAGAGCCTCCCTTCCGTTCCATGCTGCAGTCACTTGGAAGCCAAGTTTTCGGATTGTGCGGGTTGCAATCTTCTGATTCACTGCATTATCTTCGACAACAAGAATATGAAAGGCAGCTCGCTCTGATCTTGGCAGACCTTGCTCGACACTCTGAGAGGATCGCACCGAGTAGCGGCGACGAAGTCCAGAAAGCCCAGCAGAGCCATCCGAGCCCGAGGGCGTAGCAGTCATGGCGTTCTCATACTCTGAACTGTTGCATGATAGACTCAAATCCGACTGCAGGCGATCAGGGATGGCACCGGCATCAACATTCTGGGCGTTGCGTTGTTGAGGCTTATGGAAAGGGATCCAAAACGTCGCCGTCGTGCCACTTCCCACCGTGGACTCGAGTGTGATTTGCCCGTGCATCAAGTCAAGCAGGTTCTTGCAGATGGTGAGGCCAAGGCCGGTTCCACCAAACCTGCGGGCGGTTGAGGCATCTCCCTGACTAAAAGGTTGAAAGAGTTTGCGACGAACATCTTCCTGGATGCCAATTCCAGTGTCCTCGACAATGAACTTAACGATGATCGAGTCTGCCGTCTCCTTCTCTTTTAGCACTGAGAATCGGACATATCCCTGGCTTGTAAACTTGATACTGTTTGTGAGCAAGTTGGTAATGATCTGGCGAACACGGCCAGGATCTCCGATGACTGCCAGGTCGTTTTCAATGTCGTCGCTAATTTTGGACTGAAAATCCAGGTTTTTGCGCTCCACGGCGAACTTGAGCATGCGCACAACTTCTTTGAGGATGATGGACAGCGAAAACTGTACCTCCTCAATATCAAGCCGACCGGATTCCACCTTGGAAAAGTCGAGAATGTCGTTGATTACGGTGAGAAGAGACGTTGCAGAGCTCTGGATATTGTCAACGTAATCGCGTTGCTCCTCGTCCAAGCTCATGTCGCCAAGAAGCTCGGCCATACCGAGGACGCCCGTGATGGGGGTTCTGATTTCGTGGGACATGTTTGCTAGGAACTGGCTCTTGAGTCGATTCGCCTCGTTGGCCGCGGCTTCGTTGGCAATGGCTCGGTGCTTGTCGCGGGACTGTACACGGAGGGCTTCCTCGCTATCCTTTAGCTGGGTAACATCCATGACAACTCCAATGACTCCTTCGATATTGGGTCGCTTTCCATTCTGCGTTCTCTTGCCGTACATTGGAATAAACCGTGTCCGGAACCAGCGATCGTCAAGCCCATGTTCCTTGATGTCCTCGAGGCGTTTTCCTTCAAGGATTTCTTCGATAGAATTCAACCAGTCTGGTCGTTCTCCTTCCGGCATTTGCTCAGTCAACCTGTTGAAGACTGTGTACATGTCCTCGCCGATGAACCAGCGGCCCTTTCCAGTATCCTCATATGTAGTGTCCCAAATCAAAGCTCCCTCGAGCATGGTGACACGGCGACTCGGGTCAACGGTAAAAAGGGTGACATGGGAGTGCGCAATGACACTTAGCAGCTGCTGTCGTGTTTGCTTGGCTGCCAACTTCGTCTCGATACTTTCGTGGACATCAGTGCAGGTGCCAAACCATTTTTCGATTTTGCCCGTTTCAGGGTTTCGCATGGCGAGGGCACGCCCCAGAAACCATCGCCACTTGCCCTCTTTGTTGCGACAGCGATATTCCATGAAGTAAGGGTCTCCCGTCTCCAGAGATGCACGCCATCGTGAGAGTGCCTCAAGTTTATCGTCAGGGTGGAAGCAATCTCTCCAGGCCAGCCCGAGGCACTGCTCAGGCGCGAGGCCGGTATAGGTATACCACCGCGTGTTGAAAAAGTCGTGCAATCCCGTCGCCGAGGCAGTCCATACCAGCTGGGGCATGGTGTCGCAGATAATTTTGAAGCGCTCTTCATCGCGCTCTTTTATGAGCGAGATTTCTTCGGTGATTACGGTAACATCCCGGAAAGTCACAACGCCAGCAAGAAATTCACCCGTTATTTCGTCAGTAATGGCTTCACCGAGAAGATCGTAGACTAAACGTTTGCCTTGTGAGTCAAAGACACCAACTCGGGTGCTGGAAAACGGCGTGGCTGTCTTGAGCAGGATAGAAAGAGGATGCTCGTCGACCTCGAGTCTTCTTCCAAAGTCTTCGGTCCAAACTTCCCAATTCTTTAGCAGGTCAAAGCCGTCGGATGAAGAGTCTAGATCAGCATCGTGCGGGAGCAGTAAACGAGCGGCTTTGTTGGGGAATGTTACACTGCCATCTTTCCACATGGCAAGTATAGGCATCTGGGTGTTATCCAGAAGAGCATCCTTCATGCGAATGATTTTTTGCAGGACAGAGGGTGTGCTAGAATGTGAGTGGGCAGCAATGGAGGGAGGGCCCATGGGCGGGAAGGGGCTGGAAGACATTGTGAGGACGCTGGGCGTGTTGAGTGCCGGAGAGCTTGAGTCTCGACTGGAAGCGACGGAGGAGGGATTGGAGTTGCTAATGGATCTTCGTTCGGCAGCTTCGAGAGCGATGGATTTGGCGACGCTCTTTTTGTTGTTGGCGGGGGTCGGGGGCGTCGATTGAGTGCTAGTGAACGTAAGGGTGAAGTAGACCTGTTTGTCCTCCACTTCCCAGACGGTAACAATCATTTTGGCAAATGCGTGAAATTCAGACTCTTTGGACTTGTAGCGACTGTCAAAAGTGGTCTTATTGAGTCCCTTTCTAGACACGACAACTTCAATGGTGGCGTCCTGAGTGGCCTTGGGAGGCGTGCCACGAAGTTGCAAGCTAGGGCTGGCAGGGCCGTTGATGGTGGGCGTGGCGTCACCGGCGTCAGCGACAGCAGCGGTTGTAGATGACGGGCACTGGCCAGACGCGGGGGGCCGGGCGCCGATTTCATTGACCAAGGCGTCGAAGAAGGTCTCCCAAGTGACCCATACAGGTTTGCCGTCCTGCAGCATATCGATGCCGACCTGAGAGAGTGTCTGTCCGCGAAGACGGTCGGTGGTGAGGGAAAGGTCGTCGTCATCTGAGTCGTCAGCTATGATACCCATCATTCTGCCCATGGCCTCGTTGGCGAGGACAACAGTCTTGAGGCTGTTGAGAACAATGACAGGGACAGGTAGGTACTGCATGGCAGAAAATGCCAGCTGGGCAGGCGATATGGTGGGCATTGCGAGTCGGAAGGGGCTCTGGGACTGGGAGCGAGCATCTCGGATGGGCATGCCGAGGGGGTCACGAAAGAAACGGCCACCTCCGAGAGAACGAGGACTACCGGTATATCCGTTGCCCGAGGTTTGGGTGTGACCACCGGCGGTGTTTAACTGGAGTTTGGAGTCGGCAGCGATATTGCCGGAGTCCGGTTCGGGGTCGAGGTCTACAGCAGCTGCAGCATCGGTGCCGGCGGCAAGCGCGGCATCGTGAGCAGCGGCCGCCAACGGGGTCGCTGTGAGATTGCCGCTGTGATAGGGAGGCTCGGAGTTGTTATTCATATCGGACGGCTCAGGCTGCGAGGATTCGCCCATCACCCGGGGCGTACGGGGAGGCGGGATGCGATGTTGTCGGTGGGCTGGGGTCGGGCGAGAGACGCGGCAGCAGGATCTGGACGGCCAAATGCGGAGGGGCCCTGTGCTGCACCAGCGAAGGATTCGAACTAGCAAGTTGGAGGCAGTCGGAACATGTCTGTTGGTTTGACTCGGTCGAAGGGGAACTTGTGGGTTGCGCAAGGTCGCGACAGGTACAGATCTGGGCGGGATCGGGGATCGTTGGCGGCGCGCCTTGCGGATGGGGCCAGAGCCGGTAGTTGGCGAAAGCCGTCGATTGATTGCAGTCGCTACCGGGTGATATGAGGGATAACCGGAAGAATAAAGAAGCGATTAGGCGAAGGAGAAAGTAAGTGGGCTGAGTCGGGGAGATGTGAAGCAGCAGAGACGGCGTTGGGCCCGAGATGCCGTCTGTGCAAACGGGAAGGAAGTAAAGGATAGGGTGACGGCGTCGGGGCGGATCAGAGCGAGAATGGGCGACGAAGCAGAGGCTCAGAGTGGAGAATCGGGAAATCCTTCAAGCGCAAGTTGGCAGATATGGAAGAGAAAATGGTGAATGTTGGGAGAAGAGTGTCTGGGAGTTTGCGGTCTCCGTCTACTGGGGAGAGTCTTGGACGTTGCTAGTTTGGTAGCGAGAAGGCGGCTAGCTGGAGCGGTCGGTTTTGACTGGTGCAAGAAGTTGGAAGTTTGGGAACCGACCATGTACCTGCACACCATCCCACCATTTATTACCACATACATACATACATACATAGGCAGGCAAGCAGGTAGTGAGGCGAGACGGGCATTAGGTGCCATAGGTACCTAGACTAATGACAGATACCTCTATACCTATGATGAAGGCCAACCTATTGGCAGCGTGTAGCCTACATACATACCTTGCAAGGTCACTTGATATACAGATACTAACAAACGACGGTAGATGATGGCAGCAGGGGAGTTTTTTGCCCTGTCAACTTGCAAGAACAGGGAACACCATAAAATAAGGTAGAAAAGTTGGCAGTGGACTCGGCCTTGGATAACCATTAACTACGTAGTTAGTTAGCACCTTTACCTGTTTTAGCTCAGAGACTGGAGACAGAGACTGGATGGTGGCGGGGCTTGGACTGGGTCAGTGATCACTGATGAGCGAACGGATAAGCGAGTGGCTTCTTGTATAATTCTTTGTTTATTCGTATAATGATATGGCATTTTGTTTGCCTGCACAGTACTGAATAACATAATAGACTTGGAATTGACAGTTGCTGTATGAATCGTAGAAGCAAACCTACGTAGATACATAGGTAGGCAGCTTAGTTGATGAGTCTAACAAGTTACATGCGCTGGCATGCAAAACACAACATGTGAAGAAGTCACTCACTACCTTGGAAAAAGCCCGAGAAGCCTGACAGCCAGCCTGCGTGAGCTAGTTAGTGCAAATACTCCCACCCGCATTATCTCCTGCATTCCCTGCCCGGCCTCGTTCTCAGGTAGCCCCTCCCGCCCCTCCAAGCCCCAGTGGCCCCTGCTCTGCCCCATGATCGACAGACTGGGTTGCAAAGCTGAGGAGCCGAGCCGCAACAGCTACAGATTCTTGCCTTTTTTTTTTTCCCTTCACTCAAAAGTGAGAGAAATTGTGCTGTTTCTCTCCTCGAACGGAGCTCAAGTGTAGCCGCATCTGAAAGGTAGGAACTAACTCAGGTCCTACCCAAGGCCAAGTGGCAGACACCGGGCGGGCACTTTGTAAGCCACCACCACCTTTCGATTCGCTAGCCGAGTGCCGCCCGCAACAAGTCCCGTCAGTGCCATAATGGACCCTTGTAAGCCAGTTCGATAGGTCAGTACATGCAGACAAGCTGAATGTGTATGAGCATCCATGTACTTCGCTACCAACTTAATCTGCGACAGCCACAATGCCTGCCTGCCGTTGTCCACTCTACCGCCACAGAATACCCAGTCCGAGATTCTCGTCCTCTTCAACTTGCATACTGCATGAAATCTCTGTTGTCGCCAACGTTCTAGGCGCCGCCATCATGTGAGACACGACCTCTTCTGCTTGGTAATTCCTGCCGTACAAATAATCCGCTGCGCGCACCATACCCAAGGAGGTAGCCCAGTGGCTGGCTGGATGGCTTTCCTTCCGACCGCCCCTTCCAAGCTTTTTTTTCCGCCGTGTTCCTTGTTTTTACGCCGTTCTGGAACTGGGTCCGACTTGGCCCAGAACGTCCAGAACGTCGACTGGACTCGACCCATCACTACCACTCTCTCACACCGGCATCCGTCAAACAAAGAAACGAAAAAGGCCAGGGATCCAAGCGATGGTCAGCACCACCCTGATTCGTCCACAGCTACTAACTTACTACCCCAAGAAGCCAATAGCCTCATGATTCAGCTTCCACTTTCCTCTATCACCGCCGAGGATGCATCGACGCCCATAGCCAAACACGCATGAGCCTTCCCAATAGGTTTCTCAATATTCGTAACCGCAACACCGGAAAGTCTTGTTCGCTTCCATTCCGCTCATTTAGTACTCGTATTCCGCCCGTCCGTTCACCGCAGGAAGCATACGCGTATTCGACCTGATACACAGATATCTCGTCCCTCATTTACCAGGAACCCACCCTGCTCCCAAACTGCCGCCTCGCATATCGACATCCTGGGGGCCCCAAAAGCCTCGACTTTCAGCGTAGCATTCAAGACGGGACCCAACCCACCGCATCGCCAGATTTCCCGTTCAAACCTAATTCCCGTTCTTCTTAATCTCCCGCCAACCCGGCCACCGTGCTCGCGTGCGATTCACCCGAAGAAAACCCTCCACAAGTACGAATTAGGGCTTCCGTGATCACCGCCTGCCAGTCACCCGCAGCCATCCTCCATGCATGTCTCTGTCAGGAGGGATGCTCGCTCACATGAGTCACGTCTTGTTCTCCTCAGCCGAGACTCAGGCTGTGACGGTCAATCTACCGAAAGTTGCTGCAGTCTATTGAGAAGTCTAGACTTGCGCGCTCCACAGAATCGTCGATCTTGTGTTCAATACGAAATGTCAACCCTTGCAATATCAGTCTCATCAACGACACAACCCGCTGTATTTTATGCACTGCCATCAACTATCCTTGTCCCTTCAAGCCACCGAATGACCTCCCTCGTCCACCCTAGACAGATACAAAATTCGTCAAGAGTCGTCTTCTTCTTCTATCCCGCCACTATGTGAGGTCTATCACCTCGCCCAGCCTACGCTCGCTACGGCACGCATCGCAGCAGAGGTACCCGCCCGGATTATGCAATGTACACACCGGGCACACCCATCCGGCGTCGTCGTCTGCACCGCCACGCGCGTCCCCGTGCCGACGCCGCCGCCCGCGACTTGTGCCCTGCTGCTCCACCGTAGCTAGCAGACGATTCCGTGCCGCCACCGGCGGGCTCCGGTTCGCCGGCCCAGGCCGCAAGTCCCTTGCGTCGCCCATGAGCTCCGCAAGCGCTTGCGCAATCGCCGCGTCGTTGGCCTTGTCCTCCTCCGCCTGCGTCCGGAAGCCGTTGCGACGCGCGGTCGCCCCCGCGTCCCTGATCTGTGCTTCGTCGAGGGTGCTCGCGCCGCAGCCCTCCAGTGCCCTCTTGCGACGCTCCGCTGCCTCGGCTGCCGCCGCGCGTCGCATCTCCGGCGTCAGCGCCGCGGGTCTGCCAGCGGCGCCTCCTCCTCCTCCTCCGAGTCGACGACCGGCCACGGCCACCACGCCGTTAGACATGACCCGGCCGCGTTCATACACAGACACCCCCGCCGGTGCGCCACCACCCAGTCGACGGCCCCGAGAGAGGAACGAGGCGCCGCTGTACCCGGACAGAGTCAGCCGCAGGTGCTCGTCGCGCAGCGCCTCCCACAGCGCGTGGAAGTCAGCGTTGTGCGGGCCGTGCACGTTGTGGCACAGCTCGTGCAGCATCGTATCGATGACCATGTCGAGCCCAAGGAAGAGCGTCTGGTCGTTGGCGTAGCGCAGCCGCAGGCAGATTTGCTGTCCTCGGTTAACGTTGAGACCTGCCCAGAGGCGTTAGATGAATTAAAGATGGAGAGAATCAAGTACGTGATTATTGTGAAGAACGTACCCAACAGGTTGGCATTGTTAGGGTAAAACTCGGCGAGCTCGCCCACCCGCCATTGGTGGTTGCGCATAATCGGCTTCACGGCTGAGGCGACGCGCCGTAGCATCTGGAGAGCATCATCGGCACGTGGCAGCCGGGCCAGGTGCACGTACGACCACACCTGCTGGTCTTGGTTCACCATGATCTCGGCTTGCGAACAGAGGCCGCAAGGCTGGGCCTCAATACATTGTAGATGTCTTTGCGGTAGTTTTTGTATCCTGTATTTGTTTGCGCAGGCTTTCAGGCCATGTCGGAGTTGCGCGGCTCCGTAGATAGCGTGTGGGTCACCAGCGACTCACAGCGACATGTAAGCTGGTCTGCTGCCTGGAAAGCTGCCATTTGTCATTTGACCAACCAACAGGTTCAAGGCAGTAAAACTTGATGTAGATGGAATCTTCTAGACTTCTGACACGGTACAGGACAACTTGGTACAGAAATGTGGTGAGACGGAAGTAAGACGGAGCTTCGGCGACTACTACCGCAAGAGACAGCTGCGCCCAAGGCTACCATCTCCGAGAAAGGAACTCGGGTACAAATAATGGTGTGCATGATAATTTTAAGAATGCGAATGATTTCATTTCGTCATGTGTTTGTGAGTTCGTATAGGTATTAGGCAGTTAACAGCCGCCAGTTGAGTCTGAAAGTGACGTTGCCTCGCGACAGCGTAGCCGCGAGCATCGAGGGTGATGCAGATTGCCACCTCTCCATCGTCTCCCCCAAAATCATTCCTTGATCGCCAGCGCCCGCAGCCGCACGTACGAAATCATCTCCCCCCCACGCCCATCATCACAAACCACCCGCAGCGCCTCCGCCGCCTCCCTCACCGCCGCCTCGCGCTCCTCCCCCTCCGGCACGCTCTCCAGCATGCCCTTCCCAAACAGCCGCAGCCAGCCCTCCACGCCGCCGTCGCCCGCCCTCGTCGGCCGCCACTCCCTCTCCACCCTCTCCACCCTGAACCCGGCCTCCGCCAGCGCCGCCTCCGCCCACGCCTCGTCCGGGAAGAACCAAGGGTAGACCACCGGGGTCGCGGCGCGCCGGCGGCAGGCGAGGAGCAGCGCGCCGGCCATCTCCTTGACGTTGCCGAGGCCGCCCATCTCAAAGGCGAGGCGGCCGCCGGGCGCGAGGGCGGCGTGCAGGGCGCGCAGGAGGGGAGCGCGGTCGGGGGGGTCGCGCAGGACCCAGTGCAGCGCGGCGTTGGAGAAGATTTTGGTGAAGGAGCCGGCCTGCAGCGCCGGGGTGCGGTGCAGCTCGGTCGCGTCGAGGACTGCGCGCGCAGGGCTGGTTAGCAGAGCTGCCCCTTGGTCTCTTGTTGATCCTAAAGACGGTTTCGACGGGGTCCATACCTTCAAAGGTCGCGTTGGGATACTCCTTGCACAACTCCTTGGCCGCGGAAATCATGGCCGCGGAGCTGTCGATGCCGTGGATGGAGCCCTTACCCTGCGACAACACTTTGGCGAATTCCAGGTTCAACACGCCGTCTGATCATTGTTTTGAAAACAAGGGCCGTCAGTTTCATTGTCTGCAAGTGCATTCCCCTCCTCCCGATGAGAGCCGAGACGTACCGCCGCAGCCAATGTCCAGGACAACGTCGTCCTTCTGCAGATCAAGCCACTCAGTCACCTTGCCCGCCAGCTTGGGCACAAACGCCGCCGAGTGCTGGTATTCCTGGCATGGGTCGACGCAAGTTAGAGCGAGTTGTGATATGCGGGGTTCCAGATCTCCGACCGCTTACACCAGAGTGCCAGTGATCTTTGCGTTCTTCGGCCATTGTCTATCGACGAAAACTTATCAGATAATAAGAAATTTATATGAATTATATAATCATGCAATATTATTATTAACGAAAAGGAAGGATGAACTTATGTTTGCAGCATCTCTGATGGAGAAGACGCGCATTTATAGCTTGCCAAAGAACGCGCCGTTGAGGAACTGCGCCGCCGAAATCGGAGCCCGGTTGCGTAAAGCTTCAAGGTTCGCAGACAAAACACGATACTACGTGTATGTCGGTTTACGTCACAGGGTCCAGAATTAGACAAATCAGAGATGTCAATTTTCATTCCAACACAAGTGTGACCGTAATTGCGGCTGCACTGGCCAAGCCCAACTTCTGCTCCACGTCTTAGTCCAGTTCCAGCAGCTTGAACTTCTATTCTCTTCATAAATGTGAGAACCCTTTTCCTCCTCAAGTCTACGGCCAATTACTTGGATGCCAACCGGGAGTCCGTGCATGTCGTCGGCGTTGTAGTGTTTGTATGCGCCGCGAGCTACGCCATTGAGACTGCGCACGTTGAAGCCCTTTGGCAGCTGGTCCTTTCTCCTGTCGACGTGCGTTACTGGGATGACGCCAGCGGTATAATCGAGCTACAAATTGTTAGAAAAGATTCACCAAAGCCATATTCTTCCGTCAAAGACGCACCAAGTTAAAGAGAAAGTGTAGCCACAACTGCTGCATGCGTCGTGCATGCCGCCATGTGGCACAGCAGGGGTGGCGTTGGGAGGAGCAATAACGAAATCGAACCCCTTCTCCTCCCAAAACTCGAACCATCTGCGTTTGTATGCCTCCCACTTTACAATTAATTGCCATTGCTGGTAAGTGGTCTCGGGATGCCAGTTGCGGAGGATGCCGGCCCAGACGGGATCGCGGCGGACGTATCGGACCCAGAGGTAATGCACATATTTAACGATTCGAGGAAAGTTAAATTAGAAACGCATCTGAGCCACGCCACGATCGTTTCCCTCGCCGGTGCGGAAGAAGGACACGGCTGTCTGGACACCATCGGCATCAAGCAGCTGGGAAGCCAGCTGTAGAGCCCCGTATGGCTCGGGAGGGGCGATGTTATCAGCAATTTCATGGCCATCAGCACCGAGAGCGTTAACAGTCATTTCAAGATTTCGAGCGCAAGCAGGGCTAAGATCGACGACGCCATACGTGCGCATGACACCAACACGGGGTTTCTTCTTCGCAGCGTAAGTCTCCTCGACGTCAGATCACCACGGGATTCGCCTCGTATATAGCTCCCGCGCCGATGACGCAAAACCCAATTCATTTCCAGCCGCTCTTTTTCTGGTGGAGCAGATGCTGTCCGTACCGCCATCGTCGTACCGGCGAGCCGGGCGGTCCAGCCTGACGTTTCGGCGGTCACAGGAGGCGGCCACGCAGTGCTCGCAGGCGGTACGCAACGTGCCGCGGATGCGCAAGCGACGGAGCAGGAAGCTGGACCATCTGCAGTTCAAGTAGAATAAGAAAGATAATGATTAAAATCGTAATGACGATCTATAAAACTAGTTAGTACCTATAGGTGCGACGAACGAGGGGAGGGCGAAAGGCGCAACCCTCGGCATGCATCTCTCAGCAGTCGTATAGTTCAGGGAGATGCTTCCGGATGCGGACAAATGTTTCGTGGATCTTGCAAGATGCGGCCGGGGACAGCGGCTTGACGCCCGCCCCAGGCTACATGATACATATGCAGGTCGACTGGTGAGAGGATAAAAATGCTCTGATTCGGGCATGGATGGGCACGTATCTGCTGGTGCACTGGTAACTGATGCCTTGCGCAAGGAGGGAGGGGGAGGTCGGCGGATGTCAATCCGATTGGCTCCATTGACAAGGCAGCTCTTCGAGGCCGACGAAAAGGAACGCGATGAGGAGCGAGCCGGGGCGTTGACCCGGTCTTGATATTGGCAGCGCTATCGACGAAGACGGATTTTTCGTTGCCCTAAGGTTGCTTCGTTTCGTTGCTCCTACACGGGGAGAGCTCTGAGGAGGAGGCAGAGCTGCCCCGAAAGACCAAGAGCCATGGAAATCGACGAGTCAGATGTTATGATCTCTGCTGGATCAAGGTAGAGGTTCTCGTCGTTTGGTTCCTTGACTCGGCCTTTGCCCCAGATATGGACGAGATACTACCATAAGCTATAATAATGAAACTAGTCATACTACACATAGTTAACTCTATATAGGTTATACCTATGTCTGCTTCGTCTGACTGCATGTAGTCCTCCGTCACAGGCTCCAACTCGGTCGTGGGAGCGGCAGTGAGGAAGTCTTCCAGGCCACAGTATGCTGAAGTTGACCTGGACCGAGGAGATGAGGCCTCATTGTCTACTCTGTCATGGTCGCTCTCGGTGACGTCGCCGCGTACTTGCCTGTCGCTAGTAGAATCGGCCTCGCATATCTCAGTGCATACGTTCTGCCCCCACGCCGAGCTAGGGTTGCTTATGACGGGACGCTGGTCTCTGATAATGTCGATGTGGTAGGAGTGGAGGGGGGTTCTCAAGGGAGGGCCAGTATCGCTTCGACGGCTAAGGATATTAAACAGCACAGTCCTTCGCTAAATGTCTTGCGTACGACCCTCCTGCCCCCGGATCACCTCAGGCTGGTCCAACACTTGATGAGAAGCACCGATAACAGACTTCTGAAGCTTTACCGAAGGGCTCGGGATGCCGCCGAGTGGAAAGTAAAATGGCCGAATAGACGTCGCATCGCTGGCGGGCGCCGTGTCTAAGATGTAATAGACTCCAAAGTCCCCAACTTCCCACTCAAGCCCTGCACTTACGACGACAACTTTTCTCTTGCAAGTTACCCTTGAGAGTAACGGAACGGCCTGAACACCTCTTCGCGCTTCCATGGAATCTGGCGTTCATTAGTCATCTTATGACTATGATAACTTCAAACTCGTTCAATACCAGCACGTCTAGGTATTAATTACAGTTCCCGGTGGCGTCTTCACACAGAGCTAATGCGCTGCCTTTACTCAGTCCACTCATGCCGTTCAGGCCAATTGCAGACAGGATGGTCTCGACAACAACGGCCGCTCGCACAAACTATGTTGGATAATCAGTAGCACAACTCGGTTCACCAAGTCATGACGCCAAAAACTTAAGCCGCAAGTTTCAACGTACCCAACGGCTCCTCTCCTACTTGAACTTTATTACACCTACACGTGAGCATGGCACATGTTCGTTGCCATTCTCCAACACTAACGTAGTTAGCGACTGTGGACTGCCCCACTCAGCACCGGGAGCACCGCTTTGGGCCCGAAAAAGCTGGATAGCGTCACTGCGACCGACTCAACTCCTCCTTCATCCCATCATTCATCACCTTAATCATCATGCCGGTGGATGAACAGCAGCTTATTGATTTGGTGAGTTGCTCGAGTCCTGCGATTTAAAGCTCGCCGCGCCGCGTGACTAATGCACATTCTTCCGTCAGCTGGGAAAGATTCCCGTGCAGCTCCGAGACTACACAAACCATGCGGCCGAGTTTATAGATAAGAGCGTCGACCGCGCCGCCGACGTCGTTCGCGATACCTTAAGCTCCCAGACCTGGATCCCCGATTCGATCAGGCCCGCACCGCCAGCCAAGGTGCCCATCGCCGTGGTGTCCATGTCAACATGGGAGCGGGCTCAGGATTGGGTATCCAAGCACAAGATCCTAACGGGCGTCGTCGTCATCGTCTGCGGAACCGCCGTCTTTAAGGGCTACCAGAAATCGAAATTCATGCGCAAAACGCGGCGCGCAAAACGGGCTAGGAACGGCGGACGTACCGAAGTCGTCGTCGTGGCCGGCTCGCCCACGCTGCCCCTTACCAAGTCCCTGGCCTTGGACATGGAGAGGCGCGGCTTCATTGTATACGTCGTCTGCGATGCGCCCGAGGATGAGAGAACAGTGCAGTCCTACGCCCGTCAAGACATCAGCCCGTTGAAGATTGATACGACCAACGTGAGTAAAATGATTCCCCCCTGGCTGGGCTGGTAAGCTAACCTGTTCGCAGCCCCCCAGTGCCGGGTCTGCCATCGAAAAGTTTGCAGCATACCTCCAGTCGCCACATGCTCCCGGACCTCACATCAAGCCGAACCAGTTGACTCTTCGATCCGTAATTCTCATCCCCAGTCTTCATTACCAGACCTCACCGATTGCGACAATACCGCCTTCGAGCTTCGCCGACCTGTTCAACACCCATCTCCTACACCCTATTCTCACCATACAGGCTTTCCTCCCACTGCTCACATCTCGACTACAGCCTATTGGTGAGAAATGGGTGCCGCCCAAGGTCATGGTCTTGACACCCTCCATCATCTCGTCCATCAACCCTCCCTTCCACGCCCCCGAAGCCACCGTCTGCTCCGCCCTTTCAGCCTTTACGGAGGTTCTGACTGCCGAGCTGCGGCCTCTTGATATTCCCGTCACCCATATGCAGCTTGGGACCTTTGACTTTGCCGGCTTCGTCCCTGCCCGAAACCTGGCCATCGGCCAGGGCCAGCACACGACTGGCCAGCCCCAGGAGACGCTCGTGTGGCCGGACGGCGCCAGGCATGTCTACGCCCGCAACTTTGTCGCGCAGACAAGCTCAGCCATCTCTGGCGCGCGCATCCGTGGCTTCAAGGGAAGCTCGCTGCGCCGCCTGCACAACTCTGTGTTTGACGTCATTGACGGCTCCATCACCAGCGACACGGTGCGCATCGGTCTCGGATCCAGCGTCTATGGCTTCGTCGGCCGCTGGGCTCCGCGCGGGCTGGTGTCGTGGCTCATGGGTATTCGCCGCGTCGACGAGCTGTCGACCTGGAAGGCGAGCGAGGAGGGGTCCTCCCGCACACCCAGCGAAGATGGCGACAATGCCAGCCATGAATTCATCGCGGTGCCGTCGGAAATCAATGCCTGGACATTCGAGAAGGACAGCAATCTCTGGACACCGACGAAAGAGCCGGCCGCGTAAAGGATGCGAAGCTCATCGCAGAGCTTGGGCACACGTGCCGTGTAAAAGTAGGATAGACCTGCAAGCTAATTGTTACATAGACGAAGTCACGACTCTGCTGTGCATATATGAGAAAATTAAATATCCCTTTATTTCTATTGCTATGAAAACGCCTCATCTAAGGGGTAGTTCTGAATATCTCGTACAGCCTATCGTTTGTGAACCGGTGGGTATCATGATCCGTAATGTATTTCCCTCCCAGTGACCCCCAATACAAAATGTCCCTGCATCGCTAATAAAAGAGTCCTCTCTAATATCCTCCTCTTCCTCTGAACCGTCCGCGGCCGGCGCCACCAGCACCCGCACCTCTCCAACCACCTCTGCCACCGCCCCTGCCACCATGGCGCCCACCAAATCGATCATCCTTGTCTCTCTGCTTGTCACCGTCGTCGTAGCCCGCCGTCTGCTGCCCCTGCTGCTGCTGCTGATGCTGATGCTGCTGCTGCAGCGCCTCCATCTCCGCCCTGATCTCCTCCTCCTTCTTCGGCGGGGGCTTGACGGTCGGCGGCTCGAGCGACGCCGACCACTTGGGGTGCGACCCGCGGCGGCACTCCGGCCCCTCCGGGCAGAAGCCGGCCAGGTAGAACGCGCAGGGCCGCCTCCGTACGTGCTTCTTGGCGCACACCGGGCCGAGCGGGCAGAAACCCATGTCGTAGTGCGGGCACGGCGGCAGCCGCGACAGCGGGTCGACGTGCAGGTACAGGCACTCCTCGCCGTTGGAGCAGTACCCGTTGCGCATGAAGAAGTTGCACTCGGGCATCCGCCGCAGGTTGTACTCGTGCAGGAACTCGCACGGCACGCCCTTCTTGCACAGCCCACGCAGCCAGTGCTTGCAGACCAGCGAGTTGAGCCCGCCGGTCGGGTGGTGCGGCGCCGCGCCCCCGGCCCCCGACGTCTTGCTGGCGCTGGCGTCGACGGCGACGTGCCGCTCGGTGCACCGCGTGCCGTTCGGGCAGCTGCCCGTCTGGTAGGCCTTGCAGATCGGCCGGTCCGCGGGCAGCCCGACCTGGTACGTGTCGCGCAAAAAGGCGGAAAAGGTAAACGTGTAGGGCTTCGCGGAGTGGTTCAGCACCGTAGACGCAGGGCCGCTGGAGACGGTCGCGGCCGTCGTCGTGTCCGTCGCCATCGTGGTGCGCGCGTGCGGGTGCGGCGTTGGTTGTGATGCGAGAGAGGGTCAATTGATGAGATGGAGAGACTACCGGTACTGTGGGGTAATTGTGTCGGTTGGCGTGTTCTGTGTTGTCTTGAATGACGAGTTGTTGTTTGTATGAGGAGAGAAAGCTGGTGGAAGCTTTCGGCAGTGTGACGCCACATTTGAATGTGAGATTGCGCCACATGGTTTGTCAGCCACACTTGATTCCATGCTATGGCTTGAAAGCGTAGTACAAGTTCAGACTTTCCTTCTTCTAGTAAAAGACTTAACTCATTTTACAGGGCTAGACTTGTATTTAGAGTGATTAAGAGTGCATCCTCTCATTCGTTGGCGTTTACTTAGCAGTCAGACCGGGAATAGAGTGGCAAAGCGGACTGTTGATGAAGAGGCCAGCGCCGGAAACAGCAGCACGAGGCTACTTAGCAGAGGATAATGAACTGTAAGTCTTGAAATGAGCATTAATTAGCATCCAAATATTTTTAAAGTATGCACAATTGATCACGTCTGCGCAAGTGGTGTCCTCTAGTCGTATGCTTAGCTGCAACAAAAAATGTCGCGGCATAAAGTGGGATACCTGCATACGTCTTTTCTTTATTACATTATTACATAGAACCGAGATAGAGCTGCTGATCTGTGTTGACCGCTCAATGACGTAGGACCATTCAAATAAAATCTGCGGAGCTACAAAGGAAAGGCTACCAGATAATGGACACAGTGCCTCGAAAGTGGCGGCGTGTAATGCACATTTGAGCAGATATACTCCGTACATCCTTGACAATATTAGGCTCTTCTCTTTCCATACCTGTGTGGTTAGCAAGTCTCTCTGCGTAAAGCGGCCGCTGCTCATTGCGGAAGGCCATATTCAATCCCCGCCCCCCAAGTTGGTTTTGACAAGGTGGTTTGCCTCCTGCTGTCAGCCACCCGACTCTGTGCATACACCCTCCGCAGTCGGACTTCGCCGATGCCACGTTTAACGGGCTTCGGAAGCCGAGCCTGCACGAACATAACTGATCAATGTCGAATCATATTGTAATGTGGAATTCTTGGGGAAATGCCAGGCTGTGCATATCTGCGTAATGCCTAATGGCACAGCGAACGCAGCTCGGGTACATACTTCCTGGGCAATTTGCACTTGTCGACTGCCAGGGATCACGACTGTATTTTTCAAGAAAAGTGAGAAGTGGCTGAGACTTGCTTTCTTCGGGGAATTCTCCAGCTTTACGCAAAGTTTATGGACGTTCTCGGGGTCGGGCGGACAGCATCAGCCTCGCCAAGCAGTCAAAAACGTGGACACCCATCCCACCTCGGTGGAAGACATGCAGGGAGGTGCCTGGCAATCTAGCTTCAACACAAACAATGGTGCAGTCTGATTAATTGGTCTCTCCAAGAAATCCCTCTATGAAGAAGCATCAAGCGATCATGGTCGGCGATAACCAGCCTGTCACAGTGTTGGCAATCTATGCATGCAAGAGAGCGCCCAGAACAACCCCTAGAAATTCTTGGGCTTCTCCAAGATGGGATCATCACTAGCGCTCTTTATCGTAGAAAATGGAGAAAACTGCAATTACTGATGGCATGTTCTGCATCCTGAGCCCGAAACGGCGCCATGCCGGCCCCCGACAGCAAGAAGCCCTATCTCCACTGCGCCGATCCGAGGGGGGGCTCTGCCATCTAGCAACATCTCTGCTGAGAAGTCGATCGAGATCAGCATCGGTGTCGTACAAGCCTCACGATCTCGCCAGGGAGTAGGCGGGCGGGAAACCCCCAGCGCCAACGCTGCCGGCTCCCATCTTCGTCGCCGGCCGGCATGGGCATCACCGGTGTCGCAGTATTGACTAGTCCTGCATGGTGCCATTTATCGTAAGCGTCAGAGACGAGGACATCGTAACTGCATTGTCGCCGAGTTGCACACTTTGCCTGCCTGGTGTGAGAGGCTGGCGCGACGCTCAGGATGAGCTCACCATGTGCAGATGCATGAGACTTGGGTGTCGACCAAGTTCGCCTACAGCTTTGGACAACCATCATGCTTTGCCGACGCAGTCTAGGCGGAATGACGAGTTTGTCTGTGCGCTGGGATGTTTCGGACCCTCCCGTGTACTTCCCCCATGCAGAGCGCCGGAAGGATCTGTGTAGAAGTGCCTTGATTGGCCCAACACGGGCCACTGTTGATGCCACGCTGCGAGCCTGGAAGCATACAGATAAAGCACATGGATGAAAAGATTGTGCTTATCATTTTTTAGGGAGTGTGTCTCAGTTAGATGCCACGGGTTACTGGGTAGTTGCTTCGGTGTTTGCTGAAGATTGAGGCGGCAAAATGCAGCCACCACTGTGCTGGAGGATATTACGGCGCCGGGGACACAGTTCAACAACATTGCAGTTGGCTATCAGTGAAACGATTCGTATCTGTCGTCGGACAGTAGCTCAGTTTGCTTGCTCGTACCAACTATCACCGCCACCGGCAAAGGCTAGGGCTAGACCGCCCAGCATCCCCTTGGGACAAGAATTGGAAATGAAGCCAGGGAAATATAGGATACACGGCGTCACCCTGCATCGGCATACACCGCTGCATTGCTATGGAATACTGGCGCACAGCTTTTTCGGGGCAGTACCAATTCGTGACGGAGGGGGCAAGTGTAGGCGGGCCTGGAAGGGCAAAGGAATGAATGGTGACAATTGTTAAATGTTATTATTAATTGTAAATCCACCAGTAGAAGGAAGGCTCTCCAGGCTACCGTGAAAGGCGATTAAATAGGCCTATAGTTACCAAGTGAAAAATATTTGCCGGCCAAGGCGTTGGGCCCTCTTGGGCTGCAGGCGCCTAACTGTCAAGACAAAGGGGTCAGTCAGCGCCACGCCTCTTCCTTCCCACACCCTTTTCCACTCCCAAGACGCCCAAGACAACGCAAACCCGTTTCATCAACCGTGATGGGCAATCATCGAGGGCTGGGTTCTGGGTTCTGACGACATTGTCCGTTCGCACCAACCCAGCCTGACCCCCCATGCACAACATCAAGCCTCAGGACTCGTCCGTTTTCCTTCGCAACCCTCCCCCATCCATGGAAAGGCTACACCCCCTCCCTCTGGCCTGCCAGCAACCATGTCATGCGTACAGAGGATGCAGATTGGCGTTTGCTTCCTCCAAGACCCGGCAGTATCCTCCCTCCCTCACTACGAACTCTCTACGGACAAGACGACCGGGAAATAGCCACGCTGGGCTGAGATGTAACCGTCCTCGGGAGTTGGCGCCAAGAACAGTGGTGGCTTGTTTGAATGCAACGCTGCTTCTTCCCTTGCCCCTTCCATCCCGTCTCTAGTGCACTGAATTTGCTCAAAAGCCGTTAACTCGTTTCTTAACACAGACTAGCGAGCCTGGCCTCTCCATCTCGGAAATGCGAACTCGGACAAGGACGTCGTTCATGTTACGCCCGGCAAGTGAATTTGCAAGACTGGATCTTCGCAGCCCTCTCTCTAATAAGGTAGCTACCGACTACCTAGGCAGCCTGCTCCATACCTACGGACCACCATAACCTAACCATTCCATCCTAACGTACACGGCTACCATCATAATTTCGGCCGAGCATCCCATGCGCTTCTCCACCGCAAAAGGCCAGCTCAATCCTCCATAATTCTCCTCCAAAATGGGCAAGTTTGCGGTCCAAATACAAGGGGACGTGCTGCGAACTACGGCCTTTTCGCTCGTCTCGTTGGCCAATCCTGTTGAGTAATCGTACGTTGGCTGGCCCTTCGCTGCCCGCCAGCAAAGCAAGCAAAACCAGCACCTCTTGTGCTTCCCTTTCCCTGCTTCCCTGTGTGCCCTTTCTGGGGCCCTTCTTGATGCCTGACCTCCTCCTCCTTCGTCTCTCATCCGTACGACGGGGAGTGAGCGCATACGCGACGCACCGCTGACGCAAGTACGGGCACACACACACACACACATTATCTCTCTCACGTACCCTCTCACACACTCGTCATCTCCGTCTCGCTCTCACGCACACATGAATCGGGCGGCTTTGTGCAGGCAAAGGGGTCATACAACGTGGATGGCAAATCTAATATCCCACACTCCGGGACGTAGCGTATGGGAGACCGTGTTCGTCCATCTCTCGCCAAGTAGGAGAAGACCCTCCGATCCTCTTCCTACTCCTCCTCCGCCCTGCCACCTCATTAAGCTCAGTCGTTTAAACCTCGCAAAACTGTCCCGAGATCGTCATCTGAGTGCCATCGACACCCGTGTTAGAAACTAGCAACTTACCACATGGACACCCCTGCAGCGGCGGCGGCGCCGTCAACACCAAAACAGCACATGTTTATGTCGACGCAGTTGAGTCGGGTTATGTACATGAACGCTGTGTATTTTCACAGTAGGTACATTGCTCATGACCAAACGCCCGGGAAGCTCGACTATGGTTGCATCAATTTGGTATTCTACGCGTACGCGAGCGTCGCCCGAGACGGAATCGTAAATGTATGTCCAAGATATCCTCCACCGTTTCTCTCTGTCTTGGCTTCATTCACCTTTTTGGCACTGTGCTCCCATCATATTCAACTTGCTAACACCTTCTATTGAAGCTCGGCGACGAATGGGCCGACATTAGGGTGCCCGTGGATGGTTGTGAGGGAGGACTCGGCTCTCTGATGAAGCTCAAGCAGCAGCATAAGCACCTCAAAGTATTCCTTTCCATAGGCGGCCCGACTGCATCAGGCGTGTTTCCCTCTATTGCCAATACTAGGGCAACGCGTAACAATTTTGCGCACACGGCAGCGGGGCTCGTGCAAGCTTCTGGGCTCGACGGCGTCGACAGTACGTTTCTTCCTTTAGAAGACAGTTTACCAGCTCCCAGGCCATCGCTAACCGAATGGGTGACAAAAGTTTCATGGAACTTGCCGGCTGACCCAGTGCAAGGCCGGAACTTCCTCTTGCTCGCGCAGGCCGTGCGATCCAAGCTACATAATAAGCAACACATGTTGACGGCGGCGTTGCCGGCAAACCCGGCCGTGCTGCAGCACATTGACCTCCCAGCAGCGGCGAAGGCCTTAGACTTTGTGAACCTACAGACATACAATCTACACTACTCGCAACCCGGCCGCAGCCTATGCCCGGCGCAGCTGTACTCGCTGGCCAAAGACGAGCCGTCCGCGTCGACGGCGGCCGGGTACCTTGTGTCGAAATTTTTCCCAGCAGAAAAGGTACTTCTGGGCATTCCCACCTTTGGCACAACCTTTCCGGGCTGTGACGGCCCGGCGCAGCCGTATGACCCGGTTGCTTCCCTGACGGTCGACTACAAAGAGCTTCCGGTCGAGGGGCGGCAAGAGGGTATCGACCGGCGCCGCATTTCGGCATACTGTGTGGGCGGCGATGAAGGATTCATCGCGTACGACAATCCGGAAACGGTGAGGGAGAAAGGCGACTTTTGCAAGAAAAAGGGATTCGGGGTACGCTTTGCTCATCCAAAGAGTTACGGGTATCGTGAGGACAGCTGCAAAAGAGGATTTTGCTAACGTTTCTCTCAGGGCCTTTTCTATACCAATGCTTGCTCAGACGCAAAGGAGCGGCCGAGAAGTCTCATCACGGCTGGGTTCGTGGCATTGCACAGCTCGGGATAAAGGGAAGCCAAGGTGCGTGTCGACAATGTGCTGCCGCCATTGGTTGGAGATACCCAAGGCACTCCAAACCATTGGAGAGATGGATTTTGAGTTTGAGAAGCAGTGAAGGACGGACGTTGTAGACGAGACGAATCATTGCTTGGAGACATGAACGTAGAGACGGAAGGCGGACGAGAACGGCAATATCAGATACAAGTCTGATCCGGAGACGGGGACGATGGCGAAAGTCTGAGCGATCGACAAGTGCAAAGAGAAGCCGCAGATTGTCTTGAAATAAAGAAATGAATAAGTAGGTGTGTTTTCTTTTCTTTTCTTCGTCTTATTTTTTTTCTTTTGCCAGGCAACGAACCGCAAAGACGGATCGGGTGATAGGTAAATTCCCAAAAGACCAAAAAGGCGACAAGGCAACAAGGCGAGGCAAACCAGACCAAAACCGAACCCAAACCGACAGCCCTTATTAGCGTCGGCACTCTCCACGTGCCGATAAGATACCTATGTACATACATACATAGCTTCAACCCTGATCAAACGTCAACCACTTCCTTGTCAACCAAGTACCGTGGCAAAACCGTTGACATCCACTCTTCTTTTATTTTTGTTTTCCATCCTTTCATTTCCTCTCTATCCCTTCTCTACCACTGGCTGCTGTCGCTTCCCTTTGCACCAGAGGAGCTTTCCATTTTCTTAGCGCCCAGCCTTACCATGCCTACCTGCAACTGAACGCCTTCTCTCCTCCTTCCTTGGTGCAACATCCAATAAGCTTTTGTGCGCCTCACCAACAAAACTCACACGCACAGACACATACCTCTACCATGTCAAGCTCCTCGGTAGACGTCGACGCTGCGTCACGCATCAGCTCGTCCACCGCGCGAAACACAGCCACGGCCAACCCCGCCATGGCCCAGAGACGGCCGGATGCGGTGCAGCTCTCAGCCGCCGACTGCAGCATCGGCGACGACACCGGTGCCGTGACCTCCTCCTCTTTCGGCCTTGCCGCCACCTCGGAGACCGAGCAGCTGCCGCCGCCGCCGCCGTTTGAGCCACTCTTCGCGCTCCTCACCAACACCACGACCGGCGCCACCGTGCACCCGCGCGTGCACTACCTCTTCAGCGACGACGACGCCTCCATACCCACCGCCGACGACGACGACCCCGCCGCTGACAACAACGATCCCGATGCCGCGGACCGTCACCGCAACCTAGTCGTGGACCTCACACCGACGCCTGCCCGCGACGCCTGGACCGTGTCGTGTGCCTCCAGCCTCGGCCCGGCCTTCGCCATCACCGCGGCCGCGTTGTCCAAGCAGCAGGCCGAGGGGGGAAACGGCTCCGCCGAGCCCAGCCCGTCCTCGTCTGGCGGCGCCGCGTTAATGCTACACGTCGAGGGCGTCTCGCGCGACCCCGTTGACCTGCGCGCCTCGGCCGAGGGCGGCGCCAGCCTGCGCTCCTCCTCGGGAAGCGGCGGCGCCGGCCCCCGGGAGGACCTCGACGGCCTGGCGGACGACTTTCGGCGGCGCATGGGCGTCTTGAAGAAGGTGGTCGGCGAGGGCGAGAAGCGCCGCCGCGTCGCCGCCGCCGCCGCCGCCCAGCAGGAGCACGAGCTCGAGCACGACGGGGCGGGGAGTAACGAGATTCACGACCCGGGCGCGCTTCGCTCCGAGACGGCGAGCCAGTCCCACGGCGGCGCTGCATTGAACACCTCCTGATGCGCCCCCGCGAGGGTTTTCTGGGTTGAAAAAGTATACCCAAGACACACAAACGCTTGATGACTGCTACGATCTATACCTATATACCTGACGAACAGCGAATTCGCACCGAGACGCATTGCAATAAATGCAAGATGCAGCCAATGTTTTTTGTTGATCATTTCCGGACTCTTTCTCTGGCTTCTTGCTAAAATGTTTGTCCCATGTCACAGATTGAATGTTATATTATAATGTCAGCTCTGTTGAATGGCCGCGTGTTAACTTTTCGGCACCGCCAACACCACTACCACCACTACCACCACCAGCCTTGCTTCTCTTCCCTCTCTCGTCTTTGGAAAGCATTTCTTGTTTCGGCGTTTTTAGGATATAGTTGGACAATACAATGTTTTCTCTCCTTTCAACCACGAGTTCTATGCGGCGTCGTCAACAGGAAGAGTGATTATTTTAATTTATTCTTTGTATTTCTCTCTCCGACGAAAAAAAAAACCTAAACGAGAAAGATTTTGAATCAACTACTAATTACAAGTTTGATACGCCAACACCATAGTTTTCTTCTTTAAAACAACAAAAAACAGAGAGAGGTAAGTGAGTGACAAGGAGACAAGTGATGGTATGGTGTGTTGACCACAAGAAACAAGGAAAGATTTGACCAGAAAACGACAGAGAAAAAGGAAAGACGTCAAGTCTAGCAAATGCGGTAAAAATAGAAATCGGATCCTTCTAATTCCAAAAGGTTGTTTTGTAGAGCGTATTTACTGGCGAGCAATTTGCGGCACATGCACGCGGTCCTGCAACAGCCGCGCGAGCTGTGACATGCCTGCTTGGCCATCCGCAACACGAGCTTCGATGTTAGGAAGCAGAGCGCGGGCGGTAATTTCAACGGCACGCTTGCCACCGTTGTTGTTGTTGTTGCCGCCGCTGTTTTGGCCGCGAATGACAAAGATGTAGATGAGGACGATGATGACGATGACGACAAGAATGGCGACACAGATGCCCAGGCAGATCCACTTCTTTTTCCGCGTCTTGCGGGCCGTGTTGACGGCGACGCCCATCTCCTCGTTGCCCTTGTCGAGGTTCTCGACGACCTCCTCGCCCTTTTGCTCTATCTGCATGACGGCGGCCTCCTGCTGCACGACGAGGGTGTCCATGTCCTGGAAGAGCTGCGACAGCTCCACCATCTGCTGCTCAATCTTGACGAGCGCCTTGTGGCGGTCCTGGACGGCCGAGAGGGCGGCGCGTGCTTGTCCCTGGCGGCCGCTCTGCATAAGGGCCTGGCTAAAGACTTGGGTGTTGCTCGTGTCCTCGACGGCAGCGCGCACCTCCTGCTCCGAGGCGTCGGGGCGGACGATGCGGTATTGACGGGCCATCTGGTCTTGGGTGCGCTTGCGGAAGCCCGACTCGACCTGTTGGTACTGTTGGATGGCCTGCTTCAGGCGCCGGTCGACACGGCCGACCTGCGGCTTGTTCTTGGGAGTGTTGGCCTCGGGGCTCGACTTGACGGTACGGACGCGCTCCGTCAGTTCACGGTACTGGGCCATAGTCTCGGACGAGAGGGCATCGAGCTGTCGGTTGGCTGCGCTCGAGGAGGAGCTGTCGGCATCGTCGAGGGTTCGCTGCTGGAGCATGCGCAGCTGCTCAAGATTGCGCTCAATCTGGCTGATGCCCGTGTCGATATCGCGGCACTCGTTCAGGATGGCGTTGCCATCGTTACCGGCCATCGAGCCAGCGTTCTGGGCGAGGGGAGCCATCTCAACATTGGAGCCTACAGAAAATGGTTAGCCAAATCGCCCTCCAATCTTGCTCTCTGAAAGCTGGTTCAATTTTCCGTACCGGCATAGCCACCATCCATCGATGAGTTATTGTTGTTACCATAGCGGCTGTTACCGCCGCCGCCGGCGTAGGGATTCTGCTGCTGTCCGTAGCCTCCTTGCCCTGCATAAGGGTTTTGTTGTTGTTGACCGCCGTAGCCCTGACCGCGCTGGTCGTAGGGGTTCTGTTGGTTACCGTATCTGGCAGATTCAACACGTTAGTTGGAGTTCCAGGGGTGGTGTCGGTCGTGCATCGTTGGGCGGTTGGTTGTGCTGAAAGCGAAGGCTAATCCGCGCGAGGTAGATAGGACCAAGTACTAACCCGTACTGCTCAGACATTGTTAGTAAATTGCAGACTTATAAATGCTTTCACACAAGAGAAATGCAACAAAGAAGAAGAAACGAGCCGACAAGAAAGGCAAGCATGCCGAAGCGCGCTGCTCTTACGTGTGACGTACGGCGACAGGGCAGTGGAGGCCAGCGAGTTGAAACGGTGAGGAACGGGGGGGCAAGATAGAAACTGACACTCATTTTGATCGAGGACTGAAATGCGTCAGGCCGAAGGGGGCCCGTTCGTTAAGGGTAGCGGAGGGCCTGCTGGATTCTTCGATGCCGTAGTTCGAGTCAGCCGTTGGGACAAGAGGCGCGGCAATGTACAAGGGATGAGGCGATTGCGACGGGAAATCAGTGGGCGAGCGTCTGGAAACGAATAGAAAGAATAGTAGAAAGTAGTAAATTAGAAAAATAAGAAAGATGGAATGAAAGAGGCAGAAAAATGAAGACGGCGCGAGGGACTGGACAGCCTGTTGATGATATTCAAAACCAGGCTAATTGACCAACGTAGGGTGGGGAGTGGCAATCAAAAGGGGCTTCCGGTCAGGTAACCTTGGTCATCCTGGTGCGTGTAGCGGTACCTCGATGTAGAGACAAGCGCCTGGTTGAGGTATGTACCAGAACCTGTTCTGAGACAGACTCTGTTGCAGCGCCAAACCGTGGTTGAGCGACACGCCGCCGAAAAAAAGCCACCCGCAGGTTCCTCAGTACAAATTTTCGCTACTAAAATGCACAAACAGAGAGAGTCTACAAGCTCTCAAAATTATGGAAAATATTTTTCTACTAAATAGATACTGACGGACTTATATTGAGATTGGTTTTCTCCTCTTTCTAGTATTCTTTCACAAATGGTATCAATCGCAACATCCCATGGTCAGTACCATCGAGTGGGACTTTTGTCCCCCCCACTGCCTTCCTGCAGCTTCGGTTCTGTGCTTGTACGAGCTGCAACATCTCATGCCTCAGACAACCTGCAATCGAAAGCCGTCAAGCACCTCGCTTCCCTCCATCTTCATACTCCTCTTCATCGCCAAGCCATCCCATGTCATTCGTGTAGTCCCTTCCAACCGAGAGCCCCTCCTTCTCGCTCCGGATTGATGCACGTCGGCTGATAGAGCGTCCAAGTATCAAGGTCGGCGCGCGCGCGCTTCCTACCCATCCCACAGCTCGAATCTCCCCTGCTCCGAGGATGTCCATTGGCATGGCTTGCATGGGCCAGTCTCTGGCTCACGACAAGAGGCCTGTAGCCGTTTGTCTGTGATTGGTGCTGCCGCGAGCCGCCGAGCCCAGCCTTGTCAGGGCGGCCGCCACCACCACACCACACAAAGGAACATCTAACGCCTCACCCACTACTGGAGAAACGGCTTCGCGTTACCAAATTGCCCTGTTCTCTTCCCCTCCTCACAAGGCCCCAAGGGCGCCTGTTAGGGAGCAAGACCGGCCGGCACCTGTTGTGGCCGCAGTTCAGACGGGAACCAGATGACAGAGGCTGCACTTCCCCCCTTCCCCTCCTCCCTTGCACCTGTAACCAGGGCGAGTCGGCGGTGCGTCTAGTTATAACTTATCCCCCTTCCTAACTAGTTGATCTGTAATCTGTATGAGCCATCGTCTTTTGAGCCTGTTACAAATTGGATGAAAAAGTGGCGCCCGTTTCAGATGGAGAGATTGGATTCGGCACCCATTGACTAGAAGCTAGGAGGACGATCAGGCGTGCTCCTGTTATTACACAGTTGGGCGAGGAGACCACCATCGGGGTCAACACGAGCTTGTTCGAGTTGGCGTCAGCAGTCGCGATAGCCGACCTGTCGCATCCTCTGACGCCGTTGTACAGACTGCAGTCCAATGCGCATGTGATGCCACTACCACGAACTTTGAAAGACGCATGTACCACGCTAACTAGGCGCGACACGACACGACGCTGCGACGTTGACAGGCGGCGATGGGGGGTCACTTGACCAGGATAGGGTACTTTCGAGATCACGTCTGCACACAGTCATCGCGCCAATGACACTGTTTTGCCAGGACTACAGAGTGATTGTGTGCAGTTGTCGATTTGGCCTACGAGGCACTCTTTTGAGCAGCGTCACATGTCATTGCAGGCTAGGCACTCTGTAGTTAGGTAGGCAACGTCGTTATACTAAGTGTGTAGGGTACGTTTACTACCCTACGCAGCTCTCCGAGATTAGCAAATGACAAAGGGCGTCTCAACGAGTATGAAGTATATTAAAAATAAACAGCACTGTAGAAATGCAATAGACGAGTAGGCGAGCTCATCTGCCCCTTCGGGCCCTGTTAGAGTCTGGCGCATTCGTTTCTCACGTCCCGTGTCACGCTGTTGCATTAGCAGTGAAAGGGCCATGCGTAGGTACTTGTCTGCATGCCTTCAGAAGGAGAGGTGATGTTCGGCCAATCTGCTTTTTATTTCGGCTGCAGCGAGACATGGGCAGGAGCGGATGATGCTGGTCCAGATAGTTACTTAGCACAGCCCAGCCCCAGCCACAGGCAGTCAGCCAGCTGCATTGCAGGCAGTGCCGGGCTAAAAGGAGAGCGCATTCCTGGGTATATGCTTGTTGTAATTACGTGAAAAACACGAGAAAATCGCCAGCATCACAGGCCGGAATTAATAAAGCAAGATTTTGAACCTGGCAATGGCCACTGGTTAAAGAAGCGGACTGCATTGGTATTGGCAGGTGTGGCCGCGTGGTTGCGTGGTCCGTGGCGTGGCGACAGCCACTAACAGGTACCAGGTGCCTAGGGAGGTAGGTACTTACATACCTGTAAAGTTAGTCCGCTATCAGCGGCCTCGGGGGCGGATTACAGTGGTAGAAGCCTGCGACAAACTGGCTGGCTGGAGACGGTCTTGAGTCTTAGTAGTGATCGAGTAGATGGCCTTTCACATTGGATTTGAATGAGGTGAGGAAAAGGAACACGAGAAAAGGGACAAAGCTAGAGAAGGAGTAGTGCAGTGCAGCAGCTGTTGATAGCCCACGCGGACGACAACAATTGCGCCTTGCACAGCCAAGATATGGCAGCACCTATGCAGGTAGATAAGTACCTTTTACTAGCTACCCATGCAGAAATATACCTCCTCCACCAGGCAAGGCATCCAGCCAGCCAACCCACCCCCAGCTCCGGGGCCTGGGCAGCTCCAACTGAACTGCCAGCTCCCTCCCACCTTCAAAGTCCATCAGTCCTTCTTCTCCTCTCCACCCGTCACCAAAACCCCCTTCTGGCGTTCGTCTTTCGCTCCTCCATCCACCATCTCCCATCCTCCGCCACCCCCCAAATCGTGCATCTCATCTGCTCTCCTCGCCATCTCTCTCTCCCCCATAGTCTTTTTGCCTGTCTTTATATCCAAATACAAACTATGGCTGAAATCCGCCGAAAGCTCGTCATCGTCGGCGACGGTGCCTGTGGCAAAACCTGTCTGTTGATGTTAGTATCTATCGGTCGCTAGTCGCCTCGTCACCTCCGCCTGCTTGCTACCTGAGCACGCACTCTCCCAACCACATCCGCGCCCGCATCCCCCTTCTCATCAATCGTCTGCTAACTTTGCTTTTCAGCGTCTTCTCCAAGGGCACTTTCCCCGAGGTAAGCTCCTTCTCGTCTCTCTGCCTCTCCCCTTTTCTCAACGGATGCCCGCGACGGCAGCACCATCCGCCTGCCTAACCCCCGACCGCCACCGACAACGCTGTGCATGACGACGCACACCAGCCCAACCACAAAGCATCCCCGAGCCGCGTCCCAAAACCTGTCCGAACCGCCATAATCACCAATATCCACTACCCATGGCCATTTTTCTCTTATCGTCGATCCTTGCCGCTAACTCGCTCTCCTTCACCTTACCCAGGTCTACGTCCCCACCGTCTTCGAAAACTATGTCGCCGACGTCGAGGTCGACGGCAAGCATGTTGAGCTGGCCCTCTGGGATACTGCTGGCCAGGAGGATTACGACCGTCTCCGTCCCCTCTCGTACCCCGATTCGCACGTCATCCTGATTTGCTTCGCCATCGACTCCCCCGATTCCCTTGACAACGTCCAGGAGAAGGTACAGTTTCACAACCGGCCCTGCGCCCGCCGTACCGGTGAGCCCCTAGCTAACCGCCGCGCCATCATCACAGTGGATCTCCGAGGTCCTTCACTTCTGCCAGGGTCTCCCCATCATTCTCGTTGGCTGCAAGAAGGATCTCCGCTACGATCAAAAGGTTACAAGCGAGCTGGCCAAGACGAGCCAGAAGCCCGTCAGCCCCGAAGAGGTATGCTCTTGCCTTCCCTCCCTGCGCGATAGGCTTTGCACACGCGAGCCCAGATGCAACCTGTCATCTCAAGACTGCTTGCCAGTAGTTTCGTGACATGATAAGGACCCCCGTCTGCCGCCTACCGCTCGTCACGCGCTTGCACCTTCACTAACACATGTAACAGGGTGAGGAGATTCGCAAGAAGATTGGTGCCTACAAGTACCTTGAGTGCTCTGCCAAGACCAACGAGGGTGTCCACGAGGTTTTTGAACACGCCACCCGCGCTGCCCTGCTTTCACGCAGTAGCCGTACCAAGCACAAGAAGTGCCGTATCCTCTAAGCAGCCAATCTGCGCGAGCATCATGACAACGCATACAGCCTCGGACCTCACCTTTATGCTAGCCTTCCCGGCTCAGGCCGATCCAGCGTTGCAAACGTTTTAACTATCCTCGGGACTTTGATCTGCAGCGCGACCAGTCTCGTCCGCTCTATCAGAGGAAGAAAGGTAGCGGCTTGGATCAGACAGACTGGCAAGCCGTTTACACAGGTTGTCGTGTTTTGGAGTTTTTTAGATGTCACCCGGCTTGTACGTTGGCTTTGATTTGACGCGGGGGTTTGCCGATGTGGATTAAGCGGATGAGGTGCTAGAAGGGCCATAATTAATACGTCTTTTATATGTTTGTTACCTTTTGGTCAAGCAAGGTCGTGTCTCGATTGTTGCTGCTGCAAGCCGAGACTGGCTTGTCTGTTGGCGCCTCGTGGATGAGCGTCGCGATGGCTGGGACGACTTGCGACGCGTGTATGGTGGGCCATTGAGGGCGCGTTTCTTTTACATTTGATTTTGTGTGTGCGTGTGCGCGTGTTCTTATGCAAAGACTGTTTGATAGTGAAGGATCTGGGAGCACCAAAGAGAAAGAAAGAGAGAACCGTTGAGGAAGATCAAGCGTGGCATGTAACTGTGCTTTGCCTGAGACACAGGGACCCCTGTGAACTGGTACTTGGCAAAATATAAATCTCTTACATTTCTAGATGCGGTCTGTGATGTTGAAGCTGAAGGGCATGTGCTAATTGTCACGGCGAAGGCGGATAGTGTATAGGGCAATTGTTTTGTCTTGAGAGAGCTCCAATTCCCCTGTCATCATTCGAGAGCCCCCTGAGCAGTCTGTCACCATCTTGTAAACTCCATTTCCGTATGCTTAGCTCATCTATAACATCAACATCATCAACATCATCATCAACATCAGCATCATCGGCATCATCAGCATCATCATCGTATCTACTCAGTTATGGACATCCTCTCTTTTCCTGCAGATACAGTCTCTAGCAAGACTGGGACACACCATCACTGGTGTTTCGACACGGGCCGCAGTTGGGACAGGGACGGGGCCTATAGTTATATGCCTGTTCCATTTCAGTTGGGGCAAGTCTGTGAGAAAAGTCGTCAGTCCAAGTTTCCCGCCCATAACGTGGACAGAAAGAAGAGGGAAGACAGATGGTAATAGGAAGAAGAAGAAAAACATACAGCACCGCAGGAGCCACAGGTCTTGCTGCCGTCGGTGATGGCAGAGCTGCACTTGGGGCAGGTGTCGTGGTTGTAGTTGACGAGCATCTTGGGCAGGGGTGTTGCTTTGTTCGAGGCTGTTGTTTTGATAATTCGTTTTACCTTGAAGGGATGAAAAAGAAGGAAGGTTGTGTGAAAAGGTTGTAGGTTTAGAACAATGCAGAGGAACGAGAGGAACGACCTTATTTAACCCCTCACGGACTGTGATCAACTTGGGTCAGCTGCAGCCCGAGCGGGGTGTTTGTGGCCACCCAGCAAGGCGAAAAAGCTGCCTTGTGTAACAGAGTAGGAGAGAAAAAAAAGTCGCCGTTGCAACAGCACCAACAGGAGGGGAGCGGTGGGAGCAAAAAAAAAGGGGGGGACGGGTTGCTTTGGGAGGGGTCTCTAGTTTGGGAATAGAGTACCAAAGTAAGCTGAATGTGATTTTGGGGATGACCTCGGAGAGGGTAATTCTTGGTATTTCAGGCGCTACGATTCGTGGACTACAGCTCGCATGACCATGTTTAGCTGGGTAGCCTCGAGGAGTGGAAGGCGGGGTGACGTTCTACTAGGTCCCAGTCCCAGAGAGGAGGGGAGGAGAGGAGGAGGGCTTATCGGGGGGGCGAGTCGAGTCTCTTCATTTTCCTATTGATCATGCTACAGTAGTTCAATGATAAGAACTTATGGTGTAGCCGGTTGTATACGTTTTGCTGCGTCGTCTTAGTGACGAGGCCGTTGCCCTGTCTGCCTCGACGTAGGCAACCATGCGCCACCTTGGAGGAGATAGCTGAGCATCAAGATGGGCTTCTAAAGGTTGTCGAAAATCAATCCTGTCGATTTTGTTAAGAATACATAAACAAGAAGACAAAAAACTCCCACGTATGCCACATGTCTAGGCAGCGCTAAAGTGTATGCTTCCCAGGATTTCCTTGACAGTTGCCCGTCCTGAATGCAAGCCCAAGAAATCCTAGCTCAATACAATGACCACATCTTTCCAATCGTGATTTCCAAGTCGTTTTCTTCCCACAAGAATTCATCTATATATATACAAAAATTAGAACACGACAGAAAAGAGTCTCTCATGCTTGTATTATTGGCACTGCACCGGCCCATCTTTGTCTACAACGATCTTGTTAGCTTGCTACTTCCCCAGAATCCTTCCACCAACTTGATACCACTGTAGGGAAAAAGGAATGACTCACTATTCACCAGCTTCCCGATCGCCTGGATGACGGAGATGACCATGACAAGTCCACCAAAGACGACGATGGCGCCGGCCAGGTACGTGCGCCAGCTGCGCGTCGTCAGCTTGATGTAGCACATGGGTGGGAGTATGTACGCCATGGCGACGGCGCTCGTCGCGCCGACGAGCTCGAAGACGGCGCCGAGGTCGCACGTCGCGAGGCTCAGCAGCGTGGCCGAGGCGACGAGCCCCGTGCTGAGCGCGACGTGCCGGCGGAGGTCGAACGGCGCGTCGGGCCACCAGTACGTCAGCATGACCTCGCGGCACACAAACGCCTCGAGCGGAAGCGTCGTCAGCATGTTGAGGCCGAAGCACAGGCGCGCCACGTTGACCATGACGCTGTCCGAGGGGAAGTTGTTGAGCACGTTGCCGAGCGTCTTGTCGCCGAAGACGAGGAAGCCGCCGAGAGCGAGCACGAGGCACGCGAGCATCGAGATGCCGGTCGAGTAGTGCGTGACGCGCGAGAAGTTGTCGATGGTGGGCGTGCGCAGCGAGCCGTAGATGAGGAGGGAGTTGTGGTGGCAGACAAAGGCTGGGGGCTCAACGTTAGCATGGGAAGGTGGGCGTGTGTGTGCTTGGTTGGAGCAAAACTCACCGAAAGAAATGACGCCAATGGCTTGAAAGATGCCCGTATTGATCGTCAGGAGCGGCAGGCTGAAGTGGCCCCTCGCCTCGGACGGTACCAGCAGGCCCTGCACCAGCACCGTCGCGACGATAACCAGCATGCCGACCAGCGCAAACGTGCTCGCCTTTGCGAGCTTGGCGATATCGCGGTACAGCGTGAGCGGGTAGCTGATGCCCATGACGAACACCGCGATCGCCACCCTCCTGTCCGCCAGCAGGCCGACCACCGGCACGCCGCGCAAGCCCGGCCAGACGGCCAGCAGCACGTGCGGGATGGTGTCGCCGACGATGACCGCGAAGGCTACCATGCCGCCAAACGCAAAGACCCACTGGGCGAGGGAGATGGCGATGAGGCCCGGACGGCCGAAGCAGCGGGCGACGGTGCCCTGGAAGCTGCTGGTGCCGCTGAGCTTGCTGTTGATGACGATGAGGCAGATGGTCCAGTCGACGATGGCGGTGAGCCCGACGAGCAGCAGCACGCCCGCGAGCAGGCCCGCCTGCCGGATCGCGTACGGCTGCCCGATGATGCCCGCGCCGATGATGGAGTTGGCCATGTTCATGAAGGCGGAGCGCAGCCCGGACTTGGGCCGCCGCAGCTCCTGCTCGACCGCGTCGTCGAGGTCGTTGGCGAGCGCGACCGACGGCGCCTCCATGCTCGTGAGGAGCGGCATCCGGTGGTCACCGTCGTGGTCATCGTCGTCGTGGTCGTCGTGGAGGGGGTCCTCGAGGTCGAGGGTGTGGCGAGGGTCGAGGTCGTCGTCGTCGAGGCTGTTGTAACGGTCGTCGCCGGAGGGCCGCGACGAGGCGGTGCTCATGCGCACCACCTCGGGGACGTCATTGAAGCGTACGCGTCCGGGTGGCCGTATCTGTGGCTGCTGTTGCGGTTGCTCTTCGTCGCCTCCGCTGCTGCCGTTGGGTAGCGAGGTCGCCTCCTTGCCGTCGCCATCATGGTTGAAGTCGTTGCTGGCTAGCAGCCCCCGACGGTCCTCGCCGTCGTTCCAGTCGTTTGCGCCTCCGCCGTCGCCGCCAGCATCACCTCCGTGCTTGTCCTGTATCATTATAATCGTGCTCGTGTGGTCGCTGCTGCTACCACTGTCATTTTTGGCTGATAATAGAGATTGTGAACGGGTGTGACAAGGAGCTTGAGGGTCGAAGATATGGGACGTGTCGTTGATGTAGCAATTGCCGCAGACGGATAGTCCAGCTTTCCGGGAAAAGGAGACGAGAATGTAATTATGGGACAACTGGCAGATCCTCCCGTTGATTTGACCGTGGCCCCTCAGAAGCTTGCGTCTTAATTAGTAGTAGGGAGGTTGATGATGTATGTAGTGGGCAGCGACGACGTTGTGTTGTGGAGGGACCCAGAAAAAGCTTATAAGCGGCTCAAAGGCCAGCGACGTGCCACCTCTCCTGAATTCATTAATGGCTCTTCTTCTGTCCCCTGGATTGCATCGACGTGTGCTGGTTTTAGCGCGGCACCTTGAGACGCCAGAGATGAAATACGCTGTTGGCCTATTGAATTGCTAAATTGTTTGCTTTCCATAAAGTTTCTCTTTTTTCTTGTTCGCCAGGATTACTTCACGTTTGCCGTGCTCACCTCTGGTACGAGAGACTTATTCCACAATGCTGTCCGCCGCAGCCAAAGCAGGCTGAACATCGGCACTCGGATATGTGTGTATTAAAGTCCTATAAATGAATGTAAAATGCGATCCGCGGGTCGCAGGTCTTTCTAGCTGCGTTGCATTGCCTTGCATACCCGATTATCCAAAATTCAAGTCAAGCCTCCTCCCATGATATCATATGTGCCTTTTATCCAACCGCATTCCACTTGGGAGCTGAAATGACAATGCTCATCTTCCTTCTATCTGGTTAAAACATTTCCTATACTAATAAGAGAACAGCAGCGACGCCGACAATGGAGGCAAGCTGAGCGCCTTGAGCACCCAGTACAGATGCCGCTCCGTTGCCCTTGTCACCAGTTTTGGTGGCCTCGGCCCCTGAGGCAGTTGGGCTGCCAGAAGAACCAGTGCTTTCCTGGCCAGTAAGACCAAGTGAAGGCTTGCTGGCAGATGCACCCACCGACGAAGTTTTGGTGGCTAGGGTTGACGGACTACTAGTAGGTGTGGCCGAGTTAGAAGTTGGGCCTAGAGATGATGATGATAAAGACAATGATGAAAACACTGACGAGGATCCCGAGGGGGTAGCAGAAGATGACGTAGAAGAAGCAGAAGAACCCGAACCAGAAGTCTTTGCAAATCCTGCCATGATGTTAGTCCATGTCTCGGAGAATTCATGTTGAGAGACCTTACCTATTCTGCTACCATCCTTATCAAAGACGGCATAAACGTTTTTGAGAAAGGTGGCACCTATCAGCCAGGAATCCTTGACGACTTCCTGGCCGTAGATGTTACTAAAACAGTTCCCGTCCTTATCCTTTGGTGCGACCCAATCCTTGGCAGGGATTTGGTAATCGACACCAGAAAATGTAACAGTGATGGGTGTCGTCGTGTCGCAAGGTACACTGTAGTACGCGCCCTGCTTCTTAGAGCCGTCAATGATGGCATGAAGCTTGTCGGTGATGCTCGCGGGACCAAAAATGTAGGTTGTGCCGGTATCGATATATGCAAACTTGCCTCCAACACCAGCCTTTTTACCGTCGAAGGACATGTCATCAAGATTGATGGCCCAATCGCCGCTCTTGGATGCAAGAGAGGTGTAGGTAATGTCACCAGAGTACTTGGCCGAATTTGTGCCCCCAAATTTGATCTCACCAGACGTGCCGCCATCAGCAGCACGACTAAGGGAAATGCCAAAGACGGCGCTCTTGATAGAGGAAGACGAGGCCAGTGTAGTGAGGAAGTTGGCGCTAGATCCGCCACCCATGGACAGGCCCAGGATGCCGTCAAATGCAAAGTCCTTGAAGTCGTCCGAGGTGGTGGAGGCGAGACCAAACTGATATTTCATGCTTATGCCGGCAAGCGCAATTGTATCAGTAGCAAGTTTGCCACTGACCTTTCCAGATCCATAGGCCACGGCGAAGTCCTTGTCGCTAATGGTGAGGGTGTCGGACTGCCCAGAGCCAAAAGTATCGTGCTTGGTGCATGCGTCGCTGGAGCAGTCGGTGCCCATGACCCAGCTAGAGCCGGCTCCCGTGTCGACCAGCATGTAGAGCTTAGTTCCTTTAGAACCGAGCCCAACTTGAACAAAGTACGAGTAGTCGGTGCCATCCTGGTTAATGCCAGCCGCGTTGCTGGTGGTCGGAGTGGTGGCAGTGGTTACAGCATATGAGTTTTTGCGGCGTGCGAGAGCTCCATGACGATCGTATTTCGCAGCGAGGCGTGAAACCTCTTGAGACGCGACGGGCTAGTGAGATGACTGTTAGCTTTGAAGCTTGTTTCATGGGAAAGGAAAGATATACCCTGCCCCTGCGCTGGTGAATCTCAAAGACAACGCCCGAGTCCTCCTCCGAAGGAGCTCTCTTGGCCTCGCTCTCGGGACCCAGATCTAACCATTCTGGTACAAATGGGAAGAAGGCAAGTGCTGAGCTAGACCATAATGCTAAGCAGAATAGTAATGAGACGGGTTGCATGGTGACGCCGTTCGTAACCAGATATGCGTCTCGTCACGCTTTCGGTTACAGACTTGGAGAAGCGGGTTGGCTCAGCGTGCGATTGATTACCAACAGAATCGAAATTTGAGAACGTAGTCGGGGAATGGGTTGTTGGGCTGACGCAATGGACGCTCGGTCGGGATGGCGACTGCGTCGAGTGGTGAGGACGCACAGCAGCGCCGACGTGCACCTGGGAAGTTATGCGCGAACCAGACAGATCGAGTGTGAGTTCATTGCTGAATTGGGTCGCAGAGAGGAAAAAACGAAGCGAACGGCGATTGAAACAGTCGATAAGCGGAATTGAGGTCGAGGAGTCGAGTTCAACACGGAACGACGGAGGTTGAGACAAGGTTATAAACAAGGTGCAAGAAAGGCCGATTAGACAACCACGTTGTTGCAGAGGAAACTTGGGTATTGTTCGAAAGCAAAGAAAATCGAAACAGCAAGGATGCAGATAGATTGAAAAAGGGAAAAAAAGTTGGACAAAATGCGAGGCAAGCGAAGGAACACCGAAGCAAGGGCTAGCAAAACCTGGGAGCTTGCTGAGTAGGAGGAGAGTGCGCTGCGCCAGAGGATTAGAGTGTGCTGGTAAGGATCAACAGAAAACGAAAACAATGCCGAAGGGTGAGATTAGAAAAAGAATGATGACAAGAGAGAGGGGAGGATATGGAGAGGGGAGGACAGGGTAAAAGGATGTGAAGACGTCAAGACCAAGCAAGGTGAGTAGAAGGACAAGAACTGGAAGGGCACAAAGGAACAGGAATGAATCCTTGTCGTTGGATGGGATGGATGGGAGATGTGGATGGGGCCGGTCGAGAGCTCCCGAGTTGCGAGGGGCTCGGGAGTTTTGGCTCGAGGCAGCGAAAGCCAGCGATTGGAGGGCAGCGTGGCTGGCGTGTGGGCTGTGATCAGCGCATTACGAGCTTGCTCTACAGCGAACTATTACAGTGGATTGTGGGCTTTTACAGTGGGCTGCAGGCTGGCCAGCATGCTCCAGGCGGCGCCCATCACTGCCCTCCTCGAACCACTGCTGGGCGGCAAGCTTTTGCTTAGCCCCTTCCGTCGAAGTCGAGAGTCGAAGGCTTTTCGCCGCTTTTCCCAGTTTACAGCACACGTTGCCGCCATACGGAATCCGGGCAGCTCCCCATACCGCCCCCTGAAGCTATGTAGGTAGCATGTGGGCTCGGCAGGGGGGAAGTCGTGCATCCACCCGCCACTGTCACTACGCCATTTCTGGGCCGCGCTAATATATCGCCCTCGCAATGCCTTTATATTACCTATAGTTGCGGATAGTAGCAACTATGTGGTTGATACTGTCGAGTAAGTCCGTGGTTCTATCATGGCAGAGCTATATCCGAGTAAATTAGGTGAGCCTTCTCAGCATGCGGAAGGGCTTTCTAAGAAAAGAAAAAGCGACACTGTGTCATCTGCAAGCCATCGTTTGCCTGTCTTCAGGGTCTTGCCATAGCTTCCGTTTGTACTTCAGTCTACCATCAATGTCACCCAACCAATGCAACCTGCAGCCCGCTCTTTTTGCTCCTTCATCACACTCCGTCAACACTGAACACATCCACTGAGTTACACGCCCGCCCGGCATATCAAATGCTGCTCCCTATGTACACCTTGTCTCGCAAAATAGTATGCCCTTGATTGATACTCCATTTGCTAATTGCCATCTAATACAGGCCGCAGATCAAACGGTAGCTGCCAATACTCATCCAGTAACGGACTATACAAACATCACCCTCAGCCTTCTCTTTAATAACTACTGATACACATGTCAGCTTTCACCCTTGTCCGACGCGACCATCCGGGAGCCAGATCGAGTCGCGGCTTTGGCGCTGAGGCAGAAGCCACAGTAGCACAGACACACCCTCCCCCAGAAAACCCGGCGCTTCCGTCCAGCACAACATGGCCGTCAGTCGGTACGGCCCTTTTATTAAGCCTTCTCGGTCACAATTTACTGGTCTAGGCCCGGTCCATTATGCATGCCAGATCAAGGCTCGCTGCCGCCAGTCACCACCACATGCACAGTTGCCCCTTTCCTACCTGTCAAACCGACAATCGCGTTGTCCACCCATCCAGAGCCCTAGCAACAACCTTTCTTACAAGAAAGCTCCAATTCTCTCTCAACGAGCAAAGAAGAATTCGCTCGCAGAGTCCTAATGTTCCTAGACATCTGAGAACCTTACAACCAAGCAATAGCGATCTGTCTGGGGCAGAATTCCATCATGCTTGTCCGCAGCAAAAGCTCCGCAATGACGAAGCCGCAGTGGGACGCTGTGGCCCCTTCGCCGCCAGCCAAGACAACAAGGGTTGGGACGGCCAGTCCTTGCAAATACTACAACTAACTATTACAGCTAACTATTCGTGGCTATAAGTTGTCAACCAGATCGAGTGGTTCACCACCGCCTAGCATGAGGTGGAAGGGCCGAGTTTGATATACTCACTATCCGTACCGTATGTGAGCGTCGTCAATGCTTGAATGCCAAAAGCAAATACAAGCCATCATTTCTCGGCTCGTATTACGGAACACAGCGTTTCTTTTTCTCTATGCGTGTCACTCAATCTTGTGCGACATTATTAGTTCGCCAAAGCATTTATCAGCCAGGTAAGACATGCGTCGGCCAGCATAACAATATCTTCAGCTAGGCTTACAGTATCTATCTGTTCAACAACAACAACAACAACAACAAAAACTGGAACGCATGATTCAACGACCAAGCTGAATTGTCTTTTTCTCTCTCGCTTCAGTGTGGCCAAGCATCGTATAAACTGGTACAGCCACTCTTACGCATCCACCAAGGCGTGCACAGTGCTGGAACAATGACTTAGTTATTGGCCCTCTCCCTCGTGTGGCCCTCTTCGTCCGATGCTGTCCCTGACACTTTCTTCGCCCCGTGGCCCCTACAAATAACCAATGAACCCGTATCCTCCAACAAGGGGCTGCGGGACCAATGCCCAACCTCCAATAATCGTTGGTTAGGGATTTTTCTTCCTTCATCCACTGGAGATCAATTCCATGGCCTGGCGCAACTTATGGCCTATTCCTTGCGATCAATACGGGTCGCTCAAGCCTCTTATTGTTTCAAGTTGCACCGAAAAAGCTTAAACAGACTCGGTTGCGAGGCGAAAGCACGTTGTGCCTTTACAATGCTCTGTTCAAGAGAAGCGGCTATGCTCTCGGCAAGCCTGCGGCAATTGGCATCTACCAGTATAACGTGCAAAGTTGAGAAAATACGGCGCGGCCTGCCAAGTATTCAAAAGGGGGCCAGTTCTGAGAGACTCTGTTCCATCCAGCCTGCGGTTGGTCTATTAAGTTGTCTATACCTACGTACTGAGTACCAGCTAGAAAGAATTATAATAATAAAAAAACGACCCTTGGTGGCGCCGAAGCTAGAACTGTTCGCCAATCTTCTTCACGCGTTCGCCTCTGCAGAAAACAGGATAAATGGCGAGGTTGTTGTTGAAACATGGCAAAGCAAGGCTAGTCTCATTTCCCTTGCCCTGGCAGCTGGCAGGTTAGGCATGGATAGCCTGGCTAGCCTGGCTAGCGCCCAGTGGAAAGGTACCTGCAAACAAAAGGCTAATAACTATTGGCGTGCAAGGGATAACATACATGAGTATTGTATACGAAGTCATTGCAACCCTCCTTGGTCTGCACAGTATCCTCAAATTCATGGTCGAGTTTCCTGACCCGTACAACGCACCGCGGCTCTCTCCTGCTCCTGGGATCAAACAAAGCCCAGTGAACCCTCACGACAGCCCACACGATTCATCCGCGCAACATCCAATCAGACCGGGGAAATGCGTTGGATGCAAGCCGCAACTGCTGCGTATTGACTCTTACACGAACATTGCTCTGCTCCCCATCATTGATAATTTCCAATATATTACAATGCCGAGTCTCCTTCGTGGCGGTGCATCGCCGGGTCCGTTCGCATGCAGCTTCAGGCGCCTCGTGTAGCAGGTGAGGCGGCCAGTGACAGAGCATGAACATGTCCTTGTTGACCGGGATATCATCTTTGCAATTCATCCCGCATATGGCCTGGAGGCGGTCACGGCGAAGCGGAGGAATGCTGACGCTGAACCCCTACGGCCGTTGCTCAGACATGCAGCCGCAGGAATGTAGTGTTAGCCACACATCGGCCTCCGTTGTTTAACATTATCCACGTTTTATGAGATGAACTACAGACCAAGATTGTTCACATGCCCATCTATTACTTAGGGTACCGAGCGATCATTCATCAAAGAGGTCGGGTGTTTCGAAGGCCTTGCCAGACACTGCGGGCCGAACGCGTCTACGGATCGTGGAGGCTGAGCACCATTGGGCTGCGGTATCCAAGAGTCATGCCCATCGTATTCCCCTTTCCGCCCGTCCTCCTCCTGCACTCTCCCACTAATCATCAGCAGTCCGACTCGGCGTACAGCTCCGTCCACTTGAGCGTGTTGGCCAGGACCTGCCTGTCCAGCTCCTCCGTCGCCGTCTCCCTCCTCCCCCCGCGATGCACGAGCTCGAGCACGTGCGTGAACTCTTCCAGCTGACCGGCCCGCAGCCGGCCCCGATGCATCACCATGCCGCGCAGGAAGCACCACGCCGCCTCGCCCCTCCACGACAGGTCTTCGACGAGGCGCAGCGTCTCGGCGAATAGCGTGGGCGCGGCCGCGGCTTGGCGCTCGACGAGCACCGCGAGGAACGACCAGCCGGACGTGTCGTCGGGGTGGCGGAAGCACCACCTCTTGACCATGCCCGTCACCGTCTCCAGCAGCGCGGCGGCCGGGCCTTGCTGCGGCTCCTCCTCATGCTTCTGCGCGACGGCGGGGGTGCCGGATCGTCGGTGGTGGTGGTGGAGGTCGAGTAGGTAGCGCGCGTGGCACCACGCGTAGTAGTTGCGCGGGTGCCTCTCCGCGGAGACGAAGATGAGCTTCTCCAGGGCGGTGGTAAGGCTGCCTACCGGCCTCTGCGTGTTGATGCTCAGCTCAAGCAGCCATTGCCTGTGGCCCCAGAGCGTCGGTGACTTTGTGTGGCGATGTAGGCGGCTGGTGAGAAGGCTGTCTATGAGGTAGAACTCGGCGTCCGTGGCCACATGTAGTTGCGTTGGGCTTTGCTCTTTTATGTGCCGTATGTGTCGTTTTCGAGCATTGGCAGCTGTCATGTGCTCGGGGTCCAGGAGTAGAATGACTGATGTCGCTCGTAGGAGCTCCTCCGGCGCGACATACTGACCACGGAGATGGCTTTTGAATATTTCATATGCCGGTAAAAAGGCTCGTAAAATGTTGAACTTGGGAATTGCTATGGCATTCCCCTCGTGTAGAGCATATGTCCCAGATGCTAGAACATGACCAGGGCCGAGCACTTCAATATCCAGTAACTGCTCGTCGCGCGTGGATAGTACATCTGCTACAGATTGATAGACAGGAGTGTGAACTGCAGCCACCAAAGCTTCTTTAATTTTGGGGTCGAGAGCCCTTGACATCTTTCCGCGCAGCAGATATGACGGCCATCAAGTCGAGGCTCGATATCCCCTGTCTGTAGGGTAAGTACAGGGCGTTGGAAGTGGGACCAGCATGCACAGTGTCGGGGTTATGCTAGTTGGAGGTGTTGGCGGGTTGGAGACAGCTACGGCCTTGGTGGCCACTTGGACGCAGCCTGAGCTTGCACACAGCCAACGAAAAGTCACCAGAGCGCCGCAATCTACGAGCTGTTGCTCTCCACGTGCGCAGGGAATTCAAACCAGAAAGATGCCTTCTCTACTTGTTGTCATCTTTGCCGTGGAGGTGGTCGTCCACGTCATAAACCTGGTGGGCGCCACTGTCCTTAATGATCTGGTAGGTTCTACGGGCGCGACAACAGACGAGAGGAAAGACGAAAAGCTAACAGGAAGGCGAATGATAGATCTGGAAAATCATCAACTACCTCCCCGTACCGACGGCCAAGACGGCTGCCGAGCAGCGCAAGACACAGGCCGTATACCTCAAAGTCCGCCGCGAACTCAACGCCACGAGCAGCCAGGACGAATTTGCGAAATGGGCCAAGATTCGCCGCCAGCATGACAAGCTGCTAGATCAGCTCGAAAAGCAAAGTACGTTGGGGCAAACCACAACCGGAAACAGCTCGATGCTAACTGAGCGGCTTTGCAGAGAAAGGCTTGGAAGCCTCACGTGCCGGCTTCGACAAGTACCTCAGCGCCGTTCGATTCCTCGTCACCCGAGCGCCGCAATACGCCCTGCCCTTCTGGTACGCCAAGGAGCCGATGCTGTGGCTGCCGCACGGCTGGTTCCCCTACTACGCGGAATGGATCATCTCCTTCCCGCGCGGTCCGCTGGGCAGCGTCAGCATCGCCTCGTGGCAGCTGGCCTGCACGACGGTCATTGTGCTCGTGAGCGACATGCTCCGCGGCCTCTTGCAGCTCCTCGCGTCCTCCCCGGGGAGGTCGACGGCGGCGCCTGCGGCGGCGGGCAAGACTAAGGAAGTTTCGGTCAAGATGGCAGTTGAAACGAAGGGCAGCGGGAAAGAGACTAAGAAGAAGGCTTAAGCGAGGAGAGATACCCTGACGCAGGTCTGAATAAAATGCATGAGATGACTACGATTTAGAGGGGGAATAAATTTTAAACGCTTGACAAGGCAAACATGTTTAACGTGACATGTATCTCCCTTAATTTGACGCAAAGTTCAGTCATTGTAAAAGACGAGACTTTGTAACACGATAGAGAATAACCCTTGGCAGGGTATTTGGGGTTGATCTAGGCAAACATATTGACTCTAGCGACCACGGAAAAAAAAGATCGCCAAAGCTTCGAAAGTGCCATGTGAAAGAAAATGCATCACGGTGCAGAGGGATCGGAGACGGATAGACAAGAAAATCGTATTAAAAGCATCTAAGCTGCTAAATAGTCAAGGTCGACAAACGGGGAGAGGTGCTCGAGGGAACGCACAGAGCGCAAACCAAAATTGGTATGTTGTTGGTAAGTAGAACTCATGAAAAGAGGCTGAAGAAAAAAAAGTTTGGAGTTGGTCTAACAATAGTGTGGATATGAGCAGCTATCGCGGCGCAAACCTCGCATAAGTGCATGAGCTGCAGCCACGGGGCATGGCAAGCCACCGTTCGCCAGGCGAGGCTTGCTACATGAGATTTGATATAATGAAATGATGAAACTAATGTAGATTGATTGACAAGGAAGTTGCTGAAAACAAACCAACCAAATTAGCAAAGACAGCACAGCAGCACAGCAGCACACCATCAAGACATGAAACTCGGGCAATATGCATGTAGCCATAACCCGAATCGGCGTTCGGGTCAGGCGCCTCCGGGACACGCGGCCGCTGCCAGTTGGGAGGCGACGCCGACCGTGAAGGGCCAGGTCGGTGGTTAGCTCGCATCCGACGCCTCGAAGCCGCAACACGCAGCGCTAAACACGGCTCGGATCTTCGGGCGGGAGTCTGGCGATTCACGCCTTCTACTTCACGGATATTGTCCTACTGACCATCATTAAGGGGGTTGACAAGGGAATGCTTGTATTCGTTCGTATATGAGTCACAAGCTGTAATACGCAAGCCCAGCAAAATCACCGCGGATCTCCCCCCCTCTCTCTGTTACGGTACCCCAGACACAAAAAAGGGAACATGCATATATATATAAAAGAGGACATCCATCACATCAGCCTCGCCAACTCTCCGCCCTCATCTTGATACATACATACAAACTCACGCTCACATAACAACACAATCATGGAAGTGCGGCTCATCATCATATCGGGCCGCGCAGGCTCGGGCAAGACCTCGACGGCACACGAAATGTCGGAGCAGCTGAAGCGCCTCGAGGTGCGCCACGCGCACATCGACGGCGACAACCTCGACGCCGTGTTCCCCGCCGACGCCGGCTCCGACATGCTCCTCGCCAACCTCGCCGCGCTCTGGTCCAACTACTACCACCTGCGCGGCGTCGACCGCCTCATCGTCTCCGGCACCGCCGCCGTGCTCGAGACGGAGCGCATCGTCCGCACGCTGCGCCGCGTCACCGCCTCCATCCCGACCCTGCACTTTTCCGCCTCCTCGTCGCCGCCGTCGCCGGGGGGCAAGGACTCGCCGCCGAGGCTGGGCGGCAAGGACGGCAGGATGATGCCCCCGGCGTCGGTCACGGCGAGGGCCTTCATACTGCAGGTGCCGGACGCGCTGGCGGAGAGGAGGCTGCGGCAGCGAGAGGTCGGCTCGGAGCTGCCGGCGCTGCTGGCGGGGAGTCGGCGCATGGCGGGCGTGCTGGAGAGTCAGGTGGGTGGCTGGGCGAGGCGCGTGCCGACGGACCAGAGGGAGGTCAAGGAGGTGGCGATGGATATCCTGCGCACGGCTGGCTGGATATGAGCGACGCGGTGATGTGCTCTGCCTTGAAGACTGAATTCCCTACTCAATATCGGTCGGATTCACTTGGATTCGCGTGGATTGCATGATTTTGATTTGTTGAATGTATACCCAGAACTGCATATGCGCTCACGCGTCACGACTGAGCATTAGCATGGCAATAATTAATGAGACTGCTTTGCATTATATTGGTACACTGTCTCCTGTTCTCGCCTTCTGTCTAAGAAGCGCAATCTGATGCCGTGGGACGAGCCGCCGTATTCTATGACTCGACCGACTACTGCCCTGAGAAGAAGCTACCCGCCGATAGGGCCGTCTTGGCCAGGGTCCATTTAAGACCGCTGAGGTGCGCCGTGTTCATCGTCTGCCGCCCGGCCTTGATGGACTTGGTGCTGCGCGGCAGCGCCGTCTTGTCGTACGCCGCCGTGGCCGCCTCCACCGACGCCGGCTGCGCCACGAGCGCGCGCGCGAGGTCAATGCCGTCGCGCACCGCCAGCGCGCCGCCGTTGTTCATGTACACGCTGACGTGGCGGTTGGCGTCGCCGAGGAAGACGACGCCGCGCAGCGCCGCCGCCTCGTGGCCGAACGCCTCGCGCTCGCGCACCGGTCGCCGGAAGCTCGTCTCCTGCTTGGTCTTGGCGATGAGCGTCGGGAGCGGCTCCGCGATGTTCTTGGAGGTGGCGCGCGCCTCGTCGAGGAGCGCCTGGAACGCGGCGGCGCTTGTGTTGTCATACGCGTCGCCGGCCGGCGCCTTCTTCTCCTCCTTGAAGACGGACCACAGCAGCTTGCCGGCGTTATTGAGCTGCACGACGGCGGAGGCGACGCCGTCGCCGCCGACGATGATGCCAAAGTCGCGCGTCAGCGGCGCGGGCGCGCTTGTGGCGTCGCCAAAGTCGACCTGCCCGCCCATAGCGATGTAGCCGATGGGCTTGGTGTCGTCGTTGGGGCGGAAGACGCGGCGGAGGGTGCTCTCGTCGCCGTCGGCGGCCACGAGCAGGTCGCAGTCGCGCTGTGACGCTGCGCCGGATGCCTTCTCGAGGAGGGACACGCGCAGCGTGCCGTCCGGCAGGCGCTGGGCGTCCTGGACGGCGGTGCCCCAACGGATGGTGGTGCGCGCCTCGACGGCCTCGACGAGGATCTCGAGGAGGGCTGCGCGGCGGATGCGCACGCCCGGGGTGCCGGCGAAGCTCTCGACGACCTTGGGCTTGATCGTGGTCAGCGACTTCCACGACTTGTCCCAGACGTGCATGACGGCGTCCGGGTTGGTGCGCGTGGTGGCGCGCGCGAGCACGGCGTCGAGCAGGCCGAGGTCGCGCAGGCCGACGAGTGGCGCCTCCTCGGTGTCGGCATTGAGCTGCAGGTCGTAGGCCCCGCGGGCGATGCTTGCGGCGCGGTCGTCGGTGTCGACGAGGAGGATCTCAGAAGGCGCCGGGACGGCGGGGTCCCATTGCTGCAGCAGGGACAGCACGAAGGTGAGGCCAGAGATGCCGGCGCCGCAGACGAAGACGGTGCGGCCGGAGAGGAAGTGCTTCGCATCGGGGGCCATGGCGGGTTGCGGGGGAAAGGGGATTGTGTATTCAGCTAAGTAGGTAGCTGTTGTATGGGAGGACAGAGTTGAAAAGAAGGGGATGAGAAGGAGGAGGAGGTCATGGAGGGCGAAAAGGGACACGACGTCCGTGCCATCTATTTATTGGAAAGCCATCTCAGTTGGTTGCTGCCGACGGAGGGAGAGGAAGCTAGCGATTGGCTTGTTTGGTGTCTCGGCTGGAGGCTTTGCGTTTGCGTTTTTGGTCGGCGGCGGCCCAAGCAAGACACCGGGCCGGTGGGCTGATGTATGTAGGTGTCCGGCTGCAAACAAGAGATGAAATGTCATATTGGAATCAAGAAGTCGAAAAGTTGACGATTGATAATATCAGCTATTTGCCATCTGCAGTACGTAAAACGAGATGCTTGTTACGGAGTTCACCCGTCTTCTCACTAGTTAATGGACTGCGAGTTACATACGATGTAGACAGTTTAGAGCTATGTATGTACACGTATCCGCACGCTGTGTTCCAGGGGGGACGAGTACCGTAGTAGGCAGTTAGTCGGACATATTAGCGGCTTGTCACAGCTGCTGGTAGCCGCCTCTGACTTGCTTGCTGGAATTCTGTTTCAATAATTGAACATTGACCATGACGTTACCAAGACCGCTCGCTATTGCAAACAACCGACAGTCTCGTCATTGTCAACACCATTCTTAGAAGACTATTGGCACTTTTACCACTACATATGATTTCCAAGTCCCGTGTTTACCTAGTCCCGGCGCCTTAGCGTATCCTCGCTGTGGCTGCTGTATCGCCATTCTCATGTCAGAATACCTTGAATCTAGTACACAGCTGTGTCTAACATATTCATAAAAGCAGCACATATTTTCGGAGAACGCTTGCACAAATGTCGCACCAGCGCATGCATCACTTGGGCACACCTTTAACAAGTCCCTTGTTCTTTGTTATACCTTAAATACAGTGGGGGTGGCGGCCCAGTACCTGGCGCTAACGCCAGCTTGTCAACTTCCATGTTGGCATCAACTTTAAGTTCACTGACCTGCTTCCTTCCCAAAGACCACGTTTCTCTTCCCAAAACCTCAACAAACTGCAATACAATATAACCTGATAACTCTCCTCGCCTCCAAGAGCTTCCCACGAACATCCCACCGACCGCAGCTGGCGCGTCAGTCCTGCCCATCATGGCCATTCCTTGGGCAACGTACGTCGTCTCCCACCACCCCTCCGTTTGCCCACCTCGCTAACCACCACCACCACCCTGCAGGATCCGATCCCTCTCCCTCGTTCTCGGACCCTTCCTCGTCCCTCGCGCCATTGCCTACTACCGCTCCAGCCGAGCGAACTCCCGCTCCGCCGGCGTGACCGTGCGCGCCGCGCCGCGCCGCGTCCTCCACGCCGTCTTCGTCCTCGTCCTCGTCGCCCTCGTCCTCGCCGCCTTCGCCACGCTGCCACCCCTCACCCCCGAGAACCTGTTCCGGCGCACCGCCTCGCGGCTGCAGATCCCCAACGACGTACTCTTCGCGCGCGTCGCCGCGCTGCGTCCCGGCGGCGCCCTGACCGCCGCCGACGAGGCCCTCCGCGCGCGCTTCGTCAACCTCGAGAGCCGCCTGCTCTACCTGCGCTTCGGCCCCGCCGCGCTCGCCGGCTGCGCCTTCTGTGTGCCTGACGAGCCCCGCAGCTACCTGTGCCACGCCGCGCCGCGACGCGCCTGGCGGACCTCGACGCCTTCTACTGGGGCGCGCGCGCGGTGCGGCTGTGGGCGCTGGCGGTGCTGGACGCGCTGGTCGCGGCGGCGGTGTGGCTGACGGCGACGAACCGCGCGTTCGTGGAGATGCCGAGCGCGGCGGAGCGCCTGGAGAGCGTGAACCGCGCGCTGCAGGGGGCGAAGAGCAAGATGAGCGCGCTGGGCATCGTCAAGAACACGGCGCAGCGCGACGCGGAGCTGCGGGGGCGCAGCGACGCCTACTGGACGCATGAGGTGCGTCTCATGGCAGAGGCGATGGAGGAGCGCGAGGTGATTGAGTGCGTGTCCGACGCGCTGGAGAACAGGGTGGACATTCAGACCATCACCCGCGACGCGGACTCGTACACCTCTCTGGTGCTGCAAGACTTGGCACAGGAATAGAAACGTCGTTTGAGCGCTGCATTTGATACACACTGTAATAGATCTTTGTAACAAAAGTCATCTTGCGAATTTAGTCTTGGCGAGAGGTGTCAAAACAGAATCTTCATTTCCCGTCATATTTTGCGTCTAGTTTTGCGCCGTTTGGCGGTATGCTATCAAGATAAAGTATAGAAAAGTTGGAGATAAAAATTTCGTTCGGATGAACAAACAACGAAGAAAGAAACAACCATGGAAGAAAGGAATGGCCGCTCCCATGCTGCCCCCCCTTCCCCCCCTCACGGCTTCTTTTCCGTCGTCGCCGTTGTCCCCGTCGCCGCGCTGCTGACGCTCGTCTTCCGGGACGACGCGGAGCGCGCGTCGACGCCACCGTCGGGCAGGCCCTCCTTGGCGCTGCGCTCCAGGAAGCCGGCCCAGAGCTCGGCCAGCGACTCCCTGTCCTTGGCCGAGGTGGGCTCCGAGAGCAGGTCGTTGTGGAGGGACGGCGAGCTCGGGGTGCGGTGGAAGGGCGACGTGGGTAGGCGCAGCGAGCCGCCGCCGGAGCCGCCTGGGCGGGAGAGGCCGGCCTGCTCCCGCTGCTCGTCGGTCCAGTTGAGGTAGCCCGCCATGATCTGCAGGACCTGGAAGCGCTTGACGTCGCCGCGGTCGAGCGTGAGGAAGTGGAGGAGGTGATTGGTGACGACTTGCCTGGAGAGATGAGTTAGTATGAATGAAATTTGGGTACTGGAGGTGAGGTTATGGGGACAACATACCTGTCGACGTTTTCCTCTGGCTTGGTCTTTTTGAGGTAGCGCAGGGCCTTTGTCAGGTGGTCGTTGAGCACAATGGCCTCGTGCCGGAGCTTCCCGATGAGGAGGTTCTTCTCCTTGACCTCCTTCTCAAACGGTGCCGTCCGCTCGACCTCCTTGGTCAGCGCCTCCTTTGCGTCTTGCGCCTCGGCCGCGCGCGCCTCGGCCTCGGCCGCCAGCCGCTTCTGCGCCTGTAGCTGCGCCTCGGTGCTCTCGACCATGTCGCGCAGCTCCTTCTTGCGTGCGTCCTGGATCTCGCGTAGCGCGTTTTGGAGGTTGTCAATCAGCGTCGACTGGCTGTCGCGCTCACTCGCGGCGCTCTCGTAGCCCTGCCGTAGGGCGGCCGCCTGCTCTTCAAGCTCAGCAATCTTGTCGCCCAGGCTCTCCTTGACGGAGCGCTCCTCCATGGCGATGACCTCCCACTCGCCCATGGCGTTGGCGGTCGTCTCCATCTCCTCCTTGAGGCGCTGCATGGCGCGCGTCAGGTCCTCGCGCTCCTTGTTCCAGTTTTGCGTCGACAGGTTGCTGCGGCTGCGCAACGTCGTCAGCTCACGATTGGCGTCTTGCAGCTCTTGGCGGAGCTTCTGATGGTCCTTGTCGGAGGAGCTCGCCGAGTTTTCGAGCTGCTCATTTTGTGATTCAAGCTCCTCTATTCGCTCTTTCGCCTCCTCTAGTTCTGCTTTGTCGCGTCGTAGCCTGTCGCTCAGCGTTTCTTTAATTTTTTCTACACGCTCCAGCAGCGTCTGATATTGCTCCTCAGCCGTCTCTTTCGCGGTGTTACTCTCTTCCAGTTCTGTTTGTAGTCGTTCAATCTCCGTTTTGTGTGTCTGTTGTAAGGCTTCCAGTTGCTTGCGCAATTGGTCGACTTCTGCTTGGAGGGCCCCTTGGGCCTTGGGGTCGATGATGGAATTGTTATTTTTTGCGGAGTTTATGGCATGTCCATTAATGGCTTTGTTGGTAGCCTCGTCATGGGACTGCTCCTGCTCGTCGTCGTCGTTGTCGTCGGCTTCGTCGTGGCCGTTTTGCGGCTTGCCGCTGTCGGCAGGGGCATTGTCTTTGTTCTTGTTGGCATTTTTCTTCTTCTTGTTATTCTTCTTCTTTGACGTCGCTGTATTTGCATTGGCAAGCGCTGCCATCGTTAGTCTTTTATTCCCCGCCAGCAGTTGACGCTCCCCCTCTACGAGCTTCGTCAGCTCAAGGTAGCTGACCTGGATTGGGCGCCTGCGTGGCGTCAGCAGCCGCTGCAGAGGACATTGCGGCGTGAGTCCCCTATGATGTGCGATGATTTCTGCCGTAGTATCGAGGTGGAAATCGTGGTTGTTGGCTCGTAAGATGACGCGACAAAACCGGCGCGCGATGGTGCAGTAGGTGGGCAGAGACCAGGTGTTCACCACGTCAGCGGGCCATTTGAGACCCTGGCTGGACTGAGTGTTGCACTTTTTGACTTGCGGTGGGTTGGCAGCAAACCCGATGTTTGCTACAGCGCCGAGACCGAATATCAAAATTTACGTTGGGGAATTATTTTCTTTATTAGTTCAATCAAAGCTCTTGTTCTTTGCAATTTCTTCTTATTACAGTAGTTCCAGTAATCGATTGTGCGGTGCGGCAGCTGATCAGTTCTCGTATTCTTCAACGCCACCAGTCACCAGCCTTACTCTACCGCTTGGGAAGGGAGCTATAAATAAACCACCTCGGGAGACAAAGGCCTTTGATAAAAAACTTGGAATAACTGAGTATTAACAAGTTTTATTGACAGGAGTTTGACATTCTGGCAAGGCAAGGATACGCCTGAGCTAAAATGCCGTCTTAGTAGTAGTGGAAAGTTACCAGTGCACTTAGATCTCTAGAGATGCCAATGCAAGGCCCAGATCAGAATCAAGCCGCATTTCTAGAGAGTCTTTGGGTTCCAAGGTATGTACTGTACTGTCTTGCCCCGGACATAACCTGAGATACGCAGACATCCCCCGCTCTGGTGTCCCCTTGCCTGATATGCTAGCTATTACGTATCTTGGGAATTCGTACGGATACAGATTACACTGGTCCCAGCTGGAAGCGGCTCCCACCGATTTCATCACACTGCCATGGCTTCTAAAACTTACCTGACCATCATAAGTGGATTGTTTCAGTGGCTCAGGCGCCGGGGAAAAGTCGCCAAGTCCTGTGCGGTAAGTGCCGCTGGGCATCAAGTTCGAAGGTGGTTTGGGCATTGCTCCGGCGGACTGGGGACTCACTGGCCAATCCCGGCTGCTCCAGTAAGTGCTCCGGTAAGTACCACGAGGAAAGAAGGGAAACAGGTGAATGCAATGTACCTTTTTGTCCGTCTTTCTTCTTGAACACCAATCTTTCAGCTTGCGATCGCGATTGATGTGGGAAGGGCAGGCATTGCTGGTGGCATCAGGTATGGCGTGCCACTTGCAGGGGACTACAGCAGGTCAGCTCCACTGACACGCACTGTGGCTGGGAGCATGTAGGTACAAGGCAGGCATGCATGCAGATGTGTGTATACAAATGAGGTGAAGATGAGAAATTCTGATTTCTTCTGAATTATTATTTCATATAAAAAACTACATTATGATGGCTTATTGGATCTTGCGTCTTTTTGAAGTCGTCTTTCTTATGTTCTGTCTTTTGATTTTATATCTTGGTAGGTACAAGTACCTCGACGCTTGGGTCCCGCCGCCTCTTTTCATGCTTCCCCTGGCAGATATCTTCATTATCTGTACGCATATAGATGGTTGATTGACCAGTTTCGTGGACGCCAAACAGCAATCGTAATAATATAATAGTACTAATTCAAATATTAACTGCAACTGCAACCCTGCGCCTGATTGTAGCTCGGCCGCAACCGCTAGCGTCGCAAGACCTGATCCGGAAAGCTATGTATGTATGTACATACATACATCCTCCTTGGTTCGCTGGCCGGCCTAGCTAAAAGCAGTGCAACCAACCTTGGACAGCTACCGTCGCAGCGTTGGTACTTGCAGTTTGCTTGGCTATTGGCGGCCGAGCCAGGTACCTCGAGACAACACCCCCGCATCTCCGTCTCCTCCACCCCCAACGCCAGCCATTTGCTTCTTGTCTGTCAATGGACCTTTTGGCTTCCTCTCCCGCTTCTCGTTGTCGCTCCTCGCTTCGTCTCTCTCATCGAAAAGCCACGGAATCTTGGACTTTCGAGCGCGCCTCACTTTCTACCCCCGTCTCCCAATCACATCCCCCGTCGTCCGCGCCCAATTCCAATTCAGCTCGCTACCCAAGCCGGAGAGGTACTTACCGGCCCAGCCCAGCTCTTTGTGCCACCAAAAGCTCTCATCCGTCGACCTTGCCTCTCTCCTGCTCTCCCATCCACCCGCATTGCCAATTGTCCGCTCTCGCCCTCTTTATCTCTATTGCTACGGCTTACCTGACCTGCAGGAATCGTCTGCTGTGCCATTGACTGGCCTGACGACTCGCTCCCTCCAGGCAAAAAGCCAATTCACCGTCCCGGCCCCCCCAACAACCAAACCGCGCACCTGCACCGTCACCACATGCCTGGCCTCGGCTTTCTCAAGAAGAAGAGGACGAGAGAGGGCACCTCTGATCCGTCAACATCAAACCCTACTAGTCCGGTCGCGCCCACAAACTCCAAGCCCTTCGACTCGTCCCGCCAGTCGGTCGGCTCTGCCGCCGCCGTCGCTACCGCCGCTTCCCAGGCAGGTCCGCCCAGCCACGGCGCCGCCCAGTCTCCGATCCCGATCCAAGCGACTACCGCGACTTCGCAGCAGCAAGCGCAAGCTGCTAGCGAGCCCTCGGTTACCCAGCAAGAACAGCAGCAGCAGCAGCCGCCTCTGATGAATCCCGTGTACGGAGGGGCAGGGACCCTCCAACACCAAAACCTCCCTACCATCAGCAACCTAATGAATACGCAGCAGCCCGACCCTGCCGCTGCCAACATCAACAACTATCCCAATTCCCATTATCCCGCCAACCTCGCCCCTCAGAACCTCCATGCCGCTAGCGAGAGCCCTGGCACTGACCCCGAGCGTCTTGGACAACAACAACAGCAGGCTCATCCTATTCCCGGCACCGCCGCCGCCATGCAGCCCCAGCAGCATCACCAGGTGCCCCTCTACCAACAGGCCCAGCAGATGCCACAGCAAAATCAAGGCCATCACCAGCACCAAGTCTCCATATCGCAACCCCGCACCACAAAGGGCAAATACTCGTTGACCGACTTCGACATCCTCAGAACCCTCGGCACAGGTAGTTTCGGCCGAGTTCACCTCGTTCAGTCCAAGCACAACCAGCGTTTCTACGCCATAAAGGTCTTGAAAAAGGCCCAAGTCGTTAAGATGAAGCAGGTCGAGCACACCAACGACGAACGCCGCATGCTCAGCGACGTCAAGCATCCCTTCCTCATTACCCTCTGGGGTACTTTCCAGGATTGGAAGAACCTCTACATGGTCATGGACTTTGTCGAAGGTGGCGAGCTCTTTTCCTTATTGAGAAAATCCGGGGTAAGTTGCCTTTTTATGCATGCCCTTCCGCCCAACGTTTCATGCTAACACGTCTGCTCAGCGATTCCCCAACCCCGTTGCTAAGTTTTATGCCGCCGAGGCAACCCTGGCGCTCGAGTATCTGCACTCGAAAAACATCATCTACAGAGACTTGAAGCCGGAAAACTTGCTGCTCGATCGTCATGGGCACCTCAAGATTACTGACTTTGGCTTCGCCAAGCGCGTTCCTGACAAGACATGGACACTCTGCGGCACTCCAGATTACCTGGCCCCTGAGGTTGTCTCCAACAAGGGCTACAACAAGTCGGTGGATTGGTAAGAAATAGCGAGCCTCCTTCCGTGATGTGATGGGGAAGAGTAGCTAATCAACGATAGGTGGTCTCTTGGCATCCTCATCTACGAAATGCTGTGCGGCTATACGCCGTTCTGGGATAGCGGTTCACCCATGAGAATATATGAGAACATTCTCAAGGGCAAAGTCAAATATCCTGCATACGTTAACGGCGATGCGCAAAATCTACTGGAGCGACTGATTACAGCGGACTTGACAAAGAGACTGGGCAATCTTTACGGTGGCCCTGCTGACGTGAAGAACCACCCTTGGTTCGCTGAAGTCACCTGGGATCGATTGGCTAGAAAGGATATCGATGCACCTTACACACCACCGGTCAAGGCTGGTACGGGTGACGCAAGTCAGTTTGACAGATATGCAGAGGATCCGGATGGCTACGGCCATGCTGGCGGACCTGATGAGTACGTGTATCTCGAGCGGCAAATGATGAATATCGTCACTAACATAACGCTAGCTACGGCCACCTATTTACCGAGTTTTAAAGTCAACTGACGACGAGGACCATGACGGACGCAGTCGACTGCAGGGCAGTCGACATGGTGGTGATAGCCCTTGCCTGCTGAATCATGTTGTAAGACGGGCATAGCAGCAGGAAATGACGATACTTTGTTTTGATGACGGATGATTATGGAGACGAGGCGCAGAGATGGCCAGGAACATTTCTACACAATAACGCACGTTGCAAGTCTTTTAACCACATGCACTAGGAGAAGCATTTGTACAATCAAATATTTATACCGTGTTGCTCAGAGGAAAGGAAAGAAGAAAAACAGACAAAAAAAGAACCTTTTGAATATGAATCTTTTAACTCTAGATGAGCATACGGATACACGAGAGACAGTCTAGCGTGGGGTGGCTGGTCGGCGTTGAATTACCGACATGAACAGACGGTTGGCCGTTGTTCTAGGCGAGCCTATTCAGTCGGGTTGACAAGGGGAGACGGTGGCAGGACGCCATCCGTAAGTGGACGTAACTTGCATTGCGGATTACCAGTGCAACCTACCTCTTAGTTATGTATGTCTTATGTTGTACAGTACGAATTTGTCGCCTCTGTTCCGCAGTAATCTGCAGCCGACGCTGCACAGCTGCGGAGGCTGGGGATCTACTGGTACAACTCGCTGCCAATCAGCTGAGCAGACAGATGGGCTTTTTCGTGTGGACTGGTGCGATAAGATTTTCGAAAAAATAGTCTCAATTTTCCTCGAATCCCAATTACTGCACTCCATCCCTCCTTTACGATCGGAATTGCGTCTTGGCGCTGCGATTTCGTCTCGCAAACGGTGTCAGTTTAGGGCGACTTATTAGCGGGCAACCAGAGATTATCACCAGCCTCCTGCGGGTACCAGTGCCAGTTTACCCTCACCTTCCTAGGCCCCCCCCCCTCCCCAAAACCTGCATTCCATCTGGTTTTCTTTGTTTCAAGGTGACACGGTGGTAAGTTAGCGGGGAAGGGAAGAAAAGAAAAGAAAAGATGGACGACTATTTGTTTCGGCAATATGTCAATGAGTGCCGCGTGGTGCACGAGGAGACCAAGTATCTGGAGATCTTTAATTACTCGGTAGGCGGCCTCTCTCTCTGCTTACTAGGTACCTGGTGAGTTCGAGAAAAACTGACAAGACGATATAGGACCCTTTTTATAATTCCTGCGAGGAGCATCCTCTGACTTCGGATGAATTTGACAATTTTCTACATCAGAGGGTATGTATCCTTTCTTCTCCCATTTATCGCCATGTTCTATCGCAAACGAAGACGGACGGATTGCTGATGCTGCTTGATAGGGGGCATTTGCACCGCCAAACTTGCGTCCCGGGACGACACTCTTGAGTGGAATCCGACTCGTGTAAGTTTTGAATGAGTAATGATGAAAAAACCATACGGAATCACGTGCTGATGCATCTATCCAGCGTCCAAACCGACGCCCAGGACAAGGATACCTTTATGCCCAAGGTCCTGTCCCTCCCCAAGGATGCATACGAGAAAATGGTGCGGGCTCTGCGACTTCCTTTCCGTGGAATTGAAACCACGTCGGTCGTCGGGCCCTTCTTCTGGTCATCGTCCGACCACGACGATGCCGATCCGCATCTGCGTATGTGTCGCCCCCATCATCCATCACCGCCCTTCCACTCTCTAACAACTCTTCTCCCGCAGACATCCTGCACCGCAAGTCGGATGTGCGCAAAAAGGGCCGGACGCGCGGCTGGGAGATGATGCTTTCACACCGCTTCGCCACTTCCGTGACCACCGGCTTCGTCAAGGGCACGCCGTCGTCGGACGTGGCCGCGGCGCTGCGGCACCTGCACGCGTGCGCCTTGCAGGCCGGCCACGCGCTGCTGCTGCCGACCATTCTGCTCGCGCACGACCTGTCGCCGGCCAACGACCAGAAGCAGCGCGACGCGCGCGACTGGCTGCGCCGCCTGGAGCACGCCGTCAGCATGCGCGACGAGGTCGAGCCCGGCGAGCAGTACTTCCAGAACGGCCGCCTCGAGGTCGACGGGCTGAACCGCGACCTGGTCGAGTGCCACTCCAACGTGCTGTGGAAGCGCCCGCAGGCGTACATGGCGCTGACGCTGGAGATGGAGAAGGCCATGGCGCTGTTCTGGGACATGCGCGCGGCGGCGGCGGCGGCGGCGAGGGGGCAGAAGGAGATTGAAGTGGAAGAGTTGGGAATGGAGGCGAGCATGAGGCAGCAGATGAGGGAGATGGACAGGCTGCATAGGTCGATGCTCGCCCGCATGGACTTTTACAAGGTCAAGCTGACGGGCTTGGAGAATTACATCCACACGACCCTACAGAGACTCAAGGTGCAGAGAGAAGCGGTACGTGGTGAAAATCATGACATCTCAGCAGGATTCACCAACCAACTAACTGTTTAACTTGGGTAACAGCTGTATAACATCATGTCGCAGCGCGAAGCTCGTCTCAACCTCGAAATCGCCGGAGAGCAGCGCCGCATCGCTCACGCCAGCAAGCGCGACAGCACCGCCATGAAGACCATCTCCCTCCTCGGCACGCTCTTTCTCCCGGGCACCTTTCTGGCCTCCGTGTTTAGCATGACCTTTTTCAACTTTCAGTCCAGTAAGCTCCGTTGTCCCTGGCTCAAACTCGCAGACACACAGAGATGGGGAGAGAAGAACGCTGACTTGCAACGCAGACGCAGACCCCGTCATCTCGGACAAGCTCTGGGTCTACTTCCTCCTAACCATCCCCATCACGGCCGCCATCGTCGGCATCTGGATCTGGTACGACAAGCGCAAGGAGGCGCAGTACGCGCGCGACGACGAGGACCTGGAAAAGGACATCACCAAGATGGAGCACGACATCATGATGAACCTGCGCAAAAGGACCATGAGTAAGAATCATACCTGGAACACCATAAGTCCGCCACCGCGGTGATGGGCGACGTCTGTTTCCCCCCTGGGCATTTCACATGGCCAGCTGATGAGTCACGATAGCAATGATTCTGATCATTTACAAAGAACATACCCCAGCCAAGAGTATATGATTTTCATGTCTACTTTGATAGCTTGCAATAAATAGTAAAGAGGTGGTATTATTTTCGAAAGCTCATGCTGACCATGGTTAAGAAATCAAGTCCAATGTGAAGTTATTTATACATGCAACCGAATGCCATAAATGCCAGTGTAAACGGCCCCTCCCCCATTCTAACCAAGATCTAAAGAATGATGTTCTTCTCCTGCCCCTCCTCTATTCAACTTGACTAGTTGCGGTTCGTCGGCGGACCAATCTTATCCAGGCCATCCATCCACGGACGCAGGCACTCCGGAATCGCCACCGTCCTCGCCCTCTCATCCCACCCGACCTCGAGCAGCGCCGCCAGCACGCGCGGCACCGCCAGCGCCGTACCATTGAGCGTCCATGGAAACTCGACGTCGTCCCCGCCGCCACTCCCGGACGCCCGGCCGCCCGGCCGCGCGCGCGTCTGCAGCCGACGCGTCTGGTAGTCAGTGCAGATGCTCGCGGACGAGACCTCGCCCCAGCCGTCGCTGTGCTCCTGCCGACTCGGGAACCACGCCTCCATGTCGACCTTGCGCGCCGCCGACGCGCCCAGGTCCGCCGTCGGCATCTCCAGCACCCGCGCGTGCAGCCCCAGCGACTCGAGCATCTCCGTCTGCACGTCCAGCATCTCCTCGAAGACCTCGCGCGCCTGCGCCGGGTCCGCGCGCGTCCACGCGAGCATCTCGACCTTGGTGAACTCGTGCACGCGGTACAGCCCGCGGGTGCCGGCGCCGC